TGGCACTTCGGCTCTTTTCTCGAGAGGTGTGAGATGTGAGGTGCTGCCCATTCGCGTAGGAAGATTGACGAGTCGGAGGGTGCCGTCTTAGATGGTATAGGAGCTCGGTCGCTTCCTTCAGCAAGACGAGAAGAATATAAGCTGATCTGCAGAGAATCGCTCGTCGACCACATCGATACAATAATATGGCAAAGCTAGACGGGCGACCCTTGTTTTGTTCGACTTCCTGAGAGAGTCTTGGGATATGCATGATACAGAAGCATACACGGGCAGGCTGCGCTGAGAAGTGAGGGACCTCCAGGCAATCACCACACCGCACTTGCTTGTCTTAAAGACCCAACGTCACATCGACCTCCGCGCGCCACCTTTTAAAAATGCCCCGAGCTGCGGAGATCATCCAATTAGTCCAAGATGTATTTATAGAGTGGATCGTCACCAATCGACCGCGGCACCAACACCTTGACGCCTCTATCAGGCCAGCAACACCTCACACACACATACACTCACACCAACGCCATGTCCAACAACCCCGGAGCCACCGAGCAGCTGCCTGATGAGATGGGAGAGCCACTCGAAAAGTCGCTGGACCACCTCGTGGAGCATTCCCGACCATGGCACGACGTGGGCGAGAATGACGAGCTAGCTCGTACGTGAGCGAGACGATTGTGCTTATTCGATAGCCAGCGAGAAGCGCCAGGACCTGATCCATGCGCATGGAGGGGAGTCAAAGTCCTGGATCAAAAAGCTTTGGCCATCTTCGGAGACGGTCGATCACGTAGGTGGGCATTGAGGACGCGCTGATGGGGCAGTTGTTCAAGTATGAGCACATGGGTAAGGCCACGGTACGGGCGGGCTGATGTCAGGGAACTATGTGATTGATCGACAAAATGGGCGGAAGATCTTTGAGTCCATGCCGCTGTGTGAGTGATTGCATGAACGCGCTGACCCCTAGACGTGCGTGTTGGTATGCACCTGCTCTTTGTGTCCGGCGTGAGTCGACTCGCACGATGCCGCTCATTCTCAGGCAACCTACATGTCATACCCGTCAATCGAGAGCATGCTCGAGAGCAAGTCGCAGCGACGTGAGTCGATGTGAGGCGTTGCTGACCGTCAGAGGGCGAACTTTACGACGAGACTGGCCCCGGAGTCAAGGAACACATCCAGTCGTTTATCGACACGTACAAGCTGCCTCTGAACGAGCTACTGATCCAGGATCTCGACAAATATCCAGTGGGTCGAAATATAGGTGACGCTGACGGCAGACATTCAACTCGTTCTTCTCGAGGCGACTCGCGCCGAGTGCACGACCCATCACATCGCCAGAGGACACGTCGATCGTTTGCGTACCCTCTGACTGCAGGTTGACCGTGTTCCAGACGGTGGATCAGGCCAAGCAGTTCTGGTGGGTGGTGCGAACGACCTCGCCGAAGCTGATGTTCAGGATCAAAGGGAAGCAATTTACGCTCAAGACGCTGCTCTGTGGGGATAATGGCGAAGAGGATGAAGGCCTTCAGGCCGTGTGGGGAGATGAGAAGAGCGCGGTTGCCGTCTGTCGACTTGCTCCTCAGGATTATCACCGATTCCATTCGCCCGTAGAGGGGACACTCGTTAGCTTGAAGGATATCAAGGGTAGGTGGGTGTATAGGTCTCAGCTGACGGATAGGAACTCTCTACAGTGCGTCCCTTAGCTTGAACAGTCTGACAGAGTAGCCGTCAACCCGCAGGCGGTCAATGAGGGTGCGTCACGGGCAGCTAATTTCGCTCATGTCAGATCTCAATGTCTTCACGCTCAACAAGCGAGCGGTCATGCTGATTCACGCCAATCTCGGCCCTGGACGAGAGCAAGTGCCGGTTGTCCTCGTCGCCGTGGGAGGTGAGTAGCAAGCCATATTTCTGACTCATCATCGCAGCCATGCTAGTCGGAAGTATCGGCTGGTCTAAAAAGCCGGGCGACAAGATCGCCAAGGGCGAAGATATGGGATGGTTCCAGGTGAGTCGGAGGATCATGGTGACACTGAAGGACAGTACGGCGGGTCGACCGTCATTTGCGTCTTCCCATCCGCCACCGGCATCACTTTCGACGAGGACCTCGTGACGCACTCCAAGGCCAGCATGGAGACGCTCGTACGAGTCGGCATGGAGATGGGAAAAGTGGCTCCTGCTTAGAAAGTAGATCGAAGTATCATGGTAGGCCTATATGTATGCCCATTGAATCCTTAAATGATTCTTATAATGCGATTTGTCTGCGGGCGCTCTACAGGCCCGCTCCCATCCTCGACATCTTCTTGTCGTGTCCTCGAGTCCTGGCCGCATTTGAATGCCCACGACTCGACTTGTTTGTTCGTCCTCGACCTCCGCTTCCCCGAGTACCTCCATTGGAATTACCCTGCTCGCTACCTCCGTGCCCATCCCCTCTGCCTCCTCCACGACCACCTCGATGTCCACCACCTCTTCCACGGTTCGAGTACGACGGACCATCCGGTCTAGCCTTTGTTTCCACAGATCCAAGGTGGTCTTTGGTCGGTGAGAATGTATGTCGATTGAGGATCGCCTCCTTGTGAGGATTTCGGTCCAGCATGACTCGCCATCCTTCCAATTGCGCATCGTCCATCCCTGTCAACTCCTTGAGCTTCTTTCTCGCCCCTGATCGCCTGGTGTTAGAGTCGCGATCAAATACCGCCGGATTGGCCAAGTACGCGAGCTCCAGCTTGCTCTGTTGATCGACATCATAAGTCTTCCCGGACGATTCTTTGCGTGGCTACGGAATCTTAGGCCTGCAGATGTCGTAGTGGTACTCACCACGACCTTGTCTCCTTCTTCTTCCTCTCCACTTTCCTCGCCATCGCCCGCAATCTTCATCCTGCTTACTTGACTTTCCTCATCATCACTCATTTCACGACTCGCAGCACCGTGAGCCTCCCTCAAAGCCGCCTCTCGTTCTGCCTCCTCCTCCACTTGCGACTCAACTAACCGCATGATTGAGTCGCGGAGGTGATCTGGAATGGTTTGGCCGAGCTCGGGAATGTCCCTAGGAGGTCAGCGGGGATGGGCGACGATGCACTCACCCATCGTCTGCCAGTTTTAGCCGGGACATATCCATCTTTTGATCATCCCATATATTCCGCCTTTCATACGCCGACCGGGTTGAGGGCGGTGCAGTGTCGACTGTGGACATTTGCACATGCTCGACAGCAGTCCTTAGGTCGAGTAAATCCTCCGGGATGGCACTCGAGCCAGACAGCATCGCATCGATCAAGGGCGCCGCACTGGCCTCGGGATCGATGGTCGATACCGCAAAGAAGGAATGATGCAGCGCCGCGAGGATCGTATTGGCAGGAACGTGTGGAAATAAGTTCTTCACTACCTTGACGCGCTACAACGTCAGCTTGGTAAAACCACTGACCCACTGGATCCTCTGCGGCTCGCGCATCTCTCATTGCGTCTAGCCTCGATACCAGACCATCAGGGAGCGGCGCCGCTCGCTCAAATAGCGCCTCATAGTCCTCTCTTAGCGTTTGACCGAGCAGTAGCTGCTTGCTATGACCTCCACCCATGAGCCTCTTCAGGGCGTCTTTGCTCTCTCCTTGGACCGCAGAGACCAGCTCGTGGCAGAGGATGAGCGTGTCACTCTGCCCCTCTAGTCCATCAAGCGATTGATAGGCCGTCCGGAGTGCTGGAATTACATACGTAGCTTCCTCCAGTGCCAGACCTAGCAGATCATCGTGTGACCGAATGATGAGGAGGATGATCCGTATGACCTTGCAGAGGTCCTGCCCGTGGCACAGCTGAAGTCGAGTGACCAGGGATGGCAGAATCTCCCCTCGAAATTCCTCCAGGATATTTGGCGTAAGGACACGCCCTACCAACTCATTTATCGCCTTTCGATGCAGTGGGTATGCAATGATACTGCTCAACAGGATCTCCGAGGTTAACGCCTCGGGCGTCGATGTAGAGATCTGGAGGACTGTCTGAAGGCCCTCTAAAGGCGCTTGGACCCCGTCGAGGGCCTGTCGTGAGATGGCTCTCAAGGCGCAGGCCAGCAAAGCAATGCCGGACTTGCCGGTGGCGTGTTTGAGAATCGCTGGAATCACTCGAGCCGGCGGCGTCGAGCTGGGGATTGCAGTCATCGGGGTGAGTTGCGAAAGACAAGAGTCGAAAGTCAAGTCGTTTCAGCCGGAGTTGATCGCTCGGATCCGAAACGAACCCGCGACGCATCCCTATATTGAACTCTCAAAAGACTATAGGCAGAGCGTGCACGCTAGCAAGAGTCTATAAGAGCGCAAGAGCGCAAAGAGTGAGCTGAGCTCACTGTCGCCTAGAAGTCGCTGCACAATGATGTACGATAGCACGCAATACATCTCTCTACAAAACCTAGTAGGCAGCGTTCTTCCTCGCGGCGATCTGGAGGTGCACAGAGTGCTCGTCCAAGGGGTTCTGACCAGGTGGGATGATGGTCCAGAGATCGGGCGATTGGAACTGGGCGTCAGCGGGAGCACATATGACCTCCTCACTTGATAGGTTTTGGACAAAGCAGTCATGGTAGCCTTCAAGAAGTTACCCTGGGTGGCAGTGGATCCCTTGGCCTGAGCTGAGAAGGTCAGACAAGCTGTGCTACATCGACTCACTGTAGCAGTCCTGGATACCGGCCATTTGAAGCATTCGCTTGGGAGCAGGGGCAGCGACGATACCAGTTCCTCGGGCTGAAAGGTCAGTGCTGAGGCAATCTGGTGACTCACGTGCTGGGATCAATCGACACATGACCGAACCACTCTTTCCAGACACCTTGCACGGAACTGTGTGGGGCTCGGCGATGTGGGCGCCCCAGTAACCTCTTCGGACAGGGACAATAGACAGTTTGGCAACGATGATAGCTCCTCGAATAGCGGTGGCGACTTCCTTGGCGCACTTGACTCCGAGACCAACGTGGCTGCACGAATCAGCCTAGCCGCAACGACCCACTCACCCGTCAAAGTCTCCAACGGCGACGAAAGCCTTGAATCGAGTTCGCTGACCGGCCGAAGTTTGCTTTTGAACAGGGTGAATGGACATGACTTCGTCCTTGAGGGTGGGGAGGAAAGTGTCGACGATTTGGAACTCCTTCACGGGCAAAGAGAACAGGTAAATCTCCTCCATCGACTTGATCTTTCCATCCTTTACAAGTCGTCCAAGCTTGGTGACAGGGACCCTGCGAGTCAGCGCACGCCCAACGTACTCAAATCCCACCATTCCTTCTCCTCGTCCTTCTTTCCACCTCGTCGAGGTCCTCGTCGACCACGTCCTCGTCCTCGTCCAAATCCACCTCGTGCACCTTCAGCCATGTTGTCGTTGATGTAGATACGGGGTTGTCGAGTGGTGTATGCTGGAGGAATGGGGAGATTGAGCAATGGCGGACAGGTGAACGTCGTCGGCGTTAAGCATTTGGCCAGTCAAAATTTAACGCCGATGGGTATTTTCGGCGATCGCCGCTTGTTCCGGTGGGAGCTCGTGGAGACTGTCAGTAGCCTGTGTGTCACAGCATTGCTACAAGTGTTTTGGATATGTGAAGAGTATTGCGCAGCGCTGCTGTGTCCATCAATACCCTACGACTGTTTGGTTTATGCTGGCGGCCAGTATGATATCTCCAATACTCCTTTGCCAACTGGGACTGCTGGCATGCAATCCAGTAGCTGCTGAAATGTAGGATGGCATACCATTCCGCTGCCTATCTATGCCAGTTATCACCCGAAGTCTCACCATACCTGATGCTTGAAGAGACTTAGGCGCAGCCTGTGATTGTCAACTGTACAGGACCCGTGCGTCGCTTTGTCGCAGTCAGCTAAACATAGACACGGAAACGACCCAAGAGATGGTGAGGTTTCATAATCCCACAGTAGCATTCTGCATACTGCTTGGCCGACTAAGGATCGTTCACACAGGACAGATCTACAGGCCCCGTCTGCTCAACAAGTAGTGCTCGGTGCGATTAGGGACCGGTAAAACAGGCCCGCATTGAAATGCATGAACATCTACGTACTCAAGAACCAAAGACCTCAAGCCTGACATGCATCACCTAACGACTGGAGGTGACCGTCTTGCTGCTTTGTCACAAGCTTGTTGAGGCCGTTGCATCTCACGTTGACCCCGTCCACAGTTCATAGCTGCAGATGCACGCAACTATTCTCGGCACGTGAGCCGAGGATGCGTTTACTGCAGAGGACGGTTTTAGCACACGTTTCCTTCGTCATAAGGAAAGCTGTTTAATAAATTCACATACATCGTTTGTACACCGCAGTCCTGTAAGTCGTCGTTCTGAACGCATATCGTGAGTCAGGATGGGCTATTGAGGCAGTACGCTCCCTCCTTTGTGTGCAATGTACATGTCATAAGTCTCTCGCTGACATCTCAGAGGCACGAGATTTCGCTTGTGTCCTCGTTTGAATCCTCACCAATATAATCTTTCACAAGCTCTCTCAAAAGTCACCTTGCCTCCTCGACACGATAGCTCGACTCTCAGTGGTTCCCTCCATACCTAGTGTATCGTCTCTCATAGCTTCATACCAAGCTCTAACTCGTCATGTCCGGTAGTCCGAGCCGCGCAGTAAGCCCGATCTACGCTCGACCCCCGCTGATAGATCCAGATTCGACGAAAACTAGTGATCGTAGGGGATGGAGCTGCTGGCAAAACGTAAGTCGCTGGCATAAGCTTTCGCTGAATCCACTCGAAGCTCTCTGCTCAATGTGTTTGCCATCGGGCATTTCCCTGAGGCCTATGTGAGTTGCATCCCGTAAAACCACTGACCCCCCCTTCACAGGAACCCACAGTGTTTGACAACTACGTGACGGAGATCGAGCTCGATGGCAAACCGATACAGCTGGCTCTGTGGGATACTGCGTGAGTTAGTGCTTATATTGTCGCTCATGCCTCAGTGGACAAGAAGAATACGAACGTCTCCGACCTCTATCCTACTCGAAAGCCCACGTTATCCTCATCGCCTTTGCAGTAGATTCCCCCGACTCGCTGGATAATGTGATACAAAAAGTGTGTCTCATCTCGCCTCAAAAGTCGCTGACCCAATCAGTGGATCGAAGAAGTGAGAAGCATCTGTGGAAAAGCCATACCGGTGATTCTTGTTGGCTGCAAGACGGATCTGAGGGAAAAGGCCATGACGAATGGGACGTATAATGCGGAAAAATTTGTCGACACGGCATCGGTGAGGGGAGCACCTTCTCACAGCTCGCTGATTCTTCAGGGCCAACGGATTGCCAACTCCATCGGTGCAAAGGCTTATCACGAGACTTCATCGTTGATGAATCTAGGGGTAGATACCGTCTTTGAAGCCGCGACGAGGGCAGCCGTCCTCGTCCGAGACCAAGGTCACGGAGGTGTCGGCGCAGCCTATGACAAGGACGGGAACGACTATACGAAGGAGGAAAAGGGAGGGGTAGGCAAATGCTGTGTCATTTGTTAATGGAAAATCCTCGAGCACACTCAATCGCACGCACGACATAGACGACAAACACGACTTTACGAGGGCCAAGCCTGCACTGCAGCACATCAATAGACGACTGGACGCAAACAGCATGACGGATACCATATGCTTCATATACACTCGGTTTTGTACTCGCTTCAATGGGCCTATAGCATCAATTTATGGGGCTCGTATCGCATGAAATGGTTTGCAGCGTGGCGAGGCATTCATTCTTTTTTTTTGTGACGGCGACCTCAGAGTCTGAGCTTTTGCCGTGTTTGGGCTTCATGAGGGATCTTTGGGTACACCAAGATTCCCAACTGTAGACATGGCTTGTCATTCGCTAAGCGCGGGGGGCAGGGGGCCAACCGATTTACTGGAAACTCCATGTTATATATGCTCGTCGACGCTAACCCATGGAATATGATGTATTCGATTGTGATTTGCCTGTTCCGGCGATCACCGTTCGAGTGACGTAAATTCTGTAATGTTCAACAACAAAAAAAGGTATATTCATTGCATCAACAACAACAAAGAGACAGCATCCAACACGATCATTGTTGATTGGAATCGTTCGCCTAGCAGACTTTTGGCGAGTGGATAAGGCAGCCCATAGCTTGTAGCATAGCGCAAAGATTCTGTGTCCCTACCTGATCACATCCCACCTGTTCCGCACACCTCCCTCTTCTCTCGCCGCACCACATCGCAATGGACATCACCCTCCTCCCACCGACCGCCATCCTCTCGAACCACTCCCACCTCGCAGTCCTCCCATCTGCATTTCCTCGTCGTATAAGAGGCCAAGTGACCCCTTCGGGCCATCCTCACCTCTCTTCAGCCTACCGACCACGCAGACGATCCTTCCCATGCCCTCCGCCACCGATGGACGGACGGTGCATGGTCGACGAGTTGCCAGATGAAATTCTCGTCAACATACTTTGCTTTCTAGACTGGGATCAGGTGCTCCATCTACGCTCAGTGTCTCGACGATGGTCCAATCTGGCGTTATCTCCCACTCTACACCAATCCCTCACCCTCCTGGCTCTCCCACCGACACCCCTGCCCTACATATTACGGATAATGCTCCAGAACATCCGTCATCTTCACCTACATCTCTTCCCTTACCCGACGTCCATTCCCGGAGCGACACATCCCACCACAGCTCTTCTCACTCTCCTTGATGCCATTCCCCCAGATCAACTCATCTCCTTATCATTGCCATTCTCCGCTCCTTATCTTCCCGGCTCTGACCTCGGCAAAGTCCTCAAACGCATCGGCGGGAGACTCGAGCATCTCGACTTGCGGGGCAGCGGACTCGTCGGCTCAAAATGGACGCAATGGATCAAATGGGTCGGCAAGAACGGACATGGACTTCGATCTCTGGACCTGAGCTTCACCTCCATCTCTACACTGCCAGGTTGCCCTACGCCAACTTCACCATTGAGACCATTCCGTAATCCACGAACCTTACACACGGCTCTGCCCCTGACGCTGCCCGTCGGCATCACAGACGAGGACATTCTCGACATTGACCCTTTCCGTAATCTGCGGGTCCTCTCCCTGTCTTCCTGTGCCTACCTCTCCGAACAGGTCCTAAGCGCCTTCCTAGCCCGTCTACCGCCACTGCTCCAGCGCTTGGACGTTTCACGCCTCGAATCGATCACCTTTGAAGCCTTGTGGAACCTGAGAGTGGTCAACAATGCTGAAGCGCATGACCCATGGCTAGCATCTTCTGCCTCTCCCACCTCTTTGATCGATATCAAGGTGGTCGGGATTGACCATCTCACCCGTTTGGACATCCGACGACTCAAACACCACTGGGAAGCTCAACGGCATGTCTGTGTCCCTCCTGCGCCTGCCCCGGCGACAATTCCACAGGTAGCGTGGAAGGTGCCGAAGACGCCGCCGATGAAAGCGAGACCTCTGAGCCCTCCACCAACTCCCTCACCCCCAGACAATTCACGGAGGATGTCACTCATGGATGCCGCACTTGGTGGCGCCCTAGACGCAAAGCATGTGCCACCGTACGGCCTGCCGACGCCGCCTGACTCTGGATCCTCGTCGGACGAGATGGACATTGACGACATCGACCCGATCGCTCAGCTGACACACATCAACATTGTACACTCTGCTATTCTCGAGTCAGAGGATGTGGATGGGTACAGGCGTTTCATCGGTGAAGTTGCGGGAGGTGTCGTGAGACCAAGTGCCTGGTAAGTAGATCGGGCGGGGATGCATCTTGAGTCGAGCCGGGAGCAAAATTGTGCTATGGCCATATGTTCACATCATCTAAGACCTGCTTGTCCACTTTGGGACGCGGATCGTCGAACAGCATAAAATAGATCAATCTGTCACGGACTCAGACGTCTAGCGGCCAGTCATCGGTTTCTACACTAGCAGCAGCCACAAAGTGGGACAGAAGAAGGCCCCACGGACGAAGCGAACAAGCGGCAAATGACTGCCTCATAAGCCTTTTGCCCTCTATCAAGTACCTCAATGTTCATCAAAACGGGCCAGTAAGGTTAAATCAATTTAGCGGCAAACTGTTCCACCGGTGCAAAGGCCGATAGACATTAAGGTCGAACCTTTGAGATGAGCATCCTTATTAGCTTCATCTTGACCTCGACCCTCCACGACGAGAAAGAGAGTTAAATGAAATGACAGGAAAAAAAATCTCATCCGACAGACCCTGTAGTCCGTTGGACTAGGTTTGAATCCGCTTGTGAGTTCCTGCCACATTGAGCGGTCAAATGGGGGTCAGATGATGACGATCGAACGATGACTCTGGGAGTCCCGATATGTCACATACGGACCACTTTGTCACCTCGTGTCGATCCCTGATCAAATCTTACCAAGTAGCATGACCCCCGTTATGGGATGTGAGTCAGTGGCGGCTTCCGGCGTGATGGGCACCGGAATGGCCGTAGGTTTAATTTAGCCAGTCAAAAGTTCGGTTTAGCCGTCGTGGGTCGTGGTCGTCGTTGGCCTGCCTGCGTGTGGTGGTAGAATGTCCCGTTATAGGCTCTTAACATAGTACGTAGGGCTTACCTAAAGTCTGTCCGAGACATTCTGACCATGCTGCCGTTCGTCCATGCTGGATTGTCTTTTTTTCTCTTAAAGTTTCTGACGCAATCTTGCCTTCCCAAGTAATGTCTTTCGTGGTGTCTCAGGGAAGGGAGGTGGGGAGGGGGGGTGAAGAGCGACATTTTGGTTCAAAAACAATGGAAGCAATTGCAGAGAAAGAGTAGTCATAAGCGCCATGCGCTCGTGTCGTGCCCTTCCCTCCCCTCATCAGGTACCAACGGGCCTTGCGGTCCAGCGCACTAGTACTGCGTGTTCCCTGTATTGCGGCCGCGGGGAGATACAAAATCAGCCCAGGCGCCTGGCTGGCTGGTTCGGACCGAGAAGATCAAACATAGCAAGCAAGCAGTAAGGTGAGGGTGGAGGGGGGCGATGACATGAACTGTGATCATAACCGATTGCACCTTTTTTGAACCGACAAGAAACCTTGCTTTGGTCAGTCTACGCATTTCCCGGTCAAACTGCGTATATGCATGTCTCTCGTCTCATCCCAAGGCTCATCGTCCACTCGGCCGTCACCCTCAATCTCTTTCTGTGTGAGACAATCAACAGATTTTGCCACAAGAAGGGGTTTTGGATCCCAATCATTTCATCTCAATGAGAGTCAATGCATAAACGAGTCGTGTCTTCTTTTGTCAGTTTATACTGTTCTACCATCATCACACTCGACACAATAGCGACTGGGACGTTGCATCTTTGAGGGGATTGTGAGGCATGATACCGGTGAGTCAAGTCGTCTGCCTGCTCTGTCCCTTCCCATCTTCGTGGCTCCCTGCTCCTGGCGATGAAGTTCCAATGTCACTTCCTTCCTTGCTTCACATCGGAGGGATGGTCCAGGGATCCAACATGGATCCAAGGAGGATATTGCCATGTAACCTACCTACCTATCTCCCAGCGTGACTATACGCTCTTTTCCCTCTCTCTCTCTCTCCCGCTGTTCTGGTTTTATCGGGACTCAAGGCACAAAATGTGCTCTATATACTACATATAATCCGATCGAGCCACCCACCCAAAAAAAATATCACTCTCTTTTAAGGTCCTCTTTTTTTTTTGATTTTGGGCTGCTGCACAAACCCCGGGCGAGACGGTTGGATTCGGTATCCCCTAACACCCCCTTCCTCCTCTTTCTTTCGATCCTTCATAACCCGAAGAGCGGGAAACGAGGCGGTCTCGAGGTAACAGCGGATGACGAAACGATCTCTGGCTCTGGCGGGAAGTCGAGATCTTCCCGGAGCACACACGAGAGAGAAAGAGAGGGACCGCTCGGTGGTGGTTCGTGGATGTGATGTTAATTTTTCGATGCGTCCTAGACTCGGGTCTGAACACCTCGATGCTTGATCCTTCATTGTTCAAAATCATAATCTCACCCGGTCATCAACGAAACCCCCCTCCCCTCTCCCACCCCTTCACACCCTCATCAAATCATGTTCTGATCTAATCCTGAACCCTGTTTGTTTCCGACCTCTTCTAGAGGGAGGAGGATCACGAGACTCTGTCGCAATTCCCTTCCCCCCCTTTTCACGCTCGAGGGTCTAGTCGCAGTCGGATTCAGACCTTTGATCGAATGGCAAACGAGGCTCACAAGACGTTCCGGACAAACTGACCATATACATCTCAGAACCTCTAGCGAGACCTTGTAGCCAGGTGGACACTTGGCGACTCCCTCCCTCCTTTGCCCCCGTCATCTCATCTCTACCTTCTAGGTTGGTGCCTCAGCAAAAGTTCCAAGGGGGATCAATCCCCTCCACAACGGCCCGCACAGCGACCTCGTTTCAGTCTCGACCCATCCCTGTCATCTCATTTATAGCGCCAGTACAAGCATCTACACACCTCTCTCGAACACCAACAGTGAGTATCCCTTTCGCATGGCACTCGGACCAATTGTTTCCGAGCCCCTCGCCACACTGTCCTTCCTCGAAGGGCACCTTTGACCAACGGTATTCATTTGGGACGACCTTTTCGAGGGTCATGCTGTCGCCATGCTTCTAAGCGATGATCAATCCATCCCCTTCAGAGACAGGGTGGTGCATGTTCTTATACCTGTCATCCTCGTCATCACCAAACGCTGACTTCTTCCTCAGAAAAGCCCTTCATCATGGACCAGAACCAAGTGCCATCATCTCCACTCCAGCAACACCGTCCGACCTCCTCTCAATCATCCTCCGAGGACCGTCCCAACGACGCCCTCGCCTGCACCACATCTCCTCCTCAATCTTGGTCAGGTCAACCTGCCGCCCCATCCACCTTTGCCCAATGGCAGGGGGAGGCGTCCACTTCCCGTGAACCATCACGATGGGAAGGTCAAGTCGCTATAGAACAGACCATGGAGGATCCTAATCACTGCCCGACGCCTCGACCACCGCTCATCGAGATCCCTAGCATCTCTTCCGCACTCCTCACTTCCAAACCTCTCAATCGAGCTTCTAGCGAACCCCTTGAGACTGCCTTACTCTCTCGCAAGCGCGGACGATCCCTCTCTCTCCCCACCAACCTCACACCACCACTGGTCAAAAAGCACAAATCTGTCCATACCGTGCGCCTCGCTTCTGCTCCGAGCAGTTCAATCATCAAGCCGATACCTTCCTTTGCTCCTCCGCCCAAAATCCCAGTCCAAGTCTTGGTGGCATCTCGACAACCTCCCGTCACCAACTCGTCCCTCAAGTCGCTCGATGCCAAGGAGATTTTACGAAATCCTCAACTCCGACACGATCTTCTTTTCGACTCGCTCGCCTTTCGACCCGTCATGGCGTCTGCGCCCGGGTCCAAGAACTCCAAACGAGCAAACGACGCAAAGACGAGCAGCATCGTTGCTGACATGTACTGGGATAGTATCGAGGCTGAGATCACCACTGGATGCCGATGTGTTCGATGGCAAGTTGACAACCCAAACGAGAAGGATCTCGACGCTTCCGTCATGGACACGAAGCGACGAGAGACTACATGTATATGCGGGAAATTCAGACTCGAGTATACAGAGTCGCAATGGTGGGAAAGTCAGCAAGCTAGGTGGTCTTCTCGGATCCCAGAGCTCGTCAGGAGTGAGCCAAGCCATGACATGCGAATGTAACGCTAATTCTCAGGCCTGCGGGATCTCCTCATCTCTCTCATGGGATCCACGACACCCTGTCCCGACCCCTACGCACACACTCTTACGCAAGAATCGGCTCAAGCTCACGAGCGTTCATGTCCGACCGTCACACACGCTCTTATCCCTGAGCTGTGCGCCGCGCTGGATCCTGAATTTCTGACTATCCAAGCGCGCCGGAGACTCTTCCCCCTGGGCATCTTTTCGATGCTTGGCGAGGCAATGAAGGTGCATTGTGCCCCGATACGTGATGCCATGATCGAAGACATGGTGCAGACGGCAAACAGTGGCAATGCGGCTCAAGCACTGAAAAAGTGCTTTGCCTGTGCGGAAGTGATGAAACTGGTGAGCTGTCTATTGCGAAGACTGCTTACGCTCAGGACATTGCCAATCACCAAGTCCATACACTTAGACCGCATCTGTGGAAAACGGCTGTCAAGGACGAGCTTTCAGCCTTTGCCATCTTTGTCCCCTCCCTGTCAACCTCTGTGACTCGAAAATGGATTCGCGACGCTTCGATGCGAGTTCTCTCATCGACGAGCCCGTCCGAACGATCTGAACTCCTCAAATCACGTTTCGAACTTGTGTCGAGATCTCTTGCCGAAGGGTTCATGGATCTCGTCTTCTCAGACTTCTCCCCCGTGTCATGGCCACCCATCGTGCAGAGTCGGCTGCACGGCGCAGCTAGTGTCCAGCTGGCCGAAGGGACCGAGACGGGTGGCGTGATCCTTCCGGAGTCCTTCAAGATGGACAGTCGGCGGATCAAGAACTTCAATGCCGATGTCATTGACCTGTCCATCCTGCACATTGTTATGGGAACGGCGAAGAAGCTCTGGAAACGTCACCACCCACACGTCAAGGATGCGTCATTCGTTAAGACGGTAAGGGAGGATATCGAGGCTGCCATTATGGAAGGCGGTGGAACCTTGCCGTTGAAGGATGACTCTTTGTCGCTCAACTTTGTGACTCGCGTGTACAAGGGCAACGAATCAGCACCCTCTGTCTACCCTTCCGCCCAGCTCCACGCCATGACGAGGGAGGCACAAGGTATCCACGACTTCCTCCGCACGGCGATCCGACCGGACTCGTCGTCATACAGCACGGCTTCCGACCGTGTCCGCAAGGCGTTAACTTTGATTCTTTCTAACATGTTCGCTGCGGACCAACTTGATCCCACTTCAGCCCACTACGAATCGGATCCTCGGTCTCCTACCCCCTCATATGTGCGTCTGGCCAATCTCTCAATTGCCGATGCAGAACCGGTCCGCTCAAATCCCTCCCTAGTGGCGAGGGAGCTGCATGCGGCGGTCCAGGCGAATCACCGTGAAGCGGAATTCGAGTTGTTGTCTGCATTGGATTTGTTGGATCTCAAGGGGGAGATGACGGAGCTTGCCAAGAATATGAAGCGGATCGCCGGATTTAATCTTCGATGTTTTGCATCCTTGTACGGCGGCAAGGGAATGGTGGTGGGCTGAGCATAATATACACGTTGTACATATCATGTTGTCATGTAGCATCAGGCGCCGCAATCGCAGGAGGACATTATTGCCGTTGGGCCGGAAGTTGTCCGAGCGAGCGGAAATGCCTTTTGGGTTTGAACGTTTCATCGATACCTCAATTCCAATCGACTTGCATCGTATGCTGCTATACTTTGTGCGGCACGGAGAGACTGACGAGTGAGAGTTCTATATTTCTCCGCTAACACCAAAGCAATGCCAATGGGATCATCCAAGGACAAAAGGATACCCCTCTAAACGATCACGGACGCCTCCAGGCTGAGCTGCTCGCTGACCGCTTGGAGAATATCTCATTCGACCAAGCATGGACCTCGGAGCTATCTCGAGCTCGAGAAGTGAGTCCATGGTACACTGATAGAGCCCTGACGTCAGACTGCGGAGATACTCCTCTCTCGACATCCTCATACACCGTTGTACACCCATCCCAAGATAAAAGAACGGTTCTTGGGCAGCATGCAGGGGAAGCAATGGCCAAGAGGTATGAAGCGGCCTGATGACATGGAGCCCGGTGACGAGTGAGCCCTGCCTAGCTGCGTGCTGGGAAACTCATACCTTCAGATTTCAGCGGCGGGTCTGCAGCTGGGTCTTTTCGTTCTTGGACAGCTACGCCAAAGGGAACGATTTTTCAAGCTTGGCTTTGCATGATCCACCGTCGTCTCCCTCACTCATGTCACATGGCGAGCCAAACATTCTCATTGTCAGCCATGGTGCTTGGATAGCGACTCTCCAAAGATCGCTCCCCGCCTTTCCGTTCACCACGTTGCCCGCCGTCGACTTGCGAAGGAGCTGCCGGAACACCAGCATGATGGTTGTCCGCTGCAGGCCGACTCGAAGCCAGGATATGGAGAGGCGTGAATTGGCCTATCAACAGGCCAAGAAGGACTGGAGAGAGCAAAAGGCAAAGTCTTCCACTTTCCCTAGCCTTGGACACCAGCTCAAAGACAAGGCTGAAGCCGTCTTGCATCGTTCCCGCGATCCTGAGCCCTCGTCGTCGATCGCTCCTCAGCCGAGACGAGTCATTGAAATGGGCTGGGAGGGAGAGTTATTGTGCTGGGGAGATGTCAGTCATCTTGCAGAGCTTGATAGGACGCAGGAAGAGGCTAGACGAGTGCAGAAAGACGTCATGGCGCAGGAAGTAGCGGACGACGTGGCAACTTGACACCTGCCGATGACGGTAAGTGGCAATGAACCTCGAGCACCAGACTGAGCGCCTATGACCTCAGCTGAATCGCCCGAAGACTAGTATCCCATAACAAGGGCGCAGGTAGCCCTCAGCATCAAGCTAATTGACGGAAACTAGGATCACGATTTGTCCCACTTCGTTGTTAACACTCGACATCGACCTGAGGATCCTAAAGACTCTCGCTTCCGCTACAAATTACTTGACATGTGCATACCTGTCGCGGCCAAGCTCGGCCTAGCTAAGGCAAAGTCATGCATCGAAGTGTGAGCTCCTACAGCAAAGCTGGCCATCTCAGCGCTCCACTCCCCAGGTCTCGTTGCCCCACCTTTCAGACTCCAGATTGAAGCCTTGCCTTGCAAGGTACTCCATCGCCGCCGATGGGTCATCGACGCTGCTCGATCCACCTGCTTCCGTTTCCGGAGCATACGGCGCAAGAAGGACATCTAAACCGTCTGACTCCGCAGCATCCGTGTTAGCGACCCGTGATGAGGCTCCGCTGTCAAAGCTACCACCGATGCCTCCGAAGAAATGCTCGTCCAAGTCGGGCGCCCTCATATCGGGATTGGCGCTCTCCGAACCTTTGGTCAACTGCAGTTTATCCAACTTGAATTCTAGAGCGTCGATCGTGCCCATCACACTTGAACGATCGTCATCGAAATCTGAAGCACCATCCTCCTCTTCCTCTGGAGGATGCATTGACGTGTCTGGGTCTCTATCTGCATCGCTTATCACGACAGTTGGGCCCGAGGTCGTTACGATTGTTCGCCCATCTTATTTTCGTAGTCTTTTTTTGGGTTTCGCCGTCAAAGGGCGAGCGGGCCGCCCTCCTTGGTGGTTGTTGTCATCTCCATGCTCGTCGTCGACATCCATAAAAGACCGCTTACTCCCTCTCGAGCATTGTGAGAGAGTGTCGGTCGGATTATCGGGAGCGCGCATAGAAGAGGCCGACGTGAGATGCTCGTAGAGTGCTCGAGCGCTTTGGTTCCTTGGTTTCTGATCTCTCCATGTCGTCTTCAGGCTCAAACCGCAATGAGACACAGTGTGATTTGCGTTAGAGGTGTCTTTGTCGACAGGGTACGCCGCCAATCCTCGACCAAGCAGGCGGTGGCAATGAGAATCCTCTGTAGCCTTTTCCAATCCCCAGCGATACACCCCAAATCTCTCTCCCTTCATGCCGATTGGTCATAGGCGGCCGTTGGAAGGTCTGGATCACCACGACAAAGGATGGTGATCTCAGAATCGAGGATAAATGCGCTCGCGAATCGTCCAGGCGAGAGTCGTGAGAGATACGAGCCGAGGACTTTTCTCACTCTGCATAGGATGATGAGTTGGGTCGAATCAGACTGATCAGAAATCAATCATTGCCAATGTCATAGAAACGAGGTGAAGAGCGGGGATCTGCCGGAAGCCAAGCTGCGCCGCTAGAGGCTTAGAAGTCAGCCTCCGGTCAAACTGGGTACGGACCTGTTCCGACCACGACAGAGCTTCAGGTAATCAAGGGTCATTTGCATTCCAGGATCAGCCTATCCTCAATCCGCCGAAAAGCTCTAGCGTTACAGCATCATCGCCTGGTGTGGGGATATATTCAGATTCGTCCGTTACGCTCGCACAAGTTGGCGACTGATAGGCGATTCGTGGAGAGGACGCATTGAAGATTACACAGCTTGCAACGCCGTCGTGATCGCGATCAAGACATAGCGAGTCAATGGTCGATATCATGTCCGTTCCATGCTGATAAGGGCAACCATCACAATTACCATCCATTCGGCAGCCGTCTGGCTCAGAGGATAGCTCTGTATCTTGACTTGCAGAGCGACAACCAATCGTGATCGTAGGATTATTGATGCTGTCTATCGTGTCGACTCGGGTCAGGACACGGTGATAGCCGTCGTGCTGCACATCCGAGTCTAAAGGTATACATGTCGGCGATTCAGGTGGAGGGGTGTGCAACCCACAGTTCGCGAGACGGGGTGAATAGCCCTCAGCCATGTGACGTGTTGTAACGATCGTCAAAGCTCCGTCATTATTGTCCCCGGCCCTGCTTCTCTGGGTGATTTGCCGTTTGGTGACTGGAAACTCTTCTATAATGTCATCCTGGTCAACAATACACCTGCCAATCGAGCGTTTCCTCTTGACAGTGACTGTAGTGGGCTGGTCAAACGTGGGGCTGCGGGATGAGCCTAGGGCCACGGGCAATCCTGTCAAGGTCAGGTCTCCATCTGGCAGATGGTACAGCATCCTCGGAAGTCCTGCACGATCAGTTTCTCGTGGGATAGTCTTGGTGAATTGACAGACAGATACGGGTCATTCGCGGTGACCGACGCCGACGACATCCATGCCAGCTAGGCTATCCTTTCATGCTGAATCTTCATGCCTTACCGGGGACACAAGCGTTTCACCACTCGCAGCATAGGTCCAGATTGTCCAGCTGTTCCCCAGGGTCTATCCATCCTGCCCTCAAGTCTCCGAAAATCGCCTAAAATACAATCGGTTATAGGTTTTGAACCGGCGGCGGCGGCGGTGGATGATCCGGGATTTGAGGGGGGCAAACGTCATATATATATAACAGCTGTACTCTGGTTGTTGTTGTCGTTATAGTAGTAAGGTATTGCATCTCTTGCGAGGATGTCAAGCACAGAGCCGCCAACATCAGGTATGATCCCTTCGAACTCTAGTCAGACACCGGCTCCACAGCCTACAAAGCCAAAGCTCAACGGTGACCCAAAGAAGCTGCCCAAATTGCCAGTCCCGAAATTGGAGGATACATGTAAACGGTATCTGAGGGCCTTGAAGGGATTGCAGGATGAGGAGGAGCATCATAGGACAGAAGTGGCCGTCAACGAGTTTCTGACTCATGGAGAAGGCGAATACTGGCAGAAAAAGCTTCTTGAGTACAACGAAGGCGTCGACAGCTATATTGAGGAATTTTGGTGTGAGTTCAAAGAGCTACCGGTAGGCTGCAAGTACACTGACTTGGGGTGACAGACGAGAGCTATTTGTCGCATGCCGAATCTGTTGTTCTGAGTCTTGTGAGCTGATTCGCCGGCAGCGTGCTCCTGCTGATCCCATTTTCAGAATCCCTTCTTCGTCCTCTCGTGAGTGACGTCGACAACGTTGTCCAACAGGCATTAACATAGGTAGATCCGATGTAACCCCTCGAGTCAACCCACAGCTATCGAGGGCAGCCTCACTCATCTTGTCCTCCCTGTCGTTCATCCATGATCTGCGAAATGGTCTCCTCACACCCGACTCTGTCAGAGGCACCCCTCTGGACATGAGTCAGTATGAGCGATTGTTCGGCGCCTGTCGAGTGCCGACCGATGTGAGCTTGCCCATCGAGACTGCCAGCTGACCAACAGAGAGGCTGTCGCATGGAAGTACACGATGACAGCCGGCACATTGTCGTAATCCGACGAGGGCAGTTTTGTGAGTATTGCCACAAGTATCCTCCTGATAGCTCGCCCCTAGACTGGTTTGACTGCCTCGACTCGCACTATCGACCGCTGCAGAGTGATAAGGAGATCTTCAACAACCTCGAAGCCATCGTACGAGACGCCGACAAGACACCCGTGCTCCAAGTGGCTCAGAACGCCATGGGTCTGCTGACTACGGAATCACGAAAAGTCTGGTCACATTTACGTGAAGAATTGATCAAATCGAACAAGAACAATGCGAATTGCCTCTCGGTGGTCGAGTCGGCCCTGTTCATCGTCTGTCTCGATGATGATGGACCAGAGGATCTGGCGGAATTGTGCGGAAACTTTTTGTGTGGAGGATACAAATTGGATGGTGGCGTGCAGGTAGGAACTTGTGAGTGCCAGCTTTCCCTCTCAATACTGATACCGCAGGCACGAACCGATGGTATGACAAGGTGAGATCTACGCGCCGGCTAGAGATCTGATCTTCAGCTGCAAATCATCGTCTGCGACAACGGTGAGGCAGGCATCAACTTTGAACACACCGGCGTAGACGGACACACCGTACTGCGATACGCCGCGGACGTTTACACGGAGCTGGTCCTCCTTTTTGCAAAGGTGGGCATCCCAGAACTCACTCGGCTCATTTCTAGACTATCAATCCCTCGACACCATCCCTATTCAAAGCAAGATTCTCACCTCTTGCAAGAGCCTCAAAGGCCAAAGCCGAATCGAACGAGGAAGAAGACGTCGACATTTCACCGAAGAAACTGGAATGGCGTCTGACTCCAGAAATCAAAGCTGGCGTCAGATACGCTGAGACAAGGATCTCTGACTTGATCTGTCAGAATGATTCTCAGGCCATGGAGTTTAGAGGTTACGGAGGGACATTCATCAAGCGTCATGGGTTCAGTCCGGACGCTTTTGTTCAAATGGCCTTCCAAGCGGCTTACTATGGTCTCTATGGTAGGTCACACGGTACCGCTTGTCTGACACATCAGGTCGGGTCGAAAGCACTTATGAGCCAGCCATGACCAAGGCGTTCCTCCATGGACGTACGGAGGCTATTCGGACGGTTCAGCCAGAGTCCGTAACCTTTGTCAAGGCAAGTATTTCCATCACGTGCAGTGCCAACGATGTAGACGTTTTGCTCCGAATCCGCGTCGACTCAAGAAAAGGTCAAAACCCTTCGTGATGCTTGCAAGCGACACACGCAGCTCACCAAAGAGTGCTCCCAAGGTCTAGGACAAGATCGGTAGGTCGCCAGCCTTGGGAACCCCCACTGAATATAGTCATCTCTACGCCATGCGATCTCTCATCCAGAAAGAAGCTCAGCGGCAAAGTAACGGCTCGAGTGGAGACAGCCATGCGAATGGCACTTCTGGCGTCAAAGTCCCCGCCATCTTCACCGATCCGGGCTACGGACTTCTCGGAACCAGCGTCCTGTCCACCAGTAATTGTGGTAACCCAGCATTGAGACTCTTCGGTTTCGGGCCAGTCACACCGGAAGGTTATGGTATCGGTAAGTCTGAAAACGGTCCACTTGTTAACTCGTCCAGGTTACATCATCAAGGATGAGGGGATTTCCATTTGCGTCTCATCCAAACACTTGCAAGGCCGTCGATTCCTAGCTACGATACAGGCGTATCTTTTAGAGATCAGAGGCATGTTAGTTCAGCTGTGGAAAGAGGCCAACGAGGCACCGGAAGCCTTTATGGATCACACTGGTATCCTGAGAGATGCTCGGACAGGCAAGCCTATCGAGAGTGTGGACGAGGAGGAGAAGGAGAAGGAAGGGGAGGAGATGAGTAAGTTGCGACTTTTGAATCATTGCTGACTCTTGTGTAGTGGGCGGGTTTGGGTTCTTCGATGTCGGTGCTCAGTCAGTCGCTCCTCAAGCGAGAAGACGGCGGCCTCAAGTTGGTAAGTACCGTGACTCGCCTCGTTGCTGACTGTTCATCAGGCAAAGTCTTGTCGATTGCAGAATATTAAGATGTTTATAAATGTCATCAATGCATCACCTGTGTGCTACTTGCCAAACCCGCTAAAGCTGATTGTGTCAGCTCGAGCTCGAGGGCATGAGACGCACCTGACAAAGCCTGATGGCGCATCTTTTCCTTTTGGCTGATCAGTTGGTGGTGGGTTGAACGAGCCAAACAGCGAAGCGCTCGAGTCCCCCAGTGTCGGGGCCGTACCGCTTGAATGGAGCTTAGGCGCAGACGCGTGACTGCGGCGTGATCCACCGGCACCACCACGTCCACTGTGACCTGATCTGGCGACTGAGGCGGGCACTCCGGCGTCCAAACTGAAGCTGATCCCGCCAAAGCCAGAGAACGAGGGGGCTGCAGGCGGCGGATGATCCACAGAAGAGGTGGCCGCGCTCGGTTCAGCTTTGATTTCTGCCACATATGTTCCTGGTTCAGGTAAGTCATCCATATTAATCGGTCGTCTTCGTCCCTGCAGCTCGTACATATCGATCAGTGGAACCTCCTTGATCCTGTCGAGTATGACGTTCCACTCCGCTCTCGACCTCTCGTCCTGTTTCATTTCTCGCATAATCGCTTCGGGAATGTGATACTCCTGAACATGTAGTGATGGAGTCATGCTGGTGCGCGACCGCCGAGCCAATGGACCAGGCGACGCCTTCTCAGGCGTGTGGAAGCGAGGCGGCGTCGTGAATTTGATTTGCGCGATCCTATCCGCGAGATCATCGACGTTGTCCAGTTGATCCCGGATTGCAAGCTCGACTTTTTGGTATGATCGTCGCAGTTCTCCGAGTGATTCATTCCTGATCATGCCTGTAAGCATAGCACAGACCGACCGGTTATACTCACCTGGCCCTAGCACGATCCTCTGTAGAGGGCCGATCGTGCAGCCTATCCAGCGACTTCCTTAACCTTCTCATCTGCGATTCGATCTCGGAAATGGAGCTTTCGAGCTTTAGAGTGATCGCAGCTTGGTCAGGTGATGGATCACCGGCTTTATTTCTGGCAACGAGGTCGGGATCCTTTCTAGCATCGAGATATCTGTCTACCTGACCGGTTTTCATGTCGCCTGAAGACGGGGTCAGTAACATATCGGAACCGGATGACCCACTCTTGAGCATCTGCGATTGCAATTCTGCCATTTTTTCCGATGCCAATTGGTTCGACTCTGTCCCGTGTCTTAATTGAGCCGAAATGTCGCTGACGATGGCAGGCATATCTTTCAATGAGGTGAAAGGGATCGCCTTGTGTTCTGATATATTAGCCAATGATAGCTTTGCAAAGCCAGGGATGTCGAATTTGGCATGGTAGTCCTTGTTGCTCTGCAACATATCCTTGACGCTATCGATATCGTCCGACATCTCCAGGATCATGCGCTCCAAGACCGCAGACATGGTTTTTTGACCGGTAGACCTGCTCGGAGTCGGCCTTTTGTGAGGAACTCGAGAGGAGATTGTGAACTCCTTCGGAACAGGCGGGGGTGCAGCGGAAGGCAAGGGAGTGGCGATCGTCGCTGTGGATTTACCGAGGTCACCGAAAGAGAACGGTGCAGAAGTTGTCGTGGCGGCGGCGACTGGTTGCGCACCAGGTCGACCAAGACCTAATCCTGATCCTGGTTTCCGCTGATCTACAATGTTGGGAGCAGCCACCGCTGCTGGCGACTCTGGTGGCGTGCTGGTCTCATGTATAGAGGGCACAGAAGGCGGGTTTGTCCCCAGCGGCGAGCTGGTGCGGGCAGCGTGCTTCAAGCCGAAGCTGCCAAGATTCTTCTGATTGGATCCGAACAAAGGTTGGTTAGGCGTTGGGCCAATACGTGAAAATAGGGAATTGGCAGATGAGGCGTCTGCGGATGGTTTCGTGAACCAGGGAGGCGGCGATTTGGGACTCTTGCGAGTCGCAGATTCCTCCTCCGCCTCTTCTTCTGGACCCTCCTCTTCCTCCACGATGGATGGCAAATCGGGCTCGACGGAACTCGAATGACGTCGAAGATGGGTTCCTTGCGCGGCAGCGTCGTCACTGGTCTCACTCCCGCCGTTGCGCGCTACTTCATCGTCTTCGACCTCTTCATCGGCTGGCTCGTCCTCTTCGTCATATTCTTCTTCTTCTTCTTCTTCTTCTTCTTCTTCGTCGTACTCCTCCTCGTCCTCGTCCTCATCTTCGTAATCTACCTCGTCTTCGTCATAGTCGTCCTCGTCGAAGCCTTCTTCATCGGCGTCTTCGTCTGACAGTGCACCGGCGACCCCGTCTTGGTCAGATTTTGCGTCAATAGCATCTGACTTCTCACGGTTCGATAGCGTTCCATCGATGGTCGACACCTCCTCCCGGGGCAGGGCTTCAGAAGTCCCCACGGGCAGTTCGCCTGCAGCTGCCTGCTGAGGAGATGTCGCTGCCTCATCCGAAGATGCTTCGCTTCCACTCTCACTATCACTAGCAAGTCTTGAAGGCCCCGGGACTGCTTTGAGCGAAGGTGTATCTGTCGATTCTGGATTTTTCCGCTCCTCCTTGAGCTTGACGGCAGGTGACTCTGATGTCGACGGACCAAAGATCGACGAAGACGATCTGCCTGTCCCTCCGGACACAGCAAACGCAGACTTTCCACCTGTGGCCGCAGAAGCGAATCCGCCAAAGCCTCCGAAAACAGGCTTGCCGTCATTTTTCTCAGTGGATTTGCTAGCGAATGCTCCGAAACCACCCGTGATCGCGCCGGACGCGGCGGGAGACCCGAATGCGCTCTGAGTCGAGGCTGATTGTTGTCCAACCGCAGTCGGCATGGATGGTTTGCCGAAGGCAGACTGGCCGAAGGCTGGGCCAGCGGACGGCACGGAGGGCTTTCCAAATGCAGACTGACCGAAGGCTGAGCCAGTAGATGGCGCTGATGGCTTGCCTAAGGACGAGGTGCCAAAAGCAGAGGGCGGAGCAGAGGCGGGACCCGAAGAGGATGAGCTGCTGAAGGCATTCACTGCCCCTGTAGACTTTGTCTGAGCCCCGAAGGCGCCAAAACCAGACGATGTTGCACCAGCGAACGCCGTGGCAGGCTTAATGAATGAAGAAGTGGGAGCAGCCGAAGCAAGGACAGCGGGACGGTCAGTTGTATCCTGTGGAGACGCTGGAGGAGAATCGTCATCTTCTAAGCCCGGAGGCTTTCCACTCTGTCCCTTTGGCGAAGACGGTGGTGAATCTGCCAGCCCCGGCACAGAAGTATTGGTCGACAAAGCTGAAGCGAACCCGCCGAATCCGAAGTCATCCTCGACCGGCTCAGGTTTGGGGCTGAGGGAAGAGGTCGTCGGCGAGCGCACAGGCGAGACTGGGAGTGGCGGCGATGGGTCAGACTTGACTACTGGCTCAGGCTCAGGCGTTGGCTCAGATTTCGTGACTGTCCCGGACCTGGTAGGTTGTCCTGGGTCCTGATGCCCACCAAAGACAGCAGGAGCAGGCGTCGTAAATGGGGAAGGCCCAGACCCGAACGCGCCAGCCGACCCAAAAGCACTTGCACTACTACCACCCCCGAAAGGTGACGCCTGAGGAGTGCTTGAGACGCCGGAACTGCCAGCGTGGTCAGAAGGCTTTGCTCCGAAACCAAAAACAGTGCCAGACTTCGAATTGCTGAATGCACCAAAGCCCAGCGAGCTAGACGAAGACGGTATCGCTCCGAATGCTGAACCGCTGGATCCAGAGCTCTGACCGAAAGCCGATTGTCCAAACGGATTCGGTTTGCCAGATTGCCCAAAGGTTGATTGACCAAAAGTCGAGCTCGGGCCTAGGGATGCGGATTGACCAAATGAGGACGATCCGAAAGCAGCAGGCGACGAGCCTGTCTGAGGAGACTGAGTAGTCGCTGGCTTGCCAAATGAGGAGGATCCGAAAGCTGAAGGCGATGAGGACGATGGGCCGGAGGCTTGCCCAAATGCTGAGGTTGAGGCTACAGGACCAAAGGCAGACTTCCCAAATGCAGATGTCGATAAAGCAGCCTGGCCAAAAGCAGAGGAGCTTGGCGAAGGGCTCGTTGTCTGCCCAAAAGCAGACGGGACCGAGTCAGAGTGAGGCGCAGAGGCGGAGAATGGAGACGATCCAAAGGCAGGCTTCGGAGCTTGACCAAAAGCAGACTGTCCAAATGCAGAGGAGGACGAGATAGGTCCAAATGCCGGAGAGGCATTAGACGATGTTTGCCCAAAAGTAGATTGACCAAAAGTAGGTCGCACAGATCCATCAGATGAGCCTGCTAATGCAGTTTGACCAAAAGCGGAAGAGGTTGTCTTTGCCGGCGTACCCGAAGGAGTGGTTGATTGGCCAAAAGCTGACTGACCGAATGCCGGTTGGCCAAAAGCCGTTGCAGGTGATTTGGCAGGTGTCGTCGAAGACGCGGAGACGAAGGCAGACTGACCGAAGGTTGAAGACGATGATCCCGTCGGCGTTGTCGATGTTGCAAAAGCGCCGAATCCAGATTGACCAAAAGCCTGGACAGGTGGTGGTTTGGCGGGCGTACCTGACGGAGTGGTTGTCTGTCCGAAAGCTGAAGATCCAAACTGCGAGAATGGTGAGGAAGCTTTCGTAGACTGGTCAGAAGCTGAGGTGCCGGTTGGTACCCCGTCGGACTGGCTTGTGGAACCAAATGCCGAGCCGAACGAGGACGCACCGAACCCACTCAGGCCTGAGGCTTCCGGGAGTTCAGGGTTTTCTGCAAGTGCATCAAGTGTATCGATACCTGTGTCCATCGTGGTATCGGGCGTCTCTGATGTACGAGTTTGACTCGGGAGCTGCGAGGGCTTGAGCATCCCGGGATAAGAGCCAGCGGATTCGTATTGTACATTGAATGACACAATGAAGCCCTCTTGACTATACGCGATGACCCTTGGCGGAGGCGGCAATTCAGGCAGCTCGATTCCACCTTGTATGCCCCTGATTATCGGTTTTGACGTGGTCAAATCCAGGGCCAAGCCGAGAACAGACGTATCGTCTCGGCCGGCTTTAGCAGCAGGCATAACACCTCGAGAGGTTTCATCCAAAATCAACAATTCCCACTGCGGTGGTTCAGAGGGTTGTTCGGAGTCTCGACCTCGCATGACTCCTATCTCCGAGGCGAGACCAGAGATCATAAAGGCCAAGTGCTTCGTGTCACTTCCCCAAGCTTTGAGACTGGCAAAATGGCGATATAAGCTTGAACGGCCTTGTAAGCCGAGCACATCGTTCGGATCGAAGAATTTGGTGAAGAAGAAAGTGGATCGTTGCCGATGTATGATGTATATGTCCAATGGATCATCCAGTTGTCCAGAGGGGTTGGCATAGCCAACAAAGAAAAGGTCGTTCTCGAGCCACTGTATGAAGACCGCCTGAAAGCCTTCTTCTAGTTCAGGTGGCGGAGGAATCTCGGCCTTTGGAGTGCCATCTGGAGTGTACTGGACCAGCCTGGCCTCTGAGGTTCCAACGACGATCTGCTTGCCTTTCGCGGACCAGCTTGCAGCGGAGAAGGGGCCATTTATGGGTGAAGCTTGTCGACAAGTCTCGAGGTTTCCAAAGATTAGCGAATTTGAGGACAAGAATGCGACGTGATGTGACAATTCTTCATTGGAAGGGGCAGGGTTGGGCAGAATGTCCAGGAGGTGATTTGGCAGGCCATCGCTGAAAGTATGATATGGAGTAGTCTAGTGAGAGTCAGCGATGTCACAAAGGTCTGCTCACATTGCCGCCAACAATGTCCGACAGCCGAAACATCTGCACTCCTCTACCTTCGAGTCCCACGATCAGGCGTTCCTCTCGCATCGCAAGTCTGAATAAAGTCAATACGCGATCCTTCCCTCGAGGCATCCCACCTGATCCATATGGGTCGAGAAGGTAATGGCACGGTATAAGCTGGAGTCGACGTTGGGGAAGCATCTTTAGGCGTATCTTCAAGCAGTTTGTGTACATCTGACAAACGATGTATCCGTATATCTGAGGCATCAGCAAAAGCTCTCGTACATTGCTGCTCACCTGTATTCGACCCGACAATCAACAAATCATATAAATTTGAGATCGCCATCAGGTTGCATTCCTGGGGTAGACTGCCAACATCAACCTTGTCTGATACTCTGACATAAACATCGTGATTCGTCTTGACAAGTCGAAGCCACTGAAGTGGGGTTCAGGATAACACTCCTGCTTCTTTGGCGGAACTCACATCGGCGTCCACTTCGTCCCCGTCCATTCGTCGTCTGCTTGGTCCAGCTTCAGCATTCTGGTCCATGTCCAGAGCACCAAAGGAGTTGCTGTCCAGCATCCTGGAACGTTGGTCGTCCAGCCAATCAGTCGAGACCCTTGAAGGCTATCTCAAGCGAGTCACGCTAGACGACAGGGAGCAAGTCGTACCATGATCGTAGCAAAAGTTACCATAATAAATAATCCTTGCAAGCTGCTGTCGCGGTGTCGGTAGACACCGCAGGACAGATCTCCCACGCTCGTCCGTTCCTTCGATAAGCTCTGGTGTCTTTGCCACGTCATTGTTTCACCTCCTTTTTTGATTTTGAAACACGCGCGCGACGGTGTTGTTGGCGGAATTAAAATAATAAAAAGCAGCTCGCAAGGGGGACAGCCCCCTTTCAACATCTAATCCATCCCATTGTCAAAGCTCTCCCTCTTTGCACGAGAGTCTCACTCGACGAAGATTTCGGCTGGAAAGTGGAGCAGGAGAAGGACCCATCGTGGACAAGAGCTGCCATCTGCTAGCCAGCACCGATTTCCACACGAGTATTCCAGGATGGACGAGAAATCTGGCGTTCCCGCACAAGGGAGTTCAAACTCTGAGCGTAGAATGTCGTCACGCTATCTGAAACTGGAGAGACTTCCCACATTACAAGAAGTCCTCGATAGACGTACGAGAGCTCCATTGGACCTCTTTTGCTTCTACGTGAGTGTTCAAGGCACAGACTTGTCACTCTACCGATGCCTCCGCTAAACATTATCATGTTGACATGTTTGACTGATGGGGCCAACTGTAGATATTCCTCCAACGCGAATCCGCAGAAGACGCGTTGGACTTCTGGCTAGACGTGCAGCAACATGAGAACATGTGCAAGGCGTACTTCAAGGTGGGTCGAAGTGCCAGAGATCCATAAAGTCCAAGGCACTGATAACTTGTAGGATCTCCGACGATCCGGGCGATCCGTTCAGGACGATTGGCCAGAATTCGCGACATACGCTCGAACCAATGGGTCTCATTTCTCTCCAATGTTGTCTCTGGCACCTGGCGCTTCGGACGACGATGCTCACTTCAGTTCAACTAGTAGCGGTCTTCCCCGCAAGTCATCTGAACTCATGGTGCCAGTCTCACCTCGTCCTCTATCACCGACTTCTCCCGCTATGCGAGAACGACGCGATACAGAGTCGCACGGACCGGATCCACGGTCCAGCCAATTGAGTGCGGCAGAAGAGATCGGTATAGGGCGACCTCCAATAAAAGATAGACCCGGTCATACGGGCGGAGCACCGAGTCGACAACCCTCTAGATGGGCCAGAGGAAGTCGAATCCCTACGGTCATTCAGAGGGAGAGGGCGATTGAAAAGGCTGCTTTGGTGGAGTCTGCCGAGAGAATCTACCTTAGGTATCTCTTGCCTGGAGCAGAGAGGGAGATCTATCTGCCGTGAGTTATGGGTAGCTCTGCTGAATGCTGATGACGGTAGACCCTCGCTGCGTTTGAACAACTTTCCCATCTCCTCGAAAGAAGCCTCTCCTCTCATTCCAGACCTGTTCCACAATCAGAAAGTGTACATTTTCCGCGCATTAGAGCAAGACGCGTTCCCTCGGTTCCTTCGAGCCAAGGCATTCGGCAACTTGACTCCTCTTGGATGCTTCGCGAGACTGGTCGCGGGTCTCTTCTTCCTTTGGGGAGGCTTCGTCATTGGCTTTTCGCTCATCTTCCTGGACCACGAGCCGAGACTGGATCGCCTTTGGGTGAGCAAGTCATGCTCTGAATGCTACGCAAATTCTGATCCTGCACTCAGATCATCTTGCCATTCTTCCTCGCCACAAATCTCCTGTTCTCTGCATTCTACTCTCTCTCGCCACTACTTGCCCTCTTACAACAATCAGAAACAACGCCCTTCCGACTCATCACGGTTCGCGAGTCATATGTTCGCAAATTGCTCTTCATGCGAGCTTTGTGGATCGAAGCGGTCTGTATCGTCGTCACGGCAGTCTTGACGGTGATCTTTGCGGTGGTCCCTGGTCATCGCCTGTAGAAGGCGATTGCGCTTCTCGGGTTCTGTGCAGCGTTGTTGGGAGGATTTCTTTTTTACTTTTAATCTAACGGAGGGCGTCTTGTCCAGACGCGACGATCTATCATCGCACACGTAATGTGACTTGTGCAATACATCCTACATGTGTATATGTCGAATACGGGATTTTGGACATGAAACAATACATCTACATCTGTGTCGTGGCGGCCAATCTGGAGCAGGCGGATCATCTAACCCTAGTATGGCCTGGCTCTCTGTTGACCTTGAGTCGAATATCGCTGGGCTCCTGGACCTTGAGCGCCCTGGCCTTGACCACCGGCTGCTCCGCCCGTTGGCGTCGTCCCGCCTCCTCCGGTCTGACCTTGACCATTTCGCATCGCGGCTGGACCACGAGGAGCATTCGGGATTGGTCGACCGTTGTTGCCCATTGGCTGTTGATCGATTGAGCAGGAAATCCCTGCTGAAGAAGCTGTACAACTCACCCTGTTCATCATTTGACCGTTGAATCCCTGTCCCCCCATCATATTCATACCTCCACCCATACCGTTCATGCCCATTCCGCCCATGTTGTTCATGCCCATTCCCATCATATTGTTCATGCCCATTCCACCCATGCCCATATTATTGCGCATCATGTTAGCCGCCATGTTAGGATTGATGGCGGGTGCGTTGCCCATTCCTCCCATGTCTGTAGTCGCGTTAGTCGAGCTCTACACGCGAGCCCACTCTTCATCATGTTCTGATACATCATAGCCATCGCATTGGGATCAAAGCTCCCTCCCATGCCCATGTTACCTGATCCAATCAGTCTCTAAAAGGTACATTATCTCTCACCCATCGCCGACCCTTTGACCATATTCTGGTACATCATAGCCATGGCCATCGGATCGAAACCACCGCCTCCAGCATTCATGCCCCCGCCCATATTACCTCCACCGTTGAAACCTCCCATGTTCCCACCGCCTTGGAATCGGTTATTGGTGGAGAATTTGCCAGGCAAGTTGCCAGATCCCCGAGGTTGAGCCTTCTTAATTTCGATCTGGGAGCGACAGTCAGATCAATCTCCGGACAGAAGTTTTCCCGTACAGGCTTGCCCTCCAGTTCGATGCCGCTCGCAGCCATAGCTACACCAACGGCTTCTTCATCTGCGAATGTGGCGAACGCAAATCCCTTGGATCTATCTGTCTCGCGGTCGTACATGACAGTCGCATCCATGACTGTACCGAATTGTCCCAAGAATGCTTTCAGAGACTCTGAAGTGACAGAGGCAGCGAGACCGCCGACGAAAACTTTGGCCGTTCGTTCATGCTCCGCACGAGGTATCGCTCGCTTGGGATCAATCTAGACGGGAGAATGAGCTGGTACCCTGATGCCTGAACGCACCTGCTTGCCATCGAGGTGGTGTGTCATGCCCATGACCTGGTTCACGCTAGATGGGTCCTTGTAAGTCAAAAACGCGAATCCTCTCGATCGACCGGTGGGATCGCGCATGATGGTACAGGCTTCAACTTCTCCATATTGACTCATGTACTCTTTGAGTCCGTCTGCGCTCCAGACATCAGCATGGCCTATAAGCCAACCTGTCTACTGACCGTCCGTGGTTTCCCAGTTCAGACCTCCAATGAACATTTTGCTGTGCGTGTGGCATCGATCCAATCGAGGGTACAGGGGATACAAGGGCGTTCCAAGGGGAGGAGTCACAAAGTGGTAAGACACGGATAAACGTCAAGTCAACCGAAATCGGTGTAGGGCAAAAGTAGGGACAACAAGGTACATTGCAATATCAGTATAAGCCCATTCGTACAGCCTACCACAACGATAGGAAAAGGATAAGAGGGGGAAGATGACTAGTCTCTTTGACCTAGTTACTTGGTCTTGCCTACGCTGCTGCTGGTATAGTTGAGAGCTAGGGTACGTGTATGGCCAGACTTGATAGTGATTATGGTAGATAGAAGAAATGTGAATGAAATTGTTTACTGACCCCTCATCAGGCGCATCATTAGATTTGATCCTATCCGTATCACTGCCGCTTCCTCCCATACCTTGACCCATGTTGAACGCAGGACCAGAGCTTGGTCCGGCCCCTCCTCCAGTCTGATAATTCTGACCGGCCGGTACGGCGGCGGGAACTGCAGTAGACGCCAACTGAGACGAGGTCGGCTTGTTATCTTGTACGTCTGTCTTGACGTCGATCTTGTTCTCATTTGATGTCTGTCCTTGATGTATCTCCGCATCGGGATCTACAAGTTCTTCCGTATCGAGATCGTCGACGAGATCTTAACAGAGGCGGGATCAGCAGGGTGATTGTGTTTTGGGCTGAAGTCGCCGACTCACCGCCGTACAGGTCATCATCGTAGTTGTTGTCCGACATGATGGAGATGTGGGAGCTACAGTCAGCGAGATATACGGTTTGATCTGTCTGTTGATGCTTGTTGTGTGCTCGATCTAGGTTGGAAGAGGTGTATGAGAGAGAGAGAGAGACAAGCACAAAGAGCTACAGGCCCCAGTGATCAGCCAAGGCGGGGAAGGTGGCAGCTCTCGGCGTTATCTCTTCATGTGGCACTTTGGTTTTTCTGAACACGTCTTGGTCACTCGACACCCCTCACTCATCACGCTTCTGCAGGAAGGGGGGGAATTTTTCGCTGCCATTGCTGGAATTCAACGTTTTTGAATACATCATCCCCATCCTCATCTGATCTCATTCTCATCTCTCTCAACATAGACCTTGATTGGTCTCTGATCTCATCTGGTCCGTGTCTCACTGCCGTGCGCGCGCCTACTTTCAGCTTTCACTGTTCGCAAGGGGGGCTCCGAGAAATTTACAACGTTTTCAAGTGAGTCCCTAGGTCCATTTATCCAAAAATCTCTCCCTTTCGACGGTTTGAGTTGGACTGATCCTTTTCCCCGTTGTTCAGAGCTGTAGACGTAGCGTCTAGTTGACTCAAGTCATCCCACGCCAAAGCCTCCTTCCACTCGCGCCAACATCATGGCTACCGTTCAAGAGCTGTCGACCAAGTATGGTTCTCAGCTAAAACAGCTAAAGGCAATCTTCCCGACATGGGATCAAGGCGACTTGGCATTCACTCTGCAAGATGCAAAAGGAAACGTCGACGAAGCAGCCATGATGATCACAGAGGGTGAGTAAATCAGACCGTTTAGCACACTGTCTCGTTGCTGATATTGCTTCCCTTGACCTTCTCATCAGGCCGTGCATCTCAGTTTACCGAAGCGACTCGGAAAAAGCCAGTCAAGCCAACTCCACAAGCTTCACGAGGTGGTAGCAAAGGATTCTCCAACCGAAATGCGGATTCAGGAGGCTTTGAGAGTGTCAATGGTGAAAATGCTGGAGATTCGAGGGGCGGACGAGGTGGAAGAGGGGGTAGGGGTGGACGAGGTGGTGCCAGGGGAGGTCGCGGAGGTGGTAAGTCTTACCCGTCCGCCCGCCCGTGTCCCAGTCTCACCTTTGCTGCAGAGCCCTTCCGTGGTGGTGGTCGAGGCGGTCGTGGTGGACTTCGGGGAGTTCGAGGCGGATTTGCCAATGGACATTCCCAACGAGATTCGGCCATCGGACCCACCAGCACCGCCACTACGACAGAGGGATGGGCAAGTCAAGTAGAGCAATCGTCCAGCGACGCTGTGAACGATGAGACTGCTTGGTCTACAGCAGCTGACGCCGCAAGTACCATCAAGGTAGAAGTGGACTCTAGAATCGGAGAAGGAACCACCCCGCCTGCAGAGCTATCCAAGGCCGATGATTTCTCAGCCGCTGGAGGATTCGGCGATGCCCCGGCCGCCAAGGAGATTGAAACAGCTTCAAAGATTGCTCAATCGAGTTCAGCCTCAAAGCCGAAGTTGACCTGGGCCCAGATCGCCAAGTGAGTGGAAACGTCTATCGCCTGCTGACGTTTGTCTAGACCTCAAGAAAAGCCCAAGCCAATCCCTCCGCCAGCTCCTCCCAAGCAAGACACTCCTAAATTGCCTGAGCCAGTATTGGAGGAACCCACCGAGCCAATTGAAGCCCTCGGAGATGCACCCGCACAGTCTGAAATTGAAGAACAAGCCGCTGCCGCTCTCGAACCACCTTCAGAGCCCGCCGCCGATGTAGAGGAGCCAATCGAGGAGGATGCCTGGACGCAAGACCCGGCTATCGCTGGATCAGGCGCACAACCAGACTGGACGCAAGCCTCCGAATCTGCCGCTCCGCTGGCTCCTGAGCCAGTGACGACCTACACCGGACCCCCAGGGTTCAACACTGTCGCTGCTGGAACCGCTGCCAAGAGCTCCGCTGCTGTCGCGGCAGCAGCGTCTCAACCACGAACGAGCTCCCGAGCCGGAAGGTACAAGAATGCTGATGGTCAAGGCGTCGTTTTGCCAGCTTCGGCCAGCGGTATGTCATCGATGGAAATGCAATTTGGAAGTTTGAGTTTCGGAACTCAAGCCGGAGATGGTGTCGAGGCACCCGTCCAACAGGAGACTCCCGCTCAGGCTGCTCCTGTCCCTGCTGCTGCCCAATCCTTGGCATCTCCTCCTCGTCAACAACAGCCTGCTCAGACAGCTGCTCAACCTCAAGCTCACCAGTCTCCTGTCGCTCATACAAGCCAACCTTACTACTCTCAACAACAAAGTCAACAACAACAGCAACAACCACAACAACAGCCCTCTTCCCTCCCTCCCGTCGGTCAACAATCTCAAGCTCCGGCTCAAACTCAAACATCTCACCAGCAACCATCCTACCAATCTCCTCATCAGACTCTGCAACAACAAATGACCGCATACTCGCAATTCAGTCAACCTCCTTCTGCCGACCAACAGTCCAACTACTACCGTGGGGGCCAGCAAGATGCCTACTCAGGCTATCAATCTCATCATAGCCAGCACCAACAGCAGCAGCTTCAAGCCGCCGAAAGCCATGCTCAGAGCGCTCCTGCTCAACAATCTCAACACGACCATTACGATGGACACGCTGCTTCGCACTACGGCCAGCAACAACAGAGTCAGCACCAGAGCACCGATCAATTCGGTGCGCACAGAGTGAGCCGTAACCCCTTCTGCATGACCATAATCTAACGTATCTCAGTATGACTCGTACGGCTCGACCGGCTACGGTAGACCCGAAGAGCCAAAGCACAATGCAACAGCTCCTACTCACACTCCCTCGGCACCAGGTCAATCTCAACAAGGCTTGCCCCACCAGCAAAGCCAGTACTACTCGGTCAACAACATGGGCTACTACCAAGCTGCTCCATACAACCCATACTATCAATGTAAGTCGTACACACAGGGAGAGACCCCATTTGCTGATGATCGGCCAGATGGACAAGGACCTCAACCTGGTTTTCAGCAGTACTACCCATTGGCAAGCCGAGGATTGTACAACCAGCCTACACCTGGTGCCCCTCCAGCTCCTATCCATCAGCAAAGCAAGCCGTCCCCTGCGCCTGGTCAATCCCCTTACGGTGGACCTGCTCCCTCATACCCCTCCACTTCTAGCTACGACGATCAATCGAGTCACGGTGTAGGCTCTGGTCGATATGGCGAATCCAAAACTCAGAGCAGTCAGCTCGGCACACCCGGTTCCTACCAATCCCAAGCCGGTCTTCACTCGTACTTGGGCATCAACAACTCCTCCTCTGGTCTCTCATCAGGAGGATCGAGACCCGGCACCGCTGCGGAAGAGTACAAGTCAAGCGGTGTGAACGCTCCGGGCGCTCTTAGACCTGGTCAAGGAGGCCAAGGTCAAGTCAATCAACAACAACCACAACAGGCAAGCCAACAGCCTCAGCAACAACAGCCTCAGCAACCTCAGCAGCAACAACAACAGCAGCAACAGCAGCAGCAGCACGCCGCTTACAACAATTATGGGTACGGTGCTGGCGCTTACGGCAACCAAGACTGGAGCCAATACGGTCAACAGCAACAGCCCCAACAACAGCAGCAGCAGCAGCACTACAGCTCCAGGAATGGCTACTCTCACTGGCAGCAGTGAGCGAGTATGCCTGTTGCGCGGGTATCTTGAAGGTTGATTGGAGGGGAAGACAGATGGTGCGGGGCGTGTGTAGAAAAAGGCCCTTTCGAAAAGGAGAGAATCTCGTCGCAGGTTCGGCTGGCATCTGGAATTTTTGATTAAGAAGAAAAGTAAACGTGTTTGTCCTCCAAAGAGACAGCAGTAACAGTAGCTGCTTTTTCTCTCACTGCTCTTATTTCATGTTACATGAACCTGCATTCTCATGAATGGCAAGATCTGACGCTCAATGGTACACTGTTGAAGGTTTTGATGCATCTCTAACAAGTCATCTATGAAGGATGCGTTTTTTGCTTTTTGTTCTTTGGATTGATTTGTCAGCGGAAGAATCGGCTTCCACTCCCACTCGATGGTTTTAGACCACCTGGACTTTTGGGAACTCGAGCTTAGGTCCGATCTGTCCACAGCACATTTGACCGAGCTTGTGTCCGATTTCAATCGCCTCGTCGAGATCCTTTCCGAGCGCCAAAGCACCCATGAATCCGCCTGCAAACATGTCTCCGGCACCGTTGGTGTCAATGATCTTTGAAGACTCAAGTTCGGGCACAGGGTAGGTCTTTGGGTTCTCATCTGTGGTTTTGAGGTTCGACGAGCTGGAAGAAGGAGAAGATGAAGCGACGAGTGTCGAGTCGGCACCTTGGGTGATGACTACCAATCTGGGTCGAGAAGCGTTGGATTTGGAAAAGCTGGCAAGGGTAGACGCGATCTGATGGAGCGAGGCACTCTTGAGAGACAGGCCGAAAGGTCAGTAAAGCTTGCTTTTATAGCTTATGATCCATCTCGGATTGTTTTTGGAGGAGGAGGAGGAGGACAACTACTCACTCCCATTCCAGCGGCCTCACCGTAAGCCGCAGCTTCACTCTCATTGCCGATGAGGATATCGACGTGGGGCAGGACTTCCTCAAGTTGCATCTTGAAGAATTGAGGGATGAACGGTGCGCTCAAGTTGAGCAATACAGTCTTTCCACGGCTCGAGGCCCCTTTTGCAACTTCAAGAGCGCTAGCACTTCCGTGCGTGAGGAAATAGCCTTCAATGTAAAAGTATTTCGCCCCGCTGAGCAGTTGAGTCACTTCAGGAGAAGCCAAATGAGAAGGCGTGAACATTTCAGCGGCTCGCAATGTCGTACAGAGGGATCTGTCGTGGTTTGAAAGAATGACGGCACAGGCTCCGGTCTCCGCTGGAGAAGGTTGCACTTGATATGCTGAAATGACGGATTCAGCTTCGTTGGCCGCCTTGAGCTGTTTCATCAAGTCGTCGTCTCCGACTGATCCAATGTACGCAACCGATTGAGCGGGAAGGACGTACTAATGGCTCAGGCGTCAGCAAAAAAAGCTTCCATTTATCAATCAATCATTCATTAAGTCAAGCAAGCTCTACACTCACGGCAGCGGATCGAGCAGCGTTCTGGGCGGCACCTCCAGCCACGTAAGTCACCTCACAGTTCTTAACAATGTCATCGTAGCTGAGTCGCGCTACGTCAGATCGTCCCACTGTCACCATCAGATGCAACCCACATTGGCATCTGCTTCGCCTCTGCGAGAATCGCATCGTTGGCTTTCAGACCGTATTTCTCCAAGTAGGTGGGTCCGTGCTTGGGGTCGACTTGAATGTCGAGCTAGAGGCGAGTGTGAGCGATATGCCGTCATGACAGTGCTGATTGTACTGACCAAGGGGTTGCCCAAGCAGACGACGAGAGGTGCTTCAGAGCTCATCGTGGATGTATAGGTCAAATGATAATGATGATGATGATGATGGTATCAAACGTGGACGTTGACAGGAGAAAAAAAAAAGGCAACCCTAATGACTGAGAAACTTGCGCCTATCCGTATCATGTCGGATAGGCAGATGCTTGCTTGTCGAGCTTGGGATTAATGCACTGTTGCCCGCCCTCGTCTGTCTATAGAAACCCATATGAACTATCTCTGTACCGCATATAAAACAGATTATGATCCTCTTCGTCACGCTCAAACGTTCCAACCTAACCCACACGTCCATGTTCATCCACCAAATCACCATCCACACTGGCTTTTTCGACATTTCTCAACATGCTACCTTTTCTCGGTGTCCCAGTTGACGTGGTGGTCAATCCAGTATTAGGCGGTGAAGAAGCCACATCATCGGCTGACAACCTCGTCGAAGCGGTTCCTGCACGTTTACGTGACAAGACGGATCCAGCACGTTCTCTGATCTTTGAAAATCCGAATGGATTAGAATGGCCAGATTCGGGTATGTCGTGGTTGGAAGATGCAGGGAACAAGCGAGATCGGAACTTTTGACGATGAGCTGAATGCTCTGATAACCTCGATTGCATTCGTTGCATCTGTGACCCCGTCAGCGTGCGCAAAGGGTTGATCGACTCACCGCCACACCCCTCTCCTCGGTTGTGAAATCGAAACCACGACTCGGTGCTTGACTCAGACCAGTTGACACTGGTCCGTCAGCATAGGAGCTCCTCACAGTCGCACTCACTATCGACTTGGGAACCCCTCGCGCTCGAATGCACCCCGAATCTCGAGCTCGCCATCGACGGTCTTCCCTGATAACTCGGTCTTGGACCGCCATTCTCCCGTTGACTTTCCACGCTATTTCGATTCGCCTCGATATCCATCATGGGTATCACATTCTCATGAGCAGCTCCTCCATGCAGCATGTCTTCCATGTCCAGTGTTTTACCCTGTTCGGCTTTGAGCTTGCCACCAAGGAGAGGGTGAGACTCGAAGTCGATATCAGGGTTGAATTTTCTGACCAAACGCAAAATTTCGATATCGTTAGGCGTGACCAGTTGCGAGTAAGCTTTGAACAGGTATCGAGGAAGGAGGGCCACGATGAGAACGAATGGCCATCCGAACCAAAATGCAGCGGATCTAAAGAGGTAGATGTCGTTTCCATAGACAGCAGTGTAGAAGGAGGATGGTGGAATGATCGAATAAATGGCGGTGAAGACCCAGATGAGGAACGGTCCGAGAAGGATACCAAACAATGCCCACCAGTTCCAAGAGTAGAGATTCAGACCCGAGAACAGGTTGGCAATCATGACGGCTCCAATGACCATGGTCGTTGACATTTCGTAAATGTATGGATTCCAACCATCCCCTCTCGCGGATGTGGTGACATAGGTGTAGTCGAGGAAAAAGTAAATGACAGCGGATTGGTACACTCCCTCCATGAGGTAGTAGACAAATCGCCACATGCCAAAGTACGTTTGTTCTCTCCCAAATCTGTACAGTTCCGGGATGGCCATCAAGATGTCCGCGTCAATGTTCTTGTCAAAGAGACCGATGGCGATGACGGGCAACAATGTCCAGAAGACGTTCCAAAACAGCAAGTAGACATAGGCAAAGACGTAGGTCGTTGACCATTCACAGTAGATCATGAACCAGAACAAGACGCCGATACCGATAATGTTCTTGTAGAAAAAGTTGAGAATCATGCTAGAGTTTCGGAAGTAGGACCAATGACCGTGCACCAAGAGCAGACGCTTGAGGAATCGGAATTGAGCAATGGCATAGTCTGAACTGTTGACAGCTTGCAAACCCTCCTCTCCAGAGATACCGACACCGACATCGGCAGCCTGAATCATCGAGACATCATTGGCCCCGTCTCCGATGGCCAGACACATGACTCCGAGGTTGTCCTTGACGAGATGGACGACTTGAGCTTTCTGTAAGGGTGAGACTCGGCAACAGATGACAGTGTTGCATTGTGTGGACAAAGCCAGCAAGAGATCCGAAGTCTCTTGGTCATCGAAAGCGTGGGCCAATGCGTGACCTTCGATGACAAGGGAAAATCCTCCTGGCCGCGTGCCGTTATCGTGACCGACCAAAGATCGTACACCAGTATTTATTCGGTCCAATTGAGGCGGAGCAGCCGTGTCGTAGTGCTCCGCTTCTCGTCTGGAAGCGTGACGTGACAGATTGTCCCCAAAGAAGCCATCCAAGGCATCACGAAGCTGGTCTTGAATCGGTCTTGCGCCTTCTCGAACGATGATCAAGTTGGTCTCTGTTGTCAACAAGTGTGTCGTGTAGCCGATCGCTACAGCCGTCTCCAATTTATCTCCGGTCAACACCCAGACCTTCATCCCGGCTCGCTTGAGATCGCTGATGGCCTCTGGAACTCCGTCTTGCAGCTTGTCTTCGATAGCCGTCGCCCCGAGGAGGATCAAATCTTGCTCGATACTGTTGGAAACGTTCTCGATCAACTCTTCACGACCTTGAAGAGCGACGGTAGCCTCGTGATACTCTTTTGCCCATCTGTCATAGACTTTTTGATCCAAGACCTTGTAAGCTAAACATAGAGTTCGTAGACCTTCCGATGCAAATTGCTGAAGGTCCTTGTCTGTTTTTTGCCTCAACTCTCTTTGTGACTCGTCCTTTGTCAGACGCTCAAAAATGACATTATCGGCACCTTTGCAGAGCAAGAAGATCCTGCCCTCATCGTCCATCTTGCGAAGGATCACAGACATGCGCTTCCGGGTCGAATTGAACTCGAGCACGTGAAGCAGCTCGTACTCGTCTGGGTGGTCGGAAAACGGTGTGGATAGTCGGACGATATTGTGATCCCTTCCTCGGAAGACAAAGCCGACGTCCGCTGCACTCTGTACCAATGCCGCCTCATCTGGACTTTGCGCCTTGTATTCAATGACTCCTGGTTCAGGCTCCGCCGCGAGAACGGTGTGACATAGCCCGAGGACCGCGAAAAAGCCGTGGAGGATCCGGGATTGTTCCGAATCGTGGTCTGCGAGATCCTTCTCCAGTTCGGCGTCGTGGAATGGCTGCAAGACTTCTTTCGGGAGCGCCACTTTGATCTCGTCGGGATCATTACGAGTCGGTGCTGGAGCTTCAGACGAGTCGTCCGAGGTATTTGAAGGGATCTCCTTGTGCTCCTTGCCGTTGGTCAGGGTACCAGAAGGGACTTCGCCATCGCCAACGTAGACTTTACCACCGATAGAGCATTGTCGGAATATCATCGCGTTCTGGGTCAATGTGCCTGGCGTGTCAGCTCATATCTGTACTTCGCTCGCTTACCAGTCTTGTCCGAGAAAATGTACTGGATCTGTCCGAGATCATCCGACAACGTCCAACTCCTGGCATTTGTCCTCCTTTTGACTCCATCCTTGATCTGACAGATCAGAGGATCCCAGTAGATGAATAAGGCTTGGGAGGTACGGACCACTTCGATGGAAATGTAGAGGGAGATGGGGACGATATTCTGGAAAGTGATGAAAGCGTTGAAGAAGGTGAACAGTCCGTTGATATTCGGATTGTCTTCCTTGGTGTCCGCATACAGCTCCCAATATGCACCCTCCTGATACCATCTCACTTCGGCATAGTGGTCGACAATAGCACAAACCAAACCAATGACGGCAAGGATGGCCAAGTTGAGCAAAACCTGAGGGTTCATCTGTTTTTCCACTCGACTCCGCTTGGATGGAGTTCCTCCCGAGTTGGCGATAATCTTGGTGTCCGCTCCGGTAAAGACGATGATACCCACGACCCAAGCTGTGTTTCGCAGCACGCAACCACGCAACAATGTGCTCTCTAGGGTGATCGGGTGGATGGCCGGTTCTCCATCGTTCCCCATTTCATCCAGTGTGACGACAGCGCCATTCAATCTGAACATGTTGACTTCCGGCTTGTCCATGTCTATCCTAATGCGAGTCTTGGCGCAGTCTGCAGCTGAGACCATGTGGCTCAGCCCAGGTACACCATTCCGTGATTTGAGATTGGTCTCTCCATCGAGGTTCTTCGTCTCGATGTAAGCGACATCCTCTTCCTCAGAGGTGGAACAGATGACCAGGTCTAATGGATCAGCGGATGGTTACATGTCCCCCAACTCACCCGCTGGGAATTGCTCATTCTCATAAATCTTGACAATGTCGCCCACTTTGACGTCCTCCCACGCCACACGATGCCAACCCAGTTCATCTGCTCCTTCCATAGCGTCGGGATCATCCAACCACCTGTTGATCTGACTCCGGGTACCGGTCTGTCCGTGTGGAGCAGGCTCTGGCGGCTCGGCCTCTTGATTCGCTCGATAATTTTTGAGGATATCCGTGGTGTCCTTTGCACCTTCCCTCGCCTTTTTGCTCTTCCTCGAAGGGATTGGTATACGAGGGACAAATGTCTTTTCCTTGCCTTGCATGTGATTCTTATTCTCATGCCCTGGTCCCTGGAGTACATGCACGATCGAGTTGTTGACATGTCGATCGGCTTGATGTCGCTTGACATCCTCGTAGCCATCCTTGCCGGCTGTGATGGCCAAGACGACCAACAAAGGTAAGATGACTAGACCTGGCGAGATGGTGGAGAATTTTGGAAAGAATTGCAGGATGGCAATACCAAGGAAGAAGACGTTGGCCACTCGTCTGAACTGTTCGAGCAAGTTTCGAGGAAGAAACGTGATGATGGTGTACTTAGAAGTGATGTTTTGATTTGTGGGGTACTTGTGTTCCTTTAATATTCTGCCCTTGCGATCGAACATGCCTTGAGGTAGAGGTTCATTGTGATAGACTGATCTGGCTGTCGTGGATCCAGGACGATTCCCCCATATCTTTGAAAGGTTGAACGAGGTCAAGGATGATGTTGTCCGGGTCCACCATCCCGTTTGTTTCTTTTGCCGTCTCTTGACCTTGGCCACGAGAGGTTGGTGACTCGTCGACGAGGACGACATGGCCGAGAGGGGGAAGGAGGCTGTGCCCCTGATCTGTTGGAACGAATCAAGAGATAGGTAGGCCGGTCGACCAGAGATGGTAATGATGCACCTAGAACAACATGATGAGTCAGGTCTCGCTTCTCCGTGTCAGGTGTGTGTGTCTCGGCCACAGGGGAAGTGAGAGGGAGCGGGAAAGTGGGTATTATGTCTGTGACCCTTGACTGTATAGGGGATCGGTGAGATGATGATCACCAAACCAGACCCGGATTCACCAAACCGACAGTTGAGTGAGAGCTAATGTTGGAGGAGGCAAAAAGACAGAATATAATATAATGGAGGCGGGCGGGAAAGGGCGGGCCAAGGCGAAAGTAGCAGTAGCGGGCGGGGGGGAAATCTAAGACGACGAAGGCCGAGCTAATATAATAAAATGGTGAAAACTCACCTCGAAAAAAGCGACCGGACAGGCACTGGTCACCAACTCTCACAACATGACAGCTGGCCTCGCAGTTTGGGGAAATCCAGCGAGTGGGGGGGGGACAGTATCTGAAGACAGTGTCCGTGATTTGACCCAGGTATGCCAGCCAGTTGACAAGATGAATGATCAATCCCCCTATGGGCGTTTTGTTATCCTCTCTCTCTCTCTCCCAGTGTCTCTCTCTCTGCCCGCCGGCCGAAGCCCTGACTGACTTTTTGATTATTATGTAATATTGAAAAAAAACCACACACAAACACACACATACAACGGCAGGAGACCGAAAGAAAAATCGCGCCGAGATCTTGTTATGCGGCGTATCTCATGTCATGGATCAGATCGCTCGCCGTTGCAGCTAGCTAACTCACTTCACTCACTCACTGACTGATGGACGAAGATGCACTGCTCAGACGGTTCAACGCGTTAAGAGCACCGAGTCATGTTCTCTTGGACATCGAGGGCACAGGTGGGGAACGTTCAGCTGGGGAACATGACGCGGAGACCATAGCTGCTGCAGCTGCGGCGGCTGAAAGGGAAGACCGATGGCTTGAGGATATAGCAGACGGGAAGCCGGCCATCGCTCAGAAGAGGGGAGGTGATCTTCCCTCATCCTTATTGTCTGGATCTGAGGACGATCATAGAGAACTGGAGCGGCGTGTGAGGGCTTTAACGGGGCGTCGTCGTCAGAGCAGCGACCACATGTCTGATCATGCAGATGAAGAGGTACGTGAAGCGTTTGGTTTTTTCTTTGGCTTCATAAAATGACAACCTGTTGACCACCACTCCAGGTCGAAGCGTACCTTGCGAATCTCGCTTCAACAGATCCACCAGAAGGGGACTTTAGCGATCCATTAGCTGATCGAGGATCCTCATCTGCAACGAAATCTGTACTGGCCAGAGATGCCCGACGGGCACTGGACGCTGCGTCGGCCGTTCTGCCACGGGACGGTCAAGCGGGTGAGGAGGAGGTTGCGAACGACGACGGAGAGACGGAGGAAGAGATCTTGGCCAGGGCTTTGGCGGAAGCAGCCCTTGAAAAGGACCAATTGCCATCGGACGACCCACACGAGACTATATCCAACACCTCATTCGCATTCCCCTCCCTTCCCAGTCATATCCCTGTAGATGAAGATCCGGAGCCAGGACCCGAAGTGAACATCGACGACGATACACGCAAGCGTATGGATTTGCTCCTCGGACTCTCTGGACCGGCACAGAAACCTGGTCAAGCGAGTCTACCAGCCGTCCCGAAACGTGCACCTGGGCAAGGTTGGAATCTGCCGGGGTACAATGATGCTAGGGATGACGATCTCGAAAGCTGGTGCTGTGAGTGACTGTCCACATGCCTGACAAGGGCGCTAAACAAAGTTAGGTATATGTAACAAAGACGCGGAACTCGTCTGTTTGGGCTGCGACAGTGATCTCTATTGTGCGGCGTGCTGGACCGATGGGCACGCGTTTGAGAAGCACAGGACGAAAAAGTTCACCTGGAACCGCAAGGCAATGGGCGTGTAGGGTGACAGTTGTTTTCAAAAGAACATCAGACGAGTGGGAATCAGTACAGCATGCTCATCGTATACCATCCGTCGTTGTAAAATAGTGTCATTCATCCCACAAATGTCTCCAGCTGTAAATGGTCATCACAGCTTCTTGGGCTTCTTCGCTGTTCAGGCATCAGCGATGCCATCTCACTACGAACGCCATGGACACTCACCTCCATACTTTGATCTCGATCTCTGCCGGTTGGCGACCCCGCTTAAATCCTCAGCACCACGAACAATCTTGTACTGAACTCCTGGTAAATCCTTGGTTCGCCCACCACGTATGAGGACCACACTGTGTTCTTGTAAATTATGTCCTTCACCCGGAATATAGCACGTCGTCATGTATCCGTTTGAGAGCTTTACACGAGCGACTTTACGAACGGCAGAATTCGGTTTCTTGGGTTTGGCAGTGAAGACTCGAGAACAGACTCCCTTTTTCTGAGGACACGATTGAAGGAGTGGTGAACCTTTTTCCTTCGTTTTGGGTCTACGACCACCTTTTAATACTGGAAGGGGATAGTTTCAGCTCTCGATGACCCAGGCCATGCATAAGAGAACTCGATAGCTCACCTTGACGGAAAGTCATAGAGGATGGATTTGAGGAGGAAAATGATCGAATCGTCGTAAGGGAGGAGCAGGCCACTGAGCGGAGTGGGGACCGATAAGCCAAGCGAGATGGACCGACCATCATTCTGGAGAAGGAAGCAGACAGGCTCATGATGCTCCGAGAGGGGTTCATGTTGGGCAGACAGCGGCAGTACAGAGCTTAGGGGCCGTCTTTCACAGTGTCGAAATCAAGAAAGGACATCAGACTGATAAGGGGAATCTAAGGCCACGTCATGGTGGAGGTCTTGAAGATTTTTCAGATTTCTTTCAGACCAACCGTTCTGGCCAAGTCTTTGTACTGCTTGACGCTTTGAGCCAGTACTCTCAGCAACGCTTTCAGCTCAACTCATCCAGCATCATGTCCTCAGTCGCTGGTCTTCAGTCCATCGCGCCGGTGCCTACGGCATCGGACTTCATCGATGTGGTCCTAAACATGACCATGAGGAAAACGCCAACGGTCATTCACAAAAATGTGAGTAGTGCGAGGGCGAGCAAAGATCGTTGGGCACAGGGACTGATGAAGCATAGTTTAAGATCTCTCGTATCAGGAAATGTGAGGAAAACTTCTCATTCGTCGATCCGAATGGCTACTGATCCTCTCCCAGTCTATATGCGCAAGGTGAAATACACCCAAGACACGTTTGACGAGAAACTTGGCCGTATCATTTCAGAGTTCCCCATCCTTGATGTGAGTCGTCGGCTTGGGGATTCTCTCATCTGGGGAAATAGCTAACTCCCTGCGCTTAGAACCTCCATCCGTTCCTCGCGTCGCTGCTTAATGTCCTGTACGACAAAAACCACTACAAACTCGCGCTCGGACAGCTCAACACTGCTCGACATCTCATCTCTCAAGTATCCAAAGATTATGTCCGATTACTCAAATTTGGAGACTCGCTCTATCGATGCAAGCAGCTCAAAAAGGCTGCTTTGGGTCGAATGGCAACCATCATGAAGAGGCAAAAGGAGCCTTTGGCATACCTTGAACAGGTTCGTCAACATATCTCCCGACTCCCCGCCATCGATCCGAATACTCGGACACTCTTGATCTGTGGATATCCCAACGTAGGAAAGAGTAGTTTCGTCAACAAGATCACCCGAGCAGATGTGGATGTCCAACCTGTGAGTCAATTGCGTGGTAGGACAGAACTGATGGCAGTACGCCTTCACCACCAAATCACTGTTCGTCGGACATATGGACTACAAATACCTCCGATGGCAGGTCATTGACACGCCCGGAGTACTAGACCACCCATTAGAGGAGATGAACACGATCGAGATGCAATCGATCACTGCGCTGGCTCATTTGCGCAGTGCCATATTGTACTTTATGGATCTGAGTGAGCAATGTGGATACACGATCGAGGCTCAGGTGGGTCAACCATCTTCGCCAAGACTCATGTTGTGCTAACTCGCTTCTCCAGAGCAAGCTCTTTCATTCTATCAAACCCCTGTTCCTCAACAAACCAGTCATTCTCGTGATCAACAAGATTGACATTGTCCGCATGTCCGAGCTGTCACCCGAGAACCGAGCTTTTGTGGATACCATTCTGGCAGACAAATCAGTCATCTCTGTTGAGGCTTCCTGTTACTCTGAAGAAGGCGTCATGAACGTCAGAAATGTCGCTTGTGAAGCCTTGTTGGCGGCTCGTGTCGAACAAAAGCTCAAAGGATCGAGGATCAACGCAGTGGCGAACAAGATTCACGTGGCGATGCCAGTCAAGCGAGACGATGTGGAGAGGAAACCATTTATCCCAGATGCGGTCAAGGACCGCAAAAAGTACGACAAGAATGATCCAGATAGGCGAATGTTGGAGCGAGATGAAGAGCAGGCATTGGATGGGATTGATATTTTCAGAGCGGACCACAGGAGTGAGCGCGACGAATGAGCTGTGACGACCTTTTTCGAGGCTGACGTCTTGCTCGCCAGAGGGTTACATTCTCGCGGATGATGCTTGGAAATACGACATTATGCCGGAATTCCACAATGGCAAAAACGTTGCCGACTTTATCGACCCTGACATTGAGGAGAAACTCGAGGCGTTAGAACGAGAAGAAGAGGCGTTGGAAGCTCAGGGTTTTTATGCTTCGGATGACGAGGATGAAATGGTGAGATATTGTTTTGTGTCATTCAGGGGACGAACGCTGCTGACATCATTCCAGCTCGACTCTGACGAGGAAGAGTTCAGAGATGCTGCAGAACAGATCCGAAAGAAGAAGGCCTCTATCAAGAAGATTTCTCAAGAGAAGAACACTCTTCAGAATCGACCTATCATTCCACGAAAGAAGAAGGCAGTCTCACTGGAAGAATTCACCAATGGGATGCGTAAAGTCGGTCATGATCCTAGCAAATTGGAGAAACGAGCCAAGCGATTGATGGAACAACACAAACAAGCTATGAAAGCTGCCAAAGCTGCTCATGCGGTCGAGGACGATGAAAACGATGTGGATATGGATGGAGATCTCGATATGGAATCATCTGCGGGTGCTGGTGCTGGTGCTGGTGCTGGTACACGTTCAACCGCCGTGGCTTCTCGTGAACCCAGATCAGCGAGACATCTCGCCGGTATGGCGACTCAAGCTCAAGCGGATAAAGCTACCGAATTGCGTAAATTCGCTCAACGAGAACCTGCCAGGTTGGCAAAGGCGAGTGAGAGTGATCGACACGTTCCGATCACCAGGCCTAAATGGATGCTGGCGGGAAAGCGAAAGGGTGGAAAAACCCAGAGGAGATGAGCGTGGTGGGGGGGCTCAAAGGCTGTGTTGGTTGTTCGTCATGTACTCTATGCTCTTTGCTACGATTTGATACTTTCCCGGCATGTACCATCACCATCTTCTGTTATGACTGCTGCCGCCACAGAATGCCAAGCTCGCTTAAAGCCTCGGAACCTGAAATTTTTTTAGAGGGCTGCTGCTATGACGCACATCAGAAACAGCCCACGATCATCCTCGATTCCAACAAAAAAGAGAAGGGAAATGAAGAATGCCGAACGAACCCTTTGCCATCTTCTCTACTCGTCGGCACACGATCTCGACGAATCACATTCTCTGCTGACAGCTGAGGAGACTATCCCGCTGATCGAAGCACAATCCGGTCCACTCGACGTCAGAATTGAGCGGTCGCTCCCTTTCGCCATGATCTCCCAATCATCCCTGGCAACCCTATGTCTTTTAGCATTGGTCCACGCATTACCCTCTCAACGCCCGTTCGAAGCATCCAATAGCAAGATTGTGAATGAGATCGAGCCATTAAAGCGTGAGCATAAATCTCGTACCGGCCAGCCGCCTTGCTCTCGCTCATGCTCCCCCCTCTCTTCTAGACTTGTCCGCCATCTCTCCGTTCTACGTGCCTACCTCTGAGCCCGATCCGTTGCCTCAAGGATGTTCGCTCGAAACTGTTTCCGTGCTCATACGACATAGCGCCATTCTAGGGAACGATGAAGAGTACGAGCAGACCATGGGACCCTTCATCGAGAAGTTGGCAAAGTTTGACAAGGAAAAATTGCCCAGGCTTGGTGAATGGAGCTTTTTGAGAGACTGGAAAAGCCCGTTGAAAGAGGATGAATTGGATGAGTTGAGTGAGAGAGGAAAGAGGGATTCCAAGGTGGGCTTCCAGCGTCGTTTTCATGTGTCTGTCGAGCTGACACACTCACCTATCCAGTTCCTAGGGAAATACTTTAGGAAACAGTATGGATCCTTGTTCCCTGATCCAAAGAAACATAAGGGGAAGGGAAAGCCGAGCTACAAGGTAAGTTCCAGGGCTCGATACGCTGCGAGCTCTAGTTGACATAAGTTAAGGTCTGGACAGCATCGTCTCAACGAGATATCGATTCTGCGCGATCATACATCCTCGGCTCGTTCCCTGCGCATCAATCGGGGGGAAAGGGAGAAGGTGATGGTGACGTCGTCCAATTGATCAAAGTCCCCAACAAGGCCAAGGACTGGGATAGATCGTTGACCCCTCACGTGCGTCTTCGCTCCACCTGAGCCGGCAAGCGCTTACATTTCGATCAGAAGGCATGCGATACGTTTGAGAAGCAGAGTTCGCTCAAGCCTGCCAATCAATGGCTCAAGGTTTATGCAAAGGGAATCAAGGAAAGGCTCCACAGCGAGATTCCTCATTTCGCCAGAGAGCTTTCCGATCAGGACATCCTGGCCATGCAGATGGTAGGTAACCAACAATGAGTCGGCTGACGCCTGCAGCTATGCGGCTACGAATCCATAGCGACTGGTTCTTCCCCCTTCTGCCACGTTTTCACCGACTCTGAATGGCGAGATGTGGAATACTACTTTGACATCCGATGGTACCATGCCATTGGATACGGCAGCCATCTATCACCGTACCTCGGCCTACCCTGGGTCAAAACGGCCGCACATCTGCTAGAGGGTAAGGATGCAGACGATTCCGGGCACGAGTCCGTCATGTTCAATGGGGGCTCGTGGATGCTGTCAAAATCAAAATTGCCTGGACCTAGACTGCCTCCCAATGCCACTCATTCTCAATTGTAAGCTTCAAGCCCATGTCGCACTCGCTTACGCAACTTCAGACTCCACCCCTCTTTTACGCATCGAGAATCTCCGGCGTTCGTAGCTGTGTTCTTGAACCTCTACAACTCGAGCTCTCTCGCTCATCCCGCTTCCGAGCCCCTGCCTCTCGATCACCGAGTCGACGATCGGGCTTGGCGATCATCCCACCTCATCTCGTTCTTGGGTCACGTCGCATTGGAGCGTTTCAAGTGTACGGGAACAGAAGATACCAAGCCGCACGGCTTGCTCGAGGAGGACTATCTCATACGGCCTGGATCCCCCTCGCATAGCTTTGTCCGAGCTGTCGTCAACGGTAAAGCCGAAACCATGACGGGATGTGAGGATGGTCCAGAGGGTTCTTGTCGATGGAAGACGTTTAGAAAGTTTGTAGATGATCGAGTGGAAAGATGGGGAGATTGGGAGAGTGTATGTGATAAGAAGTGAAGTGAGCCAGTGAGTGAATGACCTGGTAGCTCGTAGTGCGAATGTATAATGATACGAAGATCTGCCACATTGCACGGTGAAATATTGAAGCATATGACCTTGTGCCTGGTGCCTGATGAAAAGGTAGTTGTTCCCCCCAGGTTGTAGTAAATGACGTCGGCGAATTCGAATTTGTACGTGTTCCCAACAATTCTTCAATGTCTACGCCATCCACCGATTGAGTCTGTCTAGCTGGACTGAGCGGGGATCCAGTGCTTTTTCTTGAGCAGCACATCATGGCAAGTCTTGTGCTTCCCGCTCATGAGTCTAGCTGACCATCCTCCTCGCAGTCTGCAGGCACAGCGACCCTTGCTAAACAGCTTCGGCAGACACAGTCCGCTCCTAATCAAAGGACGACACCTGGACGAGATGTCAAGATTCACATGGCGCTGCCAACCGCTTCGGCCATGCTGCTAGGTCTGGCATTACGTGGAGGGGGATGGGTCGTACGTTGGACAAGCTCAGGTGCCGCCATCTTGAGCATCATGATCTTGTTTGGGTCTGCCAACGGGTACCGTGTCTTGCCCTTTGTCCCTTTGTACGCTTTACTCGCTACATTCAACTTGGCCTACTCGATCGCAGCTACCTCTTGGATCCTCTGGTGGCTTTTTGCCATCATGTGCTATCCTACCATCTTGGTCGTCTCGGTTCTCCAGTTTGATTTCATGGCGACTTTCTTGAGGAGATCACTCCGATTCGTTCTCAAAGAGCTATCGTTCGTCAAAGACATGGTGGCTTTATTCAACGTACCGGGCCTAGCGATAGATGTGGACGTAGTCGGTCTCATGGCCATTCGAGGCTTGACATTACAGTTGTCCAGTCTGACAGTCATCGCTCATGATGTCGAAGTGGGGATCAAACTCACAGACGAATTGGAAATTTCCATCGTGACGGATCGAGTGGAAATTCACCTACTACGAGACATCATCATCGGAGACTGTTATGCCAACGTCAAAGAAGGTACAGAGAGAAGCCTTCACAAAGTCCTAGATGAAAAAGCTGTCCGACCTCATCTACATCGAAATGCCTCGGACGCCACGGAAGAGGTGCTCAAACCGATCCGACAGATGAAAGCCCTATCACCCGAAGACTCTCACGCCGACGAGTTCCAAAAGATGATCGATTGGATCGAAGAAACGGGCATGATTGAACAGTCTCGTCGGGCCGTTCTAGCATCTGTGGAGGTACGCGCGAGATCCAACGACGAAGATCTGGTCAATGTTGACAAGATCAAGGAACTTCGCGCGGCCATATGTTCAAAAATGCAAGCGGGTCAAACCGTTCCTCATCCACCTTCGACGTCGATCAAAGTCAGTACGCTGAAACAGATGATGCCGCCTAAAATCGAACACTATCTCATGCGAATGCCTCTGTTGCTTCGACTCTTACTCAACCCTATCGCTTATCTCCATCCTGTCAAAGTGTCTTCCATCACTGCTGCAGGATCCGGTCGACATATCGCCAAAATGCTCGATCAATTCGTCTTCAAGGGGCGTACGGGAGAGGACGGAGAATTGGGCAGACTGTACAAACGGATCAACGAGTGGTTGTGCGACGCCAATTTCATCGTGGAACTCGTCGATATCTCTGGTCTCGCCTCGGTCCCCATCATCACATCTTACGATATCATGGCGTTGCTTCAAGTTGAGGACATTGTCGCTTCCCGCATGATTGACAAGAAGGAAGAATCTGAACAAGTGTGTAGGTTCGGAGGCGGCGATGCGTCCTTCCTCGTCCCTTCCTATCTCTTACCTCACCATCAACATTTACTTCCTCGGAAAGCCACGCGGGCCCAGGAGGCCGACCTTATCCGAGCTGTGGATACGGCCGACGACAAGCTCGACAAGGTCATCGCTGAAGGAGCCCTGGAGCAAGCGGAAAACGACGAGACCAACGTCAAGATGAGTGCACATATAAGTCTACCTGTGGCTTTCTCTCAAGACGTTTTGGACTTTATCGCCGCACTCGTCAAGGCTAGTAAGCTGGTCGAGATGGAGTCCGAGATGGAAGGTGTCCACGGTCTGAAAGTCATCTCGAAAGGTCTGAAAGAGAGTATCAAAAAGACCACGGTGGAGAGTATCGTTAATGATTCTTGGATCGCTAAAATGGTAGGCAAGATTACCAAAAAATTGGAAGAGGCCAAGGGGGATATAGGCTACAGTGGAAATATCCCGGTTCAATTGAAAAAGTACAGGTTACCGGATAACGATCCATTGATGAAGAAGATCTTGCCTTAGGACAGAGAGGCCTAGTATAGATAGGGTATGGAATGTCCTTGTTGGGGGTTTGGAGACTACTGTATGCATGTACTTACGCTTTGATAGGTGACGTCAAAACGGGTGAGCCCGGGTGGGAAAGGTTCAGATTCCCCTCTCCGCCCTTTTTATTCTAGGGTAATGTTGGCTTCCGATGCTATGAGCGCGCGCGATCTCTTGAGTCTTGGCGCAGAGCTATATCTGGGATCCGAAGTTGGCAGCAAGAGAAGCAGAGCGCATGACCAGTGTGGCGTCTACAGCAGATCTCGGGTGAGAGCTTAAAAAGGTTCGACAAACGGTTTCTTTTCGGGGGTGGTGGTGGAGCGTCTCCAGTATTAGGCTGATTGAATGTGTGCGGATTGGGAAGTGAGCGACTGAGGGGTGGATGGGATGTGTCGAGCTGAGACAACGTTGAGCTGATCATGCCTCCTGCATGAGTCATCAAGAAGAGCACATCCCGCCTTGAGCCACCACAGCCCTTTTGCCCACCGATCATTTTCCATCGGAGATGTGCGATAGCTGGGATTGCGTAATATACACGTCTCTCTCTCTCCACCGCCACCGAAGTCTGGACCATGGGCCCAAAAAAAATACACCGCTATGCTCCCAGGAAGAAGGAGGCAAATGCACTGCAAAACCTACTAACGGGCGGTGGCAGAAAGGGGAATGTTGGCGAAATGGGCATTCAAGCCATGAATGCGGTGACTGGCATGGCATGGCATGGCGCTCTCGGGAGAGTGAGAGAGAGATGTGATGAGTCACCGAAGTATAGGTGCTATTAGACTATAATAATAATCATTGCCCTTCCATCTCTTCGATCCATCGATCGTCTTGGAGGAGGAGGCTGCTGACATCTTATACGGCGACAATAGCTATAACAAAAGCGACAGACTGGGGGGCGGATCGAGAAGCTGAAACGCCAGGGCCAAAGAAGAATTATTAATCTTTTTAAAGGGGAAAAGAAATTTATTCTTATTATTCTATCCACCCAAAAGAAAGAAAAAGGCTATACAGAGGAACAGCAGCAGCAGCAGCAGCAGCACAGGATAACCAAGCTAAGCTGGCATCAAGCAGCGGCAGCAGCAGCAGCAGCGGCAGCGGCCGGCCAGCCAGCCAAACCCAGCGACCCTTCATCTCCATCAATCATCCATCACCCAACCAACCAATCGATCATATCAACAATGGATAGAAGTATATCAATAGACCATGGCGGCATCGGAAAGATGGTGAGCTTTTTTCCCATCTCATGTGGGTCAAACGCGCGGGGGATTCGTGCCGCCGCCTGCGGCTGCTTGCTGTGCCGAAACACGAGAGGGAGGGGGGGGGGGGGGGTTTCTAGCTACCAGTCTCCTGGAACTGTCAACTGTAGCGAGACAGACAGACAACGGGGGCGATGATGACACTGCATTGTGATCTGTCGCCGTTCTCGTCTTCGTCGTCGTGAACGACCAAAAGTCTATTGTCGCGTCGAAACGTGAACAGGAAGGACTTTGGTTGGCCCTTTTTCTTCTCTTTCTGAGCGAAACGATTGAAAGGGGGCCGCAAAGGGGTTCGAGATACCAGAAAAAAAAAGAGGAAGGCCAGTCGCTCGCCTCAGACGTCCAAGGAGACAAAGAGGTCGTCAACGACGAGTGCTTCTTGGAGACTTTGGACAGAAAGTGGTCTTCGTGTATATATATATCTCCATACACTCGCCAGCAACCTCCCCCATCCCTCTATTTTCGCACTGCATCTTTGATAGATTTTCAGTGTGTGTCCTCTGATCCCTCGCACGGACCCAGCGACGAACACAAAGATCCCAATCGGCTGACACCTCTGTTCCTCCCCTCCGCCACGCACACACACAGTCGTCGTGATGCTGTCTGTACCGTCTCACATTGCCTCACCCATCCTTCACCATCGTCACCAGAGTGCTGGACCACTCTCACCTGTACGATTATTCCATTCTGCCACTGTTACAGCAACTGCAACTGGGACCAAGCGACATTATCATCATCACCTAGACGATAAAGCGAGCCAAGCGCGCTTGGAAACGCACTATCGACCAGCCAAGAGACCTCGTTTCAGCCCAATCATCACCACCAAAGGCGTATCTGGACAACGGAGTGAGGGATCAGCGACGACCGTTTCTACTACGTCGCTGCTGCTGCCTTTGGACGGTCCCCCGACGTCTCCTGGACAATCACAACGATCATCAGTATTACCCCTTGAACGCAAGGACCCACAATCCAGCAAGATGTCCACACTACCTTCCACCTTCTCATCGTCACCTTTCCCTGTACCACCACGTTCACCCCTAACGTCTCGTCCTCGACCTACACTCGACACTGCTTTGGAAATCATTGACCAGCCCGTCAAGGTCACGCGGTCTCCGGAATCCGTCTCGTCGAGTCCCATTGATTCCGAGATGCCTCCTTCGGCTTCACCTCGAAAATCCCATTCATCCCCTTCGCAACACCTTCCACCATTCTTGACCATGAAGCGATCAAATCCAAAGCGGCTCTCACTCTCGCTCTTCGTCCCTCCCACTACATCCCCCGTATCTTCCCTCGGTGACATGTCTGTCCATTCTACCGAAACCACGCCTTTCACGCCAGGCCCACCAAAAACACCGGCACTTGCCATGTCCACCATGACCCTAGGTCGAGCGACCAAGTCATCAAAGTCTGGTCGACCGTCATTGCTTAGCTTGATCACACGTGAAGAATTGGCGGGTAGCGATAACCTGCCAACCCCTGGTGGTGTCAGACCTCTTGTATCGAGACCAAAGAGGACACGAGCGCAGAGCGATACGACGGGCAACGTGATCCCCACGCCTGCTGGATTCAGATCTGCTCAACCCACACTCCTCTCCTTCCCCGTCATCAATGAGTTGGACTCTGGCTCACTTACCGATGCCACGGCCTACTTTACATCCACCGACCAATCCTCATCTCCAGGTTCATCATCCTTGTCCTCGCTTGGCTGTTCATCCTCCACTGCCTCGTCCTCTTCCTCCCCACCCCTGTGTCTCGACTCTTTCGCACCGATCGACAGGTTTCCTATGCGATCAAACGAGCCTTATGCCGATGGTCCGGTTGAAATCCTCCCTGGCATCTTTCTCGGTTCTGAAGAATCGACATATGACCTTTCTTGGGCCAGACATAGTCGTCGAGTCAGAATTTTGAATGTCGCTTTGGAGATAGACGATCCCTTTGTCGGATCACACAGTCTCAAGGGAAAGGAGAAGCAAGGTGACAAGTGGCGTCTCGCTTCCTATAATCGGGAGGACGGTCTTGACATTGATTATTGTCACCTGTCCTGGTCGCATGGAGAAGAAAGACTGGCAGAAATGCCTGCATGCGCCATGCTTGACGACTTGTTGAGGGATGACGCTGAGGAGCATGACATCGCCTCTTGGACTTTTTGGCACGCCATTCGATGGATTGAATCCGCTCGAAGGAATGATATCCCTGTCCTGATACAGTGAGTCATCTACACTAGGCTGTGCTGACTTTTCAGCTGTCAATGTGGCGTATCTCGATCTGCAACGCTCACCATCGCCTACCTCATGACGCTCGCCGCTGCTGGGCTACTACCACAATCGCTCGGACACCTCAAATGTATGCAAGATGTATACGATATGGTCAAGACCAAATCACCTTCCATAGGACCTAATGTCCAGTGAGTGTCTATTGTACCTCCCGTAGGACAGTTCGATCGCTGACTGGATCTAGACTTGTATTCCAGCTCGTCGAGTATGGACGTAACCTCACCACTCTCCTATCAGCGCACTATGCACAGAGCGACCCGCGCCCCATCGCTACCTCGTTCCCGACAGCCGAAGACGTCGCCATGTCTGAAGCTGAATGGGCTAGAAAACGGAGAGAATTTGAAGATTCCGAGTCGGAAGAACGCTCGGTCGTCGAAGCGCACTCCCCAAACGCCGTCGCTATGAACGATGCTCGCACTGCCAACTGGTGTTGCGTCTTGGGAAGTCCTATGAGCTCTGAAGAAGCTGGAGATGAAGCTAGACGATGGGATGATGCAATGGTTCAGAGACGGCTGGCGAGATCAGAAGCATGTCTCCTTGGAGCTTGAGAGGGGCAGGACCTCGTCTAGACGGTAAGAAGCGGCGAGATCGCTGGTGGCTCCTCCTCGGCTGTTGCTTGTACCCAGCATGGCTGGTATGTAGTGTCTGTCATTTTGGGCTCTCTTCATGTATAATGAATTGTCTTTCGTTTTCTGTCAACACATCCCTCGGCAAGCCGTCCATGGTCGAGACGGAGGTCACAAGGGACGGATGAGAGCTCTGTCCCGGCGCATGGCTGGTAGTGTCTGACATTTTGGGCTCTCTTCATGTATAATGGATTGTCTTTCGTCTTCTGTCAGCATACCCCTCGGCAAGCCGTCCATGGTCGAGACGGATGTCACAAGGGACGGACGAGAGCTCTGTCCCGGCGCATGGCTGGTATGTAGTGTCTGTCATTTTGGGCTCTCTTCATGTATAATGGATTGTCTTTCGTTTTCTGTCAACACATCCCTCGGCAAGCCGTCCATGGTCGAGACGGATGTCACAAGGGACGGATGAGAGCTCTGTCCCGGCGCATGGCTGGTATGTAGTGTCTGTCATTTTGGGCTCTCTTCATGTATAATGGATTTTCTTTCGTCTTCTGTCAGCATACCCCTCGGCAAGCCGTCCATGGTCGAGAGCTCTGTCCCCAACGTGGACTGTTTTGGCCAGGTCTAGAGAACAATAAGCACCATACTCGATGGCAGGGACCGTAGGACCAAGCGAGATCGATGCATTTCTTCCCCTCCACTGTGACAAGGGTGAACCGTCTCGTCAGATATGTAGGTTGAAGCTTTCGATAACGCACTCCAGGTCTTGAAAAAGAGGATGAAGAGCTGGACCTGTCAGGTGACTAGGGACGTATACCTCCATCTCACATGTCCTTTGTAGGGAGAGGAGATCTGTGACCATGAGCCGGTTACAATCTATTCCGGGCGCCGAACGGTTCATCGGTGAAGCCTTGCCCGAAACAAGCACGAAAGAATGCAATGAGGTCCCAACATAAATTAAAAAGAAGACGACGCTACTGTCCGTTCTCATAGCCTTGCATACGTTCCATCGTTTCTCCAAGACTGTCAATATCACCCATGGGAGGCTTGCGACCGCTTTGAATGGCAGTTGCCAAGCGGTAGCGTACACCCCAGCCGATTCGAGGTCTTGAGGCTGTTAACTTGGCGGGAACAGCACGTAAAGATCCTATGTATGATGTCAGGCTAACCTGGAGTATTATGGACGGCATCCCACCATCGGCGAAAGATCGCCACCCTCTTGGTCGTTGTAGTTGGTGTAGCTCCCCGTGAACATGTAAGTGCCAATAGAGCCGCTTGTTTGGTCGCCATAAAACGCAGGCTGAAGGTAGATACCGGCTGGACTCGTCCCTTCCGGATTCGTCCAGTAGGCTGAGAGCAAGCCTGATTGAGTATCGACACTCCACTACATGGAGAATCAAGATACGTACAAATGAAATGGCTCAGCTCACGATGTATGACTCGGCTGCCCAGGTCGCAGGGCTATTACTTATACTGGTATCGGCGGGATATGCGTTAGGTTGACCTGCTTGATCGCAGTATGCGATAACAGTTCTACTGAATGGTGAGTGAGTCAAAGTTTGGTCCGAGAGCTAGTCTCCCTTCCTCACGTAAAAGATGTCAGATCCATTGTGTTGTCTTCGGTGTCGATTTCAGGCTCAGTAGCTGTCATACATAGATACTGTGTGACTGAACCCCCCACGACCTCGAGCAGTTGGACCCCCGAGGTTGTTGTATCAAAACTGACTTGAATCGCTTCAGTAATGTCCTGTCAGGGCGAGAATGCAGGTCAACAAAGAAGGAGACGTTCACGGTCGTCACTCACCTGCGTTGTTGTTGACGCAGTAGCGGAGTTCCCAGTTATGGCACTTAGGTAGCCAAATGAATTTGCAGGTGGTGCTCCATAACTCCTCTTTTGAGCACGTTCCATTATCGAGCTACGTTTCACTGGGGACGCATTCGGTGCTGGTCCTCCAGCTGGTACAGCGACTATAGGCATAGTCGCTCTGAACCCGGGATGAGATGATCGTCAAATGACACTTTGTAAGCTCACGCGAAGGTGTTGCTGCCACGACGAGCCATTCGACGAGGGGAAGGTTTCAACAAGGGTAATCCAGCTGCGAGGCATTCTGCGTTCGTATGACATTCCTGCTTGACGGTCCGCGAAACAGCGTTATGGGAGGATCGTTCGACCATCGCCAGGGAGAAAGGTGTCGCTTGGACTTGCACGGCCAAGAGAAGCACTTGGACAAGTGCTACCCAATACCAGAATCTGGTAGACATCTTCAGCGGTGGAGAAGCAAAAAGCGAAGATCAGCGGAAAGAAATCAGTGGTAGTATCATGGAGTAATCGTGCTTCATTCTCTTGTATATTGGTTCGCAAGGATGTTTGGCGATGCGGTCATTGACAGCAAGAAGGGCAGGTCCCCCGACATTGCCAGTGGCGTTTGCGAGGTTCTAACAACCAATGACGCCGTCAAATCATCACTGTCCGAGTAGCCTTCCGACAACAAGGCCGGCCAAATCGGACACCCCCAGGAAATCTCCTTCACATGCTTGCGTGCCTTGAGAAATTTCAGCAATTGCTTTTGTGCGCTCCATCACTTGAGCCTTTGAGATAGATGATATGGTCTGTTAGACGCGGTACGGTATTTGGAGCGAAAAAAAAACACAAAGTGGCGCTCGAATGTGGCACCCCTGGTGAAGGGTAGCATGGAAGGGAGATCATATTCATTATATGCGATAAGTCAACCAACTAGAAGCAATGAGGCGTCTGACCGTGCTGAAAGTTTGGTCCTAGGCAGACCTCGCGAAGCCTGTATCCATCACGACGATCCTCTAGCCACTTTCGGGAAACCATACGAAAAAATGCTGGCGACGGGATCAACTTAGTCGAGTGGACGAGTACTGTAGAATGAGAACTCACGCCCTCAGAAAAGTAAGGAAGCTCCTCTGTGAAATCAGCTGGTGCACCTGTAAGGTACCACGAAGAACCACTTGGATCGTTGTTATTGTACATGATGCCGAGCGGAGCAGACGCAGGAGATGTTCCAGCTGGATTGGTCCAAGTCGCTGTAATCAGTCCGGTGTTTGAGTCGACAGACCACTGCGAAGTCTTATCAGACCGAGTCTATCCAAAAGGGGGGCGTTTTTTGAACTCACGACTGCGGCCTCAGCTGCGGTATTTCCACGGGCGCTCGTTTGATCAGAGGGTGAAGAGTTTGGAAGCCCAGGTGACGCGCATTCCGTGAGACGAACGTCGCTGAGAAGCAAGCCCCGTCAATGTGTATCAAGCTCATCACTTTAATCCGCGGGTACCTACTTGGTTGATGACGAAGACATTGTAGTGTCTGCAGTGTCCTGTTCGTCATCGTCACTGGCGAGACAGAGGTATTTGACGACTCCGCCGTCCGTTAGCTCCAAATTCTGCGTGGTGCTGATTAAGGTGGAATCGTAAGTGACGTAGAGCGCTTCCGATGGGTCCTGCATTGTTAGAAGGTAATAAGTTTAGGGTTCCTGGAAGACTAGAGGAGAGTTACCTACATCGGTTGTTCCAATCAGTTCACCCAGAGTGGCAACGCCAGCTTTGACGTATCCCAGACTTTCCGCAGGCGGCGCTCCATATGCCCTCTCTGCAATTTTGCCACGATGTGCCAAGATGGATCGTCTTTTGACCGCTTGAGGATTAGGACCAGGTGATCCAGCAGGGTAAGCTACGACCGGGAATGTAACCCTTGGACGGAGTAAGCAAGGTTGATCAAGCGATGCAAGATCCTTACACGCTGCCCGACCCTCCAGCCCGGTGGACCAGTCGACGTGGGGAAGGTTTTAATAGGGGCAATCCGGCGGCCAAACACTCGGCATTGGTGTGACATTCCGTCTTGACGGTTCTTGTGACATCTTCATGCTGGTTCAAAATTGGTGAAGCATGGATTGATACGGCGGAACACAGAAGCTGAAGGACGCAAAGCCAGTACGTGGTTCTGTTGAACATCTTGAGGGTAGTCAGTCGACGGGTGTATCAATACAATGGGGAGCTGAACGGCAACCACAACATTATATACCTTCAGACGGATACATCTCCCCGCAAAAGATGGCTAGACAGAGTTTTGTTTGTTGATCTGCACGACAACCCCGTGTGGGGGAATGTCATCACCCTTGGTGATGGTCATTGGCTCCGCCCGCTCCGAACTGCCTGATAGGCTATGTAGATTTTCGGAAAGGGTACGTCAGCTGTGCCGACCAGGTACGCTGTTAATGCTCGACAGGCACGAGCGCCACCATCTTCTAAAAAAAATCTCTTGGCATGTTGATATGTCTTGACGGTTGATCCAGCGGTACAAAAGTCTGCACGTGGAGCCATGTCAAGCAGGTACTCCCAGTCTACTCATTTCAAGATCTTCGCCTGGAACTTTTGCAAGACTATTCCATTCATGAGACGTCCCCATCCGGACAGCAATCATGTATGTCAGTCACACCGAGAAAATCAATATAACACTTGAAAACCTGAAAACTGCGGAAAACAAAGTCGCACTAATGCTTGAGCTGACTGTGTCTCAGTTTTCCTGGGGGAACACAGCGTACAGTTGCTAAATAGATGGTCAGCGAAGGCTCTTCGGGTTGAAGAGATCCGGCCGTGAACTAACGAGCTCTTGGTAGTCGGACTCATAAGCGGAGTCGAACTGGTCTACAGAATACACCCAAAACATGTCCGTGTTCCCGTTCGATGAGGCTTCTGGATCGTTCACAGGAAGCAAATAGGTGGTCTGGGGCACGGCTCCGTTCGGATTGGTCCAAAGGAACGAGATTAAGCCCGTGTCTGAATCCACCGAGAACTAGAGGAGTGAGGTCAGATTGGATTGACAAGTGACGAAACTCACAATAAATGCCTCTGCCGCATCGTTGTTTCTCAAGTTTGTCTGAGTTTGCGCCGACGTGCCCGGCTGACCACCATTTTGGCAAAGAGTGAGTGCAGTTGCTCTATTTGTGGATTAGCGGATGGAGTACGCTCGGGATTGGACTGATGACAAACCCGTATTCGTTGGCCGGGCCCATGGTGTTATCTACATCATCGTCATCCTCACCGACTCCATCATTCAGGCACAGGTATTGAGTTGCAGAATTGTACTGAGTTTCCAGATTTTGCGGGCCAGAAACTGTATGATCATAGGTTATGTAGAGTGCTTGGGTAGGATCCTTGACGGATGAAGACGTGGCCTCGATCAGGATTTCGCCAATGGGCAAACGAAATGACTCACCTGGGTCATCGCTCCATAAGTGTCCTCTCCGGAGGTAAGAGCTGCCAAGTAACCGAGACTGTTCGACGGAGGGGCCCCATAGGTTCTCTTTGACATGGCGGCTCGCTCCATGATACTGGAACGTCTGACCAGTGTTGGGTTTGGCCCTGGAGTACCAGAAACTACAGCAACAACAGGATACGTGACGCTGAAACAGGAATCAGAGTACTCTCGGAACAGTCTCAGGATCCACTCACATGTTTCCGGATGAGCGACGCTGAAGAGCACTTCGACGAGGTGAGGGTTTCAATAGAGGAAGGCCAGCCGCGAGGCACTCGGCGTTGGTGTGGCATTCGGCAGGTGAAGTCCTGGACACTTCATAGGGGGCCGCGAAAGCCGGTGCAGCGAGCAGTAAGACCTGGATAAGGGCCACCATCGCCCAACTTCTGTGAAGCATTTTTTTTGGGGGGAGGGGGGAGGAAAGATGGGATGTGGTGATGAGTGAATAGACGAGATGGTTCTTTCAAGAGAAGGGCTATGCTCCTCTTATAGTTGGCACCTGTACCATCTCGCCAAGTCCATGGCTGAGTGGCTAGACAATGGAAGTGTTTGCTTGAACGTTAACCGACGCCACGAACATTCATGATCACCCGAAGAGCCAGCTCATGAACATCGTCGATCCTTCTCTGAGGTTAAGTCATCCGTTGCCAGTCGTGCCTCATGCCGCCTGTGGTGATATGCACGATTCGAGTGAGCTCCTGTCGGCATCGCTCAATGTACGAGTCATGTCACATACACACAAGGAAACTCTTTCGGTGCCACATTCCTGCCGGACAGGCGTCAACATGACCGAAAACTTTATCGGACTCGCCAAGATCAGCCGATTGTAACATCTCAAGCCGAACCATCTGATCGCTCGGTAAAATCCACGTGGCAACAAGGTCAACAATCGGGAGTCGACTCTGCCACATTCAGCTTTCCGTCGGAACACACGGGACTGCCGACTTGTCGATGTTGATCACCTCGTCAACACCAAACGCCGGATTCAGGCCTCGGTGCTGATCTGTGTACAAATCAAATGGGTACTTTACACCCGTATAAACGTCTTCACGACGGGATTGAAGGCGCGTTGTATGACAGTCGAAAGGTTTGGGGTATCCGATTATGAGCCCATTTTCCAGAATGTGCTGTTCCTCGTTGAGTCGTGTTCCTCGGACACCTTGTGATCAGCTGATAGTGCGTGGATCGCTCTCAGACCAACAAGATAAGCTGGAGGTTTGACTTGGTTCTGACAAACTTTGGAATGTTTCCTTTCCAACATTGATTCGTGATGATGGACCTTCAAGGTCAGTCTGCTCACTATAGCGACCCTCATTCTGAGCATCATCGTCACTTCCCCTACCCTTCAGAGTGCCTCCCTCGGCTCCACCTCAGTCCCGGTGTCACGTCAGTATAGCTCCTCTCTGCACTCCAAACGCTCAAGTAATACGACGAATTAGTCCAGGTTCACCGTGTCGACTCCAGATGTCGTACTAGGCGTTCCTCCAGCTCAGGTCCGGGCATACACTGGAAACTTCTGCGACACGTCTCATGTGGACGAAGAGATCATTGTGAGCTTGTGTCAGTAGCGCTGATGCTATGAATGAACCCGACTGGAACCTGCAATCAACCGGGCAAAGTCCGCAATGTCCCGCTTCTTGATCGCACTCCTAGGCACCGCCGTCAATTATGTACATGACCTGTTGACCGTCACTGAAGATGGACTCGATACCAAACTCACCTGGAAGGTGCCTGCCTTCCGAGAACTAGCGCTCTCGCTTATCAGGCTGGGTTACCGACGCTTGCTTCTAGAAGTGGTCACTACTGTTCATGGCTCCTCAGTAGCCGATGCTGATGCTCGCTCTTATGATATCTGAGGGACTCGGTATCAGTTCTGAGTGGAGCCGATGTCCGGAGGCGGAAGCGCCGCAAGATCGTTAGTCCTGCGACTCGTTAAAGTATAGGCACGTGTACATGTACATGATTGGGCCTGGTCCCAAACCTCGCCATTGGAGCGTCAGACAGCAAAGTGACCTGAGCTCATAACGAAGGGATGATGCGAATCTAGGCGAAAGTCACTCAGTTGCAACCATGCACACCCGTGGCCACGATGATCACATCGTTAACGGGGTTCATACAGCGACTGAGAGCGACTTGGACCAGGTGCCGACCTCTGTCTCATCAATCTGAGGTGTCTTCATCCCCGACAAGCAGTCGCGGCTGAATTATGGTATCAGGATGGCTTTGAGCCGGAATCACTCATCGTTGCTGAGCCCGATCTTCTCGCCGGTCCAAAGGATGAGATGCTTGCCGTCCGATCCCTTGCAGACCTCTTTGGCTACTCGTCCTGACTCGCAGATTTCGTGACAGGTTCATCGATCCGCCATGCCCCTCACTGTAGCGCCTTGTCCTGTCTTGCTGGTGCCACATCCCACATGGGCGTCGCACGTCCATCTTGAGCCGCTCAAATCAATTCGCATCTGTTCAAGCTCCCGTCCTTCTTTTCCTACATATTCATACATCGAGGCGTCACTCTACATAGGTCTCCACTCAGAAGCTCACTCAACAGCCGGGGAACTACCCGAGCCTATCCAAGTCATGCAAGTCACCCGCTGACTCTCCCATGCCGTCTCGTTGAACGATGTGTTCTACCCTGTCTCTCATCATTCAACCCCAAGATATTGACAAACAACCACAATCTCGTCAGACTCCTTCTGTCTTTGACTCTGATTTGCTAACATATATCGACGACTTTGTCACTCACCGGTTACAGAGTAGCATTCCATAAGATGTCGGTCAACACCTCCCAGAATCTCCCCCAAATCGTCATCCTCACCGTCCCAATTCCCTCGCTAATCCTGCTCGCCCTCTTGACCTTGTACCATCTCACACCTCTGCTGTCTCTCCTGCCGAACCTCCATCTTCTCCCTCTGATTCATCGCCTATCAAACATTGTCCCCCACCCAAAGAGGCGAAACCTTCCAAGAGAGTTCTTCAATCTTCCTCCTAGACCTGGCTCACCCCCTGCATTGAACGACGTATATCTCATCAGCATCCGAGGCAAAGTCGTCCTGGTCCTTTTGATCCATGCCGTAGTCTCTCTGACATGTGGCTGGGCGTATCTGGCATCCACGTCAGAGTCTTCTGGCATCAACGCTTCAGGCGGTTCCTGGTGGAAATCGCTCCTTGCTGCTCTCGCTGTGTTGCCTCTGCCTTCTATCGTTCTCGCCCTATCCGTCTACACTGTCCGAAGCGGCATTACGCACGAGTCTATCTTCCGTCGGGTCTTCGTGCTCTCAGCGGGGATCACAGTGATCGCGAGCGCCGTGACGGCTGGCCTTTATGCTCATTCGGGCCTCGCCCTTCTTTCTATCACGTCCATCCTCATCGGCAGCATACTCCTGATCTCCTTCGCAGACGTAGTGCAGGGGAGCAAGACCAGGAGCTCGGCTGGCAATATCCGACTACCAACATCTCCTCAGCCCGGCAGTCCCGATATACTCAGAGTAATGAGAGACGGAGAAAGCTGGCTGACGTCGCCATGTGAGTTCAGCACAGGGTTGAGCACTGACATTCAGCTCAAGCATCCACGATAGATGTCTCAGCATTCTCCTTTTCGCCCTCAACCACGACTCCGAATCACGGACGCTCAGAACACGTTGGACACCTCGTACAAGGTTCGCCCAAATCTTGGCTCACCAGTCCCTCTGCAACCCCGTCGACCATTCCATCATGGGAGTACTCGCCCTCGATTGCGAGCCCTGATCCAGCCAAGATCCGCCCTAGCTCGCCTCGAAGCCCATCTCCCGTTGTCGACCTGGAACGACAGCTACCTGGGGCGCCAATCAATCGTCACCTTGAGCGAGCCAAGGCATCTCAGGCCACTACCGCTGGCAACACGACTCACACCCACACGACGCTGAGCGGAACACCAGGCACGATCTTGCAATCACCTGCTGGGAGTATCATTGCCGCTTACGAGCCCGATCCGCGTCGACCCCAACCTAGAGGATTTGAAAGTCTCACTTCATACCCAGTCTCACCAGCTCAACTTCAAGGTCTCGACATGTCGCCGTCAAACTTTGGCAATACCACCTTTTCTGCACTCGGAAGTCGGATCAGTCTGGCTACTCAGGCTGCTCGTTCCGGCGATGACATTGCAATCATAACCGAAGAACGCCGCTCAGTCTCTGGAAATGGATCCACTTGGACTCTAGACTCTTATCACTCCGCTTCAGAAACGCCATTCGTGGAGCCGAGGACCCCGGTCCGCTCTTCACGAGCTGACAATCACCGAGCTCCTCCTCCCCCTCCACTACCCACAGACCTCCCGTTGCCTCCGACTCCAACAGCTTCGGGTAGCAGAAGTCCGACTGCCACAGTGTGGGAAGGCAAGGAGTCGGCAGAGTTCTTGCTGAGTGACAGTCAATGGGTACAGATCGACCGCAACAGCGACGGCATTGATGGGTGGACCAAAGAAAGCCAAGGAGCCGGCTTACTGGCTGTGGTGACGACTTGTCTGATTTACGTGAGACATGACGAAAAGCCACGCTAACGGTTCAGAGCCTGACAGCACCGATTCTGATTACTGGTCTGGTCAGGTGGACGCAAATCCTATTTCTCATCGCTCTACTTATCCCCGCCCCGATGCTCCTACTGGCCTCCTACATGCTCCGGTATCGACCTCTGCCCACATATCGAGAAAGGAGGAAGAAAGAGTCGACCAGGTCGGAATCCACGCACAAGTCATTGGCTCTCATGTCTGACTCCAAGTTGTCGCTGCCCCTATCCATTTCCCCCAAGCTCACACCTCAAAAGGGAGACCGGTCTACTGCAGCCACCGCCAGATGGTCCCATTTTCTCGAGACAAAGCCATCAATATCCAACTTTGGCTACAACAGGCCTCGACCGCATACTGTCCTCGGTGGCGCTACACACATCCAGCTTGATGCTACTGACATCGCTGAGCAGGACCGTCTCACCAAGCGCGCGATGGCTCGTCGATCCACCGATGTTTGGCTGGAAAGTGGACATGCTATCCAGGGCGGCTCTCGGCTGTCCCGGGTGGGGGAGATGCTCAAGCCGGTGCCTGCCATGCGCATATTGGATGTCCCTGTAGAGCGACCACAGCAAAAGAAGATCATCCAGCTCCGAGGTGGCATAGTGTCCATGCTGTCAAACCGCCTCAGCGATCACGCTCCGGCAACGTCTGAGAGCGTAGAACACTGGGCAAACTTTGGCCATGGACGCGTTCCTGACAGCCCTGTCACCATCCAGATCACTTCACCGGACAAGCGTGATGTAAGGCGTGCCAGCCGCGCAACAGTGCAGTCCATGGGGAGTGAGGACTTGGAGCACTCTGGCGAAATGGAAGGATGCTCTCTCCCGTCGGCTGAGATTCACCACGCGACACGAGGGAGGATGAGTGCCGGACCTACAGTAGTGCTTGGGAAACAAGACCAAGGGGAGTCATATGAAATGGACTGGTTGACGGCGGGCGTCTTGCCAAAGTGAGCGGCAAGACGATCCTGTCGAACTTGCTGACTGTTCTTCAGCCTGGTGCCTCGTCTCAAAATTGGCTCTGAAATTAAGATCGCCCCAGCATCAAGTCTAAGCAAAGAGGTCGCGCGGTTCGATACCGACTTCAGCCCGGCGAAAGGCAGCATCATCCACCATGAGGTAGACTCTTCCATGGGTACTGGCGGTACTTTCACGCCGAGCAAATCACATGGTCGCAGTACCAGCATCGACTTTTCTTCCCCCGGCCAGGCTGGTCCCATGCAATCTACTCCGCATGGAAACATTCGCAACAGGAATCTCAAGCACAAGCCGAGCTTTTCCTTACCGTCAATTCACCCAGCAGACTTTGACGATGTTAGAAGGAGTTTTGTAGACTGTGGCCAATTGGATTACGACGATACCGGCATCGACCTTCCTCCTTTCCCTGCTCAACTGATTCGCCGAGATCTCAGCACTGTGCCAGAGCGCGACGAGTCGAATGAATCAAGCCGTATGCGACAGACCCTTTATGACTTGGGTGATGCTATTCTTGCGCTTTCCTCTTCACCCGGAGCTACAATGGGTCATGGCGACTCCTCCATGACATCGACAGCCTCGAATCTGCGTCGTGCTCGAGGTCTGGGCGACCTTGCCCCCATCATCGTGAATGCCTCGAATATTGGTGACTTTTCTGTGCGAGAAGATAGCAGCAAAGACGACTCGCTCGCTCGTGATGAAGATGGTATGGCAGAGGAGATGGAGAGAGTAATGGCTATGGACACGCCGACTCGAGCTGAATTTGTCCAGTCGCCTCCGCCCTCATCCTACGCGTCGTCCTTGGCCTCAAGATCTGATTCCCGTGCTAGTCACCGAACGAACCATATCGGAGAAGCGATCCCTCCCGTGCCGAAAGTCGACTGGAGATATTCTACCCCCGGACAGTCTTCGGCAGAAGAGCAGTTCGCCGATGCAGACGACGATGTGCCTCCTGTGCCTCGTACATTATCTGACATCTCCACGCCTCAGATGACGGAGCTGAACCAATCGGTGGACAACATCGGGGTCGCTCTCGGCGGAGTCACCTACGCACATCCCCATCCCCCGCCTCTATACCCTATTTCGCACCAGGCTAGTCTGAACTCGCTCAACCAAGGTCTAGTTCAGGCTCCGCCAGTTCACCCTCCTGTTGTGATGTCTCAAGCGCTAAGGACGAAAAACTCGAGCGAGACAATGCGATCGGACATGACTGGTACCACTGGTACTACGGACGGAACACCATACCGTATCTGGGAGGTGGAGGGCGAGCCTTTCAAGCCCTCGCGGCAGGAATTGATGATGGTAAAGACACTCAAGGAGAGGCGAGAAGCCACTCGACGGTCGGCTCTGATTCGGATAGAAGATGTGGCTGTTGCGCCGGAGAGCGGGCGTGTGGACTCGCCTCTGAAGTCGCCCGTCGGACGACCCCAGCCTCTGCAACAACTCAGTGGACGACAAGAAAATCAAGCTGTCCTTCCCGCACCCCGTGCAGCGAAATCAAAGCGAGTCGCTGCCTTACGTGAAGATTGCCTACCCAAAGGCTCGACTGATAGTGACGCCGTGGTTGCCAGATTGTCGTCTGGCACGAGTGGCTGCCGCAAAGCAAGAGTTGGAAAGAAGGGGAGCAAGATGTCATCTGGATCAGGTGTAGCCCCGCTCAGAGCGTGATCTGCAAGCAGCATGGTAGAGGGTCCAAATTATGTTTATAATACATATCATATGATTGATGCCACGTTTAACGAGTTCGACAAGACTAGAAAGGATGCGCCTTGGCTCGTAAATGTATCATGATGGACAAGCAGCTTTTCCGTCTTTCTATCAATACGATCAGAGGAGAGACATCTCGAAGGGGATTGCCTCTTGCCCCAGAACGCTGCGCACGGTCAAGGAATGCAGGGTCATCACTCGTCTGGTAATTGACCGAGATAATCTGCTCTGATGGTGCCAATTGCAAACTGAACCTTATGTCAGCTTGAACCTTCAAAGAGAGAGAGATCTGCAGCTCACAATATCATTGGCTTCGACTCTGCAGCCCACAATCTGGATTCGAACTTTCGTATCCTTTGTGATGGTCTCGTCAGTTGAGGATGATCGATAACATGGTGGGGAAGCGTTCGGGTCGAATTTCATATCGGCGTGAACGAGCTGTTGACGTATCAGCTCGGTTTCGAAAGCAAAGACAGCGAGGCAGCAGGGAGAGGGATGAGGTATCAGAAGTTTGATCGATCAATTACTACAAGATCTTCCCAGCATAATCAGCAGCTCCCAAAAGAGAGAATCTGTTGTCCCTATGCTAAACAATCATCACGAGAGGGGGTGGAGTGGATTGGAGGAGTGATTTGCGGTCAGAAACTGTGCTCACATGAGACGAGACGAAGACCTGTAGCGGTCCGACCATTGCGAAGAAACCCATCTGGTTCGAGTCAGTGGACGCCAGATCCATGGCTCAAACCTCCACTCACCTTGTTGACATTAGCGACTTTGCCATCGACGACTTCGCCTTTGAATGGCTTCATAACGACAGCAGTATACGTGCATCTGAATCTCGCTTGGCCCGTGGATGGTAATATCTTGCCCTCCCCGGTAGAGATGATCTGGACGACTGATATTATGTATCTGTAACATAGTGAGCATAGAACAATCCCAGAGGGAGAGCAGACAGACTCACCCATGTTTACCACTACATGTCCCTTCCACATCCTCGTACAGCTTCTTCCGGATGTAATCTTCGAGCTGAGCACCGAAATACGAGGGATGAAGTAAGATCGTGTGCGAGAGCTGACGCTATTAAGGGGCGAAGCGTGACAGGCGGGCGACAGCAGTTGAACGTATATTGACACGTAGACATGAGGGTCAAGCAGCAAAGGACACGAAAGAACATTGCGTCAGCTCGCATTGAAGCGGCCAGGTTTCGCAGTGATACGAACGAGGAAGAACATCCTGAAAGTGTCTGATCCAAACAATCAAGTTTCTCAGTGTCCTTCAGAGCCTTTTTCTCGATATAGCTGGCCGCCTTAACGTCGACTCCAACCTCTCAGGAGAGCTTTGAAGCACCTCCGTCCCCGAGCTCCTCGCTTTCACCTCCCAAGCCCCTTCAGAACCACGATGAGTGGATCTCTCTCTGGCGTTTCCTCGAGAAGTGTTTTGGGCTTTTGCGGGAGTGAGATCTGCAGCGAGTGGGGTCTGAGATCGAGCAGAGCTCCAATATCCTCCCAGTACCCTCTCTCAACCTATCTATCGCATCGAACGAGTCGAAAACAGAGTAGAAGAGGGGGCGTGGGCGTGTTGACGACCGAATGGAAAAGTTCGAAAGGGGCGAACAGCGTCGAGGATTCTTATCAAAATTTAGTGACGTGGCAAACTCAATCTCTCGGATCCGAATTCAGAATTTTGAGCAAAAGCATGTCCAGCAGAGTCTCTCTATGACTCTTACAACCATCATGTCCGAAGATCACAAGGATTTTGAGACCAGTCCTGTGGCTGAAACATCCAAGAAGGGCAGAAGCCATAACGAAGAGAACCAAAAGTAAGCTTATAGCCTACGTGCCAGCTGCTCACCCAACTCAGCTCTACTCTTTTCGTCTCCTCTCTTCCCTATAACGCAACAACCACCGATCTACTGACGCATTTCTCTTTCATCGGTCCCGTACGGCATGGATTCGTAGCGACAGATAAGACAAGCGGGAAAAGCAAAGGAGTCGGATATGTCACTTTTTCTTTGCGGGAGGACGCGGAACGAGCGATTGAAGAGTTGGATGGAGGGGCATTTGGAGACAAGGGCAGAAAACTGAGAGTCTCGTGGGCAGACAGAAGAGTGAGGGTGATCAATTCTTCGCGCTCACCATTCTAGCCTGCTCAAGATGAGAGATCCTCTCGACCGGTCAAGAAACCCAAGGTCGAACCCGTCGACACCACAGAAGCCCCGGTCGATCCCAATGCAACGCGTACACTGGTGATCACCGGTCTGCCTGCGGATCTGACGAAGGCTGTATTGTGGAAGAGAATCCGAAAGGTGCATGAGCAAGCCGAAGTCACCTTCCCTGTCGACGGACGACCTGAGACTGGTGCGAGTCACACTTGCGCAAGCAGCTTACCCATTTAGCGTATGTGCTCATGCCGACTCTCGGAGAGGCTCTGAAAGCCGTCCCAAAGCTTCATGGGCATACATACAAGGGTGCAGTGCTATCTTGCGTCCTCAAACGGAAGCTGGACAAAGCAGGTACCACCAAGGATGGCAAAGGAGCAAGCCATGCGGGAAGATTGATTGTGCGGAACCTGGCTTGGGATGTGGGTTTGGAGCCCATGCAGGTCCGAATTGAGCTTACCATCATCAAGACCACTGTCCAGGACCTTCAGCGGACGTTCCTGCCCTACGGTCCTATCCATTCCATCGATCTGCCTACTCTGCCGTCCAAACTGCCCAGCACTTCTGCCAAGCCTGCTCCGCCCCGAGCAAGAGGCTTCGCCTTCGTATGGTTCATGGACAGGAAGCATGCCGAAAAGGCCATGACAGGTGTCAATGGTAAGGCCATTCAGCGTGCAGGGGGATCAAAGTCCAAAAAGGTTACTGCGGAGGAGGACCGCAAGGTGGCTGTGGATTGGGCCTTGAGCAAAGACAAGTGGGAGAAGTCTCAGAATACCCCTGGAGATGTAAAAATTGAGGAGGAGACTGAGGACTCTGATGCCGTTTCAGGCAGCAGTGTAGAGGGGGAAGAGCCTGGAAACGACTCAAATGCGAGCGAGGACAATGTAGATGTCAAGGAAGAGGCGGATGCGGAGGGTGGAGAGGACGATCTGGAGGATGTGGACGAGGAGAAGCCTGTCAAGCCCTTATTACCGGCTGTCGATGTTGGCTCTACACTCTTCATTCGGAATCTGTCGTTCGAAGCGACCGAGCCAGAGCTCTCAGATCTGTGGGTCTTTGTCACTCCAGCATCCACTGACGATATTAGTTTTCGTTCTTTCGGGCCTCTGCGCTATGCTCGAATCACCATGGACAAATTGACGGGTCGATCTCGTGGAACTGGTTTCGTTTGCTATTGGAAGAAAGAAAGCGCAGACGCGGCCATTGCTGAATCCGAGCGAGTCGCTCAGGAGACCGGAGCAAATGCCCAGCCGGTAAGCAGTTCAATGCAGACATAATCTGATACGGGCCAGCTTGGAGGAAAGAATCCGTTCGCCCTTCCGTCAGTTCTTACTGTCGATCCATCTTCATCTCTTGCCAATCGGTTGGTCCTGCATGGTCGGACCCTGGAAGTCGGTCGAGCAGTCACTCGTGAGGAAGCGGGGCAGATGAAGGAGGATGGAGAGCGAGCCCGCAATGCGGGTGACAAGCGAAATACTTACCTTATGCGAGAAGGAGGTGAGCGCAATGCTTCTTGCCTAATCTTACGCCTCCTCAGTGGTCTTTCCTAACTCTCCCGCCGCTGCGACTCTCCCTGAAGCGGAAGTTGAGAAGCGTCAGGCATCTTTCAATGCTCGACGGACGCTCTTGCGGTCTAACCCTTCTCTCTACATCTCTAAGACTCGTCTATCCATTCGCCAGCTTCCACTCTTTGCGACAGATCGTACGCTGAAACGCTTGGCAATTCATGCTGTTCGTGCATTTGACGAAGAGGTAAAGGCCGGCACACGAGATGGTCTCTCAAGGGCCGAGGAGCTGGACTCGACCCTCTCCCCTGCAATCGCAGCGCGGAAAGACAAGTCAAAGGGCAAAGGAAAGCAACGTGGCGAGCGAGAGACTGCCGTCATCCAGTCCAAGGTTGTCAGGCAGAGCGAAAAGCTCGACCCGCTCTCTGGTCAAGGCCGATCGAAAGGCTATGGGTTTCTAGAAATGAGATCTCACCACGATGCTCTCAAGGTTTTGAGATGGGCCAACAATAATCGCGAGGTCGGTCAGCTGTTCAGCGTGTGGCATAAGGAAGAGATGGCGGATTGGCTTGAAAAGTGCAAAAAGGGCCTCGAGGTTGCGAGAGGGAAGAAGGACGAGCAGCAGATAGAGGAGCTCGAGGGGAGACTGAAGCGATTGGACCATAGACTTGGGGAGAAGGATGTCAAAGATGGAGGCATGCGTGGTGGAAAGACCTTATTGATCGAATTCAGTATCGAGAATGTTCAGGTGAGTTGGATTGGACAGTGCAGCGCTGAGCGGTCTAAGGTCGTCAAACGCCGAGTGGACAAGATCGCCGCCGTCCGCAGCGGAGACTTCGTCCCGAAATCCATGCGAGAAGACAAGAAGAGAAAGGCCGAGGAGTCTGGCGACGAGGCTGAGCCACGTCAGACTAAGTCGGTGAAGCGATCCAAGGGAGACAAGGGTAAAGACCGCAAAGGTTCAAGAAAAGCGTCTCGCCCCGTCGAGAATGACGAGCCGGCAGCACCTGTGGAAGGTGAGAAGCGGGGCTTGGAAAAGCTGGGCAAACAGCTAGGCAGCCTGATTGGACGCAAGAGGAAGATGCGCAAGGGCGGAAAGTAGGCCGTGTCATGTGTCCCATTGATATGTGCAATATGTACTGCTTGCATAGTACGTGTACAAAGTATACTGCATCTGAGCAATCCCGTCACCGCACATTGGTACCTCCAAACCCAGTAGCGCGGCGCATCTCTCTAGGCTGACTCGGTCCCACTCCCCTATCTTCATCCTCCTCCCATAATGACCGTCTCGGTCGCTGTCTGACCTGAGCTGGAGGCCGTGGTGCCTGAGCACCCGTACTTCGTCCAGCGAGGTACCCCGCCAGACCACCAGCTGCGAGTCCTGTCCATAATCCCATACCTCCTCCTCGAGATGCCTCTGGATCCTTGGTATACGGAGGAGGTGGTGGACCGCCGCCCGAAGGACCAGGGTTGAAACCTGGTCCTGGTCCACCTGAACCCCAGCCATGATGATGATGTCCGTGCCCGTGCCCGGGACCGTCGCTCGGAGGGAAGAATGACGAGAGGCTAGGAAGTGAGTGACGGGGGAAGAATCGATTGAATATGGATCGGAAAAGGGTGTATAGGAGAACAAAGGTGACGGCATAAAAGAGGACCTTGAAGAGCTTGTCGATTATGCGCTCTGTGTATATCGTCAGGAAGTATATCAAGAAAGTCGACTGGAGTTTCATGCCCACGACTTGCCTGTCGAGGACGGTACAGAAGGTGACGAATCGTACAAGCCAGGATTCGATTGATACAGGTTGTACTCGAGCGCACAAGAACCTGCCATCATCAGCGCACCTCGGGAGTACTGTAATGGAAGAGGACGTACCCGGGGTGATAAATCTATCTCCTGGCTTTGACCATCCCTCACAAGACACTTCTATTTTGCCAAACCGAAATCCATTCGGCATGTCAGCATCGCACTGAGGAATCAGCTCGATTGATTGAATGATAGACTGTTGAGACCTTGGACTTACCCTCCATTGCGTGCTCCCCGTGTCATCCTCACCCATATTGGTGCACTGTACGATCTCCGGCTGGAACACTTTACATGCTTTACCGATGCATGTGAGCTGCGCTGCAAGCGTTAGGGGACCTGGCGAAGAACTGAGAGCTCACGTAGAGGCTCTGTTCGCCGGGCCACTGTCTGAGCTCCGGCATGAAAGAGCACAGTCTTGACGTCTTTCAGAAGTACTTTACTTCGTACCATGGCTGCTCGTTGGGTGGGCCACCAAGGGACCAAGTACAGGTTTGTCTAGTTCATATATACCTCGTCTCAACATTTCGGGCCTCCAGCTCAGCATTCGACGTGGCAACTCTAAAACGCTTACGTCACGCGTGGCAGCAGCAACCGGAGGCATTTCATATGGGCACGGTCTAGGAGGCGATACAGACCTGGTCACGAGGCATTCTATCACCCGAGCAGCTTCTCAGGCCCACTTCCCAAGCACACTCATAGCTACGAGACCGGCAAAAAAGGCAGCCAAAGCGGAGACTACCTTGAACAATCCCGCTCGTCTCAGCGGTCCATTGACGAAATCTTCCGCGAGGAGGTTGAAAGCAGTGTACAACTGTCGAGGTCAATGATGAGGTAGAGGGCATTGCTCACCAAGATCCCGGCTGAAATTGAGTTGAGTATGCCTACTGAGAGTAGAGAGGCTTTACCGTTTTGAGAGAATGACCCCCGGACGCCGATACCTATCCCGATGCCACTGAAGATTAGCCGAGTAGAGGGTTTGAGGACTCACAGTGGGGTGATGATCTTGAACGAATTCAGCCTAAGATCTCTATTTCACACGGTACAACTCACTGTGAACGCCAGGCCCATACTCAATGTCTTCCACTTGGACAGCCAAGACAATAGGGCTATCCTTACACCTAGTGCCGAGCCCTCGAAGAACTGATGAAAGACAATGACGATGAGCAGCGTGGTCCACCCGTCCCCACTACTGGCGCCCTGAAAGTTAATGTGGTCGTTGAAGCTTCGCTTACCAATGTCACTCCGATCATAATGGAATGGAATATGATTCCGGCCTCCAACAGCAGAGTTTGCCAACTCCGTTCAGCAGCGAGCGCAGCATCAAAGTGATGGCCATGGCCAATGCCATGATTGGCAGGTGGGAGGATCTCCGTCTTGTCGATCCCAGGGAGCTGCGGAGTATCTTCCATCCCTGACGAGTGCATGTATCGTCTACCAACGAGATCCAACATGAACGTCAGGACTGCAGCGGCCATCGCGATGGCCGGAGCGGTGGATTCGAACAGGAGATCCCCGACGCACTCATTGGCGAACATGACAAAGCCGTGGTATAGTAGATGCTGAGCAGATTAGTTGCGGACAAGGCGTACGGAGCCTCACGATAAAAGCCGTAGACATGATGATGCCAGATCCAAAGTGTCTCGCGAGGAAGAACACGTTGCCCCAGATTCCCGTCTCTCTGCCAAATCTGGCGCCGGACTCAAGGTCGAGCTCTGACCCATCGTTCCCCTTTCGAAACCAGAAAGTCAGGATAGGAATGAGGACGCCGAGACCGGATGTAATGAGGACGATAAAGATAGAGCCGATGTGAAGTGGCATGTGGTAGTCCTCAAGAAGGACTACACCACATGCTAGCTGCTCAGCAGAACAATCGCCATGTGTGTGACCGACTATACAATCAGTCCATCAATCCGTCATCCTTCGCATTCACCGTGGATGATACACTCTCCCAACTCATCTGCTTGATGAGCTGGATCCGCCTCCTCCGGAGATTCAAAGCAGTCCCAGTGGATTTCATGCCAGACGCAGTTCGAGCTTTGGGTTGAACTCGCGATGGAAGGATGACCTATCGTTGGCGTGCCGTCCGAATGATCCTCGTCGCAGTGGTAATGATCTCCGTGAAGGACACAGCTGGAGCTCTCTGTCGGAGGTGGAGATATGCTCGTTGAGCTGGCGCTGTTGGGAGACGCGTTGGACGTGCCAGTGCTCTGGACTCTACTGCTGACCACTGTCTGTCTAGCAGCTGCACAGCTCCAATCTCCATCACGAATGAGACATCCGATCGATTCCGTTGGTGCTGGTCCAAGCGAAGTCGCAATGGGATTGAACGGCACAGGCACCAGCTGAGCTTGAATACCAGAGGAGGATAGAAGAGTGAAAAACAGGACTTGAGAAGCCTTGACCATCTGCGGCAGCGTGTCTTGGAACGTTGGCACTTGAAACGGTGAGGGGCTCTTGAGGACTGAAGAGAGTTGAGTGGCTCTATAACCTCGGTCAACCAGATATTTCAGCATCTCCGCCTGGCTATATCGTCGATAGACATCAACTTGGCAGATGGCATGCCAAGTATGGAGCACATCATCCCACTTCTCACATCTTCCAACCGGATGAGCTGAATGTGACGCGTAGAATGGGTATGATCAGGTACTGCTAAGAATAAGGACCCGACCGGCACTCTTCTCGACTCTCCGCTCGTCGGACCTCTCTTGGAGGTCCTGCTTGACGGGGTGGCGGCGGACTGTTCGTCCCGGCTCTACGCATAGGTGACAGCTTCTGAGGCAAGCGCAAGCGCAACGAGTTGCGAACATAAGGGAAGTCTGTCAGCGAAGCTGTCAAAGTAATAAATACGAGGTAGCCGGATGAGAAAAGGAATGTGGCATTTGGGTGCTCTGCACTGTACATATCTACCTCCTTGATGGCGATCACGCATTCCGCGCACAGGCGCCGCTAATGGCTCGGCTGATCGCTGCAAAGTGGATGACTCGACGATACTTGCTCTCGCTCGGACCTTGGCACTGAGAGCAAGCAATAAAGTGGTCCAATTGGCGAAATCGAGGACCCCAACGATTTCACTGCAGGTGTCGAGTCAAGACCGACGTTCTCTTGGCAGTTGGGCTCAAGCTCTAGCTAGGTCAAAGTCAGAGCATTCCATGACTCCCCCGACAGGCATCTCGGCACATCTCAACCCAGTATACACTGAGGACTACTTGGCGAGAGGTTGCGAATTTACCCTCGAATGCTTTCATCTCTGTCATATGGCAGCTATAAAATCCTGAGCCTACCAAAGCTGTTGGACCTCATTGACCAGTATCTATTCCCCCCTGCTCACCATGTTGTTCAGTCAACTGATCCCAACCGCTCTCATAGGCTCTACTTCCGCTGCTCCAGTCAATGTCAGAGCTTTCCAAGCCTATTCGGCAGAAGTCACCATCCATGAGAGCTGCAATGCGACACAGCGACACATGCTGTCACAGGCCTTGACGTGCGTGACGGCCGGGCGATCTAAAGCTGACATACAGTGACACCTGGTCCGTCGCTAGTGTAGCCAGAGAATACGTCATTACGAATGGGCCTTCCGATCCCGTGTTTGAACACTACTTCGGAAACGCTACAGAGGCTTATGCCACGGTCGTCGGGATCTGGGATTCGTTTCTCAACGGGAACAAACAAGGCGTGCTGCTCCGATGCGACAATCCAGATGACGTGAGTTCATGCTCTGGCGAGCTTCGTCTGACGACGGCTCAGAACTGCCAAAACGAAGGTTGGGCAGGGCACTGGCGAGGTGAAAATGGGTCTACGGAGACTGTTATTTGTGATTTGTCTTACCGAACTCGCCTCTTCAACCCTGCCTTTTGTATGAACGGCTTCAACCTCATCACTGCGGAGAAAATCTCCATCTACTGGTCTATCGATCTAATGTCAGCGATATCGCTGCTGATGTGGCTGACGCCGTAGCCACCGCCTATTCCATGTCCCGAGCGTAACCAATGGATTGGTCGAGCACTAGTAAGTCCTTATTCTAATTGATGAGACTCATGACCAGTGCTAGCGACTATACCTCCGTTCGAGAACTTGCGCAACACAATTCGTCCTTTGCCGCTGTCGATTCGGACGCTCTGCAGTACTTTGCGGCTCGTAGGTTGTTATCCCGCATCCCCTGTTGATACCCTAGACGTCTGGGCAATTGAAGTGGCAGGCGGCGGAAGCGCCTGCGTATCGGACCAATCAACTCATGATGACAATTCAGACCACAACGATGCCACAACTTCAGTGACTGCCTCTGTACCACCACCTCCCGTTGAGAGCACTGGGTGTGTTCTACACGATGATCACTATCACTGTTCTAGTCCTGCCACGACGGCGGTAGGAGCCACCTCAACGACGAGGGCCGCGAAAGAGTGCCACACCCATTCCGACGGCAGTGAGTCTGGCCTGACCTGGTCTGTCTGACTGAAGCAGCATGCTGCTGACTTGCCCCTAGCTCAGCACTGTGTCTAGCTGTAAGGATGCAGTAGGTTTCGCATGTAGATCCTCCATAGAGCTATAATGTATCTGATGCCGGCCGGTTCCACGTTCGAGTTCAAGGTATTCCGCCGCCACGAGAACTTGGCTCCTCCACCTGAACTGTCGGCTCTTGCGCTCATACATTGCCTTACACAAACTTTACCTTGACTTTGTCTCATTTCGCTCAATGACAGCCATGGTATCAGCTCCGCCCTTCGACGGACAGAGTATCATGCATCATCTCATTCCTGCTCCTGAAGTCCTCGTACCTCCGATCAACTTTGCTCTCGTTGTCCCTGGTATCTACAGAAGTGGACATCCCAACAAGAAGAATTTTGGGTTCCTAAAGCAACTCAAGCTTAAGGGAGTCATGTGAGTGTGTCAAGTAAGCGCTTGTCACTCAACACAGTCCAGGTATCTAGTCGGAAAAGACGAGTACAGGAAAGATTCTAGGGAGTTTGTCCATGCTCAAGGCATCGAATTGCACCGATTTGATCTATCAGACGATTCGGTAAGACCGACACGATCATGTCTGCCGTCACGCTGACACTTACAGACCCTATACACATCAGATGGACGAGCTGAACTGGACACTGCGCTAGCTATCATCCTTGACTCGTCCAATTACCCTCTGTTGATTCACGATGATATGGGCAAATCGACATGTTCATTCGTCTGTGCCCTCATACGCCGATTGCAAAGATGGAGTCTTACGGGAATATACGCCGAAGGAGACATGTTTGCGGGTCCTGCTGGAGGTGCAGAAGGTCATGGAGTAGGCGAAGCGGGGAAAGAGGTGAGCGCGTCGATTCAGGCGAAGGTCTGATACATGATATCAGTTCATCGCAATGTACGAATCGTCCCAGGCTCCAATCAGCTCGATCTACAGACCGCAATGGCTAGTCAGAGGTCCTTGACGGTCTTTCCGGCTACTAGAAAGACTGGCTACCGAGCCTTGTGGATGGATCAGTTGGTCCAGACCTCGACACCTCCTTTGTCAACTTTTCAAACGGTCAACCTGCTGTGACGTCGTCCCTCGAAACATTGTGCGTCTCAACGGATGCTTATTTCGGTGCGATCAGCGAACGATGCTGTTTTCTGGTGTGGAGCCACTCGACATCAGATCCTCCAGCCGACGCCTCAGCCTGCTGAATTGAGCTCTCGCCATGCCTGTCGCATCACCCGGACCGATGGGATCAGATCACCCAAGTGCCATTTGCCTCCCTTTGCTGGTCCTTCCGATCTCGCCACCCAACGGGACCCCTTATGATCGTCCTGCTCGGCCTCGCTTGCGAATTGTCACTGCTCAAGGAAGCACGCCTCCCCCTCAGATTGTCAAGACGGCGCCAATCATCGTTTCGAACGATCCAACCTTGTCATTTACCTTCCCTTCCAAATCCTCAGTCGCGTCTCTCGCTCATGAAGATACCGCGTCATACACGCTACTGTCTCCCCCAAAGCCTACTTCTCGAAGTGCGAGACTCAAGCGACCAGCTCACGTCGGCCATGCACGTAAGCTCTCAGACAAGTTCAAATCGCTGTTCTCGGCCCTACATATCAAGCGGGATGATCGCATACCATTCTTCCAGCCTGGTATGGTATCGACCGACATACTGAATGACTGCGAGTATCTAACCCCACTTCGACCTCATCCATCACCCGGAACAGCTTCGTTCCTCGTCAGTCGACACTTGGCTCCTGATCCCAATCTCCCAACTTCGGCTCATTCTTCCTCTACTGCCTTTTCGATAGCTTCAAGACCGACCTTTGCATCGAAATACAGAGCGACGTACGATTCTCATGGTGCTATATCGCACTTCTCCAATCCTACGACGTTGTCTTCCGCTGCTTCGAGCATGGGTGGCAGATCTGTATCGAGCTCAGTGATACTGGATAAGAGTCCTGGACTAGGAAAGAGAATGGCTCTGGATGAGGGGGTAAGGCTAAATGCAAGGATAAGGAGGTGCCGCTCCCTGCCAGACATGAGGCTATGATGGTTGATATGTCGAGATTCATTGTACCAGTAGTAAAGCTGTAGCTAGAGCCGCTCAATCATCACGTGATCCGGCGATATACCTAAAGCCGAGTGATGCTTGTTTTTGACGCGTTTCTACTGCTTTGGGTAATAACACTGGTATAAAGTGCCACATTCTGTATCTATTTGTTTGGCTTTGAGTGTGTGTTTCCCCCTCGCCCCCCGCGCGTATGAGCCCAACACTTTCACCCAACTTTTATAGCGGGACAGCCCATTCTTCCCCTTCTACTATATTCCCCCATACAACTCACCCACCGTACACCGTACAACAGCCAGCCAGCCAGCCAGCCAAGCACCAGCCAACCACCCACCCACCAATAATGTGAGTCAATGAACACTGAGTCATGAGCATACATGAGGATGCTTGGATTACTTTCAAACCCCATTTCAAAGCATATCTGCATGTTCTCAGACGGTTCTTGCGAGCTCACCATCATCCACCACCACCAACAACACCACCACCACCATAAACACAACACAATCTTCAATGTCTCGGAGCGCGGCCCCGAGGCGACTGATTTTTCGAAGTGATCCCGTGTCATGCGTGCATGATGATGAGGGTTACTTCATTGATCATCCTGAAGGTGATCCACTGGGTCCAGTGGGTCATTCGGCGTTGTTGTGAAGGGGTCGGGGCGTGGTGGCATTATGCGCGGCGCGTGTTTGATCCATTCCATATTGCATTCCTATACATCAGTCATATCTACATTGACTGATTACACTCCATTCCCTTGCGCTCGGTCCTCTGCGTGTGATTTAGAACGAGCATGCTGACACGTTATCGTTCTTAACTCTTCAATCACCCGCGACCATGACACCTCGACGTGCCAATCCTGTTGTCAACAACACCCACCACGACGAATCTCCAACTCGACCTGATCATGCTCTTCATCACGGCTTGACTCCGCTCATTGACAATTCACCTTCCTCATCCTCAACTGCGTCCACATCATCTCCTACACCACCATCATCTACCTCATCACGCTCCATTCCTCTCCCCTTCGTCCCACTTCCACTTCCCCTACCTCCTCAACTCGTCCCTTTTCTCGGTCACCTCGGCCCCCCATATTTACCCGCACCTCCTCCAGTCAAGATGCCCAAAGCCGTCGCTGAGAAAGAGACCACCAAGCGGGGAAAGAAGGACGTCGACCCCAACAAGCCCAAGCGGTGAGTCGGAAAACCTCTTGCAATGACTTGTCTGATTGCCTTTCCCTTAGTGCTCTCTCCGCCTACATGTTCTTCGTTCAGGACTACCGAGACCGAATCAAGTCTGAGAACCCCGACGTCTCCTTTGGTGAGGTGGGAAAACTCCTCGGAGCCAAGTGGAAGGAGCTTTCCGCTGCTGAGAAGAAGGTAGGCCGTCCAACGGACGGACGGACGTGAAAGCTGACTGTTTCCTTAGCCATACGAGGACAAGGCGGAGGCTGACAAGACTAGGGCCGCAAAGCAGAAAGCTGCGTACGAGAAGAAGTAGAAGGATGGGTAAGTCTAGCCAGATCGCGGGTCTCGAGACGAGCTCACGACCTTTCACAGCCTCTGTGCTTTTGATCCAATCGCCCTGCATCCAGTTCACTGGACTTTCCGAATCAAGAAACCCTTTTCTTCTCCCTGTGACCCCTCTTTCTCGATCAAATCACCTTTTTCAAGCCATGCGATAACACATGGTCATGTTCGTAACTTCGAGTTTGCTCTTCCTTGCCATTCTGGCATCTATCGCCTTTTCATGTATATAGGATGGGATGCATGATCTGCGCCAATACTAAATAAATTGTTGGCCAGGAGACGGGACAGATTCAATCGTCATTCATTATGCCTTTTTCCTTAAATTCCATTTTCTAAATATCCAGCGAAAGAGCTTTTGGTAGTTCTCTGGCTATACTGACCGTTGACACGGCTCTGACGCTGGCCTCACTGCTGTCGTCGTCGCAGCCGCAGCCGCGCGACCACTACCTCCACCACCTCCACCATGAGGATCACCAAGACCCAACTTGCCGGTGTCGACAAGTACAAGTATTCTGGAGTCGACAAGTCTATCGTGTCGAAACATATTTTGGGTCCATTTTGGACATGGCTAGTGACCTTGTTCCCTACGAGTCTGGCACCAAACACGGTGAGTGAGCGAAGACTCGAGAGGGTTTTTTGATTGATAGAGTGTGCATGCTGAGTCCGAGGCCCTCCGAACAGATCACCTTTCTCGGGCTATGCTTTGTATTCGCCAATGTGGGCACGTTGCTCATCTTTGATCCGACGTATGAGGGTAAAGAACTTCCTCCTTGGGTCTATCTCTCATGGGCATTTGGCTTATTCGCTTATCAGAGTGAGTCTGGCCTGAGGCCCGGCGGGCGGCGGGACGAGAGGAAGGAAAAGAACCCGCTGATGTTGAACTTTCAGGCATGGACGCCATCGATGGGAAACAAGCTCGTCGAGTCGGTATGGCCAGTGCTCTAGGCGAAATGTTTGATCACGGATGTGATGCCATCAACACGACTGTGTGTCTGTCGAGATCCACATGTAAGAACACAAGTGCTCATGCTTTGCTGCTTTCCTACCTAGCTTGAAGTGATTCTTTGCGCGCACGCACTGGGTCTTGGAAGATCATGGTGGACCGTCGCTTCTCAAGCTGCCTCATTGTGTAATTTCTACGCGTCGACTTGGGAAGAATATCATACGGGAACGCTTTACCTGTCTGCCTTTTCGGGCCCCGTTGAAGGAATCTTGATGATCTGCGTCATATACCTCTTGACGGGATTCCATCCGCTCGGTCAAGAATTGTGGAATAGGCCGATCTTTTCCCTTGTTCCTGGTGGTTTGGGCTTACAAGCAGCCAGATGGTTCGACAAGACAGTCGGGGTTCGGGACTCGTTGCGTTTGGAGACGCTCCCCATCAACGTCGCGTTCATGTTGTTCGGAGGGCTGGGCACTGTGGGAAATATCATTAACAGGTGAGTGGATAGTAGGAAGTTATACTGGCATAATCTCACCTCTTGTGACTAGTTATTGGAACGTCTTGAAGCTTCGACAGAAGACTGGTAAACCACTCTTCACTCCTCTTCTAGGGTACCTGCCCTTCCTCGCTCACTCTATTATCCTCATCGCTTGGCTTCAGGCTGAGTTGAGAGGAGGTGTTCAGCTCGTCCACGATGCGAGATTATTGCCTTTCTTGGGGTACTGGGGATTGAGGTGGGTCGGGTCGCATCGGATTGGCGGTATGGCTATGTGCTGACCTAGTCTAAGCTTTTCTTACCAAGTCTCGCAACTCATCCTCGCGCACGTCACCAAATCTCCGTTCCCTTACTGGAATGGTATGATGGTCTACTCTCTGTTCGGCGCAGTGGATGCCAACTCGCAATGGCTCTTGGGACGGTGAGGTTGACTGTGATCTGATGAACAGCAGGGCTTACTGACCAACGTTCCTACAGTGAACCCCTGGTTCAAGCTTCACCCGTCGCTGCCAATGTCTTTATCTGCATGTCCTTCATCGTCGCACTGTTCAACTACGTGCGATTCGCACGTGAAGTCATCTGGCAAATGTGAGTTCACCTCGCGGACGTTGAGCTATATTGACCCGTGCACAGCTGTGAACACACCGGTATCGCATGCTTTACTGTCAGACACAAAGACGCAAATGGCAATTGGGTAGAGAATGATGAGCAGAAGAAGACAAACTGATCGGGGTCTTGAAAAGAGAGGGGTCACGATTACGCCCAGTATAAAGACGATAGAAGCAGCGGATACACGTACGAGAGTTATGACATAGAGTTGAAGGTTGAAGGTCGCTCACAGACGCATGGGACATTCACATGGGCCGACTGTCAAAGCAGCGGCAGACCACCAACGACTTTTCACACAACCATGCATGTGCACCTCAACTACTCTCCAGCTCCTCGCTCATACCATCTACTGTCCCTTTGGCATATAAACCACCACCTAGCTCCCTCGCGTTGAGCATTCTCGATCGTCTCGGTGTCCACACCTCTGGCGTTCGGATGACAGAAGGTGATTGATTTAAGATGGGTGACCGTCTCCCACTTCGACTAGGTGAAGGCCATAAAGAGTTTTGAGAGATACGTTTATGATGTGGTTGAGGTGGAGTTCTAGGTGGTGAAGCATCGTTAGGATTAGGAGCAGGTGGAGGCGTGACAATCGATGAGGCGGGTCGTTCGAAGACTGGTACAGGTGGAGGGGTGGTGGTACGATAGGTTGGAGATCTCGGACCTGCGTGAAGAGGTGGGGTGAGAGGTCTTGGAGATGTGACTTTGGGCGAACGACTAGACAATCCATTCGTTCGTTTACTATGTCTTCGTTTGGGAGTCGCGTGGAGGTCCATTGGGAAAGCGATAAAGACGAGTTTACCCGTCGGTTGATCGAGTGATAATGAGAGGTTGATGGAACTGGCAGAGGAAGGAGCTTGAGCGACGGATTGAGTGGTGGAGAGGTTTAAAGGAGATGTGGGAGCCAGTATGGGGATATTGTTTATAGTGTCGAGATCGTCGGTGGACCGTCCCGGTTCACCCTCGACAGGTATCTGCGGTCTTCGACGAATGGTCACTTCCCATTTGAGTTCATCGTTTTCGCCCCTGTTATCTACGCAAAAGACTTCGACTTGAAAACCTCCACTTCCATCTCGTGTCGAGGTAATGTGTGATCGTCTTCGAGACGATTTGATACCTACTTGACCATCTTCTGAATCGACGCCCGAAGTCGAAGCGGCGTCAGCGCCAGCAGATGTCCTAGATGCCGATGATGATGGACTGATCGTTCTATCGAGTCTAGAGCCTGTCCCAGCACCATTGAAGATCGTGGCTTTGGTTGAAGAAGTGCCGCCGCCCGATAAAGATCGGATATGAGCTGCTCCTTCTAATTGACCCTCCAATTTCGCTCGACCAGATACGGGTTTCCTAGATAACCATTCGGCTGTGACTGTAGGTCTCGGAGGTCTAGGGGACGTCTGAGAGGCAGAATAGGAGGAAGAAGTGGTGGTAGGGGACGATTCGGATGTGGATCCGTGAGAGGAGATTCGTAATGGTTGTAAAGATAACGGTGTAGATGCGTGAGGACCTCTCTCTCCAGATGACGACTTGGGAGCTCTAGGTGATCGAGGCATGGCTCGACGAGTAGGTGATAGACCTGATGAATGGTGAAAAATGGGTGCGGGAGTCAGATCTGTATCATCATCGTCGAGAGTATGCGTATGTGAGCCAGCAATGAAGAATGGATGATCTGTCCTTTGGCTCCGGTTAGATCTTTTCGTCGTCATCGTAGTCGTCGTCGCAGGGCTATGGCCGCGGATATGACCACCACCACCACGATGACCCGCTGGACTGGTGTCGAACGAGGTACTATCACTTCCTATGTCGGAGGAGACGACCATAGCTTGCTTGACACTTCCGGAAGATCCAGGTCGATACTTTGTGAACAATCCAGAGTGAGAAGAGGAGGCGGAAGATGGCAGATGGGGCGGAGGGATGGGAGTAGCACTCGATGGATCATCCTTGTTCACCAGGGCTTCGTCCGTCGGAGGCAGATTCCGATTATTGACAGATGGACGTCGGCGAAGCAGTCGAGAAAATGCACGATTGGGTGAATCGGTACTTGATGATCCCGATGCGCCTAACGTGCCTCCGGCCGTCGTTGATGAGGATGTTGACATGGAAGGATGATCCAATGAAGAGTTGAAGAAGAGCCCATTGGCGGTGGAGGAAGATGAGGAAGAGGATGTGGAGGCGGAAGCGGCATGGAAAGATGTCGGGGGTGTAGAGGCGGACGATGATCCCGGAGTCGTGGAGGTTGCAGCTGCTCCATCACCGGTCCTGCCGTTAGGTGTAGACGACGAGACTTGTTTTCGAAATGGTAAAGGGGCCATGGTTGCTACTTCTTCCTTCTTCCAGCAGCGGCAGCAAAGGGGTGTTCGACGGAAATGATCTTTTGATCTAGGCAAGGTATCAGATCCAGGGACCACCCAAAAAAACAAAGGGACAAAGGAGGGGGCCCGATGATCGACGTTCCAAAGGGTTCTTCTAAACTTCGTCCTTCTTCCTTCTTCGTCTGTCAGTTAGTAACCAATCCGCCCGCCGAGTCTGCTCTCATGTGTGTCGATCCTCAAAAAGACGCGTCGTTGATCTCAACATTTTTTTTGGGATCTTCCGCATCCCATCGAACCACACGACGGGCGTGCAGTGACACGTGGACTAGACCCTGAATCTGCCATGTGCTAATTTCCGTTTTGGGGGGAGAGATAGACAGAGAGTCAATTCCCGCGACGCTGTCGCCGAGTCTCACAGGCTATGGTGATAGTTTACATCCATTGTGTCATTCGATTTCATGATTGTCATATACTAGATGAAAACAGGTGGGAGTGAGACCCCTCGTCCTCCCCCCTCATCATCTTTTACAAATAGAGTGATCTAGTAGGTACAACCCATTGAAACAGTAAATATTCAGTGTATCCCCGTCTTGTCGCCCAGCCATTATCCCTATGCCCGCCCGTCCTGCAGTCCAAATATGAGAATTGTCTGTCTGAAGACGGAGAATGTAAGGTGGGATCGAGGCTTCCAAAGTGTGATGTCTGTATATCGGTGCAATGCAAGAGAAGAAAAGACGGACAGAGGCACGTGTGATCCAATCGTCAAGGACCGGTGGCCCTGATGCGCGTTGGATCGATTCGGTTTGAGCAAGAAGAGGAAACAGTACGTGATGGCCAATATAATAATAATATTGTACTTGAATGGTCGTTGTTGTTCCAGAGCCGAAGAAACATGTGATACAATTGATGTGTTTGCTGATTGACTGATGATTCTTAATCGATGACAAGAAGTTTTTGTGGTCACTTCAGAAAAATGGCGAAGGGTGCGATTCACTGAGGACATCTGGAGAAGGGTTGATCCGCAGTTCCACTGGGTCTTTGCGTCTACTCTGTGCATCGGCATTCTTCAACGCTGCCCAGAGTGGTGAAGCGGCAGGTGGGAGGACGCCACGAGAGATGTCCTGAGGGTGCATCAGAGGTGTAGGTGGCAGAGACGCATCGTCGTTGGAGGATGAAGATGTTGACCGGTGGATGGGTGGGGAAGGAGATCCACTGTCGGCACGGAGGGAAGGTGTTTCTTGGTCGTAAGTGAATGTCGATTCGTGTCCCCATGAAGGTGTATCGAGGGAAGTAGATACACTGCAGGTCTCGACGTGTTCGACAGAAACTTTGCCCACGCCACGCGCTTGGGCCGCCAGGTGAGTCGCGCGGAGCTCGACTTCGTCCATGGAGAAGGAGTCGACTTGAAGGATCAATTGACGTAAGAGATGGGTGTCGATGCGTTCAGAAGGGTCGACGGTGAAGATTCGAGTGAGGATGTACAAGCATTGATTGGAGATTGGTAGGATGCGTCGGAGGAAGAGTGGGTCGGCAAGAAAAGCATTAAAAGATTCGTCGTTTGGAGAAGCTATGCGCCAGGGATTACGACCGCAAACGAGATTGACGAGGATGACACCGAGAGACCAGACGTCGCCCGGTTGAGTAGGGTAGGTTGTCCGGTCAGGAAACCATTCACCGAGGCATTCTAAGGCATGGTCAGACACGAGTAATTTGATGGATGAGAGAGGGTGACCTCGTATGGTACTCACCCGGCGCAATGTAGAAGGATGAACCACAGCCGAATTCTGATGATGTACGTTCAGATGTAGCTAGACCAAAGTCACACAAGACGACGCGTTCACCATCCTCTGAGCAGACAATGTTTTCCGGTTTAACATCTCGATGAGCGATACCAATGGAGTGTAGGTAGTCGACCCCGTCGAGCAGTTGCAAAAAGACATTGCGAATGAGTTCGTCGTCCCCCACGTACTAAAAGTCGGGTGTCAGTCCATGTTTATTGGGCCCACACGGTTCTCGAACGCTCGCTCGAAACTTACTCGCTGCTTATCAGTGATCATTGAGAACAAGTCTCCATCCTCGCCATAGTCCATGACGACAAAGAGATGCTCCTCATCCTCTACAATCTTCTCCATGGACACGATGCTCGGATGAGCACAAGCCAGTCTATGTAGAGCCAATTCTCTCCTTTGAAAATGTCTCTGTCTCGCGTCCAGACCATGTCGTTGAAGACACTTGATGGCTCTGTAGCGTGGTTCAGGACCACTCGAGTCGACGCCGAGATAGACACAACCATAAGCGCCAGCGCCAATGAGGTAGAGGATTTCGATCCTGCCTGAATCGATGAACCATCTCTCACCCTCTTCGACACGTTTGTAAGCTGGTCGAGAGGAGGAAGCGGCGGCACATGGGGCATTGGCAGGGTTCATGGTGGTGGTCGTGTTGGTGGGGGATGGGAGATGATGACAGACAGTATTATAAAGAGATTGTAGATGTATGTGTGTGTATAGCTTCTCGCTGTTTTTCTTTTAATGGGTGGTGAGAAAGACGACCGAAAGGGGATGATGCTTTTGAAGGGAAGGCGCGAAACACAGTCCCGGAGATTCAGGAGAAAGCAGCCAGGTATTTAGAACACGTCGAGACGGAGATGAAAGGGTGGGTGGGATGGATGGACGGACGGAACGGACGGAACAGCAGGTGATGATGATGGTGGTGGTGGTGGTGGTGGTGTTCGGTGGTGGTGGTGGTTGATGGTGATAGTTGGGTGGTGTTATTTGTCGGATGCGAGCAAGAGAGAGAAGAGGGAGGACGGACGAGAAAGTGACAAAGGTGACGACAAGAAGAGGGATGGTGTGTGGATGGGTGTGGGTGTGTCTAGAATGTTAATAGAGAACAGAGTTGGGAGGTGATATACAGTGAGAAAAGGGCAAGAGGCGCGCGAAGCGGGGGGGGGGGAGAGGAGGGAGAGAGAGGCGAGGTGTGTGCAGAGCGAGAGAGAGAGAGGAGAGGCAGCCTATGAGATGTACGTACATCTCACCCCTTCACTCTCTCTCTCCCTTCGCCCCCCCTTCGCCCCCCTTCGCCCCCTCCGTTTCATCAACGCTCAGAAAAGAAAAAAAAAGGGACCAAAAAAATCCTCATTATGGCCAAAGAGTTGAAGAGACTAAAAACGGATGAGAGCGACGTGTGGCGGAAGAGCTGCGAAGGTGCCCTGCTGCTGCTGCTGCTGCTGCCGCTGCTGCTGCTGGTAAAAAGCTGCCGGGGAGGCCGGGGGGAGGGTTACCCTGAGTCGCACATACACTGTGTGATCCTTAGTGTGTGTGTGTGTGTGTTTGTGCTCCACCCACTTGGCTCTTCGCTTTCTTCGCTCTGCGCCGCCGCCGCCCCTGACCCCCCTATCACATAGCACCAGTTCCCCTTGCCGCCCCTTCCCCGGTTACCTTTTTTGGTCTCTGTTGTTCCCATTCCCTTCCCACTGGCCCCTGTTGCTGCAGAGGGACTAGTCGTTGTCTTCCCGATCGGGTAAAGTGGTCATTGAGTTTGGGTGACGTGTGGCTATATTGGGTAAGCCGGTGCTGCTGCGGTCGATTGCCTCTTTTGCGATGATTCAATAGTCAGTATTCCCGTGCCCCATCCACAGTCTCATTTCCGCCATTTCTGATCCCATCCGACAAACTTCAGCTTTTCTACCGCAGTCTTTCACTCCCTCACGCCCTCACTCACCGCCACCCCCTTTCTCCCCCTTTATTTCATTGGCTATTATTCCACCGCGGCAAGAGGGTTGTTCCGCCACTTTTGGTCCCTTTTTTTTCTTTTTTTTGCTGGCTCTCTTCCCGCCCAAACTCCCTGTGTCCCCCCCCCCGCCACGGATCTCACGTTTTGCAGTCAGATCTCCCAATGCTCATCGCCATGGAAGTCGCCAGCAGGTGTACGTGGCATCCCCCAGGTCGGGGATTGAATCAACACCAATTAAGTGGAATGACATACACACACCCCTGTCGATCGGTCTCAAGGGCGATCCCACCATTCAATTCAATCCATATTGCATCTACATCATCCATCATGTCACGGTCCTCGGACGACGTAATTTCTACCGTACCATCCTCATGCATAGTCACTCAGCTCCCAACTACGCCATCAATCTCGCACTCTTCGCATCCGTTCTTCCACACCAGAGCATGCCACTCTTTCGGTGGCCACACCGTGCACACGACCCGTCTATGCCGTGTTCCGAGAGGGCGAGAGAGAGAGAGAGAGAGACACACACCTTGTCATGCGCTCAGTGTTGGCTGGCGCTGGCGGCGCTGCTGGGAAGTGGTGTAAACTTCTGCCTTGGCTTGTGAACCAGGAACCATAAAAAAGTAAGAAAAGTGTTACCAGCCCGTGTTCTTGCCATCTCCTAAGATGGTTCGGCCCGAGTGCAGTGTACCTCTGACGCTGGCTCGCACGCTCGCTCGCTCGCTCGCTTCACTGGTTCCTTGGGCTTGTCATCGAGAAAGAAACGGTCAGACGGGAACGTGGCGTTAGTCCCACCGCCCAATGACGCCAAAGCCAAGGTCACACCTTTCTCGGGCCTTTCTTTGGGTGCGAAAACTCTAGCCCGTCCAGGACAAAGACGCCACAGCATCTTTCTTCTTCTTTTCTTTTTCCTTCCGTTGGACTGACGACGACGTACCTTACCAGATCACTGGGATTGGGTAAAGCCCAGTGAGGCGTGATGCAGACAGGCAGACGTACGGATCGGGCTGGAGGAGATCATCTTATTTATTTTTCATTGCCCACATAAAGTAAAGAAGTTACGAAAAGGGGAGAAGAAAATCAATTGCTGCCGAGCAAGGTGGAGGGAGCGTGAGGGTTGGCAGTCACGGGAAGATAAGGGAAAGAATCATTCTACAGATCTGAACCCTTCCCAGCTGATCAGATGCATCCTGGAATCTGTGGATCTTCCTCAGGGTCATCTAAAAGGGACCGATTCCCCGGCGACATTTCAATGGGAGCTCAGGGAGGATGGTAGATCTCGCATCGTTCCACGCTAAACCGTATAGAGTATGCACGAATCAAGCGGTACACGTACTTTCCACCATACTCCCTTTCTTCGCTATACGTCGAATTGGGTTCCACTTCGGGACCCCTCATTCGGACGGTGACGGTGACATGTCTTCCAGTGTATACGTATCGGTGCCTGCGCTTGTGCCTCTTGGCTTGACATGAAGATGAAGATGGGGACGGGATTTTGACATGGGATGACACGACATGTCACGAGACCAACGAACCATGCTATGGTGTGCTACTTCACCTCAGATTGTTCGACATCTTGAGTCAGCCTCAGGCACAGGGACCGCTATGGTTCGGTCTTCGTCTCGCTCTGTCTTGCTCGCTGTCACGGATACAATCCGGTGCCGAGAAGTTGAGACCGAAACGAGACGTGCTCACTTCCTCCCCGCCACCAAGTGGAGATCTGGTGATCGACAGGGACAAGGGTCAGTGAGACATTGGGATCATGGGGGTCGGTCACCCCCACATGGGACGACAATCATGGTAGCCCGTGACAGATGTACACTACGAGATAAGGACAGAGTGTTGCATTCAGGATAGGATAATCACTTTGCGACAAGCAATGAACATGGCTCAAGGTGTTCCATGGGTTCGTCACCTCTTGCCAAGATGCATCTCGTTTTGCAGCCGCAAAGGCCAGCTCTCATGCCAAAGCTGCAGCTGGCGTTCCTTTCGGCGATGGCCGTTAGTGCGGGGCATTTTGCCACCAGCTGCAGCATAGCCGAAATGTTTTTCACTTCACTGATCTCGTGGTGGCGAGCTGGACGAGTGTTGAGCAGCTCGGATCGTCGAGCGCGATGAGCTCCATACCACCCTTTATCAAAGATTCTGGCTCGTCCTTCAACTACGAACGTCAATGTGACAAGGGTGGTTCTGATAAATCGCTTGCGAGTTGTCGCATTCTACGTAAAGGTTTAGGAACGAGTATCTGGTTCGTCCAGTTTTACTGGCCGTTCGGTGATGAGCGCGTCACGGTGAGTCTGTTGGTCTTCCGGGACGGACCAAAGACGTGGTGTCAATAAGCTGATGTTGGGGTTGGTCTTTTTTTGGTCCAATATTATCTAGACCACACGGATTGACCTGTGTAATGCTTGGGTGACGTTGTATAATGAACGAACGAGACTTTGGAGTATACATGAAGCATGTGTGGAAGTGCATCAACGGAAATTTTGGAGGAAAGACTGTACGAGTGAGCAGATCGACGAGTTGAAAGGGATGTTGGCAGTGGTGAGTTCCCGGATGAGCACCACCGTTCCGCGAGTTGTGGCCGGCCACTCAAACCCCTCCTTGTGAAAATGCCATGCTGACTTCTTCTAAAGGCTTCCTGGTTGTTCCGTGAGTCCCTTTCAAACCCCTGTCTCTAAACGTCTGGAGTGGACTGACACGTCCTCCCCCCTTCCTTCGACTACCAGACGAGCTCGATACGTTTATCACGCTCCTTGACAAATTTCAATCGCAAACGCGTATACCTGTATTCCTTCTCCCCGTTCCACCTCATCATTCACCCCTCGAACTCGGCTCCAGCCCTTATAGGACCAAACCAAAGACATTGTCGCATGAGCTTTCGACACTTCCCTTGTTGATAGTGTATCAATTGGATCAGATCCAAAGTTACACGAGGCGTATGCCTGGATGGTATGAAGGCGTGAGGAAATTGTTCCCCCCGACGTGGAGAGAAGGCGTGGGTCTACCGATCATCGAAACAAATTGGAGTAGATGGGTAAAGGAACAAAGAAGGATAGAAGAGGTCAGTGGTCAAAATCTCATCGTCTGCTTTGACCCACGAAAGCTCATCAACACTCTGCAGGAGTCACGTCGACAACCTTCATCTGAACAGAAGAAGAAGAGCTTCCTAGGTATCAAGTTTTCGAAAGGGTCGCCATCTGCATCCTCCTCCTCCTCCTCTTCCTCGATGCCTGTCCAGAGAGCCTCATCACCGATAGGAGTGAGTCCGATCCCTGCCCTTGGTCCGGGCTCCGAGGGATGTCAAAATTGACCCTTTACACAGAGCATCATGGAACGAGGCAAAGGCAAGCCTCCACCATATACCCCATAATACTGTATACATATGGAATAACGCCACTGCCACTAGCGTTGTAGCATCTGAAAGTTGTCCCGTTGTATGTCTACCTGTCCCACTACACACGCATATTATCGTAAGATGCATTAATGTCATGATGGGGATCATCAGATGATAGATACATTATTTATTAGTGAGCCATGACAGCTCCGCCTTTTCCAGTTCCATCTGCCCTTTCAAAAGGAAGCAAAAGGGCACATACGGCAGTGAGGACGAATATAGCGGCGGACACGAAGAGGGGAAGGGAAGGAGATACCGTCAGGAGGAACCCAGCAAAGACAGGTGCCACGACTCCAGCACTGGGTGTATATCAGCCCTGTGACGCCGCCCCCCTTGCGTTGCGGCACTCACAGTCGACTGAGAGCAGCGGACGTTCCACAGGCTGTCCCACGGATCGAAGTCCCAAAAGTCTCGGGTGTCATACCGTCTGCAACGGAACAATCAGCTTTTCACGAAACTCGAACAGACGCTCGTTAGCAAGCACGCACACAACACCGCGTACATCGCTGTAGCGGCCATGGAAATGATCATGGAGCTGACGACCATGGCGTACTGTTCCCTCACACGGATGAAAGCAAATGTCGACAGACCCGTTGCAGCTGTCCAAATGGCTAATGATCTTCGACGACCCAGCTTTGTCTGAATCATCCATGCGCCAAGCATCGATCCAGGGCATCCAGCAACTGGATGAAAGCGTCAATCAGGAATCAGTCCTTACTGGTGGCCGACTCACTCGAATACAGGACAAACTCGCTCAAGGCCGACCGGATCGCCTCGTCGCCTTCGCCAGATGCTCGACTCTCCAATACAGCAGGAAGCCAAACGTTAAACATGGTGTACGCTATTCACCGTCAAGGTGCGTTCTCAAGTCTCATGGGCTTACAGAAGGACATGGCGGCCCAGATGATCCACATAAGAATCACTGTTCTCCTCCATTTAGGTACGAACAATCTCCTAATCTGTCGCTTCATCTGACCGGTCCATTCGAGAGCGTCCTGCAACTTTGCACTTTTCACACTGGCCAGCGTCTTCGTACTGGCCTTCCGGGACAGATACGCTCTGGGCGATGAGTCGTCCTGACCCTGCATGGCATCGCCAAACGAGTGGTCGAAAGCATTCTCGTTCTCTTCCAATGTGAGTGATGTGTCGGCGTAGAATGCAGAACCGGTCCGAATAGGATGACGAAGAGGTTTGGGAGGAAGACCATGACCCATCGCATCGTAATTTCGAGAAGGAGGGCGAGAGGAATTCTCAGAACTAGGTCGAGTGATGGGACCGTCATTGAGCTCGCTCGCTCTGAGAACTGGTGATCGTTCGCCATCGAGGTATGCGTGTCCAGAGATGGGTGTTGTTGTCATTTCGGAATGTTTCTTGTCATTGCTCTCCACGTCCAGAGGTTTATTCTCGCCGTGATCTTCAGTCGCTTCGACATCGGCTGACTGGATGTTCATCTCATTGTCATTATATGATGCGATGGCACGGAGGACGACGATGGCTTCGTCGGGTCGACCGTTAGAGACGAGATAGCGGGGGGATTCATGTAGTCTGAACAGAAACCATCGACACAGCGCGCAGACCATATTCTGGCAACGGGCAAGCGATCAAGCGTCAGCGACCACCTCAAAAAGCTCAGAACACCTAGACGGACAAGACTCACAAAGCAGCCAAGGACCAACAATACCCTTCGCCACCCGTCGTTGGCTTTTCCAGCGATATCGCATCCTTCGAATTGAGAGCAACTGGCCCCGGGAAGGAACACAAGTGAAATGACGGAGGAGAGAACGGCACCGAGGGAGAAAAAGATGGACAGTAGCGTCAAGAGGTATTGTTTGGAATGAGGGAGGTTTTCAAGGAACAATGTCCCGTCCGTAGGCATTGAGCCGCTACGTCAAATTTTTCCAGGTTAGTCTTGGGCCGTGTCCTTTGGGAGCCAAAAAGACTGTGCAGCGCCAACTCAACAAACTCACCCTACGGCCGTCCCTAAGAGGAACATCCAGAGACAGAGGATTGGGAAATTCGGTGCGAAACTCGCACAGATCCCGAATACAGCCGTAAGGAATAAAGTACTGTTGAATGGGAGTGCACGACCAAGGAGATCAGAAACAGTTCCCCAGCCAACGGCGCCAAGCATCATCTAAGCCGCAGCCGAATGTCAACGTCCCTCCCCCCGTGTCTGTCCAGGCCTTTTTGAAAACGAGGTTTGAACTCACCCCTGCCATGGTAGAGGCGGATAAGAGCCCGACGACCTTGGAGCTGAGGTCAAAGTTGATTTGGACGCGAGGCAGAATGACCGCTGAGGGAGGTAGAGTGATTTCACGAGAGCGTCAGCGCCTCCCGTGCTTGTTTCCCCTCCTTGCAGTTGCGAAGGATCTGAACTTCACCTATACATTGAAGGGAAGAGTTATCGGACATCCAGCCTGTCCCACAGAGTGCCTGCAGGCCCCTTAGCGAATCGAAGCGAGCCGAGGCGAAGCGACAGACCAAACAGCTCACAAGTAATCTCCAGTGATACGCGCCTGATGAAGAAAAGCGTTACACGGTATCGGTATCAGTCGTCGAAGGTTGGTATAGGTGCGACCCACCGAAACCCAGCTGTTCCAACGTGTTCTCCAATCCTCTATCCCCTCCTACACCTCCATCTATCTCTTCTTCTAGCCCTAGACGCTCTTCAAAATCTAAACTCCCATCTTCATCCTCATCCTCGTCTATATCATCCTGACCGCCGCCGCCAGTGACTGTACCATCTGTCGGTTCCCGATGGCGTGAATAATTTGATTCGAGACGTGATGGACGGCGAGGCAAGAGATTATAAGATGATTTCCGAGAAGCAGGTAGAGGGATCATGCTCAATGTGTCCTGATGACAACCACGACATGCAGCAGTGAAGATGGAATCGTAGTATGAACAACAGGCCAATAAAATCAACAACAAAAAACCTGTTCGGCGATGACTCAACGGAAAACCGGGTGTGGAGGTAGACCGAGCCAAGACAAATTCCACATGCATATGTTTAGTAAAAGACCCCAACGAACGATCATCTCCTCTCTTTGACGAAGAATTTCAAGACGAGATAACTTGCAATGATGAAAATGGCGAACACAATGCCCAAGAGAGCTGTATCGGGCCACCAGAATGCTTGAGCGTGGAATCCAAAGGACGAAAGAACTAGGTAGGCATCAGCAAGTGTCACGGGTGTGAAAAGCTAGGTCCTCACTCGTAGCACTGGGGACTTGAATATCCAAACCAAACTAGAGGCGTTAGTGTACCTCTTTCATTGTCGACCCACCTTGCGCTCGATGAGCTGGAGATATCTCAACTCATTCACGAGCAACGCCTCATACCCTGCGTGGAAGAATGACAACGTCTGCATCCATTTCAGGCCCTGTGGCACTCGGTCGTAGTTCATCAACAGCCCAGCGAAGAGCAAACTGGCGTCAACGGGTAGACTGACTTAGACTCACTTGTACAGCATCACGAGGGATCCGAGCAGATTGGCCAGACCGAGATCTGATATCGCCACGCTGAGGAACAGGACGATACTGCTAGCTGTGAGATTGAACAATACCAACGTCATGATGAACTTCCAGAAAGACGAGACTTCAGGATTGAGTCCGGCCAGACCGTACACAATGGATCCAAGGACGAATGGCGGGATGACACGGAGCGGAATGATGTCAAACAGAATCTGAAAGTCAGTCCCCGTACCAGGCCTGAAACTCACCTTGGACAGGAAGTACATGGCTGGGGAATAGTATCCATTGGCTCGTTCCCTCATGAACAGGATTCGCTCATTCGCAAAGATTCCCAGTGAAGAGAGCGTCGAGAATCCAAACAAGCTGAGAATGAAGAGGAACAGCCCGAGTCGATTCCTGCAAATCAGCCGGTGTGTCTATCGTCGAGACTCACTGAAATCCAGGAATATCATTCGTGACTTTGTAGAAGAAGAATCCACAGACAAAGGCCACAACGATGGCTACGGCATAATGTGTACCCATGAGCAGCGGATTCCTGTTTGTTCCGTCAGTATAGCTGCGACTGACAGACCTCACCTGTAGAGGTTCTTGAAGGCTCGACCAGAGAGCAGCTTGAACTGTGTCCAATAGCCCGCTTTTTGGTACCCCTTGAGCAGATCAGTCTCCTCGCCTACGTCTCGTGTCGAGTCCACGCCGTTTGGCGTCTGACCAGATTGGATTCGATGGATCTCAGCTTCGACAATCTTTGCATCATCGCTTGATCGAGAAGCCAGGACGATGCTGGCCAATTTCTCCGGGACTAGATCCTCGGACGGTGAGGCTGGAGTAGAGGACGAGGTGAAGGCTCCGAGTAATTTTTGAGCCTTCTGCTTGATTCCAACGGGCAAATTCTGCGTAGACGCATCCGAGTCATCTTCATCGCTCGCACTGTCCACATCTCGCCTGAATCCATTCTCTGGATCTCGTTCAGATCTAGAAGAGCTGGGAGCATGGCCGTTCGCTTTGCCTTTTTTGACTTTGCGATCGCCAGACGCATCGACCGTCACGTCGATGAGATAATCAGCGATATTGTATCCTGGTGGGCATTCATAGCCTAGTTTGGCAAAGTGGTCCGCTGCGCGTCGCGATTCGCCAGAGTAGACTAGCTGGCCCTTCGCAAGGAGGACTAAGCGGTCGAATAGCGCAACGATGTTGGATTGTGGTTGATGAATAGTGAAGATGACGGTCCGATTGTATGTCCGTGCAAGGGTCTTGAGCGAGTCAATGACATTGTAAGCATTGTACGAGTCGAGACCTGATGGTCAGTTCCGTTCGAAGCTCCATCTCACCTGAGGTCGGTTCGTCCAAGAACAAAATGCTTGGGCCAGTGACCAATTCGCAAGCGATTGACACCCGACGCTTTTCACCTCCTGAGATGCTCCTCTTTCCACTCTCGCCTATTCTCGAGTCCCGAATACCAAGGATACCCAGCTCATTCATCGTTTCGAGCGTTCTGTACACTTTCGCCTCATGACTCATATCGCGAGGTAGTCGCAATAGCGCGCTTAGAAGGACCGTCTCATAGACTGTCAGAGTCCCAAGAAGGGTATCCTCTTGATCGACGTATCCGACAACCCGGCGGAATGTCGCTTCATCGGGAATGTCCCGTCCATTGACATACATGTCACCGCTGACGGTTCCAGTCTTGGCTTTGCGAGCGAGGATATCCAGGAGAGTCGATTTACCTGCTCCAGAAGCGCCCATGATGGCTAGCAACTCGCCGGGTCGGACCGTCCCAGTGATGTGACTGAGGACAGTCTTTCCCGAGGCGAGAGAGTACGAAAGATTGGAAAAGTGGAGTGTAGCCGGGACATGATCCGTCATGAGCTTGGCAGCTTCATCTTCGGGGAGCTTGACTCCGCCCATGCCATCAGGATGACGAGGAGTTCGACCGAGGTACCAGAACACTGGAATCAGCTCAACACAACATTGCCAACTCACGAATGCAGGCCAAGAGGAACACTGCAGCTGCGGCGGAGGCGCTCAGAGCCAGCATGACGGTGTTGTCTGGCTTCTGTGGGCGCGTGTATCCAGGCACCTGGGTCTGATGCAAGCATTCCCCAGAGTCGCAATCGAGATAGATGGATTTGTCTCCAAAGACATCATTTATGAGGTTGTTCATGGCCGCTTCGCTGAATGCGCAACCTTTGCCAGATTCACATTCGAACGTTCCTGGTCCTTTCACTTCTTCGGCGAGGAAGTCATCGATGTCTGGAACGTGAGCGAGAGCTGAAGGCGGTACCACTCACTGACACTCCCATCTTCGCCGCAAAGGAATCGACCGGGAACGCAGGCACATTCGATATGCTCACATCGGTACGACGTCTTGTTGGAGTCTAGGAGATGAGCTAAGATCATTGAAAAAGCTGCTCACCAAAGCTCTCTTTGCCTTGCCAGGAACAATCTTTCAAGTTGCAATAGAAACTCTCGATCCGATCGACCCAGAATTGGAATTCGCAATGCCCCATTGCTTTGCTTCCTTCCATGTCACCGTCGGAATGAACATTGGGCCAGAGCCAGTTCGAGTCCAGAATTGTGCTGTTGTCTTGCAGATCGGCGGTACATGAGAATGTGACTTGAGGAGGTTTGTTGTCAGGGATCGTGTCGATGATCTTGCGATCTAGGCTGTCAGCTATAAGGAATCTAGCATCCACTCACTCGTCACGTCACACATCTGGAAATTTTGTTGAACAGCCAGACCACCCTTGTAGCAAACCATGTCGTCCGTGTCATCTTCTCCGTCTGGACCGCCTTGTCCTGGTAAACGGGATTTAAATCCTGAGCAGGCCTGATCTTCCTTGCAGACTGAAACATGAGAAATGTCTGGCTTCTGCTAGTCTCACCATTGCAGTTGATCCCTCCCCATCCATCTTTACATTCACAGAGCTTTCCTTCTTCTCGAGGGTACCTCTGATCACCGTCCGATAGAGCGCCGCACACTGGTCTGATCAGCTCAAACTCCCTCGATCTCACTTACGTGGTGTCAGACAGTCCTCTCCTCCGAAACCAGGTCGACAACGGCATTGGCCATCGTATTCATTACATTCTCCAGCATTCCCACAGTTGAATGCAGGCAAGAGGCAGTTAAAGCATGGTGGGCATCCTGATGGATTGCCAGGTCGGCGGCGAGGAGGTACCTTGAAAGAGAAAGGTATCAGAGTGTGTTCTGATGGCTTTAGGCCAGGACTTACGAGACTACTGCTCCATGCCATCTCTGAGAGAGGAGTCTGTCCCAGTCCTCTGAGCTCTAGCAACTCTGGACTCGATCTAATGCGACTATCGCGCATTTGTCCATATCCAAAGGATTGTCCCAACGCTGACGTTGCCAAGAATAGAGACAAGGCGAGCATGATGTATGAGACCTGCCGGGTCGAAGCATGTACTGTCTAACGGATGAGCCCGAGCCTGCTGACCTTGTGTAGTGCCTGCTTGATTGGCCTAGACGGTGTTGATTGATCTTGTCGCCAGCTGGAAGTATAGACTCAAGAGCAGATTCCAGTGTCATATGATCAGGATCGGGCGCGATTTACCCGGTTCGGACGATTAGGGCGTACGCGGCGGGAAACGGGGGGCGAGAGTCCGGGACAGCATCTGCGTGTATATGGTCAATTATTCAGATCTCTAATGCGTGCGCTGCCACGAGGATAGTGGACAGAGGACGCAACGAGTCCAAGCAAGTCCATTTTATCTCGAGAGTCATCGAGACATGGCACACGTTGAAGACTTGATGCATTGCGCACAGACCACCTGGATGACGAAAAAGCTGACTTGACACCCCTCACACACGATCTCATGCTTTCCTTCCATACTACCTAATAACATCTTCGAATCTATTCCCTTGAGCAGATTGATCAGTTTTTCATTCACAGACAGCTTATCTCGTCATGGCGCCTCGTCAATCAAATGCGTCTTCGTCGTCGGTAGCCGACAGATCTGCGGCGCCGCCCAGAGAGATCAAGGCAGTACCCTCACCCAAATCCACCAAGGCGAAAGCTCTACCTATCCCCGCGGACTTTACCACTTTCAAGGCTGAAGCTGGAAGAAACCTGACGATTGCCATCGGTGATATGGATGGAGAACATAGTATGACCTTGGCTGCTGTGCCCAGGGAGTTTGAGTCAACGTGAGCGTTAGAGGGAAAGAGTACCTCTGACTGGAACGTAGATCATTCGGATGGTATGTACAAAAGGTCGGTCAACTTCCTCTTGTCAATGCGGAAGGGGCCAAGAAGATTAGAGCCAGGGTGAGTATGTAGAGCGCGTGGGGCCTAGGCGATGCTGAGGGGAGGTCATCGCCTTTCGATCCTTTTTGCGCTATCACGAACTCGACCGCTTGAATGTTAAAATGTTGCTCCACTCTGCGCCATCTCATACACGATCGCTTTTCCCTTCTAGGTCACCATCACCATCGTCGTCGAAGGATCCAAGCCCAAGGCTGCGGTCCCAGCCAAGAAGCCGAATGACCATGTGAAAAACTCGGAGAACGGAACCACTACAGGCAACACGGCTACATCCGAGGACACCAAGAAGGCCGAAACCCCCAAGTCATCTAGCTCAAAGAAGCGGAAAGTCGCGTCAGATGAGGAGGCGGATGACTACAAGGAGGAGGCGGAGGAGGAGGAGAAGAACGACGACGAAGACGAAGATGACCCAGGCGAGGGCGAGGATGACGCCAAAGTCAAAGAAAAGGATAGCAGCTCAGAGGCTGGAGACGGGAGTGAGGATAGCCAGGATTGAGAAGCACAGCGGTAGATTGGAACGACTGCCCTCATGCCCTCTCAGCCATGGAGCAGGACTGGACGAAACCTCTATGTAGCTACGACACCTCATAACCCTTCAGGTAAGTAACCCCCTAGAAGGAAGTGCCACATTCGGGAGCAAAAGCTACCCGATCCCTGATAATAAATGTCTATTTTCGGCAACTTCCGCTCAGCCGGTACAAAGCTGAGCGCCACGTACCTGAGAAGGGAAGAAGAGGGCGGGGCACGGCAACTGAAATGAAACCCGGGCCGAGACCATATGAATAAAGAGCCCACATCCAAACTTTGTCTTCTCTTTCTTTCTCTTTCAGCACCTTCTTCATCTTCTTCTTCTTCATTTTCTTCTTCTTCACTTGCTTCATTTGATAATCCCCCAATCTACACACTCTTCACCATGAAGCTCCTCGCTGTCGTTGCTGCTGCCTCTGCCGCAGGATTTGTGGCTGCTCAGTGAGTTTTTCCTTCTGTCACTCAAACGCGACATTGGCACTGACCTACTCACGCCTCAGATCCGGCATCCCCGATTGTGTCCTCAAGTGCTCTGAGCAAGCTGCCTCGTCAGCCGGATGCGGAAGCTTGTAAGTCTTCTTCACGCAGCTGGATCAGGGTGTCGGCAGAAAACTCATCTCAATCAGCCTCAACACGACATGTGTCTGCTCTTCCGCGACCTTCCAAAATGATGCTGGCTTGTGTCTCAAATCGTAAGTATGGGGGTGGGGGGGGGGGGCCGGCGTGCTCACACGCGTCGTCCCTTGCTGACGCTCGTGCCAGGAACTGCTCTTCAAGCGATCAGTCTATCGCTTCAGCCCTTCAATCACAAACCTGCGGTAACGCTAGCGTGACCGGAGGTTCCGTCACTGCTACCATTGCATCTGCCACCTCCTCTGTCAACCTCACTTCCATTGCTGCTGGCCTCACTAGCGCCTCTGCCGTCGCTTCTGGATCAGCCTCGGCTGCTATCAGTAGCGTTCTCGCTTCCATCTCCAGCGCTGCAGCCTCTGGAAGCTCCGCAGCTGCAGCTTCGTCTTCCGCCGCCAAAACTTCTGGTGCCGCTGATAAAATCCAGATCGGGTCGATCAAGGGTTTGGCAGGCGCAGCTGTCGGCGTCCTCGGAATGATCGTTGGAGGCCTCGCCATTCTTTAAAAGAGGAACGAAGAGACAACACAAGGTCACCACGCTCTCTGCAGGACGCCACTACCTTGCTCACAAGACATCACCTCCATGCCTCGGTCTACCTTTTCATGTTTATTATTCCGGAGACTCTCTCTCTCTCTGTGTGAACACCAAGCCTCAGAAATACCAACCTATCCGTAATGCCATTTCCCTATCTTATTTTCGCCTTCCTTATGCATTCTTCTATCAGCTACCCAAAGCTCTTCAACTCAATGCCTTTTCTCTCTCCAGCCGCTACCTGTGCACCCCTCCCTTGCTCAATCTCCACCTTGTCCCTCACAGCCTTTTCGAGCTTTCTGCGTTCTTCCGGATCCATGACCATAGTGGCATCTTTGAACGCACTCGGTGAGCTCTGAGCAAGACTCAGAAGGGTATTCGTAGCAATGGTATGGAGTTGAGAAGGAGAGGTTCCGGGTGGGTCCAGCAAAAGACACAGCGTGGGCAAGAGGACGCCGAAGCCTCGAGGTTTGAGATCATCTTTCAGGCCCGAAGTCCAACTGATGAGGCACTTTAGCGTCTCGCGGATTGCTTCGAGGGACTGCACATCTGTAGAAGAAGACACCAGAGATTCAGAGATGAAGCTGATGATGGGTGGTAAGAGATTCAAGGAGGCGTGCTGTAATATTGGCGATGGCTTGCCAGACGACGTTGGGCGCAACGATGCAGTCAATAGCGTGGATGTGCAGTGAACGGCCGTGAGGCCTAGCTCTGCCCGCTCGGATGCGCTGCCGAGATATTGGCCGATCGTATAACAGATTGACTCGATCACAACCCGGCTGACCGATAGAGATGGGGGAAGGGAAGTCAAAATCAGTGTCATGGCCAAGAGGTTGTTCTTTATCTTGATGTTGGCAACGGGATTGACTCTGGTTCTAAGGAGCTCAGCAACATTCGGCCTGCTCGCCCACCTCATTTCGTCCACATGGCTCAAGCATAAAGATAGCAAACCGTGTATGACTCGCTCGCCCGTCGCATTGCCCATACCGGGGACTTGAGACCCAGTCCCAAGAATAGCGTCAAGAAGCATCTTGAGCACGGGGAAAAGTTGACCAGCATAGTCCATCCCCGGGGTCTCGTCTGCGAGCAAGTCCCCGAACAAATGTATCGCCACAGCGTAGAGGTCTGCTCGTTGAGTCGGCTCGATGCACTCTACGATTTTGGTGTATGCGGTGAAAGCGGCTCGCAGGAAAACCACCCGGTCAACGGCGCCATCAGCCTGAGAGAAGGTGGATTGAATATCTTTTGAGCTGATTGCCGATCGTAGGACATGAGTCGTCACTGCCAGAGCACGTCGTGTTTGAGCGGCATCCGAACTGCATCGTCAGACACGCCCAAATGCCTCCGCTCACCCATCCTGCCCCTTTCGCGAGACCACAAACTCTCTCATCACATCACACATGTCAGCTTTGAGTGTCGCCCTTTCGCCCATTCCCACACGGTAGCAAACAGTGCACAGCTCGTCGAAAAATGCGCCCTGGAATACGTTGCCAGACATGCGAGGCTGAACCAGGCTTTGGATGAGTTTCAAACAAACTTGAGCCATAAGTGATGCCGACGAGTCCCCAAGACACTTGACCAATCGCTCAAACGCCAGGCCATAGATGATGTAAAAGTTTGCGCATGGTTCCGTTCTGATAGGAGGTATTGTTGTCGGTTCGGCAGGAGTAGTAAATGCTTGACCGTCCATCGCACCAAGGGCAAACTTGTCGTTCGAGTTTAGAGCGACAGCAAGTGCGTGCATCATCTTGGGACAGCCAGTCTCGTAATACTGCACGTCAGTGTTGTTGCTCCATGAGTCACTCACTGGAAGCAAGACCTCTCTACCTAGACCATTGGCAAGGTCGACCGCGCCAGTGAGATTTGGACCACCTGCACCCATCTCCGGGTCTGTGCGAACGTGCGCATAGTCTCGCAGAGCTCCGATCCAGAATGGCCCCAGTAGCCACCGATAAGGCTTGACTACGTCCACAAGATACGCCTGCCTAACAGAAGCGACCTGAAGTTCCGTCCATGCAGCTAAGATAGACACCTTGAGCATAACAGCGGCATTAGCCGAGAGGTCTTCAACATCGCCGAGAGACTGCATATCGCCATCTGATGGTCAGCCCAGTCATACCCTGCATACTCACCTCTGCATTGCTCCAGAGCTGACGTGAGGAGTTTGAGGATTCTTCCCATCCGGTTCACTTCCTTCACCACGCCAGAGCCTACGAATACGGCACAGATCTGCACGGCGAGCGCGAGCACGTCTGGGCCGGAGTCAGACCCAAATGAAGGTGTGAGAGCTGCTGCGATCGGGGCTTGGTGCTGTTCAAGCAGTAGAGCTCCTTCAAAGTCGGGATCCGCCGAGCTTGAGAAGCGCTATAACGATGAGCAGAATGCCCCGATGTGTTCTCACCTCGATGACATCTCGTAACACCACCAAGCCTTCGAGCCGCACTTCCATCACTAAAGCGGCACTTGCCGAGAACGCCATGCGCACGATATCTGCCACCCGAGAGAACAGCATTTGTCTTGGATTCGCACCTGATCTCTTGGCCAAGACCGGATCAAAATTTTCGGGCTTGCCGTGCTCAGCAACGGCGAGAACGATATTGTGCAGGCACTGCAACGCGAAGAGTTGGGTCCTCCAGCGAGACGATAGGCCAGACGTCGAGCTGGTTTCCATTGCACCAAGAGATTGCCCTTCGTCATCCATGACAAATGTCGCAGTGCCCGTACTTTGACTTTGAGGCTGGTAAACAGCAGGTTTGGCTGGTGCCGTCCGAGTCATGATGCGTTGACAAAGGTCTATCCAGCCTGATGGGAGAGCAGCAGCGGTCTGTTGCAGCCAAGACGTGATGACATTTCGTACTCCTTCCAAGCTGGGATCATCGTCCAAAAGACCGAATAAGTCTTCAACGAGTTGATTGCCGCCGAGTTTCGAGATGAGCATGGCATCTCGCTGCACAATTTGGTATAGAGCGGTGATGGCAGCGACTTTGAGAGGTCTTCGGGTCGATGCCAAATGAGTTCGAAACGTCTGAAGCAGTTTCGGGATATCGACCTCGGCAGGTGCAAACATGAGGAACTGTTGAACACATTTGATCGCCTCAACTGCAAGACCCTCATCGACTTCTTCACTGAACTCGTGTACCAAGAGGAAGACGAGAGACCGGATCTTGCCCGGTTCTTGAAGCTCGGGGCCTAGCACACCGACCAGGGCATGGAGAATTCGGCAAATTACTTGGTATGCCGGAAGGTCGCCGCGAAGGTTGACACTGCCTAGTGAGCCACCGTCAGGCTCGTGCGTTTCCAAGAGATAGATGTTGGCAAGCATGCCCAGTGTATTTGGGACGTAAGGTGAATAAGATAGATTGGCGGCATTGACCACCTGGGACAAAGCTGACATGGCGTAAAAGTGGACGATGGGATGCGGATCCGTTGCTAGTGACATTAGAATGTTTACGATGGTTTTGAGGATTGGGCCACCAGCCAGACCTCCAACGTGGCTATAAATCTCCCCGAACGCCAGTGCGCAACCCGCTCGGCTTTCAGGTACACGATTATTGACGACCTGGTCGACAAGCCATTGTACCTGTGTCGACAAGTAGCTGCTGCCCGCGAGGCTACTCATGAGACCCATCGCCTCAGCCGATGCTTGCCGAATGCCAGTGTTGGGGTCGAGTATCGCGTCCTGCCTGTCAGCGTGCCAACTTCTCCGCCAACTCACCTGAAGCAAAGACTTGATCAAATCTCCCACTTGGGAATTGCTAAAGGCTTTTCTCGATCTCACACTGGAAGTTTCTGACAAGCTGAGAGATTGCCGCAGTGCTGCGATGGTGTTCGCCAGGACTGCTTGCTTTCTACCAGGATTCTTCTCCAGTTTACCCGAGCGAACATGACTGGATAGCGTGGCCAGTGACTGAACCTGTCCCTCGACAGACTGATGTGGGAACATGATGGAGAAGAGCTCAAGACCAGCGTCAATGACACCTGTCTGAGAAGAAGGCGGCATGGGCGGAGTGCTGAGCTCGTCTGCGACAAGTAGATCTAGCACATCGTGCTCGAGGGAGCCGACTATAGGTCGCACAAGCTGGGAATCGATTGACACTTCGATGCGATCGCGATTCAAGAAAGCTTCCTCAGAGTCTGATCTACGACCCAACTCGCGAGCTTGCAAGAGGCTTGTGAGACCGAAAGCATATCCGTCTGTCGATTGCCAAACCGAAGTAAATTGGCCAGCTTGCGCAGCAATGGCCGCTTGCGCTGCTGAGCCAGAATAATTTTCCGGATCGGCGAAGACTGTGATTGCGCTCTGTAGTAAGGCCGCCTGCATGGATTCGGTTGCCGAGGAAGGACCAAGTGCAGAGAAACACTGCAGGACTCGACGACGAAGATTGGATTCGCGTTCGACAAGTGATGGACGAGCGGTAAATGCGGGAGATGTGGCCTGTGGATTCGCCGCCTGCTCGCGCAGGGCTTCGGCAAAGGCCGTAGCGAAACCGTTAACGAAATTGAGTGTGTTGGTGAAGAGCGTCGCGAGTCGTCTTGCGGCGTCAATATTGACCAGAGATGAATTATGCCGCAGAAAGTTGAAGACCGCGGCCAATGCACATTCTCTAACCACGAGTAGGAAAACCCACTCGGCCTCGCCTCGCTCGCCGACCGACGCGTCCTTGCTCGTGGGCTTTGGCAATGCGTTTCGCCATAGAACCAGCAATTGTGACAAGTTCTGTCTGACGAAACTCTCACCCAAGCTCATGAGTCCTGCGATGAGGTTCCACCCGACTTGCACCTCGACGGTTGCTACAGCCACATCGTGATCTCCAGCGCGCTTCAGCATCGACACAGCCAGGTCGAAGACCTTGGTTGGGGCGTCATGAGCCATGTACAAGGGTCTGGAAGGTCCGACCGCAATCAAGGCGGACAAAGCGAGAGATTTGCCCATGATCCGATGCGATAGATCCTTCGGCGCTGTTGGTGTGCCCAGCATACCGAGGTCCTTCTGCAACTCAACAAGAAGAATGTCCAGTATGCGGGAGAGCTGGCTCGGATTCAGATAACAGAATCGTCGAAGGGCATAGGCGGCTGCGACGCGAACAGAGTGAGAGGAGTGCGAGAGGAGTCTGACCAGAGGCTCTGCCAATAGTTCGAGAATTGACGGTGGGGCGTTGCCAAGCTGCTCAAGAAGACCAGCGACTTCTCTTAAAGCAACAACGAGGACAAGCTTGTGCGTAGTGCTCTGTCCGGGTAGAGGTTGAGGCTGCCATTTCTTGACGTACGAATTGGCCCATTCTCTCAGGGCCATTACTTGTGCCGTTTCCGACAGCAACCGAACGCCGATCAGATCACGCAGCATGAGTGTTGCAGCATCCCGACTTGTCAAAATCTCGTACCGTCCCGTCTGGCCACGAGATGAGAGGATTATCTCGTCCATGATGTGCTTCACTATCTCAGCGTAATGGGATTCGACGTAATCTGAACCCAGAGTAGTGAATAGTGTGACGTAGACATCGAGAATGGCATTCCTCAGACGTCGAGGGGTATTGGGTCGGTTGTACTGAGTCGATAGGAAACGCAGCATTTCGGCATTGGACAGCAAAGTCTTGGCCCCTTTATCTTCGGCAGCCGACGTGACGACTGTGGGCTCGGACAGAGCATCCTCGCCGGTCTTTGTGACTTTCTTGCTCTGGTCTGGTGCGGGGGCTCCAGATCCGGGGGTTTGCGTCGCAGCGAGCAGGATGGCGAGAAGACGAGACAGAGCCCTTCGTGTGAGGTAGTCTGCGGTCTCCAAGCTTTTGAAGACTAGTGGAGCAACGCTATCGAGGGTGCTTTGCAGAGGTGTTGCAGAAGTGTAGTTGTGGAGCGATATAAAAGTCTCTGCGCACGCCCGCTGCACGGGTAGAGCTCGATCTTGGAGACCATTCCGCAGTGCTTTGAGGAGATCCTTGACCAGAGCATCGGGCAAAGCTCGGCCAGCAGAATGTAGTGATCGTGAAAATGCCAGGACAGCTTGACATCGGAGCAGGACAGACTAGAGTGAGTCACATTTCCGAGGCACGACTCACCAAGTTGGTGTTTCGTAATACCTTCACTGAAGAGGTACATATCTCCGCCATGAACGACATCATCTAACATTGATCAGAATCAGCATACACGCCGGATCTCACATTCATTCCGTGCTCCTTGATGACTTCTCCAATGCAATACCAACAGGCACTATAGCTCAGCTTTGCACTCAAAGGAGGAGGACTTACACTCTCGCCACGTTCTCCACCGCGCTCATATTTTTACTTCCTCCATCACTGACAGCTTTGACCAAGCTCTGGACGAAATCGAATAAACTCCTAGATTCGACTTTGTGGTGAATCTTGACGACACATCGTGTGACGAGGTGCCGTATGGGTCGTCCAGCTTTTGGCAATGATGGGGAAGCGGACGGTAAGAGAAGCTTAAGAAAGAAGGTATGAAGGGATTGAAGACTTGCGAGAAGGTCGTCCTGTATTTAGATCATGCACTGGACGTGAGGACTCACATTGGACGATGATTCTATGGCCTGTTCAGCTTGCCTGAGCCAATGTAAGAGGTTCAGGTCGGCGCCATCGCCAGTGAAGCGGGTCTGACGGATCAGCGATGACTACTTAGAGGCCTCACCTCGTCAATGACCAAGGCTGCAGCCGCCTCTGACATTTCCAGGTAGGCTTTTGAGTCAAGCACGGTACCAACCGTATTGATATAACCTCAAGAGGTTCAAGGTGATCGTCACGACCAGAGATAGGCAGTGATTCTGACCTTTAGGCGTCGCAGAGGTGATTAGGAGCTGTATTAGAAAAGCCTCTGCTGGTGATTAGAAACTGATTTCTAATTAGCCCAGAGGGGACAAAAAGATTTCGTTCGTGTCTCGGTGAAATTCTGATTCACTTTTGACATTTGGCCAACTACGAAGCGACCGTATCCACCATGTCGCTCGATATCGGATCCTCAGCGATCCATCTGAATCTTCCTCCGGCGTCGAGCTCTCAAGTGTGAGTCTCGAAACTTATCTCGGCTTGATCTTACCCTCCACAGTCGCTCTCCATCCGTCATCAACATTCATCCTTCAGTCCTCGCCTCCATCCTCACACATCATTCTCGGAAGCCGTCTGAGTCGAGTACACCCCGAGTCATCGGGACGTTGATGGGAACAAGGTCAGAATCGGGCGCAGAGGTTGAAGTGAGGACGAGCTTTGCGCTCCCGCACAGCGAGGATGAGAACCAGATCGCGTTCGACATGGAGTTCTTGATGGAGATGGTGGATCTGTTGAACAAGAATGGAACGAAAGAGGTCATCGTTGGATGGTAAGTCGATGGCAAAAGAGAGATCAAGCTCAAAGGACCAGGTACGCTACCCACTCTGCTCTGAATGCGTACTCTGCGGTCATTCAGAACTTCTTTTCTGGCGAGACAGTACCGTATCCTGCTGTTCACTTGACCATCGATACAGACCTTTCGGAGCAAGGCAAAGGCCTGGGCGTCAAGGGTTGGGTGTCGAATCAACTGGGTCTGACGCCGAAGCCGGAAAGCTGTGTCTTCTTGCCTGTTCCCGTTCAGCTCAAGTACGCAGACTCAGAACGCGCAGCCTGTGAGTCGATATTTGCAAAGTATTTATTGACACCGTAGTGGATATGTTGACCTCGCAACCTACACCGAGTCCATCTCAACCTCCTCTGCCGACTTTGGCAGCATCTCTATCCGATCTCTCTAATCTCATTGACAATGCCTTGACCTATGTGAAATCAGTCAACGCAGGAACGACTCAACCCGATGCTCAGGTTGGACGATACTTGCTCGAGGGAGTCGGCCGATGGGCAGGATCAGAAGGCGAGGAGGGCGGTGTCAAAGCTGGATTACAAGATACATTGACGGTCGCGTACTTGGCCAACTTGGTCAGATCTCAAGTCGAGCTCAGCGGACGTTTGACCTTGTTACAGCAAGGTACCAACTAAAAGCGAGACTTGGTCAGCTGTGACCATGAAATGCAGATGCGTGAGAGACTGTAGTCATACAAAAATTAGATCTTGAATTTCTCCATAAATTTAAACAATCCGCCCATGTCCACATATCTGCGACCATTCTTGTCGAGATACTTGTCCGTCACGGCTGCCAGCTCGGCGAACGCAGCAGCATTGGCATTTGCAAGAGCATTTATTTCCTCTTCGCGCGTCAGATATGCCCCGGACCCGTAGACTCACCAAAGCGTCCAGTGCCACGGACATTGTCCATGGCTTTGTGGACGTCGAACAGGCTCGCGTAATACAAGAGCTGGTTGTACAGCATGGAGTCAGAGTACTGCCGTCAGCTTTGTCCTACCGCGACGACTCACCTCAAGGCGCACTGAGCCTTTACAACCCTCCTTGACTAGACCAAGACAACGTCTTCCGTAGACACCCATCATTCTCGTTCGTGCACCGCAGCCTTCACCATCACAGACCGTATAGCCGAGATAATATTTCGAGATATGAGCGCGGATCTGGTTCTCCAGCTGAACCGCCAGACTGGCAGTGTGCAGTGCTGTGGAGCATGCCGGACATAATATGCCGCTAGGCTGGACAACCGTCTGCGATATAAGCAAATTACGCAGTCTCTCAAACCCACCGATCCATCAACCAATCCATCAAAGCAGAACACCGTGTCACACGACGCGCAACGTATGCTCAATGGATCAGACTCCTTGAATCTCTCCTTGTCCGATATTTGCGACTCAAACGTGAAGAATTGCTTCTCTCCAACCTCGTGCGTGGTCTGAGCATACCGAGTGGGATCGAGACCGAGGCATTCCGCTAACCGCGCGCGATCTGTGCCTTCAATAGATTCGCAAAGACGAAGTATAGGTTGAAGTATTTGTCCGTCGAGGTAAAAATCGTAATCTGGCTTGGATCAGCCTCGTCGTGATGGACGACTTGCCTATTTTGAGCTCTGAGCCCTGCCGTCTCAGGTCATCCGGATGGAAAGCTCTGTCTGCCTGAGCTGTCTTTGCAGACTTGCCATCGGCTCCCAGGCACATAATGTAGGGAATGACATCGTGGGCTCGAACTGAGGCACCCTTTGATTTCATGCGCAGTGCTACTTGCACATGAGGCTGAGATTTCTTGTCCGGATAGTCTTCTGGGTTCTTTCCAAGCCGCTTAAAGATGATAAAGTCCTCCAGAGGGATGGTGCCGTTTCTGACGGTCTCGCCGAGAGCGGTCAAGAAATCGTGTATCTTTGAGACGACAATCTCCGTAGCTTCCCCCGACAAGATTTCCTTCAGTACCGCGCTGACTCGTCAGCCCATCATCACACGGGTTTGTTCACCTTGAAGAGTCTTTGGAGATCTTTGAAAACTCTCGTCGCTTCATGTCCAATCCTTTGACTTCCGTGGCCTTTTCCCCGCTCTCGTCGATTTTAACGGCAGCGTACTTCTTCTTGTTGAGGAGGAGGATGCGCTCAAAGACAGCATCGAGATCAATTTCGAGCAGCTTGTACCGCTCATTGACGAGTTTCTTCAGGTCGTTGGCGATCTTGAGGGCTTCAGGGTAGGTTGTGACATTAGAATTGACAAAGACGGAATCGGTATCTCCGTAGACCACCTAAGCGAGTGAGTCCAACACATCAAGGTCCGCTTACATCTAGCTGGAGCGACTCGGCCAGTTCACGTGTATGGGTCAGAATCTCACGGCCTTTGAAAGTTGTAAGAGCTGCTAGCGGTCTCGAAGAGAATCGCGACCCCGCAAATCCAAGACATCCGTACATGGAGTTGGCGGTGAGTTTGAGAGCTTGTTGTCGGATATCGTACTGGCAGGTGAGCGATTGTGCTTCGAACGCTAGCCTACCTGTTGAAGCTGCGCAGGAGTCGCCGATTTGTCCTTCATCAATCCCTTCACCTGCCGACGTCGACCAACGAGCGTGGCAATGATTCGTGGAAGGACACCTTGAGCCACATCTGAACCCGGTATATCGGGAATCTTTTCCTCTTCGCCCTATACCGTCAGCTTTGACAGACGGATCTACCCACTTCGACCTCATCGTCGCGCTCCACAGTGGTGAAGTCAATGTTGAATTCCTGGATGATACTAGGGTATAGCGAGTTGAAGTCCATGACAAGGATGTATGTGTCCCATAAACCCCTCTTTGGCTCGAACACCAGCCCTCCGGCGTACTTTGCCTTTCCTCGTGTCTTGGCAGGTGGAGCATCCTCATCCTCGTCGACCACACGGCTCTTCTTAGAGAAGACCTTGTCGGGACAAACGTATTTTAGCCTGTGAAATTCGTGTAACAAGATGAACTCGTTTCGAACCGCACGTCCACCGTTCAGTGTCAAGTTCCTGTCAATTAGCCGAGTTCCTAGGCCGAACCTCACCAGGAATTTCCAGCAAGATTTGTGAGCTGCTTTGTGAGCGGCAGCATTTGTACACGAGCCGCGATGGCCATCTGAAAGTATGCGTCGACTTCGCATAGCCGGATGTATTTGACCAATTTGTCAGGGCCAGACAAGGTGTGGTCAAAGTAAGTATGGGTGTCTTCGGGATCGATGTCCTCTCGTTGGACTTTGAGATGGGTGCTACACATCTCAGTAAGTGACCATGTGGTCGAGGAAATCATGCCCTGGGCGTCAGACATTACCACGGAGGCCTCCTCACCTTTGCGGCATCACTTGACAGGTCCGCTACCAATCTCCCAGCCATCAACCTGACGTTGGTCCCAGCTTTCGAGATGGTGAAGTTTTTCCGCCTGAATCTGCCGATTCTGGACCACTGATCGGCTTTGAGTTCCTTCATACGGTAGAGCATGGCTTCGAATGTGTTTCCCAGAAAGTTATGTCCGACAATCACATCAGGATCGTAGCGGTGTATCGTCGCCAGCAATGCGTTCAACAGAGCCCGCTCCGCTTTGACCGTTTGAAAAGGCGATCGCTCCGCCTTGGCTCGCGCTTCGAGGCCAGGAGGGAATTTCTCAATCGGCCGAATGATGGTGTTGACTCGAGATGGCTGCTTGTCGGGCGGTGTCGGGTCATCAATGTTGCCTGGGAGATCAGTTGGGTTCCTCCAGGGCGGCTCACATCCGTCCCATGTCCTTGCAGTCACACATAGCAGCTCTGTCTTATTCTCCCGATGATTTACAATCGTTCGCATGGATAGACTCATGATGGTAAGTGGTGGGGTCTGCTTCAATGTGGCGGCGTCTGCCTCGGAGACGGGCTCGACGGATTTTGGATCGTCAACCGTGAACTCGACTTTACACCAAGACATCTGGCTGTGAGTAGAGGGGCTACCATGCCTACTCACAGCTTTAGAACTCTGTTCGGCGCCTGTGATTTTCAGCCAGCATGGTCCCATGATCTTGCGTTTTACGACAAAGAGCTCGAATGCAGAGGTGTTGGTACCAAAGACGTGACTGAAGGTTGAACCAGACGTGTCCATGGGTATTTCCGGCTCTTCGGGAATCAGTTCAATCTGAGAGGCTGACTCACGATCGAAGCCATACACGACTTTGAGCCATTCTGATTCGCCCTTCTCCACATCCTGCATTTCGAACGCATACTTGCGACTGACGAATTTGGATGCCCATTGATCGATTCCGGCCTTGCGACGCACAGAGTCAAATTCTTGGTATACGTCGGTCTTGGTGACTTCAATGTCGGTCTCAAAGCCCCCGGCTACATGTCAGCCACATCAATGCATAGTCCTCACAAAACTGCTTCGCTCTCGGCTTGACAAAGAGATTCCTCTTGATCCCATTGACCGACACGCACGCGCTGACATATTTGCCACTTTTGCGATCGAGAACTTTGCCGACGAGGTGCATGACCCCTTCCTGCTCCATAAAGTCGAGCCAGAAGATCTTCAGACTTCCGTCCTCATCCATGATGTTCTCCACCTTGACGGATCCGCTCCCTGACACAACGGCAACCTCGTCCAGATCAGAGACTTTTGGTTGAGGAAGGAGAGACTCTTGGATCGATGACCAATGTGTCGCTGTCGTCGCTGCCGGTCTGGTGCGAAGAGGCTTCTCTTCTCCCTTGATCTCTGCCTTGGTTTCTATCTTGTGACTCTTGATAGCATTGACGACCTTCCGGCGCGTGATACCACCATTGACCTTGTTGGACGTGGCCAAAGGTCTCGTCTGATCCCTGACGCGGATCTCCACATCCTCGTCATACTCCAAAGGTTCAGGCTTGACATCCACACCTACATCGACATCCATTTCAGTATTCTCGTCCGGTACCACGGTGATGTCCGATACACGAGGTTTCTTCTGATGAGCCCATAAATCTTCGTCCTCCTCCAGCTCGTATCGCTTGCGAGTCTCAAAGTAGCTGCCTTCTGAGCTCGGTTCGGGCTGGTCAGAGCTAGGCATGTCAGGCGAAGACTTGCGTTTCCGAGATGCTTCGCCCGTCGTCGCAGTCACGGAGGATAGGAGTGAGGCCATGAAATCGTCCTCTTGGATCGCAGATGGGGCGGCACGATATGTGGATGTGGAAGCGGATGGACGAGCATAGTCTGAGAAAGCAGATTTTGTCTTGAGCTTGGAGTTCGAAGCGCCCTTCTTCTCTTCCCTCGCTCGCTGCTTCGCCCTTTTCAGACGTCGCGCTAAAGGTTTCAGTGGTGAGTTCAGCTTCCGAACGAACCTCGTCTTAGCTCCTCGTCTTCGCCGTCAAACGCGTCCTCGTCCTCGCTCTCTTCCTCGTTCTCTGCCCCATCCCAGTCGTCCGCACCATTATCCACATAGCCACTCCAATCGTCATCCTCGATGAAGTCGTCCTGATTTAGACGATTCCCAACAATGGATCGGTATTGATCATCTGTCACCGTGTCGTACAGCTCGGCATCCTCTGGCTAGGCGAGTCAGCGTGAGACACAGTCGAGGCCTTACCTTCCACTGCTGCAGTCGGCCTCCCTTGGCTCTCGCTTCACGCAGAGCGGCGAACTTGTCAGCACGAGATGTCATCGTGTCTGCCCCAGTCGATATATGATAGCTATGATAAAAGTCAAAAGACGAAGCGCGTCTCAGACATTAGAAACGCGTTTGTCACGTGATGACCTGAGCCACGTGTATAATTCGGCACTTCGCCACCTAAGAATGTCATGCTCATGCACATGTTCCATCCATGCATGGAAGCACACCATGCCGTCCCCTCTGGACCAACCTGAGGCCGCAACTCCTGCACCAGCTGAGCCTGACTCGACGAATCCAAACATTCCAGAATCCCTCTCTACGAAAGCTAAGCCTTTGGCGATTGAGGGAAATCAAGTGAAAGATAAGGCTGAAGACGAGGTCACCGTCCTCGATGTGGGAGGAGGCAATGTGGTCAAATTGGACAGGCTGGGACCTATGATCATCAACTCAGACGGAGTGAGTCAATATCTTTTTGGCCGTCCCTGACGTGCCAGACCCTCAGTCGCATTCAAAACTGGCAAGAGCTGCACCCAATCGAACAGGAGCGAACAGTAAGGCTGCTGGTAAAGAAGCGAAACTTGGTGCGATTGCAAAAGCTGGATGCGGAGAACAAGGCAGAGGGAGAAGCTGTCAGCGCCCTGCAAGACAAGTCATAGATTCATGACTGGTTACAATGTTGTACAAAACACATCACCGCATGACTGCATCACAACCTGGCCATCGAGTATCAAACTCATCCTACCCTTACAAAGGTACCTCCGGGACCGTACTCCTAGCATGGTCAGCGCTCCCAGGCATAGAATCCCTACCTTTGAATAGCAATGCTTGCAGATGGGCGCTCCACGGCGATCTGACACTTTCCCAGGCTCAATGGTAGACTTGCACCATTCGCAACGTAGGCATCCCCGATGCCACCTTGGCGGGTCAGCGGACTATTTCTGCGACTCGGCTCACTTGTGGCCTAATGCAAAGATCTGCTCGTCAGTCATGTCCAAAAGGGGTTCCCTCACCTGCTCTGCGATGTACACTCTTTTCTCGCATCCCCAGCAGAACTCGTCGCCCATGTTCACTTTTTCTCCGACCTTGATTCTCGGACTGTCGCCTCGCCTCAGCAGACCTCGCTCGTCGAGATTTTCCCTCTTTCCAGAGTAAGGCACGCTGATAGGTCTAGCATCCTGGAAGTTCGGCCTCGTGATGGGCGTACATGGATCCCTGGGGTAATCCGGTGTAGCCGGTACCGACGAGCTAGACAGTTGAGGAGGGGTGTAATAATCCGCTGGAGGGGGTAAATTTCTCGGCGTAGGGTGTTTAGGCGACATTGGCGACATGGCAGTTGTGTTGGAGGGTGTTGTGGGAAGAGGACGTCGAGCTGGCGTTTTAGACGGAGTGCTCGCTGGTGAAGCTGGATGAAGGTTCGAATGGCGAAGGTCTGAAGATGCAACAGCATCATGCTGAATCAGGGGCTGGATAATGTCTCGCTGTCTGCCTACTCACCCCGTGTTCCAAAAAGTTGGAGATGACAGTGCTTGCAATATGGCTTTCACGAAGTCAGATGACCTCTTCATTTAAGGGGATTCTTTTCGACTCACATCTAGATCGTGATCGACGAGACCACCGGGATCCAGTCGTTTATTACACTGTTTACATTTCAGACATGGTTTATGATACACCTGCGGAGAGTGTGAGGACAAGTCACGCCAGTATCAGAACGCCTACCTTCTTGCCGGGTCCGAAGACTTGCTCAACATGGTAGACTGATTTGCCGCAGGTAGTACACGGCGGTGCGGCGCCAAACATGCCGGTCAAGGAGTCCGGGCTCTCGACAAACGAACCTGTCGCAATGCACTCGTGGATATTACTGGTTCACAGCTAGTCCACAGGATACTCTTCAGAGCTTCGATGTGACACTCACTCGCCTGCCGCTGCTCTCGTTATCAATATCGAATGAGCGTCTTTGGTGGCTGGATGCATGGATGGATGGAAGGATCAACAAAGGGGAAAAATAGAACGCGCTGGACTTTTACGTCATCCACGCGGTTTCTACTTGGCGGAACTCCTTTGTTGCTCATCAACTCTCCCCTTACACAAATGGCATGCTTGGCCATTAGCCGGCCGCTAGCTAGCGGTTCTGTTGGCTACAATGAGGCTCGTGAACTGTAGACAGCGTCTCACACCTAGCGGGTATAGCTCTACGACGAAGACCGCTCCTATTCTCTGTCCTCCGGATCTCCCAACCTAGGCAATGCAGCCTTGCTGTCTAGATTCTCACCCACTGCCCACGTTAGCCGTATCTCCCGGACACAACGCACCTGTTCCGAAGATATCTATAGAGTCAATCCTCGTCGTCTCCTCATCCTCTTGGTTATCCTTGACGAGAATATGCAGACTCCTGACGTTTTGGAACCTGACGAAGCGGAGGTCAATCTTGTCCCCTTTGACATCCTCCGGCTTGAGCGTGATCTCTTGGGCCGGATCCAGCGTCTCTGCATCGCCAAAGTCCATTGACAAGTGATTGATGAACAGCTTGATAGTCTTTGGAGCCTGGCTCGGGCAGACACCTGAGAAAATGGAAATAGCCTTCAATTTGCACGGTTCATTGAATGGTATCGAGAGGAGCAGCTCCGCGTCGACATCGGATTCGAGATAAGAATCGCCCTTCGGACCAGCGTTTGTTCCGAGGATCGAGGTAAGCGGATGAGCGGATGACTCATTGAGGCATGAGAGATCTTTTGAAGTGATGTTGGAGTGGAGGGATTGAGATTCGGGCGCGCTCGGCTTGGAGGACGCGCTGCCAGCAGCGGGTTGCGGCGTAGAGGCTGAGGCTGAAGCGGTGGCAGAGGGCGGCGGTGCTGGACCAGCATGCTGGTTGACCAGGGCAGTCAGCTGTGGTGGAGAAGCGCCTTTGAGCTAGGTTATCAGTATGATGTCCACCCAAGGAAGGCGTACCTCGGCAATCTCTCGACCGCCTTTCAAGAACTTGAAAGTCGGCATCGCTCGGATTGCAAACCGGCTGGACAAGAGTCTTTGATGGTCGACGTCGATTTTCTGAACGGGTGAGACCAATATCATGTCCGTGACGAAGGACTCACCACAAACTTGACGTGTTTATACTGTCTTTGTCAGATGAGCATCCCGGTAAGAACTTACCCTGTTCGCCAGCGAATCAAAGACAGGGGCGATTGCATGGCAAGGTCCACACCATTCCTAACACAAATCAGCTGACACCCGGGCTCTAGTCCCCACCGCTGAAAAGTCAATGACGAGCAATTGAGACGCCGAAAGGCTTTTGACAATATTGTCGAACTCTAGCGCAAGTGGTCAGCACAATCTTTCGTTCTCTCCAGACTTACGAGCCGTCGACTGAATCACTGTCACATTGGGACCCATTTCGATCTTCTTACCACTTCGTCCTGTCAGTCTAGGGATGACGAATACGAAGATGAAGATGACTAGAAGAGTGACAAAGAGAGTCTTGTCCATGCCTTGTGAGAAGGCGACACAGGCTGAATGGTGCTGGGTGATGATGATCTGCGTGCCGTAAAGGGGGGAATGACGTGGATTTCTCTGTCCGGTCTATCCGTTCGATCTTTGCATCCTATCAACTAATCAAACCTCTGTTTGTAGCTATACCTTAGCTACTTCTAAGAACCAATGGCACTGGCACTATTGTTGGCGATAGATCTGTCTTCTCCGAAACGGAGTCTGGGCTACTCGTCTCGCTGCTCTGCTCTACATCTGTGATTTCCGGTTCTCGTCTCATGTACCAGATTCCCCCCATCACACTGGCCCATAGAGCAAAATTGAATACCACTGATGCAGGATATCCGTGCGGGAACCTCGGAGCCTCAACAGTCGGAAAGGTAAAGAGTGGAACCTTAGACAGTCAGAACAACATCTTGGACTGTTACTTACCCAGATATACGTGCTGTAGCCAAAAGTCATCATGGAACTGATGATGAGGCCTCTTTCGGCAGTCGAGTGCCGCAGCGTCGAATTGATCCATGAGTACTGGGGGTGTCAACGTGACTTCAAATCCGAAAGACTCACCAGTATCGGACTAGACATGCCAGTGATGCCACCCAGGTAGAAGGCGACAAACTTTAAGCTTACAGGAATAGTCCATATGGACAAGCAGATGGCGGCAAAAGAGGTTGCGACCTGGGTCTAAGCACATTTCGGGCTCTTCAAACCTACCCATTGGAACGTCCAGAGCCCTCGGAGGTCCAGGGATTTGGCCAACGTCGTCCCCAGCCACGAGGACAAGGCCTGAATCAGGTTGACGAACGTAGGATATACGTTGACCAGAGTGATGGGGTACTTCTCATGCTTTAACCACAGAGACATGTATCCGACCCAATAGCTGCTGTTGATCATACAGCTGATGATCAGCGACGCTGATTGACCTAGACTCACATATAGGCAAAAACACAGATGTACCACATGGGTCTCCTCAACGTCGTCTTCACCGTTTGCCAAGTGATACCGTTGTCAGTCCCGCCTTTGCCATGCTCATTCTGCAAACGAGTGGACGCTAGCTCGTATTCTTCTTCGCTGAAGAACCAACGCTTCGGCGAGTTGGGTAGGCCAGGAAACAAGGCATAGCCAACGAAAGCGATGGGAAGGGTGATGACGCCGTCGATGATGAAAAGCCACCTGGCCCTTGAGCTTTTGGAATTTCATGCTCCTCACCTCCAACCGGCAAGCCCTCTGACTCCATTGAGATTCTTGTACGCAGCGGCTTGGAGGTAGCCTGAGAACATGGATCCTAGTGAGTTACCCATGAACCAGACTCCCGCGCGCTTGAAGAGCTCTTCTTCACGGTACCAGCTGCCGACTGTGGATCTCAGCCGTGGCTCCCGATGGTGAACTTACGAATCAGGTGCGTCCCTCCGAAGGATGGCGATTCGAAGAAACCGATCAGTGCGCGGAGGATGTAGACGTGTTTCGGATTCGTCACGGTTGATTGGCAGAACGTTAGAACGGCCCAGACCATCTCAAGCGTTGGCAGGAAGTATGGAGCCCTCCGGATTAGAATGCTTTGGATCTGTTTTTGGCTTACAGTCTTGGTTTGGTCTGAAACCACATCATTGGGATCTGACCCACGACATCTGCTCGTCAGACGGTCGTCAATGTGGCCAAACTCACAAGCTGTAAAGAACGCCACGTTGAAGTAGTTCAAGTCGTTTCCATACGCCTTTATATCCTCCTTCATCCCACTGACGTAGGCATTCGTGATATTACTTTGGTCTAGGAACTTGCAGAAGAAAGATAGACAGGCAAAGACAAGAATGCTGAGATCGAGTTTACGGAGGAGCTTGCGCTCTTTCACCGGCAAATAAGACGGGTACCAGTCAAATATGTCTAGAAAGACACGACCGGTAGGGTTGTTGAGCATCGCGCTGACGAGCTTCGACATGCTTATTGGGGCTTCTGTCGAGGACACAGGTCATTCAGCAAAGAACAGATCATCCCTCGGAAACGCGCTTTCATATCATCTCCGAACTGACCCCGGGCCATACGAAACGGATTACATCACGCCATTCCGCCTCGGGATTTCGACATTGTCGTCACCCTTCGCCCGGGATTGCAACACCATGTAATGATGAGATCTGAGGATCTTATTGGTCATTCCTCCAAGAATCTTTCCGAGGAAGTGATGCAATCCATACGTGCGTTTCAATTGATACATGGCTATTTCACATCTGGCTAATTTTCTTTTTAGTGGTGGTATTCTCCCTTGAAGCCAGGGACGATAATCTGGTCTTTCTTGGCCAAGTAATCTGTTGACTTGCTCTGCTGCCATTTCTGTTTCAAATGAACGAACTCTATCCATCAGTGCGTGTTTGAGCAATCTGACTTACCTCCCATCGTAGGCACTGGATGTCCCTCACGCTCGAACTCGTTCTGAGTGAAGCCCGCCTCTTTGAGCACAGGCGAGGCGATCGTCTTGAGCACGAGATCGTTTTGGGGTCGGGCGAAATATAGCAGGCCAAGTCGGTCATACTGAGCCTGGTCGTCAGGAGGCAGATGTACACGGTGCACGGTCGACTTGATGTAATTTCCGGTCAAGAAGCTTTTCAATCAGTGCCGATGCCAGTCTGCAGACTCACGAAAATGCGTCACAGCTATTCACTGTAAAGCTCTTGTCAAGAGGTTTGGCCCATTTCCACTCGCCGGTCTGGTGATCCTTGATCTGTAGAGCAGCGACTGGCTGCCTGAACAATAGAGTGAAAGATCCCAAATCGGTGTGTCCGTACGAGTATAGGCCATCTCCAGCGAGGACTTTGGCTCGGTCCTCAGGGCTGTATTTTGAGTACTTCATGTATCTCAAGTGATCCTCTGAATGATTCTCGTACTTGTGTAGGTCCCGGAAGAAGCTTCGAGGAAGGCCCAGACCAATAGAGACGAGGTCGAACAGTGGATCGAGAACTTTTGAGTGGAGATCCTGCGTGTCAGAAATGATCAACATGGCACTGCTCACCCTTGCAAAAACTTCGATCTCCTTGAGATTAGTGGCTACCACGGCGGGGTGTTCATGAGCATAGTCCCCATTGAACTCTGCTGATCAGTCTGATATCATCTGTCAGGGCTCACTTGGGATGTTATACACCTCAACCTGATCCTTGAGCCCAGCAGACGTGACTCTTCGTCCGGCAGGTCGGTATCCGTTGTATTCGCCATTTTCGAGATCAGGGATATACTTCGACTTCTCGCTCAAGGGCAAGTCGTAGAATTTCTGTCCGATGGCGAACTGACGATCCACTCTATCTTGTTCGATGTCGTATCCGATGACATAGAAGAAACCCTTGGTGCGGATCGCATCAAGGAGATTCGTGGCGAGTTTCTTGTCGGCCTCGGAGGAGGTGCCAAAGGTGGTCAGATCAATTGTCGGGACTGTGGGAGCTTTGTCTAGCCACCCTCGGGTAAATGCCACTCACGCTCAGCCCAATCAAGATCCTCGGTCGTCTCCGGGACGTACTGATACTTTGGCAGGTCCGTGGCGGGAACTACGGTCATGGTGAGCGGGTCAAGTTGGGGAAGACCGGAGATGACCCTGTACATCATATATGGCCCCCTTTCATACATTCCACATACATTGGAAATTGCTGTATTCTTCCGGGCGGGAAGGCTGAATCAGCCAGAAACGGCTGGCTGGCTGACTTGGTCATGAAGACTGAGTGACTGACCGACTGGCCATGGGTTGCGTGCTCGAATCCTAAAGCACGCCATGCCATTTTCAAGGCGTCAGATTCCACAAGCAATTAAGCATAAACGTCGAGGATACCGGTGTACGTAAGCCTTGAACAGTCTCTATTTGCTTCCGCATCTTCGCTCATCGCGCTTGACTTTTTTGCAGAACATGACTTTCATCGCGTCCAAAGCTCAAGCTCAACAACATGGATGTCGATACTGCAGACTTGGACGCTCAGATAGCTGCGTTGCAAGCCGAAAAAGCGCGCAAGCTTAGACTAGCAGACCAGTCACGTCGAGCGAGGGAGCAAGAGGAGGCAAAGGTCTTGATCGGGTCGACACCTACCAAACCAGCGACAAAGACGAGTGAGTGTGCTCCAGGATCCAGCTGACCGCAGATACGTGTGATCCGCCTCCTCAGCCTCGGTTCAATGTGACGCGTGTCTCTCGAGAATCGCTGCCCTCTGTGCCTGTGGCTGGTCCCTCTAAGCTGTCATCATCCCTTGCTTCGCTTCGTCAGAAGGGGTCATCATTGTCGCGCAACGATGCGCCAAAGGTAGCTCGATCGTCCTCTTTCTATACCGACACTCTGCCCAGGCAGCCCAATCAATCCAGGTCAGATCTCAAGGGCAAATCGCGATCGCCTTCGCCTGTACCCCAGAGAGACGAGGACAGTCTGACCATCGTCAATCGACTGCAACTTGGACCGCGTAGATTTGGTAAGGACCCCGAAGGCGAGGACGTATGGGAGCACGTGGAGCCGAACTCTGGTATCCGCTTATCGTGGGTCAATCAGCTCGAGTAAGCTAATGAGAAGCAAACGACTTCTCTCCCACGAGATCCTACAAGATCAACTCCGCGGACGTTACTTTCTCCCACCGTCATTACTGTACTCTGTGATCCGACTCTCTCGGGATGGCGCGACTTACGACGTGCCTGTCGAAGGAGATTGGGTCACGATCGCGATAGTTGCCGAGCGTAGCCAGGTCCGAGTCAGCGGAGCAAAGGAAGGGCCAGGTTCAGATTCGGACGACGATGCAAAGCAAGGAGACAAGGAAAAGTCCCGCGTCCAGAAGGACAAGTCGAAATGGCAGAAACGGAGAGGTCCCCGGAAATACGTCAACCTCAAATTGGTATCCTTGCCCTCTCGTGCCGCTTCAATTGGCAAAAGTGTGGGCCAGATGGGAGATGCTCTCCTTCAGCTGTTGCTCTTCGAGTCAGATTCCAAGGTCCACGATAAGGACGATGGGGAATCACAGTTTCGTTATCAAGGGGGATCAGGCGGAGCGTATGAAAAGTGGTGCAATCTCACGGAAGGCACAGTGATCGCTGTGCTCAATCCAAGGGTTTTACGTCCTTTACGAGTGAGTCGGCGTTCTGGATCTCGTCCTGAAGTGTAGTCTGGCACGCAAGCACCACATCCTCTCACGCTACCTCTGGCCTTGAACCCAATGTCCGCCGACTCGATAACCGTTATTGGTCAAGCTCGGGACCTGGGACGGTGTAGTGCAGAGCAAAAGGATGGCAACAGGTGTCGGACCTGGGTCGATCTGTGAGTTCACTTTGCCTTCGAGGGCTGACGTTTAGCCGACAGAGTCAGGTCTGCGAGTATCATATTCACGCTGCTGTATCACGCAGTCGGGCTGGTCGAGCCGAGTTCACCGCCAGTACCTCTGGCTTTGACCTCACGACCATGCCCTTCGCGAATGCAAGAAGGGTGCAAGGTCTCAATGGTAAAAAGTCCGGGCTCTTGCCCAATCGCGGGGCTCAAACGGGTCAAGGGGACGCAGGAGCAACTTACGTGGTTGGCGGCAACGCCATTCATACGCGAAGTGATGGAGGGTTGAGAAGTTTTGGCAATGAGCACCTGTCGGAAAAGCTTGGTCGAGGTCGAGCGGAGCGACGCAAACGGCGCTTGGAGGAGCAGGACGCTGAAGAAGCGATCAGTAAGCTCTTGAAAGAGGACAAGAACGGAAGCACGGGCGCCAAGTATCTGGCCAAGCTCGGCAAATCGGTAACTCAGGCGAAGGAAAGTGTGGAGGACCGTAAGCGACCGTTCGGCGTTCATGCTGTTCGACGTATCGGATTTGATCCGACACTCAAGGCCGGTCAGAGGGACGACGAGGATCACGCAAAGAGGGTGAGTTGGGGGCAAAATATGGGCTGATGATAAGATGGAAAGCCTGATCTCGCTCAAAGATCCTGATCGACCAATCAGATTGGGTCGGCCGGCCGGTACGTCTAAGTCAAATATCAGACCGCCGACGCTGGCGCCGGATCCTGTAACCGACGAAGACATGGTAGACCTCGACTGATGCGATGCATATGTTGTTACCTGTCGCCGGTGCACTGAAATTGGACATCGAGGCCTGCCGGATCACAGCAAGTGGTAATGGCGCGTATCTCAGAATTCAAGTCGCCATCGTTGAAGCTCGTAGAGAGGACAAGTGACTGTATACCGATTGCAGCATATCATGCCTATCGCTACCTTATGTGCAACTCGACTGGACCTGCATTCATTTCCACTTCGGCTTTGGACCCCACTTGTGGCGCTCCTGCCAGCGATGTGTACTCGCGCCGAAATATACTGCGATGGGCCCGTGACGGGTCCGTTCAAGGTTGACATTACTTGCGTGCAGGACCCGTGAAATCATGAGAGCGAAGCTTCTTGTTGGTGATCAGCGACTCCCCAACGTCTCGTCTGCCTTCTTGCCGAGACGAGGCGTGGATGACTTTGGCATCATCGGAGGACTCCGACGAGGCCGGTCCGGTCGCTTTCTTTGGCTGTCCCGCTCATCGTTCTCAGCAGACCAGAGTAAGGCGTCTCTGACTCCGATACGGAGCATCATATGTACTCGGCTGCGAGAGATTGAATGAAATCCGGTTTAAAGACCGGTCGAAAATGCGCTAGTGGATTCCCCCCACTCTCGACATCATCTGGCCGACCCGGTATGGTAGCGGAATATCGTTTGGAATCTGACCGGTTGAGCACCGAAGTGGCTCCAGCTATGCCCCGGAGCAGATATAGAAAGGACGAAGCGGTTCAACATGGAGGTCCCCTTGTCAAATGCTATTGGAGAGATGAGAGCGCAAACTGCATTCATAGCGACCGTCGGGACCGTTAGCCTGGCTACTCGGGTTCAAGCTGCCATTCCTCAGACTTTGTGGGATCGTAAACCTGGTCATGACTGGTACACCGAATGTGCGTGAGCGAGTAAGCGTATTGCTCAGCTCCGACTGATCGCAAGGTCATCAGACTATGTCATCGGTAATGGATACATGGGCATATCAACGAACAGCGATCCCATCGTCGATGAGATGGACCTGAGTGAGTATGAGCAATCTAGCGCTAGGTCTGACTGGTCATCAGACCTCGACACGTTATGGACAGGTGGACCCTTCAACAAGACGGAGAACTTTACGTATACCGGGGGCAATCCAGCGTCGCCGCTGGATCCGTCGATCTTGAAAGGCATCCGAGCAGACATCTTCAGTCGGGGAAACGCCAGCGTAACGGCTTTACAAGTCACAGATTTTGACTATGGCTCATTGGTAAGTTGAAGCAGCTCGTGGTTCATCTACTAAGGGCTTCCCAGACGACAGCCGGATGGTTCTACGCAAAGAAAGACAACACTTCGTATACCGACTACAAGCGATGGCTCAGTTTGGACGATGGATACATCGGGGCCACTTGGACAGCGGAAGGAATACAATACAATCGGACGGGCTTCTGCTCATACCCTGATAAGCAGTGTGTATACTACGCGGCTTCGTCTGGACCATCCAGCACTACTTTTGGTTTCAACACGGAACGCACACTGTCTTCAGCGAGTGAGTTGGCCCGTCTCCCCCCCCTTTTTTTTTCTTACTTATAGCTGTCTTCAGATGTCACCTGCATTGACGACAAAACCCTCTCTTACTGGGGCCAAGCTGAACCCAATGGCATGCAATACGAGATTCAAGCTCGTTGCAGCTCAGATGGCACCATCTCCTGTTCAAGTGCCGTTCAAGGCAACGCCACGCTATCCGTCGTCAATGCCACTTCTGTCACTTGTGTTCTGGCCGGAGATACCGAGTACAACATTGATGCCGGAACAGCGGAGAGCAACTATTCATTCGCTGGTAACCCGTATCACGAAAACGTCGGCAAGATCATCAACTCGTCATGTGTCGACTTTGAGCCTCTCTTTGAGCATCATCTAGCCGATCATCAGGAGCTCTACGGGGCATTCGAAATCGACTTGGGAGCCACGAATACGAACACCTCCGCCACAACACAAGATCTTATCGATAGGTACACCATTGAGGCTGGGGACGTGCAGCTGGAACAACTGATGTACGTCCAAGACGTTCTACATGAGCTTACGCCCTAGTTTCAACTTTGGCCGATACCTTCTCATCGCTTCCGCGAGAGGCAACCTCCCTGCCAGTCTGCAGGGCATCTGGACAGGAGCCGCTCAGCAGTATCTCGCAGATGGTGAGGTCGACGAATTTAATGACTCGAGCGAGAATGGTCTCGTTGCGCCGAACAACTCGTTCATTTACGATACATCCGCGGAATGGGGTTCTGACTTTCAGTGAGGCGGCCAACACGAAACCAAAGCTAATCCTTAGCGCCAATATCAATCTTCAGATGAACTATTGGCCAGCTGAGACAACTGGGCTGAGCAAACTCACACCTACGCTCTGGGCTTTAATTCAAAAGACTTGGATGCCGAGAGGCACAGAAACTGCTTCGTACCTGTACAACTCGTCCGGCTGGGTGACCCATGATGAGATGTGAGTGTGCACCGACTCATTTGCTTGCTGATATTACAGGAATCCGTTCGGCTACACTGGCATGAAACTCGGAGGACCTACTGTCGAGGATCAAGTATGGGGTCAGCAGTGGAGCGATTATCAGGCTGCGGGAGCGTGGTTGGTCCAGCAGCTTTGGGATCATTACCTGTTTGGTGATGCCGAGGAGGACTTTATCAACTCCACCGCGTGGCCGATCATCAAGGTGAGCGGGATGAGCGATCACGCTCTGACTGTCAGACATCTACAGACTTTTGGCTGGACAACCTCTTTGAAGACACCTACTTCAACGATGGGACACTCGTTGTGGCACCTTGCAATTCGCCCGAGCAGCCCACACACCTGAACGCAACGTTTGGCTGTGCCATGTACCAGCAAATTGTTCAACAGCTGTTCGAGACAGCTCTTCAGGCTTATCCTCTTTCTGGGGAGAACAATTCAGCATGGCTCGATAGGGTTCAAGACTCCCTCAGCAAGATGGATAAAGGCGTTCATATCGGTGATTGGGGTCAATTACAGGAATGGAAGATCGACGCGGATAACAAGACAGATCTTCATCGACACATCTCTCACTTATGGGGAATGTACCCCGGCAGTACACTCGCGACGTACAATGGATCAGAATATACTCAGTCCGAGGTGACAGAAGCTGTCAACACGTCTCTCATCGCTCGAGGAAACGCTACTCATTACGGATGGGCAAAAATGCATCGAGCGGCTGTCTACGCTTCACTTGGGAACGCTTCGTACGCTCATCACCTGTACAAGGTGAGTCACCAGTCGGCCAGGACCCAGCTCATTGATCTAGTACATGATATCCGAGGATTTTAACGGCAACCTGCTCGATATCTACTGGCAAAAGAATAACAGCGTCTTCCAAATAGATGCGAATGAGGGCGCGGTGGGATATATCACGGTACGTGCCAAAGTTTAGATTGAATCTACTCTGGATGATACCTGACCGGATGTAGAACGCCATTGCAAACGTTCCGACCCCCAGAACGCTCAGCGAGCCTTTGATCATCAATCTCCTTCGTGCGATTCCAGACGCTTGGAGCACTGGCTCCGTGAAAGGTGCTCGAGTCCGAGGGGGAGTAAACATCAACGCTACATGGGCAAATGGAACCTTAAGCTCGGCAGAGGTGAGTTGCAGATAATGACCACCCAGAACTCACAGCGTAGCTCTCAATGGACAGAGGGTTCCAATCATGGTATGTCGTGGTCAACGCGCCGTGTGACACTGGGTATATCACGAAGAAAGAGGGGTGGATGAAGCCTGGGGATCAGTGGACTTTGTAGGCAGGCAGCAGTAGTTCAAAAAGTGGCCGTTGGATAACGAGAGATCCGGGTGCACAAGTTAAGAATCCTAGTATAATTCAAAACGAATGCAACTCCAAAATGCCATGTCAAGCCAGCTCAGACGCTGCACAATGAGTCAAACCGTTTGGGAAATGGACCAAGAGAGATACATTTTGGTTCTTGATTATACCAGGCTTGGCTCACGTTGAGATGTACGTATTGTCCCATAACCGTCTATTCAATGTCTCCGTCAAGAAGTGAACCGGCATCGACACCTGAAAGCCACTTAGTCACACGCCTCCTCCGCTGATTTTCTCGCCAGACGTTTGACCTTCTTCTTGTAGCCTGGCGTATTGTCAGACCATCGGCCGCGACTATTGCATGACTCACCTGGAAAATCTTCACGGACCTCTTTTGCGGCATCGACATTGGCTGGAGAGTTGAGATCCGGGACATCGGCAGAGAGGAGAGAGATGACAGAGATGAGCTGAGATCGTCAGCATCGTCCATGACCTGAGGTGAGGAGACACCTACGACACTTTCAACCGAGTGGACTGGGAGCCACCTCTCGCCTGCGTCCTCGTATCCCCATTCGTCTTCGCCAGGTTGATGCTACGCGATGAGCAAAGGTGCCTGTGAATGCCGACCCACCAATATTGAGACACACACTTCACCCTTCTTATCGCCCTTGTTGTACACTACCCGATGTCAGCTGATATGCAGGCTGGATGATGGTAACCCCTCTGACCATTCGGATGCCACATCTCGGTGTCAAAGACCATTCTCGGAGGTAAGATAGGGTATTCCTATGGAACTCATCAGCATGGGAAGGCGCTGAGAGGTTGTGACTCGCCTCGGGAAAGATGAGACGGGCTTTGAGTATAGCTCCTTCGTAGAGGGTATCGGCAGGACTGAACACATCAATATCTTGACATCTGGTTAACTCGACTCACCCAATGATGACAATCTGCCATTCTAATATATTTGATTCATCTACCAAGCCAGCGCTGAAACCGTCCACTGGATGCTTTTGAAGGTCTAGAGTGGCGTCCGTCAGCTTGGTCCAGTGCGAGCACAGGCGGGCGCGAAACTCTCTCGAGCGGCAAGAGTATCATACAAAGGGCGGATTGACATGGTTTGGAGGAAGGTCCAGCCCTCACTTACCCAACAGCTGTCGCCTAAGAATCAAGCTCGAGTTGGCGGTATTGCTCTGATTAGGCGTCGAGGTCCTCGCTGAAGCGGGTCGAGATGTCGGCGCAGTCGCTGACGGATAGTCTCGTGAGGGATTACTGCCGGAATTTGATCCGGTCGAAGCGCGAGCAGCCGGCATGATAATGGGCGTGAAGGGCTGCGAAGGTGACAGTGGAGTGAGAGGGAAGACTCGTCGATGGTCGCTGGCTCCAGGGATTTGCAGCTCAGCAATGGAAGCTACAAGGGATTCGGACGAGGTTCTATGAGCGATTATATGTTCTTGGTACGCGATCGAGAGACTAGACGTACGGTGAGGATGTAAATGCGACAAATGTCGGCGGTCGCCGCTCACAGAGTCGATCCGTAGAAAAAAGTTGCGATATGCGAGTTCAACATCTGTGATTGACGAGTCAAACGCTCTAAGATGACGAGAACAGCCATGGCTTCCTCTAGCAAGTCGGCAGCGAAAGCCTCGGGCATCTCAAAGATCCCTACGATTGAGGCCTCTCTCCGAGGAAAGCCTTACAACCCCAATGGGCTCGTACCGCTCCTGCAACTCGCTCGGGATCCTGCACCGGATGTCGTCCATAAAGCCATATGGGCACTACACAGGGTGTTCATAGATTACATTGGGGAGGGCAAGGTCGGAGGGATCTCAGATGGACCTAGACGGAATATGAGTCAAGCAGACGAAGAGGAAGAAGCTCGAGGTCCTACCGAAGCGAAGGAAGTTAAAAGTTGGGTCAGGGATAGGCTGTTGGATTACGTAGAGATCTTGAGCGGGCTTGTAAGGGATCGAGAATTGGGTCTGAGGGTGAGCGAGAGGGTATGAAATGGGCTGATAGGGAACAGAAATCCGCCTTACCTCTGCTCTTCGCACTTTTGGCTCCTCTGTCCGCTAGTGTATCTGAAGACCCGACGATTCATATCCCGTTCTTTCGCTTAATTCTCAGAGCCATCTTGGAGCCATCGCCGTCCCTTCGTGGCGCAAAGCCTGCCCATGGAAGTGACGGAGCAGCCTCGTTCCGCTGGACCATCGATGAGAGAAACCAAGCGCAAGATTCCGTTGGCACTGTGCCCGAGGATATCATCCAAACGGCCCATGAGGATTTCTGGGCAAAATACGATGATCTCCGATGGGCATTCTTCAGAGAAGTACCGTGAGTCAGAATATCTACCTCTTCGGCTGACTGTGACATGCAGCCACATACTGAAATTTCTTCGGACGACGCCTGATCTCGCTATCAACGTCCTTGGCCAGCTCCTGCCCCTCACCAACCTCCCCCGGGTACAAGACGACATCAACACTTTTTTCATTTCGTCTCTTACGACTCGCCCGTCTTCCTCTTCGGTCTCCCTAGCAACAAGCAAGAGGGCAAAGAAGAAGTCGAAAAAGCAAGCTGAACCTGAAATCCTGCCAGACTGGATGGCAACGTACGAATCCGATCCGTCTGATGATGATACAGTCGGGCCAAAGAAACGTCAACGAACGAGTCAATTGTCTATCCACGCCTCAATTCACTCTATACCCAGCCATCAGACTCTCTACTCCACGTTGTGGGAAACTGTCTTGTCAACCTTACAGATGGACGAACAGTGGACGCGGAAAATTCTCTTGGCCTTACATGGAAAGAATGGAATCCTAAGCCATATGAAACCGGAGCGAAGAGTTCGCGTGGCCGATTGGCTGGGATCATTAGTGGATCAAGGCGGACCAAAGGCCATGTTGGCGATGAATGGGCTATTTGTGCTCATGACCAAGTTCAACCTGTGAGTATCCCCTGGAATATCAAGGCTGATGACTCAGGGATTACCCGAATTTTTACCAACGACTGTACGGCCTGCTAGATGACGAGGTCCTACACGTCAAATACCGGGCACGTTTCTTTCGGCTTTTGGATACGTTTCTCGCTTCACCGTGAGCCTTTGCAAGTTTGAGTGGCTGCTGACCTTCAGTCTGCTTCCCTCTGTGATGGTCGCAAGCTTCATCAAGCGCCTGTCCCGACTCTCTTTGACAGCCCCACCTGCCGGTATCATCATGGTCATTCCGTTCATTTACAACTTGTTCAAGAGACATCCAGCGTGTATGGTCATGATTCAGAGGCCCGCACTCGATCAAGACGAGGAGTACAAAGGTGGGCAAAGCTTCTCGGGACCTAGCTGACCCCACGAGATCCTTACAACGCCTCAGATCCTTCACCTTTTACCGCCAATGCAATGGGCTCTTCATGTTGGGAATTGATGTCGCTTCAGAATCACTATTTGGCCTCCGTCTCGACTCTGGCTAAAATGTTTAACGAAGTCTTCACAAAACCAGAATACAACATGGAAGACTTCCTAGATCACGGATACGGCACTGTGAGTGCTTTGCCGCCGATGTCACTGACGAGTCAGCTCTTTGAGACCGAGGTCAAACGGCATATCAAGCGTCCACCCGCGGTCAGCGACATTGTAGAAGGATTCCAGCCCTTGGGTCACATATTCCCTGATGGATCCATCAATGGTGACGCCAGAGCAGGTGACGATATCGTCTCTCGTATGTGGACCTTCTGAAACACCCTTACTGTATAATACCCTGATGCATGATCTATATCTCGAATCCTTAAGAGGAATAATGGTGCACTTCCTCCTTCTCTCTTCCACGCATGAAAGGCGGCTCGGTGCCTTTGTACTGCATAATGTCAGCCGCCTTTTCCTCGCTCGCCGACTCACGTAGATGTCGGTCCAGAATTCCTTCAAGTCAGGGTAAGGGCTCTGCTTGGCTTCTTCGACGGCCTTGTCTACTTCCTCCTTGGCAGCCTTGTCGATCGCCTTGAGCTTGGCTTCACTCTCGACTCCCCAGTCCATGATGTACCGCTTCAGTCCAGCAATAGGATCGCGAGACGATCGGACTTCTTGAATCTCCTCTCGGGTTCGGTATGTGGTACCGGGGTCAGACATGCTGCAATGATCAGAAATGGGTTTGAGAGCTGATGCACTCACGAATGACCACCGTATCTGTAAGTGACCAATTCCAAGACGAGTGGGCCCTTGCCAGAGGTGGTCCATTCTTTGGCCCATTCGCAAGCTCGCTTGACGGCCAGAATGTCCATACCATTGACTTGAAGACCTGGGATCTGGTCTCCACGGGTAAAGAAAGCAGTGTTTTGCGATGATCGTTCGGCCGATGTACCCATACCGTATTTATTGTTCTCACAGACGAACACGCACGGCAGGTTCCACAATTTGGCCTGGAGAGGTCAGCGATCTCTCAATTCACAGACACGCCACCTACCATGTTGTAAGCTTCAAAGACTTGACCCTGGTTGGAAGCTCCGTCTCCGTACAGGGCAAAGGTGACCGTCTTGTTCTTCAGGTACTTTTGGGCGAGGGCGACACCGGCTCCGACGGGGACCTTTAGAGAGATCAGCTCGCCAGGATGTGTGAGTGTGGCCCACCTGTGCTCCGACAATACCGTTACCACCAAAGAAAGAAGGGGTAAAGATGTGCATCGATCCTCCCTTTCCATAGGACATTCCATCGACACGGCCTGGAAGGATCAGATCTGATACCCCGACAGCCTTGACCCACCCATGAGTTCCGCCAAGACGCCTTTGATAGTACCTCCTCTCATGACTGCAAAGGTGTGGCATCGATAGGCAGTGATGACTCGGTCATCGGGTGTGATGGCGGCCTCCATACCGACCGAAACGGCCTCTTGTCCAATGGCCAAATGACAGAATCCACGGATCAATTTTTGTTTATACAGTGCGTCCGCAGCCTGTTCCATCCGTCTCATCGTGGTCTACCAAGGAATCAGTCGGAGATTCGCATCGACTTCAACTCACCATGTTCTTGTACATCTCCATCATCTCTTCCTTGGAGGTCTCAGACTCGGCGGCAGGGACATCGCAACGGTACGAGTGGAAAGATTCAGAGTCCAGGCGGACTTTGAACTATACAAAGTCGGTCAGATCAGCGACAACGGCTCAGACGTACCTTCTCGCTCTTTGACTTTGGAAGTTCGCCTATCGGCTCGCTCTTGTCGGCATCGGTCTGAAGGTATCGTACAGAGGGGAGAGTGGATCGAAGAGGTCTCTGCGACAATGATTCAATGAGCGTTTTTGTCCCCCAAAAATTCCCGACTACGGTGAATATACGAGTCATGTACTCACTGAGCTGGCAGCTCTGACTGCTCTGAGACCTCCTGTACGAAGTGAGAGGGTCATGATGAATGCTGAACAGCGGCTAGATTGCTACGCTGAGAATGGGTACAGAGATCAGCTTGCTGCTGCTGCTGCTGCTTGGGGAGGGAAATATTGTTCAAAATGCTCGAGGCTCGGAATCAAACGGGAGGCGGATGCCGTTCAAATTTGGTCTGATAGGATTAGCATGGAAATAGTAATGGGATTAGGAAAACGGAATCCTAATCGCCCCCCCCCCCCCCCAACGGAAAAAGAAGAGAAATTAGCTTTGTATCGTTGCTCACGCGCGCCGTCGGCAGTTGAAGCAGAATGCAAATGCTATCACGATAAATGATCGTTCCACTGGCGACTGCTGGGTCCATCTCGAGTGGTCTGATCGGATAAATTGGCCACTCGACAACGAGCTGGTCATCGTCTCATCGCCTATATCTCCTACACTGACATAGAAGAATATCGCTGGGATCACTCGCCTCTGTCGCGTCTTCTCCTCGTTGTCCTCTTTCGTCCAATCCACCTGGTTTCTTTATTATCCGTTTGGGCATTTTCCGTTCACGCCCAAAAGAAGAAAAAAAGGATCCGTGTCACTGCACGCACCTCTATTTATTATTGGCGAACACAGCGAACAAACAGAGTCATCTGACCATCCAGGTCTTCTTTCGCCCCAACTCGGCCGTCAAGCAGGCAACGGAGGAGGCGTGGGGACTCTCGACTCAAGGACATTAGAATCCAAGGATCAAGACCCGGATTGCCCCACATAAACCTGGAAAGCATAGGTCTATTCTTTTGTTCATTCTTCTCTTTTTTTTTTGGGTGAATTCCATTCTGCTTCGACATCGACCCTCAACAGATCTCGATCCTTTCGTTCAACTACAGCACACGAGGCAGTCAAGCGGATCTTTCCGTCCGTGAAGTCTTGCCCACCATGCTTCGGCAATCGGTGCGGTCCACCCTCTTGACGCTCTCCTCCCTCGCAGCAGCAGCTCCGATCGAAGTCATCACCGCGACGTTTATCGTCGTGACGTTGACCTATTTTCAACTGCTACATGCCATCAAGGGCTCTGAATTCTTCCAGGATCCACCGCTAGCTTCACCTGCACCCAGACCTATCCAATTGGTGAGACTATCACATCCAGAGATCGGTCATTCTCCCTATCACCACCTCCCCTCACCATCGTCTGGACTCTTCTTCAGCTCCCTCTCGACATCGCAGGCATGGCATAGCCTGTCATCCGCCGACTTTCGACGTGTCCTCGAAGCGAACGCTCTGGAAGGAGGGTACGTCATACCCTCAAGCGAGGGAGGCAATACTGCAGGTGAAAAGGCAGAAGTTGTCCTCATCAAGCAGTTCAATCTCGTCAAGGAACATGGAGAGGATGTATCACAGAAATGGGTCGATTGGATGCTGAACGGCGTCGAGGTGGAGTGGTCAGGCAAAAAGTATACCTACCAGGATCTCTGCACGCAATGTCAGACCTCTCTCGTCCCTCATCCTCTCCACCCTACCCAACACACACTCACCCTCTTCCTCCGTCCACCGACACCGGAAACACCCACCCTCACCTACCTCAGCGCATTGTCCAGGCTGCCTCCCTTTTCACCTCCTGGGACCAACACTACCTTTCGTATCGCTCAAGGATCATCTTCATGGGGTCTTTTGCCATTGTTCGACGGCGCGGGCCTCTTCGCAGGCATGGGCGAATCATCTCACAGCGAGAAGGAGGGAGAGGATTTGCTGGGCGGATTGAGAAACGTCAGATGGTTCGCCTACGCGGCGAGGGCTTTTGTTATGAGGTTTTACCACCTCGCAAGGGTGAGCCGTCTCTCGAGACTCAGGCTAACGTGCAGAATGCCGATTCTGCAGACATCTTTGTCGTCCTTCTTGGCTACATCCTCATGCACTCAACATTTGTGCACCTCTTCATTAGCATGCGCAAGCTAGGTTCAAACTTTTGGCTTCGTACGTCGATCCATCCTCGTGCTGTTTCACTCCTGACCTCATTGTACAGCCTTTGCCACTCTAATATCCTCCATCTTTGCCTTTCTCACTGCCCTGCTTGCAGCATATCTCCTGAACATTCCTATCGACCCCGTCTCGCTTTCTGAGGCACTGCCGTTCCTGGTAATCACCGTCGGGTTTGATAAGCCCAATCTCCTGGCTCGAGCCGTCTTCCAGAATCCCGAGATCGCTCCTGTCGCCGTCTCACCCGATCTGTCTCCTTCGAAGGATCTGCCGGATCCATTCAGCTCGACCGATGGCAAATCCGGGCCGGTCCTTGGCCTCGATCTCGGTGCCCTGCACAAGGAGCTCGCTCCATTAGAGAGGCTTCAACGGTTGGCCGAAGGTCGAGGTGTTCGCTGGGCAGCCCCAGTCGCTGCTAAAGCTATCGTGGTGGATGCGGTGAGGAAGAAAGGCGTTGGTATTGTTCGAGACTATGCCATAGAGATTGCGGTCTTGAGCGTGGGCGCATACAGTGGGATCGGAGGCCTCAAAGAATTTTGCAATCTCGGTGAGCTGCTCGCCAACGAACCCAGCTCATGGTTTCAGCCGCCTTGATTATGGCTGCTGATTGTGTGTTTCTCTTCACTTTTTACGTTGCCATTCTCGCTGTCATGGTCGAGGTCCATCGAATTAAGCTCATCAGGGGCAAAAGCCGCAAGCCCAAGAACTCCTCCATTCGCCGGAACTCTAGTCAAGTGTCCATCGCCTCATCTACCGCCGACTCCCCCTTCGGTTCCAGTTCGGATCTGCGTGGTGCCGCGAAGGCCAAGGACCAACCTGAGAATCCCGTTGTCAGGCTCAAGCTTTTCCTCATCGTCTCTTTCCTTACTTTGCACATTCTCAACCTGTGCACCCCACTGACAGAGCAAACTTCGCTAAAGCGACATTCAGCTCACTCAGTGCACAAGATGGAACCTCGAATTGATACCCGATCTGCAACGTTGTCCCCTATCCTAGAGCAATTGTACGCCAGTATGCCAAAGGAGACGGACCTCGCTGTACAGATCATTCCCCCGACCAACATTATCATGTCAACTGAGGGCTTCACACCATCCCGCATGGCTTCAATCGACCAGTTCATGAGTGAATGGACCCAGCTTGTTGGAGATCCAGTTTTGTCGAAATGGATCGTCGTGGCTTTGGGCATATCTGTCTTGCTCAATGGATATCTTCTCAAGGGAATCGCATCCAACTCGATCGGAGGCAAGGGTCCTGTTGCTGCGGCTGCTCAAGTCCTCGTGGGCGTTTTCGAGTCGACCCTGCCAGAGGACAAGAAGCGGCGAAGATGGAGTGGAGGAGACAATCTGACAAAGTATCGGGAAGATTCGGTTTCCAAGGACAGAAAAGACCTCGACATCGCAACCACTCGACGCAGAGATTCTATCCCACCGCATATGCCTCGTCCCGCTCCCGTTCGAGACGGTGACAGGACTCCCAAAGGAGAAGGCCGAGCAGATAGAGCTGCTGTTGGTCACGTCGTTGTTCCGCCAACTCCCAATGTTCCCATCGTAGCGCCTCAAAAGAAGCGTTCGCCATCACCTCCCGACAACCCGTCGTTTGGTCGCAGGTCCCTCGAAGAGTGCATCGAGATCTTTGCTGGCGGCATTGGTGTCAACAACTTGTCGGACGAAGAAGTCATTCTCCTGGTGGAAAAGGGCAAGATCGCTCCATACGCTCTGGAGAAAGCGCTCAAGGATCTGGAGCGGGCGGTGAGAATTCGACGGGCGGTCATCTCCAGGTCGTCCCTCTCGCAGACGCTCGAAGCTTCCGCATTGCCTATGGCAGACTACAACTATGAGCAGATCATTGGGGCATGCTGCGAGAATGTCATTGGTTACATGCCTCTCCCAGTGGGTATCGCTGGTCCCCTCAACATCGATGGACAACTTCTGCACATTCCAATGGCGACCACCGAGGGTACGTTGGTCGCGTCGACATCACGTGGCTGCAAGGCGTTAAATGCCGGCGGTGGAGTCACCACGGTTCTTACCAAGGACGCCATGACCCGAGGGCCGGCCGTGGACTTCCCAAGTGTCACCATGGCTGCTGATGCAAGAATCTGGATCGATTCGCCAGAGGGCTTTAGAACCATCGCCAACGCTTTCAATTCCACTTCTCGCTTCGCTCGATTGCAAACATTGGAATGCGCATTGGCTGGTCGAACATTGTACATCCGATTCGCGACATCGACAGGTGACGCTATGGGAATGAACATGATCTCCAAAGGGACTGAAAAGTCTCTGGAAGTTTTAAGAGAAAGATATCCGGATATGATGGTCCTCTCACTCTCTGGAAATTACTGTACCGATAAGAAACCGGCGGCTATCAATTGGATCGAAGGTCGAGGGAAATCGGTCGTTGCGGAGGCCGTCGTGCCGGGTCATGTGGTCAAATCGGTCCTCAAGACGTCTGTGCAAGCTCTCGTCAATCTCAACATCAAGAAGAATCTCATTGGAAGTGCCATGGCGGGCAGTGTCGGCGGTTTCAACGCCCACGCGTCGAATATCTTGACGGTGAGTCGGCGTGCACGAGCCCGTGCTGACGTCAGGCCATGTACCTTGCAACGGGTCAGGATCCTGCGCAAAACGTGGAGAGCTCCAACTGCATGACTTTGATGGAGGAGTGAGTCCGACGCCAAAGGTACCTACTGACTCGCAACAGGACTAATGATGGAGAGGATCTCTTGATCACTGTCTCCATGCCGTCAGTCGAAGTTGGAACCGTCGGAGGAGGCACCATTTTATCCCCACAACGTGCCATGCTGGAGATGCTCGGTGTGGCCGGAGCAAACGCTTCTCAACCTGGAGCCAACGCTCAACGTCTTGCACGAATCATCGCCGCTGCTGTGATGGCAGGGGAATTATCGCTCATGTCGGCGCTTGCTGCTGGACATTTGATTCAGGCGCACATGAAGCACAACCGATCCGTGCCTGTGACTCCGGGTGCTGTCACGCCCGGTGGGATTGGATCCGCCGCTGCCAAGGGCGACATCCTATGGGGTCACATGGCCGGGGGAGGTGGAATGACGCCATTGAATTCCGGTCAGCCCGTACCTCGTCTCTCACCACGAGTCCCGTCTAACGCGCTGGTGAACCAAGTTGGCAAATCGACGTTGGGCGTCGGAGTCAATGGTATAACGCCGGCTGCTGGAGTTCCGTCAAGTCAACGTCGAGCCAATGGAGAGACCAGTAGTATTCAAGGATCAGCGAGCAAAGTCAGGATTATCGAGAATGGTGTCTGAACAGCATGGGCATTACAAGGCACGGATCAAGAATAGCAAGTCACACACGCACACGCACACAATATACAAAATTAGTCAAGGGCATATCATCTCTCTCTCTCTCTCTCTCTCTCTCTCTCTCTCTAGCACACACAATATATATCCCGCATTGGACATAGGAACTGGATCAAATCCCCTGTAGTGATATCGCAGACATAGTCAGGCTTCAATATATATACATCGAAGCCTATTCATTAATGCACATTGCGCTGTATCTCTGCAGTTTGCATTCACGTCTGGATCTCATAAACGTGGACCGCGAGCTGTGGGTGATTTTCGGGACGATACTGATTGCCCGTTAGTCATGATGTTGGCTCCTTACCTTTCCTCCTCCTTGGTGCTAAGGTCCAAGACTCTAGAACATGAAACCTGAGCCATACGTCACATTCACAGTCATATACATACGCGCTATCCTTGCTCTCGATGATCAACAGACTCTAATGGTAAACATGTAAACCTGACAGGACCTTTTGATTTTTCGTACGTTTCGACGGTCTTTGTGGCTGCTGATGGGTGGGCGGGCGCGCGCAGAGCGGCAGAGGAGACAAGAGCTACATACAGTAGATGCTTTGCCAGATTAGATCATTGCTATCCATATATGCATCTTCCACTTTGATCGTACAGTGCTGCGCAAACGTCGTTCAAACCTAATCTTGATCCATTTCCTCATCAGAATCCTCTTCGTCTGAACTCTCTCCCTCAACGACCTTGAGCGGTTCCAGGTCAAAGTCTTGATCAGCGCCTAGTGAACAATTCGTCAGTAATCATACGCTCTGTGAGTGTGTAGGTTGCTACCATCCATGGCGCTCGGATCACTTACCCGAATACGAATCGCAGATCAAGTACAGCTTCAACTTGTGTTGACCTTGACTCAAGTTGAAATCCAGCTTGGTCTCCAACTTGGCCTTGACCGTCACCTTTTTGATAGCATACAGCTGTTTCGAGCTCGCATCACCGACGACAAGCCACCAGCTGACCATCTTCTTATGGGGGTAATGAGGTGCGTCCGCCACTTGGTCATCAGGATTCTCTTCATCCATCTCTCTATCGAGCGAGACGTTGATCGTGACTGGTTCGGAAGAGTTCAGGCTGTCGGCGTCTTCCACAGAATAAGTAACCTCGACATTGGGGTAAGAATTGACAAATTTGGCGACTCGTGCCCTTGTTCACGTCAGCCGGGCTCAACGTCCGGCGTTGAGACCACTCACAATTGCCTATCGTTCATTCTCAACAGATCGTTCCTCTCATCATCCTCCAGCTCCATAATGTCATATACCGAGTCCAGACCTTTTGCCTTGAATCGCTGCAGTACCTCGTCGTCAAAGTAGGGCACTTGACGCAATGGCGAGTCTCTGTCCCAAATGGCCTGGACACACATCTGACTCAGGTCCATGGCACCCAAGCAGCCAAGATACGACTTGCTCGACATGACATCTACACAAGCCGACAACAGACCAGTAACTTTTCCCAGGATAGCTGCTTGATCAATGGCAAGATCGGGCGGAAGGGTCATTCGACTGAAATGAGCTTGGAGTAGGAGGAAAGTCTTGAAGTATGGCGAATTGTAATCCACTTTGGCGAGTTTGACGGGAACGCGACCATAGATTCGCTCCAGTAGCGTGTCCTCGTGATGTCGTATCGGAACCGTCTCAAACTCGTGAGCCGAGGAAACGATCTCCAACAATCCCTTGAGCTTGGTCGTTTCCTTGATCGAAGCTGAAAATGTCTCGACGGTAATGTACGAGATGTAGTAGAACGAAGCGATCATACCCAAGTTGTTGGGTAACGTGTCCATTTCATCCTGGATAATGATACACTCTGACGCCGCCAGGTCATTCAGAGTAGTCTCAACCGATTCAGAAAGATAATCGGCCACATGCGTCGGTGTCGTTCCCTGAAGATTATAGAACTGCCATGTTAGCGGTCGTTGAGCTGACTTGGACTCACCCCTGGGTTCTGCATCAACCTTCGATAGAACCATGTCCAGGTACACCAGTCGACCGCTTCTTGCTTGTTCTCAATCGTCTTTGCCACAATCTCCGCGTTGAAATGATCATGCAGGTAGTTTGGCAGACTTGACTCGACTGGCAAAGCCTCGTTCAAGAACTTTTTGAAAAAGTCCTTTCGGGTCTGTTGACACATGAGGACACAGCGACTAGAAGTGTCGATGGACGGTCGACAAGCTCGACCCATCATTTGAAGGATATCCGCGATCGCGTAGTCGACATAACGGTGCTCCTGACCGTCGAAGGACTGGACGCCCATAATGACGACCATGTACGAGGTGACGGGTAGGCTCCAAGCAGTGTCCTGACTTTTAGCAAGTGTTACACTCCAGTGTACTCACTTTTGAAGCCACGAGGACCTTGATAGCTCCTTCTTCAAACAAGGCGGTCACGATCCTCTTGTCGAGCTTACTCAAGGCCTCATGGTAGTACCCAATACCATACTTGAGCGTCTCGGCGAGATCTTGATCTTGGAGCTTCTCCAAATGCGGTGCCAGCTCGTCCGGCTCAACATTGAGGAATCGGCCTTCGTCCTCGTCCGCCAGGCAGTAGGAGAGGATATCATTGGCGGTCAGTTTACACTGTTTTCTCGAAGCCACAAAGCAGATCGTTGGCCGACCAGCCGCATGCTCTGTCATGGCGAGATACGCGGGTTTGGCCATCTGAAGCATGAGTGATGGGAAATGAGGAACGTTGAAGCTTTGCAAGTGAACTTCGAGGGGAAGAGGACGTGTGGATGGGGAAAAGTTGAAAATGGTCTGAGAAGATGCGCCGATCCAATCTCCAAGATCTCGAGCGTTGGATAACGAGACACTACAGGCGACGATTCGAGTCGGTTCACCAGTCTGCTGAGAGACATAACGTGTTCGAGAGACAATGACTTCGTAAGTAGATCCAACATCACCTCCAATCAACTGCAGTTCGTCGGCGATGAGCAATCCGATAGTCTGAACGTCTTTTCGAGTCTTCCATCGTCTGGACAACAGATCCCACTGGGCCGGTGTGCACACAACGATGTCGGCTTTACGCAGCAACGCTAGATCCGCAGTGGATTCACCCGTGAGGGCTACGACTTCCTTGTTGAGGTTCGTAAACTTTTCGCTCCATTCTGAGACTCGAGCATCCACCATCTCTTGGTAAGGCTCGATGCAGACTGCCCTCGGTGGATCCTTCTTTGACCATAACCTCAACAAGGCCAGCTCGGCGCAGACAGTCTTGCCTGATCCCGTGGGTGCACCGACAAACACGCTTTCATCGGTCGTGTAAAGGGCTTGGAAGACCTGTGTTTGAATCTTGTTGAACGATTCAAACGGATATAAATTCTCAAAGGCCTTGTTGTGAAGGGCAGTGACGGGCTGGAGCTGAAGGTCCAAGAGCGGAGTGTGAGGCGGGAAAGGTTCAGGACGGATGAGGTGTTGGAAGGAGACGGGAAGACGGCTCTCAGCTTGAAGCCATCGGTCCGAGATGATGGAGATGTAATAATTTGGGGGAACGGGATCAGAGATCGGCACTGTGATGGTGATGTAATGCTCGTCCTGGGCGAAGCGTTGTCGAAGGATGAACTGGTCGTGGTACAAGATACGCTCGCCATCGACGTCCTCTACAATGATCCAGAAAGCCTGACTTGCACCGTGTATCTCGTAATCCCAAACGAAATCAGGCGTGACGGTCACGTTGATCTTGAGCAGGGATCGCGTCAGTGGCAAGACGTGCGCTTGAATATCCAGTCGCGGGAATTTGTGAACCAGACTCTCGATCAATTGACCAGACTTTGGTAACCCAATCAACTCTCCGAGTTCGGCCGCGTCCAGATCAAAGTATCGATACCAGGGGAAATCTTTCCTCTCGGCCTTGGTCACGATCTCGCTCCTGATTCGGGGGAACTGCCTGAGCGGTGTCATAGTTTTCCACATCCGTCTCTCGACCATTTTGCACAGATCAAGAGCGGCTCGCATCGGTGCGGCCCATCCCTTCTTTAGGCAAATCTCAAACATGGCTCGAAGGATACGTCCAGCGGATTGCTGGATGAAGACCATGTCCGTGACAATGTCAAATCCGCTCAGTTTGAGCTGCGAGATGTACGCTTGAAGAAGGACATTGATCTTCGCCACGGGCTCATCGACACCCTCTTTGACGGGAATAGGTACTCGCTCGAGCAGCTTGGCCAGTTCGAGCTTCTCCTCTTGTCGCACTGGAATGAGCTTGAATTCATTTGACAAGGCGAACACTCGGAAAAGATCGATCATGTTGAGATTTGGCTTGAGATGCTTATTGTAGACCGCCATGGAGGAATAAGCGACGTAGTAGTGAGAAGCGATTCGACCGAGATCTGTGCTCTGGAAGACTCCGGTCGTACGATCATAACGGATCAAGCCACCTTTCTCGAGGAGTACAGCAGCAGAGTGGATCAAGTCGGCTGGGAGGATCAGCTTTTATCGCAACAGTGAGGCTTTACCTCGTTTTTGCACCAATGTTGGGTCACCCTCCATGTAGTCTGCGCCGACATTGTACAATCCCGGAGAACCGACCATTCGGACGTATCTGATCGGTTCAGCCCGAAAGTCTCTCGTCGTCCACTCACAAATATGTGTACCCCAGCCATGCCACTCCTTCGTCTCTGTTTCTCACAGTGCCAAGGACGATCTCTGCATTGAGATTGTCGACCATCTTCGAGACGAATTGACTTTCTATCGGCAATTGCTGATTCATCAAACTGGTGTAATATTGAAGTTCACCATGGTTGGTGATGATGATACCTTCACCGTAGGTGTCAAACTGAGGTCGACCAGCTCGACCAAGCATCTGCAAGACGTCCTGAGGGGACAATTCTGACCATTTGCCCTTTTCAGGGTTATACACCTGAGTGCCTTTGATGATGACCGTATGAGCGGGCAGATTGACACCCCAAGCGAGCGTAGCGGTGGAGCACAGGACTTGGATGTGTCCGTCTAAGAAGAGTTCTTCGACAGTGGCACGGTCTTCTTTGGACATTCCGGCGTGATGAATACCGAACCCAAACGGCAAGATATCCTTGAGATTGAAATCTTTCGATTCGTTTGCCTCGTGAAGTAGGACCTCTCGGGATGCTCCTTCGGGATTGATGAATTGCGTCAGGGTCTCTTTCTCCATCGCCATGTCACGCAAAAACTTGGCAGTCTTTGCGGTCTCTTTTCGCGAATGCACAAAGACGATCGTCTGCGACTTGCCCGCTTGATTGAGGACCTTTTCGTAACAGACCTCGTTGATCGTCTGTAATCGCTTGATGGCTTTCTTCTCCGTGACTCCGATGAATTGCTGCTTCAGTCCAACTGGTCTGTATGTGGCATCGAAGAAGAACAGACCCTTTTTAACGTCTACTCGAAGGAAAGCAGCGACATCCTTGTAGTTTGGCAACGTGGCGGATAATCCCACTATTCGAATCTCGTCGTGAGTCTGGTCCATCCGTCGAATGGCACGGGATATGATCGATTCCAAGACCGGTCCACGATCATCGTGAAGCAAATGAATCTCATCGACGATCATCAATCTCACCAAGTTGGTGTAGCTCGTATCGGTCGACTTTCTCGTAATGACATCCCACTTTTCCGGCGTCGTGACGATTATCTGCGTTTCGGCGATCTGTTGCTTGGTCAATTGACTATCACCGGTCAACTCGGCGACGTTGATCCCCAAGTCTTTGAATCGTTTGCTGAATGCTGCCACTTGTTCCTGAACCAAAGCTTTCATCGGCGAGACGTAGATGATCTTGAACGAATCGCGGTCGATGTAGCCAGTATCTGGATCTCTGAACTGTCCGATCGTTCTGAGCATAGCAAGAGCAGCACAATTTGTCTTTCCAGCTCCGGTAGGCGCACAAATCAACATGGGTTCACTGGTCTCGAATGCGATTGGGTAGACTTTGCTCTGGATCGGATTGAGCTGAGTCGCTCGAACGCTAGCCCAGACAGGCTGGGTCCAATCCGGCATTTTACTGAGCGGCATCCAATCTTTCGGTCCGGCTTCTCGACGCTTCGGCTCAGGTACATGAATCTCCTCATATCCTTTCGCCTGGCGCTTGAATGAACCTTCCGGCAATTTGACCTTTTTCCTCGACATGAGGTGACCTCCTTCGGAGAAGGTAAGAGAGTCGATATCGATGACGCGACGGGGTTGAGCGACGGAACCAGGAGCCAAATTGGCCTTGGTCGGGACGGTCGGTTCAGAAGTTTCCTGTTCGGCACGTTTTCTGTTTCCACGCAATTCTCGCAGGATCCAACCGACACCCTTTTCTCGCATCGCAACTTCGACGTCTTGCTTTTCGTCATCATTGCTTCGGGCCAGTTTGGTACACCAGACGATGACTTCTCTGTTCTTGGTCAAAGTCGCGACGAGATCAAAGTTTTCGTATCCAAACATTTCGGCCAAAGAATTTTCAAGATCACGCAGTTCAGCTTCCGATCCTAGGTATTCCAAAGCTTGGGTGGTGAAGTCGGCAGACTGGACGGGATCGGGATAAGAAGCTGAGATGAGACGTTGAAGCCAGAAAGCGTCTATGTCATGAGGGGAGACACGATCCGAATCGGTCTTCTTCCGTTTCGTCTCGCGACCGAGGACCAATGCTTCATCAGCATCCTCGGCAGGTGCAGAACCAGCTTCTGACTCTTCGTCCTCGTCCTCGTCATCTTCTTCGTCGCTCTCCTCCTCTGAATCTCGGCCTTTGACCTCAAATTCCTGCTCGTCATCCTCGTCATCCTCCTCGTCCTCGAACAGAACGGCGACGCCTTCTCCGTCCACGGCTCGTTCTTCTCCTTCGCCGACAGGGTGATCCTCCTCCTCGCCATAGTCCGTCACCTTTTTGCCCAAGTTGACGAGTTGATTCCAAGTCTCTTCTGGCAGATTTCCAAGCACACTTTCCACCTCTTTCCGCTTGTCAAACTCTTTCAGATCCTCACTTTTCAGACTCTCCAGAACAGTGTCCGCTGCACTCCGTACGACTTCCTGTGTCTGATCCCCAAGGATCTGGTGAACCAGCCCTAAGAGTAGCTCGTACACCTCTCTCGTTTCGGTGGTCCGCGGCCTATACCTCAGTCCTTCCATCTGGGCCACACTTTCCAGTACATCTGCAGCGCCGAATCGAGCTGTCGACTTCTCTTGAGCTCTCCGTATCGATCGTTCGACTTCATCGGCAGAAGTGATCTTTCCCTTGGACTTTTTCTTGTCCAGCTCCTTGGGTGGTTCCCTCCTTACTCGGGAACCCATATCACGGACATTGATTCTGCCGACAAGGGACTCGGGTGCTCCTGTAGGTTCATCCGTTCGTAATACAGATCGATCTGAGTCGCATCAGTATCATCCCCCAAGCGACGGAGCACGAAGAGAACACCTACCCTGATTCACCACCAATCTACTCATCGCTCCATAGTTGAACTCTGAGAGATCCCTCCCTCCCTTCTTACCACCGCCGCCGCCCGACATGATGAAGGATGTCTCGTCGTGGTTCGCGGTTGGCAAGAGCTTTTCAGAAACCTCGTCCAAGGGTTTTCCGCTTGACTACTAATGCTACACCTTCTACACCTGGCTCAATACACGGTGATCGACCCTGTGGTCCTCACAAGACCAGATCTATTCGAATCGAGTGTGAGAGCCAGTTTACACGAGAAGCCGAGGTATAATGGACGTTGAGGATTTTTCCCCGTCGCTGCTGACCGTTGTGGCGAAGTTTGGGTTGGGAGGGATGAGAGTTGTTACGTAAACTGACTTCAAGGTTTTTGGCAGAAAGTGGCAATTTCTAGTCGCCCACGAAGAAAAATTGCTGGAGAGAAAGAGAAAAACAGCAAAAAGAGAGAGAAGAGAGGGCTGCTCTGGGTGCTGGCTGCTGGCTGACTGACTGGGCGGCAATGGTGAGATTTTTATGTGGTTTCTACCTAGAGAATCCTCCCGTCCCTCTTCTTCTCTTCTCTGTTTGTTGTACATTCTCTCTCTCTCTTACACTCTTTCGGACGTCTGATCAGTCTTCAGGACAGAGATGGACAATCGACGATTGGGAACCAACTTGATCCTTCTGTGCTGAATTCATCTCTGTATCTGGACCTGGACGTGGAAACCCCTTCACAGTTTTCCAAAGAGGATAGGACGCGCGAATGGATCCCTGAATTCTCTCAACGCTTCCCTCTCGCCGCACCTTGTGAAGCTTTAGCTTACTGGAACCACCCCTGTTGGGCGTCTTTTGGCAAAAGGTCGAGCGGGTTCTTCTTCTGGACTTCACTGCTTGTGAGCCATCCGATCCTCTTGACGATCGTATACATCCTTGCTCATACCTCGTCGAAAGTTGCCCTTTTACCTATTTTCGACATCTTTCCCCCTCCTCCCCCTTTTGATGACTCCTTTCTTTGTGGTCTCATATCCTTTACAGGCCAGGCGTGAGTATTGCTTAGCCCTCTGAGCGGTGGTGACAAGCGGATCGGCTCTCTAGCCATGTCAGCATACTGACCCTTTGCCCCCTTAGTCACACTACAACATGTCTGATCTCGCGTTTTCAGCGTCAAACGACATGCCAGAGGCCGGATCCTCCAAGCCGCGATACACGCCGCCACCACCTCCTCCGCCTCGATCAGAGATCTCAGAAATCATCATGACGGACGTGTCTGTGAACAAAGGAGAAGGTGGTGGAAGACCGGATGAAGCGGCAGAGCTGCTTCTGAGCATTTCCTCAGTGGCGGATGAAAGATCTCCAGCTGTACCTCTGAAAGAATTGGAGATCAAGGAGGATGTCACTTCTGGCCCGGAACCCATCTATCCTTATACACCTCCTGATGATCCACAGCCGCAGTACTCCACATCACCTCGAGTGCAACCCATCCCGAATTCTATACTCCCTCCTGATTCCGAACTCAACCCAACTTCCACGCCTTTATCCTCCGATCCGACTCCTAAATCCGCCAAATCCAAACGGAAACGTAGTGCTCCTGTCAACAGAAACTCGTCTGAGCGTCGCTCTACCGATCCACCGCGGCCAGCGCATTGGATGGGAGAGGATAATACCCAGATCCGATGCATTTGTGGCTTTGACGAGGACGATGGATTCACCATACAGTGTGAAGGCTGTGGTGCGTGGGAACATGGATCATGTTTTGGATACCTGGACGAAGCCACCGCTCCGGAGACATACTTCTGCGAACTGTGCGTCCCCCGCCCATTCGACGCAGCGGCTGCAAGGCAGCGGCAACTACTGGCGAGAGCAGAACCAGACCGAGGTCTCTCGATGCAAGTGGAGATAGCTGTCTCTGAAACGATACTCCAACAACAGAAAGATAGGCCCAAACCTCGCAACAAGCCTAAACGTCCACGACAGAGTACTGTGGATGCTGAAATTCAGGATGCCAAAGCTGCTAGCCCGGGCGTGATGGGTCCGCCAAGTACGAAGCCGAAACGCAAACCCTCTGCCAATAAACCTCGATCAAAGTCAAATGCGAATGCCAATGAATCATCCGGCCCTGGAGTATCTTCTTTCCCCTTCAAAGACATTGCCACGGTCGAGGTGGAACACGAGTACTTTCGCGATCCTTGGAAGATGGAGTACACTCCGATATCCAACAACATCGCCTTCACCAAACGAGCCAGAATGATCATGGCAGAGTTCTTTGAGGAATGGCGCGACGCGGATCTGGAGGAAGCTCCGGTTTCCAAGCGGACTATTGTCGACTCGTCTGGATTACCATCACCTACAAATACCGGCGCAAGTCGACTTTCTCCAGAACATGGTTTCCTCACACCCGATTTCGATATCCTCGCGCCTCCTGTCCCTCCCGTCTTCTTGTCACGTACCGATCTTGACTCTCTTGCGCCGTCGGTCAGCGTCAAATCCATCAAGGATCATCACTCGTTTCTCCCTCTCAATTACGCCGAAGAGGATGTCGGTGGCGGAGTCTATACCCGGCCCGCGGTTTATGGTGTCTTTGTCAATGAACGTATAGCATCTGGCGCCTTTGCAGGCGAGTTCAGAGGCTCGATCGTGGACTGCGAGACGTATCGCAAGGATCCAATCAACCAATACGCTGGTCTGGGAATACCCAAGCCGTTTGTCCGATCGGTTGGACCACCTTTGAATCTCATCATTGATGCGCGGGGATACGGCAACGAGCTACGTTTCACTCGAAGCGGATGTCATCCGAACGTTGTGCTCCGGCCGCTCATGTGGAGAAAGGAGACGGGTGAACCTAGACTGAAGTTTGGCCTGTTTGCCAGTCGTGCGATTGACAAGAATGAAGAGTTGATCCTCGGATGGGAATGGGACGATGCGCATGTGGTGCACTCCATACAACACGTCGTCATGTCCCTCCTCTCCCTCTACGGCGACCACACGCTATCCGATGCGACCCTCCAGCACTTGGTCAATAAGTACGATTCCGTCCTCAGTCACATGTTTGGCACATTCACTGCCTGTGCTTGCCGAAAGGTGACGCACTGTGCCGTTCACCAGATGCGTTTGGTCGCATCGTACCAGTCACCCAAGGTCGAGATCGTTCGTGGAAAGGCCAAGCTGGACTTTGGAGAACTCATTGGAGCCGTTCGAGGCTGGAGGAGAAATGAGATAGACATGGAGAACAGCAAGCGATGGCACACGATCCGCGGGGAAGAGATCAACGTGCGAGAGAGATCTAGATCGAGATCTGTCTTGCCCTCTGATGCGGACACAAGGACAGGCGATGAAAGCGCGAGCATGGAGATGGAGATGGATGCACAATCCTCAGAGAAGGAGGAAACTGAAGAGGTTGAGCCAGTCGAGGAGGAGGAGGAAGAACCGGAGGAGATGGCAGTGGACATGACGGTCGAAAAAGACGGTGTCGACCCTGTGCCATTCTCGTCCTCACTGTCCTCTGTCCCGGGCACGGAGATAGCTGTCGCTTCCTCTCGTCCTTCTGATCTCCTGGAGCCGATTGACGAAATGGGGGGGAACGAGGCAGACGATGGAGACGTCTCGGACGCTACGACCGCCACAGAACCTAGAAGTCATTTCTCGGATGATGAGTTGGACATTCCTCGGTCTCGACGTCAAAAGGACGAGGCTCCGACAGCCCGATCCCCCTTGAAGAAGACGGTCAAATCACAGACGCCTGTCAGCGGCCGAAAAGCAGCGAAAAAGGGCGCCAAGGTGGATGAAGCGAAGCCCACCAGAGGCGAGGGTACTGGCCAAAATCGCATAACTCCAGCTCCAGCTCGCCGTGGACGGAAGGTCAATCGCGTCGCTTCCTCTGGATCAGAAGACGAAGTACCTTTGCGGAAGAAGCCATCTCGCAAGTCTTTATCCCAGATCAAACCCGACGCTCTTGCCTCCTCATTATTCAGTGATGAGGCTGACAAACTTGCCCGAGTGCCTGAACAGACGATCGCGCCGATGGCTGAAGCACTGGAAATCACTGATGCTCCTGCCGATGTGGCAACCGAGGAGTTCGTTCCGACCGAAGAGGCACGAATGGAGAAGGACGCCGTTGCACCGAAGGAACCGACTCCTCCGCCCGCCCGTGAACCGACACCGCCACCTCGTGAACCTACCCCTGAGCCTCCAAAAAAGGTTTCCTTATCTGATTATCTCAAAAGTCACAAGATCCGTAAAGAGAGTCAAATATCGGTCCCGCCTACGCCAACTGAAGAGATCAAGGAGTTGCCGGTCCTGGAGACTGCGGAGCGCAAGAATGACACGGAGACTGTATCGACCGTGGAGGATGTCAAGGCGGAGCCGGGAGCTGTGGCTCCAGCTCCTTTTAATTTCTCAGACTTCCTTCCCGCTGCCAAGCCGACTGTTCTCACTAACGGGTACGATCATCTCAATGTCTCTACTCCGGTCGATTCGCCAAAGTCTGTCACGGGCTACACACCAGGTGTCACCCCGACAGCCCGGTCTGATTACTTCCCGGCTCAGTCCACGCCTAGTACTTTTGTTCCTCGTCAGAACTCGGCGTACACTCCGCGACAGAACATGACAGTTTCGACAGAAGAGTCTCATCCAGCAGCGGCGCCGAACTCGACCTATGTACCACGTCAACCTTCCGTCTCTTCATCTGATCAGCGGGTTGTCTCGGCCGAAGACACGCCTTCTCGACCCCCAGTCTCGACGACATATGTTCCGCGTCAACAGACCCAAGACGAGTCTGCGCGATACGGCATGACTCCTCCCAAACCCACTATCCCACTGGCTGCTGAGTTGACTGGCCTCGCCGATCGTCAACAATTAAACACACCTCCCGCTGGACCCCGAATGCCACCCACTGGACCTAAGGCGCATAATCAAGCTCCACCCACAGGTCCAAGGAGCACTTGGAAGTCTCCTGGCGCTGCTACTATAAGCAATCGAGGACCAGAGGAAAACCGAATGTGGGGTAGAGGACGCGGAGGCTATCCTGGAAGAGGGAGAGGCAGGGGCGGTGGGTTTGGTGCGGGCAGCATGCCACTTGGGCCTGGGCCTGAAGATTCAGATTGGGATAACCGTCTTGGTCGTGATCGTGATCGAGACGAGTTCCATCACGATCGAGATGACAGTCTCAGGAATGGACCTGGAGCTGGGTCGACCCGAGGAGGATATCGTTCTTCGCGATATGAGCCCTGGGCTTTTGGAAATTCAGTCAATCGGGGAGGTAGAGGCGGACATGCGAGGTGAAAGAAAGAGGTGCGCGGCACGAATGTAAGACTTTCAGTTGGAAGGAGGCATGGAAGGGACAGTCAAAGACGCAGAAAGAGAGATACAGGAAGATCCGAAGGGCAGTCCCTTGTTGTATTCTATCAAAAGAAAAGACCGAAAGTGGTCCTTCTCAGTCGAAAGAGCGTAGTAGACAGGGAGGTCAGAGTGGCATAGAAAAGGGGATGAAGGGAAGATTATAGTTTCTTGGAAGAGCATGACATGCAAAGACATCTCTCTGCTCCTGCGTCTTGGTTGGTGGAATTGGTTGAAGCCCTGGCTCGACACCTCCGGGCGATAAAAAATAAGATGTCTAGGTATTGATGGACCTGATCCGCCCGTGCCACCTTACACTCCGCCTCTTGGTTCGAAGCTCTCATCCAACTGGGTTTTGCTCAGATGAGTCGGGAAAAAGACGTCCAGCGTCTCAACACGACCATTTGGCAACAGTGTGCGGCGGAAGTTAGTCTGACAACGTACATTGTCTGGAAAAACGTGTCCGTCCATTCCCTCAGCTTGAAGGGCTTCTCGCATCCTTCTTCCTGCCCATTCCCGATGCCGCCCGATTAGAAAATCTGGACTCCATATACGAAAGAGGCATGATCAGACCAGACAACGAGTGATCCAGTTTTTCATTGATCCAATCACACAATTGCCGGCTTTAGATCAGGCTGGGGCGGCGCGGTCAAACTGAGGACGCTGGCCTACCTCAAGGACCAAGTCGTTGCCCAGGTCGTGGCGCAAGTCGTGGTCTTCCTCTGTCGGAATGCATCCCGACGCTGGTAATGACCGGATTTAAAGGGCGAGAATGAGCCATGGTGGAATCGCCGAGCGGAGATACGAATGAACAAGCCTTTGATCGAAGATGAAAACGGTCATTTGCCTTCATGGGCTCCTCAAGTACCTCCGCGACGCGCGGCACGAACTCTCAACGTGCCCTCGTGTGGTGTCGAATTCGCGAGATCACCAACTCTCCTCCATACCGTGACCGTCTTCAAACATGTCTTCGACGTATGTTGTGGCTTCGCCACTCGAGAGCTTGCCGGCGCCATCCGTGCTCAGACACCAGCTGACGGCCTCTCGTACCTGTCGAGGCATCGCATTGGAAGAACTGGTCGTACTCAGCAGATGAATCGGAGCATCTTCGCTCACCCCGAGATGAAGATGTACCCTTTGCAGTCGTATAGCCATTGATTGATGGTTGCTCGATCCTCCTTGATCAGATGTTGCACATACACCTTCTCGTCTTGATCTCGCGATGCCGCTACTCTGAGCTTGAAGCCCAAGGTCTCATACCGGGTCCACTCGGAAGAATAGTACAAGTCATTGGAACGAGAGCGACAGCCAAAGTAGAGTATGGTTCCTTCCAACGGGTCAGACTCTGAACGAGAGGCAACTTTGACCCACTCTTTGCTGCTCCTTGACGAATGCGCTCCTCGACGAACGCTCTCATGGGCGCTATGCCAGTCCCTGGACCTACGAGCACAAGGTAGTCATCATGGGAGGGGAGGAACATGGTGGGAGGGTCGATAGTAATAGCGATCTTTGAGCCTACATTGGTCAGGACATCCCGCCCATAACGACTTACCTGTCCGCAGATCCTTGAGCCAGGAGGAGCAGAGACCCTTGCGAGGTATCTTGAGGTTAGTCTTGTACTCTACCAGTGCAATCAAGAGCTGAATTTTGCCCGGATGCGCCTGATAAGGTATCAGCTCGTTCCAGGTCCAGAACACATACAGAGGACGAGCTAGCGATGGAGAATTGGCGACGTCTAAGCGGAGGCAGAATCTCGAGGATGTGGGACAGGGGTATGCGTGTGTACCGAAAATCGGCAAGCGTCTCCAAAATGGTACGTGATGGCCTTGTGGCATAATCGTGTATCTCGTTCTGTGCAAGTGTGAGATTGGGAATGATGCTTTTAGGGTCGTAAGCTCACAGGATCGCCTAGGAAATCGTCTAAGCGCTCTCGCTCCGTCTCGTCTGGTGTCAATCGCCTAAGCCACTCGAAAAAGCTCTTCCGTGGTGATGCTCGCAGATCGAGATGGTTCAAGAGAAGGGAACGCAGTGTGGTCGGCGAGTCAGCGGGAGGTAGATGGGCAGGGACAGGTTGATCTAAGCAGCCAAGTCAAGACCAGTTTTGTTGCATGGGACTCACCCTCGATATTTGAGTGTATTCTCAGCTCATCGTCCGCTACTGATGTCAAGTTTATCATTTCCAAAAAGGTTTCCACGTCCTCCGCGCTATTCTTCGGTTGAAGACCACAGATCGAGCCGGGAACATATGTTCGACTAGGAATATCAGCGACTTTTCTCCGTTGCTCAACCCACAATCGGTCGTCCTCGATGTCCAGCTCGATCTCCCTTACGTCCTGCCACCAATCTCGGCTCGTCACTCGTTGATTTTTGCTCAATGTTGCCCAGCCCCAGTCATCGGGTTTCGAGAGTTCGGAGGTCTCGCCACGGTTCTTATCTATGCTCCTGACAGGAGCAGCTTCGATGACACACTTCTCATTGCCATCTCCGTTGATCTCAAGCGCCGTGATATCTGGTAAGTGCCCTTGCTCAAATTCGATCGAATACAAAGGAGGGGGCAGAGCCGTACCCGGGGCGGTCTCGACGTCTTTCAGGGCCGCTGGCAAGAGAGGAATCATCAGGTCCATAGTCTGCTCCAACCAAGGCAAGAATGTCTCTTCCAAGCTGCGAAAGCTTTTAGTGATCGAGAATTACCCAACGGATACCTACCCATCCGGAGCTCTTTCGTCTCCCCAGGCGGGCTGACCTATCAAGTGTGCGCTTAGACCCAGCATCCTCCGAGCAAGCATTTTCCCAGCATAGCAGAACTTCTCATACGACGAATCGCCAAGTCCGTAGATTGCGAACCTCACGTCCTCGAGAATGTCCGTAGGAAGTACCGATCGGATCAGAGCTGACCATAATCGTTTCATCGCTGGTGGAGGCTCGCCTTGTCCATGTGTTGAGGTGATGAGGATAAGTAGAGGGGTATGAGGGAGCTCAGACTGAATTCCGTTAGCTCTTAGATCCTGATCAGACAATGTTCCACTCGCTATGTCAAACATGTCCATGCTGACAACGACACATTTGCCCCCTCGTCGCCGACATTCCCTCCCGACTCTTTCTGCAATATCTTGCGAGTTCCCAGTCTCCGAAGCGTAAAGCACGACAATATGTTCAGGGGAGATGGCTGAATCTCCAGAGCTAGAGCCCGCATCGCACTCTACGAAGCCTGACATAGCTTCCACAGCTGATAGATGTACATGTGCAAAGTCTCGAGTTGTGTTGATAAAAAGTTGAGACCGTAGTCATTTCGGCCGATCGACCAATTTACGGACTTTCAATGTCCGACTTTGTCTTGGTATATTATTGATATTCGAAAGATCCTCTGACCCGGAGGCGGCATGGTGCAGCTATACGAATGTCCATATCCTAGAGTCTCACCACAAGACAAGCATAGGTCCGTTCGTCTCCTTTGCGCTCTCGACTGACGTCTCTCAGCTTCGCGTGAGCTCTGAATCGGCAGTCCTTCGCTTTTCTACTGACTCCTTAACAAGCTACGTGACGTTGATCAAACGGTACGTTTCACGTTGGACCTCACATTGGGCTGATTCGTTCTAGATGGCCAACTATCCTTCCTGGAGTCATCAACACCGTTTCCAACGTCAATCATGAGCTGCACAGTCAATCCAGTCCCGAAGCTCAGGACAAGCTCACAGAGGGCAAGGCAATCATATCCAAAATCTCCGCGTTAAAACATGACATGGGTCGGAACGGACAGCTAGTGTGGGACCCTACATGCTGGATCCAACTGATTACGTCTCAGGGATATTGAGAACGACGGACAGGGAAATGTCGACTGTTACAATCGAGAGCTGGCCACGTTCACAGGGGATCAACGAGGATGGTCACACGTCAATTGGCTCTTTGCCGAGTGCTACCTGTAAATATACTTGAGACTTGTGGTGGTCATGCTGATCTGTTTCAGCTATCGACGGCTGAGGAACTTCTTTGCTCTAACCAAACACTGGCGCGACTTTGACCCATTCTTCCCCTCCAAAGCAGAGACGTACAAATCGAGCTCCGCCGCCATCATCCGTGAGTAGAGTGAATGGACGTCTGCTGATCCATTCCCTCAGATTTAGCAAAAGCACTGAATACCCTTGTGAGGCGGACAGACTTGAGCCAGGACTTTGAGAGGGAGGGCTCGGCCTTGGAAATCGCGTTCCTGTGGGTCGACGTATGACGACCGGCCCTGACATCACGCAGGGAAATGGTCCAAGCGGACCTCTGGGGGAACGCCACTGTAAGTCTGGGATGGAGCCTGCGCCGGCGACAGTTGACACTCCCCTAGGACCTCTCATTACTGGTTGATCTGAAGTATGAAGACCTCCAAAAGCTGCAAGCTGTTGGTGCTGCTGCGCAGGCCGAGCAAGCCAAGTACATACTCCGGAATGACCTGCCGAAAGTGTGGGAATACTTGAAGACAGTAAAAGACGGACGATTGGATATCGTCATGGACAACGGTGGGTAGATCTTCTTTTCCCCAGAGCTTATTCTTACAACTTCTTAGCCGGATTCGAGGTGAGACGGCCTCGCGACGGAGTGTCTGACCCCGCAAGCTCTACACGGACTTCATTCTGGCAGATTTTCTCATATCATGTACGCCCTTCGTCAAGGAGGTCGTATTCCAGTGAGCGGATCATCGCAGCATTATGAAAATGCTGACGGGCACGCAGTGGGAAGGCTATCCCTTGGTATGTTTGCATCGAGATCCGAAAATATCAAAAAAATTGATCTGCTCAGGTTTGTCTCCGATGTCCTACCGTACGACTTCACGTGAGCATGGTCTTACACTGGGCATGGCTGAATCACGCTTCAGATGGGCAATTGACTCGCTTCTTGATGTCTCTTTCTTCGCTTCAGCTTCCAAACCTCCAAAGGAGGGCGAGTCTGAAGAGCTAAAAACCCTGGCTACCAGATGGAAGTCACATTTATCTTCGGGCAAATTCAAACTTTCAGTCCCTCTGGATACACCCCTCGGGGACGCGCAGAATGAAGAGATAGGAGGATTCTGGACAACTCAGTACTCTTATCAGGATCTCCCGAAAGTCGCCCCGAAGCTGCTGGAAGAACTCCAAAAGAGCGACTTGGTTCTGTTTAAGGGCGATCTAAACTACAGAAAGTGAGAGCGTCGCTCGCTCCAGAGGCGCTTACGTTTATCAGACTGGTTGGAGATGCTTGGTGGCCCACGACTACGCCTTTTGAGGAGGCGTTAGGTGCGGCTCGCACATCTATTTGCTTGCTGATGTAACCCAGGGCCCCTTAAAGGCAAGATCACTCTGCTGAGTTTGCGCACCAACAAGGCGGATACGATGTGAGTGAGCTTGCCCTACTTGCTCTGACCCATTCAGCGCTGGACTGCCAGAAGGTGTCGCCGAACGACTGAACAAGGAGGCACCAGATTGGCGTACATCCGGGAAGTGAGTGATCTGCCGGTGATCATGCTAATCAGCAGGTATGCTGTGGTGTCATTCTGTGAGAAGCACGAGTCATGAAGCCTGTCGCAATCCCATCGCATATGCATTCATGTCACAGTAGCCACAAATGATGACGACAGCCCGACTCTCTTTTTTTTTTTGTTGATCGTTTCCTTTTCCCCGTGGCTTTGGGGACGTATTCATTCAGTCTAGCACGCATTGGTTGTCAGCGCCAGAGTCCGCGCTTCACGACATGGGGAGAAGGGTTCGTTCTGCTGATAGGTGACAAGCTTCTGTTGCCGAGAGCCCAGCACTGAGGAGGCATTATGGACTCAACGTTTCAAAGGCCACGGGAGCCTCCACAGCCCCTTAAGCACCTCTTACAGAATTATACGACTTCTCATCCCCTTCGATCTCCTTCACCACTACCTGCATCCTCTCGAGTCGATCCAAAATTGACCCAGAGACTCCCACCGGCAGCATCGAATCCTTTATTTTGGACCATCCCCACATGGATAGCATTCGTGAGATTCGCCATAGCAAAAGGGATCTACGTGATATGGAGTCTGGTCATGCACTTTTTGAGGGGGCCAGTGAGGCGAAGCTGGGGCTACAGGATGACATTTGTAAGTCTGTTGTACGAGAGCAGAAGGTGACAGTGCTCAATCGTTGCAGATCACTTCATTCATGCGAAATGTCGCAGACTACACCAGTCTTGCGGACATCGTCCTCATTCGAAGGCTCATATCCTTGTCCTTCCTCATTCCCTTACCCGCAGATGCCGTTGTCACACCTATCACATTTCTGGTACCTAGGCACACAGGTCCTGATGTTGCAAGGGGTTTTCTCCGGCATGTTCGATCCCCTTCTTTCAAGGTCCATGCTGATGTTTATCGGCACATAGCGAGCTAGACTCTATAGAGAGTGGGAATCGAGAATTGTCTGGAGAATGGGTTGTCGGAACAGACGTCTGGAAACGTCTGAAAGCGGAGAAGAGGGCGAGAAAGATGGGAAGAGGAACTCTGCCTGGGAAGCGCTCGAACAGCTCTACTCCTTTGGCAGGTGGACAGCAATCAGACGACACGCCGACTGCTCCAGTTCCGGCGAGTATGGACATGGACAATGGTTCGGAGTATGGGAGTCGAGATCGGGGCAGTCCTTCGGAGAGAGTCATCTATTACATTCACGGGGGAGCATACTATGTCGGAAATGCGGCAACTCATCGACTGATCACCATTGGCGTGAGCAAAGCTTGCAATGCAAGAGTTTTTGGTGAGTCAAACCCCACGCCTTGTACAACTCACAGACAAGCCATCACCTATCGCCTCGCTCCTGAGAACGTGTTCCCGCTGCCACTTCATGATGTCCTGCATGGATATCTGCGCCTGCTCGCCCCTCCACTCTCGATCCCACCGGAAAATATCATCATTGCTGGAGACTCGGCAGGCGGAGGCATGAGTTTGGCTCTGTGCATGTATCTCCGGGATGAAGGGTACAAGATGCCATCTGGCTTGATCCTGATGAGCCCTTGGGTCGATTTGACGATGAGCTGCGGGAGCTGGGACGAGTGCTCGGCTTGGGACGTGGTACCGCGTCCGACGAGCGATGGTGAGGCTGCTTCAAGTTGGAGGGATACTGACAGCTGCAGACCATCTGAACCCCGTACTTTGCTATCTAGGCCAGAAGGGTGTGATCAATCATCTCACTCATCCATATGCTTCGCCTCTCTTTGGGGACCTCCATGACCTTCCACCAATGCTCATCCAAGCTGGAGACTCTGAAGTCCTGCGTGATGAAATCACGCTTCTGGCTCACAAGGCGACTCTAGCGGGCGTCGACGTCACGCATGAGTTGTACGAAGATATGGTCCATGTCTTTCAAATGTTCACGTTCTTACCCGCTGCCAAAGTCGCCATTAACAGTATTGGACGGTGGGTGAGGACGGTCTTACCGCGTATCGAAGACGAGAAATCTCGTAAAGCTGCTAAGGACGTCGGTGATGGTGTTGACGGGGAAACGGACAGTCCGGTTTCTAGGACAGTCAGAGAAAAGAGCAGTACGCTCAACAGAAGTGTTGGCCGATCGCATGGATTCAATCAGCCTCCTCCTCCTCGACTGGAGGAGCAGAGACGTCGCTCATCCGCTTTCAACTCGTTGCATCTGGTTGCTCGAGCACCCACCTCAGACCAACCTTCAGTGGACGTCGACTCCCTTCCAACATCTGGATCTCGTTCAGGATCACCAACACCAACCGGATCTCCTCTATTCCCGACTATCCCTGATCCATCCAGCTCCCACTTGCATACCACTCATGCGCCTCAGCTTCGGCGAGCACTGACCGCAGCGGCCATCACCTCCTCGGCCAATTCCTCACCTGCAAATTCTCCTCCCAGGCCGGGGCGGCTACGTCCTCGCAGACGAACACAAGGTGCTGGATCGCTCCACCTCTCGTCGCCGTCAACTTCTACGACGCCTTCGAATTCGTCAAATCCCGTCTCCCCCTCCCCATCAATACGGCCAAGACTCCGATCCCCTTCCTCTGCGTCTCAGCCTACCGCTCGTCATCGCAGTCAGAGTCACAGCGATATCTTTAGTCTGGTTGAGGGTTATGTAGAAGGAGGAGCTGCCAACGAGACCGTTGTCTATGCACCTGGAGGAGAGGTCCGAAGTGTGGGCGTACTGGGGGAGGATGAGGACGAAGAGGAATAGCAGCTATTCACTCGTTGTAGTGTTCTAGGCCAAGAGCGTCACGTTGCATGAGTGCGCATGAAAATTATACTAAGCTACATCTGCTACACCTAGTGACCAGGATCGTTCGGGTCCAGTAAACCTCCAATTACTCGTTGGAATGCCGGAGGCCAAGTACCCATCCCCATCTCAAACGGATTATGACTGTTCGGATCCATATGATCCGAAGGAGCACCACGGCCTTCTCCGGCATTCATCTCACCAGACCACCACGTGTCAAAGTCTGAAGTGAGTCCGGAAAGGCTGAAGAGACCATCTCCGTGTGGCATGCCAGATGTCTGAGGCATGAACTGAGGTTCGCGAAGTGCGACTGTCGGACTGTGATGCAGACCGTTGAAATTCATACTTTGAAAGCCGGAATCCACAGGGGGTGTGGTGAGTTCCAGCTGCATCCGTGATTCCAGTCGGCTGGCCAGCGTACTTCGCAGATTCGGTCTGGGCTGAGAAGTAGCTTGAAGGGCATTGATGTGTCCTTGGACAAGCAGGCGGTCTAATATCAGTCATGCTGGATAAATGGGGCTCTTACCTTCTGGCTGAGTCAACATCTTGAAATGATCGATGACGATGAAAGCCGCAAGCGTGATAAGCTGGAGGTCAGAGCACTGCCGCCGTACAAGCCGACTCACGACGAGGTCCCAATTCGACCATACGGCCATTCCCAACCGCTGGATACGAAGCGCTGCTCTGGCTGCCGACAAGAGATCATCCTCGTCCGAGGAAGCCTTTGAGTCTCCGGATCGGGCGCCATTCGTTACGGAATTATAGATGAACAGGACGAAAAGCTTGTGCAATTGATATTGCAAGAGCATGACATTGGCCTCACTAGGTCCTCGTTGCTGGAATTCTGCTTGTCAGCCATGCTGACGACGCAATGCTCACTCGAAGGCTTGTGATATTTCATTAGCCATGCATCGAGCTCATTCGCCCAGCCCTTTATTGATCGCAGATCGGAAGATGACGGACTCGCCGGCGGTCGCACACGAGTCGAGTCCACCAGTACAGTCTCCATGATGGTTCGGATGTGACGGCCTGAAAAGTGGGATAGGCCAACATGCATGATTGTGGTCAGATGTGTCCAAGCCTGCCGAGGCGTATCCGCTTCTGGTGTGATGTGTTCCAGGGAGGGGATTGGACAGAGCAGAGGCAGGACGGGATAAGCCATATTTAGAGAAGCGTGTTCGATATCGACCACCTGTTATAGTCAGCCTTAGCGATTCCAGATAACGCACTCTCAGGCCCTCATACAAGCCCCGCCACTCCTTCAGCTTTGCCTTGTCACACTTTGCAGCGCCGCTGAGGACGATTTGATACGCCATGCTGATCCAGATACCCGTCGTATTGACCCAAGCCTCGCTCAAAAGTCCCATGACGATGATGCCAAGTGCGTCCTGTAAATCCTGCGCATCACTGTACACGAATCCCGGATCCTTGGAAGGCACTGCCAGTTGAGCGATGGCATTCGCAGCGGATGCATGGTAGAAGGGAGATAATTCGGCGTATTCACCGAGTGGATGCTGGATCGATGCGGCGAATAGGACTGCCGCCAACAGTAGCGGTGTTGGGCGATCATTGAATATACGCTGCGTGGAGAAATGGAGGGCAGGCATGTGCTCGGCGAACCTAAGTTTCAGCTGTGAACCAAGGGACACACTCACGATAGCCATAAAGCCTCTACAATCGGGGTGTTCCAACCCCGATGGCGTTTATCGGCCTCCGAGCAATGCGAGATAAGTATGCCAAGGGCGGTCCAAAGGTCCGGCAATGGTCGGTCCTTCTCATTATCGTGGACGCCGTGCTCTCCATGAAATGGCCGTGGACTTGATACGGACGAGGAGACGGCCGGTTCCTGCTTGGTTCTGATACCCGCCGAGGGGTCAACCGATCGAGAGGACGGGAGAGCGGTGATACCAAGTTTCGTCTCGATGATGTGTAATCTGGTCAGGACGGATTGCTTGAATTCTTCGTCCTGAGTGACATTGTGATCGGATATGAACCAGTCTCCGGCGTCGATCCCCTAAATATAGCTGATGAGCCTTTGCCAAGAGAAGGACCAGGAGATCTATCGGCTCACATTCGCTCGAACTTTGAACAAGCATGGTGTCTTACTTTTTAGACATCGCTTGCACGGCGGATCTCCCTCCAGATCGCATTTCATCTAAAGGCGGTCGCGGTCAGAGCGGTTCCCGGTAGAGGCTGCACACCCGGTAGAGGCTGCACACACCTTTTGCTTTCGACAGTTGACTGCACGGTTCCGTCAGCTCAGAACACTTGGACAAGCGGGCGGAGAGACTCCACGGATGAGAAAATGGCGATAACTCACGGCATGCTCGTGCAGATTTCTGAGCTTTGATTGGAGCGTGTTCATCGTCTGGACTTGCTTGAGACAAGGTCCGTTTATGCGCTGTTGAGGAACTTGACATGGCTGAGCCAGTCGATGGGTCAGCATATGACATGGTGAATCAGTGAGTGGATAAATGATCGACGACGATACAACGACAGCACTAAGTATAGATGTCGTTCCCCATGTGGGGGGGGCATAGCATGAATTCTTTTTGATTCCGGCCGAGGCCTTATCCGTGACTATTTCTCTTTAAAAAAGTGGGTCCAAGCTCAAAGTGGCAGCTGGTTCACCTGCTGTCGTACGATTCCCGACATGGCTCCTCAGTCACTGCGATCTCAAAACATCCCTGATTTGCATGCGATAGAAACGAACATATGCTACACACCAAGAGCAACGACCTTAAACCAGCTCTGCAGTTTGAGTCGGCCCCTCGGTTTTCTCATTCCTGGTGACCTCGGGCTCGTAATTGCCGTCCAGGGCCAAAGCTCCCTTTCTTGAGATATCCTCGACCATGTCTTGTCCATCGAAGATGACTGCAGTCTCCTCGAGAGACATATTTCGGGTCTCTTTGAAGAAAAAGTAGACGACGATGACTTCGAACAGGATCCAAACGTCATACACAATGTAGTCTGAAAGAGATCACGAGTCAGGGCAATGATCCCGTGCGAGACATTCAATGATGACTCACATTTCCAGCCGATGTTTTGCAGCCCGACTGGATTCAGGTATTGGTTCAAGAAACCAGCAAGAGAGACACAAATGTTGTAAATGGCAAGACCTCGAGCCCGGATGGCGAGAGGGAGGATTTCGATGCAGTCTGTGGTTTCAGCGATGCTCGGAGTGTGGTGGACTTACAAACAACCTGTAATGGTGTCCAACCAATATTGAAAATAAAGTTGTAGATGAAGATGATAGCGAGGACTGTCTTTCCGGCAGCCTTGTTGGGGTTCCCGGCATCGTTGGAGATGTCATAAGTTGCCTCGCATCCGGTCCAGATCACAAAGCAGATGAACAATCCGATAGTCGACGTGAGCCATAAGGTTCGTCGAGCGAACATATTGACGATCATGGCCAATCCGATAGATGTGACGAGACTGAAAGCTTGCAGGATACCGTTGATCATGAGTTGTTGTCTAGAGTCGACGTAACCGATAGAAGTGAGGATCAGGGACAAATAGTAAGAAATTAATCCGTTTCCAGACCATTGGGAGAAGAATCCAATGGCAACAATGACGGCGGTTCGGGATCGGTTGGCAGAAGTCTTGACCAAAGTCAAGAAAGAGGTATTTTCAGCGATGAGTCGATCGAGCCGGATAGCTTCGTAGATCTCTGCGACCTCGAGCTCGACCAATGGGTCTGTGGGGTCACCGTTCGCATGATACGTGACGAGCACTTCGGTGGCCTCTGCAACACGGTCCTGCTCGATCAGCCATCGAGGTGATTCTGGAATGAACCAGACGAGCAGGATCTGGAAGACGGAAGCTGCTCCTTGGATGATTGAGGGGATTCGCCAAGCCCAGTCTGACGGAATTAGCGCAGCGCAGGCTAAATGAATCGCGACCCACTGTTTCCCATCGCGAATGTACCATAGGTTATCCAAGCAGCAGCGAAGGATCCCAGGTTCCATAACGAGTTGTAGACAGCGGTCAGAGGTCCTCGATGGGTCGGGAAAGCAGTCTCAAGAATGTAAATTGGAGCGGCAGTAATGTTAATTCCGAGACCAAATCCCTGAGCCGAATAAGCACAGACTGAGACCAAGATCTCACAATGATGAATCGAGCGGCAACGAACATGCCCATGTTGACTGCGGCTCCCTGAAGGGCGGTACCGACTGGGCAGCGGGTTAGCAAGAAGCTCCATCATGACTTAGCTTCAACTCACTGAGAATGATGACCGCGCCGACGATCATCCCAATCTTTCGGCCAAATCTGTCGCAGAACCAAGCTTCCACGGGAAAACTGACGATCTGACCGATTGGCTGGACACAGTTGAAGAATCCCAAGATGGATCCCGTCGGGTGATTAAAGTAATCTTGCCATGTCGTTAATGACCTGGAAAGGTTAGTTATCGGCGGTGGCGAATGACAAAAAGTATCACTCCACGGGGTACTCACTGAAGACCATTCATCATAGATCCATCATACCCAGTCGCATATGAACTGACTTGAGCCAGTAAGAGAATCAGATTCAGCTTGACAAGCCCGGCATTGGCTAGATAGCCGGTGTTTCGACCAGCGAGAAGCTCGTCGAGTCGTGAAGGCATGACGATGGTGTGAGAATACGAGATACGAGATGCAGGTGAAGATGAGCGCGGCTAATCGATTTCTCCATATATATTTTGAGACCCCTAGTTCAAAAGTTAACGGCAGCCGAAGAAAAAGACGAGAAGAAAATAGGCTGCTCAAGCGGGGCAAGTCAAATGGGAGACGCCGGTCATTTAACCGGATGAATATCGTAGTACGTCGTCGTCCATTATCGGACTTGGACCATGTACCTTGAATTCTACGCCCGGGTGTGGCTCAATCCGATCTTTTTGAACCACAGGTTCGAGCGGGGGCACAGATATGGCGTTTAAGGCCCCCGCGCTGTCATTCAGCTTCACTCGGACTATCCCGCGTTTTGGTTATCGATTCAAAGGAGACCGGACCGGTTCCGCTTATCTACCGAAAGCCCGGAGCCTTTCAGGCATGCATGCCGGAAATCTGATTTGATCTAGGACGTCCGAGCTCCCCTATTCAGAGGATGACAGAGACGGGACTCAAACGGTCGCCTGAGATGACACTGCTAGAACCACTGCATGCAAAAGAGCACGGGATAAGGAGTACAGACAAGAATGCGAAATGCCACTACCACTGCCACATTAGGCTGAAAGGTGCTTGTCGAACCACTAAAAGCTCAGCATACTGAGCTCGCCCCTGCTTCTGCTCACTCTTGTGATGGCCCCTGCAGAGTCTTTAGGATACCTCTGCTTTGTCTTGAAATCGACATAGGTAACTCCGAATCGCGGGATGTATCCCTCAGCCCATTCCCAATTGTCCATCTAGCAAAGATGAGCCAGGCACCACATCCATGTGCTTACCAAGGTCCAGCCAAAGTAGCTGCGAACATCTACACCGTCTTCTATAACGGCTTTGAGAAGATTGTCCAGGTAGTTGATATGATCTGCAGCATGAGCGAGAGATCGGAGAAGTACCTACATGCAGTCCTCTCAACGTCATTGCAGGCCTCCTCCCTCGTCATGAGATGTTCATCCTTGCACGCAAAGCCAGCTTCGGTGACTCTGATTTTGTCAATTTTGCCTGTGTTTTCGAGATGACGTACAAGATAGGCTTCTTGTACCGTCTGTACAGATACCCAAGGTGCTTCCTGAAACCCCAGGGACACGAAACGAGCCAGGGGCAAGCGCCTGGGTCCGTTAGGTGAGCTTAGCAAGCGCTGACTTACATGGGTCTCCCAAGCTCTCTCCTCGAGAGTTCTGGAAGAATAGCTCCGAATTGCCCAACGACACATCATCTCCACCACATTTGATGTAGTTTGTAGTGTCTAATCTGTCAGACGTATCGATGACCTATGAACTCACAAGTGTTGCATCCGTAAAAGTCGCTCGAGCCCTTCACCAAACACCATTCTTCAGGAGTGAATGTCGGCAAGCGATCTCCAAGCATTTCACGCATGATCTTCGATTCGTGTCCCAGGAATATTGGGTCTGCGAACCACCCAATCGCTGCTGCCATCTTGCGTTCGGCAGCTCGGTGTGCTGAGACTGTCAGCGGCTGCAGAGTCAGCCTCACTCACATGACTCGTCGTCTGACCATGGTTCAACCCAATCGCCGTTCAGGGTGATACTCAATTTCCCGCCCTGTTGAGGTCGGTAGTATTTATCGTACAGTTGATACGCATGAGCATGAGCCAGCATGAGGTTGTGCCCAACGCTGCAGAGGTCAGAGGACATTGAGGTACGGAGACTCACATCCAAGGTTCTGTTTCTGTATTTCCATCTGCACTGAATGGTCTCTTGCTGCTCCGTCCAGGTGCACAGTCACCATTGAACCAGCCGGGAATAGTCACGACGTATGGCTCGTTGATGGTGATCCTGGACGTCAGTTTGGGAAACGGATGGGGGACGCACCAGTTCTTGACACGATCTCCAAATGCTTCAAAGCAGACTTGAGCGTATCTCCTAAAATCCTGTACGATTTCATCCTTGTCTCTCCAACCCCCGTATCTGTCTTCCAGTGCTTGGGGGCAATCCCAATGGTACACTTGCCGGGTCAGTCAGATTGCAGCAATCAGCTCACAGGTGACGTAGGGTGTAATGCCTTCAGCGAGGAGCTCATTGATGAGGTTGTTGTAGTCTGAACGTATCAGAAGACGTTTTGACGTGTCTGACAACTCACACTGCAGCCCCAGTGGGTTTACGGGATCATCTCTCCCACCCTTCGGTATGATCCTAGGCCAGGACAACGAGAACCTGTATCCCTTCGCCTTGTATTGCTTCAAGATCCGGACATCGTCCTTGTATCGATGATACGAATCACAGGTCTGAGAAAATAGCTCAGCGATACAATATAGAGCTAGACCAGCTCACCTCGTTACTATTGGAGCCGTCCTGGACCTTGCTGGATTGAGCCGAAGCAAATCTGTCCCAGATGGATTCACCACGCCCATCCTCATCTACCGCTCCTTCGATCTGTTGGGCCGCTAGAGTAGCATGTCAGCTTTCGGCTGAGACCGATGTGAAGAGGAGGATGGAGTAGTTTCTTGTGCGCTGTGTCACGGGCCTGTTTTCTGGCCAAGAGACCGGACAAAGAGCAAAGACGAGTAGCAGAGCCGACAAGCCTAGAGACTAGAGGCAGGTCCTCAACGCCCACATACCAGTCGCGTATCCCCACATGAAATCCGCCGGTAGGCGATGACCGACGTGCCCGTTCAGATCCTCCATTGAGCGAGTCATGGTGAATATTAATGAGGAGACGAAGATGGAGACGGTCTCCTGTCTGAATAAATCATGCAAGATGCTGGACCGGTACAGATCACATCATCCACATTTGTCCCTTTCCGAGCTCACACAAGCACGATTCAGCCTCTACATTCGGGAGCATTGACGGTGCGGGCTTACAGAGCGTCAAGCCCAACAAATCTTGAAAATAGTTTTGATGAGAACCCGGTCAAGCTCCCGGAACCGGTAGGAGCTCCGGAACCTCATTTTCATTACCCCACCCTTCCCCCGATAATCGGAATGCGATTTAGGCGGCCCGCAAGTTGCCGTGGCGTATAATCCTAGGTTGCCCTTGGCTCATGTTCAGAAATTTAGGGCGCAGCACAGTGAAGATGATGGGCCTACCTACTCTCTGGCCCGGTAGTGTCCCGAGGACCTCCGTCTCCCGCATATATAGCTCCCAGAGGCCGCTAATCACTGCTCCCCTCAGATACCGTCCTCCTCCTTCACAATGCTCGGTTCTATATCCCTCTTTGCTCTACTGGCAACCTTTACGAGTGCCACAGCTATCCCCACGAAGAGATGGCCAGCACCATCTCCTGCATTGAGCCTGAATCAATGGGATCAGGCAATGTTCGACGTCTCCATGCAGATTGGCGATTGGTCCTGGGAGCCTTCGACCGGATGGATTGAGTCGGATGACGACAATGTGGGTACTTATTGCCTATGTGATGGGTTAGCTGATACCTTCGCCTCAGGGTCACACCAGCTCCCGGTTCACTTCTTGGTACGTTCCAGGACTGCTGCATCGTAATGCCACGGGAGATCTGGAGAACGCCATCTGGGCCATTGAGAATGTGTAAGTGAAGCAGTGCCACATTCTACTGACCACGACGTAGTATCTCTGTCCAATTCGACAATGCCGAGTGGATCGGTCAACCATGGTACTGGGATTATAAGCAGGCCAGCGATATCCCCGCTCCGAACAACCAGACCTACCCTGCTTCCATTTACGTGAGACGCCTTACAGTGGATCCAAATTGACACCTACAGAACACGTACGACCCCAACTGGGCTTTCTTCATCGGCTTGCAATTCGTCCAAATCGTGTCCGAATTCGAAGAGATGCTCCCCCCTACCCTTGTCGAATCCATGGTCAACTCGACTTACAAGGCCGCTCGAATGCTCATGACCCGTGTCGGGTACGATGGCGACAACCTGGTCACTGCGTACTCTAACCCGGCCATTGGACGAGCCATCGTTGTCGAATGGGTCGGAGACAGACTTAACGACGCCAACCTGACAGCTGCTGGAAATCAGTACGCTCAAGACATCTACGACTTGTTCACTGCAAATGGATACAACACTCTTGGAGAATACAACGTACCGAGTGAGTGCACCTCGGAGGACTCGTTTGACTGAGACACGATGAAAGCATACTATGGTATCGATGTTCTCGGACTTTGCTCTTGGATTCGATACGCTCCATCAGGTAGCAAGCTTCCAGGATATGGCCAATATATCCTTCAAAACCTTTGGGCCGACATCGCCGAGCACTACAACTAGTGAGTTGATCTGGGTTTGTACTTTGCTGATACCTCAGCAACCTCAAGAACATGGTCGGACCGTATGACCGAGTCTACCATCGAAACATGCTCATCGACGATTCGATCATCTCTCTCTTCTTCTGGCTCTTGATCGGTCGCGAGAACGCGCCCGTCGCTCCTATTGGAATGGAATCTACAACGTACGATTTGCGCGAAGGTGTTGCTTTCGCTTTGGTCGGTCAGACACTCCGAGACAATGTCAACGCTTCCACCGTCGCGCGACTGACGGAATACCCCACCGAAGACAGAGAGTTCACTCGCTACATTCGAGTCTCTCTTCACAATGATACCACCCGGGTCAATACCGCTTGGATCAACGAGAACGTCATGGCGGGTGGACAGCAGGCGAGTCGAGTCGTCTTTGTTCATCGGGACGACGGACTGACCGATCTAGGTCGCCGAAGAGGTTTCTCGAGGCAGTCAATTCACGCCAATGATCGCGCACTGGAAATCAGGGAACACAAGCATGGCCAGCCGTCCTTTCGTCTCCTTCTTCCAGCAGTACGACACAACGACCTCATACAACAACACGGTGACTGCCAACCATATCACCGTGTCCTATCCCAACACCACTCAATCCGGGACCGACATGTTCATGTTCCTCATCGGTGATATTCCCGCTCCATTCTACGCCGCAGGGGAGATTGTAAGTGAACTCTACGGTGAGACTCTCTGACGACCGTTAGATGCACGGATTCGACAACCTCCCCTGCCTATCCGTCAACATAACCAGCCAGGGTCTGAACGGAACAGTCGATTACGGTGATTACTGTGATTTCTCCATCCAAAGCAACTGCAGTGAGTCGAATGATCATCTATCATCTTGTTTTGCTGACATGACTCAGTGTACCCTGTCACCTACTACGTCGACCCTGACTTCAAGGGCACGCCCACAATGGAGTTTGACCTGACCTACACCTGCTAGGCGATATCGATGTTCAGATCGGGCGGGAAATCAAAAAAGGAGCATATAATGGTGCACATCTGAAGAAGAAGTCATATAATGTGAATGAATGCATAGATCCTGATCACGAAAGACGTTGCATGACCATTTGCCACGTTCATGGTGCCTAAAAGCAATTAAATATACCCCGATATTTTTGATCCATTTTATCCTAAAAAGTTGATTGACTCTCGGTCCACTTCGTTAAGACGTTTGACCTCAGTTCACTTTAGAACCCACGATGCCGCCCAAAAGCAAGCCAGCATCTGTCGAAGCTTCTTCTTCCAAAGTCCAAGCTCCTTTGCCTGATTCCTTTTCCCAAAAACAGGCGAAGAAAGCGGTCGACGCTCTTTTGGCCCACCATGAAAAAGTCGTCTCTGAACGAGAGGAGACTGAGCTCATCCCGAGGGAAGATCATATATGGCTGATAGTCAACACAAAGAGGGGGAACACCAAGCGCAAATTGATGCCGAAGAGAGTGTGCGTCCTTGGATCCAGCGCATTGGGTTTTGCTGACTAGTCCCATAGACAATTACCTCACCCACCCCTGCCTCCCCCACCTATCACTGCCGTTGGACTCATTGTCAAACCACCTCAGCGGACATACAAAGATCTGCTCGTCTCTCCGGAACACAACATCAGGTTCATCAACAGAGTGGTGGATACCGACAAGCTGAGAGGTAAATGGAAGCCGTTCGAAGCGAGACGTAATTTGGCAAAGGAGAATGATCTCTGGTTGGCCGATGAGAGGATCGTCCCTAGTCTTCCGAAACTGTTGGGCAAAACCTTCTTCGATGCCAAAAAGTGGGTCCAACATGTATATCAGTGCTGACGGTCCAGAGTCCCCATCCCGGTCAACCTCAAGCGGAAAGATCTGAAAGCGGAGCTTGGTAGAGCCATCAGTTCGACTTATTTCCACCCCTCCACAGGAACATCACAGTGAGTTGTGGAAAACAGGCTCAGAAACTCATCATCTAACAGCTCTGTGCGCATTGCTACGCCGCCAAGCTCTACTTCTGCCCAGACACTGGAGAACTTTCTAGCCGCTCTTCCCGTTGTCATAGGACTCATTGAGGATGGTTGGGACAACGTTCTGTCTGTCGGTATCAAGACATCATCGTCCATCCTTCTGCCAGTCTGGAACAGCCCACTTGCCGACAGATTCAAGGGAAAGACAACGGAGGAGAATGAGACGCCAGAACCAGCTGTCAAGTCGGAGAAGAAGCGTAAAATAGATGCTGGAGAAAGCTCTACGAAAAAGGCGAAAGCAGATCCGCTAGTCGCAGCTGCCTCGAAGCCAGTGAAAACCACCGAGACTTCGTCGAAGGCGGACAAGATCGTCAAGAAGGCTGGGAAGAAGTCTAGCAGTGTCGGCACCGGAGGAACTGGCAAGAAGGCAAAGACGGCGATTTTGGGAAATGCCTAGGGTCCGGGACTTTCTGATGGTATGACGATGATCTCATGACATGCAATTTGGTGCTTTCCTGTCTATCGCCTAAGTTTTCTTTTGCCGAGTCGCCCTCCGCCTCCATTCTCCATCTTGCGCTTCATCTCCTCGCGTCGTTTCTCAACTTCTTCCTCTTCTTCTCGTTCTCGTTCTTTCTTACTCTTCTGTGAGGCTTTCGGCGGGGGATCAGGAGCGTTTTGCCCCAAGCTCTCTGGCACTTTTACATCGGCGGGTGCTTCTCTGGCGGCCTCGTCCTCTTCATCCGAATCCATGACGTTGTTATCTTGTAGCGTAGGCGACGGCACGGGAGCAGATTCCGCTGGAGGATCGAGATTTGGGCGTTGAGTAGAAGGCGGAGGTTGAGTCTCCTCCACCTTTTCATGGTCATCCCCACCTGATTTGTAGTCCTGCGTCTCCTCTTCCAGTTCCTCGCGAGTACTGTGCGGGGATGCCTTGGGCGACAGTGTGTGTTCCATTTCTTGTTCTGGATGTGTCGCGGAGGGACCAGCTTGAGCATTCAACTTGTCTGCGACCGTCTCATCCTGTAGAATCATTGCTATGGCCAATGATGGCGTCGAACTCGGTGACACGCTGATACTGTTGTCCTTGCCGATCATCCTTGCCAATGGCAGGACGAGATGCTGACCGATCAGACTGAGACATCTGCGGAGCTCTAGCTCGCTGCGTATGTTGGCCCTCTTCATAGTTAAATGCGCAAGACTGACCTGAGAAAGAAAGACCATTCAAAGTCCCCATCTTGTATCGAGAACACCTTATCCTGGAACTTCAGCACCCCAACCTCTCTCAGCGCTCACATAGAAATGATGTGTCCCAGCCTTCAACTTGTTATCCTGCCATCGCTCTGACATGATCCCACCCAGTTCCGTCAACGTGTCATCCACTCGAGCCATAATGTTGAAGCTGCCAATTTGACTCTCTGAGCGTTTCTGGGACGACTGAGATAGCTCATTCAGGCGCGCAGAGATAGCCTCGCCCGTCACAGACTCAAAGTAGACTTGTTCTAGGTTCGTAGCCTACACACTAGGGCTCAGCAACGACCACTTGCTTAGACTTACGAGGACAACATACCCGGCTCGTTCAGGATGAGAAGCGTACTTGAACAACCAGGCTTGACCGTCAATCTCTTTGCTCAGCCATGGCACGTCTCGCAGAACCCTGTCATGCTTCTGATAGAATCAACATCGATCAAGAGCCTCGACTCACGTCTTGAAAGGAGGACATTGCGCTCTGCGCATGATCAATGTTATTAACGCCAAGTCATCGATATCACACATAAGTCGATCCGTATCTCGGACGCATCACGTGACTCCGAACCGAAATCCCGGTTTCCTGTCGCCGAGGGCTTTCAACAGCGCATCGACTTATCATTCCTCAGCAGATCAATAATACGAGTTTGATCTCCAGCGATGGCTTTCGACGTCGTGAGCCCGGAGGCCATGTCCACAGAGCAGATGGTGGATCTCAATAATTCTCCTCCATTGAAACCGGCGGACAATCCGTCCTCCGACCCGCTCTCATCCATTTCCTCCCTCGCCGACTTCATCGATGCCCATACCGACGATACGGCTAGTATGATCAATGAGCTCATGAATCCATTCACATCTCTTGAAGAGTTGGAAAAAGCTCTTGGATCTCTGTCGACTCGTCTATCCCTTCTCAGCTCAGACACGTCTTCGGCGCTCGAGCAATCTATTCACGACATCTCACGAACAGTCCCGAGATTAACATACGATCTTCAATTCATGAGGGAGTCGGCTACGACCCTGCAAACATCTCTCTCAATCGTACAATCACAAGTAGCTCGTCAAAGACTAAGTGACGACGAGGGCGATGAGACACACAAATCCCTGGAAAAGCTCGCCCATCTCGACAAGCTGAAAACACGGATGGAATCTGCTCGAGGCATCTTGCGCGAAGCTGAAAGCTGGTCGACACTGGAAGGTGAAATAACCGAATTCTTCGGTAGCGAGTCCTGGAATAAAGCTGGAACGAGATTGGCAGAGGCTTCAAAGAGCATGGTGGTGTTCCAGAGTACGCCTGGAGAATATGAGAGCCGTCGCACGTTGCTTGTGTCATTACAAAACGAGCTGGAAGGAAAGCTGGCGACTGCGCTGAATGGCTCGATCGAAAGGGGGGATGTGGAGGCAAGCGCAAAGTTGAGGGAGGTGTTCGAACTTATCGAGCGGGGAGTCGAGTACCAGAACTACTACTTTGTCGCCAAACGGAAAAAAGTCGTTGATGAATGGACAGAAGCGACTTCAACCACGACGACATTTTCTTCATTCCTGTCCAAATGGTACGCGAGTCTGTTGGCGACCATTCATACGGAGAAGACCCAGATCCCACTCATCTTTTCAACTCCGCCTGATAAAGTCTTGACGGCCTTCCTTCTGTCCTCATTGAATCACCTCTCGCCGAGTTTCGAGTCCCGTTTATCAAGTCTGGCTGATCAAAATGGACTGGATACCCTACCGGAATTGATACGATGCTATAAGGCTACTGAAGACTTCGTCACGTCGGCGCGTGGCATCTTGCAGCCTGCCTCATCTGCTTCTCTCGGTCCCAGAACCCACACCACTGTGTTGCAGGAGACGCCGAGGCGGCCTTCTCCGACTCTGTCAAGGAAGATATCATCGCGATCAGCCACAGTCTCATCTGAAGACCCGTTAGTTGTTCCGACAGAATGGGAGGCTGCATTATACGATCCCTATCTGGACTTCCAGACCGCTTATGGTACCTTGGAGAAACGTCATCTATCTCTCCTGTCACCGAAGGCTGCTTCGACATCTGCCAGAGCTTTGACAGATCAGACGAACACAATGTTCAGCATACTCGGCGAAGCGACGAGTCGGTGCGTGGCATTCACTCATGGGTACGGAGCTGTTGGTCTGGTCAAAGCCATGGGCGAGGTTTTGGAGAGATTCATGGACGATATTCAGCTCGACCCTTCAGGTACCGGTCAAACAACCGATGAGCTCGACTTTGAGGGTCTGGATTACTCCACCAAAGACTGGGAAGGCTTTCAGCATGGTTTGCATATCCTTGCGGTATGTCGTGATTTGCGAGCCAAGCTGGACACGCAGGAAGGCAAGATCCACGACATGTTGCTCCTTTGCGATTCGCAACCCGATTCGGCAGCTCGAGCGTTGCTCAGACAATCGACGTTAAACTCAATCGAATACGCAAGTCTGACGGCTGATCTACCGTTGGATCCGCCTGCCGTTCAACTCAAGACTGCTCGTCAGGCCCTGAGGTCATTCACTCGTCGAACTCAATCCTTCATCCAATCCATCATCCTCGCCCCGCTTAAAAGCCTTCTGGCCACTTATCCGACTCTACCGGAGTGGTCAGCGCCAGACAAGGTCCCTCAAAGGGGGGATCTACCGGTCCCAACCTTCTCCTTAGGTCCTACAGAGACCATAGCCCGGGTCAGCGAGGGTTTACTGAATCTCTTGCGGGTATTCGAAGTGTACGCTGCGGACGATGCACTAGGGTTCAGTATCGAAACCTTGCCCTTTGTCGACTCCGAATCTACCGGCGATCTAAACGCCGAAGTGGTCTTATCAACTTGGGTCTCATCCCTCTCAATCTCCCTATTGGCACATTTGACGGGGACCATCTTGCCCGGCATCAGGAATCTATCCACGTCGGGATCTGCTCAGCTGGCGAGTGATCTAGGATACTTGAGCAATGCCGTGAGAGCCTTGGACGTGGAATGGGAGGATCTGGAGAAATGGAGGGAGAAGATTGAGCCGAAGGAGAAGGAGGCGTCGTCACTATCATGATGACCCTCTGCCCAAAGCACTCTACACACACCGCTAGATGGTCACTGGCGTTGTATTCATATGACGCATCTCATCATGATATATACAATGAGAGCCAAAAATTAGGCGATTCATCGGTTACTGGATTGTTACCCGAAAGTTGCAGTATCACCACTTTTTTTTGGGCAAGGACCGGGAAAATGAATGGGGGCGAGAAAGGGAGAAAAGGGGGGGGGGGGGGGGGGAGGGGGGGGGGGAGGGGTATGGAATGCTTTTCATTCATTCGCCTTGTCCTACTATACAATCCTTGCTCACTCCAATTGATACATGGCCATCTCTCCTAGATCTATCATCGTGTCGAGCTAGACTCTGTCTGTCGGTCATTTCACGTATCATTGCCGACCCCGTTACCCAATATCCGGCATTCAACACTCTTCCGGTTTAGCGGGCGGGAATCCCGGTCGAACCGATTTCACGCACCTTCTCTCGCCTCGCCTCTCTCGCTGATCTTCCCCATCTTGTTGTTCCATTCCGTCGGTCCATCAGCCGACCCTTGCCCCTGCTACCTCCCCCGAGTCACTCCCTTCGCCCACACGACCATGTCGAACAGTCGTCCTGCCCCATACATGGTGGCATTATCCGGATGGCCGGAGCCGGTTTACATTGCCGGACCACCATTAGGTTCATCTCGTAGTGGCACGCCCGGTCCATCTTCAGGCGGTGGAGAATACAGAGAAGGCGTCTCCAGAGTAGACATCGAACATCATGCTGGTAAGGGGGAATCTTCCCTACTCCCGTTCCATCTTCGAGCAAGACCTGAAGCTTGGCCCCCGGCAGAGAGCATTTTTTCAAAAACTTGCATGTACAATAACGACCCGAACAAGGAATGTCTGGTTCCAGATCATCCTAATCACATTGCCAAATATGCTCAACAACGCTCAAGTGTTATTGGGACGCCGACAAGAGCCGAATCACCAGCACAGTTCCCAACATCTTCTGCTCGCAGTACACCACATCCATCTCCACCTGGATCTCGACGAGGATCACCAAAACCCCAACATCTTCACATGCCCCACAACTCCTCCCCTTTGACCGTGTCATTACAGGACGAATCGAGCAGTCATTCATCAGCACAGTGTAACAAATCTTTCAGCGATCCAAGATACGCTCCTCATGCAGCTGTCCTGACCAATCGTCCCGCACTCGAGCTGGCGCCGAGTTGGGCATCATCTTCCGTTCACTCCGGCCCTCATCACCAGCCTTCCGTGCACCCACACAGCACAGGTGTCGGTGTCAGAGTCCCTGCGGGGCAAAGAGGCACAGGTATCCTAGTCATGCGTGCGGTGCCCGACGTCTACCCAGCCCCATCAGTCCCGGGCATAGCAGGCATGGCAGCGGAAATGTCCCGGACAGCGTCCTCTGGATCGAGGCGTAAGTCTAGGGCGGACTCTGGGAGAAATCCCGCACTAGAGGTAGCGACAGAGGTGTACCCACGAGATCCAGATTCCGCCATTTTGTGGAGTTCAGCCAGTCGTAAAAGTTCAATGGCATCAATATCAGTCAAGCAGCAGTTGGGAGCAGCAGGTGAAGGAGGCATGGAGTTGGACGAGTCCTGAGCGTGCACGCATGTATACATCTAAATGGATTCTACCTGCCTGGGGAACGTCGGCGGTGATTCGCCTTTTTCAACTCACAATCTCCGGCGTCGTCTGACACCAGCCCAAATACTCAGACCAAGAGCAACGGTGCAGCCAAGAGCCGAGATCTTGAATGCTGTCCCGTAGCATTGTTCGCCGACCAAACCTGTGCGGTGTCAAACGGGCGGCTTTGAAGACACATACAATCATGTCTTCCAACTTCGCCAGCAGCCTTTACGACCAGCCTTCTGAGCTCGCTGATGGTCCCCGAGACGCCGGTTGGCAGCCCAATGCGTCCGACCTAGTGATGAGTGGGAGAAGTGACGTCTGACTCACGGTATTCGAATCGTAAACACGTCCAAAGACCACATTGAATACGTTGCCTCCGATGACAGGCGCCACACAGATCCAGCCGTAATTCTGTGGTGGTGTCAAAAATGCAATCTGACGATCATCATACCTGGCTGAAATGGCCTGAAAAAAGTCAGCACAGAATGCCTCGCGCTGCTCACCCATTCCGAACCATTCGAGGACGAGCATCGGCACGACGTTGAATAGACTGCCATACGCCAATCCTAAGAGGGTAGAGACTATCCACAGGTTACTGACGACCGTCGTGTTCAATGCAGACAATTGGGAGATGATGAAGAGTCCGGCGACGACTGGAAGAAACCATATCTTATGAACTCAGCATGCCATCCATACGTATTTGCTCACCCTCTCCATGCCAAATCTCGTCTTGCAGAAATCGGAATAGATGCCTGACGTCAGTCACAACTTTGTTCTTGGCTCACCTCCAATGATGCGACCCATACAATTCCAGATACTGACGGTTGCCACTTGCTTCGCCTGCCATGCGCTGACGACGCGAGGGTCATAGTCCACCTTGCCCTCTCGCGTAAGGGCAAGAGCCACAGAACCAACATTGTTGATATACATCAATCCGGTACCGCACAGCAAGGCGAGGATCACGCCAATGATCCAAAAGTCCGAGGTGAAAAGCAGTTCGAAAGGCGTGTATGAATGTCCAGCTCGTAGAGGAGCTTTGCCATCTTCTGGCTCAGCATGACGATGGCGTGGACGGGGTGAGCGTGATCTCGAGAGCTCGACCGAGGTGTTTCTTGAAACATATCCCTCTCCCTCTTCCAAAGCTGAAACCGGCTCGTATCCGTTCGCTGTTGCTGGTGGTACAGCACGGACGATGAAGCTACCCAGAAAAATGGGAATACCGGTACCGAAGCTCAGCAGGAGCAGAAGGCCACCAGCGTCTCCACCGAAGATGACGTGACCAAGGGTACTGAATGCGAAGGCGCTGAGACCAAAGCCTGCCAGAACCAAGCCTGAAGCGGTGGCTCGAGTTTGATCAGAGAAAGATTTGGCAGCTGCGTTGACCGCTGCTGATAGACCGCCTGCTCCTCCTGATCCTGAGAGGAACATTGCGAATGCCAGTCCGAGGAGGCCTATCGTGGTGGGATGATGGGAGGAGTCTGGACGTATGGGTAAGGCACCGGAATAGAATGAGTGGACGAGGAAGTAGCCTGTGAAGATGACTATACTGCTGCACAGAAGCGGCCTTTGGCCGGTGAGCTCTCAACGCATCTGTCCACTTGCATTTGCTGTCCCCTCGAATCAACAAATTTCCCCCACCTTACTGTTAGATTCCGAGCGCTTATTGCCACTTACAAAGGCCCCGTAAGATACATTCCGAAATTTCCAGCAACACCGATCAGATTGATCTCTGTGGAAGACAGATCAAGCTTGCTCGCAAGTTGTGGCGCGTATGCTGCATCGTGTCAGGCGTTATCTCCGGATCCGAACCTACCAGAGTAGACCTGGAGGACGATGAGCGAGCTGAGCATTATGAGTAGGAGTTTGATGTACGCACATAATTGGAGCCACTGGGAGACACCAATCAGCCTCGAACATCGCTCAGCACATAGCACATACCTCGCCAGCCCAACGATCACTGCAAAACAGAAAGACACTGCCCTCCTCGTATCATCTGCCGTCCACTTCTCCCTTCTTCGTTTTATCCAATCCATCTTGTGAGAATCTTCTTGTCCAGACCTGGTCTGAGGCAAGAGCGGCTGTCTAGATGGTGAATGAGAGCGGATCATTCAGTCTGTCCCCATCTGGATCGCTGGTGGACCGTACAATGAAGGGAAGCCGATGGCAAAAGGATGAGCACGATAACTCTAGCGGACAAGTCCGAGCGCCAAGCTAGATCAAGGTGTCACGTGGTTTGAAGTTGAATCCACGTAGAGACGCGTGAGGTTCTGATTTTTTCCGGGCGAATGCTCTCCAACATTTGACACTCAGAACCATGTAATGTCGACCGAAGCGGAGGCCAGCATGAGTCGAAAGGCCCCATTCTCATCGTCGAGGAATGTTCGAGTGTCCGACTTGAAACTCGACTCGGTCTTACCCCGTTCGATGCACCTCACTGGTACGCTGATGCAAGGGAAGTCATACGTTGAAAAGGATCCCATATCTGGCCAGACTATCCAAGGAGTGGTCAAGATTCAGCTCAGATGCGAGCTCGAGGGCAATGCGAGCATCGCAAATAACTACGTATCCAATGACGACCAATTGGTGACACCGGCTTTTGTCAACATTACTATCTCGCCAAATGATATACCGCCGGGATATGAAGATTTGACGTCTATGATACACAAGGAATGGCAGGATTCATACAACCATTTGATCCATTTTGCCGGTCGTACCATCAGTATTAGAGTCGATGGTATGAGGGTCACTGGCGTAGTGTTCCCGAAGTGCGGCATGGTATCTCTCGAAGGACATGGAGAGCAGATATTCCAGCACAAGGATAGATCCGCCAAGGTCCTGCTCAGAGGTGAGCGAAATTTTAAGCTGAGCAGTCGCTGACATAACACAGATCCTGTCATTCATACGTCTACTCCTCAATGGCTCGCTTCACCCAGCTCAGACTACATCCCTTCACCAGAACAGCCCGTTGCCTCTGAGATAACTGTCAAATCTGCTATACCATTCCCCACGGCCGATGGACTCCGACCTCTTTCCTCGCATCAAATTCCAAAGATCACCATGATTCCTGTCCCCGTTAGCTCGACGCCAAGTCTCAGTCCCCTCAAGCGAAGCGATTCATCCCGTTCTATCCACTCAAAGCGCTCTAAGAGCGGCACGCCGCCGGAAGACCGAACGACCGAGCCTTCGTCAACGAAACGGCTAAAGGTGGAGCCGAGCGAGTCTGTCTTCAAGCAGTCTACAGGGTCATCACCCTTCAAGTTACCTCCCAGCCCTCCAGTCAAAGCTGAAGTCACCTCATCTCCTCTGAAGCCCGATCCGTCGCCACATGCATCGGTGAGGTCCTTCAAATCGGCCGCAAGCGTTGGATCCGAGCCACCGCTCCCCCGCCCCATGCTGCAACATCCCCTCGATGGACAAGACTCCGCGACGAGGCAGTCAATTCCTGATACACCTACCAGGACACCGGAGTCTGGCCCATCAGAGCGGCAGTTGGTGTCCAGTCCACCTCCGGATAGGCCTCGGGATATTTCTGAGGCTGCTGAAAGCTCGTCTGCCGCCAGACGCAAAGCTGCCGAAAAGAGGGCCAGGAAGCTCGGGGAGCAAAGGGTGAAAGAGAAAGAGGCAGCAGTCGCCCTCGTCGAGGCGCAAATTGAGAAGCTGAAACTGCCGTTCACAGCAGCAGTGAGTGCTTAATATTTTGTGTATCGGCTGAGTTTTCAGGTGCACACGTACACACCGATCTGCATGCTTCAGCCGCACGTCAAAGCTAATACCATCGGCGTGGTTGTCGAAACAACTCAACCTCGACAGACGTCCAGAGGTGAGTACAGACGGCTACGCTTGTCTGACATCAGATTACATCATGAACATCGTCATTGCCGATCCTTCGACGCATATCCAAGGCAGGTCAAGTGAGGACTTTGTCGTCAGTGTGTTTCGATCGAGGATTGAGGACCTACCTGCGTCGATATCGCCCGGCACACCGATATTGTTCCGAGGTCTATCCGTAAGTATCTCGGCGCTACCGCGCTAATCTGCAGATCAGCATGTATAAGCAAAAGCCCAAAGGTCAAGCATTCGGTAACGAGACCAACACATGGGCGTACTTGCCAGGCGGTAAGAAGCTCAAAACAGCAAATGTGGAGGATATGGTTCCAGCTCTTGAACCGATAGAGTTGAAACGCATGGAAGCACTATTTCATTGGTGGCAAGCGACCTTTGGCTCGCCTTTAGATGAAGTGTCTGGCCGTATTGACACTCCTGTCGGCCAAAGTCCGAGAAAGGATGGTTATACCTTGTCTCGAGTCCGACCCAACCTGTTCTTCGACGGCGTGTTCAAGGTGAGTACGCTGTGCAGATCTAAGCTGATGCCAGGTTTTGCATGTAGTCATGAATGAGAGGGGAGGTTCTAAGCCCCCATACGAGCTATATATCTCAGACGGAACGGTGCATCAACATCCTACTCGGAATTTTCACAATTACTCTGTACCTGGGTTGCCCCCGACTGCCATTTTCTGCTTGGCCATACAAGATCCTGACGAGGCGTCCGAAGAGACATTCAAGAGAGGTAATGTCATCAAGATGCGGAATCTCCGAGTGAAGGACTATAAAGGAGAGTTAGAGCTAGCTTGGGCAAACAAGGTCCACCAGGAGCAAGGGGAACAGGGGTGGAGGAACAAGACTTGCACCTTGATCGATCCTAAGGATGATCGAGTGAGGGTCATCAATACGTGAGGCCTACATCGTGATCGGGCTGATTGGTAGCCGAATCAACGACTTGAAGAATGGCAAGGTTCCGCTTCCAGAGGAAATGCCACCACCGCCCGTAGTCGAAGCACAGGAGCCCGTTGTACAGATCCATTCGACCATGGCGAACAATATTGGTACAACGATGACGGATGAGGTGACCAACCCTGTCAGCACCTTGGCCAAGGTCAAGACGAACACCCTTGTGCCCAATCGCTTTCGAGTACAGGCCAGGGTTAGATCGCTTCATCCCAGAGGTCTGCAAAAGAATGCGACGTACCTGCAAAAGCATTGCATCAAGTGCAACCGGGCGTGGGTCGACAGTTTTGCGGGACATACTGACGCTATTCGTAGCTACCCTGATCTCTACTGTCAGTCATGCAACGACACAAAGCTCATCCATACTCGGATCCTCTACCGTTTCATTGCCGTGCTGGAGCAAGATAACGTCATTTTACCGATTGTCATCGCGGATGATGCTGCAGAAGATTTTCTGCCATGCCCTCCGCCCGTCTTGGCTTCAGACAACCCAAACGATCTTAGAAAGCTCATGAACAGGCTGAGGCAGATGAGTGAGGAGGTGGATCACATCCTGCTCGGTCCGAGGCAGGAAGGAGAGAGAGTGCGACCTATAATTGATTGGTCGATCGAATCGGCTCTTACGAAAGTGCCGGGCAAGGAGGAAGCCATGCTGGTCTACAGGCCCTTTGCAATGGAGCAAAAACCAAAGTTGAGATGACTTTTCATGCTTTTCATGTATTGTTTATACATCTGAACTTTTTATGCTGCAGGCTTGGTCCACCATTCATTAGGATCGACCCACATCAGACCCCACATCCCCCATTCCATCTCTTTCGGCAGGGGCGGGAGCTGCGCGTAATTCGTAGGATAGCCATAGATATCGCACCAGGCTTTCCATCTCGCTTCGGCGTCGGCCTTTTCCTTGTCCGCTTTGGCCTTGGTTATCCCATCGAGGACGAACTGTGCAATTGCGTGAATGTGAGAGTACGCCTGATCTTTAGTGGGTCTGGCCAATGGTTTGATATCGTCTTCACTATCGATAAGCGAAGTGGGAGGTAGAGCTTGAGCCATGATGAGAGCCTAGATGGAGCCAAGTCATCAGTAGTGCGAAGTATAGCATATAAGACTCGCCTTCTCACAGCCTGGTCCAGGAGTCTTGAGACGCCGCCTGATGACTTCTTCGACAATGGGTCGAAAGTCACTGATTCTCAGCTCTAACCTCGCAGACATTCTCTCACTCTCTCTGACAATAGGCATGAATGGTCTGATAGGTCGTCCAGTCGATCTGGGTATAAGGATTGCTATCCGTCAAGAGCTCAAGCCATGTTCTGATGGCCGCTAGATTGTCGGTAAATGAGGGTGGGGAGGGGTCGTCCAAACAGGGCAGTAGCCGAGACATGATGATGACGAGGATTGAGGGGCGAAGTGGACATCAACGCACAGTACATTTCAATGATTGGCTAGAGCCATGGTAAAGGGTATTGACCGCTGTATTTATCCTCCTGTACACGACCCAACAGCGTGGAAGAGGCGTGTACGTACGGACACTAGCGAGGTTACACAACGAGGCACTGCAGGTGCAGTATGTGGCACTGCCACTTGGAGTGGCGCCCCATCCAGGAAGCAATACGCTGACCCCTTGCATATGCATGGCGGGGCTAACATAGACTGGTACGCTGAACGGTTTTGCGAACTTTGACCTGCTTCCAGAGGCTTAGGGGCTCAAGATGGCACCTCCGAGCACCTCCTACAGTACTGCAATCCCCTTCGGCCCAGCCTCACGAGTGACGATTGATGGCTGAAACCCGTCGCATCCCTGGGCAGCCATACAATGGGAAGGGCTTTGCTGCGCTGTGACCTTTGACAGCCAACGTCCTTTGATCTAAGGAGAAGAAGAGGAATACATAGTATAGTAAATGAGACTCCGCTTGTGGCGACAATCAAAGAACTGACTGTACATAAGCAGGAGTGCTCGCGCCCTTCGCTCCCATATCTTATCTATCCCTCCACCCTGATCAATATATCACAAACACTCACGAGATCCTTACGACAAGATCCTCAAAGCCACAAACCAGAATGAGCAACTATAATCGAGGACCATACCCCGGGACGCCGTCCTCTATTCCGTCCTACGAGCAACAACAGCGAATGACGGCGGCGCAAGGAGGGAGTCAGTTAACATTGCCGGTAACGTATGGTAGCTCGCCAGCCAGCGAGCTGCCCCCGAACAGTGAGTTGTGTTCAGTGCACTGTCGGAAATGGGATGAGAGTTGTTGGGGCCACCTGGGCCCAAGCCCTCTAACACTCGTGTACCGACAGCAGCCATGTTCTAGGTTTTCTTAGGCCTTTGGCTGACAGTAAGCCTCGCATAGCACAATGGGTGCGGATGACGGGAAACGGATCCTTTCTCGTCGTTTCCTTTGCAGGTACCACTCTTTCCACTCAGAGTGTCACCAGCCCCTCGCATTACCCTCTTAGTGGAAATGGACTGGGGTATAATCAAACTCAAAGTGATCCCACTGGACTCTGGGATGGGCGATCTTTCAGTCAAGCTACGGAATCGACTGAACATACAAATGCTTCTGGCGGCAAGAAGCGTCGCCTTGAATATTCCAAAGAGGAGGAAGAAGAAGACGAAGAAGAAGCTGATTACGAGATCCCACGGGGTCCCACGCAATTTGACAAGAATGCACTAAAACAATTTGACTTCACTTTCGGGTCCAGACCTACGACCACCCAACGGCCTGTGCCTACATCCTCGGCCGGCACAGGACAGCTGACTATTCCCAGTAGTGGCACTTCAAGTTCCATCAATGAGTGGCCAGAGGACACCGATTTCAAGGTCTCAATGACAATCACTGCCACAAGCAAGACGGGTGGAACCGAAACGAAAACGTCAACATACAAGACGGGCTCCAAAGCTATAAAGGTCTCTCAAGAGTTGGCTTCTGATGCGGGCGAATTCGTGGATCGACTGATGTTAACCAAGAAGAATAAGTAGTCGGGCATGCGAACAATGCACCTGCGAGATCTCCCGTAGTCCACACCTTTTTGACTTTTATAAGATGGTGAAATGCATGTGAGAATGTCGGTGACATTGATGATTCAAGCGGAAACAGATGTGGTGCCAACTCCTCTTTCGCCTTGACAAGCTTGCAAAGTGATTTGTGCCTGTACTCCTGCACTCGGCCCGGGACCGTCCCTGCCGATACATATCCCTTCAAGCATGATCCCGCCTCGGTACGCCTGTCCAAGCCTCATCGTATCCCATCGCGCTTCTATCCCAACCGCCACTCTTCTCGCCTTCTCTACACCATCCCATGACATCCATGATGACTCCTGCTGCGCGGACGAAAACTGATCCGTCGAGCATCGAGTAGTCGGCCGGTAGAGCCATTCCGAAACCACCTTGAGGAACCGACCCATACAGATTGGCAAAGTGGACCAGTGATCTGATTGCCTTAGGAACATGCGCATCTGTAGTATCAGTGATGTCTCAAGCCACGGTCGCTTACCCCAGTCATACAGGCAGCTCTCGATGATGCCTGTCCATGGGTTTCTAGTCTCATTGTCTGTAGGGTCTACAATCGTGTTCTTACTGGACTTTGCCGTAGACCCTGGGCCGACAGGAAAGGCCGTAGCTTCCATCAACCAGGAAGGATCCAAATGTGCTCGACCCCTGGACATACTGACGACAAGTAAGGTCAGAATATACGATGCGAGGAGTGCTCGACGCTGTGGAATATCCAGAACGGGCATAAAGGCATGTACGAAGACGGATGATGTCAGGCCGTGCATCTGTCAAAAATCTCAGCTTGATTCGTGATACGGTACCAAACTTACCAGAAAGAAGTCAACCTTCTTCTCATATCCCCGTCGAGTGGACGCACAAGCCAAAAGCGTGGCGAGTAGATCCACTTCTTGTATCTTGCCTTTCCAGCCTTCTAGCTCCTGGTCTGTTAGACTCCACGAACCAACGAGTTCTCTGAGTTTCTCAGCGTGTTGCAGAGCACGCTTGATCCGTGTGGATATCATCGCATCGGGATCGTACGGAACTGGCTTGAACGTTTCATCGGAGCAGAAAGTAGAGTATATCTCCAAGATGGATTTGGAGGACGCTGGCTTGTGTTCGGTTTCAAGCGTCTTCAACCAGTCTGCATCGAACAATTCGCCGTAGGATGTGCCATTGATTGCAGTCTGGGCGATCCTGCGTAAAGCATCAGCATGGTTTCGGGAAATTTGCCTTGCCCTCACCCTTCTGCTAGGGTAAGTCTATCACTGAACTCGATGCCAAAACCAGCATGGATGAATGGATGTAATACGCCAGACATGAATCGATGAATCATCTGAGGTGCTGCCCGACCGTTTCGCCCTTTGTAGTTCTTTCCCGTAAGCTGTGACTCAATGCGATGACTCACAGCTTCCGGGGTCATGATGTACTTCTTGAATGTCTCGACTGATCCCATTTTTTCAATCTCGTTATGAAAATAGGCCAGGTAGATCGGATACGCACTCTCACTCAGTATGGTCTCTCAGCACGTTGCCTTACTCGGTGACGCCAAGCGTCGCGGGATCGTCCCATGAAGCCTCGCTGATCGCCTCTGGAAGCCTCTTTGCTACACTTGCTCTGCGTCCCTTGGCGGTCGGGTCGAGAGAGAAGAAGTCCTCTTGCTCTGCTTCCCAAGATCCTTGGAGCATCTTAGATGGTGCCCCGAGAGCGTAACGAGTGAGTAAGCCATGCGAAAAGTGATTGTGGAAGACTTGTCCTGTGAGCTCTGGTAGTCGCTTCGGGAAACCTACTTCTGCTGGGACCAAAGATATCGTTTCGTCTGTCGTTCTCCTCTAAGAGTCGACGAGTCGTTGATGTGGACTCGGGGGTGATTCCAGGAAAGCTGAAGAATGAAGAAGGGCCTGCGAGCGAGTCGGGGAAGTTGCGAGCCATGCTCGGGATTGGCAAGCTATGAGACATCTTGCGCAGAGACGTATGTCTGAGAGTCAACGCTGATGAGGAGGGTGCTAGACGCAATGGCGAGAGCATAAGAAGAGTGATGAAGGGCGGTAACCCGGCTACATTTGGTCTGACATCACCCGAAAATCTCCGTCGTTCGGCTTTTGTGTTCCAGGTCAGGGAAACCTCCTGAACTGTATACGACGTCTGAACGAAGACGCAGAGCATACATACACGACAAACTGACTGGTCCATTGATTTCTCAAGCGTTCAATCGCCTAGCAGCAGATAGATCTAGCATTTTGTACAGTTTCTCGTCGTCCCAGCCCTCTCTCAGTGCGGTTCGTACGATATCAGTCTCAACCCGAGGACTCGGGGCCTGATGTGTCAGACACGAATCGACCTCACAGGAACTCACTTCCTTGTCTGAATTGATGGGGTACTCGTAGCCTTCTGCCGTAGCATTGATCAATGCCTCTAGCTCCAAAGGATGGCGTTCAGTCTTTGTTCCGTTCACAAATCGTTCCTGCAAAAACATGATCAGTTTTCCAAACTCGATATGGCCTAGACCTGACTCACCGTCCCGGACCCAGTCGATCCCTGAATCTCCTTGTGCCACTGTTTCAAGACCGGCCAGATAGCTTTAGTCATGCCTGCTGTATCTTTTGTATCCATACACCGGCTCATGCAACTGTTGACTTGGAAAAGGTTCATAGCGCGGTGAACATCTTGTTCGTTGACTCCTGGTTGATGATACGTCGAAGGATTGAAGAATGCCGCATCCCCGACTTCAAGTGGCATTTGAGACATCCTGGGCTTGACGAAATCTTTGAATTCCTGTCGTCGAATGTTGAGGTAACCATTGGGATGATGATTCGAATACGGCAGGAATCGGGTAGGTCCGCTGGTCAATGGTTGAGGGGTATGCGCGATAGCACACTGCAGAGTGAGGAATTGGTTGGCGACGTGAGTGGCGAGTGGGAATTGACGGCATCGATCGCCCCAGTGACTCATATCTGGTAGGTGGGTGTCAGGGTCATAAGAGTTTTTGAGGCCAATCTTACGGTAATCTCGGTGAATTTCCTGCTGATCGGATCCTGCTCGAATGGCATTTGATTGAGTGGTGATTTGGTACCCTAGTCCTAGCCAAGCCTCGCAGACCATTGCCCTTTGATATCAGTCTACAATATCACGCCATCCCTCACAATATAGGGTTCGAATAGTACCCGGCGTAATCTTCGGGTTTGGCCTTCGCTTGTTTCTCCCCGAACCTAGGCGTTCGCTTATGTGTCGAGGTCTCGATGCCAGGTGTGATAGTCTTCATGAATTCGTGAGCCCTCACACACATCTCAGGTTCCATCATCTCCTTGATGATAAGCACACCCGGTCCAGTGAACAAGCACTGATGAAGCTCATCCATTATCTCTTCACGGGATGAATCGCCGGCATAGATGAGGTTCAATAGCTCGGGGCCAGAGTAAACGGGGATGTTGCCCACGATATCTTTGGCATGAGGATAATGAGAAGCATCAGTCTTGAGTTCGCCTGAAGCGTATCTGTCAGCTCTTACATCGTCCAAAGTGGGAGGTCTCATTGCTCGCATCATTCATGCTGACGCGGAGATGACCGGTTGGCAAACGAGGAGACTCACTGAGATGCTTCAAGAGCTCCATATCTTCCTCCACATTCTCTTGCACCAATCTACGCCTCGAATAGAGCTTGGAGCTAGGCTCCATACCTGTGATTGACTGAACCATTGTCGCTTGCGAGATATGACAAAAAGCAGAAACGAGTCCTCGAGAGATATGAACAGCCAAGCTTGATTAGGTGGAATCTCCAATGGGTGGAGTGCAGGTGGAGGTCAGAGGATTGGGGTTGACCCCAAGGGGCAATCGGCAAGTAAAATCCGGTTGAATTTCGGCTTAATTCGCCGAACTCCCGCACGCACACCGTCTATAACCGTCGTATCTGTGTCTCTAGCTTCAGCGGCATCTAGATACATCGCTAGTGCAGGCTTGTTCCAACAGCGAGCGGGATAGCATTAACGATACGGAGACTGAAGTCTGTACATCCGAGGGCATTTTTGAGCTCCACGTCGAAATGGATGGACGCCTTCCGAGGGCATTTTTGAGCTCCACGTCGAGATGGACGGACGCCGCTCTGAACTCGGCGCCGAAACGAGCCTCCGTATATCCAGACTGAGCTCTCGGCATCAGTGATAACGAGCGAGAGGTGATGATTTGCAGCGTATGTTGACTCGGTCTCACCATACTGCCTGCTCATTTTCCTGATACTGATCAAGGAATATCCGCCACAGCCATCCTCACGACACGAACAAAGTCATGACCGTCGGCCATGACCTAATGCTCTCATCGACCTGTTGGTCCTGTTGTACTTTGCCATGAGCAACTGATCACTCAACATGCCTCCCTCTCAGCTGGAGATCACCAAGTATGTGGACAGTCTAGACTTGTCGGCCTCTATCGGAGCCGTAGTGGGAGGGACGAACGGCATCGGCGCGGGGGTGGCTCGTAAACTGGCAAGCTTGGGCTGTCGAGTGATCGTTCTCGGTCGGGATGAGTCTAGTGCGGAGAGATTGGGCAGGGAGATCAAGGTGCTGAAGCCGCGGGGCGATGTTGGCCATATTGAGTTCATCCAGTGTGACCTCAGGTGGGTTGCGAGTTTATCTGTGGGCTACTGATGGCGCTCGCAGAACAGTTGAGGGGATGAATTGCGCTGTTAGAGATCTGCGAGCAGTCATAGGCAAGACTCGGCTCGACTGTCTGGTATGTCGCTCTGTGGAAAGCGAAGGCTTTCTGTTGACCCACCGAACCAGTTCCTGTCGCAACAGGGGATGCCAACGGGCAAGATTGAGTTGACGTCTGACGGGTGAGCCAAAAGCGTCGGGCAGACGGACTACTGCTGAGAACACCCCAGAATCGACTCGATCTTTGCGGTGCAGACGTTGTCCCGATTCTTCTTGATCCGACAAGTCATTTCTGAGGCTCTGGTGAAGCCGTCGGGAAGTATCGTCTCAATCTCAAACTCTGGCGAGAGATTTGATCTGTCTCTAGACGATTTGTCCATGATCAAGCGACAGTCGCAAGGCAGAGGCAAGCTCAGTCTGTTCGTAGATCAAGCGAAGAGGGACCCCACCATCATCGACTCGATGATCATGGTGAGCTGGGACGATGGCTGCCATCCTGAATGACCGCAGGAGTTCAGGGACCGTTATCCTGAATATGGCTTCTACAACCTGATGCCGGGGATGGTTTATCATCCGACCTTTCAGTATCATGCTATTCCTATTCCCATACGGTGGATTCATCGAATGCTCATGTGGATGATCGGGATTAGTGCGGACCAATTCGCCCCCTGCCCAATATATGTGAGTTTCGTCCCAGACGACTTGGTCACTGACATACCAGGTGGCATTGGGTGATACCACACGGCGATCTGATCTGCCGACAACCATGAACAAGCGACTGAACGCCACCACACTCGGTCCGTGGTCCATGGATCCAAGGCTAAGACTACAACTCTGGGATGCACTGGATAGACATTGCTCCCGTCTCGGTCAAGCAGATTGAAGTGCACGTCGTATCATCATCCCGCTGCAGGTTTCAGAGTCTATGCAACATGAATACAACCCCCACCCCACAATGTGGTATTTGAATCTCAGCCGCCACGCACGACGTGTTTCGGCGGGATCGGTTGATTCTTTTGAGCAGGTGCTCCCCTTCCAATCAAGTCTGGAACCGTTCAGGCACTCTGAATGAATAATAAACCTTAAAGTGCCCCTCTCTCCTTCTGCGCCTCGCCCCCCTTTCCTGACGCCGCCATTTGGGAACGAATAGCCCTTGAAGCAAAATTTCAATCAAAAATATAGTAAAACGTTGTTTTTGTAAAAAAAGTGCCACAACGGGGAGCACTCGGAGGTGGGTCGGAGGGATCGGTGTGAGTGTGTCATTGGGTTTAGCGACATTGGGGAGGAGGGCAGAGACTTCGTACCGACCACAGACAGTATCAAAGGTCTGATTGTCATCTCTGAACCACCTCGTCAGTGTGGACTCCTAGTGGGATCTACTCCAGACCACTCATTGACGTCCACTCATACTCGCACGTACACGCCAAAATCAATCATTTTTAAGCTTTTTCCCGTTTTCGGGTCCGCAAAATCATCTTCTTCAGCCAACGGTTGGGTTTCGTTGGACCTGCCCGTCGCTACAGCATCCCGTCTTCACAGCGAGGAGGGAGTCCTGGCTCGACTGCGCCGATAGCATTCATCGCTGCCGCCCTCAGGATCCTCCGCCTCCCTTAGGCGTGTCTGCTGGACCTCGCGGCTACAACACCCCTTACCTCCTTTCATATCTTTGCCCTGACTACAAGCACCACACCTTCAGGTGTGATAAGGATCATCCTTTCTGCTCCTTTGGGGTCACGCTCGCTGAAGATCCTTGAAGAATGGATGATTCGTACATCAGCAGATCAATGACTTAATTTGGTGTCTCAATGATCACCCTCTGCCGGCTGTTCTTATACCTAGAAGAGTCCGTTCAATAAGATATCCCGAAAGAAAGGACAATTCGGTCGACAATCGAATCTCAAGTCTAGGTGAGTGAGCTTGCTGTGCATATCTTGCGTGAGGACTAGCTTGGATGCTGAAGTGTTAGCTAGAACCTTGTCGCGTGTGCGTCCTCTTGCTGTGTCGCTGGACCTCATAAAGCGTCATCTCGCATCAATATACCTTCACACCTCATCGGCCCATATCCTACAAAAACCTTTCAATGTCAATCACCTCCAGCGATACCTCCCCCAGCACACCCCTACCACACAGTCACAGATCATCACAGCATAGCTCAACGTCACAGCAACATTATACTCATCAGCACGATTACCACCACGTCGACCCTCACTCTCCCCTCCTCCCTCTCCACTTTCTCTCCCCTTCCATCCAAAAAGCCATTGATCCGTCCCATATCGTGGCACTCTCTCGGTCTCTCCATCGCTCCTCCACAAAATCCCATCAGCAACACCGACCACTCATGCCGGTCGACAGTAACGGGATGGTCAAAGCCAAAGGGAGTGGCTCAGGAGGGGTAGATACACCCGGAGGAAAAGGAGGCGATTCTGTCGAATACGCATATGAATATGTGCCAGTCATTCAGGTGAGCAACAGGCGTCTTGCATGACAAAGTCTTGAGGCTCGGCTGACGCTCAGTGTAGAAGCGCGAGGGTAGACAGAACATGTGAGTTTGAGTGTGTGCCGTTGCCCGTGAACCTGTCTCTGTACCGATCCCGCGATTATGAGGCTTTCCGTTATTGTGTGTTTGAATGCTGCTCTTCTACACAAACACTGTGAGTTCCCAGGCTCAAGAACTACTCGGCTCCAACACTGACAGTTCCCCGCAGTCTTACCTCATTCCCCACACATCCCCCTTCGAGGTCCTCATAATCCTTTGAATCCACCAACACACACACCCAATCCCTCTGCCGTAACCCTGTTGCTCGTGGGGCGTGGTACCCTACCTTTCATCCCAAAATCCCTTGTTCCTATCAGATTCCCGATGGTCGTCCACCTTTGAGGGCACCCACACACGACGACGGGCTGGATCTCTTCCTTGTCGTCGAGACACTATTGTGTTCTTGGGTCCCTCTGGTCCTTTGGTCCAACTTGTTACCAACGCCCTCCTTGCTTCTCCACCATGCGTCTTCCATCTACATCTTTGACCGGTTTTCCATCGTTTACTTTTTCCAAAGAAATCCTCCGACTCGTTTCTGTCGAGTGTCTTTCATCAGAGACCTTTTGCTGACCACATGTTGCGATACCTACCACTCTTCTATCCACCAAACTCTACGACGCCAACCCATCAATTGATCTACGTACCACCCTGCGACACCCTCTCGAATCCCTCGTCACCCAACACACCCCTCGCTTCATCTTTCCATCATCCATTGACACCTGTGTCAACGCCCACGACTACCCGCTCTTGCTCCTCTCGTCGATCATCCGCTTTTGCCTCCATGACCACCGCTTCCTTGGGACTGGATCATTCATGTGTACTCAGAAAGTATGAGCTACAAATGAGACAACAGCCGGTCCAAGCTCGTATGTGCGGTGTAGGAGAGAAATGTGAGTGAGAAGGATGTGTCAAGATGAAGCTCATTCGTGATCAGCCGACCGTCGCCCTGTCGATCCTACGCCAATCATCCAGCTCAAAGTCATTGATACTGACGCAGACCCATTAAGACGTCCTGATTCAGGCCCTCACGGCATGACTTACATGCAAAGTATGTCTGAAGACACCGTGCAGCTTGCTGACGCCAGATCCATACTACTTTCTCTTTGCCTGTCTGGTCGGCGATGAAGACAACGAGCTGCATGTCATCGACGATGGCAAGACCCGCTTCCTCACTGGCACGCCCGTATCCAGTCTGTATCATCTCAAGGATCTCGACAACTCTGATGCGGCCTTTTTCGTTTTTCCTGATCTTGGCGTCAGGAAGGAAGGTCGGTACAGGCTCAAATTGACCTTGTTTGAGATCATCGAGTGAGTCGCGACATCTCGAGTTTGTAGTTAGCTAACACTTATCTAGGCAAGAAGTGTATTACTGCACCACTACATTCACAGACACATTCTCCGTCTTTTCGGCCAAGAAATTCCCGGGAATGCAGCGTGAGTACTTCCCTGTCATCGTCAGAGCTGACAGGACCAGGTGCCACTGACCTGTCACGCTCGTTTGCAGAGCAGGGTCTCAAGATTCGTGTTAGGAAAGACGTCAGGAGTGAGTGGCGCTTGGGTCGGTCGGGCCGCCCTCACCATTTGCTCACGACACCTCGCAGAGCCTACAGTCAAGCCGAAGCGCAAAAGTACGGCTCAGGACTCCGAATCGGAAAGCATTCCGGAGACAAAACGAGCACGTCCTCATCACTCTGCAGAACCACGATCCTATCAACCTGAATACCCTTATCCTCCCCAGCCGAGTTACTTCTACAACACCCACGGCGGGGCGCAACCCATGCCCCCACCTCCCGTCCCATATGATCCCTACCGCCAACAGCCAGCCGCTACCTACTCCTTTCGAGGTCAGCCTCAGCCTCAGCCTCAGCCCCATCCTCATCCTCATCCTCAGCATCCCCCTCCTCGTCACTCCGTAGCGCGCCATTCGCTGCCTGCTGGCTATCCTCGTGCCATGCCACCAGGCGGAGGCAGTACCCATGGGCCGCACGACTACCACGCATGGCAGCATCAAGAACGTTCCCGCGCTCATGCGAGCGGTGCTCGACCCATCACTCCAGATATGCACGGGCAGAGCCGAGACTACCGTCGACGCTCTCCTGCCTACTCCTCCCCACCACCGCCTCCCCCTGCTCAGCAGACCTCATCAAGCTCTACGTCTGTCCGATCTCCTCGCCGATCCGGTCGACAGGACCCACTCCCAGGTTACAGATCGACAGATGGAGCGAAATCGCCTCCATCCTGGCGAATGTCTCCGAATCACCGTCATTCTGCTCTTCCGCCCCTCAACATTCCGCCTCATACTCTGTCCAATGGTCCGGATGGCAGAGATGTAAATCCGGGCATGAATGGCAGTGACAGCACAGCGAGTCCCGTATCTGGCGGTGTACGGCCCAACGGTGGCGGCAAGCCTGCCAATCGGATGGGACTAGGACATCTGATGGACTAGACGAGGTCAATCAGTCAAAGCTGAGACGTATCAGAAGGGCTTGGAGAATCGTCAGCACCATCCTTTTTGATAGTCCTGAACGTATGACATTGCGTGCAGATCCATCCCTCTCGCCTGGCTATTTCTTGTGCGACAGCTGACACAACTTCGCAACATCGCCGTGAGTCCAGAGCCCTTTCTATACATCCCCCCCATTCTCTGTGATGACCTATGCTGGGGTTATGAAGCCACGAGTAACGTGGCTGTTGATCTCCATCCAGCTATCTATGCTAATCGCGGCCCCGAGAAGGGCCGTTTGGGCTGATTTCCCTCCTGGTCCTTCAACTCTGCATACGCAAGCTGCGTGAGAGAATTGAAGCTGACACGAGCTTCTCAGACGTTTACGGTCTCAGGCAAAGCCAGGCGCAGGGCATTGAATTTCTACGTGTAGACGCTTGCATGCATCGATTTTGGCCCAAAGAATTTCTGGTGTAGACAACTGCCACAAAAATTCGAGTGGTGACGTCGCGCCACTGAGAAGTCCACGTGTTTCTCTCCCTCTTCCCTTGCCTGGCAGCGGGTGTCTCGGAGCGTCAACCAGTGTTTCTTGAGGTTTCGAGCAGTGTCTATCCTCTAGCTTAAGACCAATCAGACTTGATCTACATACCAATCAGATCATACGCATCTGGAGCTAGACTCGGTCTTCACTGCTGAGATTGACACCACTGCGCAGTATTTTGCCAGCGGCTTCGACGACATCATCATCATCATCATCATCATCATCATCATCATCATCATTGCGACGCGATCCGTGGTTTAAACAAAAACCAATCTCGACCTTGTACATACAATCCTATCTTCTGTTGCCATCATCATGTCGCACACACCTACGGATAAGGAAGAGGGTGAGTCGTGACTGATCTTCAATGCGGATTCAGCATGGCCTCTTTGAGTCTTGTCTTTGGGGGAACGAAAGGAGCGATATGATCCAATCGCGCAGATCTTGAACTTGAGAAACGGGTCCTCGTTACCGATCCTTTGTTCGCGTATCGAGCGTATCAACGCCTATTTGCGCGTGCTTCCGCGCGATGAATACTCCTCCTTGACCTCCTTGTTCCTCTAGATATTCCCATGCGACGGTTCACTGATCCATCTTCAGGCGCCGATGTTCCTCAGGAACAGAAAGCCGGATGGACAAGTTTCATCAAAAGTCTCGCCCACATGACGGGCGATTTGTCCAGTATGACAGCTCCTCCATGTAAGTGCTTCTCCAATCTTACGATCTACACACACGAATCGATCCGCTGATGAGGACACGATTCCCAGTCATTCTGTCGCCTGTCTCGTTGACTGAATTCCCCGCGTATTGGTGTGAACACCCTGAATTGTTTGCACGGATCTCTGAGGGATCGTCCCCTCAAGATAGGATGGAGAGGGTTCTAAGATGGTTTATCGCTACTCTCAAGGGACAATACACTGTACGTGAGGATCGCTCTGGTGGTGTGTCAACTCCCTGACGTCTGAATCAGACTCGAAATGAAAAGATGGGATCGGAGAAGAAGGCAAGTTTTGCGGGCTGCGCAAACGATGAAACCACGAGTCGCTAATATGGCGATCCATCACAGCCTTTGAATCCTGTCCTCGGAGAGCTCTTCTTCGGCGTTTGGCCAGATAAGAATGGACGCGGAGAGACCCGGCTCATGGTCGAGCAAGTCTCTCACCATCCCCCAATCGTGAGCTAGATTCATCACAGATGATAGACCCAGCTGACGTGCCCAGACCGCCTAGTGAGCTTGACGCCCTCTGAACGATTTACTGACCCATCAAGCCATATCGAGAACCAGAAGGCTGGTGTTTCCCTTCAGGGACATTCGGGTCAGAAAACCTCGTTCTCTGGAACCGCGATCCATGGTGAGCTTTGAATTACGGACATGGCCGTGTCCGTCCACTAAGCGTCCGTAGTCAAGCAGTCCGGACACGCAATCCTCACGGTCAAGCCCAAGAACGGAGATCGAGAGGAGAAGTACCTCATCACGCTTCGTAAGCTTCTGCGACGGAGCCCCTGCTAATTCGTCCTAGCCAAACTCCGAATCGAAGGCGTCATTTGGGGATCCCCTTACGTCGAGCTCGCGGATTCTAGCGCTATCCAGAGCAGCACGGGATTTACTGCTGCTGTGAGTATGAGCTGTTCGACCTGTCTCTCCCTCTGTCTCTCGCGCTGATCACGCCATCAGATCGACTACAAGGGCAAAGGCTACTTCTCCGGCAAATCCCACACGTTCAAAGCCACTCTCACTCAAGATGGTCACAAGAACCTCCAGACGTACGAGGGACAATGGACTGGCGTGTCTCACGCAGGCAAGCAAGTCTTCTTGGATACCTCCGCTCCTAAGGAAGAGGTGGTCGTCAAGCCCATCTCTGAGCAGGGCGAATGGGAAAGCAGACGATTGTGGGAAAAGGTCGCAAGGGGAATCAGATCCGGCAACTATGATGAAGCCGCCAAGGAGAAGACTCGAATTGAGGTGGGTTCAATGGAAGCGCATATCTTGATTTGGCGAGCTGACCTTTGTTTAGAATGAACAACGACAAAGGCGCAAGGATGAGGCTGCTGGTGGAACCTCATGGGATCTGAAGTTGTTCGAACATGTTGATTCCGACGAAGAATATCGCAAATTGGCAGACATGCTACACGACAAGCTTACTCCTCCTCACGAGGATGGATTCGTGTTCAAGGGCTGAAAGTTATGCGTAGAGTCATGCTGTCCGTATACCTTGTACATCGCGCGATATGCAATAGGGACTAATAGCGCAGGGCGGGAGAGCTCCGCGAATGCCTTCCCCGGTGTCTGTCGGGTATCGTCCATCCGGAGTTGTCAATAATAACATTATTTCCAGCTTGCATTATTCAGGCTTGTACACTGTCACGATACCCATAGGCATCCCATATGCCTGCTGCTCCTCTACCTGCCTACCTGACCTCTGGAGCTTATTCACGTGCGCACCATGCTTTCCTAGTCAAGATACATGGCGCTGTCAGCGATCACGAAGAAGATGAGGTCATCGCAGATCAAGTCAAACAGGCAATAGGAGTGTTGTCGACAAAGGGACAGAGTACCGTGAGCAGAATGTGTCGCTTTCTTTTCAAGCATCTGGCTGAACCTTTCATAAATCAGAGCAAGATCGCAGAGACGCTGATCATTCTCCTCCACTGTCAATCCATACGACATGACATTTCGACAGACTTTGCGTTTGCCCTGTTGCCTGCGCTTGGACTTGCTGAAGCTGGCAAAACAATCTATGAGCGGCGCATAGGTGAGATGAAGGCTATCCGTACTTTTGGCATGACTGTACTGATTGAGGTCAAAGGCTACCTATACCTCTCAGAATGTCTTCCGAGGGGCCACGAGCTACAACTGATGCTCATCAATACCATTCGAAAGGTACAGTTTAAAGCTCCGGTTTCTTCCAACGTACAGCCAGTCTGACCCCCTTATCACAACAGGATTTATCCGTCCCTTCGACAACTCAGGAGATCCTCCTGGCTCTACATACCATCGTCAACCTGCCTTCGTCTGATCTCGAACCGGCTGTCACACCCCTCTTGACGTCAAAGTCTCTACTCCGACATGAAAAGTGCGTGATTGGGACAGGATTTTAACACATGTGACAGCTCATAGTTGGATCTACAGCTCTGCGGTCCGAGAACGAACTATTGAAGCCCTTCGGATTCTTCATCTTTCTACAACGGACTCTCTATCCATGTCGCGGACTATTGGTCCGAGATCGTTTCCACTGGACATGAGGCGGATCTCAAGGTTGCTCGAGCAAGAGGATGATCCAAATGTCTTGAGGGCGTTGATAGACCTCATCAGGTATCTCATCAAGGTAGGCAGCCCCTTGTCTGTCTCTCCCCTGCAACACTGCTTAAGCGCGTTGACAGCTTGGAGTTCACCGAATCAAAGACGAAACGGAGCGGATGTTTCTAGTCGAGCAAGTTGTCGCGACGACAGCGGATGGTACTGGACATTTGACTGCTGTCCGATGTCTTCGAACTATCCTAGGAAGATCGCCTGGAGATGGAGCCAAGAAGCTCGTGTTTGACTGGCTGGACGAGACTCTGAGCGAGATGCGAGTTGAATCAGATAAAGGTACATCCGTGACCTATAGGTGCTCGCTAACTTTTGCGCAAGGCATGTTTTTTGAGATCTGCCGCCTTAGCGCCTCACTCGCTCCGATCCCCAGTACCTTGAACGGCCACATCATACGTATTCTGACGGAAACACTCGTGCCTTCCTCCTCGACGTCTGTGCCTCGACCCAATGACCATATGTTTGTCTTGAGATGTCTCACCGATCTTCCCACCGCTATGTGGGCCGAGAGCCTCGGAGAGAGCGAGATGGGCATCATCATGGAGGGTCTGAATCATCCAGACGCTACTGTTAGAAAACAGGTGAGCAGTCTCAGTTTGTTCGACACTGATCTCATAGACCTTGCGACTTTTGTTCCGACTTTCGCCCGAGCTTACCTATCAAAGCTTTTCCAATCACCTTGAAGCTCTCAGGACGTCAGCCGACCTGTCATTACCTTTGAACTATTCGAATGATGATCCAGAAGCCAAGTTGTGCGCTGCTCAGGAGGAAACGGCTCTGAGAGCGCTGGAAGCTGCCAATGTTGTTTATGATCTTACAGGAGGACCACGGTTGGCCTTGGATTGGGTAGAGTCGGTCGAAGAGGTTCTGATCGCGCTCGAGGAGGCTCGCGACGAACCTCACCGCCGCGCTGTCTGGGAGCAAGGTGTCAGGAGTGCCCTAGACACAATCGAGAAAAGTGAGATTGCCGGAAAGTAAGAGCTGACCAGCCAGGTCCAAGCGAATTCCAAACAGCCATCGCGGAGCACCTTGGCCTCATTGAACAGTCGTCTTCTACTCTCGACGTCATTCGATCATCTGTTTTGGCGCAATATGCCCACCTATCGGAGGACAAGACAGCGGCAGTGCTCTCGGCTCTCCTGAAGGATATTGACAATGCCAATGGTCGGTATCAGAGATCTGAGCCCTAGTTGACCCTCGCAGTGTCTGTGCAGGAATTGCTTATACTGGCTTGCCTCGTGTTATGTGGCAAGCTCTCACCTGGCTCTCGCCATGAGTCGCTCAAAATTCTGAGCCGTGTCTTGCGGCAGATGAGGGGGTCTAGATACATTCTCAAGGTGAGCAATAGTCGACATCGTCGAGCTGAAGTTGGCAGCGATGCAAACAGATCTTGCGCATCATAGATGAAGATCAGATAGATGAAGTGGTTCTGAGCGGTGCGAACACCGTAAGCACTCTATTTTCGCGCGATCTAGACCTTGTTAAAATTCTCGTAGCTCCCGGACGTTCTCCAGCGAGTTCTTGCACTCAGTGCTTCACAACCCAGACGATCCAACGAATCGTTGTCTGTCGCTCGGTCCCCGAGCGGTGACCTTTCACCACCGAATTCAGGTTTACGCCGAGCCGCACTACCAGCGCAGAGTGGTTTGCGATACGAGGCTTATGACTTGCCAGTATCTCGCTCCAGATCCCATGAAAGCGAGGAGCTCTCGCCTCGACGAACTCTTGTCGCTTCTCGACCGCGTCCTCAGAGACTTCGAGAGGATTTTACCAGCGCAGGAGAGTTTACACTCTTTGACGCGGACGAAGATGTGGATGGTGACGGGGATATCGAACGCGTCGAAAGGACCATCAGTACGTCTTCTTCTTTTCAGGTAAGCAATCAGCACGCGGAGAAATCTGGCGTTGACGGTTGAGGCAGGATGACGATCCGACGCTTGTGAGTCTTTCTTTAGACGAACCGACGGGTACGAGGAGGAGCACGCCGAGCCGTTCACGACTTGATGCTGGGCCAGCGTTTCGGCATGATGGGATTCAGCCTCGATAATGGCAACCCGCATTGTATCTGGGGGCCAGATTTCTGTGCTACACCATATGCATTCATCCCTCTTGTATCCATAATTAATCGCCGGAGTACGGACTCCGGGCTCCTCGGCTTGGCGGACGTGATCGAGGGGAGCAACAAAAAAAAGGAAAGATTCTTTCATCGTACATTCATCCTTTGCACGTTCTCTCCTCCGGCCAAGAGATGGACTCAGAGACGTCTGGTCCATCGACCACGCGTTTTGATACATCTCTTCTGACTCCGCCTTTCTCATACACCATCCCGGAGCCAGCAGAGCTCACAGCCGAACAGCACACCAGGTTGAATGAAGTGATAGCTCACTTTTCCAAAGATGCCTTTGAGCTGCCCGTCAAGGAGGGCGATACGGAGCACAAATCTGGGTTGACCGAGAGGGAGTTCATGTTCCTGGTGGGTGATATGGATCTCAATAGGCAGCAGCTGAGGATCGCAGTCGAGAGAAACATTCCTTAGGTGAATATCGGGTTAGGCAGCCCGTGTCCGGCGGAGAGAGCATCCATTGGCTGATAGACTATCACGCTCTGTAGATTCATCACTGGTCAGTCGGTCCGTTCTCTTGACTTCCAACGATTTTCACTGTTGACATGCTTCAGCCACAAAGGGCGATGTCTCAGAAGCTATCAAGCGTATAGAAGCTTGCATCGTATGGAGACGGACGGTGAAGATTGAAGATGTCCAGGCGATGGCCGATGACTGCGAACCAGAGGTGCACATGAACCTTTCGATGACGGCAAAGGATGGGGGCATAGCGCTGATTCTTTACTTTGCCTGTCACTTCAGTCCAGGACAGGCAAGAACCTCACCATGGGATTCAGTCCGCAATGCCGTCCGATCATGTACTTTTTCCCTAATCGAAATACCACCCCTCTGGAGCAAAGGCGGATCGTTCATCCTGTGGGTCGGAGCGATGCACTCGCTTTGAACGGACAGATGCTGACTTTTGGGACGCACAGCTTTTCCTCATCGAGAGAGCAAGAGATCTGATGCCTGCAGGTGTATCGTAAGTGACGACTTGTCGGCTCCTTAAAGCTCCATGCGATACACTATTGACGGCGTGCCCAAGCAACGTGGTGGTGATTTTCAACTTTGCAGGCAAGAGACAAGGTCCACCGAGTAGCGTGTCAGTAAGTCTGAGTGACTTGTTATCACGGTCAAGAAAACCCTTTTTTGACACATGCTCATCTCACAACCAGAACGCCCGTCAACTCTTGTACATTCTCGCTCAACATTATCCTGAAACGCTCAGCCTATCCTTCTTTCAGGATCTTCCGTGGATCGTGAAAGGCTTCATCAATCTCATGTGGCCATTCGTCGATCCCAATACGAGGAAGAAGGTCAAGTTTGGTTCGGCGCAAGGTGGTGAATTGACGAGGGATAAGGACGTGGAGGCATCACAGTTGCTGAAGGAATGCGGAGGAGATCTCAATGTGAGAGAAAGGAACGGCGTTGCTAGTGTTTCAGTAAAATCGCTAATGGGTCTATCAGATCCCTTACGAACACGACAGTTACTGGAAACCAATGGTGGACGTGTGCTTAGACATTAGACAGAAGCAAGAAGAAACGTTCCGGGCGCTTGGCCCACCTCGTGTTGGTGTTGAGGAACAGCTGTGGCGCCGGGCGCATGGGTCCATGCCGCCTTCTGGCGATGTCAACACAGGCACATAGATGTCATTACGGTCACGGCACGAACCGCGATTTTCATCTTCAAAAACAGCTTCCAGACCAGTTCGCAATACATATGATGACAGCGACACAACGATATTTTGACCCAAAGTATACAGTATGTAACGCACGGTCAGATTCCCTTTAAGCTATCACCGTCCACACTGGCCTCTTCCAATTCTGGCCTGCCCAGCAACGCTGCTCCAGATTCTCCCCTGGATCTTCCGTATTCCCTCTCTTTCCCCTTTGCCGATCCCGGACTTCTCATCTCCATACTTCCGCCAAAATCTTGACTGACAACGTCCCTCGCTTCGAATTCTTCGTCCTCAAAGATCGATCTGCTTCCAGCAGGCCCAGCATTTAGAGGAGGCGTTTCGATACTGTGGTTCCCAAGTAACGCGGCTCTGCTCTCTCCTCTGCCCCGACCAGTAGGTCTCTTTGCACCGTGCATGATCGCGTAGGCGTCCGCGTCATCTGCAATTTCCCTTCCGCCCATCGGTAGGCGTTCAAGATCCAATGATCGATGACCCCGATCGAACGATGTTCCGTCTGTGCTGCTACCGGCACTCCTCACAGTGGACAGTGGAATATAACCATCAATGTCGGGAGCGCGATTCGGATTGCGGCTGGGACCAGATACTGTGTAGTCTGAGTATCCATTTTGCGCGTCTGCATCGTCTATGATGACCATGGGTGGCGCTGGCGTGGATCGGTATGACTCTAGCTCAGTCATGAATGCTTTCAGCTCCTCTGCGTTCAACGGTCCAGGGTGACTCCTGGATCGCTGGGGTCCACGTCCAGACATGGATCCACCACCTGAAGATGACGTGGTCCAATCTCCCATCCCCAGTCTGCTATCCTTGACATCTCCAGCGAAAAGCCAGGGTTTCTGAGAGTGAAGGAGATCTCTCGAATCAAAGACACCGATCTTCTCTGCCAAGTGTCCGAATTCTCCACGATGACAATGGATCGTTCTTCGTCTGCCGATATCCCCAACTTCCGTCATATCCATATCTAAAGTGATGGCGTTGAGATCTTGGACGGTCTGTGGGAGATTCATCGCTTCTTCGCGATTCCGCCTGCGCATCAAGAGACGCATCTGGTAGTAGACGTAGACAGCAGCAACGACCGTCATGAGCAAGGTAGCAAAAGTCGCGCAGACAGAGATAATCGTATTCCTCCTGTCTTCGGTACCGAATGCACTTCCAAGGTAAGTGATAGTGAGTTGTTTCCTGGAGGATCAGAAAATGGATTTAATTGCAAGAAACTCACGGCAAAGTCAAGATGGCTGCCGCGCAATAAGAGAAGACATTGGCTCCTGCCGAGGCGGACACGGCTGTCACGATGTGACCTGGTACAGCACTGAATCGAAGGATCAAGACGAACATGAAGCTCTTCTCGCGAATCAATTGGGTCAAACTCCAATACAGTCGGTTCTTCTTTTCGAATCTGATGCAAGAGTCAGGCTAGCTTCCCTTTGAGGGCTCTGTCGACTCACTTTTTCGCCCTAACGGTACAAAACCACTTGAACGCGATCCAAGTGGCTACCTCGCCAAAGAACGTTCCTGCTACGAGAATGCCACTGCCTTCTCCGAAGCCCCACACAAGACCGCATAAGATTCCGATAACTATAGGCATCAGATCTGGCTTCATCCCTCAGACTTACTTTCATGACCCATGAGGGGAGGAAACGAGACCACGACCAACATGGCAATGGGTATCAGCCATCCAGCGGGCCAGCTGCGTATCCGTCGAGTAAGAGGCTCCGTAAATCGGACGACGGTGTCGTGTTTGGCACTCAATAACGCGGAGATAGTGATGACGACGATAGCCAGACCATACCATTCTGACAGCAGGTCAGCTTGAAGAAGTCGTGGATCATCCGACTCACTGTAAAGATGTCTTTTGAGAACCTTTCGCCTCGCTTCTCTCCATTCGAGCTCCCGAACGTACTCCTTTGTCCGTCTGTAGTCTTCCAAGATCAACGCTATCACGTTGGGGTCGACGGCCTCCAAAGGGCTTGGCGGCGGTCGATCATGATCGGCGCCTTCCATTCCGTTCCGGTGATGTATGCTCGAAGCAGCCGAGATGGACAATCTATCTGTGGATCGCGATTGATGCAGCGAGCTTTGACTTGGCCCAGATTGAATAGGCGAGGATGCGATAGGGGGAAAAGTGGCGTGTGATGGATCATCGTATGCTGGAGGTGGGGGTGCTGCTCCCTCGTCTTCTGACAATGCTGGAGGTGGTTCAGAGTCAGATACGTTTCTGAAACGTATCCGTCGGGGGAGGCGAACATTACGAGGAAGCGTCATGGTAGGTGAATGATGATGATGTTGATGTTGTCGATTCAGGAACGTGTGAGATCAAGAGTGGGAAGCGAGTGATCGCCGCGAGGTCGAATAGGGTGACAGGATGTCCTGAAGGTACCTGTCGAGTGTATGAATATGTCCAGGACTAGGTCGAGGACCGTCACGGATGTGTATGAATGTGCGGACCGACGAAGAGAGAGCGTGTCGAACGAGCCAAGCCAATGTACGCCCGTGAATGGAAAAATGAGGATACTTCCAGTAATGTTCAAATTCCCGAGTCAAGGGGGTTTTGAAGGATCTGCGGACCAACTATGCGAGAGGAACAGCTTTTCAGTCCTCCAACATTGGGCTCTGTCTACCTTCAGACCAGTCTGGGGCGGCGTGCACGTATGGAAGGAGAACCAACCACGTTGATGGAAGTTGCGAATGACACGAAAGAGTGGTTCGTTTTCTTTGTTACCTGCACCGGATCTACCGTGTCCAAAGATAGGTATACGGTGACAGAGGTGGGTGGAGGAAAAAAAGTGGAGGAAGAGGATTCGGGTTTCCTGTGCGTCGTTGCACAGTGACTTGTCTGCAGTCACTGCTGTGCGCTCCTTGGATAACGTTGTACAAGACTGAGCTAAGGATGATTCTTGATCAACACCTCATGCATCGAGTAAGTCCCATCCATGTTGCTATTTCCAGGTTTTGTCTCTCCTGAGATCATCACATGTTGCCACACCCACACCCCCTTGCTGCGCATCTTTCTTCTTTCTTTCTTTTTTTCCTCAAAACAATTTAAATAACCGTGATAATCCCGAGATCAATTAAAAAAATGACATTCATTAGGAAAATGTTCCTAATGGCAATGACGCAGTGTCTCACCGGGGCGCTTATTATCCCCGTGGACGCCGGAAAGTGATCGACCAGACTTTCGTTTGCTTTGTGGCTCCCGGGTAAGGTGTGTACAGACCAACTGAGGCGTCAGGAAGCAGAGCGGCATCTAGATGGCCCGAATTTAGAGCACAGTTATGATATAGGGGGACTATGTTTTTCATGAGAGATGGTATTTATGAATCGTATACTGAAGCCAGACCCAAAACTCAGATATCCCCTGCACTGCCACACAGCCTAGGCCCAGTTTGAAGCACCCTTGAATGCGGCAGTCCAGATCAAGTACTGCGTTTATCAAGTCCAATGTCCGTAATTTTTTCCTTTGATCTAGTTGAGCGGAGAAGTCTCCATCTCTACGCCCACGATGAACCCCCTGGGCTCTGGAAATTCTGCGCAAGGCTATCCACGTCGAAAGCGTAATTCTGAATGTCAAGCCAATCACCAATATTGACGCCGAGATGACTTGACAAGCTAGATATATTCGTCTCGCTGTCCCCAGTCAACATTTCTGTACCTTGGAAACCTTGGACAGCAGCAGGTATAAAGTTAGGGCCCAAGTCCATCCTTGACATTCGTCTCACAGGGGGTTCGGCGTAGCTCGAAGCAGTGGCGAGATGGATCGGATCCACGACCTGAGGTATACTCCCAGCCAGAGTTGCTGGATTTGAACCTTGCGGCCATTCCACAGGTGCCGAGAGGGAATTATCGAGGGTGCTGTTCGGTTGCTGCAGACCGATATTTCCCAAATCACTGCTTATGCTCGCATGCTGAAGATGACCATACGCATCCTGAGGTGGCCGATTTGATTTTGCGACGGGAGACACATTGACCGACAAAACTCCAGGAGCGACGTCTTTGATAGCCGGACCCACTCCAGTAGAGGAAGCAGGTGTGGTCGCGCTCGATATCGAGCTGACTGCCGAGCTGTTTCTGATGCGAGTTCCCCAGCTGCTCTCGTTTCGTACTGATTCCTGCATGGCGGGGTCAAATGCGACTTCATGGCGGCACCTGATATAGGATTAGGCATGTGGGCAAGTGACAGACAAGCGTCTCTCCACTCACGAGATGCCATCAGCGAATTCCGCCGAAGCGCTCATGCCTTGCGAATCGAGCACGACATCCACCATGGCTAGAAGTCTATCGGCGAGAATCCACCTCTCGCCATACTGCAATAATGCGTGCCTGGTGGAAGGGCTCAGCAATGCGGTATTTCAAGGCCATGAAGCTGACTCACCTGAAAACTTCGCATTCCGTCCTGAAGATCATGGCTGAGATTTTATCGCCACTCTGAGTGGCAGCTTGAATGAAACGAGAAAGTGCTCGACAGGAAAGGGTGAAGGAGAAGGCACAAGGTGTGGGCAACAATGTTACTGTATGCCGTCAGTCTAATGAATTCCGAAGCTGGTGTGGAACCCACAATCATAACTGGTGGCGTTGACTGTGGAAATGTGAGGGGAGTCTCGTCAGCACCCGATGCGTCGCTTTCTCAATGTCATCTGAACTCACTGTCGTATAGCAGGGAGAGGTTGGAGCGAACAGATGCCAAGGCTAATTTCGCAAATTCGGAGTTCCAGTTCTCTGGCGTCATGAGGGGTTCACCCAATGCCATGACCGCGCTGTGAGACCCTAAGTACCCAAGGGGTGTATCTGATCGCACTCCAACTCACGAATTTATGACCATATTGGTGGCCAGCATCAAAGTATCAAAGGCCGCTGGAGCCTGGCTTTCACCATTCCTGGAGGTTCGCGTCGGACGACGAAGGTGGAATGGTATGCTGTTACGAAATGCATTGATGTCCGAAACGCATTTTCGAAGAAGTGGGTGATTGAGGAACCTCCTGAGCATATTAAATGAGCCATGTAACGGTAAGTGCGAGAGACCCACGGTATGGAGTGGCCTTCACCACCGTATACTCTGAAGAAACGATGTACCTCGGAGAAGAGGTACATCGCCTTGACGAAGAAGCTGAAACTCTAAAGCATGATCAGATGGATGGGAGTCGAGCCGCTGAGCGACCTACATCACAGTGCTCAGGAGGGTCTGCGAGTGGATGTTAGCATGAAATCTGACGACAGCAACAATCCACACCCACGATGCGTGATGACTTCCGGCGAACTTTACGATGCATCAGTTGAAACCACCAGAAATGTCTCCTTCTCTCACTGTAGTGATTGTATCCCAATCAGCCCTCCTGATGCTCTATCGTACAGCGCTTGGGTAACAGGTAGATCGACGGTGATTTCTGCCGGAGCTATACTCTGTAGCATGGATCAGCGTCGACGCACCGCGCAGGTAAAGCATTCTCACCTCAGCGCTGCCTGTCATATGAGCAGTCGAACAATCCAGGCAATATGTGACCCTGAAATGGGTCAAAGCTGGCCGAGACTGTACGGGTCATTCGACGTACCAAAAGGTCCTGTCACGCTCCGCTTGGTCCATTTCGTCCGTGGCTAGCGGCATGATGGAGTGTCCCCATCGATGGTAAGCGTCTTTGACGTCTGATGAACGCGTTCAGTGGCGTGCTTGAAAATTATAGGCAGAGAAAAAACCAACCTGGTCGCCTTGAGAGGCGCATTGGCGGAATCATACGCATTGCGATTCCGATCTCGAACCAGGCGTCCACCCAGCTGACATGAGTCTGTCAGGCGCTTTCGGAAAATCCTGTTGCACACTCACAGTCCTGTGTATTGTGACATTGTGGCAACGATGACTTGGGCTGTGTCATATTCGTCAATTAGAAGCCAGAAATTCAATGGAAGCTAACCCACCTTGGACTGCTTGGACCAATCGTTTGCCAGTGGTAAGTTGTTTCTGCAAGAACACGAATGTCTTGCGGCGATGCCAAGATTTGAATCTGCCTTGGGCAGTGTCCTGATTGCTGTAGGCATTGGAGGAACTAAATTGTATTTGTTGCTGAAAAGTCCGGACCAACTCTGGATCCTCTTCCAGATCAACCTCTGGATGCTTATTGGTGAACCAGGGTGTTCCAGTGGGGTAGTAGGCCCTTTTCGCCAGACTGCTCTCGGGGATATATGCCGAGGCCATGGCGAGCATGGCGTGAATTAGAGCCTGAGGCTGTTGAAAACACGTATGAGACTGGGGCAATGACAGGATGGCAGTCAAATGGCTTACAGGAAACTCGGGGTGCGAGGGAGGCAGTTGAAGTTTAGTCATGAAAGATGGTCGGTGAATCATCAATGGCAATAGAGGAATCTTGTCGAAGAAGGTGGCAACGCAGTGCTTAAATTGGTTTCAGACAACGTCATATTGACACGGAGCGGTACCAACCTCGACCACGTCCAAACTTGGTAAATCTCGAGGCCAGCTGGGGAACGATCGTGAGCCTTCCGTCCTTTCCAGGGAGACGTTGCTAGCAGCTTACTCTGGCCATGATAACTCTCCCGTAAATCCAGGGGCGGGGAACGCGTTGAAGCCTTGATTCGGCTGGCTCGACGCATCAGGATGCAGTCCAGCATAGGGATTCGCTCCTCGTGCCCATTCTCCTAGGGGATCATTTGGAGCCCAACTTGCGAATGGATCCTCCGTCACGTATAACGAGCCACTCGAGAGAGGACCGAGACCAGTACCGGTGGAAGGGCCACTGTTCACCAGGATCTGAGTGGGATCATTCAAATTTGAGTTCGGAAACATCTTTTCGAATTTCGCCAGACGCTCCTCCAATTGGTTGATTCTGGCCCTCTTACTGATTCCCTTCCCGGTCCCCTGTTCATCCTTGGCAGATCCTTTCTTCTTCTTTTGCTTGATCTGTTCCTCGGAATCCCAGGTACAGGGTATGGGAGGATGACCAGGCATCAATCTCGCCCGAGGCTTTTGACAATTCGCGCACGTAGGGCGTACACCATCGCATTTCTGGGGAGATAAGGGTCAACCGGGCCGACAAGTGGTCTACAAAGCCAGATCTCACCATTTTCCGCTTTCTATATGGATGGCAAATATCCGTCAGAAGGAATTCGCGAGCTCTTTTGACCCTTCGCTGCACCAACTCACCGACACTGATGACACGCCAAATTTCTGGCAAGTACATTGGTCTTGGCCTCTACACCGTCAAAGGCGACAGCCTCTCCGTCGGACGAGGTGCCGGGTGAGTCCGGTGGAAGATCCTGTGAATCCATATTCGCAGCAGATACGGAGAAAGTAACAGTGCAGCCAGAGGATTTTGGAAACGAAATTGACTGGTAGATGCGACTCCAGTCTGATCTGTGGTCCCAATAATTTGGGTTATCGGGAGCAAAAGTGCTGATGAGGGATCTGGATATTGTCGAGAGAAAAGTTGCTCTAGATGTCCATCCCTTGACTTTTTACCAACACGCAGTGGAGACGTATGATGATCTTGCGCCTGTCGATGATGCAGAACACAAGTCGATTGGGATCACGACGTATGAGGAAAAGGTCCTGAGACAAATCAGCGTCAGATTATTGGTTGGGATGCAGGTGGAGTCGAGCGGTGGAGGGCGGAAAGGTTTGAACCTTGAAGGAGCAAAACCAGAGGCACAAACGCCTTTTTGGCGGCCAAGCTGATCCAATTTTCATGCCCGTGCTCCGGGAATTCTTGCGCGAGAGAGCGCAGATGATCCAGAGCCCAGTGGAGAGATGAGCTCACAGGGTACGTGGCGCCGCAACGTCAGCAGCGGCGAGGTCCCCTAAAGGTAAGGACAATCAGCCGAGGATATGTATCGGATTGACGGAGTGGCTAGCAGAGTGTGATTCACCGAATGTACCACCAAAGGCAGAGAGAAATGGGATCTACAACGGATTTTCGGTATATTGTATAAGGGTGAGCGTGTTCTTAATTTAGAACATGTCCCAGGCACGGAGGACCAGATCTATCAACCCAGCCTTACGGAAGCAATTTCCATTCGTGGGACACACCGCCATACAGATTCTATCAACCGAGACTTTAGCCGTTTGTGAGGAGACGAAGGCGCAGCGGGTCTTCCGAGCGCCTTTTACCACTTAATATACGTCTTACGAAGCGGCTCATGGCTAAATGGCTACTAATGGCTTGGCCAGACTCATCCGCTGTGATCCATGGGAAGCATTGTGCTTCCGTCATTCACGGACAGCCACAAATGCAGTTGTGGCTTCGGGTTTGGTCAATCTCTTCCTTCCGGCTTTCCGTACCATCGATGCTTCACAGAGCAGTGTATACATGACCGTTCACAGTGCTGTTTCAATCCGTTGTGACTCATTGTAGTGGTCACCAGGGGTAGGGATGGATGACCCTGCCGAGTATCGCCAGTCATCCCATCCGACACGGATATGTTGCTAGACTGCGTGAGGTCCACCTCAACTCCCCCGTTCCTACCAGTCGGTGCTCCCATGCTAACCTTCGTTCAATGACTCCACTCTGTCCTGAGCGAAATCAGCACGTTCCTGCAACAAGGCCGACCCATTTGCATGAAAGACATGACATTGGCACGAGCCGTTGACCGGATGACTGCATTATCATCTTTGCTTGCCATGCCACGTCATGATCATTTCTGGAAGTTTCCACGTGGTCACCGAAAGTTCTGGAGTCTCGTCGAATTTCAATCTCGAACCCATTTTTTCGCGTTCAATAGCATCCACCACCTTACACTTAAATCACCCATCTCCCCACGTAGACATCGCTGAACGTTCAGTCTACCAAACTCGCATAGATCACAGCATCTAGAAATCCAACTGTATCTGTGAGCTTGACGGTCGTTGTGTCGTGACTGTTTTGTCATCGAGCTGACCACGCATTGTCCCATAGATCCTTTGAACACTTGCATCTCACGACCGTTTCAACATGAGCGGACAGACTGAGACCTTTGGCTTCCAGGTGAGTGGACAGATTCGCCAACATAGAATTCCAATGGCGGGATGCTCCCGCTGTCGCCCCAGTTCACGTTGGTCTGTGTACTCTATGACTAACTACCTCCGCCAGGCCGAAATCTCCCAACTTCTCGACCTCATCATCAACACCTTTTACTCGAACAAGGAAATTTTCCTTCGAGAAATCATCTCCAACTCGTCTGATGCGCTAGACAAGATCAGATATGCCGCCCTCACCGACCCATCTCAGCTTGAGTCTGAGAAGGATCTCTACATCCGAATCATTCCCAACAAGGAGGAGGGAACTTTGACCATTAGGGATACCGGTATCGGTATGACCAAGGCTGATTTGGTCAACAACCTCGGTACCATCGCCAAGTCTGGTACCAAGGCCTTCATGGAGGCCCTCTCCTCTGGAGCTGACATTTCTATGATTGGTGAGCTGGCGCCCTCCCCCGATCTTGGAAATCTTGCTTACCCCCTCCTTTAGGTCAATTTGGTGTCGGTTTCTACTCCTCCTACCTTGTTGCCGAGAAGGTCCAAGTTACTACCAAGCACAATGACGACGAGCAATACATCTGGGAGTCTGCCGCCGGAGGTACCTTCACCATTACTGAGGATGTTGATGGACCTAGACTTGGACGAGGAACCTCGATGAAGCTCTTCATCAAGGACGACTTGAAGGAGTACCTTGAGGAGAAGCGAATCAGGGATATTGTCAAGAAGCACGTGAGTTACCAGCTGGGTCAGCATCGAGCTTGCCGCTGACTTTGCCCAGTCCGAGTTCATCTCGTACCCCATCCAACTCGTCGTCACCAAGGAGACCGAGAAGGAGGTTGAGGAGGAGGAGGAAGTCAAGGAGGGAGACAGCAAAATTGAGGAAGTCGAGGACGAGGACTCTTCCAAAAAGACCAAGAAGACAAAGAAGGTCAAGGAGACTACCACTGAGAACGAGGAGCTCAACAAGCAGAAGCCTATTTGGACCAGGTGAGCTGCCGCGATTGAGATGAGGAAAACCGCTAACTCACCACCACAGAAACCCCGCCGATGTCAACCAGGAGGAGTACGCTTCCTTCTACAAGTCTATCAGCAACGACTGGGAGGAGCACCTTGCCGTTAAGCACTTCTCAGTCGAGGGTCAGCTCGAGTTCAAGGCCATGCTCTTCATCCCTAAGCGTGCGCCTTTCGACTTGTTCGAGACCAAGAAAAAGAGGCACAACATCAAGCTTTACGTTCGACGAGTCTTCATCAGCGAGGACAATGAGGAGCGTGAGTCAAGCAGATTTTCGTAGGTCAGCATGCTAATAATCATTCTCCAGTCATGCCCGAATACCTCAACTTCGTCGTCGGTGTTGTCGACTCTGAGGATCTGCCTCTTAACATCTCCCGAGAGACCCTTCAACAGAACAAGATTCTGAAGGTGGGTGCCAGCCAATATCTCCTTGCAATTCGCGCTGACATCGCCCCCAGGTCATCCGAAAGAACCTTGTCAAGAAGACCCTTGAGCTCATTAGCGAGATTGCCGAGGACAAGGAGAACTTTGACAAATTCTACTCCGCTTTTGCCAAGAACCTCAAACTCGGAATCCACGAGGATTCCACCAACCGATCCAAGCTCGCCGAATTCCTCCGATTCCACTCCACCAAGTCTGTTGACGAGATGACCTCGTTCAAGGACTACATCACTCGTATGCCTGAGGTCCAGAAGAGCATCTACTACCTCACTGGTGAATCGCTCGAAGCCGTCAAGGACTCTCCATTCCTCGAGGCTTTGAAGAAGAAGAACTTTGAAGTTTTGCTCCTGGTCGACCCCATTGACGAATACGCCGTCACCCAGCTCCGAGAATTCGACGGCAAGAAGCTTGTCTGTGTCTCCAAGGAGGGTCTGGAGCTCGAAGAGACTCCAGAGGAGAAGGAGGAGCGGGAGAAGTGAGTCATGCGATCCAAAATAACGGAAATCAGCTGACGACACAACCAGGGACGAGAAGGAGTTCGCCGAGCTCTGCACTGCCGTCAAGGAGAACCTTGGTGACAAGGTTGAGAAGGTTGTTGTCTCCAACCGAATCACCGAATCTCCTTGTGTCCTCGTTACTGGCCAGTTCGGATGGTCATCCAACATGGAGCGAATTATGAAGGCTCAGGCTCTGCGTGACTCCTCTAGTGAGTTTTCGGTGTCTCAAACTTCGATCTTTCGCTGAATATAGCAGTGTCTTCATACATGGCTTCCAAGAAGACTATGGAGCTCAACCCTCACCACCCTATCATCAAAGTACTTAAGACTCGAATTGCCGAGGACAAGACCGACAAGACCGTCAAGGACTTGACTTTCTTGTTGTACGAGACTGCTCTTTTGGTGAGTCGCCTTGTCTGTCAGAGTGCTACAACGCTAACTCCCGCATAGACTTCTGGATTCACCCTTGCTCAACCGCAAGACTTCGCCAACCGAATCAACCGAATGATCGCCTTGGGTCTGTCTATCGACCAGGACGAAATTGCTGCCCCTGCTGCTTCTAGCAGCAAGGACGAGGACATGCCTGCTCTCGAGGAGGCCGGTGGATCCATGGAAGAAGTCGACTAGACGCGCATCATTTAACCCGAGTGTATTCTAGAGACAGCGGAGACGAGCGTGTGTACATTTTAAATCAAAAAGGGTGAAGATTATGCGTCGAAGCGTTTTCGTAGCGTTCTGAGACTCGAAAGACGTCTGGCACTATTCTTTTATCATCAGGATTCATCATGCATTGTGTTTACGATAAAACAACAACTGCCTAGTCTCCGGGTTCTTCTCGGCCCATGACTGCACTTTCTTCGCCTTCTTCTCTCTCCTCCCATCCTCCCTGAACTCGCGTGAAACGTTCTTCAATCTCGCTGCTCCTAACGAGTCGCTGTGACATGGCATCAAGACTCTCGGGGACATCATCCTCATCGTCGTCAATGTCTAACGATCGTCTGACACTTCGTCTGCCACTGCCATTGTCCAGCCCATCCGGTGCAGGCGTACCTGCTGGTCTGGAAACCGAAGGCAGGCGTAGTCTCCCTTCTTTCAGTGCTGCTGTATACTCCTCATGTGCCTCTTCATCTTCTTCATCAAAATCCGTATCGGCACGAATGAACAGTGGTGTTGCACTTCGGTCCATGATACCGCGACCTGTCGATTCTCTCGTTTCACGTCCAGCAAAAGGTGTTACTGAACTTCTGCCAAAGGGCGTTGAACCACTTTGACCACCTAGACCTGGAGTCGACGCTGTACCGCCCCGCCTGGAGTTGGGAATGGGTGTGGCTGATATCGATCGAGTAGGATTACGCATATTTGCAACTGGCGGTAGGGCCTCGGATCGATCATCAGGAAGAACGGATGAACTGGTGGAATATCTCGAACTACGAGGTAAGCCCGTCCCGACTTGACGGGAGCGAGAGCGAGACGTGGCAATGGATGCTGATCGTGTAGAGAGACGAGAAGATGGAGGGGCATATTGAGATGCGGGGAGGGGAGGATATGGTTCAATGATGAGGACGAGCTGAACGGAAGACGTGCCGAAACCTAAAAGACGCATTCAGCACATCTATCTATCCCGTCCAAGGCTCATGAAGTTTTACCTTTGTAGGAAACATCAACATCAGGCTTCCAATCTTTGATATCGACATCCTCGCTCTCGTCTTCAGCAGGTCCTCCGACTCTCGGTGTAGACGGTGGCTCGTCCTTGACCTCTTCCGATCCCTCTGGGCCATCTTCGTCGCCTGTCGATGTCCCCGCTACGGAGACGGACCTTGATCTCGAACGAGATGATCTATTCTTGCGTTTTCTGGATGAGCGAGCGGAGGCTTCGCGCAATGGAGTCGAGCGAGGAGGAGGAGTAGGCGGTCGGAGAGAGTATGATTTTTGCTATGAGAGGAGGTCGTTAGAATTGGTAGTCTCTTTTCAATGCGCCATCCAGGGCTGACTTTCAGGAGAACCACTTCGGTCCTTGTTGTCGTTCGGAGAAAATAGCAGTATTGATAGCCCTCTAAAGAAAGTGTCAGATTCTATGATCGCGAGCGATCTAGCCTGAACTCACCTCCTCGCTCGACGTATACCTTGTGCTTCTTTTCGAATTTACCATTCAGCAATAACTCTGGCATCCTGTTTCCCGTTGACCACGTCAGCAAGATATCATTGGACCGCTCTGCGGGCTCACTTCGGCTGGAGCTCCTGTATGACAAGCTGCAAGATCGTATCGGACATCCAGTCGACCTGGCAAATACCTGTTACTGCCTGTCCGAGCCTACGCAGTGACATCACTTACATGCCTCTCGTCGAGGTACAGGAACAGAGGAATGACTCGATAATTGCTGGCTCGGAAATAAAAAGCATTCCGAGTTGAGAATCTCATAACGTGTCTCTTTACTCTGAATCTAAGTCCAGTCCTTCAGCGCTTCACCTCGACACCGACCCTTGCTATACGTCTAGTTGTCGCGGTCCAAAAGATGAGCATTTCAACCGGTCGATCGCCTTCGGAATCACGTGACTTTGATATTCGCCGCGGCGCGAACGCCATCGACCAGCTTGCATCAGCGAACTACCCGTTGCTCATCTCCCTTTCTACCAAGATTAAATCTATCGCCGCCTCTGATCACTCATCTTCGAGGCTATACGACCATGTCTGACCCTTCTTCCGACCCTCCGCAGCCTCCCAATCCCTCTGGTCCGACCTCAAATCCTGAGAAATCCAGCGAACAAAGCTCGTCGTCCTCAGAGTCCGGGGAGTCATCGAGTAATGGGTTGAATAGCAATCTTGGGACGAACGGAGAGGAGGTCGCGGGTGGCGACGTACCTATGGCTGAGGAAAAGCCCAAGGAAGATCCATTGGACGATATACCAGAGAGTGTGCTCGAGGTGAGTGTAAGGATCCGTCATCGTTCTACGCTACTCGTTTCATGGCTCTGCTCTTATCCACCCTTTCACGTCTTTCATCGGACCGGTTACATGAGGGCAACAACTATTGCCTTTGTCCCGAAGAACAATTTTGAATGACTATCCCCGCGATGCCTGGCTGACGCCTTGTCCAGTCTGATGCTCAGGAAATAAGATTACAAACCAGAATGATCGATTCGGAAGTCAAGATGTTGAGGCAGGAAAACCTGCGTCTGTCTCATGAGAGAGAACAAATGGTGGAGAAGATCGCAGACAACACGAAGAAGATCTCTCAGAACAAAGTCCTGCCTTACTTGGTATCAAAGGTTGTCGAAGTGAGTTCAAAAGCATCGCAGGAGTCTAAAATACCCGCTTCGTCCTCATAACATGGCAAGAGGCCCTCAAATCGTCTACTGACTTGTATGCTTAGATTTTGGACGTCGACAGCGAAATTCAAGAAGGAGCAACTCATAACGAACAGAATGCGAAGAAATCGAAATGTGCAGTCATAAAAACCTCCACCCGTCAGGTGAGTTTTTACTTGGGATGGGAATGACCGACGTCTGACACGCGTTAGACCGTGTTCCTGCCCATCATCGGTCTTGTATCACATGAAGAGCTGCGTCCGAGTGACTTGATTGGAGTGAACAAGGATTCTTATCTGATTCTCGACAAATTACCAGCCGGTCAGTGGTGCAATTTTCCTCTGAGGTCACGCTAAACCGACCTTACAGAATACGATGCCCGGGTGAAAGCGATGGAAGTAGATGAGCGGCCGACTGAGACGTACACCGACATTGGAGGACTGGACAAGCAGATTGAGGAGTTGGTCGAGGCGATGTAAGGCTCCACTGTCCGATCTTAACTGACATCGAAAGCGTCCTGCCAATGCAGCAAGCCGAGAAATTCAAGACTTTGGGGATCACGCCCCCTAAAGGATGTCTAATGTATGGGCCTCCTGGTAGGTCTTAAGAGCATATCCTGTCCATTGAGCTGATTCATCCGTCAGGAACGGGAAAGACTTTGCTTGCCAGAGCGTGTGCCGCCCAGACAAACGCTTGTTATCTCAAACTCGCGGGACCTTCACTCGTTCAGGTCAGCAAATCAAACGCCTGAACGAATTGCCATACTCACTTGTTCAGATGTACATCGGTGATGGAGCCAAGCTGGTACGAGACGCTTTCGAGCTGGCGAAACAGAAAGCGCCGGCTATCATCTTCATTGACGAATTGGATGCTATTGGAACCAAGCGTTTCGATAGCTCAAAATCAGGAGATCGTGAAGTGCAGAGAACAATGTTGGAGCTCTTGAATCAGCTGGACGGTTTCTCGAGCGATGCCAGGATCAAGGTGAGTCGCGCCATCGTGGATCTCTGCTTAAATCTCAGGTCATTGCCGCCACCAACCGAATTGACATCCTCGATCCTGCACTCCTGCGTTCAGGTCGTTTGGACCGAAAGATTGAGTTCCCATTGCCCAACGAATCTGCGCGAGAGAGAATCCTGCAGATTCACAGTCGAAAGATGAACCATCAGAATGTCAAGTGAGTCAGACGCCCTTTGTCGCTCCTCATGGCTCACAAATCTGCAGCTTTGAGGAATTGGCGAGATCTACGGAGGACATGAACGGGGCTCAGCTCAAGGCTGTGTGTGTCGAGGCAGGAATGGTAAGCAAAACGGGGATCGGCTGGGACACTCCTGATGGTCCACTCAGCTTGCACTGCGACAAAATTTGACGCAGATTGGCCACGAGCAATTCCAAGGGTATGTCGATGGCTGTCGTTGCATTCAGAACTGACCTGTGCTCAGCGGTATCTTGGAAGTTCAAGCGAGGAAAGCGAAGGAGCATCATGTGAGTAGACTGCATGAGACAGAGTCACGCCTGACCGGGCTTCCTAGTACTTTGCATGATCGCTCACTACCGAATCTGAGATACATAACGCATCGCGACGAGAGGATTTGTGTCATATGCATCATGTAGAACCATTGCGCATCTGCCGAGCCACGGAGCAAGCAGATATTGTCGGATTGATCGAATGAAATGCTCTGGACTCTTTATTTGTAGATGCGCGAATAGCAGTCGCATTGTCCACGATGCCGTTGCCTCCCATCACCGCTCTCTTTCTGACGCATTTTGACGATATCAAAGGGCAATCTGTTACGTTCTACGAATCCGCCAGTCCGAATGGTACGCCTCGCCTCGGTCCAATGATTCAAAGCTGACTAGTATGTCCAGTCTTGCCGGAAGAAGGGATAGAGCACAAGACTTTGCCATCGGGTCTTCACACGCTCACTTCGGACCTGATCCTATGCACACATCATGGTCTGCCATGCGTTGGGGTCTTCCGAAGTCGAGAGAGACAGGATGGAGGGGGAAGAGGAAGAGCCATGGGGACACTTGGCATCGTTCTGGGTCAGTTGGTCGACGAGCGGAATTCCATCCACAGCATCACGACTCGAGTATCACATTGACGTTCTATGTAGCTCCTCGATCGTCTGTTGAAGCTCTTTTCGAAGTCCAAGATGTGCTTTCGGATCTGTATGACCAATTGGAGGCGTTGCCAGGATCTGTATTCGATACGGACGATAAGTCCTCTGTGAAAGAGTTGTTACGGACTACCTGGGAATCGAGTCGCCTCGAGTCGTTCTCCGGAGAGAGGTTTGGTCCATTACCTGGTACCGAGCAGGTTCGGCGCTTTGTAGAGGGTAAAGCGTCTTCTAGTGTGAGCAAAAATGGGAGACCCGGTTACTCGTTGATCACTTTTCTGCAGAAACATCATCCTAGCTCTTATCTTCCCGTCCTCCTTGAGACTCTCGGCCCCTCCATCGTCACAGTGTACAAGACCGCGCTCAATGGTGGGCGTATAGTGAGTTCAGTCTGACGGATCAGATTGCGCAATTCACCGACCTTACCCAGCTTCTCTACTCACCACCGCCCCTCGGTCCCGTTGGGGCGTTCGCATGGTGTATCTGGGCCATGTCTCTAGCTCCCTCGGCGGCTTCGGACGCCGATATCTCGCAATGGCTTGGGAACGTAGGTCTGATGGACTTGGACGAGGTCAAGCGCACGCAAGGCGGCTGGATAGCGAGTATGTGTCTTCGAAAGCGCTTGGTTGATTCCCGACTGACTGGCTTGCAGCCACGTCAGATGCAATCTACAAATCACATCCTTCCGCATACGACATCTACATCGATCTCTCTGCTTCACACTATTCAGAATCTTCGACTTCTTCTCGACCCTCCGCACCGGTCTATGCCTCACAGCCTAATGTCCAGTCTGATCCAAAACTCGTCACGTACGCTTTCTCAGATCTTCCCCTCTATCGATCCCTCCTTCTCCTCTCGTCATCTCCTTCAAACGTCACTGTCGGTCAAACATTGAGCAAATCCGGCGGCCTTTGGCTCGTGGCATTCGAATTGTTGGAGAAAGTCTGGAGACTTTGCGTTGGCGTCTGCGAGTTCGCAGTCGGACGAGGCAGTGTCGGAGATATAAGACTAGAAGCAGGAGAAGAGAACGATCCACTGTTTGGAGAATATGACGAATCGCCTCCCGAGATCGGGACTCTTGCCAATCTAGGCAACATAGCGGCGGAAGGAAGTGACTACAATGATGACGGCGCCGAGGGGGACGGTCTGTCAACTGACGTTGGGGAGGAAGAATCTATCAGAAGAGGTCGATTGGTTTTGAGACAATTCCATCACCAGTCTTATCACTTTTACCGGCGACTGAAACAGCTTCGACGGGGCGACGGTGGAGATGGATTGACCGAAGCTGAGCTGAGGGAACTGTGCGGGACGAGCAGGTGGACGATATGGGGTGGAGACCCAGGATCGACGGTCGAAGGGAAATGGTGGACGGCACTGGCGCGTCGTTGGGGAATTACAGCGTAAGATTAGAGATTAGGATAAAACGATGCTACGCGTTTCATGCAGATGTATCTCTAGCTCATCATGCTTTCCTCTGCTCCACGACACCGATGTACTCCGATTTGCTCAATCGCCAAGAGATGCCCGAGTTTGAGTAAAACTCTTCTGGATCTTCCTCTGCGTCCATGTTGAGCACCGTGGCGATTTGCTGTAATCTGACAAACTTTTCTCTGGCTCCTCCAAAATTAGTCTGAGATGAAAGGTAATTGATGATGGCTCGAACATCTCGCTCAAAACGTATGCCACCCAGCTGATGGACGTGAGCGTGAAGAGCACGTTTGATGCCCACCTCTGTAAACCGCATACTAAGGATCATCTTCTCCCATGGACGGACCAATATTTCCACTGTCATATTGAAGAAAGCTTGGTAATTGTTGTCCGTGAATGAATCCTTGTAAGACGAGATCAGGGAGCGTATACTTTGCCAACTCACCTTATACCCATCCATCAGTCCTTCCCATGCCCTCGTGAATCGCTTTCGCACGAACTGATCCTCCTCTGCAGCTGCAAATGCATCCTCGTCAAGATGATAAGAAACATCACGATAACAGTCATCGAGGATGCCGCGCAGACGAGGCCTTGTGAGCTGATTGAATAGCTGCTCGAGGCCAGTCTGGAGCACGTCAGGTCTGCCAGATACCGGGCTTTGGTCATACTCACCCTGCATAGAGACTTGAAGCGATTGCTCAGACTTCCTAGAAGGCCCAGCTCCTCCTTGACCAGGGCAATCTCGCTGTCCAGGAAGACTTGAGGCAAGCTGTGGAGCGTCTCCTCCAATAACCTCTCTGTGTAATCGGCAGAGACGTCAAAATCGTTCAAATAGATCTGGATGTGTCAGATGAGACTGTGCTCTGTGCCGGTAAGTAATATACTCACTACGAAAGCCAGTCGCTGATCCTTGTCCCGCTTGTCCTTTTCTGCTCCTCGTTCCTGGATGCTTGAGGCCGCTCCAGCATAAACAGCTTCCATCTTATGTCTGATGATATACGCATAGTCATGTTCGATGACCGTCGCGATCTTGTCTCGCATGGAATGCAAGGTCGAAAGGGATCCGCATGACAAGAGCCTGTTCAATACCACCTTGAGCAGGTAGAACGTGTCATCCAGAACGGAAGACACGCAAGGCCGAGCCGATGCTTCCGGCGTCTCAAGGCGGTGAGCCTACTTTCGTCAGGTCTTACCATCTAGAAGCTAAAGTCACCACTGGCGCTCACTTTCTCGATACTGCTGCGGAGATACCAAACCTCTAGAGGCTCGTAGTAGACTCTGAGCAGATTTTCGATGGCTTGCTGACTGCCAGACTGTTCGATCACAGCCATCTCGCTGCTTTGGTTCACCGTCTCCGGTTTCTCACTCGATGCAGCAGCATCCTTTGCAGAATCCTCTTCAATCCCAACATCGCTATCCACCTTCGAACCCGTAAATCAGGCCATCCTGCGTCACAGAATTTCTACTCACAACGATGCGACCATTGACAAATCGCTTGAATAGAGCCCACCGGCCACCCAGAGCCACTAATTCGCCCAAGACCTTGTCAACATCCCTTGGGTCCGGACCCGAGTGCTCATCATCGAGACCGACAGGGGTCCCGCTGCCGCCTGATGGAGCGGGCTTCTTTGCTCCAGGAGCGTATGATTGAAGAAGATTGGAGGCGGAAGTGAGATTGGTCGTGGCAAGAGAGGACAGCGACAGCTGATTGGTGGAGGTGTGTAAGGACGCAAAAAGAGGCGGACACAACTGTGGAGATTGCAGGAGGCTAAATCGAGACTGCTTTGTCTCGGAAATCTGAGAGGGAGTCAGAGCATACTGGTGAGGAGTACGAACCAGTCTCCCGACTCTCCGTTCTTCTTCCCAGCCCTCCACTAGGTTCCTGATGACTCGATCACTTTCTGCTACCAGTCGACCAACGACTGTCCGCATATGACCTTGACCGTAGTACTTGTCAACGACAGGTTGATGCTGGTCAATAATATGGGCGATGGATTCGAGCAGGGATGTGAGAGAAGTGAGATAGTATAGAGGGTTTGAGGCTGACGCAGGTCAGCAAATGGGTAATTGAGAGCTAGACTTTACCTTTGCCAGGGTTTGAAGACCTTGCCTTGACTAAGCCGACAACAAAATCTCCGTACGCCTCCAGTCCTTCCTTCTCTGCCCCGATCCCCGGCCATAATCTGAAGTATCGAGACACGCCTTGCTCATCCTTGCGAACAGCAGCGGCGTCAAACTCGCTTCTGAAGGTCTGCAGTAAAGTCGCTCGCGACTCTTCGAGGAATTGAGCAGGCGGGAGAGGCTGTTGAGGTGTGGGCTGGAAGAAACATTCAACACTGCGATCTCCCTGTGCCTCAACATACCACTACAGCGCCTGCATATCCACCGTTTATGACCTCAGACCGTATGTCCATAGCTCTTTTGCAAGCTCTCGAGGCAGACTCCCAATCCTGCTGGCTCATAGCGGAAGCAAGCGTTTGCAAGGCATTCTAAGCTGGTCAGACTGGGCTCGCTTTGGCGTGCTCACTTTGAGTTCCAAAACCTCCGTGACCACATCTGTCGCCTCCCTGACTCTACCCACTTCCTCGTCCAGCCTTCTGACTTTGCCTCCTACGCGCTCGCTTGTCTCCCAGACCCTCCGTACCCTCTCCACAAGCCCTGACTCGTCGTCACCATACCCATTGCTTGTCGCGTTCTCCAATCCCAAGCCGCGGGCTTCGCTGGGTCCGTCAACCTCGACACTCAGGTCCCGTACTCTCAAGCCCAAGCGCTGCAGTTGCGAGATCGTCCCATCGATAGCTGACCTATCAGATATTAGCGTGTTGAGAGCCAAAGTCAGATCGGCCTCCCGCTTGGATAGCAGGGCCAATTGTGCTGCTATTTGGTCCGGTGAGGTGATACTCCTTGGGTCGAGGGTCGTAGGTGAGACCGGGCGAGTCGGGAGGGGAGTAGGGATAGAAGAGGAGAGTGCAGTCATGGTCCGTACTCCGGACCGACCGACCTCCCCTTCGAATGCAACAGCAGTGTCAAGGCAGTGGGAGATAATCGGGAAAGCGAAAGAGGAATTCTGGCAAATGGAATTTGGAGAAACCGATACATCCCATCATCTCTGCAAAGGTGTATTTTACCATCATCTCCTTCCGAGCGACTGTGGCCCTGATCCTGGCAGACCCTCAGGTCGGAGCGGAGGTGATGCCCTCAGTGTCTCCTAATGCAGACTGTCCGGACGTCTGCATGACTTCATCCCTTGGAGCGGGGGGTTCTCGGACTACAGTCTGAGTGTCATTGGCCCTTGTTGGCGGATACTTGCTCTTTCCTTCTTCTAATGCATCAGGGCAGCAATCGCAGAAGCAATCCTGGCAGTCCTCTTGCGATTGCCCGGGCCACAGTAAGATCAAGCCAGCGCAGACGAATGGGCACATTACGGTGGACTTCAGCAGACAAGACGCACCATTCACAGTCACATCCACATAAGGGCGACCGTCCCACTTCATGATGGGACATGTCGCAATTGTTTCTGCTGACTGGATAAGACCTCCTGCCCAATAATTTCTGGCCGAAATTGTGTGATACGTTCGTATAGGGACGAAGCAGGACCAGACACCGTTGCAGGTCCCGTCAGCACAGCTCCCGAGTGCAGCAGAGGTCCGCGATAATCCATTCATGATGGACCCGGCGGTGGACTTGAAGGTCATCCTGACGCCTCGGGCGAGTGACCTCGTGCAACTCTCTTGGGCTGGCAAATAGTCGCCCTCCATTACTAGTCTGTCATCGCCATTGGAGGACTCGGTACCCTCGGTGTCCTCGCTGGCCTCGTCGACACGTGAGTCACTACTGGTCCTACTGGACGGATCTCCATGGAGCAACTCGTATTGATCGTCAGGCATTGCGATGGAGCTGTGAAGGATATATGATTGTCATTCCTGCGCTTGGCACGAAGAGGCTCTGAATACGAAGTCGGGTCACTGTACCCCTGAAATCACTCGGACAAAGGATGATCACCGTTCGTGAATTGCGTTTCGACCGGTCTCAAACCGGTCTCGACCTCCCAAAGGATTTGCTCGGCCTTCCAACCGAGTACTATCTCAATACGGCTCTACTAGTCGCCTTCACAAATCCTGAATGTCAACTGATCCCTCAAAATTCCAGACCTGCCTGCCTCGGAGGTCCGGATGTGGCTCTTCATCTGTGGAGCCGAGGTAGATCGTTGGGGCGAAGTCGCTGACTCCCGCTGACACCCTGGGATCCATGAGTCGAGCCCATGATGGTGTCTATGAATGGAGCGACGGGGTAAGTCCTGGGAAAGTTAGGCATGCAGTCATATTGACTTGGTGGCGAGATGGCCGGCAGGATGGCAACTCTTGATCGGCGCGTCAAGGATGTAGAGGGAACACCTTGACCCCAGTATCACCCTTGCTTCCCCTCTTGGGCAAGGCTCCTCGAAATCCATGAATAAAACGTGTAGGGATAAGTACGGCCAGGCATTCAAGTATTTTCAGAGGATTTCTGAGAATCCATGGATAAAAGACGATTCCAAGAGGTTGGTCCTCCCCGACAGGATGCCTGAGCCAAGGAGGAAGACGTCTGGGCTTTCAATCAGATAGATGCCTCGAAGTCCTGTATGCTATGTGCCACGACGCTTTTCCCACGGTGGCAGCCACGATCCCAGTTTGGCGCGCGTGCTCGACGCGACTTTCATTCGTGGACATTGTTCAGATTCCTTGTATCTGAAAGCTGATCAGCTTATTAGTGTACGGACTTGGGAAAGTTTGCACTCGAGTCGTATTTACAACATGGCGACGACGGAAGACCAGGCTCGTCAGGAGCTGAGTGATCTTTTCCGTGGTGCTGTGTCTGATCATCCCGATGTCATGGCTGAATGTAAGCTGGCGACACGCTGATCCTTTCTGATATCACATAGGCCTGTCAATATTGCGATTGTACAACATCGACGCTTCGACTCTATTCTACAAATACGAAGCGTTCCTTCTATCTCGACCATCTGGTCTTAGAGCGAAGCTGTCCACGCTCACATTGGACACCGCGAGAGAGCTTAGAAAGGAGATTCAAAGAGAACATCAGGCCAAGGCTGTCGTCGCCTCGGCTTCCACACCTGATGCTGGAAAGACGCAGCTCGGCATGAGGAAGGGCAAGGGAGCCATATCAGATCTTAATGGATTGTAGGTCCTAGCTGGCAGTGGAAGTTGCTAATTTGTAGCTTGGATGGTCTATCAACGCCGTCTAAAACACCAAAGGCGAGACCAACTAACCCCGTGGCTAGATTATCGAACACTTCTAACAACGCCAACTTACCTTCGCCTTCGGCCTTCGCGACGTCTCCGTCATCCAACGCATTCTCCACACCATCAAAAACCTCTCCACTGCCGGCTGCGGCCAGTAGCTACCGACCAGGCCCGTCCAAGTTGTCTGCCCCAATCTCCAATGGACATCTGACTCCCAATGGCAAGGAGAACCTCTCGGCGCCATCTAGTCCTATCAGTGTTGCAGAATCCCCCTCGGCGTGGGTCACATTTGAAAACAGAGGTGCTTGATCTGATCACGTCTCAGCCTCACTCCCAAACCCCCACAACCTTTCAATCAACGTTCTCAGCCGTTATCGCTCGTTGAGACTTTAAACCCGCATCTGGACACAGTGACTTCTGGCGTTCCGACATCGTCTAAGCCCCGCGTCACCCTGACGACCAATGCAGATCCTAAGCGCTGGGGATATCGATACATGTTTGAAAAGATTTCTCAACGCTCGGAATCGTTAGACGATGTCATTGACGAGTTTGCTGAGATCATCAAAGACGCGTATGGGATCACAGAGCTTGGAGATCCGCATTTCGTTTCTGAGGAGTCAATTTACACCGTCGGTAGGATACTTTCGCCCCCTACAGACAATGCCAAAGTCAATGTTGGCTCGTTGTATCTCGAAAGCTCGAGATTGCTCGGAGCTGGCAAGCGAGTCCCCCTGAGATTTGCGGGCACTGGGGAATTGAAAGTGCGAGGAGGAGCACCAGGTGTCAAGGGCTTCGGCGTCTTTCCAGGTTGTCTCGTATGCGTCAAGGGTCGCAACGGAGGAGGTGGAGCATTTGTGGTTGAAGAAGTCCTGATGGTTAGTACTCTTGATAGGAGAGATGCTCATGGTCTAGGCACCTCCCAGCCCCTTTGCTCAGACACCAGCAGATGAGCTTCTAGAGACGCAATACGGCGACAAGCTTGGTGGCGAGCCGGTTTCTATGACGATAGCCGTTGGGCCGTATACGCTCGATGACGACTTATCGTACGCCCCTCTGCGAGCCTTGATCGATGTGGCCGTCAAGGAAAGGCCAGACGTTGTGATCCTCGTGAGTCGCGCGTCCCATTCATAAAACGGTACCAATGATTTCTGGGCCTCTAGCTTGGACCATTCGTTGACTCCCAGCACCCTATGATTGAGAGCGGGCGTGTGACGCAGACTCCTACCGAGTTATTCAAAGATCGCGTCACCTCCCAACTCTCTCGTCTTGTCGACGCTTCGCCAGGCACTGTCATACTGCTCGTCCCAAGCGTCAGAGACATGGTCAGTCGACATGTAGCGTTCCCACAGGCCATGTTAGAAAAGGAGATTCTAGGGCTACCAAAGGTGGGAACGCCACGCGGTCGATGTGAAGGCTGACTCTTGCAAGCGAATCAAATGTTTGCCGAACCCCTGTACATTCTCGGTCAATGAAGTGATCATTGCCGTTTCTTCAGTGGACACTCTGTTCCACCTAAGGAAAGAAGAGACTTTCACTCGTGCTGAAGAGGCTGAGCCCTCTGGCGAACCGGAATCCAAAGACGGCATGGCGAATCTTGTCCGTCACGTACTGTCTCAACGCACATTCTACCCGATATTCCCGCCTCCAGAGGCCCACGCGTCCGAGGTCAATCTGGACGTCACGCATCAGTCCCTACTGAGAATGGATGGACCAGCCCCAGACATGATGATCATGCCCAGTCGGCTGAAGCACTTCTCCAAGGCGAGTCCCGTTGAAAAGATAAAAGTCTTGTCTGCTGACGGACGTGGATAGGTCATTGACTCGACACTCGTGATCAACCCGTCTTTCTTGTGCCGATCACACGCTGCTGGCACTTTCGCCAAGGTGATAGTGCACCCTATAGACCGTAAGAAGCTCGAGTCAACAATGGAAGTCGATGGGGAGGCGGACGGAGATTACAGAGACCACGAAGTGTACGAAAGGGCCAGGTCGGAGATTTGGCGGATATGAATCATCTTCAATAGTCTCACATGCATGCATGAGGATCTTTGGTGAAATCTAGCTGGTTCCCTCGATGATTGCTTCTGTCGGCTCTGGAAGTACCGCCCCTTCTCCATTCTCGAGCTTTTGCTTTTTGGCTGCGGGACCGAATCCACCCGTTGAGCCAAATCCACCGGATCCTCTAGCTGTCTCCTCTAGGCTCTGAAATTCAACATCAGCATGAGCGTAGCATGCAGTCCACAAGACGAACCTCAACCTGACGCAAGCGCGGAACGGAAATTCTTTCGAGAATCAACTGTGCGATGCGATCGCCGGGGTTGACTGAGAAAAGGCAGGTGAGCTCGGGACTTGATCCGCATCATGATATACCTTGAAAGTCCTCATCAGAGTGATTGAACAGCAGGACCATCAATGGTCCTCGGTAATCCGCGTCAATGACCCCTGCGCCGGTCTGTATGCTGTGCTTCGAGGCTGTTCGAGGATGTATCAGCTGTAAGCCGATGATGGATCGGCATAGATGATTTACCAAGGCCTGATCTCGGCGCGACTCTGCCATAGTGACCTGGAGGGATGGCCAGACTCATTCCCAGATCTATCAAAGCTTTTCCACGAGCCGGGACGACTTTGCTCTCCGCTGCGTAGAGATCGATACCTGCTGCTAGATCTGATCCTGCGGTTGGCATCTTGGCTTCAGGCGAGCGAAGCTGAATGAGGAGATCGACTGCATAGTCGACAGAGGGCTGCTAAGGATCAGACGTCAGCTACATAGCACAGAATGATTGTTCAAGTGCTCACGCTTGCATCAGACATGATGAACTGTCGTATGCACTTGTCAGGTCAGGATCCAAAAAAAAAGAAGAAATAGACGCGTCTGGCGCGTCAAGCAATAAAAAAATGTTCGGAATCCTTCATTGTATCTTTATTGCATATCGCTACATAGTCAGGGAATACTTAAGAAGCAATCTCAGCGTGATCGAGTAACAGCTCTTTGGCTTTAGAAGCTGAGCTGATCTAGAACTTGTCTCGACCAAATTCTACAGCTCGACGTTTGGGAATCCATCGCTTGGTAAAGTCAGAGTCATCGAAGCAATCTGGAGAGAAGCATCAGCATTTGGCAGGGCATATTTTGGACTCCTCACTGACCTCCGCATCCGTCACCGCTGCTGATGCAGACACCGTGATCATCGAATGTTTGGCTGCAGTGAGAGTGAGCACGAGCACGAGAGATCATATTGATGCTGAGGCATCACTCACAGTGCATTAATCTTGTTGTTGGCGGTGTCTCCACATCCGAGGAGGCCTTGAGCTTGCTCTTGGGTGAAATACTTATCAATTTGATTGGCGGCATACCCAGCTACATAGACGCTAGAATCAGTCAGTAGGCGTCTCCTTGGATATAGAGGCACAGGTCTCACCAGCAGTTGCCGTGACAGGCGACGTTATAGGCCTCTGCAGGGATGCCACCGTTCTCAATGACGTTGCTGTAATGGCAAATATTGCCTGTGTTGAAAGCTGCGAAATGTCAACTGTTGCCCGGTGTGTGTACAGTATCAGAGATGAGACCAACCTGCATCCCAGATGGACTGGTCATTGACCAAGGCCTCGCAATCGGAGAGAGTGGCATCGGCAGTGGTACCACAGTGAACTCCGGTATTGATGTAGGCGATCGCCCTGCTAACGATGGCGAGGGCAGTGAAAGCGGATACGATAGAAAACATGTCTGATGAGGTTTTTGTGATGCTGATCAGATGCTGAGAGGTTTCAAGGTGATTTGTGAGGGAGGGATTTGCGTTATGTTGAGATATTTGAGACTGAAAGTCGATCATTATATATGTTTTTCCTGTGGGTACTGTCAGTGGAGCAATGCTTTTGGAAACTCGAATACCCGACCTGGGAGCCGTGCGTGTTCAGGTGGAGCATACCGGAGATCCAGTTCCATGTTCGAGTCTGCTCGAACTCCCTCCTGTCATAACCTAATGAAGACCTCACCGATCCCCTAGATGTGAGCCCGAATCACGTATAAGCCCTAAGCGGAATCGTGTATCGAGAAGCGCGAATACATGCACCATGCGGTCTCATTCGACCTTGCCGAACATCGTCATGCATGAAGCCAGTTATGCTGACTGTGAAGGCTAACTGAACGTCCCTTACTATAGCCACTCTCAAAAATCCATATGCCAAGACATTTCCTGTACTGTATCGGCCATCACGGCGATAAGAATAGCGCTAAAAATGACACCCGTCCGGGCGGCGGATCAAAAAGATCTATTCGGCTGCATCTTGCGGGAACGCTAATGAGCGATAGGCTCATACCACTCCTCGCCCTGGACGATCCTCCACAATGCCAAGTACAACATATCAAATGGCAGATCCGCAGGGTAAAGCCACCAACGTGCTATCTCCTGTCAGTCTGCCAGGATCACATTTCGGGTCTATAAAAAGAAAATTCCAAACCCTGGCTGATTTGACGGGCTCCACTTTCGGCTGCATCCGCACAGCACTTCAGGCATACCTCAAGCTGAAATAGTCGCCTCGAGGTCTGATAGGCGCCATGACGCTCATTTTGGGATCTCGGCCGAATGTCTTGGCACGTATATGTATGACCGAAGTGCGAAGCGCAGGGTCACCTATGGCAGACCGCAGCGGTCAGCACCGGCAGTTGATAGTCGACGACTCAGCGACAGACCTCCTCCCATGAAGCCGTGTAGTGCCATGGAGCCGTGTAGCGAGATCAATCCCCGGGACGAAGCTAGCGGATGTGGAGCAACTCATGACTGGATTGCGAAGATCGTAGGATTCAGCGGAGAATACAGGTTTCCAAATATGTATATAAAGGCTTCAGGACTCCCCCCCCCTTCCTCCAGAGGATCATCAGCTCAATCAGCTCAAACATCCATCGCTGCATAACTACTCCGACAACTTATTCCCAGTCAATATACACTAAATACCATGTTCGCCGCTATTGGTCTTCTTTCCCTTCTCGGAAGCGCCCTCGCGGGACCCATCTCCATAGGCAAGCGAGATGATGTCCATTGTGGCACGACAAGTAAGTGCAGCTTGGACCCTTGAAATCGCTAATATATCCCAGGTGATGCTACTTTGAGTGACTGTCAAGCCTTGGTTACTCCTGAGATCTGGAACCAAGTGTAAGTGAAACCACATGCGCCGACCTACCATCTCCAATTGACATCGTTTGTTTCAGATTCAACACCGGCAACGTCTGCCATTTCACCAACCCTTTGGCGAATATCTACGACGGTACTGCCCTCAAGTGAGTACATCCACGCCGTTTGGATGACGACACGCTAACCACGCCACAAAGCCTCGCATGCCACGAGGTCAGTGTTCACATCCGTAGAACTGTCCCTTCCCGTACCTAACAGATTCTTTCAGAACTGCTGTGTGTATTACACCAACAATCAGGCCAACCCGGGCTCGAGTCTTTATCAGAGTTCAGAGACTCTACGACAAGCTGCAGCTGGCCTTCTGGGCTGTGGAGATACCTCAGCAAACAAGATCAACGGCTTGGACAACCTCGACGGGTATGCGATCTGCATCTCGGACGGTAATGGGTGTGGCGGTGAGTCTGATCCGGGAAGTGGTCCCAGGTCTGCAGCTCATCCCAGAATAGACTGCTTCGACGACGCCGATTGGGCTTTTGCCTAAGGAACGATCACGTTCCCGAGCATGAACAACCACCCTGTCTTCTTTTGTAGCTCTAAACCTCTAAGCTTGCTGTTTTCTGTCCGAAACTGAAAATGCAATCGTTGCCTCCCCTTGCGAAAATATGGCCAGATTCCCTGATACGTGTGGCAGTTGCATTCGAAAGGCTACGGTAATATCTTCGAAGGTACGGCGCAACAAGTTGCTATGGCATGTTGTGCCTGTACAGGAGACCCCAATCCGTATTCCAGCATTCCAGACGGGCTCATGATGCTCATCATAGCACTAGTTGTCGGAGTGTGTCAAGACGAATATCGGAGACCAATCGTTGCTTTTCCGGGATTGTGGGGGCACCGGACTTTTGTGCTTCTGCTTGTATTCAATCTGGTATCTTGTCCGCCCTTCGCCAAGTGCTGTAAAGCCTCTCCTCGCCCCGCAGTACATTCTGGCTTGCCGAAGGCAAAACTTCCACCAATCGCACAGCAATGATGACTAATTTTGACGCCAAGCGAGTCCTGAACGGGCAGCTACCCGCTATGCACCGACTTACCCGTTATCCGACGGCCAGTGGTGAAGTCTGACGTCTTCAGATATCATTTAAGAGGAGGAACTGTTTCGCAGTACATTAGAACTCATCAGCTTTTCTAGACAGCCTCATCCCTCACCATGCCGGAGAATCTTTCAAGCACATCGCATTGGAAGGACGAGAAGGGACAGAGCCCAGGAGCATTTGTCAATTTGTCAGATCCCCTGTTTCCGTCACATCTCTCTGGACCGCAAGTTTCCGCAGATATCAGTGTCGATGATGATACAGGTCTAATCAATGTCAAGATTGGCACAAGCTGCGATCCGCCTCCAGCATACCTGCGCCAGCTCGAGATACCCAACGAATCGTCTTCTAGTCCCCAAAGACCTTTGAACCGCGGCCTCCAAGTGCCACGCATGAACCTCGTAATTTTCATCGTAGGATCGAGAGGTATGTGCTAGGACGTTTTGTTCGCTCACTACGGCCTTCAGGCGATGTTCAGCCATACGTAGCTCTAGCGTTGAGCCTAATCAAAGGCCACGGTCACTGTGTGCGGATCGCGACCCATGGGGAATTTCGAGACCTGATCGTAACCGCGGGCCAGAAAGTTGATGGCAAGTTGCAATTCTTTGATGTGGGAGGAGACCCCAAGGAGTTGATGGCATTCATGGTGAAGAGTGAGCCGATCACTCGATGAGGATAAACTGACTAGTGTCAGACCCGAAGCTGATGCCTGGCTTCAAGTCGCTCACCAACGGAGACATTTCGCGAAAGCGGAAGATGGTAGCGACCATGTTGAAAGGATTTTTGCATTCCACATTCTTCCCCGACCCCTTGACAGGTGAAGCTTTTGCAGCAGATGCAATCATATCGAATCCACCTGCATTCGCCCACATTCACGTTGCTCAGGCCTTGGGAATACCGTTACATATGTCATTTAGTGGGTGACATTGCTCAACATTCACTTATCCTTGCCAGCTATGCCATGGACAGCCACAACTGCATTCTCTCACCCTCTCGTCAATACCGGGGGTGACGAAGCGGGGAATCAGGCCCTCTCCAACTACTTATCTTATGAGCTTGCAGACATGCTGTGGGTGGGGCATCCTTGTCAGAGCTGACGGCGTAGGATGTGGCAGGGACTGTCAGATGTCGTCAATGACTTTCGGAGGAAGCGACTCCTGCTCTCACCCCTGTACCGTCGAAACGCCATGGAGCTCATTGAAAATCTTCGCGTGCCATGGACATATTGCTGGAGTCAGGGTCTATGTCCAAAGCCTAGCGGCTGGAGAGCGAATATTGAGGTTACTGGGTTTTATTTCGATGAGGAGGAGGAAATCCACTACAGTCCTCCAGAAGAGGTGGCCAAGTTTCTCGAGAGCGGAGAGCCTCCCATATACATTGGTTTCGGGAGCATTGTAGTCAAAGATGCGGAGGCTTTGACTGGTAGGCTCGTGCGTTGAAATATGGCTTACCCCGAAGACCTGATCGTCAAAGCTGTCTCCGCGACAGGGCGACGCGCCCTCATTTCTTCTGGTTGGGCAGGGTTGGGAAAAGATCTGGCTTCCGTTCCAAAGAACATTCTCTTCTTTCAAGGTGGGTGAGAAGGCCGACCGTGCTGAATTCAGGTAGCATACCTCACGACTGGCTCTTTGCCAACGGCAAGATCGCGGCGGTGTGTCATCACGGAGGTACGCAAAGAGGCTCATCGACGCTAAATTCCAGGTGCTGGCACCAGCGCCGCCGGTTTGCGGCATGGTCTACCGACGATCGTTGTCCCCTTCTTTGGCGATCAACAGTGAGATGCACCCGAGGGCCTCGCCTGATAATTAGGTTCTGGGGACAAGCGGTACATCGTATTGGAGCGGGGCCAGCTCCCATCCCCGCCGCACAAATCACCGCAGAAGCCTTGTCAAGTGCTATCGAGATAGCTCTACTTCATGAAACTCGCCAGGCTGCGGGAGCTGTACGGGATAAGATCAGAAACGAGAATGGGACCGACAGGGGCGTGGACGCATTTCACAGGAATTTACCGATCGAGAAGATGAGGTGAGTAAAGACTGATAAACATCGCTCACAGCCAGATGCGACATCAAGCCAGATCGTGCAGCGGTGTGGTTCGACACTGAGACTCATCTCAAGCTCTCTGCCGTTGTGGTGGCCGTTTTGCTGGCTGAGCAGAAGATTGATCGCAAACAGCTGCGGCCTTACAGTGAGTCAGACTTTCAATAAGAGCTGACGTTCTCCAGGACCGGTCGAGATATCCACTGACAAACACCAACGTGATGCCATGTCTCAGTCTCTCGCCTCATCTACTCGTCTAGCGACAATGGCCGCCGAAGGGTCGGCAAAGCTCTTCATTCGTCCGCAAGAGGGCTTGCGGACCATATTCTGGGAGCTCCCAAAATGTGCGGAGTCTATCATGCTTGCCTGCTGATCGTGCGTAGCCTCGGTGCAGATCATCGGAGACCTGCAAACAGGATTCGCCAATACCCCTCGTCTCCTTGGATCAGACTGGCGCGAAAGCGGATCAATCACAGATGTCAAGTCTGGATTCAGGGAAGCTGGAATTGGACTCGGATATGGTGTTCTCGACGCAGTCACGGGGATAGTCACGGAACCTATCGTCGGGTTCAAGCGAGAGGTGAGTAGATGACTACATAGAATCATTGCTGACTGTCAGGGAGTCGTTGGAGTGGCGAAAGGTGTCGGCAGGTCTTGTGAGGCCTATTCCACGGCAAAAGACTAACTGGTTAAGGGTTGAATTTGATAAGTCGACCAGCAGCAGGAGCACTGGGACTCTTCACACTGCCTGCAGTCGGTCTCGCACGCCAGATCCGCAGTGCAGGGAGTTCCGCGATCGATGATGTGTTGATAAATCCGAGATTGGATCAAGGAAAGAGGGAATTGAGTGATCTCACCGACCAGGAGCTTGTCGATATCGTGTCTGCCTACGACACGCTGCGAAGCGGTACAAGGTCACGCAGAAAAGCTCAAAGTGACAGATCGTATAGACCGTTGCTTCTAGGAGAGCTCAGTGGCTTTCAGAAACGATAGCCGAGCAGACTACTCAAACGGACTTTTGTTACGCTCATCGGACAGGCTGACAAGAGCGCTGTTCAGTTCTGAAGACAGCGTAGACAGACTTGTAGAGGAATGGGATCAAGATCTTGATGGCGACAGACAATCGAAACGTTGCAAATGAAAGTCCGACCGATACCACAGCGTTGTTGCGAGATGAATAGGAGAGTGATCGGAGAGTGTTTGAAACTCTTCCAGGGGTTTCTGCGAAAGATGCAAAACCTCCGCCGGTGTGATCCTCGTCGAAGGCAAGTCGTTCACGCGGGCAAACCAGAACCGGGACCAGAAATAATACATAAATGCATACATGGTGTGTCGTCGTGCTGCCGAGATACAGTTGATGATTGAGTGCCGAATCGGAAGAGCCGTATCATTTTTTGAAAATGCAGATGATGCTAAGAGGTCATCAGCATTACAGTCTTCGGCAGACCCACTCTTCATCCTCAAGGATGTGACTAGCATTCGTCAGCATATATAGTTAAGGCGACCGATCGCACTCACTCCAACCCGACTTTTTGACCTCGAGAGTGTTTCGCTGATGTACCCCAAACCATGGCTATGAAAAGCGTCAGGGCCCGGTACTGAAATGAAGCACTACCGCACCATTTCTGAATTGCTTCACGATCTCCTTATGGATTGCGTTGCAGAAGTCTTCGACTGTACATCGACCACGTCGCAGCACAACAGGCGACGAGTAGTCAGGAGCCTGGCCTCGAGGCTTGGTGTATCTGAGAAACGTCAGGTCGGACTCCATGTACGTGAAGAGAAAACTGACACTCGGACGAGGTTGAGTTTGTCCCACATGACCTCCATGAGCTCGTCAATATTGAGCCACATTTTGCTCGATATCGGCACAGAGTTGGGAATCTAGCGGCATGAGCTTGAGGCGGGGGCTGAAGCGAAAGCTCACCTTGTACAGCAGATCCAATTCCTCAATACTGATCGCGTCGATCTTATTCAATACGAAAATGGCCGGAACATATACTCTGTAAACCGAGTCAATCCTGCGCATGCATGACGACCCACCTATTGCCTTCAATGACGTCGATGAAGTCCTCGATGGTAGCATCTGGCTGATGCACCGAGATGGCACAACTGTTCAATCGGTACTCTGAGCAGACAGCTTTGATCTCTTGCGGGTCAACCTTGGTCAACGGGACGGTGTTGGTGATATGCACCTAGCTAGTCAGTGGACGCCAGTTTGAAGATCGCTCACTCCTCCGCTTTCCTTCTTCTTCACGGTGATTGCTGGTGGTCGCTTATTTAATCTGATCCCAAAGCCCTCCAATTCGTTTGTCAAGATAGCCAGGTCGACCAGTGGTTTCAAAACGTCCAGAATGATAAAAATGAGATTACAGGTCCTTGCAACGGCGATGACTTGACGACCTCGACCCTTGCCATCTTTGGCACCTTCAATGATACCTGAAGGACTTGGTCAGTCTGCCGCACGACGCCGTGAATGACCCACCAGGCAGATCCAGGACTTGTATCCTAGCCCCGTTATGCGTCAAAGTACCAGGTACGGTCGTCAAAGTTGTGAATTCATACGAGGCAGCTTCGGAGTGTGTTCCACTGCGTCACCTAGGTCAGACCATAATACTCGGACCATCGGAGCAATCCTCACGTCAATTTTGACATTAATGTTGATTTGCCCTGCGATCGCGATCGATCAGCCTCATTCCAATATAAGGTCTCGCTACTTACCACACTAGGGAAACCGACGAACCCTACACTAGCCACACCCGTACGAGCGACATCAAACCCTATCCCTGGACCTCCGCCGCCTCCACCGGAAGGTGTAATGAGCTCTCGTCGCAGTTTGGCGAGCTTGGCTGGAGTCGTCATCAGCGTGTGACGAAGCCTCACCATGGTTCAACTTACCTTTGAGCTGTCCCAAATGGTACCTGAAGTGTGTCAGCTTGAGCTACCCCATCATTCTCCAAAGACATACTCTGTCGCCTTATTTTTCTGCAAGGGGCCGTCAGCTGCTACGTCTAACCTTTCTCAAAGGGAACTCACCTGCGTCTTCGCCATCTCATCTTCGATGTCTTTGATCTATGAGGATCAGCTCCTGCCCTTGCCTGAAACACACCTTCTGAGCGGTCGTCATCTTGCCTAAATGTGTATGCTAGACCGTATAGGAGTGATGGGATCCGAAAGAGTCACTCGGACGTAACTTTTGAACATCGACATGACGTGGTAATAATCTTGCAGTACACCTTATCATTCCAGTAAGGACCTTTGAACTGAATTCGGCGCCACCGGATCCAATCTTTCAACGCTTATGCTATTCCCATTCAACATCTCACACTTACACTCTCATTCCTCCTCGACGGCTTGATCTTCGGACAGGGCCGGAGGTACAGCCTCTTCGTACCCCTGCGATTTCCTATGAAGCCGTAAAACAATCCTCTAACTCGCCACCATGGCGCATCCTCTCACTCAACATCCTCCTTCCTCACTTCCCTTTGCTACGGCAGCTCGACCTTCACCCGTCGCATTTGGGTTCGGACAACCTTCCTCGTTTTCAGCCTTCAGTAATGGTCAATTCAGTACCTTTGGTCGACCTCTGAATGCAAATCCTAATGCTTTCCCCGCTCTCAACCCTCCTCCTTCAGGATCGGGCTCAGGTTCATCTTTCGTTGGACCCATATCGTCTTCGCCTTCTAAGCGATTCACACGACCTAGTCCCATTGGATTCAAATCGCAGCCTACGTTGAAAAGGACAAGAAAGAGTTCTTCTTCATCCGAGTCGACACCTCCTTCCCCCCGTACGTTGTCATCATCACCATCTCATGCTGGCCTAGAATTGCCAAGGACGAAGGATGACTTGTCGAGATTGGATCTGAGTGAGGGTATGCGGGGCACACCAGGTCGAAAAGTCATGAAGCGGTTCAGAAGCGAGGCTGGACCGTCGACTGGTACAGACGCGAGTCAGACTCAAGACGTCGGAGTGTTGTTAGGTGAGTCTTTGAATGCTTCACTTGCTGACATAAACCCTTAACAGCTACCTTGCCTCCATCATCGCACCTAGACATCCTCATGGGCATAGTGCGCAGACATCCTGCACTCGCGTCTGAGATCTTGGCAGAGCTCCCCCAACCTGACTTAGATGAATGTGTGAATCAGCTCGACAAAATCCTCAGTCGAATCAGGCGGAAAACTAGTGCTGGAGTCGCTGATCCGGCGCGAGTGTGGCCAAGAATACAAGATGATGTATCGGCGTACTGCCGAACAGTGAGTTGACGACATTGTACGGAGCTAAGCGCAGGCATCGACCTACGTCTCATTCTTCTCATCCTCTTCGCCGTCCCCGGATCCTGGAACCATGCAAGCCTTGCTCTTCACCATCACCTCGGAGGTTTACACATTGCTTCAACTCGTCCCGTCAGATGTCGCCGCCTCCAATTCAGTCGCTACCCTGTTAGAATTAGGCAAGGTTCTCGTATCGACATGGACTAATTGGGTCAATGGAATCGCCACAGAAGTCAATCAACGTGGTGGAATGTATCCTCGATCATTGGTCGAAGGCTGGGTAGCGAATATTGAATCTTTGGCCAATTGGCAGAGTACAAGATCGCTTTCTTCCTTCGGTCACCCAGTCCTTGGGACTCATCCATTGGTCGAATCATTCAAGTCGGCCCTCCAAACCACCCTGGAGACTTTTATCAATGAAGTCGGATGGTTGATCGATCGACGGTCTCAATTCTCAGCTGGTCCATCGTTACATCATATGCCCCAAGTGCCGGTTTGGAGTCAGCCTTTTATTCGGCCTGTCGCTGGATAGATGCTTTCAAACTCACATTGACCACCACTTCAGCAGTCTTAATCTGTATCATTCCACCCCTACCTGTAAGAAACAACACCTGCATTCTGTATGTATGCGCAAACGACTTGCAAAGCTCTCGGATTTGATGACGCGTCATGCATGATTATACTACAATACATGAGAGCAATGATGTTGACTATGCTACAGACCGGCATGTAAGTGTTTTCTCTCAAGTCCCTCTTCGCACTATTGTGCACTTCTAGCTGGTCCTCCGCGCTCAAGAGCTCTTTCTCGCGCTGCCAACCAACGTCCACCCGTCCTTCACGACCTGAGAGGCCCTCCGAGCTGGGGCATACTTCACCGACTCCTCCACAAGAGCGGCCTTTGGCGAGACGTCATTGACTGCGTCTGACCCTGTTCTGACTCGAGAGACTGCTGCTTTGCCAGAGGTATGCCGGTGTCTAGCTCTTATTGGCGGCGTCACGGCAGACTTGACAGGTGCCTTGAAAGTCGATGGTAGGCGAGGAGGTGCTCCATGTACTATCGGACCCTCACTCACGGCTCTCCTACTTTGACCGGAAGGAGTCTTCGAGTCTTTGGACAAGTCCAACCTCCGCACATTCGGTGATGACTTCGAGTCTGAGATTACCAGTCGTCCGAAATGCTCAGGTGTTGGGTCTGGGACAATGGGTATCACAGAACCCGGTTTCGAAGTGGGAGTCTGCGGAATGTTCAGCGCTGAATCGACAGTTGAGGATCGCGTCAAGGGAGGGAAGTCAATGGGCGATATTGCTTTGACAGGCTGCATCAAGAATGCAGGAGCGGCAGGATTCACAGGGACTTCGTCGAAAGGATAGATTGGAGAGGTCGATTGACACGCTTTCCAGGTCGGCAAAGTCTTGATGGCCGCATGGAGGAACGAGACGTTCACGAGGGACCCCTTCTTTGCGAATGTCCAGTCACCTTTTCCCTGCCTTCCCGTCCAAGACAGCAATCCAAGTTTTGGAAGTTTGCGCACGAACTTGCGCAGCTCGCGCGAATCTGGCAGAGCCGAATCGGGCTCCTTAAGCTTCGCCACTAGCTCCGAGGGGAGTGCGTAACTCGAGTAATCATAAGCGAGTGACTTGGTCGGCGCGCCGACAATGTTGAACTCGGGCGCACTCTCGACGTACAGCTCTTCCAGAGTCGGAGAGCAGGCAAAGCCAGCTGACATGGCGATCTAAAGCTTCTTCAGCTGGGCCTCCTTCCCGAGGTGTGCTCACCACGTCGTGCATTGACATCTGCACTGATACCCTCAGAACCTTCAAACTCGTCGACCGAACCAACGCATCGAGTTGTTCTCGATTCATCACCCACCAATCGAGGCAAAGCTCTTGTAGACACTGGCCATGCTCCATGATGGCATTCAACAAAGCATTCGGTAAGATTTCTGGACAGATGGCAGGAGAATGGATTGCGACGCCCTGAGGCAAAAATGGGAGGCGAGCAATCGGATGTGGCATCCGAGTGATGAGAAACCCTTCCAGTTGATTGAAGGGAATGCAGTGGATCGACTGCAGGTGATTGACCACCCATCTTACAGTCAGAAGTGAGTTTGCCTTCACACTCACGAATGATGCATGCTGCTGTCAGAGATGAGGATCTCGATCCACCTCAAATACGGCGGCCACGTTGAAATCGTACTCCAAGTGTCTTTTTCGAGTCGACCTGCATGTTTCAGCATACTGCTTTAAACTCTAAGTTGGGGCCAATCACCTTCAATATCGTCCAAATACAGCGATCTCAGATTCTGACAGCCCTCGATGATCGTCCGCAAACACTGGCCAGTGAATTTCGTTCCCGTTGTACTGAGCTCGAGAGAATGAAGTTTTGCCGAGATGTGAGTGATGGCGTCGCAAAGTGGCCAGTCCAAAAAATGAGTGGAAACATACAGGCGCTGAATGACACACTGATGGCTGAGAAGGTGAAAATGAGTGGCTAGAGTTTTGGTCTGGTGGGCGTGAGCCCACCGTGCCAGCTTTGTGCAAAAACGCTCACGGCATTTTGTGATAGATTGGCCAACTGCAATATTTCAAGATCGTCCCAGCCGCTGCCCAACGTCCAGCCCCCCTCTCCGACAACCTTGGGAGCCTCAGCAGTGCTTTCCGACCGGTGTGTCTGAGGGTTTAATTGAAGGGAAGGTGAGAGGCGAGGACCTTGACTTTTGCGGCCAGAATTGTCAGCAGGATGAATTGGTGGCGTAAGTATCGAAAGTGCAGTGAGACGGTCAAGCTTCGCAATTGCCTTTCATGACATTATGAGCGACTGAAACGGATAACGAGCGTAAATGAGATGCACTCACTCGCCATATCTCCTCACCCAAACCTATACCAAGACTGAACTCGATGCTCTCCACATTCTTGCATAGTCTAACCATGACCGCAATGCTATTCCAGGCAAGTTGGCGCTCAGATTCAAGGTCATCCTGAGAGATCTGAGCGGAATGCATCCACTTAGCCAAAGGCAGGTCTTGGACGGAAGGGTGGGTGAACTCAAGTCTTTTGACCAGCGAAGCGAGGTGAGGATAGCTACCATACGATGAGCTCATTCGTTAAGCACTCTTTGTATAGCTCACGAGATGATGCTGCGAAATCTTGAGGGATGTAGATACGCGCTTCTCACGGAACCGCACACCCCAGGAATAGCTATTTGGACTTCCACATTGTCATAAGCAAACTCCAGGACCGCGTCGCGAAGGTGTCGAGAGCCGGCGAAGAGAAGCGATGGCAGGAGGGAAACATCGTACTTGAGTATTGGCCTTGTTATGACTTTTATCATGAGCTGATGACAAGGTGACCGAATTGCCATGCTCACCATCGAAAAGGGCTGAGCGGTCTGCTGACGACACTGGAGCATCATTTCCTGCGCCGTGACCGCTCGCGATGGCGACGGCATCTGGGGAGGCTGGGACATTCTCGACCTTGCCGGCGTCTATTCCGAGCATGACGCAGCGATCGTGACAGCACGTAGTACATTAGTAAACTACCGGCTGTCACAGCTGCAGTTCTTGAGCTCTAGTCGCACGGCGACTGGAAATGTTCAGTCCCGGAACCAGGAGAGTGGCGAATGGAGTTGAAACACGTGGGGCCCCTAGAGTCCTTTGGCAGCTTCTCTTGATGCCTTGTTTGCCGTTGGAACCCCATGTTGCTCTCTACTTCGACACAGAGCGGCCTGGTACCATACGCTCTGATCTTCTCCTTCTTATCTTACAGGCTATCAATTGGTTAGTGATTATACTCGGTCAGAATATAGCGAGGCCGAGAACCTCGCTCCTAGCGGTCAAATACTGCTCAGCCATGCATATGAACATGGTGCCACCTTAGTGGCATGGTCACAAACAAGAGATCAACGTCATTATGACTGACAATGTCACTGCGAATGTTGAGTGTGATTTTTGAAGAAAAGGTTCGGAAGAGTAACGAGGAGGTGCCAAGGATTGAATAGATACACGCAAGCGGGACTTGAGGGCCCAGACCAGCAATCTATACCTTGTACTGCAGCAAGTCGTCAGCAAGACGCCTCCAGATTGCTCCCGAACCATCACTTACCTCCTTCAAGCCGTCCTTCCAGAAAGTGAAGTAAGGAGTGGTTCCGTCCTCGCGGTAGTTCTGACAAGTGCATCAGTATATGCCAACAACGGACTTGATGCGCAACTGACCAAAAGGGCAATCATTCCATCAGGGTTCATGCTCTCTCCGGTGTAGAACTCAAAGTCCTTGAAGTTGCCGACAATCTTCTTTGCGAAGGCAGCGGCACCCTTCTCGAAAGCCTCTACACGCTCGGGGTTGGTCTCCTGGAGCTTGGCCTTGACGCTCTTCATGTAGCCTTTAAGGTAAGTGAGGTAGGACTGGGAGAGGTATCAGCGTTTGATTCGAAAATGTTTAGGCGCTTTCGAGCCAGCGCCAGCTGACGGGGATACCTCTGAAGAGCCCTCGCACTCCCAATCGACAGCAGACTTTACTCACCTTCTTGTCGAAAGAAGTGGCCTGAAGACGGAAAGAGTGAACGACATTGTTCTTCTGCTCAGCACCGTTCTCGAGGGCCTCCTCAGCCTCCTCAGCAGAGGGGTTCGCACCTAAAAAAAAAAAAGGAGTTAGCTGCAAAAAAGAAGTATCTCAATGGAGCTCACCAATGTCGACATCGCCTTCCTTGACGATGATCATGGCACAGTCGCATTCGTAAGCGATACCGTCGACCTCCTTCCTGCGGCGCGTGTCAGCATCATGCTTCTCACCAGTGCATGCAGCGGCAGCAACGTGCGAGCTGGATCTACACTGTTCCCTCCGGACCTTACTCACATGTCGAAAGAGTCGGAGCACATCTCATCTCCGGTGATGATGTCCTGGTAGATGAGCATGGTGGGCTAGATGGCTGCTTTGAGAGCGAGTGCTGAATGGAAGTAAGAAGAGATGTATATGACAATGACAGTTGCTGCAAGTTTTTTCACTGGACGGGGTGCCCAAAAAAAATATCCTGTGATGCCCCAATGGAAACATTATTAGATCCTACTCGCAGCCAACCACGTGGTCCAGACGGCGGTTCCGATCGACCGAAATATTTTTCCAAAAGACTTCAATGTAGACGACATTGCCTCGACATCCTTGTTGTCTAGGTTCAACTGGAATCTCGAGCGTTTGACCGCCAGAAGACCGCTAGACAGCTATGTTGACTCAGGATGAGACTCGCCGGGCCATCTTCTTCGCCCTGCAACTATTGTCAAGATCCAAAGCACAGCGTCAGTTGCATTCCATCGCTACAAGCACCTCGTCGACTTCTACGAGACGCGATGCAAATCGATCGGGGTACAGTCGGGCAGCTTCAAATCTCTTATCGGCGGCTCATAAGCGACCTTCCTCGCCTCAAATTTCAAAGCCTGAAAAGCTCGAGGTCAAGGTCAAAGTTGCTTCGAAAAGTGGCTCAGCCAGCGGTCATAAATCAGGCCATACAGTTGGACAGATCACCAAAGCAGCCAATACTGCACATCTGAAATCTCAGACAAGGGGTCAACAGACTTCTGCTTCCTCCAGCAGCTCACTCTCGACTCAGCGCTTGAAGCCAGCAAGCAGCAGTTCTTGGTCGAAGAAAAAGCAATTGGAGGCCGGAAGGAGCAGAGGTGTATCTGTAAAGGGGGAAAACGGAGCTGTCGAATCATTGGACCATCACTCGACGCGCAACACCAGCGCAAAAGCCAACAGGCCGACAGGCGGGACTGCAGGGGTTCCTAGCGCACGTCATTCGCTGGATCACGAGGAGCAAGAAGCATTGGCTGCTTTGGCCGCCGCTGAAAACTGGCGGGTCCCCATCAAGCGAAACGTGATGGAGGGTAGGTCTGAAGATTATACTCCCTGTGTCCTTGAGTCTGACACAAGTGCTTCAGAGATTCTGAGTGAGGCGTCACCGCGTGCCGGCGATGGAGGTGTCAGCGACGATTCCGGGAATGTCAGGTCAGCCATGACGGCTAGAGGCAGAATCGCGGCGGATCAGGTTTCACTCAGATGTGAGTCGAATCTTTGAACTATGTCGCACTTGCTGATGCCAGAGCCAGCTCAAAAACCCGATCGACATATGGTGGTCAATCGTCTTCGGTCCAACCTTACGGGAATTCCTTTCAGGTGAATTTCAAACAGTAGGAAGGTTGCTCATTGCTGTAGCCCTGGTATCCATTTCATGCAAGATCCCAGAACTGGAGTGTATAATTTCGACCCCAACCAGCTTCACCAGGTGCCTAGCCCCGAAGAGTTCGCTTATGATCGAGTCGCTCCATATTCGAAACCATCGACGCACAAGGAGTTGGCGAATTTGGCCGAGAAGGCTTCCTGTACATATGCTGGATCAACATCTACTCTAACCAAAGCTTTCAGTCAAATTTATTTTCTCATCAGCCGTAAGTCATGTCTTCGTTCATCAAGATCTTATCCCAACCTATTCTTCCAGGCGATCGCGGAGTCAATATCAAACAATTTTCAGGCCATTTCACCACCGAGGTAAGGGCTGATCTGTGCGATGTCGGCGAAGCTAATTGCGCACAGAGGACCGATTTCTCATTCGGTTGTCAACTTCCTGCCTGCCTAGAAGTGACCAAAAATCCGGAGAACGGGGTTTGGTATGTCGATAATGACAAGTCGGTGGACGTCGACAACATTCTCGCAGACTATGTGAGCCGGCCACACTCCTTTTGCAAGGTCAAGCTGATTTCATTAGGGCGTTATTATGGAGAAGATGCTTACTCTTGAGCCTGAAGAATTTGCCAAATTGCTCAAGAAGAATCCCGGAGAGCCGAACGCCCAGCAGCAGGATGTATCTACAGAGGCCTTCTACTATCAGCATGTCAGTCTGTCCGGGTGCCTCGACTTGCTTGATTCGGCGCGCTGAACTTGTTCACAGGGTGCAAAGTTGATGATGCGGTCGCAACTCGACTGCTATGATCCTCGTCTCCCAGGCACCGGCGTGTTCGATATCAAGACAAGAGCGTGCTTACCGATCCGGTATGATCGAGCCAATTGGATCGCTAACTCGGCCTACGAGATCAGTCAGGAAAAGGGTTTCGTCAGGTCGTTTGAGCGAGAGTGAGTGTGATGGGGAGGAAAGTTAGGACATCGAGCTGAATCATCATCATCATCGTCAGAGACTATGATATGCTTCGGGCGACCATGCTGAAGTATAGGTCAGTGGAACAGGAATCGATGTGATGCCACACTAACAATCTTCAGTATGCAAGCGCGTATCGGAGCCATGGACGGCATTTTTGTCGCCTATCACAGTACGGCCAAGATCTTTGGATTCAGATACCTGCCTTTGTAAGCGCCGGGACTCACACGTATGGTCTGACGAGTCGCAGAGCTGAGATCGACTCACAACTTTTTGGGACGACTGAGATGGCGGAAATGTCTTTCAAACTTTGCGTGGCACTTTTTGAGAGTCTGTTGGACGAAGTGGTCGGTTGTTTCCCGGGACATGTGAGTAGTATAGCCGAGACCGCATATGCTGACCCATATAGGACAAGCTGAGCGTAACCATCAAACATTTCCCGGGGACAATGGAGAAGTCTGCTGGTACTCTTGCCGCCTTCGTACAACCGAGAGGCTTGGAGGAGGATGGTGCAGACGTCCCTATCCGAGCCGTGCTACTCTCTGTTGACAATTTCATCGACGGAGAAAAGGTTGAAGGAGGCTTCGAGTTGAACTTTGATGAAAATTCTAGAAAGGATCAGACGTGTGAGTCACCTGTGGTTGATGTCTTTTTTTTTTCTCTTTTTGGTGTGCTGACAGCGAGCCTTCAAAGGGGCGGTCGATTGGCAAATTGCTGTATCTGGGACGGATGCGGCAACTCAGCAAAAGATGTCGCAAAAGCTGAACGAGGCATTGCGTGAGATCAACGCGATGCAAAAGCTCGCACCTCCAGAAGGAGTCACCTTGGATCAGATGCGAGCTCTGGATCGAGTCAAATACGGTGCAGACGAGACAGTTGCCAAGAAGGGCCGAGCAGTCTGGATCACGCCCAACCTCAATCAGTTAATGTACAGAAAAGAGGCAAAAGATAGCGCTTCGGAACACAAGAAACGGATGAAAGAGTGGAGAGAGGGACACGACAAGGTTCTCAGTTGGCAACCTGTACCCACGCCCACGCCATGATGGCATTCCTGATGTACCATAGCTTGTATCACTTGCATCCTCACTTGACAAGGTGCATTCTGTATGCTACAATGGGTCGCCTCTGCACAGGCTCATTAGATAAAAGATTTAAAGTAGATACTGTTTCACGATCATTCAATATACAAATCTAATCAGATGATCCTCTCGTCTCGGTACCATGAGGAGCAGGGGATCCCATATCCAGTTGTCTGGGTCGATCCGTGAGATCTCGCTCTTCAATCGGTTCATCAGGTATGCTTGCCGGCGTTGGCATCGGTTGTCTCAGACTCTCTCTCGATACTGCAGTAGCCAACCCGCTCAAGCGCATTTGGCTCCTGCGACTCGTGAGACTGTCTCCAGGTGGCAATCCAGATTCAGATCCTTCCCTTGGCCTGTCCAACCGACTGCGAACGCTGCCACTAGGTCCTAGAAAGTCGGATCCTCCAGCTCCCAATGGTGACATCGGTTCACGCTTGCTTGCTGCTCGACCCAAGAGAGCTCCTTTTCCAATGGCTTTACTGATCCGTCTCAGCTTTGCGTGCTCCTTCAAGACTTCGTCTTGTTCCTTGTCTCTGTCCGCGAGCTCTTTGTGTGACGAGCTTTGCGCAGCGAGTCGTTCCTCCTGGATGACTTCTGCCATCAGCGCTTGTTGAGCCGCTGAAACACTTTCAGAACGTTCTCGTCTAGCCGATCGTACACGAAGGAGGTCTCTCGAGCCACTAGCGGATCCCAGACGACCCACTGCCGGGGCGGTGTAAGGCAGTCCCGAAACGCTCCCATCAGACGGATCGCGCACGGATGTTGCACTGGGCGAAAGTAATCTAGACGGACGGCGACCTGAGGCAGATCGCCCAAGGATGCGAGCTGAAGGTGAGCCAGTCCTCTCAGGAATAGGCGTCTGGAACGATGTATGTAAGACGCGTGCCGGAGCAGTCCCGGGTGAAGCCGGGTCGAATGCGATAACGGCATCGGAACTAGTGGCGGCAGCTATCGGGCGTGCATCGCTCGACGGTGTCCTGGATACCAGGTGACCCGAAATCGGCGAGTGGACGATCCTTGGACTCAGCAAACCGCCTTCGGAATGCGCACTCTCCGAAGTAGTGGGTCGTAATGGAGGTGGCCGGACAGCATCCAAAGGAAGACTGGTCGACGTATCGGGTCGATGACCAACAAGCGATGGCCGACGGAACACAAGGTCAGCACCACCGGAAGCGGATGTAGGTCGCAAGTGAGAGACCTGGTCCAAATCCTCGAGAGACGGTCTTGAGGCTGAGGGCAAGGTACGCATCGAGATCAAGCCGGAATTGTCCGTCTGCATCGTTCCCGCACGAGGTCGCCGCAGAATAGAGTTCCAACCTTCACCAAGTCGTTTAGTACCGCGACGGACAATATCGGCTGCTCCACCTTGAGCCTCACTGCCCATGCCTTCGGGTAGCTCGACGGGCTCAATGAATCGGTCTTCGGCGTTGTCACGAGACGACAAAAGACCAGCTTCATCTGAAATGCTCATTCGGCCAAAGCTTGATGGCGGGCCAAAGTCTGTCCCAAACGACTGGTCCACTTCTTCGCCCTCAATTACCTCCACATCGTCACCTTCTTCATACTCATCTTCAGGTGGCCAGTTGCCTATGCGTCCAGAGCCACCTGTGGATGTCGTCAGAGACAAGCGCATCTCCACGGTATCATCAAGATCCAGCGTCGATAGTGGATCGCGAGGAAGCCAAAGGAAATCATCATAGTCATCAGTGTAAGCTGGCTGATCGCTGTAACCTCTCGAGCGAGGATAGGGAGGGATGTCCTCCCAGGGCCGAAGCGGGTGGTGAGGGCTGACAAGGGTTTGAGCGACTTTGTGGTGAATGGCATGGTCTGGCTGATGTTGAAGCTCAAGGTCCACCTCTGATCTGACAATTGTCATGTCTTTATCGTCATCTGGAAAGGTAAGTTTTCGGTCGAGCCAGTTGAACAGGACGTGCTCGAACGGGATTGGCCGACGATATCCAGGCTCGACACGATGACTGACCGCGAAGATCCACTTTTCTGCCCAGGCTACAATGTCACTTCGTAGACGAGTCAATCTGCTCCCGGATGCCCGAGGTACGTTCTCTTTCGATCCGGGCGGGGTGTCCGATGAGGGCGAGATGATTTCCATGATTTCTTCGCCGTGCGCTCCGGGGACAGGAGGGCTGATGAGATCGGCTTGCTCGGCGTCAAGACTGGTCAAGTCAGTCAGAAGCTAGATTTTTAGGCTGGAGGCGCTCACTCATCATGACGACGGATCAAAGCGCGGGTGATGCTAGGTGAGGTGAGCACAGGGAGTCATACAAGCGCTGAAAGCTCACATGAGTTTCTCGCCTAGGGTCAAGAAGAACAAGACACCTGTGGCGATTGCGTTGCCTTTGGCCTTATCTAGATGCGTGTCAGCACTGTATAGTTGCCAATCGTCAAACTCACTCAGGACGAAGAAGGCAAAGAGGACAAACTGGAACAGTTAGCACGATACATTAGATACTGGTGACGAACCTGAGCCACTGAGAAAAGTCAGCGATCGTCTCTCTTTCTCTGACGTGAGCTCACAGGCAAGGGCGTCTAGGCCGTATCGGAGAACCCGTATACTCGTACGCCGCCCATTGTTCTCGTATAGCCTGCCATACACGTACGTGAATTGCCGTTTCCATACGACTATTAGTCAGCCAAAATTGTTCGACTTCAAGCTCACCATAAACCATGCCATAGTACACAAGCGCGAAGGGAATGACTAGCGGGTTGAGCAGCATGAACAGGTGCATGATGGCACCTTGAAGCAACTGAAGAGGCACCTGCGAAAAGTGACTGAATGTGGGGTACTCGGTTCTCCCGTTACGTTGGCGAGGAATAATGGACACACGGGTGCCAAAGACGTAGACGATGGTCGGCAGACCAAATCGGAAAATTTCAAAACCTGGTTGAATGGCAACCTGTAGGAGGATATACGACGCAAAGTACGGTGCTGCGGTAGGGAAAGCAGACGCGACCACCGGTAAAGGGTCAAAATCACGGTTCTGGAATGCAGTCAGATACGCTTCGATAGCTGATTGTCCGATCGCAAAGAAAACAACTCCATTGACCATGAGGAATTTCCAGAACCGCTCCATTACCGAATTGTGAATCGCCAATCTAGTGTTGATTGTCTCGGCCTTGTTGGCAATCACAAGCAAGATAGGACAGATCGCCAATGTCAGACCAGCAACAAGAATGACAGGAGCCAAGGAGCTGATGGCGCCAGCGGCTTTAGGATGGGCGGACAAGAAGGCTCTCAAAGGTTTGAAGAAGCCTGCGATGTTGTTGAATGAGGACAGAGCGCAGAGCAAGGACACGGGGAAGATCTGAGCCATCAGTACAGAAGCCCTCGCGGCTGACTCACCCAGAGCAAGGTGAAGACCCATACGCCGACCTGGACGACCCACTTCCTGACAAACTCTGAGCGATAGATACTCATCGAGAGCCTTGGCCAAAGTAGATTCGTCCAGTCTGGGGCAGGTGATGTCCGACACGCTAGTGTCCGGGTAGGATGGGACTCGAGCAGCTTGTGTGCTAGTCTGGCCGTCCTAGCGTCTCTAAATGTAACGAAAGCGGTCGACGAAGGGTTGTAAGAAGACAGGGGTTTGTCACGGGCTGCGTCCAGTCGGTGGGATAAGTAATTGAGCTTTGTGGTGAGGTAATCGATTAAAGGCGCGTTTTGATCACGGAAGAACGAGGTGACTTTCAAGTGGGTCAAGGCTTGATAAGGATCCAATAAAGCACGAGGCAGTGCGTGCAGGATCTGTCGCATCAGTCTATACCGAGCAACATCCACTCACATCCCAGACAGTCTCGGAGCTCTCGCCCAACTGCTCTGGTGAATCTGCGACAAAACCACCCAGAGCTGCTGTCAATCTGTCCAGACGCTCTTCTCTGGACAATCCCGTCGGCAGGTGCTCGTCTCGAGGGCCGTTGAGAGCGTCTAAGCCTGCGTCCATGTCGTGCACCGGACGAAGCTGGGTGTACATGTTCTCTGGACGACTGTGCTTCTTTTGATGAGCAGCCACCGCTTTCAGGACACGTTTCGCAAGTTTGACATGCGCCTGCGACTCTTTAGCTCCGGATTGTATGAATTAACTCACCACTTCAAGCTGCCTGAGAACAGCATTCCTTCTCGCACGTAAACTCTGCACCGCGCCAAGCTTCCTGACAAGTATAATCTCATCGACCTCGCTTTCCATCATCCCGTCGGCTGAATCATGATCCACCACGTCGAAAGTCTGCTCAGTGTCTCCCCTTGTCATCGGTTGAGAGTCTCCGATCGCAATCGCGATCGGAGGTACAGGCGATGGCTTGGCTTTAAACATTTCCGATGGTCGAAAGTGGACGTGGCGCATGATTTGACCTTGTTTCTCCTCGACCTGCTTCTTGACCCAGGTTGCGGTATGGGTGATTTCACCCGATCTGAGACGATGACGCTCTAGATAATGATCGAAATAGTCCCTCAGAACATCCTCATTCCGCACTACTGTGTCAGCAAAGTCGTCAATCAGGGCTCACTGTCAGGCGGGATATTTTCAACAATCAAAGTTCGAAACCGTTTGGCGCCTTCTGGTTCATCTGCGCCTCGCGGCACAGCTGGTCTGGCTGTCTCGTTCCCCTCCTTTGTCGGTGCAGTAACCATGACCGGCGCACTAAGAGCCTCTCGGCTATGTTTCAGAGACCTCTCTAGCCTTCTATTCTCCCTCCGACGGTAGGCGAGTCCTCCCCAAGTGATCCACAAGAGGGTCAAGGTCCAGGTGATGGTGACCCACCAGATGAGAAACGCATGGATCCAGAGCCAGCGTGTCCCAGAGTCTTTCACTAGTGATGATATGCCCGCTCGAAGCATGGAGGACTTCTTGAGATCGCTGGGTGCATAATGGACGTGAACGGGAAGGAGGATTCTGCGGGATGAGCGACATTGCGGCTATGCTGAGCTCACGGTAGCACAGTACAGGCTTGGAGGAGGACGTAGAAGACTTCAAGGTGAGCGACGCCATAAGGCACCACTCACAGGAGCCACGAATGAAGCGCATATGTAACGTCACATCTATGCCACACGTCTCTGGCATATCTCGCTCCTTGATGCGAAGCGAGGACACGATCCATGCCAATGGCCAACGACTATGATGTCATCAACGACGAGCACGTCGGGCATGTAGCAAGGACTCACGGTGCTGGTGGCGCAGGGTTGCTGAAGCGACATTAGCAGGGTTCATCTTTCGACTCACAGTCTCCATGCTTTTGGTTGAAAGATACTGCGGCAATGTCAGTGGATACACTCACACTCCCACCTACTATCCGAATTCCCAACTTTCTCTGGATCCCAATTTCTCCCTGGGCGTCTTCTTTTGCTCCTTCTCTTCCACCACAGTACCTTGCTCGACTTGATCTCTGTCTTTCCGTCGTTTTGACCTCCAATTTCTCCATGCTCCTCCGGCCGCATGCACCACCCTCACAGGTATCCGCCTAAACGTGCCCTGTTTTCCATGCCTTCGAGGTATGTGCACTTCTATCTCGTGGCCCACCAGGCATATTCCAGCGATGGCCAGCGTGACCCACAGGTTATCCAAGAGGCCAGAGTAGGCTCCAGTATAGTTCGTATGCTGAGATAGATCCGCCATCGCGGTCCACAGTCGACGTCGGCCAGGTGGCTGACAATCTAAATGTCCAAAGGGGTCAATGCGGTGTGATTCTAGACTGCACGTCGGAGGCTCGTTCCACTTGATTATGCCAGTGCAGACATGGTATCGAGCCAGTACTCTGCCAACTGACGCCCCACGAATACGTCGATGGTCAACACCAGGTGGATATACAAAAGAGAGACACAATTCTATTGTCGGACGAAAGTCACCCGCCGCTCCAGAATTAAACACCCAATTACGTAAACTGTTCTAGATTTCAGCCGTCGCGCTCGTATCAGACCTTTGTTCAATGCACAATCGCTCTGCAACTCAATCTTCATGCCGTGACACCACTCAGGCCAGTCATGCCCAAAGCCGAGGCGGTATCGAGGACTGGCAAATCTAGAAGGCAGAAATATTACGCTGTGAAAGTAGGCAGAGTGCCGGGGGTCTACCCTACCTGGAGCGAGGCGGAGGCACAGGTGAGTTGTAAAGAAGTGGAAGATGGCGAGAGTATCGCTGAGCGAGGCCCGGCCAGGTCAACCATTTCCCTAAGGCTCTTCACAAATCATTCAACAGTCAAGGAGAGGCAGAAGTCAGCTCAATCACATTATCATCTGCACAAACGGCTGACCCCTTATAGGCTTGGTGCGGATGTTCACTACCGAAACGCTGCGATGGTACCTCAAGCCAGGTGTGTTCACGTAACTTCAACAGGGGCTGACAAGACCATCTTCTCTAGGCTTCTATGAACCACTCTTTTCCCTCGACACCCTCTTCCTCGTCCACTTGGCTCGCTGACACCCACATGTCTGGCAGTCAAAACCTGAATCGAGATAGTTCATTGCAGGACGACCGATACGATAAGCTGGACCCATTATTTTACGTCAAATACGATGCGATGCTGTCTTCCAGCGATAAGAGTGATCCAATTCCACAGCCTGCATCCTTCTTCCAATCCGCGAGCCAGATGCTGCGCTCCGTGCTTCCGTTCTCCCATGCCAAATCCGAACAAACTTCTGGACCGTATATAAAGCGCGAGCCGCCGGATATGAAGCCAGACGCTGTCATCGTCCCGTCCACGTTGGTGCAAGGCCCTTTGGACACTGCTCCGTCGGCCGAAGTCTCTATCTGCGACCCACAATTATCATCCCAACAGGCCAGGATCCTCAACCGGGTCCTCAAAGGCGAAAGCGTTTTCTTCTCGGGATCCGCGGGTACCGGCAAGTCAGTCCTGCTGAGGGCTATCATTTCAAACTTTGAGAAGCGCAAGAATGCCGCACAAGGAAAATTGGACCAACAGATGCGAGACTATCATGCTGGAGACGGTCCTGATCCATTTGACTTGCCCGGCGCGGTCAGAAGGGTCGAAAGGGGCAAGCTGGGAATCACTGCCAGCACTGGGGCTGCGGCCGTGTGAGGTGGCCGCCGCCTGAGATATTGATTGTGCTAAGTCGAGCTCTCAGAAATATAGGTGGCTGTACGCTCCACTCATGGGCTGGCATTGGGCTGGGAATTGGAGAAGCATCCAAACTGGCAGGCATTGTCAAAAATTATCGCTCTGCCAAGGAGCGATGGCAAACCTCTGAGGCCCTGATTATAGATGAGAGTCAGTACAGGAGTGCTTAGTATGTGCTGAATATCTAGTCTCGATGATAGATGGCGAGTTAATGGACAAGCTGAACTTTGTGGCCCAGGTCGTCCGAGAAAACCACAAACCCTTTGGTGGTCTGCAGGTATATGATCTGGGGATGACAACCTACTGACTCCCTCAGCTTATCCTCACTGGCGACTTCTTCCAGCTGCCGCCTGTACCGCGCCATAACGGCCCGCCTCCAAGATTTGCTTTCGAGGCGAAATGCTGGCGTGCCGTCATCCCAATGCAGAACATGGAGTGTCTTACCCAAGTTTTTCGGCAGAGGGACAACCGATTTGTCGAGCTTTTGGACAGTATGCGCAAAGGTCGTTGTACCATGGATCAGGTCAAGCTCTTGAAACAGTGTGATCGGACTGTGCAGTATGGAGCAGGCTCGGAACCAGTAGGATTGTGAGTGTCTTCAGAGACTTCTGGACTCTTCTTGAACAGCATTTTCCAGATACCCTTCCAAACATGAGGTAGCCGCCATCAACAATGCTCGACTTGCCGCCTTGCCTGGAGCGGAGCACAGATTCCAAGCAGTCGATCGTCCCGGCGTCAATTCAAATGGTCATAGGCTGACGCCGGACGCGGCGACAAAGCTATTGGATCGGAACACCATCTGGCCCGATGATGTCCGGCTAAAAATAGGAGCCTTTGTCATGCTCGTCACGGTGGGTTGGAGATTAACATCAAAAACGAGGTGCTGACCTGACCTTTAGAACGTAGGAGTGAGTGATCCCACCGGGTTCGCTCCGCTTTAGGCTGATCTGCTGGCCGTGTGCAGGATGGAACACTGGTCAATGGTTCGACAGGTGAGGCCTGCATTCATGGAAATAGTGAGACTGATAGCGGTGATCAGGTCGCGTGATCGATTTTAAGACTATTGATCAGGCAAGAAAAGAAGGCATCTTTGTACTCAATAGATCCGGCAAGGAAGTTGTCGCGGAGACCAAGATCTGTATGACGACTGAATATCCCGTCGTTCAATTTGATCGGTCGCGTTTCGCTTCAGGTCCGCACAAGGATAGAATCTGCATCGCTATCTCTGTTGCGGATGTGATCAATGCGAATGGCAATGCCGAGGCCTCGAGAATTCAAGTACCTCTGATCCTTGCTTGGGTGAGTTGATCACGAGAAAGGCAATTTCCTGACGACTGTCAGGCCCTGACAATTCACAAGAGTAGGGATGGAATCAGTGGGAGTTTTCTGACCACATCCAGGTCAGGGTCAGACTATCGAGCGGGTCCGGGTGGACTTGAGGAAGATCTTTGAAAGTGGTGAGCTGATTCTATCAGGGCGCTATCACAAACTCTGATGATACAAGGTCAAACCTACGTCGCGCTCTCCCGTGCCGTTAGCTTGGACACACTCGAAGTAAGGAATTTCAGTATGAACAAGTTGAGACTCTAGTTTCAAGGCCATGTTCGTATGCTTACACAATGGTAATAGGATCCAGGTCCACGACAGGGTGCTCAAGTGGGCGTCGACTTTTGAGACGGATAAAGTCGAGATGGCCAAGCTGGAGGACGATGCAAAGTAGGGACACGAGCCATCTTCCGACCTCGTGGCGGAGGCAGAAGACATGGAGTGATAGAGCGGTACTAGGATAGATCCGCATGATAATTGACGATCTGGATACGACATATGATGATTATAATGGACTACTCATGCCTCTACACGTAACAATCATACCATGCATTGTATATACAATTGTCCTAGTAAGGTGGCCTCTACTCTTCGCTCTTGCCGTCGCCACGTCCATCGGACCGGCTGAAACCGGTGACGGAATTGAAACGAAAGACTTGCACAGCCTGTTTTGAAGTATTACCATTTCAACCATTACTACATTCCTCGACCTTATCTTTCAGAACAGTCATCGAGAAGTCTACTCCCAGAAACTGTACTGAATATGTCCCTACGCGATGCAGCATGCTACTCGCTCACCCTCGTGCCCTCACTAGCAGACCCCAAGGTCCTCGAGCTAGTCGAAAACTACAATGGTCCGACGGACGGTCCCCGAGCTCAAACTCCCCGGTTCGCGAGGGTGAAAGAACAGCCAAGGGATAAAGAAGTATACTCAGCGGCTATTTACGGTGAGTCGAACTTATGCAGGCCATCTCTGATGTGCAGACTACCTGAGCGGTGCGAAACTCGCTTCCATGGGTATGGAGAGTACAAAAAGCAAAAGCAAGAGTTTACAGCTTCATGGCCCAGACGAGGACATATCATTCGAGTTCACCGGCAAGATGTACGTCTATCCCTGAGAGATACGAACTGACGAGCTCAGCAATTTTGTGAGGTTTCTACCTACCATGCATCTGGCTCAACGGCTGACTTTCAGCAGGAATGGACTTTTACATTCGAAGGGTGTGTATGGCATGCGTGCATTCCTTGACATAGTCCTAATGAGCGTTCAGGAACAAATTCCGCTGGACTCGGTCTTTCTCCCGCGGATCCGAATACATATGCTCGCTTGATCGAAAGCCTGATCCTAGAGTCGAGATCTGCCTGTAAGCTGGGTCCTTGCATCCATAGTAACGAATGTGATGGCTGATACTCGACTGCAGGGCAAAAGAAGCGGACAAGAAAGAGCCTGCACGACTCCAGATCCTCCATTACAATATCGATCGATTTCCGGATGAGATCAAGGATCTTCGTGGGCTAGAGACATTGCTAACAGCGACGTAAGCGATATCAAAACCCAACGAGTAAATAAGCTCACAAAACCGCGCAGATTCATGTCATTCCTCGACGATATGGACAGTCGGAATCAGCGCAATTCACTTTCACCTGCTCCGGATGCTTCTATCGTCCCTGGGGCATCTGTCTTTGGTCAGAAGACAGGATCCTCGGCATCAGGCCAGACACTTAATGCCCCACAGCGAGTCATCAGCGAGGACGATTTCGAACCGGTCAGCCTTGACTCGAGCTGTCAACGCTATAGTCCCCTCTCGCTGATCTTGAATTCAGGAGAACCCAAACGAGATTCTCGTCAGTCTCAATTCCAGTATCGATGAGCATGTATCTCGTGCTGTATGGCTGCTAGAGGTAAGAGAGCGCAATGTATGTTTACCAGACCAGGTACTGATGAGTGCAGGACCCCCATGTCCTATTCATCGTGATCCGTACACGCGCGTCCGAAGCAACGCAGCGGGCTCTGGAAGTGTCTCTAGGCGTAACAAGGTGAGTCAAGGCTGTGTGATGTGTCTGATGACCATCAGATTCCGTCATCGCGAGGGTCTGGACGAGCTGAAACAGTATGTTATTGAGGAGGAGCCTACGAAATCGCCAAGCCCCACGTCGATTTCATCCCTCGGACGCGGTCCTCCCAAACCAATTTCTTTAGACGATCCTCCGTGAGTCTTCCTCCTCTTGCACAATTGCACAATCGCGGCTGAAACACTCCTCTCAGCCCCAAGATCGAAACTTTGACTGTTCAGGACTCGACCTCCGGCACTGTAAAAAGGGTCAAATCCGCCAGTTGGTCTGCACCCAATATTGCGATCTATTTGTCCAAGATTGATCTCCCAGATCTTGCACCTGGTCGCAGAGGACTTCAAAAAGCAAGATCGGACCTGGACACCGGAAATCAACCGCCAGCTTCGTCATCCGGGAGGGAAATGACTAAGCTGCCACCGCCACCAACGCCAACTGCCCCCGGACCCGATCGTTCTCCGATCCCTCTGCCACCGCGTGGACAACAGACTCAGCCACCTACATCTGGCGTAGCGGTTCCAGTACCTGGGAGGCACGGGAAAGACTCATCGCTCAAGAATCTGCTCAGAGCAGCTGCGGGGTCAAGGTGATGATAGTCTGGCCAAAAAATACGTACTCCGCGATGGCGGAACCTGCATGTGAGAGCAAACGACGACTAGTGTTGTTGTCTATGCTACAGATCTAGAATACTGCCAGAGAGAACGAGGAGAGAAACCAGAAAACAGAGTGAATGGGGCCTTTTTTGGTCGAAAGGAAGAAAATTATGTTGAGAGTAGGACATGCGCCATCCAAACCGCCTTCGGATGTCGCAATGCCCCAATGCTACGCCCTGCTCCACCCATTCCGCCTTACATGAGACCTGTCGTGATCGTTGACATTTCCGCTGTACCTCCGTCTCAGTCCTCCTCGTCGCCCCCTTCGGGTCCTCCATCAGGGTACAACTTTAAGAACCAAGCTTTGGCGATTCTATATTCCAGCTCGGCATTTCTCAACAGGTCTTTGATCCGTTTCAGTGCGTCCTCGGAAGTGATGTTTTCGTCTCGAACTTCATCCCGCATCTTTCCATTGTTCTGGATGGTTTCGCAGATCGCTTGAACTTTGAATACGCCAAGAGCAGCAGAGGATCCCTTGAGGAAATGACCCAGCGAAGATAGCTGTTCGAGATTCTTCTCAGAGCTTGTGGGAGACTGAGTCAGATTACACTCCATCGCAGAGATCAACCCTCACATTGCTCTCCGCATCTCCCCGAATGTCTGCTCTGCCTGATCAAAGAAACCGAAAACAATTCCGGCTGAGAACAACTCTGGGTCATCCGGATCGTCCATCTCGCGAATCTGGCTGAATGTCTCCTCGTCAATGATCCCGTCCGATGTCTTTGGAGCCGGTGGGAGATCCGCCTGAAGATGCCGAATCGCCGGATAGCATCGTATCGTCGACGCCAACGGATGTCCATGCGCCGCGGCAAGTGCGTAGTATGAAACGCGCGGGGAGGGGGTCAGTGGGCGCGCCAGGACATGGTATGATTAATTGTCGGTCGCGATGGCCAAATAACAGGGATGTTATGGTCATTTGATCGAGATTCCGAAGACAAGAGCGCGAAGAGATCGGAGCAATCACACATCGAGGGTCGTGTGCGAGCAACAAGGAATGTGAAAACGCGATCATCAGCCCGTATCGTACAACGAAGAAATGTTTGCGCACCTCTGCAAAGCTGATCTCATCCTCCTCATCCGCGTCACCCTCACCCTCGGCATCGTTTGTGACCTTGGACTTCTCTGTCTCTGAGGGGTGTGGGGGAACAGACGTGCTAGCCTCTGACGATGCATCTCTGGTTTTAGATCCAGCTGCGGCATCGGGTAGCCCAGACGCAGGTGTCACATTAGGTGTCGACGAGTCATCCCGAGTCTTTCCAAGAGGTGTTGTTGCTGTTGCGGATGTCATGGTGAAGAGTAGAGTGAGGAATCAAAAGATTGCAAAGGATTGAGGGGGGTTTGAATGGGATGTGTAGCGGAATCCGAAATTCCGCGTCAATGCGTCGACGTGTATAGTCGCACTGAGGGCTGTCTGCCGAGCCAGGGGGTAATTGAATCCGCACACGGCTGCTATGGATCGTGAACGTCGCTCTTCAGGTGTACGCAGCTGCACGACGAGCGCTGGAGCAGCTTACTACAGGCTAAATGAGGAGGAAGAATGCGAGAGAAGGGGGGTTGGAAGAGGGAGGGTGATGAGGCGCTTTGGGGTCTTTTGATGTCATCAGCAGCACAGCCGTCACGCCTATTTTTCCAAAATAGGCACCAATCGGCGTCGAGACGCAGACGGAAGCGGGTCAGTCTGCTGCGTGTCAAGCTAGCAAGCGTTCAACATTGATTCTTACACCATACGTCGTCAAATCCCAAAGTAAAGTGCAGCAGTCACTTCGATCAGAAAGCATCTCGTCCTTAACCTCTGTCAGGACAGCACAACACAAGCTGGTTTGACTCCGTGACGCTCTGAACGCCTTCAGCAGGCCCCTCAACCCGCCCCCTTTGTCCTGACTGCCTCGTTCACTTCCTCTGCAATGTTCGAATTCATTGTGACGCTCATTGTAGCGTCGCTCATGATGATCGGCCTGATGGCTCTGATGGTGGGTATGACGATGCCCTTCCAAGGTGCTTTAGTGAGGCTCAGATCCAATTATAATCCTCGAGCCGTTGGGTTGGAGGGGACAGAAAATAGAGTGGGACCGACCTTGACGACGCTGTTTGGGACTTTGAAAAGGACGAAGAGGCTAGAAGGGTGGTATGGGCTGTACAAGGGTGAGTCGATCTACACAGTAATCCCTCTGCCACAGGAAAACCTTTTTGACACAGTACCCAGGCGCCGCCCCAATGACCTTGTACGTCACGCTCATCTCAATCTTTTCGATCATCTTTGTCGGCGGATCATCCACACGCGGCCCTAAGGGCACATACTCTGTTCCAGAAGCTGGCGGAATCCGTATGGCACTCTTCACCATTGTCTTGACTTTGATCAGTCTCCCCATGACAATCATCATCAACCGGTAGGTATAATCTCAACGATTTCCGCTGACTTGACAGGTCTATCATCACGCCGTATAGACTGCCCAATAACCCTAGAGCATCACTCAAGATCCTTCTGTCCTCTTACGAGCTATCATCTCCCGTCAGACTCTACTTGACCCCGGGTTTGCTCGCCACTACCTCCGTCCATTCTCTCTGCGTCACATTGCTCGCACGCACAATGCGCGTGACTCTTTTAGGGATCTCATCTCTCGAGGATGCAGAAGACGTCAAAATTTCAGCTTGGCGATGGATTCTTTTCCTCCTCTTCCAAGGTCTAGCCACAGGTTACCTGGCACCCCTCGAAGTCGTCGCTACGCGATTGAGTATTCAGCCCAACAATGCCACTTTCACAACCGTCTCCGCGACGGAAGGTGCAGACGGTGACGACATACCAGACGGAGTCACATATGCCGGCACAGATGAGGATGTCATTGGCTTGAGACCTACGACAGACCCATATGAGGGGATGGTGGATTGTGCCAGGAAATTGATCGACGAAGAAGGATGGCAGAGCCTGTATAGAGGTTGGTGGTGGACGATGGGAAGTAACGTCATGTCAGTATTTACCGTGTAAAGGAGACACAGATGAGGAGTATCAACGAAAAATGTACATGCATGGATGAGCTACAGAGTCAATGACAGCCGAGATCTCGGGTCTTTTATCGTTGTTTCTTTGCTGAGGCGAATCTTTCAACTCTGTGCAATCTTCACCTTTCCATACGTTCTCTTACGTCGACATGACCACGGAAGAAGTTTCCACTCCAGTAGCTCCTATTCAGCCCTTACCATCGCTTCCTCACCCATCAGGACTGCTGGGTACATCCTCCACTGCATACCTAACCTTGAACGAATCCCGCCAAGGAAGAGAGAGTTTAGACAAATTTAAGCAGACATTGCTTGATGGTGGTGCAGGTATGTCGTCCCCACACACAGAGGAATACCACTGACACTCGTATCAAGGTTACAATCTAGATCCTCCTGGTCCTTCACATCTCCCACCACTGCCTTCCATCCCCATCCCTCCCAAACGTCATTCCAAACCTAGCACCTCACTTCCTTCGAAGACTCCTCGTCCGATATCTAGACCTCGCATACCGGATGAATCCCCTTTCGCTAATGCTTCGACAGTCGGAGACTGTATCGATGCATATGGCTCTAGCTCGGTAGTGGTCCAAAATGCGACGTTACTGGTCGATCTAAGCTCATATGGTTCCGCATGGATATTTCTGAAGCAATTGCCTGGTCCAGGGGACGAGTCAAAGCTTCAAGTGGAGTGTGTCAAGCTGTATACAGGCTCCGATCCGAATGTGAGCGCCCACCATATGTCGTTTGACCTGACTTGTCTAGCCGCCCCCGTTGCATTCCTTCTCCATTGAACCACCAAGACGAGCCCTCGGTCGGAGTCTGACCAATCTACGTTTATCACTTCCCGAGCTGCTTGTGAGTCCATCTTGTCGCACCAGCTGATACCACAGTGGCGACTGAAAGCTCTACAAGAAATTGCAGACCATCCTTGTCTCTTCTGCAACAGGCGGCTCCACCCTCATGACGGTATACCGATACAGACCGGCTGGATACCACCACAACATGAATCTGGGACAGGGTCTCCGTCCGAAGTACAAGATATCAAGATGGAGGGTGACGGCAAATGGGTCCACTGGCATCCATCTTGCCAACCTGCGTAGCAGCTCACTCGCGCGTCATGCATAACGACCTTCCGCTACACACGCTTGAATCCCGGTGGGAAGACCTGCCTTGCATTGATGTTGATCCTTCCACCGTGAATCCACCGTTTCGCCGCGGATAAAGCGACAGAGTCTTTCTCGGACGGCTCAAAATGACTGGGCAGCGTGCCTTCCATGATTCGTGGAACCCCTGGTAGTAGGTTCAGGGAAAATTCATTCCTGGGATACCCACCATGATAGTTCTGCCTGCCCGTCCCTGACATGACGAGGACATCGCCAGATCGAAGAATGATAGGTAAAGGCTGGTCATCCCTAGACGAAGTGCCGAGGAGAAAGACACAAGCGTGACCGAGCCTGGATTTGAGCGCTGGATCTGCGATTGACGACCTACGAGACAGAAACTAGAGGTCTTGATGGGTCAAGTCTGCCAAAAAAGTCAGACTAAGTCGCGAATTCGATTTCCTCGCCTCACTCTGCTCGATCAACATGTGCCATCAAGGTGTCATTCGTCTGATAAAAGTTTACGATACCGGTATCGGGGACTGGCGTGAGCTATGAATTAAGAACAGTCACATACCATAATCGTTGACCCAGGCCTTGTGGCCGACGTTTGAGTCTGCGCTAAGGACATGATCCCATGGAACGCTCTTTACGACCTCGACGCACAACGTGGAGAGATTCGGCGGAAATGTAATGGGACTATCAGGGCGAAAGTCGTATGACTTGACAGACCACTACAGGCATCAGCTTCAGTGGTCCCGTCACAGACCTACCTGATATACCCAACCAAGATTAGCCCACCTCATTTCCTTCATGAGTTCCCCGGCGGTCTTGCTCCCGAGCTTTTCGCTAGGCGGATCCGCTGTCCACTGTCGATTTTTCGACAATATCTCTTCATATCCAACTACATGGCCTGCGGGTGTATCGACCGTCTTCCTGCCTATCCACCTCTCCGCAGGCTTTTCTTTACCTGTCGATTCAGGAGTTTCCGCGCAGGGTGCAAGGGTTGGGATGAGTTCTTTAGACTCATTGGCATACATTTCAAAGAGGTTTGGTGGCAGGTCGTAATGCGTCGATATACTCAACGGATTTGGAGGAAGTGTGTATTGTGAGAGAGCGGCTTCCAGCAGGTCGAGCTGAGCCTCATTGTCTAGATATCCAGGTAAGAGGATACAACCTTTGCATCAGCTCCTGGTCTGAGAGAGCAGGCCTCACCCTCAGATACCACGTAGCCCGTCTTCGATCCACATCTCACCTCCCTCGGCACTTCTGAAAGCTCTGGCCTCTTGCCTTTATCCCGTTGAAATCGCCTTCTCACATTCTGTTGCTCAGCACCCCACCAACTCGCCTGCCACACGGGATCGTCCTCCTGCCTGTCCGGTCGCGAAACGTCCAGTGCAGCTCGAGATGCCTCACAAGCGTAAAGCGTAGGTAATCGAGATTGCGAAGACCGATTCTTGAAGTGTTTCTCGGTCTTTCTAAAGGCTGTATATGAGGTCGAAGGACCGGCGTCCGAGGCGTCGACCATGGTGAACGAAGTCGCAAAGATTAGTACTAGTAGGCCAAGCGATGATCTTTTTGCTCTAGCTTTCTCACGGTGACCGACTCGTGTCGGCTTTTCCGCATCGTCGGCCCGCACTTTGCGGAGGGGGGGGGGGGGACGTCGGGCGAAGTGTGAAAGTGAGTGGGTCTCGCAGCCATCGCCTTGAGCATACATCATTGCACGAATTTGTGATACATAGTGGCAGATAACCAGCACACAGCATGAGCAGCAATCAGATCCTCGCTCCCAAAGTCGAGAAGCCGTCCGACAGAGCTTGGTGGAAGTCCGCGACCGTATACCAAGGTGGGTGATGCAGTACCATGCAAGCAGCTGACTTTTCCCAGTTTATCCGGTTGGTTTGGATGCTCACAGCCCGATATCCACTGACCTTTCTAGGCATCGTTCTGTGATCATGGATCATCTGGATTCGGGACCATCAAGGGAATCACAAGCAAAGTGCCCTACCTCAAGGACCTCGGCGTGGATATTCTTTGGCTCTCGCCAATCTATCAATCGCCCTTGGCAGATATGGGGTACGACATAAGTGACTATCAAGCGTTGGACAAGCGATATGGAACGCTTGATGACTGGAAAGAGCTGCGAGATGAACTCCACAAACGAGGCATGAAACTCGTCATGGACCTCGTTGTGAATCACACCTCGGATGAGGTAGGATCAGTCCATATGATCCATGGCTGATCAGTAGCATGCGTGGTTCAAAGAGTCGAAGAGCTCAATTGACAACTCAAAAAGGGATTGGTATATTTGGCAACCGTCCAAAGTCAATGAGAAAGGTGAGAAGAAACCGCCTAATAACTGGAAGTCAATCTTTGGAGCGTGAGTCCAAATCTGTCGCCGGTCAATCTCACCCTCTCAGTGGACCAGCTTGGGAGTATGACGAGACCACAGACCAGTGGTACTGTCACACTTTTCTCAAAGAGCAGCCCGATTTGAACTGGGAAAATCCGACGGTCAGAAAGGCTATATGGGATATGATGCATTGGTGGATGAAGCAGGGCTGCGATGGGTTCCGAATGGATGTCGTAAGTGCAGATCTGACAGCGTTCTCTGACACCAAAGATCAACTTCACTTCCAAAGCGCCGGGCTTCCCTGATGCTCCTATTGTCGATCCCAGCAGGGAATACCAGCCGTTTGGAAACTTATCCATCAACCGGCCACGGGTGCATGATTTCCTGAAGGAAATGTACAAGGAGGTGTTGGAGCAATACGACTTGTTCTGGTGAGCGACCTCTTAGAAATGCACAATTGACCTCCAAAGCGTGGGTGAATGCCCTGGTGATGAGCCTGTTTCTGCATTCGCGCCATACTCCATTCCTAGTAACAAGGAACTGCAGATGGTATTCCACTTCCATCAGTGAGCTGCGGCACGCTGGCTTTTTTAACCTTCGCAGCCAAGGGTTCGACCGTGGACGAGGGGGCTTTGGACGAACGGCCAATTTCGACTGGAAGCTTTCAGATTTCAAGAAGGTCTTCAACCACTGGCAGGTCGAGATGGAGAAGGAGGGTGGATGGAATTCCAACTAGTGGGTGTCACATCACATAAAAGCTGATTGCCAGTCTGGAAAACCATGATCAACCCCGCACAATCTCACGTATTGCCTCTGACCATCCCGAGGACCGCGCCAAATCTGCCAAGCTATTGAGCATGTTCCATTGTTCCCTCGGCGGCACTATCTTCATCTACCAAGGGCAGGAATGGGGTCTCTGCAACGTGCCCAGATCTTGGGGTGAAGAAGAATACAAAGATATTGAGACGATCCAAGAGATTGAGGGCGAACGTCAACACAGAAAAAAAGCAACTGGAGAGGCGAATCCAGACGTCAGCGATGTGTTGAAATACATGCGACAGACGGCGCGGGATAACGGAAGGACGCCGATGCAGGTGAGATCAGTGTCGTGCAGGCCTTTGCTGACTATAAGTGGGATGACTCGGACAACGCCGGCTTCTCCAAAGGAACGCCTTGGATGCGAGTACATGATGATTATAAAGAGTGGAACGTTTCTGCTCAATCGAAGGACGATGCATCTGTCCTGGCTTTCTGGAAGAAGATGCTCCGGATCCGCAAGCAGTACGAGGCTTTGATTTATGGTGGGTGTGCAGCGTTGGCAACTGGCTGATGCGATTTTTAGGCATCTTTGTTCCCATTGATGAAGACAACGAATCTACCTATGCCTACGTCCGGGATGACAAGACGAAGAACGAAAAGTTGTTGGTCATTCTCAACATGGCCCGGGGCACTGGACGCGGCGAAAAATCCACATTCAACATCCCAAAGGATATTGACGTGTCCAAGGCCAAGCTTCTCATCAGCAACGGATCTGAGGCAGAGGGCTCTAGTTTGGCATCAGATGTACTAGACCTTGAGCCATTCGAGGGCAGAATTTATTTGCTGTGAGCGGTTATCGAAATGCATGCGTGAGGTGTTCTTTGAATTCATGTACCAATCCGACGCGACTGATTTTGTGAGACATCTGACAGCCATATTGTCTTTGATTTGGTGTCAACAACATAATCTTGTTGCATGTCTCCGCAACTACCATGAACGCGTACAAAGTCTACCATGAATTGCGTCGATGAAGGACTACGGCGCCGCTCCCCCAACCCGAATTCTCCAGTGGCCACTTCCCCTGTCCCAAGCGCTCATTCGGAGCCCGCTGGGACGAGGTCAAATGCCGGCAGTAATTCCGAAGCATTCGCCCGACTTCCCACCATCCGGCTCGTCAGACCAACTTCTATCCCTTCTCTCGCAGCGACTCCCCAAATAAGATCCCAGTCCGATGATGGTGGTCGGCAGAGCCTTCGTCCTCCTGTATCCACTTCGGTTCGCCGGAGTGAAAGTACTCCAGATCCTGGCTCTTACCCGAGTCGGTACACATGGGCACAAAGCTCAACGACATCTCGATTGAACCAGCCTGTCCCGCCGCTGCCCTTAAACATTGCGAAGCTGGTCCAAGATGCTGATGTCGACGAGCCGACGACATTGAAGCCGGCCAAAAGCATCGCTAGCAGTCATTTCACGCTTAGAAATCCGTTCGTTTGGAACAGCGGGAGACCCATAGACGATGGTGCACAGGGGAAGGAACGACAGCCCACGAGACTCTTACGGTCTCTCAGAGCTCCAAATATGATGTCCAAGTGGACTTTTGAAACTGCTAGTCAGACCTCGCAATCGCTCCTACGAAAAGCAAGGCATCTCGGAGCAGGGGAGAAAAGGGCTGAGACCGAGGCTTTCGAAACAAACCATGGCGCACCAGGATCAACTGGCAAGGATACAACAGCATATCTTCGACACGTCGCCAAGTTTCCAATGTCCAACGTCGGTGGGAGAGATGAAGAGTGGACATTATTTAAGTGGATATTGCTAGTCTCCATCCTGAGTGTAAATCAGCAGACGAACGAGGAGATTGTAGCTCATTTACGCAGGTGCTCATATATGGGCTGGCAGGCATGTGCTGGGCGATGCTCATCGTCTTGCGCAGTGAGCAAGAGTGGACTTGGACTGGGCTGATGATTTCAGTAAAAGCCGACAGCAGCGTGACGATGGTGTCTGATCCAGACATTGTCATCTGTACGTCTCGACCGAATTTACCCCTCGCTGATCCTCAGTCCTCACGCTGGCTTCTGTTCTCTGCATCTTCTCGTTTTTGGTGGGGCTGACAGGCATCTTGCTAAATTCTCGACCCATACTCGCCTTTTACAACCTCCTCCTCTGGCCTACTTTCCTTTCCATGGCCATTGTGGGGTATACGGCATACAAGAGAGGAAACCTCCAACTCGATAGGAAATTAAACCAAGCTTGGAGTCGAGCCTTCTCGGACAAAGATCGGTTGACAATTCAAAACGAGCTTTCATGTTGTGGCTACTACACCCCGTACCGTGAGTCCAGCTTTCTCGGAATGCCACTCTCATCCTCCCAGACGACGCGGCGTACTCTCAGCAATGTTATCCAAGAGCTCAATTACCAGGCTGCAAGTTGCCGTGGGCAGCCTACGAAGCTCAATCTCTACGTGGATTCTCAGACATGGCTTTCAGTATTCTCGCTTTCCACCTACTGAATATCATCGTCGCGTTGATCTGTTCAAACCATGTGGATGTGTAAGTTCGTCTCTAGTATCTTGTCTCAAACACTGCAGGACATTCGGTAGAGGTCTTGTACCCCCTCGATACCGTCGCCAAGCTACCATGGTGCACATGTCAACAACGCCCATGATGGCAAGATCGGTGTCGACACTGCCACTGTACACCGCGCTGTCGAGACCACCCTCGTACAACGGTAGGATAGCAGACAGACTCAGGTGAAAGATCCCTATACATGTTGCCATTCACTCCCGTAAACGAAACCGATATACATACTTTGTCGTGCTATTCTCTCGTCGTCACGCCCCTTTCGCGACGATAATTTTCGTCCGCATCGTGCTCAACAAATGTGGTTGCAAAGTTTCTCGCGGGGATTTTGCGCTCAAAGAGGATATCGAGCTCGTAGTACGACCGTCCCTAGGATGGATCATCAGCACATGTCATGTCCAACACAGTGCCGCAAATCGCAAATCCACCTTCATCTCGGGCAGACGGAAGTATGCCCATAAGAAGCAGAGCGCGCAGATAGGTCCCCAGAAAAACCCGATCTTGCCTGTTGAGGGCATGAGCTCAGCGAGTACAAGAAGTCGATGGCTCACCCTTCCAGCCCCACTCCGTAGGGTTAAGCATGTAAGGCATCATGACACCGAAAGCAACTATATTGAGATGAGCAACAAAGCCTGACTGTGCGGGCCGCCCCAGAGCAGCGGCCCAGCCACTTGGGTTGTCCAAGACTCACCAGAAAAGACATTATAACTTGCCCGTGAGAGTGCGACGGTCTTGTTCCTCAACCTCGTGGCAGACGTCTCTCCGACAATGGCGTAGGCCAGAGGACCGACCGTCAAGTCATATGTGAACAGCCAAACAACCATCAGGCCTAAAAATGGGTGAGCCAGACTCGGCAAGTCGTGACATACCAGCCTGGCCCCATCTCGCGCCATTGTCACCATGATCCGCTGCTACGGATAATCCGCCAATGAGAAATTGTCCTACTGCAAGACAACCAAGACCCGTAACGAAGATCTCCCGCCGACCAATGTGAGAGATCAAAACCCAACTGAGACAAGTGCCCACAAAGGCAGCAGAGTAGAGTCCAATAGTCATATCGAAGCTGTAAAGGGTGGAAAGGCCGGCTTCTTCAAAGAAATAGGTCGAGTAGTTGGCAAATTGAAGGCCGCAGAGGATCTGAGAGGTCCAAGTGACGACAGAGATCTCCGTACGGCGTCTGGGGGATATTTGCTCAGATGTGCCACATCCTGCGGGGAGTTCCCACTCACCGGTCTGTTCCCTTGAACAATGCGAGCCAATTTGTGTTTGCGGAACTGGCATCGATCTCAAGTTGATTGGTTCTGACCATGGCAGATACTGAGTCTTTGGCTTGGTCCTTCTCTTGGGCTGGAGCGAGTCTTCGAACCGATCGCTCGGCCTCCTCAAGCCGTCCTTTACGGACGAGCCACCACGGCGATTCAGGTGCGAACAAGAGTATGACAAACAGAGGAATTGGCCAGGCCCACTGAACAGCGAATGGCATTCTGAAAGCCCAGATACCGTCCATGGCTGCTGCTTTACGAAGGATGCCAGCGCCGACGAGGTGGCCTGAAAAGGTCGATCAGCATTTTTCTTTGGATAAATCATGACCGGGTGCCACTTGCCAATGACCCAGCATAGATTGACGAATCTGAGCCAGTCAGCTCATACTTTTGAGTCGTGACTCACGTCGTCAGGTATCCTCTGAGTGACAATGGGCAGACCTCTGATGCGTAGGCTTCGGCAAGCGTTGAGAACGCTCCCCATGGAATACCACAGAGGATCTCGCCAGCGAGCAAAGCTCCCTTGTTCGGCGCAAACGTTACGAGTCCGATGAGAGGAATGAGGAAGGCCAAGTTGCCGAGGATGGTCTTCTTGTAACCCCATCTGTCGACCTCTAAAGCGGCAAGGTAGACTCCGAAAAAAGATCCGATATTGGCCCCTTGTTGCAGACCCGCCTGCCACGGTGCTGGAATCTGCCAACCCGCTTTGCCTCCGTAATTGTGACCAAACTGAAGTCAGCGAGGCCTCTGCAATCCGGCTCTCACGTGTTCCTTGAAGGACTGAGGGCCAAAGTCAGCGCATGATTTGACTCTAGGCGTGGACTCACTGGAAGTCCGAACAGAGACCCTAAAAGAAGCGTGTCATACCTGATGTCAGCCTTTGACTTCGCGGTACCATTCCTCACCCTTCCATAACGATGCAGAAGGATGCCACAATGGACCAGAACACGGCGGACTTGTAGATCCGTAGTGATTGCGCGAGCGTCAGGCTATGTTGATAGTCCTCATCGCGCTCTGCTTCTGCCTTGACAGAAGACCATTTAAGAGCATTCTGAGCCTCCCCATCCAGGGACTCCACATAGTGGCGATCAACCTTATGTTCCATGTCGCCGTGCTCAGGTTGAGCAGAAAAGACCTCGGACATGGTTAGACCTTGGGCTGTGTCCACCACTGGACTTTGGGGATTGGAAAGAATGGACGGACAGGGTCAGGAGCCCAAAGATGTCAGTTCCCCCTACACGGTTCTCTGGTCGCAGCATCCCTCCCTGCCTGGATGAGATGATGTATTTTTGGCTGGGAAATTCAAACCCGAAAAATGGCGTGCTTGGCTCAAACGTAATTGATGACACCGGTGACTAAGCCGGTGAGGGTCATCCCAGGTAGCAGAGCGCATTTGTCATATGTATACTTAAGCCTTGGTGGCGGTCACTGAGCCGTGCGTCAACCTCATCGCACTCATTATAGTTCGAGGCATTGGGGTGGACTGCATGAAGGCAGCTCGGCCTATCCAGTCAATACAACATGCATTCTCAAAAACTACCTATCACCAGGCCTTGCCCTCCTGAGCAAGACCATGCTTTCGATTCACACTCTTTGGGTCAAAGTACGGTACTTCGCCGATTGAGCTCGCTCGTTCTCCCGCTCGCTCCTCTTCATAGTCAAACGTAGCGCTGACTGGTCAGTTCAGTGCTGGTAAGACGGTCCTCACCAATGCCATGTACACCTATTGTCCCAAATAGCCACGGATCCCTTGCCCCATCGGAATCTGCATTGGATATCGTGATTTTGGAATCCAGCACGGTTGATATAGTCAAAGATCATGTCGTGTTCATCCTTCGTGACACCGAGGATGCGCTTAGTGAACCCTTTGTTGAGATATATGCTTCGCCATCCAGTAACAGCTGTTCAGATGAGCTTGAGGAATAGTCGATCACAACGTACGATTTGTTCGGACGACTGGGTGCACGGCAGTCAAGTGGTCCCCTTTATTCAGAGGATGACCTCGCTCCCTCTCTGGTCGAATCTTGATACCCAGTCTCCTGGCTTCGTCGTGGAAGAACTCGGCCGAGTGCTCAGCTTCCAAGGTACTCAGATACTCCTGAAACGAAGGGGACATCTTGTCTAAGAGATCATAGGTATTGATCCACATGGTATCCCCACCCGTAGGTGGAAGCGTGTTGATCTTGAGCATGGAGTAATCCCTGCCAAATCAGCCATGTCTGCCGGAACCCACTCACGCAGGGACATTCTCAAAGCTGATATCCGTATGGAAAGCCTGACTAGCCCATCGAGAGACGTCATCGTAAAATCTTGAGATTCCTCCAGATTTTCGCTGTCGAGATGCTGAAATGTCCGTCGTCTTGGGATTTCCTCCGACCATAATCTCAGGCGCAGTATCTGATTCGAGGGGATGAATGGAGAGAGTTGATTCCCTCGGTCTTTGGGTCGCGTCAGCCAACCGCTTGGACAGCTCCATCATGTCTTCGCTGGAGATGTTCTGATCCCTGAGGAATACGACACCGCGGCGACTGACTGGTCTGGTCAACGACTGACACCATGGTTAGTCACCCACTAAGAACAGCGAGGTCCGCGAGGAGTGCATCAGAGTTCGGAGCCTTCAGCAGATCGGTCAATTGCAGATCCTTGAACTCTCTGCCCAGCGAAGGTGTGAGCTCGAAACTCTGACTCGTAAGCTGCTAGTCGTCTTTCCTGCTCACCTCGTACTTGTCCAGCAGACCCTGATACTGCATCGGCGCAGTCAAGCGAGATCGACCAGACGAAGCTTCCGAGGGAGGAGACGATCCACGGAGTTTCAGAGTAGCATTTCGCTCCTCATTGGTTGGAGATGTGACAGTCTGAGTGGCTATGGGGGGCATGATGATGTCTTCTAGTAGTGGATGGTTTCAATGGATTAGTCGTCAATCGAATGGAGTTTTGGAGAGAGAAGCTAATGAACTGCTTCGACCCGGAGTTACACCGGAAAGATGCCGAATTTTTCGGATGGCGTCATCTCGGTTCAATCCGAAACCCGACAGACAATTGGAAATCACCACTCAGGTGTTGGCGAGTAGCTTTTGTTGCATGATACGTGGTACGAGCGCGGCGCTCGATATAAGCGTTGCAGACTACTCATGAGGCCAGCCGTCTTCTCTGCGCTCAAGCATGGAGTCACTGGGATGACACTCGTTGAGTCCGTCCTTTCCACCGAGAACGACATTGTTGCAGACATACCGAAGCTCTGGATGATCTGTGGCGCCGGGGATTAGGTGCATGTCCCTAAAGGTGAAATTTCGGCAGGGGTGCTGGGCTGGACAGTCGAGCCATATCAGTCTGTTATATTTTGACATTGCAGTGATGTTACGGAAATGAAGGTCGGACCATCTGCGGGGAAGTCAGTATGAACCGAAAAAATTTAGCCTACTCGAAGTTGCCAGGGCTTAGAGTTACATTCGATAGATAGGTTAGACTGAAGTCAGCCGAAATATAGACAGTGCGCCCACGTCGACTGCAAGACTATAGGACGTATGATGCCTTCCATGTAAATATCCTTGAAGGTGATGTTATGAGCGTAGCCTAAGCCACCTCCGCCTCCATTGGGGGGAGTGCCATGTGTCTCGCTGCGCTTCAGGACGGACTCGAAAATGGCCACTCACGCTCCCCATGCTTTGAGAAGCAACCCTTGGAACAAGGCACACTGGTTAGAGGGTGCTGGCAGGAGTTTTACGTCTTCAATCCAGACATCTTCAATGATATCGGTCTAGATGGTCAGACATACTCTCAAAGGGGAATTCTCACCACTCCGGGGTATTGCGCTAAGGATCCGATGGCGATGCCTGTACCACCCACGCAGGTGATGTTGCGGAAAGTTATAGCAGTACTGTTTGCTTTGAGTGCGAGACAATCATCGCCTCCTTGGTACACGAAGTTTTCTACAGTACTTTTCAGCCAGGGAAACCGAACCGCACACTCACCGACTGTGACATTGTCTGCGTTGTATGTGTCGAGACCATCCGTGTTTTGTAGCCTGATCCGATGAGCAGATGATTTTCGGGCAATCTCACCAGCTCTTTCCGTCTGGTTCCTCCCAAGACTATCGTCAGCTTTTGCCTGAACTTAAGTCTCACCTCTGGATTATAGCTCGTAGCATTCACATAGACATTCTTGAGTAGGACATTCCTGCTCCAAGCGACAAGACTGGCCCAGAATTGAGGCTGAATGATGGACCAATTCTTGATCACCACATCATGCGAGTGGCTAATCGCCAAGGACATTGGCCGACCATACTTATTCCCTTCGCGGCGAGCGTCATCGTACCATTTCTGACCTTGTCCATCGATGCCACCGGTATTATGGCCGTCCAGGGTGAAATGGTGCCCGTGGAAGACGAGACCGAGAGACTGATTCTGGAATGGAAACGCTATATGATTGGACTTCCAGTAATCGAGATCATCTGTGAATGTCAAGAAACCATGCACGTTGAGCGTCGAGTGTTCGAGTCGTAAGTCTAGCGGACGCGAGATGATGCTGAGTATCAATAGGTAGCCAGACAGGAGGACATACTATCTGGGATGAGGAAGGTCAATGATACCTCTGGAGCCACACTTGGCAACGGCAAGCTCAAGACCATCGGTATCATCCACCCCAGAAGCCATTAAACGACAGCGCCGAGTTCTCCCTTCCGGGCCATTCACCTCGGTTATGGCTAGGAGATTGTTGGTCGGCTCGAGCCAAGTTGCAACTTCCACGAAGATATTGCTCGCCGATGGTATCCAGCTGGATAACACTGGGGCTGCCCGCAGAATAATCAAGAATACAATCGCGTTGAGCATGATGTATGTATGTATGTATGTATGTATGTATGTATGTATGTATGTATGTATGTATGTATGTATGTATGTATAAACCATCTCTTGAGGAATGCGAGCGTCATATCCTCCTCCCGGGGTAACCCCCACGTTGACTCGGTGAGCACCGGCACCGGACCGCCGAAGCCGGATATGTGATACGGCGATTTTATATGATTTCCGCTTTTCTAAACGTTTTGACTTGTCCATCAACATTAGACTCACCATGAGCTCAACAGTGGGACGTGTATTCGCCTTTGCTTGGGCAGTGTCGCATGCTCTCCAATATGGTCTGGCTATCACTGGTCTGAACGGCATATCAGACGCTGTGACTTGTGCGGATAAACCGGCAGGATATATCCCAACAAAAGGATGGGTCACCCCTTGCGTGCCGATGGACGTGAGTTTTGCTCATCTTTACATGTATCGCTGACTGTCAGTCGACCCGCTTCGGCTTTGTCGTATCGATCTTCACCGTTGGAGGCTTGATCGGCTCTCTATCTTCGGACTATGTCGCCCGTAAGACAGGTCGAATTGGGACCTTCAGAGTCGCCGCTTTCGCCATCCTGATAGGATCAGTTGCGGTGGGCTTGGGTGCTTCAGTCCCAGCCATGCTGTTCGGCCGGTTAGTCAAAGAGGACGGATGTAAATGGCTGATCGTGCAGTGTGGTGATCGGTCTCGGATGTGGGATAGCCACTGCGACTGTTCCTGTTTTCCTCGCCGAAATTGCTCCGCCATCTATCAGACAGGCTCTGGGAATCACCAATCAGCTGTTCATCGTTGTCGGTCTTCTCACTGGACAGGCGTTGTCTCTACCTCTGGCTAAAGAGACCATTTGGAGATGGGTATTCGCCGTGTCATTCTTCCTCGCCATCGCCCAATTGATCGGGAGTCTGTTCGTCAAGACTCCAGGCAGCTCTGACGGTGAGGAGGAGCAACCTCTCCTGCCATCCGAAGAACCCATGAGCATCCGCGAATTGCTCACTTCTCAAGACCCTGTTATCCGCCGGGGACTCGTCGTCGTCATCATCACTCAATTGGCTCAACAAGCCTGTGGTATCAGCCCAGTCATGTACTTTTCCACTCGAATCCTTAAACCAGTCTTCAGTGCCAATTCTCGTATGGTTGCCCTCGCCGTGGTGGCCTGGAAGATTCCACTCACGATTCTCCCTGCGTTCGTGATCGAACGAGCGGGTTCCAAGCCGATCTTATTGGTGTCCTCTGGATTCATGGCCATTTCCGCATTACTTTTGGCCATTGGACTCAATGCCAACTCGGGACCACTTTCCGCCACCTCCATCGTCTCGTTCGTCTCTTTCTTCAGTATCGGTCTCGGACCCGTCGTTTGGGTGGTCCTATCCCAAGTCATGCCTCCTCAAGCCAGAACCGCAGCAGGCGCTATTGGCATCGCTCTGAACTGGACAGCCAATGGATTGATCAGTTCAGCGTTTCTTCCCCTTCAACAGTGGCTAAGTCGCGATGGCAAGTACGAGGGAAATATCTTTTACATCTTTGCAGTATCCTGTACGGTAGTCTTCATTGCCATAAGACAGAGCTACGCAGCCTTTAACAGAGCGAAGACCGCAGACTAGATGCATAAATGTGTGTATTATCGCTCTCTGCCAGGCTGTGTCCCGAGGTACTCAGACCTTCGCTTGCTGAGCTGTACGGGGGTTCAACAATGCGGCCCTTGTCATCCGCCAACTTGGCATTGGACTTTGAGTAGCTTCCCCGACTTCTCCTTGTATTTTGTGACGATTTCCATCCACCACCGCCCTCGAGTAGTCCATCATTTCCATCATCACAGTAGACATCATGAGAGGCATTCACAAACCACGGGGAAATTGCTTCCGGCGGAGGCGGACATGGAGGCCCGAGGTGGGGGGCAGCGCTAGACTATACCACATTTGAACATCCTTTCATCCCTCACAGCATCACATAAAACCACAGGTCGTGAAAGAACAAAGGTCTGCACATCATAGGCTGCCAGGCGAAGAGCTCATCCATCGGTGAATCGCTCTACGTCTCACGCAGTGTAAGGCTTACACCACCTACCTCGGAGAAAGCGGCTCTATCCGGCGTACCGGGCCCCGTTGACCTGTTGGGCAACGCAACGTCAATTCAACCTTGATCGCATCAAAACCCTGGTGGGTATCACAAGTCGCTATGCCTCCTGGATCCATTCCTCAGTCTACTCCAAGATCCCCTGATGGCTCCAATGGAGAGGACGATAGAAAGCAAGCTGGCCGTGAGTCGGAGAAGGCCAACAACAGCGTGCTCTGACGATTCTTCACAGGTGCCTGCGATTATTGTCATCGGATGAAGATGAAGTGTCTGGGTAAAGAGAATCCACCTTGCAATCGATGCAGAGCCTCCGGACATGTGTGTACATTCGATGGCCCGCGCAAGACAAAATCATCCAAGGTCGACGAGTGAGGACAAAGATGTTGCAAGCGAGGCTTTGCTGATTCATGACTAGCCGTCTCAAAGTGGTGGAATCTCAGATGTTGGCCATGTCATCTGCTTTGCAAGAGCTGATCCAGCTACAAAAAGCGTCTCTGACCCCGGCAGCTCCTGGTAAGTCACAAATACGCTTGCACATGCTGATGTCTCAGAGCCAGTATCGACCCGGCCCGCTCGGGGTAGACTGCGAACCGAAGGATCTCCTCGAATCCTTCCTCAGTACCCTCCAAGCAGCACTACCAATACCGATGATGAGCTCGCCAAAAAAGTCCTCAGCTCCCGAGCCATCAGCCCCTGGAACAGTATGGCCAGCCTGGCGGAAGCTGCAAGATTAAAGTACGATGATGGATCCCCTTCGCCAATGAAGAAACGGAAAAACAAACACGACGAATTGCATGAGCTCTCAAAGCGACACTCCTTGACCGGTCATGAGGGACCTAGAGAGCCTCCCGACCCCATTGATCTGGGCATCTGTGACGAGGCAACGGCACGAAGGATGTATGATCTGTGAGCAGACTCGTTGTGAGGCATGCTGATGCCAGGTTCATGGAAAATTGTCTCGTTTACATGCCTTGCTTTGATCCAGTCTTTGATACGTTTGAGAGGTGGGTGTCAAAGTCTGCACAAGTCGAGCTGAACGTAGTCTGCGTCGTCGTTCCGCATTCTGCATTACTGTTTTAGTCATGATTGGGGCCAAGACCACCGACGCTGGCGGACCCATGTCGGAGCTACAACGACGATGCATAGATCATGCCGAAAGGATCGGAATGTCGACTCTGTTCACCCCCATTGCATCGATGGAAACGGTTCAAGCTATGGTAGTCATGGCATCATGGGGTGACACATCTTGGAGACCAGGGGGTCATGCTACGCGAATGGCCATGGACCTCGGATTGTACCGGTGTCTCCCGCTCCTGGTTCAAAGCGGAATGGGCAAGGGAAAGTCGGGCCAAGAATTGAGAGCAGAATGGCCTCTTGTTGAGGGCGCTCGGGTGTGGATGACAGTGAGTCGTCCCGCATTGAAGCCAGACTGACCTTCTAGCTGTACAAACTTGAACAAGAGTGAGTCATGCACCTGTCGCTCGCTCATGACAGAATGGCGTTCAATCTCGGTCGACCGTGTATGATCGGCGGGACCGAATCGATCCAATATTGTCGAGAGCTCCTCAAACATCCCCTTTCGGTCCAGCGTGATGCTCGACTCGTCGCTGCGTGTGAATTGTTAACCTACAGAAGTGAGCAGATATTGCTGACGTGTACTGACATTAGTCCCTTTACACAACCCTTACGCCTTCACGGCGGCTGAGGCTGCGCTCATCCCCGACCTTGATGCCAAGCTTGAGCGACACGAAAAAGACATCGCCGATTGGCAGGCGTACTGGGATCGATACTACGCTGAACGTGGTATAGGTGAAAAGGAATTTCTCAGGCAAGCCCGTGAGTGACATAGTCGAGCTTCCAGCTGACTTTAGTCGCAACGAACCGAGCTGGATCACAGTGAGCCATAATCCAGTCGAAGCCCTTCTGACCCACAGACTCAATATCAACACGCGACTCTTGCACGGCGTCCACAGCCCATCTGATGTGGCGAACCTGCCACCTCATCGCAGGGAACTCCTCATCATTGCCTTCAAAGCGGCTCAAACCATCGTCTCAATGGCGTTACGAAGCGGACAGGTGAGTTCAGACCGGTGCAGGTTCGCTGATCCGGCAGTACAAAAAGAATTTCAGATATGGTGAGCAGTGCCTGACTTGCATTTCTGACTCTCAGCCAATTTGTATACTCATCTCAATGTTGCTTTCGCCGCTCGGTGCTTGATCCGGTTGACAAGCCTTGTTCCCGAGGTTGTAGACGTCCGACAACTAGGCAAGGACCTAGAAGGAATCGCGCATGCTTTGACTCAAGGTAAGGACGGGAAGAATCATGAGTGCTCACGTCTAGTACCTGGTTTCCAATATGCCGAACTCTTGCGCCAAGTCGTACTCAAAGCTCGTCGGGAGAACATCTTGCCTCCCGCCTCGCCACCACGCGAGACGTCACCTGACATGACCGCTATGCAATTTGGAGCTCCAGCAATGCAGCAGCTGCCAGCGGATATGGGATTCCTAGACTTCAATTATGCCGAGCAGCTATTGAATGATCAGCCTGCTTCCGTGATTCCTCAAGGCATTTACGTGCGTCTCTTATTCTCGGGAACAGTGCTGATAAGGCAGGCCCAACACGATGCGCCCAAGACGTATACGGGTACAGCCCCCATGGATCAGTCCTACAATCTCGACACATGGTTCCCGTTCCCGCCATTGGGTAAGCGACTATGCTGCGACATCGCTGACATCTAGATCCTAGCCAATTCGAAGCTCCCATCGATCAGATAGGCAGAGACAGCATACCTGGTTATGGGATGGAAGGATCGACAAATGGTCAACAGTGGTGGTCTTGATTTCATATAGAAGCGGTCGGTCCTCCTCCTGGTTTCTATCGTTGAATATCTCATGTAAAATATCTCAATGCTGTATGCAACGGTAATTGGTTATGGGATACATGCTGGATAAAATAAGGCTACATTTATGGAAGGACACTGCGAGCAGTGTACGGCTGATTATAACTATAGTATGGCGTGTAGTCGTGAAGAGATCAGACTATAGAATGATAGCGTAGGTGGGTGGCTCGAGTCGAGGGTGGTGTGTGATGGAAGCAGCAGACAGTGGAAAGAGTCAGTCACCGTTTAGTGAGAGACGGCGGTGGCCTGGGAGGCACGGGGCTCGGCGACAGGGGAACCAAGTTGTTCCTCTCTAGTGGTAGTTCCAGCAACACCGGTGGTTCCGTGTCCCATGGCGGTTCCAGTTCCGGCTCCGGCAGCGGGGGCGTCGTACTTGCCCTTCTTTCCGAACATTCGGCTCTTCTGGGCAGGGGAGGTGGTTGAGAAGTCGTTGTCAACAGCGTTGAATCGTCGACCGTTCTTCTCGGGGTCGGCAACGGCAGCAGAGGAGAACTTGCCAGAGTGGAGTTGGAGAACGGAGAGGTCAAGCTTGGAGAGCATGAAGAGGTGAATGAAGCAGAAGATTGGCTTGGCGCAAACGTCGAGGATACCGTAGAAGATCATTTCAGAGTCAGGAGAGATGACGTTTCCACCATCACAGAGACCCCAGGCAATAGGGTAGAGCAACCAGAGGAAGGAGAGGATAGCAGCAGAGGAAGTGAAGGCCTTCTTGTATCCAGCTCCGAGGGCACCAGCGGAAGTTCGAGCAGGTCCGAGGAGAACCCACCAGATGTAAAAGAGGGCAGCACATCCGAAGGAGAAGTAACCCCACTTGTATCGAGAGAAGACGAGGGCTCCAATGAGTCCAGTAACGATCATGACCAAGTCGAAGAAGACGAGGGTGATGATGTCGGAAAGGGGGAGACCCGAAGCGAGGACGAGGGTGAGGAGAAGAGCAGGGGTGGTGATGACCCAGTCGATGTATCGGACGTACCAGATCTGTCTTGTGACGTCGATGGGGTATTCTCCGTGTCCGAATTCAGTGAGAATGTTGGTGTATCCGAGGTCAGAGGCCATGGAGAAGTAGGCGATCGAGGCAGTGGACAGAATGACCTACAGGAGTGCCACACCAGGTCAGCGATAGGTTACAGTGTGTGGCGGGAGCAGTGGGTGTGGCGGGACAAAAAATGTCAACTCACGATGCACAATTGGTGGAAGACTCGTTGACCTCTTGGGATCATGAAGTGCCAGACCATGATGACCAAGTCGGAGAGTATCATGATACAGAAGGCGGCCCACAACCAATCGGATCCGTGGGTGGTGATGTGCTCGACCGCACCATAGGGTGGGTTCTCGTTAAGAGCTTCGTTGGCCATGGTCAAACGAGTTCAACTGCTGCTGCTGCTGTTGTCGAGAGAGAGGAAGAAGGTTTGAGAGACAAGTGTTGTACCGAGTGGTCTGAGGAGAAGAGGAAGGTTGGGTCGAACAGAGCCCAACTATATATCCTTCTCAATGATGGAAGGGGATACCTGGTTCGAAATCCAAGTGTCTCTCTACCTACGTCATAAAAAAGACTCATACTAAATTTGCCTTGCCGACGACGTCAACCTGAACGACATGCAGGAGTGAGAGAGAGTCTAGACGCCGACGACAAGGTACCTGGTACACTGAGTGAGCAGCTTTTCGGCCGCATTCCAGCTATCTTTTTTCCCCCCTCCCTCTCTTTTCTCAGCCTACTATGCCTCTTCAGGTTGCTGCCACGACGTCACTGTGCCGATAGAGGCATCGAAGCTCGGGAGGGGTCAGTACACTCTTGGTCCGAGCCAGACCCGCACGTCTCTCTTCCTTTACCCGCTTGTGCTCCCTCACTTGCCACCGACGCAGATCGATCGTCACTTGAAAGCGTCACTCAAGGAGAAGAAAAAAAAATGGGTTGCAGGGTAGCCAAAAATAGCAAGAAAATCCCATTGAATCATAATGAACCATTGATCTCATGTCGTGTGAGTGAGGAGAGACATGCCATGACAGAGCAAGCCATGACAGATCGCTGATGACCCTATCCCTGACGACCTATGCTTCTTTTCTTTTTGACGACAGTGGCTGACAAGATAGCCGCTGAGCATCCTTGAGCAAGCTCCTCTCTCGCCCGTATCCAGCAAAAGAGAGCTCGCCACCCCGCCACGCTGGACAGGTAGAATTCCAACAAAAAGATAAGTGATGATTTAAACTTTTTGTCTTGACGTCACTCTGCCGATGAAGCGGTTTTCGGTGGAGCTACTGTGTGAGAGTGTGGCTTTTTAGACCCAAAATTACATTGCACCCCATAGTCTCTTAGACCGCACGCAACGCGGCTAGCGTTATCATCTATCAGAGCACCTGCTAATCTTCATGCGGCAAGAGCTTCCAAAGATCGACGCTCTTCGCAATGAGGTCCATCCCAGAGTAAGTGATGAAGCTGCGGATCAAAATGGGATGCTAGATGATGGTCCATGAGAATTGAATGACTGGCATTGGCTAGCGCCGCCTTCCTCATTTCTCCCCTTCTGCTCAAGAACCTAGATTTTCACAGGATACGGATCCCACCAAAGTCGGCCCCCTCCATCCATGGTCCACCGGAATGTGGCATTCTCCGAACCTACGTCCTCCTCGGGTATCCCCGAAAACGGATGCGACCCACGGAACAAGAATATTACTCACTTTCCTTGCTGACGAATGCTCCAAGGTACGATAACAGAGCCGATAAGGCCGTGGGCGCTCTTTTTCTCAAGGCTCCGCTTGAATTCACGTATGCCAAGATCACCTTAGAACACATGTATCCCCTGCCCCCCCTTCATGTATGCGTGCATAAGCATATGGTACAAGCCGATCTTCGGCAGCATCATCCGAACGACCGGACTCATGGTCTTAGAGATTTAGGCAGGTTCTGGACATTCTGCGAAGCAGTTTGTGAATCCACCATGCCGAATCTGCTAGAACAATCCAATAATATCCTCAAGGCGTTCCTAGCTCGCACACGAGAAATGTCACTGGATTGTCGAGGTGCTGGTGCAGCCGATACGGCTTCCGCTCCGAAGGGGTAAGGGAAATGCTTGTGCAGCAGCTCGTAGGAGACCAAGGTGAAGGCAAATTGGGGAGATGATCGAATGACCCTTGCATCTCAGCAACGCGTCGGCTTCTGCTTCGCTCACCTGGCTAGACCACCCTTGAACAAGGCTCGAGGACCCTCCTCGGCGAGAATCTTGCGGAATCCATCAAAGACACCATTATACACCGTTTGACCGGCCCGTGCCTGAGTTTGTAACCGGGTCTTGACGACGTCTGCAGCATTAGTTGCCTGTATCGAGTGGTTGACTGACCGGCTGGGGTAGTGAGGTACGCTGCGGGCATGCCAGAGATACCAGCTGCGAGGAGCAATTCTCCAAAAGACAATACTTTGCCACGTTTCCCCTCGTTGAATACGTCCTTTTTCATGTGCGCGTAGCTGCAAAGTCAGCGATGAGAGCGCACACGACGCTTCTCACGATGTAAAGTAGATCATAGACTGAAGCGTCAACAGAGATTGGCACGAAATCACTCACAAATGGCACATCACGACAGAAACATGCAGTCGCACCCTTGTCATCAGCTCAGTCCCCTTAATAATGTTCCCACCTTGTACAAGCCAACAAGACCCAGTTGTTTGATGATATGGATGGCCCCTCGTGGAACCGCAGCTCCGCCCTCTGCCCGTGTGATCTCACCAGCCTGTCGGTCAGCTTCTTTCCCCCCAAGTCCGCGCACCATTTGCAGACGAATCTTTGTAATCTCGAGTGGATTGGTGACGATGACCTGACAACCACCGGCCGTTCCACCAGCCGCAATCTCCCATCCCAGACTGATCCTTCCTGTCTCCGGGTCCGTTGCCTTTTTCCGGACCAGGTCATTGATGGTCAATTTGATGGCTTTTTCAGGTGCCACGCCGACCAATTGAGGCATAACACCTCGGTAAAAGGCTCGGACACCACCTTCGTTGTGGTAAACCTTTTTGATGCAGTCCCACGCGTTTCGATACAGCACCTCGCCGACGACCGTTGATCGTTGATTTTGTAATCGCGTCTTTACCAAATCGATAGGGTACACCGCCTACGACTCAGCGAAGGTACTGGAGCTGGCAACTCACGTATGCTCCGATACCTCCAGCAATACCACCTTGAACGAAATTGTACGTCGATCGTCCTATCTCCTCCAACAATCCGCCTTCCTTTACCTCGGGTGTAATAGACACTTCTGGGGGTTGCCACTAGAGGTCAGCGGAGCAGTCGCGTTCCGGCACCCACCTTGGCATCTAGCAGTGCCTGAAAGTCGGCCAATGTCAAGCGTTGATTTGACCCAACACCACCGCGAGATGCGAAGTGCCAGATGATATTGGCCTTGGTTTCAGCGTGTGCCCCTCCATGCAAATCTCACCTCCATCGGCGTAAACATGCCATACCGCATAGATCCCTGAGCCTCATTTAAGAAGTCTGAAACGTCGATCCGACCGTCTTTTGATTTGCGGACAGCGCGAGTGATCAATCGCTCGACCGCGTCCATTTCTACGACGTCAGAGGGTCCATATCAAGCACTCTACCTCTGATGACTACTTGTTAGCATGATCGCACCGGCTCAAAACTCACTGTTGTGGAATCCAATGACCTCTGAATAGCTGATCTTGTGACCCGGGTTCATAGTGCACAGCGTCGGCAATCGAGCCAAGACCGAGTCTGACAATTTGTGACCTGCGATTTCCTAAATCTTGAGCTACGTCCCTCGGTTCGACGCACCATGATGATTTTTTGGAATTCGTCCGGGTTGATATACCCATCCCCATCTCGGTCAAAGTATCGGAACGCCTGTCTCAGTCTCTCGCCTTGATAGCCCTTGATCAACTGGGTGAACTCGTGGTCTGCCTTCAGCCGAGATCACCTCTTTAATGCTCACATTCCAGGACATGCCTTCCGCCACGTTTTCCGACGTACAATTTCATCCAATCGCAGTCAAAGTCGAATGCTGGAATTTCAGCGTTTGGCCTTCTCAAATGGTCTCACGTATGCCGCTGGCTGCGGTATTGGCTGACAAGACGGCTTTGAATTCATCATAGTCGATAGATCCAGAGGCATCGCTGGCGATCAGCCAGGTGACAAGGGAAAACTTGCTCACGCATCAAACACCTGGAATGCCAATTGGTAGTCTGCGTCGGGCTGAAAGCGTATCAGTCACATTGCGGATGGCTCTTTGCCTACTCGTTTCAGGACTGAGCGTCAGCGACATGTTCAGGCTCGTAAGAACTCACGCGTCTCAAACACCACAAAATCATCAAACGAGACCAGACCTCGACGAGAAATGTCCGCGACGCGAAACACTGCTAGTCAGAAAGGCTTCTTGTGCGCACACTCACAGATCGAATATTGCTCCCTCTTAATCCTGTTGAAACCCTCTTCTGTCGGTGCAATGGCATCTATAAACTCAGTCGCCGTGAGGTATCTAAGAATCAGCAGCGTGTTCAAACGATCCAATACTCACTTGACTCCGTTCACATCTTTGGCAAACTTGTCAAACGTTCTCCTCCATCTTGTCAGCTCGCTTTCGGCAGGTTTGACCACGTTGGACAAGGTGCTAGTCGTCGATTTGATGGTATCTGTCAGACGGGAAGACACGGGACTTCCAGAGGTCGAGGCAGTGTCGGACATTGCGGGGAAAGGGTAGGCGGTCGGTGAGCGACCTGTACACGTAGCAGCCTCTGCGATTCCTCCCACTAGCTGCTGCTAGGTCTGTCCGCTGTGGTTATGTGCTGTACACCACTCGCTGATGCCGAGGTCGTACAAGATGCTGCTGATGCTGCTGCTGCTCTGACCTTTTTCTTTTTTTCCTCAAACGCCCCCTTGTTCGGAATCTTCGTCCCGGAGAAAAAAGTGGAGGGAGGCCCGCGGGCGGGGGTTCGTTATCAGGTTGTATTACAGTTTTAACACGTCACAAAAGCATGCTGTCCATCTACCTTGACCCTTCAGCGATCCTCATGACAACAACTTCGTCGCAACACCCATGGAAGCATTTGGACTGCCCGCCGCGTTCGGCAAAGCATCAGTGCCAAAGACTGGGAAGGCAAATGATGGACCGTCCCGAGGTACACCGTCAGGCCGAGGTCCACGAGGTGTAGTCGGTGGTAAAAGAGCGAGAGGCAGAGGCAGAGGTGACAAAGGGGACGGAGGAGTCTCTCACTTGCAAACTGATGAAGGACTGAATACTGGAGTCAAGGTGAGAAAGCCTGACGTGTACGCCCGGCTGAGATCAAAGCGGCCACATCCCCATTCTGCAAATCACGGTAGAACGAGCGATTCAGGTTGGGGAGGAAGAGCAGAAGCGAGAGCGAAAGGTGGATTGGGGACGGTCACTGCATTTCCACCGAGGGGCGGGAGAGGTGGTGGAAGAGGTGGTGTATACGGTGCTCGGAGTGGAAACTCCGGGGAGAGCGGGAACGACTCAGAAGGATACTTTCAACCTAGTTTCTGTGAAGACCCTTGGAAAGACCTGTTGAAAGCGAGGGAACGTGACGCAAAGGGATGAGCCTAGGGTGGCATCTTATCCGGTGGGTTACATGGAGAAAAGAAGCGTACTGATGCGCCATAGCTTCTTCGGCCCAGCATGTGCCATCCCGGTCACTCCTGACTAAACCTGCGAGCCTCCCCCGTTGGCATCGCCTTTGTCAAACGATCCGGCGCCGTGGCTGTCCTGAGGCCCAACAGTGGGATCACCTGGCGTGACAAAGACTTGGTAATTGCTCATCGATGTGCGGCCAGAGGAGAGCTTGAAGCAGTCTTCGTCTGAAAGCGGTGTATATTCTGGACAATCTTGACTCGCAATTGACAATACTGGCTCAACGGTGGAACCGTGACCGTGACCATCCCTGGCCTGGTTGACTGTCCCACTAGTGTTGCCCTCGACGCTGTCTCGGCGATCCTTGTAGCTGCTTGCCAAGGTCTCAGTGGGCTCGCTGCACCAGTCAGGATCTTGGGATGCAGTCACAGCTGTCTCTTTCACGTTGTCACTAGTGGTGGACATGATGATTGGGAAGAAAACAGGGAAAGGCGTACGATACGAGGACCTGGACTTTATACCCTTCTTGGCTCGTCCGTCTACCGCACATCTTTTGATTGGCCGGAGGGCCTACCTTTGACGTACTGAAACGATGGCGGAAGCAGAGGTGATTCGGCGAAAGCGGTGTCGATCTCGAAGAGGTCCACGATGAATCATGGATCATGGATCATCAGGACCGGACGGACGGAACGGGCCACCCTAAGTGATACATACAGAATGTAGATGCAGACTAGACTATACACCTAGGCAATACATACCTCTGGGTTACCACGACATGTAGCCTTCTTTGCCCACCGTATTGGCGGTTGCCTACTCTCCCATTTGTCCAATTCCACAGCATTATATATTGTTCCGTTCCAAGCCTTGTAACACGTCATAAGGAAGACGTAAAGCCACTGAAAGACGACTTGGAGCGAGACGACAGTGCCTATCACTCTGAACGCTGGAGAGTCCAGCTCTTGAGCCAGCGTCGTGGTGGCCGTCGCCCATACCCCTATGGGGAATGTGTATGATGTCCAACTGATGGTGAATGATTTGGGTTTGAAGAACCCGAGATTTCTCAGCCCATGATCGAGAGTGATGGCCATGCCGAGAGTATACCAGACTAGTCCGAGACCCCATAGGACCAGACCAGTGACGATTCCACCAGCATATATCGCATCGGCGATATTGAGCGTCGAGCCAGGCGCATTGGGAGCCATGGCAATACCGTATGTGTAGCCAAGATCCCGTGCCACACGACCAAGGATCAAGATACCGTAGGAACCTTGACCGCAGGGTCCCAAAGGAAGGAAGCAGCCAGGTAGAGAGCTTTGAGGCGGTAGGCCTTCCATGATCAAGCGGTAGATCCACAAAGTTATCATGAACATAGCTACTGGAACGCCTGTTCCCCAGATGACATACGCACATATCAGAGTCGATCGAGCGAGATGAGGATCAAATGGCATCAGGTGCTGAGCGACGACACCACCTGAGGCCGCCGCGACGACGGAGGCGACAATAGGGAGCAACATAGCCGAAGTGATAGTTGTATGCGTTTGTCGAGTAAACCTTGAGGCTGTGAGTGGGAGTTTGACAGCCTTGCGACTCACATCATGAATAGCATACCGAAATTAGCAGCGATGGACACTAGCACATCTATCCACCAAAGAACAAGGGCGAAATGAGCCCATTTACGACCAAACGCAGGTACGCAGACCAGGGCAACCATATTCTGCTGGGTCAGCCAAAGATATACTGACCGGATCAACTCACAATGATCGTCACAAAGCCCATTGGCAGGCAGCCCCAAGACATACCAGCTTGTGAGTGCGAGTTGACAGCGGTAAAGAGGCCTCTCCAACGGACATAGCGGATCATGTTCAGGATCGCAAAAAGGATAAAGAGGACAATGTTGAGGATGAAGATGACTATGCCGATACGTCTAAGCCAAGGCGCATTATACGGTAGTGTGTACAGGAGGATGGAGGCGATTCCGGTGCCCATATTGAGGGAGAAGAAGGATGGACTGATGTTTAGACATGCGTATTCCGCATACGATCGGCGTTTAGGGGACGCAGAGGGAGACTTCTCCCGAGTTGAAGAAGGTGACATGTCGGGATGGAGAATCGTACTGTCTTGAGACATTTGCGAGTGGGACGAGAGGCTACTAGGTTTTATTATAGATGTTGGTGTGGTCGGATTGGCCAGATCATGAGCGTCGATGGACATTTGCAGGATGGCAAGTGACGAGTGTCGGAGTAATCGTCGTGGGGTGGGGATGTTAGCATTGATGAAAGAGGAAGAGCATCAACCCCATTGTTTAAGTACATCCCAGTGAGGGATTTCAAAGTGCAATACGCCTCATCCGAATACTTTGAGACGTTCAGAGAAACATCAGCGAGCGAGCTGTTCGGAATCACTGGAAGAAAAAAACGATGAATTCCGGATTTTTGGGAGGCTTTGAACATCTCATTCGGAATACTCTTCTACCGGTCCGTGACTCCGTGGACGGGGAAGGGTAGTCACCTGTGGCAAATCTCATCAAGCGAGCGCCGCCATGTGTCGCTGCTGCCGGTCATCCAGAAGCAATACATGGTAGAGAACATCTTCTTCCATCAACATCGACCAATGATGATCCTTGTCATGCGGTCCGATCCAGCGTCTTTTTTGCCACTCCTCGGCAATGAGACGCTTGGTCCGTATGGCTAGGATGGTTTGGTGTATGCAAGACTTTGTTCTTTGACAATTTGCTGAGAGTTCAATCAGTCCCAGGTACACTGACATGCAGTCGATGTGAGTTCCATTAGTCTCATCGTTTCAGTATCAATGCTGCGAGACGAGAGTTCCCACTGTCCACTGCCGCTGTACCATAGCTACAGGTAGTTCCAGCCGATCCTCAAGCGGCGTCCGCCGCCGTTTCAGAGTTGTCAACAAAAATAATAGCGTTGACGGATCTGCTCCTTACAGGCCATAAGACCATGCCAACGAGACCATGACAGTGCCAGATGAGCATCGCGCTCTACCCGGAGGCATGGAAACCTCGCAATACTACCACTCGCAGGGAGATGCCTCGGATGTGGCACGACAGTTGCTTGAGGATGATATCGAGGCGTGAGCGGCTGAGAACGGCCAAGAGGCTGACCTGGTAGGGCGGGACCTTCCAAGTCGTGGTCACTGCTCGACTTTGAGATTGGCAAGCCGTTGGGCAAAGGTATGTACGCCATTCTCTGCCATGAACTGTAACCGTGCTTATGATCATCAGGGAACTTTGGCAAAGTCTATCTAGCCAAAGTCAAGTCGGACAACCCTTTCATTCTCTGTCTGAAATGTCTCGACAAGCACGATATTGTCTCGCATAATATTCAGACACAGGTGAGGAGGGAAGTAGAGGTAAGTTGGAGAAAGTAAATCTGCTAAGGGAACAGATCATGCAGAGTATAAGACATCCCAACATTTTACGTCTCTACGGATGGTTTCACGATCAGACGAGAATCATGCTTATGATCGAGTTTGCGGGTGGGTCAGCATTACGCCTTATTGACTGACCTCTGCAGGGAAAGGTGAGGTGTTCAAGCATTTGAGACAGGCCAAGCGGTTCTCAGAGAAGCGAAGCGCCAGAGCAAGTTCATTTTATGCATCGCCGAGCGACACTTACGAGTGCCAGTATATCCGGCAAGTCGCCGATGGGCTCGCTTATCTCCATTCAAAGGATATCATCCATAGAGATATCAAACCTGAGAATCTGTTCTTGGGTGGGTGGCTCAGACGAATGTCCTGGACGTTAACGAACACAGGCACCGATGGGTTGATCAAGATTGGCGATTTTGGTTGAAGCGTTCATTCACCATTCGAAGAAGGGTACGTATGCTCAGAGGGTTGAAGAACACTGACGAGTAGCCAACGAACGATTGCAGGCACGCTGAGCTATGTCGCACCGGAAATCATTCTTGGGAAATCGTATGGCCGTGCAGTCGATATCTGGGTGAGAGCCGAGGAAGACGGAACAGCTAGCTAAACCAAGCAGGCTCTAGGGGTTTTGTCTTTTGAGTTTATTTGCGGGGAAGAGCCTTTCGGTAGCGATCCAGCCGTATCTCAGCGAGGTGAGCAGTGCTCAAACTGCGCGCTAAGGCTATCATTTAGTCATTCAGTCGAGAATATGTCGGTGCGATGTTGTATGGCCGGAGCACGTCAGTTCAGAGGCGCGAGACTTCATCGGAAAGGTCAGCCCAAGATCTGCCCACTGCTGATGCTTCTTTGCAGCTTATGCGCATCGATAGTCATCAGAGGATGCCATTGTGCGAGGTCCCCAACCATCCGTGGATCAAGTTGTATCATATAGCATAGTGAATGCCGATCATCCAATCTGTTTTTTCTTTTTTGCTTCCGCTCAAAATGATCGTCCAATGACCTAATTCCCGCCTGTCTCTGCTCTCGCCACTGGGCCGTGTTCTGTGTATTCAATCAACCTATAGATCACAGAGGTCTCAAGAAGCCATGAGTGACGGGCTGCCTATGAATTTGAAGCTGCTTTTGATAGGCAACTCCAGTGTCGGTGCGTGCCCTTTTTCGAGCGAGAGATTTCGAAGAAAGGCTTGAGCTGATCATACTACAGGCAAATCATCCCTTCTGCTCCGATTCACCGATGATGAGTTTTTATCTGATGAAGAGACATCCGCAACGATAGGAGTGGACTTCAAGGTCAAGAGCATAGAAGTGGAAGGAAGGAGATACAAGCTGTCCATATGGGTTGGTTTAGATTGCTATGACCCTTGGTAGAATCCCGAGATGGCCGAGGTACAAGTGTCCGAGCTCATTCTGAATTGCAGGACACAGCGGGTCAAGAAAGATTCAGGACTCTCACGTCGAGCTATTATCGAGGAGCTCAGGGTGTTGTCCTTGGTAAGGTCATGCAAATGAACGTCGAGCTGAAGGGTCAGTATATGACGTCTCGTCCCGTCAAAGCTTTGACGAGTTGCTCAAGTGGTTCACTGAGATTGATATACATTGTGGTGAAGGAGTGGTGAAGATGCTCGTGGGAAACAAGGTCGACAAGGTGAGTGTATTGAAGGACCCGAGTGATTCCAGCTCATTCGCCATGCAGGAGGCTTCACGGCAGGTGACAACGGATGAAGGGAAGACATTTGCAGAGAGGATGGGGACGCTATTCATAGGTGAGTGTTCGTTCCTATTCTTAATCTCCGAGTAGACATTTTCTCCCAAAATCATCTCTTCATGACGCTGGCCATTCGTACCCACTGTCCTGCTCCTCTCTCTCTGTGTCGCTCAACTGCGCAGGCGTTAGGCATATTGAACTGTGAACAGCACTGATGACCCCACAGAATGCTCCGCAAAGACACGCGTGGGAGTCATGGAGGCTTTCCAAGAGCTCGTCATGAGAATATTAGATACTCCGTCTTTGTGGAACAGGAACTCGAATGGGATCAGGGCAGATAATGGCACAATACAGCCAGGTAATGAGAGTTCTGGACTATTAGGGGGTTGTTCTTGTTAGCCATAAGCCAAGTTCGCGGATCGTCTGTACCAAATCGTTGCTCTTGCTTAGTGTTGTATTGCACGAACGTCAATTTCCATATGAGACCCAGCTGGGTGCTCTGAGGCGGAATGATATACATACAGGGTCCAACTCTCCATCGTTACGATTGCCGGAGCGAACGTCGGCTGAAGGAAACGACACTCCGCATCGAATAGTGATAACTCGAAAGTTTAGATCTGAGCATCTTGAAATTGACCATTGAAAGCATGTCCGCCAGCGTCGCTCTGTCCAATGGTCAGCGTTCAGCTCCGTTGTCCCATGACCATACAGCTGATACCAGTTGCCAGACCCAAACTGGTGGCGTCAGGCCAGCGTCTACCAGATCTACCCTAGATCGTTCGCAGATGGTAATGGCGATGGAATAGGTGACTTGAGGGGTATCATCAGTCGCATTCCCTATCTTCAGGAGCTCGGGGTGGACGCTATATGGCTCAGTCCGTTCTATACGTCTCCACAGAAGGACGCCGGATGTGAGATACTCGCTTGGTGATGGCTGATTCCGCAGACGACGTTGCGGATTACCGAGATGTGGATCCTCGATTTGGCACGATAGTAGACTTTGAGGAGATGGTCTCGAAGTGCAGATCAGTGGGTATTCGAACTATTGTTGATTTGGTACCGAATCATTCGAGTGAAGAGCATCCTTGGTTTCAGCAAGCTTTGAAAGCAGGTCGAGGGAGTGCTGAAAGGGCCAGATATCATTTCAGAGATGGTTCGTTGTGACCCTCTAGGCCTAGCTGACTGATGTACAGGACTACCTGATGGATCTCCACCAGCGGACTGGGACTGCAGTATTGGAGGTTGTGCATGGCATCCAGCAGGGGATGGTCAATACTACTTTGGACTCTTCGGCCCATTTCAACCTGATCTCAACTGGGGTAACAACGAAGTCCGAGAAGATTTCATCCAGACGATCAGGTTCTGGGCAGACAAAGGCGTAGCAGGCTTCAGAGTTGATGTGGCACCCTGTCTTGAGAAGTATCTCCCTGAGCATCTACCGTCCAATGAAGTGATCTCAGCAGCTGCGAGACGCCTCAGGCAGAATGGTTGCCCACCGGATATTCATCCCTTCACAGATCGAAATGGGGTGTTTGAAATATACAAAAGCTGGAGAAAAGTGTTCAACGAGTACGATCCGCCGCTCATGTGAGTGTACCGGGTCTTCTGACCCCTGCTGAGGTCTAAAGGGGCGTGGCGGAAGCTTGGGTAGCTCAAGATAGGATACCGTTGTACGCCGACGCGAACGGTTTGGGTCAATCCTTCTCATTCGACTTGCTGTTACGCGAATTCGATCGGGCACAGTATAAGGATGCGATTGAGACGTCTCTCAAGATGGCCAAACTCGCAGGATCATCTACCACCTGGGTCCTTTCCAATCACGATGTGAGTTTCGGAGAGGGAAACTCCTCTCTCATGCCATCATCAGATGATACGTCATGCTACTCGATATGGGTTCCCGAAGGTATCTGGCGAATGGACCAATCCGACCCACTTTGACGAGCCTTGCGAGGAGTACTTGGGATCAAGGGGAAACATGCCAGGCTTTGATCCAGTCCTAGGTCTGAAGAGAGCACGAGCTGCAAGCTTATTCATGTTGGGGCTACCGGGATCCGCATATATCTATCAGTGTGTGGACGAAACAAAACATGATCAGCTTCCCTCGCTGACGAGACCAAAAAGGGGCGAAGAACTGGGACTACCAGAGATAGTGGACATTGCGCCAGAGCACAGACAATGTCCAGTCTTCAAGCAGACGAAAGGTAAACGCTTAGGTCGGGATGGATGTCGGGTGCCACTCCCTTGGGTTCATTCCGAGCCGGGATTTGGATTTGGTGGGAAGCCTTGGATCCCTCAACCTGATCGTATGGGAACCATGTCCGTGGACTTGGAGGAGAAGGATCCGAGATCCACTTTAAGTCTCTACCGTCGGGCTCTGACCTTGAGAAGAGAGCTTCAATCCCCTGAAGAAGAGCTCGAATGGATCGGAGAGAACTCCAGGACACTCCATTATTCTCGGTCCGAGAACTGGGAGGTCATTGTGAATTTTTCGGAAGTAGAGATCGATATGCCACCGGGCAAAGTGTTGATAACCTCGAGCGATTGTCCGGATGGGAGACTGGGTCCTACCACTACTGCTTGGCTCTCAAAGTCAGCATCTTCTTAGCCTCGTGGCTTGCATGCATTGTCAGCACATGATGATTATCTAAGGACTAATCTTCCGAAACCCCATTTTTCGGGCCGACCGGGCCGGCCCATGATCGAATGCCTCACCATATTCACCTTTTTCAACAATTGCTCCGAGATGTTTGAACACGCTCTATTCACGACAGAATGGTCCTCCTCCAGCCCAACGCCTTTGTCGAGAACGCGTTCAAAACAAGGGAAGATGTTGAGAGGGGCTGTATAGCTCGTGAGCGCTCTACAGGGGTATCCGAAGGCTGATCATCAGTTCTTGAGCCTCTCAAAGCCCACACGTCAGCTGGAGGCGCATTGATAGATATTGGATCCACAGCAACGCACTATGATCTGCGAGCAGTTGCGCTAGAGACGTTTGCCAGGCCAATATGGGGCTTGACATCTCTACTGGTCGGTGGTGGACATTACGAGGGTGTAGAACGTTGGGTCAGGGGTTTGGCAAATGGGACGGATCCCAAAGGTCCAGAATATTGGGGAGGAGCGAAAGCGAAGGATCAGAGGATGGTCGAGATGTCTCCGTTGAGCTTTGCGATATCCATGGCGCCCGACGTGTTCTTCTCTGTGAGTTGGACTCTCAAAGGGTCTCTCGCCTTTCATTGTTGATGCGGGTTGTTTTCAGGGTCAATCCGACGAGGCAAAGGAAAACATTTCAGCATTTCTCCAAACCTGTATCGGCAAACCTATGCCAGACAGTAGGTGAACATGCTAAATCCATCGGCTGAAACGCAGCCAATTGGCTCTGGTTTAGAGTCTTTGCAAATCTGGCACTGAGAACTATCAAATCACCGCATTTCAACCCTGAGCAAATGTCTCGAGATCTTGCACGTCTTGAAGAATTCCAGTTCCCTCCGCATCCGCCCACTGGCGACTCTTCTGGATCTGGAGGATGGTCTAACGATGGACCTGAGGACGTTCATCAGACGGATTACTATTCTAGCAGTTTCGCCATCCAATTTGCGCAAATGACCTATGCAAAGGTAACGTTTTGAGTGGATACGGAGATCAATAAGCTGAAGATGTCTCTCTATAGCTCTGCGCCAAGACGGACCCAGAGCGATCACAGAAATTCATCGACAGAGCGCGACAATTTGTCCTAGATTTCGTCTACTATTTCAATGATGATGGTGAGTCGTCCGATGGATCTACGTCGCAGAACTAATGATACGTGAAGGCGCTGCTATCCCGTTTGGTCGTTCCATGGTCTACCGCTTCGCCGTCATTTCCACATTTTCCGCCATGGTTCTTGCAGATGTCGAACCTCCTGCGCCACTCCAATGGGGCCATATCAAAGGCTTAGTACTGCGTCATCTGAGATCGTGGACGGGTAAGACGGCCATTTTCAGGAGTGACGGGACCCTCAACATTGGCTATGGGTATGACAACATGAACATGACGGAAAATTACAATGCCCCTGGTGAGCTGACAAAGATAGGGGCATCACTGACGATCCAGGATCCCCTTACTGGTGTATGAAGGCGTTTGCTTGCCTCGCCGCTCCTCCGACTCATCCATTTTGGTCCTGCTCTGAGCTACCCTGGCCATCTGACCTGTTCCCCCTTCTCAAGGCTATTCCTGACCCCCATCATATCATGTGTCGACACGGGAACCACACTTTCCTCCTCTCATCTGGCCAACAGCCTCACTACGCTATGCGACACGGTCCGTCAAAGTACTGCAAGTTTGCTTATTCCTCCGTGTTTGGCTTTTCCTGTGCTACCGGTGACATGGACATTGCTCAAACGGCAGGAGATAGTATGTTAGCGTTGAAAGACGCGACGCCTGGAGTGGAAAATGGAGATGGAGAGACTTGGCGAGTGAGGCGCAAGCCTATCGATGCGGAAATCGTGGGAAGAGGAACGCCTCGCGTTCACCTGAGATCATCTTGGAAACCCTGGAAAGACGTGACGGTAGAAACGTGGTTGCTACCGCCTCAAGCCGACTCGCCGAATTGGTATCTCCGTGTTCACCGTCTTAGATCTGATAGACCTCTTTTGACAAGCGAAGGCGGATGGTCAACGTATGGTCAAGGTGATGATGGTCGAGCGGTCGTTCAGTCCTTTTCGGGCGAGACTTCCCGTGGAGGAGAAGAACAAGTCGGATGGGCACGAGTGACAACTCAGCCGGGATGTGTGGGTATATTGGACTTGACGAAAGGTCAGGACAAGCGGAAAGGCATCTTGGTGCAGACGGATCCTCAGTCCAATGTCATTTTCTCCCGGAGCGTTTTGCCGAGTTTGCAGGGGACGTTGGAAGCTGGAGAAACGTGGTTGATCACGGCTGTCTTTGGACTACCACATACAGGCGAGGCAAGGTATACCGAGGAGTGGAACAAGCAGCCTGTCGTTCCAGATTGGATCTTTAGCTAGCGAGCTGTAGCCACGCAATAGTTCCAGAATGGCATTATTATCCGGGCTATTTCCGTAATCTTCGGAACGTCCTCCCGGTCTTCCGGTAGACAAAGATGAAGCTCAATATCACCTTGACCGTCACAACGAGAGACCACAGAGCCATTCATCATGCCCAAAATACTCATGTAGGCTTTAGATCATCCTGTCTTTTTGCTGACAACCTAGCACCCGTCATGTTGGCGAGGACGCCATGCACCTCCTCGGGACATCAGGTTTTGACCTCATCATCAACCCTAACAACGCTCAACCGCCTCGAGAATGGGTTCTGGAGCATCTCAAAGATCCTGAAGTCATTGCGGCCTGTATCATGCATTCCCAACCGAGCGATAAGGTAGATCAAGAGTTTCTGGCCGCATGTAATCCAAACTTGAAGACTATCTCGACGTTCTCTGTAGGGTTTGGTATGCTGCTTCTAAAGCTTTATGTCCCAGACGGAGCTGACAAATCCCCAGACCACATTGACGTCAAGGCTGCTCATGCGAAAGGGATCAAGATTGGACATACACCTGGTGTCCTGTCGGATGCAGTGGCGGATATCACTGTCATGTTGGTATTGATGACTATGAGGCGGGTTGAAGAAGGTATCGCTCTAGTCAAAGAAGGAGGGGTGAGTCTGGGTCTCGCGCGGAATGTTGCCGTCGTAATTGACCTCGCCTCGTTCCCTTCACAGTGGCCTAAACTCCCATGGGCACCTTTCGTCCTTTGTGGGCCTACCATCTCCCACCCTTCTCTCAACATTGGCTTCCTTGGATTTGGCCGAATCTCTCAAGCTGCTTTATCTCGCCTGCTGGCATTCACAAATAAGGAGCATCCGCCGACCATTCAATACGTGTCATCCAGAGAACGACCTGATCAAAAGGAGATCGATGAGAAGTTCAGCAAAGAGTTTGGAGTGATCGTCAAGAGGGTCGAAAAGGAGCAGTTGGCTGCCGAGAGCGATATCGTCATCGTGCTTTGTGACCAAAACAAGAACACCATTGACCTAGTCAACAAGGCCTTCTTAAGCAAGATGAAGAAGACTGCCATCTTGGTCAACTGCGCGAGAGTAAGCTTCAAAAAGACTTTTGACGAGGCTCCTCTCCCGCGCTGATGCAGCCGTCAGGGACCCATCGTCAATAGTGAAGACCTCGCGGAAGCTTTGGAGAATGGGACGATCTACGCCGCGGGTCTCGATGTCATAACTGGCGAGCCACACGTGGGACCGGACCACCCTCTTGTCAAGCTGAAGAATTGTGAGCGAGGCCCTTCAAGAACTTAAGGCTCATTATCCCCAGGCGTGGTTCTTCCCCATATGGGATCAGCAGACATCGACACTCGAAAAGCGATGGCCTCTTTATGTGAGTGACGGAGACGGGCTAGGAGCACACAGGTCACTGAAGCGGAACTCAGGTGTCAGGAACGCCATTGCAGGGGCCAAAGGAGAGGCTTTGGTCGCGGAAGTCAAGGTCTGAGCTGCTATTGTCATTCATGCAAGACGCTTAGTGCATTACTCGTAAATGTCTTTACACCGCTCCACCTGCGCCCATACCCATAATCATGCTGAGGATGAAAGCGAGCAAGGGTGCTCCTGGTCCTCCAATGTCCTCACCACTGATGATTCCCTGTACAATCTTTCCAATTCCGACAATGGCGGGTCCAGGACATACACCTGCCAATCCCCATCCTATGCCGAAGATCATTGAGCCTGCCATGAGCCTTCGATCGATATCTGTCCTTGTCGGGATTCTCCATTCTTCCCAAGGGTACTGAACCTTCCCTTTCGGCGTGTAGTTCCAATACAGCGCATTGGGAACCACTCCGCCAAGCACGATCATCGCGAGTGAAGGGTCGAATCGGGGTGAAAATGGAGTGAGAAAGTGTAAGACTTTACGTGGATCCGCCATCCCCGATATCAAGAGACCAAAGGAGAATGTGAGCCCCGCGAGGAAATAAGGTGCTAGTCTGATGATCCGTGGTGGATTGGACCCTGATCGAGCGAGAGTCGACCGTAAGGTGAAAACGAGGCCAGCGAGAATAGGGACGGTAATCAGGGGAGCGTAAGCCAATCCAGTCTGAATGGTAAATGGGTTGGGTTTCGGTATCCATGATGGGTACGGTGTTTCCATCGGCACGAGATTGGCAGTGAGGACAGCAGAGAGGAAAAAAGTAGCTGTAGCTACGAGAGATCGTGGAGATCCTCTAGACACTCCACAGAGGAAATGTCCGCTCGTACATCCTGATCCCAGTCGACTTCCAAATCCGACCAACAATCCCGCGAGAGAAGCTCGAGTCCACGGTATAGAGAACCATCCACTGAGAGGTTCACTGGCGTATGCTCCTGGTAGACCAAAGACTTTCCCAAGCGTCGGACCGAAGATCAACCCGGCTGTAGTTGCCAGTCGCCAAGAATCTCCATCTCCCCAGAATGATTCAGCGACAATGGATGAAATGCCAAAGACTCGGCCAATGTCAGACAAGAACGACGATGAGGCAAGGGATAGCAAAGTACCACCTGCAAAGGTGTGCAGGGGAGAAAAGGTCATCTCGTTGTGTGTCGTGTACAACAGAGGACAGCACTTTTGGGATTGGATCACATTTTCATCCCTGCGGCAACCTCAAAACACGCCACCGGCCCGTCGGGAACAACAATATTGGACATTCGGGCTATGCATTGGATATGGGACATGTCTATACTACAAAATGGGGGTCCAATGGGTCTCCGACACTCGCCCAGCAAGATGTCCGAGACTTGGACGATGAGTGTAGATTATCGCCGAGCTACGTTAGATTATCGCCGAGCTACGGGTGCGGACACCATTTCAATCTGCTCTCCAGGCATACCGTGAGGCACTCTGGTTCTCAGCTGTCCAACAGGCGGACCAACGGTCACAGCAGCGCGGAAGGACCCTTCTACACCGGGCGTTGTGGGTCGAGTCTGGTAGCCTGCCTGTCCAGACATATCGAGAGACTCGTCGAAAATGTCTGAGGATTAGCTCCAAACCTCTTTGATCGACTCACCTTGACTAGGATCGTTGATCAGTTCCCGACGATCGGTCAGATTGTTCGCCGTGTTGGTTGCAGCGTCAAAGGTCGGAGGAGGCGACTCGGCCCCAGTACTGGCAGTCGCAGTCGATGCAGCAGCAGCTTCAGCAGCTTGCACCTGCTCGTAAGGAACCACTAGGAGGATTTCAGCTCGTTCCCAAAGCGAACAACTCACAAGTGTATTTTGTAGGTTCGGCCGGGGCAGGTGATGGATCCCCAGCTCCAGCGGGTCCATAGATCTTCGTCTCGGCCAGACTAGACGACGTCAGTCAGACTCCTACTCCTTGATTCATCACGCACGCAGTCTTCAACGCGCAGACCCATTTGTTCCTACGCATCACTTTCAATGCACCCTGCTGCCAATTCGACTTGTAGCGTATATCCGCCTTGAGAACCATCTTGCCTTGAGCAGGCATGTCATCTACAGTGACATCAAAGATTGGCAAAAAGTCGCGCGAGTTCTCCTTGCAAAAGACGAGCATCTTGTCTCGAAGCGTTGTGAGGTGGTCGAAACTGGTGTCGAACGCGACATCAAAGGTAAACGTCTCGGACGTCGGGCCGGATCGTCGGACTGACAGTCAGCCGAAGTCCTCAGTGGACGAGACGTACTGTTCTCAATGACTTTGGTAGCGAGAATGTTGTGTCCGATCCATACAAATTTGCCATCGGTCCGCTTGAAGTTTGTGCTCATGAGCTGCATCTTGGCAACAGTGTACGAATTGCCATCAATGTCGACTCGGTCACCAACGTCGTAGGGGTGCTTGACGAACAGGAAGATGCAAGCAAGCAGGATCTCTTGCATCGTCGATCCTATCAACCAGGACAACCCAAGGACAAAGGTACCAGCGGACGTGACGAGAGTAGTGATCTTGTGATTCGTCAGCACAGCCATGACTCTCCGCGCTCACCTTGGTCGTAATCGTCGCAGCGAGAATTAAAGCACAAATGAGAGCCACAAAGAACAGGAAAATATCGTCCAATCGCCTAACGGCTCCGTCGAGGTCCCGCATAGAAGCTTCCAAGCTCAATCTTTCACGGTGAATCTGCATGATCGCAGCCTCCATTTCATCCCTCGTGGCATCTCCATTCCCGTCGACATCAAACATCTCAAAGCCAGCTTTGGCAGTGTCGAGGTCGGGGAAGAAACGAGCAATGTCGGACAAGTCGAGATGGTCGGCATCGCCACGTCGGAAAGAGTAAAACAGTCTTCTGGCGAGAGCTTTCGACTTGTTAGCGGAAGACAGCGCAGCAGTGACCTTGTTCTGAGGTGAATTGGTCTGCAAGACACTTTGCCCGGCCATTTCACTGGCGACGTTGCCTAGTGCCGTTGTCGTGGTCTGAGCGACTTCTCGAATGCCTCTGAGCGCAGCTCTGATCGCCTTCTTAGGCACCTGACTAGCTTTCGTCTTGTGCGAGTCATTGTCCCTCAACGTGTCGCTTCGACCGGGGATATCGTGAGAATGGATGTAGAGTGTGGCGAGGCACTTGATGTTGAATTTCTGCTCTTTGAGTCTGTCCTCGTACGAGTCACGGTGGAATTGGAAGGCGATGAGTTGAACGATAAGCTTTTCCACGCCGAGTATAATGCTACTGAGGAAGAGTCCAAAGAGAATGTTGACCATGGTCCCGAGATCAGACTTGGAGCGCGGCGTTTCGTTATTGGTAGACTCGGCAGTATTGTGAATGATCACCAGTGGGGTGAATGAGATCCACACGGCAGCGGCCCAGACGATCAATTTGGCATACCTGTGATGTAAGCTACTTTTCAGCCCTTGAACCCCACCTTCCGAGCGCGGCTGTGACATCCGTGTACTGCTTGGCAGAAGGCACGATGGATCCAATGACATTTCGCCAGATAGGTGGAATCATCATGAAGACGGCAGTAGCTGCCCAGAATCCACCCCAAAGCACGCTGAGCCAAATAGACCACCAGATGAGCTTGACATCCCATACTTTGCCATTTGGCGCCGCGGTCAGACCGACGATACCGGGGATCCATAGGATGGCGAGCACCGGGACAATATAGAGAATCCATCGAATGATGATGCTCTTATTGATCAGCCAATAGTAGAGTCGGGAGAACTATGGCAGATCAGCATCGACTGGGCGTCGGAAACCCACCTTGGTCGTCCCGACATCTCCCTCTGCAAATCGCAGATTCTCATTCTTTGCCGTCGCGGGGTTGTAGCCTTCCCACTCGGGATTGTTGTTCAACAGGTCCCAACTTCCATTCCTGGTGTGTTTGGGTCGCTTTTCGCCCATCTGGCCAGCTTCGAGACTGGTAGATGAATGTGAAAACATGTTCCAACCTCTTCGTCTGCTGCTGGAGCCATTGGGAGTCGTGTGACCCGAGGAGTAAGGTGTACCTCGTCCAGAGGTTGCCATATTGGTTGTCTCGTTTGCTGTGGAGTCTTTCAACGGGACAGTGGTGTACTGCGCAGCTGGAGCCGATGTTTCTATGTACTGTCGTGGAGGGTAATGAACTCGACGTGTCCCTCCAGGGGTGTTGGGTCGGGAGGTGGTGGGAGGACTGGTCTGATCAGGTCTGGTGAAATAACCTGAAGTGAAAAGAGAGAGAAGGAGAGGGAGGGTCAGCTCGAGCCATCAATCAAGAATGTGACTTTTGAAAACTGCCAAAGGCAAATCTTCTCGCTACAGGGACTGAACTCACTTTCGGCTGGATGCAAGGGAGAGCTTGAATTCACCCTCTGCATAGCCGGATAGGCGGTCTGATCGTCTGATACGTCGACAGATTGGTCCCTACTGCGGTGGTCAGCTACGACGAACCACGCGCTATTCCTCCATTCCCCCATCCCCTTTTGACCCACCTGAAATGACTTGATGTGCCGTTCGATTGTCCCAGGTAATTTTGATCATGCGCAGGTTCTGGATTCAGGTAGGGATCTCTGGCGATCTGTGCGGGGCGGGTGTTAGGAGAGCGTATATCGATCAACGCGTCGCTCGCGAAAGGCTCACGGTAGTGTTCACGGGAGCAGGTCTTCGTCCAGTCTCTTGCATTGTGAAGAGCAATTTGGACTCCCCAGGAGCTCAGCTGATGATGACCTCGCTGGATGGTCGTCGTTGGTGGAGCCAAGGGGGGTTTTTTTTTGGTGTTCTTTTTTGGGTGCTTGAATCCGCGGCAGGCGAAGCGGGCTAATCCGACGGCAAACAACAACAAGCGCGCGCGGGATGTTGTCGATGTGTGCGTCGGATGGGAGATGCTATAGATGAGTGTCCGTGAACGATGGAAAATGGATGTCCAAGAGGGTTTGATGATGAAGGAATGAGATATGATATCGACCAATGCCATGGAAATTTTCACCCACCAACTCCTCTTCGCTTAGTCAAAACGTCACGAGCCGTCACCCAAGGGACAATCTCCTACTTCTTCTCCTCGCCGATCACGCGCCAGGTGAACCTCGATGCCGGCAGCGAAGGCGAGCGTAGTCCCCTCCCCAGCAATTTGAAAAATCTCGTAATTTCCTAATAGTTTTTCCTCGATTTCCTAATTTTGCTGTCGCTCCATTAGTAATAAGAGACTGCACAGCAAAAAGCAGCCCTTCTCACTCTCACGCTGCTCCCCCCGCCGTGAGCCATCATGCTCTCACGTTCACAGACGAAGTTGTGAAAAATCTGGAGGGTTAGCAAATGCAGCAAGCATGCTCATGATGGCCCTTGTCGGTGCCGAATAACGATATGATCTCATGCAGGAGACGGGCGGCGCATTTCGTCCCGACAGCCCGCTCGCGGGGTTTCGGACGAAGTGATGCCTCACCATATGACTGGACTTCGCGGCTGATCCACAGTCTTCAAAGTATTTCGATACAAGGGAAGTCATATGAGAAGATACAATGCCTCGACTTCTTCCATCACTATCATCATCATACAGAACGTGCCGCTCTGGCAATCGTCATCTCATCCTGGCGTGAAGTCCCATTCAAAGCCGCAATCTCCTTCTTGAGGTGTGCGATTCCTGTAGTAGTATATATCAGAGCGATCACAGTGGCCGCGTAAACAGGCATCTGTTCGTCCTAAGTACGATCGAAAAGGGTCAACTCAATAGGTTCATCAAACTCGGGACATGGAACCACTTGCCCAGGTCGTATCCCTTCCTGCCTCACGCTTGTCCGATGCGCCACGCACTTCCGATAAAACCGACGAGCGAACTCTGCTCCAGAGCTCGACAGCGGTGATACCCTTTGACAAGTCCTCGCTGACGCCTGCGGTGTCGTGGTCATGGTCCAGCACCAACTTTGTTTCCGACATGAGACTGTGCTCGAATCGGTCGAATTCACGCAGACACGCCTGGAGCTTGAAATACTTTAGGGACCATGGTTTACACACCGGCTCACCCTGTCTCGATCCATCAATCTCGTCTCGTTGAGCCGGTGAACCCATTCAGGATCCAGTCGCGGGTATGTCGATCCTAGTAAGAGTACAGCGTTCAGAAGACTGTTCTCTGCATGATGAATTGCTCTGATCCTGTCCTTTGGCCACGAGCCTCGGAAGTGTGGTTCAAGGCTGAATGTCTATCAGCCGTGAAAGGAGAGATGGAAGCTTACGACGCGTGGTCGATCTTCTCCTCCACATCGATCACTTGAGTCTGTTCATTTTGTCAACCAGCAAAGAGGCATATTGTAACTCACAATGGCAGCGACGAATTTTGATCTCATCACGTCCAATCCTTCCTGGACCTCGTCCTGCTCTCGGGTCCGTCCAACACTCTCATCATTCTCCTTAGCTGCCCGTACCACCAAACGGTAAATGTCACCAGTACTCCTGATGCATTTTGCCAAACTCAATGTCGTGTTTTTCTTGGCGGAGAAAGGTCTAGGGAACAACATGACGATGAATGCCGCTGTCAATCCGATCAAGACTCCGAGGGCACGACGACCGGCCAATTCTGCTCCATCGCCAGCGTTCGCAATGACCGGTAGGTGATCGTCGACCCAGGAGTACCCGACGACGAAGACGCTCATCAATGCGATCATGAGCCAAAGTGGCATCTGAGATTCTGGCGCCACCAATCGGTTAAAGAGCGCCGGAGCGGTGAAGACCATCGTAGCCGCCGCGATTCCATATGGATTGCCGCGACCTCTACCTGGAGCTCCAATGTACCATATCACGATCCCGTTGACGAGGCCCAGACCTGTGCCACAGACTCGAGTCATGAAATTTGAGATTTGCTCGCCAGAGTAAACGCTGAGGCTCAGTTGGGCGAGAATGACGGCCCAGAATCCCTTGTTGAAGTAGACGAAATAGGTCGAACTCTTGCAGACGAATGGGATGAACAATGCCACGCTCACGATGGCAAATTTCAAGGCAAAGATGCCTTGAGGTGAGATGATTCGTCGACCGACCCATACCACACAGGCTCGAGGAATGCCAAACACGCTTCGACGTGTAAAGCCTGACCCTTCACCAGAGGACAATTTGGAGTCCGGGTCACCGACAAGTGTGATCTCGCTCCGTACATCACTATCCTTGTGCTCTTTGCCCATTGCAAAAGGGCTCGAAACGTCCTTGTGGCTCATCATCTCAGACATCAGTGCGCTCATCGCAGCGGGGTAGTGAGCCTTGGCTCCAGGAGTAGCTTGGTCGAGATCCAGCAACAGCTGTAGGAAGGCGATGACTTGCTCAGTGAATCCAATGAGTGAGGTGCTGAAAGCCGCACAGCGAAACATGTCCAGCGTGTTCTTCGAGGACTCGAGATCCATGGTCTCACTGCTGCTGTCTGGCAGTCTGTGGAGGGCCTGAAGAGGGGCGAATTGGTCGCGTTGGCGGAAAGCAGCGAGGTGTTGCCTGAGGTCTTGAATTGACGCCTCGCGGCTATCTCTCGGCGCTATACGATCGGGTAGTCGACTCCAGCGATACGTGTTGACTCCGTTTAGCCAATCAATGGTCTCGAGCAGGCTCTTCTCAAGCGAATCCCGAAGGTCTTGAGAGCTAGACGCGAGCGTCGAGAATAGATCCGCGAGGGAGGTCCCGGCTTGCCCCTCTCCCTCTGGGCCAAGATTCGACGCCTCTTCGCGGATCTTAAAATCTTGTTCCATGAGGACCTTTTGTCATGTCAGCCAGTCATCAGTTGTACGTGAATCGAGCGAGAGACCGAACTCACAATGAATGCAGCGAGCACATGCGCTCCACCGGAAAGCTGCTTGACTTGATCGTGTATCGCAATAACATCCTTCGCGTTCAACTGCCCTCGACTGAATTCAATCTTCAAGAGTGATAGATTATCTTCCAAAGCCTCAATATCCTGTACCATCTCCTTTCGTAGACTTCTTGCTTCTTCCGCTTTGCCATGTATGTGATCCCACTCCCTTGGATCTCCGTTCAAGATATCGCCTTGGATCTTGATTTCCTTGACCAGTGGTTTGAGCGCGTCATCGATGATGGATCCCAGAATTTGGTGGTTCAATGATTCGGGGAAGATGATCAAGGAGGAGATAAGCGCGACTGCAAAGTAGAATGCAGCTGGGATGAGGAGGAACTTCTGTGTACTGGTCAGGGCTGAGGGTCCTGAGTGAGACACTCACAGGCAGCAAGAAGTCCGGTGTAGGATAGAGTGGACCATAGAGGCAGAGTACTGCCACAATTTGTTAGCCACGAAGTGATTCATGTGCGACACTTGCCATCCAACACACTGACGCCGAAAAAGGCGAACAGCATCCTACATGGAATCCATCAGCACCGGGCATGCTCCGGCAGAAACTCACAATCTCGGCTTGGTAGCTCTGATCCAGGCGAGACCGTAGACGCCGACAAAGAAGAAGACCGCAAAGACGACGGTTGACCGGATATCGAGAAACTTCCCATGATATGCAGCTTCTCGTACTGAAAAAAGTCGTCAGTCAGCCCTTTTCTGTCTTCAAATCCTAGACAACTCCCTCACCCTCGTTGGTGATCTCTCTTGCCTGTGCCAGACTGTCGAGCCCAAGTGAGCGAGCTCCTTTTAGAGTTGAACACGATCGCAAGCGACCCACCTCAAATGAGCTTTTTCAAGTTGGCTCGCTAGTAACGTCTTGTCCCTGGCTCTGAATGCAGAAATCATGGCTGCCGCTCCCCAGGCCCAACCCGTCATCATACCCAGAGCGAGGGTCATGAACGACATAATGAAGATTCCCAAAGCCATAGAGGGAGGCACGGTGATCGACAACTGGGTTCAGGTCAATGTTGTGGCACTGTTTTAAAGGTCTTCCTGGATGGACGGACGGACGGACGAACGGACGAGCACGCACCATCATGGCAAAGTAGGCGGACCTGCCCTGGATCTCGAGCGCTGAGAACGACTCAGATGAGCTGATAAGAACGGACAGGACAACTCGGACCCTACTCACTCTTTCGGCATACAAGGAGAACGACTGTCCCGAACAATGTGATCATACATCTCAAGAACGTTTTCCAAGTCTGCCGTCTCTTGATACTTTTGATAAACCATTTGGGCGGTCGAAATCTGGCTCTAGTACCACCACCACCTCTAGCGCCGTGATCGTTCTTCTCAGATGCCATTGTTTTCTTGTGTGTGAGTGAGAGTTCAAAAACAGGTTTTCAAAGACGAAGATCACGATCTGCCAGTCAGCACATGCATCCACATGAGGGCGTCCCAGGTGATCGGACGATTTCTACCTGTTCAATTTCCCCCTCCATGCTCGTCCAAAGCGTCATGTATGTGAGAGAATTTGAGCCCGAGATTCCAGAGGTGGAATCATTTGGCGTTTGTCATTGAGATCTTCCGGCGCCGGCCCATTTTCTTCAAAATACTCGTTCCTCTCTGAAGAATGTATAAATAGTAAAATGACATCAGGTTGTGAGTCACAACGACCGACCCAGCCTCACGAGGACCCTCCAGATCTCAGGCCATATGCATGATATGATACCCCGGACAAGACTAATTGACGCCGCTGATGGACAGGGTACGGCATGTTTCCAGCCAAAGAAAATTGGCCCCCCCGAGACGGGACGGTGTGGCGGTGGCGATAATGTGCGAAATCGAAGTCACGATGTACCAAAGGCTATCTCAAACATTGCATTAATAATAAAAGATCCTGTACAAGATGATTGCGTTTCAGAGATCACTAAACATCTCACGCTCTCCTCTCTCTCGCCCTGTCGAGCCCTGCCAGACTCGTCTCGCCTACTAAATCTGCAATCTCCCTCGTCAGCTCTTCCAAACCACTCGCGACATAGGTCATCGCCACCGTTGTCGCTGCGAAAATGGACATTTGCTCATCCTGCGAGGATATTCAGCTTTGAGCCTTGGCAAGATAAATGGGGGCTCAAACTTACATGACATAGATTCCATGTCAATTTTTGGCCCAAAGCCGCCAATGCCTGATCTTCTTCCCTTTGCTCAAAGTTCGGCTCTGAATCACCTTTCCAAGCGTTGGTGCGGGTTCCATCGGAAGACTGTGAATGGTACACTAGACGTTCAAGGATCGATGTGTTGACGGGAAGAGGTCTGCCTGCCTCCAAGCTAGAATGTAAGAGGTAGAAATGGTGTAAGGAGTCGGCGATCTGGGCGAATCAGCACGAGAGCTACGTGGGACACTCACGAAATCAGGGTTCATCAGATTGGTTCTCTCCAACCGTCTGGCCCACTGAGGCTTCAGACGAGCGTGGGCGAACCCGAGAAGAGCAAGTGCGTTGAGAAGACCTAATTGTGCTCTGAATATGGCTTCATATCGCTTCTTCGGCCACGGCCCGCGTACACCAGGCTCAAACCTGCACATCGTGAGCTGAGAATTGGGGAGCCTCTCACGAAGCGAAGGCAATCTTTTGCTCAATCACACTGAGCTGGCCCTGGAGCCGATCAGTATGGAGCGTACATTGAATCACTCACCATGACGCCAACGAATTGGCCTCTAATCCTATCGATCCTTTTCATAACGACATCCTTTTCCCTCGACTCATCTTCGACTTCCGTGTCATTTTCAATTGACTGGATGATATACGAGTACAGGTCCGATGTACTCGATATACACCGCGCGAGGGTCAAACGGACATCTCGCTTCGCCGAAAGAGGTCGAGGGAACAGCATGATGATGAATGCAGCAGCGAATCCAATGAGAACCAAGAGAGCTCTTCGTCCTGCCAAAGCGGCACCAGCCCCAGAGTTTGCGACTTGAACGACGTGCTCGTCAACCCAGGAGTACCCGACCACAAATACGCTCATCACAGCGATCATGAGCCATATAGCCATCGACTGAGGGGGACAGACGAGGCGAATGAACATGAATGGCGAGACAAAAACCATGGTCGCCGCTGCGATACCATAGGGATTTCCATGACCTTTTCCCGGAGCACCGATGTACCAGATGACCATTCCGTTGATCAATCCACCTGCTGTACCGATCACTCTGGCCACAAATCCTGCAATCTGTTCACCGGGATACACACCAAGACCCATCTGAGCCATGATAACTGCCCATAGACCTTTCTCAGAGTAGACAAAAAAGGCAGAGTTGTGGCATAAGAAAGGAACTTGCAAGGCCACACTGATAATCGCGTACTTGAGGGCAAATAATCCTTGAGGGGAAATGAGGCGTTTGCCAAAAGCTGAAGCCGATCTGCCAAACCGTTGAAATCCATTACGGGGATCTTCAGCATCGGCATCTTTTGGCCATGTACGCTTCGGCTTGTCCGGCTTGTCCACAAGGGTGAGCTCACTACCGGTGTCGTCCTCGTTGTCTGTACCGAGTTGTAGTGGATTTGAAGCCTCGCGGTCATTGGCAGCGCTAGCCAACATCTTGGCGAAGGCTGCAGGCCATTGGATCCGGGCTCGAGGGTTTGACTTTTCGACGTCAAGCAAGAACTCTAGCAGTTCCACCGTCATGATACCGAATGAGATCAAGGCGGTGGTGAAAACGTGGCAGCGGAACAAAGCGAAGGAGGACGAACGAAGAATGTGCGTCTGACCAGGTTTAAGATCGCCCGAGGGATCAAAGAGGTCTTTGACCTGCTCCAGTAGCTCGAATGACTTGCTCTTGCGATACTCGGCAAGCGTTTCGCGAAGATGATCCAAGGTAGCCTGGCGAGAGGCCATGTCGGTAGCATCTTTAGGGGCAGCCTTCCATCTCGAGTGATTGATAATGTTCAGCCAATCAATCGTCCCTGAGATTCCGTTTTCAATGGCTTGTCGTAAGTCGCGAGTGCTCGATTCGAGAATAGGGAAGAGATCCTGCAGTGAAGTGCCTTGCTTTCGGTGCTTCTCGATACCTTGCATCCGCGATTTGAGGGCTATCCCTCCATGTTTATCCACATGCTCTCGCGTGGATAAGTCTTGCTCCAGGAGTATCTGCGAGGTCAGCATGTCCGTCCGACTTGAGACTTACAATGAAGCTCGCGAGGACATGAGATGTACCTCCTACCTGCTTGACTTTGTCAAACGTTTTGGCGAGATTTGCACCGCTAATTTGACCTCGTGTCACTTCAAGCTGAAGCATGGCCATTTGACCTTGGAGTCCACCGATCGCTGCGACGATGCCGCGTCGGATCCCACGAGCCTTTTCAGCTTGCTCCCGGATATGAGCGGAATGTCCTGGATCTCCTTTGAGCACTTCGTCCTGCAATTTCAGCTGAGAGAGAATAGGTCTGAGAGTGGTGTCGATGATGCTTGTTGTGAGCTGGTGATTCAAGGATTGTGGGAAGATAAGGAGAGTAGTGGCCAAAGCGATGGCAAAGTAGAACGCTGTCGGAATAAGGAGAATCCGCTGGAAGCTATGAGCGGTGTCAGAGGCATGATGGTGACTCACCGGTAGCAGGTATTGAGCAGTGGGGAATAATGGACCGTAAAGCGACATGACTGTCTGTCAATATTGTGTATTGGTCCAGACTTACCATCCAGCAATATGGTCCCAAAGAGACAGAACAACATTCTGAATCTTGTCAGTGATGGGATCTTTTATTTCCCCCCCTGACACTTGCAATCTCGGTTTGGTCGCTCTGATCCATGCAAGAAAATACGTCCCCACGAAGAAGAACACGGCCATGACCGTTGAAGACCGAGGATCAAGGAAAGCTCCTCGAAAGACGGACTCTTGAACTGGTTTGGGCACTCAGCTATTGAGGATCATCTCTCGGTGACCTACACTGCGCATCGATATTTTGATCCGCCGAGAAACTATCATCAACACATCTTCATAGCTTTGAGGCTCACCCGCTCTCGACTTTTTCGTATTGCGAAGCCAGCAGGACTTTATCCCTAGCTCTTATTGCCGATGCCATGGATGCACATCCCCATGCCCAGCCGAAAAGCATGCCCATAGCTAGTGTCATGAATGCAAAAATGTACAAGCTCAAGGCGAACGACGGTGGGATAATCATGGCGAGCTGGACAAATTTCAGTCCTGGACGGGCTTTTTGGCTCACAATCAGGGAGAAGAAGGCCGCTTGACCTTGCAATTGGAGGGCTGAGATCTGGGTCAGCAATATTGTCTCGACGCATGACCCACTCTTGTTACACAACATCAGGATGAGGGCCGCAAACAGAGCAACGAGACATCGGATGAAAGTCTTCCACTGCCGACCGTTCTTCAGACCCTTCAAGAGCCACGGAGGGAGCTTGGCAGACATCTTGCTCCCTTTCGTGGAGCTCTCAGATTCCTTCTCATCTGCCATGTTGATGAGCTGCGTCGTAACACAAGATTCATTCCATGTATTTGACCTTTTATTAGTTCGGTCTCTGTTTCCGGAACCGACCTGAAGATGACCTGATTTTGTTTACGCGCAAAATTCCGCGAGAGCGGATTTACCAGCCTAGCACATAATGATGCATTATGCTGAAAGGTAGACAAAGTCACTCAGCAGGGTCGGACGCCGGACCAGGCTCTGAATCCTGACCAGTGACGACCTCTACTGTCATCCCAGATGTCGTCCCAGCAGCCAGATGTCTTTCGATTGCAGGCTCTGCTAATTGTCCAGTGGATGCGAGGTCTGGTATCTCGTCAGGCACGGGATCGCCTAATGTCTGTGCTTCGGACGCCACTGCCACTGGACCCTCTCGCTGCACCGGCTCTTTTGCACCATCGACCTCCATCTGGATGTCAGAATCGCCTACTTGAGCATCGTTGATCTCGACTGTGGTGTTTGCCATCTCCCCATCGGCAGCGTCACTCTCCTCTGCCTTTGGAGCCGGTGCTTTGAGCTCGCCAAGAGTGCCATCAAGGAACTTTGATCCACAGGTATTGCACACTGTTTTCAGTTCAGCTTCTCCCCATCATGGTCATGACTTACGTGTAGCAGGACCCCCTGGGCCCCTTCGCCAGACCTTGAGTCCCGCAGTGGCACATCCCTCGCAGATCTTTCCAGGTACACCTCGCTTCTGGAAGCGCCCACTAGGACTTTCCTCGACACCATGTTTGGGTACCTTTGGCGGCTTTGGCATTTTCAATTTTCCGACCTTTCGATTGACTGCTTTCTTCGCTCCTAGAGCTACTCGTTCGTCTAGTAGGTCGAGTGATACTGGCATTTCGAATTCTACCTCTGCCTCAGGCTCGTTTCGTCGTTTCTTCTGTACTTGTACAGGAACGTTCCAGTGGACAGGTTCATCCTCTGGTGGAGGGGATGTTAAGTAGAGCGGCCGAGTAGATAATGGATATGGTCGTGGCGCCCAGCGATCGGCCGATGCTTCGATTAGGTCGGAGGACGTTTCAGCAAGTCGATAGTGGAGGAATTTCCTCGGAGGAACCCGGGCGAGGAGAGAGCCAAACATTGCTCGCTTTCGATCTGTGTAAGCTTGCCACAGTCGGACCTGAGTGGTAGGAAGACGCGGGGAGCCCTGTACGACAAGGTCGGGTTCTTCCTCAGCCAGAATAGAGACTTCAGCATGCTCAGCCTCGAGTAATACCCGTTTCATTTTCGCCCAGGCAAGGTCGTCCATCCCGCAGAGTCGCATTGTCACTGCCTGAACCGGATCGTCGTCAGGATACCACGCTTCTGCACCGAGGTTAAGCATCGGAGGCCGGTCTGTCTTGGCAGGTTTCCGACGATCAGGAGACGAAGATGGGTTCTGAATCGAGTCCTCTTCAATGTCGTAAGCCTTGTTCTCGAATGGTAGACGCTTGGACATAGACTTCCAGTCTGGTGGCATCCAGTCTGTAGTGGGTAAGAAAGTCGATATGAGGACGGTACCGGGGGGCGGTGCCATTCCTGATAATGGGGGCAGACCAGATGTTGGTAATTCTGGCGTTGGGGTGGGCAATCGGACAGATTCAGGCGGGGCAGGGGTTGGCTCTCGTTCTTCCTTGTGTTGACGCCCGAGAGATTGCCGCGTCCGCTTGCTTATCTCTTGCGGAACGATGACCTCAGGTGTGGGCTCAGCAATTGGCGCAGGTATCGGTGCAGGCGAGGGAGGTTTTGGTGCTGGATGAGTGACGTGATCTCCACCTATTCTGGAGATAAAGGATTGGGCGCCGATTGGTAAGAGGTATTTCTCCGTCGGGAGCTCTCTGAAGGCCAAATAGAGGAAAGGAGCAGGAAGAGGATAACGTCGTGGTGGAGGTGGAGGTGGACCAGAAGGTGCGGGGGATTGGGTATGAGGGGGAGCTCCATTGGCTGCGGACGGCTGATTGCTAGAAGCAGCAGCGCTCGTGCTAGGTGCAACAGGGGTCTGTGGGGTCATTTGAAAGCTCCCAAAGTGGCCCCCTTGAGGCCGAACCACGGGAACAGGAGGCAGAGGTAGATTTGTCGGAGGACCGGTGGGTGCAGACGCTGTCGAGGGCATGGACGTCGGAGGACGCGGATGAGGAGGAGCAGGTGATGGTACATCAGAACCAGTCGGATCGGTAGGATTGACCGGAGTTGAATCGGTGTTCGGCGGAGGTAATGATGTGGGTTGGGTTGAAGAGGTCTGCTGAGTTTGCAACTCTGACGCGGAGGGGAGCTGCGCCTCGCTCTGCTCAATGACCGGTGACTCTGTCGGCTCTGGCCCACTTCCTCCACCGACTTGTTTCCGACCCGTCATATCTGGTTCAGAGTCCGAGTCTGAAGGTATAGGCGACAGGGACGAATCTGACCCTGTGGAGTCGAGCGGAGGCCTTGTTGTGGGCTGTGCAGATGAGGACACAGTTGATGTTGCCGCTTGAGGGCGGACAGGCGGGGGTCTCGGAGGTCTGGGCTGCGATGTTGATGCTGTTGTGGGAGCTGCTGTCGTAGGCTGAGCAGCAGCTTGGGCTGCTGATGACGATAGACCAAAATAAGGTCCCTCGCCAACACCTTCGCCTCTGCCTAATCTCGCTACGATTCTAGCCAATTTAGCTAGTTCTTCTTTGGATGCACTGTTCCGAGCGGCTTTGTGGATAATCACCGACAGCCAGGGATGTTGAGCGGCAGCGGCATTGACACGTTGAATCAGAGCGGGATCCTGAACGACGCGTCAGATGTGTCGGTACGTGAGATGGTCAACTCACGATACCTGGTCTCGGTGGCCCCGGTCTCACAGGTGGCCGCAACGGCGGTCGACCGGGTCCGGCAATTGGGCCAGAGGACCCAGGGAGACCCGGTGGACGGATAGAAGGCGGTCTTCCTGGTCCTGGAGGTCTACCTACTGACCCTCTTGGTCCGGATGATGGGACGGGTTTCGGTCTTAACCCAGCTTCTTCCTCCATCTTCTTTTTGTGTCTCCTTATCCTGTCTCTCTCCGCTTTTTCCTCCTTGGTGAGAGGAGGTCGTTTAGGAACGCTAGCTCTGGGGGAGACGAATCGACCGATCCAAAGTTCTGTCCCTGGAAAGGAGATGGGTCCGATGGAAAAATCCACACGGGCTATACATTTGCCTTCGTGAGCTGGTACGTGGTTTGATTTGTCCTTGGTTTTCTTTGATGACCCCTTGGCATCTTCTTCTTCGCCCGCTTGCCCATCGCCGAGTTCTTTATTTTCGTCCGGCTTTGACAGGCCGTGATACTCGTCCATTGGGAGTGGGAGGTCCGGTAGAGCTGGGGTTGGGAATATGAACGTCGATTTGGGAGGAAGTTTTAATCGAGGTCGGTTATAGGATGATATGGGGGGATGAGAAAAGATGTGAGGGAGCAAGTGAGTCAAGTGGTGTTGACGTGTCTGAGTGAGAGAATAGGAGAGTACCAAGCTGTGAAGTATCAGACTCTTGTCCCGAAGTCTATGACTTGCCTTTCAGCAAGGCTGAGAAGAGGTTGATTCGGCAATTCCTCCTCGACAGCTTCTCCTTCCTCTGCTTCTGGGGCAAGGTCCACAGCTGAAGCATCCCCTTCGTCTTCTGCATCGGCGTCCTGCATTTCAACATCCTCCTCGACCTGAGCATCCTCCTCCGCTACGGCCTCGTCGACTACTTCTTGCTTCTCAGCCTCATCCTCGACCTCGTTTACGATTTCTACATTATCTTCGCCCACCACCTGAGGTCGAAGTCCAACCGGCAAGTCGAGGTGAGGAGTAGGTGGCAAGCCAGCTCGTGTCAATGCTCGAGCTGCCGCCGCCATCCCCGATTGCGCGACCCAGACCCGCTGGAGTTGGCAGACTGATGATGCTTAGTATGAAAAGCAGATGAAGGTCAGATCCAAAAAGATGCAGCATTTCAAGCGCGTTCAACCCCCCCTCCACTTTGCCAAATTGCACCAGTAGACAATGAGTAGTATAATGTATGTACATGAGGGACTCTGAATCGGTAGACACTGACACTATGCTTCTATATGATCTAAGCTGTATATAGAGAGATTCGCATTACGCCAACGCCGACGCTTTCTCTCCCATAGGAGGTGCTGCCAAAGTCTCAGTGGTCGTATGAGGTGTCACATGATCGGAATGACCACTTTCGCCATGACTGATAGCTGGATCTGAGGGGCCAGGGTTGATTCTAGTCTCTGGTGTGATGTATTTGCCAGGCCAGAAGAAAACATAGGTGGATATACCGAGGAATAGGGGTAGTGTGTCAAGACCGAGGACTAGAGAGCGAGATGAGCTAGGGTACTACTAAATTTGCAGGCTCACAGAATCGCTCATGGGTTGCGAGGTAGCCGATGTACCTTCGACTCTTGTCAGTTCGGGTTCTCTTCCCCTATCGAATGAGCTCACCCCTCAGAAAGCTCGACAGTTCTGAACACACTTCGAATCATAAAGCAGATGCAGGTGAAACCCAAAGCCCAATGCAAGGATTTCCATCCTTTGCGTTGCCACAGATCTTGATCTTGGAAACGGCTGCCAGTCTCTGATCAGCTGAGCTGGAGGATGATTGATGCCGAATGCACTTACACTCGGAATGCAAACATAGCCCAGATGAACGAGAAGAGGATAAAGGATCCCATTTGCGCTGCGATACCAGCTAAGAAGATATGACCTCCAGTCTCGGCTACGGATGGTTTATTGGCTGTAGAAAGACCACCGCCAGCAGCTTGAATCAGAAATGTGATGACTGGAGAGCAGGTCAGTTCAACCACTACATACGCTGACTCACCATCAGAGATGATGAAGATTCGACTGATGAGTCTCGCTTTGAATGGTCGAAGATATTGAGTGCCATCGAGATGCTGAACCAAGCGGCCCAGTAAGATGTAGTCTCCAGCTAGGAAAGCGCAGGGCTGACTTGTAAGCACCGTAGTGACGGAATCGACCTACTGAGAGCACCACAAACAAGTACATGACAATGTAAAGTCCTGATGAATGCAAATTATTCCTCAGGGCTAATCTCAACGCCAATCCTAGTCCTTCGCAGTACGCTCCGATGACAAGACATAGCATGTAGTTGGCTCGCCATTTGTAGTTGACTAATATTGTCAGAAGCAGAAGCCAATCATCAGAAGGAGACTCACGGAAAGTCAAGATGATGGCCACCGTGAAATAGAGTGCGGCGGCAACAGCATTAAGTGGGATAGAGGGGACATATCGAAGGGGATTGCATCTGGAGGATTTCTTGTGGTCAGTGCTTCCGATCGATTGATCCAGGGGGTGGTGGACCTACGTGTCTTGAGATGGATCGACCTTTCAAGGGTCAGCGTGTCGCTGTCCTTTTCCATTGAAGAGATGCTCACATATGGGTCCGATGGGCAGTCTTGCTGCTGAGCCAAAGTGACCGCCAAGCCGGCGGCAAGAAAGAGGATGACGGAATGGCGCATAATCAATCCCTGTTGAGCGATGATGCTAGCTGCGATTGACGGGGCCAGGAGGAGTCCCTTGCTGCAATCGAATTTCCTCGTCGCTCAAGTAGATGTCATGTCACAACAACGACGAAACTAAATGCATCCTCCATTCATCGTCCCACAATCGATCACAGACACGGAGACGGGCAAACACATACAACACAGTCACCGCATCGGAAAAGGGGAGACAATTTTTTCACGAATGGCCCGAAGCCCGCGGGGAAGGTCGGGGGCAAGTTCATAAGCTGCTGCTTGCTGCTTCTTGCTGCCGCTGCTGCTTGCTGGAATCCAAGCAATGATCACGCCAAGCAATACAACACATCATCTACAATCTATGTCCCTCCTGGCTTTGGCGGATTTTGTTCCTGCTGCGGCTGAGGCTGCTGCTGCTTCTGCTGATCTCGACGTTTGATGATTTCTACCTAAAAGTCCCCGGTCCCGGTCAGTCGGCGGCGGCGACTCGCAGCGCTCATATGGTCCTTCACTCACATGATTGCCAGGGAACCAACCCGTTTTACCATTCCTTAATCTGCCTCTCCACCAACCTCTCTCTTGCTCTGACGATCCATTATCCCTTCGCTCCAATACAGCGACGATTTCATCCCTTCCAAGGGGTAATTCCCATTCTTCATTTGCATTGAACTCCCATCTTGCTCTGGCAAAGACGAGCTTTGAAGGATCCAACGTTCCATCTGAAGCGATCATCCCCTGTTGCTGTTGCTGTGCAGTCGTGGCGATTAACAGTTTGACCAAGCGTGACATAAGCCACGGTAATCCGACAGCGGAGAGCAAGAATAAGATGAGAGGTTTCGAGCTGGGTCTCTCGGCTGGAGGACCGCCCCCTGCTGTCCATTCATTTGCCCAGCCCTCCGTATTGATTTTTTTGCCCCGAAGCCAGGCAACTATACGGCGACCTAGTCTCAGGATGGAGAACACCCCGAGGACCTGACCAAGATAGGTCTTGAGGGATCCTAATTGATCCGCTACGCCTACCATGGCGAAGAACGACGAATGAGTGGCCATGTAGGTCGATTCGACAAGCTGAGCGAGAGAGGTGAAGGCGGTGACTATGGACTCGATGATAGCAAAAGCAGGTGCAGTCGTAGCTTGTAATGACGACGTGAGAGTCGGGTAGCCCTGCGCCCATCAGTAGAATTCCCTGGAGCGAAAGTCCCCCACCTCGCCGGGACCTCCCATACCGCCTACTCCGTATCCTCCCATCCCATACCCTCCCCCATATCCATATCCACCTGCTCCTCCAAACCGGCTCATAGGTCCACCGTATCCATACCCACTATATCCTCCATAGCCACCATAGTTTGACATCCCATACGATGGCGTTGTATAACGTGGCTGATAGAGAGACGACTGTGCATAGTCTGCAGAAGCGTATCAGCGTCCTTTCTGACTTTTCAACACTGACTGCTCGGACCAGCAATGTCAAACCCTGCAGGTCTATCCGGCAGTTTGGGGGCGGTATTTGAGCTAGAAGTCGCTACTGCCGTCTCAAACGCGGATGGACCGTTCGATGCCGATCCAGCTTGAGTCTGAGAAGTCTCCCATGGCTTCGGTCTAGGTGCCGCTGATGACATCGCGGGAGGTATGGTGGATAGAAGTCAAGTCAAATAGCAAAGACCTGACAAAAAATGCCCAGCTTTCGACCCCGGGTTCAATTTCATTAACCGGTGGGGAAAGCGTTTCGCGTACACATCCTCCTCCTGTTGACCACCATCATTCGACGGCAGAGGAACCATGAGATGACGTCTCTAGGGCGAGCTCGGCTGCCCTCGAGTATGGAGAATGGTCCGACAATGCATATCACGCGGAATCCCGCTATACGCATTCGACAAGCTGTCCGAGGTGAGCTTGAACGAGTTTTTGCGAGGGCAGGACAAGCCGGCTTAGATGACGCACGCAGATAATAATGTTCCACTCCTCGCTCGACTACAGCATAAGACTGATCTCAGGAACACGGATCGTAACAGATTGACCAGTTTAAGCTGGTCAGCTATTGATGGGAGCTTGGAGGTGTTTGAATGGCTCTTATTGGATTACGGACATGATGATCAAGAGCTAAGTCGAGTGAGTCCACGAGGTCTCCAACATTGTATTGACTCTGTCTCAGGATGCCGATAACAATACCATCCTCCACCTACTTGCGTCTGTCCCTTCGCCTCCTGGGTTATCACCTCATAATCACCTCATTGAATCTTTTTCATTTTCTCTTCGTTCCACTACTCGACCAATCTCTGAACAAATTGCCATTTGTTTACGAATGACCCACCTCTACCATACAGTCTTCCCGTTCATCCTTGATTGGTCCAACTCGGGTGGTAAGACGGCTCTCCATCTCGCTGCTCAAGCCGGAAACTCGCAATTCGTCAATACTCTATGCGACTTTGGGGCAGATATCGACTTGACAGATCTACAGGGCAATTCTCCTCTGCATTATGCTTCTGCCTGGGGCCATATAGAAACCATCAAAGTCCTGTTGGATCGAGGCTGCCCACACAACGTCAAGAATGTCGATGGCTTCACAGCTGCAGATTTCGCGTACTCGCATACGGTCAAGGCGGCCTTGGAGGCGGGAGTGAGAGAGATCTACGACGGCAAGCGGAATAGACGAAAAGCAGAGATCATCTCGAACGAAATAATGAACCCATTAACGGAACCTAGGATGAGATCTGGAAGCACTTCGACAGGTCGTTCAGGGTCACGACAGCCCAGTTCTCAGCCCATCATGAGGAGGGAGTCTGAACCGAATTCTAAACGACCAGAAGTCTTACCTTTAACCATTGATACGCGCATACCTCGACCCTTTCCTGGTAGATCCCCATCACTTCCCGTATCATCTCATCCGAAATCACCTCCACCGCCATTACCCGGCCCGCAAGTTATTGGTATTCCGACGAGTCAAGGACCGCCCCAGAGCTTACCTATGCGGAGGGCCAACTCGGCTCAGACAGGAAGCTCAGCCAGTGAAGGATCACGCAGAGCCCGGGGCACACCAATTTGAGCAAAGGAGTAGATGATGATATGCATGGATACAGTATGCTATGCGTGTGCTTCCTGCCTCTCGCCCCTGTACTCTACCTTGACCTGCTCCTCCAGGTCGTCCGCATCGATGCTGTCGCTCATGGCACCACCAAGACCGACATCATCAATTGCCTTGTTCAACTGTCCGATCTTGTGATCGTCTCTAAGAGGAGCACGACGAGCAGCTCGTCGAAGAGCCGCAGGACTTTCCCTCTTGGACGCCGCAGATTCCAGCGCAGGCACAGTCCTGCCTGGTTTCTTCAGTTTCTCGTAAAAGGCTCGAGCTGTCTTGATGCCTCTAGGCGCTGTTCCCAGGATCTGGCCCCAATCCGCAGAGACCTTCACCATCTTGTCCCTCAGCTCGACGATACTAGCATCGGGTGTAGTTTGACTGGCCAGAACGGCTCTGCAGAGTCGAGTGATTTGCTCAGACAACTTGAGCGGCCACTCAGCAGCCCGGACAACCGAGGGATTGCTGAATTCGTCCAGACCGGGTGAACTGAGCAAATTGATATCGTCTCGACCACGCATTGCCGTCGAGGGTACACGCAGTAATGACCCGAGATTGAATCCAAGGAGCACATTGTACGCCTGTCGAATGTTTGTTTCGCGAGTCTCATAAGGCGAATCCAAGGCACTCTCGACGAACATGGTAACGACTTTTGCGCTCGGAGAGATGGACTTCGGATAGTGCCAACGTTTGCCCTGGGCGTCAGTCTCTCGACCATTAGGGGGTGTCCATTTGTATGGCTGGTTTCTCCGCCCGAATTCAATGCCGAGCGGCAGGTGAGCCATCTGTCTTAAGACCTTGATGGCGGAGTCAAAGTCCGCAGCGTTGTGACAGCCAATCATCGCGTCTTCCCATACATACATGGGCCACGAGTCGCTACCCGTCGGAGGCTGATACGAGTTGAGGATATGTTGAATGGTTTCAGTTTCCTTCCCGACGGACAGTCCAAGGATTGCCACGCGAAGGAAGGCATAGTCGATGGTCTTGGCCAGCGGACGATGATACACAAAGAACTTGGAATAGGCAGCTGCAGCTTCACGTTGCTTGTTCTTAGTCAAAGCACTGACAATGGCCGTGGCACACCGGATGTCAAGTTGAAGTTTGGGCACGCTGGGTTTCTTCGACTTCATAGACGCGGGTTGGGCGTCTGAAAGATTGATGCCCCAGAGACTGGGAATCGCTTCAAGGGCAAGATCCGCGTCGCTCGACCTTCCAGCAAGAAGACACTGCATCGCTGCCAGAGCCATCTCTTCGTCCATATTTTTCTCGCCGGCCCCGAATTGGCGAAGAGCTTTGTCCCACAGGGCGCGTGCTTTCTCTCCTAACTGAGTCCGAGTGAATTGTGAATTTCCACCTTCGACCTCGGTGTATCGCTTCTCATTGGCGAGTGCAAATCGATCCAACAAACCATTGAATAGGATCGTATAAGTCACGGCATCCGGTGCCAGAGGTCCTTTGTCGTCCATGTTCAATCTGACCCGCTCAATTTGGGACCATAGACTGTACTTTGACAGATACTTGAGGTAGGCATTGGTTGGGGCCAAATCGATCTCTAAGTAATCGGTGGTTCCAGGTTGCAATTGGGCTACGTGCTCGCTGATGTGATTCTGCGATTGGTTGTAAATTTCGATGACACGTTCGATCTGACGCTTGGGAGGTGATGTCTGAGGAGAGAATGTCGTTTGGATCCCGTCGTGTTGAATACGGGTATAGGCGTTTATAAGTATTGCGAACGTTCTCGTGGAGGGTTTGATCCCCCTTTTCTTCATCTGGTCTGATTAGCGAGCCGATCATCCTCCACTGGCACCTACATCATTAAAGGTCTTCCACATGCCTTCAAGCTTGCGTTCTCGACCCAAGAGATGGATGATCTGATTCCATACCACATTATTGTGATAATGCATGGGCGCTTGACGGACAAGCATCACAGCTTGGCTGATCACTTTAGGCTTCATAGGGAAAGGATTCCGTCGGATAAGCTCCTTAATCTGTTGAGAGAGGATGAAGGACGGTGCATCCTCGTGTCGTAGACCAGGCTCATTACGTTTTGTCAGAGGTCCGGTATAACCAGGTATACGATTTGCAGAGGGTGGTCGCCGTGTCGCGATCGAATGGCGAAAAGGAGCCATACGCCGAGGTGGACCGTCACGAGATTGAGAAGCATGGTTGAGACGTGGATTGAACGGTCTCTGTCGGGCACCGCCGTCCCCTGCTACAGGTTGCCTGTCGACAGTGCGCGGTCTCTGCTGTTGACCGAGCAAGTGACCAGGTGTCGAGCCGAACGTTCGCTGACTCTCCTGACGCCACCTCGCCAATGTCGACGGACCGGGATCTCCATTATAGCTCCTTGTTATGAGCCCTCCCGCTCTAGCTACCAGTCTGTAGCTCATCGTGTGACGGTGGTCGCTATGATTCGGATTGGACACAGACTGGACCAGAAATTTTAAATAGGTGCATGCTACTGCGCTTATCAATTTTTGCCGTCGCATGAACTCCACGTCATGTTGTTTCACAACACACGCGTTGACCTGAAACGCCCCGCCTTTTTGGAGAACCTCGGAGAAGATCAATTATACATTACATGTTACTATTCTCGATGATATTGGGAGGAGCAGCGACTCGATCAGCGACATAGAGCATCTTGGATGGATTCATGACACTCGGAATCTAAAGGTGACGGCGGATTTTAGCCACCATCATGGCCTCTATGGCATCTTCCTCTACCCCTTCCTCTTCTCGACCTAGTTCACGCTCCAGACGCAAGACAGCTGAGAATTGGGACGATGACTTTGAATTCGCTCTACCTTCCAAACCTCGGCCGCCAGCCATCAAGCTCACTTCACAAAAGGAGAATGAACCAGAGTCTTCGAGACCTACACCCAAGTCCGCGTTGTTAGGCCGGACGAGCCCTGATTCTGTCTCCTCATGGTCCGATTCACCTCCTCGTTCGCCAACTCGTCTGGCTCCTCGTCATCCGCCAATCTCTCCTCGAGCCACGACATCAGCCTCCACAGACCTTCCAAGGTCGTCATCGACTTCAGAGCACCCATTGCTGCCCCATGATGTCCCACTTCCTCCCACGGTCCGTCGGCGATCCAATTCCAACTCGAAAACAAAACTCATCAAACGTCATCCCTCTGCGTCATTCGCTCCTATCGTCAACCCATCAACCACGTCCCTCTCGAGCCTATCGAATCATCACAATCCTCAGCTCAGACATGCACCTTCAGCAGAGGTCATGCCTCCTCCGCCCATCCCATCGAGAAGGCCTAGTTCCCGAAGCCAAGTGAGAGTCTCCGGCATACCATTTTCGCCAAGTCAAGATGACATGAAAGAGGGAAAGAAAAAGGGCTTCTGGAAGAGGCTCTCTGGTGTACCCAATGATTGTGAGTGAGGCTCAAGTTCGTCTTGATTGACATATCAGCCTCTGGACAAAGACGGAGACGCAGCTCATCGGTGGGATCTCCTGGCAAGAGCAGCGAAGTCGTACCTCCCTTACCACCTTTACCGCCGAGCATCCGCTCATCTTCTTCTACATCGGTAGCATCACACAATGGCGCCTCTTCTCCTGCTCAGCCTCCGACCTCAATCCTGCGCCGGTCTCACAGCTCGCTAGCTGGTACAGGTAGCACACCCCCGCCATCCTCATCGTTTTCTAGGCCGGCTACGCCGCCTCGAGCTTTGTCAAGTGGTTTTCATCTTCCATCACCAGTCCACGGATCTCCTTATCTGACCTCTCAAATGCCAAACTCTGCATCGTCTCTCCCTCCGTCCAGCTCGCACCCCACACCGCTACGCCACGACAGCGATACAGAGACCGAGGTCGATGGGACTACACCACGACGTAAACGCATCCGTCCAGTCTCAGCTGCTCCTGCTCCTCGGCAGACTCCAGCATCAACGGGCTTCCCTACTGCCACACTTCGTCGCATCAGCTCAATGTCCAAGAAACACGGTCGACGTCTCTCTGGGGGTTTCAAGTTTGGCACCACCTCGTCCACTTCATCTGGTGAATCCAAAATGCTCGAGACCGTTGTCGGATCACCGTCCAAGCCGATAGTGCATCGCCCTGAGCCGTCCACCGAGATTGATCTGAGAGACATTCGAATCGATAGCGTGTCTGCGCCGAGTTCTTCTTTCCGAGGATCGTCGCAAAGTGGCATGACGACAGACAAGTTGGACAAACTGGAGAAGGAAAGTCGACGACAAAGCTGGAATGACTTCGTCATCCCTTCAAAAGTCTTGGAACGTCAACGTGAACTTAAGCAGGAAATCGGTGCCGTGAAGAAATTCGCAGGAGGACTGGAACGGGTTGGCAAACTAGTGGACCTGCATCAATCCTTACGATCCAAGATAACGGTGGAGCAGTTAGCGATTTTCAACGATTTGGACTCGGAATACGGTCAATGGTTGGAGATGGCAACTGTGCTCATTGAAGTCGGTGCTACGGGCACTCAAGATGCCTCGCCTAGGGCCCGTCGTGTGACGCTGGCTTCTGACGAAGCGAAGCAAGCGGGCGAATTGTTACGTCAAACCGACACGTTTGGACCACGGAAAACGAGCATGCCTGATCCCGTCACGGCTGATACGTCTTTCCATGAACAATTGCGAGCTTCAACAGGTCGACAGGATCTGTCCAAGCGTCAACTCGAAGTCCTGAGGACGATGTTGAGAACGCCTGTACCGCCGTCGACTGCGCGTCGTATACCCGTTACACCTCAAAGAGCCATTGATCTGTCATTTCCCTCGCCATCTGATTCAGACTATCTCGATGCGCCATCCCCTCAGACGGCTTCATCCCTGGCGCGACCGCGTCGACCGACCCTAAAATCCCGTCGTAGCTCGAAAGCTGGACTGGCGGGATTGAAAGACTTTCTGAAATCTCTCAAAGGCGTTCCGCCAGGTCAACGATCATCTCGGTCTCCTACAAAGTCTGCCTTCTCCCGCGATGCGACTCCTGTATCTCCTCTTCAGTCGAGCTTCCCGACTTCCCAGACTTCGCTCTCGGTCTCTACAACTGATGATTACGTCTCGATATCACCACCAAGACGCATTCCTTCACCTGAAAAGGCTTCCAAGCGCCCCAGCATCCGAAGTATCTTTCGAACTTCTTCAGGCAATTGGTCAGACCTCGTTCGACCACCCACCACGCCAACTACCAAGACAGGCTTGGAACGACGATCATCCCGCTCTTCACGCAAGAGTCAAGAGGCCGAAGAGGCGGACCCTGGTGTACCTCGGTCATCTCGTCGGATCCCAAAAACGCCAACATCAGCTTTTGGCTTCACACCGCCTTGGAAATCCCCCCGAGAAGCTCTGAGCAATGGGGAGACTGTCCGACCTCGACGAAAATCAGGTATCATGGGCTTAGGAAATCCGGGTTCACCAGCTCAAGCCCAACGAGGTGTGGTCGTTTCCAATCCTGATCCTGTATTCCCTCGTGAAATTGATGGAGTGAGCAGATCGGCTTCTGCACCGACGATTGCGGACATGTCGGATGATTTGATAGTCGCTTTGACTCCGGAGAACCTGCCGGTGTTGTTGGATTATTTGAAGCAATGCGAATCCAAATTGGGTGAATGGAAAGTCAGAGTGGAAACAGTCATTGACTTGGCTGGTGGAAATCGATCCTCCCTGTAAGAGTCAATGCAGGAGGCGGCTCCGAAGATCTACATCAAATAGCAATCCATCGTAACATGTATCTATACAAACCCCATTGCCTTTTTCAGAATCCACCTTCCCCTCGAACTCGTTGGATAGCCCCCTTGACACCGACTAAACTCTTCATAGGTCCCTTGGGTGTTTCGCTCTTCTCGTTTCCTGGTAATTCTTTTCCATCCTTATCCCGCCAAGTCCCGTCTTGTCCCACTCGGCCGTACCATTTAGTGTTCTGATTCGCGTCTATGGCCTCTCGGATCTCTTTGGCTAGGAGTGAAGAATCAACGAGGACATTGATTTCCTGCGAATGGAACCATGATTGGGTATCTTGGTTCCCATTGCCTTGGATGATGATCTGCTCATCGACGACTGGAGCGGGTAAGTAAGGGCTCGCTCTGAAAAATTGAGAGCTCACTCATGAGCTTGACGTGACAATTTCGGCTCTTGTCTTTCGCGTTGAGAGGAGCCTTTTGATCTTTGCCAGTGTACCAATACCATTCGAGGTATTGTTTGTGCGTGTCTGGAAGTTTGTCATACATTGCATTCACGACCATTTGGTTCGTTCCGCCTTGGAAGGGAAGCAATTCGCCCTGACTATGAGCGAGAGTGAACACACATCGGAAGCTTACCTCGTCGTTGAAGCCGAGATCCGCATAGATTTCTACCGTGACGCACCGCATGCAAGTCTCCAGGGCAGCTTGTACGACTGGAGTGGCATTGAACGTGGGCGTTTGTCTATTATCAGTGATTGTTTGTACAAAGCTTTCCTCACATGAAGACTCTCGACTTTGCGAATTTGAAGGCTGCCAGCCAAGCTTGATCCTGAGGCACGTATGTATCGCCGTGTCCCGGTTCTAATATCAGTTACAATCTCAATCCATACTCACTCCCTCGTGGCGCCCGGTTGACCAAGGACATCGGAACAGGATCGTGAGGACTGTGCAGAACAATGGGTTTGAAGACGCCTGCATTCGGTGGGGGATCACTGTCGTTGCCTGATATCTTCTTGCCGGTGTCTACCGTCTCAGTAGGCTCCCAGCTCTGAAAGACTCACTCAAATGATCCGTGATCGAATCTGTGGTCTTGAGTTGGTTGTTCACCCTGTCCGCCTCTTGAGAGTCGGACGAGTCAAAGATACGGCCCAGCTTCTGTTTGACAGGGTGAACCTCGTCACCAGTCCTTTGTTCCGTCTCATCGTGATGCTTCGCAATCGTTTCTCTAGCAGTGTTGGCTGCGCTCTCGAGGTCTCCTTTGGCGTCGATGATGGGGTGATCTTGCCCAAAGATGTAGTCCGATTGGACTGGTTCCACTGGGTAGACTGGTGGCTTGCCGATGAGAGGTAGAGGTGGATTGAATTCTCGAGACCAAGATAAGATTGCCATATCGTAAAAGGACTGAACGATAGGTCCCTCTGCATGTCAGCTGTGTCCAGTGCTTTTGGCTCACCGATATGAGTCATCATCTCGACGTTGACCTGGACCGAGTCAGCGAAATTTATGAATCGTTGACTCACTCTATCCTGAATATTGTTACTATTGAGTAGAGCCACTTTGCGGTCCAGTACCATGTACTTGGCATGGAATGTACCGACTGGAGGGACGTGATAGTTCTGAACTTCCATTTGAATACCCGGGATCTCTTCAGGTGATGGCAATTTGACCTTGTCTCCGGTGTATGTCTTTGGGTCGACCGGTTGATGAGGTGAAACCACTTGTGATGGGTTTCCGCGATCGTAGGCTGCTGATCAGACGCGTCGCAACTTGGAACACGCACTGAGTTTAAGCACAACCTTTTCACCTTTACGCTCGATGACTCGGCGCGAAAGCTCTTTCATGGCATCACATATTGTCTTCGCTGCGCCTGAAGCCTCCCAAAAGTCTACCTGTCAGTACACGTCGGTGCCAGCCTACTCACTGGTCGCAAGGATTATTTCATGCTCAGCCCTAACGATCACATCCGCGTAGTGCTTTTCGCGCTCAGCTATTGGTTCAGGAGCGCAACATTGCTCACCTGGATAATATCGGGGATCACAGAGATAATACTCAGGTTGATGACACCGCATGAGCCCACAAGTGGAGGAGAAACCAATCCATTCAAGGGGTGACCTTCCAGACTCAGCAGAGCCTGAGCGTAGACCTGGAGATCAGAAGCTACATCAGCAGTTCACTCACATTTAGAAAGAAGTCACTAGGCGACTTCGTACCCCATTTGCCGCTCTTTCTCAGCTCTTGCAACTGCTGCTCGCTCAATGGATTGATGGCCTCCCATTGATCCATGGTTTTCAAGTGATTCTTCTCCGCCAATGACTCGTCGTCCTCCTCTTTGCTCTTGCTCAGATGTAACTTCTCCATCAATCCCTCCGATTCCTTCGTATCGTACTTATGGTGTGCATGATGACGCTTGCCGTAGATACTCTCTTCAACGCGCTCAACTGACCAATCTGGATGCGCAGCGAGAACAGTTGTAACTGTTTCAGACCCATTAATCAGGTCGCTCAATTCGGAGCTTAGAAAGTTGACGCCCTTCGAGCCAGCTGATCCGGCACCATTCTCCGATTTGTCCTTGAGCTGTCCTCCTACCATCGCGTGTAACATCTTCGTTTCTATCTCTTGTGGAGATACAAAAACTTCAAGATGCACAATTAAAGACCTCTGGATTCCTCAATTGTCAGTTGACCGAGACGGAGAGTTGTATGTCTCAGGAATAGATTTGACGTCACTATAGAGATCTATTTTTAGCCGAGAAGGTCACGTGATATGCATCGGTCAAATCCGAATTTTTCCGCTTCCATCCGAACGCCGAGGCATTTTTGGGATGATCGCGCATCTCCGTCTGTCTGTACAAGTTTATAACCAACCACTTGCCGTTGCATATGAGCAGATGGGCGAAGAATGACATCGCTAAATCCCTCAACATCCTCTGTTCATACACAATCCTCACCCAGCATGACAGCTGTCGATACCTCTTCACAAGATGATCACAAGGCGGAGGCTGCTCCACTGCCTCCGACCAGTGTCCCATCGTCTGGTAGATCTACAATTGACGCGGCGGGAGCACCGCTTGAACGGACCAACACCTCGAGTTCAATCACACATGCACACACCTCTTTGCGCCGCATGGCCACACATGAAACTGGCGAAGCTGTATGTAAAGACCAAGATGGTGCGGATCAATTACACACACATGACGAACACGAGGATGAACATGGTTCGTCCTCTTCATCGCACCGCGCCGGACCGGAATCAGACTCTACTCACGAGGAAGAGAAGATTGGAACACCGAGTGATCTTAAGATGAAGAAGAAGATCGAGCTTCAAGACCAAACGAACATTCTTCCTGCGAAACAGATCATACTGGTCATGGGAGGTCTGTCGTGTGGTCTTTTCTGCAGTTTGTTAGATCAGACAATGTAGGAGTGACCTTCTGTCCATTTCGCTAACAGACTAGCGTCACCACTGCTTTACCGACCCTTGGTAGAGTTTTCAATCGGGCAGATATCTCGACGTGGGTGGGCACAGCCTACTTATTGACATCTACGGTGAGTCCCTTCCCTTTTGTCGAAGCTGAAGGAATCAGGCAATGCAACCTATCTATGGCCGGTTGTCAGATATTTTCGGTCGCAAGATTATCCTCCTTTCGTCCATCTTTGTCTTCTTCTGTGGTTCCTTGGGAGCTGCTTTATCTCGCGTGAGTGTCACGATCGCAAACGTCACTGACAGGCCAGAGCATGATCATGCTGATAGTCTTCCGGGCCGTTACAGGTATTGGCGGTGGGGGTATCCTCACTCTCACCATGATCATTGGTAAGTGGAACCGAGGTTTCAGGAGCTGACTTCCAGTCTCCGATGTCGTCACACTTCGCGAGCGAGGCAAATACCAGGGGATCTTGGGTGGAGTCGTGGCTTGCTCAAACGCTCTTGGGCCGTTACTCGGAGGAATCTTCACCGAATCTGTATCATGGCGATGGTGCTTCTACATCAACCTGCCTCTGACTGGCTTCGCAGCGCTCATCGTCTTTTTTGTCCTCCCTCTCAAACGTGTCAACGGTTCCGTGGTCGAAAAATTGAGGAAACTCGACTGGTACGGGTCAGTTTTAACGCTCGCTTGGGCAGTGCTAGTCCTCGTTGCTCTCTCTTGGGCTGGCAACAAGTACGCCTGGGACTCGGCTGGCGTTCTCGCACCTCTCATCATTGGAGTATGCCTTCTTGGCGTGTTCATATATGTCGAGGCTCGATTGGTCCCTTTACCACTCATTTCGTTCCGCATATTCAAGACGCCAACGGTCAGCGCGTGTATGTGTACCTCGTTCTTCAATGGTGTCTCCTTCTATGGCACTCTGTACTACCTCCCACAGTACTACCAGATCGTTCGAGGCGACTCAGCGATCCGCTCCGGAGTGTTGCTTCTTCCTCTGATCTTGACTCAAACGGTCACGTCGTTTACCACTGGTTACGTTCAAAGCAAGACAGGAGAGTAAGTCGAGACGCGTGAGCGAAATCTGACAGCTTTCCCAGCTACTGGTACAATCTTGTCATGGGATTCTCCATATGGACCATCGCGCTTGGGCTTCTATCGACCCTGGGACCCGACACGAGTTTGGGTAAATTGATTGGCTTCCAGATACTCAATGGAATTGGTGCCGGTCAGACTTTCCAAACCAGTCTCATGGCCATCCAAGCATCCGTCGCGAGGAAAGATATGGCAACTGCCACTGGCTTGCGAAACTTTATCCGAATGCTCGGAGGCACGCTTGGTCTGGCAATCTGCTCCGTCTTGGTCAACAACATTGCTCGAAAGGATCTTAGTGGGAGTGGATTGAGCAGCGATGAAATCACAAGCATATTAAATGATCCGACCAGTAGAGGGACTTTGTCGGCGGCAATGAAGCAGCGAGTCATTCACGCATATGGTGAGTCATACCGGAGGGTCTGGTCGCTGATAGCCCAGCCCGCGGTATACAGACCTGTTTCCACTTTATGATACCTTGTGCCGGTATCTCTGTGCTTCTCGTCGTATTCTTTGTCAAGAAGGTGTCGTTGAAGCGTGACGATGACGCGCAGCGTAAAGCAGAAGGCAAAGCCTGGGTCGAGGCTCGCAAGGCGAAGAAAGAGGCGAAGAAGCATCACACTACTCTAGAAAAGATAGAAAACGGTGTTGAAGCATCCGGTCGTGGGATGGAAGAGGCCGCGGGTGTCATACCTCCGCGAGGTGAAGAGCCCATCGGAAACAGCACTGGCGAAAAGCCCGCCAACGATAGATGAGATGGTTAACCTGCATATGCATTGTCATTATGAACTGCTCTCCTCGACAGTACCTGATGCGATAGCGTCACCGACGGCCCATCGCCTAAAACCTGTGACCTGGACTTTGATGCCGCGCTCTTTTCCCCACTCAGCCAAGACTTCGCCTACTCGCCTCTCTTCGCCCATCATCATGAATGGTTGATCCATCAGGGCTTCGCCCTCTTCCACTGCCTCTTTCCCGCTCTTTCGACTGATGACTTTGGTCGGGAATCCGACAATCTGTCTCGCAATCGTGCGAGCAAGTTTTAATAGGCTCTGCTCCAAATCTTGACCTCCGGGTCCATGAATTAACGTCGCTATAGGCTTGTCACTGTCTAGTGATGTGACTCCCAGGACAAGGACTGCTCCGACCCTCCCGTCCGCATCGGACTTTCCACCATGAGCATAGCAACCCGGAACGAATCGTACATCCTTGCTGGAAGGGAAAGGCGCTGCGAATGTGACTGCACGCAGCAGTCTGAGATTCTCCCCTGTGGTCCCTAAAGCCGCATTGAGGGATTGTTGAACGGTCTGTGGCTCGGATGAGGATATCGGAGCTGGATCGCCTTCCTCTCGGGATGAGGAAGAAGGTAAAGAGATGACAGGTGCGGATGACAATGCTGAAACTGGGAAAGTCAAGATTGGATCGGCTCCCAACGTCGGTTGATGAGGTTCGAATTCCATTGGAATGTCCAAGAAGGCGGCAGTCGAGGCTATCCCACTGGCAGTCTTGACGAAGACCTCGTTCCTAGCTACGAAATCCGTTTCACATCCTAGTTGAACCATGCCTACACGTTTTCCCGATAATATAGAAACCGCAATGACCCCTTCGTTTGTCGTTCTTCCGGATAATTTGGCAGACTTTGCTGCTGATGAGGACAGATGCTTGTCCAAGTACTCTTCAGCAAGCTTCATATCATTGTTGCAAGCTGTCAGGGCCTCTTTCGCCAGAGACATGGGTACAGGTCGAGATTTCCGCAACGTAGCGATCAATTTGACGGATGGTTTGACGGCGTCCTGAAGATAAGGGCGAGAGGTGTGGAGATAACGCAAAGCTTGGAGAGAGAGAGGTTGAGCATATCGACTGCATGACCTCGACAAGGTCGGAACGGCGATGCAGGACATGCTGACTCGATACGGGCGAGATATAGCCAGCAGCCCTTTCAAACGTTTTCGACTGCTACAAAAGCCCCCTTCGATCACTGAATGAATCATGACGTGGGTGCACAGTACTCTCTGTCTATCCCTTATCAATCTCCTCCCCCTACGTAACGTAATGAGGGGGGATTGGGAGTGGAGGCAAGACTCTTTCAGGACATTTTGGAATTTTCAAAATCCTCTTCTCCATACATACGTTCACTCAGACGACCGACGACCAGGAGAGTGTGGGAAGGGCGTCCTCGATAGGGCTCTCAGGGAGGCGAGGGGGGAACAGCAAGGCTCAGGATAGAGACTGCAAGATGGCATCTCCGACTCATACTTTTGCCTCGATGACCGATTCCATGGCCAGCTCTAGTTCTGGTACCCATTACGTCTCCAGATCTTCAAATGCCAAAGGCAAAGGAAGGGCAATAGGCAGCGATGACTCGAAGTCTTGGATCAATTCTATATGGCAAACAAGAGATGGTAGGAGGCAATGGTCAACGAGGATAGGTGAGCCTGAGCCCATGTCTTGAAGCTGACGCAATCTAGGCATCTCCACCTCTTTCTCAGACATGTTGCTCCGTGCCCAAAGGCACCTTGACCTGGTTCTCAGGGACGGACAAGCACTCAATGTCATTCAAGTACGACAAGAGGGCAAGCAAATACCTATTGAAGATGGTCAGTTATCCAATGATCTCCAAGATGCATTCCTGACGGGCTTCTAGAATTCGATTGGGACGCGTTGAAACGACTGGCAATGGCCTCGGATGACCCCTTTTGGCCAGTAGTCCTTCGGGTCCATGCGCACTCAGGGTCTCCACGAGACGCGTCCTCCACTTTAGCTAGGACTCCAAAGGCTGTCAAGAAATCCGCTACTTCAGTCTCCCTCGGCCTACCCTCCGCTAGCAATGATGTCGATGTCTCCAGGAAACGGACACGGAATAAGAACAAGGCCAAACGGGATAAACGCCGAGCTCGGCGAGAGTCCAGGCGAGCAGAAACAGCTGCCCTAGATCAGTCTGAACCAAAACCCATCAAACGTCCTCGACCCTCCTCGCCTACATCTTCTGCTGCCAGCCCCCGGCCCACACGGAAGAAGCGTAGACATCGGAAGGACAGCTCGTCAGGGGCCGATAGAATTGGATTTCCGACACTGGATCCGTCCAAGAAACCTTCACATAACACCGCTCCAAATTACCGTCCAGTCAAACCTTCTCCATTAGCCACAGCGCATGATGTCTCGAGAAAGATTCCTGCGCCGGATCCACCACCAAATCAAACAAAGGGGAGGGCAGAGTCAGAATCGGCCGCACAGTCGGCTGCGAGTAGAGACGACTCGGATTCTCCAGAACCTGATCCACAATCGGCAATACCACCACAACCCGTTGTCAGCCTATCATCGAATGCGGACAATGCAGAATCAGTGGCACTCTCATCTCCTATTGAACCGGAGCTCGAGGAGCAAGGTAGCTCGGAAATCGGAGCAGATGAGAAACAAACCACCTCAGTTAAGGATCCTGAAGGTTTGAATGACGATACAAGTCAAAATCAGAGCGCAGAGCCATCCGATAACGAAAGTGGGGGTGAAAGCGAAGATGCTGCAGAAGATGAAAGCCGCAGTGACAGCCAAGAGGAAGGCGCACAAGCAGGCGAGCGGCTTCCTACCTCACCAATAGCAGGAGATCGTCCATGGTCTCCTCCTGAAGAGGAATCAGCCTCAGGTAATCAGTCCTCAAGTCAACACGAACTCGACGATGCGAAGTCTCATATCTCCGTCAGTTCATCTCCCGACCCTTTGGCGGACGCCGAGACGTCGTTGTCCCCTCAATCCCCAACGAAGGCAGCTGAAGACGAGCTGGTGCAGGAAACAGTCGAAATCGATCCACCTGAGGCCCTGAAGTCGGATGTCATCGAGTCTGCATCCGAGTCGGAGGAACCAAATTCAGATCCGACCTCGGACATTGCAGGAGCTGCTCCCCAGTCATCCGTTGAGCCGGACCCTCCTCTGCCGGTCGCTGCTCGCGCTCCCAGGACTCATCTCACTCAAACATCCCGACTCCTCACACCTAAGCGGCAAATCGATCTCTCGGCTCCTTGGAACTTGCTCCGCAAACCCAGGTCTCCGATCATTGATGCCAACTATTCATCCTCCTCTATCGAGCCCTTCCGGACTGATGCATCGACTTCAGCGGTCAAACGGCCGCGGGCATCTGCGTCATCTTCCAAAGACTTGAACGGCAGCCTCGGCATCACAATGAACAATTCTGCAACCCCTGTTCCCCCGAAATCCCGAAAGAAGTCTCAAGAGGACGCTGCGTCGTCTGAATCCAATCCAGTCAAGGAAGTGTCAGATGTTCTCATATCAGCTAGTATGACTGAGAAGGCTCCTGCAACCCCAAATGGCGATTTGTCGACCGATCTTCCATCGTCAAAAGCTGGTCGGCGAGGGAAGAAACAGGGCAGCGTGTCTGGATCCACGCGTCGTGCTGAGATTGCTCCCGACAATCTCGCCGATTCAATTGCCCAGCACCCGATAAGAGAGGCCACCAGTCACCAAGCTTTACATCAAGCATTGCCAGCAGAAGGGTCAGATGCACAACAGCCAACACACGGTCGCAGTGCAAGTCGCGCTTCGCCTGTTGAAAGAGCGAGGGATGGCATCCAGTCCTCTCGTGCATCTATCGAGCCGGCGATAAACATCGAGGAGGGAAGTCCCCTGAGTCAGGTAGACTTTTCCATCAGCAAGGAACCGGCCGTGCCCCTGCCTGGATCGCCTAGTTCTCGAGATGCTGCGTCAGTCGAAAACGTTGTCTTGACCTCTGCGCCCACCAGTCCTAAGCCAGTGACACCGAATGGCAACCAGGATCCCCGTCCTAAACGAAGCTTTAGGCCAGCTGCTAAGCGTCTCATGGGCATCGACCTCGATATCAGAGACGAAGAGACTGAGAGGCTAGGCATAGACGATCAAAAGGCAGTCTTGGCCAGTCGTGGAAGATGCTCGATTTGCCTTTCATCGCCACTTCACTTGCAAAAGGACTGTCCGAGTGTCAAAGCCGGAGTGGAATCCCTGGAGAGGATATTGGAGGAGCGGAAATTAGAGGCGGAAGCACAGATGAAGAAGACAATGACCAACAGACGCAAATCGCGGGTCTCACAGGAGACGAGAGACAGCATTGACGCTATCGAAAGCTGGATACGACGCTTGACGACAGTCAGGAATCGTGTGATGGGGCTGCAGGCCGATGTTGCCGATTCGCCGTCGGCCGAGCTCAATAAGCCAATCGAAACTCAACCGCGATTACCTCCTCTCCTGCAAAAAGTTCTTTCGAGGCCCAATCGAGCGGGATCCGCGTCGGTCAGTGTTTCTGACGCGTTCATCGAGACGGGCGAGTCTGAATCCGAAACCGACGCTACCGCGGAGGAATCCGAGCAAGAAGAGTCCAGCAATGATGAGGAGTCATCAGACAGCGAGGACTCACAGACTTCTCTGTCACTGGACGAGCCTTTGGATCTGGAATCATTCTTGAAACGACCGCCTACTCAGGATCAGCTTCGGAGGGCGCGGCTGTCGGCTGCTTCGATGCAGGCGGTGCAGCCGCCCAGTGTTGCCTCCGAGCCTGGAAACGGGTCCGAATCTGAAGATGAGCCGACTATCCAGCAAGTAGACTCTGCATCGTCCATCGGTGACTTTGGCGAGAGCGAAAAGGGAGATTCGAGGGAAGAGAGTGTCGTACGGTCGCATACACCTCCAGCTGTGGCATCATTGGCACCAGAAGAGGCTGTTGACGAAGAGTCTCTCGCTGTCAGGAGTGCCGATCGGTCAGCTAATAGACACCGGTCATTTATGGCCCTGCGCGGTCTTGGCAGCTCGAGTCCCGTGGTCGATATGTTTGACGGAGCTCAAGCGTTACAGGATGGTATTGACGAGGAACGAACACCTCTCTCGCAAATGGTCGGTCTCCCTAGCCCAATCTTGGTCCATGATGAGTTCGCCCCGACGCAATTGCGGGGCAGTCAAAAAAGTCAATCAGCGACCAAATCCTCTTCGCTCGCTCCGGCTGCCGAAATCTCCTCTCATCGTCAGACATCTGCACGCAAGACAGGTCATAGCAATGCCATCATCGAAAAGTATCGCAAATCTCAGCTGGCTGTTGATAAACCGCAGACTCCGCCTTCCGGTCCTGTATCTCAGCCGTCGAATGTGTCACCTGCAGTGAGCAAGCGATCCGTATCGAAGGAAATCACTGTGGAATTGTCTCCAAAGACTCGGACCATGCGGAAATCGCTAGTTCCCACAAGTGAGATTCTGAATGACCGGGCTCGGACACCTGAACGCGCATCGGCTCCTAGCTCTAGCGCTTCTAGCACTGGGCTGCAGTTAGACTTCATGAGCGGTCTTGGAGTCAAGACTCCGGTACAGGTGGGTCGTGCTTTGGTTTCTTTACTGACTAAGATCAGGCAAGTCCAGTTCGGACCCGCTCGAGTCATCCTCGACTGGAATCTTCTTCCCAACCGCAGTCAAAGGTTGATCAGATAGACTCCACACAGTCCACCATGGCTTCCGGCGCCACGGTCAAAAGGAGAAGATCCTCCCGGAACGCTTCACGACCTTCCAATGGCACTTCGCAATCGAGTGTCATATCAAGTCGAAGAGGCCATTCGTCGATGCCTGACGGCGTCAGTGATTCTTTTCCAGATTCCACTACTTCCGTCGGGTGGAAAGCGACTCCGATCGCCGAAGCAAGCGACGAACCAGAGTCTCAAGGGGAGAGCGAGAGTGATGATGAAACGACCGTCCCCATTGCGCCGCCGATTCGCTTGACCCGGTCGACTCGGCCCGAATCTCAACCGACCACAATGATGCCTCTGCTATCGAGCCTCCCGAAAGAAATGCTACGCTCTCGCCCAAGCACCAATTTTGGAGCAGCGTCTCAGCCCTTGCCGATTACGAAACCCATTGAAAGCAGTGAAGGGGAGGAGAGTGACTCTGCATCAAGCAGTGACGATGACAACGTTCCGGCCGACAAACGGGCCAGGTTTGCCACTGGTAGTAGGGCCAAGAAGAAGAAGAAGTCTAATGGGAAAGTACACGGTTGGTGAGAGGGGTGAATGCACATCTGTTTCAACCGCCGAGGGTTCAGAAGCAGAACTTCTCAAGAGTTGGTCAGAAGAGTGTACTGATCAATCAGAAGCATGTCAATCAATCAGAAATTTTCCAACCAATTGGAAGCTTATTCGATCCAGACAGAGGAAGCTTTCTTTTTAGTCCTAACAGAGATTGACTCTGATTGGACAATGAAAGGAAGTACGGTCTCACTTCGTCAAGTTAAAGCATATTTATACTGATGTGGTATCGCTCTGCTTTTGCCACCTTCAACATCCCCTGAACTCTCAACAGAGCTCCTTGACGCATACAGTGGAAGAGCTAAAATGTCGACGAAATCCGTTGCTCCTTCGGTGCCCTTGAGCCAGGTACTAGGGATTGTCAGCAAGAGCCTCGGCGAGATCTCTAAAGGTCTCGTTTCGTTGGCCTGGGGCGGAACCCCAGCTGGCAGTAAGGTGAGGGATCTGTTCCTGCTTCTCGCTGACTCTAGGCCGGTGCAGTTGACGGCTATTTCTCGCCTAGCCAGTCGGAAGTCACCGTGACATCGCCTGAAAAGGATCAAGAATTTCATCGGGGTGGGAAGGAAGACTTTGGTCTCCCGGATCCAGTCTCGGACTTTGAATCACGCCGATCAATTCGGGTAGCAGATGGGCCTGCGCCTATTCCGTACCAACCCTCAGACGCCGGTTGGCAGGAAGATGGGCCTCGTCAGACTCAGGCGACCAATTTCAGTCCCAGTTACGAGGTATGTCCTGAGAGCGCTATGAATGACACTTGAATGTTGACCTTTACCAGCCCAAAGGAAGCGATTCTAAGCCTCCTTCGGGGCCAGGACACGTCTACGGACGCAACGAGCAGAGCGGCACGACTGCTATTCACTGCGTTGGGCATGATGCGAATTGGGAGCCGGTATTCAGCGAGGTTCCTCTGCCTGTAACTTCAGGTGGAACTATAGTATGTCTTTTAAAAACTTCCTGAAATACTGATGCGTATTTCAGGTTTCGCGATCCGGGTATCGTGACGATTACCGGCGAGACGCGGGACCCGGTTTTGATGGCGAGCCCGAGTTTGCATCGGTAGCTGGGACTGAAGAGACCCAAGACACTGTAATGACGGACAATCACAGACCTCGATCACAAAATCGGAGGAACTCGCTGGCAGGGCAGCCGGGTCGGGACGAATGGCAGAATTCCATGCCGGCCTCACACCAAGACGATCGATTCGATGAAAGACCTTACACTGATCAGTCTCGAGCAGATACACATGAGTCCCGTCAAAGGCGAGGCATCATGAAGGCGACTAAACGACGACGTCAGCAGTATTCAGACAACTCAGACGACTCAGGCGCCCGGCCTTCTCAAGTTCGAGGTGCAAACGTCCGCTTCACTGATGATGAATGTGAGACCCCAGCCGTGTGATTCGCTGACGGATGCAGCGATGGGCAATTCTTACGTGACTGACTCATATTCGGGGGGCTGCATGCCACCCGGACCTTCGGGTCAGCCCTTGCGAGATATTCCGCACGAGGAGATCACCGCGGCAATGCATAACTTGGGTAAGACAGAAACAGTTGCGACTTTCCTGACACACCAGGCATGTCAAGCGAAGGTTATCACCAGCCCTCTGTAAGAGATCGCCAACAACCAGGTCAGAGCCGATCTTCCAATCGATCGACTCACTACGATGATAACCGCAACTCTCAGGGAGGTTGGTAACAATCGTTCGGCTTGGGGTGAGAGACGATCAACTGAAAGGGGCATAAGCGGATCAAACTTAGACACGTCCAAACTATCCAAATCGTTCAAATCATTTTTCTGATTACTTCTCAATCCACTTTCACCCTCTACACAATCTGATGACAGTTTGATTCGCTCATAGAGTATGCATAGAGGCAAAGACGCCGGATGGAAACCTTAGAAAATCATACCAAATCATGATCATTGTTCGGGTCTGCCATCCAATTCCAATTCTCCCAACAATCTGCTCGTGCTATCTAAAACGCCCCAGATCCATTGAGCCTTCTCCATGAACTCCCCATGGCGAGGCAAGCTTTTTACCACAGGACTCACTACACTGGCTGCTCCTTCGAGTCCTGATACCCCCCAGACGGGGTCGGACAGTGAGGGCAAAGCTGTCTGGAGATCCTTGTTTCGAGGTGGGCTTCCAGAGATGGTGGCTCGACGACCGGTCCGACCGTCTTTGTCGATTTGTCGAGGCGGAGAAGGTGATAAACGGATACGGATCTTCTTTGCAGCGCTAGTAGGTAGGACTCTGGAAGGAGGTATAGGACTATGATAAGAGTTCTCTCTCCGTGGAGCAGGCGGTTGTGGCGGTTGAGGGACCTGCAGATGGACCGTAGCTGAAGGATGGGCCAGTTCGTCCGCTGGTCCATTCCCACTGACAGTAGCTGCTCGTCTTCGACCACCACCTGAGCTTGAACCTGGTGGTACCATTACTTGGGCTGAACGGCGATCGGTAGGTCTCTGACCGACATGCTGGCGTGCTGAAAGCGGTGTGTGTTGTGGTGATCCTTGATGACCAGGTGGCAATCTCGGCCATCGTGCCTGATACAGCTGAGACGATCGAGGAGTCTGAATTTCCCGACTCGACAATGAAGACGTTGATATGGGTGCTCTGTAAGAGGGGAATATGGCCGAGGGCTGAGTAGATCGAGGCCTAGGTTGAGGCACGCCTGGAATGCCCCCAATGCGAGTGGCACATGGCTGACAGAAGGTGCGTCCGCGGATGCGAATCTCGCTCCTGCTGCCACACATAGTACATCCTTCAGACTCCTCATGAAAGGTAGAAGAAGCCCAAGGTGAGGGTGAAGCCAGACGCGAATAAGGATAAGCCTTTCCATACTCCGTCGAAAAGTCTGACTCTGAAGCATCAACTTCGTCTTCATCGTCGCTCGGTGGTGACGGTGATTCTGGACGCTTTCGAATGGGAAACAAGAGTGGTAAAGGTCGATCTGTACCTCTTGATCGTTTCCACAACGCACATGCGTTGCAAAGACCACTTCGCCATTGCGGCGTATCAGTTTCTTGACAGTTGATGCATTGCTTGTCCCCGTGGGCGTTATGAGAGGGGAAACGAGGTTCGCCAGGCTTTCGTTCAGATTCAGGTTTGACAACGGGAGTGGCAAACTTTGTAGCTTCGTCTGCAGTGATGGATTGAAGGGGAGGTGAGTTCGGCGGAGTGTCGTATTCGAGACAGGGGCCATCTTCACTGGTATGAAGACCTCCTTCACTGGCCATGGCACTGTACATTTGTGCTGATGAGTGACGAGCGAAGTAGACGACCCGATATATCCTGTTATTGCTGATCGACTGTGAGACAGCTTTGTGAAAGCTCGCACAAGGGTACGACGATAATTGATTTGAATCAGATTGGCATACCCCTGTTTTTGCTGTCTTTGCTTTGTTGAAGGTCTACAGGGTGGTGATTGACCTGCAATCCGCAAGAGATATTGGATTCGCTCAAGGGTGTAGCCTCTCCTTATCGTGATTGCCATTTCCGCACTGCAGTCACTGACCTTCCGTTGATATCTTCGCGCTTCTTTTGTCCTGCGACATGCGCCACCCCCTCCCTTTCCACACCACCAACATGCCCTCTCTCACCCTAGAGACCCCCAATGACCCTTTCTCATCCTCCTCCATTGTCATTCTTGTCGCACGCAAGGGCAAGACAGTGCGGCCATGTGAAAAGATCGGCCATTGTCACTGATCACCCCTTTGCCATACCATGTCGTATCATTCATACACTGTCGGATCGCAGCACACCGTCTCATCGCGAGACATCGGAGAACAACAGCTCCGGGTGAGGCGAGAAAGGAAGAAAGGGAGGGAGAATATAAAGGTTGTGAGGGGGGCCCGTGATGGCTAATGCAAAATAGTACTCTATACTTCCTCCTCAAGCTCCTCCTCGCCAACCGGCATCTCCTCTTCGTACATTTCGTCATCAGCTCCAGCTTCTTGGTATTGCATGTATTCAGATACCAAGTCTTGCAAGTTGGATTCGGCTTCAGACTGGATGCGGTCAGCAACGTCAGGCTTCTGCGACTCACGAATTCGAGCTCGTCCATTCCTTCTCCAGTGTACCAGTGAACATATGCCTTTCGCCTGTACATGGCTGAGAATTGCTCTCCGATACGCTTGAACAAGGACTGGATGGAAGTAGAGTTGCAGATAAAGGTGGAAGACATTTTGAGACCACGGGGAGGAACGTCACATTGGGCCGCAGCGACGTTGCCAGGAATCCATTCGACAAAGTATCCAGAGTTCTTAGTCTGAACAGCCTGGATCTGGTCTTCCACCTCCTTCATAGCGACCTTTCCTCGGTAGATACACATGACAGTGAGGTATCGACCGTGTCGAGGATCAGCGGCGGCCATCATGTTCTTAGCGTCGAACATCTGTTGAGTGAGTTCTGGCACCGAGACACTTCGGTAGCTGGCAGATCCCCAAGCAGTCAGAGGAGCGAAACCGACCATGAAGAAATGAAGACGAGGGAAGGGAACCATGTTGACAGCGAGTTTTCGCAGATCAGAGTTGAGCTGACCGGGGAATCGGAGACAAGTCGTGACTCCGGACATTACGAGGGAGACGAGATGGTTGAGGTCTTCGTATTTGGGGGAGGCGAGTTTGAGTGTTCGCATGCAAATGTCGTAAAGGGCTTCGTTGTCAATACAGAAGGTCTCGTCAGAGTTCTCAACGAGTTGGTGGACGGAGAGAGTAGCGTTGTATGGTTCGACGACGGTGTCGGAGACCTAGTAGTCAGCCTGATCCGTGAACTCGCGTGCTCACTTTCGGTCCCGGGACGACGGAGAAAGTGCACATCATTCTGTCGGGGTATTCTTCTCTGATCTTTGAGATCAACAAAGTTCCCATACCGGAACCGGTACCTCCTCCCAAGGAATGGGTGATCTGGAAGCCTTGGAGACAGTCGCATCCTTCGGCTTCACGTCGGACGACATCGAGGACAGAGTCGACGAGCTCAGCACCTGGCGAGGGTCAGCGACAGGAGTTTCTGGTAGCCCACCTTCGGTGTAGTGACCCTTCGCCCAGTTGTTTCCTGCACCGCTCTGACCGAAAACACTAAAGACGCGTCAGTCAAGTCGCGATGTGCGAGGAGGAAATCACAAGTTGTCAGGTCGGAACAAGGAACCGAGCTTGGAGCTCTTGATTGAATCCATTGTACCGGGTTCCAAGTCGATGAGGACAGCTCGGGGCACGTATTTGCCCGCAGCAGCTTCATTGTAGTAGACGTTGATGCGCTCAAGTTGAATGTCAGAGGTGCCTTTGAACGATCCATCAGGTTGGATACAGTGCTCGTCGGACAGAATCTCCCTTCGAGAAAGGTCAGTACTGGAATCTGACAGGACGGGACTGGAATGCGGTGACAGGGGAATCTGTTCCCGTCTTCAAAGACAGGATAAAGACAGAATTGTTGTATCTACGCCAACAAGAACCATCCAGCCCTCACGCTCTCAACACTCACCAAAACTTGGCACCGATCTGGTTACCACATTGACCAGTCTGAAGGTGAACAATTTCTCTCACTGATCCGGCAGGCATGGCGAGATCCGCGAAGTAATGATCAAATAAGACGAATCGCAAGAACAGAGCAGTGAAGAGATGAAAGATGGAAGTATGGGTAAAGGAAGAAAAGGGGCGCGGTGATGTGTGGAGGGGGATGAGAGGATCCGAGCGTCGCAAAATAGACGGACAGAGAGAGATTCAACGTGGCAGGTGAGCCGTGCAGGGTGGCAGAGGATGGTCAAGGTAGGGAGTAGCGAGTGCGACCACGAGATGAACGCCAGGAGCAAGGAGCAAGGAGCAGCAGTGGACGGATGTAGATTCCAGATGGAAGTTTCAGATTCAAGGACGAGCAGACGGGTGAAGGTAGGTGAACGAAACAATCACATGATGAACAGACTGGTCAGCGATAGAATCCCAATCGATTGCAGACTCGTCCTCCACTCACTCTTGCTAAATCCGAAGAGTTCCTTACCCTAAGTCTCAAAATATGTCCAAGAATGTAGCACAATGTATGTTGCAAGATGCAAATGGAACGTCCCGCTGTTCTTCACTGCTGTTGGCTCTCTTTCTCTCGCCCCACCGCTCGGGAAAATGTGTTTGCATTTATTTTTCCCAGCTTTTGCAGCAGACGCGACACGCGACGAAACTGATATCACATGGATGAGAGAATGCCACGTCAGACACTAATAGGCAAAAGGTTGCATACATATTCCTCGTTGCACGGTCATGTCTCTATACCCATCTTCAGACTTCCACCGACGACGTCCACGCTATCCCAATCAGGCTTGGGTGTAGTCTCTTGACCTTCCTCAGGAGTGGCTGAGAATCCGCCAGCTGCTCGTTCAGAGGCCTGGCGCTGCTTTGTCTGAATATAAAGCAGTGTGTTTCGGAAATGCTTAGATGGTCAATATACAGAGAACAAAGTCAGGCTCACCTTGACAATCATATCTGGGGAGTTGACGCCATCGACTAATCCAGGTGCACCCAGACTAGAGTGCACGTCGCTAGTATGTATACTGTCAATGTTGCTCGTGATGAGCTCGACAAGGGAGTTGATGTATTTCGGAGTGACAGCTTCGACCCCTTGTTCAAAGTAGTATATATAGCGATCCAAGGCGTCGACGTATAGTTGAACAGATGTGAGCTCATCGATCGAGGAGGAGGCAATCCGGAGGGACTTTTGCAGGCATTCGAGAACTCGTTTGCCATCGCGGTAAGGGGTCTGGTACTGTCAGCGGACTGCCGTAACCTCTTTTGACGGTAATGGCACCGTACTCACCCTGTCATCCTTTGGTCTCCCTGGTACTGCGTCCTGCCACCACATGTGACTAGCGTACAAGACCGCCGTCGCCTGGTGACTTTTCTTGAGCAGCTTACTTCCGTGCAACGCCGCCTTGGTGATCAACGTGTCGTAGTTGTCATTCCCAAACACTCGAGTCCCTTGAAGTCCACTGATGATACCGGTGATGGCGGACAACTGAGCTCTGGATTCGGAGATGGACTCTTCATAAATGACGAAAGCCTGGACGAAGAATTCGTACGTCAACTCCTCGAGTCGACAATCATCGGCGACTTGAGCAGCGAGAAGAAACAGATGGAGACAAGTATCTGGTGCCTCGACCTTGTGGTAGAGAAGTGAAATGACTTGATGGATGAATTTGAATAAAGTGGATAAGCGCGACTCCCAATCCTCCTCCTACCCGGTCAGCTTGGCCCGATTCATCTGGCTTACCTCTTGCTCTCTCCTCTTAAACCGTCGAGCGAGCTGAATGGCAGATGCAATGAGCGGGGGAAAAGTATATCGAATACGATCTCCTCCTTCCGCAAAATGTCTACGGGCCGTTTGGAGAAGCTAGCAACGTCAGCATCGTGGCTTCTGTCGGCGCTTACTTCAAACTGTGTGGCCAGATTCTCAGAGCGGAACAGGTGCACCATCCTCGCGACCCATCCTTGCTCCTCTGCCAATTCACGTAGATCCACCTGACTCTTTCGAGTCGCAGCTGTCTCCTTGGTGTCTCGGACCAGGACCGCACAAAGTCCAAGGACACCAGTGACGTCTTCTGGAGTATCGATGATGGTGTTGTTCTTCAGGACGGAAGACACCACAGCTTGGCCTATGGAGAGACGAGTATTGTATGGCTGCATGGAAAGGAGGGGCGTGTAGGCTGGGATGGCGATCAGGGTCAGGACGGAAAGATACGAAGTGATAGGTGCAAGCAGAAGTGCGAGGAGATTCGCAGTCGTCTGAGGCGAGTGGATATCGGGGCTGGGGACATCAGCTGAGAAGCCGCGGCGGTACTCACTTTTCGGCAAACTCCTGTACTTTGCTATGGGCAAAGGCGAGGATCTGGTCAACATATTCCAATCGATCAGGATAGCAGCTGAGGGAGAGGTTGATAAGGGAAACGCAAAGTGCAGTGATATCCTGGATGGACAGATCTGGCCGCGCCTGATCTGTGTCAACAACCGCCTAGCAGTCTTACGCACCTTGATAAGCTGGACGACCTGCGCCCAGAATACTTCAAACAGCTTGACATCCTCCGGAATACCTCTGAATTTTTTGACGCCGATCTGAGGGGCGGCCGGCTCGGCTGGTGCTGATTCTTTCTCAATTTCTGGCTTCGCTTCTCCATTTTCCTTCTTAGGTGATGTAGGGGAAGAGACAGCTTCGATTATTGGTGCCGCTTCGGCCCACTCGGATGCTTCGGCTGGCGCAGGGGTAGTCGGTGACTTTTCGCCATGATCCACGCTTTTGCCTTTTCCTCTGGCACCTTTCACTCGTTCCGCTAGCCTCTTCGCGGCTTCTTCCTCTTGCCTCTTTTTCTCCTCTGGGTCCTCATTCTCCGCTTCTCTCGCGGCATATGCCGCCAGTCGATCGATCAGAGCAATGACAATGTTCTTGATGTTGACGCGAGGGTGGAGGTTGGCACATGCGCTGAGGAAGGGACCCAGGGTATGAAGATGGAAGTCATCCGTGAAGACCTGAATGACGACTTCCATGAGGTATTCTTGAGCTATAACATCTTTGCAATTGACGACTTGCTCCAAGACGGATGGGAGGATGTTCTGAGTGTACATGTCGAGGTCTACACCTTCCAATTGGGAGAGTCGAACGAGATTCGTTCCGACCAGAATGCGTAGATCCTTCCGTTCCATCTCTCTACGCTCTCGCTCTCGAGAATGACCCTGGTGTTGTAGTCGAACCCAAAGCTTGTTCATCTCGATAAAGTTGGTCAGGACAAAGCCGATAGAGTCTTGAAGGTTGCCTCCGGGTCTGACAGAGTCAGCATGAGCACATTGCAGGAAAGCGGCATGAGCAAGCGCGGTCGGATTCCATGGGCAGATATGATAAGACGAAGGCCGCTCTGTCCTCTCCGGGATTTGCCTCTACTTGGACTATCCGGACACTCTGACATGCCTCTCGACTCACCCATCGCTGGTCCCGACTGGCAGAAAATCCCTTGTCTGTCCACTAAGATAATGTCTCAAGAACAGGCCCCTCGTGGGATGTTGAACTCCTCTAGACATCTCCAACATGTCCTTCATGATCTCTTTGACGGGTGCATCAGGTATAGACATGTACACGGATCCAACAGTGATCATGAGATACAGTCGAGGGACAACATTTCCAGCATATCTTCGTTCGTCGTTTAGCTTCGCGACATATCCTGTGTATTCTAGAAGACTCACTGAACAAGCTCGTACAGATCTGCGAGGTGATGTTTCCCTTCGGTATGCGCTTCGTAAAGATAGTTACTGAGATGCCTCAAGCTGTCGAATACAGACATGTATAGCTCGTAGTATTGCTTGGGTCCAAGACTCGACGTTCTCAATTCCGCCAACATGGACGAAGCCGCCTTCAGAGCTTCCATAATCTGATCGGACTCCAGGCATCGTTTCAGTTGCACAGTCTGGACCTTGACGATCCCCAAGACGTCATTCAACAGCTTGGGATCGTCCATCGTGAAAGCAACTGGACCGAGAGGCAGACGAGAATGACAGAGATCTAACGTGATACAGTGACGAGGGCGGGCGGCGGCCAGTGCGAGCAGCGGAAGCAAATTCTGAACGACTCTGTGGCGCTGATGCATACATATCTATCCATCTAACGGTAAACCACAGATCTCACAGTCTGAGCGACTGGAGGGGTTCACAAATGTACAGTGGGGGCAGATCTTCTCGCTAGATGCAGCCAGAGGAGTAGACGAGCGGGCTGAAGAAGCTCCCGATGCACCACGTGTCGGCGATTCTATACCCATGGCGTCGAACGCTGCGGAGGGCGTGGCATCTCGAGCAGAGCCTGCGTCTCAGCGCGCTTTTGGCAAATGTCACTCACTCGATGATTCAGCAATAGTCAAGAGAGTCTGCCATCCAGCACAGTGTAAGAACAGCTCGAGCGACTGCTTATCATTGGGATGCGCATGAGCAGTGGCGGCTCGGCACAGCAGTTTTTGTTCATCCTGAGATGGTCAGTGAGAATTAAATGCGATTCCTCACATTGCTGAACATGCCTTGCATGCATAGGAACGCGACCAAGTGCCAATCGCTCAACCACTTGGAGACTTCGTTGCGTATCCGAGGCGGCCAGGTGTCGATGTCTCCAACCCGACCGTCGCTTGAACTAATGATAGAAGAAAGCTGGGCAATGACCACCTCTAACGACTGATCATGCAGACCAGGTCTGTTTTCGGTGGGGAATGAATTGCTGAGGAAAAGAGGATTGGGTTCCACGGGGAAACCATGGGTCACGTTGACAAAAAGGTATTCGACTGGAAATGTGGGCTTGGCCGGCATCTTGACTTGTATACCGTACTCATTTTTGAAACTGACGTCAGCGGGATTCTTCAAACTGGCCTCACCTGTAGAAGACTTCAGGTATGTATTCGCCATCGCCAGGTTTCCGCACTCGAACTGTGCCAGGATCCACGCTCGCCTCGACGATTCCGGCTCGCACCATAGCTTCGGCTTGCTCAGTCGCCTGCCAGGCAATCACGTCGATGCCACCTTCCTCGGTTCCGGTGAGACAGCAAGTCACGAAACGAGAGGAGAAGAGGCCAGTGGTGGATGACTTGGTCTTGAGGGGATGAGAGATCTGGTAAGCGGCGGAGAGCAGCATTTCTAGGGAGGATGCGGTGAAGGATTGGGCGTGGCGCTTGTAGAGGACCTTGGTGACGTCCTCGGCGCTAAAAAGTCAGCATATGAGAGAATCAAAAACCTACGGCGTGAGGTCTGTGTAGATCATGCCGACGACACAGAGACCCTTCTCGCACCATGAAGCAATCTCGCTGACTCGATCTTGATCTGACCATGGGGTCTCAATGGTCAGACCATCAACTTCGCCCTCTTGTCGAGGCTCCCAAACAGCTTCAACGATCGACTTGACTCCCATGGGTACTTTTTCATACTTCTCGAATCTGCCAATGAGGAACCCCAGGCGCTGAGTTCCTGTCCGCCTCCAAGCATCAAGCAGTCCATTGATGATGGAGGGGCTGGAAAACTCCACGTGATCCACCATTCGATACGGCTGTGAAGTGAGGGTCAAGGCGGAGGGCTGACAGGTTGAGCAAATGCCAGCAGGAAATGGAGGATGAGAGCCAGTAGGACAGGGGGTCATGACGGAAAGAGAGAGAGGCGTGAGAGGAGGTAAGGATGGAGATGAAGCGGATCGAGTTGAGAGTAATTTGCGAAGATAAGCATGATATGAGAGATGTTTGATCTGGTTCTCAGATTGATATTTGGGATCGTAGGGCTGACACTTAGTGGTGCCTCAAGACATGTGGGTTGCTTACTTCTAATGGCATGCAATAGTCGCACATGCCCTTTTCGCCATGACGACAAAAATTCGGATCTCGTTTCCGAGCGATCTTGCCATCTTGACCATTCCAATAGATATCGATGGGCTCTTCTTCGACACGGGAGAGGTCTGCCAAGGGGATGACGCCGGGTAGTGGCGGGTCCGTATGGGTATGAGGGTGGGATGGGTCCGGTTGGGGAGGTGGATGGGACGTCGAAGTTGAGGCCTCTACAGCTCTGTAGGAGAGGAACAAAAGATCTCCGTGTCTAGTCATCAGCCAACAGTCTCTTTTGGACCCTTACCTGAAGCCCATGTCTCCCACTTTTCGCCCTCTCAAAGCATCAAACGTCACGCTTTCACCAGAATTTCCAGGCTGATTACTCAGCTTGAGAGTAGATGGGTCGGGTTGCGGCTCAGATGGAGGGATGGTTCCGAGAATGAGATTGGCGAGTTCCTCACCAGGCGTCGTGGGCTCGACGTTGATACGAGATGTCCCCGCAGGGGACCTTATACGAAGAAGCTGAGACAGGATGAGTGTGTGTCTACATCGCTGTGGCGTATGGCTCACCATGTCGTCCGAAGCCAGATGGGAGAAGACCGATGATCTGATTCTCCGATCTCCCAGCCTGGCAAGACTGACCTTCGAAGCTCCAGATTCAGATCAGGTCGCTTCCCTGCAGAAGTGCAAGATGTGCGAATGAATAGGTGAATTGATCGAAAGGTTGAGATTGAGGTCATCGAGAATCGCGGGGCTCCACGTGGATTTCTCGTCCTTTCTGCGAGTGGCGACAAGGCTTCTAGATGGCATCCCATCTCGACGCAGTCGATCTCTAGATCGATGCGGGGTGGCACGGAGAGGTCTGTCATTATCTTTACAGAGCTCAATAGACCCTCTCAGACCCGACGGTGTTGCAACTTTCGCCGGCGAACTCGATCCGCTCAGGACTCTCTGTTACAATCATGCCCTACTGACCACAAACCCAAGCTTTGCTTCACGTTTCGGCTGTTCCTTCTTATGGAAACATCATCAGAGAGGTGATATTATCGCGTACGAAGGCTGGTCAATGTCTCCTTGATCCGGCACAATTGCATACAAGTCCTGATAGAGGTACCAATCCGCCGAGGGTGGCTGAGCACTCGCATCTCACTTGGATATACAAAGTGGCTGACTGATGAAGACGAAGGACAGACAGTCCTTATATCTGTGACGGAGACTTGTGAGGAGGCTAATAACAGAGCGTCTCTCACCGTGTTCTCTTTTCACTCCGTAGCACCTCCGTGAATCTCTGTTCTCGCCACTGAGCCACATAACTCGACACAGCTTACGTCATGTACGCGACTGTTTTCAGCCTCGTCAGGGGTCCATTCAACATTTGACTTTCGGATCATCTAGACTGTTGGGGCTCGCTATAGATGAGCTATCGAGAGGATGACTACGAAGCAAGGGGATCATCCTATGGTCCATATGGTGACCCCTATTCCTTCCAGAACAGTGGCCCATCGCACTCGCCACTGAGATTCCCAATACCGACCTCGTCTCAAGCGACTTGTATTCCTCCCTGGAGTCGAGCTGGACCGTCCGTACCTCCTTATGACCCCCTAATCCATCGACCACAGGGACCCTCTCCAGGATGGATGGAGAACGTTCCTCCCCAATTTGTCTGGACTGACCGATCATATCGGCACTCGTACGATCATAGCAACATGTCGCACAGCTATATTCCACCTTCTCGTTCGGCTGGAAGAGACTACCTAGCAAGCCTCAGCACGAGTATGGCGGGCCTTTCCGTTGAGCAACGTTGTCCAGAAGGAACAACTTATGATCGTGATAAACCTTTGCCTCGCCTTCCGCCTCCTCCAGACCTCCCGCCACGCCCTCAATCGGAGACTGTGACTTTGGTTTACCCGACCATCGACAGTCCAAGGTCTAACAAGCAGAGAGTCCCCCGACCATCTTCCGAGGCGTCAATCGAATTTATAGCACAAGCTATGTCATCACCGCCCAGGACCAAAGTCTCTCGAATCCCTCATTCGCAGTCTGATCAAGCCATCACGAGAAAAGCCAAGCTTGCAACTTCGTCCCGATCTCGCTTACATCCAGATGTAGCCGATTTCATTGTACCAGATTCCGACGATTCTTCAGGCAATCCTCCTGGGCCACACCCAAACATCACCGATCGCTCTCCACAGCGTCGTCGACGGGCAACTTCTGAGCAACCCCAATTTCTAACTACCAAAGCAGCTGTCAGCGCTGCACCCTCCTCTCCTTCCATCCGATGCGCAGGGTTCACTCGTAAAGGAGCTCCTTGTCAACGTCTCGTCAAGACTGCGGCACCGTACCTCGCCCTGCTCGATATGAATGCCAGTGACGCAAAACGGTACTGCAAAGATCATGCAGGGATGATATGCGATGTCGATGGGTTCTACTGGCGAGGCAAGAATGTATGGATTGAATTCGACAGTGAGCGAGCTTTGAGGATTTTGAGCTGATGTCAAGGATATATTCCGGCCGAACTCAGTCTTCAGACCAAGGCCTTGCTTCGGACTACTATGGAAAGTCCACTCACCGATAAGTTGTGCGCTCAAGGTGAGATCACGCTGATATGTAGGAAACATCTGGATATTTGTATGCCTACGAGCTTCGAGAGATGAAGTCGCCCACTGTAAGCTTCTTCAAGGTCGGCAGGACGGATAACGTTCCACGACGCATCAGCGAGTGGTCCAGTCGTGAGTCTGCCACCTTGCGCACTCGCTTAGTGCCAGGCTGTCGACACACCCCGACCCTTCGAGACATCTTCCCTACCCCTTCGAATGTCTCCTTCCTTCCGGGGGCATTCCAAGATGCTCCTACCATTCCCTGTCGAGCCGTGAAACGGTGGGAGAAACTGGTGCACCTCGAGCTCGCCGACCGCTCAGCAAGTACAGCACCTGGCAAGCTAGAACTTGTCCGAGAAAAGTGTGACGATTGTCAAGCTGTCCACCGGGAGATTTTCCCCCTAGGTACATCATACGAGACTGTAAAGGATGTCATTCGTCGCTGGGAGCGATTCGTCACGGTCATTACATAGGACTACAACAGACAGGTGCTAATTTGGACTTGGACCATTTATCGGGACATGCCTGGAAAGTCAGCATATTGCGTATATTGCGTATTGCTTTGGTATAGCCTCACGATGAAATATTGTTTAATGGCGGTTTCGAACCGTTTGCGATATTGATCTGGTGGAATGACAGTCACTTCGCCACCCCGAGTCAAGGCTAATTTCCCCCGAGATTCAATGGTCTTGAAGAAGTCAAATGATCCAATAGCGTCTACAAGACCGACGACTAGCTCCTTTCGCTTCTCGTCTAGACCAAGCAGAAGCGAGTAGTCCATTATGGACTCGCGAGAAAGAAAACGAGTATCGAGGGAGATAGCCTCTTGAAGAATCCATTTGGCGTCTTCTGTGAGCTTCCGGCTCTGACGTCCAACACTCACGAGGATGAAGCAGGATGGGTGATTTCGTCTGACCTTCAAGCCATTCGCTGTCGAATAAGATTGCTCCGGCTTTCGGCGCCTTTCGTCCCTCTGTTCTGTAAGCACCTCATCCGACCCTGTATAGAACGCACCTATTCCCTTGAGGTCAAATCTCTGCTTGACGTCCTGCTTGTAGAATAGGTTTTCCATAACAAGCAAGTCCATATGCTTTGTCGAATTCTTGTCTTGTAGTTTGAAGGTGTAGAATCCGACAATCTTCGTGAGAGCCGTCGCGCGATTATGTGTTCCTGCCAAATGTTCAAAATACACTGGGGCAATCTCCAACAAGGCTTGTGTATCCGACACATTCCATTTGCTCACTAGCTGCTTGACAATATATCGCTTATCGCTCGTCATGAAGAAAGAGGCCTTACTCTTGCCCCCTTGAGCTTCCCATGGATCGCATCGGCTCAAGCTAGCCACCATAGATTTATCGATCGCGCATCTCCTCCTGAGACTGTCGAATGCAGTGGCGTAGTAAATCGTACAGCCAATCTTCAGTCTGTCCTCCAAAGTGTAAGTGAATTGTAAATGTGGCTTGTCAGACAAGGCAGTAAGGGAATTATCCAGAGGCCCCATGAGCGATGTCAAGGATCTATCTCGCATTCTGACCGAACCCATATCCGAGCCGATGCGTAAGAGGGTATTGAAGGAAGAAGTAAGGGACGCAGTCCAAGTACCTTCAGTAGCATCTGAGGAATCTTCAGTGGGTCTCGAATGAGATACCTGTCGGGTGACTTGCGGTCGGAACGAGCTTGGCGGCTGAGACTCCACTACTCGCTGACTTTTCGGTGTTGGTGCTGAGTCTGATTCTGATTCACTCTGTCGCCTTTCCAATAGGGAACTCTTGCTCATCGTCCCTTCGACCTGGGCGAGGGAAACCTCTAGACTCGGTTGATTCGGCTTGGGCGTCATGGGTGCTTTGCTGATCATGGATGTTTCTGAACGTTTCTTCGACAGGGCTCGGAAGGAGAGCATGTCTCTGGGCGCGTCTCGGCGTTTCACCTCCACGGTCCACCCTTGTTCATTGGACACTTCGGGACCTTTACCAGCGAGTTCAAGAAAGTACGGCAGAGATCTGATATCAGCCCGAATTGCTGTCCGTGTACTCACGATAGGGCATGAGCAAAGATTGAACTAGGTTCATTTTCTCTAACAAGAATCGAACTCCCAGGCAATGCGTGAATCTTATCGTCCGCAACATACTCGGGCAGATTTAATGGGAGATCTTTAAAGTCTTCAGGCACGTCATGATCCTTTTGCCAGGCTGCGGTCCTCTCCTCAGCATCCCTTATAGCGAGTGTGAAGCGTTGCCGGACATCGTTGAGCGGACTTGAGCTAAATTCGGCGAGTGAGGCTCGCGTGCCTTCCAGATCCTTCTCAAGCGCCGCCAGCGACTCATCATCGTTTGGTTGGTCCGGTAACTCGTCTCGTTTCTCCATCTCATCTGCCGGCCCTGTATCCCTTTCTGCCCTGACATATCGGCGAAGGAGATCCACTCTCGATGCAAGCACTTTGAACACGTCGTCGATCTGATTTCGTAGCTCGTCCGAATCTTTCTTCCTATCGCGGCTCGCCAGCCCTGTGACAGCGGCCTCGGCGTTGGCTAGTCCAGGTTTCCGCTTGCCGACATTTGGACCCACTTGAAGTTTTGGCAGCCTTGTATCAAGCACAGTGACGGGTTCGACGTGCAACACGAGTGTACGGGGTCCCCTGATACAGCGTAAATAATTCGTATGATTACACGGTCCAGGCAGGTGACCATATAGCATCAGCTCGACGAGCTTGGCGAATGAGAACAACCTGGCGATTCCCAGTGGTCGAGCCGCAGTACTGGCTCCACATTCAAGACATTTAGTCCACACGTCCATCGGTCCTTCATGTTCGACCGTCTTGATGCCCACCCGTCGCTCTCCATGCAGTAGCCACTGTACATGCGGTTCTTTGCAGTCACAGCTCGATGGATCACTAACCATTTCTTCGATGGTCTGATCTGATTCGCCCCAGAACGTCATAGTCTTGCTTGTCGGTGCTTGACAGAGGGATTCCATCCCCCAGCAGACCAGAGTCTCCAGCCTCTGTAGCCGGATCCATCCATCAAATGTGTCCAAACCACTTGCCAGAGCACCTAGACCCGCTCTGACGTCTCCGCCCATTCTATACCCGATAGCACGACCTGGCAGTCCATCAACGACACCTTCTTCCATTTCCTGTTTGGCTTTTTCTCGCCTCACACGGTCTTCTTCCCGTACTCTCAGCAGCAATGATGGCATGGGAAAGACCAGTCCCGGCGTCGTGGAATGCAACATACTTTCAAGTTTGCCCAAAGTCTTGAGACTTCGATCAGTGGTTTGACTGAGTGGCGGCGTTGACGGAGCACTATTGATGATCGGCGATGGGGGACCACTGAGACCAGCTTGAGCAATCGTTGGACCGTAGTCTAAAGCGGCGTCCTTCCTTGCCCGAGGAAGCAACCCGCCAAAGATGCCTTTGGTATCCCTTCCAAGACGGTTGAAAAAGCCCTTGGCTTTCTCTTTGGGTCTGGGCACCGATTTTGGAGGGACCATAGGCGCTCGAGTCTCACGAGGTACATGAAACGCGTCCAAGAGCTCTAGTTCGAGGAACATGGCATGAATTGTGAAAAGCTAGAGTCAGCGATTGATCAAGAATTGCTTGACTCACTAAGACCCGTAGGACGGCCTCAAGGGCATCTTGCTCGTCCTGCCTTGTCACACCCTTGACGATGAACGTTCCGCCTGCGAGATGACATTCGCCTTCCGGTATATCATTGTTCAGTCCGGCGACGATCCTCGCAGAACGCGAGTCGGTCGTCTGATCCGGTATGGCGAATCTTCCTTCCTGCCAGGTGATGGCGAGCGGTTCATCCGAGTATTCGTTACCGCTGCCCTGCCACCATCCTGTCGAGCTTGCTCTACGTCGAATGGTCGAGGCGACAGAATCTTGTCTGCGGAGAGATGTGCCGGTGGAAGATCCGAATTGAAGACAGAAGACGGGTTTCACTGCTTTGTGTTGTGATGATGATGATGACGATAGCACCGCTCGTCTCGGCTGAGTCTGCTGAGCTTGTGGGTGAGAGCTGGGGAAAGACCCTGGAAATCGATCATCGGGGAACCTCTCGCTTGTCGCTGAAGCTGGCGGGGCTGGACAATCAGCATCACGGTAGGGCTAGCACTCACAATCAGTGAAAGACTCGAATCCTTTCATAGAGCGGATAGTCTCTGTCCATGATGGCTCCGCTCGTTCCTTTCCTTTATCCGATACGATTGAAGCTGGTCTCGAGCCTTTGCCCTTGTCTGGCGTTGCAACGGCCAGATTGGCCTCTTCGACGTTTGGTGCAGCTTGTCGCTGAGCTCTCCATAATCTCTTCCGCTCAGCCGCACCGAGAGCCCATTGATTCCAGTCAAGAACCAAGAGCCCCTGAACAAGGGTTGTCCACAACGCACGCTCGATATCTTCCAGTCGATCATCTTTCCATAACCTCCCACCACCCTCCGACAGCCCCTCATCTATTTGCTGCTCCAGCCATTGTCTCAACAGGCGAGCGAGGTGATCCAGATACCTCGGAGGCAGAGCCTCCTTTCTAGGCGGCAAAGGCGGCGAGGTCGAGCGAGGAGGTATGTGATCCAATGTGAACACTGATCTGGGTGCAATAGGTGAGATCTCAGGCAGCTCGACTGGAACATTCACAGTCGACATGACAATGTCCAGTGCCGGATCGTCCATCTTCTGCTCATCATCTCATGGTGTGAGGAATAGGGAGAATGGTCCACTTCATGAATCTAAATAAATGGCTACAAATGAACGAGGCGCGTGATGATGCAACAGACTCTTTCCCCCCTTGTTTCTCCGTGTAAACGTCTCTAAATCTACATCTACATCTACATTTGCTTTGGACCTGGTCGAGGTTCTCTAGGCGGCTCTTTGACGACATTGAGCCCTGGGGTCCCTCTGAGACCCATCATGCCTACTGTTTTTGCCAATAGACCGGGTGGTTTCCAATCCCCGACAGCGTCCTCACCATAATGTAATGTGTGTCTCGCAAATGCGTTGCCTGCTTGAACCAGATCTACGGCTTTCCACTTCATGGCCTTCATGCTTCCCCTATAATATCCGAGCCATGCAGAGTAGGCCTTGGCCTTGTCATCATCAGATACAGACCTGAAAGCCATCTGCAATGCTCCATGAGCACTGTCCAGGGGTGGTAGAGTGATTGGCTGTATCGGCAGTGTTTTGATCGTTCGTTCGGTCAGAAAATGTGATTCAAAGTCCCCTAAGACGATGACTCCGTGACCTTCGGCTCCAGCTCTGGCAGTTCGGCCCAGGCGATGGATGTCTGCTGTCAGCACCTTGTCAGACCGCCGACTTACATTGGTCAGCACTGCTTGGAAGTCCCACCTGAATCACGGCTGAGATTCCCTTGACGTCGATGCCTCTCGCCGTCACGTCGGAGGAGAACAGGACTCCAGTTGAGGCCTGACGAAACTCCTCTGTAGCCTTTGCTCTCGCAGGTTGAGACATTCGCGAGTGAATCTCCCAGACGGGACAGGGCATTTCTAGATTCAGAAAGACATCGCGATATATCGCAGCGGATCTGGCAGTGGGCAAGAACACCATGACTGGAGGTGAGCCTAGCTCAGAGGCGAGAACTCACCTTTGAAACCGCCGCGCTCTTTTCTCAAGCTGTATTCTCGCTGCAAGGCCACATAGGTCGCGGCAACAATGTCGTTGCCTGGAACGACGACACTCTCCTGTCGCACGTGCTGATGAACATTGACATCCTCCTCCTTGAGTGTGGAGATAAATTTGTGCTCCTTCTTGAGAGCAATTGAGGCGATCTGAATAGCTTCAGCGGGCGATTCTTCCTGGCAATCTCACATTTTCGACTTCTTTCGGCAAGGTGGCAGAGAACAAGAGAGTTTGACGTCCATTGGATGGCAGCATACTGATGATCTTGGCGAGTTCGCGACGGAACCCCTGATCCAGCAGTCTATCTGCTTCGTCCAACACCAATGTTTCTGAAGCATTAGATGCCGATGATGTATGCAGAACTCACTGAGTTGAGCAAATCTCGGCTGGATGCCGCCATTGTCCAATAAATCTATTAACCTTCCAGGAGTCGCAACCAAAACATCACATCTTTGACTTTGTAGCTGCTTGAGATCTGTTCGCATATTCGTACCGCCGACAACGCATTGCACGCGATATCTATTTCCGCCATGCGCCCCCACATTGAGCAGGCCATCGGCTGTCACAGCGATCTGCTGAGCCAACTCTCGGGTGGGTGAGATGGCCAAAATGGTCGTGTGCTGCGGAGAAGGCATAGGGGATGATAAGAGTCGCTGTATCGATGGAAGAAGAAAGGCTACCGTCTTCCCGGTCCCTGTCTTGGCTTGTGCTAGGACATCATCGCCATTGAGGATCGCAGGTAGGGTTGCAGCTTGGACCTATACGTGTCAGGCACGTCAGCTTGAAAAGGCCCACCTCCGTACACGTCTGGAATGGAAGGTTCTTCAACAATGCTGGATCCAAGCCGGGAGCGATGTCTGTGAAAGACGGACCATCGACCGGCTTCGGAGTAGTAGATCGAGCGGGCAATGGCTCTTTCGGTGCCGTCTGTGTGCTCGCTGGTCGTCGATGTGGCCGATAGCGAGATCGTTTCGGTCCGGCCGAACCTTGCGATACAGATAAGGCCACTTTTTCGGCAGCCATGATGCCTCTATAACTCCTCAACGAGCTAGACAGCGTGCTACACCAACGTATCGATGCCATTCAAGAGAGTTCGGATGCAACCGTTGAGCTGAAAATTACGCTGCGTTTCAAAACATTTTTTTGAAACAACCTGACGTGGCAACAAGCAGAATTGATAAGCTCTGCATTCTGCTTCCGCCTCACAAGGGTCCTTGTACCTTCATCCCACTCATCCACTGCCCTAAGTCATCATCGTCGAACGGTCACGATGAGAGCTGCTTTCGTCCTGCGAAACGCCGCCAAATCGGCGGGGGCCACACCAGAGCCCATGTCGGCAGACCACACTCTGTACCACGTCTCGTCAACAGTGAGCCATGCTTGATGCAATCCAGTCTAATCTCCTAGGGTTTCTGGAAACGATTCAGAGATACCCTTGCCAGTGAGCTGCATCGAGAGTTCTCCCCCACTCATCCGTCACAGTCAATCCTCAAATATCCACTGGTCTTCCTCTTCCGACTCAGCACCGATACCCACCTCCGGGATCTCGGCCTGAGCGTTATGCGACACCGGCGACCGCAGCGAGTGATGTTGCATTCAACCCCGTGAGTGCAGTCATTGTCGCACAAGAGGTCTCATGCTGATGGATGTACAGTACTGGAAACGAGATGTAAGCATTCACGCACTGCCTTTACTGACGCTACAGGCCCGGAGGAACTACCCTCAGACGTCTTTCGTCACTCAAAACAAACTCTCCAGTCTCCTGATTGCTTCGCCCTCTGTCGCCTCCATCCCAGCTCCAAAGACTGAGATTGAAACGCCAAGGAATGCTTCTGCCATCTCTCCACAGTCGGCAGACTCGACTGGAAACATTGTTCCCACGTCTGCACCTCCATCGTTGGACACTGTCATTGCCAAATTGCCCGAAGGTAAAGCCTTTATCGGTTCCGGTATACAAACTGGACAAGGAAGTGGACTGCCGCCTACTCCACCCAAGCTTGGACCAAAGTGGATTCCTCAACCCGGAGAAGAGATTCCTCGTGCTCCGTACGCATACTTCCCGATGGTCGGGTACAAATAAGTGTATGAATGGGCTATGGGCAAGAGCAGAGATTTGGCTATCAACGCAACGCTGCCGAGGCTGGCCGGCTGGCCGGCTGCTCATCAGGCCTGCAGCTCCACGTTTCATTCTAATTAGCTAACTTGCGTCGTGATACGTGCCCGAAGCTGCTTCGGATCGGCGACGGGTCATGTTCGTCAGGGGTGACGAGAAAAAAACTCAAGATGAGTCTGTGCCGAACTCAGTCAAGGTATGTTTGGCAACAGAGCGGCTCATGCTGCCGCAAGCGTGTTTGAACCATCGCACCATACTAAGGCCTGCTCATGGCCGCAGCGTTATCAGAAGATACTGTAACTACCAATACACGATCTCTTGAGGCATTGTATGGCGCCTATATCCTGACATGTGGATGATGGATGATGCGCTCTCTTCTCCCGATATTTGGCCCGCTTCATGTCCTGTCACTCATTCTATACTCGCTCTCGTGATGCTCCAGATCAATGACTGAGAGGCAGGCCGGCCTCTTGAAAGAATTGCCACGTTTTCCCACCGCAATGTATTTTTGCAGACGCGATTGATTTTCACAACACAGATAATAGATTCGATGGGTGACTAACTCACTTGGACAGCAATGGCGGCGGAGTGTATTCAGGCTGATCATATCTATCTCTCATGCATATCAGCACATCATGTACAGCCATTCATGAGAGGCGCAGATGGACGCCCCCTCCTCCGAAGTGCCGCGATAGCCATATCAGATGATGATGCCTGACGGCTGAATTTAAGCTTTTTTTCCCCGTTTACCAGATTCTCAAAACAACCAAAAGATCCTCGCTCGCTCGCCGCCGTGGGATTTTTGACGATGACTGTTGATCACCTCTCTCTCTCTCTCTCTCGCTTACTGAATCGTCAGAGCAAGCTTGGGACCACGCCTTTGTATCTCTTCTACTGTATCATTCCTCGGCCCATGTTGACTAAGCAGTGCGCAGAGTCTCTGATTCTGTAGTATTCTGATCTCTCAAGATCCGGGGCCCGTGAGTAGTGCTCCCTTGGCGTGGGTCAACTTTTTGCTCATGTGCCATCTGATCGTATCGAGTCGGATAAAAGGTTCACGTCGCCCCCTGAGCTACTTTCTTCGATCTCCCTCCCCCTGAGACGTTCTTGCCCAACAACAGCTTGCTGGACAGCAACATTCTTTTGATCACTCTCGACAGCCACATCATCATACACTTCCCCTCGCACATGTTTGGTCTCACATTGACTCACATCTCAAGTCGATATAGAGATCTGGAGGGGGCTTCGAGGTCTCGGTCAGGAATTGGCTGTCGACCGTAGGAGCCTATCCAGGGGGACTTTTACGCAACTCTATCACCCGTCTCTCCTCCCCCCTCAGGACCGAACCAACACCATGTTCACGCCTGATCCCTCCAATCGACGACCCCGACCTCCTGGTAGCATTGTCCATCGACAGGACGTCAAGCCAATCCCACATCCTTCCCTTCCATCTTCTTCGTCTATACCTGGTGAATGCAGATCCCCAGCCTCCCCGCTCGATGCGAAACACCGAGCAGCGCTCAAACGTATCAGCGTGGACTCGAGAGAACTGGCCAACATCAGTCTCGAGCTTGATGTCTTGTCTTCTCCCGGAGGAGCCAAACCCGGCACTCTCGAATCCTCCGAATCTATACCCAGCCTCTCGTCACTCCGAACACTTGGGGAAGTCCAACCATCCCCTCCACCGCCTTATGGAGGCGGAAGTCTGGCGATAGGGCAAGACGAGGACCTACCGGGGGGTGCTCCCACTCCGCCAATGCAGGATTCGACGACACAGCCGGAGACTGAAGATGAGGAGGAGCTTCGAGCTCAAAGAGCAGCCGATGCAGCTCGAGTGTTGGGTCTCAACATCGATTTCGATGCTCGTTCAGTCTCGTCAGGCGTCTCAAGCGCCAGTGCAGAAAGCATGGATGAAGCGACTATCCGGGCAAAAATGAAGGAGATGAAACGCAAGATGAGGCGGAGAGAGCAGGGTAGGTCATGGTGCTCATGAGCGGTGCTGATGGTGTAGAACTTGCCATGGCTGCCCAATTTGCTGAACAAGCTCTGTCTACACAAGAACAGCTACTTGCGTGCCTTCCTCAACACGTTCTGGCCGGCTTGCCATTAGCAGCTATTCTCGACCCCTCTCCCAGTCGTCCTCATGTGGCCCCGCGCTCCATAAGCTCCTCCTCTTCCCGATCCAATCAGCCCTTGAACCAGCCTCATACGCCTGGCGAATCGTCTCGATTGTTTCGTACCTTCCGTGCTGGTGATTCGTCTATCCCCTTTCACGTTCATCAACAGCGGCAATCACGGCCTAGACTCGGCGGACATTTTTACACTGGACCAACACTGCAGCAAGAAGTCGCCGATGAACGGATATTGACGCTTGAGCAAGCCTTGCAAGAAGCGAGGGAGAGTGAAGAGGCACAGCGCAGACTTGCTTTAAGACTCAGACGAGAAATGGAAAAGCTTCAACGGTTCGCAGATCGAGCGGAGGAGGAGGTGTTGGCAAGGGAGCACGCCATTCAGATAAGCACGCCGCGTGGTGGTGTGACTCGACAAAGCGGCCGATCACTAGCCGACCTGCTTAGCACAGCAGAGCCTTTTGGCTGGGGATCGACTTCTTACCCTGCCTTCCCGTCGACTTCGAGGACATCTGACGATGCGCAAGCACCGGATCTTGGAGATGTAAGCGATCGACTGAGAAGACCTGCAACAGTCAGTCGGGGAGCGAGTCCTTCCTCCATTCGTTCGACTTCGACTTCTTCTCGACATACGACCCATCTCCCTCTCGACGCTCGACGCATACGCAAGAAGATTTCTCAATCCACCTTTCTTGAACCGCCGAGCTCTTCTTCTCGCAGGACGGCCATCTCATCCGACGGATCGAGCTCCGAATCCACGACGACCAGACGATCGCCTGTATCTGCTATGTCATCTTCGTCATTTCGTCGTTCGCCCTGGCCCAGCCCTCGCAGAGGCTCCACACCAATAGATCCAGAAGATGAAGCTAACGAAGAATACCCTTTTCCAACCATGCGATCCACCGTCCGAGTGCAAATAACACCTCGCCCATCTTTATCACCAGCATTCGCTTCCCTTTCTCGCCGAATGCAAAGCATGCGGGCTTTCGTCTCTTCAGCCCTTGATCCCGATTCAACATTTTCTCGCGCTCGAACGCTAGGGAGCGAACTTGGCGATGCGCAAAGCTCCTGGGATATCAGTATGCAAGCCATCGAGCGCACGTTGATGCGCGTGACCGAACCGTCGCCTGAGAGGACAGAAGACGAGTCCACAGCGGGAAGCATTGGCGGCGGTGGTGGTGGTGGTGCTGATGGAGACAGTGACACAGGAGCAAGACCCGCTGCTCAAGTAAAAGATCAGGATGACAACGAAGCCGATCAGTCATTTGAATCGGATGGACCGGGTCATACGCCTGAACCGCTCCCCGCACATGTCTCTGCAGCCTTGTCGTCCCTCGCTCTGGCTCTCGCTCCCGCCACCATCTCGCCGTACTCGAAAACAGCTTATTCTGAAGCCGAGCGAGATAGTCTTATGCAAAAGATCACGAGAAGCCTCCCACGGATCAAATGGGCATTGAGCATTGTTTCACCATTGGCTAGAAAAGGGCCAATGGCCGAACTTGTGTCCTCCTCCGAAGAGGATGAATCGCCAGACGAACTTGGAACTGAAGACCCTTGGGCAGCACCTTCCTCAGCCATCCATCGTCCGGGACTCGATCAAATGAGGCGTCGGGCAGCATACAGATTGAGCCTGCCACTTCCAGCTCGACCCACAGTGGACCGCCAGACATCAGATTCGTCCATCGCTTTGGCGCATCGCCGTGTGTCCTCGCAACAACTACCTACGCTACGGACCATACGGGACAGTCAGGCGCCCGTCATGGTCCAAAGCGAATTCTGCGCGGTTGAAATGCAGACCATCCCTGGACGGCTAGTGCACGATCTCATCTGTCTCTTGGCTATCCTCTTAGAATTCGTAGAATGTACCGTGGTCATTGTCTTTCGAGTCGTCATCGACGTTCGATATAATCGCAAGAGCACAATGTAAGTCGAGTCAATGTGCTCGCATCAGCTGATAACCTCTCAGGGCTTTGACCAGCAGATCAAAGGGTCAGCGGTACTACTTTTAGACAAGTCCCATAGATCCAACGTTGTATACCCTCTGTTGCATACATCTAGACAATCTCGTCCCCATTGTCCCGCATATAGCTCACGAAATCGCCGACGGTCTTGGCCTCGGTTGCCTGAGCCTGCTGTACAAGGGCAGGGATCTATATGTCAGGACTGCACCATCCGACTTGACTCACCACACCCGGTCGCTCTTTGCTCCGCCTGGAAATCTCCTTGCTAGCGAAAAGTTTTTCGTCCTTGACGTCCGAGACAGGGTCATGCGTAGCAGATTCGGATGCACCGAGTCTTGAGAAGGAGGACTGGAAGCTCGCTTCCTCTGGGTCAAGGGAAGACAGATCCTCCTGCGCTCCATCTCCATTCGTATAGGTGATATCCTGGGGGAGAGTGAACAGGTCCAGTAAGGCGAGGAGGACTGACGGCCAATGCTGCTGATTCGGCGAGGCGAGCGTGGCGTCACTCTGGGTGAGCAGCTTGGTGAGTCCAACTTCGACCACTTTGCGATAACGGATCGGCGCCTTTTGAGTGTTGGCGAGAATCACGCCGGTCAAGATGTTCCCAAAGAGTCTGAACATCAGCTCAGCTTTTCTCACGCCCTCACCCAGCCTGAATCGCATCCAGAGTTTGGATCACAAAGTCTGGTCCCACAGACTGGATCGCACATAGGAAAGTGAACAAGTGTACAAAGCTTGCCGTGAACTGAGATGACGGCTTCGATTGGAGTCGAGTCAAGAGCAGCATGAAAATGGTGTTGGCATACTGCCTCATGTCATTTCTGCGCGTGAGCATAGCCCATGCACGTCTACTCACAAAGGCAAGAACTCAAAGAGTCCCTGTAGCAGCTCAAAAGCATACACATCGTTGACTTTGCTGTTGACGAGCCGTTGGAAGATACCGAGAAGGCCTTGAACTTGCCCATTCGAAGCGATGAGCGGCGCCCCACGCATGAGGAGAGCTTTCCATATTCTGGCCAAAGCTGGTATGTTGCCCCGTTGCTCCCACAGACTCGCCGAGAGAAGAGGCGCGAGCAAGGCCTGATATTCGTTCGGCAGCTCGGTTGGTGGGTGCAGTTCAAGTAGCTGAGCGAGAATCTGGAATATATAGGGAATGAACTCGGTAACATCCTGTGCTAAGATGACCTGAGCGGGCCCGAAAAGTGCCTGCTCAAAGTGTGGCAGCGCCGAGGGTGCCCCCTCGCAGACGAATCTAACAGTCAGCTCGAGGTGATCGCTCGACCCACTTGATGAGTGCCGATACACTTTCAAAGCAGTACTGGTTGAATTTTGGGTTGCTTGGATTCTTGCTGATTTCTCCGAGAATATTGACGAGGCGTGAGAGGACGTTGGCGTACACAGGCGTGAGAGCTTGACGAGCGGTGATAATGACTCGCATAGCGCCTGCATGTTAGACTGACAAAGGAGAGTGGACTCACATTTCATGAGATAGTCGTTTTCAGAGATCTTTTCGGGTGTTGCTCCTCGTTCGATGTTGGCGAAGAGGGTCATGAGGATGTTTTCGGCGAATGGCCGAACATCGGATTGCGTGAATCTCAATTTAGCGGGTGTCGTTTCACTTGACTTACTGTGCTTGTCGATTGACTTTGATGAATAGTATGCGTTCTATCGTGATGGCTGCGTAAGAGGAAACAACGTAATTGTCCGAGGCGAGATGCTGAACGAGGAGGGGAAGGACAGACACCAATTGATCCTTGGTGAGCTGGACTGTCAGCGATGCTCCATCGGCCCTCGACTTACTTGATTGCGGAAAGTGTAAAGGAATTTGATGGCATCGACAGTGAGAATGGGGTGGACAGTGCCAGAAGCTGCTTGCAGGTCGGCGAAGATATTTTGACCGAAAAAGTTGACCACATCGACAAGTACATTGGTCGAGGTAACTCCGAGCTGGACATGAGCTTCAGCATGCAGCCCTTCTCACCTGTTGTGTCGAGCCTCGCGACGCAATCGAGGTGAGCAAGTAGATGGCAGTATCCTTGCTCTTCCATTTTTCGGCCGGATTTGTGGCGTATTCCTGCAATTAGCTTGGCCGTATACATGGACGCACCTGCAGGAAGCTGGTAATGTACCCATTGATGATTTGTGTGACTTGCTGGTCAAAGTGTTCCATGAGCGCACGAGTAAAGTCTGTGGCAGCTTGCCGTCGAGTGTCACTCTCTGAGCAAGTCAGTGAACATCATAACCTCGACTGACCTGTCGATGGCTCGAGGTCACGCCGTATATACTCCATTGGGTCGTCCTCAAACATCTCCTCTTCGTTTTCTGCCTGTCAGAGCTGCACATGGGACATACTCACGTCTCAGAGTCATGTTGGGCAGAATGATGCGCTCGCAAAACATATTAAGTGTCGCTGGAGATGAGAACATATCTCTATGATCGCCCATCTTTACGACCACTGAGAGGAATTTCAGAGCACGAGACACCAGCTGGACATCAGAGTTAAGTTCGCCGCCTCGAGCTTACGACATCCTCTTTCGCCCCAGGCCCCAATGTTGTGAGCATGTTCCATACACCATCGACGAATGTCCCGAGCTGATTGAAGGCGTCTGAGTACTTTAAGGCGTACAATTCGGCAATCTCGCAGATGGACGACCGAATTTTCTGTAATGGCCCAGGCGTCTCGTCCTCGTCCTGTCATCAGCACTATCTCTCAAAACTACTCACATCGCCCTTCAGCTCTTCTCGCTCCCAACTCAGATATTTTCTCAACCACCCCTCACGTCCACCTTGTTCGCCCATAAAACTTCCCATGTTCTCTTCGAAGAATGGAGGCAGATCCTGCGAGCTGAGATCATGGAACAATTGTATGAGGAGGAGGAGAGATTGAGCAAGCAGAGGGATGGAAGATCCAGCTGGAAGAGGCTGGCCTGCTGGAGCAGATAGCAATCGGTCGACATGAGCAAACAGCTCATAATAGGGTTGACAGAAGCGGGCGAGGACAAAATTGATCTCAGAGTAGAGCTTGTCAGAACGGAATTGGGCGCGCCACCTGGGTATGAGCTCAAAGGAGTGGATCACCTCATCTCACCTCTTGAAGATGGAGTGTGCAGTAGCCAGGACGCCGTTGTTGATAACAAAGTTATCCGGGGACAGACTACCGACGAGTTCCTGGAATGTGAGCAGGATTCTGAGCTCAATCTTACGTCGACCAGTCCTTCCCACTGCTCTGGGAAGTCCTTCTCAGCGATGATTGCTAGACCTTCGCCGATCTGAGCTTGTAGCTTGGCAGTCGCAGGGCTACCCAAGGCGATCATGATTGGAACTAGCTGTTGCTTGATCGCAGCCTTGTCTTCAGGGCTGATCATCACATCCTGAAAGGCGATCAGCTGAGGATAACAGCGAGCCATTTACCGTTTCCTCGCCCTCCCAGAGTCTTTTTACCGCATTCTTGAAGTAGACGCCGCCAGCCTGTCGAACAATCATGTCCACATCGTCAGACCTGACGAGCTGGAGTAACAGGACAAGAAACCCCGGTTGACTCTCGCCTTGCCTCAATGACTCTTCAGCCAGTCTGCGAGTCGCAGCATCGTGAGAGACGACTGTGGAAGAAAGAGCTTGGGACAGTGCCCTCAGAGTATCTGAAGATGCCATGATTGGGTCTGTAATGTTGTTGAAAAGATCAATTCAGAAAAAGCAACTGGCAAGGCGTCGAGGCGACACCAGCACGCGACTGTGAGAAATTAAAGCAAAGAGACGGCGATCTCCGCTACATACATTAGTGGATCCAACTAGGGGAGAGTCTCTACAGATACGACTATGGCTACATCCGATCACACAAACAGACCCTTGCGGTCCTCAGCGCGCTTTCTTTAGCCCACAGTTCTCGTCGTGTGACTCACCGCTCTCACACCGTGGCTCGCCGCGAGGTACAACTTGAATAGTCGCTCGCATCCCTCGTCCCCGGAGAATGGATATTTGGCTCCGAGACGGTATGCAGCTGAGAAGCCAGATGTCACAGCAAGTTCGTGCATGTTGAGAATCGTCCTGGAGGTCAGTGAGTTAACTATCATGCTACTCACCAAGCACCGGCGAAGTAGGTGTTGTTCTTTCCGTTGAGGAACATCATCCACGGGACGACCTTGTAGTAATGCTGGGCTCTATGTGACTGCTGTTTCCACCATTTCTCATAGATACGCTTGTCCTGTGCAATTTCCTTCTCGGTCCAAAGATCTTTACTTCCTTCTTTGTCCAGGAAGATAGTCTGGAAAACATGATCTTCGATCTTGGCCTCTTTCTTGCCATCCGGATCTGAGCCTTTGCGAGCGGCGTCCCCAGTGGTATCGTGTGCCGGATCCGAGGGGTCCGTGGGGTCTCGATCGGAAGACTCGGTTCGAGGCGGACCAGTCGGAGGCATACCTCGGAATTGTGGCTGATAGCTGAATGTTAGCTACCATCATCTGGCCGACTTACTGAGTGAGATCGAAACTCATTTCAATCTTGGCTCGATCCTGCTCATACTCCTTGATGTAGTAGAGCGGCCTGAAATTCTTCTCCGCGAAGTCGAATGCTTCGTCGTCGTCCTTACCTTGTGACTTGGCATTGAGCTCGGGTCGGTAACGTGTCTCGTAGTGTTTTTCCATGTAGGCCAAATCATTGTGCGTAATGGTGACATCGTTTCTAGAACTCAGCTGAGGCACCTCGGTCGCCATTGCTTACAGATACAAGACGTTTCCGAGGACTTTGCGCTCACGCCACGTAGCATTCTTGCCCAAGAGCTTGAGGGCAGTGTCGGCATCTATGTGTCAGACCAATCGAGTTTCAACTTGGCTTACCACAAGCAAGGATCAACTCATCGAATCGGCCTTCTTCCAGCTTGCCATCGGGCTTTTTCCATTCGACGACGACACCTTTCTTTGACCTTTCCTTGATTGCGGTGACTTCGTACCCGATCTTATACTCGACGTTACCGTTCTCTTCGTTCTTCTCTTGCCACGTTGCGTATGTATCATGGAGCTACCATTAGTGAGGCGACAGAGAGACAACTTACATTTGGAAAGCCGTACATGGTGGGAATACTTGCGAGCAGGGACTTTTCGTCGAATTCGAACAATTTCATGCTGGGGTCCAAGAACACACGCTCAAGAATGGCGCTAGAGATGAATGGAGTCTGGTTCCCGGTCCCAAAGAACAAAGCCACTAGAGGGTAGATCATACGCTCGCCGAACTCGGGGGAGAATCGGAAGATTCTAAGCATGGTGTTGACAGGAATGAAGGCGAAAATGACCTCGAAGAATCTGGCGAGGTCAGTCGTAATTCCAGCACTCGTAACTCACTTGATGATCTTAAGGACTCTTCCAAATTTTTTGATATCCTTCTCGAATGATCTTGAAAGTTGGGTTGGGTAAACATTGGACCAGTAGTATTTGTCCTTGCCGAATGACACTTGCATGCCTACTGGCGTTGGCCTATAGGTCAGATGTAACCGATTCCTTGAGACGCACTTGTATCCGAGAATGTCAAACATTCGAATCGAATTGTAACTGCATGTCAATGGATATAGCCGCACCTACCACTCACAATTGAGGACTGCATCCCTGAACTCCATCGTTGATGTATCCTGCACCGTACTTGTCCGCATCGATCTTGATCTGAGTGATCATCAGCGTAGTCAAGTAGAGATCAGTCACCGATGTGGCCATGCCTCCCGCTTCTTTCTCCTTGTCGAGAACGGTCACTTGAAATCGTTCGGGATGTCTGGACATCGCATACGCTGCCGACATGCCCTGCTCGTTCAGCAAGGTTACACTTGAATACACCTACTGATGCACCTGCTGTGTCAGTGGACATGCCCAATTTGGGATCACTCACCTGCTCCCACTACACAGACTTTCATCTTCTCTGACTGTGCCATCGTGAAGACTGTACAGACTGAATATTGACAGATGGATCGCAGGATCAGATCCAGCACGCCCCTCTATTCATCAACATCCCAAAATTTAGAACACAGACGTCATTCGTGTTTCAGAGATCGGCGCCGCGGGGCTCGATCGAGTCACGTGAATAGGTGATAGACACGTGGCGAATTCGGTCTAGACCGTTCAGACCATTCCCATTTTTTGGTTCCGTTACTCTTTTTTCCTTCGTCTCTCGTCCAATCGACTGACAACTCTACTCTCTCTCGTACTCGCTCTCCTTTCTGACCTTACCGTCGATCAAAGCTCATCCCGAACCCATATCACTCTGCTCTTGAGTATCCTGTAACCGCTCAATATCATTCCTATCACTCGGGCCACGAGCTCAATCAGGCAAGATCAGGTCCTCACGCTATAAAACTTCCATTCATTGCTCCGAGTGGGGTATAACCAAGAATAGAGATAGAGGTTGGCCAGGTGAGCATGAACTGAGGCGGAAAGCACGTCGCTGAGTTTGGCAGACCTTCCTGTTCATGCTTTCCTCGACATCCAAACATCCCATAGCGGCTTTAGCAAATATCAGTCATCCCACACAAACCCGTCTATAATCGTACGTTTGCCGCTGCCCACCAGCGTTTGACCTTTGCCAGACCTGACAAAATGGCGACTGTCAATATCCGTCGAGATGTCGACGACAAATTTTACGTGAGGTATCCCCTTGCTCTCTGTCGCTGACTTGTAAGCGATACAAGATGCCTCTTTTGCAGACCAAAATTGAGGGTCGGGGTAACGGTATCAAAACCGTTGTTCCCAATATGGAAGATGTTGCAAGGGCTTTGAACAGACCGCCAACGTGTGAGGAGATTTACATTGGCTCACGCTGACCTTTACAGACCCTACCAAGTTCTTTGGATATGAGCTCGGTGCACAGACTTCCGAGGCCAATGAACGATACATTGTCAATGGTGCCCATCAAGCCGACCGACTCAGGGAATTGCTAGACGCATTCATCGACAAGTTTGTACTCTGTCCTTCGTGCAAGAATCCCGAGACGGAAATCATCATATCCGGCAAGTCTGGTCGAGAGGACCTTACTAGAGACTGCAAGGCATGCGGGGCTCAGACTCCGCTCGATATGCGACACAAGCTCATCACATACATCATCAAAAACCCTCCCAAGGCAAAGGAGAAGGGCACGAAGAAGGGCAAGCGAGGCGGCATGACTGCTGAAGCCAATGTCGGCGGACCCATGGTGTTTGATGCCGCTACCAATGGCGATGACGAGGACGGTCCAGACACCCCTCCAGCGGACAATGGTGTGCCCACCCGTGGTACGGATATCGATGCGGCCTTGGGCAGATCCGACCCCATTCTAGAAGATCCCGACCAAGCCGAAGTCGTCTCAAAGAAGCTCTCCAAGCTTGATGTCGACGACGACGATGACGATGATGCCGACTCCCCATACTCTGTGCTCGGTGCCTGGCTTGAGGACAACAAATCTGCTGAGGACACCGAGATCATCGGAAAAGTAAAGGACCTTGGCATCGTGGGAAAGCACAAGGTTCTTGTCGAGGTCGGACATCATTTGTTCACCAACAGCGTTGCAACTGAAGTCCCCAAGCGAACGGCTCTCTTGCAAGTTCTCTGTACTTCTGAGAAGCACCAAAAGTCCCTCCTGGGCGGGTTCGAACGTCTCTTGGCATATTCGCCCGAATGCGATTCGTTGTTGAGCTCGGGCACCACGTCAAAAATCCTCATGACCTTGTATCAGGATGACATTCTAGACGAGGAGGTTGTTCGTAATTGGGGAACTCACGTTAGCAAGAAGTATGTCGAGAAAGACAAGAGTAAGAAGGTTCGAAAGAGCGCCGAGGCTTTCCTGAAGGTGAGTCTGGGGTTTAGGGAGTCTAGCTGACGTTCAGTGGCTTGATGAGGCAGATGACGAGAGTGACGATGAGTAGTCTGAAGTTTTATATTGGTTTCTTGTATGCATTCCATCTTCTCAGCTCTGCCATGATGATTTCTCTGGCTCGACATTCAGTATGCCTAATAGATCGTCCCAGAACGCGTCACTGCCAGTATGCAACATGGTCCCTGGATCCAAGGACGGCAAGAGGACCGTGTGGCATGGACTGGACAAGAATCGCTGGCGCAAAACCTCGATCATTTGGGTCCCAGAATCAGAGAGCAACGATGCAATTGGTGTGAAGAGCGCATAGGCCTGACGTGAGAGAGTATCTGATGGTTAGCCTCAGTGATGTTGTTGGCTTACCATTTGGATCGAGGACGACCGCCGCTAACAATGCAGTGTCAAGCAACAATCTCGGCCACAGTCGAAGTGAATAAGACCAGCTCTCGACCACTAATCCGGTCAAGACTCTGGCACTATCCATGTATTGTAGGATATGCTCATCAGTCCCTTGTTACAGATACCCGTACAAAATGAGCATAGCAGCTTGATAGTAGACAGCGACGAGGTCGAGCAGGAATTGCCTCGATCTTCCACCAGGGAGTCGGTCGTCCGAGGTTCCGCGTATGGCCGTGATCCATTTTGTTCCCCATCGCTGAACGTCGGTGATGCTCGTCTTCAGTATGGAGTGCTGCGCATAGGACCAATGACGAGTTTCGCGGGGTCGTAGAAGACTCATGATAATGCCGTCAGCTCCGGACATGACCCGTGGCAGCTCGCCGATGATGTCGAAGAGCTCCGTTAGAGCTCCGAATAGAACGTGAGGGTATTCTCGCATAGGGACAAGGCTTGGGGGACGCTCAGGGATGATTATGGTATCCAGGTGTAGCACAGAGTGCGATGCAGCAGTTATCTATGAATCAGCGGAATCCATGCAAATATCCCCACCAGGATGAAATCCCATACCCTCCGACTCCGTAGATCCGCAGAAGACGGCGACAGGGTGCTGAGGTACGCTCCATAGATGAGTCCGGTGGTGGAACAGTCCGCCGTCCAGAACCAAGTACGTGCTATACACAGGGCAACTGGGTCATCCCATGATCTTGTCCTCGTTCCCGCGAGAAATGAAGCCAGTGCACGCTCGAATAACCCAACCCATATGGGATGTCTAGAGAGGGTTGACGACTCGGACGATCGCGCTGAGGACGCCGCGGCTATAGCTGTGAGCAACAGGGGCGATGGAGCAGTGATCATTGGACCAGCAATGAAGCCGTGAAAGATGGCTAGAGAGCTGTAGAAACTGGGGCTGTTAGCTTGAGAAAGAGCAGTTGACTCACTCTTCCCACAAGAGAGCAGCTTCTTCTGCGGAGGCTTCGTGACTCGCAAATTCCAAGGCGGCGAGCGACTCAGCCAAAATATTCCGTAGCCCAAGTAAGTGAGGCGGAAGCGGAGGTATGGCCTGCATAGGCTCTGATCGTGCTGTTCCTATGGGATTGGATCCGTCGGTCTGCGTGCCAGGTGTAGGCAGTGCATGATGCGATTGTCGAGAGGATAAGTGCCGTAATTGTTCCAGCTCTTTCTGGACGCTCTGCAGCCTAGTCTCGACAGACTGTTGCCTGGTCCATTAGACCGGTTCAATTAAAGCTCACCTACCATCTCAAGTCATCCGTTAGGATGGCTGCATTGGCTCTCGGTCTAACGACACATTCGACATCCTCATCCTTACACCTTGTACAAGGCTTGCTTTTGCCGACATCACACTAGCAGGATCAGAGCGCGTCTTGCAAGATCAGACTCGCCTTGAGCTTCTGCCTCCGACAATGAAGGCAAGCTGTGATCCTCTTGAGCTTCACTGGTGTCTCTGATGATTCTGCAATCGATGACATAACTACGGCTGGGCAGAGAGAGGTATCATAAAAAGGCTGAGAATGACTTTCGCCAGGATTCGCCGAAACGAGCGGCCAGATAAGAGTAATTAGTCGGAAACGGTGATTTCACCGAAGATCCGTTATCATCTTACAGGCTCGGTGGATAACAACGTCTTTCATTGGAGCACACGTTTCACCGTGGGACCGCTCAAAGTGATAGGCATGAATTGTGGGACGAGTGTGGATGGTGAGTGCCATCCTGATCCGTCGCTGAGAGAAGGCATCGATGTTGCGGAGCTGCTCATTTCCTCCACCTCGGCCGACGTGCAGATTAGCCTCCTGTCATACCGGGAGCTGCCCATTGAGCCAGCTCTACAAGCTAGGATCGGATCACTATGTCGACTGGGAGTCCAGACAACTTTAGAGGAGATCTGTGACTTGAATCTTGAAATTGGCGAGATCTTCGCCGATGCTGTTCTTCAGAGCGGCATCGATCTGAAGACAGTAGACATTGTGGCAAGACATGGTCAGACATTGTGGCATTCACCTGTGGCACAGGAAAAAGGCACGGGATACGCGTATGGCGAGAGAAGGATGGGTACCTTGCAAATGGGGGACAGCTCGGTCATCGCGCAGAGGACGGGACTGTGAGCGAGCGGACGATATTGTGCACGACTGACTGTTTACGACGGTTGTGGACGATTTCCGTGTGGCAGAAGTAGCCTGTGGAAGGATGGGAGCTCCTCTATCTGGATTTTTTGAAGCTGCTCTCCTGAGGCATCCTACCAAGCTTCGCGAGTGCCAGAACATTGGAGGGATGGGAAATGCCAGCGTAATCCCGCCTCATAATTCGCCACATTCGCCTGGGTATATGGCTTTTGATACAGGTCCTGGCGGTGCTGAAAACCCGGTTATCATGGACGCGCTGAGAAGGACCTTCTCCTCAGCCCGAGTCGCCAAGCTGTCCGAAGACGAAGGCTGTGTCGGCATGCCAGCAGGGGCGAAAGAAGCTGTGATGTTCGGCCTTTTGGGATATCTTTGCGCGTTTGGACGAAGCGTACCCGTGTCGACCACCCAGAAGGTCCGGGACAAAGTGATCCTTGGCAAATTGACGCCGGGAAAGATTTACGTAGAGATACTGCAGAACGCGAACAGGATGGGAGAAAGGTCGACTCTCGGCCGTATCAGCACGAACTGATACAGACTGTCCCTCAGACACGGAAAGTTCTCTCGACGTGCCACGTCTTGTCGCGGACTCCGCCATACATGCCACTTTGGTTCGGCAAAGAGCCCGAACAAGCGGAGCTGAATTTTGATCCGAAGCACTCGAGGGGAATTAGTGCAAAGAGGTCCAGTCAAAATTATGGACGACGAGGAGAAGACACAGATTGACGAAAGGATGCCTACGATCCCGTTGTAGTTCTGGTGAATCTCATGCACAAACTTTTCACTCTCCCTAATCGAGATATACATCAGCGTTGCCTCGCTGCACCATGAATCTGTATCGTTAGCGAGAGTCGATATCTTTTGACGTACCTTCTATAATCTGGCTTGACATCCCTCGGGTACTTTGGCAAGCCATAATGGCTGGTCCTGCCGTCGATGGGGCCATCCAGGAACGTCAACGCGCTCCCGGCCACACTCGCCCGATCGTCGTATACTGATGCCTGACCATCAGGCACGCCCAAGACGCTGGGCGCTTGGTACATGGATGAAGAGTACCCCGCTGCAGCGCCGGTGTGATGATGCTGTCGTTCATCTAAACTAAGCGCACCTAGCCCGTCTTCCATCTGACCATTCCGGCGATAAGGACCCCTGACAGACTTTGCGATAGGCTTCGACTTCCACAGAGTATCCGGAGCTCGACGGGATAGTGAAGGCGGAATGGCAGTCCCTCTATTGCTCCGAGGCCGAGAAGCATGACGCTCGTGATTTTTCAGATCGTGAAAGCGCTCATCCACTGAAGGAGGAGGGATCATAGAGGCGTCTGAGGGTTGCAGATGAGAAGTGTCGATTCGTCGGGGTTTCGTAATCACAGCTGACAACGGAGATGGAGACACAGGAGAGTGAAGATTGACGGGCGGGACATATTCGCGGGTATGATGTTGATGATGATGCTCATGTCGCCCGTGGTGGCGTATGCGGGGAGTGAGCCTCGAAGGCATCACTGAGCTCGCTGCCGAGCTTGCCCGAGTTCTTGTCGCTCTGTGTCGATCGTCCTTCGCTCTACTGTAATAGCTACCGTCCGAAGACTCGTCATCTGAGGGACTGTGTCGACGAATGGAGCGTGCAGACGGGATAGCAGTAGTCAGTCGATGCGGCTCACGTTGAGAGACGTCAGAGGTCAACGCTGGAGGCGGCGCACGTCGAGGAACAGGCAAAGAAGCTGGCATCCAGCCATCCTGTCGAATGGCAGTCGAGGCTGTATGCTTGATCACATAAGGAGCAGGATGTTGGGGTGATGTCGGAGTCGGCAGGTAAGAAGACTGCACTCCGTATGGTTTTGACGTGGACGAAGGAGCATATCCAGGTAAAGCGGGGGCGGGCACACGCAGACTGGGGTGGGTGTAGCCAGCCTCTGACAACGCGGGAATAGCTCGATGAGGAGCTGCCATCAGCGGCAACCTCACGCGAAGAGACCCACTGCTAATCTGGCCCCTTTGAGCAGCTGGGACGAAAGCAGATCCCACTATTGATCGAGGACCAGAAGCCAACGACTGTGCATCGCCATCAACATCATCATGCGGTACAAATTTCGGAGCGTAAGGGAGCTGTTGCCCTGCAAAGGGGGGTGCGCTGACTGAAGAATCAATAGGAGCAGGCACCTAAAGACTCACGTTCGACGGGCATGATGAATGAGAATTAGTCTCGACACTGGCGAGATTGTGCACGGTTGATCAAGTATCGATGAGGTGGCAAAAGAAGAAGTATTGAGGCGATTCGTCCCAATGACATTTCCGTCATCCCAGGACGGATCTTTTGATCCCTCTGCCGCGGAAAGACGTGAAAAAGGATCACCATCCTTTGACGGCAGTTCTCGACCGTACAGCATGCTCTGGTCAGTCAAACAGTCCTTGCAGGTCTTGCGAGGCATCCTGAATTGAGTCATAGCCTTGCGCGAGCAGATCAGCCGGTCCATAATGATTCGGCGAGGGGAGGAACTCCCGTGATCGGATGGCTTGCTCAGCGATCGTATGTCTGAACAGGAGTAGTCCGGCCAGCACGCTGGCAACAAGCAGGGTGGACTGGATGGATAACCAAATTATGGCGTAGTCTCGTTGTTAGCTCTGAAACTCTCTTATCTTACATCTCCCAGTATGCAGTTTCTTGTCCGCAATCTGGGGTGAGGTCAGCAGAGCCGGCATCCAGTGCTCACTTGACGCCTGCGGCTCCAAACGCGCACCATCAGGGTCACATCCGATGTCTGTGTGCCGTACTTGATGCCGTCTAGGAAAATGTCCCAAATGGCATACAAAGCGTTCATCACGCCGATGAACAGAATCACGAATCGAAGGTAGAGTGAGTCTGAGATGAACCAGGCTATGGCAACGATGGCGCCAATGATCAGGTTGGTGAGAACGATCCTGTCGTGAGCTTGGCGTCAGACGCTCAACTCACGCTTCAGCAGAGACCATGCGCTCTTTCGCACTCGGCAGATCATCTTTGGCTTCGGGTGGGACATGGTCGTGGTCCGCCTCTTCACCTTTCTTCAGCAGGTCTTCTTGCTCCCTTGCTCTGTCACCGTGTTCATCCGCTCGAGACTTGTCACCGCGCAGCATGTGGAAGCGCTTTCGTATGGCATGTCTTTTGTGCAATAGGAATGATTTAGGCAAGGTCGCGATGCAGACGAGGAGGGATACCGCCGTTAGGCCTTCAAAGAAGATGAATGCGTATTTCGATCTGAAAGTCAGCTAGACCAATAGGACAGACGTACGACAACGTGTCAACTGATCATCAGCAGGGTGCAATGATATTTACTTACAGCCTAGGATTATGAAGATGCAACCACAGATACAGCTTCCACTAGCAAGTCAGCTGCAGATCGATGGCGTGTACTCACATGTACCCGGCAGGAAGCGTTGCGATGTAATTTGGCGGGTGTTTCCGTGAAAAGTGTGTACAACCTCCTTCATTGAAATCCACCACGATCAAAATGACCCTACCGCCCGTGGCTGTCCCAACTATAGCATGGCTGATCTCGTGAAACAGCACGGTCAGATATTTGATGGGCGCAAGCAGCGGTATCCACTTGAGTACGACCATAGACTTGATCTCCCAATCTTCCGTCTGTTGGTCTTTGTACCACACCTGGACCCACTGGTACCGATATGGGATGCCTCTCCAGAATGCCACTACAGTGACAATTGACGTTCCTATCCATAGGAGAGACTCCTTCTGTGCATCGGTGAGACTGAAAAGCGACCACGGTCCAGCGTTGTCCCTGCTGAGCCAGCTATCAAAGTTGGCTAGGCTTTCTTCCATATTGGTATGGGTCGGGATAGAGCAGATTGATCCGCCGATAGATATCCTTGACGTTCATGAAAGGACGAGCAAGGATATGTCGTCAAAGGTAGGTCAAGAGCGCTTGAACATGGCGTCGACAATCTAGACGTTAGACAAGCTATGGAATCGACTCACTTCGTCAAAGATGCACAGAAAAAGCTGTTGATTCAACCGCTGATCTTGCAGGGCGCCAAAGACACGGCGTGCAGCCCGGCGAGCATTCCCGCGACCGATCATGTTGGCAGCAACGTCTCATATGTCAGGATCAGCCCCAAGATTTATATTTACCTGGTATCAGCATCGCTAGTTTCTGCCCTGCATTGTTCCTCGACTCGTTCTTTTCTCTGGCCGTCCGGGCGGCAGCCGGCACTCTTCGCTGACCATCGGGGAAGATTGTCTCCTGAAGCATTGCCACTACTCGCTCCATGGAGGATGCGGATGTGCCATTGATGTAAGCATCACGACACCGACTGCCGTCAGCCTAGTGTGGATGGCAGGACTCACCGCTCGATGGTTCCGCCGAAGAACTGTTGTAAGAGAACGACGATAGCCTGTCTCCTTAGCCAGTTACTCCCTTTGAGGTCGAAGACTTCGATGAAGAGGTCACAGATGGGCGCGGTGAATGACCCAGGCCCACTTTCCAAGACCTGAGACGGAGTCGTCCATCCTTGCTTGAGCACTGGAAACAGTGCGCCCATTGAGAGCTCTTCGCCACCCATCATGGCACCGATATCTGACAGTTGTCGGTTGAGTGAGGTGTACATCACATCAAGCATGCTTGGCCCGAGGATCGCTTCGTCCAGCGACGTTGCCATGGTCCGGTACAGTGAGCGTACGATATTCTGCGGTTCCAATTGCGGCGTGGCGATTTCAGACAGCGGCACAGTGTCTCGAGACAAGAAGTTTTGGAGGACCTTGGATTCGCAAATCGCCGATTGCGATACCAAAGACTGGAGGTAACGTTCGAGGCTGACTCGGCGGGTATCTATGAAGCTTGAAGACATGTTAGGTACCAGCCGCTTTGGCGGGATCTCTGCGGAGACGGGCAGAGAGGTGTCTCGGAGATCCTTGTCTAGCTCCCAGAATTCATTGTATCGTCTGGCGACCATCCAACCCGTTACCACGCCGCCTTTATCGTCAATCTGCTTGACCTCGATGGAGTAGCGGACGACCTGCTTGCCCTGATCAAGCGTAACGACGGAAGAGGGAATGTGAACAAGAGTACGACCAGGGACCAGACGGTTTTCCTCCTCCTGTTGCTCGAACTGAGCCTTTTGAAATACCGTCGTACGCTGCTCTCGACGGATGGAGGACAATGATCGCTGCAGAATCTTCAACTCGTGCTGATTGCCCACGAGTTCGGCTTGCCGTATAAGGTTCTCCAACAGATGTTCCTGCTTGACCAGCTCTGTAATCTTATCCTGGAGGCGTGCGATCTCTACACTGAGCTGGAGATCACCGGGAGCCGCTGGACGAGGCGAGTCGTAGCCGATGTCAGGATCGTCGACAGTATCCTCTGCTTCTTCATCAGGAATGTCGTCAAACAAGTGCCGGCGATCATGGCTTGTGCGACGCGGCGGATCAATCAATTGAGCGGAGCGCAAATCCTCAACGCTCTTCGAAGAGAGTTTTGGCGAGACGCGAGCCTTTGGTAGGACTAAGGATGATGACATTGATTCTGGTGCCCTGCCAGTCGCTACATTGTCCGAAGCGATGATCTCATTGAGGGCAGCTTGGATAGCCTCCATTCTTTCCACCTGAACAAAGTCTTCCATAGCATCCTCTTCGAACAGCCTAGCTCTCGAGCCCTCTTCAGGACTTATCAGGAAGTCTAGCTGGCTCGTGCGACGAGGTGCAGGTGGTGTCACGGGAAGACTGGGAGTCCGAGACGCGTCGCTAGACATTGACCGAGAGATGGAGATCCGGCTGTCGGCCGCACGCTCAAACGTGGGTAGAACCGTTGAGACCTGAGTCGATGCCTGGGGGACAGGTGTGAAGCTTCCTTGCTGCCGAATGGCCTTCAGCCGAGGAACGGGTCTGATCTGCGAGTCCGGTGTTGAAGTGTCTTTTGGCGGAATGACAGCCTGTTGAGATTTGGCGATCTCAGTCGAGGCCTTGAGAAAAAGCTCAGTCTTGCGGAATTGGGGCCAATCATTTTCCTCCATCGCTTCATAGACTTCCTTCTGTGCCGCCAGCATGGCCTGACGTGCCGCAGCAAGCGATTCGGGCGTATCAGTCGCGCGACGAATGACATCGAGATGCGTTTCAGACATGGCGTCGGCGTATTGCTCAAGGAACAATAGGTCATCGCGGACAGTTTGAGCTTGCAATTGAGAGGCATCCTCCAGAGGATTTTTGAAGCCTTCGACGGTGAGCCAGAATTGCACCAGACGGGCTCGTTTGCGCCGCTCCATGAATTCGAGCCAAGGTGCCAGTGTTGCAGGATCAGCAAGGACCGAGTAGAGAGTGATGGGTCGAGCTTGCGCAGCAGGAGCGGGCGTCGGTACACTACCACTCAATGCGGTGATCCTGTTATCGACTTCCAACCTCGCCCGCTCCAAGCGTTTGAGATACTTTTTGGCGATCTTCGACCTCAGCTCATCGTTTGACTCGATAGCTTCATCCAGAGCACTCTTGGCAGCCCTTTGTTCTCTTTCAATGTCAACTCGCAAGTGACGCGCTTCGCCGAGCGTCCTGACTTTTGGAATGGAGCGAAGGAACGCTTCGAATTGACGTGTCGACGAAGTAGCGGTGATGGACCCTGATCCCCGAGGCGATGCAGGCGGTAGGGATGCGAGGGCAGAAAGAAACTTGTTGACTTGCTTTCTTGTATGTCAGCTAAGGATCGAAATAGACGCCTACTGTTCGTGAAGGTATTTCCCCGCCCTATCGTCTATCTGACGGTTCCAAAAGTCGCTGTCCGATAGGAGATCAAAGACTGGCGTCATGATGGTCCCCAAAAGAACCTCACGGACCATGGTAGAGACGACCGTCGATCCATCCTGGAGCGTCCCATTGACTACACGTTCCAGCTTGTCCCGAAGATGAGCTTCGATCGATGAAGAGCTTCCCCAAAAGGTGTGAGCAGTATTCGCAAGAGCCGGATGTGGTTTCTTCGGTAATGCCAGCGGCATGGGCGTCGTGGAAGTCGAAGCGAGGTGCTCGACAGAGCGGTAATGACGCAGGTGCTCAGTGAGAATGGGTAATATGCGAGAGACAATAAAGCTTGGCCAGTCTACTATTTGAGCCCGTTTTCCTAGCTCTTCCACCATGTGCCGTACGAGTATATCCACTTGATCCGGAAACGCCTGGTCTGGTGAGATACGAGTGTACCATGGGGCTATGAAGTGGAGCTTGACAAGTCGCATGAATGAGTCCACTTGTGCATCGAATCCTGATTCTGACGAGAGTGTCGGCGGAGCTGGCGACTCCCACGATCGTCTGATCAGCAGTGCGGACCATGCAGAGGGAGTCGTGAAGCCCAACGGGCGTATAATGTAGGGCTCTCGATGTCTAGCATCCACAGTGGCGATGGCATAGGCGACAAAGACAGCCAACCCGGCTGAGATCCATAAAGGCGCGAGCAGAAAGGTGTTTAGCAGTCCCAATCGAGGCAGGAGGAATGCGAGGCATAACGCTGTGACTGAAGTCACTGTTGCGCGAGCGCTGATTCCGAGCATGGTTGCGGGGATGATGTCGAGAGGTTAGTCCTCTGACAGAGCATCCCAGCGACACCAGGTGTGTTTGGTGATGTGGATGATGAAAGGCGAAAGATGAAACCCACCGGTCCGAGCCAAACGATCTTCGGTCCCGGACATTCCGAGATGCAAGATATGCTATAAGAAGATGCAGGTGTATAATAAATCTACAACACGCCCTGTGGGTCAGATTTTGACCCCAAGCCATCCCGGCTTCTCTACCGCAGAGGAAATCTTCTCAGCTCCCTTGCGAGGCTCGAGCATCACTGACGTCAGATACGCTCAGAAGCCCATACTCACAGCTCTTTCTATACAACGCATCTAGCGATTGACTGCCTCGTTCAGTCAGTGCGCGCCGAAGGAACGTTTGAACTTGTTCAAGCTCGTGAAAGTTGAACGGCTGATGGTCAGCTGTGCTCGCAAGGATCTGACTGACCTGCTGATACTTTGCGAAATCAATGGCAATCTTGCCTAGCTTGGTGTATTTGTCTTGATTGATCAATTTGGTATCTGGTGCGAGGACAGACGGACGAAAATCAGGATTTCCATCGGATGTGAAAGTGATACTGTTGTGTGAGCTAGTCTCACGTTAGATGACGACTCACTCGGTAAGAATGAGGCCAAGGAAAGGCAAACAAGAACCGTCAACTTCCCGCAAGCGCGCTCGATATGTGGCGTGATTCTGCTCATCAGTGTCGAGCTCTTGACCCGACGCTCACTCTTGAATGATCAATCACGCTTTGAAGCCGATCAAGGACGAGCCGGTATTTCCCGGGAAGCGCCTGGCTATCAGCGGTTGCAGAGCAGAACACGCTCACGTCCCAGGTTTTCTTCAGCCGCGTCACTATGCTGCTGTTTAAGCCGGCGAGCAAGGCGAACAGGGTAGAAAAGTTGTTCAACAGTAGGCATTTCTGCCAAGTCAGCAAAATCGATGTCTCATCAACCCACGTCAGCCAGTTTGATGTAAAATTTCAACAATCCCGCACGGCGCTTCGTGTCCAGCTCGTTGAGCACATTGTCCGCTACCCAGCCAGTGATCTGATTACTGACAGTCGATAACGCGCGGAGCTCTGGGATCGTCTTCTTGCCAGTTTGCAGCAAATCCTCAGGTGACACTCGGCAGAACAGCTTGGACTCGAACAAGGTCAACTGACGTGCCAATTCGAGTGTGTCAAATTCGATGATGGGGACGACAGCCGAGGACGGGTGCTTGAGCAGCATGGCATTGAGGGATTTAGAAATGATCGGCGTTGGAGGCAGACCGATGAATTCCCGACCAGGCTCTGAAATCGCAGAAAGAGGTCCAGACATGCGTCTCCGTATCAAAGTCTGCAACCTCGGAGCCATGGCTGGCAGAGTCCGCGCAATGACATTGGAAAAGCCGGAAAGGTCATCCAATATCGGATCATCAACTGGTTTCCAATGTGTCTCCAGCCAAGCTCTGAGCACATTGTACACTCGGAGTCGCACAGGCACTACCTTGCGCTCGATCCATATGGCCCGTTCGCGATCACCAAAAGAGACGTGAGGCGGCGGCGGCGGATCGTACCGGTCAATGAGAGCTTGGAGCAATGTGTCGGGTGTGGTGAACAGCCGAAATGTGTAAAAGAACGTCTGCCAAAAGGTATGCTCTGGCGGTACATCATGCGGAGTCATCTTCTCCACAAGGACCGCCAAGCTGGCCCCAATGATATTGCCCTCGGAATTGAAGCAGATCTCCTTTGGGTCATAATCGTGCGCGACCACCCAGAATCGCACATCAGTACTGGCAGAGGGCAAAGGCGCAGTCACAGCTCGGGGGGCCATGGATGGCCGCCTGCCGGGCGTGGCGTCCGTGTCGAGTGAATCAACGATACCAGAGTCATCTCGGATGAATCCAAGGGCCGGTGAGTCGGCCAAGGCCAGGGGGGTAGCGGGAACGCTCAACGTACTAGCGTGAGGTAAACGACCGGGCAAGGTGAAGTCGCTGGTGAATTTGTCGAGGTCGGCCGAGCGAGACGGTGAGCGGTGCGACATGCGAGGCGGTGCCGGGGATGACAAGCTCGAAGATCGACTGCGGGCCTTGACCGAATCTTCAGATTGAGTCCGTAAAAGATCAGGTCTGACAGTTACCATGGTGAGATCCTCATCCTCTTCTACGACTTCTTCAGGTTGACTGGCCCCGTATCGTTTCTTCAGTTGACCCAACGAACTGGCTTTTCGATGTAACGCAGAGAGGGTGTGCATTCCACGCTCACCAACCACCTTGTCGCGAAGGACAAGACTCGAATCAGGTACGAGGCGGGATGCCGCGTTGGTCGAGGGTGGACGAGGCGTGAGGACATCCTCGACGACACACTGTCTGACGAGCCGCACGCATTCTGTGCCAGCACGCAATGTCCCAGTCGCTGTCTGAAGAAGTCTGGCCTTGACTTGATCGTAGTTTTCTTCAGCGGTCTCTGCGTTTGCCACCACCTCGGCTCCCTCGACGAGCCTCGAAGCGACTTCGTAGAGATTGTCTTTGGCTATGCGAAGTTGATCAATCTCGCGCGAGCGAGTCTCTCGCACAGAAGGATGCCTTCCGACCGCCTCGACGATCGTCAGGACAGACCGCACAGCATCGATCGTCTCTCGGGTCATCTCGATGAGATTGGCATGGCTTGACGGGTGTGAACTGATGTGGTGAGAATGGATATGACCGATAAAGGCGGCAATGATGGACAGCAAGGCGTCTTCAGCAGCTCCAATGGCAATCTGCACATCGGCAGCACTTTGAGGCTCGGCAAACGTCCCACTCGGTGGGACAGGTGTCGTTTCAATCGATTCTGACGAATGGCTAGTCGAGCTGCTATCCATACTGCCGTGGTGTCTGGATCGTTCTGATACGGGTGTCGATCGACCTGAAGACGAGGTAAAAGTCGCCGAGACTGGCGTAGCAATGGAAGGAGATCTTGCACGACCGAGCGCTGAGGCAGCACGGATAGATGGCATGGGTGGTGGCGGACTCGATACTTTGCGTGTGCCTCTCAGATCCCCCATGCTGGCTGCCCTAAGGGATCTCGAGTCTCCAGGCGCAGAGGCCGTCTCCCGCATCGGCACAGAGCTCGGCTGAACACCGCACTCGTTGGCCATGTGAAGTAGACGTTTGACAGATCCAAAGACCCCCCTCGCGGATTTCGCCAGGGCCTCCATATCTGCTTCTGGGTTTTCCGTCTCGCCTTCGGCTCCACTTGCTGTCCTGGCGCATGCGACGAGCCTCGATAATTCGACGAGTACAATCTTACGTTCCTTGCCCAGTATCGGCCACTTTGTCAATGTCGCGGACTCCTTGCTCAGACAATCTGATTGCTGCAAGGCCGAGCGTATGGAGGAAATGACGCATGCTGTGGACGGTTGAATATGCGATTTGTGATTCGACTGTATGGCTGATTCCAACAGTGACAGGGCCTCTACCACAGGCTTGAGAAGCTGTTGTAAATTCTCAGGGAGTGTCGATGTCGAGGCGCGTGATCGATGAGAGGTCGCCGATGCCGTGCGAGTGTGGGTGGTAGAGATAGAATCGTTGCGCGTAGAGGATGGTCGCCCCATGATCGTCTTGACGTAATTGCTCGGAAACCATCCTCGTCTCAATCCATTCGTCTTCTCTCCCGTAACCTCTCCATCCCACCAACCACTGTCGTCCTGTACATGGACACGAATGATTTCTCCAGCTTTAAAAGAGAGGTAAATGTTGCTCCCTGCTGCCGAGGTCGAAGCCAAGAGCGCTGGATCAAAATCGTGAATCGCCTGAACATGCGTTAAAGGTGAAGCAGGCGGGGTCAACGGGACAAGTCCACGTGAGGATGAGGTAGAAGGTGTTGGTTGATGGCGTGATGAGGATGAGGAGGATGCACTTGCGTTGGGTCGATGCGAGACTTCCATCGTGGAGCGAGGGGTCCGAATCGAGAGAAAGAGATGTGTTCGAGGTATCTAGCAGGAACGCAGCTCCGCCAGGGTTCTCAAAAGGGCCCCGTCGCGCGGTCTGACCTCCGACGTTGACGGGTTCTCAACGACCGAGCCAGTGTCCAAGAGCGGGTGTCGCTCGGATTTCCAAAGCACGGCTAGCGCGGAGCCTCGTTTCTCTCTCGAATGAGACGCGGGCTTTTACAGCTAGTCTCCCCCCCTGCCGACTCAGGAAACGCTCTTCTGGATAAGAGCGGACGTCTGCTGTCGTCCTTGACCTATCCCAAGATGTTTGCAACAATGACCTCAGGACTATAACGTTTGAGCAGCATTGTCCACGGGTCGCGGGTTGTTGCAATGAAATTCTCCCAGGCTGCTGCTTCGCCCCCCGGGTTTGGAAAAAAATTGCTGCTTGGACGCGTTTTCAATTTGGCGCGACTGACTTTTTGGTGCGGTAGCTGCCATCCAAAGCTGTCGAATAATGTGGGATGGGGGCAGCGCATGCATTCACTCTACAGTCTGTGATATCTAGCTTATGGTTGTGAACTGTGTAGCTGTAGCGCTCTCATTGTGAGCATTGACCTCGCTGGCGTAGATCCATTTCCAAGCCCGCACCAAAGTGCCCCACTGAGCCAAAAAGAAAAACACCCGGGACCCATGGAAGGCCCAAGATTGATTGGACACAGAGGCATCACGACTGGGACCGATCCCCGTGGCGTGTGCCATGATTCAACCAAAACCCTTTGAGATGGGCTACAGCTCGAATGCTCTTCCCTGCCTTGAGCTTGTGGTTCGGATCGTCAGCGACAAGAAGACGAGCAGACAGACGTGTCCCACAAGCGTTCACCTGACTGAATGGTGACATCGATAATCATGAAGCCCCGGCAAGAGCGAGAACGACAGAACGCTGGATAGATTCCGGGGCGGAAGTGCATCGATCTTGCAAGCGAATCGTTGTCTGTGTTGACCACAAGAAAGCTCGAGTTTTTACTTCGTCGGTGGAATACCGCCGAACGTCTCTCCTGGGACCAGATTCAGTCTGCTTCCATTCGTGACCACGTCTCGCCCAAAGGACAATGATTATTGCAACGTCGATGATGTGATTCCCGTCAAAGTTCGAAATGATCGCTCGAATGGCCAAGGAGACCATCGTTCAGGATCCGAGACCATAACCTGGAAATCCATATACTCGTCAATATCGTGAACAGGGCAACGGCTATCATGACTGATTCACGGAGAGTCAGCATTGGAAGACGGTACGCACTGGATGAGATCCGCTCACGAAGGATCCTCAGCCGGTCATGTCGCTCGGCGACTTTCATCCCTTTCTTCATGCTCTTCACTAATTCTCCACCGACAACTTGGTCTGCCGACAACGAGGTAGCATTTCGCTTTCTCCTTGGACGATCAGCTGGTTTTGACATGCCTCTATAGCTTGGATGCAGTAGTGGGAAACGTTGAGATGCCCGACTCTAGTGAACGTGATGGTCGCAAATAGAGCGGCGCCGACCGCCGGACCGACCCGAATATGCATAGAATCTATGATAAAGGTAGGTAGGTCTAGTGTGCCGACTCTGGCTCGTCCCCTCGTCCAACTTCACTACTCGCGCGACCGTCAAGCGTTCCGAATCTGACCATGGAAGGACCAGGCGTCATGGTCGGTGTCCTAGTAGACATTGGCGTTCCAGACCGGGGAGGTGTGACAGGTTGCGAGCGAATGCCGCCAAGAGGTACGGGGGGAGGCAATCGTGAAACTTCATTGGTGGAAGGAGCTCGACTGCCCGTGTTCCTCGTGATCGTCCTGGCCCTTTGAAAACCTTTGCCTACTGGGATTGTGATGCCGTGGACGACTATCGACGTGAAGATCAGGAAAAGATTGACGGGGTAGAGGACGTTTCTCAAATGTTGTCTTGTGCCGTCATCTGGCAGCTCTTCCAATGCCACTTGGGTGTAGAACAATGCTCCGACTCCTATGGGTCCGAAGAATCCTGCAAACAGGGATTCGCGCCATGTCGGCAGGGTAGGTATAAAATGGGATAGAGCCAAGACCCAAGGGAGTCGACGACAAATCATGACGAGGATACCCAGGACGACCAACCGCCACGGCGTAAGGTTGAATTCAGAGAATTGAGCCCAGGGAAGGATGGCACCGATATAGAGGAATATAGCCTGAACAGGTCAGCTGCTGCCCCAGACGGCACGCTCACAGAGTTGAGCAGCTGATCAATGACATCTTGGAACGCATGGTCCTCAGTCTCGACCCTGAACCAGTCGTCCCAGGTGAAAGAGTTGCCAACCACGAAGCAGCACAGGATATCGTCCGAGCCAAGAATGCCCACAACGCCAAGAGTGAAGAAAGTGAGCGCAATGCCAAAGGCGAGGAATGATTCGTGATCGATGAGACTGAGCGTCAGCGACGAGCCCTAAAATGATTCGACTCACTGTCGCTCCTCACTGAAGCGCAAGACTTTCCGGGCGACGTAACCAATGATCGCGCCGATGATGCAGGATAAGACGATTTCGTAGAGCACGATATTATAAAACCTGAAATCAGCGAAAGACAAAAATAATGTTTCTCACCATTCGAGCACGGCGCCGCCCACAGTGTGCCAAGGATGAGACCGTTCATGGATTAATATGAGGTACAGAGGGATGTACAGGAAAGGATAGCCTAGTCCATCGTTGGCGCCTGCTTCAGCGACGATGATCTCGCGGACATGAACAGGGACATGCATCTCGGCGAATCGACCTGACGTCAGCATGGGATGCACCTGGAAACCCCCCACCTTTGCAGATCGCGTTTGCCAAGACTGGATCGGTTGGCGTAACGCAAGCTCCGATGACCAGAGCTTCGAGGAACGTCAAGCCTGGTATCATTGCCCAGACCAACAACGATGTGATGAACCAGGCGGTGGTCATGATCGGCCCTAAAAGAGTCGTCAAGCTTATCCAATTTTTTCTCAGATATGCTTTGGGGAGAGAGATTCCAGTGAATAAGACTTGAATGGCGATGATGATCCTCGCGACCTGTAGAGTCAAATAACTCGGATCGGCTGACCAGCTGTTTGGATTGAACCATCCTAGTGATATGGGCCCGAAAATGATCCCTGCAAGCGTCGAGAGCAGCGTCTCGGCTGACAGTCAGCAAGGCATAGGTGGCTCTATCTTACCGATGAAGAGTTTTTCCTTGAGAAAGAAACTGACGAGACCAATGACAATGACATACCCACCACTGACGGCGAGCGCGAGAGATGTCTTGGTGATGTCGAGCGCGACCATGATGGTGAGCCGGGCTGGCTATCTCGAGCCAAGATAAAGGGTGGGTGTTATTCTCCGATCAGGGATAAAGCAGAGACGTCGGAGCAGAGCGGGATGCAGCGCATAGAGTCGTGGACAGGTCGCAGCATACAAGGAGCAGGGTTCGATGCGAGAGGTTACAAGGATGCGGGTGCGACCTAGTAGGCCGAGCGTTGTAGGTGGAAGCCAGGGAGTATATAGGTAGTGGAACGTATCCAAGCCATTCCTGCGAATTTTCATTTTTAACCTGAAAATCGGGTCCACATGATCTGATGGCATGGTCACTCAAGGTAGCTATAGGAAACGGGAGCCGCGCTCCTCGCCCACATTTGTCCTCGACGCAGGTCTGTTTGTGTATACAGATGTGAGGCGCTTGGGGCAGTATGAATTACAACAGATGCATGTTCGAGTCAAGCTTGCCCCGCTATATCCCGCTTGGTCCGCTCCTGATCGCCATTATCATGTATCCCCTCTTTCACTTCAGGTGGATTGTTAGGCTTGGGTGGAGGCGGCGCAGGCTTGACCCAGTACATTGGGTACCTCTTCCTGCCCACATTGTTATTGATCAGCCCCACACCGAGCATGATGAGACTCGATACGATGATGACGGGTAAGTAGTGCCATGAGAGTCGGACAACAGAAGGTGATACAGCTGCTAGAAGGGCTGTCGCACCGGCTCTAAGAAGATTTTCATCAGCTATCATCGTCGTCGTTTTCCCTCTTGACGTACGGAGGATGTATGACCCCTAGCAGATCCATAGCTAGGAGTGCCAGGGCCATGGATAGACAGCCATTGACAATCACCACGACGTGAAAAACGCCTCTGTCCGCTTCATCGACCCAAGCGTGATACCCAGGATCCAGGGCAAATAGCTTGGTGAGACAGACGCCAATCAGGGCAGAGATGAAATGTCCTCCAACGAGGTTCCGAGGTTGAGCAAGAGGTACTTCAAAGGCTCCAAACACGAGGACGGCCGATGCACCAAACGATCCAATGATAATGGGTGAATGATAGACTGACGAGAATGCTGAATGAGGTAGCGTCATGGCTAGTTGAATGAGGAACAGCGATACAAAGGACCCTATGAAGCCAAACATGTACTTTTCCATGATATATGGCAGGTGTGGAAGCCATGCAAAGGGTGGAAAGGGGAGAGGGGACCATGGACCAGTAGGCGTCGAGCGATAGCCCAAGAACCGGCTCACTATGGGCGGCCAGTGCGCTAGGCGATGGGGCTTTGGATTCATGGTGCACCACACCACACCGGATCAGGTCAGCTCCATGCTACGATGGTAGAGGATCGACACTATATAAACACCTTTCGCATTTGCCGGTCACCGGCAAAGGTCCATTCGGGAATTCCCGGGTCTAGCTAGTACACGATGCACATTGTATAGATTGTCCATGACAGGTCATTATGTCGTCTGAATGTCCTTGCGTAATTGCTACATGCTCAGCAGTTGTTTCCGGAGGGACAAAAGGTGGTCGAACATCCTTGGTCAAAGGAACTCTTCGCAACTACCACAGTGAACGTTCCATCCGGAATGACCCAGCTTTGACTAGGAACGTCCCAGATCGACACGTCATAGTTGGACAGGGTGAATTGGATCGTGCTGGTGGCTCCAGGGTCCAGGTTGAGTCTGCCGTATCAGCATCGACCGTGCATAGCCGACTCACTTTGTGAAGTCTCGAAGGACGCGCGGGGGCTCTCCAGCTGAAGCTGGATATTCGAGGTATAGTTGCGGAATATCGCATCCATTGACGGGTCCAACGTTCTGAACCTGAGCTTGAACGGTCCATTGGGGTGCTTGCAATCTAGATATCAGTCAAGGAGTGCATTAAAAGTTACTCACTTGTCAGACAGGAACCCTCCGACGGGAATGCCATCGTTCTCATCCTGCCATCGCTTAGCATTTCCGTTGGACCAGATCTCGACGTTGGAATAATCGAAACTGGTATATGACAACCCAAAGCCAAACTCGAATCGAGGCGTAATGTTGGCAGATAAGAAATGCCTGTAATCAATGTTGAGACCCTCGGCGTAGACGATCTGAGGATGGGGATCTGTCGATTCGTACAAGACTTCTGCGGGGTAATCCGAACGTTGTTTGGCGATTGTGTAAGGCAATCTTCCCGAAGGGTTGTACCATCCGTACAAGACATCCACCAATCCGTTGCCAGATTCCTGTCCTGGAATACCAGCCCAAAGTACCGCGGTGATGTTGGGGTTCTCAATCCATGGTTCAATGATTAATGGGCCAACAGAGTGGACCACAACAACGGTGTTGTTGTTCACTGACGCGGCGGCCTGAACGACGGCATCTCCGTTCAACCAAGCGGTCAGGTTGTTCCGGTCTCCCTGGTTTCCATCGACGGTGATATAGTCTTCACCAGAGTCGGCGTTGATACACACGATAGCCACTTCGGCACCAACGGCGACGCTCATGACTCCGTCAAGGTTCCAATCGTCAAGGTACCAGTTCAGATCTGTACCATCCTTGCGAGCTTGGGTTGCGATGGCCATGAGTGGATCGATCAAGTAGGGAAAATTGGCAGTGCCAGATCCCCAGCCCATAGCCAGTGTACCGCTATCTCCACCACGATCACCATATCCGTTGGGTCCGAGAGGTGACGGACCAGCATCCTCGCCAATCAGGGCGATAGATTTCGGCTGATTGAGGGGGAGACTTCCATCGTTCTTGAGCAGAACGATCGAAGCAGCGCCCATCTCCTCGATGAGTCTATAGGTCAGCCAACGTTATCCTCCTAGCTCACTTGTAGTGATCGCCCTGGACGTTGACATGGGAGTTGTTGATCGACTGCATGGATCTGAACGCGTCAAAGTTGACAGCTGGGTAGCCAGGGGCGTCCTGCCCGACGAGATAATACGCGGCCATGATCCTTTCAGCCATATCGTCCAGTCTCGCAGCCTCGACGGACCCGTTGTTCACCGCTGCGGTGAGGTTTTGACCAAAGTAACTGGTGAGCGAATTGAAGACGACGTCTCCAGGCATGGTCATGTCGAGACCAGAGTTGACCGAGGATACACCCGACATGGTTGCCTGCCAATCTGACATGACATAGCCTTGGAAACCAAAGTCTGTCTTGAGGATCTTGTTGAGGATCTGAGGATTCTGACAGGCCCAGGAGCCGTTCACCTGGTTGTACGAGCACATGACCGAGGCAACATCGGCGGCCACCGCGCGGAGGAAAGGATGCGAATAGATCTCTCTCATCGTCCGATCGTCGATATCGGAGGACTCTGTAGTGCGATAGTGTTCTTGCTCGTTTCCAATAAAGTGTTTGACGCTGTCGTTAGTTTGGAACCGAACAGACTCCTCACCATGCCTGCACACCTGCATCCTGCATGCCCTTGATCGTCTGTTCGCTGGCCCAACCGCTGAGGTATGGATCGGCGCCGAACCCTTCCCAATTTCGCCCGCCAGCTGCCACACGTCCCATGTTGGTCATTGGTCCTAGAGCTACGTTGACTCCTTTTCCCTTGTGTTCTTGACCCATGGCATAGCCTCGTTTGTACATGAGGTCTTTGTCGAATCTGAAGCATCAGCAGGTAACACTGTGTAGACTCACGTTGCGGCGGCGTTGATACCAGCGGGGAAAGCACTGTTGAAGTCTGTATCCCTGACACCGAGGGGAGAGTCCTCCAAGCAGAGGCCTGGAAAGTTTTGAGAAGGAATCGGATTGATGTTTCCGACACAACGCCCGACTTGCCACCCGGCGCCAGTGGTCAGGTTGACCTTTTCTTGTTGTGTCCAGCCCGCAAGTCTGGCTCTGGCTTTCTGATGAGCCGTGACCCAATTACTGGAGATATGGGCGGCATATCCGTCGATAGAGGTGTTCAGAGGGTACGGGAAGGGTTGGGTGACATACTCCCCGGTGGGAGTGGGAACCGCAGCGGCGGTATTGGCAGTCGCCGCGGCGGCACCGGAGGTGGCGCTGGAAGCGGACGAGCTGGTGACACTTGACGTAGCACTAGAGGCTGACGAGCTGGAAACCGCGCTGGATACAGCGCTGGAAGCGGAAGAGCTAGCACTGGAGGATGCAGCGTTCGACGACATGGATGTCATCGAGCTGACCGAGGAGATGGAATTGGAAGCCATGGAAGAAGTTGACAGCATGCTGGACGCCACCGAGCTCGATGTTGGGACGATGCTCGTGGACGTGGAAGCGTCACTCGAGTGGGTGTCATTGGGTGCGAGTGATCCGACACCTTGGCCGAAAGTGAATTCTTCGTTTCGCCGTGACCAATTTGGTCGGACAGCTTGAGCCGGCGCGATGCTCCAAAGGAGCAAGAGGGAGGGAAGAATCATGGCGAAACTGGCTCCCAAGGTGAGCTGGCATTGACGCGAACAAGGGTACGGCGACTCACAATGACAGGAGAATTGTGCCCCCCCCCCCTGATGATATCGAGGGAGATGATGATGATGAACACAACAGAGATAGAGCCAAATTCCCCCGAGTCTTAAGGATTATCGTCTTGCGTGTCAACCAGTGGGGTCAACAATGGCCTTCTGCCAAGGAGGCCAGTGTTGATCCTGACTATCCGGTCAAGCGCGATTCTCTCTGCCCTCATATCCTCCCTCCGATGAAGCCGACCTGCCTCTTAGATCAATCGTCGTAAACGCTAAGAGCCGATACACGCTAGTGGAACATTAAACAGAGACAGGTTCCGTCTAGATGGGTAAACAGTGGTATGTCCAACGAGAGCATGTCGTAGCTTTTGACAAGGTCGACTTTACAACCTGATAGTATAGAGTAGCATGTTTGTGCTTGCAAGTGATCATAGGGTACTTGAGAGAGTGCTGCTACGTTAATAAGCTGCAAAGATTGCGGCGTCACGGAATATTGTGGACACGTGGCGGCGCCATCCCGGAAGGCATTGTCGGAGCCTCGAGAATTGTGCCCCTGCCCCGATCTCGCAAGGGGCAGGGCGACCGAGCCATACACTACGTAAGGACGAACAGGTTCTGCATAAGGACAAACAGGTTCTGCATGGCAGGGGAACGCTGGAGCCGTGATATACAGAACCCAGTCGTTCCACGGCAGAAAGGTGCATCCGCAACCACTGCGCGAGTTCCATAGGCTCATCGACTTCCCCTTCGTCTCCTCTCGGGCGTGTCATATTGTCCGCCAGTAAAGTACCTTCGACCAGCTCTATCCTTCTCCCGTTCGAAATCGTCTGACCAATTTCTGCCGACGACTGTACTCGGCGTGCTATCCCAAGGGTTTTGAGTCTGAGCTTTTGTCTTTGCAATGAGTGCCAAGGCCCGCTGACGCTCTGATTGCTCCCTGGCCATTCGTGCGGTCTGAGGATCGCTCCCAGGTGGCGGGACTCTGACGTGCGGCTTCTTCTGCGCGGTACTAGAGTGCGTAGATAAGAGCGAGGTGATGTGCGTCAGAGGGTCATTGCGAGATTTCGACCGTTGGTCTTTGCGCCTACGGGTCAGCACAAAGTCTGGTGTCAACTCACCTGTCCCTTGCTCTTCTCTCTTCCGCTTGATCGCCCGACTCCCATTCCTCTATACGCCTTAGGTCCTTGTCCGAGTACCAAGGCTTGGTTTCTTTATCCGGTCTGGCAAGGTACATTGTGTAAGGATCTTCCTTGTCTTTGTCCTTTTTCTTTGCCATCTCAGCGAGAGACGGTCCAGCCTCGCTCTGTCTGTCAGCGGGGACTCATCGCGGCTGCCCGCCCACCTTTTCTATATCCGTGAAGAAATTGACATGACCGCCAGATTCCCACTTGATCGCTTCTCTTCCATCACCATCGACATCGTACCCATCCGCTTCTCTCCTCCCATCTCTGGCCTTTCTGGCAGTCTCTGAGGGAAAGTCAAAGTCTAGTCGCTCCTTCCTCTTTCGTTCCTCCTTTTCAGCCTTTGCTTTGGCTTTTCGATGTCTTTCTAGCAGACTTGATTCACCAGGACGCGAGGACGAGGTGGAAGGAAGGTTGTCGTCCAACGAAGGCGATCCAGCGCGACGACGAAGCAGGTCAAGGCGACCGCTTGCTTCCTGGGCTATCAGATTAGTTCGAACGCGAGGACCCACCGCATCAACTCGTCTCTGCTCATTGGCGAGCTCTTCTGCTGCGGCTCTCGCCTCGTCTTCTCGAACGCGTTGCTTGTTCTTTTCCAAGTAAGGATGGTACGATTTGTGTCTGCGGCCATCAGCAGACTTAGGTGACGACAGCGCTCACTGGAGAATCTGTAGCCGGGGCATCGTTATCGTCGTTGCGAGCTGAATGCAAGTATCAAGTCAAAAGGCTGCGGCGACTCGCCAATTCCGGTGATCGGAATTGAAGTAGACACCGTCCAAATAATACTTTGAGACCACACCTCCAACGGCTATGGGCAGACCCAAAGCTCCAGTCAACGACTTGTCCCCATCGACTCTTCCGCCCGATCACAAGCTCGTCATGATCGGTATACCACGGGGATCAGGCAATTTTGAATGTGTGGATCCAGAAGGTGAAGAGAGATTGGTGGAAGTCGGGACAAAGTTGAAGAAGATGGTCTTGATCACGCGAGGTGAGAGATTTCATCTGGATCTGAGCTCAGCGTCTAGGTGACTTTGGTTTCATACGTATTTTTCCACCTTCGCCTGAACCGTCAAAATCGTCCAAAGGGAAATCGAGACTGGTCGGCGAAATTGTCAGTATGATCAGCGCGAAAGAGGTCAAGGCCTGGAAGAAGAGTGGAGAGTGGTGAGATGAAGGTGACCGAGTGGGCTGACGCTGTAGGCCTGAAGGATTTGGTGAGCTGAACCCAACTAGTGAGGAGCAACTCGACGTCCAGGAGGGAGAGGACGATGGATATGAGAGTGATAATAATGATTGATCGTCCTACAACTGCTATACCATGCATCATGTCTTGACTCTTTTCGAAAACAGCTCATCTATCTCGTCCTTTGGCTTCCTCTTCCCCTGCTTGGGTGCCTCGTCATTCACTGTAGACTGATGCGGTTTTTGCATCGCAACATGCTTCTGACGCCATTCGACCGGACGTCGTTGTAGCAGATGTAGGTCTAGCCGTTGTGCTAGGAACCGACCATATTGTGAGCCAGACAGCTCATGAGCGTGCGGAATGAGGCTCTTGCCGATCTTTTCCTGAAGGATCAGCAGTGTACGCATGGCGATACCCACCTTCATATACCCATCGGCCTTTGCCCACATGCTCTCCGCGACATAGCTTCCGCTCTTGTCCATGGCGACCGTAGCGAAATCATTCAGATACGCCATGATGACTCTACGGCGATCCCGGGGAGGAACGGCCGGCGAGTCGAGGATGGCGTCGAGAAGACGGGAAGAGATAGGGTGAGAGGCGTATTTGAGCAACATCTCGATCGGTTGTGCCAGAAGACTGTCGAGTTAGTGATATACTGTATAGACTCACCTATCGATCACGACCGGGCTCTGATCGAGTTTGACGAGTCCCTGAAGCAATAATGAACCCTGCATATTCGGTGCGAGGTCTGATTGCCTGGGTTTAGGCTGGCGACGAGTCTTCCATCCTTCAAGACGGGCGGCCGCGGCGGCCGCTTCCTCTGCGTCTTGATCCACGTCGAGGATTTCGTCCTCTGGCACAGCTTCACCGGCCTGAATGGCTTGATATGCCTGATGTGAGCGGAATATACCTGACCACCCACTGGACATGTTTTCAGCGCCATGAGACAGGGTACCAGTGGCTTGGCGTCCTTCTCGGGTAGGTCCAAAGCCGATCGAATGAGCTGAGTGTCAGCCGAGATGACGTTGTGGCTCACCTGAAGGACCTCGCTTCCACATGGTACATCCACACACCTGGCGACTAGTGCTTGTAGTACACTTGTCCGAGCGGTTTCTGCGGTCAGCTCTGCATCTCTAACGAGCTCACTGATCAGGCTCCGTCCCCCGTTGACCGACTTGCACTCTTTCACGACGCTCAGTATTCCATCCGCATCTAAGCGTGCGACGCCAGAAGCCACCACAAAGTTTGCGAATGGGTGAATGGCGAGCTTGCCAATCTTGCCGTGGAAGTAGAGTCGCCACAATTCCTGGAATATCGGCTCCGGGGCGACCGACAGGATCTTTTCAAAGAGATGAGATCCGATTGGGAAGGAGAGCAAGGACGCGGGATACTCTTTTGGTCTGGCACTGCCATTGGCGAGGTCCGAGACGAGTCCTTCTGTCAAGTGGTCCAAGAGTGATCCCTCGGCCGCTCCGTCGCCGACTTCCAATCCAACGAGCAGCTGGATGGCCGCACTGCCGACTTCGTTGACTCCCATTGACCTCCATTCGACGGGGGAGATGTCATCCTGGAGGGCACGGGTGACGCGTTTGCGGAGATCTATGAGGGTCTGTGGGATGTGACGAGAGACCGAAGCGCTGTGGTCTTCTATGATCGACTTGGTCTTTACGTCGTGACCTTTTCGATACTTTGTACTCTTTTTCGACCGGATGATGTCGTTTTTGGATTCAATAGGCAGTTCTTGATCGGAGCAAATGAGGAAGAGGAGTCGTAGCGGAGGAGAGGCATGAGGGTGGGTGAGGAGAGTCGGGACAAGGGGTTGGATAAACGTCAACAGCGAGGTGAACAACTCTGTCATTGTCCGTAATGACCCAGAGTCTTTCGGAGGTGGGAATATGTCTCTGGCCTGGACTGTCAACACGTATCGGGGGTTAGCCTCTTACCTCTCTATCTAGGGTGTCTGCCGCGAGTCGCAACCAGGTCTGGACGACATAACTCGCGAACCTATGTCGGAGGAGGATCTCCCATTGATCCCCAAACGAATCGCCAATGACTCTGCGTCCCCAGTCTCCAAGCGAAGGCAACAGTCGTTCCAGGACAACGGCCGTGTCTGGATCGGTAGCAGTGGCCAATTCGTTTCCGCGGAGCTCAGCGAGGACGTTGTTCAGGAACATTTGACGGTCTGGGCATGTTAGCGTGTTCAACGACTCTTGGTATTCACCCTCTCGCTCCTCCCCTGTGGACGAGACATTTTGCCAGTCTCGAATCTGATCGTCGACCGTCCTAAAGTACGCTTTGACATCTGGATCAAGGACACCAAAGGGGAACTCGGCTTCTCTCAGATCCCTGCTCCACTCTACCTGCTGTGCCTCCTCTTCGGCTGGCGCATCAAGCCTCGGTGGTGGTCTTTGACCTGCGAGCATCGCGGCTCGAGCCGGATGAATGGAAGAAGGACCGGCATGAGTGGACTCGGTGGATGGCTGGAGTTCCTCATCTGCCTGTTCCTCTTGCGTGAATTTGGGCTTCCTCTTGCCTCTCTTTCTGATCTGTTCTCTGGGCATGGTGAAAAGACAAAGATGCAAAATTGTGTCCAATCTTTCGACATTTATTATTTCCGTCGGAATGAATTTGGCCACCTCGTTCATCCTCACCTTGCACGATGAGCACGACGGCGAGCAGGGACAAGGGCAAAGCAAGGGATGCATCTCATCTCAATTGCCAGCGATGTAACCAAGTGAGCAGGTGGTGCCCGACCTCGAACTGACATCCAGCCGATCCTTCTCGACCCGGCTATAGCCAACCTCAGTCCATCGACGTTTTCGCTCATCACGTCTGCTCTTCCATCCACTTCATCTCAGTCTGCGTTGTCTCCCGCCGACAAGCTAGCAGCTCTGCCTCCGGCCTCTCAGCCAGGTGCCAGGATTTGGGCAGCAGCGAATGGGTTTGCGAGCCGACATCAAGCGCATCACAATGTCGCCGAGTCCTTCGTCCTCTTGTCCGACTCTGTCATGCATCCGACCCCGAGTCTGTCAGCCGGGCCATCATCGGGTCAGAATCCCAGCCCGGCGCTGGCAGCCAACCTCCACGCGATACTCTCCTCGCGGACACCGATATCTCATCCGCTGTGTACCGAGTGCACTGCCATGCTTCAGTCTGAGTTACAGAGAGAGCTGGAAGAGTTGACAAGGGAGAGGGATGCGTATCTGGCATTTGAGAAGGGAATCGCGAAGAATAGAGACTCGTTGAGGTCGAGGCGGCGAGCCGAATCGGAAACGCTTGGCGAACATGACCTCGAAGGGACAGAGGAAGAATGGCAAGCTCTGCATCGCAGGAAAAGAGAATTAGACGGGGAGGAGGAGGCGCTGAAGAAGGTTCTAGTGGAGAAGGAGAAACAACTGGCCAAGATGCGGCAAGAGGAGGAGAGAGTTAAGTTGGAGGAAGAGGAGATGAAGAGGGAAGAAGACGCGTAGGTCGATGAGCGTTCTGAGCTGATCATCAAGGTTTCTCCTTCGTCACTCTGCCCTCCATTCGGAACGAAAAGCTCTGGTTAATAAGCTCCACTCTGCTCGGACCCATCTGTTGCTCTCTCAACGCTTGCTACATCATTTAGAAACCACCAACGTCTACAACGACGCCTTTCAGATCGGTCATGTCCCAGATGCTTCGGGGAAGAATGGCCTGACAGTGGGTACGATCAATGGACTGCGGCTGGGTGGTCGGCCAATGGCGGACTGGGATGAGATCAACGCAGCATGGGGCCTGGTCGCTCTGTGCATCGATCGTATCGCGGTGAAAGTGGGCTGTACATTTGAGCGGTGAGCGCGCGGCAAGAGTAAGCTGTTGATGTCAGATACAAGATCATGCCATTGGCTTCATTCTCTCGGATCGAAGAGCTGCCGCCCAATAAGGCGGTGTACGAGTTGTACGCCTCGTCGGATTTATCACCTGCCAGGTTGCTGCAAAACCGACGGTTTAACTACGGTTTAGTGGCGTTACTCGACGTCCTGAAGCAGCTCGTGGATTTCGGTCGGCATCACGACAGAGGATGGGGAGTGGGGAATATTGAGTGAGCAATGATCATGTCTGGAGGCTAATGTAAGGATCCGAAAAGATCGTATCAATGGTCACTCGATCCGATTACCAGGAATATCCGCCATGCAAATGCCCGCTCTACCGTCGATGTCTATCATGGGTCTCGGTGCAACTCTGTCTACAGAGACCAACGATGGATCAGGTGATGAACAATGGACGAAAGCTTGTCGAGGTGTCTTGGCAGTGTTGAAGAGGATTTTGGTGGTAGAGAGCGAAGCGGATAGAGCGGGAAGGGCGTGATTAGAATCCGCTACTGGACGGGTCCCCAGATGCCATTGACAAGCTCTTCGACCATGCTCCACGCCTTGTAGATCCTCCACTGTTCGTCAAATTCGTAAAAGATGATCTCCCGTAGGTGTCTCTGGCCTGCTGTGATGCTCAACCTCGAGGCGACTTTACGATCCTGCACATCTGTCATCAGATCATCCACCTCGAACGTGGTGTGCGGCCAGACGAGCTTGCAATATCCATCTGGATCCAGTTGCCTCCCGGTGTGCAGTATGTGAGAAGCAAGGTATTTCTCCTTGAGAAGGTCAAAGTCGCCTTTGTTCAGCGTCGAGATGTATGCTCGATAGTGGGCTTCGAGGTCACTGGCAGGGGACATGGTCAAATGATAAGAGTGGGAAATGCATAAAAATGCCTCCGCTACTCTGCCTGCGCCAACACCTCTTTTATCAACGCCGCAGTATCGCCCTCCACCGCTTGATCGTTTACAGCTTTCTCCAGCAGATCCAACTGCTGAGCAGGCTCATGCTTTTGCAACCACAAGACATACTCTGATTCAGTCCAATGATGGACTTGATGTGGCAGAAGCAAGGGCGATAAGACAATGATGTGATGGAGGATGATGAGGGGTGGCAGGTGGACCGTCTCGACAGGATTGGTCAAAGAAATGTCGGAGAAGAGCAGTTGTCTAGGCATTAGATAGGCATTTTTCTGGTGCCCACCTGAACGCCCGCAGGGCCAGATACTCCTCTCCCACTTGGTCTATCTTTACCCCGCCACGTTGTCCTTGGATCTGTCCAACAGTTAACAAGCTCGACACGCCCACCTCGAGCTCTGTCATATCGCCCGTCAGCTTGAGTTTGCCGCTCTCCCCCAGCGGTCGAGCGATACTGGCGTGAACGAGGAATGTCCGTAAGATGTATCGGCTCAGTTCGAGGACCCTGCAGGTCAGCGGACCCTACGTCGTGATCTCACTGTTCCCTCATGGCATCGCCCAAAGACATTCGCCCAAGTAGCTCCCCCTTGATAAAAGCAATCTTGTCGATCAAGTCTTCCATGTATGCATTCCCTCCCATGTGTTCGACAGGCTTGGCAAAGTCGACCTTGTGAAGCCGTGAGAGGATGGACGACATTTCCCGCTTGATCACAATGTCCAAGGCGGCGAGGATTCCCTTGTAGGATTTCTCGTACGCCTCTACGTCAGCTTTGTCCAATCAATCGCTCACTTCGATCGCGGGAAGGACTATCTGCCAGATGTTTGGTGTGAACTCTTGCTGGACAAAGAGCAGATTGTATCGACAATGGTAAATACAGCTGACCAATTGGGCGTTGAGCGACTGAGCAGGTGTAGCCTGAGGTCCAATTACAGACGTGGCTGTGAAATCTCGCACCATCTGCCGTCAGGTCCATAAGTGTGGGGATGGACTCACTGCTCCTTCGAGCTTTCTCAACAGTGTATCGAGCACCTTGACGGCGTTCCTCGCCACTGTTCTGGCGAGCAGCGGGTCAAATCGTGCCGAGTCGAGCTCGTTCGTCACGACTCTGGCGATGCTGACACCTTCCGCCGGACCAGGAGGGACCCCTCGACCCGACAAAAAGGTCGTCGCTGCGTTGACAATGTCGTTCATTCGGGTAGTCGAGCGCGTCAGGTAGAGTGTCTCAAAGACAGCCACCGAGCGCAACACCAATACGGCCTCGGTACTGTTTGTCAGCCATGTTGATGCAGGATTTACCTTTGATGCTCTGTCGTGTACACGGTGTCTGTATGTACCGCGATCTTGGCAAAGAAGTCGTGAAACAGTCGCAACAGTCGAGGGTATCCAGCGCTGAGCGCTTGCTGAAGCCAAGCGGAGGCTGACGTGAGCGCACGCAGCTGAGTCTCTTACATTTCGTCTCCTTGCTCTGAGTTTCAAAGGCTTGAGCCAGGTTGGTCCAAAAGGTGAAACTGGGTTTCTCGTCGAGGCTCTGGTGGTCAGTTTGGTCGGGAACTTTTGTTCACCTTCATGACCTCGGTCAAAAAGTCCACATTCGAAGCGTCTTTCTTCAGCTTGAGAACCTTTTCCAGCGTGTACACCTGATGTCAGGCATGTCACCAGTCTTCCTCACCTTGATGCAGGCGTTGGTGATATCCTCCATGACCCGTCCGAGGCGACTCCACAGGACCTTAACCCATTGGTCCTTAGTCGAATTGGTTGGCTCCGTAGCAGAACGAAATTTGATCGCAGACGAGTCAGCCATGTCATCGGAAGGCTCACCTTTCCCAGCCACCTCTTTTCCAATCGCTGCAGAATCGAAAGCTCGTTGTATACGGAGGGTGACAGCATCGTTGAGATCGGCTAAGAGATTGGACACGAGGTCCGGCAGGAGACGAAGGTTATGAGCCGTTTGCAGCGATGAGGAGAGGAGGGCTTGGTTCTGAACGTCAGCATTCTCCCGCGTGTCAACTCACTAAATCTGCAAGACCAGCTACTACCATGCTCTCCATCTCCTGTATGATGGTATCTCTGGCTCTATCGATTTTGGGTATTTGAGCTCTGCAGACTTCGAGTGATTGCAAGGGGACCACATCCTCGTCCGGAACGGGTTCAAGCAGGGCATCTGCGTCAAATGATGGTCTGTTGGGGATGCTCACCTAGCTCTGCTACGCTCAACGCGGCTTTTGCCAGCTCCCTCCCACCCTCGTCTTCATTAGTCGTCTTGCTGGCTTCTAAAGCTACCTTGACCTGCTCCATTTGGTTTTCTAGCCTCCGCACCACCAGTACATAACGAGCGGCCCGTCTAGTCAAGTCGGACGCGCGTGTCAAGACCTGGATGCGGCGAACGAGGAGAGCTAGATGCTCATAGGGCTCGTGGATTTTCGCGTGGAGTCTGTCGAGAGAGGAGGAGAGGGAAGTGAGAGAGGAGCGAATGGGGGAAAGATGGGAGGAGAGGGACAAGGACGTAGTCAAGTGAGCCAGGAGGAGTGGGTGGGAAGAGGTGATCTTATGTTAGGTCTGTCATTCGGAAGTTCTTACCTCGCGTCGTAGCTGCTTCGTCACATCTTCCTAGGCGGTGTGAGTGCGCGCGCTATGAGCTCGACGTACAATTCCATAGTTAAGCTTGGCCAGCTCAAGCCCGACGTCCCCTTTTTCGTCACTCTTCTTCGTTGGCTGAGGTTTGTCTGGATCGTAGTTTTGGCCAGCTAGCACAGCGTTCGCATACGCATTGACATCAAAGTTGTCTGATAGGAACGGTCCCTCGTCTATCTTCATGACGCTTCGATGGAGGTACAAGAGGAACCGGGATTCCGGAAATCATCAATTAAATAATGGCATACATATGGAATATCTAGGCTACAGGTAGGCTCTCGCACATATCTACTACCATCAGCCTCGTCAAGGGCAGGACTCACCACACCGCCGCTGGTCCGCGCCATTTTCGTAGGTACAGACCGCACAGGCCCAGCTTGTAGACTCGGCGTTGCGACCTTGTGACGAACTCAGCCCTCGTTTCCTTACCATGAACGACTCACCCCTCTTTCTCGCGCCCACCGGAGGACTAGCGTGTCGTTTTACCGGCGTGTCAAACTGCATGAACTCTTCCCAGCCCCCCCTGAGCTGTCGCTTTTCGTCCTCGTCCATCTCAGCTTCGATCTGAGACCTGCGTTGAGCAGGATTGAGGTGTGGGTCAGGCACCTCAAATCCTCCGGGATTGTCGGGTGATGTTGCTGCGAGGCGTGCCTCTGCGGCGGCAGCTCGCAGCTCGGCGGCACTGACATGAGCGTTTATCTAGGCGTGTCTCACGTCTTGGATTTGGCACTGATGTCAGAGATGCTCGACACGGGCGTACCCACACTTTTCCCCTCGTATTCCCTGGATTCTGAGCTGCCCACTCCTTACCTGCCTTTGCCCTAGCAGTTTTGACAGAGACACCGGTCGTGAGAATCTCTTGTGCGCGATCATCGATCCACCGCTTCTTCTCATCCAGGTCTTCCTTGGTGATCTCTGCGGACGTCAGTTGAGGGTGGTCACGCAACTTACCCCTGCGACCATCCAGCCTTGTTCCGTTGTCGCCCATATCGGCGTGGTTCCTTCGCGCAGGTTTGGTGTTGTAATCGGTCTGTCGTCCGGATGTGAGGCTGACGCCAGTCGGAGGTCGACGTTTGGCCTTCTTTGCGTCCCTGAGGTTGAGTTGTGATATTGGTTTGGACTCACGAAGCGCTAACACCGCAGACGTATTCAGGAAAGTCGGACGGTTCTGGGTGTGAGTACATGAGAGGGTCGAGCCTCACTCAGTCCCTCGGCCCCCATCCTCACGCTATCCTTCAATCTTTGCCCATCCGACCAGAAACCTGCATATCAGCCCTGGCCTTTTTGCCAACTTGCCATCGCCGTAGTATCCTCTAGCCTGCATTTCTTTGACTTCTTGCTTGATCTCGCGCATGAGCTAGACGCTTAGCTAGATATGGAGGTGGACTTACCTTTTGAAACTTTGGTCCATGGTTCATCTGCTCAATATGGGCCATCTCGTGACACATGACTGATACGATATAAGGCAGAGGCAAGAACCGACCACTCGGTCCCCGAAGGACCAATTCGACTGACTGATAGATCAGCGGCGATGTGAAGGGGGATGTTTACCTGGCCATGATTCCAATTACGACCTGCAAAGACTCGATTGAACGCTGCTTCCTCCAAAGTGTGTATGAACATGTATCGATGCTGCATGACTTTTTTCATCTGACGTGAGTTGGATCGAGCTCGAGCTCACTTGGGCGGCTTTGTGTGAGCCACGTAGTATGTTCTAGCTCACCAACTGCTTTCAGTATCATCTCGGCATCCTGAGGGCTTCAGTCTGGGCTCAAACAGAGTTCCTACCGTGTGGTCGGGCTCGGCCTTGAGGGCGCGGATGAATCCGACATAACTGGGGTTAGCGAGTGTCCCGGATCATGACTCACTGGTTTGGATTGGACTCTCGCTCATTGAACCGGCTGCTGATCAGCTGAAGCTAGTCGGCACTTACAATCCTGGCGCTTGCATGGTCGAGTGAATGGTTGAGTGCAAAGACTCGGAGATGGCGGTGGAGGGCTCCGCTGAGAGTGTGCTGTACGTGGCGCAAATGTCAGTGAGTGCAACTTTCTTGACGAGATTCATGGCGTGTCCACGCAGCACGAGAACCTCATTCAGCAGACTGGTTGCATGGCAATGGCTCGCACTACGATCTGTACGTTAGAGGCCCCGCCATGGCCGCACACTGTGCACGAAATGAATGGCTTTCAGGCCCCGCAAAAGTCCCAGGGGACTATCAGGTTGAACCAGATCGAGTGAATCTCTTTACTCAAGCAATGCGCAGAGCAAGCTCAACTCGCATCCAATGTACATCTTTGTACTCGAGCAGTGTGCAAAGCAAGCTCTACTCACGTTTACATGTACATCCTATCATGTTCAAACGATGGCAAGCACCCGGTTCCTGACCGGCTCATTATGGGATGTTTTCGCCCCAATTTTTGGCCGTTCAGGCACGAACAATTGACGGAGATCTGCGAAATGAAAAAATTTGGAAGACGATCCATTGGAGTACATACCATCTCATCCGTCGAGGCGTAGACATAGGTCCATCTGATGGTCAGAAGCTGAGAAGCAGAGAGTAGATTGCGGCAAGCCTTCGTGTGATATAAGGAGACAACAGTTTGGTTTCACATCGATAGTTGAATTGAAACCTAGGCCTGGTTGGAAGATGTTGGGCATCATAGCGATCCTGTGTCTGGCGCACACGGCTACGGCACTGCATCTGCCTTCTTGGCTTGCTCGCCACGAAGGCCGACTTCATGGTGCCAAGGTGAGGCATTATGAGACAGCTCGTTCTGACCATGAAGGCAGAGAACGCCCTCAGACGGAGGGCAGATCAATCATACATTGCCAGTGTCCCGGGGCCAATCTGTACTGGTCCTTCATGCTACATTGGCTGTTTTCATGATTCCTGGACCAGGACGGTCGGAAACCAGAGCATCAGCTCAAATTCAATGACCGTCGATTCGTGTCAGGAAATTTGCCTCAGAGGAGCGTATAGCTATGCAGGATTGGAAGGTGGACGACAGGTGAGATCCGAGCGATACGCATGTTGACCCCAGTGCTTCTGTGGGAATATTTACAACCAAGCTCAACTTTTGTCTGATGGGTCTACTTGTTCGACGGCGTGTGTTGGAAACTCCTCTGAGAGGTGTGGTGGACTCTGGCGGGTCAGTATTTGGCATGTTTCTCCAGTCCCCGTGTCGAGTGTCAGCTCGTCCGGCGGCTTGGGCAGCTCGTCAGTCAGCTCGTCAGCCAGCTCGTCAGTCAGCTCGTCAGTCAGCTCGTCAGTCAGCTCGTCAGTCAGCTCGTCAGTCAGCTCGTCAGTCAGCTCGTCAGTCAGCTCGTCAGTCAGCTCGTCAGTCAGCTCAGCATTCCGCTCGGTCAGCTCGGCCAGCTCGTCTGTCCGCTCGGTCAGCTCGACAATCAGCTCGTCCATTCGCCCATCGACCAACTCACCGATCCCCTCATCCATCCGCTCGGTCACTCCGACCGTGTCACCCACCACAACCTCCATCTCCACATCAAGCGCCTCTCCAACCACCTCCGGGACAAGCTTGGGATGCTACTCTGATGCGGTTCCTCGGCTTCTGCCAGACGCTTTCATCACCTCCAGCTCGATGACAGTCTCGACTTGCCAAGCACACTGTGCCAACCTGGGTTATCTCTACGCCGGGGTCGAAGCGGCAAAGCAGGCAGGTCGTATGAACGAGTCATAGGCTAACCTCTTCAGTGCTTTTGCGGCAATTCTGTGAAACAATCGGCGGCACTCAGCGCGTCCGAGTGCAACTCGCCTTGCGCTGGAGACTCGACCGAAGTCTGCGGGGCGAACTGGAGGATCAACGTCTATGCTCTTGGCCAGGCGACGAGTGTGGGCAGTAGTATGGTCATCTCTAGGTCCATCTTTTCGACAAGCAGCTCAACGACCTCGTCTGCTGTTCACTCCTCTGCAGGCTCGTCCAGATCGGTCATGGTGTCAATCAGCTCGACCAGTTCGAAAGCGGTGTCCTCCTCGTCAACCATCTCGCGCTCAAGCTCGACAAGCTCGACAAGCTCGACAAGCTCAACAATATCGTCATCTGTCGCCTCAAGTACGAGCTCCAACATTGCTCCGCCCATCTGGAGCGGATCGTATCATGCCTTGCCTCGCGTTACTAGCTCTCCCCAGATTCAAGCAGGATCCTACCAACGACTCACGTCTCTCGTCCCTCAGGTTCTCCAGAATGCCATTTCCATATCGACACATTCTTGGGAGCTCGGCATTCTCGCCAACTCCCTCACTGAAGTCTTTTATCCTCGCCTTGCACCCTTCAGCTACGACTATTCCGCCCCGGGTTCGAGCTCCGCCATACCCTGGTCTGTTCTCGATGTCATGACGCAAACTTTGAGTGGGTACAGCTGGTCCGGCGCTCCTTCTACTCGGGGCGCTCCAGCAACTCCCTTGTCGATGTACTTGTCCTCAAGCACGTCACCTGTGGGTATGACCAACAGCCCCTTGGTCGATGGACAAGGGGCACTGGGAGACCCTTGTTCGCTTGGCGCTGGTACTTGGATCATGGCCGAGTTCTTTGGTGCTTCAGACGTGCGAAACGTCTACGGTTCCAGGCCAGGCCAGGACTTTGCGTGGGCAGTGGGAAATCAATATCAACATCTCGAAGCTGGTGTCAGGAATTCCCAAGGCACACTGTCACAGCGAGAAGGTTACTTTGAGCTGTGGGCAGATATGGGATACATGATCCCTCCTTTCTTGGCCTACATTGGCATGGCGACGAACAGTCAGTCTATGCTGAACGACGCCTTGTCCCAATGGGCTCTGGAGTGTAATGCCATGTTGAACACGAGCACGGGATTGTTCGACCACGTTCCGACCTGGGATAATCGTCCTTGGGCCACCGGCAATGGATGGATGCTGATGGGCTTTATGCGAGTCGTGGCGAGTATAAACTCGGCGGGGCAAAGCGGTCAATTTGCACAGACGATCTCAAACTACGTCGGGTCGGTGACTTGGGTGTTTTACAACCTTTTCGGGAACATGGGGGTGAGTGCTTGTACTGTGCTCCCGCTGATCTCACAGTCCGACAACCTCATCCCAAACTACATGAAAGGGAGTGGTGACGGGACTGGCGACGCCTCGGGATCCGCCATGGTGGCAGCAGCGTACTACCGATTTAGGGTGCTAGAGCCTCAAAAGATTGCGCCATGGCTGGACAGTCGCGCGAGCGATCTCTTCGATGCTGTTGTCAATCAGGTAGATTCGAGCGGATGGCTGCATCATGTAGGTCTTGGTCCGTGGTCGGAAGCTTATCTTCAGGTGGTCAATCCAGAGTACCCTTGGACCGTTTACGCTGGTCAATCTCCCGAAGGGCAGAGTGCTCTAGGTCTGATGTGGGCTGCTAGGACTGCAGCGGGGGTCTAGCCCGAGTGGAGCGAGAATGATCCGAATATAGCGAGCGGAGCGTGATCTAGCTAGCCCCGGTCTGGGACATTAGAACGTCTTTGGGCTTATATGTTTTTTAATCATGTTGATGCAAATGTGTCCTGTAGCAGGCGTGTGGGGGGCAATGGTTTCAGACATCCGTAACCTCCTGCTGGCGTATAGACGTGCAGTAATGAACGAAAGCGAAGCGAGAGAATGCAGCATAATAGCTTGCATAAAGCAGCTGGTCGAATAGAAGCGAAGCAGCTGACGTCCATGAATTCGAAAGTTGCAGATTGTCGTGGCAGATTGTGGTGGCAAAGCAAATAGGGTAAAGCATGTAACGGATGTTGCAGAGCACGAAGCTGTACTTACCCATCATAACGGCAATGTGGGCAGGCAGACGCGCCTGAGGCTCGCAGCATCCGAGAGGATGAAGCAAGACGTCACCCCAGCAAACATCACACCTGAGCGATCTGTCACCCCCATCACGGCAACGTATCTCCCAACCTCATCCAACCCTCGACACCTCGAACCCTCAACACCCCCCAATGCATCCCCCACGACAGGATCCAGTAATACAGTCAAGCAGAAGAGTCTAGAGCAGATTTACTCAAAGCAGACTGCGTCGAGTCGGGGACAGATTGGATTGAGTCGATGCAGTGTAGTCCAGATTTATCAAAACAGATCGTATCAGAGCAGAGCAGGGCTGTGAGCACGAAGGGTCGCATCGATGCTCTGTTAGGGTGGTCCTTTCACAGAGACATCCTTTGTCCAAATCCCCATCATTGACAGAGTCATCACGAATACCCTCTACTACCGATCATGTACCATGTCAGCGCTCGAAACGATCTGGATATCAGATGCTTCACCTCTCTTCAAGTACTCTCCAGACCCGATCATCGCTGATACCGCATTGACCGCGCCTTGGAGCATACAGCCTTCCGACTCGAATGACACACGACATGTAACATCAGGACCAGCTGGGTTGATACTCCCGTCCATCTACTGTGAGTCTCCGCTCCATCGGAAACTTACTGCTCAGCATCGAGCTTTGAGCCGGTATGGTCGGGCTCAACAGACGGATACTCCCTACACCTCGTCGTCAATGATTCACCGCCTCAGTCGATCAATCCAGGCTTAGCCGCTCAGTTCGACGCTGGAATCAATACCCTCATGTTGGCTGTGAGATGCGGCGGGAGTTGTTCGCCCATCAACTTTTCCGGTGCCAACCTCGGTGTCAAGATGGTTCCTGATGGGTGAGGACTGTTCAAGCGTCAGCTGAAGTCGTCAGTGTGACGGGCCAGTCAATACAAATTGACGATGCCGACAAAGCCATCACGTATACTGGTTTCGCCCCGATCTCTTCCCCAGGGAGCATCACCGTGACCGCAGATGACTATGATCAAACGCTAAGCTCGACAGGATCAGAAGGCGCAACTGCCAGCGTATCCTTCAAAGGTACGCCAGTGCGCCCATCTTCGCTGATGATCAGGCTCATCAATAGGAGTGTACGGCGTGACTGGACCATCGTTAGGCGTCTTCTCGGTAACCATCGATGGGAATGACCAGGGGACCTATTCCGCTGCAAACAGTATCGACGCACACGGCGTCCTCTTGTTTTTCGCCGGCAACTTGGACGCATCTCAGCACACGTTAGAACTAGAGGCAAAGAGCGGAGCCAAAATCGGCCTCGTCATCGATTCGTTCGTTGCATGGGGCCCTCAAGGCGTCGTGGGGTTCTCGTGAGTCGGCCAATCTACTCAGACTGAAGTCAGTCCCTCTCGCACCGACCTCCCCGACGGGAGCTCCGACGGCGTTCCTGGCGACGCTGCACAAGGATCAGGCACCCCCAACGGAGGAGTCATAGCGGGAGCCATTCTCGGTTCCTTGGCGGGACTAGTGAGTCCAACAATAGCTCGTCCTCACGCCCCAGCTCCTCCTCATATGGATCTTCCGCCGAGGCATCTTCAGTATCAAGAAGAACGACAAAAAGCTCGACCCATGGGACGAAGCAAACATGCTTCAAAAGCAGAAGAACGAAGCGGTCCATGTGACTACCGTCGCCAAACAGCGATACGTCTATCGTAAGCAGGTCCAGGGATGTTGACTGACAGCAGCCGGCTTGATCGCCCATAGTCAATTGAAAAAGTTTTGATGCATCACCAGGATTGACCCATGTTGCCCAATATGCGTTCGATGAGTGCACGTTTCATATATTGCTCGCGGGCCAGCGACCGAACCGACTGCCGTTAGCCATACTTCATGACTCGCTCACCTTGACAAATCGGTCAATATCGATTCGCTCTGCGTCAAGCGCACGAGTCATATGGAAAATCGTATCCTCAATAGCATTGTCCTCCGCGACGAGGTCGATCAATCTGAATGTCAGCGCAAGCACCTCGCCGAGCTCACTGGTTGTGCACTATCGATATGCCACACACCACCTCGTCCACACTGATCTCGCCTCTGCTCTCGAGCTCGGCGACGCGTGTCTCCCCTTGAGCCACGACATTGTCCATCTTGCGGCCCACCGAGTCGCAGACCTTTTTGACAGCTTCCAATCGAGCCATTTCGTCTCGGATGGCCGGTTCACCAGAGGTCAAATCTTCCCGACGGTCAAGCAGATGCTGACGATTGGTCTGAAGCGAGTGGACCAGAACAGGTAGCGAGGCATTGAGATGGGGCAGGAGGATGGCGTGAAGATGGAGCAGAGATGGAGGTGGTGGTTTGGACGGTGGTGCGGGTGCGGCGATAGAAATGTCGTCGGCTGAGGAGAGTAGGTCCTGTGTCGGCCGAGCCGGATGTACGGGGTGCTGTGGGCGGTTCACCGGAGGAGCTTGACTGGAGGACACAGCGGGATGCCACTGTGCCGAGGGACTAGCGGGCGTAGTGTGGAAGGCTGACGCCTGTCGTGGTCGATCGGGGACTGGAGGAGATTCCTGCCTATGTGAATGCAAGTGAGACGCATACTGTGGCAAGCTCTGTGCCCATCAGCTAGATCTACCAGCGCACTCACATCGGGTCTGGCGGGCGGCGGTGGGGGAGATGACGAGCTTGTCGCATGTCTTACTGGCTGAGTTCCTGGGGGTCGAGCAAAGACCGGCGGAGTGATCGAAAACACGCCTATCAGCTGCTGCAAAAGCGTCTCTATCCCCTTGTCCGACCTCGACCACCACTCATTCACCACTTCCTCCCGTATTCGACCACTTGGATCTACCTCCCTTCCTTTCCGGACACCCATATCTTTCGTAGGTACCACAAAAGCCAATGGAGGGGAACGAGGATACTCAAGTGGGATCCAGAGGTGTATGGGGATGTGATACGTCGCTCCTCGATAATGTATCGGCAACGTCCCATGCAAGAGCAGCAACAAGGCAGTCTGACCATTATCAAACGCTAATGGTCAGTGGTTGTCACACCGAGACGCACTAAACGCATCCGTCTTCACAGCCAATGTCCTACGCTGCTGCAACACGTCCAAGACCTCGGTCTGGATACGATCCCGAGATGGGTATGGCTGGAGCACATTCTTCAGCCAGTCCCGTGTCAAGTCAAGCGAGGGCATGGTAGGCAGCGATATGACATGGTCGTCCACACTTGCGGCTCGTTCGTTATCCGCCGGTCAAGCCACGTGGCACCGATCGGAATTCTTTGCTTGTGATTTTTTCAAACGAACCTCGACACCTGTCATGCACCATGACTAGCCCGCTCAACGCTCTCTCCGCACCGCTCTTCTTCCCTGGCAACGAGCCATTACCGCCGGGGGTCCTACCAGAAGAAGTGGACGCCTGGCGACAGGCTCAAGTCTACCAAAAATGGATAGGCTATATACCCGAATCATGTCCATTCAAGCTGGCAATCAGTGGAGCGATGGGTAAGTGGTCCAACTCGCTACGACCTGACTCGCTCCAGGCTTTGGTCTAGGAGGTTTCTTCTCCCTTATGCAGGCCACATTTGCCTATGAAGATCCGTTATCAAGAGCATCGGGTAAACTCGCCAATGCAACGTTGGGCACCCAAGCCAAAGTCGTCTTCAGGGATATGGGCAGGAATATGTGGTCCAGCGGTAGAGGTTTCGCAAAAGTCGGTGCGCTGTACGCAGGGACAGAGTGTATCATCGAGGGAGTGAGTGCGCGCGCAAACGTCACATCTGATGTTTTCAGTATCGTGCCAAAAACGACATCACCAACGCCGTGTCCGCTGGCTTTGTCTCGGGTGCTGTACTGGCACGTAACTCTGGTCCGAAGGCTATGCTGGGAGGAGGTGCAGCTTTCGCAGCGTTTTCGTATGCTATCGATTGGTACATGAGGAAGCCGCCAGCCGAGTGAGCAGATGAACTGAGTTAACGCTGACGCCACAGGGAGATGTAGACGTGGATCTGTTGTACACTACACATTGACGACGCATCATGCATGATCTGACTGCACCTGTGCGAATGCTTTTCAACACCTGGCTGACTGGAGGCGGCACATCACACTCTTTGCCTTGTCGCCACAGATGGGATGGGATTCGGATGAGACCGGACGGAATCAAAAGTTTCGATTGAGAAAAATGGAAAAGGAAAAAGTCCAGGAATTGTCATCGTTCAAGAATCATCATTGTAGTTGTTGTTATAGGGGTTCCAACCGAGCGATACAAGGGCATCCCTCGTCTACAGATCTGTTGCAGGTGTCTCGTCATACCCCTCGGTAACATCCTCCGATCGACCTCTCGCCCTCCACGGAATGCAACAGACCTGTCCTCACAGTACCAATCCTACATCGTACAGCAGATCGCCGGTCCCTTCCAAAATGTCAACCAACCACGCCTCTACTTCAAAATCAGCGCTCGACGCATCCAGAGAAGCGGAGAGCTTGTTTGTACCCCCGGCGCCCGCCTCACGAACCGACAGCTCAAGTGAAGAATATGCTTATATGAATGCTACCGGATCTCGTATCCTTTCCTCCACTTTCTTCGAGCTCGAACCAACCTTACGCCCGCCCACAACGTTCATCCTCGGGACGAGAAAATCAGAGCTCGCATTGACCCAGACGCAACTCGTGGCTGATGCGCTATCCGCGTACCATGTCTCCAACCACTTCCGAGTCGAATGGATGAAGACGCTCGGCGATCGGAACCAACAGACTCCACTACACCTCTTGACCCCTTATTCCCAACAACAGCCGGCGAAAAGTTTGTGGACAGACGAATTGGAAGCCAAGCTGGGATCCGGTCATTTCGATATTCTTGTCCATTCACTCAAAGATGTCCCTACGACCCTGAAAGAAGGGTGCGAGATCGCTTGTATACCAGAACGTGAAGACCCTGGTGATGCCCTGGTGGTCAGAACTGGTCTCATCTACCAAACCTTGGACGATCTGCCAGATGGAAGTATCATCGGGACTGGAAGTGTCAGGCGTGTGGCGCAGCTCAAAAGAGCCTATCCAAAGCTCAAATTCGAGGATATGGTGAGGTGCTCACAGGTTCAAGAGCTGACTTCCAGCGAGGAAACCTCAATACCCGTTTGGCCAAGCTCGACGCACCTGATTCCAAATATGTCGCTCTCATCCTTGCCATCGCTGGTCTCGCTCGTATCAACTGCGGACATCGAATCACCAATCCCATCCGGTCCCCTGCACTGTTTCATGCCGTCGGACAAGGAGCACTCGGCGTTGAGATCCGAACGGGAGACGGACGAGTTCGAGAAACGATGCGAGGTGTCGGACACTGGCAGACTGAATGGCGATGTGCAGCGGAACGAGCCTGCCTCCGTGTGCTTGAAGGTGGATGCAGTGTTCCAGTGGGCGTGGAAAGTACGTTGGAAGAGCTCGATCCGGAACAGGCTCAGGGGGACCTCGCTGGCGAGACCTTTTCCCCACTGGAGCCCGATTCCCCCATGCTATGGTTCTCCGGAATCGTCGAAAGCTCACATCGTCTACCCTCCTCCCTCCCTTCCACCCCTGGCATAGCGACTCCCACTGGCGAAGCATATCCTGTCAACCGTGTTCTGCCTCCATTACGGAAACGAGCCGCCAAGCTCAGCCTCAGCACCTGTGTGACATCCCTCGATGGATCAAGTCAAGTCGTGCACTCGCCGGAACCTGTCGTCGTCCGTAATTATCAGGAAGCCGAGCGATTCGGAGAACTCTGCGCGAAGAAGATCAAACAACTTGGAGGGAAAGAGATACTGGATGAGGTTACTCGGATCAGGCGGGAGCGAGAACGAAAAGACCTCGAAAGGGCGATCGAAAAGTCGCGAGAGCAGGCAGGGGGCACGAAGCAGAAGGATGGGGATGAGCATCAAGGTCTGCAAGGGCTATTGCAGAGCTTGAACGGGCCCGAGCGCAGCGAGGGCTTCCAGTAGCTAGGGAGCTCGACCGGAGGCGACATGCACCCCTCGCTCCGCTCGGGCAGCCGCGCATGTAGGCAGCGGACATTATGATCTTGACAGTGCGAAGGAGTGGCGCCAAACTCGGCGACATGACTGCCGTGTTCAAATGGGTGCTGCTGCTCGGCTTCTCCTTGTTACAGTACCAATGGCATGCAGTCATGCTCATTCAGCCCAGACTGCGCTAACACATTAATACTACATGCTCTCCCTCCGCTCAGGCATGCAGGCTCAGGCATGCAGCGCTCGGGCCCTACCATCCCCAGATATCAACGGCTGGTCGCCACTCCACCTCCCCCTCCACACCAACCGTAGCCTGTCTCTCGTAAAAGTCAATCTCCTCCTGATCGAAAAGCTTTTCAAAACAGGCTTGTCCAGGCCGATTGTAATGCGCATAAGGGTCCTGCGGGGAGATCTACGCAAATCAGCTCTGTCATCACTTCCACTCACTGATGCTCCACAGCGATAACAGAAATGAGCTTGACATCGTCCACACGTCATATGATTACACCCATGACTCTTCTCGACCCTGACGCCACAACCTGAGCAAGCTCGAGTCTTGGACTCTAACCACTTTCTGTTCTCTTGATCCTCTCGCCACTGAGCGACCATGCGTTCCAGATTCGCTTTACCACGCCGTTTCTCCATAGCCAGGCGAGAAAAGCTCCCTTCGGGATACGACAAGTACTCAAGGACCAGAGCAGACGTTTGAGGAAAGGCGCAGGGCGTATGAGGACCATGCCATGTGGCGGAGCAGTAGAGGCAGAAAGAGTAATGGCATTTCGGACACTGCCGATGTCGAGCCCATCGATCATCCACCGGAGCAGGCACAGGTGCAGTCGCAGTCGCAGTCGATTCAGTCTTGTCAATGTCGGCGAGACGAATGACACGCGAGGACGGTGCGATAACAACCTGATCATCCTCTTCCGGCGGCGGCGGGACAGCGGCTTGACAGCTGATACGTGGGCATGTCGTCCAATTAGGATCTGATCTGTCAGGAAAGCCAGAGTTGAGACCTACCTATTTCTGCCCTCCGGCGCTCTTTCAGTTCATCCCACCGCGCCCTCAATTCGTGTCCCACGACACTCTCCACCAGGGAGCCATCTACTTCGCCTCTTTTTCCCGTCGCCCTCTGCTTGACACAATCCACACTTGGACAAGCAACATTCTCCAGCGTCCCTTCCTCGATCGCCAGTGACCAGCACAAGCTCAGACAAGGAACGCAACTGTGGATCAGCGAGCGCAACAAGGTCACTCACAAAACACATCCACAGGTCATCTGAGCACATGATTTGCCCTTCCTACTTTCCATACAGATTGCACAGGAGAATGCTACTGATTCGAACTCCGAGTGCTTCTCTTTGGCATTGAATGTGTTGAGGAGTGTGTGAAATGTCGAAGGGACCAAGGACGGGGGTACCCAAAGACTGAAGCTCAGCAACGTTACAGTCTCCACCTACCTTATACCGTCCTGTGAGAGACCCAGATCCTCGAAGAACTGTCCATTTCCCACCCATTCCCACCACTGCCAGATCACGCCCGCCCCTTCGCCTGACATCTGCTCACTTCGCCACATCTCTTCGAGCCTGAGCCCAATCTTGTAAAGAACCTTCCGGCTCAACCAGTTGGACCGCTTATCTGCGCCAGGGATTGGAGCTCTTATGTCGACGACTCTGGGCGGAGATTTGAGGGGATAGTCCGTAGGGAGAGCGATGCTGACCGTGAGCGGCGGAAGGTGCTCGAGATCGAGTGTCGGAAGTACATTGGAAGAGGATGGCTCGGTGGCGATGGTCTGCAGAATGATTGCGGTGGGCGAGGGGAGCGTGATAGGGATCGAGAGCCGAATCTCATTATTTGGTAGCGACTCGATCAGAGACGGATAGATCGACTGCTAGTCAGCACCATCAGTCACGTACTCACCTCGAGGGCTAGTATTTCGTCTCCCTGGAGCGTTAAACACTCTGCTTCAATGTCCGGTGAGGCCATAATGACTGTAGCAGCTCTGGCTGAGATGCAAAATCAATCGACGATCTCCGGGTGGAGGGACCTCGATGCCGTAAGCTGCACCTCGGATCCGAAATGCGGACGCGATGAGGAGCCCGACAACGACAACGACCACGGGTCCTGTGGTAACATGAGCAGGATCAAGGGTAAGCCTTTCCCCCTCGCCCCCGCTCACCTACTTCAGCTATTGACCACAACTCGGCCCACCGCATTCATTCCGGCCAAGTCGTCCTGGATCTCCAGGGTGCAATCAAAGAATTGGTTGAAAATAGTCTAGATGCCGGCGCGACAACCATTGGTGAGGCGTAGGATCCTCAGCTCTGACTTTCAGACGTCCGATTCAAGAATCAAGGTCTTGACAGTATCGAAGTCTTGGATAATGGCTCTGGAATTGCAGAGGAAGACTGGCCATCCATAGGTGAGAGCATGAAGGATGCGCTGATTGATCTCTAGGCCTCAAGCACCATACGTCCAAGCTTCCGTCGCTCGCGGACCTCCCTCATGTGACGACCTTTGGCTTCAGGGGCGAGGCCTTGAGCTCACTGTGTGCCCTATGCGAGTCCATCACAATCGTGACATCCACCAAACAGACGGAACCGATGGGTGCGGTCATACACCTTGGGAGGGATGGCAAAGTGATCGATAGCGAGGGACGGATAGCGAGACCAGTGCGTGAGGAGCGTACCGCTTCTGACCGTCTCAGCGCGGCACAACAGTCACTTTGAACGGCCTCTTTGTGCCTCTCCCTGTCAGGCGGAAAGAGTTTGAACGGACAATCAAGCGGGAATTCCCAAAAGCTCTCACGATGCTTCAGGCCTACGCACTTGTGCCCGCTGCGACAGTCACAAAGCCCGGTGTGAGGCTCAAAGTCGAAACGGTTGCCTCCAAAGGGTCAGTACAACATGCCAACATGTCTGACGATGCTGCCAGCAAGCGAAATGTCATGCTTGCGACCGATGGCAGAGGATCTCTGAGATCATCCGTCATCTCCGTGTGGGGTCCGAAAGCTCTCGAAGGTGTTTTGGATCTGGATCTCGAGCTTCAAGTCTCCGTGGACCCCGTCATGGCGAGACGGGAAGGCTTGGACGTACAGTAGGTGGTCACCGTCCGTCGCTGATTCAGATCCCAATCGGTCAAAGTGTCCGGCCTCATCTCGTCAGCCTCGTGGGGTCAAGGTAGGAGCAGTACAGACCGCCAATTCTTCTACATCAATCAGAGGCCTTGTGATCTGAAGCAGGTGAGACGGGTCGATATATCACGCTGACAATGCAGGTCGGGAGAGCGATCAACGAGGTATACAAGAGCTACAATACCCATCAAGTCCCGCTTGCGGTGCTTGATTTTCAACTGCCACCTGGTGAGCCTGTCAGGGATGACTCCTCTGAAGCCTTGCAGAGAGCATCGATATCAATGTCAGCCCAGACAAACGGACCATTTTCCTGCACAGCGAAGCCAATTTCATCGCAGCCCTGCAAGTGAGTCTGACGTTCTGCAAAGACTCACCGACCAGACACAGCTAGAAACCTTCTTTGCACCTTCGCGATCCGCCTTTCCTCTGGAGGGCGCCTCAAAGACTGTCAAGATCATCGAGACACAAACCCAGCTGCCTTTCAGGGAGACTCAGACCTCGCCAGACGTTCCAAATGCCGTCAATGAACCCACTGAGGGGGACCTCTCGCAGGCAGTTGGTGACCACATTCAGACACCTTCGGATGCACCAACGCGCCTTTGCCCCGATGTGGGCGACATACTCTTCGAGGGCGAGATAGACGCCACACCTGCCAAATCATCCCGGCAGACCTCCCATCGTTCCACCTCTCCTCTTCAAATCCCGACCCGAAGAGGCGTCTCACAAACACTCAATACCACTGGGGCATCTTGGAGTCCTGATCGAACCAAATCGGTCGCGAAAGGCAAGACCGCAGTGAAGAGTCTGAAAAATAGGTTGGCTGCCTTTGCCAGTCAATCCTCGCATATGTCTTCGTCCAGTGAGGACGAGAGCGATGATGGGCTAAACGATGAGGAACCTGCCGAAGAGACAGAGGACGCAATGAACCACGACATCATCGATGCCACAGGACCAGACAGCGGCAGCGGCAGCGAGCTCGACGTTGAAAGTGGAGAAGACCCTGTGCCAGGGCCATCCAGAACCCCCCTAGCCAAACGGCCCGCCCCGGATATCCTATCGATCGACATGTCGACCCCGGAAGACATCCCCATCTACAAGGGCGAAATCACAACGACAGTGATCCCAGGCGAGATGACCTTGCGCTTTGACGTTGCCCGCGTCAAGAGGCGGTATTCCTCCTATGGCCGTCGCCGGCCTCGCCGCGCATACAATTCGGAATGGAGCATATCGAGCGCTGCGGGGATCAAGAATCATGACCCGGTGCAAGCGGAGGAGGCGTTGGCTCGCGTGATCTCGAAATCAGATTTCGCAAGGATGCAAGTCCTTGGGCAGTTCAATAAAGGGTTCATCATTGCTCGACTCGGATCAAGTCAAGGTGTCTCCGACGATCTGTTCATCATCGACCAACATGCCTGCGATGAAAAGTACAATTTTGAAACCCTTCAACGAACGACAGTAATCAAGGCGCAGACCCTCATAAGGTGATTTTAGATGAAATCAAAGCTGACACGTTGAGACCGCGTCCGCTGCAGCTGACTGCCGGCGACGAAATGGTTGCGATCGAGAATATGGATGTCCTCAAGGCCAATGGGTTTGAGGTACTCGTAGATGAAGACAAAGCCCCTGGGCGGGGAGAGAGGATAAGCTTGTCCGCCATGCCAGTTTCGAGAGAGACGACATTCGATTTTAAAGGTGAGTCACAACCCAACCATGCTGACGTGTAGACCTTGAACAGCTCTTGCACATGTTATCGGATGGAGCTCGACCAGCTGGCCAGATGGTCAGGTGTAGCAAAGCTAGATCCATGTTCGCCATGCGAGCTTGCCGGCGAAGCGTGATGATTGGAAAATCATTGACAAAGCCGCAAATGACTCAGGTGAGCGACGACTCAAGCCACTCTGACGCTCAGTTACTCCGCAACATGGGCACTATCGATCAGCCATGGGTAAGTGAATCGCTGAACTGGGCTGACGGCCGCAGAACTGTCCACATGGTCGACCGACGATGCGGCACTTGACCAAGGTTCCAATGACAGTCGAAGGCTCAGATCGCATAGATTGGTCACGTTGGGACAGTCATCACGGCTGATGAATGGCCCTGCTGCCTAGCAACTCCTTCTCCGCCTTGATCTCCCCCTGCAGCCTAAAGATATCGGCCTGGATCCTCTGTAATTGACCTTGAACCCTCTCGTCGTCCGGATATTCTCTCGCTATCAATGTCCATCGATCAATGTCGCTGAAGAATGTGTCCATGTTCGCTCGCAGACTCTCCAGGCGAGAGGTGTCTGACTTTTCAGGTTGAGAAATGTTCGTTTTCGATCGCTTCGGTTTAGTCTGTGCAACGTCCTCTTCGTCATCTGCCGTCGCTCGCTTGCTTGGTTCGCGTGGTAACGCCAGACTCGGCTTGACGGGTGATGCCTGTCGCCAGTCCTCGTCGCGTCGCCCGATGATCTGTACCTTTTTGCTAGTGAAGCTGTACGCCACGAATCGTGTGGCTCTTCCCTTTTCATCAGGACAAATTTGGCTCTGACACTGTTCATTGGTCCAAAGGACCAGGCCTGGGTCAAGATTCCCAGTGTCGACAGACTCGAACTCGGGCGGCAATCGTCTGCTGAGCTTTCTCTCGTATGTCACTGAGCGACCGGGATCGATGCAAAGGTAAGCCGGTCGGCTCGCGTCGAGCGGTGAGGTATGAATGTTGAGACCATCAAAAGTGTTTGTTGACAAAGCCAGGATGGTCCTACGCCCTTGCGCGTCAATCCCGCTGGCAGCTAACTCTCGCCCAATCTTCCAATCGTAAAGGGCCGCTTCGTTGGCTTTCCGGAGCTCTTTCGTTTCGAATTGTGCTGGATAGGGGAAGAACTGCGAGCTAGGATCTACAGACGGCTGAGCCCGTATCCAATCGAACGCTACTCCGTCCGGTAACCAGCGTGTTCTGACAATTTTCCTGTTCTTTGCTTTCAATTCACGAGCTTGAATCTTCTTGAATGCTGATCGGGCCGTCGATTGTCGTTCACCATCTCGTCCATAGCAGGCGTCAGGTATGTCTTCCTTGCTGCGAGCGTTTCAGTCAGAGCTGTAGTCATCCACTTACCGGAAGGAAAGAATGCCTTCGCTCTTGCGAGCGTCATCGATCTCCTCGTCCTCAGACTCTGCCTCCGGTCCGAGCTCCTGCTTGACATCTTGATCGTGCGCATCATCTCCTTCGTCTGACGCTTGTGCTCTTTCTTTTCCCTTACTGGTTGCGAGTCCCGCAGTGTCTGTAGACTGCATCCGAGTCGCCGCAGGCTCCCTTGGCGTGATCTTGGGTCTAAATTTCAACTTGGTGAAGGGCGTCGCGGGACCCCCGTCCTCCGGGGCTGGCCTCGGCGGAAGCTGGTTTGGCGGCACTGGCGGAGCACTGTCATCCTCCCCGGTAAAGTCGATGAAGTGTGTATGCGATGCGCCACGAGCCACTGCCGATGGATGAGGTATTGTCTCCCCCGCGACAGGTTGTGACGGACTCCATGCACGATACCTAAAGCGATCAGTTCGCTGAGAATCCGCAAGCTCACCTAGAGGGCCCAGCATGGTATGTGTGATCATTGTGATAATCCGCACCATCGTTCGGCCTCGACGCTACGGGTCGACTGCTTGACCCGTCCCATTCCCCTCGGTTTGAATGACCGTAAGGGAGACCTCCCCTTGCACGATTCTCCGGACGACCTCGAGGTCTCCTGTAGGGCGGACCCCCAAAGCCTACGCCTCTGTGGGGTGCTGCTCTACCTCCCCGTGACCCAGCGTTCGCATGACGCGAAGGCTGTCTCTGCGCAGAGCTCGACGAAGCTAATGGATTCTCCGGACGTGAAGGAAGTACAGCAGGAATCCTGCCGCCCCTTTTGGGCCCGCCCCGACCCCGATTAACCGCTACAGTCGGCGGTCCAAGATTTGCAACATGCGACGAGGTTCGCCCTTGAATGTCCCAGTCCTCTCGCCCTCTAAGACCTCCATGACCACCTCTCGACATGAAGTTTGATAATGTCAGAATGAAAAATGGCCCTTCCCTTTCGCAAAAGTCGCACGCGTGGCAAGAGTGGCACGCATACATACTCTCTACACCTTGATCTCTTCATCAAATGTACCAAGACCCTGCTTCTCCCTCAATCTGGCGCTTCTCTTCCTCCCACTTTCCCCTCCGTCAGGCGAGACAAGAGCGGTGAGATCCAGAGCCCGTTTCAGCTTGAACTCCGAGGCAGTCTCAGAACCTGAACTAGATTCGGATGATGTGCTAGGAGGAGATTCGAGCGAGAATCTCTCGGCAGGAGATTCAGAGAGCTTCAAGGTCACATGAAGCTTTGGTGGTCGGCCTCGTTTCCGCTTGACAGGCTCAATGTCCGCCCTCGATGTACTGGACGACCTCGAATCGGATCCGGTCGTCTGCGCTTCGTCCTTCTCCGCCTCTCTCTTTGCCTGCTCGGTGGCAGCTGATATCGACTGGCTGACATCCACAAGGTCCACGCCCATTTCTTTCGCTTCGGCAGCGGTCAAGGGTGCAGATTTGGCCGTTGGCGGAACATCTGCTGCGTCGGCCTCCGCTGGTGATTCTTGCTGACCGCCCATCGCAGTCGAGATCCGCCTCGAATTCTCGATAAAGGCAGAGATGGCGGCATTGGCTCCCTTCTTGTCTGCGAAATCATCTTTACGAGGTCTTCTGCCACTGAAGCAATTCCGCTCAACACTCCTTCTCGCTTTGTAGCTCCGTTCGCCAGCGAATCCTTTCACCTCCCCACATAAATCGTCCATGAATTCACCAGTAATGCGAGCTCGAGAAGGTAGCGGTGGTAGATCGGACACGGATCTGGGCAGACGCAACGGCCGATGGTGGATCAGACCCGGCACAAAATCGTCCGGTGTGGCATCGGGATGGCGTCTGGAGATATGAGCCATGAGATCGTCAAAGTGAGGACCCTCAAACAAGCAATCTGGACATGAGCAACGACCACTCCCAGTGGATCTCACCAAAGGGGCAACGAGCACTAAATTTGCCCATGTGGCCAATGAGGCAATGCTTGTGGCACTCTTCGGGTCGGTCAAATGTCGTATGACACCCTTCCCATTGACAGAGCACGTCGACATCATCTCGATAAAGATGAGCATGATAAAGGTGTTTTTCGAGCAGTGCCCAGGAATTGAGAACGGCCGCACACCCTTCCCAAGAGCAAGGCGTGGGTCTAAAGTTAGGCCACCGCTTTACGCCTTACTCACCTGGCATGCACAAAGACTTGTAGCTGGATACGCCTCTTCTTCCTGTCCGCTTCTTCCTTTGCTCGCTTCATGGACGCTTGCTGAGTGAGCATTGCATGAGCTTTTCGAGCCTGAGCGATGGCCACTTGCTGCTCAGCGCGAATGCGATCCACGTTGGCCGACTGATGATTTGTTGTAGCGTAAGAGGCTGCATGATGAGCGACGTGTCCAGGATGAGGAGGAGGTACCCTTCCATGGTATGGAGCATGCACGGGCGACATCTGAGACGGAGGTTGAGAGATTAAATGAGTTCGTTCTTGATACCTCGCGTGCCACTTTGCGTCTCGTTGGGCGCCTCGAGATTGTTGATATCTATCTGTAGGACGAGAAGTCTCGTATGCTTTGACGTGAGACAGAGGAGGTGCAGGAGATCCCGACACATTTGGTGCTGGTCCTACATCGGGTTGATATAGGCGAGGAGGGAGTGCTTGAACATACCGAGAAGCGTTATGCATGGGTGGAGGTGGCGAAGACCGACTCTTCTGAACGGGCAACATCCGCGGTTGTTGAGGCGGTCGAGAGTAAGGTTCGTACCTTCCTTCGGCTCGGTGTGATGTGTATCTATTATCGAGGTAAGAAGCTCCGAGAGAGGGTCGATATTGAGGCGAGTGGGGCTGAGGAGGCCCGTCTTGACAATGTCAGTGATGCTGACTCGTCGACTTACAATAAGGGTCCCTCTCACGCGTGGTGACGGCGTATCGCGCATCATCACGGATCCCCTCGGCATAATGGTACTGTCTGGACATGGTCATGAGACGAGTCTCAGGTACCGGGCAATGCTTGGGAGTCGCAAATCGCTGACTGTGGGAGAAGTTGAGAGAAAAAGTGGGCCTTAATAGGTCGACAATGCCCCAGTGACTAGGAAAATCCTTGACTAGAGTTGGGGCTTCCCGTGACAAAGGAGAGTCTGACGTTACACAAAGGATTCAGAACCGCAAGATGGTTGTCTTAAAGGAGGTCAGAAAAGATTGTGTTTGAGGTCTGCGCAAGGAGAGCCAATGGGAAGCTTCCGGGCCGGGTGGTATGGGCCATGTCTCTTGGGTCAATCGGCTAACCCCCAAGGGACGGATGCAGTCCCACTGATCTCGCCGATCATTTTCCAGAATTAACGATTGGCAAGTGATGCAAAGATCTGCGTCATTCCCTTCACAGCAGGGATGCCCGCTCATCAGTAATGCGTGAGAATGGATGCGATCTATGCTTCATCGCCCAGCACATTCATCACTTTCTCCTCTTGCCTCCCCCGTTCTCCGCCGCTGCCTCTTGCGCCTTGCGCTTCATCCCCTCTTTTCGCATCTTTTCCTTCCTCTCCGCTCTAAACTTGTCACCTCTCTGGACTTCAATCTTGGCCATTTCTTTGCGGTGCTCTTTCCTCTTCTCTTCCTTCTTGTCAGATCGTCTGGCGACTTTGTCCTTTCTCAAAGCTTGGATCTGTTGCAAGAGAGCTACAGCCTTCTTCTCCTCCGAGTCCAAGACGACTGCTCGGGATTGCATGTACGTCGGCTTGGTCTGCTTTGACAGAGCCTTGGTCTTCGACGCATAGGGCAGGGATGCTTCGAGTTTGCGGGGAACTTTGAGCGGGTTGAATCGGCGCGTGGAGCGTTCGACGGCCTATCGGGTCAGCCAAATGTTTGCCGTGGGACGACTCACCCTATATTTGGAGTTTGCGTCAAGAGGCGTGTCGATCCCCTCGTCACGTCTGATCTGACCGGTCAATCGCATCCCCTTCCAGTTGTCCTTGTCCGCCGACAAGAGCGAAGTGACAGGGTTGTAAAGCTGTTTCGGCTCGATGGCATACCAAGCACGCAGAAAGACAATGTCGCTCATCAGGATCTTGTCTTCAAATGTTGCTCTGTACGCCCCATCAGGTTTCGACAGTGCCTTCTTGATCTGACCACGGATACCAGATACAGTCCGAATATTGGCTCCCTCAAATTTGGCCACTTCGAGAGCAGAGTTGAACATGTCTTTGATAAAGGCGGTGTTTTTGAAAATCTTGTATGGGATACCGGTCAACTTGAGCTTTTTGACGATTTTTGTCGATCGGTCAATGTCCAGGACGACCCCGTTTGCGCTGATCCTGAAGCCCGGATTTTCGCCCGTCAAGTTGTTGAAGGCGCACAAACCAGTGTTCGGGGCAGAGACTGGGCCGTAAAACGTTGCGTAACAGTGCATATGCTCCGGTGTGTACTTGAGCATCCTGTTCCGAATGGAATGATCGTCCAAATGATACACTGGTAAAGATTGAAACCTTCGCCAACCGATGGAGAAGATGAGCGGATCATTCGTCTTGAGGGTGCGCGTGAACCATCGATGTCGTTTGATTCGGATAGTCACGTAGCCAAATCGCTCTTCCGCATTCAATAGGCCCCCAACAATGATAGGGTAGCGAGGATTAAAATGTTCGACCAGTTCGCAAGGGACGTTGTCAATCTCCAAGCGTACATACGCGCCAGCTCGATGTCCTTCGATCAAAGCTCGAGCTTCATTGCTCATGCCCGCGAATTCTTCTTCGTTGAGAGCCCTTTGTCTGGCCATCTCCGCCTTTTGAGCATCGTAAAAGTCGATCTTGTTTTCCTCGTCCGACTCGTCATACTCTGTATCAAACTTGGCTTCGAGCGCCTTCTTTTTCCGCTCCAACGCATCCGCTCGCGCTGTCGCGTGATCCACTTCTTTGCTCGGCTGGACGCCAATATAGGGCACGTCACCATCTTCCCCTTCGGCCCCTTCAAGATCCTCAAAATCACTTCCTTCCTCTTCATATGCATCGCCTTCCGCGTCAACATTGTCCGAAGGACCCGTGATAAACATGGATCGGATCGACTCCAGCATTGCGGGGTCGGTCCACGTCGCCTCAAGAGCGTCAAAATCGTCCTCGACATCAAAATCTTCGTCCGCTTGAGTCGACACTCGGGCCGGAGTCTTGACTTGGAAAAACTCGTCGTCCTCGCGAGCCATACGAGATGACTCGGCATCATCGGCACTGGATCTCGTCTTGCCCGCTGCAATCTCCTCTGGACTGAGATCGGATCCATAAATGAGCGATGCGAGATCGCGTCGTCGTCCTAAACGATCGGCCAACTGTGCCGACGCCTTTTGGGACAGATCAGCCTTCCATTTGGGTGCATCGTCCTCTGAAAGAATCCCATCATCTGGCAGGTCCAAGCGAGGTCCATCTTGTACAAAAGAGGTCACATGGGCGAGATCATTGTCCGAGTCGGAGCCTGCAAAGTCGGCGTCGCCACCTTCCTCCTCGCTTTCATCGTTCATCGGAACTCCCTCCGCACTATAGACCTCCTCGTCGGTGAACTGATCGTCGTCCTCGTCATCGCTCGCGGTGCCCAATATCGGTCCGCCATTTCTTGGCTCCGCTCTCCGCCTCGTCCTCTGCAGCTGCAGCGGTGCTGTCGATGTTCCAAGGAGTCTGATCTCTGAATTCTGAATACCCTCTCCAAACGTCTTGGAGGCGTCTTGTAAGTCCATGACCATTCGTTCGCCTTCCCCTTGCAATGCTGCAAGGCGTCAGCAGCCTGATCGACTCCATCACTCACCATCACTCCCTCGGGTGAAGCTACCTGGGACATTGATGTATACCGCGTCCTTGTCGTACATGACGCCACCGACATCGCTCATCGGAGCGTGGATCAATTTTGCCTTTTCCCCCATCTTTCGGCGTCGTTCACTCTCCAACGTTGGCAGAGGACAGGGATCCGCCAACATCTCCGCCTCTCTCACTTCCAGGTCCCCTGCACCGGGGATATGCACCTTGGCGTTTCTCGCGGGCAGGTTCGGTCCTCTCATGTAACCGTAAAGGGTGATTGTCCGGTCCATCTTGGGGTTTTCTCTGAGCTGTTCCCGCGGTGTGAGGTCCTGCAATCGGTCGACGAGAAGATGTGGATGAGCATTTCGAAAGACGAGCGGTCGGAATTTCATCACGCTGATGAAGCGAGAGAGCAAGTTGATTTCGGTATCAGGGTATCGGCCGTTGAGGACTCCAGAGAGGGAAAAAAGCTTTGCACCTTGGTAAATTTCGGTCCAGAATCGGTGCTTTAAGCGCTTCTTGGTGTCTTTGAGCGTTTGAGCCTTTTTGATCAGATCCAAATGGGTCAAAAGACCAAGCACTTTGGGGAACCCGTGAGATTGCAAGATATTGAGGAATTCGAATGTTTCCTAGGACATCAGTGAATGTTCAAGAGGATGAATTCACCATTTCAAATCCATAACTTCCGTCGATCATCAACAATACTAGGTCGACGACTTTCCCCAGATCAATCATGCTGTTCAGATCGTTTCCACACTCGACAAAGGTGATCCGTCTCGTCTTACCCGAAACCACCGTGATAGGTCCATTGGGTTCTTGCAGATTATGCTTGGTATACCGCCTGACGAGACTGCGCAGAAGAGTCGACTTTCCAACACCTGGAGGTCCGACGATACCGACGATGATAGGTGGAGGGGGTAATCTTCCTTCGTCCATGCCTTTACCCTTCTCAATGGTGACCTTTCGTTCTTCAGGATTACGATTGACGAGCGGGACATGGAGACGTTTTTGATCTTTATCGGCTGTGCGTCGAGCAGCACGCTCTGCAGATCGAAAGGAAGAGGACGTGAAGGCCTGACACGATCAGCAGCGGTCCACTTTGCGTTTCGCCCACCTTGGGATTGAAATTTTTGCCGCCTGTACGGTCGATATCCTTCGCAGCATCCTTCTTCGCGGCCTTGGAGCCTGCCGAAGGCTTATGATGGGCTTTATGAGGTCTTTCCATGATGGAAACCTCTTCAGGCGGGACTGTGTCCACCTGTCAACTGGTAAGATGAATGTATCGTTGCATTCAGACACTGGGTGGACCTAAAATTCCAGCGAAGTGATCGGTGCACGTGACACGACGCGGAAGCAAAAATGTCGCTACCCCGTGTGGTGAACAACTCTCACAGTGCTCGAGAAAGCCCATGCATCTCAACGCGATACCTACTCGGCAGCGCCATGTCTCCAAACTGATGATTCCTTCGACATGCAACGACCCGAAATGCTGCATCATCACCTCACCAGTCCACCCCTAGCTCACCCCTGACCACGTCCTTAACTGATCCCCCCTTTTACCCCCTTTCCTGCCTCTCACACGAAAATATTACTCTGACTCTCCTTGTTGGTTTAGAATCCGCAATCCAGAGCCGAGACGACCACAAACCTCCACTTTCAAGGTCCACCTCCCGAGCCATCCAGTGTCATTGTAGATGGGTGCTCCGGCTCATCTGTATACTCCCCTGGATAGGTCACCATGACCAAATCTAAAACCAACAACGCCTCTGGGATCAAGTTGAAATTCTCACTGGGGTCCCTTTCGTCTGCTCAAGCAGGTCCCTCTAAATCGACCCCAACGCGTACAGAGGCGCCTGGGCCTAATGACGCTGCGAGCTCAAGCAGATCAAGGTCTGGGAAGGGAAGGGCGGTGGCTGGCGAAGAAAAGATGGCAAAGGGGTCACCGACCAAATCACGCCAGATCATCAACCCCGTGGCTAGCGACACGTCAACAGTGGTAGCCGAAAGCGACACTCTAAGAGACAGCACACCTCAGAGGCCACCGAAGCTGAAAAAGCAGAAAGAAAAGATGTCGACAGAGACTGATGATACACGTGGTGAAGCAGGCCTCTCCTCTGGTATCCTTGATGGCCCAAAGACTCCCGCCAATCCATCCACCCCTCTCAGCTCCACATCCACCCCCATGACCTCTGGCTCCCGTGGTTCAACCATTTCTCGTACCGGTCAACATATCTCTCCTCACGGCAAGGTGCTTGGACGTCCGAGAGGCTCCAAGACAAAACCATCCGCACGTACTCCTCTCATTCCCAGCTCGAAGAAGGGCAAGCATGTCTTTCGAAGGCCAAGCGCTATCCCCACGAGATTGCTTTCCTCGACACCCTCCACTCCTCGGCCCCCGCCGCTCTCCCTCCAGCCCACAACCCCCGCTACCCCTTCTACTCCTGTAGATACGGCCGACTCGCCGGTGAAGCTGGAGCCTGACCTCGAGACGGAACCTCTCGCTCAGGCGATGTCTCCTTCAGTTGGTGAAGCGGCCACACCGGGTGAAGATGCTGAGCCTGAGACTCCCTTGGAACCTGCTCCTCGAGTGATCAAAGGGAAAAAACCACTGAAAGAACTGATTCAGCGTATCATGGTCCAGCTTTGGCGGAAAGATGATGTGAGTCTGCGAGACTGAACATCTGCTGACTTTCTAGTACGGCTACTTCTTCGAGCCCGTCGAGGTCGAGTCATTGCCAGATTATCTCGAGACCATTGGCGGTGAGGACAAGATGATGGACCTCGGCACCATGCAGAGCAAAGCCGACAACGGGGACTACACCGACTTTGAACAATTCAACGTGAGCGCTCGTGATATCATCTATTGACTTTCAGGCGGACTTGCAAACACTGGTCACTGCCGCTGTGACCTATAATCCTGAAGGCACAATGGTCCACACCATTGCACAACGGCTACAAGTCACGGGGGAAAAACAGATTGAAAAACTTCGGCCAATGGTCGCTACGCCAGAGGCAACGCCTGCTCGAGGCGGATCAGGTACGCCGTGGTCCGGTCGCGAGGGTACCATGGGACTTGACACGCTCGAGGATCTACCTGCCAACCTCTACATCCCGGAAGAGATGCTGCATTTCCCTCCCAATTCGGTGTACTCACTCGCCGTGGGATGGAACCTCACGGGAGGTCGGCGAGTCTACTCGAAGCGTCAAATACGAGGCCGAGAAAAGTTCATCGGAAAATGGAGACATTGGGACCTGGACGGGACCAGGGATCTTGCCGAGCTGGAAGAACCAGAGGAATTGTTTGGATCCCAAGTGACAACCCTTGGACCGAGGAAAGTGGTCGACTGGAGAGGACTTCGACGGGTAGATTCATGGTGGGAATGCGAGATCGGAGGACCGAACGGAATACCTCCGTATGCTTTTACGCCGTTTCCTCGACCTGCCGTCAAGCCGACTCGGGAACTTGATGCTTTGGAATGGGGTCCGTACCCTGAGACAGATGCTGAGCTGGCATTTGCGTCTGCGCGACAAAACCTCCCGCAATCTGAGCTTCTCCGAGAGACCCTTCGACCTTCAAAACCCAAGGCCAAAACTGGACCCCCGAGTAATTTCTCCAATATCTACGATGACGGCGCCAAGCCGTCGGCCGATTGGCTCAGAGAAATGATCTTTGGTGATGTGACTGGCGAAGCATACGCCAACAGTATCCGGTCTTTCGTTGCTGGCGCCATGAAAGGTGCTGGAACTGTACCCGAAAAGCTGCTCGAACGCCGTCGGATGCCTTTGGATCGTTACGTCCTGGAGCATTTGCACAACGGCATCCTCCAATCTCCCACGGGAAGCCTGGCCAAAGATACTGTGCGGGATCTGAACACGATGGTAGATCATCGCAAGCATGCTCAACCTCTCCTCAAGAAGGAAAGGGATCTGCTGCAGATGTCCAAATCGGCTTACCGTCGACATGCGATGAAGTACCTTGCTCGTCCTGAGAATCCACTCGATCTGGGCAGGATGCTAAAGGTCCCTGCAGACTTTAGCTACATCGGAATAGGTAGTAAAGGAGGTGTGCCTGCGGCACTGAAATGGGTTCAAGGGGAGATTGCTCGATTGGCTTCGGAGGGTAGTGGGGATGAAACGAACGGCAAAAGGAAGCGAATCAAGGACGAGCCGTCCAATGTCAAACGCGCCAAATTTGAATCGTCGAAACTGGATTCGGCGACTTCGTCGCCGTTGAGTGAAGCTCCAGACTCGCCAGTCAAGCGAGAAAGTGAAGGGACAGTGGAATCTCCATCAAGGGAAGAAGCCTTGACAAAGTTGAGACTTGAATTGGTGGCTCTTTGCAAGTACTATCCCTTGTCAGCGTTGAGAAAGATGGATAAGGAGGACGCTACGAGGCTGTTACCGGCCAGCGTGAGACAGCTCATGTCAAAGCCAGACAAGGAGCTGGCGAAGAAGTGATCGCGCGGCGATCAGAGAAGATTTGTAGCATACAGTGTAGTCCTGTACATTCACTACATGCATTTGACATGGCATATATGTGCACTGTGAGTGGACAGTGGACTGTGATCATAAATCCTCTGAGAACCGGATGCGTCTGTCAAAGCTGACGTGGAACGACGGTGGATAAAAGAAAGCGAGGCGATGAAACACCGGACTGGGCGGCGTATCGCGACCTAGCTAGTAAAGCTGAGTGTCGTGAATGTCGCATGAACTCAACAACGATCGTCCGACAGAGATTGCTGGTTACAGACCCCCCTTGCAGAACTGATGTAAGCGCACCATCGATGCATAATGTATGCCCCATCCCAGACACCTGCCCACTCTAATAAGCCCTTCAGTCTGACTTTGACTTGAGTCCCAAAGCATCGCCTCCCTGATCACCATCATTCCCGGCACCAGCCGAATTCTCCGTTTCCCCTTTGCGCCTGAGCCTGACGATCCCTTCGTCATCCTTCGAACTTGGATTGAGATCCGGTTCTAGCTTCTGCTCCCCGAAAGTCGGACTGCTCGGACCATTCGTGCCATTCGGTGGTGACGTGGCCTCATTTTCGTGCAGATTCAGGCTAGCCACGTCGCGGTAAGATCTCCCCGTATGACGCCTTTTACCCCTTGGTGAGCCTGGACCGCTCCGACGAGTGTCGATAATGGCGAGCACCTGAGATCAGCCTTTGATCGACCCGATCCGGCTTACATCATCGTAGTCCACATCTGCCTCTAGCTCTTCGTGGTCAGACTGCGCAGGACTACCAGGAGCAGTTGATGGCTCTGATCGAGGGCCAGGTGTTCTTCCTTCCCAGATGGAGGCCCCAATTGAAGCGCTTCGATTCCAGCCTGGTATCGTGAGCTTGATTCGCCAGCCCGTCGACTCACCAAATATCCTCTCGTCCAGCCACAGGATAGGGTGCGAGAGGACAGACGAGTCTGCAGCTTGAGATTTTCGAGTGAACATGCCTGGCCTTCGGCCAGTCTGAGGTACAGTGGCTGACGGTTTCATCCGGGCCTTGACAGGTCAGTCACGCCGCTCGTCAAGGTGCTCACCTGCTCAAAGTTCTCGTACAGCTTTGGCCCAAACTCGTCTACGACCATGAGCGACTTTCAGACGGTTCATAATCGACTCACCGATAATATCACTGATATCATTCGCCAGACCCTCGCGCATCATTCTCAACCGATCGACTTCACGTTGGTTCCACGGCCACAGACTCAAGAATAGGGGACGAAGGGATCTACACGTCAGCCCTGCACACTGCCCAGCACTCACTTGGCCACGTCCATTCCAGCCTCGCCAAATTTGAGTGCCGAGTAGCCAAGACTCGGCAGGACCCAAAACATGATAATTGGCAAGTATTGCCTCCATTCGGGAGCCCAATTCCATCGATACGCCAGGAACGTTATCAGGAAAGCGTAGGAGATGTACAGAAGGGGGACAACAGCGAGTGAAACCAAGACCTTCCAGGTGGCAAGGACGTCTCGACCTGCAATCTTCACTGTTGACGCTGCAAGGGCCTGCTTTGCCTTTTGATGAGAGATGACTTTGGCGAGGATGAAAACCGGAGCGTGGAGGACTACGCCGGGAAGACTGAGCAGTCCCCACCAGAGGAGGAGACCGGTTCGATAGATGAGCAAGAGAAGGGACTTGATAGATCGATTGGAAGCTCGTTCGACTTGATGATCTGCTATTCCTAGGTCACGGAGTTTTCGATTGTACAAGACCACCCTGTCTCGAAGCTCGATAATCCTTGGTTCGTGTTGGTAGTGGAGATACCCTTCCATGAAGCGTTTGCTGAGTTCGACGACTTGGCCAAGAGTGAGATGCTGACCCGGCACGCGGTACAGCCGCCGAGCAGCCTGGATGACTTGCATCGTATCCCAATCCGGGGCCCGAAGAGTTACCGCTCGCATTCCATCGTGAACTTGCTCTAGCAGTTTTCCACAAGCTGCTCTTTTCTTAGCTCCGCCTTCTCGGAACTCTTCGACGAGCTCCTTGGATACCGATATAGGCTGCCCGAATTCGACTACGGCTCGCGATCGGAATTTGTGAGGATGAAAGTAGGACAACCCCACTGGAACGAGCTTGACATCGAGTCCGGGATTCGCAGCCATGGCTCCGAGGGACATGATGGCGAATCCAGCTTTCAACGGAAGAAAGTCGGTTCGATCATGAGATCCGCCTTGATTGATGGGGTCAATATGCCGATCCCAAACATTTTCAATGACTCACCTTCTGGGAAAATGCCAATGGCTCCTCCCTCATTCAAGCGTTTGAATACTGCACCGTATGTCTCTTCCTGATCGACATATGGTAGGACCTTGTATTGGAGACCCTCTTTGCTCTCGCCTAGGTTCCTGATCTTTCCAGAGGCCTTGACATCTGCACTTCCATCCTTGTTAGGGACGACAAATTCTCCCTTGAGCCGTATCTCGGTATCGGAGATCACCTCTTCCACAGAAGCTGTTGCATATCCTGTAAATTTGGGCAGCATGATCGTACAGCGCGGTTTGACTTCCACGGTAAATTTTGACCCCACTCCCTTGAGAACCGTTAGCGATTCGGATGAGAGGACGATTCGACCTGTTCCTGATTTGGCAGAATCTGCAGCTCGAGCAACGGGTACTACGTGCATGTCAGCGATGCGCGGATCGGATACCCAGGCCTCAGACTCACTACTATCCATGATTCTCGCTACGAAGCCGACAAACTTGCGTTGCATACTCTTGTCTTCATTTCAGCAACGGTCATTCCAAAAACTCAATGGACCTCACCTTGGCAGCCGTCAAGATGGATACTCGACGGTGCGCCTCCTTCCTGACTTCCGAGAACAATAGCAGCGCATCGAGAAATTGGTTCGAGTGAGGTCCACAGATGAATAAGACAGGTCCATCTCTGGGAATATTGAATGCGCCTCTTGGTCTGCGTTGCAAGTCAGCAGAAACAAAAGCGATCTGTAGCACGAGCAGGGGATGACTCGCCTGATCTCACGAAAGAAGATGTTGATGACCATGCGCCAGAAGACTAGGACCAGATCATCTGTGAAGCGTCAGCTGTCATGCGTGTGCAGTGTAACCTCAGCATGGATGCTGCGTGGAAATGGCCAAAAGTGAAGGAGCGGCAAAGGAAAACGCACAGACGAGACCCGCTGCCATGATGAGAGGAGAGTCAATGAAGAGGACGAGCCTTGACTCGCACACTCCCTATCTCACGCTCTCGCTCTCTCAATAACGACCTTTCTAGTCTAGTCGAGTTGTCACAAGAAAAACCAGGTCGTAGTACTGAAGGGTAAGAAGTTGGTCGTAGCGGACCATCCCCAAAATGACGACACGTCTCGATCGCGATGGAAAACGTGGCACACAGTCTCATGCATTTTGGGGCGTTGCGGCATGCATTCATACTTTGACTGTCTGTGTCATGCTATGTCCACCTGTCACTTCTAAAACTCGTGTCTCTCTCGTCTCTCACAGGGACAGCTTTGTCATGTTGTTCGACCGCTACTTTTCACATATACTCTTGACAAGACTGCGTCTCATTACATATTATTGGCCCATGGTGCAACCTGAATCATCAGTACCTCCAATATGCGTGCAGGTAACCCCGACTCACCCATGAGAATCCAGCAAACTCTTGTTGATCCGCCGCACTGAGCTGAGTATGAACCGGCGTCAATGTAGGTTGCTCTCTTGTGAATTCTTGGTCAAAGTTGCTCGTATCGGTGGCGCTGCCAATGGTAGGGAAGTAAGGTGGAGGTATTCGTCGATGATAGACATCTTCAAAGTTGACATCTTTAAAGAACAAGTGTCGTTTGATATCCTCCGCATCGTTCTCTCCAGAGCCTAGTCTGCGCGTGGGATCCCGGGTGAGGAGCTGAGGTTGTCAGTCATGAAGCTCGGAGTGGCTACCCACCCTTTGCAGCAGGGAGACGGCATCTCGCGGCATAGTGATTGGGTACAGGGGCTCATCCTCCAAGATGGCATCAAAGATTTCATCTTCGTCATCGCCCTTGAAAGGCGATTGACCGAGCAACATCTCATACGTCAAGACTCCAAAGGCCCACCAGTCGACAGCTCGGCCATATCGTTGCTCAAGGAGGATCTGACAAAGGTCAGCCATCCTCCTGCCCTGAATGCTCACTTCTGGGGCCATGAACTCTGGTGTCCCACAGAAAGTACTCGTCGTCTTGCCGTACCACATGTCTTCCTTACACAGACCGTAATCTGCCACTTTGATGTGTCCGTCCAAAGTCAAGAGGATATTGTCAAGCTTCAAGTCACGATAGATGATGCCTTTGTAGTGAAGGTATTGAAGCGCCAGTAACACTTCACAGGCATAGAACTTGGCTTGTCGAAGAGTGAATTGTTTCTTTTGAATGTGAAGCATGAGATCTCCTCCAGAGATGTACTCCATGACAAAATAGACACGGGTCTCAGTCTGAAAACACGAGTGAAGTCCAAGCAAGAATGGATGACGTTCTTGCGCGGCGGTCAAGTAGACTCGCTTTTCGGATTGAGTGCTGAATCTTCAGCACGGGGGACATGAATTCCGCTCACCTCTCAATTTCATCATTCTCAATGATAAATTCCTTCTTCAGGACCTTGATAGCGTAGAGATTGCTCGATTGCTTCTCCTCCGCAAGCATGACTTTCCCAAAGTTTCCTTTTCCAAGGACGGCGAGGAAATTGAAATCATCCAAACCAACCCTGCGTTGTCTGACGTTCTGTTGTGGCGGTGGTCGCTGAGCAGGAGGCTGAGTTGGAGGACGAACAGGGGCCTGTGGCGTTGGCGCAACCGCGACCGGTTCTGGGCCTTGACTCGATGCAGACCCGGGTCCTGGTGAAGGACGTTTGACAGGCGGGACCACGGGTGGGATCTGATAGCCATCAGGCCTGTCTCTCGCGTCCCAGCTCGGCCGACTCTGGTGCCCCTGTACAGGCCGACCAGGCGGTCCAGGTGGACCTTGACGCGGATCATATCCTCCAGGTGGCACGGAAGGTGCCTGACTTCCAGGTTGTAAGCCCTCTGGGTATCCCATAGGGCGCTGTGGTTGGACCGAGGGCGGCTGAGTGACCTGCTGTGGCTGTGGTGGTGGTTGCTGCGGGCGTTCGGGCGCGGCAGGATATTGAGGCAAAGTCGAGACGGACGACGATGCCGAAATAGGTTTTCTCGTCTGAGTCGTCTTGATGTCCCTCAAGTTCTTTAGGAGGATGTTGGCCATCTCCATGGTCATGCCGCAGAAATCGGGTACATAGTGAGAGCAAGTCTGATGGCAAGTGATGCCACATTCTGTGAATGGGATCAGCACATGGATACTCTTGACCATCGAAGAAAGAACAAGTCACCTGAGCACCTGACCGAATTTTTCCTACCGAACGGTAACATGTAACCACAGTGGCAACACCAATTTGCCGACATATTGGTGTAGGGTGCAAATCGATGCGGGATCCGATGATTGATTTTCTCCTCGTCTCCGTCTCCATCTGCGTTGGCCCGCCCAATACACTTGGTGACGACTTTGGGATAACATTTCTTGTGACAGGCATATCGGCAATCCTCGCATTGGTATCCTTCTCCCGTGAGGAGGAATTCCTGACATAGGGCACACATGATCGGTTGGTAGAATTGTCGTTGGACGAACTGATGACCGTTCATTTCAAAGACATCGCCCTTCCGTTTCCTAACGGCTCCTTGTCGGCCGATACCGTCGTAAGGACGCCGTTGTCCAGCCACAGTGTCCTTCACAAAGTCCAGGCGCATAGAGATGGCACCGGCCGGTTCAACTGACCACCATCCATCGATTCCTTCGCCTCCTGGTGGAACTGTTGCTGGATGAGGGCCACGCAATGTCCCGGCACTGTGCAAAGTAGATGTTTCCGGTGCACTCTGCTGTCTGGGACCCATACGCGCAGCTTTGTCCGCTGTAACCCATCCGGCACCTTGACTTTCCATATCGACCTTTTGACGACGCAGGCCTTCCATCAGATCACTTACTCTCAACCACATGATACCGATGGGTGCAGAATCTCCGGGGGCGATCGTGTCGTAGATGGTAATTTCCACCTCGTTGGCCCTCTCCACATCAATGTCAAAGGTCTCGAGCCATTTGTCGTTTCGTGATGGATGGGAGACTGCGCGTTCGTTTCCTTCAATCTTGATGGCGACCGTGGTCTCTGTATATGATTTCGACAGTTTGCGAGAGGGAGCACGGTGATTAAGGTCTCGAGCAGCACGTAAGGAGATGACGAGTTTACCCTGGATGGGTTTTCGCAAGGCTTCTTTGCGCTTGCCATCAGGCATGAGATCTGTGGGGGAAAGTAAGTTCAATGACAGGCTCAAATTCAGCTTTCCTCACCTTCGTCATCTTCCACTGCACCGCCGAACCTGGCCAGGTTCTCATAGTACTTCTTTGACTTTCTCAACAGCTGTATTTTCGCGTCACTCTCGACCTTCTTTGCATCTGTTTCTCCACGTAATCGCTTGTCTCCATCGGCTCTGTATGCCTGAGCCATTTTCTCGATACCAAGTTTGTACTGCTCCTCGACCTGTAATTTGAACTGCAATTGATTAAGCATCCGAGTGATCTTGGGTCCAGTCAGAGGCGCATCATAACGTAGCAGGTCTGCACACCCGTCAGCCTTCAGGCTTCCAGCGCTCAACTCACCTAGGTTTGTATAATTTTTCGCTGGCTTGGGTCCTTCAGCGGCCCCTGTTCCATCCGGTGCAGCACCCGGTGGAGGAGGTAACGGTCTATCTAAATCGCCTCTCCTACTCGGACTTGGACTGGCCATCTGGCTACCAGTCCCCTGTTGACCTTTCAAAGGCGTCATCATACCTGGAGAATAGCCTGAACCAGGTGTGTTTTGAGAACTGCTACTTGGATCCCGCATCGGTGAACCACTTGCTCCTCCAGCTGCAGAAGCCAATTGAAGCTGAGCCAACTGATCTTCGAGGAATTTGATGGATGCTTGAGCGGATCGCACCTCGTTCTGAGCCTGTTGGATTACAGCTTCATTTCTGGATGAAGCTTCAACAGCCCTCATAACGGCTTTTGCTCCTTCCAGATTACGTCGTTCTGATTGAATCGTAGAGAGGAGAGTGTTGATCTTGGGATCATTGCTGGGTGGTGGTGGAGGTGGCTGTGACGAGGTCAGTGGGAATCCGCAATGATCAAAACTCACCATTTTGTCGTCAGACCATGCATGAACAACGTTCCAAAGGAATGAATAGTTGGTGTCTCGCGCCAAGTGCTGCGCGGCGTACTGATGTCAGAGGTGTAAACCACCCCCAACGAGTGGACCGGGTCGACGTGCGCCTGCCAATGAGTCGTCGATTTGCACGATCAAGTCCAATGACTAATCGCCTCTGTCTCTCCCTCTCTCGAGTCTCGATTCCGATGCTTGATGCTGGTTGAACGATGCAAAAGAGGTCGATTTACCGTCGCTGCGGTTAATGTGGGAGGAGGAACGGTGATTATTCACATTTCCTCCTTCTCCCTCTCACTCGCGCGTGTCGAATCACTGCGCCACTAAACCCGGAATTTTTTTTGCTGGTGCTGCTGGTGCTGCTGCACAGCTAGATCAATACATAGAACAAGCATGACAATGATCATGCATGTAGTAGCTGCGTCTCTCTTGAACGGGACAGAGGAAATAGAGAAAAGATGGCAAGGCCATGAAGGTGGAACAGAGGGGACCTTGTCCCGGGTTTTACATATGCACATGATTGAGCCGAAGAAGGAAGGGGGAGGGGAGGGATACAGTGATTAAGTGTGGACATGATCGAATTCAAATCGTTATACAGTCATTTGCTCGTCAATCGTCAGATGGTGCGACTTGTCTTGTCCAAGCCTTGAGTTGATCTTTTGTGACTTGGCTATCGACGATCCATTTGGATTTCTGAAAGCATTTCGTCAGTCACTTAGAACACTCCTCACCCGGACCTACCAATAATTCCTGTGGACTCTGTCTGATAGACGGATCCTTGTCCAGGCAACCGCGCACAAATTCGACAGCCTCGGATGGGAAGTCTCTCCTGGAGGTGCCGAGCTTTGGAGCAGGCTCATTGACAATGTGTTGCAGCAGATCCAGGATGCTCATGGCTCTTGCACCGCCTCTCGGGTTGCCAGGTTTGTTGGACAGGGTGGGGCGTTGAGTCGATGCAGAGAGCGTCGGATCAGGGTCGAAATCCAATGCCTCGTCCGCCGAGTCCGAAAATGGAAACCGTCCATGGGCAAGCTCAATGAGTGAAATACCTAACGACCAGACGTCGGACTTGATTGTATATGGCGCTCCCTGGATTCGCTCGGGCTGCATCGCACTAAGTACGGTGATGAAGTTCTCTACTCACGCTCATGTAAGTTGATGTGCCCACAAAAGTGTTGGCGATGGAATTGATGAGCTCTCCAGAGACCCCAAAGTCACATATCTTAATGTCACCAGCGGTATTGGCGAGAATGTTGGACGGTTTGATGTCTGACGGTCAGCATTGGTCACGATCACATGGCTCTACCTCGATGTATGATGCGATGGACGTCATATAGATACATGAGACCTCTCAGCACAGCCTCGGCGACTTTGCCAACCATGTCGATAGGCACCGGACCAGTGTTCCTGTAAATGTGATCCAAGGACCTGTACCACCGTTAGTCCCAACCGGTACTCGTATTCTCACGTCGCGTCCATATACTCCATGACGATCCCGACATGAACGTCGACGGGGAAGCATCCATAGTACCCGACGATGTACGGTGATGAGCAGTCATTCATGATCTGCAATTCACGCAGAATCTGTTTCCGGACGGACGGCTTTGCGTCGACCAGAATAAGCTTGGACCGGTCAGCATGGGCCCGTAAGTTGGTGAGCGCTCACCTTTCGCGCCATTATACATTTACGTTTCTTGTTCCATACTTTCGTGACTGTTCCTCCATTTCCGGCACCTAGATCCTGCATGATATCGAGATCCTCATCCTTGACCAGATCATCTCCATTCTTGTCCTTTGTACGCTTTGCCTTTGAGCTCGAGCTCTTTTTTGATCTACTAGAGGATGAACTATCGCTTTGGGCCAAGTGGGTAGGTGTGGTCGGAGCCGTCGGTGAGGAGGATTCTGGAGAGTCAAGGGATGAAGATGATTTCGATGATAATTGCAATCGTTCAATGTCTTGGCGTAAACGATCGGTCTCGGATACCCAGCCTATACTCCCTTTCTTCCCCGTGAGCGCTGGTGATCCATCTGTAGGCGGAGATGGAGCTGGTCGTATAGATCGAGTAATGCTAAGCCCTTCAGGCTTCTTACGAGATACAGATGATTGTTTGAGTGATGGAAATGAGCTCGAAGGCGTCGATGAACCAGGTCGAGACAATGGAGGTATGGAAGTCGGTGTCGCGCGAGGACGTGCAGTGGACAGTGGGTTGTCAGGGTCTCCCATGACGCTACTCTACGCGGGAAGCGCGATATAGTATGGTCAGCTAAGCCGAGATCAGTCGCTGCGCGCGCCAGTATGCCGTGCGTGTTTGATCCACCTGTCGCGAGCTTGAGCTCAACAAGAGCGAAGGAAAGACCACCATGGAGCCTTTTCGGACCTGAACTAAGGGAGACCTGACGTAAGAATCCCCACGTGGCAGTTCGGCAAAAATCCAAAAAGAATGGGACGTCACCTCGCGACAGCGACGCGAATGGCCTCGATAATATTACTCCTTAACTTTTTTGGGCTATAGAGTTGGGAAGAGGCGGCTCAGTGGGTCAAGAAGACGGCTTAGCTGGAATCAACAGCTCACACGAGAGCAGCGTCAGACCAAGTGTGGCCCCGCCAAGGCCCATCACTGTTGTCGGGTACACACAATCCCTTTTACCGCCCTTGAAGACTTTGCCGGATTAAGCAACATCAACAAATTTCCTTGCAATGTTCGTCAACTTGCCCTGAGTGGACGTTCGTTGTGCAAGCCGTCGGATAAAGCATATAACGCACAGTCATGGCGCTGGACCGACCTAGGAGTCCGACGAGACCGGAGCTTAATCTCGAGACCTACTCCCGCCGTCGTCTCTCAGGCGCTGGTTTCCCAACAGCTAGGGTTGGCCTTGGAAGTCCTCAACTTGCCGGAGGTACATGGAGTGGAAGGCGTGTCCGAGGGCTCTCAAGTGGTACAGAGAGTGATGGTCTGCCGTCAAGTGGGACTTCTAGCGATAGACGGAAAAGTGTCGTTAGCGAGGTCTCTGGTCTTCCATCACCACCGGGCACCAACAGTGACATTGCATTGCCCAACCTCGGTGAACCTTCCTTGATGATGGAGGTGAGCAGAGTTCCATTACGAGGATAAGCTGACGGCCCTCAGTCTCCACCCGTCGACCTCACTTCGCCGAGACCACCTCTTCGTCCACTTCGACCGCTGCCTCCTTCCATCTTTGGCCGATCCGTCTCATCAGGATCTCGCTCGTCCCTCGGCGGCGACGATCTGGGCGCTTCTAGTCGGACGATCAGACCCATAGGTGCGCTGTCTCGATCGGTCTCATCCTCCTCCAGTCTCTCCCCGCTCAGTCCAAAACGCGACTTGCCGATTGTGAATGATGGTTCGGATGATCTGGTGGATCTCCGAAGCAGCCGTGGGGAAAGTCCGTATGAGACTCGATCTCAGCGGACCATTTCAGCCGGTGCTGTGCGATCTCCCCAGCAGCAATCTGTCACTCCACGCTCACGTCATCGCTACTCGCCCTCCGCTCCCTTACCTCGCTCACCAGAGGAGAATCCACATTCTCCCCAAAAATCATTCGACGCCTCTCTCCTTGTGGAGGATGAAGAAGACGACCGCCGTCCACGTTTGACTCGCAGAGAGAGCAGCGGAATCGACCTAGATGCAAAAATTCGAGAGGCAGAGGAGAGGATTCGACAATCAGCCGATAGAGCGCAGAGACCGAGGACGTCGCCTGAACGGAAGGAGAGTCCATCCCACAAGACATTACGACGACACGATTCATACACTCGAGTCAACAATCTGATGGTACATGCAGAATCTGATACGATGAGAAGGAGTCTGACGGCGACTGGGACGGTCAAGCGAAGTCCCGGCTTTGACGAATTGAGAGATTTCAGTTCCATTAACGAGAAGGATCGGAGTGGAGGAAGTGCTGGCAGTACGAAACGAAAGCCTCTGCCAGCATCCTTTCGAGAGGCGGGCATGGTGAGTATTGAATGGGGGACCAAACGCTGACTCTCAGTTCACTCCCTCGCCGTCGGTCAAATCGCGCGACAAACCTACACCTCCGCATCAAGACACGTCGCCGACACATTCGATGAGATCTCTTCCACCCTCAAATCGATTCAGTACCACCTCCCGGATCGAGCAGTCGCCTCGTGATAATAATCTGCGTCCATCACGAGAAGGTCGTGCTTGGCCTGACGCAATCCCTCGAGCCCAAAACGTTCGAGCATCCACCCCGAATAGTCTTGACCGTCGGACGCGGACCGAGAGTCTCCGTGCTCGAATGTCACGGCTGACCCTCTCGCCTTCCGATTCAGTCTCTGCGATTGGCGCTAAATCAGACTATCATTCTTCCTCCAAAGATCCACTGGATGTCCTGAGGCGGATCGAAGAGCAGCGACATCAGCACAAGCAATCTTGGGATCTCGAGCGATCAACGTCTGTTCTCGCTCAAAGGCCAAGTTCAGGCTCCGCTAGCCCTCAGCCACCTCGTTCAACTACATCCATGAGCTCGCTACGGAGTTCGAGGCGACTGGAAGACTCTCCGTCGGCGCTTCGAACGTCTGTCAGGCAGAGAAGTCACATTGACTTGCATCCTCGCTCCAAGCAGAGCTCCACCTCGCTTGGAGGTCACTCCAATACCAGCTTGGATATCCATACCGCATCGACGGATCACGGTCGACTGTTGTTCGAAGCATGCCGTGCCCTGGATCTCAAGATCCCTGCGGACAATCACCCTGCTCTTGCAGATCTGCTGAAATCATTTGCCAGCGCTTCGAAATCTGCTGAGCATGTCAACTCTGGCATCCGTACAGCCGTTGACGTTGGCGATCGGCTACTGGTTGATGCGGATTCAGAACGGTTACACGAGATGTTATTGGTGCTCCGAGAAGCTGGACGAGCTTCAGATAGCCACATTCGTGATCTGACACGGATCATGTTGGATCTGCCTCGAATCCTACGAGAACCTCACATGTCGGATTCAGCATTGCCTAGTCCTCGACAAACCACCCATCTGGGTTCGTTCCGCCATCAGCGACCTGTTCCCGAATCGCCAGTCAGGCGGAATGGAGACCTCCCTCGAGCATCGACATCGGCCTCATTCTACACTCCTCCTCCATCTAGACGCCCTCGTGAATCCTTGCCGCCAACGTTTGTCTCCAGCCCGATGACCCATCGAGGTGGATCAGCTTTGGTCCCACGTTCAAAGAGCAGCCTTGGATCGCCCCGGCCCGAGTTGAACGACATTGAAGCGTCTCCACCTCTACCGCTTAACGCCGTCAAAGTCGCCACGCCTCTTTCACCAGCTCGACGAGACATTCTTCGTAAGCGGACATCGGGGACGTCGGCGCATACCGTCAGAGCTGGAAACACATTCTTTCCTCCTGACAACCGTGGAAAGGCCACGACAGCAGTGAGCGCTGTGACTGCTGGCCATCGGTCACCTAGTATGTCTCGATTCAGCAAGTCAAGTGAATGGGAACAAGGTAACACGAGAGGCATGTCGATGGATCCAAAGCAAGGAGGAGGTGGCGGTGGAGGTGGACCCCAGAGTCCTATGAGCAGATTAAGCAGCTATCATACGGCTGATGCGGGATTCGACGCGTCTTCGACTGCTTCTTCATCGTACGAAACGTCTGCGGTGTCGTTGCTCGAACAACGGCTAGCCGATGCACAGAGGGTCAGAGAGGAAGGAGGCGGAGCCGAATTGGCCAGGAGGGCGACGATCGGGATAGGGTCAGAAAGAAAGAAGGAACGGACGCAGAGCGTTAGTGAGAGATTTCGAGCGACACAGAGGCGAGGTAAGGATTAGCATGCTCGAATATAGGAGCGAGGCTTCATGGGATCGAATCGTATAAATAAGATGAACACTGGGTGCATGAAGAGCTGGTAATTGGACCCCAATCTTTTTACAAGACGTCATCTGGACGCTAATAATTTGCCAAGCGAACGCCATCATTTTTCAAAACGAGCGAGCTATATTCAACTCTTGCCACACGCCCCACACCTTCATCTTTGAGATCTCTACTTGATCCCATATCGCCAGCTCATAACCAAAAGGAACCATGAACACTCAACCTCAAGTCGGAGGCGCGGGTCCAGCGCCCACTCAAAGCACAGCTGGAACAGCCCCTGGAGGAGGACAACAGGATGCTCTAGGTCAGTGATAGACCTGTCGGGTGCTTCGCCACCCTCAAACCGACGACCACGCTGAAAAGGCTTGTTTTTTGAATGCAGATAAAGGGATCGACTCGATTCTCAATAAGTCAGGTCATGGACAGAGTAGGCAGACGACGGAAAAGATCTCGGACGGCGTGAGAAGCTTGTTTAAAAAGGTACGTGTGTGTCCGACAAGGCTCGCCATCGCACGTTGCGTCCAGCATTGACCGACCCACCTTATCAGGCGACTGGCAAAGATATACCGATCAAGGATAAGCAGTAGGGGGCGAGATCTTGACAATGTTGTCTGACCGAATGGGATCACTGTTCAAGTACTGAAGCTAGAATCCCTTGAACGCAATGCAATTGTGATTTTGTGGCTGATAGTACAATCTTCTGACAAGAAAGCCTCCTGCTTATATCAACACTGGCCCAACCTTGGGCATCTCCCTCTCTTTCGGCATCTTGACCTTGCTCGAACTGCCCATCATGGCGTCAATCTCATTCTTCTGGAAGTAATGAGGTGCCACTGGGACCAGTCAGCGGAATTCAGAGCAGACATGCCATGACTCACGTTCAGACAACCAAGACCCTTCAATTGGCATACACTGTCGCATGTATTCTTTGGACGTGAGGACCAATTCGTAATAGAGAATGAATCGAGGCGGCGGCTGCATCCCAATAAGACCAGATGACGGATGGATGTACACAGTGTGATTGTTTTTGGTCGTACGATATCCACCACCTTTATCGATACGCGCCTGAGTGAGGGAGCAACAAGGTCAGTGGAGCGATACGTCGGAATTGACACTAATGGACTTACAGTATTGTAAAAGTACCCTGCTGTCATGGCCTTCTGAACTGGAACGACGTCATTCGGCAGAGTCTCCACTACCACTTCTACTCGCTCGCAGAGAGCCGCAAGTTGATCACGAATATCTCTCACTCGCGTGAGCGACTTGTACTGGACGTAGTTCTCGTAGCACCAGGTCTGGGTGTATCCCGCTTCTGCCCATTGTTCGAAAATGTTCAGGAGGGTGAAATGATCTCCACCAGGTTTGATGAATGTCTTATGGGCTTGATCGGCATGTACACGCTTATCCTTTGGTCGAAACAGGAGGGAGCCAGATTCTTGAAGCATAGAAATGATGGTCAGGACCTCGTGCGTACACTTGAAGTTTTCAGAATTGATGATTGCTTTACTGAGCATTGGGTCGACTGGAAATTCGGCCATTCGTCGTCCGAGTCGCGTCAACTCCCCTTTGTGATTGATGGCTCCTAGGGCGTACAGCAGTTCGAAACTCCGGATGATGGTCTCCGTCGGTGGCTTGTCGAGAAAATCAAAGTTTAATACATCGTTGATCCCCAGGGATTTGAGCATGAGCACGACCATCCCCAAGTTGGTTCGTTGGATCTCCGGTATGGTATCTGACAAGAGCTCATTCTCAAACGCCCATTTGGTGTACAATCTGAAGGCTTTGCCTGGACCTACACGCCCGGCTCGACCGGCTCGTTGTTGAGCAGACGCTCGAGAGATGGGCTCCACCACAAGCGAGGACATGCCTGTTTTCGGGTTGTAGTTGTTTTGCTTGACGAATCCAGGATCGATGACATAAACCACGCCGTCGATGGTGATGGACGTTTCGGCAATGTTCGTGGCGAGAACGACTTTTCGTGCCCCTTCAGGCGTCGGCTCAAAAATCTTGGCTTGCATCTCGCTCGGCAGATTGGCATAGATGGGGGCAACGATGAGTTCCGGTACCCTATCGCCCAGAGCGTACATTGTCTCCTTGAGATTCTCTTCAGTCGCTTCGATTTCATCTTGTCCAGTGAGGAACAGCAAAATGTCACCCTTGGGCTGGGTCGTGTGGATTTGTAAGATCGTAGTTACTGCCGCATGGATATAATTGGCTTCTGGCTGTTGCGTGTAGAACATATCGACGGGGAACCTTCGACCGGGTACTAGAAATTGAGCGACGTTCGACCTCTGATACTTACCATCAAAGATCGGTGCATCGTCAAAGAACGCAGCAAATTTTTGAGCGTTGAGTGTGGCGGACGAGATAAGGAGGCGTAATTCGGGTCGCGACCGAGCAATATCCTGGCCGTCAGCAATGACAAACAGCTTGTCGGAACTCACCTTGACCAGTCCGAACAATATATCCGTGCTCAGCGTCCGCTCGTGGGCCTCGTCAATGATCAAAGCTGAGTAAGTCGACAGGATAGGATCTGTCAAGAATTCTCGCAGCAGCATACCATCCGTCATGTACTTGAGGACTGTTTTGTCGCTAGTCATGTCCTCGAATCGAATCGAATATCCAACTTCTTGCCCCAATCGACATCCTACCTCCTCGGCCACACGAGCAGCAACGGACATGGCGGCCACACGACGAGGCTGTGTGCAACCGACTTTCATACCATTCTTCGTATATCCAGCTTCGTGAAGATACTGAGGGAGTTGGGTCGTCTTCCCAGATCCAGTTTCGGCCACTACGACTAAAACTTGATGCTCCGCGATGGCTTTCAGGAGTTCGTCTCGAAACTCGTAAATGGGTAAAGACTTTCGAGTCTCTTCAATGCTCGTCGCCTTTTTCTCCGCCTCCGCAATCTGATCCATTAATGCTTGAGCTTCGGCCGTCAACGTTCCAGCCATTTTGCCTTCTTGCAGGAATTTGATCCCTTGCGACTCGTCAAAGACATAATCGTAGGCATCCTCGATGATTTCCTTGTCCATCGCGCCAGTCCGCAGATCCGTTTTGTACCTCTGCGAATCTTCCCACTGGTCGACGTCTGTGACGAACTCCCCAGAGGCCATTTTCGTCTCCTCGTATCTCGCATAAAGGGCATTTTTCCGTTTCTTCGCGTCAATCTTGCCTTGTTCCGTAATGTAATCCTCGGGCATCATATACCCATCCAGTCCATCGTCAATCTTTTGTCGAGCTTCCATGATTCTGATGAGCTCCTTCTTCTGCTCAAAAGCAGCAAGCTCTCTCTTTGACATTTTCTGATTCCTGAAGAGAATCTTTTCATCCTCAATCTCCAGCTTGAGGAGGTCCAGTTGTTGTAGCTCTCGCTTGTTCAAGTATTCCTGTCTGGATCTCAATCTCAGATCGTCCATCACGGCTTGACGCGCTTCAGCATCGTCCGCCAAAGCCGCTCTTTTGTCGGCTTCGAGTCCACCTTGAGAACGAGAGGAACGATCCGTCACGATACCTCGTGTCCGATCTTGTTCTCGATTTCTCATACGTTCTGCAAAGGCATCTCTTTCTGCCAAGTCCTCCAATCTCTCCCTCTCCAGACGTTCCTCCTCTGTTTCTTCAGGTCCTGTCGGTTCGTCCGCCGGCGGAGAATTTATCCTGACCCTCTTGACTTCGGGTTCATCCTCTTCCTCTTCTATCGGATCATCTTGCCAATTATCGTCTGTCTCTCTTTTCCGCTCCCTTCTCCCAGGTCGAACGACATCCTCCTTCTCTCTCTCCTTCCCTTTTCCATTCTCCTTGTTCTTGCCATTCGACTTTTCCCTCTTCTTCTTGCCACTCGTGCTGCTTTCCGCTTCGTCCTGAAGGAGAGCATACCGACTGGTCACCTGAGCAGCTGGTTTCGGCGCCTTTGGCTTGGACTTTCGAGGGACCAGTGAATGCACTTGCTGAGCAAAGGACTGAGTGTCAGGACTCTCCGCCATACCCGTGGACAACAGGGCATGATAGAGATCTCCAGGAGATTTAGACGACATGGCGAGAGACTGGACATAATCGACCGTCGCGCCGTCCGAGGATCCGAGAATCTGTCACAGTCAGCAAACGCACGCTTCCATGAAATCATGAGCTCACCCTGACCACATTGTCGCTGATAAACGTCTTGAGGTCAGACATGATCTCCTAGTGTACAAAGTATAGGTTCTGGGCGGCGAGCATGGCTCTCAGAATTACAGCTTGTGAGTAACAGTCAGTGAGCATGACGTGGGAACACAGAAATGATTCTGAACTTGAATTGATAAGCGTCTCCCTCTGCCCATTTTTCACTCAACGCATAAATCTGTAGAGCCATTGGTATACATCCTCGTCCATCATGTTCTTCTGTGCCAGTGAGTAGCTCTGATGTACTGTGTCCCCAGCCACTGATCCTTCTACAGTCTCTGGCTCGCCTCCGACCGTTCCAGTGGTCTCAAAGACCTCCGGAACCGTGTACGAAAAGGCTCTCATTGAGCGGTACATTGGTGAATTGATTCTGACAACGCCAGAGCTGACGACGTGTAGACGAGAATGGAACTGATCCAATTTCTGGAGAGGCTCTGACGAGAGAGGATTTGATCGATGTGAAAGCCAGTGAGTGTTTTCGCGGCTCGAATGATTCTGATATAACCCTAGAACCGTCCACTCTTCCACCCCGCCCTGCCAACCAAACGTCCATTCCTGCCCTTCTGACTGCTCTTCAATCTGAATACGATGGGATCATGCTCGAGTCATTGGAGATCAAAAAGTCTTACCAGAGCTCCAGACAAGAGCTGGCAAACGCTTTATACAGGGAAGATGCAGCTACACGAGTCATTGCGAGATTGATGAAGGAGAGAGATGAGGCGAGGGAGTGAGTAGGCAGTGAAGGCATCGGCTGACAAGGCAGAGCTTTGACTTCTCTGCAAAAGACGATGGGCTTCGCCCCTTCACAGCCTGCTGCTGCCGAGGCTAGCGAGGATGTCGAGATGCCTGCTGAGAGGGCTGAGGGGGCTCTGCCTTCTGAAGTTGAGTCCAAGATCATGGAGACGAATCAAGCGTGAGTCTTAGAGGATCCGATCGTCACTGAACTCTTCCAGCCTCTCTTCAGTCCGAAAGAAGCGCAAGGCTCCTGCCGGTTACGCTACCCCTGACCAGGTCAAATCTTACGCTCAAATCAATCACGTCCCTTCTCTCCACGCTACCAAGCCACCAGGTATCTCCGCGCTGGACGTTGCATCGAACGGGAAGACCATCTTGACTGGAGGAGCGGACAAGGTCGTTCAAGTATTTGATTTGGAGGAGTCAAAAGTCGTAGGAACGCTCAAAGGACACACCAAACCTATCACTCACGTCGCTTTCCGTGAAGACCCTAACGGTCTGCTCGCGCTTTCAGCAAGTGCAGACAAGCATGTACGAGTATGGGGAGAAGACGGTGGCAAGTGGGGCTCCAAAGCCAATCTTGGCGGTTTCAAAGGAGATGTCACTGGTCTCGCTGTTCACCCATCCGGAGCCTACGTCGCAGCATCCTCTACGGACTCCACTTGGCAGCTTTTCGATTTGGAGACTGCTCAATCTGTCATGACGTACTCTGCTGTTCCTGGTATCGATGGGTCATTCTCTTACGCTTCATTCCAAGTTCATCCCGACGGCGTTCTCCATGCTGGAGGTACCAAGGAAGGAACTGTGCGAGTCTGGGACGCTCGTCAATCATCTTCACTGGCCGCGACATTGGAATCACATCCCTCTGATCTCACTACCTTGTCATTCTCCGAGAACGGTTACTATCTCGCCACTGGATCCAGTGCCGATCCTACCATCAACATCTTTGACCTTCGAAAACTGAGCATTTTGTCCAGCTGGAAATTGCCGGCGGAGAATCAAGTGTCTGAAGTCAGGTTCGACAAGTCTGCTCAGTTCCTCTCGGTGGCAGGCACAGATCTCAGAGTGTACGCCAACAAGACTTGGGACGAGCTGCTCAAGTTTGAGGAGAATGCTGGTCTGCTTACCGGCGCGAGATTTGTCAAACTTGGTTCAGAGATTGTTACTAGTGGCATGGACAGGACAGTCCGAGTCTTGGGTACACAGCCATAGAGCCGTACGAGAATGTTTGTATGTGTGAACGAGAGAGCGAGAACGAGAGAGCGAGAACGAGAGAGCGAGAGAGAGAGAGAGACATTCCAAAACATATGCAGACCATGCATGAATACCGACCGAATCCCAAAGTCGAACAGGCGTCAAGTACATCTTTACAATTCTTTCAAATAGTTGGAAGGCACCAGTCCCCTCGTTCCGTTGCCATCCTCACATGTCCACCCTGAAATGGTCAGAACAGTCGAGATGGTCGACTTACAATCTGCAGACGTCTTTTCTAATACATTTACAATCTGGCCAGTCTGAACGCTTAGATCCCCAGCATCCTGAGTTCATCAGGTCCAAATTCTTGGCTTGCTCACTCACCGCCCCGGTATAGTCGTACACTGCTTGAGCTTGAGATTCCGCCCCGAAAGTTTGTGGCTCAGGTTCAGCAACGGGCATTGGCGCCGTCGTTCTTCTCGTGGGAGGAGGAAGAGAAGCTGTTTTTGATCCCCCTCCTAGTGCTGAAGCCTGACGTTGGGTAACGAATGAGTACGCGTACTTGATGTGTCCCCGAATCAAACCCACCTTCCCAGCGAGCAGTCCAAACGCTCCGCCCTTCTTTGCTGAGGCCGGAGGAGATTCTGCACCTCCCGCAGCTTGAGCTTGTTCCGCCGCTGCGTCTTTCTGTACGGGTCAGCGTGAGGACTTTTGTGGGTCTAAATCACCTTTGGTGGACGGAGATAGCCATCTGCCGTCTGAGATAAAGAATGAGCGCCTCTGACTAAACCTCCAGCTCCTCGTTTATCCAAAGCACCCATGAGTTTATCAGACTTGGTGATGAGATCTGGAGCCAAGGTTTAGCGAGCAGCAACCAGATGATTACTCACTCAGACTGCCTCTTGTAGCCGCTGAAGAACCTCGAATGGCGCCTTTACCTAACCTCAGCGCGAGATCCATTCTATCCTTCTCCTGTTGTCTCGCTTTGGCCTCCCTTTCGAGATCCGCTTCGGACTTTGGACTCGTAGGGGATAATGCGCCACTACCTGGACTGGCCGCACCCCCCGCAGCCGTTCCATTAGGTGGAGGCTGCCCAGCGGCAGTCACAAACTTATTGATGGTCGATAGACTGACTGGCGGAAGAGTCACTTTGCCATTGGATAGTCCTATTCCCGGTGAAGATGCTGGAGATTTGGACAACAAGTGAGGTCTTGAGGCAAAATATTCATCAAGAAGGGAGAAGAAGGCTTCCTAGAACCCATCAGAATGACTCAGTATCAACTTGGCCTACTTTATCTGGAAGGCATTAGCTGACGATGAACAGAGTATTCACCTTGATAGGATAGGTTTGAGAACATCGTGAGCACCCTCGACGCTATCAGACGTTCAAATTATAGGACAATGTAGAGATGCGTCATGTTTGACCTTATTGGAATTCTGGGGCACCTCGAAAACTGAATGCCGGGTATTCGAGACCACCGGCTGAATTGATCAGCGGGTGAACATGATGGCCCATACAAGAGCAGTACAACATGGCATGACACCTCATTACTCTTCGAATGCAAAGCCAGCAGCCCCCGCCATACCCTCTTCTCTCCCCAGCATTCCCCAACCTCTTACAATCTCCATCTTCCGATTATGCCATCCGACTGCACTCGCCACTCTGCCTTGAGCCAGCGCGAGATGGGTCAACCAAGTTCGATGCGGATGATCAGCAGGTAAATGCCGTACGAATTGACCGTTCATCCACCCTGCCGATAAATCCACATACCAACCTCGACCTCCTTTTGACTTGATGACTTTCCATTCTCCGCTCGCTCCATCGGCGATACCTCGTCGGACGCTACTGCTCAGTTCAATGACTCGAAGTCGAGTGGGACCGGGCCGCAAGTCTGGGCCATTGCTGTTGAGGGACAGGGAAGAAAGAGAGAATGGGATGGTTGTGAGAGGATTAATGAGTCGTGAATGAAGCTCGAGAGTGAGTTGAAGAGGTGCCATATTGGGTGAGATACCCGTGCCAGTCAGAGTCAGGACTTCGACGTGCGGAGCTTTGTTGAGTAGGAATTCTTGGATCGAGATGACGGAAAGCAGCGGCATATGTGACATGCCAAGGGAGATAAGGCTGGGCTGGTTAGGGATGGCAATCAAATGGCGCGGTTCCATACCAGCTCCAGAGATGTCCAGATACCTCAGCTTGCCCGACTTGAAGCAAGGCGCCGATAGCATCCGTTCAGCATCCTCCGGGCCGATGCAGTTGCTCTGTGTGGGCGTAGCATACAGGTTCAATTCGATCAAGTCCCTTGCGCATGGGCTATCCTTGAGGAAATCAACAACGATGGACGGATGCAATCGAGGACATCGCGCCAAGCTGAGAGACTGGAACCGAAGGGTCATAGGCGGTCGCTCGATCAACAGGCTGAGGAACGTTGACGGGACACGTGTACCGGAGAGATCAAGGTGGGTGAGATTAGGAAAGGAGCAGACAAAATCGGAGATAATCTGAGGGGGTAGAGTTGTGCACGAGCGGAGTGAGAGCCGCTTCATGATATAGAACCGTGGGATCCGCCTACTGGTGGGTTCTTGAGGAGCGAGAACAGACGTGTCCTCGTCAGACTCATCTGTGCTGCTCGGAGCTTCACCTAACCGATGTCGTCGACGTCCACGACCGCGAGTCTCTTCAGGGGCATACCAAGTCTCCCAAAACTCCGACATGGCCTCGTTGAAGACCGAGCTGACGCAGCCAGTCAAGTCCAAAGCCTCCAAGGCTGTGAATAAGGATCGCCGACGCCATTTCTGCTCCTCTGTTTCTGTCTCGTATGGCACATAGGTCGGTCTATTGGGTTCCGTTTGAGACACAAACGTGGGAGCGACGACTGGTGTGGGATCAATGGAGAGGGATCGTCCGCGCGATCTGGAAGCACGTTGCAATGATCCCCGAGATTGACGGTACCCCCTGAATACCATTTCCTCGAGGACAGGTAACGTCAATGACGAATCGACGTACTCTGTCATACACAATGACACTAGATTTGGGGCATTCTTGATCACGCCCTCCAGTCGACCGGCGGTGACGAACCTCCCTCGAACAGCTTCGTCCTGCGTTCGTCTACTTCCGACCGTGCGGAAATTATTGAAGGACAGATGGCGAATATAAGGTCCAGGTGGCGGTAAAAGCTCGTTCTGATGGTCTGACTCGTCCTCACTATCGTCCAAAGAGACTGACTGCGTTTCTTCACCCCGTAAAGGTGGCACCTCGTCCTCGTCCTCATCCTCTTCTTCGTCGTACTCCCCATCCACGGGCATAGTCCGGCTCCTGGACAGACTTGTCCGACGGCGAGGCATTGGAGGTCGACGAACGCTTCCACTATCGCTGCGCCAACTCGCTGTCCGGTGTAAACTAAGAGATCTAGATCGATCCAGTACCGCAGAGATCCCTTCGCCTTCGAGCCCAAGAGATCGACGAGGTGATCTAGATCTACCTCTCAAGCGCGCAGAGACGAGCGGAGACGGAGAGACATTCCTCGAAGCGGGAGGTGTCAACAGAAGGGCGGCGTGAGAGGGTTGCTGAGGCGAATAGGGCAAGCCCTGTATCGGGACATTGGATGCGGTCGCATAAGGAGTAGGATATGTCACTGGTGGCGCAATGTACCTTGCCAGACTCAGAGTCGCAGGTTGGGCATGCGCCTGTTCAGGCGATACAGGTCCCCAGGGGAAGCCAGGTTGTTGAGATGAAGCTAAATCAGGACTCGCAGGGATCTCCTTGATGTCCACTACTTCCTCTGTCAAGGCATTGACAATGGCCAACCAGCCTCTACCAGACTTCACATCCACGTTTTCCCAAAGCCAAGGTCTCGCAGCTTGAAGTGTTATATGAGAGGATCTAGAGAATGCAGAAATGTCATTCACTGGTAAGCGGTCGGAAGGGGGTTGAGGATCGACCGTGTCGGTATAGGATGTTTCGGTTATTGGTCCAGGCGCCCACGGCGGTTGCAAGAGGGAGGCGATGTGTGAGACCACTTCGAGGGGAAGAGACGAGAAGGGCATGATCGTAGAGTTCTCAGCAGAGTACTCTGACGCTCAATCGCTGCTTGCTAGTCAACGAGCTGAAGGCAATGACATGGCGTGAGGACGTTTGGTTTAATAAACTCGCTGCGGGGCAACTCTTCGAAATACCGGAATTCTGTAATTTGGCCCCAGATTTTACCGAGTTACCAGATGTTGCTCATCACATCGAGGCACAAGCGAGGACCAAGTGGGTCACCATCACGCTGGGTGAAGGTGAAGATATGTATACATCCACACTTGAAGATTACATGCATTACATCATGGTGTTTCCCAGGGCTGAAGGACTACATAGTCTCGTTTGCGGTCAACCTCAACTACACGTCTCACGAGAGATCATTTTTTGTATCAATGGCTTATAACAGCACGAACGGCCTCTAACACTCTATTGGGACTTGGACTGCTGCGCTTTGAGCTTCTTCTCAGCTTCAGAGGCTCTCTGAGCCTTGTACTGTGACACAAGAGTCAGCATGTCACAGATTGCGAAAACGTGGCGGTACTGACCCATCGGTCGGTTCCCATCATCTGGTCCCACCATCTAAACGAGGTCGCGTAGTTGCCTTTGAAGACCGCGTGGTGAGAGTCATGATAGTCTGCGGACGTGTCAGCGCTGGACTCTAGAAGCATGAAATTTTGAAACACACCGGCACCAGCCCACTTTTCAGGGAAAATATGTCAGCATGTCCATGATCATCGCGAGTCCTAGAACTCACGAATGGCATGAATTGGCGGAGAGACCAGGGGAAGTCGAATCCACTATGCGCATCTATCGCCTGTGCCAGCCTCAGTGCTTTTTGAAGCACATGTATGTCAGCACTGAGTACAGCGAGGGCATGCACGGAATGGCATTTCAAAGCGCCACTTACCAATCCAGACGTAAACGGTCAGAATATGCAAAGAGTGCTTGGGAGCGAACAAGCAGTACACAAATGGTCCACTGATGGTCCCTTGCGAGAGAATCAAGGTTTCGATTGGATGAGCATACTCAGCAGCCTGTTATGGTCAGTCATCGGAGGGCAGGAAAGACTGGTCACGATGTAACTCACCAAGCCGAACGGAACCTGGTACTTGTGGTGCATTTTGTGAACGCGCTTGTACATGAATGGCGTGTGAAGCCACCTGTGTGCCCAGTAGTGGAATGTGTCCTCAAAGACGAAGAAGAATGCAATCTGAGCGGCCATCTTCCATACAGGAGAGAATGGAATCTCATAAGTGGCCATTCCAAAGTACTCGCATATTGGGTGGAAGGCAAAGATCAACGGAAGTTCGATGAGAAAGTGAATGGCGAGGACAGTCTTGAGGCAGTGCATGTACTCGGCATGCGAGGGCAGCTTTGTCTCCTGAATCTTCCATTGATTGAAATATGGAATTTGATCCATGACCCAGAATGGGAACGCTCGACCAAAGTAGATGATTTCGTGCCATACGAAACTGAGCAGACCAGTCGCGATCAAGGGATTTGCGATCCAGACATAGTAAGCTGCCCATTTCCTCTCCAGCCAAGACGTCTGGGACCAGTCGACTGCTCCGTATAATGTGTTCTGGGCAGTCGTCGAATTCATGATTTGAAGGTGTGGGGCGAGATAGGGGAAGAACTGATCGACAGCTTTCATGACTGTTGAGGACGCCATGGTGGCAAAGAGACAGTATCCAAATGCCTAGAGGTCCTTTGTGAGAGTAACCACCGATTCTAGGAGAACCTAGTGGCGATACTCAACGGCGAATGGATCGCCAATGAAGAGGGGATCCAGTGGATAGATGGCGCTCGGTTGGAGCCGCCGAGATAGAAACGAGTGTGAATGTACGCGTTGCAAGGGACAAAGCCACAGCGCGTGCAGGGATTCGATAGTATCGATATGAAGTACTACTGAATGGTCGATGTAGGATGCAATGAATGGATGATCCAAACCGAATGGCACCACCTTCGTAGGCAAATAGGGAGAAAGAGAGAAAAAAAAACAAAGAAGGCCCCTGAGCTGCCGCCGCCCATCGGCCGAGTGAGTGCACGTGGCTGCTCCTTCCCCAAGAGAAATCATTTGCTTCCGTTACTCCGCTTAGGTGGCGGCTATGCCTTTTGGCCACCAAAGGTCCACGCACATCTAGATAGATAGATGGCATATATGCGAACCGCTGGGCATATATTCATCATTGATACGTACGACGTGTAAGTATCATATCACTCGAGACGCCCTCTGAGCTGTCGAGATGATGAGTCCGTATAGATGAGGGTGTACACTCCATGAATCGCAGATCGCCACACAACGATAGAGTTCGTTCAGTGCTGGAGAAAGAAAGAGAGTGGTCAGAGCAGATATCAGTCAATCTCATACCGTTCGCACTCGAGTCAAGCTCGGCTCTTGTATCTGGATTTCCCGTCTACATCTCCTCTGGTCCCTCCTTCCTGGCTTCCCGACCTAGCTGTTTTCTCGAACCCGCTGGCTGACATCTTCCATTTCTCATAAGTTCACTCGTAGTATGAGGAGGTGCTCCATTGGCAAACGTATCAGAGATGATCATTTCACAGTCGCTGACAGGTCTAACTAACATTGGCAGAACCAGGCGACCGTTTCTTCTGATTTGGGAGCGTGTATAGTTCGAATTGACAAAACAGTGGCGGCGAGTAGTGTCTAAGTAGAATATTATCATACGGTGACTTCATAGAATGGAGACCTGGTCCGAGAGGGTATATATCGTCATAGAGAGGGGAGTATATCATCGAACAGAATTACGGTGCTAGCACTATCGCCTGGACAGGCCTTACATACCCTACATATTGATTCACAAGGCAATCCCATGCACCACGGTTGCCGCCCCGTTTGAAATTTGCTTCCGCTGCCGCGTTTCTGAGTCTCCGCACGGTTCGACGTTCCTCTACATTGTCCATTCCTCAATCGTCTACGGTATCATTCGTTCCTCGTATCGTCCATCTGCAGTGCAGGACACTTGCTCGCTACCTTGGCATTCGATAGCGGGGACAATTCATACATCATGTCTGACGGTATTGGAATCGCAAAGTGAGTGTCTTTGACTCTACCTGCGGAACGACGCTCATACCTTTACAGCTTGCCTAACCAGGTTAGCTAGACCATGTGTGAGGATCTGCCCAGCTGAAGATTTCTATAGCGGCACAAGATTGTCAATAGCAAAGGCTCTTACTTCACCATCATGGTCTGCGGTGAATCTGGCAGCGGAAAGACAACCCTGATCAACACCTTGTTCGCGACTGAAATCTGTGCTCCGAGAAACTACCGGCAAAGGTAGGTTCGGAATTGGATAAGAAGCTCACACTGTGCTACAGATTCGCAAAGCAGATGGATAAGACGACGGAAGTTGAGATTCTCAAGGCGGATCTGGAGGAGCGGGGGTTCAATATCAAGGTGGGCCGCAAGAGGTTTAAGTATGAAGGCAGCTTATACGTGTTCAGTTGACTGTTATTGACACACCTGGATTCGGCGACTACGTCAACAACAAGGACAGGTGGGGGCGAAGACAAAGTCAACGTTGCTGATACTTCCCAGTTGGTCCCCCATCGTCGACTTCATCGACGACCAACACGAGTCTTACATGCGACAGGAGCAACAACCTCACAGATCCGACAAACAAGACTTGCGAATTCACGCGTGCTTGTACTTCCTGAAGCCGAGTGGATTGACGTGAGCTACCCCTTTCTATCGCTACTGTATCTGACCACAGACTAGCGTGAAACCTCTCGATGTGGAAATCATGAAACGTCTCGGAACCCGCGTCAACTTGATCCCGGTCATTGCCAAAGCTGACACCATGACTCCGGAGGATCTGGCCAACTTCAAGATCAGAGTGCGTACATTTGCTATGAGCTCATGCTCACCCGCTCAGGTTCGAGCTGTAATCGAAGCCCAAGGCATCAAGGTCTATGTCCCGCCTATCGACTCCGAGGACCAAAACGCAGCCGATCATGCTCGCAGCATGCACTCCGTCATGCCGTTCTCTATCATTGGTAGCACAGATGACGTGACAACACCGGATGGCAGAGTTGTCAAGGGTCGCGAGTACCTATGGGGCGTGGCAGAGGGTGAGTGGGCTAGACGAGGAAAGCACATCAGTTGAACTCGCGTCTAAGTGGAGAATGAAGACCACTGTGATTTCAAAAAACTCAGGTCATTGCTTATCCGGACATATCTCCTTGACCTGAAGACGTCAACCGAGGAGAACCACTACGAGGCATATAGACTTGCTCAAATGGAGACAAGAAAGTTCGGGGAGCCCAAGGTCAAGAAGCTCGACAATCCCAAATACAAGGACGAGGAAGAGCAGCTCAGGAAGAGGTTCACAGAGCAGGTCAAGTTGGAAGAGGCAAGATTCAGGCAATGGGAGCAGCATGTGAGGGGCGAGCGGGCTTCACTGGCTGATACATACAGCTCATCGCGGAGAGAGATCGTCTCAACAAGGATCTGGAAAACGCCCATACGTCAATCAAGGCTCTCGAGGTGGGTCCCCGCTCCGAAATGGTGCTGATCTTCCAGGGCGAATTGGATCAGCTTGCAGCTTACCATCGCCAAGGCAGTGGCACCGTCGGACGACGATGATCTGCAGCAAGAGTCTCTGTTATACGACCACGTCCATGTCTTTCTCTTCACGACCTCTTAATCCACTTGTCACATATACACCTGCTCTTGATGCATGCCTTGATCCATGGTGGAATGTTATAGATACAACAGTGAATGGGAGATGGAGTCTAATCCGTCTTGCCGGGCGGCTTGCCACAAGGCTGCAGCATTTTCTGAACCGGATCAGCAAGCAAGTCCACGATAACGTGCGCACCTCTATGACCTCAAACTTCGACCTCGCTTGACACTCGCCATCCGCGATGGCGAGGTAAGCCAATAATGGTGGGTGTCCAGCGATAGAGGCGAGAGTGTCCCGATGTTGATGTGTCATCCATTCACTGCAATCGGGTCAGCCAGACTTTCGAGAGTCGCTTCATACGCACTATTTGGTGGTATCGGCGTGCCCTGTACCAGTGTAACGAGCGTGTACTGTAGATAATGGTGAGTCATGACATATGCATGGATAAAGGCCCGCTTACGCTGCTCCAGCTGAGTATTGGCGGTATACCTGAGCTCGGACTGCAAGAAGTCAGCTATCTCTGCCTATGATCATGCATCTGATCTCACCATGGTCGTAGCTCAAGGAATGATTGTGATCGTGAGATTGCTCACTGAATGCATGCCCCGTCCAATCTTTACGCTGCGAACTCTATAACCGAGGGGCTCCAATAATCTTCCGTCTTTAATATCGTCTGACGTGGTATTTTCCCTTCCTTCATCATGACCGACCCGGGTCTCATCTCCCACTTTGGGCCACCAAGGAGTCTCGTTCAATCATTGTATCCCGCTTGCTCTTCTGATGCTATAGGCATCGGTCATTGAAGATAGCAGGTGTATAGTATCCTTCGTGAGCAGCTTCATCCAAATAGTGCCGCTGCATAGAGTATCGCTGACATTGTCGCGTCTTTGATCCTCCTTACCCTTTATCAATCCCCTCAGACTCTCAGTCCATTCTCAATACCTCGTTAAACCTGGATCATCCCACGAACGAAATGAGCCGTCAACCAGGTAAGTCTTGGCTCGCGGATGGTCAGCATTGGTTCTGATTTGGCACCTTTAGCCTCACGTACACCAGCTCAACCTATGCCAGCGGGTTATCGATCGACAGCTCAACAACCTTCCAATCCGTCGAGTTCTTTATACTATGCTACGGCAGGTCAACAGGCAACTCAACAGGGAACAAGGACAACCAATGGAGGGTCTGCGGCTGGTATGGGAGCCAATACAGCTCCCGGAGGCTCTAGTGGACCCGGTTTCCCGCCATTAGGTGGACTAGGGCGAGCCGCACCTCCAGGCTTTGGATCCAGAGGGTCAGGTAAGTCAAGTATCCGGTCAAGTTCTCGTCATGTTCACTGAGATTTGCACCGACTGCAGATTCAGCCGACTTTCCTGCTCTAGGCTCACAGCAATCTCATCCATCCTATGCCGCTCAGGCTCAACCACAAGCGCCGTCAACATCCTCTACAAATCAGCTCCTACCGCAGGTCTACATGCAAGGAGGCGCGGGATTAGCACCACCACCACCGCCCGGTATAGGCGCCTCCCCAAGCGTACAGACGAATGGCCTACCAGGAGAGAGTCTGCGTGGAGAAGATTTCCCAGCTCTGGGGGCTCAAGGCGACAAGGAGAGGGTGTGTTGCATCCAACGCAGCAAAGTATCAAGCTTATGCTGACGTGCTGTGCAGATGGGATACTTGAGATCCGCTCAACAACCACCGTCCCCATCTCTCGTCAATGGTGCCTCCACATCACAGTCCACATCTGCTACACCGTCAACAAATCCGCCGTTACCTTCTGCGGGCGGTATGGAGACTTGGAACAGACACAGTCCGAATAGAAATGAACCGATCATGCGACCTGTCCAACAGATTTTAAGCTCTCCGGTTGACAAATGGGGTCTGAAGGCTCTTTTATATGAGATCAAGATGGGAATAGGCAAGGACAGAGGAAGACTGCTGTTTGGCGAGGAGCTGAGCGAGTTGGGTGTGGATCTGGACCAATCAGAGTGAATCTGCTTGGCCTCAGTGATAACGTTGGCTGACCTTTCTTAGTCCTCTGTTCACGACTTTTGCCACACCGTGGATAGATCAATCGTCTCTGCCTCGCCAAAACATCACGGAGCCATACCACACCCCATCATGCTACCACGTCAACGCCCCAGCGGTCGAGTCGAAAATCGGTCTCTTTTCTGAGGAGACCTTATTCTACGCGTTTTACATGTGCCCTGGTGACTTGCTGCAATTGGAAGCCGCAGAGGAATTGTGGGTGACTCCAAGTGTGCCTGGTTGACCACTCTAGATTCAATCGAGGGTGGCGTTTCCACATGGAGATGCAGGTTTGGATGACTTCTCAACAACTCACTTCAACCCCTCTCGACCTTCCTTCCCCCCAATGGGTTCGAGGCTCTGTCACCCTATGGGATCCGCGTATATTCAGCAGGCATAACACTGGCGAGGACTTCATGGTGGACGCAAGTCAATTTGAGGTCACACGACCGGCTGGACAGACAGTGGCCGAGGAGCGGGCAAAGAAGGAAGCAGCCAAGTCGCCAAACGGACCTAATGGGAATTTGGGCGTAAGCCATAGTGCGTCCACAGGGTACGGTGCTCGGTGAATGCGCAGGCATGCTGGAGGGATGTATTGCCGAGTTTCATGCTACATCAAACAGGCTATACATTGCTGATTCTATCGTGTACTGATGGGTGACTTGCACCGAGTTCGCATTCTACAGAGGTAACAGGGAACAGAACTAGTGCACGCAAACTTGTGCGTTGGGCTCGTCCGCCTGCGACTCGAGATTCATCGGTCGACCATGGCGTTTTGCGCTGCGGCATAAGGCGTGTCGCTGGGCGAGATCATTCTGGAACAGTCAGCATTTGACTATGCTTGGTCACCTACGACGCCCTGCGAATCATCATCTCTTGATCTCGCGAATTTCGGCGCGCTTGGGCGAGATTGGCGTCAAGGATTTCCTCCTCACTAGCGTCCTTTACCATGGATCCTCTCTGGGTTGAACCCATGCTGTATTCTGGAATCGACCCGGACTTTTCAGTCGTCACTCCGAGGGAGGTCTTGGGTCTGCCATGTTCGTCAAAGGGGATACCTTGAGCAGAAAGAGCCATGGATCGCCGTCGAACCATGACAGCTTCTTCTTTCCAGTGTTTCTGGGCAGCTCTCAGACGGAGATGAAGGCCCCAAATGGCGAAAAAGAAGGATAGGAGAGACATGAGCGCTGCGACAGCGGTTCTGAAACATGTCAATCTCTGAGCAATCTAGCACGTTACTCACGTTTCCATCGCTTGACCTGATTTGGGATTCCCACCTCCATTTTGGACTGACAAGAAGGCGTTTCGACCAAAGCCAAAGGCCAACCAGCAGAGAACGTTGCCGAACAGTGTGATACACAGGACACAAGCTTCCATGACGGCCACTCGAAGATGTCTCGTGATGGAGTCGAGGTCTCGGATAGCGTACCCGACTTTGGCAACGACCAAGAGGAGGACCCAAGAAACGAGCGTGACAATGGCCCAATAGCAGGCTATGTGCTGATCAGCTGGGATAGCGATACATTCGGACTATTAATGGAACTGGCTTACCCAAAGGCAACATCATACGGACTGTCAATGCTTCACCAGTATTGATCTTGGTCGACAGGTAGCCATTATCAGATAAAGGCGCATACGTGCAGTTGGATGTATCGGTCTCTGTTTTATTCTTCATCAGCAGCTGCAAAGACTTGATTTCCCACGACCCCATTCGACTCACCACACCATCCAAGCACACCCGACTTGAGAGGTCCGCTTCCAGTATGTTGACCGTCAACTTGGAACCAGTACAAGCCTTTGATAGGACCCGGTACAGAGAGCAAGACGAGCACTAGAAGCAGTAGGGATAAGGTCGATAGCGCCAGCGCTACGGCAGGACCCGCAAGAGCATTCGAATAGGCTACTTTGACGAACCTTTCGCGGAATCGAGTGAAGAACATGTCGATACAGCTGGACTGCGCGATAATGGTGGGAAAGAACAAGGATGCCTAGAACTCCCCTCCACAGTGTCTCTTTTTCTATCTCCACGCAAGTCATGCAAGCTCAAGCTTCACCTTTCAGATGATGGACATCGGCAAGGGGTCACGGAGTGATCCTATTCGTGTGGCTCCTTTGACTAGATCGACAAAATGACGATTGTCTTTGTCGGTCCTTTGAACCAAGTCCGGAGCAGAAGATCCCAGAGCTAGGATGGAATATGGATCATGAGTCGAGGATGAGTCCTGACTTTTCTCGCCACCATATCACAGACAAGCAGTACGCCTCAGTGTATCATACTCAGTACATGCTCGTGATGCGATAAATGAGGTTGTATCCCCTTGACTCCCCTCGAATACACAGCTCATCTCCTTCCGCCCTTCTTCTTCTTGCCCGAATCAGACACGTCTCCCTTGTCTTTACGTCTCTCGTCATCTGTAGTGACGGGGTCAGGTTTTCGCTCAATCGCAAATCCCACAACACTGACCTCGTTTTGCTTTTCGCTCCAGTTCGTCCCAATCTTCACCCTCAGACTCCTCATCGTAGCTACCGCTCTCGTCTGACGCATCGTCGTCGTCGACTGACCCGATTAGTTTCAGCATATTACTTGATATCCTGCGTAGCGTCTACCCACAATCAGAACCGTCCGAGTCCGTCTCGCTGGATTCCTCAGCAAAGGCATCGGAATCTGCCTCGAATTCTGATCCCTCCTCGCTCGACTCTTCCTCTGAGTCCTGAGACGCCATGTCAGCATGGACCTAAAGAGACCGTCTCGAGCTCACTTCGCCCCCGCCCGTGAGGAACCCCCAACCTCCCTCCTCGTAGAAGGCATAGGGGTCATCCACCACAGTCTTCATGATCTGGTTCCAAGCAAGATTGACTGGGCCTTCAGATATAGGCACATCGCAGGAGCTGTCCGTTTAGCTAGATTCTGAACATGTGACCCACTCTAGCCATTCCTTGACATTGTCCAAGTGCGTCACATCGATATTGTTCACGTGTATCGGTGCCTTCTTGAAGTCGTTCATGACGAAGACCATGTCAAAGTTTTTCAATCCAAACTGCACACGCTCCAAATGGACCACTTCCACCTCGGCCAGCGTGATCACCAGGAACGGAGTCTCGGATAGATGAACCAAGCAATGCGTTGTTGGGACCAATAAGACATTGGACCGATGTGGCACACCGCTGAAGCCCAAGTCTCTGAATGGCATATCCACTTCGAGCTCGAATTGTTGAGCTTGAGCTTGAACCTCGATTCGATGAGCGAACTCGGAAAATTCCTTGTCCAACAGCTGTCGATGCTTTCTGTCTTCTTGTTCCTGCTCAATCTCATCCTCGTCACCATATCTCGCGCGCCGCCTCTTGCCTCCGGTCTCGTCAAACGCCATATCGGTGACTTCACGGTAGAATTGGACGTCCTGGACGGAGTCAGTCAATGTATGATACGGGAAACTCCTCTCACATAGGTCTTCTTTTTGCCGAGCATGATCGGCGAGATCAGATGCAAGTGTATCAGAACGATGAGCTCTTTCTCGCTGGGCTGGAAGAAGAGATGCTTGACATTGGAGAAGAGGACATCAATCTTGGAGGACGGACCATCAGGTCGGAACCGGACACCATTCTGGTGAATCTCCAAACTGCCATCCATCTTCTTGCCATCCGCTGGACGAGGAAATACCCGTTTAAGTGTGTATGGGCCACGGCCTTTGTCCATCAGCATTGCCCCCGATCCACCGCTCACCTTTGATCTCGACCAGCTTTTCTTGCTCGACGACATCGGCCATCTCTTTCCTCTCCGCCTCTCGCTTCGTTGCCGCCTTTTTCAAGGCTGTAATGCTCTCTAAAACCTTGAGCATGTGGCGTTGGTCGGTGGACCGGAATGACGCGGATCGAACAAAGTGAGCGTCGGCATCTTCAAATGGCTGCGAATCGTTAGCTTGTGAGTGAGACTTTAAGTAATCACCATATCCTCCTTCTTTCCAGCTATCTGACCAGGAGACTGAAAGTTGATCCTGAGAACGATGTGTTCCGCTTCCTCGGTCTTGGTTACGTTCTTGATGGTAGAGATGTGAAACGGAACGGCATATCCTCCGATCGGCAAGACGACCGTCTGCCGCTGCTCGTCCACGTAAAGCCGTCGATCTTCGACTCCCCGTGGTAGCTGCTCTTCACGTCGGTAGCTCTCATAGCGCTTCACCGGCTTGTCTTCGGCATCGTTTCCTCCTTTGCCACCGTTCGCCCACTTCTTCAGACCAGCGTTGTGTCTCTCGGCGTGAAGTCGCTCCTGATTCGGACGGATCTTTTCCGCCGTGGTCTGTTCGATTTGCTCTCGCTGTCCACCTCGTGTCTTGGTCGCTCCAACACCTCGACCGACCGTAGTTCCTCCACGTGTCTTGAGTGGCGACTTCTCCTTGCCTTTGCCGTTTGCTTGCTTTGACGATCCATTTGCTTTAGGCTTTGGTGCTTCGACGACAGCATCCTCTTCCTCCTCCTGATAACTCGTCAGCATTATAGAGATTTACAGAATATCTCACATCCAGCTCCATGATCACATCCTTCAATTTCGTGCATCCATCCGTCAGCACCGTAGAAGCCTCCTTGCCGACTTTTACAGTATCGGTCAGTAACAGGGAGTATCTGCTGGATTTAGCAAGCGATGGGACATCGCACAAGCTTCACTCACGTCTTGTCCCCGCTCTTGCTGTCCGACAGATCGCTGACGCCAATGGAAACGACAAAGACCATGTTCTCCTTGAGCGTACGACCATTCTTGGGGGACAGCATATTGTGTGAATCTCTAAACTCGATACCGGTCTGATAATGATCAGTTCAGTTACCTCATGGTCTGTGACTCACTGCAAATCCCATATTCTTCTGGAAAGCCTGACCCAGGGTTGCACTTTTGCCCTCCAAAAAGCTGTGGACGTGTGCATACACATCCTTTGCCACTGCTCCATCCTTTATTACGTTCAGAGCCTCGTTTCTCGCCTCCAGCAGCGCGGCGTAGTAGCTCTCTTGTTTCTTCGTGGGGCTGATGAGGAATGTTCGGGCCATGGTTGTACAATAATTTTTGTATCGAAGACCTAGACTTGCGATGATGATGCCGGCAGAGAGTACCCTATCATCTGACACAGCGGAGATCTTGAGGTCATATCGCCCGCCAGACTGAATGATTGGTGGATACACCCATTCGGTTGAGCTAAAGTCGACCTGCAAGTTATGAGAGAGGTCTGTCGACCTGAAAATTTGACTCACATCGCCTAATGATGGGTTCTTGGACCAAAGCTTTTTATCAGCCTCTTTGTCATCACTCCCAATCTTCTCCTCGACAAGGCTGACACAGAGTCAGTAATGCCCAAGCACCACTGTAAGTTCACGTACACAGCCAGCTGACTGTGCGGGACTTTTGTTCCCTTGTCGATGATGGACTCCATCTTTGGCTTGAAATAATGTATCATAGCTGTTGAGGTCAATTTTCCACTCGTGATCATGTTTTTCTAACAGCGGGTCAGCCTCGAAAGATATCCTAATCGTAACAAACCATCTCCTCTCCATCCTTCTCTGCGAGCACGCAAGACATAGCCGGTGCCATATCGACGGCCTCTATCGGCGGCTTTCCTTCAGAGATCCTGTCCGCGGATCAGATGATGAACTCAAGTAGTGCCTGGATACTGACGCCTTCATGAACTCATCCGCCATCTTTCCAGTGGGTTTATCCTTTGGCAATGTCCCGATCTTGCCCCCTCCGAGTGCCGATATCGCACCAGGAATGACATCTAAATGTTTCAGTATCGACAAGACATTTCGCAGCTCACGAGAACCAGCATCGCCTTTCGCCCGCTCCAAAATATCAATCTCGATGCCATCTGTGGTCGATATCTGTGCGAGTATCTTGGCTAACCGAAAGGTCAGCACTGGCAGATCTCGTCAGCTGATCAACTTGCCTTTGGAAGGACTAGAGACGAAAGTGATTCGACGTGGAGATTGAGTGAACAGAAGGAGAGTAGAAGGGAATTCGTAGCCGAGGAGGAATGTCTGGTGTTGTAGTGTCAGTGGCGATGCCTTACAGCCACTGTAGCTTCCGTCATACCTGAAGAGCTGCAACTTTGGTATAGGATGACCCCTCGTCACTCGCATCGCCCATCATCATCGCGAGACACTTTAGATCCTTGAGAATCTCGGCATCTGCATTCGGTTTGTCCCACGCATCAAAGATGCTCTTAGCCCTCTTGAAGAACAGCTTTTTGTCCAGAACGACGTCGGACATGGTGGGCGACCTGCACTGAACTCGGGACTGCCCAGGGAATTAAGAAGTACGCCTGTGCCACAGTTCTTGTTATGGCTTCGGGTCCCAGAACAATCAGCTCCGTCTGACGAGCAGGAACAAAGAGACACAGAGAAGAAGCAGAAGTCGACAGTCAAAGATGAGCAGACATGAACTTTTGCGCGTAGGACACTTCGCGTGCAGTGGTTGTAAAATGGTTCCACCGTGGGAAGAATTCTTCAGCGGCGACTGCCGGTCATCATGTTCGTCGCGTCCATCAATGATTCAATCGCGACTGTATCAGTATCATTCCATTGACCCTTCAAGCGATATGGAAAACCCTCACGAAGCAGAGCAGGCAGTCTTGTTGGAAAGAATCGTGAACAACGTGGTACGTGAGATAGAATCAGCCTGAGTTCTGAGCTCATGTGCGTCACAGGACAAGGCGAATGAGGCTGTCCTTGAATTAAATCACTGCATCAAGGTGAGTTCTGCACAATATATCTATCAGAGAAGATCCACGGCCTTTTACGAAAGCCTTCGCGTACTCATGACTCTGCGAGGAATGACGGCGTACGCACATACCCTGCCCAGACTATGGCCAAAGTCCGATCGGCGAAGATTATGACCGTCACGCTTACTTTCCCCTCAGGAGTACCTCGCTTCCTCTGACCAAATCACCATGGCTTCTGATCTCAGCGCTACATACTCTCGAAATATCAAGTACAACTTGGAGAGCCAGGGAAAAATGCCCAAACCACTATGAGGAATTGCAGTGGATCGAGGTGTATAAATTATTGTACAGTATCTGGACCTCCAGTCCCATGTAGCCAGCGAGTCTGGGCGTCTATTGTCTGCTAAGCCCCACAATTTCCTTACGATCTCTGATGTTTCGACACGCTGTCACAATGTGCCATGCTCCATCTTCACTGCTCTCGAAAACGGTCGAAGCCACCAGCTGTGAAAGGCGTGTCACGTGACCCATCTTCGCCCCTGATCATGACGTGTCATTCTAGAATGAACCACAGGACCGTGGAATATGCGAGAACTTTCGTCATTTTGTGGCTCCAGGGTGGTCCATGGTATTAAAATATTCTCCAATCTCCATCTTCTCTCGTTCTCAACAAACATTTTCCCAATTGCACTGTATCACTTAGACGTCTACATCCAATACATCTAGACAAGATGGTCAAAGCTGTCGGTATCGATCTCGGAACCACATACTCCTGTGTCGGAGTCTTCCAAAACGACCGTGTGGAAATCATTGCCAACGATCAAGGTGAGTCAGAATCTCAATCCACCTAGGCCAGATGCTGACGAGCGTCGCCTTCCCACAGGAAACCGAACAACACCTTCCTATGTCGCCTTCACCGACTCGGAGCGTCTCATTGGAGATGCTGCGAAGAACCAAGTCGCCATGAACCCCCACAACACCGTCTTTGACGCTAAGCGATTGATTGGACGAAAGTTCAGCGACGCCGAAGTCCAGGCCGACATGAAGGTAAGTCAGCCACCATATTCTTCTGTGCAATGCTGATGGTTCATAGCACTTCTCCTACACTGTCATCGACAAGGCCGGCAAGCCATACATCCAGGTCGACTTCAAGGGAGAGCAGAAGGTGAGTTGGGCTTAGATCATGATGTGTCAGTCACTGACATTTTGCAGCAATTCTCTCCTGAAGAGATCTCCTCCATGGTCCTGATCAAGATGAAGGAGACCGCCGAGGCTTACCTCGGAGGTACCGTCTCCAAGGCTGTCATCACTGTTCCCGCCTACTTCAACGACTCCCAGCGTCAAGCCACCAAGGATGCCGGTCTCATTGCTGGTCTTGAGGTTCTCCGTATCATCAACGAGCCCACTGCCGCTGCTATCGCCTACGGTCTCGACAAGAAGGGAGCCAAGGGCGAACAGAACGTCCTCATCTTCGATCTCGGTGGTGGTACTTTCGATGTGTCCCTTTTGACCATTGAGGAGGGTATTTTCGAAGTCAAGGCAACTGCCGGAGACACCCATCTCGGAGGAGAAGACTTTGACAACCGTCTCGTCAGCCACTTTGTCCAGGAGTTCAAGCGAAAGAACAAGAAGGACATCACTGGCAACGCCCGAGCCGTCCGACGTCTGAGAACCGCCTGTGAACGTGCGAAGAGAACTCTGTCTTCTGCCGCTCAAACTACCATTGAAATTGACTCTCTCTTCGATGGTATTGACTTTTACACTTCCATCACCCGTGCTCGATTCGAGGAACTTTGCCAGGACCTCTTCCGATCCACCATGGAGCCTGTCGAGAAGGTTCTCCGTGACGCTAAGATGGACAAGGCTTCCGTCAACGAGATTGGTAAGTGACATGAACGTGCGCTGGGGGCCATCTACTGACTAGCCTCTAGTTTTGGTCGGAGGATCCACCCGTATCCCCAAGATCCAGAAGCAAGTCGCCGACATGTTCAGTGGACGAGAGCCCAACAGATCTATCAACCCCGACGAGGCCGTTGCTTTCGGTGCCGCCGTCCAGGCCGCCATTCTTACCGGTGACACTTCCGAGGCCACTCAGGACCTGTTGCTTCTCGACGTTGCCGCTCTTTCCATGGGTATCGAGACCGCTGGTGGTATCATGACTCCTTTGATCAAGCGAAACACCACAGTCCCAACCAAGAAGTCCGAAATCTTCTCCACTTACGCCGACAACCAACCTGGAGTCTTAATCCAAGTCTACGAAGGAGAACGTGCCAAGACCAAGGACTGCAACTTGCTCGGAAAGTTCGAGCTCGCCGGTATCCCCCCCGCCCCTCGTGGAGTCCCACAGATCGAAGTCTCTTTCGATGTCGACGCCAACGGTATCTTGAACGTCGGCGCTTCCGACAAGACCACTGGAAAGAGCTCCAAGATCACTATCACCAACGACAAGGGTAGATTAAGCAAAGATGGTGAGTGACCGACAGTGACGAAAGTTACAGACATGCTGACTATGACTCATAGAGATCGAACGAATGCTCGCCGAGGCTGAGAAGTACAAGGCAGAAGGTGAGTGCCGCAGCTACACTTTACTCCAAAGTTACCCTTGCTGATTTATACCTGCAGATGCTGAAGTCGCCGAACGTGTGCAGGCCAAGAACGGTCTCGAAAGCTACACTTACTCCCTCAAGAACACCTTGTCAGAGCAGGCCGACAAGTTCTCCGCTGAGGACAAGGAGGCTCTCCAGGCCAAGGTCGACGAGACTGTCAAATTCTTGGACACAGCCGACAGTGCCTCCAAAGATGAAATCGAGTCACATCAAAAGGAGCTCGAATCCGTCGCCAACCCGATCATGCAGCGATTCTACGGTTCGCAGGGCGGAGCTGGAGGCATGCCAGGTGGTGGCATGCCAGGAGGCGGTATGCCAGGAGGTGCTGCTGGACACGACGATGGTCCCTCAGTCGAAGAGGTCGACTAGAGTATTCATTCGAGACGCAAAATGGACTCATGAGAATTTGGATTCGCGAATCAGATTGAGAGCTCCAACTGTATATCACATATGCATTTCCATGACCTTAGACAGCACTCGGAGTATTGAACAGTGTCTTCTCTCATCCTCATCTCACGAGAGTGACATATACTAGTATATTTCTCGTCACCGAATGCTTCAGTCGTCGAGAATCAGACCACGTCAACGTCTGTTTCTTTCTCCAACATTGCCTGATCGTTTCGAAGCTGCAGCCTCAGACTTGTCCAACTCTGCTTCTCGTTGGATCCGCTCGATCTCCTCCAGGAGGGGTTTGTACTCTTCGTACTTGTTCCGAGCCAGCTCTGAGGAAAATCAGAACGGGTAAAAGATCTCAACTCACCAAAGCCTTCGCGCCTCAAAGCCTTGCCTCTCGTGCCGCTTCGCTCATACGCATGGGCTGCCCAGTATTGTCCTGAGCTTTTTAGCGGGACTCGATAGCCCTACTCACTTGATCGATCATAGAATGCTCGCAAATTTTCTCCCGGCAGAGGAGTGGATAAGATCTCGTCTTGATCTCTCGTTGTGTCCTTTGACACCCCCAGGAAGGACTGGGCACGTCTACGAAGCGCATCCTGAAGCGTGAGCACGAAACTCAACAGTTTGACCCACCTTCTCAGCTTGACTCAAAGCGTTGTGCCTTTTCTCTTTTGCTTCTTCGGTCTCCTCGTCTTCCTCCTCCATGACCACGTCCTCCTCCCCATCATCTTCGCTCTCGTCTGAATCACCTCCATCCGAGTCAGACTCAGATCCTGCGTCGTCCTCTTCGTCACTGCCGCGCCATTCAGCTTCCAGTTCCTCCAGTCCTGTGCCCCGAATGTGGACGAATCGGTCCAGCTTTTCCAAGTTTAGCGTCACAAAATCGTCCAGAGTATATTCCCGTGAGGGCACGCTGGTCTCAAAGATTCCACCGTAGCTGAGACGTCAGTGGACGACACAGCCCCTTGACTCACATGAATAGCGTGTTTTTAACCACCGCCAACATGGCATTGTATCGGGTCAACGGTGTGGTCTTGATTGGGTCGTCATCGTCCTCTTCCTCTTCGACAATTTCGTGCGTGGCCTCTGCCATATCGACATCGTCACTCAAGTCTTCTCCTCCCTCGTCCTCTTCTTCGTCTTTGTCATTCGCTGCCTTTGCTACCTTCTTTCGCCTCCTTCCACCAGCCTTTTTGGGCCGCTTTAGATTCAAGCTGATCCACTTCCCTCTCCCTTCCGGATTATAAGCGTACATGTCGTTGTAGAACGTGCTGATCATCTCGTCATCGTCATTCTCTTCATCCAGAACACCGCCGAACAACACGCCCATGCCTTTTGCAGACCAATGACACATGCTACAGCCTGAACGAAGAGTTGGAGGATAGCCAGAGCGCTTCCGTCTTTGCCATTTGATCTTGGACAAGTCTGTATCCATTTGGAGTATCCAAGTATCGTCTAAAGGCACACCCTTGGGTTTTGTCCCCTTGACGTATTCCTTGACATATCCACCGTAGAGGACAGCACCCTCGGAGCAAGGAATCAAGGAAAAGCCACTACGAGGTCCAGGCGCTTGACTTTTGTCAATGAACTCGATCTGTTTCCAGCTCAACTCATTCGTATCGAATATCCATAGGTCCGACAAGTAGTTTGTCTTGATGCCAGTGTCTATGAATCCTCCGAAAAGGATGACAAGATGCTTCCACACTGCCATTCGGTGTCCACTGCGTCCAGATGGTCCTTTCCGAGACTCAATCTTCTCCCAGAAGTGCGACTTGATATTGAAAATCCACTAGTATGCTCAGCCGACTGTGGGGAAGATCAACTCACCAAGTCCTTATAATGATGGAATGAAGTTTGTGTGGGCGACGCATACTCTCCCCCTACATTCCATTAGCCCTTCCTTCTACTCTTGACCCACCGAAAACGACTATGCTGCCCCCTTCTCCTAGCCCAGGGACGCCGACTCCAGCTGCGCTACTCCTCGGAGCTGGTCCCTCTGCATTTTTGTATTCTCTCCATTCATTCTTGGCGATATCATATCGCAGCACAGAGTTGTAGAAAGTAGCTCGACTGCCATCGAAGAACTCCCCGAACAACAGGTAAAGGTGATTCGATGAGGGTTCCGCTGCAAGCGTCGAAGGTGATGGCAAAAATAAGGCATTCGTCCGAGGGGGAGGCGGCGCTTCTAGTGTGAGGACCGTCGGCGCAGCGATCTACAGACCTCGTGCAATCAGCCATTGACTTGCTTATCGTACATCTATGCATGCCATCGCTCACAGCCTTCATCTCCTCCTGATACCTCTGAAGAATCAAGTCTAGATCCTCTTCTTCATCTTGAAGCGTATCTTTCGCCTTGCCTTTGCCCTTGCTGGCCGACGACTTGAGAGCCTGAGCTTCCTTTTTGGCTGCCTTGTCTGCCTGTTTAGCCTTCTTGGCAGCCTTCGCAGCTGCTTTGCCAGCCCCAGCACCCTTGTTGGCACCCATTCGACTACAAAGATGGTTGTATGATGAGTGAGTGTAGGTGGGTGGTTGAGCGAATTTCCCTGAAAATGGAGTGAGGTCATCGATGTTGCCGTCCAAAATAACGAGCGCATCCAATATTGTAGTCTTCTTCTTCTACCACTATACTCCTTCCCTCGTATCCAACCATTTGACACCTCTTCTTGGTGGCGTCCCGGCGAGAGGAAGCGCTGCGGATGGCCAGCTTCTACTCAGACAGACAATCTGACCCATAGACGTTGCAACAGCAGATCCTGTAAGATCTCCTCGCACACGTCATGCAGGCTCTCAAGGACATTGTCCTTCGACTCATCAACGTTTACATCTCCCCCTACGTCGACAATTTGAACTCCGATGATCTGTCCCTCTCCTTGTTCAGTGGCAATCTCCAATTTCACGGTCTTCATCTGAAGAAAACCCTCCTGGAGCGATTCGGGCTGCCGGTAGAGATCGTGGCCGGCGACATTGGAAGCCTGTCCATTTCCATACCGTGGACACAGCTCAAGACACAGCCGGTCAAGGTCGCGATCGAGAATGTCTACGTTCTTGCGAGAGCTAGACCACCGGGGAAGGTGGATCTGGAAGAGGATGAACGGATAGAACAGGCCACCAAGCAGGAAAAGTTGCGCAGTGCTGAAGAAGTGGACAATGCGGCGATGCAGGTCGGAGGACAGGGATCGACTGATGAGGGTGAGTCCTCGATCCAGTAGTAGCTTACAAGTATCAGGGAAACAAACGTACATTGGCGCAATCATATCGAAAGTCGTCGACAATGTTCAAGTTCACGTTAGGAACATTCATGTCCGGTATGAAGATCCCTTCAGCACGCCAGAGCATCCCTTTGCCGCAGGGGTCACCCTCACCGAATTCAAAGCGGTATCGACGGATTCGAATTGGGTAGATGCGTTCATTCAAGACAGCGTGCAGGGTGTGCACAAGCTCGTCAAGCTCGGCGCATTGTCAGTCTATTTTGACACGGATACTGGGAGCTTGGACAGAGGATCCGAAGATCGCCAAGGAACCCTGGACGCGCTCAACGCCATGCTGCTGTCCAAGAATGACAACCGACAGTATATCCTACGACCAGTGACGGGTGAAGCTAGAGTCATCCTCAACCACCAGATGGGCAAGGAAAAGCCAAAGGTCGACGCTCAAGTCATATTTGATGAAATTGGCGTCGTCTTTGATCGAGATCAGTACCGTGACGCACTTTCATTGATCGACGTGGTCCACTTTTATCGTCGCACTCACCAATACCACAGATTCCGCCCGCCCGAGGAAGAGTTTGAAACGAATCCAGCCCGAGCCAGATGGCGTTTTGCGCTCAACGCGATCCAGAGCGAAGTTCACGATCGGCACAAGAGGTGGACTTGGGATTATATTGCCCAACGGAGGGATCTCAGGAAAAAGTATGTTGACGTCTTCGTCAAAAAGCTTGGTTTGCCAGAGGGCAAGCCTTTGCCGAAGGATGCTGCAGAAGATTTGGACAACTTGGAGCGAGAGCTGTCGTACGAAGACATTCGGTACTTCAGGTCCGTGGCCCGAGCTCAAGCGAAAAAGGATGCAGCGACCCGCAGGAAGCTGGAGGCTGAACGGCGGCGAAATCAGCCCCAGCGACAGACCTGGAACGAGTGGCTATGGGGAGTTCCCAAGGTAGATGATTCTGGAATGACAGAAGAGGAGCAAAAGGAGATTGACGAGATCATCGACTACGATCGTGCTGCCGCGCCGGCTATGGGGTCGACCCCGAGAGACTTCATGAAAGCAAGGATATCTGCGACGCTCAACAAGGGATCCTTTTCCCTTCGGACAGAGCCTCACGGAGCGACAACTGACATCATCGCCCTCGTCTTCGACTCTTTCTCGGCGGACGTCGTTCAACTGACCGAAAGTCTATCCGGCAGAATAGCGCTTGGAGGCTTCAGGGTCTATGATGGTACTGCTGCGGGTTCACTTCATCCACAGATAGTACGCGTCAAGGATATCGAGAATCGATCCTCGACCTATAGCGACAAAGGCAAGAGTCGGCAGACCAGCCTGGATGATTCTCAAGGTGTCAAAGGTGCCATTGAAGAAATCAACGATGGTTTACCGGAAAGCGCTGATCCATTCTTTGTCATGGAGGTGGAGCAGAATCCCCTAGACGGTCACGCCGATAGTTCCGTGACGGTCCGGATGCGTCATCTCGAGATCATCTATCATCGAGGCTACGTCGAGGCTGTTGTGCAATTCTTCAAGCCACCAGCGAGTCAACTGGAGTCCATTGGAGCACTTCTGGATGCAGCTGGACAGACACTGGATGGCATCCGAAAGGAGACCAGAGCTGGTTTGGAATATGCTTTAGAGCAGCACAAGACGATCGATCTAAAAGTTGACATGAACGCTCCGATCATCATCATTCCCATGGACATCACCGCAGAGGATAGTCAAGCATTGGTTCTGGATGCAGGACACATAGCTGTGGAGAGTCAACTTGCCGATCAGAAACAGCTGCAAGAGATACAAAGCAAGCGAGGTCGACAATACAGCGATGACGATTTCCGGCAACTTGAAGACCTCATGTACGACAAGCTCTCCCTAAGATTAGAGTCAACCCAACTCCTCATGGGTCCGAGTATCGCATCCTGCATGAGAGCCATCGAGGATCCTCACAGCTCTGGACAAACCGATCTGCACATTCTCGAACGCATCAATATGTCGTTTTCGGTCCAGAACGCCATCACAAATGCTCAAAATCTGACTCGTTTCAAGATCGCGGGCGACCTTCCAGAATTGCAGGTCAACTTTTCGGATCGCAAGTATAAGAATTTGATGAAATTCATCGACACTGCGATCCCCAGATTCGACAGTGATGATTCCTCAAAGGACGAATTGATCGTACCTCGTATTGCCGACCACTTGCCGACCTTTCGTCAACAACCTGTGGAAGAGTACACCCTGGATGATAATCGGTCCATTGTCTCCCACAAGACTTTTGACGATCACGACGACGAGAGTTCGGTGGAAGACAAAGGCGGAGAAAAGTTCTACGAGCCCCATGACGATACTACAGACACTCAGCGTCGCGATCTGCAGCAGATCACTTTCCAGTTCTCCTTCTCAGTTGGTAAACTTCAGACCTCGTTGTACAAGTCGATCTCACCAACTGAGGAAAGGCCACTCGCTACCGCTGCTCTCGAAGGCTTTGGCTTGACGTTTGATCTAAGGAAATATGACATGTCTGTCGACCTCTTTCTGCACGCTGTCACCCTGGCAATGATCGAGCAAGGCCAAGAGCAACGCCCCCTATTGTCCTCCGCCAACGAAAATACCGACCAAGGAAACAAACTTCTACAGGTCCGTTACATGAAGGTTCAGAAAGACTCCCCACAGTTCATGACTGTGCATGAAGGGGTGGATCAGAGCGTAGATTTGGAGCTATCCACATTCAGGATAACGGTCGCCCCGGAGCCCATCTTGAGCCTGTACGATTTCATCATGACGACCTTCGTCCCGCAGGATCAGCCACCAGAGTCGATATCTTCGAGGCGACATTCTCAAATCTCCAGTCAAAAGCCAGATGTGCCAATGCCACCTCCCAAGTCAACTGACAAGATACGCGTGCGGGTAAAGGTCACAACTGCATCAGGTACGGACTGAATCTCGAATACGGCTAATCTGTCCGCAGTGTCACTCGAGAACAACGGGCTGAGCTTCGCCTTGTTGACTCTTCCCTCGGCCGATGTCGCAGTCTTCCTGCGAAGTGGCACCTTGCGTGTAGCTGCTCGCCTCGGTGACCTCTCACTCGAAGACGTCTCGACCGCGCGGAATCCCGCCGATCATTCTCGAGCTCTTCTATCCATCGAGGGACAGGAGCTCGCCGACTTCTCCTACGAGACATTTGACCCGACGGATGAAGAGACCTTCCCTGGCTACAATTCGTCCGTTGTCCTGAAAGCCGGCTCCCTCAAGTTCACCTTCCTTGAGGGTCCCGTGCGCGACCTCTACGTCTTTGCTCTCAAATTTGCGCGGATGAAGGCTATCTACGATGCGGCGAGTCAGGCTGCCGTCCAGCGCGCCAGTGAGGTCACCCGAATGCACTATGACATTGTGGTCAACACGCCCATCATCATCCTGCCTTCGAATGCCAGTCCCGAGGCTGATCGCTTAGTGCTCAGACTTGGAGAAATTGTCGCCAAGAACCAGTACCTCGGCGATCCGAACGACAACAGCACCATCGAGGCCAGTCTTAACGGAATCAGCATAACCTCTGAGATCGTGATGGAAGAGAAGATGGCTAGCGTGCAGATGGTCAAAGATGTTGCCATTACTGCAAATGTCAAACAGATCGGCAAGAGGGCTGGCGATCAAGAGGCGGACACTGAGGTGAGCTGTCCTGAAAGTCTTGCGCTGACATTGCTAGATCGTCACTCGCATGTCAGACGTCCAAATGGCTCTGACACAGCGTCAGTACGGCCTAGTCATGCGCGTTCTGGAAGCACTGCCGAAAGTGCTGGCAGACGTCAACATGGACGATGTCACGTCAGAGTCTGTCCCGGGGACGCCATCTCGGCCCATATCCTCAGGTCCTCCCTCGGATAGCGCCACACCAATGGAAAACAGTGTGAATCTGGAGCCGGAGCTGAGAGTGACATCTCCAGTGGACGGAAAGAAGGAAGATGTGTGGACAAAGATGAAACTGCACTTCTCTGTCAATTCTATCGCACTGGAGGTGTTCTCTGGCCAGGCTCACCAGGAGGACGATCTTCAGAAACACAGCATTGCTCAATTTGCTCTGCGGCAAACGAACCTCGGGTTAAAGCAGCTCTCGGATGGTGCAATGGAGCTCGAGTTCACCCTAGGCACGCTGTCATTCTCCAACACCTCTGCAGGAAATACCGTCCATCGGGAGATCATTCCCGCTGCAGGTCATGACAAGAACCAAATGTGAGTTTGTTTCCGACTTCGCTGCTCACAATCACAGCGTGGTGTCCTACACTTCGAGTGGCGGAGATCATTCCTCTGCCATGGTGATCGTGACAGTGGACAGTCCGAAGTTCACGCTCGCGGTAGAGCCACTAGCCGCACTAGCTGAATTTGCGATCAGTCCATTCGCCGAACGGTCCGAGCAGCCGGCTCCAGTGGAGTCCGGAAACAGTGAACAAGAAGTGACGCCTACCACCAACTCGACCTCACTTGCCTTCCGCGTCGAGGTGGTCAACGCTATCATTGTTGTTGTGGCAGATGACTCTGACCCAAAATCCCAAGCCATCTTCCTGAACGTTAAGGAGATTCTCGTATCGCAGCAATCGATCCTGGCAGTCAAGATTGACAAGATGGGCATGTCGTTTGGTCGGATGGACAAAGCAACAGAAAAGGAACGCGTCAAATTCTTGGACGAACTCAATGTCGCCTTATCCTTGGACACTCGCCGACAGGGCTCGAGGCAGATGACAAGCTTTGATATCGATATCCCGGATCCGATCATCTTTAGAGCTTCCTATTTTGACATTATGCTCATTCTCGACATTGTCAACAAGGCCTCTGCGGCAGCTCAGAGAGCACAGACTTCTGACCAGCCTGGTGGAGAAGCTCAGCGATCCACTGTAGCAGCGGATGGTACGACAGATTATTCGACCTCCATAGCAGTGCCCGTCAAGACTCCGAGTCGGCGGGCTCCCGCTTCTACGATCCGCAAGAGCCCTGAGCGATCCAAAGTCATCGTATCCAAAGAGCAGCTCAAGGCACGAATCAACGGATTTCAACTGGTCCTCGTCGGAGATCTGCAAGAGCTGCCGTTCCTACACTTGTCGACTCCCGAATTCCAGATCGCAATCAACGACTGGTCTGGAGATATGAAGCTTGCCACGTCTATTCAGCTGTCGATTCGCTACTTCAACCTGGCGAATTCATACTTTGAACCGCTGCTGGACCCATGGACCTTTAATCTAAGAGTGAATCGAACTACCACGGGCGGCGGAAACGCCCCGCTATCCGTCCGCTTCTCAGCCACTGATCGGTTGGAGATGAATCTGACGTCAGCATTCATCGAGCTGGCCATCACGCTTCTGACCATGTGGAGTAACGACTCGAACAAGATCAAGGAGACTCGTGCAAATGACACCAGTGACGCGCCGTTCCGGATCCGCAATTTGACCGGCCTACCAATCCTGGTCTGGCCGGAAAAACGGGACACCAATGCCCCGGTACACGGCGTCAAGCGCCTAGAGGATGGCGCGGATGTTCAATGGCGATTTGAGGACCGAAGAAGTACCCGAGAGAACATTTCAGCCGCTAGGCACAATGCGCTCGGGGTTCACATCGAGAATGCCTCGTGGGACAAGATCCGCAGCATCTCGGTCGATCGAGCTGGTGAATATCCGCTGGTACTCAAGCCGAAGATTGACAAGATATCCCATCAATTGATGTGTGAGGTCACGTTGGAGAATAATATCAAGGTCATCACCTTCAGATCAACCTTGACTGTCGATAATCAGACCAGTCTTGCCGTTGAAATGGTCATTGTGGACTCGCATGGCAAAGCTTGCAGCGGTGCTCTCAGGATGAACCCTGGACAGAGCTGCCCTCTACCGCTAGAAGCTGTTTATGAGAAGAGGTTCCGGATTCGACCGCTTCGAGGGTTCGGCTTTGATTACAGTTGGTCTATGCCTCTACATTGGAAGCAATTGGTCGCTCGCCCTATCAGACCGATTAGCTGTAAACATCAGACACCAAAAGAGCCCGCTTTCTACTTCCAGGCACAGGCTAATTTCAACGAGAAGGATATCTCTGCGAGGTGAGCGACCGTGGCTATCATTGACTGACCATGTTCAGGTCATATCCTCGCATGAAGCTGGTCTTACGAGCGCCAATTGAGCTAGAGAATCTTCTGCCTTACGATCTCAAATTTAGAATCCACGACAAGAACACCGGCTTGAGTTCTAGCAATTTCTTGGTGAAGGGTGGAACGAGTCCAATTCACACGGTTGAGCTGTCGCATTTGCTTTTGCTCAGTGTCGCGCCGGAAGATACAAGTGAGTCCTTACGGGTCTGGCACGACCTGACCGTACCCAGACTTCAAGCAGAGTGACTACGCTATCATCAACACCGACGATCCCGAGTTGCCGATCGAGCACGAATTCCATCTCACAGATCACCGCGACCTCAAATTAATGCTGAAGCTTCACTACTTCACGTATCCGAGATCCGGCGGGTCGTTCAAGGTACAGGTCTACAGCCCCTTCATTCTCCTCAACAAGACGCGTTTGCCGTTCGACATTGCCGCAAAAACGTGGACTGGGGGACAGAAAGCCTTGGCTGGGAGTGATTTGTTCGCCAATGACCATAACCGCGACACACCGACACCATTCATGGTCGCGTTCCCCAATGAAGATCGCCGTAACAGGCTCTATCTCAAAGTGGACGACTCAAAGTGGTCAAAGCCTCTTTCTTTCGAGCCTGTTGCTGCGGATATGCAGGTAGTCATGCCTGCTTCAACCGGGGAAAGCGAGTACTTCGTCGGAATGTCATACGCCGAAGGTCTTGGAAAGTACAAACTCACCAAGGTCATCACCATCGCACCGAGGTTCATTGTGAAGAATACGTTTTCGTATGCCTTGAAGATCCGACAGTCTAGCACGCAAAACGTGATGAGTCTCAAGCCTGGTGACAGTCTCCCGATCCATCAGTTGCAGAGTCGAGCGCCGATGCAGTTTACCATGGCAGCGGACGATGCTGAGCTGAAGTGGACAGCGCCATTCAGTATCTCTGATATTGGACGGACCAACTTGACCTTGGACAGGGACAGCAGTCGCGGTCAGAAGACCTATCTGATGAGGGTCGAAACGCATATTCAAGGATCGACTGTTTTCCTGTATATCTCGCGCGAGACTGAGCCGTGGCCGTTGAAGCTGAAGAACGAGACCAATCTCCGATTCACTTTCCAACAGACAGTGAGTCAGGCAGCTTGCGAATTGCTGACCGGTAAAGGATGCCGATTCCGCGAAACGAAGCACACCTGTCAGGGATCTGGAGCCTCATGGGGCTGTCGACTATGCTTGGGACTATCCAGATGCGCCTCACAAGCGAATGAGGCTCATGATCGAGGGCAATCCTTTGCCAAAGAATATTGATATGATGGCTATTGGAATCCAGCCACCAGTCAAGATCCCTGTGAGCGCGAAATGTGAATCGTTGCTGATCTCTCAGCGCCGCGAAGGCCAGCGTGCAACAGTCATCTCAATGGACATTCAAGCAGATGGCAGTTCTCAAGTCTTGGTGATTTCGCCTTACAATGAGGACACCAGTGTCTATAAACCGTCACGCCAGGCTCAAGGAGCAATGCGTCGCTCTGACAGCACTGACAGCATTCCTGGCGGATCCTTCGAGACAGTTGCAGTCAACGAGAAGCCAAATTTGACGGTGGTCCTGGAATTCGAAGGGATCGGAATATCAGTCGTGACCAAGAAGTGCGACGAACTCCTGTACTTATCGCTCAGAGGTCTTACTGTCGGCTATTCGGATTATCCGCAATACTATGACGCCTATGTGGACTGCAAGTGGATCCAGATCGACAATCAGCTCTTCGGGGGTCTGTTCCCTATTATCCTGTATCCTACGGTCGTGCCGAAGGACGGCAAGGAATTAGAGTCACATCCAACCCTGCAGACTTCGATAGCAATACTGAAGGATCGATGTGAGTGATGCGTGTCAAGAGAGTCCTGACGGAGTGCAGCCCACGGTGTTATCTTCATCAAATATGCTACAATCCTTCTCCAAGCCATGACCATTGAGCTCGACGAAGATTTCATCTTTGCATTGCTCGAGTTTGTCAAATTTGAGGATGCCTCGTGGAAGGAACCAGCTCCAGAGTATGTCCAGATGCGCTCAACCGTCCACCTGCTCACTCAACCTACAGCGTGCTCATCGAACATCCCAAGGAAATTCCTGAGCCGGACATTGCCAATGCAGCGGCAGACATCTTCTTTGAAGCCTTGCAGCTTCAACCGATGTCCCTTGAGCTGTCATTCATGAGAACAGATCGTGTCAATGTCGACGAAAAGTGAGCCGAGAGCCAATTCGATCTCCAAGCTGATTCGTTCACTCACTGCCTTAGGGTGTCCACACGAAATCCATTTTACTTCGCTCTCAATGCCTTGACTATGACCCTCGGAAATGTGAACGCCGCACCGGTCAACTTCAGGGCGCTGTTCTTGGAAAACTCTCGTCTGAGTATCCCGTCTCTTCGCGAACGAGTCCAGCTTCACTATCAAGAGCAATTTATGGCTCAGCTATACCGCGTGTTGGGCTCTGCAGACTTCTTGGGCAACCCGGTCGGACTCTTCAATAATATCAGTTCTGGATTCTCAGACATATTCTACGAGCCGTATCAAGGCATGGTCATGCACGGCAACAAAGACATTGGTTTAGGTATCGCCAGGGTGAGTTGAATCAGGTGGGGACACAGGCTAATCTTACCAGGGCGCAACAAGCTTTGCGAAGAAGACTGTATTTGGTATCACGGACAGTATGACAAAGTTCACTAGCAGTTTGGGCAAGGGTCTCTCTGCCGCTACTCTCGACACGGAATATCAAAACAAGAGAAGAATGACACAGCGAAGAAATAAGCCAAAGCATGCCTTGTGAGTCAATGGCGATCCAAAGTCTCTGACATCTTCCAAGGTATGGCGTGGCTGCCGGTGCCAGCGCATTTGCGGATAGTGTGACGAGCGCTTTCGAGGGCGTTGCCTCCAAGCCGATGGAAGGTGCTGAGAAAGATGGAGCGGCTGGTTTTGCGAAAGGTGTAGGCAAAGGCTTTGTTGGTCTCTTCACAAAGCCTGCGGTCGGCGTGATGGACTTTTTGTCAGCCTCGACAGAAGGTATCAGAAATACCACAACGGTCTTTGATCAAGCGGATCTTGATCGTGTGAGGCTTCCACGGCACATAGCATCGGACGGAGTTTTACGGGTGAGTCAGTTGTGAGGGATGCGACTGATCATGACAGCCGTATAACCCACGAGAGGCTTTGGGGCAGTCTTGGCTCAAGGAGCTTGATGCAGGAGCTTACTTCAGCGAGTCATATGTCGCCCATCTGGGTAAGTGGATCTGATATACTATGATTTGAGACTCACGACGAGGTCTCAGACATTCCGGGAGATGATGCCGTTGCCATCTTGTCCAACAATCGCCTGCTATATGTTCAGCTCCGCAAGCTGAGAGTCATCTGGCAGGTGCCATTTGAAGATGTTCAATCGTTGTCGCTCGAACAATCTGGCATCGTTATCACCTTGAGAGGAGGGACGCCCGGACCATTCTTACCGGTATCGGAACAAAGTGGCAGAGAATGGTTCTTCAAGCAGATTGGAAAGTGAGTGAAGTTACCCCATCACACGACTTACCCGACTTCCCAGGGTGGTCATATCGTATAACAAGCTGCACGCGCAGCGTGATGATTAGATTGGGAAGTGAGCCGTGGAAAAACACCCGTCTGTAGCAATAATACGTATCTTCAAAAGACTCGTCCTCGTCAATATCTTGGGCTGCACCTAATCGTATTCCTTTCGGATCCAAAAATGCATGGTAGACTAAATGTACATCATCACATGTAGAGAAACATCTCCGAGTTCTAGTGACGCGAACCCTATCCTAAACGGCTCAAAGGAGTAGCACAACAATTTGGTATATCATCATAGCGTGAGGTGTCTGGCACCCCCGTTCTTGCGAGTTCACCTAGTCTCCGGACGCAGACCATGAGATAACAGCTGCATCGATAACGCGTCGTTGGCGGTCTGAGTCGTAATAGCTCGAGCGATCGCGACGGTCAGTTCTGCTCGTTTGACTAGCACGCGATGTCAGCCGCATGATGCTCCTTCTCGGTCCCAATCGACAATTTCACTCACTTGGCTTTGGCACGTATTCGTCAAATCCAGCTTTGAGACATCTCTCCTTATCTCCAATCATGGCGTGTGCAGTCAACGCAATAATTGGGACGTGAGGTTTATTCTCCTTCGCCTCGTATTCTCTGATCCTCCCTGTCGCCTCCATGCCCCCCATGACAGGCATGGAGACGTCCATGAGAATCACATCGAATGGATTCCCATTCTCCAATCGTTGCTTGTACTTGTTAATGGCAATCTCTCCATTGTCCGCCACTTCAATCTTGTGACCGACAACTTCGAGCAACTTGACTGCGAGTTTCTGGTTGACCAAGTTGTCTTCTGCAAGCAAGATGCTCAACACGACTCCAGGTACATTGTCCCCGGGTTGAGATTGGTGAAGTTCCAACGGCGGTCCCATGGCATTCGCAAGCTCTTGTAGTGTCAACGGAGTGGTGTAATACGTGTTGATACCCATTTCCAAGCAATCCTTGACGGATATAGGAGGCAGCATTTGCTCTTCCGTCGATGGTAATGCCAGCAATCGTCGCTCGGACTCTGTGAGGTCCAGGAACGTCGGATTATCAGGTCCAGGAGGCTTATTGGAAGGGATGAGCAGGACGATGGGGATGAATCGCAAGTGTTCAACAGATCTCAGTCTCTCCGCCGCCTGTAGCGAATCCACGATCATGGTGTCGTAAGAAGGGAAGTCGTTGTTGCCTCGTATCTCTTGCTCGGAGAGCTCTTTGATGGTGTGCGCAACGGTCACCTTGAATCCGAGTCGTCGAAGCAGATCTGCCACTCCAGTCTCGTCGTACAGCGTATCGATGAGGAGGATATGCCGACCGGCCCACTTTGGCAGACTGGCCAGAACTGCAGCGTCATGAGGTGAGGCAGTCATTTCCGCCACGGTCGTAAAGTAGAATCGAGACCCTTGTCCATACTGCGACTCGACCCACAGATTCCCTTGCATAAGACTAACCAATCGTTTGGAAATGGTCAATCCGAGACCTGTTCCTCCGTATTTTCGTGTAGTCGATCCATCAGCTTGAGCAAAGGTATCAAAGATGACATCCAATTTATCTTGCTTGATACCGATACCAGTATCGGCAACGCAGAACATGAGCTCGATCGCATCCGGCATGATCCGCTTGACTCGGCAAGACAGAGCAACAAAGCCTTTGGTGGTGAACTTGACGGCATTTCCAATGAGGTTCGTAATGACCTGTCGTAGACGCAAAGGATCACCGATAAGCTGATCAGGAATGGTCGGATCAATGTCAAAGATCAAGTCGAGCTTGTTCTGAGACGCCTTGACACAGAGAGTCTTGGCAACGGAGAAGACAGCCACCCGGAGCGAGAAAGGAATCTGCTCCATGGTCATACGACCCGCCTCGACTGTATGTTAGCCCGGGTAGTACGGCAGACGACTCACTCTTTGAAATATCCAGAATGTCATCGATAATAGTCAAAAGTGATGTTGCCAAACTCGATACAATCATCAAGTTTTCTCTTTGTTGACGGGTCAATTCCGATTCCAAGGTGAGCAAGGTCATTCCGATGATACCGTTCATGGGAGTTCTGATAATCAGTAAGGACTCGGCTTCAGTATTCACCTGATCTCGTGAGACATATTTGCCAAGAATTCGGATTTACTCCTGTTGGCCAACTCGGCTTGTTGACGAGCGCTTGTATTCTTCTCGATGGATTCACGTAGATTGTACACCATTTGGTTGATCTTGGTCTTCAGACTGTCCATTTCTCCAGATGCCTCGACGGTGATGAAGCGAGTGAAATCTCCGTCAGTAGCGGCTGCGGAAATTTGTGCGAAGGCTCGGACTTGGGAGGTCAGATTTGTGGCCATGGTGTTGACGTTGAATCTGGAAAGATCAGTATGGCCCCGCAAGCTAGACCTACGTGATCTCCTGCCATGTCCCTTCAATGTTCTCAACTTCTGCTTGCACTCCGAGCTTTCCTTCAGTTCCTACTTCTCGCGCCACACGCGTTACTTCTGCAGCAAAGATGGCCAGCTGATCGATCATATTGTTGATGGTGTTGACTAGATCCAAAATTTCTCCAGACACTTTGACACCGACGACCTTTTGGGTCAGATCTCCTCGTGCCACGGCAGTCGTGGCGTGGGCAATAGTTCGCACTTGCTCTGTCAAGTTGGCAGCCATAATGTTGACTCGGTCCGTCAAATCCTTCCAGGTTCCAGCAACTCCAGGTACTCGAGCCTGACCACCCAGTCGACCCTCAGTGCCGACTTCTCTAGCCACACGCGTGACTTCAGCTGCAAATCGTCCTAGCGAGTCGATCATGTTGTTGACCGTGTCCTTGAGCTCTGCAATTTCTCCAAATGCCTCGACGTGGATCTTCTTGCTCAAATCGCCTTCTGCGACAGCGGTGGTGACTTCGGCCAAACTTCGTACTTGGGTCGTCAAGTTTAATGCCATCAAGTTTACATTCTCCGTCAAGACTTTCCAAGTGCCCTCAACATTGGGTACCAAGGCTTGTCCACCCAACCGACCCTGAGTTCCGACTTCAAGAGACACACGGGTGACTTCAGCGGCGAAAACCGTTAATTGGGCAACCATATCGTTCACCGTCATCTTCAAGTCGAGGATTTCTCCTTGGACATCTGCGTTGACCGTTTTCGTGAGGTCTCCACGAGCGACTGATTTGGTGACTTCGGCAATTTCTCGTACTTGTTCCGTCAAGTTTCTGGCCATCTTATTCACGTTGGTGGTGAGGTCATCCCATACGCCCTCAACTCCCTCGACAACGGCTTGACCACCTAGAATACCCTGGGTTCCGACTTCCAGCGCCACTCGCGTAACTTCGTTGGCGAACGTCGTGAGCTGCCTGATCATAGAGTTGACAGTCTGTCTTTAGCAACCGGTGTTTTAGACGGCGCTCACATTCTTTAGCACAGCCATTTCACCTTCGGCCTCAATTTCAATCATCTTACTCAAGTCACCCTGAATTGTAAGCTCGACCTTTTGAAATCTCGTACCTTTGCCACGGCTGTTGTGACACTACCAATGGATCGCACTTGGGTTGTCAGAGATTCACACATTCGATTGACCTGGAATTCAGAGTAATTCTTGCCGTATGACTCACATTGACAGTGAGATCTTTCCATACGCCTTCGACATCAGGTACATTGGCTTGACCACCCAGCTTTCCTTGTGAACCGACTTCCAGGGAGACACGAGAGACTTCGTCTGCGAGAGTACGAAGAGACACCACCTAACATGAGCGGAGTGTCTTACGAATTGCTCACCATTCCGTTAACAGTTGTTTTCAGTTCTGCAATCTCTCCTCTAGCCTCTACATCAATAGTCTCACTCAGGTCACCTTTGGCGACGGCCTACTCATGAGCCCAAATGACATTTGTCACACTCACAGTAGTGACTTTGGCGATACTTCTGACTTGGCTGGTCAAATTGGCGGCCAGCTTGTTCACTACCGCTGTCAAATCTCGCCAGGTACCTTCTACACCCTCGACAACGGCTTGACCTCCGAGTTTGCCTTCCGTTCCTACTTCCAGCGAGACCCGTTCGACTTCGACAGCAAACGTCTTTAGACGATCCACCATGGAATTGATGATATCCTTCAATTCTGTCATGGCTTGACCTTCGACAGGCACGATAATTTTCTGAGTCAGGTCTCCCGTCGCGACAGCCTTACAGACCCTGGCGATATCCTGGACTTGAGCTTTAAGCAATTCAAGCTCCTTCTCCGCTGTCATTCCGCTTTCACCAGCCCAGCCGGCGGCACCTGGCCCACCGGTGAGAACACTGGCTCCATTTGATGTGGTGAGGATACTGTGGCCATTGCCTTTGGGCAGTGAGCGGCTGAGCTGGGTCGGGGGAGTCGATAGGGATGCTGAGAGGGGATGAGAGGCAAAGGATGACACCGCCGGGACGGATTGTGATGATACGACGCTGTCGACGGGGCGTGTGCATGTAGGGCATTTCGAGCCTGTGATTACCGCTTGCCCAGGAGATGTCATGGGGACATCGTTGGACCAATCAGGAGTTGGCAGAGGCAACTGAGCGGATGGAAATCCTTGATGACCATTAGACTTTTCCGCGTTCCAAAGACGGTTCCCAATGGCGATGACGGCGCGTTCTATAGCCTCCTGGGCTTGAGTCTTCTCTCCTTTGAACCGCATGAGCGGAGATTCCGCAGGCTTTTGCTCTGCTGGGAAAGGGTATGAAGGAGATGGCTGATGGGATATGGTAGTGAGGAGCGATAAGAGGTGAGATTCGTAAGGGCTAGCACCGGGGACTGAGAATGGGTCGTTGAGCCCAGAGCCCATAGACATGACGGCTGCCATCCCGAGAGATAGAGACTCCACACCCGATGAAGCTGAAGATAAGGAGCGAGATACGGTCGAATAGGTGGTACTGTCGTCGGTTGAAGAATCGGAAAAATTGCGTGCAACTGGGAGAGTCGAGGTGTCAGTAAAGCTTTTGTCTCGCATGGTTCACAGAAGCTTAAAGGAGTGAGGAAGTGTTGAGAGAGACGGGATATGATGTAGGATTGGAGAGACTAGAAGGGGACGTGGCGTGTCCTCGAACGCCAGGCAATAATAGGATGGGAATTGAAGGGGTCCTGTGTGGTGATGGTCCACCGCCCCCCCAGGGGTCAGCTGACCAAGATGGCCCAGAAACGGTGGTGTTGACAGAATGGGTCTACGGAATGGAGATCGATCGACAAGACACAGGACCGAACCATGTGATTTGACTGCAGGCGTAGTATTGAATGCTGAGGCGCATAGGAGAGAGTGGGTGTGGAACGGAAGGCCTCACAGACTCACCAAAAAGGCCTCAAGAGTCAGCAGGTCTATGGCTAAAATTTCAAGCAGCCATGAAGCACCCGCGCCGCCTCGGAAGTCGCAGTCGTTGTCTTTCTAGTCGTCGACCGAGAGCGTCGTGTATGTCCGATGTCTATAAGATGGTGCAATTTCGACGAGAGAGTGGGAGGATGAGATTGTGAATGAAAGGTCAAAGGGTGGATGGAAGAAGCGATGCTGCATTCCTCCCCCCCTGGGGTCCCTTTTTTTCTTCTCCTGGGCCTTCCTCTTATATTCAGTGAATAAGCCAGATAACACCACAGGAACTGATGGACAAGGTGCTGAAAGCGCGCAGCTCAACGATGATGCGACAGAGACTGAGAATGAGATCGAGTCCAGTCCACTTGTCAGTCCCGGCAATTCGCTTTCTTCCCGCACTACTACAAAGTCGCATATCTTTTGACGCCGCGCGACGCCTCATCGCCTCTAGGGGAATTCATGCTTAAAATCGACGACAAGTGGGCTATCTATTCTATCCCAGGCAATAGATGAAGTATCGCCTCGACACAGAGCAAGCACAGGGCGAGATTCTGTCGTGGCATAGGCAAGCTGCGACGTGCGGGCACATGCTTTGCTCTTCCATGTCAATGTCTGGTCCTTGATCATCTCTGTATAGGACCTGACGCACAATGGTGAACTCAAACCACGTGGTCCGATGATTCATTTCGGATCCGAACTTTGAGCCAGTACCGCGTATCGACGATCGAGAGTATCTGATCCATGTTGGCATTGACACTTCTTGGACATCATCGCAGAAGCATAGATGTTGCGCCAGTCATTTGACGATTTTCTAGACTTTGGAGGTCCCTCCAGATCTCGTGGAAGAGGAAGAGGTCGGGGAAGAGGTGGAGGTGGAGCCGGGCCAGGAAGTTTCCGAGGCCGTGGTCAGACTGTTGGGAATCGAGGCGGTCGAGGTGGGCTTGGGCTAGCACCGCCTGGAGCAGGTACAGGTGGACGATCTTTCAAATCAGACTATTCAGACGTTCATTTTGATTACACGACTATCAACAAACAAGGATACACCAAATTAGACGGTGAGAGACGAGTCGCGAACCATGCTGACAGCGCATTCAGCATACACCGTCGCTCCGTTTGGGAATACTTCGACGGATCCCAGTCACACCCCAAGGAATAGATACAAGGGGAAAAACAAAGCCTTTGACTCAAACTTGAATGATGACAAAAATACCCCGTCTGGCTCTACAACTCCAGTCACTGGGCTAGGGTATCACGGCAGAGGTCATACGTTTCCCTCCAGTCGTGGATTCGCGCCTGATCGAGCTGGTATCGGAGGTGGCGGCAGACGAGAGAAGCATCGCTCAGGGGATACCGTCGGGAAAATTGGAGTCAGCTGGGGTGGTGGCTCAGCTCCAATCTTCGTCAAAGCAGGTGAATTGTTTAAAGATGGTGAAGTGGATGTCGTTACGGTGGAGCAGGGTGAGTCACGGACGATGATGACTCCGAACGGGACTGATGAAGACAGGAGATCTTCAAATCGACGTCATGCCTATGAGCGATCCCTCAGCTACGCAGCTGACTGTATTACAAGACGAGATCGAGTTCGAGGTCACTCAAGGTCGGCGCACTTTCGGTCGGATACAGGCAAAAACGCCGATACAGTCAGATCGCTCAACCCCAGAGCAGGCTCATTCTGAACCTCCTGTACCAGATATACAGTTCGTACGAGCTGCGCCATCTGTCGATGTTCCTGCAGTCCCAGTCGATCCGCCTCTGTCGAAACTTGCCGATAGCCAAGTCAATCGACATCTGTTCAGCGTGAACTCTGGCGATTCTGCGACCGAAGTAGTCGACTTTGCATCTTTCTTCATTGACACAGAGCCATCTGCTATATCCGAGAAGCCTTTATACCAGCCTACCCCTCTCCCAGCGCTGAGGAGAAAGCCAACCGAACCAGCGGAAGAAGAGAACATTGTCTTTGTACCAAAGAGCCATTCAAAACCTGAGCCTGTCTTGGTCGAGGAGAGTGTCTTTCCTTCCCAGGCAGCTGCTGCCGGGCAACACGTGTCGCGTGCTCTCGTCAACCCACATGCGCTGTCCCGACGAGAAAAGAAGGCTCAGAAGAAGGACAAACGAGGTCGTGTCAAAGGCAAGGGAAAGAAGAAGAATAAACAGGTCACGATTCAAGAAGGATCCGACATTGATTGGGGAAGCGATGGGCCGCCCGTCGATGTCGTGAGCGTTGATGGGGATGTTGAGGGAAAAGGCGAAGAGGATATGGAGCTCTTGCGTGATTATCTTGCCGGGACATTGTTGAACGCCCAAGACTCCAGCGAAGAAGAAGATGGGTATAGCGGGCAAGAAGCCGAAGAACCTGGAGATGCTGGAGATGGAGCAGCCGATACAGGAGATGGTGATATCGAAGATCTGTCCTCCGGAGAGGAGGACAACCCGTCCCTGGAAGATGGAAATTCTTGGGCGGTTGGATTCGAGACGGAAAGCGAGTCATCAGACTCCTCTTCGGAGCTGGCTGGACCCAGTAGAGTTCCTCAGAACAATCCCTACGATGAGGGGTCTGAGGATGAGGATGAAGATGACATTGATGCGATGTTCAACGGCAGAGATTCATGGAACGAGGCGGATTGGTTCATACAGAATATGGAAGCTGCTTTGGACGGCAGAACTCTAGCCAAGGGCAAGGCGGCGAGATCTATCTTCAACTCCGTCGAGAATGGAGACTTTGGTGACGAGTGGGACCTCAGTGAGGCTAATGGAGCGGGCTATGCTGACTTTCCAGATCCCGTCCGCAAAGGCAAGAAGAATCAAAGGAGTCTCATTCCTCCTGAACTTCAGGGCCAGTGGGAGAGCGATCGTCAGCGAAAAGCTGAGAAGAAGCGTCAACGCGAGCTTGAAAGACTGGTTGCTCAAATCGAGCCAACGGCTTTGCGTAAAGGCAAGGGCAAGCTCAAGGGTAACACCAAAGCAGAGCGTGCCAACCTGTCTCGACTCTCGGCCTCAGAAGTCGCCGACATGTTTGATCATCCCGTTCGAGATGGAAGTGATCCAGTTGGGAGAATGATGAGCTCTCTGCTGTCAGGCGGGTCCTTGGAAGTCGTCAATCAGGGCATTCTCCGACTTCTATCGAGTCCCGGTCGCTCGACGTATAGTACTGCTCCAATGAGCAAGGAGGGGCGCATCAAGGTCCACATGCTGGCTGAGTGTTACGGCTTGAAGAGCAAGTCGAAGGGCAAGGGTCATGAACGGTTTACGTGGGTCAAGCAAGTGGCACATCATCGCTAATGTGTCTAGGATCCTCGTCAAGACAGACCGATCCGGCGTAAATGTTGATCAAGTCAAGATTGATAGACTGATTTCTGCGTCCGGTCAATCCGGAGGCAAGTTCTACAAAGCCCTTTACTCGAAATACAGTGGCGGAGCCAAGAAACGAGGACCAGGAGATCGCGGTACTTCAGCTCGCATGCGAGACGGAGAGACTGTAGGGGAAGGAGCCGATAGGATCGGTATGGAGAATGTCGGCCACAAATTGTTGAGTCGGATGGGATGGGCCGAAGGTGATAGGATAGGGAGGACAGAAGGTGGATTGGATAATCCGTGAGTCGATCACGTCTGTGCTCTGAGGTTTGTCTGACTTGATTCATACAGAATCATGGCCATTGTCAAGAATACCAAGAGTGGTCTTGGAGCATAAGTGGCTCCTATCGAGAGATAATATCGGTGATTGCACGTTGAGTAGTCTCTTGAAGCCTAGAATAGCATGACATCGACGATGATGGCAACCCTGTCTAATCCCCATTGGTACATGAAACACATGGGCATATCCACCGGGATTCCTCCGGTAGATTCGGGTCGGGCACACCAGACCCTCAAAGGTCTAGGCACACGACGTACAGGTCGAAAGGGTGCTGCATCTGCATACAATCCGCTGCTCGTCTAGCTTCTGAGAGGGATCACAACCCTTTGGGATCATTGTCTTCACCCAGAAAGCTTCCAGACCCCCCTCCTCCGGTCGACTCTTTCGCCACCCATCTCAGAACTCCGTAAATAGAATTTGAATTAGGCAACGGTCTTGGGAAGATTACCTGAATTGTCTTGCAACTCGAGTCATCACACGGCCATATGCAATGGCCCAGTCCTTGCCTGAAGATTCGTTCCCAACACCCCGATCGGACTCTGCTCCAGATTCGACTTCGGCCATTAGCCCGATCCAGCTGACAGCATACCATGGACCGGTAACGGATCAAGCTGAAGGATCCGGGTCGAGTCAAGCGGGACAGAGCAATCAACATCATGGCAAGGGTGGACACGTGAGATCTGCTACTGCCTCTTCGGATGAGGAGGATTCAGAGGAACAACAAGGTTCTGGACCAAAGAAGAAGCATAGGATTACTCTACCTCGTGGGAGAGCGTGTGTTGCTTGCAGGTGGGTCAGGCGCTCGTCTTACCGGGATGACTCTTGACTGACGCCTCCCCTCAGAACTCGGAAACTGCAAGTTGCTTTCTACCCCTTCGATTGCTGACATATCTTAGACGATGCACAGGGACCAATCCTTGTGGAATCTGTGAAAAAAATGGGATTCACTGTCGATACGAAGAGATTCAACGACGCAAGCCTCGAGCTGTCATGCTGGAGGAACGAGTTGGTGAGTGAATGATCTAGCTCTACAATCTCCCAACCTCCTAATTCGAGGTCTCAGCCCAGCTCGAAGGGATGCTTTTGGCGCGAGGAGAGACTTTACCGCCGACAAAGTTGAAACGTAAAATCTCCATCACCAACGTCGAGCCATCAATCCCACCCGAACCTACTTCTCTCACACCAGTGGGAGACGACAATCGTACATCTATATCTCAAGAAGCACCACGTACACCTCCTTCATCGACTGGACAACGCGGTTCAGATTCAGCTTCGGCCTCGGACCCGCCTTTGCCCATCGAGATTCCTCCACATTCTCCCTTGGAACAGACCCTCATCAATGTCGTACTCCCACATACACCGTATCTACTGATGCCTGTACACCCCCAACGGTTCTTGGCTCTTTTGTCTTTACCTGCGAGCGATCCTGGACGCCCTCATCCAGCACTCCTGTACATCATGTTTGCAGATGCCGTCAGGATCCTCGAGACGGATACTCCAACCAAACCGCTCCCTCCTCCACCGCGCTCCATCTTCCCCACTACTTATACACCACCTATGCCACCGTACAATCCCAACGACAAGTGGGTCCTGCAACATGTAACCGGCATGTCAGAGACATTTCTGGAACGAGCTCGAGTGGAATTGGATCGAGGGATGCGCAATGTTGATCGTCTATTTGATCTCTGCCGAGCCACAGTTGGCATCGCTCGACATCTCATATCGCTTGGTCGATTTATCGAAGGATACACCATCCCAGTCTCGAGATTGCTCATATCCTGCGGACTGCATCGGCAAACCGGGGTTATCGTTCCTCCTGATGGCATGACATCTGCACCTGGTGATCCTATGCCTAGACCGTATAGTTCGCCATATCATTACCGACAATCCTACGCATTTACAGAAACATCGTCCGGACACCCAGTACTACGGATGAGACCCGTAGTCTTGCCACCTCCCAGAGACGAGATCGAACTCGCTGAGCGAGTCATGACGTTCTGGGCGGTTAAATACCAGGAATGGGAAATGTCCATAGGCTGGGGTTGGTCCTTGAGCTTGGCGGATGAAGAATGTACGACAATGTGGCCTTGGGGATGGGGAAGCGCAGAGGTGAGTGAGATAATAAAATTACGAGGGCTTATCTCAACGCCAGATTCGTCCACCTGCTTGGGGTCCATATGGTATTGCGGACCTTTACGACCCGCACAGTCCGATGCACTCGTCCCCCGTCCCTGATACAACATTCACACTTGCTGTCAAATCCGTCGGTCTGCTCCAGCGAGCCAATCAGTGAGTATATCGTGTGTCAAGTGATACTCCCCGCTGACCCCTTTCAAAGTCTCTTCGACCTCCCCATCTCCAATCATGTCGATCCCCGAACGCGTCGCCCGAGCCATGTGCCCCCTCTCTCAGCTGTTCAGCAAGTCGCCACTGCACTTCAATTGTTCCGAGAACGTATCCCGATCCCCTTCCGCGATTTTGTCCCGAGTTATGCCATGGATCCATCAGAGGTGTATGATGGGCCCCAAGACCCATGGTGGGTGGCAATGCACGCGAATCTTCTCTTGGCGGAAATCATGATGTGGAAAGAGATGGCGCATCATAAGCGATCAGCATACGATCAAGCTGTCAGTTGTGCTCGTGCCATGGTCACGTTGGTCAAGAGATTGCGCCCTGAGAGTTATGTCCATATGCGTGAGTCGCTTGGGAGGTCTTAGTGCCGCATTGACATATTCCCCAATCAGCGCTCGTTGTATCTCTCGACATCTCCCTGGCGGCTCGGTTCTTGAACAAGGAGTCATCTCGACTCTCATCCCTTGGCCATCCTCAACCCGCTGCGGAAGCTGCTCAAGAAGCTGAATATCTCCGCTCAACCCTTGCCAATGATATGGCCAAATGGGTCCCTATGGCCAGTCTACACGCCATGATCGTTCAGCGAGTCAAAGAAGGCTGGCCAGAGAAGGAAGGAGAGTATGAGAGGGTGTAATAATAATAAAATCCTTCGTGCATACATTTCATCCGAGCTGGCCGGAATTGTCCCGACAAAACGTAAGCCGATGACGATCATTGATTGATTGATTGATTATTCTCGATCGCGCGGCTGTCGCCCAATCATCGCGTAGATATTTGTTAGTTCTCCATTCAGCTATCATCTTTTACAGGCAACTCCCCCTCAAAGTCTATGCTTTGGAGGATATCGCGTGGACTGACGGCCAATAGAATCCAGACAGCTATACCCCGATCCCTGTTCTCTCACCAAGTGATACCGTATCGTTTCGCGAACATGTCCTCGCAATCTAGTGACGTCAAAGAGATTGAAGTGCTCGATGAGAGTGAACTGAAGGATGGTCAGCAGTGAGCGAAACCCATGAAAGGAAAGAGTCCCGGCCCGCTTGCTCACATGCTATCACAGCAAAGCCGTTGACTTTGGCGATGACAAGGTCTTGTTGAGCAAGATCAAGGGCAAGATTTACGCTACTTCAGCTTTCTGCACTCACGTACGTCATGAATTGCCTTGCCTGCTTTTGAGGGACATGCTGATGTGTCTGGACAGTATGGTGCTCCCTTGGAGAGTGAGCTGCTGAACTTGGGATCCCTCATACAGATGTCACTGACACCGACCTAGAGGGCGTCCTGTCTGAGGATGGCAGAGTAGTCTGTCCGTGGCACGGAGGTAAGACACATATTTGCCAATGTTCGTATGGCCAGATGCTGACACACGTTATCCGCAGCCTGCTTCAACGTCTGTACCGGAGACATTGAGGACGCTCCTGGACTCGACTCCCTTTGGTCATTCAATGCGACGGTCAAGAATGGCAAGATTGTCGTTCAGGCCTCTGAAAAGGAAGTCAAATCGAAAGTCGGTCGAGTCGCTGCGAAGATCAAGAGCAAACCACAGGACAAGGAGACTGTGGTCATTGTTGGAGGTGGATCAGGAGCAATCCATACCATTGAAAGTCTGAGAATGGTGTGTTGGCTTTGTCTGGATCTGTCACTGACCACGTAGAACGGATTCAAAGGGCAGATTGTCACAATCTCTGAAGAAGACTACGCCCCTATCGATAGGTGAGCCACGTCCTGGTCTTGAATCGGGTGTACTGATATCTGCAGGACGAAGATGTCCAAGGGTCTCGCGGACGATGCCAGCAAGATCCAATGGAGAAGTCTCGACGACCTTAAGAACGAACTCGGCGTGGATTTCCACAAGGGCACTGTAAGCCAAACAGGAAAAAGCCACCTTGTACAACTTGCATACATTGACTCGTCCTTCTATAGTCCGTCACCAAAGTTGACCCCTCTGCCAAGACAGTCACCACGTCTTCGGGCTCAACGATCAAATACGACCACCTTGTCCTTGCTCCTGGAGGCAAGCCCAAGAAGATTCCCATCCCAGGAAACGACCTGGAGGGCGTTCAGACACTTCGATTTGTCCAAGATACCAAGGCAATCACTTCGGCCATCACAAAGGACTCCGAGGTCGTAATCATTGGGACCAGCTTCATCGGTATGGAAGTCTCAGCCGCCATCCTGAAGAAGGAGCCGAAGAGCGTCACTTTGGTTGGTGTCGACGAGATTCCCTTCGAAGCGATCCTTGGCAAAGAGATTGGTACTGCCATCATGGAGGTGAGTTGATACCGTCATCGGCCATATTTTGACGCTTCACAGAATATGAAAGAGCAAGGCATCAAGTTCCACATGAAAGCGGGAGTAGAGAAGATTCTGCCTGCTGGTAAGGCTGCTCCAAGACATAGCATGACGGATGCTGACGAGCGATTGTCCATCACAGAGTCCAACTCGTCACACTGCGGCGCCGTTCAACTCAAAGGACAGGACCCTCTGCCCGCCAATCTCGTCATTATGGGAACTGGTGTAGCACCAGCGACTGGCTTCCTGAAGGACTCTGGTTTCAACTTGGAGAAAGATGGAGGTGTCGCCGTCGATGAAAATCTCCGAGTTAAAGGCCACGAGAACATTTTTGCCATCGGAGATATTGCTCATTACGCTCAATACCCTGCCAAGCAACAGAGACGTGTGGAGCATTGGAACGTCGCTGGTAATCAGGTGAGTAGCGCAAGGAGTCACTAGTGGGAATTGGCCGGCTGACTTCACGAATAGGGTCGATTCGCAGCTCACAACATTGTCAAACCGAATGAGCAATTGGTGTATGACAAAGTGCCCATCTTCTGGTCCAGTGTCGGCAAAGGTTTGAGATACGTGGGAACAGGGGAAGGCTTCGACGACTCGTACACGGATGGCAACGTCAAAGAGCTCAAGGTGAGTCATCTGTGATATCAGAAGCTGGTCAATGCTGATGCGCATCTAGTTCGCTACCTACCAGGCTAAAAACGGCAAGATCACTGCCGTCGCTTCGATGCAGAAAGATCCCATTGTCGCGAAAGCCAGTGAATTGATGAGACTAAACCTCATGCCGTCGCTGGATGAGATCAAGAATGGCAAGGTGAGTCGAGGCCGAGCACCTTGCACGAGGCTGACCTTTGCAGAATATCCTCGACATCGAGTTGACTGCTGCTTGAGAAGGGCAAAGGCATCCGAAAAGCATCGAACAGGTATTCTCCAGAGGCATGCATTCTATCTGACTTCATGCCACTAAAGATCGACCTCCTTTTTTTCTACCTTCTACGACTTTCTGAGTATTGACAGAAGCCTAGAAGCCCAAGCCACGCAGAACATGTGTGTTGATGTACCACAAGCTTGAGACCCACTGCTTCGCGGCTGTGATTGGTGATCTCGAGCTTCCGATCCTAGCACCGCCCCGAGAAGCAGCAGCATCATACAGAGCTTGAATGTCTCTCTGCCACTGTGCCGGATCGTAACGCTTGAGTCTTCGGTCGCTGATCGCGTGTTGTTTAGTTATGGTTCAGAAATAAAAAGGAAAACAAGATAAAGCTACTTACTAGGTGATGAGACCGTTCATCTCTCCTTCGACGTCTGTGGTTTGGGTATAAACACCTCCGGAACAAGAGTATCGCTGGATCTGATCACGGAGAGCGTCAAGGATTTCGTGCTGGGTACAAATTTCGTCAGCCGCGAACCTGGATTGCCGTCTCGACCCGACTTACAGCTCGCTCATTCCAAACTTCGATGGTCTCGTCAATCTCGTAGGTCATGTTGATATTTGCGAAACTCTTTGGAACATTCCAGATGCTGCAAGCCGTCAATCATGTACCGGACTTTGGTCTTCAAGCTCTACGGGCACTACTCACTGTTCCATCGAAGTGTTGGTTGAAACACCACCAAATTCACCTTGGAATCCGATCCGCTTAGGATCATAAGGGCTCGAAGGGATCGAGTAAAAGGGAGTACCGCATTGAGGCATAGAGTACTGTATGAGGCGCATGCATATTAGTCAAGCTGTTCAGAGAAAGTCTTAGTGCAACTCACATGGTGATTGTCGTGATAGTCCCCGTATCCCGAATCGTGCCATCCTGTGACTGCGTTGATGAGTCTGGTAGGATCTAGTTCCCTAACAATGGGGACAAGTTTCGATTCTGGAGCATTGGGTCGTTGACCCCATCCTTCATTGTAGATGACCCAAGTGTAGATCGATGGGAAGGATTTGTGCGTTTCCACGAGCTTGACAAGCTGACGAGTGAATTCTTCTTGCTCTGAGGAACAGGTAAGCATAGACGATATCATGCTCCAGCACATCACGCACCACTCTCTGAGGGGATCTTGTTTATGTTTGGTCGCATCGATGGCATGTCTTGCATGACTAATAACCCCATCTCGTCACATGCTCGATAAAACAGGTCCGGTTCGACTTTGATGTGCTTCCTGACCATGTTAAATCCAAGTTCTTTGAGGACTTGGAGGTCGTAGACCATGGCCTCGCGGTTGGGAGGTGTCAACAATCCATCAGGCCAGTATCCTTGGCTAAAAGGAAGGTTAGGTATGGGGTGTTGATCCGCCACCGACAACTCACTCAAGAGGTCCGAAGGCGAGGTAGAATTCTCCATTTAGCAATGGTCGAACGACGCCTTCAACCTCGCCCTTTTCAATGGTTCGGAAACCAGTGTATGATTTGACCTCATCATCTCCGAACTTGACCTTGATGTCATAAAGGTGAGGGTGCTCAGGAGACCACAAGTCGGGGTTCCCGACCCTGACAACAAAGTCTTCATCAGACGTGCCGGAGCCAGAAGCGACGATGTTGTTAGAGGGGTCATAGACGTGGACGTGGACAGGGGCAGATTTGCCGTTGGACGAGTGGGCTTTGATGGTCACTGAGAATGCCATGTTTAGCATGTTTGTCTGCGTCATGGGCGCCGAGTCGCCTCACATTTTCCGTGCATGTCTCCGCTGACATCAAGTTGAGCAATGTGAGCCTTGGGCACGGGCTCGATGAATACTGATCCCCAGATTCCAGAACAAGGGGTGTAGAAGATGTGATCCGGTCGAAGCGTCTGCTTTCCGACTGCGTGACGAGGTTCATACATCAGTGTGCTATGCCACAAGAGGCATTGCCGACAACAACGCCACACTCACCAGAGATGACAATCTCGTCAGAATCAGTTGGGTCATAGACAAAGACAGCGAGCTCGTTCTGGCCATGTTTCTTCAAGTGCTTAGTGATGTCGATGGAGAATCGAGTCCATCCTCCACGATGAAAGCCTGCTTCTTTGCCCTGACATCAAAAGGTCAAATCTCGACTCAGAGGCGAGATACTTCACGTGTCGCTCACATTGACAAAGACGGTAGCCTCCCAGTCCGCAGCTCCAAAGTTGATAACCACATCATCTTCTTTCCAATCGGAAGGGACGTCAAAGGTCGTCGTGAACCAACTGTACTTGACGTTTCCATTTCCTTGTTCATCCAACGGTGTCATGACGCCTTTGTAAACGGGGAAGATGCGGAATTTAGCCTAATTCCCGCTCCCTCATTTTTGACGCCCGGCCGCCCGGCGCCGCCGCATGTGGGCAAGTGTGGGGGGTTTGACGAGACTCACCACTGAGAGCAGACTCAATACATGATGGAATCATGATGGCCTGACCGAGATCACCAGAAGGGACGCGGTGAAGGTCAGAAGCAGATGCATTCTTGTAGCTCCAGATTCCGTTCAGAGATTGCCACTGAAAGCAGAGCGAGTCAGGCGCGCTCCCCCGGAAAACAAAGGTTCTTTTCCCCCACTCACGCGATCTCTGACGAGTTGAGGACGAGGGTACTCTGTCCATGGATCAGTACCGACGTTGTAGGTCCAGTCGGTGGTCAATGGAGGGGTCTGTACTTTGTACGACGATGCAGAGCTGTATTCTCCGCCGAGAGCAAGCTGTGGCAGGGCAAGGCCGGCCACGGCGGCAAGGAGACTGAGCATGGGGAGGTGCAGACGGTCCAAGGGTGGGTCCAGGAGGTCGGAATGGATCCAAGAGCTATCGTATCGACCTTGTCTCGTTTCAAGATATCCTCACAGAGCTGGAGACCTATGGAGTCGATGTCTAGATGGGCAGAGGAAATATGTGTAACGACAAATCAACATTGTATTAGATCTGAGTGCCGAAGTGGGTAAATACCCAGATTTCGAGGTATCCCCCGTTTTTCCGCTTCTACCTCCACCTCTGATGCAGTAGCCTTCATGCATCTTCGGGTCTCTGCTCCCATTGCGGCAGTCATTTCTCAGAACCGGCGCCTCTCCCGCAAGATCCAAGATCTTATACATATCATGACGATCATCAAACAGAGCATATCTAGGCCCCGTTCATCACCTCTGCCTCGCTGACAGCATCTTGAAACCTGTTAATACACCTATCCCGGCAGCCAACAAGAGCCCCGTCCCGCCGGTCCATCCTGCCCAAGCTACAACTTGCTTCTGCCATTGTTCCCTCCTTAAGGCTTCGCTGTAGCCCACGTCGGGTCTGAACGTGACTAGCTCGTATAGACTCGTCCAGCCTCGTACCCGCTTGGTAGGGAATGGGTCTGTCAATGAGAGAGTCGATACTGGATGCGAAGGGATGACGGCAGAGAGCACCGAGTCGAGGAATCTTCGGAAATGATGCATCGGTGACAAGACGTGCGATCGCATCTCAGCGCTACCGCAGCATCAGAATATGCTTCGTCGCCTTCACTCACTAGTTGTCCAGCGCGAGATGACAGATGGCCTTGAGATCCTCCTCGCGATGGTCAGAATAGTCACGCAGGGCTGCTGCGAGCGTTTCGTCCGTCTCTCCGTAGTCATCATCCATCGAAGGGGAGATGTTGTGCTTCTCGAGGAACGAATTGAATACCCGTACGTCCTCTAGTCCGCAGTTGAGGCCTTGTCCATAGAAGCTGTCGCATGTCAATACTGATCAGGTCAGGGCTGTATACACTCACGGAACCATGCAATGAGAGGCATCGCCAAGTAGCACTGCATGAGATGACCAGGAAGATGGGTGAACCTGCAGCAGTTAGCGCAGAGTCATTTCTGGCTGACTTGCATTGATGGTGACCAAACTTCCCCTGGGGTTCGTTTGGAAGTCGTCGACCAGTCTCTCTTCGCCAACAATGTCCACAGCAGATTGGAAATTATCTCTGAAGAATCTGCCTGCATCTTCTCGCGTCCTGAGTGTCTCTAAGGAGGAGAAGGGAAGGAAGAGAGTGAGGGTGAATGATCCATCCTGGGTATCGCATCAGCACAGTTCATATTTGATCCACTCACGAGATTAGGAAGCCCGATCAACATGAAAGAGTGCCGCGGCCAAATGTGGAGATGGTTCTTGTCCATGGCGAATCCGCCTGGCTTGTTGGGATCTGGCGGCATATGAAGCTCGATGTAAGCATGGGGGATGAACGATTGAGAAAAGTTGATTCTGCAGCAGAAATGTCAGCAAAATTATTCCTTAGAAACACCCGTCTCTCACCTCTCCGCCCGCATCATTTCACTCCTCACTTTACTCCAACATCCATCACATCCGATGACGAGATCAAAGGGTGTGACGAGCTCGCCACCTGTTCTCCTAGAATTCCGACTTGGAGGTCGGCTCGGACCCGCCGATGCAGATGAAGGTCCAGGCACATGTTCGTCCCCTGGGACTGTGCCCGATGCTCGCCGAGAAGATCCATAAGCAACTTTTGCCTCGAAATCGATCCGCAGGACTTTGGTATTGAAGTGTAGTTGTATGTCTGAAGGTAGAGCTTCGACTAGCTTCTGATTCAAAAGCGGTCTCGAACATGACCTGATGCTCTGAGAACCGATGAGCTCAGTCAGACGAGCTGTTGGTATGGACATACTTGATTGCGTATGGGATCATAGAGTTGGGATTCCTCCTTTCCAATTCCATGATGAATCATTCGGCCTTTCATCGGGATTGACATGTTGAGGAATTGCTCAGCTGAGGTGGAGGCCAACGTCAGATTCGGTGATCGACACCATTGAAAACCATGTTCGCTCACCTAATGAAGGGTCTACAGATCGGAGAGCTTCTATACCTCTCGCAGAGATGGCCAAATTGATGGACCTCAGATTACTCAATGCTATATCCTTATGTCTTGGATCTAGAACGATCGTCAGCGCCCTTAGGATTGCTCATCATCTCTGCCAATCCTCACTCGGACTCACCGTCGCGTGACTCCCATAATTCCACTTGCCATCCTCGTTTATGCAGTGATAGAGCTGTAAGAGCGCCTACTGGGCCAGCACCAACAATCAGGACCTTTCTGGGCCTTGATGCTTCTGACATGGTCGACTTTACAAGTTGAGGTATGTAATAAGATGAACGATGTGAGATGTCTGCTCGCTCTTGAAAAAAAAGGAAAAATGTTTTTATGACGCCTTCAATTGTAGATCGATGCATATGGTGACTGATAGCGGCCATCGCCGCCGACTCGAATGCCGTCTTAAAAGTTTCAACCAACTATACACTACATTACGAGCTGTAGAGGTACTCGAGGAGGACTGACCGTGTGCGTCACGAATATTCTATGCTATGGGTGGACCTCCAACTTACCAGCGATACAATGCCAAGGCTCGAGGCTCAGTAGCCGGCGGGTCACACAAGAAACGCAAGCGGCCCAAAGTTCATCGAGGAGAAGCGGAAGGAGGAGGACAGGATGGAGATGAAGGGGGACATGGTATTGGAGAGGTGACGGAAGGCAGTGGGAGAGGCAAAATGTCAGCGAAGAAGAGAAAGAGGCTAGAGTCGTATGTGGTGAGCTGCTCGTCATTCTGGTTTCTCGGATAGAGCTCGCTGACGCCGCCTACGTTTAGACTAAGAAGCTGAAGAACGAAGAAAAGGCGGAGACACTTAAGCTGTTGGCTTCATTGACTCCTTCGACGTCCACCTTATCTGCACTAGCGAGTTCCAGTACGCTTGGTCAGAGACCCATGGCTCCGGTCAGTGCTCAGGAGCGTCAAGACACAAGGGAGGACCTCATCGTCCGGCGTGGTATCGATAGGCTCGCCAGGGCAGGCAGGGGAAGGAAGGATAGTGATGAGGACAGTGACGGAAGCGAGAAGAGTGTCAAGGCGGCGAGTACTGCAAAGGCAAAGATGTCGATGAGGTCCGCAGAGAAGCCGCCAAACGTGGCGAAAGCGAAGAAGGAGGCAAGTCAATTCGCGCACCAGCACCGGGAAGGCGAGAAGGGCAGCTGACTCTCCTTGCAGAACTCTTGGACCCCAACGCTCTTGCGGACACAACCGCAGTCCGATTCTTCAGATTTTGATTCTTCCGAATCGGAGAATGACGGTCTGGCAGTAGAGGACGGGGCGCGAAACGTATCGGACAATTCGGGACAGATGGGCCAGGAACCTACTGCAGTCACGGAAGTGGCACCGGAGCCGACCAAGCGGGCGGCGCCTAAGTCGGAGGAGTCATTCGGAGGAGCTCTTAAGCGTGGAGCAGATGGTAAGACTGTCACTCCAAAGATTCTGCCTCGCAGGCAAAAAATGGTGAGCCGACCAGCAGCCGACCAGCATTGACAAGCAGCCTCTCGGCAGAAATCGGAAACGAATTGAGCCGGTCAAATACACAGGCGCTGGGGACTCAAGCTCGTCAAGCGAGAGTGAGAGTTCGGACAGTGGATCCATGTCGTCCGAGTCTGCTTCTGACGAGGACGATTCCGAGGAGGACAGCGACGGTTCTGGCGCAGATTCAGGATCCGCCACGTCTGATGGTGACGTGCAAGCGTCCGACGCTGTTGGATCTGTCAAAAAGCGAGCAGCAGGATTCAAAGCCTGGGCACTGAAGCAGATGGGACAACCATCTCCAGCGGGCTCTGCAAAGCCATCTCCGCCTCCCTTTGCGCAATCACCTGCTCCGCCATCCTCAGCCTCGATTGGGGGATCTCACTTGGAACAGGTTAAGAGACCGATGATTGGCCCCTTGGGGGCTGCATTGAATATCCCAAGCTCCTCCCTCCTGGATGAGGATGGCTCCGGTCCGTCCGCCCGACCCCTCATCAACCGTCCAGATTCAGTTGCGGCATCTAGACTAAATTTGCCAATCCTGGCTGAAGAACAGGGCATCGTTGAAGCCATCCGGATGAATTCCGTCGTCATCATCGCCGGTGAAACGGGTAGCGGAAAGACGACTCAGGTGCCCCAAATGCTGTACGAAGCTGGCTTTGGTTATAAGGATTCGAGTGAGTTCGGGCCCTGGTACATAATCTGACGGCTTCAGATAATCCAGGCATGATTGCAATTACTCAACCCAGACGTGTAGCTGCTGTCTCCCTTTCCGCTCGAGTCAGAGAGGAGCTTGGTCTCCCATCATCCTCTGCATTGGTGGCTCATCAGATTCGATACTCTTCCACAACCTCCCCTGAGACTAGCATCAAGTTCATGACAGACGGCGTGCTGTTGCGAGAAATGGCGGGCGATTTCCTTCTGTCAAGATACAGCGTCGTGATCGTGGACGAGGCCCATGAACGAGGCGTCAACACAGACGTTCTCATCGGCCTATTGAGCCGAGTCGCAAAGCTGCGAGAGAAGAAATGGCGCGAATCGCGGGAGAAAGCAACCAAAGACTCGATAATTAGACCCCTACGAATCGTCATCATGTCAGCTACGCTCAGAATTTCTGATTTCGCCTCTAACACTACATTGTTCGCTTCCCCTCCGCCTGTCGTTCATATTCCTGCTCGTCAGCATCCTGTGACTACCCATTTTTCACGCAAGACGGTTGGAGACTATGTCGGCGAGGCGTATAAGAAAGTCTGCAAGATTCACGCAAGGCTTCCACCGGGTGGCATCCTGGTTTTCCTCACTGGTCAGGGAGAAATTCAGGGTTTTTGCAGGAAGCTCGAGGCCAAGTACGGTTCGGGCCGGAAAGCCAAAGACCTCACTGCTCCGAGATCGATTCAAGAAGCAGAAGACCTACCTCGAGGTGTGCTCTACCGCATTTGAACCGTGACATCAGCTGACTTTGACAGACGCGCCACTGGAAGCCGAAGATATTGAGCTGGGTCAGGATAATGACCTGGCTGCGGATGTCGATGATGGGGCGGCCGTCAGTGATCCGGAAGCTCTCGATAGCGATGATGAGATACCGGATGTAGTCATTCAAGAGGAGACAGAAGGTGAGAGACTTTCATGCAACCGAACTTACACCACCAGCACCAATGCACGTACTACCATTGTACTCTTTACTTCCCAACGACCAGCAGATGCGTGTGTTCCAGCCACCTCCCGAAAGCCACCGACTTGTCATTGTCGCGACCAATGTGGCAGAGACGTCAGTTACGATACCTGGGATCAGGTATGTTGTGGACTCTGGTCGTTCCAAAGAAAGGCATTTCGACCCTATCTCGGGTGTTCAGACATTTCAAGTCTCCTGGATCTCGAAGGCCTCGGCCTCCCAGAGAGCTGGTAGAGCGGGTCGGACAGGTCCAGGACACGTCTATCGGTTATATTCGTCTGCACTTTTCGAGGACCATTTCGAGGCGTACTCGAAACCTGAGATTCTTCGAATGCCCATCGAAGGCGTGGTGTTGCAAATGAAGAGTATGAACATTGATGCTGTCATTAACTTTCCCTTCCCGACTTCGCCTGATCGATCGAGTCTGGCCAAAGCCGAGCAACTCTTGACCCATCTAGGGGCACTGGAGAAGCCGACTCGGACGAAGATGGTGGCCGGCACCGAAAAGGAAGGAGTCGAGGGTGGTCGTATCACGTCGCTCGGGCTTTCTATGGCTGGATATCCCGTCTCGCCCAGATTCGCCAAGATGTTAGTCATCGGTAATCAACATGACTGTCTCCCGTACGTTATTGCCATTGTGGCCTGTCTATCCGTCGGAGATCCGTTTGTTCACGAGCAAAGCCTCGAGCTGGGTGAGGATGGTGAAGGCGCTTCAGACGAGGACGAATCAGAACTTCGACACATCACCAAGGATGATATAAGGAAGCGAGAGGAGAGGAAACGACTGAGAAGCCGATATTTCAAGGTTCAAGCTCAGTTTGAAGCTCTCGGAGGAGGCAAGAGTGACCTGTTCAAGATGCTCGCTGCCATTGGGGCGTACGAGTATGACCCGAATCCTGGCTTCTGTGCCAACCACTTTCTCAGGCCAAAAGTAAGCATTTGACCGGCTCACGAGTCTGACCTACGTCCTCAGGCAATGCACGAGATCCAGCAGCTCAGACGCCAGATCTCCAGGATCGCAAAGATACCCATGGTTCGATTGACTCCTCCATCAGAGACACAGGTAGGTTGTGACTGAAAATCGAGTCTCTGTTCTGATCATGTTTTGCAGCTCAAAGTGCTTCGTCAAATTATCCTGGCTTCATCGCTTGACAAAGTCGCAGTGCGCTTGGACATCGCAATGAAACAGCCCTCCACGTCATTTGCGTCCTCTCGAAATATTGCATATCGCGCACTTGGTCTTCCGCCCTCAGAATCAGCTTTCATTCATCCGTCGTCTACCCATTTCCATCGCCCACCTCCGGACTATGTCGTCTTTCAAGATATCACTCGAGGGGATAAGAAGACTTATATGCGCCAACTGACCACTGTCAATCCGCAGTGGCTGTCCGAGCTAGGGAAAAGTTTGTGTTCGTGGTCTAAACCGGACGAAATCAAAGTCAAGGGGAAGAATCAGGCGGATCAAGTCAGGAATGGGGAGCGAGAGGTGTGGGTTGTCCCTCATTTCGGGGATCTGGGCGTGGACCTTCCGCCGAAGAGAATGAAGCAGAGGAGAGAAGGGACAAGATGGGTACTGGTAGAGTAGTGAGATAATAGGGGATGCATGTGGAGCTGTCAGCTGTCGACCACCATGTCCTTTGTATACGACTTTTCACGTCGATCGGCGACGATCCTTTGACCATGACCAAGATCGACGATCCATCCGACTCTGGAAGACCTCGACTATGACTGACTTTATCAACTGGAGCTTGACGTCTCTATATATCATGTCCACAGCCGAGATGCAAGCTCCCAAGGGCTCATCCAGAGCTAACGGAATAGACGGACCGCTCAACCCATTCGTGGTCACTCCGCCTCCACCAGACGCAGCGGAAGATGAGATTCCAGGATACGTCAAGCGTTTCGGGGCCTATGTAAGTGGGAACATTCGAGCGATGTTGCTGATGGAGCTCGACAGCATACTCTGTAAGTCCTCAGATATAATTTACAACTCCTTTCCTAGCTGATTCAGGCGAACGCCAGGACCGAAGGCGTCTTGTAGGTCGGCAAAACCTCTTCCTGAAATCTTCGAACGTCTGATGATCGTAGTCTACCCGCTGGGACATTGTTGCCGAAGGGTGCGACTTTTGGCATGCAAGCGACAGTCGACTTTGGGCTGCATTTCCCGGTATGTACCTGAGTACGAGAGAGTCTCTCAACTGCCCAGACCTAGCTGACGAGCTCCGCGCCATCTTTAGAAAGGGACAAAAGTTCCTGGTGGATTTTTGCTCCCTGTATCTGTCGTAAAGAAGGGCAAGTCTCCTGACCCTCCGCCTGATCCTCAACCGCCTTTGTGCTCTGTGCAATAATAATCGCAGTGGCTGAAGGGGATGCTGTATCACTGGATGCTTGATTAGGTGATGTAATAGTCGCAATTCTCAGCGACATTTCATGGAGCCCTGCGACATTCAAATCGCGTCCGTGCTAGGATCCTCGATACTGAGATACACAAAGCATGATTTCAAAAGCAGAGATACGTATACAAATATCAAGCGACGGTTGTCTTGACTTGACCAAATGGTGCGAGGCTGGGAAACTCTATAATTCTATTTTATGCCGCTTCGACTTGATGCGTCCGATCATCGTCCACTAATAATCGCTCCTTGCTTGCCCGTCGATCTTGAAGATTGAAGACAGCGAACTGAGCGAGCACAAAGAGGTCCAGGAAGACTGTCAAGCCTGATCCTGCGAGCCAAGCGGCATTGGCCAGGAGGTAGTGTCGGTCGGTCGAGATGAAAAGGATCGACATGACGTAGGTAACATCTGGCGAGGGGGTCAGTCTTGATCGCATCATGATACTAAGAGTGTACTCACTGCCTGAGATCGAAAAGAAGAACATGGCCAGTGAGAGTCCGGCACATCGAGTCTTACTGAAACATGTGTCAGCCAATGTGACAGATCGCCACGGGACGCCCAACTCACTAATTGTGCGCAATTTGAGGGAGCCTGCTACCGAGGTAAAGGCATGCTGAAGCCCAACCCAGCACCTGACTCTTCCATTCCAGTGTCACCTCACCTCCTTTTGCTGGTCCAGGCTTGTCTGGCATCGAGGTACGACCGTTTGACCTGTCCGTCACATACCATGCGCCGAAACCTGCTCCAAGGACGAAGAGGAGCAACAGTGGGTATTCGATGTAAGGTGGGAGGAAAGGCTTCGGCTGAGTTGCCGGTGGGAGCTCGACTGGTCGAAGGAGAGGCGAAGTCTCGGTCGACTGGTGCTGAGTCTGAGCGGACTTGAGAGCTCGCTTTCGGCGGTAATAGTAGACTTGATATAAGAGAATGAGGTCGCAAACGGAATACTGAGTTTGGGTTAGCGTGATCTGACACCGACAGAACCACTCACGTATAGCCCGAGAATGATCATGGTAGGTAGCAAATGCGCCATTATTGATCCCAAACTGTTCGTCAGGTCTCCAGCTAGCCAGAGAACGATGAATGACACGGAAAGACCATCACCAGATTGGAGCTGGTAATTTTCCCATATCTGAGGTGAAAAGACGACTATCCAGAGAGCAATGGACATCCATCCGGTCTGAAACAGAACGTATCAGTCATGGTATCCCCAAGAGATCGTTCTGCGCTCACGATCGCGGACAGTTCGTCCGAGGTCGGTGGACCCATCATCATTGTTGTTGTCGCTCCAAGAGATGGAGTAACAGGCGAAAAGAGCTTGGGACGCTGGCGAGATGTTTGCGAGAGCTAGAGCAGAGTGTCGATCTCCTTTTGAATACGCGGGAAGGTCGTCAAGCACAAACAAATGACTTGACAAAAGGATCGCCAAAGACTTGTCAGTTGATGATGGTATGGATGATAATCTTCGTATCTCTCGAGAAATTTAACCTTTTGTGCGTCAGATTCGAGTCGGGTGGGGCGGAGAAAAACACGGATGTAAAGATTAAGCGGCGATCACCGATGACGGGCTTCTCGGTGTGATAAGCAATTGACGAAGTAGACTTAGTCCACGTCATTTTATTTGGCCACGTGCTGACCCCTGCGCATCATCACAGCTTGTCGCCGCTGTCTTGACATCCTCACCGATCCAATCCATCGTGGCTACGCTAGATCTCGCTCTACAGCCACCTAGTCTCACCATGGAGGATGCTACTAGTGGGCCTGACCCTTTCTCGGCCTCCCCATCGCAGTCTGGAGCCAACACACCTCAACGAGCGGAATCTTCCGCTCCTTCAACAACGTCATCACCACCACCGCGCGCTTCGACCTCTTCACCCATCCCTACAGTCGTTACAAGACGTCTGAGTACTACCAATTCACACTTCTCAGCAGCATCTGGATCACCACCTCCGACCCATCGAGCCAGCTTTCCAGATCCAAGCAAGGAGCCTAAACGCGGTTCGTCGAGATTGAGCGGACCACCGGCGAAGGAGGGCTTCTGTTGCGAACGAGACAAGGAAATTGCCAAGGGGGAAGATGTCAGCATCATTGATGCTTTCAAAACGACAGAGGGAGGTACAGCGACCTATATCACCTATGTAATCCGTCTAGGCGTGAGCTTGATCCTACTTTTGCCAGGTCTGGCTGACATTCCCGCAGTCGCATACGACGCGAAGGCGATATTCCGCATTTTTGTCCTTGCACCAGGCTCTGACTGGCCTCTATCCTGTCCTCATTATCCCTCCAATTCCTTCGAAGCAGTCTATCGCCGACTATGCTGTAAAAGGTCAGACAAAGGCAAAGGAAGATGCGACCGTCATTGCCAGACGTAAACGGCTGCTCGAGGACTTCCTCCGACGCCTTATCAGACATCCAATCCTGGGCGGGGAGCACGTGTTGCATAGATTCCTTGAAGACGGTGTGAGCTGGGTGAGTCAATACTCTCCTTCGAAGAAGTGTATCAATTGAACTTTGTCATAGTCTGAAGTATTGCATTCTCCACCCATCTCTCTCTTACCCAAAAGTCCTCTCCATGCCCCTTCCCATAATCCCACTTTCCAAGGCTCAGATCAGTCCCCGTCGTCCTCGCCTCAATCTTCAACTGCTCCGACGTATATCGCCCATCATCTGATCCCGACGCCATCGCCTAATCATCCACTGAAGCACCCGGATACCCGTTTCATGGATTCTGAAATCTTTACGGAGAAATTTCAGGCGCATTTCTCTGGCACCATGGAAAAGGTCAATCGACGCACTGTCAAGCGCTGGGGAGAACGAGCAGGGGATTTGAGTGAGCTTGGGGCGGTGTGGAATGGCTTCAGTCTTGTGGAATCTGGCAAGCTAGGCGAGGCGGTAGAGAAAGTCGGACAAGCGGTTGACTCGGAATATCTTGCCACGGCTGCGCTGGTGAGTTCAACGAGAATCTGATCCCATCTCATGCGGGAATAGCTTCAAGCATGGGAGCAAACGACGACTGAGCCATTGCATATCTATGCCCAGTTCGCTTCACTCATACGATCGCGCCTCGCATTCAGACATCAAAAGCATGTCCAATTCGAGCTGGTCCAAGATGCGCTCGAGAACCAGAAAGACAAGCTAGACGTTCTTGAAAATGCGGAAAAGGAGGCGAGAAGGCTCAATGATGCTCTAGAGAGAGGAGGAAGTCGTCTGCTTGGTCAGGCCGTGGATGGGGTCAGCTCGGACGAGAACGCCGAACAGCTGAGAGAACGGGCATTGGAGCGGGAGCGCGAGCGGGAAAGGGATCGTGAACGACAGGAACGTATAGCGAGAGGCTCGAGGAAGAGCGGAAGCAGCTTTGGACTCTTAAATGCTGTCAAGCACAGTTTGAGTGGCATGATGGATGTGGATCCGGAGGCGACTAGGAGGGCAAATATCGCCAAGACGAGGGATAATATCTCACAGGTGAGACAGCTGGCATCGACTACCGCTCATCACATAGCTTGAGGATTCTCTGCAAGCTTCTGCACAAGACCTCAAATACGCCTCCACGACTTTGCAAGCGGATCTCGATCGCTTTCAGCGTCAAAAAGTGGCAGATCTGCGTCAGCTCACCATCCAGCTCAGCAAGGTGCATCACGAATGGTGTCGTCAAGTGAGGGCCGTACAACTTTGCACAGAGGAATGCTAATGTGTTCCTCAGAATCTCGAGGCGTGGCAAGCTGCTCAAGCGGCTATTCGGGAGGTTGAACCTCATCCGAGTCGACCACCAGCGCCGGAACAGCCGGAACTTCCGCCTAAATCTGACAACGTCGGAACCAGTCTAGCTATGGGAGGTCTCCAGAGTGAACTTGACAGGATAGAAGCGAGCAACAAACCGCTACCCTTGCCAGAAGGCGAAGGTATACTAGATGCAAACGAGGATACCGGTGTAAGACAGGCGTCGAGCGGTGAAGCGCCTGGGCCTTTGTAGTCGTAGTTGAATGTAGTCTTGATTGTGCAGTCGTGGCCTCAAGGGAGACAGGAAGCGGACCCCCCGTTTCAAGATCCCCAAGATTGCATGTAGATATCAAATTCCCTCACCCCATGTCATTGGAAACCGCTTCAAGCTTTCTACCAGAATCCGCCAAACATGAAGGGGTCGTACCCAAAGCCGTACCCGAATGCAGGACCTGGAGAAAGATTCAGAAAAGATGTCCGTCAATATCCGACGACCCACCAAAGGCCATATCGTCAAGCAGGAGACCACCCGCCAGACCGGCTCCGAGACCCATTCCCAGGCCTCCATATCCTCCGTAACCGTATCCGCTTCGGTAGCCGTATCCCCCGCCGTAACCTGATATACGGGTCAACAACAACGTGCAGACACACCAAGCGCTACTCACCGTATCCGTATGGATCCACGGCTGCCCGATTGTACGGCTGATTCGGAGGTGCATAGCCATACGGGTCTGAAGCATATCCGTATTCTGGACGTTTGATCAGCTCTGTCTCCTTGCCAGCCTCATGCAAACGTACGTTGAGGGTTCTCCATCTGTTTTTGAGCCAACTCTTGTCTACGTCTCATCCAATCTGCTTGTTGTTCCTGTGCATATGGTCAGAGACACTCCTCGTCCATTGTGAAGGACTTTTGCTCACCCTGAGTTTCTGTCTGCGTTCCGCTGCAAGTCTCTTCTTTTCCTCCCTGTGCTTCTTCCTCTCCTCGTGACTCATCTTGAACTTGTCTTTCTGTCTCTGTAACCAACTTTTATGCTCGTGTGGAGCATTGAGCGACTTGATGATATCTTCATGATGCTCATCCAATTTGGAGGCGTCGTGTGGAGTTGTGCCCGACTGCTTTTGCTGCTCGTGAGCCTTTTTAAGCTCTTCGTATCTTGCTCGTTGCTCCATCATCGTCCGTCGCATCTGCTGTGCTTCTTCCGAATTTGGGTGCGCAGGGTGCGTATCGGGGATAGAAGCAATGTATTCGGGGTCATCGTAAGGATGGACCCAGATTGATCGACGCGTCGCTTCTTCGACGTAAAAGTGATGTTCAGTCCTGTACAGATAGGTGTCAGTGGAACATTCATTCTTTTCACCATGGACAGATGGCCTGCACTCACTTTGGGTCGAAACATCTGACCCATCCTGGAGGTAAATCTCGCCTCTCATCATCCATACTTCGTCTCGCGTCTGACCCCATGTGATCTTCGAAAGAGGATTCATCACTAGACGAACTCTTGTACGAATGGCCAGAGTTGGCTCGATGTAAGCCTTGTGCACTCATGCTGAGCGAAAGATCCTGTCTTCGAGACGTGAGGTCCAAGAGGTGTCGAGTACCTTTCACGCAGTCATTCGCGACTTCACTCTCATATGAACCGAGGCAAAGTTATAAATAGTCGGCAGGTATATTACCGGTTCCCCGGTTCCAACACCGCAGCCGAGATCTGGTGCAAAAGCTCAAATCCTCGCATGCGAAGGAGGGACACGAGTATGGCTGTAGCTGCATCCCGAGACTCAGCTTCCATCACTGACTGCCCCTACCCATTTGGTTTCTTTCAGCCCTGCAACTTTGCACACACATACTGCGGGACCAGGTGTGGGTGAGATTAGCTAGCTCGAGGCCACATGCGACACGCTCTTCGTTTGAGAGAGAAGACCTTATGGGGGTATGATGATTGAGGGATGGTCTAGCGATGACATTGACACCATGAGATCGCATACATGATCCATTCCAGTCCAACAGTCCCGCATCTCGCACTCATGCATATGTCCAAAGGAACCGCCTCACTGCCACGGATGTTTGTCTTCCAGAATCCACGTGGTGTATTTACTTCCGCTCTCGCGAGTGATTTGTTGAACCAAACATTTGATTGTTCTCATTTCTCAATCAACCCTTTCTTCGGTACTCTCTCTTTTTTTCTCCAGTCTCTCCGTCCACTGGCATACCCACATAACCCTTCTTCCTTGGTCAGCTCGGTCACACTGCATCTCTGAGAGCGTCTGCCCCCTCGCAGTTGAAAAACACTGCTCAGTCTCCTACTATGGACCCGATCCTCCCTTCAAGAACAGACCTCGAGAGGAGACGACTAGAATCAACAGTCGACCAAGACCTCGATACCTTATCGCTTGCCTCTTTGATCACTTCCACTGAGTCTACGGCCACCGCAGACCCACATCATGATTCCCTCACCTCGATTTCTTCCATCGAATATCCCAGAGCGTTCGGAGAAGGCGACACAGGTCGACCTGATCCATCGATTCATCCAACAGCTTACAGACCTCGTGACAATTTCAGTCGGGGTCTTCATGGAACTCCTAGAGCTGCGCATCGGCAGTCGTCTGCAGCCAGTAGAGTAAGCAATCTCGCAGACAGCCCTGTGTCGACTGCCGGACACCATGTTAGCGCCGTCACGCTTGGCGAGGGCATCTACAGGACCAAGCGTGATGCAGCATGGGAAAGTGGTGACGAGTTTGATCCGGAGCGTAGTCTAGGGAGACTCGTAGGCGAGCTCGGCAAAGCCATGGTGAGCCTCCTCCCGTGGGAATGCGATGTTTACACCCTTCTTCAGCGCTTATCGCCACGTCCAACGTCGCCCTTCGCCGTCATGTCGCCGCCGCGATCACCCCGGTCTCCTTCGCCTTTGTCGTCACTCCAGCATCAGCAGCAGCACAACTTATCCCTTACTTTGAATCGCAACGATCCTCTACCTTCTCCCCCCTCTTCCCGGTCAGCATCTGGGTCCGGAGACGAGTATGCAAAGCATACCCAGGGCAGCAGACGAGCCTCGTCTCGAGCGCCTCTAGGCGAAACCACACGGCACAATCATGAGGTTGCAACGCGAGTCTGGGGCAAGTTTGAGAATCTTGAGAAGGAACGAAGACCTGCCTCTGCCCCTGCCAGGGCTTTCGACGGGGACCTAACTAGGATGACCGGGTTGTTGGAGACTCCGGCCAAGGGTGGCAAGTTTGGCTCGTTGGATAAGAACGTAAACGTCGGCAGCGAAGAGCCAGGGGGTGATTTGTCTCATGCGTCCAAGTTGTGTGTGCTGACTCTACTGCACAGCCAGCATACCGCAAGCTCTTGCTTCGCTTCAGGCTCGATTACGAGCGCTAGAGACTGAGGCGTCGTTGTCCCGTCGAAGGGTGAAGGAGCTCGAAGACGAGTTGGACAGGGCTAGGGAAGAAGTGCATTCAGCCCGGAAAAACGGCGATGGCAGATTGAAAGAGGCGATCCAGGAGAAGACGGGTGAGTAAAGTCATGTTGGTTTGGCTCCATGGCCTGGTCTGACGGTCTTCAGCCCTGGAGGATCTCACTCGCTCGCTACGATCCCACCTGGCTCGACTCACATCCCAGTTGGAGGAACAGAAGGCTCTTGTAGCGAGTTTAAAAGAGACGGAAAGTCGACTGGCTTCAGCACGAGTAGATCGGTCTGTCAGCGATGAGCTCGCTGCTTTACGACGGGAAATTGAACGCCTGAGCCGAGAGATCCAGCGTCTCGGTGGAATTGTGGAGCAAGGTCTCGAGACACGGCGTCAAGCCCGCGAGGAGCGTACCGTGCGGATGGAACACGACGCCACTCGTGTTGGCCAAGAAGCTGCACGACACCCTGAGCGGTCAATCAGAACCCCAAACAACGAGTTGCACCGGGTCGCCAAAGACTACGAACGTACTGTGCGGCTGGAACACGGCGAGGCTACTCGTGTTCACCATGACGATGACGAGTCGCAACGGGTCGCCAAAGATTACGAACGTAATGTGCGGCTGGAACACGGCGAGGCTACTCGTATTCACCATGACGATGACGAGTTGCAACGGGTCGCCAAAGATTACGAACGTACTGTGCGGCTGGAACACGGCGAGATTACTCGTGTTCACCATGACGATGACGAATTGCAACGCGTTGCCAAAGATGTGGAACGGAGACAGCGGTCTGCGAGCACTGTGCCACCCACGCCTGGACCGTCAAAACTCCGACAAGGCCTGCATGCTGCTGCTGCTGATCCAGTGACCTTGATGCCGCCCTCGGCAGCTCCTGCCAGTCGAATCCAGAGAGCGCCCGCTCTCACTTCCCCGGCATCGGACGAGGAAGTCGCTACTCCTGCGAAATCTTCGCGTCGCGTTTCTGGCACAAAGAAACAAGCATTGAAGTCCTCTCGCAAGAGTCGACCCTTGACGCATGAAGAAGGTCCTGAGAGCCCCTTCCCCTCCATTCGGGCAGAAGACGAGGAAGAGTTTTTCGCTGCTCTGGACCGGCCGGGTTCGCCGATGAGAAGACAAGAGGCGACAAGCAGTCGAGCGACTCGACGATCTCCTCTGGCCAATGATAGAGATTCGGTCCGTCCACAGACTGTCTTGGCTAGAGTCGTTCAGGAATTGGAGGATGACTTTAAGCATTACAAAGCGTGAGTCAATGTGTACTGCGAGACTGAGACAATGCAGAATCTATGCAGAACTTGCAGATCAATACAAGATCATGGATGCTGCCTCGGCAGTCACCAAACGCCATGTCCTGGCTGAGCATCTGAAGGAAGTCATCGACACGATCGAACAAAAGGTGCGTACACCCGCTCAGCGCATTCGCTGACACTTTCAGGCCGACCAAATCGCAGCACTATACAATGTCCTCTCTGTTCAGGATCGAGCTGTGCGATCTGGAGAAATCGGAGGATTTGCCGGTGTCAGCAAGAGTGTCCCGGACATTCTCAGAATGGTTCGCGAGACGATCGGAGAGGAAGGGATGAAGCGACTCGAGCGGGAGGGTGTGGGACGGAGAACCACTGCGGAGGTATGAATGTCAGGGCAATCAATATTCGGTGGCTTTGTCTATATCCTTGGTTTTGTCGCATACGGTAGTTTTGATCGTTCTTGAATTGTGCTCAAGTCTTAGGGTCATGTTGCATATACATTGTGCTGATATTGGCGTGTCTAAGGGGATTCGCTAGATCAGTCTACCATGCTGGCACCTGATCATCATCCTCAGTCACTTGCAGCTTGCCTTGCATCAGCAATGTAGCGTTCTGTCCATCCGCAAGATCGTGCGCCTCGACGTCAACATTCTCGTCCCGAAGTTTATTCGCCTTTGTCTCGACGACTGGATCATCAGGACTCGTCTTGCCTCGGGTCAACGGTAGCTTCGTGATGAGTTTGAGGCCAGACTTCCTGCGCATGACTTGCATTTGGAACGCTCTGATCTCTAGAGGAGGCACCTCGGGGGTGATCAGTTGTTCCTCGGTTTCAATTGGAGATACTTCAGTATGACCATCAGAAAGAGGAGATGAAGAAGATTCAGTGATTTTGTCGAGATGCGTCGCTGTCGGCATCTTGTTAAATCCTTGCCAAGAGGCAAATGTGAGCCGACCTTGTGGGAGTGGTGGGAAATGTCCCATGAGATCTTCTTGAAGTGTGGATCCGAATCGCACTGGTCCATTCGGATCCGAAAGATCGACTGAGAGTGGACTTGGCTGAGGACCAAGGTATCGTTTAGTCCGGTCGTCCAGAACTGGCGGGAAAGCGCAAGATGAGCAAGTTGACTGTGCAGGGCAACTTTGACTCACGCGAAGAAGCTTCAGAGTCAGTGAAGAAGGACACTTCTGGATGCAGCTGAAGCGCACTTCCGGGACACTTTACGGAGAGGGAGTCAGTGTGTGATATTTATGGGGATAGGCGTTGAGACTCGCTAGATGAGTCAGAGGACCTTCAATGGCTTCTTGGACGCCGTGACGTTTGGAGGCACCTGTGGCAAGTACGATGATCTCCCTCGCGTCGAGAATTGTGCCTAGGCCCATTGATAACGCATGAGTCGGAACCTCGTCCACCGAGGCAAAGAATCTCGCCTAAGAAGGCCGGAGTGAGCGAGTCCGGTCGACAAGATGGTGGGGCCTGCGGTCAGAGCTCAGGGTTCAAGACTCACATTGACCCTCCTTGTGTCCTCGTCCAAAGCTACCACTCGCGTCCGACTGCCAAAGCTTGAACCAGGTTCGTTGAATGCCACATGACCATTGGCCCCGATGCCCGCGAACAGCAAGTGTATTCCGCCGAGCTTTTCGATCAGCGCTTCGTACCTTGCACATTCGAATTCTGGATCAGGGTTGATCCCGCTCAAGAGATGGGTTTGAGAAGGCGGAATGTCGACCTTGGAAAAGACTAAACAGGGGGAAGGGGGAAGGGGGGAATGGGTGTAAGCATGCATTCTACTCCGTCATCGGGATCTGAACTTGCATTCCTGTTCCATAAAGTAGGCGTAACTTTGCGGATGATCAGCCGGCAGGCCAAAGTATTCATCGAGATTGATGGTAATGACGAACTGAGGAGTAGTGTAACGTAAGACACTCAATTGCTCGAGATTGACATCGCTCTTACCTCGAACGAGATCACCCCGTTCATACACATCAGAGCGAGTTCCCTGTAAACAGGGACGGGCGTACTGCCTGTAGGTAGACATAGTACGAAGGGCCGATTCATATTCGGGCCAAAGGCCTTGATACGGGAAACAATGAGCTCAGCAACTGCTCGAGCGGCTTCGTGCTGATGGGAGCTGGAGTTGGGTGAGCGATTGGTGCATCACAAAGCGTAAGAGAGAGCTTACAAGCTGTGCAGTTGCATGATGCCGTCTTCAAGAGTCTTATACTACGTCAACTGGGATCAGGGGACCGCAACGCTAAGGTGCGAGACTGAGCGATGTTGTTAGTCTGGCTCTCCACTATATCGAAGCTGTGGAGTAGTTCTACAAAGGACGATGAACATTTGGTCATCCTTTCAGTCGTAATGTTTGAGCAGAGTCGCAGCAATGCACAGAAGTCTAGACCATTGGTCAACTTGATGTTGCCCCAATCCTTGCCACGAATCCCGGGGAGGTGTGATATATCCCAGCTGACAGTCGGTGAGGGATCGGCAGATTGGACCTTGCCAAGCCGAACATTCCGAAAGAAGTCTACTAGTCTGAATATATTGTTCGACGGCGATCACGATGTCTGCGGAATGTGAGATATGGAAATGTCTCATATCCTGGTCTTAGTCTGCATTCCACCTCTGAAGCCAGCGAATCGAAGATCACACATATGCATTCGAAACAGAGTTACTAGTGGCTACAATAATGAATAGAATGACGAGGACTAAAAGCCTATCCGATAGCGGCGCGAGTTGTTGTGGGGGAGATCATCATGTACGAAGTCGTTAGGGGTGAGAAACCATCGTGTTTACGAGAGAGAACCAGTCCAAAAGATGATATCGAGATACGTGAGTATCCGGGGAGAAGCCTGCCGTCTAGGCGACTCGACGGCCACCCTGAGGGGTGCTGTTAGGTGACGGGCGCGATTCGACGAGTCGCGCCAAGAGTTCTTCAATCCTGTCCAATCGTTCTTCCATTCGACGAGGCTCGTTCGGTCCCTTTTTATTGTTCGTGGTACTGTCGTTAGAGCTATGGGGAGACAATTTTCCATCGAGCGAATTGTGAGCAAGAGTACGGTCGGTGTCAGAAGACATGACTCGACTTCGTCCCTCTTCAGCGCTTCGAGCGTCATTAGACTCGTTCTCGTCGCCTGTTTCCACTGAAGTGTCCTGGAAACCGGCGACTTCCTCGTTGTTGTCACCGTCCTCAGGTCCTAGAACAGTCTCGTATTGGAGAACTTTGAGCATTTTGTAGAAGCCAGCAGCGATCGTAGCTCCGAGAGCGGGTCCGAGCCAGTAGATCCAGGAATAACTGTCAAAGTCCCGCAGGACGACGGAAGGACCGAACGACCGAGCAGGGTTTAGGGAACCTCCGGTGTAGTAGACTCCAAAGAGTTCAGCGACGAACAGGGCGAGACCGATTCCGATAGGAGCGATAAATGTCGCTTTGTGCTTCTCTGCGGCGAGAAGTAGGATGGCGATCATGAGCAGAGACGTCAAGAACATTTCAATGAAAAGTCCTCGAGCGACGGAAACGCTGTCGGCGAGTTGAGTTCGGACATTCAGCGTGCCAGGTGTTAAGGCTTGAATGATAGCTGATCCAGTGATACCTCCGAGAATTTGAGCAAAAGTCAAAAGGGCAGCACGGAATGGAGTGAGAGCGCCGACCAGAGCCATACCGAGGGAGACCTGGCCACGGGTTAGCCTCCTTGACAGCTCGCGTCCACTCACCGCCGGGTTGAACAGACCTCCAGATACTCTGAAAAAGATCCACGCGTTCACAGCGAGGGAGAATCCGAACGATAGGGCGATGTAGAGACTGAAGCAGCACATCAGCCAAACATGAAAAGGGCGAGATGGTGACCCAGGGGCCACACTTACAGATTGGAAGTGTTGGCTGCAGTGGCCTCAGATCCATTTTGACCCGATGTCGTCTGACCAGTGACGTTGGTGGAGGGCATATTTGCCACATTGGTGCCACCGAGGGCAAAGATCATGAACAGAACGGTACCGACGTATTCACCGACCATGGCGATGAAGTCTGTGAAGGAGAAAATGTCAGCTCCCGGTTCCGACCCAATGCGCGAGGCCGAAAGACGACATCCCAACTCACGATTCTTGAACTTGAGCATTCTCGGGCTGAGATTGTTGTCACCCCATGCTGCTCTCAGCTTGGCAAATGGTTTCTTTTTGCCCTGGTCCTTCTCTGAGAAATTCCCAGGTGCTTTGCTGCCGTTCAACTGCATTTTGCGTCGTTGCGTCGTCAGAGTCTCGCGTCAATGTGGTCCGGTGAGACAGAAATGGTTGAGGTGAAAATGAATCCGAGAGAGCAGGGGAACTTTTGAATCGCCGCCTCCTCTCTCTCTCTATATATATCTGTGACGGGGAGCAGGTGGAAGATCTGCAATGCAAAAGTGATGATGATGGATGATGACGATCAAAAAATTCTCACCCGCCCAAAAGCTCGTCGCATCTGACCGAGAGAGAGAAGATTTAGTTGCAAACTATAGCTGGTTCTTCCTCTGCTCTCATGCTCCCCGCCTCCACCATCACTCTCTGCTATTGCTGCTGCTGCTGCTACTGCAACTGCTACGTGCACAGCCAACGAACAAAATTCATTTTACAATCCTATAATGGCTCCACACCCGACCGCAGCATTCCACCCCGTATCTTCTTTTATCCTCCGACCCCTCCGACGTCACTTGGTGACGGCAGGCACATCTCAAAATGGAGTATTACGTACTCTCGGTGTCCTCCACCAACGTGACAATTGAATGATGATCGACGATCATTTTTCTGGCACGTTTTTTCCCCTCTCGGGTGGCGGAAGCAAAAGGTGCGGCCAAAATTGCTTCATCACGCCCCGTCGACCACAAGGAAGAAGTTCAATTGACGTCAAGGTTGGATGGGATCTCATTTGGAGTTGAGGGATCTATTCCCGTATATGGGACAAAAGCTAGACTCGTACTTGACCCGAAATGTTCGGAGTTTTATCACGAGGAATGATCGAGAATAGCACACCATCTCACGCGGAAAACGGCCCTTTTGGATCGATACCTAGCCCTGATGAGACAGGACATCCCTAAATGGCCCTTTCACATCGGGCCTATGCCTCCCGTCACGGTATGACCAGACGCTGCGACCCGTCCTGAATCACGAGCTTCAAAAGAAAAGTGGTGATGACATGCTACACTATGGTGGATGACCTCAAACTCAGCTACTATCCAGCCGCTCTCTGCCTCTCCTCAGGTTCTTCCACCTGCTCCGTCTCCCTCTCAGACTCCGCTTCATTGTGTGATGATGATGCTTGACTATCTGACGTTGATTCTGAATTCGATGCTGATGCAGACGCCGACCCCTGAGTTGGATTCTCCGCGTCAATGCTCGATTTGGGACCTGAACGAGAGAAGAAAGCGCACCTTTGTCAACACATGTCACGGCATTGGCTCACTGAGTGAATACAGAGGGGAAGGAAATGGAATTCTCGTAGGATCGCGTCTACTTTTTCCTCCCACTACCTCCGCCCAGAAGTCGATCCACCCAGCCCAAGGCTCCCCCAATAGCGGAGGCCGCCTTGCCCGCTAGGCTGTCATCGTGCTTATCAGACGTATGATCAGGCCATTGCAGATCGGCCTCAGAGGTAGAGCTAGGCTTAGAGCTGGACGAAGGGGAGGAGGAGGAGGAAGAGGAAGAAGAAGACGGACGGTAAGATGAAGTGGAAGAATGCTGTTGAGATGAAGGCATACCATTTGTCGTTGTGCCTCGCAAAGGCTGCTCCGGTGTCGAGGGCGGAGGCACATCGAATGAGATATTCGGAGTCAGACCCGAAACATCGTCCGCGTACGCTTGCAGTATCTTGCGTTGGAATGTCGTAAGGGACCTGAATAGAATTAGCGGGATCACCTCCCTCCTCTACGGCCCAGACTCACCTAGGTATTTGCACCCGCCACGAGATGATCAAATCTCCCCTTCGCTCCCTGTCCAATCTGCCTCCAACTAAGCTCTTGACTCCTCTTCCCTTCATCACTGCTTCTTCTCCGTTCTGGGTCCCTTCCCTGACTTTGACTTCGACATCGCCTTCCAATGTAGGTATACGCACCCGTCCACCGAGCATGGCCACATGCAGAGGTACCTTGGCATCGTGGTATAGGTTTGTGCCCTGTCGTCGGAAGATCGGAGAAGCCTTGACATTGACGCGGACGTTCAAATCTCCCCTTGATCCCCCCGCCGATGCGGACAGTGGCATATCCCCCATACCTGGTATCTGGATCTTCATTCCATCTTCGATACCGGCTGGAATGTCCACCACGACTTCCTTCTTCTCCTTGACTCGACCCACACCTTCACAATCTCCACATCTGGCGTTCCGCGGTATGCTCGATCCTTCACCTCCACACGTCTGACATGTAGTTGACATGAACATGCCTTGGACCTGGAAGGTCTGACTGCCAGTTCCACGACAGGTCGTACATTGAGTTCGCTTTTGACCAGTTTTCAATCCACTTCCAGAACATGTATGGCAATCGACCACCGGGGTAATGTTCAGCTTTCTCGACGCTCCATTGCAAGCTTCCAAGAAACTGATCTGAACGGCCACTTCGATCGGATCGCCACGCATAGGGCGACCTCGACCTCCAGCGCTGAAAGGTCCACCGGGACCTCCTCCACCGAAAGCGCCTCCGAATAGAGATTCAAACAAGTCTCCAGCAGATCCGGGACGTCCACCGAAAGCAGATCCAAAATCTTGGAAACCTCCAAATCCACCTGCTCCTCCTGCAAAGGCGTTCGGGTCGAATCCTTCTTGAGTAGAGGCTTCACCATATCGATCGTAGGCTTGTCGCTTGGTCTCGTCGGAGAGAATCTGGATGACGAGAGGGCATGAGACGCCGTACCTTTCTTAACGACTACAATGAACACTCACGTCGTATGCCTGTTGAATTTCTACGAACTTTTCATTCGCACCAGGTTCTTTGCTCGAATCGGGATGCCATTTCTTAGCCAACTGCGAGAGTCGTCAGTACCGATTCTGTCGTGTACCTCGAATCCTACATACTTGGTAGTAAGCTTTTTTGATATCAGATGCGCTCGAGTCCTTCTTGACTCCCAGGACATTGTACGGATCCTTGGCAGATGCAGATGAAGACGCGGACGAGTGGAAGGATCGCTAGATGGCTAAATCAGCTTTGAGATGCTCATGGAACAAGGATCGGGTGCCACTCACCTTGCCAGACGAGGACATGGTTACGTTGAGCGTCACTACTGACCTCCTCTGTGCATTTGATACAGATGATGAGGACGCATGACCCGTACACAGTGTCCTTTTGCTCTGACGATTCGGAGACCCATGTTGCCGCTGAGAACAAGAAGGAGGAGGAGGCACGGGAAGTGTAGACGAGCTAGCTACTGCACCATTGGATATAGGAATGGTGGTCAGAATCCTCGTCGGTATTCTGGGCGGCATGCTTGAGGTTAAACGCTATCAATCGCGGGCTCCCCCTCGACGATGTGACCTCCTCGTTCAGCTAGGTCGTTGAAATTTTTGGTGGCTCTGACGCAGGTTTTTCCCCTTTATTTTGAGAATCTTCTCGGACCTCGTAGAAAAGTTTACACACAGGAGACGGAAGCAAATTTTTGGGTTGCGATTCCCTAATGTGGCAGGCATATATGCTCCTGGCTATGCATTGGCCTCAAAGTGACGAGGGACTACTTGGGTTAGCTTGGGGAACCCTCCCATACCATCTTCTGAAGGCTTCATTACTAGTTGAGCATTGGAATAAGATAAATATCCCAAGACGAGACTCTATGGGCGGGGATGTCAGCGAAGTAGGCTGCCATGCAGGACATTCTGCTCACCTGATCGATCAAGCTTGACATGACGCAGATGATATCCTCTATAGCTAGGTTGCCGACCTCGACCTCGTTGGACCCTTCAAAAGCACGCTGGGATGCAGCCAGGAAAACCCAAGTTGGGCACCTGTTTTTCGGGGACTCGGGGTTCAGGTTATAGTACAGTCTCAGGGCTCGCCTGAAGAGATTGCGCCAGACTAGAATTTCTCCACGTTCGTAGAGGATCAACCATATTGATCGATGCCGATACCAATCTCGACAGTTGAGCAGCTCGCGTCGGAAAGCGACGACATTGCCTGATTGAAAAGCTCGGAGCAGGGGCATGAAATCGCCCAGTTTGTATCGCTGCAAGAGTGTCATTGTGGGAGAATAGCCGAGAAGCAAGTTGACGGGTAATAAGCGGATCAGAATGGCTCTGCGATACAGCATGTCGTCAGGAACGATGTGCCTTTTCCAACCCACCTTTGCTGTTGGTGACAATCTGATGGACACATCTGCCATGCCTTGTCTAGCCAAAACTTGGCGTTCCGCATGTCCAAGAGCACCACTCCGAGTTTTCCTCGCCAGTAATAACTCTCGCACAAGTCTGTCTGGTGCAGTGACATAGCACGAGAAGAGACTCTCTTGTTCTCCGGGGGAGTGAGCGATCCAAGTGTCTTGGCTAGCCCAGACGCCTGAGTATGAAGTTTTCTCTGTCACTCGTGGGTCAGCTCGATGTCAACTCAGAGACCAGACCGATCTCCTCCTCATCATCACTGACCTCTGCGTAGATTCTCCATAGCATGTTTGCCAATGGCCAGACTATATCGCCGACGAGGTACTGGTGGGACGTACTGGCTGCCCAGTCTCCCTCGCTCACGACGCTAGAGGAGATTTGAAATGTCTTCTCTATCGTCTGTCTAGTGGTATCTCGGATGGACCGAGAAGAGAGATTGGAACGGGGAGGATGTGGAGAGACAGCGGCAGCCTGAGGTATCGTCAGTGAGGTTCGAGCCTACGGGGGGTCCATACGCACTGTCTTTGCTGTCCGTATGAGATGACGACAAAGCATGACCATGAATGGGTTCATGAATGCGTGAATGAATCCTCCGTCAGACCCGGTCATTCCATACAGCCTGTTAGCTTCTCTGGCAGACCTCGTCAGCTCATTTAGTCAGCTCGATAGTCCATGGATCTCACATCTGTACAGCATTGAGCCGTCGGAAAGCCTCAATTGCCCGTTCTGCATCTGGGCTCGAGTTTGAGAAGACTTGGAGGTATTTCAAAATAGCAACGAGGAACGAAGCGAATATATCCTTGGTCTCATTCCGGACTGATACGTAAGAGAGGACAGAGGTTGTCGAAATGGCCGTGTCGGAAACCTTATGTAGGCTGTCAGCATCCAGCGATTCACCGCTCTCTAGAGCCTTGATATAGGGGGATCCCTCACCGAAGACAGAGCTTGAACCAGAGTATGATATGCTGAATGACGGTCGTTTAGTGGAATGGAGGCGACTACAGCTGGGCCTTGTGCAGAGCTGAAGCTTTGAGAAGCATGGGCAGCCCATTGTGCTATGGTGTTGGACATTGTACAGGGCTTCAATAAGTATATATCTATGCAGCCGAGGCTCACAGAATTGGACGCGATTGCTTTTTCAGAAAACCCTCCATGGGAGTGGCGGTCAAGTTGTGAGTGGTCCTCACAGGAGTGTCGACAGATATGCACAAGCGACTCACACAATGCACCTGACAGACTCTTCCTGCGGAGATGTAAACAAGCAGGTAGTTCTTCTTAGAATGATAGACGACAGTGCCCCTGGACGTGTCGCTCAAATTCCCTCCTCCCTCTCGATGTCTTCCACCTCAGTCCTCCGCCACCCCCTCGACCTCCTTGCCCGCCACCCAAGCCCGTCTCAATTTGCCGTCATGGTCCCACAAGCAGAGATCAGCATCATATCCTTCTAGAATCATGCCTTTAGACTGGGCAACCCAGCCCCCAAGCACTTTCATAGGGTTCAACGTTGCACAGAGGAGAGCTTGGTGAAAGGGGATGCTGGTGAATCTGGCCAGGTTTCGAACACCCTGTGCCAAGGGCAGAATGCTGTGGGCAAGGTTGAGATCGGCTCAAAACCACGCATGTCACTTGCTTACCTTCTTGCTAATGTATCGGTACCTGCGAGCATGATTGCACCTCCCTTCTTCTCAATCTTGCTGCCTTCTCGCCAATGGTAGACTCCATCAAGGAGGCTCGGATCCATGAGGGACATAGCTATAAGAGTCAGTCATAAGTCTAACTGCCGACCTTATCTCACCGTCTGAGACCAGGATACAGCCCTCAGGATGCGCATTGTAAGCCATGGACAATGCTTGTGGATGAACATGGACTCCATCTGCAATGATTGAGAAGAACGGTCTTTTTACGATTTGACTCCGCCACAATGTGTCGTTGTTGTCTCCCTCCTCAGACTCTCTATCGTCTGGTATCTTTGCAACATCGGTCGTACCCGAGCGTTCTGTCTGAGTGTGAATTCTCAAATCTTAGCTCTTGGCTCTCCTGGTACTCTCCGACATAGGCAATACGGTTCTGAACGTTGACATTTTTTCAGTATCTTGACCGTGTAGATTGGCTATTTGAGCAAAGAGCGCAGCGGGATTATCAGCAAGTGCAATGGTGCGAAGAGCTTCTCCACTGAGCTCGATATCGATATCATCCTCTTCCTGGACTGTACTGGGAATACGCGAACCTGCACGGGACCATAATGGCGATTTGACGGGTGTGATACTGGGAGAAGGGAGGACAGAATGGGCCAAGTTGTCTTGTAGTGTCGGTGTGGCGGGAACAGACTCGTCAGGTAATCCGAGGAGTCCAATGACGCCTGGGTGTCGGTGATCTACTCGTCAGCCAAGTGCTCCTCATTGTCAACTCACGGAAGGGTGGCATGGCGTTGAACAGGTGCGTGATGAGTGTTGCGCCATGTGCGATACCGCCGAGTGCTTGATCGTGCGTGGCGTCGCTGCCATTCATCAGTACCACATTTTCGAGTATGTACACACCGTCACGATACTCACGTGTGTCCGAGACTGACTATCACACCTCTTTCCTTCATCCCTTTGATAGCCTCGAATGCGCCTGGGATCTCAGGAGCAATCGTCACCATTGTCACGGGATCTTTGCGGCCTTCGGCTTCGAGGGAAGCCAAGGACCGATGAGTCAGTGCTTGAGGACCGTACATCTGCAACGCAAGCGGATTTTGTTAGATTCGCGTTCGGATTATACAGTGGCGCCATCACTTTGCCTCCACACACACCTCATCAATGTCATCGATACCGCGCTTTGACTCAGCGAGGTTGCCGACGGGATGACAGCCAGGTTTCTTTGGCGAGATGAATGGCCCTTCGAGATGAATCCCAAGAGGCGTCGCCATCCCCGGCTTGGGACTTCCGATCCTTTCCTCCGCGACGGCCCTGATGATGGGAATCACAGCTTGGTAGACCTTAGGTTCTTGGGTCTTGTCTCGCCGAGTCATTCATTCGCCTCTTCATTTTGAGAAAATGGAACGCTGGACTCACAATGAGAGTTGGAACAAAACTCGTCACGCCAATCTTCGCCAAAGCTTTACACATCTCTTCCAGACGACCTTTGTACTCTTCTTCGTCTCCCCGCCAATCACTCAGGTCGACGTTGAAAGCGCCATTGATCTGTATATCAATGAGACCAGGGGAGAGAATCATACCTTGACAATCGACAACGTCCGTATCGGATTGCTTGGCTGCATCAGGGTGAATGATGATTCCTTCGAAAGTATCTATGAATAGGAAAGTAGGGGTCGACAATTCACCGGAAGGTTGAAGAATCAGTACGTTGATCAAGGCAGAGTAACGCATCGCGAATGGACGGGCGTGATCCCGTGTGACGGAAAGCTGTGGACTTTCAAAGCACAAATGTTGAAGGGTGTCGTATTGCTAGGTCAAGAAATGGTAAGTATGAAGAAGCTGATCAAGTGCAGGCGCTTCAGAATGTGCAGTCGACATCCAGAGAGAGGCTTGACGTGCGTCAAACGTCCTTTCAAAGTGGAGCTATAAAGGATTGTCGAATCATCGGCCGCCCCGAGTTATCAGTGTGCAGGCCTTCGCCACGACGTTTCACGAAGATTATCTGTTGAGAGCTTCACACTGCCTGCGGTATCATTCGATCCAGTAGGAAGTGCATTCACGCTGATTGTTTCGGGAAGGCGTCCAGGACCAACTGCTTTTTGTTCACCTTACCCATCGTCTGGATCGAGGGCGTCAGCTACAGCCAAGTAATCTTTCGCGAACTCACATTCCGCGGAATTTCCCCTTCGTACAACTTTAGCCTTTTCGGTATCTTGTACGCGGTGAGGTGAGCTCTCAACTCGGAACGAAGCGTCTCGATCGTCAAGTCTGGTCTCGTTGTGACTATACACGCTCCGACCTGGGATCAAATATCAGCACACCTGCCTTGGATTCTTCCAGTTCAAACTTGACCTACCACTTGACCCCACTCTTCATCTTCTATGCCTACCACCGCTACGTCCTGCATCCCTTCCAGCTCCAGGATCACTCGCTCAATCTCTATTGCACTGAGCTTTTCTCCACCTGATTTGATGATGTCTGTACTGTTTCTCCCCAAAATCTTGACCTGTCCCTTCGCAGCTGGTTCGGAGGAATACACAGCCACATCACCTGTCTTGAACCATCCATCGTGGAATTCTTTGGCGGTCACCTCGGGCAGGTGCCAGTATCTGACCATTTAATGATCAGCGGTGTCTTTAGACCCGCTCGGGATCGGGACCCAAGCGCCTCTGTCTTACTCGATAAATATCCCTGGACCAGAGACTTCCACTTCACCGGGGACGTCCTCCTCCTTGACCTCTTTGTCCGCCTCCTTATCCCAAAGACGGAGCTTTACATTTGACAGAGGCCACCCGACGTGTCCCTAGTGGTCGAAGATGTATGTCAGACATCGTGGTGTCTACTTTGGGCTGGTATCGCCTCACCTTGACCCGTTTCGCATCTTCCCAGCCTGTGCCAGCGATGATACCAGTCTCCGTCATGCCGTACCTATTTACTCCGTGAATACATGAGGTCATTGCGTTCCCTCACCTCTCAAGCAGCTTCATGCCTCCTCCTACGCCACCCTCTTCCTCCCATGTTTTCTTGACGCTCTCGGGCAGAGGGGCAGATCCTGAGACTTGCAGTCGAAGTCTCGACGAGCCTTCAGACGCTTCTTTTTGTTCTTCTGGACTTAAAGCGGCATGAGCAGCAATCAGCCGAGCTATTCAAGTATATCAGCGATGTCCTCCAAGCAGCCCGGGGCCTATACACACAATACACAGTAGGAACTCCAAAGAACATGGTGATGGGCTCTTTGGCCTCCTTGTTGATCCACCTGCGCCAGATCTAGGAGGGATGCAGAATATCAACTTCTATCTAGCTTGGCGAACAAGTCATCAGCTCACCGCTGGACCGTCAAATTTCTCCCAAAGTTCGACGCTTGCTCCGGCCCACAAGGTCGGTAAGAGAGCCACTGTGATTCCATGGAGATGATTCAATGGAAGTATATGCAAGAGATTGTCCTATCCGTGATCATTAGCTTTTACATGCATGTCAATGGAACTCAGAATGCACCGAAGACTTACTGACGGAGTCCATCTCCACGCTTCGACCAGAGCTGAGACCTGTGAACTGAGAGCCGAATGTCTCGTAACGACCCCTTTGGGTCGACCAGTCTGATGATCGGGTGGTCAGTTCCTTTGCATCGGTCAAGGAGCCCCCAAGCGTTCGCCCTACCGTTCCGCTCGTGAATAACATCATGGCTCTACGATGCCCTTCGAGCGCTTGAGCTCCCTCCAGAGCATCCTCCCCATTCCCAGATTCTATACTCTTCTCCCTTATGTCCTCTAAATCCAGTTCCATGATCTCACACTGTCGTCCTCCGTTCTTCTTGACGATCACGGCCAGCTCCTCTGCTCTCGGCCTCATCTTCTCATCACAAATGATCAGCTTGGCTTCACTGTTCTCCACCATGTACTCGTGTTCAGGTAAAGGCATACCCGGTAAGAGTGGGACAGCTAGCCCTCCCGCTGTCCAGACTGCCAACATGGCCAGAGGCACCAAGTACCCTTTCGAGCACAGGATACATATCCGATCTTCCTTCAGTCCTCCATCATCCGCTTGACCTGTAGAGCCGTATGTGTCCACAAGCGTAGCGGCTAGAGAAATGGTATCTGATAAAAGTTGAGAATACGTCACTGCTAATCCTCCATGAGCCAAGTCGGTGATTGCGATGGAGGATGGTGAAGCGCTTGCGTGGGATCGGATCTTGTCCAATAGACCAAAAGTCGACAGCTTGCCTTTGACTCCCATCGTGATTCGTGGCAAGAATGTCTCGTAGAATCTGCTATCTCCTCTTTCAAAAGTCCACCCGGTTGCCAGATCCTCCCGAGCGCATCCGAATTCCGGCTATGAGCGCATATGAGCGGGCACTCGGGGATCGCCAATCCGTCCTAGACATGTACAATGGGTTTGCATACACATTAAGTGTTCAGGACCTGTAAGTCAAGCCACAGCTTCCAGTCACGTATGACTGACATTTTAGAATTATAGGCTGTGATCTTTGGAGGAACATCGTAACGGGGTCGTCAAATCGTGATTCTTACAGGCCCAACTTGGGCTCTCCCAACATTGCTCTCACTCCAACTCCTCATCCCGATCCTCGGCCGTAGTCTCCTCTCTCAACCTGGTCAATCGTCTGTTGAGCTGCGCTCTCGCAGCTTCTGCATCATACGTTGATCCAGCGTGATTCATCATATCGAGATTGGCCTCGCTCATTGCATCCTCATTTGAATCCTCTGCCCAGGAGAATGTAGGCGATGCGAACTGCGACGTGTCAGCGGATCCAGGTTCCAGCGAAGATTCGCGGTCACAGCCTGGAGAAGGCTCGTGAAAGACTGCAAAGAGGATCAGTCATCATCAAGAATTTTGTTGCAGTCACCTCGACTGACCGACAGGCACGTCGTTCCAATCGTGCACCCCCGCCAGAATCCTGCATGCCTGTGGTGGCAACTGATCCCCAGCATGGATCCACGACAAGTCGTCCATCTCATCTTGACTGTTGACTTCGATCTCAAAGAGTCGGTTCGACTCGTGAATGAGACCGCCTCCCTGACCATCGCCCCCGACAATCAAGTGATCATTTGTAGTATCCGGTGTTTCTTCTTGAGGTTGTTGTTGAGGCCTCAATCCCGCAGGCACAACGGGAAGCGGAGCCTGGTTCTGCGGCGCATCGAGGCGATCCCTACTTCGCCGCTCACGTAGCACCTCTTTTGACCCTTTGAAAACGGCAAGCGAGTTGATGCCTCGAGGTAGATGAACCCGAATTCTCGGTACAGCGACGCGGTTCCAGAAGTCCAGTCGAGGCGCGGTCGCAACGATCGACGCCATTGGATCAAGCGCGACCAAAGACAGTGCCTGGAGGTGTGGCATCCAGTGCGATTCCAACAATTGGTAAAGAGCGTCTCTGATGATATGAGGCAGATCCTTGGCACGCGGGGCATGGACGGCAAGATGAGGTGGCAACCGACCAGGATTAGCGATGGTACCCTGGGGAGCAGGAACTAGTCCAGGACCAGGGACGGTGGTACCCATACTAGAGACAGGATTGGGCGGAGGCACTGTGGATGAGGATGTTGCAGAAGCCAACAGATTCGAGGTGCCATCATCGAGGCTATCGCCAGGTACATCTTCGGTAGCCTCGCCGGTGGCTTGCCGCATCGCGGAGCCGTTGAATGCTGCTTGAATGTCATCAGATTGTCGAGTCGATGCAGTATCTCCAAGTCTTGGCTCTCGCTCGGATTCTGCGGCCTGGGAGGATCCTGGTAGTGACTCCCCGCAGTCCTTTCCGCGAAGAATGCCATTCGTAGGGGGATCCTCCTTTGACTCTCCCAGCGTCGCCTTGTACGGTTGTGTAGCTTGGGCCTCCTCACCCTTCTCCGCTTCTGGGGTGATGAACCAAGTCACAGGTGGACGAGGTTCCTCGGCTGGTGGCCTTTCGCCTTTCGGAATCCACCTAAATCCCGGAGGAGCTCGACCGTCATCCTCGATACGCTTGCTGAACCTCTCCAGCCAGGCTTTGGGATCGGAAGTCCTGTCTTTGTCTTCAGGCCGGACGGGGTATCCGATAGGTGACCATGAGCGAGATGTCCTAGACGGACGGACTGTCTCACTACCCGGTACCGCAGACACATTGGGATGACCTTGAACTGTTGAAGCTGCGCCGCTCGCGACGGTGTTTGGTGCTGTTGCAGTGGTTTGCGTTTCAGGCGATTCCCTTCGATGTCCAGCAACCTCAGTAGCGTCCTCTTCAGAGGCATTCGCGGAGCCTGACTGGTAGCCCGCGCCAAGCAGCCGATCAGAGCCGTCTTCGATGTTGACAGCAGAGCCATCTGCGCCGGATGAAGCCCTCATGACATCTGCTGCCGGCTGAGAAGACGTCGGGGTCCGAGTGAAGCTGGCAGACTGAATACTCGAGGACGCCGGAGAAATCCCAGATTCGGCTGTAGGCCGGGCGCCTTCGGTGCCAGGGGGATTATGTGGACTGTTCGCACCAGGAGGAAAGGCTGGGGGCTCTCTACCTCGGCCGAATCTAGGAGGTAGTCCCCCCATCGCGTTTGCTGCTCCTGCTAGCATTCGATCTCTGTCAGCCTGTAAGAGCTGCCGTTGGGCTGCCGCATTAGCTGCGACTTGAGCCTGCTGTTGAGCCCAAGCTTCTCTGTCATCGTCCAACAGCCCGATGCGGATCTCAAGCTCTTGATTGCTGTTCATCGCCCTCAGCCAATTATCCTGAAACCACTTCACATCTGTAGCTTGCGGAGTCTCGCCATTTGGTCCGTTGATCTCCCATTCTTGGGCATCGTTCCGGGGACATCCTCGGAGGTTGGCGCGGTATGGACCTGTTTTCGAAAGGGTGTAAAGATCTCGACCGATTGGAGATCTGCTCAGATCCCATAGGCGAATTTCCAAACGAGCCTTTCGAGGTCTGACGAGAGCCAACGCATCGAAGAGATATTGAGCGCTGGATGGCCTGGTGATCAAAATCTCTTTGAGCGTGATTGAATTGAGTGAGGTTGGAAGAAGAGGCAGTAAGGTGTCCAAGCTAGGATGGATGCCTGGAGCCTTTCCGGTACATAGCTCGTAGAATGTGGGTGAGGGGTTTAAGGTGATATCGTGTACGTAGGACCGACGCGTGTTCGAGCTCTCGTTAGGGGAGGAAATGGAAGTGATAAAGCTTGGGATGGCGCCATACTGGATGTGAGGGTGCGCATAAAGGACTGAGAGAGCGATTTTGTTGAGATCTTTGCATATCAAAAGGGGGCTAAGCGAGGTGGTGAGGGGGATTTCATGTTGCCAGTCTGGTTGAGATGTCAGGTCCATCTGTACCACGAGATGGATTTAATGGTGGCTCACCTTGGTGGTAGGAATCATAGAGGATCTCAAAGACTCTTCTCCACACCTCATCCGGTAGAAGTGGGCAGGCCTTTTCCTTACCCTTGCCTTTCCACTTCTTAGGTGCAGGTACAAGCCCTTGACCGTCATCAGACGTCATGTCGGATAGATCGTGTACAAGCTGCTAGGGGTCGGCTGGACGGCTACAGTCTGTGTTCTCGCTCATATGAGCATCCAATGATTGAGTGTTTTGCGACTGGAAGGACGAAGTCGAGCGGATAGGCAGTGGCAATGGTGTGTCTAGGAGTCTGTCGCGCCGTGTAACGTAGAGTAAGAACGAGGACCTAGATGAGCTCGCCTATCGGGGCGCTCGATAGAATGATCGGGTGCTATCGCTCGCTTCGTCGTCGAGTAGGGTGTGGATGAACGAACAGTAGACAGATCTCCCGACGAAGGAGCCATTGAGGGGGGCTCGAGGTGGAAGAGTGAGTATGGTAAGGGGAAATATGCTCAATTGTGCAAGGCCAAGGTATCGCCCTCGGATCCGACGGAAGCAGAAAAGAATCCCTGTAATTGCCCGGTGGCAAAATCGGGGCGTTCTGGGAATGGCCATTGAGGTGCTGCTGCTGACAGTGTCACATACATGTACACGAGGAACAAACATCTGCGTGCGGGGTTGACTTCCTGTTGTTCGACTGTCCGTCACGGAACAGCCATGGTACTCTGTGCCATGATGTATCCTGTGCAGCTTTGTCCCAACTTTTCACCCTTGCTTTGAACCCTCTGACCTGTTGTTGCATCCTTTGACGGTCGTCGATCATAACCCCTCCGGGTAGAAAATCACAACGAGTTGACTGTCTTCAAGTGCTCAAATACTACCTCACTGACTAGACCTGCACTCCGCTCGACAGTCGCACGAGAGTACCGAGCTGAGCTCAGCGAGACTATCGATCATCGCCAGCACGCACTCCCTCGAAGCTTCCTCCTCCACTTCCTCCGCGACTATCTGACCCCTTTTTAACGAGCAATTGAGCTGACTCGACGATATGTCAAATAAGAAACCACCCAAGACTACACCGGCAGGTATAGGATACGGTAAACCACTGCATCCGTTCGCCGTGACGATCGAGGAGCCTATCGCCAATGCGATTGTTCCAGATGGTTATGGCATCAAGTATCATGCCTATCATACCATTACAGAGGGTGTCTTGTGAGTAGACTTCGCCATGGCCCCCGGCTAGAGTACACCTCCCGCCCGGCATGACGTCAGCTCTCACTTACGAATTCACCACCACTTTCAGTTTGCCGACCGGCACATCGTTACCTGGTGGAGCGGTCTTGCCCATGTCTTCAGTATGCGACTTTCCCATGGTCCTCCCAGAAGGTGAGTCAGAATCTTTTGAAGTCCCATCATTGAGCTTGCAAATAGGTACGAAGATGCCTGGTGGAGTCATGGTCCCGGTAAATAGGTCTCGCTCCACATTATGAGCACGCTGATATCATCCTCGCAGATCACGATGCAGAAGAAGGACAAGGCCATGCCATCCAGTAAAGATCCAGATCCAGTGTGTGTGATCCAGTAGTGGCTCGAACGGAATCAAAAATTCTGAAAATGTATACATGTCACGTGAACTTCTGAACATTTCGCGAAAACGCGGTCTGCTGGTCTGAATTGCTTCGAGCACATACTACTTGGGAGTCTGTTGCAACTTCTATCTGTGCAACTGACTCATCAGAGGAACATCTTAAGCCTAGGGACTCGATCGAGTGACGAGGTGTATATTGAGGGCCTACGATGTCGCTCAAAGTTCCCAAGGCTGGAGGTCCAGACCTCTTCAAGTCGGGCTACAAGGTGAGTCTGTGTTCAAGCAGGATTATCTATACCATCAGCTTGAGCCTTGAGTGCGAGGATCTCATCGATTTTTCACGCCGACTGCGTTGAGACCTTGAGCTGACGAATCTATATCCTTGTTAGTACATGTCCGGCTTAGAGGAGGCTGTCCTGCGAAACATCTCGGCAGTGATGGAGTTGAGCGAAATTGTGCGGACATCATTCGGACCTAATGGTAAGTCGCGATGCCCACGATGAGCTCGAACAGAATGGATCATCCGCCCACTGTTCAGCGTTCATAGTCATGATATCTGATCCTCCTCCTCAGGTCGCAACAAGCTTATCATCAACCACCTGGGCAAACTCTTCGTGACATCGGATGCTGCGACTATCATTCGCGAGATCGAGGTCGCTCATCCAGCTGCCAAATTACTAGTCATGGCTAGTACAGCCCAAGAATCAGAGGCGAGTGTTCCTCTCAAGCTCCACGATGGATTTGTGCTGACTGCCTCGCCGCAGATGGGAGACGCAACCAATCTCGTGTTGATTCTGGCTGGAGAGTTGCTGAAGAGGTCCGAGCACCTTTTGACCATGGGTTTGCACCCTTCCGATGTGATCTTAGGGTATGAGATGGCCCTGGAGAAGGGCAGAGAGGAACTTAAGAGTGATTCAAACCCCAGTGCGCAAAGTCTACCCCTGCTGATACATTTCCTCAGCCCTGGTCTGCTCAAGCCTCGCGTCTTCACCGCTCCCTACCATCTCCGACCTCGCCGCCGCCATCTCGCCCTCTCTCGCCTCGAAACAGCCTGGATCAGAACAGATCCTATCAAAACTGGTAGCTGAGGCCGCGCTGGCGATCATGCCCAAGAATCCGCGGGATTTCAACGTGGATTCCGTCAGGGTCGTCAAGGTCCTTGGAGGTGGACTCGAAGCCAGCAGAGTTGTCAGGGGAATGGTCTTTGGACGAGAGCCGGAGGGTTAGTCGGAAATGCCGATGAGCTAACATTGCTGACGGCACCAGGTATCGTCAAGAACGCGACGAAGGCAAAGGTTGCGGTCTACACATGTGGTCTTGACATTTCACAGACGGAGACCAAGGGTACGGTGCTGCTGAAAAAGGCTGAAGAGCTACTCGATTTTTCTCGTGGAGAGGAGAAGCAGCTGGAAGGGGTGAGCCATTAGTAGCCGCTGCAAGCTGACGCTTCCTAGTACTTCAAAGAGATCGCCGACTCTGGTGTCAAGCTCATCGTCGCCGGTTCTGGAATTGGAGACTTGGCTTTGCATTACCTCAATCGACTCAACATTGCCGTCATCAAAGTTCTATCCAAGTTCGATCTCAGACGGCTGTGCCGCGTTGTCGGAGCCACCCCTTTGGCTCGTCTGGGTGCGCCTACCCCTGAAGAGGCCGGGCTCGTGGACGTGTTCGAAACTGTGGAGATTGGAGGCGACCGCGTGACAGTCTTACGTCAGGATTCAGAGAAAACGAGGACGTCCACAATCGTTCTACGAGGTGCGACTGCCAATTACCTCGACGATCTTGAACGATCCCTGGACGACGGGATCAATACGGTTAGGATATTGATGAAGGATGGCAGGCTTGTACCTGGAGCGGGAGCCAGTGAGATAGAGATCGCGAAGCGAGTGACTAGTTTTGGAGGCAAGACGGCGGGACTGGCACAACACTCTATCAAGCGATGGGCCGAGGCCTGCGAGGTTGTCCCACGCACGTTGGCAGAGAATGCTGGACTTGACGCTGAGGATGTTCTGAGTGGCTTGTACAAGGCGCATGGAGATGGCTTGGAGGATGCTGGCGTTGACATTGACGTGGATGGAACAACGGGAGGAGGTGTAAAATCCGCCAAGGAACTGCGTGTACTCGACTCGTACGCTGCCAAGGATTGGGCCATCAAGCTGGCGACCGAGGCCGCGGTGTCCGTACTGCGTGTGGACAGCATCATTGTCAGCAAACAAGCTGGCATCTCAGCACCAAAGCAGCAGGGTCACTGGGATGACAATGACTAGGGTGTGGTGTTGACTACAGGGTCTCTGCGATGATGAGACCCATTAGCACTCCCTCCCCTTCCAGAAAATAAAGCTTTTAGCATGCATAGAAGGGGATTTTTGTCTCATTGCGCTTGCCGCGTAGGTTCTGTACGGCGATCAAGCAGACTGTTCCACTTTGAGATGGATGGATGGCTCTCTCTCTCTCTATGCTTTCAGGGATCGCCATTGGACAAGAATCGTATGACATTGTCCGATCTGGTTTCGGTCTCAATTTTCGCGGTGCAAAACCTAACCGTAATTTCTAATCACCTGCCCCTTTTTTCCCTTTCTGATCATTAACACACCGAAATGGTAATAAATTCCGCTTAATACTGGTGGCGTCGGCTGGATGCATGTATGCATCTGGGGCTACTTGCGATGATCGAATGACCAAGAGCAGTCTATGCAATACATGCACTGCCATCTCTGTTGACTGCAATGCCATCTCTGTTGTTGATTGCAAACGAGTATAGACCTAATTCTTGAAAGAGGTAATATGGTCCATACATTGTCTGGACCGGCGCCATCGAATCGACTATACAGGAGACAGACCTGCCTGCCTCACTTGGGTGTCCCGTATAGCCACTGAATATCCCGTCGGGCTTGGCAAAGATTCCTTAGACTGATTCCTGTGACGTATAAGCAACAGCACGAATCCCTTCGGACGGTGACGGTGGGAAATGGTTGCGGCTATCGTTAGCGTCAGTCGATCGTCTTAGGAAGCCAATGTCTTAGTAAGGGATGCATGAATGTTGTCGTGGTTGTGGTGGTGGTGGAATGCCCTTGAGCCGAGAGGATGATCCTCTTCTGCCATGTAAGACACGGGACAGGGGGGCCAGGGTGAGGCGATTTGACAGCAACTGTAAATTCCCCCTCCCTCCCCCCCCCCCCCCCCCCCCGAGCCCCGACGGTCCGCGGCAGTTCTGTTGTCTGTTCCGGTGACTGAAATACTTGAGACATTTTTGTGTCCAAGATATTGACAAGTTGTGTCTCGAGGCTATATGATCAAAACAAGCTTAATCATGGATGGCGCGGCAGTGGCTTAGGGGGGGGGAACGAGACGAGGGAACGACAACGAGGGGGATGTCCGGGGACTGACAATCCCGACGGCAGCCGCGACGCAGAATAGAATTTAGACTATGACTACTATCCTGGAATATGTTTAAACTTTTACGCAATCCGGTTGTTCTCGCGGTCTAATACCTCAAAAAAAAAGAGAAAAAAGAAGTCTAAAAAGTGGCGTTCGAGGCGACGATCACTCGAAATGCTCAATGTAACTGCTCGTTGATTTGTCTCAGACATCATATCTAGCGGCGGCATCATCGCAGATCAAGGTGGTGGTAAGCTCTAGGGAATGCCTCAGAGATCGGGGATCGTCCGTTTATGGGGTAATTCCCGCCGTTAAACTCTCTTCCTCTCGTTCCTTGCCTCTCTCTCACTCACTCTCAGAGGGGCGTTCATGGAAGATGGACTCACACTACCTAGAACGGTTTCATGAGCATGCGAATTCAAATGTGTGAGAGAATCAGGTACGATGTACATCCAAACGATCGAGATAGTCCTGCGACCTGGGAAAAAGCAGGGCCATCGTCTAATGTTCGCACAAGAGAATGAGAGAGAAGTGATATAACTCACCGCATCTATTCTTTCCCCCGCTCATACATACCAGACCCGACCTATCTTTACTTTCTTTAGGACCTTTTGAGAGGATCCACCTATACTTTGTGGTGGTGTGAGTCTGGTCCACCCTGTCTGTTGAACACTCGATCGGCACTAACCTCGCCGTAGCCTGCTATAGAGAACATTGCGTTCAGCGCAAACCCATTCTTTCGACATCATCGACGTTCATTGCCAAGACTCTTTCAACTCTTGCTGGGATTCGTATAAAGGTAGCGGCGTCGACCAGAGTCGATTGCCGTCAGTCTTGTTCATCGACAGTTCCGACCTCTGTTTTCAGTCTTCCTCGCATTCGCTCCCTCACCGCCACACGGATAATTGTCAGAATCAACATGAAGTTTCCCATCAGCCTTTCACTTTCCGCCATTCTCTTGCTCGCTGATATTCAAGCTGTCGATGCAAGAGAGGGAAGACGATCAGCTTTCTCATGGGCCAACTACCGTCAGAACGAGGTCGAAAAGCCACAGCCTCAACAACACAATGAGAAGCGAATACAGCTCGGTCCCATCGTCTCCATCGGCACTGGTAGCGGTGCCTCGGCTGCTCCCTCTGGATCCAGCGTAGCCACCGTCTGTGCCAGTGGACTCACTCTTGTTGGGGGAGTCTGTATCTCTCTTCTTAACGGCGGCGAGTCAGGCTCCACCTCCAGCGCGGCCCGATCATCCTCGTCGGTATCGGCCTCATCGTCTGTTCGCGCCTCATCTTCCGCCACTGTTTCCTCCTCCGTTGTTGTTTCATCGTCCGTCGCTGCGTCCTCCTCCGCCGCTGTTTCCTCCTCCGCTGCTGCATCATCATCCGCCGCTGTTTCCTCCTCCGCCGCAGCCTCGTCTTCCGCGGCTGCTGCTTCGTCTTCAACCTCTGCGGTTTCGTCTTCCTCAGCCTCCGGTGCCACCGTCTCCGCCATCACTTGTCTAGGCACTCAGACCCTCGTCAATGGAGTATGTGTCAATCTCGGCGCAGGGGTCGGTGTCAGCTCCTCCTCATCTGGTATAGCCACACCCACAGTCTCTGCAACTGCCTGTACCGCTCCCTTCACGCTTGTGAATGGCGTGTGCGTCAATCTTAGTGCTGGACTTGGCTCACCCTCCTCTTCTTCATCTGCTCCCGCCGGATCATCCTCAACCTCTTCTTCAGCGTCGGCAGCCGGTGCCTCCGCTCCATCCTCAGCCCCAGCTGGATCTTCCTCGACCTCTTCAGCTCCAGCAGTCGGTGCTTCCGCTTCGGCTACCGTATGCTTCGCTCCGCTCTCCCTTGTAAATGGCGTTTGCGTCAATCTTGGCGCTGGAATTGGATCAGGTTCCTCCTCATCTGCCCCTGCTGGATCCTCCTCGACCTCTTCAGCCTCGGCAGCCGGCGCCTCCGCTCCCTCGTCAGCACCAGCTGGATCTTCCTCAGCTCCAGCAGTCGGTGCCTCTGCCACGGCCTGTGCTGCGCCTTTCACTCTTGTGAATGGAGTCTGTGTCAATCTCAGTGCCGGGATCGGCTTTGGTTCCTCATCATCCGCCGCTGCCGCATCTTCTTCCACCTCAGCCCCAGCAGTCGGCGCCTCTGCCACGGTCTGTGCTGCGCCTTTCACTCTTGTCAACGGAGTCTGTGTCAATCTCAGTGCTGGGATCGGCTTTGGTTCCTCATCCGTCGCTGCCGGAGCTTCTTCCACCTCCTCAGCTGCCGGAACTTCTTCCACCTCCTCAGCCCCAGCAGTCGGTGCCTCTGCCACGGTCTGCGCTGCGCCTTTCACTCTTGTCAATGGAGTCTGTGTCAATCTTAGTGCTGGGATCGGCTTTGGTTCCTCATCATCCGCCGCTGCCGGATCTTCATCCACCTCCTCAGCCCCAGCAGTCGGTGCCTCAGCCACGGTCTGTGCTGCACCTTTCACCCTTCTCAATGGTGTCTGTGTCAATCTTGGCGCTGGCGTTGGTGCATCATCGACCTCCTCCGCAGCTGCCGTTGGCGCTTCGGCAACGGCATGCGTTACGCCTTTCACCCTAGTGAATGGCGTCTGCGTTGACTTGAGTGCAGGCGTCAGCCTCGGTGGATCGTCTTCCGCAGCTGCTGGAGCATCATCAACTTCCTCCGCTCCTGCCGTGGGCGCTTCAGCGACTGCCTGTAGTGCGCCGTTCACTCTCGTCAATGGAATCTGTGTCAACCTCGGAGCCGGTGCTGGTGCATCATCGACCTCTTCCGCAGCTGGGGTCGGGGCATCGGCTAACGCTTGTGTGTCTCCCTTCACTCTCGTCAACGGAGTTTGTGTCAATGTCAGTGCTGGAGTCGGCTCTGGATCTAGCTCTGCCTCTCCCACTGCCTCGGCATCGGGCGTCAGCGCTTCAGCCACCGTCTGCGCAGCACCATTTATACTGGTAAATGGAATTTGTGTTGATCTTAGCGCTGGAGTCGGTTCTGGATCCACCTCTGCCTCGGCTACTTCCTCTGCCTCTGGAGTCTCCGCCTCGGGAACGGTCTGTGTTGCACCAAACACAATTGTCAACGGCGTCTGCGTCAACCTCGGCGCTGGCGTTGGCTCTGGATCCACCTCTGCTTCGGCCACTTCCTCTGCCTCTGGAGTTTCCGCCTCGGGAACAGTCTGCACTGCGCCATACACACTCGTCAACGGCGTGTGCGTCAACCTCAGCGCTGGCGTTGGTGCTGGCTCTTCAGCTTCCGCGACCTCATCCGCTTCTGGGGTCACCGCCTCTGGAACGGTCTGCACTGCGCCATACACACTCGTCAACGGCGTGTGCGTCAACCTCAGCGCTGGCGTTGGTGCTGGCTCTTCAGCTTCCGCGACCTCATCCGCTTCAGGGGTCTCCGCCTCGGCCAACGCCTGCGTCGCACCGTTCACTCTTGTCGGCGGTGTTTGTGTCGACCTCAGTGCTGGAGTTGGCTCTGGCTCTTCAGCTTCTGCGACCTCATCCGCTTCAGGGGTCTCCGCCTCGGCCAAGGCATGCGTTGCACCATTTACCCTTGTCGGCGGTGTTTGTGTCGACCTCAGTGCCGGTGTTGGCTCAGGCTCTTCCGCTTCTGCAACCTCATCCGCTTCAGGGGTCTCCGCCTCGGCCACCGCCTGCGTCGCACCGTTTACCCTTGTCGGCGGTGTCTGTGTCGACCTCAGTGCCGGTGTTGGCCCTGGATCCTCAGCTTCTGCAACCTCTTCAGCATCTGGAGTCAGCGTATCCGCCACCGCCTGCGTCGCACCGTTCACTCTTGTCGGCGGTGTTTGTGTCGACCTCAGTGCCAGTGTTGGCTCTGGCTCTGGCGCTTCCGCTTCTGCAACCTCATCAGCATCTGGAGTCAGCGTATCCGCTACAGCCTGTGCTGCTCCATTTACCCTTGTTGGCGGCATCTGTGTCGATCTCAGTGCCGGTATTGGCTCTGGCTCTGGCGCTTCCGCTTCTGCAACCTCATCAGCATCTGGAGTCAGCGTATCCGCTACAGCCTGTGCTGCTCCATTCACCCTTGTTGGCGGCATCTGTGTAGACCTCAGTGCCGGTGTTGGTTCTGGCTCAGCCTCGGCTTCGGCTTCCTCAGCCTCGTCATCGTCCATTGCCACGGTCTGTGCGAGCGGGACGATCCTCCAAGCCGGTGTCTGCGTTTCGATCACTGGACCGTCTCCAGTCTCTTCTACCTCCTCCGCGGCACCTGGACCTTCCGGCAGCTCTGCTTCCAATGGCGGCAGCGGGGTCGAAGTTTGCCTCAGTGGTGTCTTCCAAAATGGTATCTGTGTCACTGTCGGCGGTACACCTTCGTCCACTTCCGCTTCATCTACGTCGACTGTCGCCATCGTCTGTGCTTCAGGACTCGTCCTCCAGGGTAACACCTGTGTCGCCGTCACTGTTACGCCTACCTGTACCTCGGATCAGATTCTGTGCAATGGAATCTGTTACGACAAGAACCTTTACTCTTGCCCATCTGGAATGCCCAAGCAGACCGCAGGTCTCAAAAAGCGAGACACTTGTCCCCTGAATCAAGAGACTTGTCTGGTTCCCGGGCATCAGAAGCGAGGTCTCATGTACGAGTGTGTCGACACTGAGAACGACGTAGAGTCATGTGAGTATCTATTTGCTGGTTGTTGCAGATGGAGACGGGTAACTGACTTCTCTCTCAGGCGGTGGTTGCATCCACCCAGACGACCCCTCCAAGCCTATCGGTGAAGACTGCACTGCTATCCCCAATGTCGACAGAATTGGTTGTATCGAAGGACGATGTGCCATTTATACGTGTCGAAAGGGATACAAGCTGGTCGGATCCGGCTGGAGCGCTTCGTGCGTCGCTGTCGACTCCGCCTACGGTCACAGGCGGAAGAACAAGTCTACCTCGACCTTCAACATTTTCAACGCTAGAGCTCTGTAATGGACGAGACAGGCATGGCTCGCTCCGCATCATCTTAGATTATCTCGATAGCTTTGGGGTGTCTTCTCTGTGTCTCAAATATAATGAGTATCATTATAATGTAGTCTTGGGTCATCTAGGTCTTGGCAGTATCGGCTACGACATAGAATGAAATGATGCACCACTATCACACAAATCAGGTCAGGGATTCTGTCATTGTGGTCTTGAATCAGAGAGAGCGAAGCACGAAACCTCCCGCTGCCAAATGTGAAGAGAGATTCATGAGCAAAAGTCCATGCATGAGCTTTTCTTCGTAATCTACGCGAGGAGGGATCAATGGAACGAAACCGAACAGATGAATCGTTTCGATCGGACAAAGTTGCAAACTGAGGGAGAGAAGGTGTCGTATGACGTGAAATGAGTCGAGACGCACAGAGCGAAGTACAAGATGAATGGCCTGCGAATCGACCAAGTGCAGGCAAATGCGTGTCTGTCTGGAGGTCCGACCAGCGGAAAGGTTGATCAAGCTCCGTTATGAGAAGTCAAAGACCATTCGTCGAGAGGGACGTTAGGTGGTGTAAGGTAGTCGCTGGATTGCATTCCGGGCCATTGAGGGTTGATGGCAATGGTCAAGTTGAGATCTCCACCGTTTGGTTGATCGACAACCAAGACGGTGACGCCTGGGTTACCTGGATCTCCGGCGTAACCGTCAGAAGCGGGCATTGGCGGGTCTGTCGAGAATGGCACGGGGGATGCAGTTGAGAAAGCAGCACCTGAAGGTCCTTGAACAATGGTAGCAATGGCGGTTTGGCCGTCCAAGACCAAGGTGGCTGTACCCCCATTGGTAGTCACGGTGGCATTGGTGTTGGCCCTCCATTGGATATCGGTTCCAGATGGAACACCGGTGATCTCATCCTGGATCAAGATCTGCTTTCGAGAATTGAAGTATCGGATACCTCGCTTGACGGACGAAGACGAGTTGTAGGCTGTCGACATGTCCATGGTGAAATAGGCGGTACTGTCATTGGGAATAGAGAAGCTAGGAGCGGCTCCTTGCGAGGTGTTGGAGCTGCCCCAGTTTTGAGTAGGCGCAGCGTTGACGTTCTGGTTAAGGTAATCGATCAAAATGGTGTTTTGGCCCTCGGTTCGCTTTCGGTAGTAGGTCCATCGTTCGGATTCTTGATCAGACGAGCTGAAGTACCCAGTTGAAAGGTATTGACCACTGCCGAGTTCTCCGAACCATCTGGTACCGAGAGCGTCGATGACAAAGTCTCCCAAGTCGAGATCGCCGTGTGTCTGATGTCCACGAAGGTCACCACTCTTAATCGCCCAGTATGATCCAGTCAGATCGGTCCATGAAGATCGAGCAGAGGCCCAGGCACCGAGTTCGCTGGGGAAGAAGTGGTCAAGAGGGAGCTGGTCCCACCAGGTGCCGTCCAAAGCGGGGTCGTACCAAAACATGGACCATGGCTCTGGGGCATCAAAGTGGTCTCGTTGGTATAGAGCATAGATGGGCTCTTGGAACATGGTAGCCCAGAGCATCAACGAGTTGGCCGTGGTGGAATACTTGTTGGGACCGCAATCTCCGTAATTGAACAGGGATGTCTGACCTTGGACATACATGTGATAGAGGGGGGTGAGAGCCCAGCCTGGATTGCTCGCAGCCATGCCTCGGTCATTGCCATAGGCAGTGAGCAAGGACGAGACGAATTCTCCGGCAGCACTGGTTCCAAAGTACCAATAATTGGCAGTCTCGGACCATGTTCCATCATCATGGGGTGCTTGGAAACAACCGTTATAGGCATTGGGAATAGCCATGTCGAGGATTTGCTGAGCCATGCCTGTCGGGTCTCGATCAATAATGGCGAGGGCAGCCATTGTCAGACCGCCATTACAGACACAGTTCCAGTTTCCGTTGATCTCTTGACTGTTCTTGGGGGGTCCGGTCCACCACTCCCAACCGTACTCGGTTGTGTCATTAGGATTCAGAGCGTGAACACCAAAGGAGAGACCGAGATCGAGCATGGTCCACATCATGGAATCACGCTGTTCATCTGTCCAATAGTCGTAAAGCCAGTCGTAAGCAATGGCATAGGTGGCGCAGAATTCGGCAAGATCCAGGAAATGTTGAGCGTTCCATCGAGTGCCGTTGGCTCCGAAAGGCACAGCAGAGTTGTTACCAGCGGCTGTCCAGATCTCGAGCCAGACACGTTCGGCGTACTTGGTCTCATTGGTGACCTTGTACGCGTAGGCCCAGTTCTTGACGCGAAGCTTCATCTTTCTGGCGACATCGAGGACACCGGATCCAGTCAGACCACCATCAGGGGTGTAAGGGACAGGGTCATCGTTGAGGGTGTCGGAAGCATTACCGACTATAGTCTCATTCCAGAAAGAGAGGTAGGGGTCGTTGGCGATGAGTCCTCCGGTCGTCAAGGCTTCCCATTTGTAAGCTGGAGCGATCAATCTAGGGTGATCACGGATCGAGTCGTTGGAGGGAGGGTTGGGGTCCGCTGGCCAGGCGCTTTCAGGACTTGGATTGGCAAGAACGGTAGGTTCAGAGTATCCGGCAGTATTGGTCTAAGGCGAGCGTTAGAGACGGAACTCAGCGAGATCGAGGAGGACTCACTCCAGTAGCGTAGAGAGGCAGCATCCACTCTGAATCGGTGGCAATGGCAAGGTAGACCTGACCGTTGGCTCCAGTCTCAGTCATGGCAGCGGTGTTGGCGCTGGTGAGTCCGCTGGGAAGACCTGTGTTTCCAGGGACACCCGAGCCATTGGAGTTATCATTGTTGTTTCCGCCGCTCGAGCTGTGGCTTCCATCCTTCTTGTCATCGTCATTCAATTGGGTGCCCAGAACGCCTCCAAGCACGCCACCGATAATGATGAGCAGTGCAAGAATACCGCCGATCCACCACCACTTTTTCTTGCTACTGCGTGGTTTCTCGTTGTATCCTCTGGAACCGGTGGCGGCATATGGGTTCTGTGATGACATGGGGTCTGTGAGTTGTTGACGAGAGGATTGAGTTGAATCGCGCATATCCATGGTGGCGTAGGGATTGTTGGAGGATGCATTTTGGCGGAATGTCATCGTGGATGAATGTGAGAGGTGGGAGATTGGGAGGGACGGAAATGGAATGGGTCGGGTCCACCAGAGGGGGGTTCGTGCGGGCAGAGGTCAAAGTTTATTGTGGGTGCAATTGCCGAGCACACAAAGGATGGTGTGGAGGATGATCAGATGCGATGGGATTAAATGAGTTGAGATGGAATGAGGGAGTAAGATGAACGATGACAGTCAGCAACCAATCGTTCGAGATTATCGGAAGAGGTTATGGATGCCGAGGTGCTGTGCAGCACCCAGCTCCCACCCCCACTCACATGCTTGGCTTCGTCCATTTCCATATCCAGAATCGTTGTAATCTGGTTCATCGTGATATCCTCCACCGTAACCACCGTTTCCTCCTCCACTGGAATAGTTTTGTTGAGGTTGCTGTATTCCCTCGTCACCATATGATCTACCATACCCGTCCGAGTAGCCACCTGCTGGCTCATCAGAGTATGGGGCCTGTTGATATCGAGATGGCATGGTGGGCCAACGAACCAAAGCGCGACTCTAGGTGCCCTCGGAAGCTTCAGAGACTACAGAGAAGAAAAAATATACAAAAAGGACACGCGCGTGCGAGGGAGGTTTCGGTCGCAGAGGACGTGAGAATGAGTGTGATGAGTACACGAAGGCGAGGTGGTGCAGAACACACGGGGTCCTACCTGTAGATACACGCCTTGTCGAACAGAGGTGTGTGGGTGAGTGAGTGATTGATTGATTGATTGAGAACGATGAGAAGAGTGATGAGACGATCACAAGATGAGAGAATGCAGTGTACACACCCACACCCACAGAAGCACGCAGTCTATAATAAAATAGCAAAACTTTTTTTCGCTTCTTCTTTTCCCAAGCGACAAACTACTCTCTCTCTTCTCTTCCCTCGTCCCTCTGATGCCTCTTGGGGGCTGCCTGCCGTCGCTGCCGCCCCCTTTTCCCCCTCCCCTGCTTATGATGATCCAAACACTCTTCGACACGCTTCCCGCCGAAATTGATCGTTTATTTTGTTTTGGGGGGCACGCGCGCATTAGGAACAGAAATAGACATACAGCAACAAAATAGTTTATACATAGGCCGTGGATTACAGGGTTGGTTGGTTGGTTGGGTGGTGGGGATTAGGGAATGAACAAGGTAAAGGGGATAGAGCGAAATCTATCATCCGAATGTGTGGTGGTCATCGGGACGGCAGTCGGTGTATCTTGGACAAGATATCTCTCTCTCAGAGCACGGCTCAAGCACGACTGCCAAGCTGTAGCCAAGGCCAGGAGAGAGAAAGAGAGAGGTATATGGCACCGCCACAACGGGCAGAACGAAGGGAATCCAGCGAGCCTCGTTCTTGGGGACACCTTGACTGAATCTTGTGGCAGCATCTGAGCAACACGCCCCGATGATGTATTATTATTACTGCATAAACATCACCCACTCTACCCACTCACCCGGACCCACCCCGATCTCGAGAACGCCTCCAAATAGACATTGAGTCCAGCGGCCGAAGCGGCACCTAACAAAGGCTGTACAGGCGAGACACCAGGGGAGTTTGATCGGCCGAGGATGAAACAGGTCACGTGTCTCAGTCTCCCACGGTGTTGTCGATGGTCTCTGTTGTCGGTCACACGGCGATCGCCGCATGATGCAACATTTTTGGGCAACTCCTGTGGCTCTCACAGTCGGCCAGAGTCTGCAACAGTTCACGCACAATGGGTCCTGAGCGACAATCATCTCAGGCGATCCCTATTCCTCAACCCTCCACTCCAGTAGGCGACGATGATACGCCTCCCAATGGTCCTGCTCATCCAGTCGATGTCTCACCTTCGTTCGATTATCACGACGAAAGGCGTCTTCACATGAACGATGAGATTTGGTTATCGCATCATCTGCCTCGACTTCCACCCGCTTCGCTCAATGACAAGCAAGGTTTCTATCCTGGATCTATCGGGTCGTCCTCCGTGACACCCGGTTCCATGTCCCCTTCCAACCATTTTGCTCAAAGTGCAGGACCAAGTCTATCGTCATCACCTCGATTGGAACGTAAAGCAAAAGAGCGAGCGATACCGAGTCATGTATCGATAGGTCAACCACTTCAGGATGCGAGTCCTTCGGCTTTTCATCCCACAGCTCCGGAGCTCGACGTGCCGAGACACGCAGAAGGAGGATCAAGGATGACCCTGGAGGGGGATGATGGCGGCGACGATGAAGGAGACCCTGGCATGTCGACAAGCAACGCCGAACAGACACCAGCTGCGGACTTGCATCCTGCCAAGGCTGGGATCGACCCAGATAACCGTGGGGACGAACATGAACGTCTGAGCTACGCGATTGAGCGAGACGAGCGAGAGTTGGATCAAGGGGGAGGTTTCTCACAGAATCAACATGACTCAGGACAAGCCGCACAGGCTGCCCAGGATGGTGAGTGGTGTGCCGAGGAAGCGACACAGTCTATTCGAATCCTTCAAGAGCGCTTTATCACACGCTCTCAGAATCTTGCTCTCTTCACGGCGATGATTCGCCTCTCATCCCGCGAGTCGTATGTGTCCAGACTCTTGACTGCTGTACCTACCATCTCTTTGTTGTCAGAGAGGACTCCAATGATGTCCACAACGCCTTTGCAATTCAGTGCTGGAAACTCCGGCTGGAATCCGAGGTGGATGGGGCTCACACACACACGCATGGAGGTGCTCTATGTCCTCCTCTATTGACATCGCGATGCGTATCCACGCAAGAAGGTATGCTGACATTCTTCTGACCTTGTCCACACCAGAGCACAACATTGGCTCAGAGCTGAAGTCTCTCTAGTGCGTACACTGCTCTAGCATACACATCACGCTGACGTTCTCTCCCAGTGGCTCATTTGCGCGATGCTTGGCAATCCGAGACAAATACATGGCTTTGTCTTGCCAGCGTCTAGGTGATAACCCAAGAGATCACGATGGTTCCTTCCAAGGCTTCAATCCGCCGTCCTCAGGGGACGTTAGTGGCTTGAAACCCGATGCAAACCAGGATCAGTCTGAAGTCTTCCCTCCAAACCCAAGCAATGATGACGCTTTCAACGCTGCGCCATTCCCAGCATGGAAGATTTATCCTCCTCCACCTGCACCTCACTGGCACTGGACACCAGCGGAAGATGGTATTCGCCCAGAACATGCCGATGACCCAGATGCTGCTCAAAGAGTTTCCTCAACCGCAGACGATCCGTCCGCTATCACTGGCGAACGAAGTGGAGGAAAAGACTCTCAAGCATTCAGAATTGAAACTTGCGAGATCCCTTCTGGAGCGAATGTCAAGTGTGATTTTGGTCTCAACGAGGAAGGCGTCTTCGAAGTTTGGTACGAAGATCTAGAAGCCACCGGATCGATTCCTGCTCCTGCTTCCGCAGCCAAACTGGAAACGGAACCGACGAGTCGCTCAGCGAAAGGCAAGGGGAAACAGAGGGTTTCCCGAGTGCCTTCCCTCAAAGAATATTTTACCGACCTTGACTACCTTCTGGGCGTATGCTGCGATGGCCCAGCCAAATCATTTGCTTTCCGACGACTCAAGTACCTCGCGAGCAAGTGGAGCATGTATTGCTTGTTGAACGAGTATCAAGAATTAGCAGATATGAAGGTGAGCTAAGCAATTTATGACGCAAGCGTTCCGGCTGATACAATGCTCCAGGCTGTTCCGCATAGGTTAGTGATACACTTAAGTGGTAGCTTGTAGCTCATGGACCGTCTCAGAGACTTTTACAACGTCAGGAAAGTCGATACGCATATACACCACTCTGCCAGTATGAACCAAAAGCACCTGCTGCGATTCATCAAGTCAAAATTGAAAAAGGCTCCAAATGTGAGGACTGGCGTGTCTCTCTCAAGCAAAGCTCACGTTATTGCAGGAGATCGTCATTCATCGAGACGACAAGGACTTGACATTGAAACAAGTCTTTGAATCACTCAAACTCACCGCCTATGACCTGTCGATCGATACGCTGGATATGCACGCGCATCAGGTCAGTCGAGTCCGTTGCAGCCTTGGTGAGGAGCTCATGCCATATTCGTAGGAGTTCCACCGATTCGACAGGTTCAATGATCGATATAATCCTACTGGGTCATCACGTCTGCGAGAGATCTTCCTGAAAACGGACAACCTGCTGAAGGGCAAATATCTCGCCGAATTAACACAGGGTGAGTTCGGCCGGTATATGTATCTTGGCGTGGTGCTGAGCTCGCAGAACTCATCACCGACCTGGAGCAGAGCAAGTATCAGAACTCAGAGTGGCGGCTATCCATTTACGGGAGGTGAGATGATTGTCGCGCTGGACCATGGGACCGACTGATACTTCTCAGGAGCATGGCAGAATGGGACAAGCTTGCCAAATGGGTCATCAATAACAAGCTATTATCTCACAACGTCAGGTGGTTGATCCAAGTCCCGCGACTGTATAATGTATACAAGCAAGCTGGTCAAGTGGATAGCTTTGAGGATATTGTCAAGAGTGTGTCATTTCAAACGTTTGGAATGGATGTGCCCGCCGCTAAGACCCTGCTTCTACAGACGTTTTTCAACCCTTATTCGAAGTCACCAAAGACCCCTCAACGCACCCGGAGCTCCATGTCTTCCTCCAGAGAGTCGTTGGCTTCGACAGCGTCGACGACGAGTCGAAACCTGAGAGGAGGCTGTACCGAAAGTATCCAACAGCTCAGATGTGGACGACAACGCAAAGTCCGCCGTATACATATTGGTGAGTTGTATGACACGCTCCAGACGCGCTGGTCATGCTCATACATTTCGCTAGGATTTACTACATGTATGCGAATATGGCGAGCTTGAACGCCTGGCGACGAGCCAGGGGTTTCAGTGAGTGTCTGCAATGAGTCTCTCAACTTTTAATGCTGACGCAACACTTGCAGATACTTTCGTCCTCCGGCCTCACTGTGGCGAAGCTGGCGATACCGATCATCTGTCCTCGGCATTCCTCACTGCGCATTCCATCTCGCACGGTATACTCTTGCGCAAAGTCCCCGCGTTGCAATACCTCTACTATTTGAAGCAGATTGGTCTCGCCATGTCGCCATTGAGTAACAATGCTTTATTTTTGACATATGAACGCAATCCATTCAAGGATTTCTTCCGGGCAGGATTGAACGTCTCGCTGTCAACGGGTGAGTGTGGAAGGTGTGGCACCCAAGCTCCAATAGGAGACTGATCGATTTGCCTTTGTCCAGACGACCCGCTTCAGTTCCACTTCACTGCCTCTCATTTGCTCGAAGAATACTCTTGTGCTGCGCAGATTTACAAACTCACCCCTGCGGATATGTGTGAACTGGCTCGAAACTCTGTTATCCAATCTGGTTGGGAAATGCAAGTGAAGAAGCATTGGATCGGTCAAAAGTGGTATCTTCCAGGATCCGCAGGTAACGATATCCACAAGGTGAGTGGAAAACACACAGAGCAGCAGTCAAAATGAACCGTCCACGCTTGCTTACCTTCTGCCTGCCCAGACCAACGTGCCTAATATTCGTCTTGCTTATCGGCATGCGACTCTGTTGGAGGAATTATCACTCATCCATCATGGTCTTCATTCACCTTCGGCCACCCCGACGCATCTCAAGACGTACCCTGTTCTACCCAATTCTCCCATGGCCAATACAAGTCTAGGTACGCCCATTGCAGCCCCTGGTCCCGGTACAGGTCTGTCCATGTCTGCCGGAGATGTCGGTGCAGCAGCCATGGCTCTAAGTACAATTACATCGCTACCGAGTTCCATATCCGATGCCGTTGCTTCACGTCAATTACCCGGCGGTCCAATGATCAGTCATTCGACTAAACCCAGCCTGAGTTTGCCTCCTGGTGGCATCGTCGGGTCCATGGGTGGGAGTGTACCGGTGCCATTACCCGTCAATCCCAATCCTGTACAGGTTATCGAGGGCGCTTCTGCGTTGGACGAAAAGGCTAGGAGGAAGAGAAGTGTTGGGAATTTCAAGCGGGACATTGAAGAGTTCCGTACAGGAACGAGAGGGGAGTGAAGGGCGCACACACACAGCTGAGAGCAGAGTGGCACAACTACCCTGGCCAGGCCTCATCATGCATTCGTGCCATTGTTAGAGGAATGGCGCTTCGGAGATCCGAGAGGACATCTGCCCCTGTTGACGGTGCATGCACAATAATGTTCGTGTGCCACGAGACAGAGTACACCGATACAGAACGAAACATGCGAGAGCACCTTTACATGACGACACATCCACATCCTTTATCCACATGATCGTCCTTACTCTTCCCTCTAGGCGCCGCAGGCTGCTTGTATTTGTCTTTATAAGCTGTCTCCTGAATCATGTGCGTCGTTCCAGGGGTGATGGGCACAGGTCGAGATCCACCATTGGCACCGATTGTGGGATCACCTGAACCCAATGGACCAAAATTGAAATCCCCGTAGGCTTTTGGCATACCATCAAACGATTGAGTAGGACCGTGCGCCCCACGCCTATCGATGCTTTTATCATTCGCCGAATTTGAAGGTTCACCGCTGCTGACGCCACTCGCAGAATGTTGTCGAGACATGGAGCCTGATTTGTCCTTTTTCAACAACGTGCTGTGTGACCTTGTCAACTTGTCCGGACTCGGCTGTCGATGAATCGGGGTGCCCCATTCAGCCATAGGAGCAGAAGGCGTCCCGTATGAAGTCGAGGCTCCGTGAGAACCCACAGACGAATCGTGGAACGTGTTCGAAGGTCCTGATGCAGTCCTGGGAAGGTTACCTAGGGTCGCCAAGGGAATATTTTCAGCTGATCTCTTGGGTCGTAGAGGATAAGATCCGGGCTGCTGAGAAGGATCCAATCCAGTGTTGTTCGGGAGTGGAGGAGCAATGCTTGGGCTTGGAGAGCCTTGGCGTAGCGACGACGTCGAACGTTTCGGAGCAAGTCTCTTGGAAGAGCTCGACCGAGATATCTCTGTTCCCAAATGGTGCTCGAACGACGTTGCGGGCGATTGATTTGCGAGCGAAGCATTGGGACCCAAGGCAGAGCCTTTCAGAGTCTCACCAGATGCTTCAGCTTGATCCTGCTCGGCGCTGCTACCTAGTCCGCCTTCGTTCTTCTTGTTCCATTTGATCCACTTTATCGGTTTTCCATTCTTATCCCATTCCACTACCAGGTCATCATCCTGGGGGCCTGAGCCGGACTTCTGAGCTGCTTCGGCCTCTAGACGCTTTGCGACAGTTGGTACAGGCATCGTCTCGGGGTTGACACCTTTCGGAGGGGTGTACGGATTCTCAGGAGGGATGAGATGGGCAGCGACTCCCAGACGAAAAGTCGAGGACGGCTGAGAGGCAAGAACATTCATGGAAGCTGATCTCGAGCCTGACAATGCCGAGACTGAGGCTGAGCCGGTTGGCTGACCAGAAGCTGATCGACCTTTGGATGGTCCTGCGACTCGTGTCGAAGGGTGACCGAAACCTAAGCCTGTGGTAGCGGACCGAGGGAGTCCAGAAATCTTGCTAGATGCGGATCCCGTAGACGGCCGAGCGCTCAGCGTAGCTGCACCGGTACTCTTCGTTCCGAGTGGTCTCGTGGCTTTTTTGCTCGGTATAGCTTTCATCGTTTCCGCCCGTTTCCGCTTATCCACAGGCATCTCGCCAAAGTCTCCAGGTTGATGCTCCTTGGACATTTCTACCGGGCTCTCTGTCTTGTCCCCTTCTTCTTCGTCCGTCATAAGTCCGAAAGCGAACTGATCATCTTCATCTTGTATATCGTGGCCGTTCTCCGCTATTCTCATCGCTTCATCCGGCATCATTCGGAAGGGTGGGAGCTCATTCTTGATGAACCCTTCTCGTATCTTGCTTCCAGAATCCAGCTCGAGGGAATTCCGACCCGAATCCGAAAAGTCCAAGATGGAAGACTGCCCTGGCGAAGGATGAGGGGATCGACCAGGTGATCTATTCGGGGACAACCGACCAGTGTAGACGGGAATACTGGACGGCATGATATGGGTGCTGCCATTGTCTCGGGGAGAGCGGGAAACGCTAGGTCTGGGACCAAGAGATGATTTAGATCGTTGTCGATGGATGATTTGGGAAGATGAGGAGGCTTCCGACCGAGGGGCGTCTAGAGATGGGCGGCGGGAGGAAGAAGCTGAAGGAATAGCAGCGGGAGGAGATAATGTCGATGAAGCTTGTAAATCTGGACTCAAGGTCGATAGACTTGGATCACGCTTAGCCTGTCGACCACTTGCATGTGGTGACCGGACGCCAACAGGAATGTTCGAAGGTTCTTGCCACCTTTTATTCGACGATGTGCCTGGGCGAGCGGCTGGACCAGGACCGATGGCCAGAGGTGTTGATTTGGTCCTGGCTCGTGGTATGGAAGATGCTGCAGGCTTTGACGAAGAAGGTCCAGATGGAGCTGGAGCAGGTATGGAGGATTCAGCTTCTGGAAAATTCGTACCGGATAATCTGCTCGACAAGTACACGGATTCGCCTTCGAGGCCTGCGAACACCGAGTCAGGGCAAGTTTCATGGTGTCATGTCAAGACTCACGTTTCTTGAGCGCAGGGACAATCTGACCATCCCAATTTGGCACTTGAGTCGCTGTGGACGAGGCCATGGTGGTCATGCTCTTGAACTGCTCTGATTGCTAGAAAGCTCGACGCGTCAGAATATCCTAGAGGTAGCGGATTCCAAGCGGGACAGTGACGGTGTTCACGAGGTCGTTGAGAAATGTCGGACTGCCTGCCAATTTGAAAGAGTTACCGTATGAATGACATGAAACGGCTGCCGGATATGGACGACCAAAGGTATTCAGCAGGACACGTTGGACTGCTTCAAATTCGACGTTTCAAAAGGCAGAGCATGACACGAGACATGTGAGGAAGAGAACGGAAGATACAACAAGCAAACGTGAGAGGTTAGAGAGTCATGGATGCGGATAGCGGGTGTGGGATTTACTAATGGCTCATTAGAAAAAACCGGTCAGAGCAGTCATTAGGATTCAAGTCAGCACGTGGCTGAAATTCTTAAAGTCCGTCCACCACAAAAGTCAGTCGCCTCGTTTGTCCAACCCACAGCATTCCAACCCAACAATGTCTCACGCGCCAGGGATGAATCGATCCTTTAGCCCCGTTTGATCCAGCGTAAAATGGTCAACTGAGCTGGCTGGCTCTAGGATCACTGGAGCTTCGATCTCGCACTGTCTCATCGTCATCCCTCCGAAAGGCTTCACAGCCTTACACCATGCCGACGTCTGACTCGGCGCACCATTACCATGTCGGGGTCGAGCAGATGAAGAAGAAGGAATATGCAGCGGCTTATGCATCATTTGACAAGGTGAGCTGAGTGAAGCGACTAAGACTCTGAGAGCTCACGAATCTTCCAGGCGATCATGCTCTCGCGTGTGAAGAGCCTTGCCACCTTTGACATGAGAGTTTACGCCATGAGCAGGATGGGAAGCGGTTGGATCAATTCGGCATTGGAAAGGGCACAGAAGAACTGTGAGGAATTCGACAACGATGTGAACTCTTGGAAGGTGAGTCTGACAATCGACCTCGTCCTTGGACCTGCGTATTTGACTTACCTTCGCCCCTAGACATGGCTTCGCCTCGCAGACGTTCTCTATTCAAAAGGAGAATTCCACGCCGCCGACGGGGCTTTGAACGACGCGGTCAAACGTATGGACAAACTGTCATCGGCAGCGAGACGCGCAAATGCATTAGAAATTATCGAGAAACTTAGAGATAAAGTTCGAACAGCTTATCGCGAAAAGCAGCTCGCTCGGAAACTCAACGCGCAGCAGGTCATCGAAGAACAAAACAAAGCCGAGAAGCGTAAACGAGACGCCTTGCGAGCGAGAATGAACCACATCAAAATGTTGCCTCGCGACACTCTCCTGATGATTGCCGAAGTGGCCGTTGGGGCAAATCCGAATATCGGTGTGGTGATGGCGGGAGTGTGTCGCGAGTGGAGACGGACGATGACACCTTGTCCACAACTTTGGAAAAGGCTCGTACTTGGTTCTCGACGACCAGTCGACAAAGCTATGTTGTGGCATCAACGGAGTGGAGGTAGGCTCAACGAACTGTCTTTTTCAGAGACATTCGACGCGTCCAACCATGTCGCCATCGCTGCCGCGTTGAGGGACTCGCTGGCGAGCATCAAGAGCCTGTCTTTGGCGGAGACGACAGAGCGGTTGGATCCTTACAGAGGTCGACTCAAGTCAATCGAGCGATTGACAGGTAAATCCAATAATAGGTTTGGACCATATCTCGAATTCGGCTTTATACATCCATCAACGACGACTTTACGATCTCTCTCTCTACAGACGGGCAGATTGTGTGTCTCTTCAAACTTCTTTGGTATCCTCGTCCCTGGAGCTGCGGTTCCCGGACCAGTGCTTGACAATATCATCAAGCATTTATCTACCCTGCGCTCCGTCGAGATGGAGAACTGTGAAGTGCTTGGGGACGTGTTCAACGGGACGTTTGCCATGTGCTCTCGAGCCTCCCTGTTTCAGCATCTCAAACAGGCTGAAATCTGCAAATTCAACGCAGTCAGCTGGACATCCTACGGTCCTGTTCAGGCCCCTCCGATGCTGCCACCTGGAGTCCAAGCTCCGCCGAATCTGGGCCGAATCGATTTGCCTCAACTCAAGACATACGAAGAGACTGCAGCAAACTGTCAACTGGAAGGACCATTGTTCGAGGCCATCCATGTCCCAAACCTTACTTCGCTTCACCTCTTCGACTTGCGGTCTGGTGCTCAATCCGACGCTCTTTCTCAATTACGAGCCCCAGGACTCGTTCACGCGTTACCCAACCTGATCAGCCTTGATATCGGCAAGTCTGCGTTGGACCAAGCTCAGCTTTTGATCGTACTCAAAGATTTGAAAAGCTTGCGATTCCTCAACCTCTCATTCTGTGGTATAAACAACGCCTTTCTCGATGCCATTCAGCTCAAGGACGAACTGAGCGATGCGGACCAAATTTTGCCTCACCTCACTGCGTTGTCAATAGCAGGCCACGAGACGGTCACCACTGGCGCTGTTCGGGATTTCCTCAATTCAAGATTACCCATCTCTGAGCGGATCCCTAAACGAGTGGAGAAACCACTGGCAAAGGGACCGTCCATGTTCAAACCAACCGCTCCAAAGCGAGTCATACCTGCTTCTCAGCAGTCACTTGGAGGATCATCCCAACGCGTTCCTGCTACGCAGGTCAAGTCATCCTCCATCCACAGTATCGCACTGTCTACCCAGCCGCCAAGTAGCTTTGCACTCTCCCAGGATCCTGATTCTTTACCTGTGAATCCTCGAATCGATTGGCTGAATCTTGACGCCTGTGAGAGTATAGAGAGCACAGCTGTGGAGCTCTGGCGCTCTCGGACGAGGTTCATCTCTAATTGGCTAGGCGTACCGGATTACGACAGGATTCGAGGCAAAGGTAAATGGGCATGGGATGCAGACTGGACGGAAGACTGTGGAAGAGGGACAGATCTGGGATGTCATTTGAGGCCTGTTCCTGGACGTGAGTCGATGCACACTCTCATATAAGTATCGGAGTCTAAAAAGCTGATGAGGCATTTCCAGGTCAAGGTGCATTTGAAGTCTGGCATACTTGCCGGTCTGGATGGACCTCCCTGCCGGAAGACGAGGATAGCGGAGACTCAGTGGCCGCAAAGGGAAAGAAGTCCGCCGATAGGAAGAAGGGATGGCACCAGATGCCTAAGAATGTCAGCTCGACAGCAAGTACGCTCGACGATGCTTTGTAGAGAAGAATTTCAGTGCCCCTTGCTCGTGTATAATAGGGCGATCGGGGTGTTGTACGCATACTGTGTTGATATGGTTCTGAGAATTGTTGTCGTTGCACATACGTGCGAGACATGTTGCCATTCTGTTGATGTTGTATGCACATAATGTACGTGAATAGTACTTGCACAGCTGCGCCCACATGAACATGAGGAGGGACCGTTTGACCCAAGACAGCAAAGCCTCAGCGGATCACACGAGGAAATTGCACTTGATCTCTAACGAGAATGCATCTTGTCTCTAGGGTACGGCAAGTACTGCTGAACATTGTCCGTATGGGGCGGGGATTTGGTGCTATAATAATATACAAAAGTGGAGGTCCGAGCGGTGCTCCGAGTGGTGGATCAGATCTAGCTCTTGAATGAGTCGGTCATTCGAGATTTGTGAATGCAGAACTTGACGACGATCTTTTCTAATGCGTCTTGGGGGCCTTGTGATCCGTGTTTCAAGGTTTGCCGCCCTCTACATCTTTACTTTCGTGCTTCTCGACCAACAATCGCTTGACGATGAGGTCTGCGACGGTTTTGCCATCTGGAAACACAAATCCGTCAGCCCCGTCAACCTTGCGCGAGAAAACATTCGTCATAATTCCCCCACTCACTCAGTGGGATATCGTTGCCTTGGAATCCTTCAGGATACGCGACCTGAGGTAAATCCGGTTCTGTAAATGTCTCCGCATTCCACACTCCGTAGTGCTTGATTCCGAGTGCCCTCGCGGTGAATTCATAGTCTTCTGCGAATCCTCCAGGGAAGAAGAACTCGATGACGGTCGCTCGGGGATTGGCAGCGTTCATCCACAAGAGATGAGATAGACCATTTCCATGAAGGCCAATCATGATGGTCGTTCGGGCCGATAAACGAATCTGCTCTTCTCGAGAAAGCTTGTCCATCGAGACAATGTTGACCTAGAAAGTGCAAACGTCAGACTTTCGTGACAGTTTGGTGTGAAGCCGTCAAGCTCACCTCCCATCCGTACTTTTCTCTCAGCGTTTCAAGTTCTTTGACCAATGCCTGGTGATCCTCCGTTCTCAACATTCGTCGACCCCATTCTTGGCGAGAGACATAGGTGATGACGGGTTTCCCAGCGACAACCTGCTTCTGCTTGGCTTGCTGAGCTTGCTTCTCTTCCAACGCCTCTTCCATAGCCTCTTCCTGCTCTTCCAAAGCTTCAATGTCGATCTCGGTAGATGGATCCGCCTTGGCATTGTCCCCGTAAATCGCATCGATCTGACTCAACTCTGGCTCGAGCGCATCCTCGTTTGAACCGGCGAGCACAAATTCGATGAGGTTTTTGCGTAAAGGTGACCACCAGCCTACACTTCCAGGCAAGGTCATGGCTTCCGCAGCTGTTCTCCAGGTTCTCTGAAATTCGGGACCTCGGAAAGCGGCCGCACGATCCGCAAAGACGACTCGCTCAAAGACGAACGCTCGTGCTGTATCGGCTCGATCGAGGAAATCCTGTTGAAATTCAAACGACATGGAAGGGAAGATGGCCCGAGTGATGAACGAGTTCATCTTGGCGTAATCGTTCCACTTGCCTGCAGCGGTGTGAGGGAACATCATTCGAGCGGGAGGTGGGAGGTGAGTGATACCGGCGGAGGTGATGGTTGGGTCGAGAGAAGCATACGTTCGCCAAAGCCCGACAAGAAGCTCGGCGCAGAAGCTGAAAATGGACGTGATCAGACAACGGTCAAATGCCAAAGCGGCAGGGAAACTCACTGGTAATAGTGGTCGAGGAATTGAGGAGGATCGTTTATGAGCATGGTGGGACCGTCCACGGTGGAGACTGTTGTTCCCCAGAGTTTACGAGCTTCAGAAGGGAAGATGATCCGCATGTCCTTCTCAGTGGGTTCTCTGAAAGAAAAAACCCATGAGATGCTGATGAGACTCAAGAATCCAAGCGCTCACCTCGACTTGATCTCCTCTTCGCCATTCCAGATCTCATTTCCAGTAGAGACCATCATCCGAAGCAAAGGTATGCTCGATGGGTTGTCAGTGACGATGTACCAAGTTCCATTGAAAAGGTAGATCGAGTCAAAGATGGTCCATCCTAGGATGCCATTTGTCAGTCAGACTGCCCATATCGGTGAAAAGACGGGACAGCACTCACCAGGAGCATGGCTCAGAACCTCCGTCCTTACAGGTTCAGGACCATCATCCCATTTGACCCTGGCATCACTGACGCCCTTCGACTTGATACCCGTGTTGCTATCAGCGATCCATTTAGCTTTGGCCGCTGCGTCTTTATGCGCCGAGGCACCGCTTGAACCTCCTCGCCAACCAGACGCTTCATTGTACCTGCTGCCTGAACCTCCCCATGATGAGTCGAATCGGAGTGAAAAGTCGAATTGCAGGAACAGTCCAAGGACGAGGAAACAAGTCAGGACGAGAAAGACATCTCTGCGGGTCGGATGAAATGTTGACATTGTCGATTTCGAGGGGAGCAGAGAAGAAGGGAGGACAGCTTTGACGGGTGAAATGATGGGCAGTGAGCTCTGTGGAGCGAGAGGTCCGAAAGGAATGGAGAAAAAGAGCGACTGATCGCCGTGTGTATCGACGTCTTGCCAAAGAGAGTTGTGCAAGGATCCAGTAGGACAGGGGAATGTGCAGTGCACTGAGTAGAGGCGAGGAGAGGAGAGGAACGGAGCGGTCCCTGCGTGACTGGTGCTGTCAAGGTGATGTCTCTAAGATGGACAATGCGATGCTATGGGCTACAGTGGTTGGAATGCTGTCTCTCCCAGTGGTCGTCGTCGCAAGGGAGTAGGAATGGATGGATGGGGGTGTGTCCCAGACGATGTTAGCAGTGCTAAACAACAATTCTCAGAAGTATAGTAGTAGTTGCAAGATCCACCAAAAAAAACAGAAAAAGTGGGAGTGTGTGCCCAAGTCTCGGGGAGACGGAATTGGGGGGGGTCGGGTCCAGGGCGCGGAATCAAATCTGTGCTAAAAACAAAACAACCCAAAAACCGGGCTTGGAAGGGGGGGGTTTATTAGGCCATTAGAGATCATTAGCATTTCCTGATCTTATCATTATTGACATTGATTATGATTATTACCATGTTGACACTGGGCCCATTCCTCTGCTTCTCTCTCTGGTCGATTGGCGTATCCTGAGACTATCCATCCGATGGGTTATCATCGATGGACTGCCTGGACTCTTGTGGCGCACAGCCTCTATCGGATTTGATCACCATGTGATCCTCAGTCATGCAGATTGGAAGGGCTATATCACTAGTTGCATTTCCGCCGAACAATAACAAACACTGTCGACGAACACGACGTCACACGCATCAACCCTTGTTCACCACATCCACCCCGGTAACATGATGATGATCATCATCCTCCCTGTGGCCCTGATTCTCCCTTCCCATCTCCCAATCCACCTCTGCTTCCAAAGCCTCTTCAAAGATTTGCACAGCTCTCCCCACCTCTTGAAACGTGTTGTATAAAACGACAGGGCTCAATCGAATGACACTAGGTTCTCGTTCGTCTCCCACTAAACCACGTTTGATCATGCGATGAAAGATCCTAGGCATGGATCCCTGACCTGCCCCATCACTCTCACGATGAGGCATAATGAACAAGGAGAGTTGCGTTCCACGCCAAGGGTATTCCGGAGTGATGATCTTGAAACCGACTTTCTGGGCTCCCTTCTCACCCGCAGGTCCAGATGGCAGCGACATATCAGTCTCGACCCGAGCATCGGGTCTGTAGAACTTTGACTGCTTGAGTAGAGATTCCATCGCGCCAGTCAAGAGACGCTGCTTCTCCAACATGTTGGAGAAACCAGCCTTCTCCATCATCTCCAAAGTGGCCAGGACGGGAATAGTGGAGAGCACAGGCGTGCAAGAATGTTGATAGCCTTTCGCACCGGGGGTCGGACGGAATGTTGGCGCCATCTGGAAACGGGTGGCAGATTCATTACCCCACCAACCGGCGAGTCTTCTGTCGCCATCGTCGAGCCCCGTGCGAATGTAGAAGCCTCCAATGCCGGAAGGGCCAGCGTTGAGATATCTGGTCGGTATGGTGTGAGCTCTGGCACTCATTCGCCTCGAATCTAACTCACTTGTATGTGCACCAAACTGCAAAGTCAATGTTCCACTCGTTGAGCTTTGTCTCGACGTTTCCAACGCCATGAGCCATATCCAGACCTATCAAAGCGCCAACCCCGTGCGCTTTGGCAGATATTGGAGGAATGTCGAGCAATTGACCAGTATAGTACTGGACCAGAGGGAGCCAAACGATGGCAATCTGGAAGCTGGTCATCATTGCGCTCAGACGCCTGGAGTTCTCATTCTTACCTCATCCCCGTGCTTTTGGATAGTTTCGATAACATCCTCTGTCCTCAAAATATCCTCGCCCTTTCTCGGCGCCAAAGCAATGATACTGTTATCAATCTGCTCCTGGCTGAGAACTGCCGAATGGATCCGTGGATGAGAGTGGATAGCATACTGCCGGTGTCAACGATGCTCTGCCGTGTTTTCGGACCTACCCAGTCGGACGGGAAACTTCCCTGCTCAATGACAATCCTCCATCTCCGCTTAGTCGGACGGTAGAATGAAGTGAAGAGGTTGTGAATGTTGCTTGTCAATGTCGAAGTATGCGCCACCTCTTCCTCTTTTGCCCCGATAAGAGCTGCTAGGCGAGGAGTGATAGGTGCATCGACATGCTTCCAAGGACGAGAATGAGGATGGGAAAAGTGTCCAGTGACACCGCTGCGGATCAGGTTAACGTCAGCTGAGACTCGTCCAATGTAGGTTTTCGGGCGTTCAACCCACCTCGTCGCCCATACATCCACTTCTTCCATCAACAGCTTCCTTCCCTTCTTGCTCAACAGTCCCAATGAATTACCACAGAAATAGATCGCTTCTCCATCCGAGTCTGCACCACAAGCTCGAGCGGAGGGGATCTCGAATTCCTCACGTGTCCACGCAAGAGAGTCATTTTTGTCCAGCGAGACGAGATCAGGTGGAGAGCTTGACATGTTGAGGTAATGCTATGCGTAGCTATGTCACAACGAAGCCGCAAACGCCAGAATGCCAGAATGCCATTCCAGCAGTCCCAAGTGATCATCGGTCGGCTCGGAACTTGAAAGTCAAGGAACGGAAGTATTTCCACGTGCTGCCTACCTGTCTCCATTTTTGTCGCCCATTGTTCAGGATGATCAGTGTTTGCTAAGTGCATTGTCGAGATGCTCTTATTGTTATTGTCTGGGGTCATTGAGATGAATGTATAAGAACATGGACGTTGGTCTCAATCTTAAATTCTGACCTTCTTCTCTGACTCGTCTGACTTGGGACGAATCGCAATTCAGACTATTTGGAAGCCCTTACATTCCACCCTCACCATGACTTCTCGCGCAACCTTGTCGGGTCTCCTCTCGACGATTGTGGTGTTCCTCCTTCTGATACCTTGCAACGCTCTCGCTTCCGCTGCAAAGCAATTTCACCTCGATCCAGAGCGTCAAGCGTCGAGTGAGTCGTCAAATGTACAGAAAGAATCCGAGCTGAACCCCGGCCGGCGTACAGAATGTTGGGTCCAATGTCATGCTGGCGTGATCGATCAGGTGGAAATTCCAGCGCTGAAGAGCAATGGAGATTCCTATCTCAAGCAGAACTGCGAACTCAAGGTGAATTCACGTGCCTTAATGGTCTTCCTATTCTTTCCTTCCATCGTATATTACTCTCAGTGATGGTCCTCTGTCTCGGGTCAGACTGAACATCATCACCGATGTTCCACCACCACCCACTTCCCCCCATTGCATCTAACTGACTCTTGCCGCCAGGCCTACGAGGAAGCCATGACTCAGTGTTTCGCCCTGTACTGTCAATCCGCGCCTGACGCGGCTTATGCTGCAGAATTCGCTCGGAGAATATGTGAAAAGGCGGGGATCAATGTTGCTTTCGCACTACCAGAGCCATATGTTGAAGCTGCTTCAGCGTACTTTGAGTGAGTCCGCGAATGCCTCCGAACTTTGGGCTTCCTGCGATATTCGCTGGGACACTTGTGACTTGTGCTGATTTTTGCTTCAGATCTCAGGCGTATCTTACGGGAGCTGGAGTCCGACTCACTCAAGATGGATCTACCCCTTTCATCGGACTCGGTCTCGCATTCAGTATCGGTCTTGCAGTCATGGCTTGAGCTCGACACGACGTTCTCATTAGCCTGGTGATGATAATTATATGCCAAATATGTAGGGTGACTGTCTTATGGCTTCTCAGCCAACATCATGTATTCGGGCGCAATGGATTCCTGGCCATAGCAGCACTTGCCCTCCCCAGCGTGCGACTGAGCAGATGTGAATTCCTCATGCCTCGACCGGGTCAACGATTTCACTTATGACATAGTCGGCTCGATCACTTTCGGCCTGGCTGCCGAAAAATAATGATATCCAACAGATGAATTCCCCAGATCTTGGTCGACTGAGCAGCTCAATGGCACGCGCAGCGTGTGGAGAGGTCACCACATGCCGCCTTCCACTAAGCAACTCAGGCGCAAGCTCATCAACGTGTTACCGAATCTCGTGCCCATAGCTGTCTACTCTCTACACGTCTTTCTGGCTCCTTACACCAAGGTCGAAGAATCCTTCACCTTGCACGCGATTCATGATGTCCTAGCTCATGGACTGTCGCCTACCAGGCTTCAACATGTGAGCTGGTCGCTTGACTGGATCTGGTCAGACGCTCACAGCTCATAACAGTGGGACCATGTCGCTTTTCCGGGAGCCGTACCTCGGTCGTTCATGCCTGCCATCCTCATTGGACTCTTGAGCTATCCTCTGGCTGCGCTGAGCATTTCGCTCGGATGGGTTAAGACGAGAGTGGACGTCCAGATACTAGGTAAGAGACCGTATTCCTCGACCCACAGTGGGCAGGACCCGCGAGCACCGGAGAAGGCCCCATTGATATCTCCCACAGTACGCTTGATCCTCGCTGTCGTATCCGCACACTGCTTCAATCACCTCTCCCGCACCCTACGACAGAGATATGGCGCGTCAGTACGTTTATGGTTTGTACTCCTGTCCATGACTCAATTCCATATCCCTTTCTACGCCGGAAGGACCCTGCCGAACTTTATGGCTCTGCCATTCGGTGCGTTCTGGCTACCGCTCTGACAGATTGCGACCTCACGCTCACGGTGCTGATCACAGTCACGCTATCCTTCTCGCTCATACTGAGGTCTGGAATATCGTCTATACCTGCCAAGGTATCCTCCGCGCGAATCCGCAAGTCCATCATCCTTCTGACGGCCACGGCGACTATCATTCGACTCGAGCTAGCCGCGCTCTTACTCCCAATCGTGCTCTCGCTCCTCATGTTTGGCAGGCTCACTCTCGAAACCGCTTTGATCGCCGGCACCGTAGGTGGGATCGGCTCCCTGCGTGAGTTCCTGCCTTCATATCTCGGACGCACACCTGTCCCTGGCTGACTTCGCCTAGTCGTCTGCAGCCCATTTGACCTTATCCTATGGCGCCCCACACTTACGCACCCCGACTTCCCATTTGACTCGTATCTTCAGCTCATTTGGCCAGAAGCCACCAGTCTATGGTACAACCTTTTCCTTGGTAAAGCCTCCGATTGGGGAGAGAGCCCTTGGTGGTATTACCTCGTCAATGCTTTACCGAAAATCAGTCTTTCGAGTCTACCCCTTGCAGGTCTCGGCATGGTCTTGTGGTTCGCTGGAGCTTTGAGACTGATCAAACCTGCAAGAACAATGAGCGGTGCGAAAGATGTCATGGAGTCATTCTTACTAGGAGGCTGTTGTCTTGTACTGGTCATGAGCTGTATAGGACACAAAGTGGGTTCTAGGCTGGTCTTCTTTCCTACGCACAGCTCACACCATGGCACTCAGGAATGGAGATTCGTAGTATACGTAGTACCGATCTTCAACATTGTTGCTGCTTTTACCGCCGACTATTTGTGAATCGAGCAGTAGCTGGCTATCGCTGACAATGACAGGTGGCAATTCCCCTGGCGAAGGCTGCGTCCGCTTGCCCGCGTCGGTCTCGTCGGTCTCGTTTGTCTCAACCTCGCGTTTACCGCCCTATCAACCTATATCAGCGCTTACAATTATCCAGGCGGTCAGGTCTGGCGCATTTTGCATTCTCTTCCGATGTCTGGTTCAAAACCGGTCATCCATTATACCAACTACCCGCTACAGACTGGCGCATCCCTCTTCACATTCACGCATATACCACTCCAATCCAGGGCTCTGCCGCTGACGCAGAATGAGTGGACGTACTCGAAATCCGAGGATCAGCATCTTGAAACTCCCTCAGGTGCATTGAGTGCAGGCTTGGACTATGTAGTGTTGGATGCCAACCTTTACTCAAGCTGGGAGGACACGCGTGATTGGCATGTTGTCGGCACGGTGCAAGGTTTGGGAAAGTGGCGCCGCATCGGCAAATGGATGCTGGGCATGGATAAGGAGATCAAAATCTATGTGATGGGTAGGGCTGATGGAGATGTGAGAGGGGCCGGGGGTATCATAGAAGTCTAGACTGTATCGTGATCTCCCTGCATCTCTCTAGTCCCTATTTCTGCCTCCGGGTCCATCTGTATCAACCTACATTGACTTTCGGCATTCTCGGCGATTTCGTCCGCCGCATCAACTCCACGAATCTGCCGATTATCTGTCGCGCACTTTACTCATGTCTGCAGACCCGGCCCGGTAGAGGATCAGAGGGACGAAGACCTAAGGGGGCGCTTGTGACTGAGAGTCAGGAGATGTCTACATCACCACGTCTCAGGCCGGTTGACGGCAGTGACCGAACTATCGCTCGGACAGATGCAACGGAGCATCGAAGACTTGGCAACGATATTACTGCCGGACCCTCTAAACGTCGGCAGTCCTCACCTCACGCATTCAAACTATCCTCTTCGGTCCCTGAATCTCAACATGAAGCGTTCACTGAGCTTTTGCGCAAACGACAACCCCCATCATGCGATGCGTGCCGGACGAGAAAGTTGAAGTGCTCCGGTAGACCGTCAGTGATTGAACTCGGTTCAGGAGCCATCGCAACGAAACCATGTGAGGTGCGTCCAAAGTAATCACGCAGGGACGCTCGAAACAATTCAGTCTGACGCTCCTCATCCCATTCACTCACAGAATTGCAAAGAATGGTCTTTGGATTGTTCATATCTCTATCAGCGGAAACGTCGAGGTAGGAAGAATCGAGTGGTCGAGCGGCTAGTACAAGAGCAACGGAGTGGCAGCCGGATCGGCTCAGGTGGATCTCGTGGCATACAGGAGGATCACTTTTCCGAGAACGAAGGGGAGGTAGGGGATGAGCATGACTCACTCTACGCCCAATCACACACAAGGGGCCAGGATCGTTCCTCTCGATTCATGAACGGTCCGCAAGCATCTCGCAGATCCTCCTCTCCTGTCAGGATCCCTGGAGATCATCACGATCATCCTCGACCTCCTCAACCTCAACCTCCATTCTCTACCGTCCCTCCGCCTCCATTCTGGACTTCACCAAATGAGTCGACTCCGTCAAACGGACGGCCCGATTCAGCGGTTCAGGGGGGCCAGTCTTCACATGCGGCTCCGCCTTTCCAGGCCAATCCCGGTGATCCGTTCGCGGCCTATCCTCAGCAGTATCCCGCCAGTCATATAGATCTGCCTGGACCGTCAGCATTTGTTCAGCCCGGTGATCTACACGCTCACGGTCCATTGCCTGATGCTCCCACATACGGTCAATCAAGCCAAGATCGAGGCCCTTCCTATGCTCTGGCTGAACCTATGCCAATTGTGTACAGTATCGAAGCTGTCCTTCCTAGGGAATTGGCAATGAGCATCATCGACAGATACTTTGAGCATGTGAGAAAGGCTCGACCGCTTACTGCCAACAAGCTAGATCCACGTGCTGACCAGGAACCCAAGGTGTATTGCATCATACCGGTCATTCATCGTCCATCATTCTCGGCGGACTTGACTTTACGTGAGGAAGAGCGTCGACCAATGCTTTTGGCAACGGTCTTCGCGATCGTGGCTTTGACATTGCTTCATGTAAGTGAAGAGCGGTGAAGGCCAAAAGCCCCGCGACATCTGACACCTTCTAGATCCCCCGAGCCTTTTTTCCTTCACTCTCTGGTGAAGGAGTTCGCAAGTTGTCCAGCTCGTGCCTCCGAGCCGCAAATTCGATAGTCAGAAAGGAGATGAATGTTTTGACCGTGGACTTGATATGTATTAAGTGAGTTCCTCATCCGAATGGTCTTTGAGAGTGACACCTGACATTGTGCAGATATTTCACCTTTGTCATTCACAATGTGCGTAGAATACACTTCAAGGCTCAGCACCTGATGTGCCTCAGATAAATGGTGCGACTGGTCTCGAAGCTGCCGTTTGGGGAGAGGCCATCAGCCTAGCTATCAGCCTGGGATTGCACAGGGAGGACGTGAGTGCCTCTCCTGGGCAATTGTGAGCTGACTCTAAATTCCCAGTCATATCGAGGACTGAGTAAGTTTCTGGGGAGGATGTTCGTCTCAGGAATGCTTACTATCCAGATCCGATCGAGACTGAGCGTAGAAGACGAGTCTGGTTTCTCATCTTCAACGCCGATAAGTTTGAAGCTGTCTTCCGCGCGAGACCAATCTTGCTTCGACCGGATGAGTTCGTTGGCCCAGAGTCGACTGACATGCCGGCTGAACTGTGAGCTACTCGAGAATCATTGTTATCCTTTGATACATACCTCTTGCAGAGAAGACAAGGCCATCAGCGTTCACGGTTATCTTCCGTCATCCGCCGCTGTGCCACTGATTGTGGGCTTCAACATCCTTACTCGCCTTGTAACGTGAGTGGCAAGTCTGTCATCGTGTAGAGCTCAAATCTGGCAGCCTCATCGGAGACCTCCTGATCCGCGAACGAGACGTCAGGAGGCAGCCGCCCCGCGATCCAGAATCAGTCCTCACTTCGTTGCGAGAAGTCCGTAAATTACAGTCCAGGGTCAAGGCCATAGCCGATACCCTACCCGTACCGTTCAAGCTGGACATCTTCAATCCTCTGGATCTGTAAGTTGATTGTCAGTGTACTGCTGACCTCTGAGCCCCGCACCTGGATGGGAGGACATTATGCGGAATCAACTCGATCTTTTCTACCAAGATCCAATGGCGAGTGAGACCGCAAAAGACGGGTACTTGGTGATGCGGGCGAACATACACGTCACCTTGGCCATGACTCGTCTGAGAATCATGTGAGTGAATGCATCGGGCGTAAGGACTCTTGTGAAAGCTGATTTGAAATCCGCCAGCTTGCACAGAGATGATCTGTTGAATCTGGCTGGACCTATTGGAACGCCCAGTAGAAATGGCAAGTCCTTCGACGAACAGCTCGGTCAGCTTGACTTACATGGACAGCCGCCGAGTTGGTCGCTGCGGACCTGGGCGAGAGCCAAGACTGGAGGCTAGGTGTATATCAAGATCTGTTCAATGCTGTTCATGGGTAAATACCTATTTTGATCCATTTTCCCAATTGATCTAAAGCCTCGCTCAGGTTACCCATTCAAGCTGTAAATACTAGTGTTCAAGTCTGAAAGGCCCACTGACCCTGTATACCGTCACTAGCTTGCCGCCAATGGTCCATCATTGGTCAATAAGATCCGTGTTGTCGCTGTCACTTTGATCGATGCCCTACCAGCTCAAGATTACGGTGATATTCAAGTTCAAGGGATCGCCGCATATCTGTTGGGTCAGTGCCTGCGCCATGTGTCCATGCTGGAGATATGTTGACTCACCACCTCACAGACTTTCTCAACATTATGACGAGCATTGAAAGCGAGTTCAATGACTGATCAACGGGTCACAGGAGTCGTGAAAGGGACGCAGGCTAGATTCAATCGGCAGGGGAATTGTGGCGAGATCATATCCAAGTTGAACACCATGCAGCGCCACGGCGAAGTGTTCAAGAACTTGCAAGTGCTTATGGGGTATGCTGCGTATCGCTATATACTTCCTCAATGGCTTGCTTCTCCTCGCTTCTCACTGCTAGACGGTGCAAGTGGCGAGGAAATGAATGCTCTGACCGCCACATAAGAGTTCGTTGATCACCACGAGCCGCATTTCGCGATTCTGGTCAGCGAGCAGACTGTTGCTTCCCATTAGGCCCTTCGATGCTCTCCAACGGTCTTGCGAGATAACGCAAGCTCCTCGACGTGCGTGATAATAGCTGAACACGTCAAAAGTCGGGGAGCTTGTTCGAGTCGCTGACACTGCATGCTCATGTCGTCCTTCATCACACCGTTGCTCTGGGCATTCGTTCCTTCTTACCTCACAAGCCAAGCTCTACCCATTCTATCGACATACCTACCTGGTGTTTTCCCTCCTTCGTCCCCTGGATCTCCTGCATATGCACGCAACTACCGAGTGACCTTCACACTCTTTGTTTGTGGATACCTGGTCTGGTCCTTCTTCAACAGTGGAGGTGTCAAGCCCGATCAGAATTGGTACACTCTGTTAGCTGTCTCCAGGGATGCAGAGGATGAACGGCTCAAGACAGCTTTCCGAACATTGTGAGTGAGGACCATGCAGGTATCTCTGACCAAAATCAGATCTCGAACTTATCATCCTGATCGAGCTGGAGGCGGAGATGAAAGCCGATTCATTCTGATTCGTCAAGCGTATGAAACCTTGTCGGATCCAATCAAGCGATACGCTTACGACCGGTGAGTGATACTCTAGACGATTCAGAGTCGGGGCTGACTCAGAAATGGGCAGCTTTGGACCCGATATCGTCCTCTGGAAAGAGTGCAAAACCGTCAAAGACTTTATCTACGCGGGCATCGTAAGGTCCGTAGGTTTCTACATCTTTTCTGGAGGTGTCATGGTTCTCATCACAGGTCAGTCAAATAATGGATGAGCCGGGTCACCTCTTGGCTGACACAAGTACCTCTAGTCATTGGGAGAGTCCAGCAGACCAGCTATGTTAGATTGTCTACGAGCTCACGAGATGGCCACGCTGACGGATCCCTCAAAGTGGAACAAGAATCTCTTCGCTATGCTTCTCTTCCTCGAGCTTTACCTCATCTTGTCCCCAACACCAGCTATAGCACCTATCCTTTCGCGCTTCACTGTACTCGGTCGACCGCAGTTCGCTCAAGTCGAACTGGCTCATAGACTATGGGCGAGCTTGAGCATAGCCATCAACCAATTGGCAGGCGTATGGGCTCCTCAAGAAGTTTCTGATGAAATTGCTTGGAACAAGGTATCGAGGCTGATTCAAGAGCTCGATGCGGAAGGTCTGTTGTTCGTTCCTAAAGCAAAGGTAAAATCTGAAACACCTGGCTCAGCTGCGGCTCATTTCCAAAGCGAAATCGTACCCCTCATGGTCAAGTCGGGTCATCCTGTCGAGGTCCAAGCTGCTATACAGCAAGGCATGGAGCAGAGTAGGTGGTCGAGCGGGGTCCTGGATTAGAATCTGCTGACGTGTTGGTCCAGTCCTTGTCGATCGCACAATATCGAGTCATCCCGTGGTCAAAGATGCATGGCAGGCCGCTGTCGCTTCGGCATCAGCCACTGCGGCACCAGGGACTCCCAGTCGGTTCAACGTTCCTCCGGGCCTAAGCGAGCTCGAGGTGGCTCGTAGGATACCACTGCCTCCCTCACCACGGTTGCAACCTAGACAATGAGTATTCATGCCAATATGACAATATAGTATAAAGGATGCTTGCATCTAATATATACGAGTAGACTCGCCTCGCTCGCCGCGATGATGAATCTCTAGCAAGCACCCGCGAGCCGATGCGCCCTATCAGGCCAACTTCGACGTTGACTTCTTCCTCTTTGGACAATCGCATAGCGTCTCCGAGAGCTTCTCCGCCTGCAGACGCTTCACAGCGACATCACAGGCTTTACGTGTCGCAATGACCGGCGTCTCTGCGAGCCCCTGGCTAATCCTTTGCCCATGCATAGTGACTGATTGTGTTGATCAGTAAAGTCCGAGAGATTCTGTAAGAAGAGGACTCACCGATCACCTCACACGGGTCCACATCGAACTTTCGTCCGATGTCCTCAATCGCCCATTTGCGGCATCCTCTTGCCGCAAGGAGCTCGTTGAGCGCGACTTTGGGATGCCAAAAGTGGTCATTGGGACCGATACAGTATCGATCCAGAAACGGCATGATATGTGTTTCATATACCGCTCGCACGACCAAGACGTTCCAATTTGCGTCTAAAAGGATAGCACCGAGGAGAGCATTCACTACTTCACCAAGGTACTAGGAAAGTTTCAGCGGTCATCTAGCAGGAATAAGGTCACCTACGTGTTGAGAAGGAATCTCTTTCCAGAATTCCCATCGTTCTTTTGGCTCAGGTTTCTGGTCCGCTATCCTTTGACCTCGGCGGATATTGCGCTTGAAGTCCTGCAGATTAGGCAAAACATCCATCGGGACATCTGTCAGGAGATCCAATAGGCCGGATGACGCGGCGAGAGCAGCTAGACATGACTACGACGGGGATAAGGGGTGGCTGGGGCTATCTTGAGCAAAAGACTCACATCTCCGTGTCGAGAATGCTTAAATAGTTCAGCGATGATCCATTTCAGCACGCTCACCCTCATGTTGCTCAGAGACCCTGACAGTAAGGTAGTATTTCTGTGAAACAAATCTTCGACGATGACTGACGAAACAGTCAAACCATCGTGCTGTCGTTGATCACTCACAATAGTCCAGAATGGCATCTCCAATGGTTTTGTACCGTTGAAACGCTGACCGCCTAGTCCGGTCATGACTCATACTCTGTCTCCGTCAGTTCGAGATGATGCACCGAACTCACGAGAGCATCACGGCCCCGTTGAGGTGTACGAAACGCGTGTCCCATGACTATCAACGGCACTGACGGCAATGATGACCGGAATGAGGCCGAGTCTAAGGCTCTCAAATCGGACCAGCGACTGAAACCTGGCATTTCCAGTTTCATCTTGTGCGCGACGTGGATGCAACGATCCAATCTCTGATGAGCGGGAGCTGATTCATGGGCAGCTCCAATAAGAGCCTCAACGACGTCCGCCACGGTCTAATGGATATGTTAAGCTGTTTTCAAGGCGCAAAGACGATGGAAAACCTACTTTATCGCCCAACGTGTGCTTTTCCTCCGATCTGGCCGGTTTCTCAGCTGGTAGACGAATGACTGTCCATCCTGATGGAACCCAATCCTTGGCTCTTATCCTCGATGTCCGGATATACGGTGGTATTCCGCTCTGCACAGCCCTATCGTATAGTCTACGATTCGACCCCATAACCTGTCGCTCCGCATGCAATGTCTCCCACTCGGGACCAGTATCTGGCACTGTTTGCAATAGGTACACCGCGGTGAGCAACTTGAGTATTACATCGCCGAGGAATTCTAGCCGTTGGTAGCTCTTCTCTGGTGCCAAGCCATGTGACATGGGGGCAGAGAGAGCAGTTAGGGCTAGATCCAAGTCGATCAACCTTTCGAAAGGCCCTTCGGCCAATTGCTGAGCTATCATGAGGTTGTCCAAAGCATTCATGAAAGCCGGGATCACAGAAGTTGCCCGCGAGACACTGGCTGAGATGCAGTGTTTCGCAGTCAATTCGGGGATGAGAAACTTGATCTGAGGAGGAAAGGCAACAGAAGCGACGATACCTCCCATCTTACAGGGATGTAGAGCCTCAACTTCAAGTAGAGGTTGGTCGGGGTATTCGAGTGGAGGAGGAGCGACGATCTGTTCGGATAAAGCTGTCTCGCCGTTGCCACCTGGCAATGGGGTAGAGGGAGTCAAGTCGGATCGAATGGCTCTGATGGCGGAGCGTTTGGTGAACTCCACGTGTGTGGTTGTGAGACTGTCTGACATCTCGGCTGCCAGGTCATGCGGGTCGTAACACGTCAAAGGGGTCCAATTCGATTCGGCTCCCCTTATGACTTCGTCCCAGTCTAGGATAGTCGGGTCGACCGAATCTGAGATCAAGGCTGGGGCAGCATCCAGTTTGAGGGGAATGAATAGCCACTTTGCCATGGTCAGATCCAAATGAACGTTCTTATGCACGTGTGAGCGCACTAATCGCTCGGTGTACCGCCTCATAGTCTCGAGCATCGCAGAGTCCTTGATTTCAAGCAGGCCTCCCTTTCTCAGCTGGACATTGGCATCGACTGAGATTCCCTCCCGCCCCACCTTTGGCATGCCAATGTCAATATAGCGTGAGCCACCTTCCGGTAAGATAGGCAGAGGCTTCGTTGTAAGGAAACACATTGTACGGCAGGTTGAGTTGACCGCGTCGAATGGAGATTCGAGAATGGTCTTGAAGAAGGTGGCGTGGATATTGTCGCAGGAGAATGGGGGGCACGACGTCCAGAATGCAGCATCTGTCAGATGCTCGTACTCATCCGTCCCAGGCATCCCGTTTGAACGCAACTTCTGAGGTGGCAGCCCATTATTGACAGCTTCTTTGAAATTATGAATCCTATCCTTTGACGTTCTACCGTCTTCCGGGGCAGGCGATCCCAACGGCGACGCCAAGCGGGATTCTATGGCTGCCGCTATCCTGTCGTACCTCGCGTCTTTTCGAGACTCTTTCGGAACGACGGATCTTGGTTTAGGTTGCAAGTTCTGATCCACTTCCCCCATGTTGATCAAGGTCTTGACCAACTCGAATGACACATGCTTCTTGGCCGAATCTTTGGACCTGTGAGCGGGAGACGACATGGATTTTAATGGGCATCCGGGCGGTAGAGACAATGTGCATCGGAACAAGGAATCTGGAGGAGGCTGATTGAGATGTTGAGGTGCTCCCTGATTCATAGGCTTCTTCTTGCGCTTTGGCGGGCCGGGCATAGGTACGATCTCGTACGTTGTTTCTTGGCGGAATACAGACGGATCCTTGCCGTATGAATTGATATATCGACTAAGGACATGGCCGGCAGATTGGGCAGTCAAAGTCGACCCAGTCGACGTGACGTACTTGAGCTCGTCCAACGCTGCCATGCCACTTAGATCATTAACGTTCACCTGTCGATCGTTTAGTCTCTTCTCGTCGTGTGACAATGATGGTTCGGGAAGGGTTGACGATTGGTGGTCGTGTCGAGTCCGCTTAACATGAGACTGTGTAGGTGACGAGGCCGATACCACTGCATGTCGTCTTCGCTTGCGCTTGCGATTGGGTACTATACTAGACAATCCCTGTGCTGTTTCCTCTCCCATCCAGCATATGCTTAAGCGAAGCCTTGGATTCCCCACACAGTCATGGACAATGAGCGTCGGATGGTGATTGACGCGGAAGGAAGGCGATTGTCCTTACAGATGGCCCTTACTGGGACTCTACGCGCAGACTCAGCACAGGCGCGCACAGTAGGGTGTCATACCTCGATGTGTAGGTCACAAAAGTAAAAGACTCGAAACCAAATCAGACTTTTCTTTTCGGAAATTTCAAACTCGGACTTCGCTCGACATTTGACCTGACACCAGTACTAATCGCAATGATACCATGATGATTGGAGCTCGCTCAATCGAATGTCATACACATATCAGAGCCGTGGAGCAGCGCTTCAGCATGCTCTAACGCTGACCCTGCGCCGACAATACACTTGTCTTCCGGCAGAGCCTCGAAATGTGTTGTCTTCCTCTAGGGGGGCAGGTTCCAGCCAGGAAGCGAGCAAGTCTCCTCAGAGGACGTATTCTGGCTTTGAACCGATCATCAGGAGACCTCATGAGGCCGGGTCAGGTACTCTGTCCGGATCGCTGGAAATGAAAGGCGAAGTTTTCCGGCCTCGCCAAGCGGATCCTGTAAGTCCAGCCTGATCAGCGATCACAGAGCTTAGGCTGGATCAGGTCACCGACCACTTACAAGACTCAGACTCCGCTCGGTCGATCCAATTCAAGTCCATGAGGCTAGATCTAGGCTCAGAAGCGCCCTCAGACGAAGACTTTCCTGATCTCATTACCTCTACATCCACAGGTTTACCCTCCAACGGTGATACGGACCGACGTTTAGCAGAGATCGATCATCTTGATATTACTCGTTTTCAGCCTTCGCATTGGCGTATCCGAAAAGGACATAGTCGGCTCCGCCTCATATTGGAGTTCTTCAGGAAGCTTCCCACCGACACAAATGGTCTTGTGCGAGTCAAGGCACAATTGGAACGGCTTGTGGACGGCCTGACTCATTCAGCCGTACCGGAAGGGGTGAAACCAGGGATCGACCCAAGCTTTTGGGGGAGGAAGACAACGTACTATCATCGGACGATCAGGGAAATCTCAGCATTGTATTTGGAAGTCCTCCAACGACTATCAGCCGAACACGGGGTCCGGGCAGTCCCCTCCTGTATTCATTACTTCACCCCCTTCATAATCTCCCTCATCAAGCGACCACGTTTGAGGCCTTTCAAAGGCTTGCCAAATAGGTGGGCTTCTATGAGACTGGAACAGCTTCTCAGCCGCATCATGGGCCTCGGACTTAATTTGACTTCCTACCAAATGACCCTAATCGCCTATCCCATGGCGAATTTCCAGGAGCTCAGAACTTCAACGGTCAAGGAAAATAGGCGCGACCCACATGTTTCCCAAGCACGCCAGAATCTGCACGAGGCTCGTTACCTTCAATCCTGGGACAAGCGTCGAGAAACCCTGCGAGTCATGAGCCAGGGGTCTTTGAGCTATGACTTAGTCATGCAATTGCGAGCAGAGGTGATCATGAGCGTCTTGAAGGATATGGGCGGTCTAGGACATAGCTTCATCACGTCCCGCCCGCGACTGGTGCAGGAGTTCAAATTATGGAAGGGCATGCGAAATGACGAATATGCAAATTGGATCAGCGCACTGGAGAGGCCAGACGAGCAGGATGATCATGATCAGCCCGAACCTCTTAGTCAATGGACTTTTCGTGCCGCCATGCTTCGAGTCGTACTCGAAGACCGTCTCCTTCCAAAAAGGATGTTCTCGGTCACAGGCTCGGATGGTCGGCAAGAAATCTCACTCGCGCCCGAACAACTCCTAAAACGGATGATACAAGAATACAACAGGCCCACACAAGTCAGAGATTCGGATAGTGTCAAGCCAATACTTTATCTGCGGGGGGCAATATACTCCATCCGGAATCGCCACTACATGGCTCGCAGACCGGGAAGCCTGGTCAAGACTGTCCTTTTGCTCGCTGATCCGGCGATACAATGCCCTCCTTTGCCAGGAAAGATCTTCGAATCGTTTCTCACTACTTGCCATGTCGATACCCAATTCGTCAGAATGCTAGTCGCGCTCTGCAGATTGCCTGCACCGACTTCTCCTGTCCGACCTCACCCAGTACAGCTCCGGCGTCTGTCTAAACTGGCTGGCGTTTCCGATTCCAATGGTGCCCGTGTCCGATTTCACCCGCGTTTCGACAATGAAATAAGAGCTGCCTTTCAAGGAGGCGGCTGGACTGCTGTGTGGAAATTTGCCATGGAGAGATGGGGCCATGAAGGGCCAAAGGATCACCTCGAGGCAGATGGCGGCCAAATAATATCAGACAATCCCCAGCCGGTCGCCAGACTCTGGTGATCTTGGATGACCCAATTGCAGAATGCATGCGATATGTTCGGGGCCGTCATGCAAATTCATAATCTAGCACCAACACCCGCGGCAATGCTACGTAGCATTGGAAAGAAAGAGTTACTGCTTTGCTCCCCTGCCATCTAATTTTCGAAGGGTCTCTAGCTGACTGCCTTTCAGCAGCGCATATGAGTACGCCAGCAAAGGTGTTGAGACACCGTACTCTTTTGCCAGCTTCAGCACAGAGCCTTCGATCGCCTGAAAAGATGCTTGTCAGCGATGTGACAGATCGCCTCTCTCTCTATCTCTCACCTCCACTTCGAAAGGCCGACCCATTTCCAAGTCCACCAGCAGACTCATCCTGTGTGGCGCGGCCCCAACGTGGTACTTCTGGCAAGACGCTTCATAAATCTGTTGGTAACGCTGTCAGCCTTTTGCTATATCGTAGTGTCGATTGTCTCACTGAGGACCATACCCGTGCAGCCAGCTGTTCGGCGGTGCCTGTGGTGGACCTGTCAGGGTATAGCAGCTGATCTTCGTCCAGTAATCCGGATTTGAAACCAGTGGTAACGATTTCGCGTATGAATTGCTTCAAAGGCTCTCTGTGAGACTCATCCAGATCTTCTAGCGTATGCGGAGTGGTGCGCATAAGCCCTTCCATGGTCGACCAAGCGCAATTAATCACATTCTGAACGCACATTAGAGTATTGACTTCGTGAGACATACCTTTGCGTATCTGATACTTGTAATCCGGTCCTCTGTGTGAACATCTCCTCCACCCGATCTGACGATTTCTGCAAAGTCATCACGAGTGCTCAGCTCTTCTGAGGTGAATTGCCGATCTTGAGATTCTTTAGGCGGCCTCAGAGGAGGATAGGTGCCGAGAACGAGGGTGTCCTGGCGATACGCTCAGTGATTTTTATGCGTAGTCAGAATCGTACCTTGGATGCCCAAGTGACGACGCGACCATCGGGTGAGGTCATGATACCGATCCAGGCTACTCCAGAGATTAGCGGAGTATCTTGGTCCTTGACAGCCTGGTACAGCTCCTCTTCGACACCGAGACCATTCTGCGGGGTATAAGCATTGTTCTCAATGACGTGCTCACCTGTATCAAAACCCATGCTCCAATTTTACGACTCGCAATGGCCGGTGCTAGAAGTTTAGGGGTTGTGATGACGTCTGGGAGATACTTTGTACAGTTGAGGCAATAGTCGTAGTAGACGTTCCCGGACAACGCCTCTTCTTGACTTCTGAAGACTGATACAATTCAGCAGAGCTCGGCGGTCGAATTGTGCTTATGAATTACCGCGGTATGGCTTCCAATTCTCAAATGTCCCATGTATAGTCTTTAGCGTGATGCCATGTTCTGCATACAGCTTATAATTTGATCGAGCGATCGCTGTGACTTTGGCTCTACCTGACTGATACAAGTCAGAGGAGCAATGAGGAGGACAGGGCTCACTCTCTCCAGCAAGAAAGCATAGACGGAACCTATAGATCCCAAGCCCACCAGAAGGATATTCACTGGGCGACCAGATCCTCCCACTGTAGTTATTCTCGTCATCGCGCGACAGGCTGTCCGGTCATAGATAAGCAAACCAAAAGTCATTTGATCGGACTTCGGTTGAGAAGCGGGTCGGGCCGAAAGTCCGCCAAGTCGGATCCAAGGTGTGGTGCCACATTCTGGAACCCATTCGGCGTTTCAAACATAACGCCGCCCCTCCTACCTTCCTGTCTGCTTTCGGCTTCCCCCGCAACTCTCGCCCCTAGCTGCCCTCACCGTTCATCCCCCTCCCTTCAGCGTATTCCAAGCGGCCAGTTCCACCAAGTCACAATGTCCAGCTATCCTGCTACAAGTCTGACAGCTGCATTGGAATCAACAGATACAATGCAGATTGCTCCAGAGCTCATGGGTCAAGACGGACTGCCACCCCCTTCGTCCTCCAGTGCGACTGCTCCACCTGCTTCTTCCACGGAACAGTCCAACAACAACAAGCGCAGATCGACTGAGTTCGAAGATGCCACAGGTCAACAGGCTGCCGGTTCTTACGGAGGCGGATTTCAAAGCTCAGCAGCTAGAGATGAAGGCAACAGAGAATGGCTGACATATGAACAAGCTGCGAACCGTAATATGCATCCTTGGGAGGACGGTTACCGGGACGAAAACCTCGTTGCGGCTCTACAGGAGACAGAAGAACAGGAGCCAGCCGAGGAATCCAGTAAACCCCGAAAACGACCCAGAGCTTCCAAACCTCGCATGTCCAAGAGCAAAGAGAACACGATCAATGGACTTGAAGTCGGTTTCGAGTATGACTACGAGGACCCATCCAGTGACTACAAAGCCGGCGTGGTCTTTCGTCATCCAAAACCCGGCGCGGCTCCTCAAGCATGCGAGAGGTGCCACAAAATCAAGCGAAAGTGTGACAATGCTCGTCCACGTTGCGCTGGATGCAGCAAAGCTGATGAGCCGTGTGTCTTTGACTTGAGTCCAGCGACTTCAGGGTACGTTCCCTGGGTACCAAGGCCGGTAAGCCGAGCTGACGGCCTACTTTTTTCCTAGTTACATTCACCAACTCAAGAGCGAAAACATCATTCTCACCTCTCAAATCTCGTCGGCACACGACCGCATCAATCATCTCGAAGCCGTGGTGTCGGCCCTTGAGAAGGGATTGCCACCACCTCAGATGCCCGCGTCCGACCTGGATCCAACTCAGACCGATTTCGCGGCTCTTGCCCGCACCGTCCTTTCAGTTCGATCCGCCACAAACAACCTTGCCTCCGCTTATGAGACCTTAGACAGCCGGACTGGAGGCAACAATCTCGGTGCCTCATCCGGTGCTCCTTCCAGTCCCACAGAAGCTGCTGTTCTTCCTCCCTATGATATTGCTCGAGCTGCTGCAGAGGCATTCTTCATCGCAAATGCCATTTCTTATCCTTTCATAAACAAGGACGAATTCCTGAGTGATATGACGGATCTTTACGCGCGCGAAGGCAAGTCGTGGAACAGACACAGCGATAGCGATATGCTGCGCGGAAAGGAATTCACCTTCTTCATGGTCATCGCGATCGGCACCACGAACAGGGAGCGAGTGGGTGAAGCCGTCCGTGGTGCGTCCAAAGAATTCCGTCAAAGAGCCATGAGGGGACTCCCATACGCAGTCGCGCGCGAGGATATGGTGAGTCAACATATACACGCACTCGTGCTTAGCCTGATGCTAGCTCTGCGTTCAATCCTTGCTCTTGCTCGGCATTTACAGCATGTTTGATCCCTCCGATATGTCACTGTGGCACATTGTCGGATTCGCCACACGGGTCGCAATCGCACTCAACCTGCACCGCAAGAATGAAGATGTGAACGTCTCCTCAGAAGTCGCGGAGATCCGAAGACGGGTATTCTACAGTCTTTACAATGTCGAGAGACTAGTAGCCACCACGCTCAGTCGGCCATTGGTGATCAGTGACGACGATATTGACATCGAAGTGGGTGCCTGTTTTGGCTATTGTATCGAAGCTGACCAATCCCAGCTACCTTCACCACTTCCAAATGACCCTCCCTACCGCGGGGTTGCCCAAATGCTCTTCACACAGCATATCATCAAGCTACGAAGACTGTCAGGGGCCATTTGCGCAACGGTCTACTCTGTGTCTGGATCTCAAAATTCTCTGCCTGAAGCACAGAGAAATGAGATTATCACCAACTTTCACCGTCAAATGGACACTTGGCTCGCGGAAAGTCCGGTACCACCCTCAGAAGAGACCGAGAAGCCGGGTATGATCAACAATCAGTCCTGGTTTCTTCTCAATTACCATCACAACCTATGCCTACTATACCGACCTTCGCCACTGTACCCCAATATGACCACCGAGCGACTCAGCGCACTCCATGATGCCAGTTCCCGTTGTGTAGCGCTTTGGATGGAGCTCTTCCACGAGCAGAAGATTTCATACAGCATTATCAATGTCTCGGCGCAGTTCCTCGACTGCATATCGCTGTTGTACTGCATGTGCGAGTATGACAACCGATCTCCTAACCTTCACTCGGACGAAAACTGGAGTCGTGAGGTCAGCACTCGATTGGGGCAATGTCACGCATTGCTGGAGGCCTTTGGCCGGGCTTTGCCAGAGACTGCCAAGTACAAGGAGATTTTCACCAAACTGTCAGAGATGCTCTTGCACCGACACGGTCCTTTGCCGGACACGTCAAGCATACTTCCAGCCCCGAATCAGGACGGATCTGCTCCTGTCAGTTCGAGCGCACAGGGCTCAAGCTCGACCGGTTTCGACTTGCAGAACGTTGAGCTCTTGTCACCCGTCTATCCATCTCAAGATCCTCGACAGAATAGTGCGACCAGTGAAGAGCAAGCGGCTTGGAATGCAATGACTCAGTTGTGGCATAACGCTGGAGACTTCAATTTTGATGAGTCGATTCTCGGGCAGATTCAAGATGATAGATTGGCGCAGTTGGGTCTGGGAGGAGCTATCAAAGGTGACTCTGGAATGAACGGTCAGGGTGGTAGTATTGGGACGGCTGTCGACGGACAAGCGGCTGGGAATCCCCCTCTGCAGAATGGGGGATGGAATGCGGACTCGATTTTGTGGAGTCAGATAGGTTAGATGACTTTGTATCAGAGGGTCTTCCAATGTCACACATAATGCGGCAGATACGTGAAGTGGAAAGATTGCACGTCCGGCTCGGCCAAGGAAATAATATTTCCCGGGTTTGGAACACAAATGTCACCAACAGAAGCAGTGGATATTTCAGATTGCAGGCCTCACCGCGGCCTCCTCAAGCTTGGTACAAATGCCTAGGAGATCTTACGAGGCTCACAGAGCCTCAAGGCTAGGCTCACATCGTCGGCCCAGTTTTGTCGAGTAAGTTCATACTGACTGACACGTTGTCCCAATAACCCAAAACCTAGAAGCGAGACAGACGCCGAGTCTCTAGCCTCGTACTCGACTTGGAACTCGTCAACATCTTACCTCACGAATCCCTCGTTATCCGGACATCCATCCCCTCGACACACAACCCACGGCCCATCAGGTCTTACCCGTGAAGCCTCTTCATCCTCTGTAGCTCCTCGATTATCAGATCGGACTTCTCCCGTCCCTTCGAATCATTTAGGCGTACCGCAAACTCAGAATCGCGAAGACAAAGCTCGAAGAGATGCTAGACGACTGGAACGCGAAGAGAGAAGAGGAAAGAGTACATTGGCCGGCGAGAAATATGATTCTCCGCTAAGGAGATGGTCAAGATGGATGTCACGGAATGGACTGAGCAATTGGTCCCTCCCTATCGGACTGTCTGCTGCTGGCGTCATCAAGACTGCTGTAGGATACGGAGGCTTTTCAGGTGTGTGACAATCGCCCGTCGCTCAACCAGAGCTAATACTGTGGTCCTTAGGTCGAGATGCGCCTCCCATGTTTGGAGACTTTGAGGCTCAACGTCATTGGATGGAGATCACTCTCCACAGACCAATGAAGGAATGGTACACTTATGCTCCAGACTGGTGGCTATTAGATTGTGGGTGTCTATAGATCGCCAATACTCCCTGACATCTTTTCAGATCCACCACTGACGGCTTACGCAAGTTGGCTCTGCGGTAAGATGTGAGTTGCTCTTCTCGGGTCGCCGCGGAAGCTGGGCTGATCGAGCCTTTGCGCAGTGGATCCGCTCTCAATCCCGTAAACTTCGCCCTCGATACGTCATACGGGCTGTCACCGCCCGACTTGATCACATTCATGCGATTTTCCGTCCTGTCTTTCGAAGCTTGTATTTGGTGGTCCGCTGTAATGGCATGGATGCTGTTACAGGGTAAGAAAGAAGGCAGAAGCTGGCGCAGTCAGGTGAATGTTGTGAATGAAGCCTCGTCACAGTGCCTGACAGCTTGCAGATGACTGGGATCATGACCATTCTGTTGCAGCCATCTCTAACTCTCATCGACAATGGTCACTTCCAGTGGGTTGAACATGTGTGTCCGTCGGGCCGTACACTGACGAGGCAATCAGATACAACTCCGTCTTACTCGGCTTTTCACTGTGGACATTAGTCTTTCTGACCCACGATCAAGATCTCCTTGCTTGTGTGGCATTCTCCTGTGCTCTGTGCTTTAAGCAAATGGGCTTATACTACGCTCCGGCCATCGGTTGCTACCTCATTGGCAAGTGTATTTGGCTAGGCGGATCTGCCGGGTGAGCTGAGCGCTTTCCAAAAGCTGTGAACGGCATCTGATGTCGCGAACGAACAGACTCCTGCTCCTTGTCAAGCTCGGCATAGTCACGGTTGCCACTTTCGGTCTTCTCTTTGCTCCTTGGCTCAGACCCTTCCCAGAGGCGATATTGCAAGTCTTGCACCGGATGTTTCCTTTCGCTCGAGGTATCTTTGAAGACAAGGTTGCGAACTTCTGGTGCGCTTCCAACGTTGTGATCAAATGGCGTCGATGGTTTGGCATCAATGGCATGGCGAAGGTGAGGTGGATATGCGTGTCGTTGTGTTGATCTCATGAGCTCGCGACTGTGGCCACTCTGGCTTCTCTCATACCATTGGTGTTGATTCTGCTCTACACGTCTTTCAACACCGAACCGGAAAGCCGAAGCAGCAGCGTGGCATCGAGGACCGTTCCAGTGCTCGAGACACCTAGGCAATCTGGCCCGCCTCCCTCTATCCGACTTCTGCCCATGGCTCTTTTCTCTGGCTCTCTGGCCTTCTTTCTATTCTCCTTCCAGGTTCACGAAAAGAGCATACTGCTGCCTTTGATGCCACTAACTGTGCTAATGGCTTTCCGCGGCGGGAAGGAGGCTTCAGCATCCGAAGATGAGACATGGGAGGTCGGGGTGCTTCTCAACAACGTAGCTGTATTCAGGTAAGCAGAGGCTGTGATTTTATGTCTGACGCGCTTTAGTATGTGGCCGCTTCTGAAGCGAGACGGCCAAGCGTTACAATATGTCTTTGTCACTTTACTCTGGAATTACGTGATTGGCTATTCCCCTACCGGAACGCAGCCTACCTTCCTGAGACTGTCGACCTATGTGAGTGACGGGTTGGAGGGTAACGTAGACGCTGACGGGATATCCAGCTCATCTACCTCTGTATTGCCGTGCTGCATCTGCCCGATTTGTTTCCCACTGCGGTTCTGGCTCCAGGCAGATTCCCGGACCTCTTCATAGTCCTCAACGTCCTGTTGTCCTTCGGCGTTTTCGGGCTGGCCTGGCTGTGGAGTCTGAAAAGGATGTTTGAGATCGCTTGGGCTATCGCGGGCTCAAGCATAGACCCACGCGACCACCATCGCTCCACCAGAAGAGCAAAAGTAGATTAGAGACATGCATGCATCGGCATAATTATCAGTCCGAGTGTTCGGCTGCGTCGGCACGAAGCCGATGATTTGTTCCGAATGTTCAGCTTCGGATGGGTCCCCCACCCAAAATGTTCGATGTTAGTGTTGATATTCTTGATCTTCAACAGCGGTCACTGTCTTCCTTCAATCTTCACATCATCATAATGGACAAAGCCACATATCTCAGAAGCGCGTTAGCGAGCAAAAAGCCCAGTGTAGGCTTTTGGTTGACGTGAGCCTCATTGTCTTCATCGCGAGATCCCGAACGCTGACTTTCCTGGATGGATAGCTTTGCGAAGGGTCCAGTTGCAGCTACTATTCTCGAAGGCGGAGGTTTCGATTGGGTTCTGATCGACGCTGAACATGGTCAAATAACAGACGCAGACTATTTCGAAGTTCGTCAATTGTCCGAAAGCGCTCTGTATATGTGTTAATCTCTTGTAAATTTGCAGCTCAACAACATTGTGGCTAGCCGAGGCGCGAGTCCCATCATCCGCGTGCCAAATGCCGAGGAGTACCTCATCAAGCGAGCTCTGGATTCTGGCGCTCACGGAGTCATGACTCCGATGTGTCATTCCGCCGTGAGTCAGCTCCTTCTCTGAGAGACACCCTACTGATGCTCCATACAGGAGGATGCCAAGAAGATTGTAGCTTGGAACAAGTACCCTCCTAAGGGTACAAGAGGGTTCGGACCAATGTTCTCTGCACACTCTTTTCACGGCATGACCCAAGCTACTTATCCCGCCGGGGCAGACAGTCATTTGCTGGTCATTGTTCAGATTGAGAGCAAGCAGGGTTTGGCCAATGTCGAGGAGATTGCAAAAGTCGACGGTATTGACATTCTCTTCATCGGTCAGTATCGTCAGCATCACCGCTCTAGGCGTCATTGACATGGACCCGATTCCCTCTCACAGGCCCATACGACTTGTCCAAGTTTCTTGGTGTAGAATTTGGCGGCAAAGAACACGAGGCGGCCATTGCAAAGATCCTCAAAGCTGCCAAGGACGCTGGCAAATACGCTGCGATCTTTTGTGAGTCTCCCCAAAAGGCGCTAGCGAGGCTCCATTGACTGACATGATGTCTTTTTTTTTCCGACTCAGGCTCATCTGGAGCCCAGTCAAAAATGCGCCTGGAGCAAGGCTTCGATATGGTGTCCATCTGCACTGACGTTGGCGCAATTGCTGCCGAATTCGATCGACAGCTCGCGGCAACTCACGGGGTCGAAATGGGTAAAGGACGATCAGTCTACTAGACGATTAGAAGCATGCATCCACTTGGCAAGAATCTGGTGTTCGACCTCTGGACAGGCGCCATGAGCCGTAGGTAATGAAGGAAATGGTCACTTTTGAGGGTCATGTCAACGCCGGGATCGCAATGATTGCAGTCTCCATGTCAAAAGGCACTTATGTACGCAACGGGAGGCAAGTGCGAGTTCGTTCTCACCACTTCGGACGACATCCATCAAGGTTGCGATTTGAGACAACACCGATTCTGATTCACGGACAGAGTCAACCGTCTAGCTGTCCGCCCGGTCAATTTATCCAAGCCTCGTCAACATTGACGGCCTCGAGCATGCCTTGAGTCATGCGCTTACAGCACGTCCCGAAGAGCTCCTAAGTAGTCGGACAGCACACACCGGAGGCGAGGCAAAAGCTCGAATCCTCAATCCCATTTCCGATTTCTCAGACGAGTGTGCGCCGCCTTTTGAAGCCAGTGAGAAGGTTTCTGCCGTTCCTCCAGCATTTTCCTCGCATTTATCATTGACTACGTACAACAGAAGTTAGTCCCAGATAGGATGAGAAGGTAGAGCCTTAAACGGTTAGTCATGCGACGACAAAGCATAGTCTCAGAGAGGTCTCTTCTTGTGGAAGTATGTACACAGGATCGCAGCAAGATGATACACAAAAAAAATCCCGGAATCCCCTAATCTCGCTATTGGTCGGTTGTACCGGCCCTGCTACGCATCACGTCCAAGAGCATTTCGGCCTTGCGTCTCTCATTCTGCTCGACCCTGAGTCCATCCAGTGAGCGAAGTTTGGGGCAATTGAGCATGATCAACCCCTGGTAGACCAGTCGCTTCGAGTACCACTCATCCGGTAGAGATTTCCTGAATTGGCTGTCGAGAGAAGCCCAAGCGATTGGAGCGGGGGTGGCGGCAGGCTCGTTCTTGAGAGACGATGGATGTATGGTTGCGAGTGTGACAGATGGTAATGGAGCCTGCCGTGGTGGTGGGGGGGGGATGAGGGGTCGAGAATCGCTGTGACGGGCTGAGAAGTGTTTGGGAGGAGCAAAGGCAGGTAAAACCCAAGTGTAGAGGGATTGGATCTGAACAAGATCAGCAAACTCGCATCGGATGCGAAGAATGACTCACCTGAGATCGATTTCTTCCAAACTCGTCAAACCTCTCAAGCCTTCCGCAACGCCCTTGGCAGGTCCATCGCCGAGTCGATTGCCCACCGCAGTCAGCTTACGAAGTCCATGCAAACCCTTCAGTCCATCCAAATTTTGTAAGAAGTTATAGTTGACATTGAGAATCTTGATATTCGGTAGACGATGTGCGAATTGTTCAGGCCACGACGACAGAGTACACCCGGCGGCCTCCAGGTAGATGAGAGCATATAACGGAGAAGAAGGGAGGAAATCGGACGATAATGGATTGCCAGAGACATACAGACGCTTGACAGATTCCAGGTCCATTCTGCGCAGGAACAGGCCAGCGACCCTTTGATTGCGCAGGCTGAGATTCTCTACTCGAGAAGTGCCACCCAGAGTCCGAGCAATGTCTTGCAGCTCGTTCCGGTCAGCATATACTGTCCTGACCTTGGGAAACAGGGAAAGGTCGAGGGAAGTGAGGCGATTTTCGGAGACCCGTAGGTTGACGATTGACGGCATCGGCGTATCGGTTTGCAACCGCACGATGTCGTTGTTCTCTACACGGCCAGTCAGGGTCGTCACGAGTGAGCAAGCTCGATACTCACCAAGATTCAAGGTCGAGATCACAGACAACCGTTCAAGACACTTAACCTCGGTGATCTGGTTGTTTGAAAGGTTCAAGGACTCCAAGTGTTGCCTATCTCACGTCAGCGCGAAGCCAATCTGCTTGCATCGCGAAACATACCACTTGGCCGTCGACAAGTCAAGCCTCTGGATCTTGTTATCGCAAGCACTGAATTTGATCAAACAATCCATCTGCAAAACGCCTTCGAGGTCTCGGATGCTATTCTTGTCCGCCTTGAGCTCTCGCAAGTGTCGCAGGCATTGCAGTTCTGACGGGTCAGCGTACGGCTCCTTGACTTGAACCCACGGGATACACTGTCCAGCTTGTTGCCCGACACATCAAGATACTGAAGGTTGCGTAAATGGTCCAGGCTGGTCAGACTCGTGAGTCGATTCCGAGCAACATGCAGTGTCCTAACTCCGCTAGGTACACCGCTAAGGTACGAGATCTTGTTGTCATCGCTGTGCAATGTCAGCAGAGTCATGTCATCGTTCGAACGACCTACAGGTTGACCTCGTCGAGATCGGGCAAAAACTCCTTCAACCTCGCCACACTGTCTGCGCCTTTGCCCCGCAAGTCCAAGGTGGTGAGATGCTCCCACCATGGCTCAGCGCCGTAGACGTCTGTGATAATCTTGACGAGATTATCATGCGCCACTCCAAAGGAACATTCGGTTAAGAATGTCGCATTCGCAGCCATGCGGGATTGGAAGCTTCGGATAGGTTGGATTGTCCGATCATCTTCACTGTCTCCGGACCCTGGGGACATGTGCAGCGCACCATGAGGCAGCTTCGATGGTGTGTCGCCTCCGATGGCTAGGATGGACATAAGCACCCGCAACTACGAAGCCTGTCCTGACTCACTCATTGCGCCCATCTCGCCGAGCATCGCTGCAATCCGTTTTTGCGTCTCATTTGCCAATCCATTTCTCCCTTCAAACACCCCCACGTTGATGTCGTCCTCAGAATGTAGTCCAGCGATCCTTCCGGCTTTCTTGCCATCAGAGAAGCTCACGCTGCGTCGCGCGGATACGGCTGCAACGGCTGGGGTGACGCTTTCATGCCAGGCCGTCCGCTTCTTCAAAGCGGCAGGTGTGGCAACTGCACCGTTGGGGTTGCGCAGTGCGGAGCGTATGGGCTGAGGTGCAGAGGCAGCAGGCGTCGGGGTAGTGATGGGTGGGAAATCGTCAAGAGCAGAGGCTAGGCGCGGAGGGGGCGAGACAGGGGCCGGTGCGGTGTCCACTGGATGATCGATGTCAGAATCGGAATCTGATGGAGAGTCGACGTCGGCATCGATAACCTGGGTCACCTGAGTCTGGACCTGCACAATGTCGTCACCCGATGCCGATGATTCAGATTCCGATAAATCATTCCCTTCGACATGTTCGGGCAATGGTAACGGAACGGCGGTACGTCCAGCCGATGGCGGATTATCATTCCAGCTATCCATCCCGGCAAAGACATCCTCGCTGCCCTCACTCCGACTCCGTGAAGCGCGAGATTCACCAGCCTCGTCGACCTTATCCAAGCCGTCTCTAACCCACTTCATGCTGGCTTTGTCGTATCGCATCTTGCCAACCTTGTCACGAACTAAGCCGAGGACGTCATCAGGCTTGATCATTCTCATCCTTGCACCTTGAGGGTATCCTCGCGGCCCAGGATGCTTGACAAATGACGTGGACATGGTGGTAGCCGTAGCGGCTGTGGTGGCAGATACGAAGCGATTGAGATCGTCATTGTTGACTTGGGACTCGCCATTAGCCGTGACAGAGCTGGCGCTACCCGGACGGCGCGGCTCGAGCCTCGCCTTATTGCTGCTGGATCCGTTGGACTGTACCGTGTCTGTCGCTTCGACTGGTCTGAAGATGTTGCGCGAAGATTCGACTGCTCTTGCTTTGCCTTTGGCTCGCAGAGACTGCGCAGCGATCGCGGCGATGTCCCACTCGCTTGAGCTCGCCGAGTTGACCCTGCCTCCAATTGAGCCAGCCGATATCTCTGGAGCTGCAGAAGAGTCGGAGACTTTTCGAGCCTTGATCTTGGCCATGATGTCTTCGGCTGCCCGCAGATAGCCTGAGGACGTCGTGCTTGGATTTGAGCGATGTGTAGGTCGACTAGGTGCAGATACTAAAGGTGGCGTTGGAGGCCGCTCGATCTCTTCGTCACTCTGTCGTTCATCTTAAATGATGATCATCAGCATGGCTCATGGCGTGATTATCGATGTGACCCACAGTATACATCGTCCTTTTCGGGACTGGCCGACATGCTAGCCGAAGTGGTACTTTCCACTTCTCTTCCTCGGATCTTGTCCATCACCGCTCTGGCTTGAGCATCCCAGTCCCTTACGCCTACAGCTTGACGTGCCGGTGATGTAGGTGACATCCTCATTCGCTTGGAACTCCTTGAATCATCAGACATGTCAGTCGACCGCGTTCGAGAACCACTTGACGGCCCAGAGTGATCTTCTCCCATGGGACCGTGTTCTGGACTCCAGACACAGTCATCTTCCCGTGGCGAGCCTCCAGGAGGTGAAGGTGAAGATTCTATCGCGATGGAGTCCACCAAGGCGGACAAATGCTCTCTGGTGTATGTGTCGTATGTCGATCGGAAGAGGTGCAGCCCACCTCTAGCCTTGCTCTTCCCAGACGGACCGTGCAAAGTCGAGTGAGATGGCTCACCTGTCGCGAACGGAGACAATGACGGATCGAACACCGGTTTCTTGCCGAGGGTCGGGTTCTGAGAAGACCGATACGAGGAGCTAAAGGTGAAGGGATATCCCTCCTTGGCTTGAATCGGAGAGGCACGCACATTATCCTGTTCGGTGTGTTCAGCCATCATCGGAGATGGCTTCAGATGCTGCTCGTTGTCTGTACGTTCTCCCGCCTGAGTATCTGCATCTCCTTCCGCAGTCTCATCTGCAAACATTGTTTGATCCGGTTGTTGCTCCAAAGTCATAGACGTTGATGTTGATCCGGACGCAGTAGACGGCGTGACGCTCTTGCTGAGGCGTGATGGGTTGATGGGAGCGTAAGCGTGCGACAGTCGTCTTACAGCCTGATTTACAGGCGGTTGCGTCACATTCGTCGTCCCCGGTGACGGATTTGATGCGACTGCTGTTTGAGTCGGAGGAGAAGGGGGTTGAAACATCTTCTCCAGGGCACTCGGTCCGAACATGTCCTTCTTCCCAGGGGCGAATCCGTTACGCGCGAGATGAGCTCCTCTGTCATCCTCCACGCCATCTTTCACGACAAAAGTACCCGCCACGGGACCATTGGCGCTTCCACTCCATGTTCTGCCATTCAGAGGCCCAGTAGATCCATTCGTTGACCCGATCTTTTCACTGAGCACTCGGTCGACGGTCCCCTGTCCGCCCGGACTAAGCTGAGACGAGAAGTTACGTGAAGGTGGTAAGCCTCTAGGCGCTGAATGTCCCAAAGCTCTCAGAGATCCTCTCTTTGCTTTGACAGAAGTAGGATTCGGAGGAATCAAAGACTCGGCAGGAGGCACAGGTGGTAGAGCAGCCAGAGTTGTAGGTGGTGAAGGGGATGATTCTATCCACTCTTCATCCAGTTCTCCAGTCTGCCATGCTGGCAAACCCAATGAAGTCATGTTGAAGGTGGTCGTGGTGGTGTTGTGATGTTGTTGAATGACAACATTAAGAAATCCGCGCGGTGTATGTGAAGAGGGGAAAAGCATTCGCGAAAACAAAACAAAGACGGAAGCAAAAACAAAAAAAAAATTGGGACGTGGAGACCCCGCATCATCCAAGACGATCAAGAATTTACAAAAGTTGAGAAAGATTTTAGGCAGCGAGGTGATATCCACCCATCTATCTATACCTCATCCACAATCAACTATGCCTCGTATCAGGAAGAGTGAGCACGGCGAAGAAGAAGTATGGTCCGGATTCTGATGATGGCCCCTTAGAGACCTCAAATCGGCAGTCTACCGCTCAGCGGAACAAGATCAGCCGCAAAGCCGGAGAGACGAGGAAGAAGAACAAGAAGGCAGCGAAGAAGAACCCTCAATGGAAGTCGAGTGAGTGGGGGCGTCGGAGAGTCACAGAGGAGCATATGTTGATCATGATCAAATTTCAGAGAAGAAGGCAGACCCTGGTATACCCAACAGCTTCCCTTACAAGGATCAGATCTTGGCTGAAGTAGCGGAGGAGCGTCGACAGGTAGGTTGGGATCCCATTTAGCTCGTGGTGGCCTCGCTGAGATTTTCGCTCAGGCAGAAGCAGCCAAGATTGCTCGAAAGGAAGCCTCGAGGTCGAAAGACGAGGAGAAAGAGGAGGATACCCCAGGAATCGCCTCCATCCACTCATCATCTGTTTATTCGGCAGCACGAGCCACATCAGCGGCTTCTCCTTCTGAGGAGGAAGAGGATGTCCCCGCTCTGGTAGACACTTCTCTCGCTACCCTGCAAGATGTAATCGACCGCGCGGACGTGATTTTGCAAGTTGTAGATGCCAGGGACATAGCAGGTGGAAGAAACGTCTGGATTGAGAATCTCTTGAAGGACGCCGGAGTTTATGGATTGATCATCAATAAAGCCGGTATGTCGTGCTCAAGTCTAGACACTGCCCGAGGGCTAATGCTTCATCTCAGATCTTGTGCCTAGGGAATCGATCCAGGCGTGGCTACCATCTCTGCCCGCAAATACCTTTATTTTCTCTTCGCCTCAGGAACCCTCGACGTCGTCATCATCAAGCGCTTCTGCTCTTGGTCGGACCGAGCTGTTGGCCAAAATACAATCTCTCGCGGAGAGTGGAATCGAGAAGGATGAACATCTCCGCATCGCTCTGGTGGGGTTGCCATCCGTAGGCAAGACGTCCGTCTTCAACGCCCTTTTGCCCTCCTCTGCTCCTCGACATCCCGTGGCACCCCTTATACCGCCCGTCTCCTCCGCCAAAACTCCGGCGCCTACAACCAAGGCACCGGTAGAAGCCCTCTTGACATTGAACGACAGCATCAAGGTTGGAATCATTGACACGCCAGGTTGGGATCTGGTTCCGGAAGAGCTGGAAGACGAAGATGAAGATATGGATGAGGACGAGGAGAATCAGGCGAAATGGGATGCTCTGGAGGCAGTGGCTGTGGGCGACGTTTTACGGAGAAATCTGGGTCGAGTCGACAGGATTAAGGACGTTGAGCCTTTGGGTGAGCAGCTCCGGTGTCAGATCGCTTGCTGACCCGCGCAGCATCCTATATTGTCCAACGTTCGAATGCTCAAGATCTTATGTTACTCTACAATGTACCTTACTTCCAAGCTGGAGACGTGGAAGCCTTCCTGCGAGCTTTGGCACGCGCCAACGGACGCATGAAGAAGGTGAGGATGTTGATTGAGCTCTAGCTGATGGACATCAGGGCGATCAGCCGGATATGGATGCCGGAGCTAGGATTCTCTTGCGCGACTGGGCTCTCAATCAATTCCCATACTATTGTATGCCGGCCGTCGACAAGGATTCGGTGAATGATGCGTCCGGGTCCTCACGGACGGAGCTCGACGGAGTGCTCGAATTGCTCAAGAGCCGTAAAGAGATGAAGGCGGGCGCTCGAGGTCTTGTTCGCTTCAAGCCTGGTCCGTTGGACAATCGCGAGGTGAGGGCTTTCAGCTGTGGCAGATCGCACCTGTTGCTGACTCGTCGAAAGGTCATTTTAGATGACGATTATACGGCGGCATTCGCCCCTTCCGATGACGAGGACGATGAGGAAGATGAAGACGGGGAAGAGTCTGATGATGATGACATGGAAGACGGCGATGAAGAGGACGAAGATGACATCGAGGAAGATGGCGATATTGAGCTCGAGTCTGACGAGGAGGATGCGGAGGAGGAAGAGATGCCCCGAGCCCCTCCCGCTCACAAAAGTGGCGGTGCCACTGGACCGAAGAAGAGTGTGTCCTTTGGTAATCTTCCGGTCAGGCCCAGTGAAGGAGAGGAAAATGACCGGCCAGTGCAGAAGTCTGGAGCTGGCAAAGGATCCACTCAGAGAGTCCGTCCGTCGCGTCACTCTCGTCGTGCTGGTAAAACTCGTAGACGGTGACCGAGTATGTATTGTAAATTTGAATGATCTAGAGAAATTAGCCGATCTACCCGCTGAATGGTGTGTCGATCGATCACCTCATCCCCTGATAATGTGTGGGAGAAGAAGAAAACAAAATGGTTGATAAGCGAGGGATCCAGGAAAGTAATGGGGATTCACTTGGTACATTCGTATCACAGATCCTCTTTGTTCAATCTCTTATACAGACAAACGAAAGCTTCATCGGTTGTCAGCTACTCCAGAGCTCTCGTTAGGTCCTTGCAGCTCAATCAGATAAAAGGTTCCATTTTCGCCCGAATCGATCGATCGGCTCAAGCTTAATTTTCCCAAAAATGTGAGAGAAAGCCCGGCTAGCGAACGAGGATGCACCGGCACTTGGCGCAACGAGCGAGACCAGCAGACAGGTGCTGATACAGCATTTCTAGGACTCAGACAACGGATCAGTCCAGTGCTCACACTGCCAATGGACAGACTGGAGAGTTCCATGTTCTACTCGTCGGTGCCGGTTTCGTGAGTCCCTTGCGATTGCACGCGTCACCTCACGCTTGAGTGTTGACGAGCTATGATAGGCCATGTTCGGGACTACCGAGGGTAAGTCGATCATGAGCTGCTTGCATTCCATTCGCTGAAGATTCATTACTGTAGGACCCTGGAACATTGCCAAGCGATTGGAAGGTCGATTAGGTAGTCGATTGGTCGTCGATGCCATTATCGAAGTGGATCCCTCCAAGGCCGAAGCTGCCCTCGCGAAGAAACGAGACACCCCAGCGCACGCGTCTTACAAATCTACCAAGGTTTTCCCTGATGTCGATGCATATGCTTCGGCCGTCTCTGGCGGATCTCTTCCAATTCCGAAGTGAGTCGTATCGCTTTCTCCGTAGACCAGTATCTGACCTTGCTAGGGCGATTTGCGTTGCGACTCCTCCTGCCGTCCGAGGAGGGATGTCTGAGCCTCGAGATCTCGAGCTCAAAATCATCAAGCACTTCCCCGAAGCAAACATCTTCCTTGAGAAACCCGTTGCGACCGGTGCGCCGTGGGAGAAGTCTGTCGGTGAGGCAAAGGAAGTCGGTAGGATTTTGCGAGAGCACAAGGGTATCATCTCGGTCGGGTGAGCTTGCGACTTCTTCACATATTATATACGCGCTCAAATCTGTTCGTAGATACGTTCTCCGATATTTGCGAGCGGTTCAAACCATGAAGAAGATCATCGAGGACAACAATCTTCACGTGTGAGTGATAAATATCTCGCCTGCGCACTGCTGACATGAGCTAGCATGGCCACCTTTGCTCGATGGATCATGGCTTATCCTCCTGGCATCAAGCTTGTGAGTGTGCGGAGATCTCAGTATGTCTTCCTCACTTACGTGGTCTGCAGGATTGGTGGAACAAGGCGATCCTTCAAGGTCCAGTCATTGAGCAGGGGACCCATGTCTGTACGTCGCGGGACTTGGTATGGAGAATCATTTGACCAGATCACTCTAGGTGATCTTTCGCGTTACTTTGGAGGTGACATCAACGTCGAGACTTTGAGGTGGGCATGATCTCCATACTCGGTGCAAGGTGCTGATTGCCGCAGCGCCTCGGCTGTCGAGTGGTACGAGAAGCCAGGAAACTTGTCTCAGATCCAGATCGACGAGAGCAAGATCCCAGAGGATTCTCGTATACCCCGATTCACTTCTGCCTCTTGGTAAGTCGTCCGCCGACCAATCATTCTTGCCGCGCTGACGATCACCCTTAGGAAATACAAGAGCGGCGCCGTGGGATCCATGATGCATGGAGTCGCACTTCAAGGTACCAATGATTCGATCGAGCTTCAGGTCTTCGCTGATGGAGTGAGTGGAATACCGTCCTGTAATCGACCAAGCTTACCAGCTTGTCAGTACCAAATGATGTATGCACTAAACCCATGGTGTTCACTTTTCAGGAATCTGACCCTTGTTTAGCCTTTCGGACCCCTACGGAAGTCCTGAGCTCAGGATCCGATCTCCTGATTCCGACGAATCTCAGATCATCTCCACTGCTGGTGAGTAGGACGGTGAAGCACACGTGGGCAGCCCGCTTACGCTCGGCAGGAGATGATCCCTACCAGACTGAGATGAACCACTTTATCGATGCGGTACGTCCTACGCATCCCTCTATGAATCAGCGCTGACTATTCTGTATGTAGATCGAGGGCGGTGGCGACCCCTCGATCTTGTCTTCGTACGAGGACGCTGCACAGACTTACGAGTTCACTTGGGCCATCCGACTTGCTTCCGAAGCCAACTCGGACAAACAAAAGGCACTCTACAACGAGAAGGGCTCGGCCTAGCGGTGCAAGGTCTCGATTGAAGAGCGTTGAAGCACCTCACAGCATGGCCACGGAAAGGGACGGTCTCACTCGACAGAAAAATACGGAGATTGGATGCATTGATCGATGTGCGCGTGATCTTAGTGGATCCACATGATGACCGTCTTTCAGGCGTCTGATGATTCTGTCTGCCCGAGCTGATGAGATAATACATTCTGGCAGGCACAGCTGAGTGCTAGTCCTCGTCGAAATCATACACCTTTCCCTCAATGCCGTGCAATTCGTCAAACATGGCTTGAATAACAGGTCCGGCCAAATGCTTTGGCGTGCCCCTCTCGTTCATTCCCCACTCTTCAGGCGTGTTATCGTACACCATCCATTTCCTGATATCCCTGACATGTTTGCCAGACCATCCTTCTCCTTCGTTACCACCAGCACGATGTACCACCGCAGTATTGTCCCAAATGACCACATCCCCAGGTTGCTGATAGTAAACTTTGGCGACGTATTTGGGCTGTTCCACCATTTTTCGCAATCTCAAGATCAACTCGTCCGATTCTTTCGGGTCCATCCCTTCAATATGGTGAAGATGCGAAGCGATGTACAGGTCCTTCCTTCCGGACCCAGCGTGGGTTACGACGATTTTGTGCCTGTGCATTGGATAATCCCAGGGATCCAAAGCCTTAAAGGTTGGAAAATTCGGTAAAGCCACTCGACGACTGTGGAAATGAGAATGCACGCCGACTTTATCCTCCAACAGTGCTTTCGTTTCTTCGTCGAGATCATCATAAGCTGTTCGCGTGTCTCCAAATTCTGTCGCTCCGCCCGTTCCCGGAGGAGGGAGCTGTCGAGCGATGATTGACGTCAATCTTGCTCTTCTGGCATCATAAGACGTATCGACGTGGAATAGAGCAGTCTCCTTCGCCATGAACCATCTCAATTCTCCAGGTTTCACGATATTCCCATCGAGATAGAGGTTTGACGGATCCGCAAGGTTCTTGGTCGGAAATCGACGGGATTCAGCGGGGGCAAGTTCTCCAAATCGAGATCCGAAATCAACGTAGTCTTGATCCGTCATACCTGTATCACGGAGCACCACAAACCCGTATTTGCCTACAGCATCCTTGATCTCGTTAAGAACATGATCAGAGGGAGGCCTCGAGAAGTCCACGCCTGCGATCTCTGCGCCAAAGGTTGGGTGGACAGGCGTACAGGTAATGCGACTGGGTTCCGATCCAGTGCCCCCGGAAAGGTTCAGTCTGAGGACCGGAGACGCTTGAGAAGTCTCTGTGAGCGTGCTCATTCCGATATATGGTGAAGCGAAGAGATGTTCAGACTGATTGCGATGCTACACGGTCGGGATTCCAATTTCAAACTAACCGGGCCACCAGTCTGCAGCTCTCGGGCCGTTGATAATCCGAACTGGCGGGCGGCGTACGGCCCGGGCTATTTCCGATCAACTCCCTCAGGAAAGTCCGGGGCAAGCGGCAGACGCTGGTACATCCTACATGCGAATGACGATACGATAGTCTGAAAGAAGCCGAGATGAAAGTAACTAGTTCTGGACTTCAGAAACTCTCGCCCATCAACTCATTAGTCCACTTCCAAAGGCGCTCCGCTGCAGCCTGAAGATCTCAGGTCAGATGCCGTCTCTCTACAGCCTCGGTCGGAGCTACACTCACATCATCTCCAGCATACGAGGCTCGTTTGTCATTCCGAATCTGGCAGTCGACGAGGAAGGAACCGCTCTCAGATGCGATATCAGGGTCGAAAGCGGCCCGGCAGGTTCTGCAAAGGACATTTAATCAGTATTGTGTATCATGGGCACGTCTGTTCTGCACTCACGTGGACGCGCCCTGATCGATGGTCTTCCATACGTCGGCTTCGTGGTTCACAGTTCCATCTTGATGAAATGCTCCGTACTTCCTCCCAACCTCTTGCTTTTCTTCGAGTGACCAGTGCTGAGAGAAAGATGGTCAGGCCGATGTACAACGCTTGGAGGGGGCTGAGGCTCACTTTTTGTAATGGGGTCGAGATGCCACCGGGCTGGAGACTGGTCAGATCACGACGAAATGTCAAGTCTTACGTCGAGAGAGAAAGCAGTCAATCCTTGACCCCTGAAACGCTTCGCCAACTCTTTGGCGTATAGGATATCGGCGGTTTTACCCTGTCCACTTGTAGCCCAGAGATCAGCACCGGTACACACTCCCGCCCCAAAACCACTCACTATGCGTGCTTCCTGTCGTAACCTTTCGTGTATGCTGGATCGTCCCATCTGATATCACCGTTGTGGTGTCCCACACTGGAGACCATAACCACTCTCTTCCCCTTCGATTCCAAGACAAGGGGGATAATTGATTGCGTGAAAAGCCAAGGACCAAGGTAATTTGTCGCAAATTGAAGCTCGTGGCCTTCAGGAGTGAGTTCATAGGGGGTGTCCATCTGACAGAAAGGTGAGGCATGTTCGTCCAGCGCATCTTTGGCGCCAACGCTACTCACCACGGCGGCATTGTTGATGACCACGTCTATCGGCGTCTGCCAGGATCTGAGCTCCTCGACGGCCTCTTTGATCTGGGCTGAATCAGTCAAGCACAACTTGAGCAGCTTGACTGGAGCATCTTTGACTTTGCTCTGAAGCTTATGACGAGCTTGCTCCAGTCTGACCCGGAAATGTCAACAGGGATCACTTCACGAAGTGCAGGCTCACTTGGTCATATCCCGACCAGCAAGGATGAGCAACTTCGGATCCAGTTGAGCCACAGCTTCCGCAGTACCATAGCCTATACTCGTGACAGTAGGACCAGTGATGAGGATCACTCGATCCTTGATGGATCCAGGGTATCGACGACAGACATCGACAGCTAGAGTTTTGGCTCCGAAAGAGCTGGGATCGACGCTCGTCATTGGTGTTCGGTGAAGATGAGGGATCAGTGTTGTTTGGAGAGCCACGAACGCTCTGCGAAAAGTATGAAGCAATTCAGGAATGATGGCTGAGCGAGAGCGATGTAGGATTGCCAGATACTTCACTATTTATCATTTTCTGAGGACGCAGTGATGATTCAGCAATGGCACGCTGTCGGGGCTGACGACTTCAGATTATGATACGGTGGATCCCGTTCGCATCTACATGAGGGTTAACATCGCATCAGAGTAGGCTGAAAAGGAGGAAGGACGACGCCTCATTTCAAGTGGACCGCGATTCGCCGTACCGGCCCAAAAAAAAAAAGAATTCCGCTGATTGATCTGCGACAGCAAAGGACAAAGTATACATTGTAACGAGGGGAACTATGGCTTGCGACCAGATCAGATCCGCAAACATACGACTCGCCGTATTCCTGCTCTAGAGGCTAGTCAGTCGTTGCTTTGCTTGTAGAAGCTGGAAAAGGGGAAGGGATGCGTGATTATCAGGGACTCCACGAGCGTATAATTTCGGGTAGTCCAATATTGTCCTCAAGGAACGAATAGGACTGGTGCCAACATGTTTCTCATCACAGATTTGGTAACAGAGAAGAAAAAAGGGGGTATCTCGGGGAAGGATAGAGGCCAAGACTCACCGCATACGTCTGTCGTATTCTCTGAGTGACAGGTACAACACTGAAAAGACTTGCAATGCAGAATTTAGTTTGGCTCAAATTGAACACGTGACTGCGAGGCAAATGTGGTTTCTTAGAAAGCGATAGTACATGCATATGCGAATGTGTCTTGGTCTACGCATCAACTTCCATTCCTTGACTCGCCTCAGTCGTATCCTGCAGCTTGCCCGCGCCAGCGGTCACAGCCACCTCCTCAGAGACCAACAAGTTGCGGACATCCTCTTTCGTCCAAGCGGTCGTCCCACGGCGGAACTTGTAATTGCGGGATTTGACCCCTCGCTCGTTCTGAGGGAGAGGAATCAGCAATGATGAACATCTCGTTTATGCAGTCATGACCTACGGGCATCTCGTAGTTTCTCAACATCTCCGTCCCGGCCTTGGTGATGACTGCGACATCGACATTGCTACCTGATCCTAAATCGTTGAAGACACCGGCTCGGATTGCTCGAGCTACAAGCGCAATAGCTTCTTCCCTCTGTCGATTCACTGGTCAGTATGGGTCTCATTGCGCGCCCAAGACGAAGTAGCCCACCTTCATATTCTGCTTGAAACTGCTCTCAAACATGGCCATGGCGGCAAGTGAGCCGGAACCAAGCGTCATGTATGGCAATTTGTCTGTTGATCCGTGGGCTTGAACGGCGAACAAGTGGGCGCCTGTGGAATCGACGCCACCCAGTACAAGATATGCTCCGACGTGACCTTGATACCTTGGTCAGGGTCAGCTCTTGCAAAAACAGAGTGAGACAGGTGACGCTTAACTCACCGGAAGAGGTACTGCTTCAACATGGTCATGGCGGTGACTACACGTGCCGGCTTGCCCTGAGAAAGTGCATGGAGCTGAAGTAGATGAGCTGGTGACGACCGCACTGTCGTGAATCGACTCACTTCGAGATTGGAGGAGATGAGATTGGTAACGAATCTGGAGAGCTTCAGCGATCGATGCCATGTGGACCGCAACCCACTCAGTATCAGCTGCAGTACCTGCACCACAGCAGCGCATGTTCGGTGTGAGATAGTGAATCTGGAGAGACACGACTCATCAGCGGGACTGAACCGGAAAACGAAGCTCGCGCCACTGCTGACCAACCTTCTCGCAATTCTTGTCTGCAACGATAGACCCAGCAGTAGCTCGCGTATCCGCACCGAGGACAATTCCCTCCTCTTCGCCAGAATCTCCGCCGCCAAACTTCATCCCGACGATGGTGGTACCGGTTGAGGTCGCTGTGAGGACAAGAATGCCTAGTCAGCATATTACCCAACGCCAGCCGCCTTTCCCGTCGCAAACGGTAAGAGCGGGGAGGAAAGGACGAAGCGAACGCACCTTTTGGTAGTCCTCCCATCGTCTGTCCTAGATACTGATTCCTCGCATAGTTGGAGAAGTCGAACCCTATGGAAGGTCCTTCAACCGGACCTTTCGAGGCCATGTTGCTGGAGTGTGCGGATTGGACGGGTATCGACCTGGGTGACTGCGTGTAATCGAGAATCCAACGGTCGCTATCCGAGTCACAGCGAGCGGCTGGGAGATTGATTTACAGATCGGTCCTATTCGTGCAGATTGAGCCCTGGTCGAGCGAGGTATATGAGATCAACGTTCTAGCATTGAAGCAAGGCGAGGCATCACCATTCGTCGCCGGCGCCGCGCGTTCTCATTACGTGGGATATTTATTGGCCACGTGGTATCACTGATAAGGGCGTGACGCTGTACGCTTCCCAGGGGCGAATTGATGGCGTCGAGCAGCACAGCGATAGTACTATCTGCACATTCAACAACAGCCAGCGAATCAGCCCCAAACCTCTTCAGCTGCTTCAATACTATCAACCGGTTGAAATCCTCCCCTTCGCCATCAATTGTCGCCAAAATGCAGTCTTGGAAGAACTTTTCTGCGCAGCTCCCCGCTGTGGACATGAGCGCCATGTCCAAGAATCTCAGAAACACTGTTCAGGCTACTAGGTGAGTGACAATGAGTCTAGATTGCAGCACATGATCCAAAAAATGGTGACGAATAACCGTATAAGCTCAAACTTGCTGACTGCTCATGCCTCTCAGGGAAAAGCTGGGCAATGTTGGACCAGATGGCATCACAGAGTGAGTCAAACATTCCTTAATGTTGATGGCGCATGTGCTGATGGTGCCGTTCCCCTTCTCGCCTGCTTTCCCATCCCATTTAATTTAAACCTCTTCATCTGACCATCATCAGACTCCCTGCCGAATACAAGCAGCTCGAAGCTCGCGTTGACGGTCTGAGAGAATTGCACCAGAAGATCCTCAAGATTGCCAAGGTCCACGAGACCGAGTCGGTATGTCTCAGCCTCGAGCGACTGCTAGTATTCTGCTGACTGTCTGCGTATAGTATGATTACCCCTCTGATATCGCGGAGAGCGTTCAGGATATGGGCCAACAGGCCGCCAGTGCTTGGAGCTCATTCGCCAACAAGAACTTGAAGGTGAGCCCTGAAGATTTCACTTACAATCTGTGCAGCGCTTATGAAACGCTTAGAACACCAACCTTCCCATTCCGATTCCTGCACAGGGTGCTCCTACGCCCCATCAGCCCAAGACCCTCCCTCACGCCATGTCTCGAGCTGCCAAAGCAGGTGCGACAGAACTCGGATCAGGAGACCGATTGGGAATGGCTCTTGCAGTCTATGGATCTGCTATGGAAAAGGCGAGTCAAGGCATTGTTCAACCTTCGAGACCACAGCTGAGACCACTTTTCACAGGTCGGAGATGCTCGTATGAGCCAGGACCAAATGATTTCTGAGAAGTTTGTCACTCCCTGGAGCGCTACTTTGTCCACCTCCATTGGACTCGCGATGAAGGCACGCGCAAACGTCAAAACTGCTCGACTGGAACTCGACTCGGCTCGAGCAGCGTGAGTCGCCAGGTTTTTGTTCACAATGTATGACTGACACTCTTATTAGCTTGAAATCGGCCGCTCCCGCCAAGCAGGAACAAGCGAGGTGAGTCATTCTCCTGCGAAACGTCGAGGGTCCAGCTCGGCTCATCCTGCGCCAGACTTCACGTGGAAGAGGCCGAGGACAAGCTTGTCCAGAACACCGAGACTGCCATTGGACTCATGAAGGCTGTCCTCGAGAACGTGAGTCCGGAAGTCCCGCGGCAAAGGACACCAGCTGACACGTTCCAGCCCGAGCCCATACAAAACCTGTCCAACTTGGTCAAGGCTCAACTGATATTCTATTCTAGCGCCGCAGAAACTTTGAGCGTGAGCTGCTCATCAGGAATCTATGAGAAAATGGACTGACACGCACTATAGGGCATCCAAGGCGAGATTGACGAAGCTGCTACTGCTGCCGAGGGAGAATACAGAACATCTCGTGGTGCTTAAGCGGAGGAGTTGGGACCTGCATAAGACTTGCTTTCTAGGACGATATTGATCATGCTGAGGACGTCATTCTGGTCTGTGAATAGATTTGAGCTTAGCAGGCCCTCTTTGTGATGAACTACATGAGGCTCTGGCTGAGGGGATCCCTTACAACACTCGTTGCAGCTGTGACATGTTCTGGTCTATGCGTATTGACAGTAATGAATACAGTGAGGCGCTTGGGTAGTAGTTCTCGATTGGGGCCGTAGAGAGGCGCAGCTACTATTCATGCGCTTTGATGCATCTTAAGGCGAGCGAGCTGCAGTTAAGGAGTATGACTCGAGCAGCAAAGAGTACCAGACACGTTGCTTCAGTTCCCAGCGTACCCGTGTCACTGACTCTTTCTTCTCTCGCGACTCAGTCCCCATAGCTTGCTGCTGATGCTTCATACCTGCCATGAGCGCGCTGAACATCCAGAATTGAAAGGGACGATGTTGCAATCGTCAGAAGAAAGCAGCAATCGCTTCGACCTTAAAACCTGGCCAACAAGATTCGGCGGATTCGCCGAAACATTCCACTATATATGGTAGTTGATAGCCATCTCTTCCTCACCTGTATGTTGTGAAGGTTGATGACCCGGGCAGCGGACTTATGACGCTCTACCTATGTCTAGATGGAGGAGGTACTAAGACGACTGCTGTCATAGCGTTTGTCAGTAATTCGAGTACACCGTCGAGCTTTGTCCGCGGCGAAGCCGGTCCGTCCAATCTGTGAGCGACCGACTCCTGTGCTTCGAAGCTGAATACTGCTTCAGAACGCAGAATGGACCTGAGATCTGCATGGCAGCTCTGACGTTGGCGACTGCATCAGCTCTTTCGAGACTCGCCTCTCCTCCAGCTTTCCCTCCTACAGCTTCCTCCGCCTCATCATCAGATGTTCAGAAACGACCTGTCTTTCGTCGAATCTGGGCCGGAATAGCAGGATGTGCCCGACCACCAGACTATGCGCTTCTTCGACCTCTACTGCAGAACTTATTCCCAGGCTCCGATGTTCGCCTGACAGGGGATGGAGAGCTGTTGACGGCTCCTATATATTCTACACCTCATTTGGATTTAGTGACATTGATATCCGGCACCGGATCCCTAGCCCTTCGCTGGCATAGATCTAGCACGTCAGAACGAGTCGCACAAGTCTCTAGGGAAGGGGGATGGGGATTTTTACTTGGTGATGAGGGGAGCGGTTGGAGTTTAGGCAGAGAAGGCATCAAATCCGTCCTGACTGCTATGGCGAATCATCGAGACCTCTTACCCTGGCACCGGGACATCCTGCGTCGATTCAATGTCGAGGGTGAACCGCATCGACTGCTAGCTTCATTGACGACTTTGGATCCGACGTTACCCGTGGCGGAGGCAGATTCAGAGCGGAAGAAGAGGATAGCCGCATGTACGAAACATGTCGTCCTGGCCGCTCAAGAGGGCGATGAGGAGGCTTCCAAAGCAGTGAAGCGAGTCGCTCTGGAGGTCGTCGAACTGTTGCGTCCTCTAGTTGAGACAACAAAGAGTAAAGATGAGCTGGAGGAGACTATCTTGGTCGTCGGCGGAGGTCTCGGCGGTGTCGATCTGTTTTGGGATCAAGTGGCATTAGGAATGAAGAACAGAGGATGGAGGTGGGCCAGCATTGAACGGATCAGTGATGCTGCTTTGGAGGGCGTCAAGGTGATCATGGATGATCGGACTTGGATTGGAGACTGAAGTGTACCATGATTGTATCAATTCATCCATTGCATTGCATCGCCTGTCCAGCCTAGGCATATAGTTGTCCACAGCTCAGAGATCACTGATCAGCAGTGACCGGATAAAAATGGATGACGTTCTGCCGATTCAAAGATGATGTTCTTTGGTGTCCACTGACAATTACACCATCGAGTCCTGTCCTTCATCATCACTTGTTTCTCGTCTTCATCAACGACGTTCAACCAGGTAGCGCAGTAGCCTCAATCTAAGGATGCCTCTTCTGCCTGGGGCTAGCTCCTTGTCGAATCGACATCGACCATCCAATATTCAAGGACACCAAGGGGGACTAAATGCAGCCCATATCCATCCCGCCTCCATTGACTCGAGACGCAACGGACAGTCGGGTCTTCCTGCTCCTGGCACCACCCTCAATCAGAAGCGCTACTTCCAATCCACCTCTTCATCTGCCACCTCTAGTACGATCTCCAATGTCCCCGCTCCAATCAGTCAGCAGCTCGATTTTACCGATGTAAGATCCTTTCATCCAGCTTGGCAAGGTTTTGGAAAGAGCAGCCAAATACAAGATGGACAATGCGGCAAGGCGAGGCTATGAAAGGTGTATCGACCAGTGGATCTCTCCCAGGTCCCTGTACGGCTGTCGATGGCAAAAAGCGACCTGGCCAAGGTCTGGCCATACCGCGGGGATCGCATACAGTCGTCTCTCCACGAATGAGTACTGGTGTCGAGCAGGAATCCGGATCAGAGGGGGGCATCACATTCATCTACAGAACCCCTAGGGAGCAGAATACGTTCCTGACTACACGACAAAACAAGACCTATCCAGTTCGAAGGATGACATGGATACCCGAGTCCGATTCGACAATACCACTCATCTGACCCGGCTTGAGCGACATGGCGGCCTCCTGTGTAGTGTGACGTTAGCTTTCTTCGCCACGAGCCTCCGGCGGGAAGATAGTAGGGCTGCAGCTTGGACCGAGCCCGGGAATAGGAGAAACTGGGTATGACTCCTGATGTCAACCCACCTCAAAGCTCTTCTGCATCATGCCTTTTCCGAACCACCCCAAATCTCCTCCCTTTTTTGCCGACGAACAATCGCTCTTTTGAGAAGCAATCTCAGCGAAGGCTCGAGGGAGCTCGGAAGATGGAGCGGCTTCGAGTTGTTGAATGTACCCCTGGATGATCTGGCGGGCTTGAGAGGCTGGTCGGGTGATATTAGGCTATGACAAGGGCGTCAGCAGGTTGACTGTAGGTTCGCGTTGTAGATCATGCCACTGCAAAGCGTCCTCGGAACACGATACCATGCTTCATGTCACAGATTCACTCACCTCTCTCCAGCTGCTCGGTCTCCTACTTCCAGCATGTTTACACAAGATATGACTCGCACGGACATGTCCCGGTGGTCCAGATTGAGCAGCCGGTGGAGCAGCCGATGCAGGAGGTTGCCATCCCGCTGGGAGGAATTTGGAGGCTCCAGGAAGAGCTCTGACCTGGTCTAGAGATAGTTCGGATGGGGGCTCCCAGATGGATTGAGCAGTAGCGGGGTTGAAAAAGTAGGGCAATTGACGAGAGTTTGAGAAACGGACCTCCCAGCCTGACATTGTGGTTCTGAGGAGGAGAAAGAAACGGTCAGCGCTTTGTCTCGTAGTGTGGTGTCTTGTGAGAGATAGAGCCCACAGGGTTGAGAAAATAGGTCAAGGTGAATTGATTGATCCTCGTCTTGCACGGAATCTCGTGCGGCAAAATGAGAGGGTTTTGCAAGCCCTCAAATCGATGCAGACACCTGACACGTCCTTCAACCGAGCCTCATGCCCGTACTCACTTGGTCTGACTCAGATGCAAAAGCTCAAAGACGAAGGATAGATAGGGGAGCGATTATGAAACCTGCAATTAGAACCTCAGCGTGACGACGATACGGTATGACGCGTCAAATATCCATAGAGCAGTTGATATCCTTTGTATCCTTTGTGCTTTCTCTCCTTGTCCTGATCAACAGTCATGAAGTCGATGATGCATACTTGTTTCAGGACCATTCAATCTTATCTGACTGTCACTCCTTCCAGTAGCTGATGCAATATATCGAAATCCGCTACCTATCATATCCAGTCAATGCCCCGCCATTTGTCCAGCGGGATCGTTTCCTGCACCGCGTTAGCCTGACGGGTTGAGAGAATACAATGCCCATTGGTTGAGAATTGAGAAGACCAGGCTCACTTGATTCTTGGTCCTAGTCAATATACCTCTCTCCAAATCAGTCTTGACTTGGTCTCTGGACAATCTGAAGGTCCCTTCTTCTTGAGCCAATTTGAACGCTTGAAGGTATCTTGGCTCCCAAACGGAAACGTGAGGATGGACATAACGCCCAAGGATGAAGTGCGGTTCAGTCTTGAGCTTGAGGAGGAAGTGTCTGAACTCTTCGATGGTGGCACATGAGGCTTCAGATACTGGGGAATCGGAGTGAGTCAGTTCAGAGTGAGATTTATGTGCGATCGGGTTTTGATCTGCAATTTGAGCCTGAGGATTGCCTGGAGCGTTTGGTGATGCAGAGCTCAGTTCAAGATCTTGAGAAATGATACTCTCGGAGAAATGAGACGGCGGCGAGACGTGACGATAAGAAAGCCATTCTGCCTCGTCGTCGTCGAGAGGTGCGGACTGAGCGCGAGGCGGACCGGTTGAAAGAGCTAGAAGGGAGAGGCATGTGATGATAGTGAAGAGACAGAAGCAGAGATATGACACGGCCTTGGGCAGGTCTATCATGTCGTAGGATGTGGATAGCTTCCGTATCGCGTCGAAAGGGTCGAGAGCTCGGAAGAACATTGTGTCAGTGATCATCTCCGGACCTCAAAAAACAGTTGCGAATGAGCAAGGGTTAGGTCAGATGCGAGCGGTGGGGAGGTCGAGGGTTCTTTTCCGATGCGTCGAGCTACCGACCTTGCGTGGGACTCAGCAAGCTACTCGAGAGTCCGGATGCCATACCTACAGATACAGTCCCCTCAACTTCCTCGTCCTGGGCCAATGCCGTGACGGAGCTTTCCTGCGGGATCCAACGAAGGACCTTTCGTGAAGATCCTTCCTGGGGGGGCACACGATTCAGCTCGTGACAGAGTTCAGCGTCAGAGTGATGATGGTGCATCGATCTTGATTAAGATATATAAGAAGTGACAAAATAGCCAAATACAACCAAAGGGAGAGAGGTCTGTGCGTAAAAGACATCTATTTCGACACGAAAGCAACCCCACACAAGATGCCCTGATCAAACCAATCCCACAACAACAGTAGCTCGCAAACCACCTTCTACACCCTCCCGCAAGTCAGACGTATCGATGTTCCCTACCCAACCAAGGACACCATCTTCCAGACTTTCACCATGTGTTGGAGATATACCTGAAGTCGAGATGTACTCTTCTGATCTTAATGCAGATGACTTCCAACCCCACGATTGAGACATCGTGAAGCTATCAGGGGCTGATGAGAATCGAATGAGGCCAGTTCCAAGGGCAGATGAACACGAGATGGAAAAGTAGGCCTGAGGATGTACATGTCAGCATCATATTTTATATGACGAACTGCCAGCTAGCTTCACCTTGACTAAGGGCCGAGTATCCTCATATGGACTGTCGTACTGTTCCTTCGGATTCGTTAGACCTTGGAAAGCGCCGGTAGGTCTGGGCAAGCCTGGAAAGCCTTGTCGGGCAGGACTGCCAACTGTCAATGGAGGTATTGATGTAGATCTGGAGAGTGTAGGGCGAGCAGATGATGGGGCCGTCGGGGGAGGCGCCACAGTCAATCCAAAGCGAGCTGCAAGGGAGGACTCCAACATGGCAGCGGAATCAGAGTGACCTTCGGTCCGATCTCTTGTCTCTGTAGCGTTTCCGCGGGTCGAGGTCCTGATGGACGGAGCCGAGGGCGCAGGCATCGCTTCAGACGTGCTCTGACGTTGCAGGTAAATGCCGAGCTGAACCCCCTTGTCTTTTTTCCTATTGGGTTGGACGTAGACGTTGAACCATGATCCAGCGTAGAAATGAGTTTGCGAATAGGCTCTCTCCTTATCTGGGAGCTTATCGATTCCCCAGAACTCGGCGCTAAAGCGAAAAGGTTCACTGGTCGTCCAACTCTGTTCAGGACGCTTGTTTCCGGATCCAAGAGATAGCGCGGCGAGATTGAGCGAATGCTGCGACTGAAGGTGAGTCAGAGTCCTGGATCCATTTTGCAAACCGAAGGAAGTGTGTTCGCCTTGAGGAGGCGGTCGGCGCTGAACGGAGCCATCCGCCAGAACCGTTTCGCTATCGGGTCCTAGATCCGGAAGGCCAGGCATACCAGAGAGGGCAGTTTGGGGTGCAAGGGAGAAGATCAATCCACTAGCGCCGATTCGATGGGTGTCGTCCACAGGTACAGGATGATACAGGCGCGACCCGGACGCCGCTGTCACATTGGATGTGATGGACAAATCGGTAGAACTGCTAGACAGCCGACTTCGAGGTGTGAATCTTCTTTTCGGAGCAAAGGCTTGGACAAGTTGTGACGTCGTCTGCGTCAAGCCCAGAGAGCCGATATCGAGTTCGTTTGACGCTGACACAGCGCGGACTCGAGCTCTGAGGTCTGCTGCCGACCAGTGAGCGGACTGCAAGACCGATAGAGGAGCAAATGGCATGCCCGTAGAAGGGTCGACATCTTGTGCGATATGAGAAAGGCCGTCAAAGTTCTGCAACCAGGTCAGCTGACGATTCGAGCATCCCACTTGCCATATGAGTGTAATAGATCCCGTCTGCAAATACTGCCTCCAGGTGACTCTCGTCCTCGTTCCATTCCTCACATTCTTCTGGACTCGTCGAGTTCAAGGACAAATCTCCGGTCGTATCCATCTCCTCCTCCCAGCCCATACGTCGAAGGTCCAATACCCTCCTTGCGACCCGGTAACGCTCGTACTCGTCCTTGACGTGAAAAGAGTCCGAGCTCAAGGCGGCACGAAGGAAGTTGGCAGGTAGACCACGATGTCGCCAGATCCGTACTGGACTAGATGCGGGCAAAGTCGATTCAATGTCAAGGACATCGACTCCCCACTTGGCTATCCAGCACGCACATGCTTCACCGATCTTGTCAGAGGGAAAGCCATAATATTGCGGCATGGGGAAATCCGCGTCAGAGATAGTTGACGTATCAGTGGCTCGACTGAGTGATCCCATTCGCTGAACCGTCTTGACCGTCGGCGTAGAGCTACTAGACGGTGAAGCTGGATGTGAAGATGACCTGGTTGTGTCTCCCACCTTGCCCTCTTCATCAGAATTGACAAAGCTCGCCTGATCATCGGCTTCTGATGGTCGAACAATTACGACTTTTTGCCCGACATCTTCCAATCCCTTGGCTGACGCAACATCTTGATCTGCCCATTCTTCCGGCCCAATACCATCCCCAAGCGCAAATGCGAGATACCGAGTGATAGTCATGGGGCTGACGGTCCGTAGCACGATGCCAAGGACTTCACGCATGAGGGATGTATGACCGAGATAGATCGCCGTTGACAAGATGGACAACAAGAGCCGAGGTGTGACTAGCTGAACATCTTTAGGTGTAGAGTGGTACATGGACGCAAAATCCATATCAGGGTGGGCACCACTGACAAAAGCGGAAGACAGTGGGTGTGGAGAGGTCGAAACTAGACTGTTGGGAAAGTGGAGATGTGGGAAGGGAGAGTATAATCGCGAGAGCGTAATCCTGAGGTGATGAGTGGGGTGTCAGGCGGAAAATACTCACTCGAATGCAGCTCGAGTGATGTTGGGATCGTCAAATGTCAACTCTAAATTCTCTCCGTGCCAATCATCCTCGCACAGAGCCTTGTCCTTGCCCTTGTCAGATCTGTGATGGACGTGCATCTCCGAGAATCCACCGAGGAAGAGCGAGTGAAAGAAGCCTGCGAGTGTCTGTGGCTGGTACACGGTGGTGGTGAGGGGGACGCACCAGCTTGAATCAGAACCATCTTGTGCACGCGCCATCCTACACCCCACTTCCTGACCCATATCCTCAGATCTGCACACTTCCCAGACAAGAACGAAGCGTAGACATGATCTGAAACGATTTTTTGTGATGGAGGAGGTACAATCTGAACTGATCGAGGTGGGCTCAAAGATGTCGCATCGGAAGCCGGGATGGCATCGTTCGGTAGGGATGTCGATCGAACTTCAAGTACAGGAGCAAACGTTGTGGAAGGATAGGAAGACGCGGCTCGAAATGTGGAAGGACCTGCTGAATCTGGAAGGGAGCCTGCCTCGGAAAAGACATCGACCCGGCTTGACTGGGTAGTCGTGACGGGCACTGTGATAGGTCGAGGAGAAGGCGAGGTCAAAGCTCTGTTACGCAAGATTGAGGGTACAGCAGGCGCTGTGGTGGTGCTTGTCAACAATGGCGACGTCACTGACAACGGGCTAGAGATAGGCGGAGTGGCGGTGGCCGTATGTCTCCTGGCACGGTCACCGCCAGCGGATGAGGACATGGCATCTGTCGAGTCGGCTGATCGAGTGACAGTCATGGAAGGGGCGACCGCGCCTGCAAGTCCCCCACCACTACTGCTGCTACTGCTCCCTTCATTGCCGCCATCTGCTGATGCTCTATGTCCAAGGGACGAGCTCGACCGGGTAGGCGCTGGAGATGGACTCGTGGATCCGATAGGTGATTTTGGTGTCGCTGGAATATCAGGAAAAGGTAATACGCGTGGTGTGGAATGTGATTTTGATCGTGTAGATGAATTAGGTGCCCCATGAGATGACCTGGATAGCATGGATGAGTTGGAGGATGATGACGCGGAATGGGACGCTCCAGTACTGTTCGTGGTGGTGGTGGTGGCGGCAGCAACAGCGGCGACAGCAGCAGCAGCAGTAGCAGCAGAGTGTGGTCCCGTTGAGCTGTAATGTGAGTCTGTCATGATTGACCCAGGACCGTCCCCCTCCTTGCACACACCGCTTCGACTTATCTCATCAAGTGACCCTCTCCCTTTCCCCTGCCTTTTTCGCCGTCGGTCCAGGGGCCGCGCTATACTCGATAGACACACACACACACACACAGAGAGTGCCAAGAGCCGCAGACTTGGTATTAACAACTTTGATAAAGCCTATGGAAGCTTCGGCTCTCGGCGGCGGCGGCTTATTCTTAAGGCGGCGGCGGCTCCCGACTGGAGGGTGTCGCGTGAGTGAGAGAGAGAGAACTGCCACATCGAAGATAATCCCGGGTTGTGACTCACTATATCGGCGTTTTGTTTGATTTTCACCACTCTCCACCAATTAGCCACACACACACAGTTGCCAGAATTTTCAGAAACGTTTTCAAAAGGCCAGGCAGATCATTGTCAACGTGCTAAGCATTCTCTCTTTTCGACCCATACCATCTCAACACCCACCCGCACCATCATCATGGCTGACGCTGCACAACTCGAAAAGCACCTCTCTACTCGAGCCTACATTGACGGGTGAGTAGACAAGTCTCTTGAATCCGTGGCTTCCTTGCAAACTCTCTCTCCTACCTCTCTCTTTCTTGATGATCTACCGTTTTGGTCCGTGTTTCCGAGCTCAGCGGCTTAAGACACCGCGCCTTTTGGCACTGAAGACAACATCTTTCCAAACTCACTGACCACCTTTTCATCCTCTCGTGTTCTTGTCGCTCCGTTGGGGAATTGCTGTTGCTGACTACTGTGTCAGCTACGAGCCCACCTCCGCCGATGTCGAGGCTTACAACGGATTGAAGAGTGAGTATAGCTCTCTACCCATCATGCTTCTGCGCTTAAACCCCACGCAGGTGCTCCTGACGCCAAGGAGTACCCTCACACTGCCCGATGGTACCGACACATTGATTCTTGGAAGTCGGAGCACTCTTCCTTGCCCAAGGGAACCGCTCTCGCCGCTTCCTCCAGCTCTACCTCTGCTCCTGCTGCCAAGAAGGACGAGGAGGAGGCTGAGGCTGAGGACGATGACGAGATCGACCTCTTTGGAGAGGATGAGGAGGAGGATGCCGAGGCTGAGCGAGTCAAGGCTGAGCGAGTCGCCAAGTACAACGAGGCGAAGGCCGCCAAAGCCGCTGCCAACGCTGCTGCTGGAAAGGACGCTCCCGTCGCCAAGTCCGTCGTCACCCTGCAGGTGAAGCCTTGGGATGATGAGACTGACATGGATGCCATGGAGAAGGACGTCAGGGCGATTGAGAAGGATGGTTTGGTCTGGGGTGCTTCCAAGTTGGTTCCTGTCGGATACGGTCAGTCCCTGATGAGTCGTCTCTCGAAACTCGTGCTCATCTCCTGCTTAGGTATCAAGATGTTGCAGATCACCTTGGTCGTCGAGGACGCCAAGATCTCTCTCGAAGAATTGCAAGAGGAGATTGCCGAGCTCGAGGACTACGTCCAGTCCACTGATGTCGCTGGTGAGTGAAGCGTATTTGACCAGTCTGGCGCATGCTGACTTTCGTCACAGCCATGCAAAAGCTTTAGATAGAGGGGACTCGTCATGCGAGCTCACGGATATGCATTGGTGTCGAACGAGCTTTGATTTAGTATCATGCCATTGTTTCCGATGGTCTGAGCCATGGACTCTGAGCTCGGTGATCAAAGGAAAACGCGCCAAGATCGGGCACTTGGGGATAAAATAGCTAGCACAGGCAATGACGATGTCGTCGCCGTTGACAGCGTTGCGAAGTCAGGGCGTCGGTAGCGAAGTCTCTGATACTGCGCAGTGTGTCGTTTGAGCAGTCTTGGAATCGCCAGACACAGCGGTTAACAAGCCATGTCATCAATCGCTTCGCGAGCTTCTCTTGTAGGAGAGGCGGAACCAGACGTCAGCGCAAGGTCGGTCTAGCCGGTCTCTGAAGCCCAGCGCAGTTTGAGCATGCAGCATGCAAGGAAACATTCCACGATAATGTCGGAAAACAATAATCGCCACTTTGCCATTACGGCACCTCGATATTGTTGCCCAAAATTTCAGCCAATTCAAGTCCAAAAATCAAAAAGATCATACATAGCCTTTCTCCAGCTCAGTTCCTACCATGCCAGACTCATTCTTTCAATCTGAGAAGAAGCGGAAAAGGCCATCAAAGGCATCGGGTTCACGACTTGGACCGAGGGGCGCTGCACCTCCCAGAAAAGCCGCGGACGAAGATCTCTCTTCGGAATCTGATGCAGGATCCGATGGAGCTGGGTTTCATGGTCGAGGCGATGCCGACTTGTCGGATGAAGAGCTTGCGAATCAGAACGAGACGGCCAGAGAGAAGCGACTGAGGCTGGCAAAGGGGTATTTGGCGAAAGTTCGGGAAGAGCTTGCTGCTGGTGAGTGTTTTCCGCCAACAACCGTGCAGGGGGGGACTGATCGGGTGTGCAGAACAAGCAGAAGGAGACTACGATGCTGCTGAGATTGACAGAGAGCTGATTGCGTCCAGGCTCCAGCAGGATGTGGTGAGTCTATATCTCTGGGGGCCGAATCAAGGCTCATACGCTTGACAGGCCGAAGTACAAGGCAAGATCCACACATACCTAGCTTCGAACCTGGTCGAAGCTCGAACTCACTTTGTCTCCACTCCTTCCCATTGTCCGACAAGCGTTGCCATGTCCTCATCATCCGTTTACATATCTACGAAAAGGGGAGTCATATTTCGGCATCCTCTACCATCTCTCAAGCGTGAAGGCCACCCATTTGGACATTCTCGCGGCGATGGAGGACACGAAGGCGAGATACTGTGCCTTGCAGCGAGTGAAGATGGAAAATGGCTCCTGTCAGGTGGGGTGGACAAGACGGTCGGGGTCTGGAATGTGGAGGACGGAGAGCCGAAATGTGTGGTAGGCATCAAAGGTCATAAAGATGCGGTGACGGTGAGAAGGTCTGAACAAGAGCAGGGGAGCTGAAAAAACAATCAGTCGGTTGTGATCCCCCCTCTGAACAATCCCTCGTATCATTTTATGAGCGCCGCCCTGTCCCGTCATCTCGCCCTCGGATCTCTCTCCACTCTGTCCACTATTGACACCTTTTTCGGTCATCAAGACTGCATCACATCTGTTTCCGCCATAAAACCCACGGTGGCAGTCACTGCCGGATCGCGAGATAGGACGTGTAGGTGGTGGAAAGTGGAGGAAGAAGTTCAACTCGTCTTTCGTGGTGGAGGTCGAACGTTTGAAGGTGTCAGAGGAGTGGTGCCGGATGCGAGGAAAGAGAGATTGGGCGGAGGATGGGAACTTGAAGATGACAGCGTTGAGCAACGACGTCAAGCTGCACAGAGGGACAAAAAGGGAAAAGGGAGGGAATTTGTCGAAGGATCTATCGATTGCGTCTGTATGGTCGACGATCAACATTTTGTTTCTGGCGGGGACTCGGGGTGAGTCGAGAGACTCCACGGGAGTTGCTTGTTGGTGTTGAAATCTCACTTCAGATCCATCTCCTTGTGGCATAATGGAAAGAAGAAGCCAATATTCACGGAACCTCTGGCCCACGGTATTGACGAGAGTGTAGATTCTGGGGGACCGCGATGGATTACCAGCTTGGCTCATCTTCGAGGGACAGATCTATTTGCATCAGGTGAGTCATTGCAGTGTGTGATTCTCGCTGATGCTGGCAGGCTCCTGGGATGGCTCTATACGATTATGGAGACTGGATCGAAATCTACGCCATTTTACTCGAGCGAGTCGAGATACAATCCCCGTTCCTGGCTTTGTCAATGCCTTACAGATCCTCTCACTCCCATCAGCATCCGTTGTTTCCGGACAGTGGGCAGTCGTAGACAGCTCTTTTCCGACTGAGCAGATTGCGGCTGATATTAAGGGGGACAAGCAGATCCTCCTCGTCGCAGCTATAGGTCAAGAACCTCGCCTAGGTCGGTGGATGCGATCGAGAGATGGCGTCAAGAATGGATTACTAGCCGTGCATATTCGCTCAAGCGGCGACCAATCTTCATCTTGAAGATGTATGCTATGCATTTCAATTGCGTTGATTATCCTTCTCTAAATACAGATGGAAAAGTGTATGGTAGGCTATATCAGGCATCTCGTGCTCATGGTCTTCGTGTGATGGATCGTAAAGATCGTGAACCCAAAAAAAAAAAAAAAAAACCGGGGGGAATGACAACATCAAGATTCGTGCTCCAGAGGCTTTTCTATAGCCCCAATCGTTCTATCTCCTCCATCCTCATCTTCATAATCGCTCTCTTTACCACTGTCCAGAACTTCCTCGTCTTCTTCTTCCACTTCCTCCTCGACGTCCGGTAGATCAGGTGTAGCCTGACCGTCCCTGGTCCTAGCTTTCGAGGGTGATGTGACTGGTGTGCTACCAAGACTGAAAGGGTCCGCCGTCGATGGTGAACTGCCAGTCGCACCGTCTAGCCCGTTTACCGAGAAGATGTCGTTCATCATCTTCTGGGCGAGTGTACCATAGTCCACATCGGAGCCATTTTCACCCAGTGAAGGCAGAGCGAACTGCGAGTAGTCAACCGTATCGGGTAATGGATCCATGGACGGCGCAGCTCGTCGTTTCTCTCTCTTGATTCGCGGCGTGCCTTCTAGCTTGAGTCGCTGCATACGAGCATCGATGAGATCAGTCTCAGAGGCTCCAGTGACTTGTGGTGTGAGAGCCGCTCGAGCTTGAGCCCGACGTTCCCGGTTCATAGCTTCCTCCTGTCTGGCTCGATTCTGCGCTCGACAATACTGAAAATGGTCAGCATACTGTCGACAGATCCCGATTCACCTTGTAGGAAGATGTAAATGTTTTGAAGATTCCGAAAAAGTCTTGACTCTGCAATGGTCTACCCATTTCCTCTCCTTCTCCGAAATAAGTCTCGACATCTCTCAGATGTTTCCCAGCTTCAACGATACCATCACGAATCTCTTGCATGTCCTCTTCGGCGACAGCGCTAAAACGGAACATCTTGCGAGTATACCCGTCGTTGGCATTTTGAAAGTGAGAGTCTAGAGATTTTCTTATTTGGCGAATCTCATCCAGCATCTTCTTCGACGTAGATTGCATATCGGTGAAGTTGACCCGATTCGCATCGGATGGCTTGGCGAGCTCGTCCAGGAAACCTTCCACTTCTGGGAAATGTTGCGAGACCACTCGTTGTAAAAAGTGCAGCAGGTTCTGTCCTCCAGAAGATTTCGTATCCACAAGCTGAGATTGGTCAGTACAGTCAAAGGCAAAAGGACTCACTTTGTTGATACTGGCGATCTTGAAACCAAACGCTCCTCCAGCATAGTTGGTGCCGTTCAGGTAATTGCCCATCATCAAAATGATGTTGAGCAATTCGCGGAACAAGCGAGCGTCTCGGAGATCCGCACAAGCAACATTCAGAAGGTTCAGGCTCTGCCTCGTCAGCCAAGCTAAGATCCGACGACTCACTGTCTGCAGCAGCTCAACGTTTTGCGCAAATCCAACTTGGAATACCATACCATGCACGCGATCGGAGAGATGTGGCAGTTGGATAAGCCGGACCATGAGTCGGTCAGCGGGATGTAAGAGCTCGAGCTCTGCTTCGGTGTCCGCGCTGTGGGTAAGGAGCTTGCCTCGCTGGAACAAGGTCAGCTAGACAATCTCATATTCCCTTTGACTCACATCGTCATCTGACGGGAGAACACCTTGTAGCTCGCGCAAGAAAGTTTCTGTACACAGCTCGTCGTTGAAGTTGGCAATTGCCTCGGAAAGCCGTTCAGGGTCCCTAAAGCTCTTTGCGGTCGACCCGGACATGAGGATTTCGATTCGTTTTCTATGATCTGGAGCTAACACAGACAAAAGCTCCGTCTCTTTGCGCTTCTTCACAGCGTCAAAGACGACTTCTTTGGCCTTGAATTCGTCTTCCATCTCGGTCCACAGGTTGACTGCTCGCATCTTGTTAGCAAGCTCGTCTTCAGCCACTTCTGGACTCGACCACATCGTCTTGTTGAGCTGTGCTTTTGATACCTTTTCCCATTGAAGCTGCTTCATCTTCTTGGAGGCCACCATGGCTACATCCTTGCGCGAATCGTTGGCACCATGCAGTAAGGAAGATATAGGTGCGAGGGGAGCCCGCGGCGCAGGTGGTGCGGATGGGAAGCCGTTTGCAGAAGACGTCGGCGCGGAATCACCTTCCGTCTGGCTAGTAGACCTGAGCGAAACTCCTCCCTTGATACCAGCGATCACACCCGCCATACCTGGCTGAGGTTTGAAACCCGCTGGGAGTTTGCCTCCCGGCGGAGGAGGCGGTGGTGGCGGAGGCGGTGGTGCTGGCGGGCCTGATCTTGGCATTAGTGGCGGCGGTGGAGGCGGTGGTGGTGGTGGAGGAGGAGGCGGTGGAGGGGGCGGAGGAGGAGCAGCTGTGGTAGGTTCGTCTCGATCTCCTGATGCATCTTCCGCTTTTGAAGCGACTTCTGCTGAACCAAAACCTTCATCATCCGAACTATCGCCAGCAATCTGGATCTTGCCCGCAGCGATCAATTGAGATCGAAGAGACTTGGCTGCAGGCGCATGCGTAGGTGTTTGTAGCTCCTCTGTCGCTCCTGTAGCAGACGATTGACGTAAATCAGAGGTGATACTGTCCGCGTCCGTCTCGTATATGTCTGCAGCTGATTCCGAAACACTTCGAGAGAGCTGACCATACCGAAGTTCCTCGAGAAAACGAGGCGGTAATCCAGGTTTCTTTCGATGCACTGAACGAGGGCCAATGGGCGGAGGAGTGCCGGGCGAGCCTCGACGGGAACTGTCTAGCTCTCTAGTCCGCGTGCTTCGGAGACCGGCGGCCAGGGATCGTAACGGTGACTGTTCGCATTAGCATAGCTTGTCAGCGATGAGACTTACAATATGATCATGTTGGCTCGTCAAAGCAGTCTCTATATGAGCTCTCACTCGATCGTCCGTGGCGTCCATGAATTGAGAAGACCTGATAGCCTGACGCTTGGAGCCAAGATCCACTCGCTCAGCCTCGAGCACCTCGGCCTCGGCCTCGCTTTCATCGTCCAGTCTCTCGCCAGGTAGTAATTTCCGATATGGTCGACCTTCGAGTTGTCGTATTGTCTTCTTGCGCTCCCACTGCTCTCTGAGGTCGAAAATCAACTGTTTCCGGTTGATAGGACCATCGTTGATCCCTTCCACTTCTTCAAGGTGATGAGATTCGCGCAACATGTTGAATAGCTCCTGAATGATGAGCTCGAGATCTGATATTCGAGCCTCGAAATCCTTCTTCATGCCGTCCATCTGATCCGTCACGGCCTCTGTAGCTGCCCTGGACTTGCGCAGTCGCTCCTCCAGCTCGGAAACGTGTGCTCGAAGAGACGCGACGAGATCATCTCGCTCCATTTCCGTCGCAAGGTCGGCTTTTTCCTGAGAGACTCTGTCCAGCTGGGTCTGCAGGCCTCGAATCTCAACTAGCGCGTTGTCCAGACGTTCCTGCTCTACGAACTTGCCGATCAAATGAGAGACAGAGCTTCCAAAGGCTCGCGAGAAGTCTTGACCGAGGTCTGGCGTATCGCTCATGACAATGGACGTGATTAGCCTATCGATGAGCTGGAAGTAGCGGTCCTTCTGGTCGCCCTCCTCGCGAATCAATAGAAGATGACGCATCGAGTTGAGCAGGTAGGCGCTGGCTTTGGAGCCTTTGGTGACTTGTAATAGCGCTCGGAAGACGTCTTCTGGACTCCTCATCGTTTCCAACATCAAGCGATCGCGTTCTTCGTTCAGATCACGACGGTCCGATTCCGCTTCTTCCTCGTACTGTCGAATGGTCCGCATGACAGTGGGATCCCGCCACTGTTGAAGTTTTGCAAAGATGCGCAACAAACCGGCTGTTTCGAGCTGTGCCCTGACGGAGCATCGAGAACGAACATCAGAGCCTCCAGCCAAAGCTTGTACAAGGTAGATCATAGTATTGCAGTAATCGAGAATGGCTTGATCGTCTGTCCCCTTGAGGTCTTTACTGGCACCGACTGCACTTCCCATTCGACCACGTCCGTCGATGACTTGTTCGAGCTGCCTGAGCCATACGTCGAATCGCCCTACTTTATTGGACAGGTCGAAGACCGATATATTTAGTCGTTGCTCGATCTGGTCAAACGCGTTGAGAACGCGACTCAGACCACGGCGCTCGTCCGGATCGAGACTTTCATCAAAGTGGGCGATAAAGACCAGCATCTCTGCAGACAGACGGCGACTAGTCAGGTGTGGCGAGATCAGGGAGCTGGCGACGCCAACAGCGATCTGAGGCTTCTGTAGAGCGTCGACAGCGCCGATCTATACATGTCAGCTGAGCTTCGTGGACGACTAATCACCTTGACGCTCAAAGACTTCTTGAGACAGGCCAATAGCTTGGACTCCATCTCATAGTCGACAGCCCCACGACCTTTGCGCATGTTCAGGTTCGACAAGAAATTGGCCAGAACGACTTGACCCTGACATTCCATGAAATCTCTCATCCAGCTGAAAGTCAGCCTAATAGCTCAATTTTAGGACTCACTCCACAGGCAATGTTCTCAGACTGACTTCCAACATGCTCAGATGCTGCACCGTTATGCTCCCGTCCAACATCTTTTTCAGAAACCACTCGGGACTGTTCTTCATCGCGGCGCTTGTCGTTGCACGTTTGCCTTTCCGAGGTGCATCCTCTTCCTTCCTTCTACTGTCCCGCATCGCTTCCCATCTGGCCCTGGCGTCGGACTCCACCATCTGCCACTTTGTTTCGATGGGTAAGGACGCTGCTGTCCGCGCGATATTGGCTTGAGAATTGGTAGACGATGTGGAGGCGCGCGAAGAGAGAGTGGCAGCTTGTGTCTCCAAGGCTCGACTAGACAATAGATCCCCGAACAGGTTCTCCACCTCTGCATCGGACGGTCGTGGGAAATTGAACTCGTCAGATGAAGAACGTCGCATAGACATGATAGACGGAGCGTAGACGGAAGCTCGTGATGGAGTGAGAGAGGCGGGCGGATTGGGTGTGGTTTGCATACGAGGAGTTTGAGGCGGCCTGGCGGAAACGCTTGGGCCAGATTGTCCCGAGAAACTTGGGTATCGACCTAGATCGTGAGAGTACGCTGATCTAGTGGTAGATATCGATCGGATAGAGGCTGTCTCCGGATCCTGAGCTGCCGCAGCGTAGGGGTGGGGTCTTGCGCCAAACTCGCCATTTGCCCTGGAGCTCCCAACTGTGATCGAGGGCGGCGGCTGGCGTATCCCATTGGCCATGACGTCTTGGAGGAAGCCTGGCGTTGTATGAGGATCCGATTTGACCGTGTCTACGCTTGATCGTGCAGACGCCCGAGAATGCCTGGAGCTAGACCTTTCAGGTAACTGGCGTCGAGCCGAAGGCTGAGGAATGGGTGGTAGAGGGCCATCCTGACGCCGCGAGGAGGTGTAATTGAATCCCGTTCCATCGGCTTGGAGTCCAGGATTCGTATCTGGAGCTCCTATATCCTGTACAGTCAGTGGAGACTCCCTGGGCCGATGTCCAATGAGCGAGATGGTAGACGGTCCAGCAGCGGACGAAACCTGGGGAGTCGGCACTTGGCTGTAAGGAACCGATGTAGCCAGACCTTCTGCAGATGTGGGGCCATCATGAGATGTCGAGGACGAAGCTGATATCCTAGACTTTCCCTTGTTGCGAAAGATGGCATCCATCGCGTTTCGTTCAGCAAGCTATTATGGGGGCGAAGGACAGCTTTTTGAGACGTGCGATCCTAGCGGGACCAAGGATCGGTCTTGCAAGACACCTTAAACGAAGTCGACAGGATAGACATGTGAGATACTCAGAGAGCCATGGATGCTGGTCCGATGTACGGTCTATCTTTCCGCTCGCTGCGATCACCGTTGTCAACAATTATTATCAATTATGATAGTGTGGACCAGCACTTGAACCCAAGACCTGCATTCCCGCCCATTCTCACGCGACGGAGGCCACAAAAATTTGATTCCGTCAGGATGACAACTGACACACCGATCGCTCGGACTCTTCCCTTGATGCAACCTGCTTACTACTGTCCAGTGAAGGCGATTAGGACCACTATGGTTGGTAACAAGGGCTACGAGGAGGATTCGGCTCCATGGGGAGCTCCTAGCGTGACCCCGAGAGAAGCAGAACCAACTGTTGAATCTGCGCTGGAGAAAGAACGTATTATCAAAGATATTGTGCAATTGCGAGACGGACTTCGCGGTTTGATGGTCCGAGTGACAGAAGTGGAAGGTGACACCGAGAAACTGGCAAAGGATAATGAGCTTCTCAGCGTTTACATCGACAATTTGTGAGTCGGAACACCTGAAGCTGTGACTGACGATGGTGGCAGAACACGAAATTCTGTCGTTGCCGCTGGGAACAAGCGATGATGTTGCGATGGGCTCTCTGACGATGGAGGTCGGCTCAGCGTGAGCCTCTTGGATTAAGATTGAGATTCAGAGCCTAACAGATGGCAGACGACCTTCGAGATAACTAGCAGAGCGGCTAAGCAGAATCGAGCCCCGGTTCATCCAGACCTCAAGTGGGGAAACAACCCTTCGACCTGGCGATTAGCGAGCTGTCAACACACTGCTTGCCTCGGTCAACTAGAAGCATCGTCCTCCATCGGTCTACTGCGGCAGCGATGTTCTTAAGTCGTGTGCATTCACAATCAAACTGTACACTATCGCCCCTCTCCTTAGCTGGCCATACAATCATGGATACTACACTCCCACTTCACCAGTTGTGACGGTCTGCATGGCTGATGGAGCATCGCTCTGGTCCCACGGGCAGCTGAGAAGGGGATCGGAGAGACACGAGGTGCCTTTAGTGCCATCATCTATTGTTCCCGGAAATTGTGTGTGGATGCCAAGATTCAGCATTATACGCATGTAGTGATTCCTACTCGAGAGCTATCATGTTCCCCTAGCCAGGACCGCTGACCTGCCGCCGGATGTTCTCTACACCTGTGCATATCGTGTCCAATTGACAGAGACACATATGCAGGGCCGAGAAGACGCCCAAATTTTGCGTGCCTATTTTTTACGCCTATAAGCCACGTTCCGCCAGCACCACTGCGTCGTCAGTAGGGAGCTGCTGGCATCCACCACCTTTGTCTTTTTCCTCATCTCTATACCTCAGTCTCACTCTTTATCCCAGGCGTTCGCGCAACCTCGCGTGTACCCCAACATGAAGCTGAAAGACATCTCCCGTACAGCGGCATTCGCCTGGGATCAGTCTCATTCTTCCTCGCCTTTGATAGCGACCGGTGCAGTCGCCGGAGCTCTAGATGAGAACTTCAGCAATGACAGTCTTTTGGAGATCTGGGCGCCCGACTTGGCGGACAAAACATTCAACCTAGGTACCGACAGGGGGGCAAAGCCAAAAGGCAGCGTGACAGTATCGAGCAGGTGAGTCTAACGAGATCCAATGTCGCTAAGGCTGTAGATTTAACCGAATTGCTTGGTCTGCGCCTACGCCGAACAATGCTCGAGGAGTCATTGCAGCCGGTCTGGAGTCTGGAGAGGTCAGTGTGTTCGACCCGGAGAAGATTATGAATGGATCGTGAGTCTAGGTCGAGAATCAAGTGCTGACAAGGACAGGGAGGACGCTCGTCTGTTCTCAAACAACAAGCACACCGGGCCTGTTCGAGGGTTAGATTTAAACCCTATCCAGAAGAATCTCTTGCTCACCGGAGCTATCAAGGGAGAGGTGAGCCATGTGCATGCTCTATGCTGATTCCTAGCTCTTCATTTTCGATCTCAACAACCCTAATCAACCTATACCCCCCGGCCCCACCTCCACTAAACTCGGCGAGATTACCTCGCTGCAATGGAACCCCACTGTCTCTCGTGTCTTCGCCGCCTCATCTTCATCAGGATACACATCCGTCTGGGACGTCCGAGCTCAAAAGGAAATGGTCAGCTTACAGTTTGGTGGTGGTGCAGCAAAGGGTATGGAGGCTGGTCGCATGGACCTCCAAATGGGCAAGCGAAGAGGTATGAGTGACGTCTGTTGGCATCCAGAGCAGGCAACTCGGCTTGTTACAGCTTGCGAAGACGATGACTCCCCTGTCGTCATGCTTTGGGATATGAGAAACACGCGAGCTCCAGAACGAGTGAGTGTCTATGCCTTTGACTGGCACTGACTCTTAGATATTAAGCGGACATCACAAAGGCGTTCTGTCCGTCGCTTGGTGTGCACAGGATAGCGACCTTTTGCTGTCTTGTGGTAAGGACAACCGGACGATCTGCTGGAATCCACAGTCAGGCGATATCGTGGGAGAAGTGAGTCTGAGTCATACAACAAAGCTCAATTTTCGTAGCTCCCAATCGCCAGCGACTGGGCTTTCCAGACCTCTTGGTGTCCTCGCAATCCGGATCTCCTTGCGACAGCCTCTTTCGACGGACACATCAGCATCCACTCTCTTCAGGCCACTCGCGAGCCAGAACCTGAACAACCAAAATTCAGTGAGACCGCCACGGCCGACGACATCTTTGGCGCTCTCGGCGACGACGATCAAGCAGAGCAGTCTGTCAACGTGCTCTCACTCACACAGCCTCCAAAGTGGCTTCGCCGTCCTGTCAGTGCCACATTTGGTTTCGGTGGGTTGCTCGCCAGCACCTCGAATCTACCGGGCTCGAGCGGCAAGCATCAAAGTGGTGTGGTTCATCTGCGCAACGTTGTTACCGAATCCAGTATCATTGACCGTGCGAAGGCGCTGGAACAGACAGCGGGAGAGAAGGACAAGCTGCGAGATTTCTGCGCTCAGCAAGCTGAGAAAGCTCCTGAAGACTCGGCATGGTCCAGTCTCAAAACGCTGTTCACTTCAGCGACAAAGCAGGATCTAGTTCACATGCTGGGCTTCTCGAAAGAGGAAGTGCAGAGACAAGTGGAAGAGGCAGTGAAACAGCTTCCAGGTACCGTGCCACCGAAGGCAGAGCCGGTGGAGACTCCCACAGCTCCATCGGAAAGCGGAACACAAACCGCCAGTCTTTTCGGTGACGATGTCCCTGGTACACCGGCTGCATCCGCCGACTTCTTCTCTTCGATGCCAATTGGACCTCTCAAAAACCCTCAATTGGATCACATTGTTCCACGTACCGCCGAGGTCGCTGAGTCCTCTGTCGCTGCCACCATTGGCAGCCAAGGATCTTCAGCTCGTTCTGAAATTATCACAAAGGAAAACACATTCTTCATATACCCCTCCGGTTCGAGCGATACAGATCGACTCATCACGCAAGCTTTGGTGCTTGGAGATTTCTCCTCCGCTGTCGATCTTTGCCTGGCTTCCGAGAGATTTGCGGATGCTCTGCTGCTCGCTGTACGAGGGGGGCCTGATCTCCTCCAATCGACGCAGAAGGCGTACTTTGAGCGACGAACGACGAGCTTGCCTTTTCTCCGAGTCTATCAATCCATCGTTAGTGAAGATCTGGCGGATATCGTCCAGAACGCCGATTTGTCCGAGTGGAAGGCCATCTTTGCAGTTGTTTGCACCTTTTCGAAGGAGGCCGATTTCAACAATCTGTTGGATCAGCTCGGGCAGAGGCTCCATTTCAGATGGCAGACTTTGGCTGGATCTGACAGCCCCGAGGCGAAGGCGTCTGCAAAGGCGGCGAGAGAAGACGCGACCATGTGTTTCTTGGCCGCAAGACGACTTGAGAAAGTCATCAATGTGTGGATACAGGAGATGAAGGAGGAGGAGACTGCGACAGACGAGACGAAGTATACGGCGCACGCTCAAGCTCTGCAGTCTTTCATCGAAAAGGTGGCTGTCTTCACCGCAGCGACAGATTACGTCGACATCGATCTGCAAACACCCACTCAGAATCCACAGGCCGCGGAGAGTGGGGCGCGGACTTACCGACTTGCATCGCTTTACGACAGATTCTACGAATACGCAGACCTGCTTGCAACCCAGGGTCTGATCGACATGGCGGCAAAGTATGTGCAAATGACCCCTTCTGACTACAGGGGGACTGGCGATGCCGGTCCCGAGCTCGACAAGGCAAGAGATAGGTTGCTTCAAGCTGCGGGTGGCGCTAAGGTGGCATCGTCCTCCAAGGCATTTGCGACTCAGACAAAGCCTGCGGCTGGAGGATACAACCCTCTAAACCCCTACGGAGCAGCATCTACCCCAGCTAGAGGTCCGACTCAGAGCTACGTCGCGCCTCCCACAAATCAGTCTTATGCTACACCTCCCACGAATCAAACTTATGCCACGCCTCCGAGTCAGTCAATCTCGAATCCGTCATACAACGCAGGATCTACGCTGCAGCCGTATGCGGCGCAGACACCAACTCAGGAGAACAATGGCAGTAATCCTTACGCTCCAACTCAATCGTATTCGACCCCGCAGTACGGTACAAGTAATGGATACGGAGAATCCCAGAGCCAGGGTTACGGTCAGTATGGGGCACCGCAATATGGTGGCCAGTATGGAGGAGGCAACCAGTATGGTGGCGCCACGTCGCAATACAGTGGACAGCCTCAAATGCTGGCTCCTCCTCCTCCTCCTCCTCGCGCCAATGCCAATGGCACATCGCCCTCAAACAATTCGACACCACCTCCTCTCCCTGCAGCTCAACGTCGAGACATTCCAGGCTGGAACGATGCACCCAACTTTGCTATCCCAAAACGACCGCAGAGCGCTGCATCGAAGGAGTCGAAGGCCCCACCTATCATGTCCCCGTTCCCAAATATGACAGAGACTACCTCTCAAGCTCAGCCGCCTCAGGGCATGCCGCAAGGCATGACGCCTCCTCCTTCTCGAGCTCAGCCTGGCATGCTTCCACCTCCACCCAAAGGTGGGCCTCGACCGCCTTCCGCTCAAGCTGTTGCCCACGGTCAATTTGACTCTCCGAGCACTACGCCCTCCATCCGCCCTCCACCTCAAGGCCCGCCGCGTGGCAGTCCATTGCGAGGCGGACCTCCCCCTGGCGTCATTGGTGGCCCACCTCCTAGTGCCATGGCTGGGCCTCCTCCCAGCGCCATGAATGCTCAGAATCTGTCCGGCGGACCTCCACCTGGTGTCATTGGAGGACCACCTCCCCGTGCCTTGTCGCCCCTGGGTCCCGCGGGACGACAGGCTTCGCCCATGATGTCGCAATTCAGGTCGCCACCTCCGAAGACTGAGGTGCTTCCCGGAAGAGAATCTACTGGGCAGTCAGCCCCGACTCCGCCCCCCGCGGCTCCCCCTGCGCCCTCTATATCTCTACATCGTGAGTTTCAAGGACGAGACCTGGCTGATTCAGTAGCCGCTGGCGATCGGTCGCATATCCCTGCGAAGTCGAGAGCTATCTATGAGACTCTGTCTGCTGAATTGACCAGAGTCAAGCAATCAAATCTTCCCGTGAGTCTCAACACGAAGATGCTTGCTAATAGCTACAGGCTCACGTCAAGCGTATCGTTGACGATACCGATCGTCGTCTCAACATCTTGTTCGATGGTTTGAACAACGAGACCGTGCCTGACCAGGCAATCTCCCAGATGACGGAGATTTCAAAGGGTGAGCCAAGCTGCTTGAAAGGCCTTCTGACAGGTAGCCATCTCGAGAAAAGATGCCAATGCTGCCTTGGCGATGCATGTGGATCTATTGACTAATTCTACTGGTGATATGGGCAGCTGGACAGTGAGTCGTAAAGCAGATTGGTACTGATCATCTCTCAGCCTGGTGTCAAACAGCTCATTCGGCTCGGCTTGCCGTAGAAGGTGCACATAATGATGATTTTGAAAGGCTCTCTATGCATAACGTCGATGAATACTGGCTGACGATTAAAACTCTGTTGAACCATATTCATGACAAATTCGTGATATGTATATGCTATTATAGGTCTACACTAGAATTCATAAGGTACGGTCTCGATAGCGTCTCCATACGATGGAGGGGCCTGAATCCATCCATCCTCACAACTCAACTGCTCGCCGGTGATGATCCTTCCGATCTCTTCACCATTTGGCGTTCGCTCCAAATGCAGATCTGACCATCGGAGTAGCTGCATGGCGGAGCGAGGCTCGGAGACGGAGCCAACGACAATTGGGAGGGGCAAGGTACGTATCGTACCGGGGAATCGTCGTTTGAGGACTGAGAGGTCGAATGGTGGCATCGTCGTCGGCTCGGAGAAAACGCCCATAGCTGGCATCTCGAAAGGGAATACATCTTGTAGCTTCACTTCTCGCAGACCTGGCGCCTGTGGCAAGAATGCCAAAGTGGTCGCGAGGTGATATGTAGAAGACACGGCGATGGTGTCGATCGGTCCTTGGGCAGAATTCGCTGAGCCGACATTTAACATGGTCGAAAACCCGTGCGTCCATCGATTGCCAATCATGAGCGGAAGGGCAGCTTCGAACTCGATCGTTTCCGTGACCGTCTCGAACCAAGCATATCGGCTAATGACCTCGACCTCTTTTACCAAGCCGGATTGACCCGAGGGATCCTGTACGTGTGCTGGAGACGTCGACAGATGTTCGCGTCGAATGACAGCAAGACGTACGACGACTTGATAGCGAGTGCCAACTAGATCGGGCTCTTCCGGCGGAGACAGTTTGATGCGCAAGGGAATGGTAGAGGTTGGCGAGAACGTCGTAGTTGGAAGAAAGGGTTCTACTGACCATTTCGAATTTGGTCTCCGGGTCAAAGACCTGCTCCGAGCTGGTGTCGAGGCGGGTCGTTCGCTTTTGACCCAGAAGGAGGTCGGACTATACCGGGGCGTTCGAGTCGGCAAGGTCTCTGGCATCATCTCAAAGCCTCTAGCAGTCTCTGCCAGGTAGACTCGCCCGCCAGGACGAGCGGGGTCGTCGCAGGTGAGAGTGACGGACAAGGCGTAGGTCACTGCAAAGCTTGATCCTGGTGTGGCGAACGATGGAGGTAGCCGGGGTGTGCAGGGAACTTGTACGGTCAAAGGGAGAGAATACGTTCCGCCGGGAAGACAGGTAGTTGGGTCGATGCTAGGATATACAGGCGATGGAGGACGTGATGCGTATACCTGCTGAGCATCTCTCGCCCATAATTCTAAGCCATCGGCCAATGAGACAGATACACATATGATCGTTTGTGGTGCCGAGTTTGGAAGATGCAATGTGCCAACCAGTGACATCGTCAATGTCGGGTTGAGGGAGTGTGACAAGGATGAGAAACGATCGAGTCGGAACGTTAGGACAGTAGGTATCGCTTGCCCTGGGTAGAACGCCGGAGGGATGTCTACGTTGGTGTCGGAGCATTGAAAGGTTGCTTCCAAACTGCAAGGTGGAAGAGATGGCGGATAGACAGGGACAACAGCAGCTTCGAAATAAATCAGCGTGGCTCGAAGCGTCATTGACTCACAAGATAAAGACTCTACTAGCATGGGCTCATCGACGAGCTCTTGACGTTGAGACGTCTTGCTTCGCAATGCTCGCCATGACGGGAAGATGTCTCTAGATCGCGACCTCCGTCGAGCGACATTGTCATGAGAGGCTGACCTCAAAGGTACAGAGATGGGTTGAACGGCTGAAGCGTACACTGGTGTTGGTGACCTAGATGGACCAGCTGAAGCGCTGGTCTGTAGGGAGGTCATGGAGTGGCGACGCTGAGGGTAGTGAGAGCTCGAGTTGCACCGATTGCTTCTACTGCGAGGCAATGGAGGTGCTGGTCGGACGTTTGTTGGAGGAGGGGGAGGAGGTCGAGTGTGAATGATTGTTACCGACATTATGAGAGCGTATTTGATTGCGTTGAAAGGTGATCAGCCCAAGGGTCTTTATGACTCGGATAGGTCGGCGCAAGTGACGGGAAGGGGTCAACGAAAGGTCCTTTGACTTTACGTGTGCCACAGTGCCGGGCGAGGGGTATTGAGACTGTTGTCACCGGTCCGTTTCACTGTGCTACTCGAGTCTGAAGACAGTGACAATGAGCGTACAGACGACTATCAGCGGGGAGGGGAGAGATTGTATCGTCTAGACGATTATACGAGACCCGCCACTGCAAGCTGGGAGAGAGTGGGAGGGCCCGTGTCCCGTGAGAGGTATGACTCTTTCTTCTAGTCCTTCCCCCTGTCTGTCGCGGGTTGAATGGAGAATGAAACTTACCAAGTGCGAGTATGGTTACACCCGATGTCTCGACTGCAGACGACGGCAGTTGACTACTGGGACCACAGCCCTTGACGATCCGGCAGTGGTTCCAGAATGGGGAGGGGATGAGGGGATTCCAAGGCTAAGACGCCAGAATTCGGCGTAAGTGGTGCTGATTCGCAACCCTCCTTTTGCCGCAGCGTTGTCTCATAACCCCTTGATCTCGTGCGGGCTCCAACAGATTCGGGACGCATTGATTCAGGGTGACGACTGGCGTTGATCAGTATTATCACTTTGTGCTTCGCTCGGGGGAACGCAGTTGGGTCAGAGCGGCAGAGGAGCGTACGGGGACAGAGACAAAGATGAAAATCAGCATGTCTCTGGTCTTCTCCTTGTTCCTCTCTCCCGTTCGCCCGCATCAAGTCAATCTTGAACCAGATCGTACCGCATGCACCTCTTGTTACATACCGTCTCTTTCTTGCTCTCGGGACAACTTTAGACATGAATCGAGTGGACATGTCTCAACCCGTCAATCAAAAAGAACAGGAAAAAAAAAGAACCCTGGCGCAGGAGGGCGAAGACGGCAAGTGGGATCCACCACACTTTCATTCACGCCCTCGAGCCTAACAAGCAGGTGATCAAGGCGCCATTTTGAGCCAAATTCCCATGACCCTCTTCCCAGATGCTGTTGTTGCCTTTGCTCACTTGACCCCAGCTGGCGTAGGTGGCGTGTCTCGACTTGAAGGGGAAAAGTCTGAGAAAAGTCTAAATGGCAGCTCACAATGGGACATTGGATTTTTTTCGAGCCCTCGTTCCTCCCTCCTCTTGGTCATTGGATCCCGAATGTACTCCCGCTCTCCCGACCACAGCAAGGTAGGTCTGCAATCATGCTTGCCTCAGTGACACTCCCGCCGTGGCGTTGCGGGGCAATCATCTCTGAGCTCGAGGGCATGCATAGCCGACCCATGAATTTGCTCGAGATGTCCCGCGGACGCAGCCATCTCTACCTCTGAAGCCTGACCTTTGCCCCCTTCTCACCCGTTTCGGGCTCCAACAGGCACGTACCAAATCCTGAGCCCTTCACAACTTTCTTTAGCTCCAGCAATCTCGTGGACAAATATTGTCTCGGCTTGAGATCCCATTTGTACGGGACTCGGACCTGAGACATTTCCATTTTCAGCGATTGACCAATGAGTTTGTCCGAATCGATTTAATGGAGATGCAGTCGGGCGTTTGGTAACTCCTGACGTCAGCTCTCATCAGCACATCGTGTGATTGTTCTTCGGGGTTGCAGATGCAGAGCCATGGGACCAGTAGGGAATTGCTCCGGCGGATATGCGGTGGCAAAGGTTTTGACCCCGCCCCATCCTAAAAGTGACGCAGGCCAGGAATTTGGTACTCTCAGCTGCCCACCGAGGAGTGGATGGATTGCTCTGGGTGGAGGACACTGTTCCATCCTTTGTTGAGGTCTCTCACGCAGTTCCTTTCAAGTGACTGAACGGCCATTCCCCGACAGAATAGCCATGTCGCAACGTTGCAGGTTTGCAGGGCTTCATCATATCACACCTCATCGCAATGTCTCCTGCACCGACTGACTCTGGGCCCAGTCAGGCCTCTCACGCCCGTGGTACTGATTCGCAAGGATCGACGGATAAAGTCTTCCACTTGGGGCTCGATAATGCCACTGATCAAGAAACTCAAGAATTGGAGGGCATTGGTCGCATACTAGGGCTCGAAATTGACCTTCGAGGTAGCTCCTCGAAAGGTCATAGGACTGTCAAATCGGAAGGTGAAACCTCCGAAAACCAACTTGACACAACGGCAACGTGTCAGTCCTCGGGCAAAACAGGGTAAGGTGCTCTGAGCAGTTCTGACCGAGTCAGGTTCTCCCAATTACGCAGACGATGACATGCACGCAATTTGTGAGAAATTGTGCTACAGTTTTCATCTTCTCCTGCCCACATCTCCTGCTGTACGAGACCCCTTGAATCGATTGTCCTTTTCTCTCTTCTCCTCACTAGCTAGCTGTCTAGCTTTCGCACGAGGATCAATGACCTGGAAACAATACTTCAGCGCGCCTGCAGTGTGACGGTTGAGGGCAAAGCATTTCACTCACCGCATACTCCTCCTCTGCTCGCCGTGTTAGCTCCTTTTCATCCACTACAAATCTGAGCTTGTGCTTCAGCCACCCGACGTCGTCATCCACTTCTAATTCCTCGTTTGGCGGTCCTCCGAGAAGGCTGAGGTCCTGAGCAGGTTCTGGCATATCCTCGTCCTCTTGGGCTCCTTCATCATCATCTCCAGCCATTGCCACACGTTTGCTAAACCTCCCCATCTCGAGCAGTAGGTCATCTTCCTCGTCTTTCCTGCTCCTCCTGTTGCCACTTTTGGCTGCACGTCCCCTTCCTTTGGAATACTTGGCCAGCTCCTCGTCAAGGTATGACACCTTTTTTCTCCGTCGACCGGCGTCCGAGTCGGAATCAGAATCCGAAGCTTGTCCAGACTTCTTCTTCAGCTTTCGTAGATCTTCTTGCATCTTCTTGATTTCGGCCTGGCGCGCAGCGCTGTCGCCCTGTTTTTCCCGATCATGCTGCGCTCGTATCTCGCGGATGTCCACAATCTGGCGTTCAGCGCATACAAAGCTTACAATACTCACCTTTTTCTCCCTGGGCTTGCTACTGCTTTCGGCCAGATCATGGAGCGAAGGGGGAAGTTCGACCAAGTTTGGTTGTGCCCGAGGGGGTGTTGCTTTTGATGAGGATTCGCCTGCAGTCTCCACCACTGCGGATCAGCCCAGTCTATAGAGCAGCCACTCACAATCCCTCCTTCCCATGTTCTTTTTCGCGCTAGACTGAGGATCATCCGGTATCTCCTCCGCTTCGCCGAACGACAAGAGACCAGTGTTTCTAAAATGTCATGAGCCTGGGTACATTCTGATCGTCCCACTTTTTCGCCCTCGAGCGCTTCTCTCTAGCCTCGGCCTCTTTCTTTGCTTCTGCTCGAGCTTTCGCCTGGGCCTTCTTCTCTGCCACAGTTATCCTCGGAACAATGTCATCGAATGGGTTTTCCACAATTCTGATCCCTCGAATCTTGGGAGGAATTTTCGGTCTCTCTGTGTCGTCAATCTCCAAGTTGCCAATGTTGAGGACGTCTAAAGGCAAATAGCCATATCAGCAACGACGCAACGCTCATTCAAGCTATGACGGCGCACTGAAGACAGTGTTTCCCGTGATCTTGCCAAAGAGAGTGTGCTTCCCCGTCAACTCCTCTGCCCTGTCCAAGGTGATGAAGAATTGTGATGTGTTGGTGTTCCGTTTCCCACTGTTTGCCATTCCAACAAGACCTCGCCTGAGCTCCGATCAGCCTTAGCCGCCTCTGGCAAGTCCAACGCTTACCTATGGAATTTGAGTCTTCCATGAATTTCGTCCTGAAATGGCTCGCCATAGAACGATTCACCTCCCATCCCTGTTCCCGTCGGATCTCCTGTCTGAACAATGAACCCCGGCACGATACGGTGGAAAATGACTCCATCGTAGTAACCTGCAAAGAGTGAGCCCACAGTTGGTTTGGAAGAAGATCATACTGACCCTCCATAGTCAGAGCGAGGAAATTACGGACGGCTTTTGGAGCTTCTTTGCCCCATAGCTCCACCTTGACGGGTCAGAGAGCTTTCTCAGCTGTCCACCCACCTCGATCTCTCCGGCGGTAGTGTCGATGATGATCTTGCCATTGGTAGCAGGCTTGATGTTACATCATCAGCTTCAATAAAGGACTTTTTATCCCCGGTGGACCTACTTCTGTCACGTAACTGTGGATCCATCAGCGACTTGAACTATGCCAAAGCTCACAGATTGGACATATATGCTAGACTGGCATGACACTTCTCTCGCAATGACCAGCTCCGTGTCACTGTCTACAGCATCGACCTGTCAATACAGGATAACAGCATCAACATTCAGGTCCCGTTCAGGTGCCACAATCGGGATTTCAAGGTATTTTCCCACCAAGTGGGGATGATTGGCGTGCACCAGTCCTCCTCGCTCCCGGTATTGTGCCATTGCATTGGAGGCTATCATTGACAGACAAAGATCACGCAGATAACGACAACGACAACGCTGAGCAACGAGGAGGCTACCAGCGACCAGCGACCAGCGACCAGCGCCCAGCACAATCTCATGCGTAGAGACTGAAAAACTACCCTACTTCTACACCCTCAACCTTCGGCCATCTCCCAACACTCTTCCACCACATCCCACACTGACCTGGCCATGACTGAGGGTCTCACTCGCCGAAGAGGAGGAGGAGGAGGCGGAGGCGCAACAGCATCTCCTGACGGACCATCTAGCTCGACCTTTGACGCATCATCGTCTACGAACCCTACGCGACGCTCGGGAGGTAATGCGGCTGCGGGTGTGCCTGGACCTGCAAATGGAGGTGCGAGCGGAGGAGGCGCCATTGAAGGTCGAGGAAAGGTGGCCTATGATCCTCGTGACTTTGAAGACAAAGGGGAGGCAAACGCTCAGCCGAAATTGACTTTGATGGAAGAGATACTGCTTCTCGGACTCAAAGACAAGGCTGTGAGTGGTACCCAACAAACATAACCTCGCGTGACCTTTTCCGGCTGATACACGTTTGCTCTCAGGGCTACCTTTCGTTCTGGAATGACAACATCTCCTACGCCCTCCGGGGCTGCATCCTCATTGAACTTGCCCTTCGTCGCAGGATCGCAATGGTCAAAGACCCGTCGAGGAGGCGTCTAGCACTCGCAGATAGACTCATTGAGGTGATTGATGAACGTCAAACTGGAGAAACCATTTTGGATGAGGCCTTAAAACTCATCAAGTCGAGTGAAAAGTATGGCACGGGCGCTTGGGTGGATCTCATGAGTGGTGAGTCCATCGTCAACATTCAGCCGCTGAGTTCAAGGTGAAACATGGAATGTAATGAAAATCGGGTATCAATTGAAACAAGTCCGTGAACGTCTCGCGAAGGGCCTGGTGGACAAGGGCATCTTGCGCACAGAAAAGCGCAATTTCCTTCTCTTCGACATGGCCACTCATCCAGTGGTCGACATGCATGCCAAGGAGGATGTCATGAAGAGGGTTTTGGCCCTTTTGACAGCGAGAACGGCCGCCGTTCCACCGCAAGCTCTTCTCAAGGAGGATATCAAATACCGATATATGCGCGCAGTGGTCTTAGTCTGTGCAGGTCAGTTGAGCTCAAAGTCAATTCCGCCTCTTGCTGACGGCCTGAATCAGCTTACGCCTCCAGCGTCCTGGAGAATGCGCTTCAGCGGCTCAATTATGATTCACGGGAAGCGGCCTTTGCTCGGTGCGATGACATTCTGGCAGAGTTCAGCACTTGGCCATTTGGTCAAACCACTTCGTCGAGTGCCGGCCCAGTGTCGATAGGTGGTGGGCCGACCAGGAAACGCGATTCCGGGGGAGCGGGAAGGGAAAGTGTGCAAGAGCTCGTTAGAGAGGTGCGGAAAGAGATGGTCAAGAGCGGGGCGCAAGGCAAGGAGACGGCTGGGGCTGGTGGCGGGACAGGTGAGGATGAGGATCTCTGCCTCGAAGTCGTGGCTACGGTTCTGGAGATCTTCGGAAGAATGGACAGTTTGGTGAGCAATTCTCGAAACAGACCTTCACATGCTGACGTTTGTTCAGCTGTAAAACGGGATAGGTTACCCGATTGTGCTGTGCTAGCGCCTCTGGTCTGGATCATTCCTCTTAGATCGTACGAATCACCGATTGACGTCTTTTCATGCATTGAGAGATTCACATTACCAGGCTGCTGTCGTGTCGATCTTAGAGCGTCTCCAAGCAATATGGCACACTGCGACAATCGTTATCAACTCGAAGTCCACCTCCTCAGTCTGAGCCTGGACAGACCGGGTCCAATGGAATCCAAATCGTCATGAACGATGTCTCCACCACGGCCAAGACTGGCGGCGAGGATCAGTCGATTGGTACGAGGGTCTAGCGGCTCATTCGCTTGGTCCTGGTCCAGCTTCCTCGCACGGGGACACGAGTGTGCTCAAGCCGACAGCAGAGGAGTCAAGAGTTCTCATCTGCATCAAAAAGGCCATCACTGATAAGCACTGTAGCCGTTGGTCTTGTATATCGCTGCGCATCTTTTATTCATGTCATATTCAGTCTAACATCAGGCTTCTACGAGAACGATGAACCATGCAATCGGGAATAGTATTTACAACCGATGAATGGCTAATGAAAGTGGTTTCAGAGCGAATGTACAATAGTAAAACAACGTCCGTATGATGTAGAGAGCGAGAAATGTCCTAGTATCCGGCCTGAGCGGCAAAGTATTCTTCAGACAAAGTGTGTGCAGGCCCATATGGGTCGTACCGAGCGGCGGGGACACCCAGGCCGAGACCGACCAATTCTTTACCGGATGACGAGCTGTCCATTTCCGGCGCCAGAGTCGGTGAGGAATCTGCGTTGAGGTTGATGACCGCAGCCGAGTGATGGCGACTATAAGCCGGTTGAGCAAAGTAAGGAGATTGTCCTTGGGTATTCGTGTGGTAGGGACCCCCAGGAGTGGGTTGAGGGGTGTAGTAGACAGGAGAGACAGGCGTAGAGTGTGACATGCTCTGCGAAGCGGACCAGGCCGCCGGAAGAGGTGGCATCTCTTCGACTTTGCCAGGGATGTAGGACGAAGTGGAGCCCGGTGTGCTGTTAGCGGACGTATTGGTGCCGGTGTGGATGGCCAAGTGACGCATAGGTCTCTCCAGGACGGACGGGTATGGAGAAGAAGCGGGTGAAAGATGAGTAGATGGACTCCATCCACCATGCTGCATCCACTGTGGCGATTCGAACATGGCAGGTGAGTGCAGCTGAGGAGCTGATGGAGTCCCCTCTGCCCATGATTGTAACTCAAAGTTAGGAACACTGAAGCTTCGTCGGTGCGCAAAGTCGCTGGGTCTAGAGTTCATGGGGCTTGAAGTCGGGTGAGGCCCTGCCATGTATGGTCCCTCAAATACAGGAGTGTCGGTGAAATAGGGTGAGGGGTTTGGATAATAGTAAGGGGCAGAACTGGCTGCTGGACTGCAGCCGCTGGCAGGTGTGATAGAGCCAGATACCGAATGCGACTTTGCAGCTTTGGCCATGGCTTTCTTTTCCCTGGTCGCTCTGTTGACTTCCTCGGGAACAGGGGCGTATTCACATTCCCTCTGAGAGCGAGCACAGTTGCGGCATGGGGAGCCACCGCAGCATCGGATCTTACGGTGACGGCAGTACTGGCAGGCCATGGTGATTCTCTGCCGCCGCGATGAGGCATCGGAGCCTTCAGGCAGGGTCGAGGTGCCAAACGTTTCCATCGAAGGAGGAGAAGTGTCGAAGGAGGGCGGTGCGAGGACGGAAGGCGAAGAGGCGACAGAAGGCATGACGAATGAATCGCCCTTTTGAATCTTTGAGAGCAAGGTGGGACTCGGAAAGGAACAGTCAGATGACGACGGCTACCAAAGATGACTTGGGGGGATAGTGAGATATATGTATATATAGTCTTTTGGTCTTTCCTGCGCTCGGAGGTTTTCCCAGCTCCAGGAAACCGGCAGGCGATCCTTCTTTTTTTTTCAGCTGATTGACCCGGAGAATCAGGAGTCTTTAGCGTGCTCCGGATGCGATGACCGGTTGTGAGTATAGTCTTGAATAGGATGCAGGGCCGCGTTTGTCTTTGATCGGCAAGATGATTGAGTCCGAGACAAGGATGATCCAGGAATGATAGAGAACGGCGAAGAGACCGTTTGGTGGCTTTTTGGTAACGATGAGGACGAAGGCGGAGTAGGAGGATGATGCTGAGAGTATTATAGTAGCACGAGTTTCAGAGAATCCAGGTGTGCGGTCAATCGCCGTAAACTGCTTTATTGATGGAGGGGAAAAGTCCCTACGTCGAAGTAGCGAAAGTGGAAGGATCAGAGAGGAGCGCCCAGATGTGGAACCCGGTTACACATGTGCCAGAGGCTGCGTTGAGATCGAGTGCGAAGCTCCGTAAGAAGCCACTACGGACGACCAGGAAAAAGGGAATGTCTCGGCTGAACCAATTATTAAGAGGAGGAGAGTTGAAAAGAATGGATATTGAGGAGACGAATAGCAGAAAGAGGAATGTCTCAGATGGAAGAAGGGGGGGGTGAGGTGGGGGGGAGTCCTTATGTGGACACTGTCACTTGGTCCGGCGAGATGATCAAGTCTCACCGCTGAATCGAGCGACACCGTCCCAAAAAAAGAAAGAGTGATTGACGACGAGCGAGAAGATGAACTAGTGTGAATGATGATGCTCGAGGAACAGGATTGACAAGGGAAAAGGTGAGTAGGAGGTCCAGTCGGCTCGTGATTATTAGGATGGTCTCACGAGTTATGGGGTATCCAACTAGATTTTCGCCCTTCCCCCTTTCCACCCAATGTCTCTATCTCTCGACATTTTCTCATGGTACGTAATTCCTCTCATCTCAGCCCAGGTCTCATGCTCGGAAGCGCGCAGGATCTCCAAGGCTTTCTGACAAGGAGTTCGGAACTCGATCAGGGTCCCTAGGCCCACCGGCACTTCCGGTATAGTTTGCCCAAAATGGTTAATATCCAGTAGCTTGGCTACCTGCCTGATCCCTCAATTCGCCACTGCTCGGGTCACGAGAGTTGTACGGTCAAAGAGCCACATTCTGATGGCGTTACAGCGCACGAGCTGCATGAATTTCCTTCTCTTTTTTTTCTCTCCTTTTGTTTTTGGCCGTCCTTGTCTCACACGGACTTACGTTAATAATAATTTTTTTTTTTTCACTATGCTTCAATGTGACCCATAAAATGAACCGATTCAGGAAGGGGAAAGCCTGCTATCCCACCGTATCTCGTCACTGGGTCATCTGCATTGCCTGTCGTTCTTCCCTGTTACTTACTCCCAATGGAACCTGATTTTTGAGGGGCGTCGTCACTCATCCGTGTTAAATGGAGAATACATCGGAGACATTCCGCTACTACTCTTACCTGACCCAACGTGGTCCATCAGAAATAGGGCACTTGCGAATCTCGATATCAGGTGACGCCAACAGATTAGGGTCAGTGTAAAGCGCCGTGCTCCGAGACATGGCAGATACATGTCGTGTCGATCATTGATATCCACCTGAAGCCACTGAAAATAGGAAGAATGACCGGAAGAATGACGACGATGGTGACCTACCTTGGATGGCGAGTGACAGACAAACCAGTGAGGATCTACCTTGCGGCGGAAGTCTGTCCCAAAGAAATGTCTTTGTGCGTCATTGTATGACATGGATGACATGGGGTATGATTCAGTCGGTGCCACAATTGCATTTTGAGAACGACCAGCGATTCATTACTCGCCGGTCCAGATTCTCCTGTCTCTGACATAACGAGATATCTAATCGGTCGTCTCAGCCTCGCCTCCCCTTCACCCTTTCACCACCGCTTCCACCGCTTCCACCACCACCACCACCGACCAACGCCAAATGCTGAACCGAGTAAAATGTTGCGGATTCCTCAGGCATAATCCTCTAAAGAGCCGGTGGTGGAGGAACCCAGAACGAAAAAAAAATTGGCATGGAGATCGGATATTACCGAGATTTGAAGACTCTCTCTTCTCGGTGGCGAAATCATCCGCTCGGACGGTACAACGTGCTCACACAACATGTCTTTGAAAGCTGATGCAAGCTGACACTGGCGTTGCGAGAGAAAGTTTAGGCTTGATAGGACCTTTTCCCGTCTGCATTCAAATCACTTGACGGCATCCCTGTGAGCAATGTCTCAAAACGGCTCATTAAATGCACAGGTCAGACCCAAATCAATGACAGGTCAATAAGACATTGAGCTCCCAGGATGAAGTAGCGTATCGCGGCAGGTACGGATTTGGTCTCGATTCGAGTGAACTATTAGCATGTCCATGCCGTAGGACGAAAGGGTCCGCAGGATCGCGGACCTTTTACGAGCCTGTGATAGGGAACGCCACGGTCCAAGGATCTCGTGTTTTAAAGCCACCTCCTTTTTTTCGCTTGAACCTTTTTTTTTCTCTTCTACTCGAGGTCGCTGGCTTTGAACCGAATTGTGATAGAGATACCCAGGGGATACCTTCACCATTACCTGAAAGGAATCGTCTTCGAGTTGTCGAAGAAGGTGGGCAGATGGGTTCGGAGAACGGTCAGGCACGCTCTATTTACGGTTCCGCCTCGCCAGCGGATTGACAGGCACTTTCAAGGGCGGTCGTGGTTACAACGTGTTGCAAGGTGTAGGCTTTTGTGTTCCTATCAACGCCACAAACTCTTTCAAGCGATCTTGTCTCGTCCGATGCCGAACACCATCCATTCACGGACCCTCGATGCGGAGTGGCATTTCCCCTCGCTGGGCGCTGGCGGTCTCCACCGAGCCACCTTTGGTGCACAGTAGGTCCGCCCCTCTCAGGAGTATCGAATACTCCGTGGCCAATCACACCGGAGGAAAGGGAGGCGCCGTTACAATCGGCAGGGCCCAAAAAAAGAGGCAGAAAGGGGCGATCTTTCACCGTTGGCTGCGGGACAGATCTGTCCTGAGGCACGGAACAGCGACCGATCTCGTCCGAATAGAGGTCTTGGCTTTCGCTCAGAATAGCTTTAAATGTCCAACTTGAAGTGAGCCAGCCATCATCCTTCGCCATCAATCCTTTGCAAAGAACCTCGACCTACCGTTCAGTGTCATTTGCTTCTTCAGTGGTCCACGCACCTTTCATTGTTCAGCAATTGCGTTACCTCGCCTGCCATCAGAACGACCGGTCAGGCGTGACCGAGATTCTAGACGAAAAAACTGCGAATGAGCGCAACGACTGAGGGGTGGGGTGGGGGGGTGGACTCAATCGACTGAGCTTTCAAGGCGTGTTCTTCCCCGCTCAGGAGTGCTATCTAAACAGTCTTCTCAATCGCGTAAGGTATCAAGCCGGGTAACTCATTGAACACGGAATCACACAGTGTGGCCCGACGACCCACACTTTCACACTCGGAGACTGCCCGATGTATTCCAGGTAGAGGAAGAGGAATGCGTCGATCCCGCTTGGGTGGACTGCCTCTAAATACCATTCAAGACTGGCCCCAAGGTTGCCCTTCATGAGACTTGACTCCTATGGCTCTTCAGATTCGCTTCGCCGAGACCATCTTTCGGATGGGTGTCAGGGACAGACCTATCCGGCTCGAAGGTCCTACTTGGACAATGACCTTCTTGAATAGAGTGTCAAGCTGGGTAGCTCATAGACAACGAATATACATATTGACGGTGAACTACAAGATCAGCATCCTGTCCTTATAGTCGAGCTCCGAGGATCTCGGATCTGGAAATTTGGTTCCGCTCCCTAATAAAGGAATGGACTTGTCTTCTTGACAGGGTACAATATCTGGGTTTGCCGATCGTTCCAGACATGAGAACGGGTGCCTGTGGATCGCTTCAAGACAGGACATGTAAGGTCTCACAGGATTCGACTTGGATCTCCAGGACGTCATAAGATCCCAGAACAGCGCTGTGTCAGGAACGGTCGGCGGTGACCTCCTCTAGCCGAGCCATGACCCTTTGTCAAGGACAGACCTATCCGGCTCGAGGGTCCTACTTGAATGGGAACTCTCTGAACAGGGATGTCAAGCTGGGTAGCTCATAGACAACGAATATACATTTCGATGAAGAAGAAAGCTCTATCTCCATTGAGTCCTAATACTCGGCTTGGCAAGCGGAGGTCACCGTTCCTGTCACCCCTATATAAGAGTAGGAGTTATGGAGATAGGCGCTTTTCCTCATCAATATGTACACTGGTCGTCTACAGGCTACCCAGCTTCACATCCCTATTCAGAAGATCACTATCCAAGTGGAACGCTCCAGCCGGAGAGGTCTTTTCTTGACACGATGGACTCTCTGGTTTCGCTGTCCCAGGTGGAACAATGATACTGTATCGACCACCTTTCCCTGTGACTGCCGAGAGGCACTGTTACGTTTGAGCCAAACCGCCGCCAGAACTAGTTTTTACAGTCCAGTGGCCGATCTGACAGGGTACAACAATAAGAACCATCCCGTGGCCTGGGATCAGTGTACAGAGTAGTCGTACTTCGAGCGACATCAATGCATTCTTTATCTCCTACCTGAACGAGTGATAGCGACTTGAATCTTACCGCTCGATGAGGTCGCCAGGCTGACGTCTACAAGGGATGACGAGTCCGATTCCTGTCCCCTGAACAAGGGGCATTCACCCGCAAGAAATGGAATGCCTCCCATTGTTGGCGCGGTGGACAAGAATAAGCTGGATGAACGGCCTTGCGTGTTATGAGGGACGGATAAGAGCTCTGTCCCGGCCGAGGATTGTTTTGGCAAGGTCTGGAGAACAATAAGCACCATGTCAGTGAGCAGGGACCTTCGACCGAACCAGGATGGTATATAGAAGTACTGCAGGTCTGGCGAGATCGATGTATTTCTTTCCCTCTAACTGTAACATTGCGCAACGTTTGATCGAAACGAAGGTGCCGCCTGGAGGTGCACTGAACCAGCATGTCGTCCGTGAGAGTATGGCTTGCTAGAACTGCCTCGACGGAGACGCATAAACCTCCATTCGAGAGGGCGACACAACAGCATGGGACTCATAAAGGTCGCCGGGTTCCGCTCCGGATACCAGAATTGGGTCGTGGCTGATGTCTATCGATCTCGTTTACAATGCATCTATGCACCCTTCCCAGTGGGGGAGAGAGAGTATCAAAAATGCCATCGTTGCTAATAGAAGGCGTCTCATAGGAGAGTAATCTGAAGAGGTCGCAGTGCAGCCACAGAGTGTGGGCCACTGCCACGCTGCCACACTCGAACCGGCTCAGGGTTCACTCGTCATCTACAAACGGCATCCGGGAAGCTCATGCATGCTACCGCTGGTGTGTCAAGATCACGAGGAGGACTATACACTCCGCCAGCTACTTAGCAGCTCGAGTGGAAGGCGGAGGCCCTTGGCCTTGTCTATGCTTACAATAGGGTGATCCCAGAGAAACAAGGTCTCGGATCGCATCCGCGCGCTTTCTTTCTTTCTTTCTTTCTTTCTTTCTTTCTTTCTTTCTTTCTTTCTTTCTTTCTTTCTTTCTTTCTTTTTCCCTCACCCGGGAAAGCAGCGGGTCGGATTACTACAGATGATGGGTCCTTGACGGATCCCGCGATGTCCAGACCGAGAGGGCCAACACTGCGGTGCAAAGTAGTACTAGTACTAGTATGAATCAACTCTGGTCCAGCTCCTCAATGCGTTCATAGACATGGTCAGTCCAGGAAAAGGACGGCTCTGGCCGTTCAGTCTGGCAGTCGAGGAATGCCCGGAAATGTGTGTGTTTTATTAACCCGAACAGGGAAAATTACTTTACACTGCAATATGAAACGTTTAGAAAAATGATTGCAACAGGACGTGTCATGTCGAATCAGGACGCGTCGACCTGAAAAAGTGATAGATTCAAAGACATTGACCAGCTCTGTTCTCCTCTCTATGCCTATACTCTCTCATCGGCGAGACATGTCAGGACGAGGCCGGTCAGGTGGGCAAATGACATGCTTCAGCCTATTCCTTGTCCCGGATATAGACATCTGATTCTGTACATGGCAAAGAAAAGTGGGAGAGACTGGCATTGTTTGTGTCGATGAAGGGAAAATGGGAAAGAGTGGGTTTTGTTTGTATGCGTTGTTTATTATAGTGTGGTGACATTTTGGAAGGAAGGGGGAGGAGGGGAGGGGGACCAAAGGCGGACGCAGAGCACAAGAGAACTACTATCCAGTTTTAGTGCAACGCTTTTACCCGCAGTTTGGGTTATATCTTTCCACTGTTGCTGCTGCAAGGGGGGCACACATCACAAGAGAGGGGAGTTTGAGTGGGACAATTGAAAGGCAGGGACAGAGAGAACCGCCACCATTGTCATCTCCCGCATCCTATGGGATATTCAGCTGGTGGCACAGGAGCAAGACCCTTCAAACAACAGCAGAGGAATTAGTAGTAGTAGTGGTCATCGGTAGTGGCATTTGTGTAGTAGACAGGATCTGGGAGGTATTTGTGGAGTTGTTACAGCGTTCTCTTTTCTGGGAATAGCTATCGAAGGGTGAATGCTCCATCGTCGACACATTCAACTCAACATCCACCAAACCCCCCCGGGTCCATCCTTTGTTCAACAACATACACTCCTTTGATCACCTCGACCTCTTTGCGAGGCCCAACAAAACCACCACTCGTCACATACTTGATACAGCGTAACTCTCTCGCAGGACAGGATCCTCGTTTGGAACGTTGTAATCACCACAAGACGACGACGACGGCGACAACACACTCGTTCAAAGATCATTCACTCACAACCTCGCACGGTCAACACTTCCATCATCTTGGCACTAAAAACAAAGTACAGCTTTGAACACCACCCCTCTCCACGCGGTCTCTCCCTTTAGTGTAAGAGAATTCCCATCATATGGTCAGTTCACTTCTTATTGTCATTTCTATCATTGCTCTCGTACTATACTCTCTCTCTCTCTCTCTGAACAACCCTCGCTGACGCTTCACCCACCCTCGACAGGTTCGAGCTTGATTTCGCTGACGACGAGACACCCTCCCTACTCGACCAATCACACACATTCGTTTGTGCCCACCGCTCGCTCCACAAATCGATCCCCCTTCCTATACCGCTATGCTCGTCTCATCCTTCGCCATCCTGGCCACTCTGTTGCCTGCCCTCGCATCAACTCACAATCCACCTCCAGCCCTCAAGCACCGACGATTCGCACAGGAAGTCAAGGCCAGAGATGGTCTCGCCGTCGCTGGTCCCGCACCAAGGGCCAACTCGGCCCATGCGGAAGCCCACCGAGTGATCAAAAAGGCCATCCGAAAGAGAGACACAGCGACTTGTAGACCTAGAGCTTCAGCTTCTGCAGCAGAGAGTGCCGCTTCTGCTAGTCCGGCGCCTGCTGCCGCTGCTGCCTTATCGGCCGCACCAAGCCAGGCGGCCGCCGTCGAGTCTGCCTCGCCGTCTCCCGCTTGGTCCGCTTCACCTTCCCCATCTGCATCGCCATCGGCCCCTGACAATCAACAAGCTTGGGCTCAGCAGGTGAGCTCAGCGTCTTGATGGATTTGACTGGGATGACAGCTAACGTCGTGATTCAGGCTGCTGCTCCATCTGCTTCTCCCTCACCTAGCTCTAGCTCTGGAGGCGGTGGCGGAGTCAGCGTCGGCGTCAGTGTCAATGTTGGCAATCTCCTACAGGTCACCGGGTGAGCAGAATCATTCAAGTTTCAGGTGTCGTCTGACCATTGTCGTGCAATAGCAACTGTGGATGGTGTGATTCCAACTCAAACCAACCCAACGGTGCTGAATGGTGGCTTAACTGTGGTCTCGACAGCGGTGGATGGAACCCACCTTTTGTCAGCTGTCAGGAACTAGTCGCTGTCGATCTCGACGCTTCAGGAGTTTTCGCACCCTGCGCACAGTACATTGACATGTTCAACCAGTATGGAAGTCAATACGGAAGTGAGTCGAAGCGAGCTTCAACGACAACCGCACTGCTTACCCTATCACCTAGTTCACCCCATCATGCTTGCATCCTTTGCCATGCAGGAGTCAACTTGCAACGCTGGTGCTACTGGAAAGAACGGAGAAGCCGGTCTGATGCAAATCACTCCTGCCAACTGTCAAGCGGGCAATAAGTGAGTGTGACCAGTCCTGCAAGAAATCAATGGCTGACCTCGACGTCTCAGCTGTTGGGACCCCAACTACAACATTCAACGCGGTGCCCAGCTGTTCTCACAGATGGTCGCTTCAAACGGTGGAAACTGTATCGCTGCCATCGGAAACTACAACGGATGGTACTCTGGAATGACTCAAACCAGCGTTTACAACACCCCCATTTGCACACAGCAGCAGAACCTCGACTATCTATTCCAATTCACAAACGGATGGATGCAGAACAAGAATGCTTATTCTATGGGATCATTCTGTGAGTCTTGCCGAGTTCCAGTAAAAGAACGCCACGCTGACCGCAGCCCCTCCCTAGTCAATCTTGCACGATGCGGTTAAACCGTACAACCACTTGTAATTCGCCATTTCACGCTCTCATCCCGATGACTTCGTTCCCTCCCCCCTTATCTCTCTCTCTCGTGGTATAGTTCCCGCTAGATGCGGTGATCGAAACGAATACGATGGACTCTGTATATACCCCATGATTTCATGAATTCGAATGTTTATACGTTTTAATAACGCGGGTCAGAGGGCGGCGGCTTCTCTGCAACCGTGGAAATCTGAGCCACGTGTTCAGTCTCGTTCCACCTTTTTGAATAAAAAAATCATTTGCCGCTGGCCCAAAGTGGCATTTTCAACACAAAGATGGGATGGGGTCGTACCATTCCCAGCTCAGAATGCTGGTACGATCCACTCGCTGCTAGAGTGGACGTGGTTTCTGTCGTCAACATCATCAGCAACAACAACAACGACAACAGTCGCTCAAACAGCGTTATACTCTTGTCTGAGCGAGTCGGATAGCGTCTCTGAGAGATCACTCCTCACTCATTTGGGCACGATGGCCACAACATACGACTACACCTCAGCTTCGGACGATCAACTGTTCACTTTTGAAGATGTCTCGCCCAATTCGTCGTCTTTCTTACACAACGATATGAACTACAGCACTTCACCGCCTACGTCAAATGGTCAGAACGCAAACACGTTCCATCATCCGGCGTACCTTGGTGTACCTCCGTCTGTCCTGTCAAGCTCGGGAGGAGGGCCCACCATGAATGACTTTACTCACCGACAACAACAGCCATTCAGTGGATACCTCTCTCGACCACCTTCCTTATCTCCATCTTCATCTCAACCTTTGGCTCCTTCTTCCCATTCACCTTCTTCCGCCAGTCCTTCTTCCAATTACTCATTCAACCTCAATGGGTCGATCAATGGAAGTGGGACAGACGAAATGTTATTCAACAATTCTTTCTCGTCCTCCGATCTCGATGCCTTATTCCTCGGTAACACGAGTGCTGCTGCTGCTGGCGGGAACAATCACAACCACGTCAATGACAAGAGTGCCGATGCATCTCAGCAGCAACAGAAATTCAATCAACCGTTCTTCTTACCTCAGACCACCGCTTTCCCAGCTATCAACAACAATCTGAGCAATGATTTCGGTGGAATGACACAGGAAGACGCCATGACTATGCTCAATCTCATAGATGCAAATGGTTTGAGTGGCGCCAAGGTCACTCAGCCCGTACAGGTCCCGTCCCTGCCTCAGACTATTCGACCCCAATGGATGAATCAATCGGCTCAGAGTGTTCAGCAATCTCCATACAGTGGGTCTCGCCACGTTCACCATTCGAGTGATACTAATCTCTGATAGATACCATGCCGTTCGTTCCGCAGCAACAGGTCAAGTCGACACCATCCCTCCCCCCTCATGCAGCTCCTATGCCGCCCTTCGTACCTCCTGCACGACACACACCATCCATCTTGGCACCAGCACTCGTCCCTTCCAATGTCATTCCGCGCCGCAAGAGCGTCAAGGCCGACGCCGCCGAAGCCACGGTAGGCAAGCACAACAAGACAGAGAGAAGATATCGTCAAAAAGTCCAAGCTGCTCAAGCCGATCTGCGAGACTCCGTCCCAGCACTTCGAGTGTTGTATGGCACGTCAACGGATGAACAAAGGGCCACGACGGATTATCGAGCCGCGGACGGGACAGTCGATGGATTAGGTGAAATCGGTCGACCAAACGCCAGTGCCAAGACCACCATCTTTCTCGGTGCGAGAATGTACATTGAGCTACTGCAGTACCGTGTCGCAACGCTACAACGAAAGGTCGGAGAACTCGAATCTTTCCGAATGGCTGTGGCTGGTGAAGACGAATTGATGCATTGGCGAGCCGACTTTGACGCCAGAGAGAAAGAGCTGCAAGCTAGCATGCCTGTCAAATCGGAATCAGAGGAAGATGGAGGGGACGACGATGACTCGAGCGAAGAGGACGAACCAAAGAGGAAAAAGGCGAAACGAACTACCGCTGCCGGCGGTCGATCCAAAGCCAATTTGACTGCTTTCGCGGCCTTTGCCATGTCCTTTACGCTCCTCCCATCGGCTTCGTCAGTCGTTAGAAGCGTGACCACCTCGACAGGTACAAGCATACCTGATGGACACGTCTTGGCCCGAGTCCCCATCATTACTGCTGAACACGTTTCGAGGCTGCTCGCGAGGGCTCTACCCGCCATAGTCACGCCTGGACCCCAGACTTTGATCGACTGGACTTGGCGTTTGGTCTTCGGTGCTATTTTGTATTACGCCCTTCGACCCATCTTTTCTCGAAAGCAGGAATCTGTGGGCAGCGTCACGGAAGTCATCAAGGACGTGACTAGATTGGCTCTACCAAGAAGAGCAGAAGATCCCAGGTGGACGAATCTCGCTGCGGGCATCGTCGGCAAAGGTGAGTCTGAATTCTGATTACAAGAATCTTCTCTCGCTGATGGTCCTTATAGCCACTCCGGTGACGCCGTTCACTCGTGCGCACGTCGTGCTCCGCTTGCACAACACTGCGTCGTCGCCTCACGCTCTGGCGCTTTTGGCCTTGCTCCACCCTTCTGTCCTCCGATCCCCTAAGAGCATCTGGGAAGAAGCAAGGTCTAAGCTCACTATCGACTCCCCAGCAGCGCTTCGAGTTGTCCTCGCTCTGCCATTGGAAGACGCCGCTCGATCCTTGTCACTCTTGCCCCCTACGCCTTCACCCATTACTGCCATGGCTGAGCAAGTCACGCTGGTGCACATCAATGATCTCGTGACGTCTCTCTTCATCCGACTGGTCAACTCGTCCACTGGCTCGTCCGAGACTTCCAAAAGCTCGATCAAGGATCTCACTGCGAATCTATCAGCTTCGTCCCTCTCTTCCGACCTCAAAAGCTTTGACAGAGAGATCCGTAAAGTCCTCGAGGGTGTACCCAAAGGAACTACTGCTCATGCTCTCGGTCTGGTCCTCATTGGCATCTGGGGAATTCTGTGTGGCGCTTCCACTGAAGCTCAACTATCTCTCGCCAGTGCTTTAACGGGAGAAGAGCTCCAAGGTGTAGGATCCAGTCTATCATCCGTCCAAGCCATGTTGGCCTTGTTGATTCCTGATGGACATGCCTTCAAGTCGGTCAGCGCCTCAAACGCCTCCTTATTACCTTCCAACGCACTTGCCATTGACAAGCTCGCACTGGTTTGTATCGAATATATTCGTCTACTGGCATCTGCATCCATGATCAACGAGGAGACTGAGAGTCGAATGGAGAGAATGCAAGTCTCAAAGAGAGTGTCAAAGGCCTCCACGGATCTTCGCTCAATCTTGACCCAAACGACCTTTGTGGGTCTTCAATCGGGCGAGTCCGGCAGCGTCGGCGCCGGCGCCCGCTCCGGCTCAGGTGAAGGGGAGGAAGACGCGGAAGGAGACCTGTTTGACTCAGACGACGTCGTCGAGAGCAACGAGTCCAGTGCGGAGTTTGAACGTGCTCGCGAGATTTTGGTAGGGGTTTTGACGGTCGTAGGTAGACGCGCGGCTAGTCGAGCCATGGGAAGAGATGATGATTCGGGACTCGAAGGGGATTTAGATGACTTGTAGAAGTGAGGTGAGATGAGGTGAGGTGAGGCGAGGCGAGGCTAGGCTGGGCGGCCCGCGTTGCATCGCCCCTTTCGTCTTCCGGTAGATTGTTCTCATGTATCGCTTGACTATTGCCCTGTTCGATTTCATGATCAATGCAAGATTTCGCCATGCAAGATGAGATACGGAAGATGCGAAAAATGACAACTCTAGATGCGTTTTTTTACAACTAATGATGATCCGTGCTTGAGATTCCTGACAGCCCAGCGTTGTTTGTCCCCTCTCCCCTTAGCCGGCTCAGTCTCTTCACCTCACACCGCCGCCGCCGCCCCATCCTCCGCCCAATGAACTTTTCTATCCCATCCTCTCTCCCAGACAGCTTTCGCAGGCCATTTCTTCTCAAACCATTCACCCATTTGTCTCCGGACATCCTCGTATCCAGTAACAATGTCATCGTTTATACCTACGAACGCGAGGGTGGCGGATCGATCGAGCGTTCGGAAAGTACTCTTGGCACCTCCTGGACCTAGCAATTGATGGAATCGAGCGTTGCTTCGACCTGAAGGAAGGGAAGGAAAAGGGTCAACGACTAGGAATGGATTGATTGTAAAAAAGCGAGACTCACCCGTAGCGTAGATATATCTAGACAACAATTTCATACACCACTTGTCGAGTTGGACCGAGTCATCTCCCCGAGCGGTCTGACGCAAGACATTTTGAATGGAAAAATCTGCTTCTTGCCATGTTGGTGTAAGGGGAAGGTGGGGAGGCGCAAGGTCCTCCTCGTCTACAGTCACCACGGTGGACGAGTGGACTTTGACGGTTCTTTCCGGTGGTGGGAAAAACGCAGATAGTCCCAGTGATCCAGAGGCGCTGACTAAAGCCATGATCACTGAAAACGGAGGCATCAGTTTTTGGAAACGATCAATGTCCCCTGCCTGACTTAAAAACTCACTACAGTCACCGCACTCTGGCTCTTCGAATGCAAGGTGTTTGAACATGTTCTCTGCGGGAATCTCCTTCCTCTTCGTCCAGAAGGAACCGAAACATTGCGCAAAGTCGATAGTGCATCTGGCGAAAAAGGGCATATATCAGTCAAAAAGCAGTCGTCTATACGTGACGGGGGAAATGCCTCACTGAAGATTTGGGTTCGCCCGACTGCCCGGCTTAATCAACAGCGGGACATGGCCGTCCATGGATGCTGGCATGTGAATCAGTACGTCGGATTGAAAGAGGGCGCCACGGCTAACTCACAGAACAACATCGAGGTGGTCTTTGGCAATTCCCATCCAGCCTGTTCGAGATGTTTCTCGAGGAGCCTGTTTTTCATCGTGTCGCGATTGCCTTTTCTGACCAGGACTTGTAGGTGGTCATCCTTTTGCTCTTCAGGCTGCAGTCCAAAGAGATCATGCAGCGATCGACGAGCCGCTGGACCCCACATGCCATCTCCATTCTTCGTCCCGAGATTGGCGACAACGTATGTCCATAGCAGAGCTTCTCGCCACCGTTCAATCTGCGCCCACCCCCCATTGTCGGCGTGTGAATCTCGCCTCTGAATCTGACAACGACTCACCCTGAGATGCAGGTTCATCCACAAGGTCTGAATATCTCCATCTCCCAGAGCCATCTCCCGAAACCTTTTCTCGCCACTGATGAACAACTTGTCTTTGAACATGATCCCCAGCTCATTTTGAATTTCTCGCGAAATGACTTTGGGTACATGGGCGGCATAGTGTCTGGAGCGATCTGGAAACCGTTGAGAGAGCAGGTAATTCGCATGGAACAGTCCACCGTTCTCACCCGGCTCAGTGATGAGTTCCGGATCGAGTCGTGCGGGGACTTGCATACCGTACTGAGGTGAGGTCAGCGAGATCCATTCCAGATAAGCCATGATTTCTTATGCTCACAGTCATGTCGAAACGGAGTATCGTGCCGTGAAAAGGAGAGTAAAAGTCAGAGACCTGAGCTGTGCGTCAGTTTTTGACACGCCCTCATCGAGGCTTTGGTTTGGCTCACCGCCTGCCCCCGAAGGACGAAAAAATCGTCATTGAGCGTCATGACAATGTCCGACTGTATCTCGATCAGCGACTAAACGAACAGCTTGACCTACCAGACCGGGGACCCAGGCGACCTTTGACTCTATGGCCATCGAGTTGAACGTCGGAAGGGCATCGGATCTGAATTCTAGATCGGCGCTTTGAGCCACACCTCTATCTAGCTCCATCGCAGAGGGAACGTGGAACGTCTCTGAATGCGTTGCGTATCGTAGAAAAGGGTAGTTCATCTCTTTCAAAGTCATCGGACCTCGATGGTCGATCCGAGAATATCGTGATGGTTCGACAAAGGGGTGATGAGGAGAGGAGAAATCTCGTTTGGAAAAGTCTAGCCAGGTGGGCGTCTGAGCCACTCGCCATTTGGTAATGAGGTGATGAACCACTCGATCGGAGATGGGTCGACCGGTCCGACTCTTGAGATTATACGTTGGGATCGGTGTGGAGTCGGCGGCAGCGAGAGTCGGATCGTTGACGGTTGATTCAAGCTTTGAAAGAACAGTATCTGGCATGAGCAGTACATCCTGAGGATTGAACTCGAAGTCCGCGGAGACGATATGAGCATTCTGAATCCTTCCAGGGAAAGCGGCGAGAACAGATCGTATGGAGTATACGAGCTCGTTGTTTTCTCTGCTCCACAAACACCGATGCGTCAGAATACAAAGCTCTCACCAACATTGCAAAGGATAGGCCAGGTCGATTTGACCACTCACCTGTAGTGCTTCTCTGGGGTCGAAACGTTGAGATCGACCTTCCATTTTTGCATCTGCTGCAACCACCTCGGATCCGTGCCGTTGACCCAGAACCAGACTGCGTCCAATCGTTCCTCTGGCCCGACCTCTTCACTCGTACAATTTGTCTCGCCATGAAGGAACCAATCGGACATGCAGTGATCAGGGAGGAATCGAGTAGGTTTCAAGCTTGGGAATGGAAAGGGAGGTTCCAAGGGTGCAAATGGTCTCCATCTTGAATCGAGAGAATCCAGGTTGTCGTCTCCTTCTCTTTGTGGGACATTTACACTCGGTCGATGAAAGTTGACCCATTGTGCTGAGGATGCGTCATTCTCTATCGGCGGGACGTATAGCTCGCCACCATTAAGATCCACAGGTATTCCGATGGAAGAAGTGTCGAGGATAGGTAGGGGGAATAAGAATTGATGAATTAGGTAGATACCCAGTATCCAGCCAGCTATGGGAGCGACTATACGAGGGTTGAGTAGGAATGAACAGGAATGTGGGATCCGACGTCTGAGAATCTCTGAGGGGCCAGATAGACTTGATAGGAGTGGTAGGGTACTGGTTCGATCATTTCTGCCAGAGCCAAAGTCATGATGATCTATCTCGTGGTTGGAGAATGAAGGTTTGCGTCGTGGTGATTGAGAGGGATAAGGGTAAGGTGCGTAGCGATTCGCGACATTGGGATCGTATCCTGGTGTTGCGCCTGAAAATCCCGATGTCGAAGAAGGTGAATATCTAGGTCGACTAGGTCCAGCTTCCACAGAGTCGGACAACAACGATGATAGACCAGACATGATATGGTGACTGTCTTCACCTCCTTGACTCGCCCCCGTCCAACTACGCCCAAGTCGACGAGCAGCGAGATGATGACTGGTCAATGAAGAGATATTCAGCAACCTGCTCGACGGTATATGGCCTGAAGATCCCCTCTCCACGTCCCTGCTCCTCCTCACTGCTGCTGCAGGTGCAATTGCAGGCGTGGGTGCAGTTGCAGTCACCGTATCAAAATCATCAACATTAAACAGCATTCCCCCCCTTGACCTCCCTTCCCCTCGGCCCACACCGTTCTGTTTCTTCCCCTTCGCCTCGAACACCCCGCCCTGATTGGTCTCCTGTACCTCAACCGAGTTCTATATCTGTACACGGCAGAAAATAACTCGCCCAAAAAAGGAAGGAGTAGGGGCAGCCGCAGCGACAAACTCACCCGGTGAACCGGTTTTCCTATCGGTCTAATCCGTCCAGAAGAAGTCAATTTTCGGTCACACGACGTACTATCTATAGCACACGGTGCGAGCAGAAGATGATGCTGCTGCTGCTGCTGCGGTTTGGAGGTAACGCGTTCCTCGGAAGCGAACCTCGGGCTTCTCAAGGACGGTAGAGCCGTCGGATTTGGGCGATAAGCAGTTCTGGTATTCAATTCTAGTGACGCTATTATCTGGCAGATGAAGTACGTGTGAAGTAGAAATGACTACCAACTTGGTATGAATCGTTATGACCTGCGGTGCATCTTGGTCTTTTGTGTCAAACCCCCTTGGCACACGGGGACTTGACACTTACCGCTTGGCTGTGACTGACCGAGGGTGTGTCTCGGCCATAGACTGGGTCAAAGGAGAGGCCCATTCATCTCTTCTTTTGGGAGATTAAGGGGGAAGGGATTCTTCAAAGTCCGTCCATTGTTGCACGTCATCAAGTGTAGGTCATGATCGTCCTGACGTGAGATGGCTTTTGTAATGCAAAATGTCCGCTCCATCCATGCAGATACCATTACAACACGACCAGCGAGAGCCAAAGATCCCAGCAAATTGTCCAAACGAGCCTTCTCTTGACTACTGCACGACACAGCAAGATCCAAGTCGATCTCCCTTCGCACCTCCTCCCCCTCCTCCTGGTCCTCCTCCATTCCCTTTCGGTTTCGTAGATATAGAGACTCGAGCAGCTTCATGAAGAGCTTCTTGAACACCTCGGTTGTGCTTCGCCGAACATTCTAGGCACGGAATGTCAACGCGGCACAACGCTTTAGAACACGTCAAAACTTACCCAAATACCGATTTGCCCTGATGTTCCTCGCTACCGCCAAGCCTTCGTCATAAGTCACCGTATGCATCCCCCTCCGTTCAAGCTTTTCACGAACAGTCGGGTCCTCGCGTAGATCGCATTTGAGGGCTGTGATGGAAATCAGAGACGACGCTGCGTTGTCAGACCCACCTATGAGAACGATCTTGACACCTGGACAGAATTGATTCACTTCTTCTATCCACTGAAGATTCGTTAATCGATGAGCGGTGGAATGTAGGGAAGTGAACACCACCTTTGTCTCGACGTTCTCAAGCGAATCCGGCATGTCGACCTGGAGGCGAGTTAGACCACAAGCCACTGATAAAGGCGCTTGACCACCCGCTCACCGAGAAACATATCATGATGACATGCGTATCGGCGTAAGACAAGGACCTCAATCTGTCAAAATCCTCTTGTCCGGCGGTATCCCATAGACTCAGTTCAACGGTCTGTCCCTCAATAGACATGATCTCGACGTAGTTTTCGAATACTGCCCGAGGAGTCAGGCGCGAGCAGAGTCGACATCAACGAGACAGACTGACCGGTCGGTTCACTGAAGGGGCTATTAGTCACACTCTTGATAGCTGCTTGTGTCACACTCACTATGTCGTTGGGAAGTAGCCTTGGGAGGGAGTTCAGCGGGTGGGCGAATCTCGAGAGCCATACGCACCTTTCGTAAAGACCGTCAAGAGGGATGTCTATGAAATATCAGTAGTCATTCCAAGTCGGCAAGCACCATCATTATCTCACCTTTCCACAGGCTCCATCTCCCAACACGACCAATTTTCTAGGTAGCTACTCCATAGGCGTCAATTCTGTTACATTGCGTTTTGAGCATTTGACCACACTGACCGTCTTGCCCACCATGTCAAGGTTCTGCCGTGGATGATATGTGTATGAGATCTATGACAAGCGTTGTTTCGTCCTTGGGGTCTGTCCGCGTCAGTTGAGGACCTAGTCCCTATGCGCCAAGCGATCGAGGGATCCCTCAATGTTCAATGGTGGGATCTGGCGTTGCTGTAGATCTGCAAGCTCAGGCAAGCCTGCTGAATTCCCTGATTGGGGCTCGACCAGCAGGATTCTCCGGTAGGACTGATCCTGGGACAAAGAGATCGTACCTCTTGGACTCGATATGAGAGAACTCTTGAAATGAGCTCCCACAGGAATAGAGTAAATAAACAAAATAATGAAATCTCGCACCTCTCTCGGCTCGCCCAGAAAACCGGGGTTGATATGCCCGCCACGTGGTAGACCTCCCACTCATTTGGCCACCAACGTTCAGCAATGGCAAAACGTTGACTTGAGGCTGGACCGTACCACGTTCCTGCCTACGCATACTTGGACTGTCGATCCTGGATAGTCTACCTCGCCTTTTTGAATCGACAGCCTCACTTCAGAATGTCGTCTCAACCACCCGCTAGAGCTTACGTCTCGTCCTCTGGGACACTCGGTACTCGACCACTCTCCGTCAAGGTGAAAGAAGGGGCATATGGATGGTGGATGATGTTTTATCTCTTCTGGGAGACGTTGCTGCTGGTGAGTGAGGGCTGGAGGGACTGGAGTCACGCGACGGATCTGGGGGCTCTTATGGCAAGGACATTCCAAACAGTGTTCGACGTTCTTCGAATTCAGGAGGGCCTAGGGAGGGATGGCCTGAAAGTCCCTTCTAGGTCCATGTACTCTGCGCTCTATAACACACACCTCAACCTCATCACCAATATTTTCACTCCTGTCATGTCTTAGAGACGCCCTGATTGACACGCCTTAGCCCATGCTGAACCCCACATTATTTGCCAACCCTTCGATGAGACCAACGAAATCAAGCGCTAGTAAAGGATCCGGAGGTGGAGGAGGAGGGTACCCTCGAGGTGGTGGTGGAGGAGAAGGAGGCAGCGGGCGAGGAGGAGGAGGAGGAGGAGGTGGTGGTGGTGGTGGTGGAGGAGGCGGCGGTGGAGGCGGTACTTGGCGAGGAAACTCCGGAGGAGGGTTTAGGACGATGGGTGATATCACTGGAGGTAATAGTGAGTGTGGTCTTTTGTAGACGAACATCCTTACGAGTCGTGCGTTCTGGTACAATCGGACAAACACGCTGACTTCACCTTTAGCTGTCGATGGATGCCGAGCGACTTGTGGATAATCCGCTCGGATGCCAGTACATGCCTTCACCATGCTGTGTTCTATTTGTGCTCGATCATTGATACTCAATTTTCGATCTGAACACTCTTGTACCGCCGCTCCAATGTATCGAGACGCACTATGACTCCTCAGATGACGCGTATAGCAGCTCTCTGTACTGATGTTGACAGCACTCGTTTCACAGACTATGCATCAAGCATTTAAATGATGAAAATTGGAAGTAACCGCTCTCCCCCCAGGATACACTCGATGCAGCTGAGCAAAAGGGCAGTGTAGCAGATTCAATCGATATAGAGAACAAAGGTCTCGTGGGCGATATTTTGGAACGGAATGCGCAAGTGTTTGGACTATCCTCGCCAGTGGATAGCCCGTCGAGTAGGTTGAGAGTTTGCGATCTGTCCGTGGGCATAGCGAGTCGTGACAGGCGAAGCAGGCACAGAAGCCCTTCGGACGTTTTCTTTTTGAGCATTCTCGCCTTGCTCTTCTTCAGTCTCGTTGCAATCATCAGATTCCTCGGCTGAAGCTGCAGAGGTGGAGGAGGATGCGGCGGACGACTCGACGGCGGCGGATTCTGAAGGTGCACTGGAGATGGTCGACGTGGGTGTTTCGCTCGTCGATCCAGTGGCACTTGCCATGACGCTGGAGCCAGAGCCAGAAGGCGTAGGATCCGCATGGAGGTTGGCACCGCCTGGACCAGAGGCGGAAGCGGAAGCAGAAGCCGAGGCCGATGCGGAGATGGAAGCAGAAGCAGAGATGGAGGCGACAGAGCTCTCAGACGTGCCACTGGGTGCCGCGGACGTGGCTGACGCGGCGGCGCTGGTCGTTGATACAGTCTCGACCGCCTCGACAGCTTGAGAAGTGGATGCAGGAACCGTCGAGGCACCAGATATGGGTCCAAGAGAGCCTGTAGGCTCACTAGCAGCGGCGCTCGACGTAGATACCGCTGATTCATCATCGATCTCATCACAGTAAGGCTAGAAAAAGGTAATCAGGTGAATGCCTGGGGAAACGTTAGCAACGTCGACTCACGAGATCCGAATCATCGTCGTCGTCATCGTCGTCGTCGTCATCGTCCTCACAGTCTTCACCATCATCACCTTCACCTTCGCCTCCAGGAGTTGAAGTGCCTGCCCCTTGACCTGGATTGGTGGTTGTTGACGTGGAGGGTTGAGAGTTGGCAGCGGATATGCTGCTAGGAACGACGACGGCGTTGTTGCCCGAGCCAGAACCTGAGTCGTTGCCGCCAGTATCTCCGGTGTTAGCGTCAGTACCGGTGGGCTGAGCATTGACGGCGGGAGCCGTCACAGTGACTGTCACGGTGGTGACCTGGTGGTGTGTCAGACTGAGTGAGGGGATGGGACGAAAGAAGATTACTCACACCACCACAATTGTCATCATTGGATCCGTTGGGTTCACTGCCACCAGGTGGGTTGACACTTGCTTGAGAAGCCTGCGACGAAGGTCCATTTGCAGTGGACGTCACAGGAGGTGGTGGTGGAGGAGGAGAGGCGATGCTAGTGGTGTCGGGAGGCGTGAATGAGGTAGAGGCGCTAGGTTGAACGATGCCAACGTTTCCAGTCCCGCTTGAGCCATTTCCATCTGTGCCATTACCGTCATCGCCTTCATCCTCACACTCCTCTTCTTCATCCTCCTCGTCCTCTTCATCACATTCGTCCATCTCTTCAGTTGACGCATCCTCTGTCGAGGTTGCTGGAGGGGAGCTGACAGTAGAAGTAGGTACGATTTGAGCGCCGCCAGATTGATCACCAGTCGATACGGACGCCGCCGCCGCCGAGGTGGATATTTCAGCGTTGGATGATGTGCTGGTGGCTGCGTCTTCTCCTCCCTCTTCATTGCAGTCTTCGTCTTCTGCTTGGTCTTCACCTACTGCTCCAGTCTCCTCTGGAGACGCAGGGGCACTTGAAGTGGGGCTGAACCCGGAGGACTCGCTGGCGCTCGGATTGACAACTACACTAGCACTCGTACTGGCCATCTCTGGGATGAGGGAGTCGGATGCCGAAGCGGACTTTGACGGTGCCACCGCCGAGGATGACTCTACAGCCGCCGCTGACGCGCTGACCGAAGCAGACGCATCGACAGCGGTGATCGTCACGATATCTTCATCCTGTCGCTTCCATTGAGCTCTCCCTCTGGGATAAGCTTCCGTCGTCGCCAAGTTGAACACCAAAACCGCGAGAGTGGTCAAGGGGATTGAGAATCGCATGATGGGGTTGTCGTCAGTCGAATACCTATGCTATCGGGCCTTGTTGTCGTTTGTTCGTTCGTTCGTTCGTTGAAAGGACCGTGAGCTGACCAAAAGAGTGTGAGAAAGAGTCGAGTCCAGTCGCGAGCGAGAGCGAGAGAGAAGGGGTGCGATGGATGGAAAAGGTTTTCCGTCGATGTAGGATCACAGATCTCTGGGGAGTTCGATGGAGATGTTGAAGAATGAACGTAGAGTGACAAGCAACGCAACAACAAGAAAGGAATAGGGTGTGTTGTCAAGATGGATGTTGAATGTGATATGGTATGTCCGGTTGCCAGCGACGTCAAAAAGGGGTGAAAGGGATTTCACTCAGGGAACACACACACACTCGAGAAGCGATCAAAGCACCTCCTTGGGAAGGGGGGCGGCGGTGGGATGTTCTGGCGAGAAGAGAAGGTCCATGCATGCAATTCACACCCTCCCCCCCTTTCCCGCTTGGAACTCTCAGGGGGGTCCTGGGGACTTGAAACGCTATGATGCCCCCGTCCTCCTCAGGCATAACATGACCAATTCTATCTGATACGCGTTGCGGCTCAATGTTCCAGGTGATACAAGGGTACTAGTACTAGTAGCAGACAGCAGCAGACAGCAGCAGCAGACAGCAGGGCGGAATATACCAGCAGGGCGGGAGAAGGACGGAAGAAAGGAAGAAAGAAGAAACAAAAGGGGGATCACTTTGAGCGGATAACAATCAGTTTCCTCCTTCCTTCACCCTTATTTTCCCTGACGTTTCAGGTTTGGTGGTGGGTTTAGCCTGAAAAGCTGTGACACGCGTGGTCAGGTGAACATGACGTGGTATTGATAAGACAAGTGCACCCGCCGAGAACACCGATGGGCCATACGAAATGCCGAAGTGGTGAGGGAGGTGGTATCTGTCGTCACCTAACATTTGTCCATGCGGCACGGCTCATGAGACCACTGATCAGGGCTGTGGGGTCAGCGATACGTGCAGGGTCACATCCATGTCTAGTCCCAGTGTCATGGAGATTTGTACGATCAGATAACCTTGAACTGGGGCCAAGATGGTCAATCGCGTCTTCGTCCAGGTCTATATCGACACATTACAGGGAAGCTGTCAAATTGAAGGAGAATGAAGAAGAACAGGTCTTCTACCTTGGACCGGTGGAGCAGCCAGTGACCACCTCCGAAGTAGCAGAGGAGAAGGATACGGATGCTCTGTCGACATCGTCCAAAAGCATCGCTTCAACCTCAGGGAAAGCTGACTCTCCGGCGCCTTTGAGCACAGGAGCGTTCGCCAGTGAGATAGGGGTGGAACAATCGACGACATCGACTCCCGATGAGCAACTCGCATCGTCATCTCTCAGAGCATTTTCAGCTACTCCAGATCTCAATTCGCCTGGCGTAAACAAAACCCCTCTTGATCAAACTGAGATTGAACTCGAGACCATACCACCTCGCTCATTCGGACCTCAAACCTCGTCTCTCAATGCTACGGCGGCCAACTCCTCCTCCATCTCTTCGTCGGCTCACCTCACATCCATCACCTCGGAGTGGCGCAAAACGCTAGAAAACCATTTCCGTCGCCTCACTCGAGAATCAGAGAAGAAGCTCAGCGAAGTGGGTGTCAAAATCAATCAAGTGACAGGCTATGACGAGGTCGAGCGGCTCAAGAAGATGGTCGTAGATGCTGGTGAGACTAACTTTTGAAGAGACCTCGCTGATGACAATATAGAGAATAGTCTTGACGAGAGCCGACAGGCCGCTCGCCAAGCGAAAGAAGCTTACGACTCGGCTGTCCATTCCCGATCCACTGCCCAACAGCAGGTCAACAACCTTCTCGAGAGGAAGCATTCTTGGACCGATACCGACGTATCGGCATTCACCAACCTTGTCAGACAAGACCATTCGTCTTCGAGTAACGTGACGACCACTTCTGCAGCACTACGAGACGCAGAGAGGCGAGTGGACACTGCCTTTTCAGACCTCACCCGATCGATCCTACAGCGATATCACGAGGAACAAGTATGGAGTGACAAGATTCGAAACGTCTCGACGTGGGTCAATATGGCCGGTCTGATCATCAACTTGGTGGTTTTCCTCGGAGCCATCGCTATCGTCGAACCTTGGAAACGGAAGAAATTGGTTCAGAGGGTCGAAGAGAGAATGGCAGAGATGATGAATAGGGTCGAGGGTGAAGTGAAGGAAGTAGCGAGATTGGTCGCGCCCGGAGTGGGTCCAGCGTTGATCGAGCAAGCCGTCAGCGACTCGGAGGTGCAGCCCATCGGGACCGACACCTCACTCAATGTTGTTGAGGATACATTGGACAGGCAGGACAAGATTTCCTCCCTGCCATGGTTGACAACCGTGTTCCAGACACCAGAGTGGCGGCATGCGGCGGATCTAGTTGGGTCTCATTCAATAGATACAGATCTGGCATTGGCAGGTGGTGTCTGTGTGACATTAGGAGTGGTATTGGGGACTATAATAGCGACGATCGTGAGGTAATGTCGTGGATGTAACATCTGCATGGTCTCACCCAGAGGAGACCCCTCATCATGCTTCCCGATCGGATGGGCTGTAGTATGGTCTGAAAAGAATTCCGCAGCAGACGCTCGGATCGTAATAGATGCAGGTGCACGTCGAGCCGGAAACAAGACTACCTCGTCAAATGCAATACTCAGACAGACGAATGGTGACCAGCATCTCATAAATCAGGACCGTCGAATAGGTCAAAAGCTATGATCGCTTTCCAGTAGTTCCTACAACGAATTCCATCCTGGCCATGATCCATATCGCTGCGTTGCGTTGGTCCACAATGGTTTCACAGCCGGCGTGTGGCAATTTCGGACACTAGGTCAGATGCGACAGGGGGATGAGCACAACATCACCCTTATGCCCACTCTCTTGCCACAGCTCAGAGTCGATGGCCGCCATACATATCTGATCACCATATCAGTCGTAGATGAATGATGAACGAAGACAGTGCGACAAAGTTTACAGAAGGTATCTTTGAGTTACCTGTACATTACGCTGATCCGGGTTTACCAATGAGCTTGATGATCCTTGGCAGCAACAGTGTTGTTTTTCCATGGAGGTATCGGATAGTGGCTATTCCGTAACACTCGAATTGTTGTCGATCTATGTTATGCCTTTTGGCTCCTGAGTTCGAGTCTCAGTGCCTCCTGTTTTGTTTTTGTTTTTGCGACGGATGTATAGCCCGAGGACATCTTTGTTGTTTTTGTCTCTTGTCTGCCTTCTGTGACCTTCCCAGCGGCCGGTAACTTCGCTCGTAGCGTACCTTCCACAACCACCTCTCATGCCTCTCTCGTATACTTGCTCAGTGGCTCAAAGCGGAGACGATTACTGATGCGAGCCTTGAGCGTTCTGAGCCACGCTTTGACGCCTCTCGGCCAAGCGCTCTCTGCCTTTCGGGTCGTAGTCCTCATAGGCAAGCATTCAGAAAGGACGATCCGGATCTCATGTCACTATCACCTTATGGTGCTCTCCAGCATAGCAAGCCCACTGAGGAAGGACGCGAGAGATGATGGGGTGACAGATGTCGAAGAGGGGGTTTCAAAATGCCACAAATGACGGGAGCATATTCAAAATCACCTACCTCCACTCGGCATCTCCTTTGCGTTAGTTGATGAAACCATTGACTGTATCATCGTGACCCTACGTCCGTAGACCCTCAATATGGACGCTGCCATCGCTCGAAAGACATTCGAGCTGAATAATAACGTCAAGGTGATTAACGAGGAGCAGCCGAGCCGTTTTTGGGAGCGCTGACGTTTTACAGCAAATCGATCATGTCGAGCAAATGTTCAAGTATTCTCGCGAGGAGGAGAAGGCACTCGATGATCAGGCGCCTTGGAAGACTGAGTAAGTCAGGAGCGACAGGATCTATCGAGCAGTACCTCATTTTACAAGTCCGCATTACTTCCACACCGTGAAGATCTCAGCGGTCGCGCTGATCAAGATGGTGAGAATATCAAGCAAAGTGTCCCAGCTGACTGTCAGGTCATTCACGCTCGCTCAGGAGGCATCTACGAGATCATGGGCGTCATGTATGGCAAAGTCAAAGATGGAGAGTTCTGGATCATGGATGCAGCGGCGTTACCGGTCCAAGGGACAGAAACGAGAGTCAATGCGGGTCTCGAGGTAGGCGAACCCCTTGATTCAAATGGGTGCTGATGGTATAAAGGCTTCCGAATATATGGTCAGGTACCAGATGGGCAGTCAAGAGATTGAAAAGAATGAGCTTTTGAGAGGATGGTATCATTCGTAAGTCGGAATCTTAGCGAGTCCATGCTCATCTTTTCAAGACATCCAGGTTATGGATGCTGGTTGTCCGGTATCGACGTCAGTACTCAAAAGACCAATCAAGAGCATACCGATCCATACCTCGCCGTCGTCGTGAGTCGCACATCCTGTGATGTCGCATATCCTGTGATCCAACTGACAATATAGATCGATCCCAATCGGACCGTCTCCGCTGGCAAAGTGGAGATTGGTGCGTTCAGGACATACCCAGATGCAAGTGTTCGGATGCTATCGCAGAGCTGACCAGACTCAGAATTACACTCCCTCCGGTTCATCGTCCTCCCAGTATCAATCTATCCCCATGGATAAGATTGAAGACTTTGGTGTCCATGCCAATGCGTACTATCCCCTCAAGGTTGAAATCTTCAAGAGCAAGCTTGATGAACAACTCCTGGACCTGCTGTGGAAGAAATACTGGGTGGCGACGCTGAGTCAGAGCTTGCTCATTTCAGTGAGACCCCACGGCAATGGTTCAGTTGTGCTTATTCTCTCTAGAATCGCGAATATGCCACTTCGCAGGTATCTGACCTCGCCACCAAGCTCGCTTCCGCTGCAGAATCGCTCAACCATTCGTCTGGTGGTGGATTATCGATCAAATCCGCCCATGAACACAAAGGCGCGAAGGGCGACGACACCATCAAGGGCGACAGGTCAAAGACGACCATAGAGAGTGTAGAGGTGCAGGAGACTGCTCTCAACAGAGCGACGAAAGATAGGTGAGCTGTGAGGAATGCCACAATTTGTTAATCACCCAGCACCCGGATCACCGCCGAAGCTCATAATGGCTTGACGGCGCAGATTCTCAAGCACAGACTTTTCAACACGCCTCTTAACGAGACTCTTGACCCTCACGTAGCTCAGCGCGCTGTGAGAGGGGCCATGTGAGATCCTGTAGACGATTCTTTGCCATTGTATATATATCAGCCACACCAATTTGTATGCATCATCCTTCGGGCCGCGCGACAGTGAAATGGGAATGCAGCGCCTTGGCTCGCTTGATGAATTAACATTCGCTACGACCTTGAACTGCAAACCCTTTGACGACGTGACACGGGATCGCAGGAGCATTGGCAGAGCCTCTGAGGGTATCTGGACAGAGTCGCAGGGCGGTCCAAGCCCGGTAAACTAATCGTTTTACCTCTCGTGACCAAAGCTTCCCCTCTGTTCGAGCCAAGACACCATGGGCGTTCGAGGTCTTGACCGTGAGTCGTCTTGCTCTGCATTGCCTTATTGACCCCGTTACAGCCTACCTACGCGAACGTAAACTCTTCCAAACATGCCCTCTCGCCGCGCTCTCTGGCTCCCGACTGGGTATCGATGGCGTTCATTATCTCAAAACCCTCCTTTCCGAGGTTGATACTCGTGAACCCTTGGTCGCTTCGACCGGAGGACTCCCTCTGGCCATTACAGCGCGTATCGAGTCAAACTTACGAGCCTTGGAATCCCTCCGAATCAAGCCTGTCTTTGTATTTGCCGGTCTCCCCATCGCTCAGCGTCCTCCGCCCAAAGGGATGGATCCGGTGGGGGAGAGAGAATTGCAAGTCAAGAATGAGGCTTGGGGTCATTACGAAAGTGGAGATGTCGCTAGGGCTATCCAGACATTAACTACGGTTCGAGGAGGCGCTTGGACCGATTGGAGAGACCTGTTGAGATCCGTGTTGAGGATCTTTAGGCACAGGTTCACGGAATATGTGATCTCGCCGTATCTCGAGAGCGCCCAGGTGAGTCTGAGAGCACGCGCGCGAAGCGGGCACGGTCTGCGCAAGTACGGGTGCTGACGGTTCGTAACAGCTTGCATACCTTATGAAACACCCCAAAGGGTACATTCACGCCATGTACGCTTCTACCGAATCGCTATTATGGCCTGTGGATCGCGTCATTACCCATATCGATTGGGCAAATCACACCAATATGACGTTCATCGACAAACCTCGTCTCGTCGCGGATGTCGGACTGAACGCTGATCAATTCCTCGATGTGTGCATTTTGGCAGGTTCAGCCATCAGTCGGACGTTCCCTCCGTTTGCCAGTGACTTCTCTCTCAAGACGATCTTGGACCTCGTCAGGCAATATAAATCTGGAATTGCGGTATGTCAGGCTTGGAGGCAGGACAATCAAGTCAAAGCTCTGGGATACATTGATTCCTTTATGCGAGCTCGATTGGCCGTCAAGTACAGCTTGGTCCTGACGACGGAAGGGATCTGTATGCCATTACCAATGGTCGTTCAGCCCGCTGCTGCTCCTCCTCCAGTCACGCTTGCCGATATTCCAGCCGACTTTGACGAGATATTCTCTCTTCGCCTACCCGATGAGCTCTACTACCATATCTGTCGAGGACTGATCAGTCCACAAGTCGTCGGATGGTTGTCGAGCGGATTGATCGTCGAGTCTCAACCTTTGGCAGATTCACCAGATTACAGGCGATTCATCAAGGATGTCATCACAGAGGGCCACACAGCGCCTAGATGTACAACACTGGCTCTATTGGTGGATGCTCTGCACCCGCAGTGGAAGCAGCGACGCGTGGTGAGTGTATCAATGTGCATTTTGTTTCTTTGTTTTGCTTACCGCCTCAGTCCGCACACTATTACTATGAACCGCCTTTCGCGCCCATTCACGGATCCACTGTCCCCTTTACCGATGTCATGACGCAGTCGCTGGTCGACAAGTGCTCTTCCTGGCAAGTCCCCTCGTCACACCTAGAGAACGAGCTACGAAGGCAGAATGTGAGTGGCCCTTCCCGGCTTCCTGCTGACGTGCTAGTCCTCCACTATCGATATCAAGTTGTGCATAGGGGCTCTTTCGTCCGAAGAGCTGGCGGCCCAGACCAAGCTCGGTAAACCAAGTCGACCGATGGACAAGAAGGACGAGATTGTCGCGAATGTCATCTGGCGTTTCCTTGATGTCAGAGGGTGAGTCAGGATTCCCATCCGCCACGCTCACAAGCAGCTTTGTCGCTCCGAACCACTCTCAGACTCTCATGGGCAAAGCCCTCCACGCCGCTTGTTCCCAATCTCGTGTCACAGATCGGTTCCAGGAATCCCTTTACCTCGTTCTGGAGCTGCTGCGAGCCGGCGTTGTCCATGGACAACGATGGGGTTCGGCTGATGAGGAGCCATTGTCTGGTGGACCAACCTCTGGCACAGAGGAGGAGCAAGCGAGTACCCTGTTGATTATGAGAGTGTTGTCAGTGTTGCCATTGTCATTCAGGGTACGTCCAGCGAGATCAGACCGAGCTAACGATAGCCACAACAATGGGCTGGTCCGTTGTCTCGCGAGTTACTAGTGTTCAATTCATTCGTACGCGCCTTGAGCAAGTCTTTGAGAGCCCTGCTCGAGGCCATCACGGTTCATATCCTGTTATGTGGAGATGCCCGTCGAAATAGGGACGACCACTTGGATTTGATGCTTAGTGAGCCCATGGTACCAACTGGGAACAAGACGACTGATGGATTTAGGTCAACCGTTCCAAGGGGAAGTCAACACTGGCTTTGGTATTCTCGCCAAGACATATCTCGACGTGGCGACGTTTCATCTGGGCGAAGATGCTTCCTTCACCGAAAGCAACACGTCTACCCCTGAAGTCATCAGTGCCAAGCAGAAGGCTATGGAGTTCCTCGAATCATCGTTCACGAGCATCAAGCTGCCTGCACAGGAGGTCGAGCGGGGTTTCAGGTTCTGGGATGCGGTGAGCCCCAACCAGTCTCCAGTTACTCGATGGCTGAGTCCTTTATCAGGTCATGATCGCCATTCGGACTTTGGCCAAAGAGCAAGGCCCCAGCCCAGGTGTCGCCATTGCCATCACCAGCCCAGCTGTCATTGAGGCATTTGAAAAGGCTGACAAGTGGTTGAAGCCGATGCGGCCGTAGAAGCCCAACCAAATGCATATCACACATCCCTATCTCCTTTGTGTGCCTGACAAGTCTTTCCGAGATGATCGGAAAAACCTTGACTGGTTCGCTTTTCCCCTCTGTCGCCCCCGTGCCAAAGTCGACGCCGAGCGCCAGTGTCCGACTCGGCGATCCAACGCCCCCCCCTTTTCTGAGCCTGTTCTCGGGGAAATTTGAGTCTAAAAAGATATGATAAAGGAGGTGTATATGATTGTCTAGAACTAAAAGAGATGACCCATGCGGTCCACCCAGCTTGTAAAGACAGCTTGATCCCTTGGTGATGTTTCGTTCCGCCCAACCCACCTGTCGCTCAGCAATGTGGATAGTGTGAGATGAGTATAGATATCGAGACTCGACCCATAGCTACACTGTTGACGACGGATCACCAAGAGACGGGATATGAAGTTTGGGAAGAAGAGGGATGGGTCGTAGCGTGAGTGTCTGAGATACGAAGACTCTTCGCACTAGTGCACTCTATCAATGTCTTGGCTGTCTCCCTCTCATCCGAGTCCGAGTCCGAGTCCGGTTCTGAGTCGACTGACTGGCTCATAGTCATGCGATCGTGGAGAAGTGTACAAATTGTCATCTGTCATCCTCGAACTCCTGCTCTACTCCTCGTCCGACCATTTCGCTCGAACCTCTGGGGATCATCCGGTCAGCCTGTCAGCGATGTCATCGATTAGGGATACAGTCATCATGTTCGAGTCGTCAATTGGGTATGTCTTCGACTCAGCCTTCTTCGGCTTCGCGATATCATTCATTTGATCCTCCACGACATGATCACGCATCCCTTGTTAGGTTCAGGACGACCGAACCGGTGAACGTGACTTATCCAGTCAATGAAGGACCTTTTCCTCGACTACCAATCCCTCGAACCAGTCTTTACAGCATATGCTGGGCGTACGATGCGTGGCAGGACCAGATTGGGAAGAGACATATCGATCAATTGATCAGGAAGAAGAAGGATACAGTGAGGACGTCGCTCCATTTGGCTGAAAGGGATCAAGAGATGTTCCATATATATGCCGTGAGGTTGGATTCGTTGGAGAAGGCTTCTCCACAGTCTAGAGACGGAATCAAGATCACAATCACTCCGGCTCAGTCAGAAAGGAGTAGTACTCTGAACTCGAACGCTGAGAGTATCCACTCCAATACATAGCAGATGTCGCTTGAACTTGAAATGCCACGAGCACGTTCCAGAGCTTTCTCGTGCCACACTGCCACATTCCTCGGACATATCCTAAAACGCCGAGAACGGCAAATCCTTCTTTTTATCAGATTTGCTTCCGTTGAATGGATGTGTGTGTGTCATTCTTTCTGTTTTGGGCAAAAAAAGGGGAAGGGAAGGGGGGAAAAGAATTCAGTATAAAGACTCATGTTTGCCACCGTTTTCCCCTTCTTTTCCCTCATCGTTCAACTTCTCACTCTCCCCCTTCGACACACTAACGACCACGAGAGCCTCGACGACAGCTGTCCCCATCTCAAGCGGGGACATGCTGAGCTCAACACTCAGGAGGCCTCGAAGGCCGTAAGCCCTCTCGAATCTGTCTCATTTTCTCTTTGAGGGCCGTTTTCTTTAACGACAGGCGAAAAGAAAGAGAGCCTCATCCATTCTACATCACTCGGAGCACACACATTCGGTTCGTTTCTACAGCTTTCGTGAGTATCATCGACTTCCAGTCTTTGTGCAAACGAGGTTGACAAGAACATGTTCCAATTGGTCATCCCAAAAAGTGAGAGTTTACTGTTCTGATTCAGTCTTTGTGCTATTCTCGGTGTTGGTTCGTCTACAGGCGTCTACCCTCATCTGTCCCTATATTCGCCGCTCCTCGCTTCGCTTTCCAACTCTCCGAGTACGAATCGAAATGAGTCTCTTTAGGACACTCAGCAAACAACCAGAGAGCGTCAAGACGAAACCTCTCTTCTCCTGGCATGACGGACTCACCTTTTACTCGCTTACCTCTTTGGCACACGTCTCTTTTGAAAAGGACAAGGGTCTAATGGGTTTCTTGTGGGTAAAACCAGTCTCGTCTCGTCCACTCTTCTTCTTCTTCTCCTTCTTGGAACACACGTCCCCGTTCAGACACTGTCACTGCCTTCCCCCGCCTCATCGTGCCTCGCGTGCAAAGCGTCCCCCCCAATGAAGATTTGACATTTGGCAAAAACATTATCTGGCTTGTAATACTTCCAACCTTGGGTTTTCTCGGTCGATATGTCAGTCACGACTAGGTCGATACGATAGCTTAAAAATCGGAGGGAAACGATCTGGATATTCGTTTTTGTCAAAGTAGCATTGTTGGTAACTCTTGGGGGGATATCGTTTTTGACAGGCTTTTCTCGAGCACGAACACGCACAAATATGGGGTTTCACTGGGACGTGGAGCATGCGAAACGCAGAGAGGTACTTCTCTCGACCCTTTCGAAAAGGGTCGGAGAACAAGTGGCGTTGGAGTGACAGTGTCTTTCAAGCGAGCTGGGATTTCGACTAAATACCTTCGCACACAGCGCGCTGGCTTTCACACGTTCACGCACACATGGGTTAACGGTTCACCTCGTCAGGCAAAGGAGACTGCAACATTACAATTAGTCCTCATTGAGCGGTTTGGAGCTTTCCGACCTACACCTCATTTTTCACTCTGATGTTCTGGCTCTAATGTTTGGCCACGAAGACGATCAACCTATAGCGGCGCAGTTCCCACTCGTTCTCACTTCGGACCATCTCATTACCATCTGCACGCACCATCTCACCGTCGTCTTACCTTGACAGGTTGCAGGGCATGCCGACGCCCGGTAGATTCAGTGCTTGAGGGATGTCTGTCTGAGATTCCGGATCGCAACACTTCAAGACTTCTTATTTATTCATGGTCTTCTGGAACACTCTGGGAAGGATCTCACTCATCGCAAAAGGGTTCGTACACTTTGTTCATCCTCGTCGACTCGGCTTCTCGTGGGCCAAGGAGCGTCGTGTGATTCAGTGGTCGTGATTTTGAAATGTGGGCGTTGACTTTCCCTCCGGGTTTCTGTCTTTCTCCCTCCATTCCTTCCCCTTCCTTGTGTCTCGATCCCCTCGCCCCCCGTGTGATGTGTCCTGCTCGTGTCGTGGTCCTGCCCTCTCCTACCTCACTCTTCATTTTTGCTCTATTTGCCTTTCCAACAGCATACCCACCTTTTTTTGCCTGCTGCTGTTGGCGTAAGATTGCCCACTCTCTCTTGAGTCTCCTTCGGGAGCTCAGGAGGGAGTGGGCTTTTTTGCGTTCAGTTGAGCGAGCATGCGAGTGGCCTCGGTGAGAGGAATGAGAGGAATGCGAGGAACGCTGTGTTGCTGGCGTTGTGTGGTCATTTTGCGAGATACAGTTGTGGCTTTCACTCAATGGGCCAGACAGACCATCCTTTAGACATATCTGATGGCAACAACTCGCTGAACAACAAACGCTCCGATGAACTTCCTTCCACTCATCACAGAGGTGTAGCTTTCGCCTCTGGTCATTATCCTACACCATGTCCAGTGAACCTGCAGGTCCAGCCGTCCCGTCCAAGACCCATCAACCTCACCGAGTTCATCGCGTATCCTTTCAACCCTCTCCTGGAGTCGCCTCTATGGATCAACCACTCTCATCGAGCTCAGCGCCGCCCAATCTCGTTCAATCAGCTTCAGTGATGAATCCCTCACACCCTGAGCCTCGTTCGCACGACCACAACCATGACCATGACCACACCAAGGCATCTACCAAGTGGCGGCTACTGGCGCTCAAGTCTAAACCTACATTAAGTCGGACATGGGAGAAGAGATCGTTCGTTGAGGAACAAATGAGCGCTCCGTTATCGTTATCGCAACAGCCTGTCAATGGACCATTCCAAGGTCGACAAGAGATGCAAATGTGAGTAAGGACGTCTGTCTACAAGGTGCCTGTATTGAGCACGATATACACGTTTAGGCCATCAAGCTCCAGACCTACTTCACTCTATGCTTCTCCTTCTGCCCTCGCTGCCTTTCGCACTTTACCGCCTCATTCTGCGCCGTCAACGCCGACCAACGCGACCAGTCATGTCTAGCCGGCCACTGTGTAGCCGTACAGCGCCTCAGATCTAGAAGCGACCCGCAGCCTTGGAATGTAGGAGGAATGGCGCAAATCATCAGACTTCTTAGTGGTGGGTGGTGGTGTTGGCGTCACTGGCAAACGACTATGCATTACACTTCGCCAAGGGGTGAAGAGAGGATATATGGAATCGAACAGATATGGTGTGCCATCTGATTGTTTGCTGTTTGGTCTTGCTTGTTTCCCCCATGTCTACGCTTCGAAGGCGGCGGTCGAGATAGACCCCCGCCTCAAGCTCTCTACACCGCTTTAGCGGCATCACGCCCTTTACTTTCTAATTCAGGCGACTTGCTCGCTGATGCTCCGGACTCCAATGGTATATGATCATGGATGGCAGAAGAAAGATCTGAAGCAGCTTTAATTGATCCAGTCTGGGGGTAAGAGCATCAGCAGAGCTCAGCATTCCCAAAGACCGAGTTCTCACCCTGAAGGTCAAGAATTTTCGCTCCCCGTCCTCGATGACCGTTGTCCGTACATGCTTCCCATCCTCTAGACAGGACATACCAACGTATAGCGAGACATTGAGAATAAGTCGTAAGACTCCCTCGGCGCGCATCACTGAAAACGTCGATCAGTCCCTGCTCCACTCTCCACTGGATATGATCTCTCGTGCAGACCCGGACTCACCCAGCCTCGCGCCCTTGCCATCTGATCGCCTGACGTTCAACTTCAAGGTGCCCACACCACGTTCTCTCCATCCACCGTCCGCTTGCATGACATATAGCTTTGCACGCACAGAGTGTACAGGGCTTTCATCCTCCTCACCAGTGTGCACTATATGGTCGGCCGACGTTTTTGAGGCGTTTCGCACTCACCATCTTGCTCAGACATACGGATCTTCTCCTCTTCGGTCACTGTCCCAGCATCCGCTTTGAGGATATCATCAAATGTAGATGCTTTCGGTTCGTTCTCAAAGGATTGATCGCCTGATGCTGTCTTGTCCTCGGTTGTCGTAGTAGACTTGATTGGCGGTTTTGAGAATGGACTGGCGTTGCTATAATTCCCAAAACCGCTCGACTTGAAAGCGCTGGGCTTGGGCTGAGGGGTCGACGAAGAGGCTGATGAAGAGGCACCGAATGGGGATATAGTACGGGCAGAAGCGAATGGGGAGGAAGTAGACGCGAAGGAGGAAAAGGTGGATTGTTTCTTCAGCGGTTCGCTGACGGGGGGAAGCACTTTAGGAGGTTCTTCAGATGGCTGAGAGGGCAAAGCTTGTCAGCATATTATCAAAGGATGATGACTGTGGCTCACAGATGGGGTATCCTTGTGTCTCTTGACTTGAGCGTGGGTATCATTGATATTGTAGCTGCTCTCGCTCCTGTCCGCTACCTTGCGCTTCAGACCCTCCTGACCGGAGGATGATGAAGTCTTGTTCATCGGCATGGAGGTTGGCACATCGCCGTCCGCCAGTGCCTCTGCCTCTGCCTCTGCACCTTCCGCTTCGGCCTTTTCAATCTCTTGCCATTCCTCATCGATAGGCTCAGCTTTGCCGTTCTCCCCCTCCCCCTCCTTCTCATCTAGTTTGGAGAATCTAGTAGATGTCGACATGGCTGATCCTGGGCCTTCATCTTCATCCTTTTCAGGCAGCTCCAATTCTTGATCTTCCTCTTGAATGATGGCTGCAGCTTCCGAGGCATCTTTCGAGCCTTCCTCATAAGTCATCTTTTCGACTTTTCTCCTGACTTCTCCGACGTTCTTAGCTTCATCTTTAGCTCCGGCATCGTCCGCTACTTCCAGCTCGTCACTTTCGTCGAGGTCGATATTGGGTGACGGATCGGGGTCTAGGGGCTTGGAGGGTGCTTGGCCAGTAGATAAAGCCAGCCTATTCTTCTTTGTTCCCGTCGATGTAGTTTCCGGACGGTCCAGAACAGGGGGTTCCTACGTCAGTCAAGGCGAGTCAGCGTTCCTCAGGCCTCTAGTACCCGGTCATAGAAAGACATCTCCCGAAAGAAGGGATGCCAAACTCACAACTGATTCGGCTCGCCCGCGTTTGAGAGAATGCGCCTCTACAGACCGCCTGTGATCAGCGCATGACTCATCTTACCCGAGCGTCAGTACATCATCGACTCACCCGACTCTATACGATGGTGCTGCTTCGTCCTGATCTCAGAACTTTCAGGAGATGAATCGACGGCCATCACGCCAACCGAGCCTTGTGAATGGGATCGAGACTAGGCCGTTGCGGAGTTGGCCAGCTGTATCCAATACGCGCTTGTCTTGCAGTCTCTCCAGAACGAATTCTGCGTTGTTGCTCTTGAGAGACTCTGCGTGAAAGGATACAAAGCAAGGATGGGTGGAAGACTGAATGTTGATTGGACACAGACTCTCGCCGCGCCCGGGTTTAGGCGGGCGGCCAATGCCACTCCTTATGCCTGAATGCAACAAATCGAGTTCTCAATGCCTCACTTTCACTCTTTGTCCTTCATCTCTCTCCCAGCATACAGCTCCTTCTTGTATCTGTCAAGAGCGCTGATTGTTCCCCTGCTGGAAGTAGCTTTCGAGTCGGCTCAAGCGCGAAACGCTCAGTCTAACTATGGGCTACCTGTACCCCTCCCTGGCGATATCAGGGACTTCGACAGCCATCGTTGTGGGGTTATACCTCTTGTTCACGGGTGGGTAAAGCGAGCCATACAGAGGCTTCGAGCGATCTCTGTGTGCAATTCAAGTCTTCTAGAGATCGAGCTGATCGTGTCTTGCAGGACAAGGCGAGGCGTTCAATGTCGGCCAATTCCTCGCGGAGAGCTCACCGTATGCCTGGGCATTAGTCGGCACTGGATTATGTATAGGTCTGAGTGTATTGGGTGCTGGATGGTGAGTGTAGCATCTTTGCGTGGCCCCTACCTTGAATCATCATCTATACCCCTTGGTGATGCTGACCCCCGCCTTAGGGGAATCTTCATCACTGGCGCATCGATCCTAGGAGCAGGTGTCAGAGCACCAAGAATTAGGACCAAAAACTTGATCTCGTGAGTGAAGGCCGTAGGCAGCTTCCATCCAGAATACAATCCTAACCATACGTCCCCAGTATCATCTTTTGCGAAGTCGTCGCTATCTACGGTGGGTTTCTTTTGCCCTCAGCTTCCAGCTAAGCCCCATCCTAGGCGTCATCATCGCCATCATCTTCTCCGCCAAGATCAATGGCAACGTTCAAAACATGTACACCACCAACAACTACTTTACGGGTGAGTCATCATGAGGTATGAGTCTGCATTGGTGACTGATACAATCACACTTCTCAGGCTTTGCCATCTTCTGGGGAGGTCTAGCTGTTGGTTTGTGTAATTTGTTTTGCGGAGTGTCTGTCGGAATCACTGGATCCACAGCGGCAGTTGCGGACGCCGCGGATCCTCAGCTCTTTGTCAAAATTCTCATCGTCGAGGTAGGTCTAAGGGAAGAGATCCACGACGGTTCTCTCGATCTAACGCTCTGTCACACAGATCTTTGGCTCTGTTCTGGGGCTGTTTGGATTGATCGGTAAGCCCGCCAGCCATGGTATTGATGCTGATCGCCCTTTCCTACAGTCGGCTTATTAGTTGTCAGTGCTAGTGCTCACTTGTCCCCTGCGACCATAGCTGATTCCTCATGCAGGGCGGAAAGGCCGAAGAGTTCGCCTGAACGAATGGGGCCATACTCGCTCACTCGATCAACCATCTTCTCGATCAGCACACCATGTCATAGCGACTGTTCAATGCGTTTAGCCGCCTGGGCGGTTCATCATGCATTTCATAGACTGTGTGTCGGATGCGGGGTATACAACGTGGTCAAGTTCATCTGCTGTTTATTGTATAGACTACAGGTACCTCCTGGCTATAGTCCTGATCCTCGCTTCAAACATTGGATTACGAATGGGTGTATTGGTCGAGTGGAATGGGTTGAGAGAGACCTACAGGAGCAGTGAATCAGCAATCGAAGATGGCCAGCTCGGGAGTTACAGGGAAGTGCTGACTTTGACAAAGACCTCCCAGAGGTCCAGAAAGAATGACCGGATACCATCATCGTTTTTGTTATCGTGAAGGAGGATGAACTTGACTAAAAGGGATCCCAAGCGTCAGAGGACGTATCGGAGGGCTTTGAAGCATCGGTCCAGCGTCTGCTCCGCCGTCGTCGTTCCAACAAAAAGGGCGGAGGAAAACTCACTTGCACCAGCCAAGAAAGCAGATACAGTCCACTCGTTATGTCTGTCCACGTTCTTCAAATATCTACAGTATTTTGCTCGTTAGTGAGATCTTCCTAAACGCACGACAATGACACCATTCCGCCATGATCCTGATAGCTGACAAGGCTAATTGGAGAGGTGCTCAGGAGAACAGATCCCAGCATCCTTTGCCCCTCTCATGGACACACAACGGATCAGTCTCGAGCTTCTCACTCACAATGCCCCTGTCGACTCCATGACCTCCTCCACACTGTCCAAACTCTTATGAGCGATCATCTGACACATGTGTCTTTCTAGACTTCCCGTCCCAGGACCTCCGGGCCCACCTGGTCCTCCAGATGTAGAGGTCGTAGGAGCCATGACGAGACCTAGATTCGGTCCAACTTTGCTCGTCGACCCGTTCGCTCCTCCTCCTCCGCCTAGAGACTGCTCGCCCTGTCCCAGATCACTTCCATTTGAGCCTGTGAAGGTAGACCAAGAAGGAAAACTCGACGTCGACGTATTGCTCGATGTTGGTGCAGTGGCATTGGGTCGAGAGGATGTGAAGGATAACTCAAACAGGGGAGCGTCGAGTGGTGAGACTATAGCGAGATAGAAGGACATGTCAAGGCGAGGAAGAGGTCGTATGAATGGCAGTGGGGCCGGGCAGCAGCTTCAGGTCTCGTCTCAGCTGACCTTATCTGCAGTGCGACAGAGCCTCCAGCGATGAAGTACCTATGTAATGCAGAGCATGTAGAATACCGAACACAGTCAATCGGCAACCTCGCGTTTCGGTCCGTTAACCGCCTATTATCATTACTACAACAGACCATGACCATGCCGCATTGAATGGCCATGCATGTCGAATGGCGACATCTCAGATCTACAACTACGCACAAAAACGCCTTATATACAGGATAGTGACATTACACAGCTGAGACAAGCTAGCGGTATCCCCAATGACCAGCATTTGGATCGCGGTGTCTGCTGTATTCTTGCAGTGATGGCGGCAGATAAGGCATAGACTCGGGTTCATCGTATACGATCCCCGTGATGCTGCGTTGCTGTTGACCGTAATTAGGACTTCCCCCTGATCCACTACTGCTCCGCTGGGTGTAACCTCGAGGATGGACGTGCTCGTTGGAGGAGGGCGGAGCATAAGAGTTTGGGACATACCGAGCCGAGTTGGAAGTTTGGACTCGGGTAGGGGCTGAAGGTGGGAAAGAAGGTGCGCCTGGGGCGGGTGAGTAGGCACGAGGTGCGTTGGTAGCGTAAGATGGTGCTTGAGAGAATGCAGGTGGGACTGGTGGATAAGACATGCCCAATGGTGCGGCATGGGCAGTGAGGTTGGAGGAGCTGGGCAAAGTCAGTCTTTTGAGGCGTTGTCAATAGCTCACCTTTCGCTAAAGTTGCTCTCGTACGGCAGGTTGTAGTCTGAGCCATAGACCTCGTATTCCACCACGTCGGTCTTTTGCCGCCGTACGCCGCGAGCAGACCTCCTCTCCGCTTCGAGCTTGCGCTTCAGCCCATAGTCATCGTCATCCAATGAGACGTTTGGCAATGTAGGTTGTGGGAAAGCGGCGGCAGCAGCGGCGAGCTCATCGTCCTTGCCTCCACCCTTGTACATGCCATGAGCCATCTTTTTCTCGATCGCAGCGACTTTGCGTATTCTGTCTCGTTGCTTCCGTTTGATGAGCTCGGATATTCTCTGGATGAGACTTTAGCCACATAACGGTACGGGGATGGAAGTCCTGACCTTGTCAACCTTATGACAGACGTATTCCTGATCGAGATGAGCTCTTGCCAAGATCCTTGTAGCTCACCTTGAGATTGCCCTGGATGTAGCACAGAAACGGCACGTATAGGATTGCAGCCACAATGAGCAGGATGAGAGAACCGAGAAAGATCAAGACGGTCGCTATCATAGCAAGCAGCAGCATGGCAGTGATCGGTGAGCCATCATAGTATTCAGACAGGTTGGATGTCTGGAAGTGACCTGGACGATGTTCAGCTTGACCTCAGGCAGGTCACTCACTTGCGAGGGCGAAGGAGAACAGGATGAGACCGTTGATAGATTGACGTGGACCATCGGCTAGAAGTAATCGTTTCCAGTCTGGTTTTACGTGAGCTAGGGCACATGGTTTAGAGCTCACCCTTGAATGTGAAGTAGATGAAGAACGCAAAGGCGTCCGTCTTTTTCGCCGAACTGTCGATATGACAAAAGAGGCAAAAGATGTCGTATGATTCTTCACGGGTGTTAGTAGCAAGACACATTATCTCAGTATCTCACTGATCGAGTAATAGTCGTTCGCCATGAGATTGGTGAACGCGTAAGAGATGTCTCGAGATCTGATGACCTTTTGAGCCTTGTAGGTTTCGTATCCGAGCTGACGACGAGTGAGTGACAATTGGACACCGTTGTGAAGCCCGGAGATCCTTACAAGAAGGAAGGAGAACATGATGCAACCGACAAATATCCACTTGGCGATGGAGAATTGCACGTCGACAGCGCAATCAGAGTCTGTCTCACTACACTTTGACTGAATCGCGTTGGTCCACTGAAGGGGAAAGAAAGGGTGAGCAAAACAGTAATTGTCGTGGGGTTCACACGTACGTGATCTGACACTATCATAGTGGTTGCGGTGAAAATATCTAGACCATAGACCGCAATGTTCTTCAGGATCAAGATGTACTTCCAGACATACCTGGAGTGTGTGAGTGTTGACAGCATATCAAGACACCTCACTTTAAACGAGTCATGAAATCTGTCCTGTGGAACTCTTTGACGTTGATAAAGTCGAACTAAGCCAGTCATGAGCACCACGTTGAATGACAGGATTCCAGCCTGACGACCTTGAGAACCATAATTGTCTCACCTTGTGATCGGGTACGATCTCCCTCTTCCATTCCGCCTCGCAGCACATTGTTGGGCACCAAGACCGTCAAGATCAACTCGACATGGACTGGTAGATTCAAGAAGGGTTGTCAAAATACCTCGGCGGATGAAAGGGGATGTTGAGCGCGGATCAAAGGGATCGATGCACCACCTTGGCTTCTTGAAGACGTAACTTCGCTCGAGCCACGATGTAAGAGCGGCGACGCGTTGATGTCTATAAGCTCTGATTCTCAGAAGATGGTACGTGGGATGTGAATGACGATGGGATTTATGGTAGGTCGATACAATTCTCGTCACTGAGCGGCCTGATCGGTCTATCGTTGTCGAGTCACAGACATGCCCGTCGTATGGACTTAGCGTGAATTTAAAGAGGGAGGCTGAGCGGGAGGCGAAGGGGGGCAAAAAGTAGGAGAATGAATGAGCGACGCGAGGGAGCCTGTAAGAGACTGAGTCGGGGAGAGCTTTCTAGAGAGACCGGATAGTCGTCCAGCGACTTGTGAATATAGGACTTGGTGGAAGGGACTGATCAATGAGCGTGTCAATGAAGGTGTGAATGCTATATGGTTGTTGAATACCATCGGATCGCTTTTCCTTTTTGTTTCCGGCGCGAGTGGTTGGGATGCGTTTGGGAGTCCATGAAACCTGAAACACGGGTTTTTGGATGGGACAGATTAGGAGAAATTTGTCAGATGCGGTATTGATTAGAAATGATTAGAAATGACCGATTAGGATGGGAGCCATTTTGTAATGAAGAAAGCCGAGAGACACAGATGAGACACAAAGAGATCTGGAGCATCTCATCGTCAGACACAGAGAGAGAGCGAGTCTGGACTATTGTCTCGAGGTAGGTAGCCAGCGGACATATACATACATCATGCTGGGAGCTGAAGCTCAGCTGAAGATTACGGAAGTGCTCCTGAACTCGTCCATGTAGCATGGTAGCACCAGCTCAATGGACTCGCCCAGAAAGAGGCTCTCCCCTTGCGTTGCGAGAGACTACTTTGTTGCATCACTCCTTGTCTGTCCAAATGGATGCAAATTAGCCTCGACAGTTGAGCATATCAGGCAGAGCTAGTGGAGTCGTCCGAGTTCGAGCAGTCTGGCAAGATCCCGGCGGATGATCATGGATCATCTGTGCGGCAGAGGAATCATCCTCGGTCGCCTGATTGATGCAGCGTTCTAAGAGGCAAAAGCGGAGTCGTCGGTGTACAAACAAGCCTGAATGGGGCCTGTTCACGAACGAGATCAGGAGGCATCTCGGGACGTCATACGACTATTAGTCCCCTGGGTTCTCAGGCATGCCAATCCAGCGTCCAACCTGTGCCCCCCCAAAAAAACAGACTCGCCAAGTGGCGTTCTCATTTCGATCAGCTGCGTGCGGCGCCACGATATCATGGCTTCCACACCCTATTCGGGCGGAGAAACGGTAGGCACACATCTGTCGAACGTCCAATTCTCCGCCGTGTCCAACGAGAATTGGGCCGATAAAATCGGGCTGATTATGGATCAAGAGCCTTGTCAGGAACCCATTTGCTATTATTGGACCTGTTTTACATTCAAGTCTCCGTGGTAATTACAGTATAAAATGCTCTGGAGAGCAGCAGTACCTATTCATGGACGATCTGTCATTTTTCGGAGCTACTTTTATTGAGCCTGATTTCTCCTGCGTCCGGGGCTAGAGAGGTCCCCGTGGGTACCCCAAGATGAGGATACTGGGGGGTGCATCGTATATAGAGACCCAAGATCGGTCTGTACCGGTCCTTGTTTCTTGTTCGTCTTTCTTCATTGGTTGTCGCAAAGGCCCAAAAATCCCAGATTTTGGCTCTTGTGGCACAAATCGAAAGTGGCGCACATATATCCTCGCTTTCACCCAACCACCCCGCCATGTCCCTTCATCTCAGGCTCTTGAGCGTGTTCTATCTCCTCGCTGCTTCTGTGCATGCTCTCCCCGCCGCCACACGATCTCACACTGATCCCGCCTCACGATCTTCCAATCCTTCTTTCAGCGCTTCTAGCCTTGCTGCCATCTCCCTCGACCCAAACTATCAACGTGACTCTTGTGTATCCGCTACAAAGCTCTTTGGCGATCGAGTGTTTTGGGTGTGCAGAGATACTATCGTCTTGACTGATCAAAGTCTAAATGATGAGTTCGCCAATCCTGGTGTGACCTCTGGCTTCGTCTCTTCCACTGGAAGTTGGTCGAATCAAACTTCGGGTGGAGCAGCAGGACCTTTACTTGTGCCACCTCCTAGTGGCCAAGGTCAACAACAAGCTACCTCGAGTTACCAATATCAGTTGACTCAATATGGTGGAGATATCGCTACGACTGCTTACGTCCCATATGCAGATGACGAGTGCAATTCGGATGGAAATCAAGCTGGAACAGGTGCACCCTGTTCAAACAATGGTACTCGAGTCCCTCTGTGGCCCGACTCGCCTCCCTACGTGACTCAGGTGGCTAGCGATGGATCAGTCACCGCTTGGCTCTACCTTCGAAGGCCATTGATCAAGGGACTTTCGATCCAAAACTTCGAGCCTCCAGGTTCACTCTACTACATCTACTGGCCTTCTAACGATGGCGCCGATACACTCCCTTTGATCGGACTGGTCAACGAAGAATTCTTCCCCGAAGGATCTTTCACCTATGGAGATTATGGCGGCGTGGTCGATACGGCGGGAGAGTACCTCTACCTGTTCGGTCAATCACTCTACACCGATTCACAAGGTAATCAGCCCATCGCTCTGGCCAGATGTCCCGTCGATTCACCTGCCAATAACAGGACGTACGAATACTACTACAACGATGGAACTTGGTCGTCCGTTCAACCGAGCGTCAACGATACCTCAGCCTTCATCTCCGCCGGCGCAGGTGGTCAAGGAACATACTTTTACTCCAGCTACCTCGGTCAATACGTCTGGCTGGGTCAATTGGCCAATAGTCTAGGTCTTCAAGTAGCAGTCTCCGTCGCTCCGGAGCCTTATGGTCCTTGGTCAGCGCCTTCCGTCATCGCCATCTTGCCAGCGAGCGAATACGGCCCGACTTACAGTGTGGCAGCTCACCCGGAGATGTCCAGCAATCAGCAGGAGATCTACCTCACATACACCAGGCAGGTCTACTGGAACAACAATGCCGACAACTCGGACAGGACGTTCTATGAGAACCCCTTGTGGCACATGACGTGGAACTGAGGGGAGGCTAAAGCGAGACGGGAGAAGGGATGTGTCTCTGAGGGACAAGTTGAGGTCAGGGGTGATATTTCGAATATATTATATACCGGGTCTCTGGTTTTTGTCCATCGTCCAAAATCGAATGTCAGAAGTAAATATCGTTTCACTTCGGGAATCGCTTCGTTTCACTGTCTCCGCTCAGTCACTGCTGTCATCCTCGCCCAAGAAGTCCATCACAGCGGCCAAGGCGGACTGAAGAAGGGTCAAATCCCATACTCATACTATCAGCTATCAGCTATCATCGCTCACCTTTGGCTTTGGCACGTTCTGTTCATCATCATCATCTTCATCACCACCATCAGACTCAAGGGCCCCGGTCTTCCTTGCACGGCTCTTCGTCCCACCCTCCGTCGAAGAAACACCGCGGGCAGCTTCAAACTGCCTGACATCGTCTAAGAGGTCGGGTATCCCTTCAGCCTCGTTCCAAATGTTGTGACAGTCGTAGTCCCCCTGAATGCCAACTCACTGAGCTCCGCCGCTAGTTCGCGTTGTTCTTTCAGGGCCTTTGCTTTGCCCATTGTCGGTTTCCCTTTCATACCGAGAGAGATAAGCAGACTTTCGAGATGTCGAATTTGATCTTTAGCCTATAGTCGTGTCGTCAACCCAACCAAAGCCAATTCCACTGGTCGACTTACGGTCGGGCAGTCCGCCAGCTCTTTACCCCTGTGAGCTGGGATCAGCGCAAGTCATGTGGTCGCTCATCATCCCCTTGGGGAGAAAGACGAACCATTGCTTCCGGACTCCACAAGCCACCACGAATCGCTTCAAATCCGCAATCTTAGCTTCATCCGGCGGGAGCTGACCTCAGGTGTCAGTACGCAATCCAAGTTACCCTGTCAATGTCACTCACGCCTTCATTGGGATCCTTCTTCGTCTTACTCTTCTACGATCCTTCATCAGATTCGATGAGCGGCAATACTTACCCTCGAAGCCTTGGACTTCTTGATGTCACTCGCGGAATCTTCTTCTCCTCCTCTAGACTTGCGTTCCCGTCGGTTCTTGGTCGGCAATACGTCGTAGACGGAGGACATTTCAGATTCCGACTGGGTCCAATCATAGGGTCAGCATCCGGAATTCCTCATCATAAAGTCGGTATAAAACACACGCCTTGGGCTTCTGCTTCTTGCCTTAACGATCGTTCATCATCAGATCCAGGTGGAGACTTTGGTTGTATATCTGCTTCCGAGTCTGGTGTTGGTTCTTTGGCTGCGTTTCTCTTCTTCTCCCTAGGACCAGCTTTTCCATGCTTCGCTGTGGACTTGGATGCCCCACTCTCCTTTATCGGCTTCCTCTTTGCCTTCTTCGGCGGAGGAGACTCAGCACTGGATGTAGATGCAGAAGGTCCAGGGGATCCAGTTCCACTCTCCTGTTCAGATCCTTCTTCACCCAGTCGATCCTGAAGTACGGCGTCAAGCTACCCTTCTCGAGAGGCTCAAATGCACTCTCACGCACGATAGCCTCTTGGACAAGCTTCTTCACTTGACCTCTCCATTCGTCTACATCCAGTCCTTTCTTGCCCAACCCCATGAGCTGACTTATCGTTTGCCTCGCGGAACCCATTGTGAACTCTCCTCGTTCAAGTGATCCGTGGGGGACAGCAGCTTCCGAGACGACTTTCTCAACCGTCCGGCGGAGCTTGGGCAGTAAGGAGGATTCCATGGTGCCGGATCAGAGTGTGTTCCTAATGCTAACGACTCTCGACCTCAGTGCTAGAGCTTGAGGCTGTGGATGAGGTATCTAGCGGCACTTAAGGTTTATAGAAATGCGTCATGTTGACTTTTTTCGGTCCCGACGCGCCTGATATCCGAGACTCGGAAGGTGGCATCAAGCTTTAGCATCAAGCAAGAGTTACAGTGATATCCTTGGACATGCATTCCAAGCGAGCGAGCTGATCTAGACACGCACTTGGGTCAAGCATGGAACACGGATCTGCAATAGCTCTAACATTGTCCATCTATAAAAGGCTGAATCCAGCCAATAGACCCGCTACAACCACTCCAGCCAAAGAGATTTTCCCGTGACTCAATGACGGGATAGCGACCGGCGACGCCGCACCGCTAGTCTTGGAAGAAGATCCACTGGTTGGACTCACGCCCGCAGTGATAGTGGAGCTCGCACCTGATGCACTGGAACCTGACGAGCTTGAGCCGGAAGTCGAGGTCGAATAGACATTGAGGTAGTTGATCTCAAAGTAGGCATTCGCGTACGTTGTCGAAGCGTTGTTGATGACATAGGTGGTGTAGCACGTGTTGTCTCCTTGTAGCTGAGGACAAGTCTCTTCAAGATTAGCTGCGATTCCGGCCCAGTCTCCGCAGAGTGTGATGTCAATGGTGAAAATTTGAGCTGGTGTGAGAGTGAGTGACGTGCCATCGAGGCCATGACTCACAGCTGAAGTATTCGGTGATGTTGCAGGACGAAGACAAATACTCTGCAGCAGGTGTTCCAAGTGAAGACGTGTCGATGGATTTCGAGCTGACGCCAAAGCTGCTAGGCACGCTAGAACGCTGTGAAAGGTCAGGGATCTGACTCGTTGAATCTCATGCTCACAGTAAAAAACCATATTCTGATACCATCGGTAGCGAATTCGGCAACGTAAACGCCACCGCCAGCGGCTGCAAATCCAGATCCGTACGTGTCGGCGTTGGTCATGTTGGTCGTACATCCAGAGTCGTAATGTGCGCCGATGGAGCAGTTGTCGTATGTGAGAGTACCTCCACTGAGCGACGAAGATGACGAGGCGAGACATCTGTGCCACAAAAGATCAGACCTGGATTTCCCAAAGGGAGCTGAGAGTCTCATGCTCACCCTGATCCCGCAGTGTGTAAAGCGACCTGGTTGGTAGTCTGTTGATTGATTCCCTCCATGATATCTATTTCTCCATGTTCCGGCCAATCGGGTCCTTGCGTCCAGACCGCAGGCCAAACACTGCATCCATAAGGCATGTGAACGGCGTCAAAGACCCAGACGGTTCCAGGTTGGTATTCCGTCTTTGAAAGGATTTTGGGAGCGTACCGCTTCTCATTATACGGTACGTACGAGGTGTTATCGACTAGAGTTGAAAAGCGTCAGCGCTCTGACCTGTTTTGTGATTCCACCTGACCTTTCAGAATAGTCGTCCCGGAGCTGCTGGTGTATATTAAGGAGGTGTTGGCAGCCGTAGCCCAGAAGACATCTCCGTTGGTCGTATTGTCATAGAAGGACTGAAGGACAGACAGGTCAGCATGAGGATCGAGCGGGGGCATGGGATCCAAGCGAAGCATGTTGAGCTAGCATAGTACGAGGCTCGGGGGCTCCGCTCTCCTCGATTGCTGGACCTCTTACTCACAGCGGGATACCTGAAGCCATCCCTAGAGCCAAAAGTCAGCGAACTCCACCACACCACCCAGCCGTGGCTGTCTATCCCTGCTCACTCACATGAACCCACTCCCGGACCATGATTCGATCAAGGGGTACGTTGTTCCGAGGACCAGAGGTAGAGTCGAGAGCAACAAGGATGTCTTGAGAGCCATGATGAAGGAAGTGTGAAGTAAATGTCAAAAGAGATGAGAGACAGATCTGGAGCGTTTGTTGCCACCAGAAAGACAAAAGCCGCAGGCGAGATGCTGGAAATTGTTTTTCCCAGAAATGGAGCGATGACCCCAGTCCCAAAAAAAGAATGAATGATGGGATGATACACAGTCAATCTCACTATTTATGTGGAGTGTGTCTTATAAAGCAATCGTGACGCTGACGAATGGTGATGACGGATGATGATCCACTTTACACAGCTGTGACCAGGGATGTGAGCAGCAGCAGCAGCAGCAGCAAGCCTCCAGCCTCCAGCAGCAGCAGTTCACCTGATACTATTCCCACCCAGAAGCTGTGGATCCCCCAGCGCGCAGCGCAGCATACGCATACTGTAGTACGTAATCTTTTCCTTGTTTACCACTTCTTTTGATATGGTAGGGGCTGCTTCGGCCTTCGGCTCCGGCACCGGCTCCGCGGACTCGGCACGGTCAGGGGGGCTCTCTCTCTCTGTATACATGGATGACGATGCGTATGGTATCCTAAAAGTCTATGCCTGCTCAGTCTCATGCAACTCCCTCGTATCCAATAGATCCCAGTCCCAGACTTCCAGCTTGGGACACACTTCTTGGATCGTCTTTCGACTATACCCATCCTCTTCGACGAATTCGACCTGTCCTCGATCCATACGTTCCCTAACGATCCTCCTGAATCGTTTATGAGATGCCCACCAGAGCTTGTTCCACCATTCCTTTTTTCTGTCCTTGACATCACCTGCGAAATGGATACCCACAGGTGGATGTCCAAAGAGCGTATGCCATCCCAGTGGGGGATAAAGTTCCCAAGGTGTGATCCCTGGATCTGCGTCATCTTGCACAGATTGTGGAGTGTTCATGAACATGAAATTGGCAGAATCGTCTCCAGCTGGCCAAAAGAGTCGGGCGGTGAAGTCGAGATCGACTTTACGATCAGCGACGGCCTCGTTGAACAGATCTAGGACAGGATTGTCAGCAAGGCGCCAGCATCGACATTGAGCTAGCCGAAGTGCTCACGCTGATCATCATCGTCTGTGAACGGATCATCTTTCATGAATTCCACCAACTCATTATAAAACTTCTTCATCTTCTTGAATCGACCGAGAACAGTGCCCGAGTTGGCGTGTGTGGGCAATTTCTCCCTACCCGAGCGTTGAGCTCGGATCTTTTTTTACAGGAAGGGTGAAACTCACGACAGATCCAAAACGTGAGGTTCCTCTGAAAGCCAGAAAAGTTCCTCAATCAAAGGTGCAGGCGGTGCATCTAGACACGCGTGCTGCGAATGATGTGAGCCTGGGATCCCACGATTCCTGCATCATGCACTGACCGTGTTCTTCCCATTCGGTGAGCAATTCTTCTCAGCCGCAACGAGGACTTTTTTGTCATATTCTTCGACGAATCGCTTGGCGAGGACTTGTGGGGGAAGTTGAAGACAGACATCTGCATCCATCATGAAGATCAGGTCGTCATCGTGGAAATTTGACGTGTATTTAGAGGACGATAGGATCTTTTGCAGCCCTGTGTGTGTCTGTGATCAGCTGCCACACAATCAGAATGAAGGGCACGGCGCAAACTCACCCCTAATCTTCTCCTTCTTGTGCTCTGCATGTATCAACTCCCAATTGAACAAGATCGGTTCCCACCCATTGACAATTGCGCTCTGTATAGATTTGCAGAACACGTCGTCTTTGTATGCGAATCTCTGGTTGATGGGGATGAACAAGTGGACTTTGGGAAGGGTGTCGTGATGAGCGTGTGATTTGGAGTCTTTGAGTGAGAGTGAGGAGATGGAGGAAGGGCCATGGTAAGTGGGAGAATGTGAAGAAAAGGAGGAGGATGATGAGGATGACGCTCGGTTGTCGACAAATGATTTACTCAGCCTCGACCAGGACGGTGAGCTCTCATGGTGAGAGATTGAGACTATACCAATGATGAAGACGATGAGGGCGATGATGATGAGACGAAGCGGTGGAGGGTGATTGAGAGCCATGGTGCCAGGTGTGAAGGGGAAGGGATAGACGGTTGCGAGGTGTGATGCAGGGGAAGTTACAGGAGGAGTAGAAAGCGGGAGGTCCGAGTCACTAATTAACGGGAGTCTCGAGATTTCCCTAGCAACCACAACTAATCCCCCTCTGCGCTAGTCTACCAGGCGGCTTGGAGCACCCTCTTTAGGTATCGAAGTTGAAGTTTTTGCTCGTTGATCACCGTTGATAGATGGACTAGATGATGATAACGATACAGTGAATGAATGACCTGGATGGGACAAATAGGGTTGACGTGATGCGTGTCGAGTTTTTTTTTTTCCCTATCTCACATGCAAAATGCCAATGTGCATCTTTCTATTATCACCCGAACTCTGTTGGAGCACGTGGTGAAGCCCGAGTAGGGTCTCTCTCTCTCTCTCTCTCTCATATGTGCATCTCTCTAGGTGGACAATGCTGGCCCTGCAGATCCACGCTCTTGGTAACGATTGAAAAAAGAAAAGGACACTATGCTAGCAATTTTGCTGCCTTGGACGCGGTTAAGAGAAGGTGTGTACATTCCGCTCCGACCATCCATCTGACCATACGTCCATCCATGCAGTACCCCTGCTGCTGACCCACGCCACCCCGAGCTACTCAGCAGCCACCACCACCATCATCATCTTCATCATCATCAGCGCCCACTTCCTCCCATCCCGTGCTATATCTCTGTCATACTAATAAAAATGAGTAAAAACACACGCGTGTGTTCTAACAAATAAATTGCTCAAACCTTGATCGTGACGACGACAACGCCACAGGGAGAGACGCGTCAGATGAGGAACGACGAGACGCGTGACGCACCACCTGGTATCATGAATCGCGACGCAGCTGGATCTTGTACATATAGATGCATACCATGACTCAAACGTACGTCCAGCTCAAGTCTTTGATCCCGAGCCAACTCCACAATCCATCTCATCATGAGCTGGCCCATGATCTTCCATCGTGGCGAGCTCTGGAGAGATGGTGACGTGAGTGATGCCATAAGCGCCGAGGCACGACTTCAACTCTCTTTCAACGTCTAGCCACGATTTGATATCGGGGACAGATGTCCTGCAGTGGAACGTCGCGAGGAGATCACTACACGAGGTCAGGGAGTGATCTAAATGGTGTCGGAGGGAGCAGCAAAAGTCTCACGATTCCGTCAAATGCCAAATGTGAAGATCATGAATCTCTTGTACGCTGGGGATCTACGCCGTTGTCAGCATGAGGGGGATCAAATGACCCAAACGTACCGTTTGCAGATCCTCCTGAACGGCTTTGATGTCGAGATCCTTTGGCGCCGCTTCTAGCAATACTCGCGAACTCTTTAACGCTAGAGGCGATGTGAGCGATGAATTTCCCTGGTAGGACCTAGGACCTACACAGGGGAATGGCTCCTCCAATGATGATCAGACTGATCGCGAGAGAAGCCGCGGGGTCGGCATAAAATCGTTTAGCAGAGCTCAAACGCCACATGATGGCTGCAGCGAGGATGACACCGACGTCTGGGAAAGCTTTCAGTGAAGGGACGAGGGTCAGCAGCTCACTGTTCACGGCGTCGCCCATGAGGTGCATCAAGACACCTGCCAGTCCGAGACTCTTTGCCGGAGGCGTATCTTTAGGTGTTGCATGATTATGTGATGAGTGCTATGGGCACTAGTCAGATGGCGCAACTGAGGACCATGGTGCTCGCTCGCTCGCTCGCTCACATCGACACGCGCGAAACCGTATCCTGGAACTTGGATCCGATTCAGTTCCACTAGCAATTGATCCCCATTAGAGCCGCTCGGTCCAGCCTTTGCACCGTGACCATGACCACCGTGTTCTGCAAGCTGGCCTCAGTACTGCTTTGGCGCCTTTCTCCAGGGTCCGCAAACTCACCGTGCACAGTGAGCATGCACACAATGTTCAGTGCTAGTCCCACGCATCCCACGATCAGGACCCATAGTGGGTGATCGACCTCTGGAAGGTTGACAAACCTCTCGATAGCCTGTAAGAATATGGAGACACCAAGCGCCAAGAGAAATGTGGCGTTGAAGAACGCGCCCACGATCTCGGCTCGCCGAAAAGCATAGGTATAACCTGGAGGCTGAGAAGACGTTGAGACCATGGCAGAGGGTCTAAACTCACCCCTTTTGCCCGTTTGGCAAGCTGCGATGACGCTCAGCGTACTTCACTCAGAGGAAGATGGGGTGACCTCACCCTTGTCGCTACCAGGGCCAGCGCACTACAATCAGCGAGCGACTCTTGTCCCTAGCTTACTAGGAGATGACGTCCTGTGAGTCGGCCGGGCGTTTAGCGATGTCCTCAATGCATAGTGAGCATTTACATTGAGGTAGTGAAACTGGACGAGCTAGTCAGCCACGGATTCGTGCTCTCTGATAAGACTCACAGCATCCGCTATCAGAGCGAGCGACTTGGTCTTGAATCCCACTGCTCACAATCATGTCAGCATCCTCTCCGGGCGGCGAAAAGTCGGGTTGACTTCACCTCCAATCTCTACGCCGAAGAAGGCTATACTGACGCCCAGAACGATAGACAGCCGAGTCGTCCGTGATACCATGATGTGCTTAAGCTCTTCGGTAAAGAGATTCAGAGGTGAGTCTATATACAGATGAGCAGTCGAGGCAGAGGATGGATGTACCTCGCCGGTCATGTTATCCCGAACAGACTGAAATTTGGCCCTATCTGGCTCATGATGCCGTAATTGTCATGTCTCCTCGGATCCGAGATCTCAGGAGGGAAGTCTCTCTCATTCCTGCAACAGGATTTGCATCGTCTCACAGGAGGTAGCGGGGCATAGCGGGTGCGCCCGAGCATACCAGACGCTGGGAGGCGATGAATGAGGTCACGCGGTCCCGAGTCGCTGTCATCGGCTTAGGTGAGCCGGGGACCTTTCTGCCCGCCGAATCGTCTTCGCCTGAAATCCGATCGTTGCGCAGGCGTCGCTGGCATCACATCGATCAAGAATCTGGTTGAGCAGGGTTTTGTCAACGTCACAGGGTTCGAGCGGAACGGTCATATAGGAGGACTATGGCAGTATCACGACGATCCCACGCAGACGACGGCATTGAAGAGTGGGCTCGCCGTCTCTCTCTGTGAATTCTGGCAGCTGACTGACTGGCTTACTCCCTTCTCAGCTACCAGGACCAATGGTAGTAAGCATTATGTGTGTATCTTGTATGATCAAGGCAAAGATCACTGAAACAGACGTTCTCAGTCTGCTTTTCAGGACTTTCCATGGCCAGACGGTACGACCAGTTGCAAAGTCTCACAAAGGCTAACGCCGAACTTCAGACGCCCCTCACTACCCCTCGGCGGATCAAGTTGCCGACTACATCAGGTCGTACGCAAAGCATTTTGAACTGGAGCAGTACTTTCGTCTAAGCACCACAGTGCTCAGTTTGTCCCCTGCGGACCGTTCTGGCTCTATACATGATGAAGATGATGATGCCGCAAGGGCAAGCTCGAGTAGAGGAGATTCGCCATGTCGATGGGAGTTGAAGTATCGAGATGGGTCAGGGGAACACGAGGAGATATTCGACAAGGTTCTGGTGACGAATGGACCGTGGGGCAAAGCTTGGGTGCCTTTTCTTCCTGGCCAGGAATCCTTCAAGGGCAAGATCATCCATGCTCAGGCTTACAAAGGGTAAGTTGGACCTTCTGGCATTCCATACTACGGCTTATGCGCAGACCTGAGCTGTACAAGGGCAAGAAAGTGATCGTTGCTGGTTTAGGCAATTCGGGCGCAGACATAGCCGTATCACTCGTTGGGCGGCATCAGAAGTATACATCTCGCATAGATCAGGAGCACGAGTGGTGTGTGTGTTTGTGTGGTTCAGACTAATTCCTCACTGATCAACAACGACTCAGCTCCGGCGGTTCCAAGGTCGCCAATCGAGACCAGTCGATCATCAGATCACCCGTTCGAGATGGATAGCCGGCGCTAGACTCAATGAGCTGTTCCCTTCCTTCATGACTTGGCTTGGCTCTAAAGCCACGGAAATCCTGTTCAAAAAGACGAATCCGAAATACAGGGACGAATGGGGTTTCTTCCCCGCTCCTCCATTATCGGCTGTACCGCCCGCTATTCAGGACGATCTGATAGACTGCATGGCAGACGGCAAGATCCATAACTTGTTTGGAATCAAGCGTTTTACACCCTCTGGCGTGATCACCCCTAGTACGCGGGACGGAACGGAGCAACTCGAGACGAATGGTGACGTGATCATCTTGGCGACTGGTTATTCCGCCGACTTGTCCTGGTGTCATGATGAAGCCAGTCCATTCCTTGACAATGCGCCCGAATGGGATGCTCTCACTGACGAGGATCACAAGGTACCATACCCTTCTCTCTACATGAACTTGTTCTCGCCCAAATCGCCTGAATCCCTAGCGTTCATCGGGCCTTGTCGTGGATTCGCCCCAATCGAATTCACAAACTTTGACCTATCTTCCCAGGCCATCGGACAAGTCTGGAAAGGTGCGTTTCCCCTGCCAACGCTGAAAGAGCGTATCGAGTGGTGCGATGACAATTATCGTGCAAATGTCTTGGCGGGGAAGAGGTATCGTAACGTTCGTCCTACCATGCCACCACTCAAACTGGAACGTTGGCTCAACGACGTCATTGGCAATGAGGTCAACGAAAGATTTGGATGGGGAATACAAGCTTGGAGATTCTGGTGGAAGGAGCGAAAACTGTATCAGTTGATCATGAACGGCATCAATACGCCGTTCGTGTATAGACTATGGGACGGTAGAGAAGGGTCCAGGAAGAAATGGGCTGGGGCGAGGAGGGCGATATATCACGCAAATGGTTTAGAGTTGGACGAAAAGATCTGAGCAGGATCATCCCGGATCTTCTTGTTGTAATCTTAGTGAACAACTCTCGCAGCGCCTACACTTCATCACAGAGCAACTTTTGCATAGTTTGTCCTTTAGAGACTTGATTGACTTCTGGACTGGACTGAACTGGACTGAACTTGACTCGAAGCTTTGGGATTGATGATTCTTGACGAATCTCGTACTCAGGCTTCAGGCATAGCTTGAGCCTGATCCGCTCCAGGGATTTCAGGCAGTCCAGTCCATCGGTCCTTGACAAAGAGCTCGGCAGCGAAAGGGATCTTTCGGAAATCAGGGAGGTTTCCCGTTTCTAGATCCAAGTCCAAGTGTCAGCCAGACTTGCTTCACTGCTGAAGTACTTCTTTTTAAGAAGGAGGAGGAGAGCATCACTCACGTACGGCGATACCTTCACCGAATGCTGGGGACTTGTGTGCAAGGGCTGAGCCGCAGGTGCCGCAAAAGGTCGGGTCACTGTTAGCCGTGAGTGATGCGACTGTCAGCACCTCAACAAAGATGAATGAAAGGTGAACGCGACGTGGCATAGTCTCGGACTCTGTGAGGACACGCCATCCAATCACTCACCAGTGTTGCCCGAGGCAGCTTTGGAATTGTACTCTTTCACATCGCCAGTGATCTAGTATGACACGCCAGATTGTAAGCCCAAGGTCTCCTGGCGAGCATGGGATCCCGCGCGCCTCCTCACCTTGACATCTTTCTGATTAGGGAGAATGTTAGTCGAGTGAGCAGATCCAGAAGTCTGCTGACAGTCGGTACCTGTGGACTCAAGGCTTGAGCTTTAGCTCTAACGATCTCACAAGCAGAATCGTTTTCCAAAAGAGCTCACAGTGACATGCGATTTGCTTCTCCTCAGTCGTATTGATCTCGATCTTGGTGGCTCCGCAGAGACATTGACCCGAGTGCATGGTGGACAAGTTTGGACTTTTAGTCTGTAGTGAGATAGATGCTGGGGAGGAAGTGCTTGTTGGTCTAGGTGCAATGTTGAATGAGGAGAGGCAGGCTCTCCCGGAATCGTGACGCGGAAGGGCATTCGCCGGAATCTAATAAATTGCTTTCAAAAGGCCGGACGGCCGTACCATCGGCCGGGACGGCAAGGCAACGGGAAGTATGGAGGGCACAGTATGCATGCAGTCTGCCTACTCTGTGCTACAAACGTCTCACGGCCTTCCGTTTCCACTGCTTCCCCCAGGTGACAATGGACTATCTCTACCGTGGTTGGACCTCAGCACGCCAATAGGTGGTGTTGATGTCCGGTGAAGTCCCGTCAAAGTGTGGTTCGAACCCCAAGGACCGCTGCCAGAACCAGAAACCGGTGAGAGGTCAGACCTGTCAGGCGGAGGTCCAAATGTGGTCTGCCTAGAAGGTAATCCGCTGGAATGATTGGACGAGTTTGAGCCATAAGGAACAGGGGACGAAGGGTTTGAGACGGTTCGCAACCCAGCTCCTGGCCTCACGTTCACATTGGCAGACGTGGAAGGTGGTGGAGAAGGACGCGGCTGAGTCGGCGTCACATTGCCTGAGAAGGCGGCCGATGTAGGCGACATGACTGCGCGAGTGATGATACTTGCCAATGTGGGTCCTGACGAGGTCGGCTCAGGAGATGGCGAATGACCTGGAAGAGGAGGGAAAGAAGGACTCGAGGTTACATTGGATGTGGTCGGGCTGGACCTTGAATCAGCCATGACGGATGGAGGAGGGTTGAACGTTGGTGAAGGTCGAGGTCGTTCGGATGGTAGATAGATACGATGTTGTAATTGAGGAGGCATCAAAGTCGTCTCGTAAGAAGGTTGAAAAGGTGCAGCACTAACATTGACTCCGGATCCCGAGGGGGTCCGACTACTGGGCGCGGGCGAGCCAGACAGGGCGGCAGGGACGAAAGCGGGTGAAGACGTGTTTGGCTGGAAGGAAGCGGCTGTCGGACTAGGCTGAGCGTGCGTCGGTCGAACAGGGTATGAAGGATGTCTGGGTTGAAATCCACGTCCAGCACTTCCCCGACTGTTCGCATGGTGATCGTGGTGATGAGCCCCTGAGCCATGCCCGTGGTTCTGAACGTGAGGATCCCACCAATACGCGCTGGACCGCCTCGCGTACTTTTCCTCGACCGTCCGTCGCTCTTCGTGCTCTTTCTGCCTCTCCAATTCGTCCAATCTCGCTTCAAGTTCTGCCTTCTCTGCCTCTTTCTTCTCCTTTCGAAGTTTGAGCTTGTCAATCTTGCCCACCACTTCGGCTAATTTTTTCTCCTCTTCGATCCTGACCTTACGATCCGCTTCCCTCACTTCGTCTTCGGCAGCTTTGACCATATTGTATTCTGCTTTGGCATCATCCACATGAAGAGCGACATCATCGAATCTACTCCGTAGAGCCTCCATGCCCTTTTCCAATGACTCGGCTTGCTGCTCCGCGTTCTCTGCACCTGCCCAGCCTTGTTTGACCTGTTCTTGCAGGGCCAAAGCCTTTTGCTTTGCTCTGAGATCCAGGGCACCCGCTTTGTCGATGGCTCTCTTGACAGTCTCGATTTCGGATCGGAGAGCTGCTTCGGCACGCTGAGAAGCACGTCTAGCTTCTTTAATCTGAGACTGAAGGTGGTCCTTCTCAGCATGAGCAGCAGCGACCATGTGACGGATCTGAGCCGCTTGAGTATCAACGGGATTGAGAATATTCGTAGGTATCGGGGTTGGAGGTAGGTCGGAATTGCTGGCGGGAGGTGTGGGTCGTTCGGGTGATACGGGAGAAGCCTCAGAGGGTTGAGCCAAGATTGGACGAGATCCACTGACAGAGTTGGAGCGAGATACGGGTAGTGATCGTGCGAGTAACGAGTTGGCTCGAGATCGAGCGCCCGAACCTGAAGCAGGAGATGCAGGAAGCAGTACACTATTGGAAGCTGAAACACGCAACATCAGTCGTCTGGGTCAAAGGGGTTCAAATCTCACCTATAGGTTCGCCTTCTGATCCTGCGAGACCAAGTACTTGCAGCTCAATCTCATACTCTGTTCCCGGTACCAGACCATAGACCACGACGACAGCTTGATCCTTGTCCAACTTGATCTTGTCCTTTTTCTCCCCATGAGATTGTCTCCGCCTCCGCAACGTCCCTTCCTCCCCATGCAATGCCCCTCTTGCGCTCAACGTGAAACGAGCCCTCCGCGGTCGTCTCTGAACCATACCTGATCCTTCTTGCTCTACATCCGGCTCACCATCTTCCCAATCCGCTTCTTCTTGATCTTCGTGCTCGCCTTCTAATGCCTCATCTTCCAGCTCGTTGACATGGGCCACGATCCGATTCCAAGGCTGACCGTTGACAGAGACGACGACACCGTGACTGAGAAGGTCCTTGAAATTAGACAAGTCCGTCGACGAGGAAGTGACTTGATGACCTTCATCATCCACTTCAACGGCCGTCAATTCATCATCACTATCGTGTCGTTTATGTCTGGACTTTTTCTTGTGTTTCGGTCCGTGAGCATGATTATGGGTATGTGCGACATGCGGTTGATGAGAATGTGACGGATGAAGAGAAGGAGAAGGCGGAGCGGCGAGTGTGAGGGAAAGTGTCAAAGCCAATGGAGTGAGCTCGAGTATAGAGAGGGAGAGAGGCCGAGTATGAGGGTTGATACTATGCCATTGTGACGAGGAGGCCGCCATGTCAAGGAAGACAGCGGATGATTTTGTCTTGTTGGTCCTTCTGTATCTCCTCTGTCCGACGAGGGCTGATGATTTCTCGATGAGCTAGCCTCCAACGGTCTATGTCCCACTCATGAATCCAAGACTTTCGAGCACAGAAGTCCCTCTCCCGCCTGTGCTGGCGAAAAATTTGATTCCGTATAGTGTCCGGTAGCTTCGATCACTGAAATAAATAATGATATCCTCAGTCAGTCAGCGACGGGTCAGGTGAACATATCGATGTCTGCGAACCATGTCAATCTCCCAGGAGTCAAGCACAAAGTCATTGGACTTGTATCCGGTGGCAAAGATAGCTGCTTTAACCTCTTGCATTGCGTAGCCAACGGGCATGAGATAGTGGCATTGGCAACATTGACACCGGAAGATGGGATAGGTGAGTAGGCATGGGCACATGGCAAGGTAGATTGAGCCGGTGCTGAGAGCCATTCTAGATGAGCTCGACTCTCATCTCTATCAGTCCGTCGGGACTCGCCTCTTGCCGCTCATAGCGGAATCCATGGACCTACCACTCTATACACGGGTGATCAAAGGTAAAGCCGTGGAACGGGGACCAGAATATGGCAGTAAGATCACAGGTGGCCGTGAATCAGGCGTGACGGGTGATGAGACAGAAGATTTGACAGCACTGCTCCAGGATGTGAAGGTGCGTATATCTCATATGGACAGGTCTCTGAGCTCATGATAGGCAGACCGCTCATCCCGAAGCAACGGCATTATCCTCCGGAGCCATCCTATCAAACTATCAACGTCTACGGATAGAACATGTGTGCCAGCGTCTAGGTCTTGTGTCTCTGGCGTACCTCTGGCAAATGGCTCAAATGCCGCTATTGGATTCCATGTTTAGTAGCGGACTCGAACCTATCATCGTAAAAGTTGCAGGAGAGGGTCTAGGCGAAGATCTCGTTGGCAAACCTCTGAGGGAGGTGCAGCCTTTACTGGCTAGACTTGTGAGTTGAGATGTGCGCCAAGTCTTATGGCACTACAAGGAAAAACGATTCGGTTCGCATCCCGCTGGCGAAGGAGGAGAATATGAAACATTGACTATCGACTCGCCCTTGTTCTCCAAGACGCTCAACTTTGTCGAGTCTAGCACTGTCATTACGGATCCAGAGCCATTCACAGTGGCATATCTCAAAGTTGCTAGAGCCACTCTGGCGGATAAACCCGGTTGGAAACGTCTAACTGTTACGGAATTGCGCCGTTTGCTGGATCTACCGAACCACAGTGACGGTCTGGACGATCAGAGTCGAGACCTGCTCGATGGGATTTCTGACGTCCAAGTTGCGAGTTCATCGAAAGACGGACCAATGCCAATTGCAGTAAATACGCCGTCTAGTACTCAACAAGCGCGATTCGCAAGACGGGGCAGATGGTTCGCCGCTAGTATCAAAGGTCCGGTAGATAGCCATAATGCAGTTGGCGACGACGTGGCTGATTGCCTCGAATCACTTTCCTGTGAGTGTGCGTGTAATCCTTCAGCTGACTGCGACGTAGCAACTTTGTCCTCCAACTCACTCTCTCTGCAACTTCATTCCGCGCACGTCACCCTACTCCTCTCTTCCATGTCTCTATTCGCCGAAGCGAATGCCGCATATGTCTCATTTTTCGGGACCTCACCACCCTCCAGAGCCACCGTCGCGGTCCCACTCCCGCCTGGGCAGCGGATCGCAGTCGAGATCATTGGCTTTGATTCTACACAAGAAGGGGATATGTCTCGCCCTATTGGCTCTCGACAAGCGCTTCACGTCCAAAGTTTGAGCTATTGGGCACCTGCAAATATTGGTCCCTACTCTCAAGCCGTACAGGTACGTCGCTACCTCTACCTCTGCGACACAGTCTGATAGAGAACCCAGGTCAATGGTCGCTTGCACATCGCCGGCCAGATCCCTCTTCTACCTGCCTCCCTTACGATCCCAACCACGGCCCCCGACGCCTCTGTATCCCCTTATCTGCATCAATCAATCCTAGCCCTGCAGCATGTCCGCCGGATCGTCCAAGTCTTACGCAGCAGACATAATACAGGCGGAGGCTGGGATGGATGGATCGAGAACTGTACCGTTTGGTGGGTTCGACGTGAAGACGCTGGCGGCCAAGATAGTATAAGCCAAATTCGTCGAGCGTGGAACTCATGGGCCGAAGAGGTTGGTCATGCGATGAGTTCCGAAAGCTCATATCACTCAGTTTGGATGTACAAAGGCTCCAGTCATCTTCGTCCGAGCGAAGGAGCTCCCGAGGGATGCCCTGGTCGAATTCCAGGTCAACATGAACACCGGTCGGAAGGATGCTACTCTGGCAGCTTTGGAACCGATCGGGGGCAAGGTTCATGACGACGGCAAAGATGATGACGATGACAGTGACGATGACGACGATGATGACGGCAGATCGAGGGCGGATTATACTGGCTTGTCTTCCGCTGGCTCCTGGACTGTACAATCATGTTCATCTGGCCGAGGGAGCCATTTTGCCAGCCGGGCCTTCCTCACTTCTACGGGTGAGTGTCGGGACGTTTCACAGTGCAGCTACCCTGACCCAATTCAGAAGATAAACCTGGAAATCTCTCTGTTGTGCCCACACCTCTGCTAGAGCGCGCTGTGGCTGTCCGCTGCTACGTGTTACCGGACAGAAGCACAGCTTGTGAGCCAAACCACTGTTCCTGCCACAGGTGTTCTCCGCTAATCACCCCAGCAGACGATGAGATCGCTGCATACTGGTCCCTTTTAGCCTTCCATATACCTTGCATAACACTCATAACTGTATTAGAGATACATGATCGTGAGGGGAAGCATGCCAGTATAGCATTGGACATCGCAAGCGGATAATAGCAGATGCATGCCCACACCGTAACGATAGATTTGCTTCCGTGTGACTGAGTCGGAATTGGTTCTCGGGCGAAATGTTCGAGAGATCTTCCAGCATATCCAAAAGTCGAGCTCTGTCTACCATTACAGTGTCACGAATCTCGGACAGGAGCTCAGGCTTCTTTGGCTCTCAGATATCTACTGCCTTTTTCATACGGAACCCCGCCATGACGACCGCCACTCTGCCTTCTGCAGACAATCTGCAGGCTACCATTCTCCAGACTCTCGACAAGCATGCCGAGATACCAGATACGAGAGAGATTGAATGTGGTGGAGTGAGAATGGCCGGCTCAGATGAGCAGAATCTAGTGCGAGGAGTCTTGGGTAGTCTGGCGAGCAAAGAAGTGCGTCGGGGAAACTATTCATACGAAGGGTATGGACACTGATCTCCTTTTCTTAGATGATCGAATACTCCCAGATCACCACGACCAGCTTCGAGACTACGCCAGAGGGATCAGGAATCGCTGCATCTGGATCACACGAGTACAGAGTCTGGGCGGCATTACCTGCTAAAGGTCAGGGAGAGCCTGTGGGCGTCCCGGAGCTCAAGGTGAGAATGGGATCGGCGGCAGGGTTTGAGGTAGAATTCACTGATGCAATCGCGATAGAAATTGGTTGGTGATGAAGCGGCAAAGGTCGGACAGGGCAAAGCGTTCAAGAACAAATGGATAGCAAAGGAGGGCTCAGGTTTTGTCCGAGCGGTGAGCTTTCAAAACCCCCCCCCCCCCCCCCAGGTTCAGGCCGGGTCGGGTAAGCTGACATGGGATCAGATTGAATCTCCTGTCGATGAGACGGCAGATCAATTGAGAACGATCCAGACGAGTGGGAATCTGGAGGATCAATCCGTCGTCAAAGATCTACAGAAGCGAAAGCTCATTCAACCTCGGCGAGTCAACTCCCTGGCCCCTGTGTCCTTGAGCTGATTCCTGACCAGAAAACATATACATTACTCGGTGAAGAAGGGCCCGAATTTCGCGACCGAGGTCAAAGAGCTAGAGACAGATCTGACTGTGGAGATGCTGCAAAGGTGAGCGCATGACAGCGATGTGTTTTGGTGCCATATCATCGCTGACGAACGTCCCAGCGGCGCCTGGAAAGACGCCTCGTTCAAGCTGTACAATTTTGCCGCTGCTGGACAGCCAACAGAAGGTGGAGCCTTACATCCTTTACTCAAAGTCCGGGAAGAATTCCGGAACATCTTCTTTGAGATGGGGTGAATTGACATTCCCAGCTTGCAGGAGGATCCATAGGCTGATCGATCAATGTCAGATTCACCGAGATGCCCACCAATCAATTCGTCGAGTCGTGTTTCTGGAACTTTGACGCCATGTTCGTCCCTCAACAACATCCAGCTCGCGAAGTTCAGGACACTTTCTATATCAAAGGTTAGAGTCAGACTTTGAGCGAGGCGCTGACTATCTGCAGACCCGCCGCAGGCCCTGGAACCTGAACGTCAATACTATGAACGAGTTCGAAACGTTCACGAGATTGGCGGATACGGCTCCATTGGTTACCGTGCGCCTTTCTCAGATACTGAATCACAAAAACTGGTCCTGCGTACACATACTACCTCAGTCTCTACCGCCATGTTAGCCAAGATCGCTAACCAACCGGGCGGGTTCAAGCCGGCCAAAATGTTCTCGATCGATCGTGTCTTCAGGTAAGCTAGGTCCCAGGCGTTCCGTGGTAATTGCTCACTCTCCTGCTTAGAAATGAGACTGCGGATGCTACTCATTTGGCAGAATTTCACCAAGTCGAGGGTGTGGTGGCGGACTACAACATCACCTTGGGTGATCTCATTGGTGAGTCGATCAGCCAAGTCATTCGGTATTTGACTGATCCGCGCCGTAGGTTTCATGCAGGAGTTTTATGCCAAGACTGGCAACCACAAGCTGAGATTCAAGCCGGCCTACAACCCTTACACCGAGGTCAGCTTGGCTCTGTGACCTACCAAGTCCCAAGCTGACTTCTCGATAGCCCAGTATGGAAGTCTTCTCATGGCATGAAGGCCACAAGAAATGGATCGAGATTGCGAATGTGGGTCGGGTCGTAGCGTGCTTCATAGAATCCCAACTGATCCGCTTGACAGTCTGGAATGTTTCGACCTGAAATGCTGGAACCCATGGGACTGCCCAAGGGTGTCAGGGTTCTTGGATGGGGCATGTCCCTGGAGCGTCCGACCATGATCAAGTGAGCCGTCTTTGTCAGAATTGCGTAGTGTCTCTCGCGCTCACACTCTACTTATCAGGTACAAGATCCAGGACATTCGCACACTCGTCGGTCACAAGACCGATCTGGCTCAGGTAAAGGTTCGTCCTGCTGTTCGGCTGGAGAAGGGAGACGACTAGCGCGTTCATTCATCAAGGCGTTGGGACATGTAGGATGCTATGCATGGGCGACTTTCTCAATAGAAAAGGCTTTGGTCCACAATCTCCAAAAGTTCCACCCAGCCTAAGATCCACCGTTACCCTTCAGAGCAAAAGGAAATCTAATCATGATCTAATTGTTTTTAAGAATCTTTACGCCTTCCCTGACTGGTTGATTTTGTGCATCTCCTCGAGAACGTCGAGGATGGTACTTGCGCTCCAGGCTTGCGTGTCACAAGCATCGTAGCAGTACGAGCCATTCTCGTTGGTCAATTCGGGCAGACCACGCCAAGGATCCTTTTCGATGTGCTCAGCGAGTTTGAGCATAATGTTGGAAATATAGTGCATGGTAACGGATGGGTCCTGATGCGAGCGATCAGTCAGCTGTCACCTCGACAAATTCAGACAAACCTTCTTGCCAGCACCAGCGATTCGATCAAATTTGAGCCAGGCCATGAGGAACCAACCTAACGGGAAGCCCCATTCGGGTCCTTGGTGGTACTATTGAATATCAGCAGATGAACTGACAAACCCAAACTTACGTTCCAGCCCTTGGCGACTGCTTGATCCGTCGAGTCGTTGGAATTATCATAGTTCGGTCGGTATTGCGAATCACCGGGGTCCAGAGTCTTCATTCCCAGAGGTCCACGCAGGACAGCATCCGCGAGTCTAAGTGCTCCCATGGCTCGTTCGGGGTGGAATAGCTCTGGCGCGACGATCATTGCGAGAGGGAAGTTGGCTCGGAACTGAGCGAATGGTGAGCTTGAGCTGTAGAGACCTCCACTCACTTGATAATCAGACCACTCTCGATCTTTTGGCGTGCCGTAGACATCCTTGTAGATACCACGGCGGTTGACCATACCCGGGTTGATGTCAAACTTGGAGTCTTCAGAAGGGTCCGAAGGCACGTAGTAGCACCTCTCAAAGTTCTTCTGGAGCAGATCTGCCCATTCCTTGTAGGTGACTTGGCGTTTCTCGCCCTTGACTGGTATGTTCAATTGATGTCCGCAGTTTTTTTAAACTCACCAGTCGCCTGGACACCCTTGAACGGGAACTTGCCCTTGCTTGATAACTTGTCAAGCCAAGTCAAGGTGCTCTTGAGCAACCCGGTGATCTCGACAGGAGCTCCGTCTCGCGGTGTAGCGGGTAAACCTTTGTTTCCAGCTTTGTCCGAAGATCCCATCTTGTCCATCCAAGTACCGCAGTTGTATCGATTCCCGCCAAATATAATACCAGTTTCCCAATCGACCCAGATCTTCTGATTGAAACCTTCATCCCGCATGTCCATGTCGAGGTTGGGTCCAGCATTGTACTCTCGGAATTCGATACCTTCCGCGTGTCGCTGAACAATCTCCTGGATCAATTCGGCAACAGAGCTCTCATAGTCAAAGGCGCGAGGATGATCCCAAGGGACCCAAGTGTCGTCTGCCGGGAATCGTCGTTTAACCTTTTCATCAAGAATTGCAAGACCATTGGGGCACATGACGGTGTAGTCTTGAATGTTTTGAATGAACCACCATGGTCCATCTCGACAGTTGTACCGCGGAGTACGAGTAGAGTCAAGCAGGTTGGGAATCAGACCGTGCTTCAAAGTGGAACCGAATGCGAGGATGTGATCTCGTGCAGCGGGGAAGTTGCCGGTCGTCAATAGCAGACCTCGGAGGGAGATGAACTGAAAGGCTCAGGATCGGTCATCTCAGAATAGACTCACCACATCTCGACCCCAACATCTGGCCCATCCGGCTGTGAAGTGTGGTAGACCAGCAGCGAGACTCGGAACCGGTTTCGCAGGCGACAAACTTGCACTCTTGACGAGACCAAGCATCTGAACCGAGCACAACGCCAAGTTTTGGATGAAGGTGTGTCCAGACGAGACGAAGTCTGAGCTTTGCTCCATGACCGCCTTCCGAGCCCCCTTGTACATGGTAAACATGTACATCGCAAAATACTTTGGGCGCATGTATGAAGGGACGGTCTCCTTGATAATGTCGACCCGAGCTTTCATCCACGCCGCAGGGGCCCAGAGACCTGGAAGATCGCCCTTCTGTTTCTCCAATCTGTCGATGATGTAGTCCATGGCCCAGGTTCCCTCGCGGAGATGCTGAGCAAGAGGATGGCCGAGATCATTGCTCGCGACCATCTCGCGGAGAGGCTGCATCCAGCCCTCGAGACCACAGTAGACCAACGATCCATAGCTGGGGATGGTGTACGTTCCATCTCCGCCGGTGGCATCCTTCTCTTCACCATCAGCTCGGAAAAGCAAGGCGTTGAGTTCGATAAGATTCAAATGCTGCATGACTTGCGGAGCACACGATGTGCATCTCCAGTCAAAGTCCGTAGCGAGTTGCGTCATGTCTGTCTTGAAGAGCATGATAGAACCAGGTTCAAAGGAGTCGGGAACGATGACTTCGGTGTATTGACCATCACCGTCGTGACCTTCGCGGATGACTGGCGTAGGGATCTCTTCGAGCTTGCTGGGGAAACCGCGATGGATCGAGGCGTCCTTGTCCCATCCGGATTTATCGATCTTGATGGTTGCTCCGAGAATATAGTTGATCTTGGTACGAGACAACTTTACAGGCTTGACCCATCCACGACCTGAGAAGCCTCTGAAGGCAGTGTGTGCGACCAGCATGTAACCCTTGTGGTCGTATGGGTGAACACGGTGAATGATGATGTATTCTCCCTCTTCGTGGACATGACCTTCGGTGAATCCTCCCTCTAGCATCTCAGTATGCAAGTGATTTAAGACTCGCTTAATCTTGCCGATACCAGTATCTCCATCGGGGTGGATCTCGTATGGCCTATTATCCTGTACTAGGTCCAGGTATTTGGGATACAGGTCATCGAAACCCTTGTTGGAGCCAATCGCAGCTTTGGTGAAAGTAACCAAGGCCCCAGTGGAGAGAGCGTCTTCAGCCGTACGTTTAGCATTTGGCGTCTCATTGTCGTGTGTGACATCATAGAAGACGGCATGAGGTGCCGAGCCTGAAAGTGGCGTGATAGTGCACGGTCGAGGCACACCTTTGCCAACGAGAGGAGGCAACTCTTCAGTCGATGACAAGCATACCGCGTCCATCGACCCGATGGGTTTGCCAACTCCAAAGTTGTAGAGAAGATCCGCGAAATTCTTGACATTGTCACCGTTGTATGCCTCTCGCACCAACGAGTTGATTCCCAGCTCTCGGACGAACTTGAGATCCATCTCTTTGCTACCGGTGAAAAGCTCGGCCATGATATACAGATTTGGGTTGATTCTTCGTCCAGCATCGATGATGGCGGCTCCGACGTGCAGAGGAGTTGAGTGGCAGTTGTCAAGTCGGAATCCATCAAAGATGGATGCGAGGTCCTCCGCATAAGACGTCATGTGTTCCCACAGCCAGGGATTGTCTTCTGGTCCAGATCCGTATCGCAGCTTGACACAGTCGCCCCATACGATGACTTCTCTTCGCATGTATGCTTTAGAGGGATACTCGGCAAAGTTCTTCAGTGGATCGGCAGCCCACATCCATCCGTTGTTTGCCAAGGAGAGGGCTGCTTTCGGGTGCTTGGCGGTTCGCTCGTCCTGAGGTAGTCGTGTGAAGTAGTTCTCGACAAGAGGGAGCCTGCAGGTCAGTACACCGCTCGCAATATCCGCTCACTTTGCATTAATCTCGCCCAGCTTTGGTCCGTGCCCGTCCAATCTCGTGAACTTGAGTCGGCCTACGATTCCATCCACAGCAGACTTGACATCGTCATTGCATTCAGCGTACAGATCGACGTTGAGTATATCGAGTACCTTGCCCCACTTGCTAGCGAGGTCGGTCGATGATTCGCCTGGGTAAGCGGCCTGAATGAATCCAGCGGCAACGGCCGGGTCGACCTTGGTACAGAATCTAGCGGAGTATGCTCGGAAATTCTCGATCATGCCTCTGGTAGACTTGACAGTCCTGGCCAGTTCGTCCAAAGATTTGCCTTGTACGGCATCGCCTGACCACGATTTGGCAGATTTGGAGTCGAGACTGGAGGCGATCTCTTTGACAGAGGCCTGTACGTCAAAAACGTAGTATTGCCAGAGTTTCGCTTCATCGATGGCAGATTTGATGTGTGGCACGAGTTTGTCAAGATCACTAGAAGTGTTCAAGGTGGTTGGCAATCCCAAAGTCGGGAGCCTGGCGGTAAGATCGAGCAAAGCATTCTCCAATTCGACGGCCGGGGCGAGATGAGGCGTGTTGTGAGGTGAGTATCCAGCTTCGGGGTGGTCATTCAGCCATGTCGAATCACATGCAGTGTGGTTCAGCACGACATCGGTGACTCCACCGAGCCCGTATATCTCCTTGGCCCTCTGCATGACAGCTTCAACTTCCTTCATGCCCCCGTCCGCGGCTTTGGGATCTTCCAAAAAGACAGGGTCAAACTTGCGTTGATCAAAGATGGAGTATGGACTGCCTGAGCTGCCACGGTGCTGAAGAGGCGCCCAGTGAAGCATGTTATATCCTCTTCGACTGGACTCTGAGAAGATTTTATCCCATTCGGATGTCTTGCCCATCCACTTGGCGAGGACGGACAAGATAGTCAGACCATCAAGAGTGAGCTTGGCGGGTTTGTCGAGGATTGTCCCTGACGATTCGTCTTTCAGTGGATCGGGAGGGATGGTACCCTTGGGGAAGAACGGAGCCCGAGCAGGGAGCGTGATGATGGGATCGATATTGAAATATCCTTTTCGTCCAGAGACCCTGGGGGAATCTGGCTTGGGACCATCATACTCGATGAAGTAGCAGAAAGCACCAGGCGCAGAGATGGGCAAGTCTACTTGGATCGGTCTGAGAGAATCAGCCACATACCTCAGCACAAGATCCATCTGGCTCACTTGCTGACGTCGTTGGGCAACTTTCGCTCTTTCCAATCACCTCTCTTAAAGACACCTCCGTCCATGGGGAAGTCACTCTTCAATACCCCATTGCGTGTGCACGGCGTACCGGGCTGCAGAGAGAGTCTGAGGACATAGGGCCGGATAGGAGGCGGTAGACGGATGTACTAGGACGTTGATGAGCCAAGCCCTCAAGGAAGAAGAACACACCGATTTGTTTTCACCCGGACCTCCATCGTCGTCGAGCGAGAGCTCCCAGACTTGGATGGGTTCTCCTTGATGACCTTGTTCACTCCCAAAGAATGCAAGAGCTTCATCCTGGGGTGTTTTGGGAGTACGTCTTCCTACTCCATTAGACGAGGCGGAATGACCATTGGTTCTAGGGGGGATCTCGATCGACCCGGGAGTGATCTTGTTGAGAGCTGCCTTGATAGAAGACATTGTTCAACGAAGACCCAGTCTGACTAAGCTGTACAGACAGAGAGAGGACCGACAGCACCTGAGATCGTGCAGTGAGAGATAGATGTATCCTCTGATGAGAGATGTGTGACACGAATGAGCGAAGAATGGGTCAGCAGGTCAAACAACCGACAGCATGTGCGCGACGCATCCGTCCAAAAAAACAGGTCGAGGAGGGAAGAGAAACCCCATTCCAAGCCCCGTGACGTAGTTGGCGAGACGAAGTGTGGCAGCCACGTGGAGAACTGAAACCCTTTTTGCTGGAACAACCCTCTTCGGGCCGAGCGGGGGCGGAGGGGGGGCGAGGGGGGATCGACGGACGAGATAGATGTCTAGATGCACATCCACCTCCGCACACCATGCCACTGCTGGGCAGCATCAGAGATAGGTTGAGGGGTATACAGAACCCTCTGGCTAGCTCGGCCTCGAGTTCATCCAGATGGTCCATGTCATTCCTCACTCCGCCCTCTCATTCGCCTTTCCAACCTCTTCAACCAGTTCAGACTCCGACCAACCCACCGGCAGGGTCACTCATCATCACTTTGGTACATCCTGATCCATCGAGATCACCTGCGACTGCATTCTTCCTCCTTTGCGTTCCTGATCCATGCCTGTTTGCTTATTACTCTGCCCTCTTCATCCATCGTCACTTCACCTCGTCATCGAGCACGGGCCCAATCCGTTGGAGGCATCAACACATTGAATTAGAGCTGGAAGACAAGGATGGTCTCGCGGCGACCAGCGGTGGGAGGATAGGGATAAGTCTACACTGGATCGGAAACGTCATGAAGGACGTCAATGAGGGTAGGCGGACAATGGACAGTGCGGCGCAAGAGTTCAAGGGCGTCAGTGAGTAGAAAGTACCTGTCGTTGCAATCCGTCGCTGAATCCAGTGCGTGCTCAGTCCTACACGAAATGGTCCATACAATCCAGCATGACGGATTTGGATCTACTCCTGGATGGCTGATTGAAGGCTTTGCAGATTATGTCAGACTGCTCGCTCGTCTAGATCCGCCGCATTGGAAAAAAGCAGGTCAAGGCAATCCCGATAAGGGCTATGAAACAGGCTACGACGTCGTGGCTTGGTTCTTATGCTATTTGACAGGTCAAGAGCCTCCATCAGTCCCATATACAGGCCCAGATGCGTACATCCCTGTCAATTTCGCTATTCCGCCTCCTGTCACCACGCAAACTCCCTCACAAGCATTGCCCACCCGCATCGCCCAAGATGGACAGCCGAATTCACCGCCCCCGCCCGGCCCGCCTGCAAGTAGACCACGGCCTCGCGGACCGTTCCCCGGGCTGGTGCATGTGATCGACAGTCGTCTAGAGACATCGCGTTGGAGCGATTCTTGGTGGGTCGAGATGACTGGCGCACCCTTGGATGTTTTGTGGCGCGAATACCTCGAGTATTACTCTTGATTCGGATCAAGGCAGGCTACCACATGAATCGCATCCAGCCCTCCCATCCTTCCCATCGAAACTTCTTCAACAAGAAGACGCTGATCGTCACCGTGTTGATGAGCGTGTACCATGCCAACTCGGATCGCCAGGCCCGGGTCGGCAATTGGATTCGAAGCAAGAGACTTGGGATAAGGAAATACCGAGGCTCTATAAGCGGCGAGGGGACCAAGGTCAAGGTTGTACAGCCGACAAGGGCCAAAGTCCATAAAATCGTCGCATGACGACCTAGACAGGTTGGATAAGCAAGTTTGGCGCCGTGCATGTGACACCTACCCAGGCGCCAAAACCAAGCCCAACTTGCAGCGAGATACAGGGGTACCACAGCATACTTGGCGGCTGGATAAGGCAGAAACACTCTTCTGAGAACGTAAAAGACGTAATGGCGATTGTCCGCAAGGAGAAATGGGTGGTAGATGCTGGACAAGTCAGCCAAGGACACGACGAAACACCAACGTGAACCGATGGACGGCGAAAAGCATGGACGAGACTGCCACAATGGATCCAAGAAGTCTCTTTGGTGTGCCCAAGCCCGTTCGTGTCGCCCCTGAGAGTAGCGCGACCGGCCCGTTGTCAAGCAGAGTTGGCAACAATAGGACACTCGAGAATGCGACAAAATAGAGCAGTTGAGGCAGGTGAATAGCAGCTTCGTGCTGATCCTTGTGGCCTGGGCAAATGTATCAGCCTCCAGTTCTCGTATAGAAAGTCACCTAGTACGATGCCCCCGTTCCACTTCAAGAAGGCAACAAAGGCAGTGAATGGCAAGATGTATGGGAGTATCGTCGAGATTAGGCTGCCCATGTGGGTGAAAAGACCTTGAACGGTTTCAAGGCAGAGTCTAATGACATGCTCTGATATGCGTCAGCCGATACAATGTCGCTAATCTTACCAGGCCCCTTAACGTCGTCTAGCATGCAATCTGAGCTCCTTGAGGATTCGACACTCTTCTCGAGTTTCCTGACCTTCTCCAGTACACAGGTAGTCATTATGAATGCTAGCCAAACCACATTCGTCTGCCTGACAGTCATACTCCATGTCCCCACCTAAGCTGTTAAGCGATATCTTTGTTGTATCAGCTCACGAGCACCGCGGACCAGTGTCTGTCCCTCCTCGCAAGAAGCAGGGCTCCGAGGACGCCCGCCAAACTTCCAATATCCGTATAGTATAGATTCGAGAAGAAGCTGATGAGGGGGAAGGTCGAAATGACGAGAGCCTGCACGGAGGGGAACGCAAAGTGTTTCCATGCTGCAGTGGAGCGACTAGTGTCAAACAAGCACGAAACGATACCCGGGATGACGAGTGTCGAGAAGAGCAGGTTTGTACCCCGTAATAGAGCCACTGTGCATGGGACATGAACAGTCATTAGAGGAATAGCAGAAAGAAGGTAGCTTGAGATCAATTGTCAGGTCCCGCGCACTTCGCTTACAGTCCCGGAGGCGTGGTGATCGCTGGATCCCAGAACTCAAAGTCTTCATCGCAATACCTCTGTGTTTGAGGTATATGGAAGATCTCATCCTGGGATATCAGGGACATGTGATGGTGTGACATCACTCACGAGGTATGGGTCTGGGACTTCAATCTGGACAAGGAGGAAGACGATGACTGAGACCGTCAAGGTGGCGATATGCAGCTTTGTGCGTGTCGTCCAGCCTGAGCTGGAACCCTCATGACGCGTACTCATCTTATACTTGTCCCCAGACGGACACTGGATCCGACGACGTAGGAGGGGTGCACAAATTCAGGCGCGACCTAAGAATAAACGTGACCAGGGCCAAAATGTGGCAGCAGCACGTCGACCTCGATAAGACCCCTTCTGATCGCCGTCCTGCTCTGGACCTATAAGGAATCGGGCAGGACCTACCGCGGCCATACTATGATACCTACGGATCTAGTGCATCCGTCTTCGTCCGCATTTCGAGCGCACCCCGGGTGCGATTCGAGCTGATTCCGAGCCAAATAGGAGCTGAGTGTGAGCCAAGTTGGGGATTTTGGACTGTCTCTCGTACAGTCAGGTGACGATAATATTGACGGTGAAGAGGTCATCGTACCGTTAAGTCACACTCTTCGACGCTTCAAATTCATTCGAGCTCAACGATACAAATCCGAGACAAGATCGATGCAGGAGACGCAGATGATCTGCGGGAAGATGATCCCGACGATAAAGATCACGTTGGGGTCAGATGGGAATGAGCTATATGATGATCGATATTCTGAGATACAATGCTCTGGAGACGATGATCACACACGATATGCTGCAGAGCGTGCTGGAAAGCATTGGACTGAAAAATGCCCTCCCGTCCCATCATGATGGCCATTCAAGCGCCGATAATGAGAGCTACCTTAAAATCTGGCCTGCCAGCCGCACTGAACTCAGCCAAGTGAAGTGGGATTGTCATCCTCCGAGAGACCTGGCGACAAGCAACGCGACTGCTGGCGCGTCTATCAACCCTCGATGAAAAGGCATTGCCAATCATCGGTATTCGGTGTCAGGTTTGTTGACCTGAGTCATTATCCGCACGTTGTTCAGTAACAGGATACCGATAAGGGTGAAGTAGCACGATCAGCATCCGCTTGACATTTCTATCTGTGCTGAATCTGTCGCTATGCCATACATGCCCCATGATTACAGGACGATCAGAAAGATCACATGAACACAGCTCCCTAGAAGCTGATGGCCGCACCACGTTGTTTCTTGTCTCCTCCCAGTTCGAAGTGCTTGCATCGCTTCAGGGAGAGCTGATGCTTGCTCTTGCATTGGGTGCACTCGAGACGCAGGACAACCTTCTTGGTCTATTGTTCCGAGGGCAAGAATAACAACGATCCGAAAGTGATGGCGACGACAAGGTCGTAAACGAATAGATGTTGCAAGGAATGGCAAAGCGCCGAGCGGGAGAAGAAGAGATCAGGCGACAGGCGGAGCGGCGCCGAGCGAAGTTAAAGGTCGTCCATAGGGTGGATGAGCAGTGGAGCATTCCAAGAGAAAGTAGGAGACCACGGGAGAGTGTGACAGTGAGACAGGGAGGAACGGATGGCCAGTGATCGAGGCGGCAAACAGCGAAGCAGCGAAGAGGAAAGCATTACAATCAGCAATGTTCCACCGTAAATCCTAGATGAGAACCCACGGTCTTGGCCTTCTTGTGGAAGACGGGTTTTGTCTGACCACCGTAACCTGATTGCTTTCCTGGAGCAATATCAGTCTCCTTGGCTCTCCTCATCTCCCGAGTCAGATTGACTCACGGTCATATCGCCTCTTTCCCTGAGCAGCAAGAGAGTCCTTTCCCTTCTTGTACTGGGTCACCTTGTGAGGGGTGTGCTTTCTGCAAGCCTTGGCTTTGCAGTCTGAGAGGGGTGTGAGCTGTATCTCGAGCGGTCGGTCAAGGTAAGACGGCTTACAAGTTCTTCGGGTCCTAAAAGGTGAAAGAAACAAGGTCAGCAACTCGCTTTTAGCCCTTCATTGCATCCATCGATCCATCCATCCGGGCTTCCCCAACAGACGCGCTCCCTAATCATGCTTTGCTCCTTCAAATTTCCCCTCAGGTGCAAGCGAAACAGACGAAACACGCAGAGCACACCGGACAGATCGAGACATGGACGTACTTGGGACTATATCGACCGTCAGCAATCTGATCTTGGACGTGGAAGAGACATCTGACTCACATGTTAACCCTGTAGATGGACAAGCAAGGAATGAAAGACCATCGTCAGTCTCTGCCATCTCCCCTCATTGGCCCACACTCACATCTTGGACCAATGATCAACGAGTACTTGAAGGTTGAAGACAGCAGCGGCCCCCCTTCGATGATACTTGAAATTGGTTGAGCAAAACTCACACTGGAGGGGATTTCATGCCACCTTGATGAAACGCCGAGAAACTCCGAAGCGTGTGGCAGTCGAATTATTTTATTAGTCTGAACGCCCATTTTTTAGTGAACCATTTTATCCCAAATCATTGGCGAAATTGAAGGAGGGACCGGGGCTCGCTCACGATACCATTGACTCTAGAGCTTTTGAACCTCTTCTTTATATCCTCAGCGACTGGTGAGTATCCTACGTCGTGCTGCTCGTTTTGCAGAGCTGATCATGCTTCCACAGACTCATCTCGCGGTACCCTTGCCACGATGTCGTTCGCTCCTCCCGAGGCCCACCAGCAATTCCAGGTGAGTCGATGTTCTTCTGGGTCATGCGAAAGGAGTCAGCGAGAGTCAAAGGGCACGAAAGGGTTGGGTGCAAAGTTGAATGGGCGATAAGAGATCGAAGATGAGAGATTGTTCCGAGGAGATCGTTCGTTTTCCTGGGAATGGGGAAGACTTGGTGGACGATGACTGTCGGGTCGCTAAAAAGTTAAGAGAATTTGTTGCTGACCTTGTCGTGCTCTACCTCTGTCCCGTCTCGTCCCATGTTCGCCCTGACTCCTCTTTGAATTGTCATTCTTCCCACACAGCACATTCTCCGTCTGCTCAACACCAACGTCAAGGGAACTGGAAAGATCATGTTCGCTTTGACTGAAATCAAGGGTGTTGGAAGGCGTTACGCCAACTTGGTCTGCAAGAAGGCCGATGTCGACATGAACAAGCGGTGAGTATCGCGAACACATCGAATGCGACCACGAGATGGCGATCATTATATACCCTCAAACGATCGCCGAAGCTGTCCCCGTCTCCTAATCCCCGGGAAAGAGTTTCAGCTGACGATCTCATCCGCAGTGCCGGAGAGCTCAACTCTGATGAACTCGAGCGGATCGTTACCATCATGCAAAACCCTGCCCAGTTCAAGATCCCCAACTGGTTCCTTAACAGACAAAAGGACATGACCGACGGCAAATACTCTCACACCCTCTCCAACGCTATCGACCAAAAACTCAGAGACGACCTCGAGCGACTCAAGAAGATCAGATCTCACCGTGGTCTTCGACACCACTGGCAGTTGAAGGTTAGGGGTCAACACACCAAGACCACGTGAGTTGGACAAACGGAAAGCTTGTTGAGCCGCATGCTGATGTCTTACGTCTTCAGTGGTCGACGTGGAAAGACCATCGCTGCCAAGAAGAAGTAGAGTGGGTCAGCTGGTGTGGGACGAGGTGTATAGGCGTCGCTCTGTGTATGCATGGATGCACGATCCATGTGTGCTTGAAGTGTTCCACTGTGCGTCATACGTGTGGTCAAAATGCTTCTACACCGCAAGAACTGGTCCAGGTTTCGGTAATCTCGGTCGGAGGTCTGTGCGCGAAGATTCCGTCTAATTCAGTTTTGGTCACACCTCTCGACCTTGTCCTCATCTCTCTTTCTCCACGCATCCCTCACATTTCAGACCCGCTGATTCACTCGTACTAACCTATTGGCTCACCTCAAATATGAAGCGCAAAGCCACAGCTTACCCAGAAAGACTATGCCTTCCTTCTTTGTCAACCTCCTCGTCCTCCTCACTCACCGCCAGATCCGTTCCCGACTCCATCGATGGCTATTCTTCGAACACATCGCGAAGTATTTTGTCTCGCTCCGAGAGCACCGCTGGTCGTCACGGGCTTCAGTCTGCAAAAAGCGTTCAATCGATCCAAACTGAGCCAGAACAGGATCGAATCGTGGGAACGCTGACTGGTGTGGTCCGAGGTGAACAAGGTGAGTCGCAGTGACGGCACTCAAAAGGATTCTCTGAAATCGTGGATCCAGTCGTGATATACATTCACAGCACGAGCTCATACACGGTCATTGGCTCAGATGCCACTTGGTACGTCCTTCATTGGGACCTCGCTCACGTGAGAAGCAATGTACGACTTTGGGACCAAGATGTGTCAAGGAAACACATGCGCATCTACTCGTGAGCTTGAACCCACTGAGACTCTGTTACGTCTGACACAACATGCACACACAGCATACGAACTGACTCTGCGTTGATGGTCACTTGCCTACATGACATTTCGGTCAATGGCTTCACCATCAATGGCTCTCGATTCCGATCACGAACTCCCATCTCGGTTGGTCAACGCAAGGTCTATACCCAAGCTGCGATATTGATGGACGGTGATGTGCTCCGCTTTGCAGGGACTTCATGTGAGTAGCCCGCTTCAAATGCTCCTGATTGGGCAGATCAATTCGTCTACGAGCACAATTTCCAAGACTTCCCCCTTCCCTGTCATTCTGCATCGCCCATTGAAGAGTTTGGACAGCTTCCAGACCCCATATTCGGACCGAATGATGATCCCCGTGACAAGTACGACGCACATCCATGGATCATCCACAATTATCAACTTGGATCCGGTGCATATGCGTATGTCAATCTCGCAAGTCACAAAGCTGGCGGACTTCAAGTAGCCTGTAAAACAGTCAAGATGCTCACGGAAGAAGTAGACGAAGAAGAAGAAACCTCGGATGGTGATTCACTCCAATCATGGACAACCGAAGGCTCGTCAAGCACTAAGCGGAAGAAAGATGTCCAGGCATACTTAGAAGAAGTCAAGACCTTGAGAGTGCTCTGTCATCCAAATGTCGCTGCACTCCTCGATGTAATTCATGACCCTGAGCAATCACGGGTGCACGTCTTCATGGAGCTCGTGACAGGGGGTGATCTGTTTTCTCACCTTGAACGCTCAACCTTGACTGAAGGCGAAGTGGCCTTTTTGGCATATCAACTTTGCAAGGGGATCGGATACCTTCATGAGCTGCGACTGGCTCATCGTGGTGAGATTTGTCTGTGAAACCAAGTCTCTGAAAACGTCTCTAGATATCAAACCGGAAAACATCCTCCTCGCCGTTTCTGACGCATATCCGAAAGTCGTCATTACAGATTTCGGTCATGCGATCAGTGAAACACAGCTTCTAGAGTTGATCCCGTTGAACCCTGACGAGTTCTGCGCCCGTATCTACCCAGTGACAGGGACGATAGAATACCTACCTCGCGAACGTCTCATAGCGCTTCTCCGTCCACCAAGAGGTGTCCAAGGGACTCTAGAGGAGGTCGGGATAGGTTGGGCAGAGAAGAGAAATCAAATCGCTGGCAAGTGGCTAGAAGAAGAGTTTGCGTTGGATTCGTGGGCCCTTGGATGTGAATCGACGGCTGTAGTCACTCCAAACTGACAGACTCGAAGGCGTTCTTTACACGGCCTGTGCTGGAACGCATCCTTACATCTTTCAAGGGGATGAAGACGGGAATGAGTCGCTGAGTCTCCCCACACAGGTAGGATCGGCATGGGCGGAGTTTAGACGACTTAACGGATCCAAAACCATCGGACAATCCTCGTCTTGTTTGCTGGAGGAGAAGCAAAAGGTGGATGTTGAGAAGGCAAAGCTACGCTTGGACGCTTTCCTGGTATGGATTACTCGAGGCGAGTGTTCAAGAACTGATGCCATGCTTGATCAGACGAAAACTCACTGGAAGCCTGAACAGAAATGGGATTCCATGAGCAAAGATCGTGGGTGATAGGTCAGCTGGTCATGCGCGATTGACAGACCGCTCAGTGACTCTCCTCATCGCAGCGATGCTACAGCGCATGCCATACTCACGGCTGAAGATGGAGAGTTCAGAATTTCACGATTATTTTATCAACCGCGCACCAGAGCTAAAGAGGATGTACTCAAGTGTCGTAATTCACGGAGGAATGTGGCCCGACCGAAGCTGACATACGTCGCAATGTCAAGGGAAGTCGAGCTTCATTCTAGACGATACAAATGCATTTCTATCTATGTCTATGACAAGGTGACAATATACATCGACGAGTCGGGGAGATACCTCAAGCGTACTGCGCGTCGAGAGCTATGGCCAATTTTTTCGCTCTAGATGCCACTTCGCCTCGCTCGCCCATGACCGTCAACCTCAGTGAGACTCCATCAAGACCTGCGTCCTCATCCAGTGATGGGAAGTACGTGAGCTCATATCTACCAAAAGCGTAATTCAGGATACATGTGCGCCATGCTTTAGGATGTGGAGATCCGGCGAGGCGAACGATGCCCTTCACTGGAAGATCTTTCAGCACGGTGGTGACTCTCATAGACTCTCACCTCGATAGATCTCAAAACTCAACTTTTCGAGAGCATCCTCCAGCGTCGCCTGGAGGATAGGCACGAAGTCCCCTTCTTTCCCCTCCTCGTGATCTTCGTCATGTTCGCAACTGCACGTTTCCCCATTGACATGAACGTGACCACTTCCAAGCCCGTCGCTCCTCTTGCGTTTAGTGCTATCAGGCTTGCTCCCTCCTCTCCATATTGATCTGACTTCCACCTCATCTCCGTGCCACTGTCCATGACCTGCTCCTAGGGCTTTCCAATCGGCAGCTTCGGCTTTCTCTTTATCGAAGACACTCGTATCGAGGCCGAAGACCACTGAGAGAGGCGCAGGTCGTTCAGGAGAGACTTTAATTCGCGGCGTCGTATCGTTGAGAGCTCCTAGATGATCCATCAGAATATCCAAATCTCGCTCGGACACCAGTTGGTGTTTTGAGAGGAGGAGCAAGTCGGTGTATTTTGCCTGCAGCTGCGATAATTGGTTCAGAGAACTGCAGGTTTAGGACAGAGCTCACCTTTGCTGTCGGTGATGTATCCTCGTATCCTCTGAAATTCACACAATCTATCACTGTAATGACTCCATCGAGTGTGAATCCTTGCGGTTCAAGTTGACGGATCTGGAGCGCTAGTGTGGCCGGAAATGCAGAGCCACTGGAAGACAAGAATTAGGGAACGATTGTAGCGAGCATGCACTGACCTTGATTCGATGATGATCCTATCGGGGCGGAACCGATCTTTGATCTCCATTAGGGCATTCTCCACCAATCCAACCATTGTACAGCACATGCAGCCGTTCAGAATCTCCGATACTCCCGTGATCTGCGACTGATTCGCGAGCAGCGAGTCGACTAGAGAGCATATGAGCATGAAGCCGATACGTTCAGCCCACCTTCGACGTCTCCATATTCGTTTTTAAGCAAGACTACCTGTCGTACAGGTCAGCAGGTGTCGCGCTCTCTCGGACCACCTTAAAGTCCTTCGGAAGCTGCTTCAGTATGCCAAGGATTGTGGTGGTCTTGCCCTACGAGCAGAAATGTAAGCTGCGAACAGCTAAAACTGTTGAGATTAATCTCACGGCGCCTATTGAGAAGATTCAGCGCGTCTCGAGTGGAAGCCATATCCCACAGCCGGCTCACCTAGAAAGCCAGTCACGCAGGTCACTGGAATAGCCAATTTACGCTTGTCTTCGGCCTGGGATGTCATTTGGAGTGTTGTATGCAGATGCAAGATAGCTGCAATGAGTCAGCTTTGATTTGACAGACTCAAACGACCTACTCCTGGCTCTAGCAATCTGAGCAGAACAACGCAAGGAGCCTGAAGAAGGTCACTATCATACAAAGTCGAGGTTCATGAACGGCATTCGAGACGGATTTCCGAAATTTACAAAATCGTCATCTGGTGCTCAGTTTTGATCCTGTACATTGGCCATCATGCCCCTTCTGGAGCTCGTTCAGGAGCTCCCTGGACATTCTGAACCAGCATGGCAAGTTGCATTTAACCCTTCTCGGCCACTACTGGCCAGTTGCTCGACAGATAAGACTGTTCGCCTTTATTCGTTCGATGATCGCTCATTCTCCGACTCGTTGCCCGCTTCCGATGATCCCAAACCAACTTTTTCACTCCTCTCGGCCATCGAAACTGAGCACAAACGGACGATACGGAGTGTCGCTTGGGGTCCAGATGGTAGGACACTAGCCACCGGAAGCTTTGATTCATCCGTTGGGATCTGGGAAGAGGTGGACTCTGATGCGCCGGAAGATGATTCAGAGGGAGTTTTCAAACCTTCTACAGAGATAGGAGGCGAGAAAGTGGTTAGCGGGGCTGGAGAATGGGAATGCGTGACGACACTCGAGGGACACGAGAGCGAATGCAAGTCGGTGGCTTTCAGCTCTGATGGCGCTCTCTTGGCAAGCTGCAGCCGGGATAAGAGTGTTTGGGTCTGGGAAGGTGAGTTGGCCTGTTTGGATGTAGACTGATGCTGGTTTCAAGTCCAACCTGATGCGGATTTTGAATGCATAGCAGTGATGATGGAACACACGCAGGACGTCAAATGCCTAGCTTGGCACCCGAAGGAAGAGGTACGTGCAAGTCGTTCGTAGTCGCTGAAGCACCGCAGGTGCTCGCTTCTGCGTCTTACGACTCGCACATCCATTTGATGTTTGATGATCCCGATGGCGATTGGTGTATATTCCAGAAACTACACCCCAAACTCCCTTCAGCTCGTACTCAATCCAGCTTACCAGAGCTCTCACCGACGGCAGATGAGAAGGCGATAGAGAGTCTGAATATTCCGCCCTTGGAAGAGGATGAAACCGTCTGGTGTCTCGCTTGGAGCCCTTGTGGACGATACCTAGCCAGTGGAGGCGACAGGGGAGGTATCAGAATATGGAGGAGAAAGTGAGCGACTGCGTCTGAGAAAAGCTGATGAGGTAGGGGCAATCAACCGGACAGTCTGTTCGAAGAGATACTCCATACCGCTGCTCATTCCCGATCTGTGTTCTCGCTTTCGTGGCGCAAAGGTGGATACCTCGCCTCGGCCGGAGGTGACGGCAAGATCATAGTTTGGAAGACGGACGTTATTGAAGACGGGGATGGGCCAGTCGCTCCGCGCTTATCTATGAACCCCGTGGCCGCCGTGAGGGAGGCTCACAGTGTAGACGATGTGAATAGTCTGAGCTGGTGTAGTAGAGAAGAAGGCAGGGGATTCTTGCTGGCGAGCTGCGGGGATGACGGTGGGGTAAAGGTCTGGAGACTGGTCAGAGATTGAGCTTGTACCAGAGTATCATTCAGCATTTGCATTCACACACATATACACTGGGAAGGATACACTCTGCCACTGCCACCCGAATTCAACAACCAAAAAAAAATTCTGAGATTTGACCCTCATCCTCAATCGTATGCGGGCAACGTTACTGCTGAGCGTATACAATCGTAAGCCAATCATCAGGCTTCCACGAGTCAAACACAAGTTCATGGAGTCCGACAACTCAAGTCCAAAAGAGGCGAAATGGACACTCAGAGAGGATCTCCATAATCAACCAGACAGAGCCGAGTCCTCACAAGCCGTGGATGGACGCAGATCTCGCTCACCTCCTTCTGGCGACAGGCAAAGAGCGGCACAGCAAGGGAACCTTTCGAGCAGCCTGTACGACCAACGTTCACCGACTCGCGACTTGAAACGGGCTCGAAACGAGGTTCAAGGCAACGGGGCATCCAGCCGATCGAACAGCTTTGGCGTGAACCAATCTGTTGAGCACACTGCTCTCAAGACGAATCCCTCCGAAGAGACCAGTGCTCCGGCTGGTCTGGTAGAAGAGGACCCAACTTCGGAGCTCTTCACATTCATTGGGACCAAAGCCGAGGTGAGGAAGCGGAAAAAGTCGCAGAAAAGACCTGTACCGGAGCGTTATTCTGCCGAAGACGTCCTCGAACATGATATCAAGGATCTGCTGGGACGTGATTATGTGGAGAGCCTCTTTGCAAAGGGAGATGAGTCAGAATGGACCCCACCAGGATCATTAAATACGGGGTCCCACACCGTTCGAGTGTCTACCTTCACAGTCTCAGGTGAGGCCCGCAGGCTATGTATGCCTCTTGCTGATGCGGACAGGTGATGGGCTGGCATTGTACCAGGAAGAAGGGACAGATCGTAAATGGGCGATTCTGATCCCGTTCGCTCACCCCGGGGACCTTGTCGAATGCACAGTGTATCGCCATAGACGGCTTTACTCGGCCGCCAGATTGCTAGAGACTCTCGAATACAACGAGGAGTATCGAGGGGGAGAAGGGGATCGGAGAAAATTTCCGGAGAATGGGTGCAAATACTTTGGCAAATGGTAGGAAGGCTGCATGCGTTCAAGAGCTCATTGACCCAACAGCGGTGGATGTCAATTACAACCTATACCGTATGAGCGCCAACTCGAGCACAAGAAACGCACTGTGGAATTGGCATACAAACGATATTCCCACTTGAGTGATGTGCCAGCGATCAGAGACACCATACCCAGTCAAAAACAGTGGCAATATCGTACCAAGATCACGCCCCATTTCGATGAAGTCCCCAAACGCATCAAGGAGCTCGTCAAGCATTCGTCGTGGGGTCGAGTCGGAGATCCGTCTGTGGATCGTGTCATGAAGGTCATCGAAGAAGAGAAATCTGAACTTGGGAACGATGAAGAACTGATAAAGGCATCGGGGCTGAAGATAGACTCGAGAAACGATTGGGAATTAAAAATCGGCTTCAACTACGCAACTAGCTCGCGAATACTTGATATCGAGGTGGGTCCAACTCAAATACTCGCCTGAACCCATTAGGAATGTCCTATTGCAACACCAATATTGAATGCAAAGCTCCCCGAGGAACGTAAACGAGTGAAGGAGTAGGTGTCGAACGGAGGCCGTAGGCTGACAATCCAGCAATATCCTGTCCTTCCCCCGCGGAGCGACACTGCTGCTTAGAGACTCCTTGGAGCCTCCGCTGCCATCTTCTCTAAATCCTTTCGATCCCTCTATGCCAATCACAGATGCGCACATCGCCGTGGTAGATCACAAGCGACCAGTGTACGAGCAAGTTGGCGACAAGATGTTCACGTTTCCCGCGGGATCCTTCTTTCAAAACAACAATTCCATCCTCCCTTCATTGGTAGCCTACACCAAAGAGGCCATTTTTCCCTCTGAAGAGCCACAAGGCTTCAAGCGACCTACACAACTCGTCGATGCCTACTGTGGCTCCGGGTTCTTTGGCGTCTCTCTCAGTGATAGTTTCGAAAGAGTCGCTGGAGTTGAGTTGGACCTTCACGCTGTGGAAGCGGCAAAAAAGAATGCTCAGATCAATGGCGTCTATCACAAATCGGACTGGTTGTGTGCTGCAGCTGAGGAGATTTTCGCAAATCTTCCCGAGGCTGGATTCCATGGGTCCAAAAGTTGTGTCATCATTGATGTGAGATTGGGCTATGAGGAGGGTGACATTACTGACCTCGCTGTTGTAGCCGCCGAGAAAAGGGTGTGACGAGCAATTCCTTCGACAGTTGTACGATTTCAAACCCATCACGATAGTTTACGTCTCTTGCAACGTGCATACTCAAGCTAGGGACATCGGATGGTTTATACATCACACAAAGCAGCATGGAGTCGATTACAAATTGGAAAGTATCCGAGGTTTTGACTTGTTCCCACAGGTGAGCGACCTGTGGTGGCATTAGTCGCTGACAGCTGCCAGACGGCTCACGTCGAAAGCGTTGCGGTACTTCGATTAGTGCAATGAGCATATGTCTCTATCCTGTGGTCAATGCACTGGTCGCAGATGGTCCTGGTGCGGTTTCTGTGGCTGTCTGCTGGACTCGATTCTCGATGATTTCATGACCTTTGATGCCGCCTCCAATGGCGCCAACGACGATGGTGACGACAAAAATTACAATACAAATTGTCCACTACGGGATTGAGCCTTGACCTTAGATTGTGGACCCACCTTGATGTTATTCCACCACATCTTTCTCCTGACTTGACTTGCCTTGACCTTGAAATTCTGACTTTGGATACTCAAGTGATCTAATGATTAGCCTCTTGATTCGAGATACTCACTTACCGCTCTTGTCCCCTCAAGTCCTCCAGTCTCTCTCCTCGTTCATGGATCGCCTCGATGGTTTTTGAAAACTCCGCCGTCGCTTCATCAATGTGCTGTTTCGTGGCCTGGATTTTGTCCATCTGTTTGCTGTTTCCCTGTTGAGCAGGTGGCACTGGTTGATCCTTAGGTATCAACATCGCTGCGCTGCTCCGTTTTGATTCGCTGTCCCCCGTTGCTCCATGAAGGAGTGAGTTGGATCGAAAAAGGTCATCTCTGGCTGTTTGACGATAAGGCTGCCCCTGTGGATCCCCGTAGAGCCCCGCATCTGCTTGAGGATAGTACGGTTCGGCCCTACATACAAGGTCAGCGACCGGGGCGGGGGTCTAAATCAGCTCACATCTCAGATCAATGTTTGCCAATATTGCACCTGTGTACACACCTGCCACCGTGCTGTGAGGTCAAAAGTGCTACACAGGTGCTTACACCTCATTTCGCCCCCTTTCATGCATGACCCCTCCTACATCACTGCCCGTTCCATTGTCGTCTGCGTGCGACACAGTGCCACTTTGACACAGTACTGCCTGAAACGCCGCTTACAAGCCCAGCACGTGGCGAATGACTTTTGGATCCGCGTCGTCACTGGGCCGGCGCTATATATCACCACAGTCATACCCTCTTCACATCTCGTTCACGTCCCGAGCAGCTACGAGGGAGAGTAGATTTGTGTGCCTAGAGCAGAGAGATAGATAGAAGAGCAAAAAGCTCATCTGAATAGCCCGAGGGGGATAGTAACTTCGAGCCTCGATAGGACTCTGGACGACGTTCTTCTCATTGCGTCACCTCAGACCTCGACTGTTAGACCCCTCTTTCCTCTCGCCTGAGCTAAGAGCTCGTAGGCAAGATGGCCGATAAACCTATCACTGTGCGTCTGAAACTCTTGAAGATTGTGCATCGCTTACCATCTGGTTGCTCGTGCAGTTTACGGAGCACTTACAGGTCGGTACTACCCTCCACCCTTCAACTTCCTTCTGACATTCCCCACAGCTCACAGCACTCGGAATCCAACCAGCTTCCATCTCATTCCAGTCCCTCACCCTTCAGTCTGATCACTTCATCTGCGTGTAAGTCGGACGAGCTTGACCCCCAACCTTGCGACAGCAACATGCGTGCAAATGGCCAAACAATGCACTGACATGTCTTCCAGGCGTGAGAATGTCAACGACACGAACCAGGTGGTGGTGATAGACTTGGCGGATGCGAACAATGTGCTACGGAGACCTAGTGAGCTCATTAGATATCTTCGGGTTGGCGAAGAGCTCACCAGGACAGTTACTGCCGACTCGGCAATCATGCACCCCAAAGAGAAGATTATAGCTCTGAAGGGTGTGTATGATGCCTGTCAGAACCAGAACTTCGCAACTGACTTCTTGCCCCAGCCGGCCGTCAGTTACAGGTATTCAACCTTGCAACCAAGCAAAAACTCGGTTCTCATCTGATGAACGAGGATGTGCCTTTCTGGACATGGATCAACGACACCACCCTGGGTTTGGTCACGGAACGGGAAGTTCAGCACTGGAAAGTCGTTGATGGCGAGGCCCAGCCAAAGAAGGTGAGAATGAAGACCCTACCGCTCTGACTGTACAGATGTTTGATCGTCATCCAACCTTGAACGGCAACCAAATCATAAATTACCGTGTATCTCATGACGGGCAATGGTGTGTTGTTGTTGGAATCTCCTCAAACCCTGCTGCTGGACAGCCTGGTCAGACTGCTTTTAAGATCAAGGGATCGATGCAGCTCTACTCGATTGAGCGTGGTGTATCGCAGCCGATCGAGGGTCACGCCGCTGCATTCGCCTTGTTTAAGCAGGACGGCGCGAACAACCCTAGCAAGCTCTTCTCGTTCGCCAACAGGACAGCAACAGGTGCCAAGGTGAGGAATGGCAAGGCGAGCTGTGGCTAAATCCCCAGCTTCACATCGTCGAAATTGGACACCAGGCTCCCAACCCTCCATTCACCAAAAAGGCGGTCGACGTGTTCTTCCCACCTGAAGCCACCAATGATTTCCCTGTCGCTATGCAGGTCTCCTCCAAGCACGGTATCATCTATCTCGTTACCAAGTTTGGCTTCATTCACCTCTACGATATCGAATCTGGTCAATGTATCTACATGAACAGAATATCAGGCGAAACAATCTTCACCTCGGCCGAATACGAGCAATCGCACGGTATCATTGGAGTGAACAGGAAGGGTCAAGTCTTGAGCGTCAGTGTAGATGAGGATACCATCGTGCCTTACATTCAACGTGAGTCATCATGACACCCAAGGCCTGACTCGCAGAATCTCTGAACAACCCCGAACTCGCGATCAAGCTTGCTACCCGAGCCGGCTTGCCAGGCGCCGACCAGATGATTGTTCAACAGTACCAGACCTTTATGCAGAACGGGCAATACGGCGAGGCCGCCAAGATCGCCGCCAATTCTCCTCGTGGACTCTTGCGAACACCCGAGACTATCGAAGCCTTCAAGAGATTGCCCAACGTTCCAGGATCTCTCTCTCCCATTCTTCAGTACTTTGGAATCCTTCTCGAGAAAGGCGAGCTCAACAAATTTGAGTCCCTCGAGTTGGCTCGTCCGGTCATTCAGCAGGGCAAGAAGCAATTGCTAGAGAAATGGCTCAAGGAGAACAAGGTAAGGACGGTTTTGTTGTGTTCATTGCTGACGTGGTAGCTCGAATGCAGCGAGGAGCTTGGAGACCTGGTCCGAGTTGCAGACATGAGCCTCGCCCTCTCCGTTTACCTTCGAGCCAATGTACCGAACAAGGTGGTGGCATGCTTCGCGGAGCTCGGTCAATTCGACAAGATTGTCCTATACTCCAAAAAGGTCGGATACACTCCGGACTACCCTCAGCTCTTGCAACAGCTGGTCCGTATGAACCCTGACAAGGCTACGGAGCTCGCGACGCAGCTCGTGAATGATGAGAATGGTCCCATGGTGGATCTTGACAGAGTCGTCGACATCTTCATGTCACAGAATATGATTCAACAAGCCACCAGCTTCCTTTTGGATGCTCTCAAGAACAACCTGCCCGAACAGGGACCACTGCAGACGAAATTGCTCGAGATGAACCTCGTCAATGCTCCTCAGGTCGCCGATGCGATTCTCGGCAATGAAATGTTCACCCACTATGATCGCCCTAGGATCGCCAACTTGTGTGAGAAAGCTGGTCTGATGCAAAGAGTGAGTTACCAAGAGTCGCCTCAGCTGATTTTCAAGGCACTCGAGCACTACGAGGACATCAACGATATCAAGCGATGTGTCGTCCACTCCAATTTGTATAAATCAGAGGTGAGTTGGAGCTGGTCATACTTGCTGAAATAAAGTGGCTTGTCGATTACTTTGGCAGGCTCACCGTCGAGCAATCGCTCGAATGCCTGCAAGAGATGCTCCGAACCAACATGCGAGAGAATCTGGCAGTGGTTGTCCAGATCGCCACCAAGTACTCTGACCTCCTTGGTCCCGTCAAGCTCATCGAGCTCTTTGAGCAGTTCAAGAGTTCTGATGGTGAGTGCGCAGAGGAAGCATCAGTATTGATGTCAGGTCTCTACTACTATCTCGGCTCGGTCGTCAACGTCAGCGAGGACCCCGAGGTCCACTTCAAGTACATCCAAGCAGCCACTCGTACGGGTCAAATCAGAGAGGTCGAACGTATCTGCCGAGAGTCGAATTACTACAATCCCGAGAAGGTCAAAAACTTCCTCAAGGAGGCTCGTCTGTCGGACCAGCTTCCTCTCATCATTGTCTGCGACCGATTCGACTTTGTTCACGATCTGGTTCTCTACCTCTATCAGAACGGTTTGACCAACTTCATCGAGATCTACGTTCAGCGAGTAAACTCGGCTCGTACCCCTCAGGTCATCGGTGGGTTGCTTGATGTTGACTGCGACGAGACTGTGATCAAGAACCTCCTCATGTCGGTCACTGGAACCTTCCCGATCGACGAATTGGTCGACGAAGTTGAGAAGCGGAACCGTCTAAAGCTTTTGCTTCCTTGGCTCAACAACAAGGTCGAGCAAGGCTCCACGGATCACGGCGTGTACAACGCTATCGCCAAGATCTCTATCGACTCAAACAACAACCCCGAAGCTTTCCTCAAGTCGAACAATCTCTACGACCCTGCCATTGTTGGAAAATACTGCGAGCAACGGGATCCATACCTCGCCTACATTGCCTACGCCAAGGGCTTCTGCGACGATGAGCTCATTCACATCACCAACGAGAATCAGATGTACAAACATCAGGCTAGGTATCTCGTCAAGCGCCGAGATAAGGAGCTTTGGATCCAGGTCCTGAACCCAGAGAGCATTCATCGCCGGGCACTCATTGATCAAGTCGTTGGTACCGCCATTCCCGAATCGACTGATCCCGATGACGTCTCGACAACAGTCCAAGCTTTCATCCACATGGAGCTGCATGGACCCCTGCTCGAGCTGCTTGAAAAGATCATCTTGGAGCCTTCACCCTTCAGTGACAACCGATCGCTCAAGTCTCTCATGTTCCTCACTGCCATCAAGAACGACAAGGGCAAGGTTATGGGCTACGTCAACAAGATCGATGGGTACGATGTCGATGCCATCACCAAGGTCGCCATTGACTCGGGTCTGTATGAAGAGGCCTTCACAATTTACCAAAAGCACGATATGCACGCTGAGGCTATGAACGTTTTGGTCGAGCACATGGTCTCGATCGATCGAGGATTCTCATATGCCAACAAGATCAACCAACCGGCCGTTTGGTCCCGCTTGGGTAAAGCCCAACTCGATGGTCTCCGAGTCAAGGATGCTATCGACTCTTACATCAAAGCCGAGGATCCATCCAACTTTGCCGAAGTCATTGAGATTGCCAACCGAGCTGGCAAGCACGACGACCTCGTCCGATATTTGCAGATGGCACGAAAGACTGCTCGAGAACCCAAGATCGATACCGAGTTGGCTTACGCGTACGCCAAGACCGACAGGCTACACGACATGGAAGAATTCCTCAGCATGACCAACGTCGCCGACATTCTCGAAGTCGGAGAAAAGTGCTTCAACGACGAACTGTATCAGGCTGCCAAACTGTTGTTTTCAAGCATCTCCAACTGGGCTCGATTGGCCACTACCCTCATCTATCTTGGCGAGAACCAAGCTGCCGTCGATGCTGCTCGAAAGGCAGGAAACACTCAGTGAGTCACACGTCTGCATGGTGAAGCCTACTGACTTGTTCAGGGTCTGGAAGCAAGTCAATGCGGCCTGTGTGGACAAGAAAGAATTCCGATTGGCCCAAATCGCCGGTCTCAACCTGATTGTGAGACCACGATAGTGATGAATATTGACATGGCTAGGTTCACGCCGAGGAATTGCCGGCTCTACTCAACTTGTACGAGCGAAATGGATATTTCGACGAGGTCATCAACCTTATGGAGGGTGGTTTAGGACTGGAGCGAGCGCACATGGTGAGTCACTCTCCGCAGATTCAGTCTGACGATTCTCTCAGGGCATGTTCACCGAACTCAGTGTACTCTACGCCAAATACCGACCCGAGAAATGTGAGTTTCCTGGCGATGAATTGCCCTGACGATCGCAGTGATGGAGCACCTGAAGTTGTTCTGGCAACGAGTCAACATTGTGAGCTTGGTCCTCTGCTGCTTGAAGTGCAGGACTGACTCTTCTACTAGCCAAAAGTCATCCGAGCAGCCGAACAGGCTCACCTTTGGCCCGAATTGGTCTTCTTGTACATTGTCTACGGTGGGTTTGGTCTTTGAGCCACAGTGGGCTGAAGCTGTAGATGAACCTGATAACGCGGCGCTCGCCATGATGGAGCGATTGAGCGACTGGGATCATGATCAGTTTAAGAAGGTCTGTGTCAAGGTTGCCAACATGGAGATCGCCTACAAGGCGGTTCACTTTTACATTCAGCACCAGGTGAGCTACGGCCATGGAAAGATGACCTGACAGTCCAGCCCAACCTCCTTCCCGATCTCCTGGCCGCTTTGTCTCCTCGACTGGACCACGGCCGTGTGGTTAAACTCTTGCAGAATGAGGACCACCTGCCTCTGATCAAGCCATACCTGATCGCCACTCAGAAGCTTAACATTGCGGTCGTCAATGAGGCGTACAACGACTTGCTCATCGAGGAGGAAGACCACGTCACATTGCGAAGCAGTCTGGAAACTCACGATCAATACGATGCCATCAAGCTCGCTAAGCGTATGGAAAATCACGAACTGCTGGAGTTTAGGAGGATAGCGGCGCTGCTGTATAGAGTGAGCTTTTAAACTTGCGCTTGGTGCTAAGCTCACACCCCTACAGCTCAACAACATGTACGACGAATCCCTAGGCTTGTCCAAAGCCGACCGGTTGTGGCGTGATGCTCTTGAAACCGCCGCGGCGAGCAAGGAGATTGCGGTGGCGGAGGAGCTGGCGGCATACTTTGTGTCTATCGGCAATAAGGATGCCTTTGCGGCTATCCTCTTTGTGTGCTTCGAGCTGGTCAGACCAGACTTTGTCGAGGAGATGGTGAGAAGATGGTCCGGTTTTCATTGCTGAATTTGCAGTCGTGGCGATACGGTTTGGGCGATTACTCCAAACCCTTCTTCCTGCAGTCCCAAAGAGACCAGAGTTCAAGGGTGAGACTCTGACTACTTGGACTCCGCTGACCGTGCAGCTCGCCGCCCTGGAGGCTGAACTGAGAGAACTTAAGGCCAAGTCAAAGAAGGACGAACCCGAGGAGACGTCTGGTCTCGTTGGATCTGGATTAGGGGGACGTCTGATGATCGGCGGACCTGCGTAAGTGACACTATGCCCTCTGCGAGACTAGCCTGACGCAATTGAGCAGTGGCTTCATGCCGAATGGTGGAGGTATGCCCAACGGAGGCATGATGATGGCTCAACCAACTGGCTTCTATTAGAGTGATTAACGAGCGGTTATGATCTGGTCGGAGCATCAGAGCAAAAGTCCCATTATTGTATACATCTCCCTCGACTCTCTACCCTCTCTTGCCGTGAGACCCTTCTGTGCCATCCTGCTACATCTCTATCCGACACTCATCTCCCCCTCTCCTCCTCCCCTTTCCCCGATTTAAAATCCCTTTTGGTATTCCCCGTAGCACGAGCAAACAGAGATGAAAATGATGAATTCTGAGAAAATGATCAGTCGACTTTAATCTAAACCTCTTCATCAGTCCATGAGAGCTCTGTTTCGTGCTGCGAGAGCTAGTTCAAGGCTCTTCAGCACGTCGCATGCCTCGAGACAGCATCAAAATGTACTGGACGAGCTAGAAGCAAGAGGTTTCGTGGCTGCCGTCACCAGGTACGACTGCTGCACCCGAAGCCAGCTGAACCCCCCTTCAGCCCGACAATACGCCAACATGTGAACAGCCCCAGTTGTATCTATTCTGGAGTGGACCCATCTGCGCCGTCCTTACATGTTGGTAACCTTCTTCCGCTCATGGGCCTACTGCACTTTCACCTCGCAGGACATGAAGTCATAGCTCTGGTGAGTATGTGCAATTTGTAACGGAAGCTTATCGCTCCAGGTGGGCGGAGCGACTGGATCTATCGGAGATCCTTCGGGACGTTCGAGCGAACGACCTATCCTCTCGGCTGAACAGCTGAAGACGAATGTGGAAGGGATCACCGGTCAGATTGGAAAGTTCTTTGCTCGGGGCGAAGAGCTTGCTTCTTTGTTTGTGGAGGCCAAACCTCCGGTCAAACGGCATCCTGTCAAGGTGCTCAACAATCTGGAATGGTTTGGTCAGATGAGCCTACTGGATTTCCTGCGAGGGACAGGGAAGCAAGCTCGTGTCAGCGCTATGCTGTCGAAAGAGAGGTCAGGAAGGAGCTTTGAGGATTCAAGCTAACATCTGCCAGTGTCAAATCACGTCTCGCTGACGGAGGAATCTCTTTCACTGAATTCTCGTATCAACTTTTACAAGCGCACGACTTCTCAGTCCTCAATCAAGAGTACGGCTGTCGTATCCAACTTGGAGGGAGTGATCAGTGGGGAAACATCGTCGCTGGCATCGACCTCATTAATCGGCAACGGAAAACTTTGAACGCTGAAGAGGGTCCCATCGAATCAGAGTCGCAAGATGAAGTCTTTGGCATGACTCTGCCCCTGCTGACTACAGCCTCTGGAGAGAAGTTTGGAAAGAGTGCTGGAAATGCGGTCTGGCTGGACGCTTGCAAAACCAGTGTATCGGATCTGTACCAATTCTTCTATCGGCAACCTGATTCCATGGTTGAGGTGTACCTGAAGACTTTGACGTTGTTGCCTCTGGCAACTATCGAAGAAACCTTGGCTCGACATAGAGAAAGGCCTCAGGAGAGGATCGCTCAACGAGTGCTGGCAGAGCAAGTGACTCACCTGATCCATGGCGAGGATGTTTTGCAGAAATGTCTGCGGGCTGCCGAGCTCTTGTTCAACACTCCACTATCGCAGTATCGATCCGAGGAGATAGCACACGTCTTCGCAACGGATACTCGGTTCAAGACAGTCTCTTGGAATGACATTGAATCGATCCCCCTGCGGAAAATTATGGCGACGTACGGGCTGACCGCATCAAGCAGTGAGTAAGATGGCTGGAGGCGCGGTTGACCAGTCAGGTGCTGCTGCGAAAGCCTGTGCCGAAGGCGCCGTATCTGTGAACGGAGCCAAGGTTCTTGATCACAAGTCGTGCCTCGACAAGACACTCATGCTGGACGATCACCTCTTTATACTGAAATTAGGCAAGAAGGATCAATTCATACTGTATGTAGAATAAGTATTCATGGTAGGCATGACATGAACGAAACATGGACCCGTCGACCTACGCCATCCATCCGTGCGAATTCCAGGTCTCGAATGGCAGGCTCCCATTGACCTGCACCTGTTGCTGAGACATGCCCGGATGCACCGGCGCATTGACTGCGTTCCCAGATACAGCTGCGGGTTCCCATCCAAAGTTGAAGACTTTGCTGAGGAAGTCCTCTGGAGCCTGGTACGCTTCTGTTGGCGCTCCTTGGACGGAGCCATTACCACCAGGAGCAGCGAAATACGATGCGAATGCGTCCTCTGCCGAAACGTTGGCAAGCGGTTGCATGTACCCAGCAGACGAGTTGTCCATGTTTAAAGGCACGTCTGGATCCATAGGCAATTGGAAAGGCGAGGTCATGCCGCTTTGTCGAGCCGAAGGCGGCGGTAGTAATCCGCCAAGACTTAAAGAGGGGGCATGCTGAGGGGCATGAGATTCTGCCTGAGGCAAAGGGTACGCATCAAAGACCGGTCGATCTCGAGGTGTATCGGAAAAGATTCGCATGTCGATCTCCCGGCCAGTCTTCGGCTGAGGGCTCTTGCTCGTACTTGACGATCCGGACTGCGCGGGGGACGCAGAATCGAATTGAGCTTGGTGCAGGAGGCGTTTGACGGCACGTTGAAGGGTTTGATCCTCCTCGTCTTGCTCCGAGGCTGTGGATAATTTTCTTTTGCCGAGAGCCGGCTTTCGCCTGTCCTCTATCTCGTCTGAAAGCTGTCAGCGACAGTACCGGCTACATCACCTACTCATCAACAGATCCAAGACCTTCACCGCTGCTTGAGAAGGGTGGGAGACATCTGCGATGCGCCTGTGATGTCAGTCAGATCAGGCGGAGGTGGACGCACCTCATCTGCTCCAGGGCGCCGCGCACCTCGTGTATCTCTTGCTCCGTCTCGTTTGAGTGCAGATTGCGTTTTGGAGTGCGCTGCTCGGTCAGCGACACAGCTGCCTTGCACGAGCACGTACCAGTAGGTCAATGATGATCACCAGGGCCGAGACAGACACTGTTCCGTATCAGAATCTCATTCAGTTAAACGCTTACCATAGAAAAGGGGTAGCCACCACTTCTCTAAAAACGATGCGCTCTCGTTGTGCTTGCCCATCATCCGCAGACTAGCCCTCGCGGCACGTATACATTGCTCCTTGGAGTAGGCGAATCTGTAAGTCAGCCCGCTTCCTTTGACACGACCAACCGTTGATCGGTATAACCTCGCCACAGCCAAGGACGATGAAGCCGCAAGACTCGCGAGTGCACGGCGAGGTTGAGCATTATTCGCTCGTAGAATTGAACTTGGTCCCCTGGATTTGTGGAGGCCGGACCTCGACCCGAATCAGGCTGATAGAAGGGCGGAAGGTCCATCATGGCCCTTCGCAGCTCGCCATCAACGCTGAGAATGAAGGGATACGGCGATTCGATCGGCGAGTTATTGGCTGCCCAGATTTGACGATGACCAATCTCGGCAAATTTGAGTCTAGCTAATTGGAATGACATTCGAGTGTACACGTTCACAGGTTGCGGCCGGAACGGCTGTCCGTCGACGAGGTCGTCGTCCTCAATGTTGCCCGGCATGGCAGTTTTGACTACGATCAGCATGATCCGGATGTGTCCTCAACTTACTCTGCTCCGGGTGAATGCAGCAGGCATAGTTGTAGGATGGGGCAAGGGACCAATCTAGCCACACCAGATTCCACCATATCCGTCTGCCCACCTCTCGCTCGATCAAACTTTTCCACCTGCCGACCCATTGGGCGGTAGGCTTGCCATCGACCACCTCGGGCTCGCTGCCTAGACGCGAAAGTCCCAGTCCTTGCGCCATTTTGATGATGGCTCCAAGCATGGCCCACGCTGCATCGCTTCGATCGCGATTTTTCTTGCGATCGTCAGCATTCATGCGTTCATCTTGAACATGCTCACCATGTACACCATGAGTAGGATGACAGATTGTATGGACTCGGTGGAGTGACAGGCGATAAAGTCGGCTCCCCATAAAGCCTGGAATATCAGCCTTGAATGTCATCCCGATACGTACCGATCGGACAGAGTTGTACCAGAGATCAGGAAGGTAGCAGGCCTCTTCGGTTGTGAAATATTTGACACTCTCGCTACTGTCCATGAAGATGAGTCCAAGCTGTGAGGAGGATGAGCCGAGTATCTCGAAACTTGGCCTACCAGGCACACTGTCATGTACAGTGCTACAGAGGATAGCGGTATCTCATGGACGACCTGTTGACGATCCAGATTCCAGATCTCACGGCATAGCTTCATGAAGGTCGGGACGTGGATGCCTTACAGGTCAGCCGCTGCCACACTGGGCGGATCTCACATCTGTGTAGCCAATCGACCTTTTCGAGGTACTGCGTGATCAGCTAAATCCAGCTTTTCCTGATCTCACAGTCCTGACCAGCACCTCTCCGATCTCCTGATCTGGCAAGATCCTGACCAGCAGCTTGAGGACCACATCTGTCTGCCTGAAAAAGATGTTGACGACATCTGTCGGGCCTAGCAAGTCGAGCAACTCATCCGTCCGCCTGGACCGTTCCTCCTCGCTCAGTGCAGGGCCCAAACCGACCAGTCGCCGCTGCATAGCGCTCACTCCATCCGAGCTCTTGGTCGGTGATCCGTCCCGGCCTTGGCCTTTGTAATCTCGCATTCGCGTGAATCCCCCTGATATACCACTGACGACTCGGGCACCGAAATGTGGCACCGCCGTGCCTCCGTCGACTCTAGATCGTCCGAAAGCGAGATGCTCCAGGACTCGCGCAGCACCTTCAGTATCTTCGATCTCATCCATATCCACACTGGGGCCAGGTATGCTCTGACGGGGCGTCAAGCGCGGGGATGTCGGTCGACTGAGATCTCTGGACTCGTTGAGTCGGCTCGATTTCAGAAAATGATCCATATCTGAGGGTAGCAAGGCTCCAGACTTGATCAGAGAGGCTTCGAGAGCGTCCAGTCTATGAGCGAGCAGAGCCAGATCCGACGTACTGGCGACGTTGCTGCTGTTGGACACAACGTTCTTCTCCGCCATGCCCACTTCGTGACACCGATCTTGATCTGATCTCAGGATGCAGGGTCCACAAGGGAACTTTTTGTCGCATTTGATCTTTCGTCTGCGGCATTCGGAGCAGCTTTGAACGATACGCCTCCTCGTGGCATGTGGTTTTCTCTCTCTGGGCTTGTTGCTGATAATTTGACCTGGACTGGCTGCTTCCTCCAATTCATCCTCGTCTGAGCGAGACATCTTGTCCGGTGATGACCCCCGGACAAACAATGGTGTCTCAACCTTGACCTGATTGGAAGCAGCGAAATGCGGCTGAGCAGGCGGATGCTGAGCAGTATATATTGATGGTGGGATGCCGTATCCCTGGCGTCCAGGCATCATGCAGACTCGGTCGATGTGAAGGGGGCGGGAGGGGGAGAATGTAGAAGGTGATGATACAAAAAACGTAGCAATTAGCCGATCCGATGGAAGCAAATTCTCGAGGCCGCGTCTCGAGTAATCAGGTGCAACTTGGTCATCGTTATTTCATCTATCTACGACATCGTCGATAGGTTTAGAGTCGTGACTTTGCCCCGGTGACCGAGGGCTCTGATCAAGAAGATCTTGCTCGAGATGTCTGCTCTCGCGTCTTCATCAACTGTGGTCGCACCAGCTGGAATGGACCCGGACAAGTATGAAGCCATCAAAGCGTATCGAGCGGTGAGTAAGGTTCGAGCCATCCTTGGCTGATCGTGTCTACAGAAAGTGAAAGAGCACACAGAGATTGGGGAAAGGTTGAAAAGAGGTGCGGAACCCAGCTTTCGGTGGTGACTGATACAACAGTTCGATTGAATATCCAATCTTTGTCTGGCGACTTTGACAAGACGGAGGATGATATCAAGGCGTTACAATCCGTGGGCCAGCTTATCGGAGAGATACTCAAACAGCTGGACGATGAGAGATGTGATTATGCTCAGAATACGCTAGCTGATCATCTAGTCATCGTCAAGGTATCCTCTGGACCTCGATATGTGGTCTCGTACAGGCCAACCCTGCCCGCTGCCAAGGTGAGATGACAAACGACGATCCTCGCTAACAGCCAGCTCAAACCTGGCGTCCGAGTCTCCTTAGACATGACCACTCTCACCATCATGCGGATTCTCCCACGAGAGGTCGATCCCATGGTTTATAACATGTCCTTGGAGGATCCTGGCGCGGTATCATTTGCCGGTATCGGTGGTCTTGGAGAGCAGGTCAGAGAGTTGAGAGAAGTCATCGAGCTGCCCTTGATGAATCCCGAGTTGTTTGAGGTGGGGTCGAGCACGAATCTGTGGCGCTGACTGTCTCAGCGCGTCGGGATCAATCCACCCAAGGGAGTCCTGCTGTACGGGCCGCCCGGTACAGGTAGGTCAAAATTAGCATCAACGCCGCTTACAGGACCAGGCAAGACACTGTTGGCCCGAGCTGTCGCGGCAACCCTCAACACCAACTTTCTCAAAGTTGTCTCATCAGCTGTACGTCCAGATTGAATCACCATTGTGCTCATCGCCGCGGTCTAGATCGTCGACAAATATATCGGAGAATCTGCTCGACTCGTCAGAGAAATGTTCGCGTACGCCAAGGAGAATGAGCCCTGCATCATTTTCATGGACGAGATCGATGCCATCGGGGGTAGGCGTTTCAGTGAAGGGACTAGTGCGGATCGAGAGATTCAGAGGACATTGATGGAGGTGGAGTTGTCACGCGCGAATTTTGAGCTGACAAGCAGCTGTTGAATCAGATGGATGGATTCGATTCTTTGGGCAAGACCAAGCTCATCATGGCGACCAACAGACCAGACACATTGGATCCTGCTCTGATGCGACCAGGTCGTCTGGACAGAAAGATTGAAATTCCTCTTCCGAATGAGCAGGGACGACTGGAAATTCTCAAGATTCACGCCATGAAGATCAACAAGTCTGGAGACATTGATTATGAGGCCGTGGTCAAACTCAGTGATGGTTTCAACGGAGCAGATTTGAGAAATGTTTGCACCGAAGCGGGCATGTTTGCCATCCGCGAGGATCGGTGAGCATCTACCTCTCTCTCTCTCTTTTGGTTCCGAACTGACAGTGTCCAGCGACGCGATCGTCCAGGAGGACCTCATGAAAGCCTGTCGAAAGCTACGCGATGCAAAGAAGCATGAGACTGCAATGTGAGTTCCTTGGGGTTTAGTTCCAGCTGACATTTGTTTTCCAGGGATTACAAGGCGTCATAGATATGCCCTGACAATGATGATGATGCATGGTAATGGCTACAATATCTATGATTTAGCAGCGAGAGCATTGATGATCCTGCTACACTTTTCGACACCCTCTTTGACCAATTCCTGGTCCCGTGCTTTGACTCGAGGCAAGATTCGGCTGAAGAAACGGTCGGGATGGAAGGCACGAATGGCCTCTCTGAGAATCTTTCTGAGTTCGTCGTCTCCAGATCCACGATCGCCAGCGATGGCCTCGAAGAATGTCCGCACAGCTTCTTGTTCCAGGTCATCGACTCTGACCTGCCGAGAGGAATAAATCGGCCAAGGAATGTCGGCGAACGCAAGCTCGGCCTCTTCGATCTCCCCGCCGACATCTCCGATACTATCCCATCTCGCCCGATAACGATCCCTTTGCGCACGCTTCTTGTCCTCCTCTGCTTTGCCCTTTTCTTTCTTGAGCTTGTCGATTCTCCGTTTCTCGACCCTTCTCGCGGTCTCTTTCGCTTCTTCCATTATTCGCTCTCGCTCAACCCGCTCTTTCCGTATCTTCTCCTGTCTCTCCAACTCGGCCCTGTTTCGCAGACGGTACATCCCATTCCTGACCCACTCAGCGTATTCTTCTTCATCCATGCCAGACATGTCGGGGACGGGACCACCGTCAAACTTGACTTCTCGAGTAGCATCCCTCCGACGCGAAGGACCGGCATTGGAGGCGGAACGACGGTAGCGTGGAGGAACGTGGACGTCAAAGACAGCATCGCGATCCATCGTCGCAAATGGGTTCTCCCTCGACAGCTCCTCCTGTGCCATCCAAGCCATCCGTTCCTGCTCTTCCGCTCGGTCCATTGCCGCTCGTGCTTGACCACCCATCCATCGATATCCGCCCTGCTGTTCACCGCTTTCGTTCCTGCTCAACCCGGGAGCAGGATTCCTTGGCGGTGTGATGGACTCTGCCCGCCCCGTGCGAGGAGGCGAGACGGCATATCCATTGGCTCTACTGATACGCTCCTGTTCGCGACGATAACGTCTCTGCTCCTTCCGATACAATCGTTCAGCCTTATCCTGGCGGGTTTCCTTCCTGTAAAGAGAATGAGCAAGTATCTAGGCGAGCCGTGTATCACTCACAACCTTATTGGGCCACGTCCAGACAAATTGTAATCGTCGTGAGACGACATTGAGTCATCTCAGACGGTAGGAGAAGGACAGATTTGATTCGGCTCACCCACTCGCGCTGAATATTGGGTGGCGACAGCTGCACACACCCATGTGGCGGTCTCTTGTGCATCGAGAAAGAGGACACGAAAGCACACATCAATGATGACCTTGTCAAGACAAGCAAGACCCCGTGTCTCCATACTACGTTCGGGATTGATGATGCGCGTGCTATTCAGCACGGCCGGCTGTAAAAAGGACGTACGCAGGCACGTCCAGGCTTAAAAATGGCGACAGAGATCTGGGATCTCGGAGGTAGATGCAGCACGAAGAACGCCGACGGCCTCGCATCCTCAGTTGGTTCTCGATGAAGTGTCTGAAGAGCTCGATAAATCATCCGAAGGGGATTCACCCCTGGCAGCCTGATCTTCTCATTCGACCCCGTTCATCATGGTAGCCAAGGAAGAACGCATCAGCTTTAAGAACGGTCCAAACCGTCTCGTGGGGATTCTGAGATCCCCCGAAAGTGGATCGGTCTCTGTCAAACTGCCGGCACTGATCATGGTCACTCCAGGGAGTAGTGTCAAAGAACAGATAGGTTCCAACTACGCCCGAGCCATGGTGGAGCATGGATTTGTCACTCTGACTTTCGACCCATGTCATCAGGGAGAAAGCGAAGGGTTCCCTCGAGACCTGGAGAACCCAGCCGTTCGTATCGAAGACGTAGTATGTGCGGTCGACTACCTCTCCACAGTATCGACAGTGGACGAGGAGAAGATCGGACTCATTGGTATCTGTGCTGGAGGAGGGTACGCCGTTGGGGCAGCCAAGATCGATCATCGCGTTAAGGCCCTCGGCGCGGTCGTTCCCGTCAATATAGGTCGTGCTTTCCGCCAGGCTCAGAGCAATCCTGGAGCTATGCTTGCGACTCTCGAGGCGGTCGGGAAGCAGCGCAACGTCGAGATGCAAGGTGGAGAGCAAGTCCGCGTACCTTGGATCCCGGGCTCGGTGGAAGAGGCTGAAAAGCAAGGCGTTGACATTGACACGATGGATGCGGTCAAATACTATCGAACACCTCAGGGTCAGCATCCTAAGTCCACGGGCAAACTCCTCATGACGAGCAACGCCTTCCTCCTGGGCTTTGACGCGTTCAACCTGGTCGAAGAGCTCTTGACCCAGCCGGTGCAGGTCATCGTGGGCGGGAGATTGGGTCTCACATTCTCATACGCCGATGGCAAGACCTTGTGGGAGAAGTGTCAGAAGAAGGAGGAGTTTGTGGTGATCAAGGACGCAGGACATTATGAGCTGTACGACAAGCGAGAATATGTCGATCAGGCCATCGAGTATCTCGTCGCGTTCTTCAAGAAGCACTTGAGCGAATGATGGCCTGAATGAGTCTACTGGAGAAGCCTGGGGTTCATTTCAGTAGATGTGCGGCAGCCAGGTGCCAATTGCTATGCATGGCCTCGCTCGTCTATCTCAGGTCACTTGGAGACCGAACGTATTATAAAACACTGCATCCGGAGACGGGGGCTCGCGCGGACCTCATCCCAGAGTGTGGTCCAAGCCATCACGATCCTCGACGACATGTGCCGTTTTGCTCGCCTGCCGGCGAAGTCGATTCTCCGCTTCGGCTTCTTTGCTGCCTGGCTCGAAATGTGATCCACGGTTGCCTTCCCCAGAGTTGTCCAACGAGAGGAGGTACGACTTTCTGGGAAGACTGCCGTAGACGTGCATGACGACGAGGAAGAGCGTGATGGCGACGGCGACTCCGATCAGAGCGAGCGATGTGAGATTTTCGCATCCAAAGGGGAAGAAGATCAACGCAAGACCAGCTAGTACCTGGACCACGCTTCGCGCAAACTGTGATCGTCAGGGCCCGTGCTCTCCCTGATGCTCACCCTCGGAATACGGCTTGCACTCCTCGGCAAGAGCTCACGGTGCGTGAGATCAATGAAAGTGCCGAATAATATGGCAAAGCCGAGACCGCAACCCCAGTACCTTGTGGATCAGGCAGGGACGGACAGGTTTACCTACCATGCTAGACTGACGTCTACGTGGTTGTCTCGAACCATATGACCACTAGCAGCTGATGCGAGCGTCAGACTGGCGCACAGTGGCCAATGCAAGCTGAGGTCAGCGAGACAACCGACAGTCACTCACAATGAGAAGAGGATGCCAGAGATAAATGATCGCCTCAGGGCATGCTCATAGCTAAACTCAGTGAACGCATTCGGAGACAACTCACTTTGCGTTGGGATCGCTTGGAATGATGTACCTGATGGTCAGACGTATGATCCATGAGTTGACTCACAGATAGTTGAGGGACCAGGCTACGACAAGGCAAAGGGCTGCTCGGCCAAACGCGGGTGACAAGCCAATCTCTCCTCTCTCGCCGATGAACAGGAGGTTCATCCTGAATATCAGCTTGAAAAGGGGGCTCACAGACGTACACTAGTTCGCCGAGCTAGACGGGTCAGACAGTGATCGCACAAGAGATACCTACGACAATGACGACAAAAGCTGAGCTTCTGTCTATAGCATGCTCAATGTTCATCGCGGGGATCCTAAAGTGATCGGGCAGAGAAGGGATCCGGTGCAACTTGAATTGCTCCGGAGCTGGACCTCGGTCTGCAGCATCGGTCCTGTGATATTCCTTTCGCAACTTCCACTGGTGTACATGGCCACGGATGGCAAAAAAGATGAGGTCGAGGCGGATGACGTCGACGACGATGCCGAGTATGGCAAGGATGATCTGAGCCTTGCGAGAGGTGACGAAAAGCAGCGGCTGTCCGGTTAGCTCCGGCCTTCCTCAACCCTTAGCTCACAAAGTACACGAGCATAGGCACAAGGACAGCCAAGCCCGAGAAAAATTGTGCTTGCCTAAAGTCCGGTAAACGCCAGGCGTATAGCCAGAGGACCAGGACTGAGGTCAGGAAGGGCGGAAGACTAGGCTCACCCCTCGTCAGTTTGATAGTCAGCCAAAAGGCAACGGCAGCTTGGACGGCCGAGTGATCCATAGCCTTCTCTTCTTCGCCATGTGGGTGAAGCTCGATGGCAGAGGCATTGATAGAGTATCCAGTGATGCAGATCATTCCGACCAGGATCCAAACTCGATGAAGGAGCTACTGTTCAGAAGAGGGCATACATTTAGAGACCCACATCATCTGTGCCCGAGACGTTGGCATACTTTCTAGCTTCTTCCCAGATACTCCAGCTGAGCCATCAGCACGACACGATCTGTCGGCGTACCTGGGCCAAAAGGTCAAGACGAATCGCAGAACGGCTGGGCCGCCGGGCTCGTCTGGAGAGGTCAGCAGCACCACTATATGAGAACGAGGGCTCTCACCGACAGCGGCTTCCGCTGGGAGGCATCAGCGAGGAGTAGGGACGACACACTCACCTTGGATATGAATAATGGCGACAAAGAGCAGGTCGAAGAAGAGTTCGAAGCGATTGACTTCTCGCGGAGATGCCTCTCGGTAGATCCGACCCTGTCCGCAAGTCAATCCCCATGCGAGATCCACACCTTACGCCTTCGACGTATTGCCTTATTACTGGGGGTCTGACGAGATCTCTGACCCTTGTCGCGGGAAGAGCCTCGTATTCCTTGTCGTGATAGAACATGTGGGAACCTCCCCCAAATTTCTGTACCATGTCATGTTGACTGTTATGGTGGAATGGGTGAGGTGGAGAGGATGGGTGTGACGTTGTCGGTGGAACGACTGCTTCCGAGTTCATGGTGTAGGAATGCGGCGGCGGCTTGGTTCAGTGGACGCTGAGGCTGAGCCTGAGAGATAGCAGGGGCATGCTGCCCTTCTAATCGGGTGAGACTTCGTAGTCGGGATAGTTCAGGATTCGCTTGGCAAAAGTTCAAAGGAACGGGTTAGGTTCATCGAAGAGGCGCGGCTTCACTGTGGCGCAAATACATACCATGGACAGCCATCGAAGTTTGCTATACCCTCTGCTTCTCTACACTGCGAGAATGGCCCACGACCAAGCCTTGTGCATCCGTATGTGTATCCAGTCGCAAGAGGATCCGCGTGAGTCAGCACCCCATGCATTGCTGAGGATTCATTTGTGGTGGCACAATCTGTGGCGGCATCCCAAACGGATTCCGAAAGATGATGGTCGCAGAACTCGGGGTCCGTAGACCGGGTCACAGGCAGCGTTCGCGTGACGGGTAGGGCGGTCAGGATCGACTGGGTCGCAATGGGCCGATGCATCGACAGACGAGGCCCAACGTTTACAATCTGAGTGCGGTACAGATACTTCTGCTGTGAGTTCTCTGCAGGCATTCGTCCACCGGCAGCGCGTTGCTCCGAGTCAGGACGAGCAGATACGCGCCGAGGTCACATTAAGACGCAAGTCTGCCAAAGCCAATCCCTCAGCTGCTGAGGCCGACTCCTCCTCTGTCTCGTTGTACTGTTCGTTGTGAGACTCTGCTCGTGACGGACAGTCTGTCTGCCATTGGAAAGCTCTCAAGATGCCTTGTGCGTCTGCCGGGGTGCATCCCGTGTGCCCGATCGCGGCAAATGACGACGCAAGATCCCTGTTCCTTAGGGGGAGGGAGGTGATGAGAGACCAGGAGACCATAAGTACATCAGTACAGCTCCAAATCATTTCGCCACGCTTCCCTAATTTTAAATGTCCCCCTGACGTTTCAGAAGTAGAGCATGAAGGTCAGGAGGGGGCCAAAGCTGTTTGGGAGACATCACATCCTAGTCTCTGTGTATCTATCTATCAATCTCCTTGACGGTGCATGATGTTGTAATACCTCCCACAATTCTGGACGGCCACCCGCCGGCAGCTAGACCCGAGCCATCGCTCAGGCCTCCCTGAACCTCCGCCCTAGTACATACCTTTGGGCCCAAACACTCTGAAAGTATCATGGCCGCTGTCGGCTTGTCCACCTTTGGCACTTCTCCCGAATCGGATTCATACCTTGCCAGAGCTGCAATGTCGACCACCATGTCGAGTCACAGCACCGATCAATCTTCCATCTCAGAAGCTCAGCCTACTCGAGCTACCATGGCGAGACTGGCCTCCGCATCTTCTCATCAACTCTTCCACTCGTCATCACACCGACCTGACTCGATGGCGAGCGATCAAACGGATCACATCGTGGACGCGTTGGCGAGTTTGCCATGGGCCGAGCCGCCTACGAAGTCGTCCCCTACATTGTCGGCCGCGCGTACACCTACCTACTCGTTCCTCTCTTCCGACCCCTCTCAGCCTCGTGCGACGCAGTCGCGGCATGACTCTCGGGCGTCAACAGCGTCGTCTAGGCGAATGAGGAGAGAGGAGGACTTTCCCATGTCACCTAGTGTCATGACACATGATTTTCACGAGATCCAAGTGGCGAGGCTGTCAAATTGTTCTGGTATGGCAGACGTTTCGATCAGGGGCTCTACATACTCGGCAGCGCCATCGCCTTACGCTCGGACGTTTGGCATCACGCCAGAGGTGACTCCGCATTCCGGTTCACGTTCTGCGAGGAGCTCCATGATCAGAGCGTTGTCGAGACGGAGCGTTCGGAGCAAATCCACCAAGTCGTCCAAGTCGAAACGAGGATCTTCATCGACTCTTGGTCATCGATTTGGAGACAAGCGATGGGAGTGGGCCAAGAATGACAACAGTGTCGAGGTAGAGGAGACCATGGATCTTTTGTCCTTGGTAGGGAGAGCAACGGTCTTGGAGCGGATGCTCAAGCGGGGCAAGCGGGTGAGCAAGAGAATATGATTGGAGCTGATGGATCAAGGTCAGCACCGCCACTCAACATTCGTTGAGGATACCCTCGAGAGTCTCCTCGCGGGCATCTTCTCGTCCAAGAACGCGTACACCGCAATCGTCGCGATCTCTTCGTATGCGCCTGTCTCGAAGACTAAGGCGTCAGTCATCTCAGGAAGACATCTTCACCGAGCTAGCAAGTGACGACGAGGAGGAGGAGGAGATGGATGATCCGACTCTTTTCCCACCAGAGGCGCAAAGGAGACGGTTCTCACTCCCTCCGTCCTCCTACCATCGATTCATGCGCGGTGTTCAAGTCAGCGAGAACATTGTCGTGTTTCCACAAGAGCGACCACCACCTGTACCGGAAAAGGATGTCTTCAATTGTACACGGGTGATCTGTGTGGACCCCATGTCACCGTTGTGGATCCCGGTGGATCTAGGAGAGGCTGAGAAGGGTGAGGGAGTGGCCGATCGAAGTCAATCGCCTCATCTAGGTCATCGAAGTCCCCATTGGAGGAATCGGCAAAGTGTCATTAGTTATATGTCGATGGGTCAATGGGATCAGCTGGCTACCAGGCGATGGTGGATCGCCGTGGGGTCGGGTGTGGCATTGATCCTTGTATTGATCGTCGGGCTCCTAGCTGGGTTGTTGAGTAGACGATAGTGTGTTGTCTTTGGGAAGTAGGAATTTGTCTGATGATGATATTCATACAAAGAAAATCTCGTCAAACCCTCATTGAATCTAATAGCTCCATGGACGACACGGAATTGCCTCGGATCACCTGTCATGAGCTCAGATCGGGCATCGGACCACTCACGACCATCCCACATGGTTTCCTGATTCCCGCTCCGAGCTCCTCGTACGCATTGTCGACGACCAAGTTGAGGAACATGTCGAATCCTCGGAGTACACCAGAAACGTTACGACCGCCTTGGAGGTGAAGGAACAGGCGACGGTCCATAAATTCTGGGAAATGGTTAGTACACGCATCGATGGCACTCCTTGACTTACTTTTCAGCTCGGGCTGAGCGACTCGAGACATGGTGGATGGTGTGTTGTTACTTAGGATAGAGTGCGATATGGGACGCTCATCAAACTTGTCCTCGTCGGCGGAATCAAAATATCCCACCGTCGCCTATCACAGGGAATAGGCGCAACCGTTTTCGTTCACCCTGGACACCGCATCCATTATTACACCTGGCTGTCGTCTGTTCGTCACTCGACATACCACCCATGTCACCGAGGGATAGGACAGCAGAGTTTCACTCGACGCTCTCGTCTATCCGTTCACGCACAGCCTTGCCAGCGGTCGGGAAAGGCAAAGACGAGGCGAAAGAGAGGCTCTTAAGTCGGCCGGATAAAGGGAAAGGCAAGGATGCAAAGCCAAGTGAATTCGGTCGGATGGCAGGAGCCATCGCGAAGGACATCAATGCGACGACGTTGAAACTGCAAAAGCTTGCTCAGTGTGAGTAGACTCGGATCGGAATCGTATCGTAACTCATTATGCCGCTCAGTGGCCAAGCGCAAAACGTTGTTTGACGATAGGCCGATTGAGATCTCTGAATTAACCTACATCATCCGTCAAGATATCGCTTCACTCAACACCCAGATCGCCTCTTTACAGTCTTATGTCCGGTCTCAGAAACAAGGAGCCACAAAAGGCGCAGGTGGACAGGTCGACGAACATAACAGCAACGTCGTCATGTTGCTCCAGAGTCGATTGGCCAATATGGGCATGGGGTTCAAGGATGTGTTGGAGCTCAGAACGCAAAACATGAAGGCGAGCAAGGATAGGACAGAACAGTTTATGCACACTGCTTCCAATGCTACGTTGCCTCAGCCGAGCAGTGAGTCCCGGAAGAGGGGGGGGGGGGGGGGCGAGTATTGTGCTGATCACGTTACAGACTCCCTCTTGTTCAACCAGACGCAAGGTGGTCCTGGGTCTGGATTCTCAGACCGCAAGGGGAAAGCGAGGGCTGTACCGAGTGAGAATGAGAAGGATTTCCTGGCTCTGGATCTGGATGGTGACAGAGGCGAGAGTGGCATGGTCAAAGGGGAGGGGTATCAGCAGATGCAACTGGTTGAGCAGCAGGTGAGGGGGAGTCGCTCTGGCACTGCTGATTGCATTTCCAGGACAACTATATTCAGTCACGGTCTACTGCTATCGAGTCGATCGAATCGACGATTGCAGAACTCGGTCAAATCTTCTCTCAACTCGCCGGTATGGTGGCTGAACAGAGAGAAACGGTGCAGCGCATAGATGCCGATACGACGGATATCGCTGCAAACGTATCTGGCGCCCAGAGGGAACTTCTCAAGTACTACGCCTCTATTTCATCGAATAGATGGTTGATGCTCAAGATATTTGGCGTTTTGATTATTTTCGTGAGCAGCTTCGCGAGAGAGTTGAGCTGAATCAACAGTTCCTCGTCTTCATCCTAGTGTCATAACGTATGCATAATCACTCGGCAGGCATGCGTTGGGCGTCTCGTGTACGGCGTTCGTCCTCGGCTCGCTGACGTTCTTCCCGTTGACGTTGTTGCGCGTCGTGGTAGCGTCGCTCGTGCGCCTCGAGTGCAGCGAGCGCGGTGTCTGGCGTCTGGCTCGAGAGTTGGTCCGCGGAGCCTGTTGCCTGGGTTGAGAGCTGGTCCGCGGAGTCTGTCGCCTGGGTCGAGAGCGGGTCCGTTGGTGTGGCCTCATCTCCAGCCTTGGCCTTCTCCACAACCTTGCTCTTCTCCTCCTCGACCAGCCCCTCCAGCTCTGCAGCCAGATCGTCCTCATCGATGTCTTCACCTCCCACCATTCGAATGGCATCGTCGATTTCGCGTTGACTGGCGATCGCCTCGGCGAGATCGTCTGTCGTTTTGTTGACGTGATCGACATCGAGCGCTGGGTTGGAGAGGATCGTTCGGAGCGTGGCGTTGGAGGTCTCATACGTCTCCATGATCTGTGATGCGAGTCAGCGACACTTATCTGCATCACTCACCTCCACGTCGTCCTTGGCTTGATCTATACTTGTCAGCACTGTCCTCAGCTGGTGAGCGACGCCGAGTCGTTTGTCCAGGACCTCTTCCAGCGCTTTCTTCCGTTTGAGTTGGGCCAGAGCGAGATTGCGTTGATGGACGTGGGCTTTTGCCTTGGCTTGACACCTGAGGGTGGGTCAGGTTTAGTCACAGACATGGATGCTCACTTGTCAATCTCCACTTGGAGCTTGTCCACTTGCTCGTCTATCCGCTTCAAGGTCGTCACGATGGTCAAGGTGCCTTTGTCCGCTTCCGTGATGCTGTCGGAAGAGATACGAATTGTTTCGCCCTCCATGACGACGACGCCGCAGTCGCGACTGAGCCAACGTAGGAGGACCTGTGTGTCGCGTATGGACAAGGTGTGGCGACCTGCTGGCAGCGTATCGCTATCTGGGAATATGATCTCTCCAAACTCGTCACGGAAGGAAGAGGGCGTGAACAAGGAGGCAGAGTATGATATCGGAGGGTTGTCCTCGATGTAAGCTATAAAGTTGGCTGCGGTTTCCTTTTGGAAATCAGCAGGATGCTCCAAACAAGCGCGCCCACCTCGAGTAGAGGCATATGAACATAATCTTTGCCTTTGTATCGTTTCCACAGGGTCTCTTCCTTCTCCACGGTCGTCGTCGATGAGCCAAACGGGTTGACCTGAGCGAGGATCCACCAGAGCGGGCGACCGACAAAGCGATAGGTCAGGCTCGCAGGTGAGTGTATGGGTAGAGTCGAGGCCATAAAGTGAGTCAAGGGGTGCCAAAACGGCGGTGAGGAGGTCGATTGATTGAGCTGTCACTGTTCAGATGCCAGATGCCAGGATTTGTTAGGGACGGAGACTCACCGCTAGACCGCCGAGACCTCTCGGGAGCGTCCCATCGGCTTTGGCTAATCGCTTTGCTGTCTTGTCGTCCAGAGTCAAGACTAATCGATCGGGATCGGTCTCGGAGCGATTCAACCATCCGCTGCGAAGGGTCTCTTGGACGACTTGAGACCACCAGGAGATGTTGGCGTTGTAGCCTGTAGGATTGGATTCTCTCTGAGACGAGGAGGAGGCGTAGAGGGCATCGAGGCGGGGTGAGGAGGGGATGGAGACGGGAGGCGGGGAGACGGATAGGAACGGCGGCAGGGAGGGGGAGGCGGTAGCTGATGGGGTTTGATGAAGGAGCGATGTGGACATGGTGGCGAAGGCAAAAGAGGGGGGGGGGGGGGGGGCAAGGGGTGGGTGGCGAGGGGATGGGTATGGTGCTCGGGTGAGCTGGTGGGCGGCGGAGCAGTCGTCCTCCAGATACGATAGAGGTCAACTGCCTCGAAGGTCGATCAAGACTCAAAGGTGGACAACGTCATGAAGCTTGATGATTTTTTGGTCGCGTCGGTTCCGAGACAGTCTCGCGGCTGTAGTAGTAGTGATGCACCTCATGATGGACGCACAGACAGCACTGTCCCTCGTTGCCTCCTTCTTCCCTCTCGAATGGCGTATCAAGCCGACCGAGGTCGACGTTCGACCGATCCTCGGAGGCTTCGTCAACCGCCTGTACCTCGTCTCGAGGACGACGCGAGCGGATCGTGAACCCTCGCGAGTCCTCATACGCCTCTTTGGTTTGGGCCCAGGACTCGAGGAACCTCCCGTTACCAGCTCGACGCTCTCGGCGACTGAACAGGCAGTGATGTATTACGAGATGGGCCGTCGTGGATGGGGGCCTAGACTTTACGGGGTGTTCAGAGGTGGGAGGCTGGAGGAATGGATTGATAGTCGGACGTTGAGGGCGGACGAGGCGACGTTGTTGTGTAAGGACATGGCGAAGAGTCTCGCGAGGTTCCACTCGTTGATTCTTCCGCTGAGACGGACGACCTTTGGTTCGGTGGTGGAGGAGCTCAAGGCGGCGTGTGAGGCCAATAAGGATCACCCATGGTTCACAGAGACTGATTGGCCTGCCGAGTTGGACTGGGTGGCGAGCTTGTTCACGAGATACAAGTGCAAGGCGTCACTCGCACTGATGGATGCAAACTATCTCAACGTGCTCGTCAGAAACGATGCAGAGGTCGTGCTGATAGACTATGAGACGGCGACATATGCATACAGAGGGATCGATATGGGCGGATTCTTTACAGCGAGGATGTACGACTGGAATGCGAATGGTAGCAAGTTGACCGGATGTGCGTTACCGTCGCCCGAGGAAGAGAGGTCGTTCTGTGAGGCGTATAAGGAGGAGCTGGGCGAGGACGACGTCGACGTGGACCAGCTGCTGGTCGAAGCGAAGATTGGCCAGCTGTATCAAATATTGTTCAGTGTGTTCATGTGTGGAGAGTTGAAGGCTTTGGAAGAGGATTTGCTGGATGCTTTGGGTCACATGCTGGAGTCGTACAAGCGGCTCAAGGCGGGGTGGCAGGGGAATACAGAATGGACTCAGAGGTGGGCGTCGTGTCGAGACGGATATACGGCGATTTGACCTGGACCAGGGGATAACCTTGTGTAGGAGCTCATATCCGTGAGACTTTGCTCAATGTGTGCATGCATACCAGGTGAAGGTATCTCAGATGGAAGCTATACTCGTGCCACTCAACTACACTCGCACCACTCGACCATACTCGTACCTCTCGGCTACACTCACTCTATCGACCGTGGGATGCCGGCGCAGCGCGTCGCGTTGCGAGGTGACCCTTTTGAGTGAATCGAACGAGCACGGGGGAGGCGATCGGTGGAAGGGTTACGGGCGTCACGGCAGGTGACAATGGGTCGATGAGGGAGGAAATTTTCATGCTGGAGCTAGCACTGGTGGGCCGTGCAGCGCATCCTGTGGAGAGATACGGGTGGACGTCGAGATCTTTGGGCCGGACGTGCGCAGCCGCTTCAACGAGGACGGAGAAGGCGTGCTGTTCGCCGCCTCCCCAGATACGTCGGAGCGAGTGGACTTGATCGGACAGACCGTGTGAGAGGAGAGTCGACTCGAGATCGTGGATCCAATTGTCTAGGGCCGCTTGACGATGTTGAATGGAGTGGAGGCTGCGATTAAGAGAGGCGCACTCGTTGTGGAGTGTGAGGTTGGCGCGTTCAAGTGCAGCCATGTGGTTGGCTCGACGGACTGATAAATCGGAGTGAGGAATGAGACCTTTTGCGACACTCACTTCGCAGGTTACGCTGCTTGACCCGGTTCTTTTCCCGCTTGATCTCTAGCTTGCCCTGGGAGTCAGTGTCGGAGGGGGCGTAATCTGGGCTGATGGGTCGAGCGGTGGTGCGTCGAGGGCGGAGGTTGGGGACGGCGGCTGGGGTAGCGGTGATGATGGGTCGGGGGCGAGTGGATTTGGGCATGGTGGGGGTGGTGGTGGTGGTGGTAGATGAGGTCGCTTAGATTGAGGACGCGACTCTTATATAATTCTCCCTCTTCCAAAGGAAGGCAGAAGTAGCGTGGAAACTAGCCAAGACGGGCAAAGGGTGGTGAGTCAGAAGGTGACATGAATAGTTGCCCCCAATACAAACTGCGATCAATGTCGAGGAACAGGATCAGTATTGGACCTGTGTCGCGAGTGTACCTATCATTATGTGTGAGTGGATTGTGAGTTTGTCGCCGCTGCTGTCGTGGCCATCACACTTCTCCTCGCTCCATCTCCCTTTTGACGACGGGGTAGTCGCGACATTGTCACCACGCGGTGTCACCACAGAGATAGCGACAGAGTTGATCGAAAGGGATATACAGACACGGCTGCCCGGTGGCCGGTCTAAAGGAAGGGGTTCCTATACAGTCATCGCCAAGAGCAGTGAGCTATAGCGTTAGACGGGTTATCAGTACCTTGATCATCAGCAGAACGAGTCTTGCAATGGTGCGCTACACTGACCCCTTAGGATGTTTCCCCCCCAATCTGTATCAGCCCTTTGCATCATCTGTCTGTAGTGGGAGCATCAGTGTCAAGGTCGTGTGATTATCACATTGTGACGTGGCAGCCATAGTCCAGCCAAAAGAACGAACCTAGCTCGGACGACAGGGGTTTGGTAGCGAGAGGGAAAGTACTCTAGCCATGAACAACGTCAGACCAGTGGTACACCTAAGGCTATCTGTGGCTACTACACCCCTCTCCCATCGCCTGTCAAGTCATATTCCACGTTCAGAGTTGAAACCTCCTGGTGTGCGACGTACACCTGGAAGTCCGCGCGAAGGCCTTCCGGAAATACCTCTCCACCGTGGGAATATGCACTCCTTTCATCCGGCCCGGACAAAGCATCTTCCATCCATGACACTTGCCAGCACTACACCATGCTCCCCCGACTGCTCCTATGTTTCCTCCTCCTCCTCCTCAGCTCGACCGTTTCCTGCTCCGATGTTCTTGACCCATGTGCACCTCTTCGCGAAGCCGAGGGCTTGCTCAAAGAGCTCGCGCCGGGTGCGTACGCCCACCTCGATCGCAAGTTGGGTGTATCGTTGACGACCCCTGGACCTGGTCCAATCTCAACGGCATTGAGGATCTTCCCACGACTGCTTGACCCGATAGTCTCCCGTGTGCCATCATCCTCACGTACGAGGAAAGCGTTGAGGGTCACCAAGAGCCGTAGAGGGAAGATTGAGCTCATGTCGAGGTTACTTGACGAAGCGGAAGAATCGGGATGCGAGAGGGTTTGGGCGGTCAGGGGGAAATTGAGCATGGTGAGTAACGCTCGACTCTCTTTCTCTCTCTCACACGACTTGACCACAACACAGTTTCCGCCGAGAGACATCCCGCAAGACCTCCCCAATTCGTTCAAAGCGTACAGCGTGAGCATTGTTGCGTCCACCCCCCCTTGCTGATGATCCCTCTCTCTCAGAGGTCCCTCGGAACATCATCCGATCCCGAGGCACAATTCATGCTGGGCGTATTCTACGCCACGGGGATCGGCAACGTGACTGAAGACCAGGGCAAGGTGAGCGCACTGGCACGATGCCATACTGATCCCCAGGCCTTGCTGTACTACACGTTTTCCGCGCTGCAGGGATACAAACCCGCACAGATGGCTCTGGGATACAAGTACTGGGCAGGAATCGGAGTCAAAGAGGTTCGTTGTTCACACTGCTGACTCATGCTGAAGACTTTCAGGACTGTCAGGTGGCCCTGGACTACTACTCGGATGCGGCGGAAAAGGGTGAGACCAACCTGCATGTCCCCCCACTCACGCGGCCCCCTCAGCCTACGCCTCCTTCCTCGGACCGCCTGGAGGTCGAGCGCTCCCCCTTGTCACGACACGCCTGTCCGATCGCGCCGGTGGGATCTATGGCCTCCAAGCCTCCTGGGCGTCTAGCAACGGCAACGCGCTCCGCGCGGCGGTCAAAGCCTCCCTCGCTACCGCCCGAGGAGAGACCGAGGAAGAGATTCTGGAATACTACCAGTATCATTCCGATCGCGACTCCCACAAGTACACTGTCAGTCTCGGCAAATTATTCTACCTCGGCAGCGTGTACCCGTCTCGCGGTGGCATTGGTTCCGGGGCTGAACGCGTCGGCGAGATCCCACAGAGCTTCGTGAAAGCCAGAGAATACTTTGTCAAAGTCGCTCGAACGCTTTGGCCAGTGGACGAGGTCAACGGACAGATCGCACCGAAACGCAAGCTGAGCAAAGAACACGAAGACGCCATCAGGGAGTGGGCGATGATTGCCGCGAGTTTTCTCGGTCGGATGCACCTCCGTGGCGAAGGATCGAAAATGGACTATCGCAAGGCCAAAATGTGGTACGAGCGAGCCGCCGAGTTTGGCGACAAGGAAGCGCACAACGGATTGGGGATCATGCACCGTGACGGGCTGGGTGTCAAGGTGGACAAGACAAAGGCATTCCATTACTTCTCGGCCGCCGCGGCGCAAGACCTCGCCGAGGCCCAGGTCAATCTCGGTAAATTGCATCTGGAAAAAGGAGAGCTACCGGCAGCCGTCCCATTGTTAGAGGTCGCCCTGCGCAACGGGTCCCCGTTCGAGGCCTTTCACCTCCTCGCCCGAGTCCATGCCAGCTCCAGTCGAACGGGGGGTCGACCGGGCATGTGTGGCGTGGCCGTGGGCTGGTTCAAAGTCGTCGCTGAGCGAGGGAGCTGGGAAGATGATTACGTCGCTGAGGCGGATCGTGCATGGGCACGAGGTGAAGTGGACAACGCCATGGTGGGATGGATGATTGGATCAGAAATGGGCAGTGAGGTGGCGCAGAACAATGTCGCGTTCATCGGGCAGGACAGAGGGGTCGATGTGCTGAGATGGTGGATCCGGAGTGCGGCGCAGGATAATGTCGACTCGATGGTCAAAGTCGGGGATATTTATTGTGAGTCCACCTACTCTTCCGCTCGAGCTGAGGTTCAGACGCCGGAGGCGACCTGCCGCCGCACCCCGACTATGACCACATGGAACTCGCTGCGAATTATTATCAAACCGCGGCGGATACGCAAACCTCTGCGATGGCGTATTGGAATCTTGGCTGGATGTATGAACAGGGGATGGGGGTGCCGAGGGATTGGCACTTGGCAAAGAGATATTATGATATGAGCGGGGAGACAAGTCGGGAAGCTTGGCCGGCGGTCGTCTTGTCGTTAGCGGGGTTGTATGTGAGGAGGTGAGTGGCGAACGCGTGACGAGCGCAGCGAATCAGGCGGTAAGACTCGCCGATGGCGGCGAGCGCAGCGACTCAGTCGGTCAGACTCGCAAGCGAGAGACTCGGAGACTCGTCCTTGACGGGCAAGCGAGAGATTCCTCGGTGGTTCGCTCGCTCGCTCGCCCACCACTGGCCCTGCGCGCTACGCCGCTCGCGACGCTCGCACTAACATTACCTCAGCTGGTGGACCGAATTCCAAACCCGAGGCGAGATCCCCGGCCTTCGCTTCTTTGAACCAGACGAATCCTCTCGACAACCCCGAGTTGGTCTATTCGCCAGACTCAAAGAAATCATCGCGACGACGTGGATTCCGCCGTACTTGGACGAGTATGACGATGGGGAGCTGTATGAAGATGTATCAGGATCAGGATGGACGACGACCACTGCGGGCGATGCAGGTGGCGGGGTCATGGACGAGGGAGATGAAGATCTCATGGAGACCGTGGTGATCCTCGGCGTGGCGTTGGTCATCATGGGCTTGGTGTGGTTGAGAGGATTATGGATACGGTGGGAGGCGGATAGAGTTAGGCGGGAGGAGGAGAGGCGGCGACGAGAGCAGCAGGGTGCGAATTGAGTTGTAATTGCACGGATGACATTCTCCGTGACCATTGTCGCGACGATGCATGAGGACCATACATGCATGAGCCACAGATATGCTTGCTCACCCATGGTATGATGCGTACAGTGCCTTCGCCCATCCCACGAGACATATCATTTATCTATGCGTCTCATTTGAGGAGGCTGTCCCCCCCTTTGGAAATCAGTCGCGTAACAAAACGCTCCTGACCTTATTGTTTCAACCCCCCGCGCTACGCATCATCTCAAGGGGGCATCATCATGGACTCCACATTCGCTGTTCCCGCGCTACCACGTCGAGAAGGACACGGATCAAGACCATTGAGCATGTCCAAAACACAAAACCTATCGGGTTCGCCGCTCACCTCGGATCATCACCATCCAGAAGCCAAGCAGGTCAACAACAGTGGTGCAAATCGACTCAAACGTCTTTCCCTCGTCGCTCGGCCTCCCATCAGAGAAGCTCCAGCCAGTCCTCAACGGGCTCCAGGTCACACCAACACCACTCCTTCCACGCCTGGTCCGCAACCTGCTGGCGGACCATCTCATCGTCGAGCGATGGGCATGCGAAGCAGTATCTCCTATTCGCCTGCATTGGCTCGGCGAGAGGCATCTTCACACGAGGAGACCAGGAGCGAGTTTGAAACGTGGGCAGAGGAACGGGGATACTTTGGGGAGATGATCGCGGGCCCGAGTCGATCGAGTGGCAAACGAAGCTCTGTGCAGAGTCTGGAGGGTTCATGCCCGGAAGCGAAGAACAAAGACGACGACAGGCGAGGAGAGACGTTTGTGGAGAGGTGAGTCTGGCTCCGATGTTGCATACTGGGCGAGGTATCGTCGCCATGGTGCCTGTCAAAAATGACCGGTGGTCTGTGAGCCGCAGTCGACCCGTCTCGGGCGACCCGTAGCCAATGACCCGTCTACGTTATCCCTCCTTTGCTCGCGCACTCGCTGACGCTCGCTTGCTCGCTTGCTCACAGACACGCCGATCTCCTCACCCTCATCGCACAGAAAGAACGACGGGTCAACGACCTCCGCCAAGAACTGGCCTCCCAAGAAGCCTCTCTCAACCAATTAAAGACCCGATGGACAGCCATCATCTCCAAGTCTGCCCCACCAGCACCGTCTCGACCGGTCCGGGCTGGCCACCATCCATTATCGGGCACATCCACCATTCGACCTTCCCCCATCGAACCGCCTCAGACGCTTGCAGCTGACCCTGGTCCTGCTGCAGAGCACGCCACAGGTACAAACTCCACCGCTCTGACTCCATCAGATGGTCAATCTCTCGCTTCGTTCATCACCAGTCTCGGAACCACGCCGGAAGGTCTGCTGGGACAAGACACGATCGAGGGAGGGAAACGATTCTGGACTCAACTCGTCAAAACTGTCAGCGCAGCTGCGGGAGGCACGGTGCCGGATGCCCAGTCTCCACAACCTTCTAAAGTCGACATGTGAGTGTGCCCATCATCGTAGCCTCTCGCTCATTCGTCAAGTGGCCCTCTCAAATCCATGCTCGCTTGGCCATCTGAGCCTTCGAGACCTGCCTTGCCTGCAAATGCCTCCCGATTGAACAAGAAACGACCCCCTGCAGACCTGACACCTAGTTCATCTCTTGCTTCCGTGACGACGTCCTCTGCTTCGGTGACTGACATAGACCTACTGGGTGACCTCGACGACGATGCGCAACCACTGTCTGAATCTAGTCTTGCCAGCTTGTCCTCGATCAAACAACGGGACGAGACGGACGAGGCGTGGGGATGGTAGAATGGGATAATGCAGCTACCGTTAATTTCGGCGTTAAGCGTTTTGCCACTCGCAACGCGCCACATTGAATCTCTTCATTTTTAACGCCGGATCTCATCCTCATATCTCCGATAGCCTTCCGAGGTCCTGCATGCATAGCTCGCCAGTCCCAAGTACCGTTGTTAGACATCCAACAAACTCGTTCAAGATGGTGAGTGATGCGCGTGCAACGCATCTGACACCCCTTCAGGCCGACAAGACTGCCGCTGTCAACCCCATGAAGGAGCTTCGTATCGAGAAGCTCGTCATCAGTGAGCTTCGACTGGACATGAAAATGCTAACAAGCCAAGACATCTCCGTTGGTGAATCTGGAGATCGACTGACGCGAGCTTCCAAAGTGTTGGAACAACTCACTGGTCAGACCCCCGTCACCTCCAAAGCTCGATACACCATCCGATCCTTCTCCATCAGGCGAAATGAAAAGATTGCTTGCCACGTTACTATCCGAGGACCCAAAGCTGAGGAAGTCTTGGAGCGAGCTTTGAAAGTCAAAGAGTACGAGCTCAGGAGGCGCAACTTTTCAGAGACTGGAAACTTTGGATTCGGTATCGAGGAACACATTGACTTGGGTATCAAGTACGACCCAGGTATCGGTATTTTCGGAATGGACTTGTGGGTTCAACTTTTCGCACGACTCGACGCTGATCCTCTCTAGCTTCACCGTCATGGGACGACCAGGAAACAGGGTTGCCCGCAGAAAGGCCAAGACTGGCCGTGTCGGATACTCTCACCGAGTCAAGCCAGAACAGTGAATAACTGGAAGGACCTTCCCATATACTGACCCACTCTCAGGACCATCGCTTGGTTCAAGCAACGATTCGACGGCATTGTCTCTCGATAAAAAATTTGTACCATAGGGATGCCATGACACACTTTTTTCCCACTACATTTCCTCCCACACGAGCGGCTGATCAAACAGTGTGGGACTCTGCACTGAACTGACTTGTCTACTTCCCGCCAGACTCCCTCCGTGACTCATCAACGTCCTCAAGCTGGGTTTCCGTATCCGCGAGAGGGCAACGATATCGGGCGATTGGAGGGCATGTGGCGTCATGGAAGGTACCATGGGGTCGTACAGCCGTTGATTGGGTGGTACGACGGGTTCGGTCGACTGGGACCGGAGCTCGGGACGTTCTCTCTGTCTGGGTGACGTTGGTGCGGAGATCGAGTACACAGGGGTCGGCGGAGCTTGCGGGGCGAAGGGGTCGGAGAATGCTTCAAAGGGGCTATCAAAAGGACTCTTCCTCAGGGCATGTGGCAGAGCAGCGCCGTGAATGGGCGAAACGGCACGTGAGAATGGATCGTCCCTGCCGTTGAGACTGATTGGAAAAGGCACGACGGGGGTGGGAGGGTAGAGCACCTGGTCATTGACCCTGTCGGATCGTTGACCATTGCTCCATGTCTCCCCTTGAAGGGCAGAGATAAAGGCGTTGTCAAAGAACGAAGGCGGAGGTGCTGAGCAGCCCTCGGTTGATCGTCTCTTGTACGGTCCCCTGCCGTCAAATCACATCTCTTGGACAAGGTGGCTCACCTCTTGACACCCGTTTTTCTCGGCTTCCTCACACTATCAATACAATCCTTCAGACCATACTTGACACACCTCTCACACGGTCTCGTGTTTGAGCATTTCTTGCAAGCCTTTTGACAATGTGTACATGCGATTCTCACTTGAGCGCGCTTCTTTCTCGGTGGGGTGTATTCATCATACTCGGACGGTTCAGAATGGTCTGGCCAGGTCATTGCACTGGGAGGAAGAGCAGTGTCCCAGGTGCTTGGGGTGGCGGGGGCAGACACCGTACGGTCCATGTCAAACACAGGAGGCTGCTGTTGAGGATGATAATTGCCCACGATGCCTGGCCCAAGACGTGATGGCAATCGGGGGATGAAAGAAGTATACGGTTGATTGTCACCCATCATGACTCACGCATAGCCAGGAGAGCGATCCAGTACAACTCAAGGATTGTCTCGGCCACAATGATACGGATGAGGGTAGGGAGATGTGTGAGAATCAAAGACATCCAAGTCCTGGTCTGTAAGAGAACAGGAAAATTTCACGACCCGATCGTCAAGTGTTGAGGGGTGAAAGACGAAGAGGGTGGGCATCCCGTCCGTCTCGCCACAAGCTAGCCTCTTCCTTACATGACTGAGCTCTTTCACACTTTTTTGGCCAGACTCGTCACAGTGATCCTTTGCCCTTGAACCCCTGCGGGAGAAGGAGATCGATACGAAAGGAGGGAACCAAGCTGCGACGGGGTTCGAAACAGTGAGACATTATGATGCATTCGTCTGGGAGGGGAGGGATTATTCTGAGTCAGCCAATGGTACAGCAGCACAAGAGACAGGCAGCACTGGGGCAAATGGGTGAATGGGCGAATAGGTGAATGGGATAGGATGGTGTGATATCAGATGTCCGTTGAGAGCAGCGGCTATCGACTATGCGCTGAGCATGAGACGTCGGATAGCCCTGGGTCAAGAGGTGCCAATGGGGCAAATGTGCCGCTCTTCATTTATAGCTATAGAGACAGAGGAGGAGATGAAGCTAAGGAGAGGGACCACACTCACGATGTGTATAGGCTACCGTGGTCATCACTTGAGATAGATGTAACGATTGAGCAATCGCTGAAATTTCACCTCCAGTCGACCTGCTGACCCGCTGACCCGAAATCCCACGTCACGGTCCAAAATTTCCGAAGTGTGATCGACTAATGCATAGATAGCTTGCTATACCTGTTATGAACCCCGGCCTGCAACATGCTCACCATGGGCCCATCTAGAGCCCTGGCAGTGGCTATGACGGTCTACCCATTGCGTCAAGTCCTCGTCCGATCATTACACGCTTCGTCGCTGAATCTCGCCCCTGTCGCTGCCGCCTCCTCCTCCTCCTTCTCGTCGCGGCTCAGCGGGACGCCTGCCAGTGCCTCAGCACTTTACGGCCACAAGCCACCTCGTCCAGACGACAAACCAGGAAAGCGAATCAGATATCAGCGATTCGCCAAACCCGGTGGCGCTTCCGGCCGACGCTTGGCCCTCGCTCGACCGAGATCCTTTTCACCTACTACATACGATCTCCCGCCCTCCTCTGCGCCGGCTTCTCATGCGACTCCGAAACGATTCGATGAGTTTGAAGTCCATCCACGGATGCTTCCTGGTGTCTACGAAAAGCTAGGAGATCATCCTGAAACCACACCCATCCAATCCCTCGCCTTCAACCACTTCTTCCCAGTCGCTGAGCCTTCTCAACGGGTGCTCCTCGGCGCCGAAACGGGTTCAGGCAAGACGTTGGCCTTCCTTGTCCCTCTCATGTCTCAGCTCAAGCTGACAGAAGGGGAAGACAGGAAGTATCACGATGACGATTCCAAATATGAAGCTCTCCTACCCCGATCCATTATCCTCTCCCCGACACACGAGCTCACACGACAGACGACCGGTTTGGCCAAATCATTGGTGCATTCAATGAAACTCAGTGTCTTCGGAATGAGCCAGACGCAAGATGGGGGCATAGGCAAACAACGAGGCATCAAAGATATCTTTCTCGGCACGGTGGCCATGACACGACGGATGCTCGGATTGAGTAAACCTGGCGGCGATGAGAATCTCGACAAAATGCGAAAAGCCTGGGTCGTCCCTGATCGACTCGATTGGTTGGTCATTGATGAAGCGGATGTCCTATTGGGTCGAGACTTTCAAGAAGAGACCATGACCGTGATCATGCACTTGGCAAAAGATCGACCGAATCTTAACATCATCTTGTGTACCGCCACTGTTCCCCCTGCCCTCCTTCAGCTCATGTCCACGCACCCCTTCTTCGCCTCTACGCCATTCACCTACCTCCTCTCGCCCAATCTACACAAACTCCCATCCAGTCTCGAAGCTCGATTCATCAAGTTTACGGGCAACGTCAGCCCCATCAACCAAGTGGGTCAGCATCTCAAACACATCATGACGGAAGATCTGCGGTCGCGGAAAGCGAGGATGGAACAGGGTGAGGACCTCAACAGATCCAAATATGTCATTTTCTGCAATACCGATGCCAAAGTTCGACTTCTCGGCGCTCTGCTTGAGCGTCTCAAAATTCCAACTGTTATCTGGACAGGTGGAGGCAATCATCGAGTTCACGGCAAAAATGGCCCATTGAACAGGTTCCTCCTTGAGCCAAAGGCTCGAGCAGCGATGAACAGCATCTCCAATGCAGAGGACACGGCTTCGAGCCGGGTCCTAGTGACGACATCTATCCTATCGCGAGGCCTCGACTTTCACCCGTTAGTCAGTGCCGTTATATTGGTCGACGAGCCCAGAGACGTACTGGACTTTGTTCACCGCGCTGGACGCGCTGGACGAGCCGGACGGACCGGAAGAGTCATCGTCTTTGGGGATGGCAAAAGGGGAGTGAAGAGCGTGACGGAGAAAGTCGGGGCTCTCGCAGGTCTACCGACGCCCTCAAAGAAGAGAACGGGGAGGTTTCACGACTCTTTCCCTCGCAGGGCTGCAATCCGGAGACAGAGGTAGAGACCGGCTCGCCATTTCGTTGTATGCATGTTCACTCATCAACGTCCGAAGCCTGACGCCGCCATGCCTTTGCCTTATTCGACCACTCTGTCCACTCTTCAGTCTCGGTCAAACCTGCATTGGTGATCAAACAAGTGGCGTGCTCACTGGCCGCCTTGACGAGTCCCTGGATTAGCCTTCTATCCTCCCGACGAGAGTATTTGTCAACCTTGTGATTCTTGGCATCGGAAGCTTCTTTCGTTTCGAGCATCCACTTCAAATATCTTGCGCCTTGTTCCAGTTGATGAAAAGCCTCGATTTGGATTGTGCCTGGGTCTCTGGTCAGCTGCAGCGACTTGAGTCCTTGGAGCAGGGAAGCGCTCCTGCGTAGCGTTTCATCCGCATTCGCGGTCAACGTAGCTGTGTCGGGTCGAGGTTCACGGAGGATGCTCGTGATACCTGGCAGGAGCGTCAACGATGTCCCTCTCCGGCAGCTCACTCTGTTCAAACTTGACGATATTCACACGATAAGCGGCGAGAAGCATCGACAAGCTTGGATCATCGCCACCGAGGTGCTTGGTGCGTATCGTATGCCAGTCCGTCAGCGGTTGGCCATCAAGCGTCGGGTCGTCCCAGAGGGACTGGAGCCATAGTACTTCTTGAGTCGAGGCCGACATCACTGGGAGTGTTCCTGCTGCAAGGGTGGGTGTCTGTTGCAAGAGAGACGTCTGTACTGGTCTCTCGCTCCTGTACCAACCTTACATAGTGCAGAGCGGTCGGAAAGGAGGGTCAAAGAATCCCGCGATGGACCTCGTCAATGGAAGCAATGATGTCACAAAGTGTATCAATCACCTCTCATGATGCATCTCTACCGTGCGTATATCCGTGTGTCATCTTGTACCTCCGCCACGGCATGTCAGTCCCAGCCTGTCTAAGGCCGCCAAGCCTTGGCATTGGTCGTCCACGATATCCACTCCTCAGTCGGAGTCAGACCTGCGTTGGTAATCAAGCACTCGGCATGCTTGATACTTGCCATCGTCAGACCGTGCAGACTGCTGACGTGCGTCAGAGAAAGAAGGCTGTCCGCCTGATCTCTTGCTGCTCCCCAAGATGCCCGAGATTTCAACAGTTTCTGCAAGTACCGAGTGGACAGTTCTAGCTGATGAAACGCCTCGAGAGGAGGATGGGCGAGAGCGTCCCTCTGCCTCTGCAAGTCCCGGAGACCTTCGAGCAGCGAAGCACTCTTACAAATGGCTTTAGCCGCCAAATCAATCAGCTTCTCCAGGTCCTTTTTGCTGATTGTCGCATCATCTGAGAAGTCTACACACAGTGTCGGTATATCTTCACACGGTTTTGGCCCACCCTCATTCCGGACAAATTCATGGCGATAGACCCTGAACGTGGTGGCTAGCTCTGAATCACTGGGCTCATCGCCACCAAGATCGTCAGTGGTTACCCTTCTCCAGTCGTTCAAAGACTCTCCCCTTAATGAGGGCGTCTTCCATCGCTGAAAGAGAGCCTTGGCATCGTCTGTTGGAGCAGTGACGGTGATCTGAAAGTGAGTGTCGTTCAGCGATGTCATTATGCGGTATGAATTGGAGATATCAGCAAGCAATCAAAGCCAGCTCTTTATATCCCTCCAGTCATGTTCTGACGATCCGTTGTTCCAGGTTGCGTCGCTGTTTCATGCACTCCAATTGCCAGGAGCCACACTGGATGTTCGCCACAACTGCTCGCCGCTCCATTTTTGGAATTTTGCCACCCAACCGAACTTTTCGGATCCGAAGTTTTCGGCAAATCGCATAGCTGTGGATATTTTCAGTCGATCGACGAGATACAGCCTCTTGCTCACTCAGCAATCAAGTTCAATTCGACACGACCATGAGCACTGCTGCAAGCTCATCTTCTAGACCTCTCCCAGGTGACGGCGCATATCTCACTGATGGCGCAGCTCCGCAACCTTCCGCCGCTGGTCAAACCTCCTCTTCCAGAGGTAGAGGTAGGAGCAACAGAGGCAAGCCTCGACCTCCACAGCACGCGAACGGTGACGAACGATCGAAGCCTCGACGCCCCGCTCAGCCTCGAAAGGTAGAACCAGTTTCAAAACCCAGCGCTCTCAACCCTACGGCCGCTACTTTTGCTCCTGGGCAGCCTTCCATCAGCCAACCAGTCAGCAGATCCGAGTCCCCTGCATCTCGACCTCAGTCCGAAGGTGAAGCTAAACGTCAACATCAACGTCCACGCCATCCCAGGACCAAGCCAAGTCAGACTCCAGTCTCCTCCCGTCGTGCGGCCTTCGACAAGCAAACAAAGTTGACCACCGAGTCTGACGTTGACACTGCGTCTGACCCACCGAATCTTAGAAAGAGTCGACGAGCAAAGCAGGATGAAAAGGATGACTGGATTTCCAAGCTCACTCGAGGGCTGAAATCCAAACCGTTCATCGAGTGTCCGATAGTGAGTAACGGTTCACGAGATTTGGGTTTACATAAACCAGTGCTTTAATGCCATTACACCATCTCAACCTATCTGGGCTTGCGCCCCACCCGATCGACCACCAGAGCCATCAGATGATAATCCAAATCACTACACCGCCTGTTATACTCCATTCCACCTGAACTGTATCCGCGATTGGGCAAATCGAAGCTTGACGGAGGAGAAGGAACGCTTGATCGCATTTGGCAAAGAGGATGAAGAGGTCAGCTGGAGATGCCCAGGATGTCAAAAGCGACGTACCGAGAGAGTCGGAGGTTACCGGTGAGTGTGAGCTTGCACTTCTGTGCTGACACGTCAGATGCTTCTGTGGCCGTCTGTCATCCCCTCCAACCATCTCGTCAGCACCTCACTCATGTGGCGAGCTTTGCTCCCGCCCACGCCCCGGGTGCAGCCACGCTTGCCCATTGTAAGCTGCCCTTTCTCGACTCTATTGACACCAGACCATGTCATCCCGGACCGTGTCCACCATGCCAAGTCGCACTCATCGTCCCTTGCCCATCCCATAACACACCCCTCACCGTCAAGTGCGCTTTGGCCACCTCGAACAATGCAGCGTTGTCTCCATTTTGCGACGAGACTTGCGGTCGAGATCGGAATTGCGGGAATCGAGATCACGCATGCGAGGTGAGTCACTACCGCAGTTGTCCCCTGACGCCTAGCAACTGTGTCACCATGGTCCTTGCTCTCCCTGCGCTGAGAGAGAAACTGTCACATGCTATTGCGGCAAGGACACCAAGGAGGTAGCCTGTGGTTGGCAGCGAAAGGACGATAAGCAATGCGCGGCAGTCGAGGATGGTGTGGAGAAGCATTGGGCCGGTCGATTCTCCTGCAAACGTCCCTGTGATGGGTTCTACGATTGTAACATTCATGCTTGTCCAGAAGTGAGTCCCCCCTTTGGACGGCTCAAATTGACTTTCAGCCATGTCATCCTCACCCACTACACCCGCTCGTCTGTCCGATGTCTCCGGCTGTGGTAACCACTTGCCCGTGCGGCTCAACTCCGCTGTCTCAGCTCGATGCACCACCCCGCCCAGATTGTATGGCCCCTGTTCCGACATGCAAGAATCAATGCCCCAGATCGCGCCCATGTGGTCATCCTTGTCCCAAGCAGTGTCATGCGGGCGACTGCCCTCCGTGTCACGAGCAGGTCGTCCGTCCATGTCGGTGCGGGGAGAGCATGCTCGTCGTCCCCTGCGATGAGCTGCGTGATAAAGTAGCTTTAGGTGAGGACATTACCTGTGAGAGAGTCTGCAAGGCATTAAGAAAGTGAGTTATTACGCTGGTTCGCTCCCTGACGGTCTAGCTGCGGTCGTCATCAATGTGCGCGTGTGTGCTGTCCCCTGTCTTGGCAAGCGAAGAAGAAGAAGAGACCCGTAGACGAAGCTTTCTTAGTCGAAGAGGACGACTTACACGAGTGTCCCCTTGTCTGTGGAAAGCTACTCAGTTGCGGCCTCCACACGTGTACGAAGAAAGACCACAAGGGATCATGTGGACGCTGTCTTGAGGCATCTTACGACGAGGTGAGATGCCATGTCGATATCATCGCTGACTTTAGCTCATCTGCCACTGCGGACGGACTGTGATCTACCCTCCGGTCGCTTGCGGAACTACCATCAGCTGTCCATATCCCTGCGCGAGGGATCCACCTGCCTGCGGGCATCCACGTACGGCTCATCCGTGCCATGAGCAGCCCATCTGCCCGCCCTGTCCATTCCTGACCACCAAGCCATGTGCCTGTGGTAAGGATCCGGCCGTGAAGAACATCCGATGCTCTCAGGAAAAAGTCTCCTGTGGTCAACCCTGTGGCGAACTTCTCGAGTGCGGGTACCATCGATGTGACAAGAAATGTCATCGACCTGGCGAATGCGATCCCTGCACGCAAGTGTGTAACAAGCCCAAAAAGATCTGCCGCCACCCATGCACAGCTGCGTGCCATGCGCCGGCCAAGTGCCCCGAGACTGACTCATGCTTGGCCATTGTTACTCAGTCATGCTCCTGTGGTCATCTACGAACGAGAACATCATGCGGAGCTAGCACCTCGAATCCATCGAGTCGGGAAGCCGTCTCTCTAAAGTGCAACTCTGAGTGCGCTGTCCGACAACGGAACGCAAGATTGGCCGATGCGCTTGGGATCCAACCCAAGGAAAAGCCTGCTGAGGAATGGGCACCCGAGTTGAAGTCATTTGCCATTGCGAATCACAGCTTTGTCAAAATGGTCGAAACGACATTCTCAGATTTTTTCAAGAGTTCACGTCAGACGATGATCCTTCCACATAGTGAGCTGGGCTCCTTGTATCTTCAGATTTCGTCGCTTACGCCAGCAGTGCCGCTGTCCAAGCGGACATTTGTCATGTCACTGGCAGACGTCTATCGTCTCGGTCGGGAACTCATCGATCAGGAACCTGTTCGATCGGTCCAGATCCGCCGTCGAGTCGACACTCGTATCCCTAGTCCTCTGTTGTCCGCAGCAGCCACACCACCTCCGCCAAGACCTAACCTCGGTGGATTGGCAAATTTGAAGACTGGACCAAAAGTCTCCCCTTGGAATCCAAAGCCCCCCACAGTGCCCACCAGCGTATCCGGTCCGTCCATCGCTTCTACTACTGCCGCTCCAAGTTCAGCCCCGCGTGTCCCGATGACTGGCCAACATGTGACTGGACAAGTCGGCCACGTCGACGACGATGATTGGGCGAATGATATGTAGCGTTGCATGCACAAGGTGGCACAAGTATCTATCATTCCGACTTTTGCCTCTTCGCTACGTGATGCGAGTGAATGATATGTAGCGTTGCATGCACAAGGTGGCACAAGTATCTATCATTCCGACTTTTGCCTCTTCGCTACGTGATGCGAGTGATCATGGCCATGCTCATCATCATCTTCGGCCATATCCGGCCAGTCCTCCCAGCCATCTACCATTAGCTAGGCGTAAGATCGCCACAACTCACCGTCAAAAAGATCGTACAGTCGCTCGAGTTTCTTCTCCATCGGACGGCGGGATTTCATGGTCTGGCACGCACATTCAGCGTCAACAAGGCCTCGCCAAAGTCGCCCGTCACTCACTCGTTCCCACATTCTCCACTCAGAGTCATCCAACAATGCATCATTGAGTGCCTTAACGAGAGCCGTTTGGTCTATACTTTGTCCAATGAATACGATCTCTTGTCGCCCTGGGGGATGATCAGCCAACATCCACAAAATGGTTCTCACGATCACCCCATTCGCCCTCAAAGTCCGACCTGATCTGTTCCTTTATCTCATCCGAGTCCGTAGGCCATTCATCTTCAGGCACTTCGCACATCCAGGGTCCACCACCCGTCAACGTGAACATAACCTGGTCCCTGTCAGCCTTCAAAACCACGTCAAGTCGACGAGGTCGACTTACACCCGCTTGAGACCATTCTCCATGGACGCTTGGCCTCGTGGCCATCCAGACGAACCCTTTGGAGCGTAAGACTCCCTTCCATAGTGGGGACTTTCGTTTCGACTCGACTTTGGCGGGTAGATTCATTTTGGCCTTTTCCTCCAGCAATCTGGCTCGGACTTGAGCTTTGGTGTCCTTGACGGAGGGTCCATCTTTGTCTCCATCGATCTCGATGTCTCCATCCTCATGAGATTCTTCAGCATCGGCATCTCCTCCAATCTCATCCTCATCCTCATCCTCGTCCTCGTCATCTTCATCTGGACTGCCTTGGAGTATACAGAATGAATCCTCCAGTACTTCCCAAAGACGCTTAGGATGAAAAGGTCGTCGGGCCGAGAACACGAACGAGGAGATTCCGTACCTTGCTTCATTAGCCCGGTGCGGACCGCGCCACTCACTCTTCCGTCTCTGGCTTCGGGATCATCATCTTCTTACCATCCTTCTCCACATACTCAGAAGCATCTCGCAAAGACTGCAGCCAACCGGCACTAAAAGACGCTTTGGCAAAGTCAAATGTTCCCGTATTGAGAATCTCCTGCAGAGGTACGCTTGAGTATTGCGTTCGAAAGATTCGAGCGTCGGGATTGAGCTTTCGTACGAGTGCTTCGACATTGTTCACTTCTTTGGACGGGACGGCATCAGTCTTGTTGAGCAGGATGACATTGGCGAATTCAATCTGGTCCGTCAACCTGAATTTGACATCAGTACTGTCAGTCACCGACTTCCGACGTACAGATCCGTAATGTTCCGCTCATCTTCTGGATCTACATCCTCATGTCGATCCGTGAGGAAATCCGTCGTATCAAAATCTCCAAAAAATGTCGTACAATCCACGACGGAGACACAAGTGTCCAGTCTCGCCACTTTGCTTAATCCGCCGTCTGCAATGAGTTTTGCAAGCTTCATCTTGCTTTCCGGGGTCGCATCAGGCTCCTTGTCATCCACTAGCGCTTCGGCAATCTCTTGAACGGACGTCGTAGGGTCAATGGACTCGGCAAATTCAGTCGTAAACGTCTCGGCGACCTGCGGTCAATCAGTCTCCTGAGGTCTGACGTGTCTCACCTGTATGGGCTCAGATATACCGGAGCTCTCAATCAAGAGATAGCTACGAGTCTTAGTCAGGTATACAGTGCTCTGCTCACTCGAAAGCACCCTGCTCTGCTAAAGTCGCAACCTCTTCCAGCAAATCCGCTCGGAGTGTACAGCAGATGCACCCTGCCACGATCAGCCGACATTTGCGGAGTGGCACTTGCCATTTTGCATCTGGACGACTTTTTCGTCTGTCCTGGTCAATTTGTGATTCTTGACCAGAGCCGCATCGATCTGATCATCAGTAGGGGCAGACCCCTGGTGAGACCCACATTGAGCGCTCCCATGTCGTTGACGATCACGGCGCATTTTAGGCCGTGATCTTTCGATTTGAGAATGTTACTGAGCAAGGTCGTCTTGCCAGAGCCCAGAAATCCCGACAAAAGGGTCACTGGCAGTCGAGTGTCTTTGGCAATATCAGTAGCTACTGGGGACATGGTATAGGAGTTGAAATCAGGTCAGTGGAGTGAAATTGAAAGTTTCTCTCGAGGCACGAGCTCGTCTGACCTTTTGACCCATGAGAGGACTCACGGGTCAAAATGGTCCCAAGGTGGATAGACCACGCGAGTGGACCCGACCGGTCAATCAGCTCAGTACCATCAGCAAGCTACCTCGAAAAGATCCACGTGCAGAGTGAATAAGGTATGAAGGGTCTGGGGGTCGTCAACGTTATGCATGTCAATCGTCAAAGCCTCCGCCGCCTTCTTCTACGACAAGTCAGCGGTCAATGCTCTTCTTTGCAGGCTCACCTTCTTCTCCGCCAGAATCGTCATCCCCTTCACCGTTATCAAAGTAATTTGCATCATAGTCCTGGTGATCACTCTCATCCTCAAAGTCGAATTCGTCGTCCTGGCTCGAAGGTGCCGGCGATCCTTCCTGCAGTTTGAGTTCACTGTACATGGTTCGATACCTTACCTCCTGTTCCATCTTTTCTTCTTCCTCACCATCACTGTCTATCCGTTTCTTCTTCTTCACCCCATCTGCAGAACATGTTAGTACTGACCTTCCGGGGGTGACCCACCCTTGTTTGCCGCTCGACGCTTCCCGGGCGCAAGCCCATCACTCTCAAACGCATCGGTCCACAGTGACGGTGGGAAGTAAGCCTTGTTGAGATAAAGCTTCTGAGGATCAAATCTGTTCCCTGCTATCGACGATTCCGCCTGACTCTGCTGGTCCCGTATCCTCCCCGAGAACGTCTCGATCTCTGAGACACCACTCAGACTAAGCGCTCGAGCCTGAAACTCACCTATGCCGACAGATTTCCTTTCACTCTTCACTCGCCAAGGTGCGCCTGCTCTCGTCCCGTTCTCGAGCATGATCCCATTCGCGAGCGTAAGGTACATCTCCTGTGTCGTCTCCACCAATCTCTCTTCTCTATCCTTCGGGTGCCGGAGCTGAGCCACTTCTCTTTCCGGATCCAAGGGCTGTACGGGCGGCGCAGATCAGTAAAAGTTGGCAGGTGATGCTGGACTCACTGGGTATAGCATGCCACCATTTTTTGTAGGCTCTCTCAACGCCTCTATCCACTGCGCCCTGTTCAGCGTGCTATGTTCTGGTAGTTGGAAGCCCGCTCCTCCTCCTAGCCCACCCCCTCTACCTCTACCTCGACCTCTAGACATGACCACCGCTGCAGTTTAAAAGATGAATGAAGGAGGTCAAAATTCGATCGGACGAACAGCGTGAATAGCCGAATTAGGATTTGACGACAGGGTCATTAGCTTTCACGTTCTAATGCCATTAGAAATGTCCGCAGAGTATGACGTCTCAGTCTGTCGCTAAAATCAGATCAACTCCTCCCCCCTCCTCGGGTTGTGTGTGTCTCTCCCTCTCTCACTCACTCACTCATTGACACTCCCATCTCTGTCAAAAGCCATCGACCAAGCTTGGTACATCTTGAGCATCGACAGCGTCCAATCCTCTGCCTTCTCATCTCTCTGCCGTTTTACTTGTCCTTCCCATCGCCCTCGTACCCTCACATCACCCTTCCCTGGCGACACCATGGGAAACGGCAAGAATGCCGACTCTCTCGCAGGGATCCCAACCGACGATGATTCAGGTGAGTTCAAGTTCCGGCTGGCGAGGGGAGTTGCGCGACAAGGTCAACAGACTGGTTCTGGAACCCCTCGGTACAGCTCGATCGGTCAGGCTTGCCGTCATCCACTTTGGCTGCTAGGTTTTCAGTCGGGTTGATATTGCCCTTTTTTGAGACCCTGGAAGCTATCTAGCGCCGTCCTTCTTGTCATGCTATCTGGTCATCCCGCAGCTGGATTCATCTCTAGATCCCATCTGCATATCTACTTTTGCCTCCCCAGTCTCGTGTTTGCGGTCAGAAGTACGCCAAGCTGATCCGTTGTCTTTCTCTCCTTTATCGCCGGTCCTGATCACGATGTCCGCATCGCCGTTCTCATTCTCCGGCATCCTCAACAACCACCCCATGCTGCAATGAACATTTTCTCATCCTCCTCATCCCGACTCGCTGTGCGCCTGCTCAACGCGACTCACTCCCAATTTCGCCTGGTAACCCCACGCACGTGGTCCCTCAGTCATCCAAGAGTTTACAGATGAATCAGGAGCCCCGGCTACGTTGCCGGAAGTCGGTGGTGGTGGGGAGGAGAGTAAACTCAAGATCCTGATGGGACTCCTGAGAAGGTAAGCGAATCTCACAAGGGCTTTGCTGAAGAACAGACTCGTTGGTGTCAAGGATGTAGCCAATTTGTGAGATTGAGCCTGCAATCAGAAACTAACCCGACCAGACGGTTGTCACTGCCTGCCTCCCTCCTTGAGCCCATCCCTAATCTGGAGTACTGGCAGTATCTCGACCGGGCTGACATTTTTGCTGCGTGAGTCCGCTCAAGGGGTTCAAGACTGACGGACAGTGTCGGTGACCCTCAAGACGAGCTGGAAAGGATGTTGGCTGTCCTGCGATTCTCATTCAGTAAGGAGCTGAAATTCGTCCGGGCGAGATTGGGTAAACCATACAACTCGGCCTTGGGTAGGCACATCCGCAGGAGCTCATGCTCACAATCAGGGGAACACTTTAGATGCTCCTGGAGACTACCACCTCTCTTGATTGACAAAGCCACCAAAGAACCCATTGTCCGCACCCATATCCATGTCCCTCTCGCCGGTGAACCAGCCTACGGTGGTCAGGGCGGAAGTGGATGGACGACGCCAGTCTTACGGCCCCAAGATGGAGGCAAGCTGAACAGCGAAACCAGCTCAGTCGTCTCGATCGGTTCCAGCACGTCTAAAAAGCCAAGCCTACCAAACCTCAAGACAAACGCACGTGGACTGCCGCTCGAACATCCCCCGTCACCCAATCTCAATCGAGCCATCCCGGGTCCCGGCGAGGAGATTGAGGCGGATAGTGATGCGGGTGTCGTGGAGTCGGAAAAGGTCACAGTGGTGTTCCTGGTGAGTTTGGAAGAGGGAAATCCAGCTGATGGCGGCAGTGTGAACAAATTTCCCATCACCCACCCGTCTCTGCCGCTTATTATGCCTGCCCTGAGAAGGGCTTGGAAATGGTTTGCATGGACCAAATCTTGGCCAAGGTGTCTGGCATGTGTGAGTACGGCGTCTTCTGAATCAGCTCACAGTCAGCGGTCAAGGTTGGACCAGGCCCTAGCAACAAGGGCCTTTTCCTCAAGCTGAATCGCGAAGGCCCGGGCAAGGGAGAAGTGAGCCGACGGCTGATCGGCGGGCTGACACATAGGAATATCACATCACGCATCCTGCCGCTCAAGTCAACGGAATCCTGAAAGGGTCTTACTACGGTACCATCTCTGATCAAATCTCGATAACATGCTCGGGTGGGGATAACAAGAAGACAAAGCTGCGCGCGGTTTTGGACTATAAAGATGAAGTAAGCTAGTCGGTCGAATCGTCCTGACATCCAGTCCTGGATTGGGCGTCCTCGTTTCGCAGTGGATGGCGTAATCTACCGCTATGAAGTTGACAACGAAACCGAACTATCCTGGACCAAGGCCAAACAGATCCCCTCAGACAACATTGTGGCTTATATCGAAGGATGTTGGATGAAGCAGCTCAAATACAAGCTCAAAGGAGAGAAGGTAAATGGTTGATGCGACTTCAGCTGACTCTTCAGGAATGGAAAATCCTATTAGACATTGATGCTCTGGCCTTGATACCGAAACAAGTTCGGCCGCTTGCAGAACAAGACCCTCAAGAATCGAGAAAATTCTGGGACCCGGTGACTACCTCATTGCTCGCCAAGAATTGGGGCGAAGCGACCAAGCAGAAACAGATCATCGAACAACGGCAGAGAGATGCAGCTGCGAAGCGGAAAGCAGATGGTGTCGAGTTAGTCGGGAGGCTACGTCCCAGAAGCGCCACTGACGTGTTGAACCAGATTCCAATCTCGATTCTTTGAGCATGATTGGGAGGATGGTCGTCCTCGATTGAGCGAGGCAGGTAAACAAGCTGTCGCTGAGGAGGTCGAGCGTCTCAAATCGCTCAAGTCGACATGAGAGGTCTTTTGTATGATGATTTAATAGCCTGTCGCATCGAATCCAGTCCAATTTATTACTATTAGTCTTTTTGAGGAGATGGGGTGATGTATGATAGATTGGCGCGAATTGTTTACGTCGGCGATTGTTCCGAGGTGACCGACCTCGACACTTGGCAGGTTCGCTGGGAACTGACTACCGATACCGCGTACAGGACCGCGCAGGCCGAAGTATAGGCAGTGGGAGGATACAGACTCAGTGGCCATACAGAAGGATCTCTCAGGGAAAGCGCGGGAAGGGCCCACTTCGTTCCCATCATGGAGGCTGTGATTTACAATGGCGACACGCGGTATCCTGGACCCAAAGTCCATCCTCCTCCAGCGCATATCAAGGGCATACCCACTCAGGCAGAGCTCGATGCCTTCCCACGCATGTTCACGTGGGGCGAGCTCAAGGCCATCGTCAGTGAGTGCAGAGGTACTTCAGCCCGAAAGGAGGTATTTGTCTCTGACGAGAGTGCAGGATCTGGAGACCTGGAGCAGCTGATGCGGAACAAGGCTCTTCAGGCGAGGTACATTGAATGGATGACGGGTCAGAAGGCCAGGTACGGCTCTACAGGTGAGTGACTGTCGACTTTGGCACGGAGCTGAGGAGCAGAACAATACCTCACACGTGCTAGACTACCTTGGAATGCTCCGACTGATCCCGCTTTCGAGCCATCTGGAACGTATGATATCTCATCGTCGCCTACTCAAACAGCGGGGCTGGTCATGCCCACACCGGCAGATATCAAGAACTTGACCATTTCGACTGATCCCGATAAGCTCTTGACCAAGAAAGCATTGGATCAATTGGACGCAAGCCACGTAGCGACTCCAGGAAGCGGGACGTCTACACCTACATCCGCTGGATTCGTCAGTCTTGCGAGCCTTCAACTCGTGAATGGAAAATTGAAGAAATCTCGGTCAATCAGGTCCAACACGTCTTCTCATAGAGCCACACCTGTTGCTACGCCAGTGGTTCACCAACGATCCAGATTCGCAACCGAGGATTCTGGCCCTGTACCATACGAGACCGATCATGAAGAGGGAATCAATACGAGCAATGACGACGAGGAGGAAGCGGACGAAGTGCCCGTCTATCTTAAATGGGATGAGAAGCAGGGACTGGACAGTGAAAAGTTTGCAGTGCTGCCCAATGATTGGCCATACAATACGCCATACGGATCGAGGCATTACTGTGTCTGGAGTCGAGTGAGTCGACACATTTTCTCTGCTTCAAAAGCTGATGGACTAGGTCCCTATTGCGCATCCTGAGCTTGTAGACTATGATCCGAAAGCTTGGGCTCAGATAGAAGAACAGGGTCTCGGCGGATTCACAGGCGTGACTCCTTTGAGACCGTTCACAGGGCAAGTCCCCATGACTCCCGCCATGGCTTCTGCTGCTGGAAACTCGTCCAAGCTGTTTTCATATCCTTCTCCTGCAGACCCCGGAGACCCAGGCAGGAAGAGTATAGGAAAGCTGGAAAACAGGGATTGGTACGCTGCGGATGTGGCTTTCGCAGGCAAGGATATGAGGGAATGGGCAGGTGTCACATACGAAAGTCGTGGTGGGAAAGAAGTCGGGAAAATGGTGGCTGGATTATGGGATCCAAGGGGATGGGAGTGTTTATGGGTGAGTCGATCGATGATTGACACTACTTCGCACGCTGAGATGATCGTCGCCAGTTTGTCAATCCTCCAAGATTACAGAGTGTACCTGGTTTCTCCCATTTCCACGTCTTTGCTAGGAGAAAGACGCCTGAAGAGATCGATGCTGCAGAGAGCTTTTAGACATTCATATGCATTATATCCGGAGAATATGCGGAACATAGAGTTCATCGACCTATTAAAGCGTGGTATCTCTCATTCGTACTGTGCCCCAACTCACCATGACCACTCCCAAACCTACCAAAGTCCTCAATGCAGCCATCGTAGGCTGTGGAGAAGTCGCACAGGTGGTCTGGGTGAGCTCGGAATATGGCTCTCGCTCACGCAGCCCAGTTGCCGAGCTTGTCCGTTGCGTCTTACCATTTCAACGTCACAGCGCTATGTGATGTCTCCAAGCAGTCATTGGAATTATGCTCAAAGCGGTTCAACGTGCCGAGGACGTACGACTCAGTGTGAGTCATGATAGCAGAGACACCCACTAAGATCACAGCTCGTCCATGCTAGCATCTGACACACCCATCGATATTGTCTTTGTTCTGCACAAAGACCAGCTCCATGCTCGCGATACCATCGCTTGCGCGGACGCCGGGAAACATGTCTTTCTGGAGAAGCCGATGGCTCAGACTGAGGCTGAGGCAGATGCGATTGAAGCTGCTCGAGTGAAGAACAAGGTGGTCATCTTCATAGGGTACATGAGACGGTATGCGACTGCTCTCGAGGTCTTGAAGAAGGCCATTCACGGAAAGACCATTAAATGTGGGTACATCTCGAGCTCAATGTTCGCTGACTGCCAGACGTCCGGGTTAGAGACATCATCGGAAACGTGGGCCTTTATTTGTGCAGATTACTGATGCCAGAATCGCTACTTCACGTCGGAATCAGGAATGCATCAAGAGTATTTCTCCGACCACCCAGCCGATGCAGGCAAGGAGATTCAAAAGCTCACCGAATCGAACTTGATCGAAAATCTGGGTCCAGAAAGCCTCAAAGATTCAAGAAACCTTCACTCGTTCAGCTTGTTGGGCTCACTAGGCTCCCATGATCTCAGCGCCATGCGAGACGTCATTGGCATGCCGGAGAAGTGCCTCGTCGCAACAAGGACTGCCGGAGACGATGGAAACTGCTGGTGGTGGAGTGCTCTGTTCGATTACAACGGCTTCAAAGCGTACTACGAGGTAAATATGAACCATGGCTGACTGGTTGCTGATGTATAGATGGCCATTGACGAGGTCGCGTTTTTTGATGCTCATATCGAAGTCTACACCAACGATACTCGGGTCAAAGTTCAATACGATACGTGAGTGAGCCCAAGTGTGAGCTTCCAGCTCACAGGCAGACCGTACGTCAAGGGACTGCCGATCAAGGTCACCATTCAGAAGCAGCTCCCAGACGGGGGTGGATACTCTGAAGAGACGATTCGACCGACTTTTGTCGATCCATACACCCTGGAACGAAACGAACTCTATGACGCAGTGGTCAACGGTAAAGATTATAAGACCAAACCGCTAGACGCGAAGAACGACATCAAGCTTGCAAAGATGATCATGAACGCGTTGGTTGATTGATGCAGCCAAGATACCAAGTATGCATGATACAATCAATGAGGACATTTCAAGCCCGTCGATACATCTCAGGCAACGGATTAGCCCTGATCACAGTTTCCCTTCTTCGCTTCTTATATTCTTGCTCTTCAGCAATGGTTTTGATCACGAGAGCTCTACGCTTCTCCTTGTCTTTGATTTCTAAGCGATCTTTGACTCCCCGATCAAACATCTCACGCTGCATTGCTCGAGCTCGGGAAGCTTTTCCTGGAGTCCGGCCTACGATTGGGACAGTCCTCTTCATCGGAGCCACCTTCAGCCCATCGAACAGTGACCTCTTCTTTTCCAAATCACTCGCTCGCTCAGAGTCTCGTATGCGGACAGGTTGACCAGCGGCGCTGGATCCTTTGCCTGGCGGCGGTAGCTTAGCAAGAGCGGCACAAGCAAATGCCGACATGGTATGTCGAGGCGCGCGAGAGCCATTGGTGCTTGAATCATTCAAGATGGAAATCTTTGAGGGGATCGTTCGACTCGGTTTCAATGCAAAATATGGAGCGTTGGATGGTCGGACCGGCGGAAGCTCGTCGTCGTCAAAGGTCGGAGGTTGTAGGTCAATGAAATCTCGTCGAGGCGCCCGGGATAGTGGGACACGAGGAACGCGAACTCGGACAGGAGCATCACTGGAAAATTTAGCGGGATCGTCGGGGACCACTCACTCGTTCAGAATCTCATGTGACATTGACGGTTCCCTCTCGCTATGCACCTCAACAGGTTGGTACGGTTCTGGGCAAGGCAGCCGATCCGTAAAGTCGTCGGTGTCCTGTTCCTGAATGATATCCACAGTCTCGAAGGATATCGGATAGCGTGCATTCTCCAGTGAGACATCCGATTTTTGCCCCCTTCCGATCTCAATCGACTCGTCTCGCATATCCACTGTACTCTTCTCCCGCGGCATACCCGATAAGAATCCGGTGAAGAAATTGACTAGCTGCTCTGACCTCGACATCCGCTTCTCGGCCTTGAAATCGATGCCATCGCTATCTGCCGATCCGCTCGTATCGGCCAGGATGGGGAACGGGACGGGTTCGGGGCTGTCAAAGGTCTGCTCAGCCGTTCTCATAGGGAGAACCTCAGATCTGACAGCGTCGTGATCTGCTCGAGATCCACGTCTTGAAGTGGAGTGGTTCAAATCGAGCGGAATGGTGGTTGAAGCCGGGATTCGGATTGATGGTTCTTCATCCTCTGCTTCCATCTCGACAATAAGTCTCTTCGGTGGCCCAAATCGAGCCAGAGATCTGCGTTTGTGCGGCACACTGCCGGGTGCTTCTTCCCCCTGTGTCGTAGGCACGTTCCCGGCGCTGACGTGACGTGCTTTGGTCATTAGTGGGTGAGCCCTCCAAGCCATCTTGACCTCCATTATACTCTTCTCGTCGCCTGTCCATGATTCTCCCTGACTCGGTCCAAGCGAGGAGTTGGAGCTAGAGCTAGGTATGTCTTCCGATATGAGAGAATGAGCAGATGCCGATCGGATGATGGAAGAGGAACTGCCGGACGGACCCTCGGATAGGCGTCGAGAAGGTTGTTCCACCTTAAATGAAGCTACTGAAGAGCTGCGCCGGCGGGACGTTGAGAGGCGTCGTCGAAAGTAGTCGTCCCTTACTGGTGTCGGAGGCGACATCGGTCTTCTATCTGTAGATGTCGTCAGCAGATCATAATAGACGCTTGTGGATGGCGGTACATACTGATAAACACCGAGGGAGCTTCATCCATAAAACTGGACTCGTACTCAACATTCGCCGCCGTCATCGTCTTGTCCGCCTCTCCCGTGCCTGTGAGTACTTTATCTTCCAGCAATGTGCCATCTAATCCCAGTTCATCCTCTTCCTCAAGGATAAAACTCTCTCTCAACAATGTCTTCCCGGGATAATGAAGATCCCAGGATCCGGGATGAGACCTTCTCCCAATTTCTATCGAGTCCTCAGTCAAGTCGTCCAAACCTTCGTATATTGGGGTCTGACCGAATAATAGCGACATTTCTGCCGCTCCAGACGGCATCAAGGGCGTAGGTGGTGGGTCCATCGTGCGCAGAGTGTATACAAGGGTGAGAATGTTTTGAATCGACATTCGCTCAACATTGAAATCAATCGCGTCCTTTTAACTTGATCAAGCCATCCCGAACGGAATCAGATTTTTCTATGCATTATTATAGCGAAGATCCGCCTAGCCGTTGGCCACTGCCCCATCGATGTCTCATGGCCTCGACCACATTCTCATTGTCTCTTGCCGTAGTATTCGACGTGGATGCAGCTTGGGAACCTAGTCTTGTTCCGGCACCTGAGCCCAAGCGAGTCGCACCGTATGTCGTAGTGGATGCCCTTGTTCGAGACCTGAACAAGGCTTGGAATCGTAGTGGCATCGCGAGAGGATTAGGGCGCCTCACAGACGTTGGAGCATGGTCAGGGAGATAGGTCGAACAAAACCACCTGAAAAGTGAATCAGCAATTCAACCCAAATCCCTCAACAATAAGACAGACCAGGCGTGACCGGCGATGATGCCCATGAGTCCATTCAGAGCCTTATGGGGACCACCTGTGACGGTATCCAGTACCAGCAGCGACGGCGGATACACTGAGACATGAGCATTGCTTCATGATAGCCCCTTACAGCTCGTTGGGATGGTGATCAGACCAAAGATGGACACTTTTGTTGTGGCATGAGATCTACACCAAAGATACGTCTGAGCGTACAGCATTGGACGGAAGAGGAATGGGTGGGAGAGTAGGATGTTGAGAAGCTGTGTCATCAGCGCGGGGCACAGAGACCAACCCACGAGAATCATGCATCCAATGACGAGATGCATCCATGTGTAATATGCGGTATTGTTATTACTGGGGTCGTCAATGTCGTCCTGCTCTCTTACTCACTAGATATCCTTTTCCAGTGTCGACGAGTTTCGATAGAGCAGAAACACATCGTAGATTAGCGGGAATCCTCCTCCTGAAGCTGATGTCAGAGGTGACTCTGCTGTTGAGCTCGCGACTGACCGCCAAAGAAGAATGCAGTGAATGGTCTCCAGACCTATAAAGAATCAGAGTCTCACCACCGACGTTCAGCTCACCTCATAAAATTTGCGGACTCTATACCAGCTCAGAGCGACCTATCGATTTCAGCAACTCATGGCTCGACCTTTGACCCACCAAGCCGGGAGAAATCGCCTGTAGAAGACATGGTCTAATAGACGGGCATCAGCTATTGTTGCCCATCAAAGGCGACTCACGCCGTGATGAGAGCTGTACATATCAGTAGAGTCCTTGTGACTGGTGGGATAGAATCGTATAGGCCAGCAAAGTCTGCCATGCTCAATGCAGTCTATCTCTTGCGAGATCTCCGTGCACAAAAGACGGACGAGTGAGTAGTGGTATGGAGTCGAATGCTATAACATGAAGACGCCGGAATTGATGGAATTCTTGACCGCGGTCTCAGGTTCCACGTACCGCGTAATATTGAACCTTGCATTCAACGACTTCTCAGCGGTGCCGACATGGCAGAAGCGACGTCCATCACTCGGCACCATGGAGAATGCCCACTCTGGTTTCAATGCGAGGGCGCAAAAACGCTGCGAGAGCCCCATGGAGGATGGACAACAGCACCAGAACCGATACGAGAATTCAGCTTGATATTCGTAGTGGACAAGGTCAACCGACGAGTGAGTGAGGCACGCATACGGGCATCGGATTTTCTCATGAGTTAGGTCCTTCTAGGCAAGAAGAGAAGAGGCGTAGGTGTGGGCTTGTGAGTTTAGCATCAAACATCTAGACAGTGCACCAACTGAGCTCCATTGGGCTCAGGTATAATGGATTTGGAGGCAAACCCGAAGCTGGGGAAACTATACTTGAATGTGCAAAGAGGGAATTGAGGGTGCGTTCATTCTTCAATGGCCCGCTCAACGAAGTATCAGCCGAGCTGACGCTAGGGCTCAGGAAGAATCATGCCTCGTACCGTCAGATGCCGCCTTCTCTCGAGTCGGACATTTTGTCTTTGGGCGTCCGAAGCACGGCAACAGAGAGATCTTTCGAATAGTCATTTTCGGATGTACATCATGGACAGGAGAGCCAGAAGAGTGAGCCGTAGGCTAGTTGCTCGAAGTTGACTTCGCAGGACGGATGAGATGACTGCGGAGTGGTTTGACATTCCCTCTGAACCGCCTCAAGCTACCGAAGAAGGCTATGACCAGCATTCGAACGGATACCCGCTGAGCAACATGGTGTGCATGATAGGAGTGTATCAGCTGAAAGTATGATAGTGGCCTGAGGAGACACTGTTCCATTTCGAGGTCTTACAGCATATACTTCAGACCCACAGTCAAGCGGTGAGCAGTTCCAGCATGTACGCCGCGTGCCTGAATATCTCATCCCTTAGAGCTCTTCGAGTCCCAAGGAACTCGTCGGTCAACTCGAGTATGACTACATCGACCCGGCAACTGAGCAGGCGTGGACGTTGATCAAACCGCATCACGCTAACGATCCCACATTACCTGAGGGCAAGCAAGAGGCATTGATCGGTTGGTGCTTTGGATGGCGAGACAGGTCACGATCATAGGTTAGTCTCACCACATATTCATTGGATGCATGTTGTAAGAACCAAATTCTACAGCTTTCAGAGGGTCTCGTCGAATCTTTTGAAAACAGGAAAATGTCGATGCCAATCAGGCGTACAAGCTGGGCGAGGATCAGCCATTCGCCTGGAAGTACACCATTCGCCACTCACTCGTCGTCGTCTGCCTCGTTCTGGAAGGTCGCGCCTCCGTTGTCGGCCTGTCCAGCTTCGGGGAACTGAAAGAGGAGTCAATACTCCGCTCGACGCACAGAACAAGGTCACTCACCTTGAAGGCGTTGCCGAAGCTTCTCGATTGCTGCAAAGTCGTGCTGAACATTTCGTACCTCCGAATATCGGCATCTGAGACTGATCGCCGGGCGAACCGCATAGCCTCCTCAAAGTGCTCGCTGTATAATCGTCAGCAATGTCTTGTCAAGCTAGCGAATGTACATACACTGAGATGGCTGGAACCTCGTCCTCCTCATTCTCTTCGTCCATGAGATCGACGTCACCAGCATCTCCTTCTGCCTCTTGTTTCTCTTTGCGCTCGCGGTCTTTGCGCATGTCGGCCTCAATACTGGCTCGAATGGCCAACTTGGCAGCACGTTGACAAATCTCTGTAAGATCGGCACCTGAGAATCCAGCGGTGGCTTTGGCGAGGTATTGGAGATCGACACCTTCGGCAATGGGGGATTTTCGCAACGTAGCCTTGAGGATAGACAGTCGAGAGGCCTCATCGGGCAAAGGGATGTAGATCAGTTGATCCAGACGCCCGGGTCGCAAGAGAGCGGAGTCAATCTGGTCAGGTCGGTTGGTGGCTCCAATGATAAAGACATTCTTCTTGGCGTTCATACCGTCCATTTCCGTCAGGATCTGGTTGAGGACTCGGTCACTGGCACCACCCGCATCACCTCCGCCACCACCTCCTCGAGACTTGGCAATGGAGTCCAGCTCATCAAAGAACATGACGCAAGGAGCAGCAGCACGGGCTTTGTCAAAGACATCCCTGACATTGGCTTCGGATTCTCCAAACCACATGGTGAGGAGCTCTGGACCCTTGATCGAGATGAAGTTTGCCTGACATTCGTTGGCGATGCTGGAGATGTCAGCAATTCGCCTCATCATCAGACTTACGCCTTGGCAAGCATGGTTTTACCGGTACCAGGAGGTCCATAGAACAAGACACCCTTGGAGGGGGACATGCCGTATTTGAGGAACTTTTCGGGGTGTTCGACGGGATATTGGACAGTCTCTTGAAGTTCGAGTTTGACCTTTTCGAGACCACCAATATCGTCCCACTTGGTAGTGGGGATCTCGACGACAGTTTCTCGGAGAGCAGAGGGATTGTTGGTGCCAAGGGCGAATCTGAAGTTCTCCATGGTAACACCGAGCGAGTCAAGGACTTCAGCATCAATGGTCTCTTCATCGAGATCGATGAGGTCCATCTTTTCTCGAATCTGCTGCATGGCAGCTTCGGAACAGAGAGAAGCCATGTCAGCGCCGACATATCCGTGCGTGTCAGCGGCAATCTGCTCCAAGTCGACATCGTCCGCAAGCTTCATGTTCTTGGTGTGGATCCGGAGAATTTCCAGTCGTCCAGTAGGGTCGGGAATACCAATGTCGACCTCTCGATCGAAACGTCCAAATCGTCGGAGAGCGGGGTCGATCGAGTTAGGTCGATTGGTAGCGGCCATGACGACGACATTGGATCGAGATTTGAGACCATCCATCAATGTCAAAAGCTGTGAGACAACACGTCGCTCAACTTCTCCGTTCGTCTTTTCTCTCTTGGGTGCAATGGAGTCGATCTCGTCGATGAAGATGATCGCTGGACTGTTCTTCTCCGCTTCCTCGAAAGCCTTTCGCAGGTTAGATTCCGATTCTCCAGCCATCTTCGACATGATCTCAGGGCCATTGATAAGGAAGAAGAATGCTCCGGTCTCGTTGGCAACGGCTCGAGCCATCAATGTTTTACCAGTACCGGGGGGTCCAAACATGAGGATACCACGGGGAGGTTTGATACCGATCGCCTTGAAAAGCTGGGGATGACGGAGAGGAAGTTCGACGAGTTCTCGAATCTGGACCGATTAGAACGTTCCTCTCGCCATGCTCACCTTTGCCAATTGCTTCCGGCATCCTCCAAGGTCATCGTAACCGACCGCGTTGAGATCAGCCTCCTCGGCTTCTCTGTCGATGGGATCTCCTTCAGTGTGAATGACGGTATCGGATGCGACAATCTAGCTGTGAGCGAAGTTCGCGGAAGGAATGACTCACGCAGTAGGGGGATGGATCAACTTCGACGACCTATTGGTAAGCTTCAGAGTCATTCAGCTGACTAACCTTAAAGTCAACTGTCCTCATTCCTCCTCGAACCTGGAACACATCTCCTTTTCGTACCGGTCGGTACGCCTCGAGGAAGTAGGGTTTCAGGTAGACATCGAAGAGGTTTCCAGACAGCCCCTCGATCGAGTCGGCAAATGGTAGGACATGGATTCTTACTGTCAGCTACCGTCTGGAATTGCTTCCTCACCTCTTTCCGTACTTGATGTCGTTGGCTGGGGAAACGTGTGCGAGGTCACCAAGCTTGATGGCACAGTTGCCTCTTGCCACTGCATGATTGTTAGACGCCTGGGGTTGATGAATGTCCACCATGACCTACCTTTGTTCAGCGCAATCTTTCCCTCCTCGATATCATCTTGACTGAGACAAATGAGGACTGTATCTCTCCTTCGCTTTCCTCGAACTAGGTAGTGTCAGTGGAAACCAAGAGAAAACCAAGAGAGACGGTCTCCAACGCACCGATCACAGTATCTCCCCTTCAAAGTAATTAGCTACAACTGTCTCTCTCGATTGGTCCGACCAGCTCACCGGAACAGTCCCAATGCCTCCATCGTGTTGGGATGCAGAATGGCCACACTGTTGTCATCTGAAGGGGATTCATCGACCATTAACCGATTGGGCCTGAGGGGACATGAGTCAGCAGTCCGATCTTGATAGACTTGGACGCGGAGCATGTGCGTTCTCTGCTCAACTCACGATCGTTTCTGTCGCAGAATAGCGGTAGCGGTAGCATCCTCTTCCTTGAACTGGAGAGACGCTTGATCAGCATGCCGCCCATATTGTTGGGTGACGCTTATACACCACCACTTACCTTAGATGGATCGTCAGCCATGGCGCAGAGAGGTCTGAGAACAGTAGTGAAGTATATAGAATGTAACTAGAGATGCTTCAGAGCTATTCTAGCTGTCTATATTGTCCTCTGCTTCCTGTAGATAGAACGAGAGGGGTATAGAAGGATACAGAGGATGGCCAAGCTGCAGATGTCAAGGTGATCGATGATACGTGACGTGCCCCTTGCCACACACTAAAGGGGTGCTCAAATAAGTAGGGATCATCTAGCAGCTTCTTTTCGGTCATCGGGCACGCACCCAAGCACTCGTGGCACTTGCAAAGACTGGTGGATACATATGCACGACATGACATTGAGCAGCGGCAAAGAGGCATTACTTTGCAGCTTCCTCCTTCACCATCCCTTCGCCCATATCGTCTTTCATGCCGGTCTTCTTCTCTTCGTCTTCACTTAATAATCTAGCAGGATTACCACCTTCCGCAGAGGCGACGTCCTGGAATCTGACATGGATGGAATGCACTGAAGAACCGGGTCCAACTGCAAAGTCGAGCTGAGATCGAGGCAATGTGAGCGTGTGGATACTGAGACCTGCTCCAGATGTAGTTGGCTCAGGTAAATGAAACGCCGGGATGAGCCATGACCATCCAAGAGGGAGTGATCCCAGGTGATATTTGAGGCGAACTTCTCGATTCCGATCCAGGATGAGATCTTGAGAAGCTTCCGAGACTTGAGGGACAAGGTGATGGACATTTAGGCCCTGTATATCAGTGCCTACTCTGCTACCTTGTACTACCTCTGAAATCCCAGGCATGGCATCTCTGATCTCTTCTGAAAGATCCCCGGGTACCATCTTGCCACAACTTCTGAACATCTTGTGCGTGTCGTACCGTCCATCACCGCCGACACCTCCCCAAGTGATCTCAGACCGTACGCCCTGACCAGAGCCTCCACGGTGATTCAGCTCATCGACATAGGCATCATCGTATCGAGCTACTGAAGCCCAGGCTTTGCCATTCCCCTCGTCTGAGTTGATCAGCGTGCAGCCTGAGTGTCTATCTCACCTGAGCCGACGATGAGTGACGCAAGTGGTTTCTGCCAGCCGCTTGCAGGGTGAAGAAGGATCGTTATAGATACGAGCTTGACTCGACTCGGTTCACTTGAGAGATAGCTAGGGGGAACATGCTTCTGAAATAAGAGATTGACGTAGCGACACCACCTCCTCTCTGAGGCATCAGCTTGAACATGCGATTGGCTGCTTACGACTTGGGATGGACACACCCCGGCCTGTACTAGACGGCTTCATCCGTCGACTGCTGTGCATTTTGAACACATCATCCACTTTGCCATCCTCCCTGTCCTCCTGCCCTTTATCGCCCGGACGGCCCTCATCCCCTACGTCAATGGGATTGACAGGATGAGTCGTTACAGCGATACGGATCGAGGGCGGGGGAGAAGGCCCAGAGATTGTCGTCATAGAGGAAGTAGTTGATCGTGCCACGGAGCCGATTGGTGTGTCCACATGGATGATCTCTGATCTCGTAGGCGTTGGTGCCCTTTCTCCACTTGCAGATGCGGCAGAGGAATCCACTTGGATGGGAGCCACATGCTGTCCTCCTCCTATGATGACCCACCCCTCTCCTTCGTGGTCCATCTCAGCCGTTTGTGACTCCGCCTCAGGACCCGAGACATGCTCGTACTCTTCCGATAGAGAGGTCCTCGCGGCGGAACCGGCATCTGAGTGGTCTTCGCTCTTCCTCTGTTCCAAACGCTTCTTGAGTTCCTTGTGACCGTACGAGCGGTCGAGCTGGGGAGGAGGAGGAAGTTGAGGAAGTGATAAGAGATAAGAGCACAGCAGGGTTCCGGACCGGCCCTGGCAAGTCAGTGCGACTGCCCGCTGCAACGCTCGCCCACCTTGCCAGCTTTACAGTGAATGATGGCTATTCTCTCCGGGTCTCCCTGCAGCCATGCTGTCATCTCCCTGACTGCGAGAGGTAGCAGAGGTAATGGAGGAGGGTGATGATCAGGGAACGGATATCTCGATACCCGATTGTGCATGCTCTCGGGCGAGTAGGCTTTCTCGTATAGCGGGCATCTGTATATCAGTGCGTGTAAAGGAGTGCACACCAACAGATTCCAGATCCACCATTTATCACCATGTCGCGAGTTGATGAATTTCAACACGTCTCGTCGACGATTGCGATATAAGGCAGAGACACCCGCTGCCGGGTAGCCCATAATAATGATTCTATCCGTGACTGACTTTGAGTCATGGCGTTGGCTTCCTATTGCTCACCATATACCAGGTCTAGATCGACTTGAGCCGCTTTGTCGACGAACCGCGCCTTCTTGCCAGATACTATCTTCCGGATGTAGTCCAGTGACATGCTGTCGTTGCCTGTATGGTGATGCTCACTGTCAACCAATCATTCAAAGTCGCCCAGACAAGCGGACTGACGCTGGATTCCACGGACATGAATTACGTCACGACCTCACGTGGCATCAACTCGGGGCCGCCTACACACCGTAGTACTCATAGCATGCCCAGAGCGACAAGCGCCTCCCAGCATAATCACACTAGTGATACATATACTACACATGATCCTATTCCCTGTTCTTGTAATATATGGCTCCAGCAACAACAGCCACGACCAAAACGCTGAACATTCCAAGCTGAGTCCCAAGAATAAGTTATAATCTCAGGCATAGAAATCCTACTCACGGGTATCACATCGCCACCGCCTTGCTTCTCTTTAGTGTTGCGTTCCACATAATCCGCCGAATTACCCTCGTCCTCCTCTTTCAATGTGTCTGCGCTGTCCTTTCCACTCTCACTACTTGATTTTCCGCCACTCCCTGAACGTTTCTTGAACGTCTCTCCGCTCATTGTCCGGGACAACAAGCTACCTCCGATTTTGCCACGTCCAAGCTTGCCATTGAGTCTGCCACTGCCAGGAGTCAGGATCGGCGCATTCGCATCCAGAGGTGAAAGTTCCGCGCGGGGAGTCGTCGATCCGGGCGGTCCATCTTCAAGTCCAGCAACTCCTTTCAGGGCAGATACGGCCAAGGCAGCTCGATTGCTTGGACGTCGACGACGAGGTTTGCGTGGTCCTGAACCTGAACTTCCTGATGATGCTGATCCTCGGGCACGCCGTGATTTTGGGGATATGGAGTTCGGACCTTGCCATTCCAGAGTGTCCAGTGTCAATAGCTCTCCTTCTTCGACATCGCGTCCTCCAGCGTCGTCTCCCGCCAGATCTTCATCCTCATCTCCTTCCTCCTCAAATCCATCCTCGCTGAGGCTCTCGTTCAACTCCCGCTCTTCTTCCTCTTCATGCGCCCGACGACTAGCTTCCTCCCATTCGCGGACCACGCCACGCAGACGCTCCCGCTCCGCGTTCCAGCTCTCGCGCTCCTTCCGCCATCCCTCCTCGAATTTGGCCCTCCATGTATCCCATCGTTGTTCAGACTTCAGGACTTCTTCCGCTATACGGCTTTGTATGCCATGCTCCAGCGAGCCCACACGATCGGTCAGTAGCTTGACAGCTGTAATGGCCTCGCTATGCTGAGTTTGAAGCGTTCGAGATAAGGCCACCGCTTCTGCGACCTCTGCAGATAGACTCTGCAGTCTGGATTCGAGCTCGACGTCGTGTGGCTTGTCCACTCCGTTGGCAACTTGTTCGAAGGAAGGTGTCTCATCATCCGAATGACCATTCTGGGGTTCCTCAGATGGTATTATACCTTTTGCCCTTCCACCAGGTTTGGGCCGGGCTCGCTGAGTGCCGTCTTCGTTCGCCATCAAAGTGATAGTGCTCCTGGCATCATCATCGTCGCTGGCTCCATCCTCGTCGTCCTCATCCACATCACCGGGAAAATTCCTCATGATTTGGCGACCCCGAGCATTGGCGAAGACCAGCTCCATCTCTTGTTTACCTTGCTCCATCTGTGACCTGAGTGAAGAGATCTCCGCCCTGAGACTTTCATGCTCTTGCAGCTTACTCTCCAGCTGACGTATTTTATCCAAATGGCTATCAAGGGAAGTGTGGGTCTCGGTGAGCTGATTTTGTAAGGAGATGAAGGCTGCTGCCTGTTGACCATGAGGACCTGCGAGTGCTGCCTGAGCCTCTGCAGCTGTCGATCGGAATTGGGGAGGAATGAACTGAGCCGCGGAACCGTTTTGCGATGGTGGCTAGAAGTTTAGCTCGGGATAAACGAGCATCTCACCAGTCCACCTCCTAAAGTGTCCTGTATGTCCGTCATGGCGGTAGTCAGATTTTGAAGAGCTGAGCCAGTCTCTTTACTTTTTGCGAGTTCGGTCTAAATGTCAGCTGCATGCCCGGATGGGAGAGGCAAACCTGTAGTTTGTGCAAGACGTGGTTGAAGCTGAGGGCATTGGGCTTGCCTCCGGCACTCATGACCGGTTGACCAGATTGCGCCAAAGGATTGCCTTGACTGGCCCCGTTGGCTCGTCTCGACCGGGAATCTTGACCTTGATAATTTTGTAATTCCCTGCGTGTCAGACATGTTCACAAGGTCCACTCACCTCGCGCTCAGATTCGCGTCCACCGCATTCAGCACACAATACACTTTGGCCGCGACCTTGTGATGAACGATCATTCTGTTGTCTTCAGAGACGATATCTATTCCGAATTCCTTGCAGGTCAGCAGCATGTAGGAGAGGAATGACATACCACAATGTCTTCCGACTTGAGCTCATGCGGGTGAGACTCGATGCCTTCTTGTGACAGCCTCTCGCCGTTGATGAACGTTCCATTGGACGATTTGACATCCTTGATGTAGATCTACAGGCAGGTATGTCAGGATCGGCACAGGTCATTGTCGCCGGGTGCGCACCTTGCCGCTGTGCTCCCATATTTCTGCGTGAGTCCTGGACAGGACCTTCGAGTCGAAACAAGCATTCCTCTCCCCGGGTACAGTCTTTGCATTGGTCTGTCGTCCGATTTTGATCTAGGGATACTGGTCAGTCTCGGATGAACATTGCCTGCTTGCCTTTTCACCCGGAGGTAAATGGATCATTTTCATC